CTAACACCTCTAACACCCTAACACCCTAACACCCTAACACCCTAACACCCTAACACCCTAACACCCTAACACCCTAACACCCTAACACCCTAACACCCTAACACCCTAACACCCTAACACCCTAACACCCTAACACCCTAACACACCCTAACACCCTAACACCCTAACACCCTAACACCCTAACACCCTAACACCCTAACACCCTAACACCCTAACACCCTAACACCCTAACACCCTAACACCCTAACACCCTAACACCCTAACACCCTAACACCCTAACACCCTAACACCCTAACACCCTAACACCCTAACACCCTAACACCCTAACACCCTAACACCCTAACACCCTAACACCCTAACACCCTAACACCCTAACACCCCTAACACCCTAACACCCTAACACCCTAACACCCCTAACACCCTAACACCCTAACACCCTAACACCCTAACACCCTAACACCCTAACACCCTAACACCCTAACACCCTAACACCCTAACACCCTAACACCCTAACACCCTAACACCCTAACACCCTAACCACCCTAACACCCTAACACCTAACACCCTAACACCCTAACACCCTAACACCCTAACACCCTAAACACCCTAAGATAAAAAAATTACCCATTTTTGTTCTTTTAATTAGTATAAATACAAGTCTGAAATATTAAAAATAAAGCTTTTGAGCTTATATCTTCAAGCTATTCCAAAGAATTAATAATTAGCTTAAAATCTCATTTTTGCACCAAAGCTTTATTTAGCATTTCAAATATTAATGAATTCTGGCTATGATTTTGCAAGGAAATTTCATAACTTTTAATTTAATTTAGCTCGAAATATTCATTTAAATTCACAATTACAATCTTAAAAATGCTGCAGGATCTTTCTTTCTGTTTAAAAACGAAATCCTTCTGATATCTTCAACTATTTCTTCCTTAAAATCCTGCCATTTGATAAAAAGCTTATCCATGACATAAGGATCCACATCATTTGGACTATCTTGTTCAATCCCTCTCTTCAAAATTGATTTCATCTGATTTACAACCTTTTCATTTAAATAATTAACATGGTATTTTGTAATTATCATAATTTCCATAGGTGATTGAGCTATCTACATAAATTTTACGATCGAAAATTTCGATGCTGAGATTTCATATCTATTTACTTCAATTGTTTTCAAATGATCTTGATTTTCTATTACATCTCCTTCTAATATTGCTCTTCCTCCAAAATAGTCATTTTTCTGGACTGTCAAGTGAGGAATTCTTTCTTTTACAATAAATTTATTTTTTCCAATAGAGCTCAATTCTTCTTTTGACACAAATTTTTCGATTTTTTTCCAGGTATCTTCTGTCGCCTCATCTTTGACTCGGTTTAAGGCTCGGAAAATCGGGCCTTCATCTAAAGTGATTTTTAAGCTATGAGGAGCTTCGTCACAGGGCGGCTCAATATTTCCTGTATAAAATGGCTTTGGGCTTGGCTTTTTAAGCTTTGGAGCAAATTCGCTAACTTTTTTTCCCACAATTTTATAGCCTTCTGTAAATGCTATAGCATGACCAGACATAACGAGATATAGACCTTTGGGTGGATCGCCTTTATCTAAAACTACTTCATCAAAATCATAAGAAGTAATTTCTACATCAGATGCAATAGGAATTAGCAAAGCAGGGTCTAGACCGGCAAATAGAGGAAGTCTTTCTAAAAATGACAGCTTCTTTTCTATATCAGCTCGTAATTGAGTTAAAATAATTTTATTGTATTCAACTTTGGAAATTTGCAGCATTTTGGAAATTTCGCTGCAAACACAAGTGGCCATTCTTTTGCTGGAATAGTCTCCTGGTCTTAATGCACTAATTAAAGCTAGCTCTCCGAACTGTTTTCCGTCATATAAAGAATTTACGACGATTTCTTTATTCCCAAACTCTGAGCTTTTTTTCTCTATTGAAATTGAGCCATTTAAAATCACGTACATCATATCTCCAGAATCCCCTTGTCGAAAAACAATCTCACCTGGCCGAAATTCTACAAAGTTAGCAATTTTTAATAGAGAAATCCTGACTTCTTTAGAAAATTTTTGAAAAAAAGAAAGCTTTTTAGTGGCTGTGTCAATTTTCTCATAATTTCTCCTTGTTTTGTCTTTTTTAAACTCTAAATGAATAAATAATAAATCCTGCTGAGTTAATAGAGACGTTTCTAAGCCTTCACCTTCTTTATTGAAAAAAATTTCTTGTTTCGCTATATCTTCATCTATTTTCGCTTTAATTGTTTGTAATTTTTCATTGATTTTTTTATGGACGTCAAAACTTTTCAATATATTTTCTTTAACTTGTGCTGGAGATAAATCTTCTTGTATATAAAATGATGGACTTTCAGTGGTTTCACGAGAGTCTTCAAGAGTGTGTAATATTGGTGTTGGAGACTGAACTGAGATATTTGTAGGCTTTGTACTTGCTAACGAAATCCGTCTTTGTTTATTGTTATAGGTGGGTGTCTTGCATCTGGTCGAATCTAAATAATTACTTTTTTTTATTGATTCTCGTCTTTTCAGCAATCTTGGGGTCACTGCTCTAGCATTCACTGTTCTGGTGTCGAATTCTTTGATTTCGTTTGAAAGAAACACGAGGTTCGGCTTTCTTTTTTTCTTGTCAAATACTATTTCAGTTTCTCTGTATTCTTTAAGTTTTCATTCTAAGTCCACTATATTATGTTTTTTTACTGAGCCATTTCCTTTGCAGATTTCTAATGTTTCAAAAATTTCTTGGTTTTTAATGGCTTCTAATGCCTCTGAAATTTTTCCTGATCTATATAAGGCTAAAGCTCTAACTTTGAAAAACTCGCTTGGAGGACTTCCATTGATATTTCTAAGTGCAATATTCATACATTCTATAGCATCTGCATATTGTTGAATATAAATTTGTGACAGAGCTTTATTAAAATACGCTATAAATAATCCTGAATTAGCTTTAATAGCTTGATCAAATGCCCCAATAGCTTCTGTAATTAACCCAAGCTTTAAAAAGCAGACACCTAAATTAATAGAAACTGAAGCATTTTGCCCACTATTTGTCAAAATCTTTATATAGACTTTTGCTGCTTCAAAAAAATTGCCTTTCTTTCTTAAATTTATAGCACTTAAAAATTTATCGTTGAATTTTTCATCTTCTCATTCATCCATTTCCTCTGCAGAAATTTCTTTAGGACATAGCAAAATTGAGCTACTCAACGAAGGCAGTTTTTGGGCACTATTTTCATCAGAACTAGGTGCCTTGCTTTCTTTAGCTTTCAAATTTTTTTGTGGAGATAAATATTGGTAGTTACAAGGAGAAACACTTCGCGTATTTGTAATGGTCGTAGATATTTGGGAATAAGTAGGAGAAAGCCGTGAAGAATAAATTCGATGGCGAAGTTTGGATTTTGTAGTGAGCATTTAATAAAAAAATGATCATATTTGAGAGAATTAGTCGATCTTTAGGGGAATATTTATGGAATAATTAATTATAAATTATTAGTCATGTCATCCAAATTCGGTGATTTTGCTATGGATGTTTTGAGCAGATACAGTTTGGCTACAAACTTCTGAAGCACCCAAGGGAAGATTTTGGCTCAGCTGAAGCAAGAAAACAAAGAGCTGCTGAATCAAAAAGCTCTTACTAATAAAAAAGATGACAAAATTCAGGAAGCCAGTGAAATTGATGACTATCTTGCAAAACTGGACTCAGAAATTAAATTTAGACGAAAAAATGATAGAAAAGATTTTGTTGGGAATTTAGACTTAAAGCTGAGGTTCTTAATTGAGCATAGTTTTCGGTGTCTAAAAGAAATAAGAAATAAGATCCCAAATAATATTTTTAAGCGGAATTCCAATGCCTTAAAACAGATAGAAGAAAAAGTTAATAGTCTTGAGCTGCTTGATACATCAGAAAAAATTGATTTGCTTGAGAAATGTGAAATCTTGAAGCTTTGCTTATTAAGGGAATTAAATTATCCGTGAAAAGTGGTAAGCAATTTAAAAGAAGCTGCAATTGAAGGCACCTGGAATCTTATTGAGATTTCTAATCAAATAGAAAATCTTGAAAACAGTGATATTGCCAAAGCTATAAGTGAAAAATCAGAAATTTTAGCCACAAATAATGCAGAAAAAATATCAGAATTTTTGGTGAAAGTTGAGAAGTTAAAATCAGAAGCATTAAAATTAGGGGAAATTTCGCATGTAAATGATGATAGGACGCTAACAGATCTTAGAAGAATTACTGAAAAAACACAAGACTCCTTGTCTTCTCTTGTAGGCTCAGACGATGAAGAAGTGCATAGGCTTTCTTCAACTTTTGTCAAATTAAATGATGATTCTGAAGAAATACTAAATTTCCATGAGGCCCAAATTAATAAATTAGTACTGGAAGCTAAAAACTTTAAAAATTCAGCTGAAAATGTCGAAATAACTAAAAGCAAGTTTTTATCAAAAATCCAGCAGCATTTATGCAATAGCATGCAATCTCTTCAATCATTATCATCTATAACCTATCAAGACCCGAGCTTAAATACAATGGAAAAAGAAATATCAAGAGGAAGCTTTAAATCTTTATTCAAGCTTGGAAAGCTGCAAGAAAGCATTCGAAGAGGCATGATCAGCTCTTTACCTGAATACGGCATCGATATGAAAAGCTTATCAAATTTGCTGAAAATGCTTAAAAGCATGCACAGAAGTGTGCTTGAAATGAGCAATCGGCTGAAAATAAAAAACGAAGAATTACTAGAAAAAATTGAGGACTTGAATGAAGGATATGAATCCACAACTCTAAAATATGAAGAAGTTGCTGCTGCAGAAAAAAAGTACAAATTAGTCTACGTGCAAGCATTTCAAAAAACATTAGGAGAATCCTGGGGAAAACACCTAGAAATTATTGATGCCCTTATCCGTTATATTCCATATATGGACCACTCTATTGGAGACCTGCTCTCTTTTGGAAGCTTAGTAAAAGAGTCTGAATCCACGTTAAGGATGCTTATGGAATTATTCACTCCGAAAAATAAAAAATTATTCGGAAAACTTGAGCAGCTTCTCAATAAAAAAGTAGAAATTGACGCAAATTTATTCAAAATTAATGAAGCTGACATGCTTGCAAGTCAATGAAAAACAATTGAAAACTATTTTACAAGCTCCCGGGATCTTATATTTGAAGAAGAGATGCTGAAGCAGGAACTTATCAAATTTTCGGAACCTTGCAAAGAGAAACTTTATAATTAAATATGTGCTTTAGGATGCATGGCTGAGTCACCATATTTAATTATATTGAGCAGGTGTTGCTAGCCAGAAATGCACAGCAATGATAGGCAGCAATTCGGCAGCGTGCGAAATCTAGCCTAAGTCCTTTCAGGATTGGATTTTACTTCGCAAGGCTTGGAGTTGGAAAGAGAAGCCCTGCAGCGCCTATTGAGCCATCGGTTATCTTTTCGGTGTGTAACCACGAGTTACGCCCTGGGCTTCAAGTTGACCTTTTTTGCTGAGAATTCCATTTTTTGAAATTTTTGAGCTGGCACCTCATGCTCAGACCCAAAGAGCTGGAAGGACAGGAGCAGTTCAAAGGTGAAGCTGAGGTGGTGTTTGGCGCAGAGGTGGATCGGGAACCCTGAAGCAGAGTGCAAGTAATGTGGTCGTGGACGCTAAACGAGAACCTAGTAGCGATTAATTTAGTGTGTGTGCAAAGAGAAATTTGAGCTTATGGAATCGCTGAAAAAAACTTATGAAGAAAGCTTAACTCTAGTAATTGAAGTAAAAACTGTTCAAATTCAAAGTGGGGTTAATTTTATTCTATAAACTAGCAATAGAACTTTTAAATTTTATATAAAAATAGCGCTCTAATTGTGCTTTGCATTTAAGATATATAAAATATGGGCAAATTTTTTATTTTATATTGGATACTAAATTTATGTTTTAAGAAATTCCTTAATTTTCCAATAAATACTGCAAAACCTCTAAAATAATATTTTATCGGTAAGTTAGAACTTTCTAAAAGGGTATTAGAATTAGGTGATAGAATAGAAAAGGAACTTGTTGAATATATGAATTTCTGAAATTCATATAAATCGACTTCTCTGCCAGCCAATAATGGAGACTCGAATAGAAATTATCCAATACCAAGCCAATCTTCAGATCACCCATTAAGTCAGGGATCATATAAAGAAACACCATTAAGCGAATCATTAAAAAATTTTCATGGGCTTCAGTCAAGACTCTTAGACAACTTTGAGAGCCAAAATAAGATTTATGAGTCTGTTGTGCTTGCTCAAATAAGCTTACAAGAGTCGCCATTAATAGCTCAAAATCCTGAGCAGAACATGTTGCCGAAACGTAAGCTAGTAGGAGTTTCTAAAGATTTATGCTTTTTTATTAAAGGAAACTCAAAAGAAGCCCTCTTAAAATTAATTTCTCTTATTCACTCAAGTGAAACACTTAAGCCTCAAGGAAATCGTGCGCTAATAGTGAAAAGAGAGCCTTTAATAGTACAAGGAGTAAGCATTATATTGATGATTTTAGAATCAATTCAAGGCGACTTATTAAGCACTTTTGAGTCAAAAATTAATTTCATACAGAAAGGAGAAATTAAAGAAAATGCATTAAAAATCATAGAATTTATAAAACAATTGAAACTCAGCCCAGGGGAAGAGCCATTTATTAAAATATTGAATAACATTTTCCAATGAAAAGAAAAAATTCAAGGAGAGTTTATGGCTTTATTTAGCAAACTTTTGGATGCAAATTTAGAGGTTAAGGAAGAAATAATTATTGAAGAAATACAGCCACAGACAAAAATTCCAGCACATAAAAAAGCACAGAAAGTAAGGTCAAGAAAGCGGCCTGATAAAGAAAGTGATATGCAGGACCAGTCGCAACAAAGTGAGGCAAAACCGATAGAAAAGCCTAAAACCTCTTTGATTCCAGAAATTGAAGAAGGGGTTAAAAGCTTATATAAGGATTGCTATGCAATTTTAAATATTATTAATCCTGGCTTTGAAGGAGAAAGCTTCAATAAAAGCATTAAAGCTGATTCTGACTCCCCCCCCTTTTAAATTGGAACAAAAAATAGGTAAAATTCCTACTTTTTTGGGAAATTACCCCCCCCTTTAAATTGAAACAAAATTTTATTATAATAGAAAATTTTATGGGTAAAAATCATTATTTTATATGTAAATACGTTAATACCCTATTTAATATGCTTCAAACATATAAGATTTAGAAATTAAACTCTATTTTGTCCAATTGTTATGGGGAGAGTTAGAAGAATACCATTTCAGCAAGTTTACACTTTGAGATTGAGAAATTTATGAATTAATTTTTCATGAAATTAAAAATTAAAAATCAAACACAGAATGAACCATAAAATTTTATCCCTGAAAAAATTTTTATATATAAATTTTTTTTATAAAAAAATTTTCTTAACCCCCTTTAAATTGAAACAAAAAATTTTTTGTTTCAATTTAAAGGGGGGGGAGTGAGGAAGAAGAGCGATTCCAAACAATTTTAAATAATATAAAATCTTCTGGACGCCTATTAGACACCATCAAAAATTTATCAAAAGACGTATATGATTCTAATTCCTCATATCAAGACTTAAAGAGCCAGCTGAATAAATTAGAAAAGCTAAAAGAAGATTTGACTGAGTCACAAAAAGCATTAGAAGACAAAGATTTTTCGATAAAATCCTTAAGGGAAGATCTTACTGAGTCCCAAAAAGCATTGCAAGGCAAAGATTCTTCAATAAAATCCTTAAAAGAAGATCTTACTGAATTCCAAAAAGCATTAGAAGACAAAGATTCTTCAATAAAATCCTTAAAAGAAGATCTTACTGAATCCCAAAAAGCATTACAAGGCAAAGATTCTTCAATAAAATCCTTAAAAGAAGATCTGGCTGAATCCCAAAAAGTATTACAAAGCAAAGAGTCTTCAATACAATCCTTAAAAGAGTCTTTCTCAGCACTTGAAAAAGAAAATAAAAACTGAATTGAAATGTACACAAGTCTAAATAAAATAATAAATGAGAGAGAAGAAGAATGAAGCCAAGAAAAATCTAAATTTGAGCAAATCAGCCTAAGCCAAAATGAAACAATCATTAGCCTAGACAAAGAAATTACTAACTTAAACAAAAAAATAGAAAAACAAGCTGAAGAACTATCAATATTAGAAGAAGAAAATCAAAAATTAAATGAAGAGCTGTCTAGGCTTGAAGGTTTAAGAAACAAAGAAGACACTTCAGAAACTGAAGAAATCGTCCTACACCAAGAAGAAGTGTTCCGGATTACAGAGTCCATAAATATTTTAGACAATGAAATAGTGACATTAGAAGACGAAATTGAAAATAGGGACTCGCTGATCCAAGAACAAAGCGAAACTATCCAAAGCCACAAAGCAGAAAGAATTAGCTTTGACGAAGCAATTTCCACACAAGCTGAAACAATCACACAGCTAAATGATGAAATATACAACCTTAAAGAAGTCATCCAAAAACAAGAAGAAATCATTTCAATTCATGAAGAAGAAAACGACGAGCTAAAAGCAATTATCCAGAAAAAAGATGAAGAAAATGCAATAATTAATTCGTCACTCACAAAATTGAATGAAGATTTTAATCAAGCAAGAAAAGAATGAAAAATCTATGAGGATTCAGCTAAAGATTTAGAGCTGAAATTGCAGATTGCGACGACTAATCTTAGTTTAGAAGCAATGGAGGCTAGGAGGCTTAAAGATGATATTAGCTCCTTGAAAATTAAAATTGCAAGTGATGAAAACCTTCAGCCAATTCTGCAGATTAAAGAGGAACAGATAGAAGATTTGAATATGCAGCTCAGCAACTTGCAGAATTGCCAGAAGCTGCTTGATGAAGCCAGAAATGAGCTGTGGACGAGAAATAGGCAGCTCGAAATTGATAATGAAAATTTGAATAGAGAGAAAAGTGAGCTTAAGCTGCAGGTGAAAATATTCAAGAATGATCGGAATGAAGCAGAAAGTGATCGAAAAGTGCAAAATTTGGAGAGAGGGCCTTATTCAGAAGAAAGCTCACAAGATATTGAGACTCTTAACAGCAAACTTAATGAAGAATCTGAAATTATAAGCAACTTAGAAACGCAGATTTCTGGTCTACTACAGAAAGAAAGTGAGTATAAAACTTCGATAAGAAACCTATTCCTCAGAATTTTAAGAATAAGGGCTCTTTATCGTTCACGGTTCATTATATTTAGAAGATTTAATCAGTGGCAGGACTATGCCATCTCTTCTGATATAATTCTAGATCAATTCAGCCCTGAAGTTCCTTCGTTAACTCTTACTGATCCTGAAGTATCTGCTATTCAAATATCAAAAAATTACAGAGAGTCAAATACAATAGATGCCAATGAAGAAATAGCAGCCAAAAGTGCTAATTCACCTTCTGGAAATCTTATATAAGAAGAGCGAAGTCAATTCGATAACACAAATATATAAAATAATAGAAAAAATTAGAGTATAAATACCCAAATCTATAATTATGCATGGAGTGATAGCAGAATTTTAAGTTTTATATGAATTTTCAAAATTTATAATAATACTGCTTTTTACCTATTTTATGGCTTGCTATATAAAGAGTATGCAGTTGGGCAGGATTGCTCCCTAAATCAGTACTGTAAACTAACCGAGTATCCATATCAGTTTCTAGTGTCTACACATATAATCTTTCAAGCATTTCAGATTTAACACAAATTAATAATTATTTTTACTCAATATCTAAAATGTAGTCAATATTGTCAGTTTAAAAATAACTATCTTATAAATGGACAAACCTCAAATTTTATTGACAGAAAAATCTCCGTTAATCCCAGCAAAGCCATCAGCTTTTGACAGTCTCCGTGCTTATTCTAGCTCGTTCCGTGAGCTTATGAAATCCCCGAAAGACTTATACTCATTTATAGAAAAAAAATATCCTAATTAATTGGACATTTAAAATTTTTTATATTTATTATAAATAAAAATATGATACTTATATGCTTTTGAATTAACTGCATATTGTGCAGCAACGATGATTGTATTAAGCATGTCAATTTACTTCACTGAGGTACTTGATTTTTATACATTAAAAATGGCTTGGTAAGACAATCTGCCCTCTTAATACCTGTAGTTAGTAGGCTCATTGAGAAAGCTGGGACCTTGTAGAAGGAAGGACAGCGTTTGGAAATGTGTATTCGTCAAGATTCTACTTGGTTTGGCGGAGCGCAATGTTGGGCTTAGCCAATCGCATGCTCACATCCAGGTCAAGGATTTAGCCCTTTGGGAAATGGTTCGTTGGAGTTGGAAAAAGCCAATCGGTTAAATTCTTAGCGCGATACCAGGCCCATATCCTGGGTTACTGTTCCATTTTGATCAACAGCGCAGCCAAAAAAAATTCTTCTGGAGGTGAACCCCATTGGCATTCAGCAAAGTGATCCAGCGTCTCTGACTCTCCGGCAGCGAGTGTAAGCAAGCTGTGGGAGCGTTATGCGGAGTCAATTAGGGTTTCTCTATAAGTGATTTAAGTTTAAGTTTAAAGAGGTCCTAGATTTCAGCGATCTAGATGCTGGATTTCTAATTGCCGGCTTCGGAGTGTCAGGCGTTTTTGTATCTATAGGACTCGGACATTACATTGACCGATACGGGATCAAAAAATCTTTACTTTTGGCAAATTCCTTCGGAATTCTCAATTTTGCTTTGCTATTTATATTTGAAAACCGATATGCTCAAGTTTTCATTATTTATACTTTCTGCTCTATTGCTCTCTCTCTGCAGCTCCCAACGGCAAAATTGGCTGTCAAAAAATACACTGTGGAGTCAGTTAGAAGTTTAGGATACTCAATTTTTTATATGGCGATTTTTACAGGTGCTGCTTTGAGCGGAGCTACAGTTGATTTTATATTATCTCTAGGAGATACCAATGTGGCGACATTTAAGTGGGTATTTGTAGTAGGATTTTTTGAGTATGTTATCGCTGCAATTATAGCCCTGAAATTAAGAGAACTTGATTACGAGAATCACGGAGAAGAAGAAATTGATCTTTTACACAAATAAATAAAATGGCATTCGGTTCGAGAGAAATTAGCTTTGCTAATTTTCTCTCACTCATGGAATTTTATTTATGGGGTTAGGTTTTCACTCGCGAACTTCTGGACAGCAATGGCGGTTTAACTCTGGGGATAACCAGAGGAACTGCTCCCTCAGTCCTCTCAAGATTTCGGGCTTTTACCTCTCAGCACATCTCCACGGGAAGATGACCCTTAGGCGGAACACGCGCAGGAGCTGAGTCGAGACAAGGGCGACGGTATCGCGCCAGGTGAGACGTGCAGCAAGGCTGGTGAAGCAGGAGTTGATAGAAGGCTTGGCCAGGGCTGACCTGTTCCAAGATGGCTCGCCTACGTCACTAGTTTTGCCATAGGTCCTTTTTGGGCTGCGGCACTAGACACCTTAAACACCAGATAATTAAGTTAAGTTAAGTTTAAGATCTTTTACACAAAGAAGTAACTGGCTGGGAGCATACAAAAGAGTCCCTTTCATTAAAGAGTTTCTGGAGATTTTTCATTTTAACGCTACTATTAGTGATTGTAAAAGCAGTCTATAAACATGTTTTTGTAACTTTGCCGATTTTTATGTACAGAGAAATTGGAGAAGGCGCTCATTTTGGATATATGTTGGCAGTTCATAAAGTTTTTATATAACTAATTATAGTGAATATAAGCATTCCACTGAGATTGCTTTATATTATTTTCAAAATAGCAAACAGGAGGACTATCTTTATGGTTGCTTTTATTTATTTTAATTAGGGATATGATTATAGCAATCCCTTTATTTACCATGCTTATATATTATTTCAACTTTTATACCTTATTGGCGATTGGGAGCTTGTTTTCTGCAATAGCTTTTATCCCTCTTATGATAGCGGCAAGCTATGGAAGTGTTTTGTTTTTCATTTTCCTTGTCTCATTAGGAGAAGCAATATACGCCCCAAGGCTTATTGATTATACGTTGCAAGTAGCGCCAAAAGGAAGAGAAGGGGTTTTCTTAGCTGTTGCAGCCTCCCCGTTAATTTTAAGTGTTATTGTAGCTGGCCTTGTAGCAGGGATTCTGCTTGATAGCTATTGTCCTGATGATGGAGAAAGAGAATGCTGGAAAATGTGGGCTTGGATCTCTGGGATGACTGCACTTATGCCAATCTTAATGATCGTGTTTAGAAAATATCTAGAGCAGCCAGAGCATGAAGATAACCCTTATATGCCATGTGCAAAAAAATCAAAGGAAAATTAAAATAATTAAGGATCAAATTAAATTACTGTTTGCCAGACAAAAAGCTTGTAAACTTGTCTAACAGAGAAAAATCAGTGTCAAATCTTTCTGTGGATTCTATTGGAATTTTTTGTTTTGATTTATTTTCAATCCCAAGCATTTCTTTTTCTTCATTAGTCAGTAGAAATTACGCCTTCCATGATGGCGAAGGCCGCAGTCCGACAGAAAAACAGGAAGTTCCGAAATTCGGGGTCACTTAACAAAATGGTGACCCCGAAGGGCCACGGAGTCGGATGGGGGTGTGGTTTCCGGGGTGGGAGCAGGCTTGGGCTAACTGGGCCTCTCCTCGACCCACAGACGAAAGACCGACGGCGCAATGCCAAGCAGGTACTTCTGGAGGAGCATTATATTGCCTATAAATGGCAGAGGTAGTTCCAGGAGGAGGCATCGGACGTTTCCCTCATACCCTGAGCACTAACAGGGGTTAAGAGAGTCTTTGCTGAAGTTTTTTGGTCCAAGCAGGTTCGGGTGAGTCTCCCCGAAAGATGTCGACGTCACCATTTTTGATGACGTCATCAGAAAAGGGCGTTAGCTGGGATTAGTGCTTAACGCCACTGGAGCGCGAAGCTATTCCGTGTAAGGGTAGGGGCTGGAATAATCCCCTGGGGCCCCCTATAATCTATCTCTCTCTCATTAGTCAGTTGCAGTATCCCAACTAAGCTTGCCAGCATATCTTTTCTCGCTTGAAAATCTCCAATATTTCTATTAAATGAAGATAAAAACTGTATAAAAAAGGCTCGACTAATTCTATCATCATCAAGTTTTTTTTCATCCTCCCATTTCAATTTTAGGTCAGAAACGTCGTTTCTTATTCTATTATAAGGATAATAAGCATTGCTATAGGCTAACTTTTTTATTTATTATATAATAATAGATAATGACTAAGAGAAGGAATGATTATACTTATTATTAATAAGTATTGTAATTGCCCGAGGATGGCGCTATCTTGCGCCATCTTCGGGCAATTTAAAAATGGCCCCACACCGGAATCGAACCCACGTGTGGGGCCATTTTTGGTGCGTGGAAGTCGATGTTCTCCACTAACCAAAAATGGCCCCACACGTGGGTTCAATTCCCGGTGTGGGGCCATTTTTGAATTGCCCGAGGATGGCGCAAGATAGCGCCATCCTCGGGCAATTACTATATAGATCATCATTTGTTTTTTTAAGCTTGGCAATTGTATCTTCATAAAGGTCGATTTTTTCTTTTAGCTTACTTTTTTCTTCAACGAGCTTTTCTATACTTGCATTTGTGGAGGAAGAAGATTCTAGCTCACGAAATGCTTTGTTTTTAGCTCGAGTGAGCTCTTGGATTTGGCTTTCATAGTGCTGGGACTGTCATTCCATTTCTCGGTCTTTGCTTGATAAAGCGATGTCTTGAGAACAGATGATTTCTGTCAAACTTTGTTTTTCAGACTCTCATAAGGATTTTTCTTCTTCGAATGCCTTTTTTAAGTCTTCATGCTGTTTTATGAACTTGGATTTTTCTAACTTATCCCTCAAAATATTTTGCCTCTAAATTCTATATATCTTAAAAATTATTTTTTCCAAAAAATTCAAATTGATTAAGTTTTCGTATTAGAATGAAAACCGTTTAAAATTAGTTGGAAATATAATAATTATTTACGTAAAAAATATAGCATTATAAAAATAATTTATTTTTTTAACTTTGCTTGGGCTCATTATGGAGAGAAGTAAAAGTGCTTTTTCGAGTTGCTGCTCAGCATGAATGGCTCGAAACTTATAAGGGTTTTCGATATCTGTGTCTGCGACGTGTTCTTCTTCAACTGTAATTGGGGGTTCTGATATAACATCTCCACTAGTGACATCAACTATGTGCTCTCTGATGTCACGAGCAGCTTCTATAGCTTCTGTAGCAATACTCTTAAAGTTTTTCCACATAATTTATATTTCTTAATTCTCATAAAAGTAATATTCTATTAGTTTGAGACCTTATATTTTATTGATTAATTTTAATATATCAAAAGTAGCGCAAACAAATTCTTTTGTTGACCTCTGAGTAATTGTCGAAAAAGAGATTAAATTAATATAAAAAATAATGAGGAGGATTGAACTTCTAGATAGACATCTCTCAGCCCAGCCTCTTTTCTGGACTCTCAAAAATACAGACATCAAAGAGTTCAAAACCGTTGGAAACCTCAAAGGCAAGACCATTGTCATTTCTGGAGCTTCTAGAGGAATTGGTCTAGCAATTGCCAAAAAAGCTGCTAGAGACGGAGCAAATATAGCAATCCTCGCTAAGACTGCTGAGCCTCACAAGAAATTAGAAGGAACCATCTATTCAGCAGCAAAAGAAATAGAAGAAGCAGGCGGAAGAGCTCTCCCTATAAAATGCGATATAAGATTTGAAGACCAAGTAAAATCTGCAGTTGAGCAAACAGTTGCTACCTTTGGCGGAATCGACATTCTCATCAACAATGCTTCCTATATTTCTCTCACTCCTACATTGGACACAACCATAAAATCTTTTGATTTAATCAACCAAATCATTGCAAGAGGCACCTTCATGCTTTCCAAATATTGTATCCCACATTTGTTGAAGGCACAGAACCCTCATATTTTGATCATGTGGTTCTTTGGAATAAACAAAATAATTTTTTCAATAATTTTTTGGGATAATATTAAAAAAATTTGATCATTTCAGCACCACTTAATATGGATCCAAAATGGTTTGCGCCACATTTGGCATATACGATATCGAAGTTTCAAATGAGCTTATGCACGCTAGGGCTAAGTGAAGAATGGAAAGGACAAATTGGAGTAAATTCGCTATGGCCGAGAACTGCAGTGGCTACTGCTGCTATAAAGCATGCATTGGGTGGAGAGCCTATGATGCAAAGAAGCAGAAAAGTTGACATAATGGCTGATGCTGCCTATATAATTATGACGAGCTGCAATAAACAAACGAATGGAAATTTCTTTATTGATGATGAGGTTGTTGGGCCTCACGATCTAAAGAAATACAATGTGAACCCTAATATCCCACTCGAAGAGCTTATGCCTGACTTTTTCATTAATTAATGAAAGGTTCTTATTCCCCCAGTCCTTGATTGAACGTTTTGCTGAAATTTTTAAAAAAAGGGAAAATTAGTTCCTATCATGACTGAACGATTTTTAGATTTGATTAGATTAACAATGGGTATTTAAATTCCCTAATCCTAAAGCGCCATGCATTCAGCGGCAAATGCCGATGGTCCCTCAAGGCAGCATGAACCCTGACAGTCTTGTCTAGCATGTCTTCCCCTTTTGATCTGTGCCATCTTTGAGGAAATTAGTGTGCTTGCATAGGTTCAGAACAGGCCACAAAGCAGCCTAGGCAGGCAATCGCCCTGCCTCGATCAGAAAACCAGCCTGGCCTGGGCGCTGTTTGTAAAAAAGATGCAAAAAACTTCTGCTCAAGCCAGGCAATTAATCAGCAGAAATAGTACTGAGCCTCTAGCTTCCAGGCTACCCAACCAGTAGGCAGCTCCTTGAACCAAAAAAACACTTTCAGCTATATATAAGGACATTGCCACAGAGATGGCAGGTTGTTCGTTAAACGGCCATTTTATGTATATACCGAACAATTTTAATGGAAAAAAATGAAGCCCACTCCCTTTAGTTTATGAAACATTTTTAGATAAGAAATAAAATAGCGATCTAAAAAATCTGATTGAAAATGACAGAGCTATTTTATGACAGCTCCATGTTTAGCTGAAACAGAATCGATAGATAAAATTTGTCAAATTTTATTTGTGACTATCAGGAAAAATGGTGTTTAATATTATCATTTTTACTTGCCAGATTGCTAATTTATCACTTATGGTTTTGTTTCTGAGAAATATAATCGATTCTCGAGCAATAGCTCCTCAAATTTACTATCTGTATTTGATCGTAAATTTCTAAGATATGATACTGTATTATCTTAACTTATATTTATTAGAAGCCTCTGTAATTCCCTAAGGACTTTCTCCACTCATAATACCCCCCCTTCACCTGCTCACCGATTTATGCACTACTTCGCAAAAATACTCCTGCCGGGCAAAGGCTTAAACTCGCTCTTACGAGTCAAGTTGCCATACCGTGCATTAAAAAAGGTTGACCACCATGAAAATTCAAAAGGTTGAATCTTGTGGTTGACTCTCTGCAATGCGGGAAGGCCACTTTCAAACTCTCGGGCTCATTCCCTTTGTGACAAATACCTGAATTTGGAGTAAGCTTGCGGCCAGCTAATCCCATTGTGCTTCACCGAACGTACATTCCGAGAGCCATAATTTCTTCCTCAAGGTCCCTGCGCACCCTTTGGAATGCCAGTACAGATGTTAAGAGGGTGTGATAGTTCGTCACATCATTTTAATGTATATAATACCATATAATCACTTCGACGCATATTCTAAAACGATTTCTAGCAGCTTGCTAATATGGTTCGATCCTAATGAAGGATTTAATAAAAAAAATATTTAGAATATGATAGATTTCTGCAATTCCAAATTTCCTATTTAATAAAAAAGATTACTATGGAAATTGCTTTGAAAAATATATGCTCTACAGCATTAGTCTTGCAATGAGCAAACGCTAGATAAATTCTATGTGATTGCCATTATTATGAGAAATAAGCTAATTGTTTACATTAAATTAATAGCTTTTTGAAAATAGCTTTCATTCTTCTTTGGGAGCTATGAATTCTTAGATATACTCAACTAAACAAAATAAATTTGATCAAACCAGAACACATCATAAAATCCTATGCCTTTAGCGTTTAAGATAAAAATTATCAGTAAATTAATTTGATATTTCCCAAAATAAGCGTCAATTAGGCTCAAAACTGCATTTCTTTACTGCAAATCTGAGGATTACTTAAAGGCTTTCAATCCCATTTTCTTCTGTTTTCTCAAAAGTTATTTCGCAATCTGACAGTGAAATTCTTGGCATTACTGGCTCAGAGTTATATTTCTGGTTACTATTTCTTGGCGTTTCGTCCTCTAAAGGTGAAAATTGCACTCTCTCTTTTAGTGACGCCACAAATAGATTTGTCATATTAAGTTTGCTGAAGTCAAAGTTCTGAGGATTTAAATATGGTTTAAGCATAGAGTTGGAGACTATTGAGTATTGAGGCAACCCAGTTTCATTTCCCATAGGAGAGCGCAGTTTTGACTCATCAAAATTTATCCCAACTCGATTGGCAAGCCTCCTCCTAATTTCTTTGATTTTTTCAAAAATACATCTCAACCACACATCTCCTGCCTTGATACACCAAAATATAATAAAATAAGAATTTGCTGCAACTATAATAATAAAAAATAAAAATTGTGTAGAGGAGTCTAGCGAGCCTGTCAAATAATACATCCCACAGTACATTGTTAAGGCAGAGACAGCAATTGAGGTCATTTCTAGTCTGTTTAGAGATTCTCCGTTATATGGCTTAATAACAAATTGAAGATATAGGCAGAACAAAAGGAAAAAAATAGTAGTCAAGGCCTGAATATGGACAGAAATAGTAGATAAAAAAACAGAGCAGCAGATAATGATAATTTTTCGATAAATAATTACGAATTCTCAATAGTAGCTTCTAGTCTTGTAGCCATTAAGCAGAAAGCCATATACCAGCTTAACCTCAAGGCTTTGCAGTCTCTGACGGTTTTTTCAAATTTTTATCAGGCAAAATGTTGGGATGCCTATTCCTCACAAAAGAATCGAAGGGAGAGACACAAAAGTAATATGAAACACATGCTTCTTATCCCAGCACCTAATTTCCATATCATCCGCAAGTCAAAACTCTCCTGCATTAATTTCATTGCATTCATAAGAGCTGAAATAGAATCGAATAAGCGGCGGATGCACCAGAAATAAAATGATAATTGTGGTTGAAATAGCATTACTAAAAAAATAGCGAAAATCTTTTTTTATTCAACAAATTATAAGCCAAAGCACCAAAGCACAAATAGGAATGCATATAGGCAAAATTGCTAATATCAGCAGTTTCTGATAATAAATATCAGTCCCTCCTAACAAATCTTTCCCATTACTCAAAAAACAGTCAAAAGAAAAAATTTGGTCGCTCACAAAGGTTGCATTATTTTGGACTGAAAACAGTCTTTTCACATAGTCAGGTCACGCAAAATTGAATGTAGTGGTCATAATGATAAGCTGAATATAATTGACAAAGATCTTGATATAGACTGAGAGCAGCGATCCTGGCTTGTAGACTGACCGCCTTGACACCTTAATAATAAATAAACAAAGGAGAAGAAAAGAAAACATAAGTGCTATTGTTATTCCTACATTTGCACCTAAAGGAGGACATTTAATACACTCGTTCTTGCTTTGTCTTGAATAGCCTCGATCGCAGCTTTGGCATAGGTTTCCTTTATATCCTTCAAGACAGTTGCCTGTGTAAGAAATATTGTAAGGGTCTGAGCCAATGCATGCATCTGGGTTTGGGCAGGACCAAAAATTGTCAGAAAACATACTGGATCTTCAGTACCCAGGCTTGGGGATCATAGTATAATTACCATAGCATATAGCTTGGTCTGGGCATAACAAGCACTCTTTATTATCTGGGCTTAAGCTATAGTACCCTTTTGGGCAGCTAAAACAGGTGTTTCCAACAGTAGCTTCCCCTATAATGCATTGTCTTAAAGTAACATTTATATGCTGGACAGTTTCATAGGTCAGCCCATCATTGGCTCACAGCTCTCTAGTAGTATCAATTCCTGTTGTGTGGACCTGTATAAGAAAATTAGACCCAGGAACGCCAGAAATAATGAAAAGCGTAAAATTGTAAATCCCTTCTTTGGCCGTGTTTTTTGTGTCGCCTGAAATTGTGACGCTTTCAAGATCATCAGCTACTAATTCAGCTTGGCTAAAATTATCAAGAGCTACAAATTCTCCGGAGTGGTCAATTAGCGCCATTATCAAAGGCTTCTCTATTGCTTGTCCAGGCGCAATGCCTTCAAGTGACGTTATAATTGTAAAATTCTCATACTTTATAGACTCTTGAACTGAAAGGTCTGAATTCAAAGCAACCAATTTGACTGCATATGAACCAATATTATCAGCATAAAATGCTTGGTTACCGGAAAACGAGTTATTTGAGAATCGAGGCATCTCGTCACTTCAGCTTATTGCTCCACCTCCATAGGTGGCTATGTTTTGAGTAAAGTTACTTGAAGAAACACTGCAGTTACAAAGCGGGATTGAAGGACACTCGAAATACAGTGCACCTCCTAGTCCTGTTGTTGGGGTGCTGATAGGGTATTCAGAACTCGTGGCTGCATAGTTCCCTATAAAGAGAGAGTCAGTAATATCTGCATTTAAGCTATTCATAAGAATTGCTCCACCATTGTTTGCTAAATTGTTGATAAATTTCGAGTTTGTAATAATATTTGTTGCATAATCAGCTAAAAGTAAAAATAGTGCTCCTCCTCCGCCCATTGAAAAATTATTGTCAAAAGTGCAGCTGCTTATCAACAAGTATCGGCTTCTTGTATACCCAATGGCTCCACCAAATATTCCCATTCCATTAGTAAACGAAGTCTCTGTAACCACGAGAGCATCCATATTATCCCCCAATATAGCTGTATAGGAACAGTTATCAAATGCAGAGTGGTCAATATAAATCTCACACCCAAGCGCATCAATAGCAGCTCCAGAAAAATAGCTATGCACATCTCAAAATTTGCTTTTCGAGATATACAGTTTTGTAGATGAAGATGCCATTATTGCATTTCCTGCAGATGAAGTCAAGTTTGTGAAGGTGCAGTTCTTTATATAAAGAGAGCTTGCAATACAAAATATAGCGCCACCTGAGATTGTACTTTGAGAATCTTCAAAACTTGAGTTTTCAACTGTCAAATTGCTTTCGGCAGTCACATAGATAAAGCTCCCTGATAGGCTTTTGTGGTCATGGAATTTTGAATTGGAAATATAGCCTTGGGAAAGCGCAAAGTAAAGCCCAGGTGTTGTTTGGCCTGCTAAGTTGCTATAAAAGTCACAATTTATTATTTCAATGGTGGACTCGAGAAGGGAAATAAGGCTCTCATCCCCTGCATAATTATTATAAAAAACTGAATTTGTGATTTTGCTCGCCCTTTCAGTTGCCCCTATTTCGTAAATGGATGAGCCTTTGTCTCCACAAGCATTATTTGAAAAAATGGAGTTTGATATCGAAAACTCTGCAGATTGGTCCATAAAGAGCACCCCACCAGAGTTCTGGGCAGTATTCCCATCAAAAATGCAGTTATCACAAATAAAAAAAGACTCGCCTTCAGCTTTGAGAACTCCTCCATTTATAGCTGAGCCTCCTTTGGCTCTGGATATGCCGACCTCTTCCAAAGTTAACTAGAGAGATGTATATAACCATTTGTTGGTTAATGCGAAATCCGCTTGCTGGGAAGTTAGTTCTACCAATAAATGTTGCTTTCCAACTCCCGGCTGGCATCGGAAGATGTCGGCATAGCCCTAGACAAAGGAGGCTCAGGCTATATGCTTGTATTATTATAGAACTTGGTCATAGAGCATTCAGCTGTTGAATTTGTATTTATATATGCAGCCCCTCCTGGGTATAAATAAGAATCCCTAATTGTTGAGTTATAATCTTTTCAGTACTCAAATAGCATATATACCGCAGGACCTGAGTTTTGGGTTAAAATACAAGAAGCAGTCTCAAAATAAGAAAAAATCGTAATGTCGTCCCCCACAATGACTCCCAGACCTTGGTTATTTTCAAAATAGCTTGCAAACAAAATGACCCGCGAAAGCAAAGCATTAGTTTCGCTGCCATGGACTGAGTATACAGCAGACCCCATCTTTGCAAAATTAGAGGCAAATAAGCAGTCAGAAATATTTAAAACACCAAATTGAAAATAAATTGCAATTGTTCCCTTTACTGAAGCAGCATTATTTGTAAAATTAGAAAATTGAATTGTAGAAATATAAGTAAGCGCTACATTATTTTCTATATATACAGCAGAGCCTATTGGTGCAGAGTTGTTGTTGAATAAAGTATTTAAGATCGACAATCCAGTTGTTGACTGCTTTTGAGACTGGCTGGATATGTAGACCGCCCCTCCTTTTAAAGTCAAACTTTTATTTTTTTCAAATTTCGAATTCTTGATTCTTATCATTGAGCTATTCACCCCTGAATAAGCCGCATAATGGACAGTCCCAAGTCCTGAATAAGCTGTATTTGACTGAAAACTGACATTGGAAATTGACAAAGTCCAGCCTTCAAAATAGATAGCTGAGCCATAATTAGCAGAATTTCTTGCTATGACTGTGTCAGTAATCGTCAAATTCTGAGCACTCCCCGTAGCACTAATAACCCCGTATCCTTGCGAATTGAGATTAATATTATAATAAAATTCGGAATTCGATACCCTCATTTTATTAGTCCCAGTGAACTCGATGCATATCCCTAGTGACGAGTTTCCTGAATTTCTCTCAAAAATGCATTCTGTTATATTAACGTTTTGAGTATTAATGTAAATCATTGATGGGCTCGAGTACAAACAGGAGTTGCTTTTAAAGCGGCTGCCTGATATCCTGTAATTATAGCAAGATGAGGCTGACGACAATGAGTTGCAGTTTAAAATTGGCAGACCTCAAATTGGAGATTTTGAGTATATTGTAGGGTCAGCAGCGTAATTATTTCAGAAAATGGTATTGACATCTTGAGGGGTGCTGCTTCTACCATTACAATTTGCAGTTATATTGTAAAAATATACATTTGCCAGCTTGTTTATGCTATAGATTCCTGTTGTGCCAGAAAATGTGGAGTTTATGATAGAGTTTCTGAAAATAAAATCCCTTTTCTTCATTTTGGCCTGAATTATGCTTCCGTCAGCCAAAGCAATATTTTCAACTGTGTTGTTAACATATAGGTAATTGAAAATCGAGTTATTTATATAAATTAGTGGCCCATTTTGTATTCCATTAGTAGTGGCGACTATATTTTCTAGTAAAATCCTTTGAAGCTGTGATTCAAAAGCGATATTCAAAATCCCTGCATTCACGCCACAGTTTGAAATAAAAACGGTGTCATATATCCAGATATGGTAAAACAGCAAATCAATCAGCTCATTTTGATCGTTTATATCTGGCCTAAATGTAAGCTTTGTTGGCTGCAAAGTAATTAGGGCGTTTGCAGCCGAATTTTGGATAAAACTGCAAGATATGGCCTCAAAGTATCTATATGCCGATAATTTGATCAGGGAGCCGCTTATCTGCCAATTATAGCCTCAGGAAAGCACAATATTATTTTTAAAATTGACTCTTGTTAAGCTTGCAGTTTTTATTTTGTCTGCACTTAGGAACCCAGAAAACTGAGCACTTGAGGAGAATTCAAAACCGTTATTTAGCCTAACAACAGACCCATTTTTCCAGGTAAAACTTCCACAGTTATAATAACTGTCTCCGCAGTCAAGAAAATAGACCACCGACGCATTTACTTGGGATCATTGAAAAGAAGGTGCAACGTTTATATTGTCAAAATTTACACTGAGAAAATTGATATCTCCACCATTGCTTGTTATAAGAGAATTAAATTCCATTCTCCAATCAGTGAAATTTACGAATTTTAAGTTCAATGTGGAACCTTGATTGAGGTAAAATAGATTTTTTGAATGGAAGCTACCACAAAATGACTTAGGCAAATATGAAGTAGCTAGAGCTCCTTGGTCTGTATAAAAATTCCCATCTGAAGATTGGGTTATATTGGGGCAGTATGAACAGTAAACGTCATCAGTGCAAGAAGAAAGCAAGGTTTTTCCGCTGAGAACTACATTTTCTATAGAGAAAACAGCGTCATTTGTAAGTGTGAACATTAATATGCTGTAATCAGGCTTTGTTTGCAAGAAAACTGGAGAGCCGTTATATGATTTAATTGAGAGACTTTTGAGCTGGAAATTTCTCAGTAAAGGATTACATAAATCAGATAGTAAGGTCGATATAGGGTATGAAGGATCAACACAGGCCAATCAGTGTACTCCGCCGTTTAATAGGTATATAATTGAGTATTTTGTGTTTATTGTAGCAAGCGCAATTGAGAGCGAAGAAAAGGGACTTTCAAGCGTTCCTTTACCACCATTTGTGTCACTGTTGCCTTGCGAAGTCACATAGTAAGCAGTTTGATTATAAAAATTAGAACTATCCTTCTCAATTAAGCAAACAGGATAATTGTCTAAAAGATCAATAGAATAATACCCAGCAGGACAAGCATCAAGGCAGTACCCATAAAATTGGAGCTTTGTAGAGTTGCATTGAAAACAGCTTCCAGCATCAGATGAAAAGCACGATAAACAGTTCGAATCGTAGCAGCTGACTTGTGAGCATTTGCTTCACGAATAAATGCAGTTCTGATTATTGCAGTTAGTATGGCAGGCATCTTTATCCAAAGCTTCTTCAGCAAGACAGTTGCTGGAATCGGTGCAGTTTAAGAGAGATATGTCGGCATTTAAATCTTTAATAATAAGTCCATAGTGTAATGAGAATAAAATTAGATCATTGTCATTGCATTGCTGAGAGGGGCTGACTGTATCATATAAACAATCCGATTTCATGCAGCCTGGATTGCACAGTCCATACCCATCAGTGCTACAAGTATGAAAACAGCTACAGTCGCTCCCGTCATAGTTACAATCAGAAATATTGCACTCTTTATCACAAACTTTATTGTTAATCATCTCATTTCAGCAACCTGATGCACAGTCTCCACACTCCCCAAAATCATAATTACAGTTTACTTCATTACATGCAGAGTCACAAACTCCATTACTTCTCATATAAGAGTGACAGCCAAAAGCGCAGTCACAGTCACTATTATCTCATCCACAAGCCAAGTTGTTGCAGGGTAGGGCGTGATTCCAACCACCATTGGCAGAAGTTCGAATCCATGGCCTCGAACATCCAACCATCAGGGATAGAAGAAGTACTGCTAAAAAAATAAATTTTTTCTATCCAAATTTAACATAAAAATATCAGAAAATTTTACATGCACTTTTTTGGATAGATTGGCAACAAAAAAAAGTGATTTTCCAATTTTTTATTTTTTTGTACACGGTTTTTACAACCAAATCAGAGCTTTATGAGGAGTCTTTCTAACCAAATGGTGACTTTTAGCAGTAAATCTATCCATTGGATGTATTGACCACAAAACCCAAAGTTGCTTTCCATCCATATAAAAAGGCATATAAACATAAGTATCTATATAAATTTTCGTATTTTTATTCGCATTTGTATCATGCATTTTGAATTATGCATCTGGAAGAGGCACAGCTTTAATAGACCCATTCCGGATCGCTACTTCTTAGACCATCTTATACTGATTCTACACTATAAGAGTATCTTGAGTCGGTAAGTGCAGCATCATCATATCTGCGACACACCCTAAACAAAAACGTTCCCTATATTAAATTATCCTTATCCCCTTATCCTTATCAGCATGGCCTGCACTGACATAACCTGCATCTACATAGCCTGTATCGACATAGCCTGTATCGACATAACCTGTATCGACATAACTTGCATCGACATAACTTGTATTGACACAATTTGTATCGACATAACCTGTATCGACATAGCCTGTATCGACATAGCCTGTATAGACATAACTTGTATAGGCATAGCCTGTATAGGCATAGCCTGTATCGACATTAACCTGTATCGACATAACCTGTATCGACATAGCCTGTATCGACATTACCTTATCGATATAATCTGTATAGACATAACCAGTGTCGCACCTCAAGTCAGTGCTATTTAATGATAAAAAATTTAATTTAATAAAATGAAGATTTAATAAGCTTAGCGGCAACTGAATGCTCTATCTTGATCACAAGCATTCAAAGAAAAGCTTTAACAATCGAGCTAATAGATACAGCTGTTGGAAATCCAGAATATACAAGCCTAATAGCTCACATTCTTTCAATTAGCGACCAGCTAGCAAATAAATTCATTTCTTCATATGAACTTTGGCGGGAACAAGAGAGGCAAATCAAAGTTGAAGAGAGTGATGAAACTGATACAGAAGAAGAATCAGCTAACACAGAACCCCATTATTATTCAAGCACGATATTTACAAATCAATCAGAGATCACTACGGCTAATATAGAATTATTTAAAGATATAATAGCAAATTGATTCCTTAAAGATGACAAAACCATGATAAGAATATCCAAAAACAAGGAATAATGAAATTGAGTGGAGTGTTTCTTTTCATTTCATCATAAAATGACTACGCATGAGCATTTAACACTTTTGCAAAAAGAGGTTTCGCTCGTCCCAAAAACTATTTTTGTCGATAGAATGTTGGCCCAATATAATGCTCTGAATAAAGCTTTTTATTATCCAAATATAGTCTTTTGTTTTTGGCATATTCTAAGAAATTTGCAGGCATATTTTAGACCATGAGAATCTTGAATGACGTGAATTAAAAGTAGATTTTTATCACACTTATAGCACTTATAGTAAAAATGAATTTAAAAAAACACTAAGATTATCAAAGATTTGTATAAACAAAAAAGGCATTGGGCTAAATGCTACGTTTCAAATTACTTTATTGCTGGAATAAAAACTACAAATCGAATAGAAAGTATTAATGCATCAATCAAAAGAATTACCAAAAATATTAAAAGAAGCGGAGATATACTATTTAAATATGCTGATAACGCTAATTTAATTATAGTGATTAGAATTAATAAAAAAACTTCTATTTATCTTGAAAAAATTTACTGTTTGGTATCTTATGCTATTCTAATTAACATTCTTCAAGTAAGTAATTAAATCATACAGTTATGTATAGAGGTTTCCTCTATATAGCGCTAAAAGCGCAGACATTTTCCCAGGAGCTTTCCAAGTTCGTCGGACCAAATCGCTTTTTGGTCCGACCAAGGCATTGATTTGGTGCAACCTACCGATAAATTCCGATCAGAATTTATCGGCCTTACAGCGCCAAACATAGGAAACTTCTATATATTAAGATATGAGTAACCTTTGAAAGGATTTTGGCAAGAGAGAATGAAGCTTTTAAAGCTAACATTTTCAAACAATTTGAATGTGCTATTTAGCTCTGCAAATTGCAGCTGGCATAAAGGAATTGATGCATATTTTTTGAAAAAGATTGGCAAGTCACTTCAAATTATAAAAGATTGCCAAGGGAATTTATTCATCTGAGAGCTCTATAATAGTAAAAGAACTTGGTGGTAAAAGCTTTGAAGTGAAACTACATATGCTGACTGCTCATGCAAGTATTCACTAATATCTTATCCCATGTGGTCATGTGCTATTTGTGTGTTAAGCACTCGTCTAGGAGATGATTATTGCCTACTTTTTTTGCAAAAAGTGAGACAGAAATAGCCCAAAGATCAAAACTGCACAAAGAAAGAGAAAAAATTTAGATACTAGCGAAGATAATAGCTCTCATAGATTTAGAGAGCCTAGAATAAATTTAATAGATTAGCTTATTTTAATTATTGCTGATTCTACTGACAAATATTCTATCAAAATTGCTTATTGAACTGAAATTTTTTATGCTTCTATTTATTTATGAGTGCTCATTTATGTTTTTATGCCTTTTTATATGGATGGAAAGCAACTTTGGGTTTTGTGGTCAATACATCCAATGGATAGATTTACTGCTAAAAGTCACCATTTGGTTAGAAAAGACTCCTCATAAAGCTCTGATTGGTTGTAAAAACCGTGTACAAAAAAATAAAAAATTGGAAAATCACTTTTTTTTGTTGCCAATCTATCCAAAAAAAGTGCATGTAAAATTTTCTGATATTTTTATGTTAAATTTGGATAGAAAAAATTTATTTTTTTAGCAGTACTTCTTCTATCCCTGATGGTTGGATGTTCGAGGCCATGGATTCGAACTTCTGCCAATGGTGGTTGGAATCACGCCCCACCCGTTGTTGCACTGCTCTTGACAATTCCCATCTCCTATCATTCATAATTCACACATGGGAGCACACCATGTGCTGCTTTTGCAATCCCCAAAATCAAAATTACAAGATGTTGCATTGCAAGCTGGATCACAAACTGTATCCCCAAGCATAGAACTTAAACACCCTGGCGCACAGTCAGAGCAGGCTCCATAATCATTATAACAGTCTTTCACATTACAAGCCTGAGTACAATCGGTTCCTAGATCTTTTTGAAAGCCTAAATTAACTATTACATGAAGGAGCACAATAACCACAGTCGCCTGCGTCGTAGCCACACTCCAAAAAGTTACAGTTGGGGTCACAAATTCCATTGCCAAGACTAGAAGATGGACACCCGTAATGGGTAATGCATGTTTCATAACAATCGGATTGTGCAGGGTCTCATTTTTGGTGCTCTGCAGAGGATGAATCAAAGCTGCAGTATGGATGCATACAGTCTGGGTCACAAATCCCATCTCCTCTCTATGTAAAAATCACTTTTGAAGGAGGACATTGAGAAGGGTTGCATAAAAAGTTTATTGCCTTCAATAGCAGGGGAGATAAAAAAATAAGGTACAGTTTCAATTTCATAGCTGGAAAATTAATTTCTGATAAAATAAGTTGATAATAACTATTAATTTTGTAGGCTAACTTTATTATAACGCATTAAACATTGGTTTAGACCATAAAATTAAGCCCAGCTTGCTTTTAATTTGTTTGGCTAGTTTGTATATATATCATTAAGACAACAATTACTTTGGATTTATTTAAAAGGTTTTGAGATTTATAAGCAGATGTCTCAGAGCTGCTGTTTTATATTTAATAAATCAAATTTATGATTTTTAATGTTTTTCATTCTAAAAGTATATTTATTTTTTTGTATTGATTAATTAGGGCTAATTGATTGTAGAGAATTTTTTACAGAAATAATTATTGATTTATTAGTAAGTTAATATATTTTATTTTTTAAGTTAATTATAATTCTGTAAAATAATACTAGATTGGTTTAAGCAATCTGCAGTACTTTATAATTTCCTAATTTCCTTCAGAATTTAAAGAGTTAAAAATCAGAATTTTTAAGAAAACTTTCTTCTTTTACTGAATCACTTTTCTATTATTTAAATAACCCTCAAGCTAAGCCGAGTATTATAAATAAATTGCATTTAAATCATAAAATCAATCAAAAAATTTGGTGATTCCCTCATAATTATTAGTTCTGAAAATAAAATTAAAAAACGATTTAAAAAAAATTAGTCAGATAAGCTCAGGGAATCATCTAATATTTAGCTAAAAAGGTGACCAAGAATTCATTTCTTTTTTAACAATGGAACGGAAGTTAAGTAGCTCAGGTAGATCCTTATCCACACAATCTCTAACACACAAACTCCAAGCCATTCGAAGTAACCCAAACGTCAGCAAAATTTCAAGGTCTTCTGACTCCGCTCGAGACCTCATAAAAAAAGCCACCCTATCCCCAGAATGTAAAATAAAACCTCGGATTTTTAACCAAACCCGAAGTTCCCTTGAACTCACTTACAAACTAACAGAAAATAAGCCTTTTTCCAGCACTTTTAGGAACCTCGTTACAAGTCGAGAAAGCAGTTCTAAAGAAATCATAAACCTCATAAGGAGCCATCATCAAAATTATTTATCCCAAAACAAAGAAATACTGCAGCCTCGAATTTCCCGGGAAAAGCCATCCCTTTATTTATCAAATCTCAAGCATAGTGATTTACAGATGAAAACACAAAGCGACCCAAACACCCGAAGAGTGACTTCTGAACGAAGCAGGCCTCATTCAAGAAGAGGCTCCGCAGACGTCCCAATAGTAAAAAAAACTCTCCAAAGCCACGTGGTACAGGTCTGCTTTAAAACTCGCACAGGCTCAGTTGCCGGCAAGAAAAAGCCTAACAACCAAGACAATTTTCTTATTGAGAGCAATTTCGCAAGGACTGAAAATCAGTTTCTTTTTGCAGTTATGGACGGGCATGGGCTTAACGGCCACGATGTGTCTGCCTTTGTAAAAAGGGTTCTTCCTCTGCAAATAGAAAATCTATTACCAATGGACTGTAATAATAATTTAGTTCATGCAAAGCTGGAAGATCCTCTGCCTCAAGAAGATATTTTAAAGCTAAAGCAGGTACTTCTGAGAGCTCATTTGGTAACAAATAGCGATTTAAATCACTCAAAAGCAATTGACATAAGCTACTCAGGCACCACTTCTGTATCAGTTTTACTGAGAGGGAAGCTTCTGCTTTGCTCTAATGTAGGAGACTCAAGGGCAGTTTTGGGCAGATATGACCATGGGAAGTGGTCTGCGATCCCTTTGTCAAGAGACCACAAGCCTAATGACTTGCATGAACAAAGCAGGATTGAAAGACATGGCGGAAGAGTGGAGCCCTTCCGGCAGCCTTCAGGCAGATTTTTAGGCCCATCTCGTGTTTGGATGAAAAATGAACAAATCCCAGGCCTCGCCATGTCAAGATCTATAGGTGACCATGTAGCTTCTCAAGTAGGTGTAATTGCAGAGCCAGAAATTACTGACTCCTCTCTTTTAATTTTTAGCAAAAATTTTTTTTCAATTTATAGAGGGCTAAAAAATTTTAAAAAATAAAAATATATAAATGAACACAAAATATAAGATTTTTAATTTATTTTCTCGAAGAATTAATTCACAAAATCAATGGATTTAGCACATAAATTGTTTAAATAATATTAATAGGTAAAAACTAATTTTATAAAAAATCGGTATTTTCACCTATAAAATTTCCCTATGAAACAAAAAATTTTAGCAATTTAAAGATAGACTATAATACCCAAAAAATAGAAATTTTACTGAAATTTTGTTCCAATTTAAAGGGGAGTGAGCGTATCTTAACAGCTGGAGACAAATTTATAGTAATTGCGTCAGATGGCCTCTGAGAGTTCATCAGCAATGAAGAATGCATAAACCTTATTTCAAACCACTATGAAACCAGCAGTTTTGAGCCTTCTTGCGACAAGCTTGTCAATGAAGCTGTGAAGCGCTGAAAGCAAGAAGATGAGGTGATAGACGACATCACCCTGATAATTATTTATTTAAATATACCTTATAAAAACTCTGATACCATTAATTATTTATTGTCGTATAGCAGCGATATATTACAAATAGGCATATGTAGATATCACCATTTATTTAACTAAACATAAATTGTCTAGCATAATTCATCGCTGGGATGTTTGGATGAGGAACTGCCGAAAATTGGGTGAATTTAGGCTTCATTTCGCTTCCTTTGAACCTGATAAAGGCGCCTTTGTTTCCCATTTGGTCACAGTAGTTTGGAGCACTGAAAATCGTGATAACTCTGCCATTAGCTTCGACTTCGTAGCCTTCTTCTTTGACCTCGTGAGATCTGACAAGGATATCGAGACCATTTTCGTTCAAAAAGGCATGGGCAACGTCTGGGCCGAAGTTAATGCTGGTTCCGCGTTTGCTAGGATGTCTACCGTTTAGTTTTATAGGGTCACTCCATAGGATATCACACATAATTCCTGATTCTGGTGGCTCTCGGACTCTGTCTGTATTATCAATATCTGCAAGCTTGATTCCGTCCTGTGCAAAAAGACCTCCATGGACCACTAGGACTTTATTATTTAAAACAGCGCCTAATGGTAAATAGCAGAAAACATTGCTAAAAAGGTCATATACTTCAGCATCGTATTTAGCCATTACTTCTCCTTCAAATCCATACATCTTGTTCATGTTTTTTGACTCGTGATTTCCTCTTGTCAGGTGGAAATGATTGGGGTAGCAGAGTTTCCAAGTAAAAAGCGTCAAAATGACTTCTACAGAAAAGGAGCCTCTGTCCACAAAATCACCGTTAAACAAGTAAGGGTTGTCTATGTTCGGCCTCCCGTTGACTTGGAAAATGTTCATTAAGTCGTAATACTGCCCATGCACATCGCCACAGACTGTAATTTCGTCATTATCTGGGATATTCACATATACCAGAGACGTATATCTTGACAAAATTTCTCTAATTCTTATTCCCCCCCTCCGTGAGTGAACAAAAAATGCTTGGAAGGGGTTAAATTTTTTTTAAAAAAAATTTATATATAAATTTTATAGAAATTTTTTTTTTCGAAATTTTAAAAAAATCCTAATTCGCAAAAATTGGAAAGCAAATATCAATTTAATATTTTTAAAAAAATTAAACAGAATTAGCTATAGATTTTACTATTTATCACTTATATATCAATTTTTTTTTTTTAAAAAAAAAATTTGTCCGCTCAAGGAGGGGCGAAATAGGGATTTTCTAATTGTTTTGTTCACTCACGGAAAGGGGAGAGTTAGTAATATCATGACCACGTATTTTTTGTGCAATTTTTTCTGATCCTTGAATTCTTGCATCAAATTAACCACCCAGCTCTCAGTTACAACGTCAGGCAGGTGAAGCCCTTGATATGAGTCAGGGACAATAATATTTTCTGGGTTCAGTGGAGGCGGGGTTTCTCGTTCCAAACACTCAGCAAATAAAATAGCCCTGAGTTCTTTTTGGGCTGTCGCAAGCTTGGTCTTAGCGTCACGGTCATTTGGCACGATCTTGCAGACTGTTTTTAGATCTTTGATTGCCTGCTTAAATTTTCCCATTGCAAAGAAAGCAGAGCCACGGCGGTAGTAGCCTTTTATGTAGGTAGGATCACATTCGATAGCTCGAGTGGCATCTGCTTCCGCGTATCCATAGTTTTCTAGCTTGAGATGAGCCACAGATCGATTGCAGAAAAGGATTGCGGAAGGGACCAGCTCTAGAGCTTGTGTGTACAAGTCAATGGCAGCTGAGAAATGAGCTTCTTTGAATTTCTGATTGCCTTGAGTTTTTAGTTCTTCAGCTTGCGCACTTAAAGCACCATTAGCCTTGACTTCTTCTGCCATTTTTAGATTATACATAGTGATTTTCTCGTTAGTTTATATTGAGACAGCATATAATTTTTATTAATGTCCTATTTTTAGAATTTTAAGCAAATTTGCTTTAAATTATTACTAGTTTCATAAAAAAAATACTGTGCTAGACAAATCTACAATAAGCACCCCTATGATTTCTGTTGTAATATAATATGGAAGAGCAAGATATACAGTCAAAACTTCCTGATGTATTTGAATCAATTTCTCGTATAAGTCAAGGCGCACCTGTAGATTGGAAAAAAGTGCATGAAGACCTTGAATCTCTTAACTGGCTTGGGTCGGATGATACCAAAACTGAAGAAATTTCCACTGGAGCATGAGAAGTAACTGATCGGTGGGGCTTAAGCCTCCTCGAAGATGAACCCCGCTTCAAAGTTACCCGAGTAAATAAGGTCAAGCTTTTTATCACTGAGTCAATTTACAGCTTGGTTAACTATAAAGATAGGATGTCACAGCTCTGCTACAGTGCCTGCAAAGCTGTGAGTGAATTATTCTTCTTTAAAAAAGCAAAAAATCTAATTCTAGCTGCAGAAGACGATGATTTGGTCACTGTTTTAACAAAAATTTATTTAGCTTACCAAGATTTTGTAAAAGCTGCTAAGATTTTATTCATGCATTTAGACAAATATTTAGTGAGCGACATGAGAAGGACTTTAACTAATATTTTAGATGAACAATTTTTGAAATCAGTGATAGAGCCTGTAAAAGAAAAGCTATTATTAGAAGAATCTTGCAAAAAAATATTGGAGGAGTTTGACCATGATTATCTCCCTATTCCGGCACCTCCAATTGTGACTCCACAGATTACTCAGCCTTCGTACAACTCTGTATCCTCACAAAGCAATGGTAATTCTAATGGAGACCAGTACTCTAGAAGATACCCTACTTTTGCCACCGATGTATACCCGTCGTCTAATTCTTATTATTCTAATCCTTATCAGACTTCTTATTCCAGAGAAAATTTATATTATGGGGAAATCGATTCTGAAGGAAAACGGTCAGGGTATGGAAAAATTAAATATTCCAATGGAGACCAATATGAAGGCAATTGGGAAAATGATAAAAGATCAGGGAAAGGGATTTATAAATGGAAAGATTGGGGAGTCTATGAAGGAGATTTTGAAGATGGGGTCATTAATGGAGTAGGCAAAAGAACTTATAGCTCTGGGAATATTTATATTGGAGAGTTTAGGAATGGGAAAAAAGAAGGACGTGGGAACATGAAGTTTAAAAATGGGGATAAATATGAAGGAGAGTGGGTAGATGACGAAATGCATGGAGATGGGAAATATACGTGGAAAACTGGGGATACCTTTGTGGGAAGGTTTAAACGGGATAAAAGAGAAGGGAAAGGAATTCTTACGATGGCTTGTGGAGACACAATTGAAGGAATATGGGTCGATGGAGAACTTGAACAAAAAGGGGTGGCTTACTCCCTTGCTGGATAAGATATTTTTGCTCGCTATCGACTGGGTAAATTTTAATTAAAATATAATAAAATGTACAAATTTTCAGATCGACATTCAACGCACCAAATTTTTTTTGCGCGTAGAGGTCTGTAAAGTTCAGGTCTTCACTTGTCTAAAAAAAATTGGCATGTTGGAGTACCGATCAGAAAACAGTGTAATGCTCTATATTTCAAAGCATTAAAATATACTTGAAAGGTAAATTTAAAGTGTTTCAAATTTTAATAAAATTACCTAGAGGATTTATTATAATCATCATATTTAAATTTCAAGTTATTATTTATTTAAAATTCTTATCCAAAAAATATTTTTTAAGATTACGAAATTACCAAAAAAAGTTTTGATCACTAAAAGGAGGAGTTAGGAAAATATTAATTAATAATAAAATATTGAATAAATTTGTACAGCAAATATGATAAATGTTAATAGTAATCACAATCAAAGCGAGTTATAAGTTTTTTTGTAGATATACTATTAATAGCCTCCGGCTTTATCGGAATTTTCACTGACTTTACCAGAAAGTTAGGCTTGCTTGGCTTTTTATGCTCTAACTTTACTGTTTTCGTAGTTTTTGGCATCTGAGGCTTTGACAAGTTTTTTATTATTTTTTTATATCTTTTTTGGTCTCTTATATCAGGCAGTTTAATGCTAAAAGATGCAGTATTGCTGCCATGTGAAGAATCCTCTTTTCTCAGATGCAAAGTTGCATTTGAAGCGTTCAGCCTAAAATCTTCATCTAGCTCAGACTGTTTTCTTGGCCTTATTCCAGGCCTAAAATATCGACTCCTCAGTCCTCTATAATTTTGATCAACCCTTGCAAAACTAAAGGAGAAATAAAATGGTGATGCTGAAGGAAAATGGGCTCAGAGGCGCACTCCCTATAAGTAGGTTACACCATATCCTATAAAGCAGGAAAAGGACTCTGTCCTTTTAGAAGTAGTCTTTAGGTTTGGGGAAGCCTTGCTGAAGAGAGAAGCTTTGCTTCTCCCCTAAAGTTTTCTGTCCCTACCAAATGGACTAGACAGGCTTTGCCTCTCACATAATCTTCGTCTTTCGGGACTATCGAGAGGTGCCTTATATGGGTGGCTCTGACCTAGGGAGCTGATCCTTAAGTTAGGTGAGTTTTGCCAGAAAATTCAAAAGGTTGAATTTTGGTTGAGTCTCACACCATTTGCACTCTAATTTATACGCCCCAGCGCAGGCCACATTTCCCAATTCAAGATAGTCCGACTAGTGAGTTCTGCTATACCCGTATAATTTTAATCTTTATCTTGTAAAGCTAATAGGCGTCGTTGATAATTTAACTTTATTTTGGAAAAATCCAAAACTCGTAAAACAAGTCCCAACGTCTTCCATTATTCTTGGAATCCTAGACTGTGTCGGTTCATCTTCAAGCTTTATCGGCATCATATTTTTTGGGACTTTAAATTCTACCTTTGGAGCTTTCGGGCTCATATAATTTGATCTAAGCTCAGCTGAATCTCCACTAGACGAGCTATCACTTATAAAGCTTTCGTCATCACAAGGCTGGTTTAATTCGATTTTCCTTTGTGCGTTTTGAAGCTCGCTGATTGAAAAATAATTGCTCCAATTTTTATCTAGGTCTTCAATATTGGAATTTCAACTGTCACTTGGCTTAATTCTTATATTTCTAGCTTGACTGGTATTTCTCGCTAATCGTTTTGTTTTCACATTATTTTCACCTTCAAATGATTTTGAAGAGGCTCTTTTTTCTCGCAATTTTTGGGCGAAAATGTCTTCGACTGATAGCGAGCATTCTTTAACTAATTTTGATTTTAGCCAGGTATTAGATTTTAATAACTCTTGCTCTAACTCCCCCTCGTGATGGAACAAAACCATTAGAAAATCCCTATTTTTTGCCCAAAAACCCACTCTCGGTAAGCGAACAAAATTTGTTTAATAGAAAAATTTTTTTTATAAGTAATAAATTGTGTTTAAAACATAAATTTTACAAATTAAATTAATATTCGCTTTCATTTTTTGCGAATATATAAATATTTTAAAAAACAAAATTAACCCTCCTCCGCAAGCGAACAAAATTTTTTTGTTTTCTCACGGGGAAATAAGCTTTTTGACAGATAAGAAAATTTTAATATCGCTTTTGCGATGCTAAAACCAAGCTCTTCTAGCTCCTCCTCCCCATAAACTTTAATTTCTTTTCCATCTTCAAACCCATAAAAGCTAGTTTCCAGCGTAAAACTATTAGTCACTTTCAGCTCATTCCACACCACTACTCTTCCAGTCCCCAACTTATCTTGCTGCACATTAAATCTGCAGTCTTTATAAGAAAATATTCGAGTAAGCCTTGCTAACACCCTAGGGAAAAGTCTGACCTTTGTCCATGACAATACTCCACCTTCAGCTGCAGCATTGCAGCCATATATAAAGGAATTGTATTTTTTCGCATGGCCATGGAGGTCGCAAAATATAGAGACTTCATGGTTTTCTTGGAATTCTTTTATTAGGTTTTTGGTATAGTAAATTTCTGGATGACTTGTAGGAGATGGAGTAATCCACTGGCGGTTTAAATCAACCCCTGCAAGCGATGTGCGGTAGTTTCCACATACTACACCATCTGGGTTTAGCATTGGGATTATTTTGAAAATAAAAATATTCCTCAGGGCGATAGATTGTTTATTAGTTTCGTCTAGTAAGAATTTTATAAAGTTTTCAACGATAAACGAGCCTGTTGTTTCGCCTGGGTGGACTCTTGCAGTGATTATAACGCCTTTTCGGTTTGCGTAGGTAAGTCCTGTTTTCTTACCAGCTGTAATTGTTAGCACTCAAACGGGAAGCCCCCCTGCTGAGCTGCAAAGCACTTCTCTTTTGTAGCTTAAATTTGCCATTTCTATTTCAGGCTCTTTGATTTTCTCAGTTCCTATTTTTTCTTCAGCATTAATTAAAAAGTTTTTTAGTCTTGTAAATGTATACCAAGGCTCAGATTTATCTTGCTTTTTTGCTATAAACCATTTATTGCTAACTATTTTCCTCATCCCAAGCCAGATCCATGCTTGGGGTATATAAGGGATTGAAAAAGCAAAAGAGACTTTTTCGTTTGCTTGGGTAAATGTGTACCTGAACGACAGTGTGTAAAATCTTCTGCCATTTTCCAGCTCGCAGCAGTCATAAGCAGTATTATCTACATACTTCCAGACATTTTCACTAGCTATTTTATAGGCAGGTTTCATTCCTTTTCTGAATAAACTTTTTCTTTTGGAAAAGTTCAAAATGTTTATTTTTATTTCTCCAATTGCCTCATTATCAACGTCAAAATAAAACCATTGAGCATAACCCTGAGAATTCGTATCTGTTTTCATTATTTTTATTTAAAATAAATGGGATCTAACTATTTTTTTATATTAAATAATAGCTAATAGCTGTAGATGGGCATAATAAATCATACTCAAATTCTGATCTCTTATATACCTTTTCTAAATTTCCACATTCGAAATAAGATGAGAACTTGAATTTAGATGGGCTTTGAGGGATTGGTGAAGGGCAGGAATCTGATAATAAAGACTGTATAAAATCTTGCATATTATCATCAACTGGCTGAGGCAGGGAAAATGCTAATTTAAAGGGATTTAACTGGAATTGCGATTCGTAGTTGGCAAAATAGGAAGGCGAATGAGGAGTTTTGAGTTTTCATCTGAGTAAATGTTACTGAGGTTTAGGAAGCTCGATGTATTTTCCTGACTCGAACAGAGGAAGTGGCTCTGGAAGTAAAAACTCATTCATTTATTTAACTTAATAATAATTAAGTTAAGGAAAAGATCATGGATTTTCTTTTTTGATAGCTGATAAATGCAGCCTTCGAGTTAAAATAAAAAGTAAATTTTCATTGATGTCTAAAAATACTTGGTTTCTAAAGAATATTTAAGGGTTTTTTTATACAGAGGGTTGCTAAAATTAGATAAATACTAAAATGATGCAAATAATGCAATAGAAACTCAATAATTAGATGATTTATGTATGAATAATTTTTATAGTTGAGTATTAATTTAATGGAAATTTTAACAAAGTTTACAAAAATTCTTAAAAATACCTCCCATCATTAACAAATAATAAACATATTTTAGCAGATAAGTGAAAGGGCATCATCATGCAAAAAATGCTTATTAAAGGATAAGTAAAAATACGATTACAAAGAATATAATCAAACTCCCAACAGCTGCTAAAGAAAATAATCTGAACTTGCATCTCCTATTTCTTAAGAATGCTGAGGCTCTTTCATCTCGCTCCATGTTTGTCATTCCTGTATATTGAGAATTTTGAGTTATCACAATCCTAGTTGGTTGTCCATATTGAGGTTGTTGCATATATTGAGGTTGCTGCCCATATTGAAGTTGTTGCCCAGACTGAGGTTGTCCATACGCAGGCTGAGGCTGCCCATATGATTGGAGAGAGTATTCTTGATCTGGCATTCTTTAATATTGAAAGTTTGGCTGATTCTGGGGATTTTGCGCATAAGGATAATCTAAATCAGGGTCTGACATTTAATATTATATGTGGATTATATAAGTCTGGTTTCACATTATTATTATTATTTCATTTTAATCGCCTTTTTATTTATCAACAATAAATTAATTTGTTCTTCATTCTTTTTTTTATTAGTCTAGCTTCTATAACTTTAGAACAAGTATGGCTCGACCTGAAACTTTCCCTCCCCCCACCCCCCTGACGGTTTCAGTTTGAAAGAATTTGTTAATTCAAAATGACAAGTCCTTCACTAAGGATTTGACAAGTCAAATTCAATTTGTAGATTTCAATAAAGCTGAAACCGTCAAAGGATGGGGGGAGGGGGGGGGGCTCTCAGGCCAATCTAAAAAACGTGCTCATGGTATATTTCTCCTGTAACTATAAAAAAACTCCCTATCCATTGATTTCTAGTTTCTTTTTCTATCATCAAAGTTTCTAATGTTTATCTAATTTCCATACTTACGTTGCTAATTTTTTTTACATCAAAAACAATCCGATTTTCATAAATTACCTGTCTGGATTAGCTTAATTTTCATTGATGCATAAGAAATATTGATAATGAATAATAAATATAGATTTTGAATAATAATTAAAAGCATAAGTCAAAATATTAAATATATGTTTTCTCAATGATTTCTCTATTATAAAGTTGCTAAAAATCAATATAGCTATCCGCTATGCAATTTATGTTTATGAAAAGATAATTAGCATAATGATACCAAGAAATATAAGTCCACCCCCAATAATTCCTAAAGTTCAGGCAGTTTTCTTTGATATCCTAACCCCAGCGCCTGAGTAGCCGCTTGGGTCAGGTGCAGTGACTCCTACTCCTGGATATTGAGAAGGCTGAGCTGCTCCATAGTTAGGAACTTGCCCATATTGGGGTTGCCCATACTGAGGTTGTGATCCATACTGAGGCTGTTGCCCATATTGAGGTTGCTGATTATATTGAGGTTGAGGCTGTCCATATACAGGCTGAGGCTGTCCATATGCTTGCTGAGGTTGTCCATATGCTGGTTGAGGTTGCCCATATGCAGGCTGGGGTTGTCCATATGACTGAGGTGGGTATTGTTGATTTTGATATTCTTCTGGCATTCTTTGATACTGAAAATTTTGCTGATTCTGCTGATTCTGTGGATTTTGCCTATATGGGTTATCTAAGTCCGGGTCTGACATTATTTAATTAATTATTTTTAATTTATCCACGATAAATTAAAAGCTATTCTCGTTCTTTTCTTCTTCAGTATCAATCTGGCCTCTATTTTCTCCTCTGATTACGATATCTTGCCGTATTGATTGACTTCCAATTACCGTCTCATTCATAGAAGTTTCTAGTGTTTCTTCTGATTTCCCTACTTCCCTTACCAACTGTTTACATAAAGGACAATCTGATTTATTCTGTATCCACGAATCGATACATTTCATATGATAAATATGCTCACATGCTAATTTTCTGACTTTTTCCCCATTTTTAAGCTCATCTAGACAAATCGTGCATGATGTTTTTTCCTTATCCAGTTCCCGTCACTTATAAGAAGGGAAAAACTTTTGCATGACTTTTGGTGTTAAAGCATTTTTCCAAACTGCAAGCTCATCTGGTGACCCAATTTTTCATTTCTTGCATCTTCTAACTAAAGAAATCCCAATTGGTATTACACAAAAAAGGACTGAAGCGCAGACAGCAAAAGAAATCACAAGAGTAAGCCAATTAAATTTACCATCACTTTTATTACTTGAAGAAGTGTCTTGATTTTCAATCAAAATTTTAAGTTCACAGCTGGGATTATCTTTGCAAAACACTGAAAATAACCATAAATCATTGCTGTTTTCTGAGTTATTTCACTCTTTTAAGGCTTCAGATGAGTCGAAAAATAACGAAAAATCTTTATAGAGCATGCTAGGTAGCTCATGCTTGTTTTCATAATGAGTAAAATATAGAAAAGAGTCTCCTTGGATTTTTTCACACTTCACTGTGAATGGATTTTGTGAAGGATTAAAATAAAAAAATTTCCAGTCTCCGGATTTTTCAAGGCGCAAAAGCTGATTTTCATCCAATGAAAATTCACTGAAAGGCACTGAACAATCATAGCCTCAGTTGTCATTGATACAAGTGCAGCTCCCTAAAGAGCAGACTCCTCCGTTGTTGCAAGACGGTTCACAATAACGGTCATCTTTTCCGTGGGCTGAAATTTGATATGCAAACCCATTTTCTTCACTCCCCCTTTAAATTGGAACAAAATAGGGTAAATTTCCATTTTTTGGGTACTTTGATCCTCCTTTAAATTGGAAAAAAAATAATTTTTTTATAAAATTAATTTAATTGATTAATATTTATGGTGTTTCAGCCCCTGGCAATCCAGTCTCGGGCACATATTTATAGTTAGTGACACTGACTACATTTATATTTGGCAAGGTTTTGCCAACCCAGAAATGGACTGCTATGCTAGATAAGCAATTCTGGTAGTTTTGCCCTAGTCTGCTTTCAAGGTTGGATTTTACATTATGGGAAGAGGAAGTATGGAGTTGGGAAGGTGAAGATAGAAGTGTCTGCAGGCAATGTCTAGACCATTTGGGCAGCCCCCTAGCGCGAAACCGAGAGTTATATATCGGGCGTTGAATTTTTCCTTTTGCAAAGAGCGACCAGAAATTCCATTTTTCGGGGTTTTTATTCAAGCAAGCATCATGCACAGAAGTCCAGTCCGCCGATTCCATAGGTGCCACGGCATCAGGTGATGAAGAAGAGGAGAGGCAGTGCTCGAGCTAACTTGCATGCGAATTCATTATCCCAACTCACACATGTTTTCCTTGCGAATCGCAAAGCGGTGAATCCTCTAGGGATCCTTAGTGACTATTTTGACTCAATGGCAGTAGATAAATCTGCAATAAGTTTTCTAATTTAATGGAAACAGTGCCTTTAGAATACTATTTAAACAGTTTTCGCATTTAATCAATTAATTTTTCTTAAAAATCTAAAATATTTTGTTCAGTTTATTTCTTAACTTTTTTAAAAACCCCCTTTAAAATTAAATTAAGAGTCTTAACGTCTTCCAGATTTGATACCTTCTCACGCTTTCGAACAACACAAGCATTCTTGTCAGGCGGAATTTAGCAGCTATTTGGAACACTGGTCTTCTCTAAGATCAGACTTACACTGTGATCTTAAGAGTGTCGAAGGGTTAGGGAGATGCTCTGCTAGAACGTCGTCGGGTGCTATATAAAGGTTTAACTATTAATTCCTGTCAGCCACCTATGGGAAGTTGACACCCAGGAAAAAGTAACCTTAAATTTAATTAAGATTATAAGAGAAGCTCCCTGTAAGCCTAAAAAGTCAGACCATATTCATCTCCTCAGTAGGTATTGCTTGGACTTTAATTTTCAACTTTGAGCTTCATCTTCCCACGAGATAAAAGCCTTGACCTGGGCATGAATATGCGACCAGCATAATCCGACATTGCTCTCCACCAAACCAAGTAAATACACATCGCCAAATGCCATCCTCCCTTCCACAAGGTCCTTGGGCCTCCCCAGCTAAGGCATTAAGAGAATGAATTGATTCGCCATACCATTTTAATGTATACGCAAAAAGGAACTGGGAGGAAAAAATCGTGGCCAAAAAATAAGGATAACTAATACCTGATCTTAAAGCCACCAGCTGACCCCACAAAGTCCCAACATCTGATGAAGAATGTTAGAATTAAAGAGTGCAGCCTTGTTTTAGGCTTTAAAGTGACTTTTGCTCCTAATTCGTCCATCGTCGTCAAGTCTCCACCACCATATTAATTATTTAAACCCCCTTTAGGATTTTTGTTCCAACTTAAACGAGGAGTCAGAGAAAATTCCTACACTTATATTTGATTGCGTAGATAAAAGCTTCTTCGGAATTGAAATATAGCTGAATTGAAAATTCTGGCTTCAAGCTTCAAAATCAAAAAAATCTGCATTAAAAATATATTTGTGTAAGTCTTCGTCATAATAAAAAGTTGGTAGTGAATTAAATTTTACCATAAGTAAGAGCGGAATATTTTTAGATTTTTGGTCCAATTGAATAACTAAGCGGTCATTATTTACGAGGCTTGTAAGATTGAACCAGGTATAAACTAAGTGGGAAGTTTGAGTCAGTTCTATATTTCAGGCAGCTACTATGGTATAAGCTAATGAAATAATGAAGTAGTTCATAATTATTTATAATTATATGCAAAATATAAATGCAAATTCTATATATGAAATATATTCTAGAAAATACTTAAATTTTTATAAAATAAGAAGTCAAATGTATGGAAGACTAATGCGACATCTATAGCATTTAAAGAAAAAGAATTAGCTTGGCACAATATGCAATGCTCAATTCGACCAATAATTTATAAAAATAATCAAATTTATTTATAAGCTACTTTAAATAATACTTCAAATAATACTATCATTAGCCTTAATATCCTGATTAAAAGATTTATTATAAAAATTGAAAAATATTTAACTTAAAAATATAATGGAAGATGATCAATCTACTAAATAGAATTTGGCATCATTTATTAATCGCTCAAATGCATTTAAACTATTTCCAATAAGACAGCACTCTAAGTTTATTTCATAACAAAATCCTAAATTCAAGCAATTTTATTTTATTTTTTACTCACTCTCAACTGATAACTTTCCTACTCAAATTTAATAATTCTTAAGGTAAAGCAGCATGATTTTCTTGTTCAGTCCCATTTTCACTACTTTCTACAAGTTCTACAAACCTTAGATTTGATTTGGGCAGCTGTCCAGAATAATATTTTCCTTTAGCTCTTTGAATATTTTCTATACTTATTAAGCTCTTTTTGCACAAAGGGCATATCGATTTTGTTTTGGCTCACCCATCAATGCATGATGCATGGAAAAAATGCTCACAACCCAGCATTCTGACACTAGAATGTATTTCGAACTCTTCCAAACATATAGAGCATGATTCTTTCCCTCTTTCAAAGCTCGACCACGCTTTTGAAGGGAATAGTTTGTTTATTTCTTCAGAATTCAGAGGTTCGTCTACCCTTTGGCTCTCAGGCTGAGCTATGTGTACAGACCTAAGCTTAACTAAAGTTTCTATAATGATAGGAATTAGGCAGCATATAAACGAGGAAGTAGCAACTGCTGCTACAGTCAGCCATATGTAAAACTGGTCCCAGCTCGAGCAATAGCTTACTTTTATGCTATATTCACAGTCTGCTTCTTTTCCACAGAACACTGAGAAAGTCCATGTAGACCCAATATTATTTGAAAAATCATAAACTGCTTTTGCATCAGCAGGTCCGACACAAATTTCAGTGTCAGCTGAAAACATGCTTGGGAGGATCTGGTCATATGTAAAATATGTAAAGAAAAACTTCATGTCTCCAGCCTTTTTTGTAATTTCTACTGTGAAATCATTTCCATTTGCAATATCAATATAAAAAAACTCCCAAGAGTCTTTTTTAATATAAAAATCTTTTCCTGTGTCATTTACTTGGACTTTTGTAAAAATAACTCCACATTCATATCCTGAATAATACCCTCCAGAGCAGTCACACATCCCTCCTTTGCAGACACTGCCAGGAGTGCAAGTAGGCACACATTTATCAATTTCTTTTGAAAATGTTGATAGGGTATACGATACACCAATTACTTCTGAGTATACTCCCAATATGGTATATACATTAAAATGGAGACACGTGTCGACCTGTCTCTTGGCGCAGCAGTCCAGACCTTATGGCCACGTCGAACTGGGACGGATTCCGAGCCGAGAATCAAAAGCAGGCTCAAGAGGTGCGTATCCGGGTAGGTTTTGGCTGCTTTCCTGTAGTTGGAAATGGAGGTGCTCAACAATGACCTTTGGATCCGACGACCCATGGGCATTCCTCTACAGAGAAACTGGGGGTTTTGGCGAACAGTCTTTTTCCTGTAGCTATCGAAGGAAGGCACTTCGACACCCGATAGACTCCAAGGATCCTTGGAATCAAGCTACTCCAATCGCCCACAGCAGGGCCGCAGAAATCCATAAGCCGCCCACTCAAGACAGAAGCCTCAAGGCAAGGAAGAGACAGATAGTACCGGAAGGGCACTCGCAAGAGGGATAGACCCTCTGGGCTGGAGTCGAAAAGCAGTAGAACCTCGGGTACTGGAGGTTTTTGGTGACTGCGTCACCAATATGGCTAGCGCCTGTCTGTAATAATCATAATCCTACTCCAATATGGTAAGTATATCCAACAGCAAGGGAGCTCCCTGCTAATATTATGTAGCTTGTAGGCCAATTTTGGCTCCACGCTTCAAAGTCGACATAAGTGGTGTTTCATACATAGTCTCCTTTATCATTGTCGAAATAAAAAGTTGGATTATAGTCCTTTTTCACAAGCATTAGGAGTGGGACTGATTCTGATTTTGATGATAATTGGATAACAAGATCGCCATTGGTAGGAATCATACTTTCTTCTATCGTTAATTGAATGTATTCGATGCTATTTGTTTGGGTAATTAATTGACTGGCAGCAAAAGGTAAAAATAGCAGAAGTATTATCATTAAAATATTGTAACATATTGATTAAGATATTGGGAAAAAAATTAATTAAAATGTCTTTATAATTTTCTTAATGAATTGTACAAAGTATATATTGTAACTCAGATGTCTAATTAATAAAAATGAATCTCAATAATTAGGTTTGAAGAAAAGAAATTATAAACAAAAGTAAAAATTTAGTTAAAATTATAATCGGATTAATGCAGCCACACTTATTTTGGTTATATTTATGATAGGCATTATTTATTAACCACTTACCAAAGAAAATTTCCTATAAAAATTATTAATTTCAATAATTTTAATCTGTAATGGTATCTAAATATTTTTCAAACGCTTTGGATTTATTGGAATTTACAAATCTAACTCAAAACTCTATTATAAAAATCCAGACAGAGCTGGTTAAAAAATTATTTGGAAGCATAAAGCAAAAAGAAATCGAAAAATCCAGACTTGAAAATTTAAAATCCAAAAAAGTAAGGTCGAAATCCCACGAAAATCATAAAACTCCAGCCAGGAAATTACTAATAGAAGAATTCTATAAAAATTCTGAACTAAAAACTGAAGAGGCCAAAATATTCGCCAAAAAATTGCGAAAAGAAGCCTATGAAATGGCCCAACGTCAAAAACAAAGAGAAGAAAAATTAATTAAAAAATGACTGCAAGAAGAAAACGAAAAGAAAAAAGCTGAAGAAGAAAATTTAAAAATATTCGAAGAAAGAAGAATGCAAAGACTTAATGAGCTTAAAAAGAAATCAGAAAGAAGAAAAAAAGAAATTGCGACTTTAAGAGAAATTGGTGAAAAAGACTATCGAAAAGTCATATCAGAAGAGCCTTTATTTCAAAAAATTGAAAAATCGTATGAGAATGATATTTTGATGCAGGAGCAGGAAAAGCAGAAAAATGAGTTAAAAAAGCTGAAGCTTCTGCATAAGCCTTTAAACCATCAGGAGCTTTTATCTTATATGAAACATCATGATGAACTGAAAAAAGAGCACGATTTACGAAGGATCCAAGATTTAAAAAATCAATCCTTACAGTATAAAGTAAATTCCTCAGCACTATCAGAAAAGTCACTATTTACTGCTAAAATTATTGAAGAAGAAAAACTTCTAACTCCCCCCCCCCCTCCTCCGTGAGCGAACAAAACCATTAGAAAAATCGCCATTTTTTGACCAAAAACCCACCCTCCGTGAGTGAACAAAAATTTTTTTAATAGAAAAAATTTTAATGGAAAAAAATTTTGATATATAAGTGATAATTAGTATAATGAAATCTAGAGCTAATTCTGTTTAATTTTAAACAAATTGCGTTTTAAAACATAAATTTTGCAAATTAAATTAATATTTGCTTCCCAATTTTTGCAAATTAGGATTTTTTTAAATTTCGAAAAAAATATTTTTTATAAAATTTATATATAAATTGTTTTTAAAAAAAAAAATTAACCCCCCTCCGTGAGCGAACAAAATTTTTTTGTTCGCTCACGGAGGGGGGGGGGGGGGTAGTAAAAGAGGAAAAAGAAAAGGCAAAACAAGCGAAAAAATTTTACTTGGCTAAAAGAATACAATACGCAGAAATCGTGAGAGAAATATTTCCTCCAAAAACAGATCCTTTAAAAGAAATAAAATCTTTATATTCCCAACCTCTGTGAGCGAACAAAACCATCTGAAAAATTCCTTTTTTGGGTTAAAAACCAACTCTCGTGATTAGCAAAAAAGTTTTTATGAAAAATAATTCTAATATATAAGTGATAATTATTATAATGAATTCTTGAGCTAATTCTGTTTAATTTAAACAACTTGCATTTTAAAACATAAATTTTAGAATTTAAATTAATTCTCTCTCTCTCGATTTTGAATATTTTTAAATTTTGAAAAAAGCAATTATTATAACCTTTAACAAAATTTTTTTGTTTTTGATCGCAGAGGGGGGAATTAGAGAAATCTCGTCATGTTTCTATTATAAAAACATCAGAATCTACCTCGTCTTCTAAAAGCTGGAGCATCAAAAAAGACACCAGCTCTGACACTGAATCTAGAGGAAGCGTTATGAAGCGAAACTGAAAGAAAAACAGCATGATTCCTGAGCCTAAGAAGAAAAGAGAGCCTATTTATACTGACTACTTAGCTGATAAAAGGGTTTTAAGAGACATTTCAAAAACCCCTGATATCCCAATTATGAAGATGAATTTTCGTGACGATATTTTAGACGAGACAATCCCAAAGGTTGAGAGAATCTCAAGATTAAAGGACAAAGCAAATGAAATTGATAAAATTGCGAAGGAAAGCGAAGTTAAGCTAGGTGTCATAAACCCCCACAACGTGAAAAAGCTTGATTTTGCAGACCAAGTAAATGAAATGATCATAAACTCAATTAAAACGAAGCTGGTAATTTTGGATGAAATATAAATTTTCATTCATAAACCTAATAATTTATTAAAATGTTGTATATAAAAATTCTGATAATTTATTAGCATCATTTTTCATCGAAATTTGACCATGAAAATCCTGAGGCAATGACGATATTTTCGGATAAGCTTTACATATTAATTATATTCCATATCTTTAAATTTCATATTGTCTTGCCTTTCTTAATTTAAATACTTCCAATTAATTAATATAAGCTCTTTAATTTCTGTCTTAATCGCTTCTCTATTTTAAGCTCTTCTCACCAAAATGAATGATCATCGTGAATTTTATTAATAAAATATGCAGGTGTGGCTTCGACGATTCCCTCTTCTTCGTCGTTCCTTCTCCGACATGACCAGAACTCGCAACATTGGAATTTCCGCTCACATTGACAGCGGAAAGACCACGTTCACCGAAAGAGTCCTTTTTTACACAGGAAAAATCAAAGAGATCCACGAAGTCAAAGGCAATGACAAAGTCGGCGCCAAAATGGACTCTATGGAGCTCGAAAGAGAAAGGGGGATCACCATCCAAAGTGCAGCCACATATTGTAAGTGGAAAGATATCAATATCAACCTTATCGACACCCCAGGACATGTCGATTTCACTATTGAGGTCGAAAGAGCTTTAAGGGTGTTAGACGGCGCGGTTCTACTTGTGTGTGGTGCCAGTGGGGTGCAAAGCCAAACTATGACTGTGGACCGACAGATGAGGAGATATAATGTGCCCAGGCTGACTTTTATTAATAAACTGGACAGGGCTGGGTCCAACTATTTAACGACCTATAACTCAATAAAGCAAAAAATCCCAGTGAGGTCTGCCTTGATCCAGCTGCCGATAGGGCAAGAAGATACATTTAGTGGGATTATTGATGTCATTGAGAGAAAAGCATATAATTTCCAAGGAAGATATGGAGAAATCCCAACAGAAATAGCTATCCCTGAAAACATGCTAGAAAAAACACAACAAACTAGACAAGAATTGATTGAAAATTTAGCTGATGTAGACGATTTTATCGGCGACAAGTTTTTGAATGGAGAAACGCTGACAAATCAAGAAATTAAAGATGCAGTCAGGAGGTCTACAATTGCCCTTAAGTTTTCTCCTATACTGATGGGCTCAGCTTACAAAAATAAAGGTGCACAGCTCGTCCTTGACGCTGTGGGTGACTATTTGCCTAGTCCATATGAAGTAAAAAACGTAGGACTTGACCTCGACAAAGAAGAAGCCAAAGTTGAGCTAAAAATCGATCCAAAACTGCCTTTAGTCTGTCTTGCCTTCAAGCTTGAAGAAAACCGCTTTGGCCAGCTTACCTATATCCGTATTTATCAAGGTAGATTAAAAAAGGGCGACTACATCATAAACACATCCACCAAAAAACGAACCAAAATTTCTAGAATGGTGAGAATGCACTCTAACGAAATGGCAGAAATCAATGAAAGTGAGGCTGGCGACATCTGCGCATTATTTGGTATTGAATGCAACAGTGGGGATACCTTTACTGATGGAACTGTAAACTACGCAATGTCGTCTATGTATGTTCCTGAGCCTGTCATTTCTTTATCTATTAGGCCAATTGAAAAAAATGCAGGGATCAAGTTTAATAAAGCCTTGGCGAAATTCCAAAGAGAAGACCCTACATTTAGAGTAAAAATAGACGAGGAAAGCAACGAAACTATTATTTCGGGTATGGGAGAGCTGCATTTGCAGATTTACGCTGAAAGAATTAGAAGGGAGTTTGAGTTGCCAGTCGAATTAGGCGCTCCAGCTGTAAATTATAGAGAAACGATCCATGGCCGAGCTGATTTTAACTATTTGCACAAAAAACAGACAGGAGGTAACGGACAGTACGCTGGGGTCCAAGGGTACATTGAACCAATCCCAGATCTCAAGCCAGGCGAGCTTGTCCCAAGCAGATTCGTCGACAAAACTATTGGTAACAACATAGGAGGAGAATTCAAAGCTGCAATTCAAAAAGCCTTCTTAGAGTGCTGCAAGAAAGGCCCACAGGTCGGCTACCCAGTGCTTAACTTACAATATGTCCTGATTGATGGCCAGACCCACGTTGTCGATTCTAACTCAAACGCTTTTATGACCGCCACAAAGCAGTCTTTTAGGCATGCTTTTCCCAATGCGAAACCTACTGTATTAGAACCTGTTATGACTGTCGAAATTACGGCCCCTCATGACTGTCAAGCTACTGTTATTAATGGTCTCGTTAAAAGAAGAGCTCTTGTGAAGGACACTTTTACCAGGGCTGATGGGACTGCTGGGATTATTGCAGAAGCGCCACTAGCCCAAATGTTCGGGTATGCAAGTGAAATTAGAGGAAACACACAAGGACAAGGAGAGTTTTCAATGGAGTTTAGCAGACTAGAACCTGTTGACCCTGGAGCGCTTGAAGAGCTGAAGATGCACTACCAAGAAAAGGTTCGCAGAGAAGGTAATGATGATGACTAAATAAATAGAGATGACTAAATTTTAAAACTTTTTGTGGATATTGTTAATCAATTGTAATAGAAAATGGAAGAAACATACGATGCTATAGTCTTGGGAACCGGACTCACAGAATGTATCATTTCTGGCCTGCTGTCCGCCCACGGCAAGAAAGTATTGCATTTAGACCGCAACAATTTTTATGGAGGCGAAACAGCATCATTAAACTTGACCAATCTTTATAGAGTTTTCTACCCAGGCACAGAACCTCCTGCAGAACTTGGAGCTAACAGAGAATGGAACGTCGACCTCATCCCTAAGTTTACTATGGCCAATGGCAAACTCGTCAAGCTCATTCTTCATACAGAGACTGTCGCCAATAATTTGGAATGGAAATGTGTCGACGGCTCCTATGTTATGCAAGTCTCAGCTGGCGGCGTCTTTTCAAAGGCTAAAGCCAAGGTTCACAAAGTCCCTGCCACAGACTCTGAAGCCCTCAAAAGCGACCTTATGGGGCTCTTTGAGAAGCGAAGATGCAAGAAATTCTTCAAATTCGTCCAAAACTACGAGCCAAATGACCCAGCGACTCACAAAAACATGAACTTGCAGAGGCAGCCAGGCAGAGAACTGTTCGCTGCGTTTGGGCTGGAAGAAAACACTATTGATTTTATAGGCCACGCGGTTGCGCTTTATACTAGTGATGCCTTTTTGGACCAGCCAAGCCACGATTTGATAATGAAAGCTAAGCTGTACATGGACAGCATTGGGCTGTATGGGAATTCTCCTTTCTTATACCCAGTCTACGGTATTGGTGGTATCGCTGAAGGGTTTTCTAGACTTTCTGCTATATACGGAGGCACTTATATGCTGAACAAGCCAATTGACGAAATCCTATTTGGAGAAGATGGAAAAGTCTGTGGGGTCAGAGCTGAAGGTGAAGTGGCTAGAGCTCCATTGATTTTATGTGACCCTTCTTATGTGTTAAACCTCAATAAAGCAAGATCTACAGGAAGAGTCATCAGAGCTATCTGCATCCTCAATCATCCGGTTCCTAATAGTGATAATGCTCCTTCAGGCCAAATTATAATCCCACAACGCCAAGTAGGACGACGCAATGATATTTACGTTTCCTTTATGTCCAGCTCTCACTGTGTCTGTTCTGAAGGCTATTATATCGCAATCTGCAGTACCAGTGTCGAAACTGACGCCCCAGAAGCCGAACTACAGCCAGCTTACCAACTTATAGGAGATGTTCTTGTATCTTTCATTAAAGTTTATGATACCTTTGAGCCTACAGAAGACGGAAGAGCTGACAATTTATTCGTTAGCAAATCTTATGACGCCACCTCACACTTTGAAAGCGCATGCGATGACGTGCTGAACCTTTGGGAAAGAATGATGGGCGAGCCTATCAACCTAGAAACAACCCTCAGGCCTCAAGTGGCTCAGCCTCAACAAGTAGATAGTTAATCTCTTAAAATGAATAAAAATGATGGGAAAAATAAGGGATTGGCTAAAAAATATTTTTACCCGGGATTTTCTGGGATTTATTTACATTCATTTTATAGAATTTTTTTTTAAAAAAATCATTTATTTCGGATAAATCAAAATAAGAAAGCTGTCAAGTCTCGGTGGAAAAACTTCATGAAAAAGACTGAAAAGCAGCCTGAGTCACATGAGGCTGAAGAGTGGGTAAATGAGGTTTTCCAGTCCACGTTCCACACCCCACAGTTTTCAAGCGCAGATTTAATTATCAATAGTGATGTTTTCCATGGAGTACAGGATAAAAGATTAATAAAATTACTTTTGCCTTCTAAGAAGCCGTACCTTGTAGATTTTCTCAATTTTTTCCAGTTTTATTCTTCTGAAATCCTTTTTTTCTATTAACACAGGATAAAGATATTTTGGAAATCATCCCAAATGATAATTCAGCCCAGCCATTTGTGGTGCAAGTGACTTCGACCTCAATGACTAATAAAGCGAATATTACACTCAGTATAAGCACACAGCTAGCTTCAGTACTAAATATAAACCATTTGAGGAACTTAGATGTAAATGTGAGGAGGCCGGATTTAGCAAAATATGAACTACAGGCAGTGCTGGTGTCTATAAAAGATCAAAGCTTGGGGAGAGGCGAAATGTGAAAGCTTTCCCAAGCATTTAGGGACTCTGCTGTATACAAAAGCCAAAGGCTATCAAAAAATGGCGTGAGAACTGAAATAAGTGACTTAATTGTAGAAAGGAAAAGCGGCTTAAGCGGTGTTATCACAAAAGATACAAAAATCACCTATAGATCAAAATCAGCCAAAACTATATGATTAATAGAATTATCCAAAGAAATGTGGGAGCATTCCCCAAGCGGGCTACTTTACTGAGAAAAAGTGATTTCTCTATTAATGACTGCTTTTGAAAGGCAAATACTAAAAAAAACTTCTCATGAAATCACCGTCATTTTCTATTGCCGAGTCTTTATACCTATCTCTTGTGATGAAGCTTGAAGTATTGGCTACCAAGTTGACACCAAAAAAAGGCCTTATATTGATGTATATAAGGAGATTTTGAAAACTTCTGATATCAGAAACTCTTTTAAAGACGTTATGAAGATTATTAAAAGAGAAATCATGTTTTTTCCTTCACTAATTAATTGGAAAACTGACTCTGGGATAACTGGGGATGCATTTTTGCAGCTATTTCCATTAGAAAAATTCAATGAAAACTCAGAAATATTCCAAGGGTTCCACCAATCACTTATATATAATGTATCCCAGTCGCTTGCATCTTTGACTCATTATTCTACCTCTTTAGCGTCATCTAAAAATACAAACTTTCTAGAGGCTATCAATTTTACCTTAAATCGCTTGCAAACACAAGAAAACGAAAAGAAAAGCAGCTACACTGGGGCTGAGTTAATAGTAATTTCAGCTGGAAATTCAGTTTACTACACTAATAAAAAACTTATAAAACTTACCAAGGTCCGTGTATTAGCTTTTGGAGCTACCCTCGAAGTAATGTGTCTGAGGCGAAAACCTATGCACCCCACCCCTATGCTAATTTATGACGCCCAGCCTACCGTCTCTTCTATTGACGACGATTTCGACGAAGTTATAATGAGATCTGAAGAAAACAACATAAAAAACTACACCTGCCCATACTGGTTTCGGACCCATTGGTTCTACTCTTTTGTACAGCTTGAAGGCACCTGTAATCTCCAAAGTTCAGTCCATACCATCACCCATGAGCGTCCTCACAAGTTTCACCCCTTATTTAGACTCTCCACAATTCACGTGACCCTCAATAAAAGTCTTTTCCTTATAAAATCATCTGGAAATGAAAATTTAGCAATAGGGAGTTTTGACGAGCTGGCCAGCCCTAGAAGCCGAAGGACTAATGATAAATTAACGATGCCAAAAATCAATAATTCCAGCAATTCTTTATTAGGAGAACTGAATAAGCGGAAAATGAGCGAGGGCAGCGGCGATAGTATGTCACTGTCACCGAGAAGAGGCAGTGTAGAGAGTGGAAGAAGAGACAGCATGCACGATTGGTCGAGAAATAGTGAAAGAGATCCTAAGATGGGCTCTGAGCATACACATATGTCCTCGCATATATACAAAAAGAGGTTTTCCTCATTTAAAAGAAGATGGGGGCAAGCTTTTCCTGTAGTTACAGAGTTTCCTGAAAGTATTTTGGATGGGGATTCAAGCTTGTATAATAAAGATGCATTGGAGTATTATGAATCATTGTGGAATGCAATTTTAGAGCCTCTATTGTTGCCACTTACGACTGATTTTTGGCCAAGGACTGAAGATTTAGGTTCAAGCCAGCCTTATCAGTCATTTGTGTCGTCAGAACTGTCAAGAGATCAAGCAGTTAATGAAATTATTGCCCATAGACTTGATCTTGGCTTCCAGACAGTCCAAAAGCACGCTCTTGACGCATTTGGGAATAAAGTTTCTGCCCCAGACTATGCAGTCTCTTTAGGTGCTGCCTATCACCAAATAATCCCATCTACCTTTGATGACTGCAGTTTGGAGTTCAGGACCTTTTCTCCTAAAGAGCACTTTTTAAGCTACTCCTACAGTGCAGCTATTTTTGACCACATTCAAGGACTTTTCACATACTCTCCTGTTGAATTTTCTTTTAATTTCAACAAAAACTGGGACAAAAGTGACTCTTCGATTTTGGGTCATGAGCCAAGAATTGATATGAGATTTTAAATTTACCATTAAAAATTATAAAATTAATCAAAATTAGCACAAAAATTACCATAATAATTCAAGATTAATTAAAATTAACCAGAGCATGAAATACAAACTTCTTCTTCTGCGTTCGAACTAACCCTTTTCCCTTTCTTCTCTTGCAAAGGCTGGTTTGGGTCTGAATTTTCATCATTTGCAAAGTCTTCTGCAAGTTTTGTGTTAAATCCACTAGAAATTAACAATTTCTCAACGTCAACTGTAAACTTGATAGCGTCTGCCGCAGGTCTTGATCTCATATAATACATCCCAGTTTTCAGGCCTCGTTTCCAGCAGTAAAAATGCAGAGACGTAAGCTTCCCGAAGCTGGGTTCTGAAATAAATACGTTTAAGCTTTGGCTTTGATCTATAAACGGCATTCTTGTGATTGCCATATCAATAAGTGTCCTCTGAGGGACTTCCCAAATGGTCTTATAAAGTTTCCTTAAATCAGCTGAAATCTCATGAAGTTCTTGGACTGAGCCGTTATTTGCTATGATTTTGTTTTTTACGTTGTGAGTCCATTGACCTCTTTCAATTAAGTCTTTTACAAGATGTGGGTTTAAGCACACAAATTCGCCCGCAAGGACTCTACGGGTGTAGATATTGGAAGTGTAAGGCTCAAAACTTTCGTTGTTGCCTAAGATTTGGGAAGTTGAGGCTGTTGGCATTGGGGCCACCAATAAGGAGTTTCTTACCCCAAATTTGGCAACTTTGGCTCTTAAGCTGTCCCAGTCCCAGCGAGAAGAAGGAATGACCCCTCTCATGTCGAATTGGAAAAGGCCTTGAGAGATAGGGGAGCCTTCATAAGTTTCATAAGGGCCAAGTCGCTCAGCAAGCTCAGCTGAAGCTGTTAAAGCAGCAAAATAAATGGTTTCGAAAATGTCTCTGTTTAGCTGCATTGCTTCAGGACTTTCAAAAGGAAGTCTTAATAGCAAAAAAGCATCAGCAAGCCCTTGTACACCGATACCAATTGGCCTGTGTCTGAAGTTAGACCTGGCGCACTGTGGGAGAGGGTAGAAATTCCTATCAATGATCTTATTTAAGTTATAGGTCACAACTTTAGTTACCTCAAAAAGCTTTTGGAAATCAAAAACTTTTCTGTCAATCACATATCTATTCAGTGCAATTGAGGCTAAGTTGCAGACTGCAATTTCATCCTTTGAGGTATACTCGACTATTTCTGTACACAAGTTACTGGACTTAATAGTGCCAAGGTTTTTCTGGTTGGAGTAACGGTTAACATGGTCCTTAAAAAGCATATAAGGGGTGCCAGTTTCTGTTTGGCTGTCAATGATGGTGGACCAGAGGGTTTGGGCTTTAATTGTTTTTCGGCCTCTTCCTTCAGCTTCATAGCGTAGGTAGAGCTCGTCGAATTCTTCCCCCCAGACATCGCTAAGTCCTGGACACTCATTTGGACACATAAGAGTCCAGTTTCCGTTGCTTTCGACCCTTTTCATGAATAAATCTGGTATCCAAAGTCCATAAAACAGGTCTCTTGCTCGTTGTTCCTCTTTGCCGGTATTTCTTCGCAATAGTAGAAACTCAAAGATATCAGCGTGCCAAGGCTCTAGGTAAATGGCAAAGGCTCCTTTTCTTTTTCCGCCACCTTGGTCGACATATCTGGCAGTGTCGTTGAAGACTCTGAGCATAGGGACTAAGCCGTTAGAAGTCCCATTTGTACCTCTTATATATGAAGAGGCAGCTCTGATATTGTGAACGCTGAGTCCAATGCCCCCTGCGCTTTTACTGATTAGTGCACACTGCTTTAGGGTTTCGTATATCTTTTTTCTATATTTTCGAATAGTTTTATGACTAAATAGCTTTATTTTATAGAATAAGTAATTAGATGAGTGTTAAAAAAATATAAATTGATATAAATGGTATAAATTCCTTCAATACTATCATCTTGCATAGTAAGCAAGAAGCAGGAAGACATCTGGTTGTTTGGGGTACCTGAATTGAACAAAGTTGGTGACCCATGGATAAACCATTTCTGGCTCATCAAGTTATAAGTGTTTATTGCAGCTTCCACATCTCCTAATTTCCCCTTCTGCGATCAGACAAAACTTTTTGACTCTCGCAGAAGGATTCAATAAATTTCTATCTTAAATAATTTTTGAGAGCTGAAAAAATCCCAATTGCAATATTTAAAAAAAAATTCTAATTTAATTTTAATGTTTGTGTTTAGAATGCAAGCTATCTGGTAATTTAATAAATTTGACTGAGATTCATTATAAATTTTTCAAGTGTTATAGATTTCAAAAGGTTAAGTGGATCCCACAAGAAACTCTCATCAGCATATGCTGAGGCCTTTCCGCAATTTTCCCATCAATCTTCAACAAGTAGCTTCTCTCCAAAGTCTTGAATCCAAAGTAGTCATACGCGAAGTCCCTGTTAAAATCAATCGCAGCTTCAAGTACTTCTTGGTTTGCCTGTATGAACTCATAAACGTCAGTTGCTATAAGTGGCGCGGGTCTGCCCAAGCTGTCAGTCATGTTATGCAGATTATGGATCACTTCAAAGAAGCTTGATTTAGTCATTTTGTGCAGATTTGACACGACAACACGAGCAGCTAACAATGAATAGTCCGGGTGGACTATGTTCATGTAAGCACAGGTCTCAGCTGCTAAATTATCCAGTTGAGAAGTAGAGACGCCGTTATAAATTCCTTCTGAAACCTTTTTTACTACGACATCCAAGTTAATGAACTCGTGGTTTAGGCCCTCCATAAGCTTTTCTAGCCTGATTCTGATTTTCTCAGTGTTTATTTCTTGCCGCGAACCGTCTCGCTTTATTACATATCTTAAACTTATTGCAGGTTGGCTTGCTTGCCTATTGGTAAAGCATCACCGAGGATTACCTGCAGAGGATTTACCGTCTTTGCGACGACAACAGGGAGAACTTGTTTGAATTAGGATAGAAATTCACCTGGTGAGTTAGGCTCGAGCACTACCTTTCCTCTTCTTCACCGCCTCACGCCATGACACCTGTGAAGTAGGGTTCTGTGACTCCTTCTCATCTTTGCCTTGTAAGCTTTAGTGTTGAGTAGGAAGGCTATGACTTCAGCGTTATGCTGCTTGGGTTGAACGAAGGTTTTCTGCAAAAATCTCTAAAATGGTATTTCTGGTCGACTCTTGCCAAAAAGGAAAATTTCATGGCCTTCTCAGTTTCACGCTCGAAAGTTGCCTGATTGGTGTAGGCATTGTCTAGAGACGATGCGGGGCTTTTCATTTCCAGACCTAAGCCTACCTTTTCCCTCGAGGTAATCAAAATCCTGAAAGCGAACTAAGACTAGGCTCTGTACATTACCAGAATTGCTTTTCTAGCATAGCTGCCCATTTCTGGATTGACAAAACCTTGCCGGATATAATAAAATGTGCTCGAAGCTGCATTTTCAGGAGGCAATGCCCGGGTCAAAAAACCATTTTATTTATGCTTTATTACATATCTATTTCCCTCCATTTTTTAAATATATCTGAAGTATCTCGATAAGCAAATATGCATGTGTGGGTATTGGGGCAGAAAAACCGCAAAAAAATCAAAGCGGAAGAGTTTCGCCTAAGATTTGGAGGGGGATGATCGGAAGAAAAGAGATTTCGATTGGTGGAGGGAAAAATTCAAAAACCGGAATAGATTTTGAATTTTTAGGGTAAGGTTATGTTAAGACTAAAAAAAGGTTTGGGAGGCAAATAGGACTGCGAAATGGGCTTTAAAATGATATTGAGAAAGTTTTTAACTCTCCCTTTGAAATTATAATAAAAATTTAGTTTCGATTTAAAGGGTTATGAAAATTTTAAATTTTTCATAAAACAATTATTAGAATTAGTTATAAGCAAAATTTATTAATGGAAATAAGCCAAATAAATTGAGTATAAAAGTTATTTAGATAGCAATTAGCCAAAATAGGAAATTTACTATACTTGTTTCACCTAGAGAGAGTAAGAAGAATAGCTTATTTAATTGATTGGTAAGGAAAATTCAAAAAAAAACTTTATGCATTAAAGATATAAAGCTTGAAGGAATTTTATTTTTCTTTTTTAATATTGTTTTGACTATGAGCTCGACGATTGATTTTTCTTTTAAGTTTCATGCAATTTTTAAATGTAGTGTCAAATGGAATTATAAATAATAAATAAAAATTAATTTATTTTGATAGGAAGATTGGAAAAGGGTAAAGATGAATAGCACTATGATATAGATGATATATTTATCAATATTTAAAGTATATAAAAAAAATTAACGAGGATTAATTTAAAAATCCTTTTCAGAATTAAAAGTAGTGCGGATCCTTTCTCAAGCAAATCAATTTTCACAGAGATTTTAAATTTTCTCAGATTTTTTAACTTTGCAATTACTTTAATCATCTCAATGGCTCTCTCATTTCATTAAACTTACCTATAAGAACCATTTTATTCCTTCTGACGCAAAAGCCTGTAAGAAAACGATATCTATGATATTATGAATTAGCATGACAAAGTAATTGAAATTTTAAAATAGGAAAGTCTTTGCATGGCTTCCAACAAATAATTAGAGTCATATTGGAGCAATATCATATCAGCTTCAGTCCTCATTATTGCTCATAGCAATATCTGGCTTCTTCTGCTTTATATTCCTATCTTTTTCAACCTATGCTCCTTGCTGTCTTTATTTTACAACTTTATTATACTTTTCCTAATACTAAGCTTTAGTTTCTTGCATTAAAGAGATAAGCTGGCATGCTTATAGTACTTTTGAGGATATCGTTTAAAAATTTTGATCTGCTGGATTTCGTTAATTTTGTATATTAACTAGAGATGTAATAAAGATAACTTATTTAATATATTTGCTATATATTAAGCTTTTCTATGCGGAATTATATGCTACTTTGCCAGCTCCTCCCCTATTGATGCAGGGGATTAAGTGATAAGAACTTAGCCCCTTAATCCTTACGATAAAAAATATGTCAATTATCTCAAACAAGACTGAAGATCCTGATCTGCTTATTGACCGCAACGAAAACTTCGAACCTCCTTCAATAAAAAGCAACTTAGTAGCAGTTCAGTCGCTGTTCAGAACTTATCATATTCGGGCCTTATTTTCCTTAATAAAAGAAAATCTTCCAGCCTCACATTTTGAAGTATTTACTACTTTTTCGCTATTCAAAAATCATTTCAATTCTTATATTCACAAAATAATCTTAGATCATCTAGAAACGACTGGAATGCGCTTTAAACCTGAAGAAATAGCTAATAAATTATGGGTTGGACCAATCACTGATGATTTTTATAACTTTTATTACGGAGAAATAAATGAATTAAAAATTCCTCATGGGGTCGGAGTTTTAGTATCGTTTTGTTGTGTATATGAGGGGTCTTGAGAATTTGGAAAATTCCATGGAAAAGGTAGAATGATTGACACAAAAAATGGTGCTTACGATGGAGACTGAAGCCAGGGAGAAAAGCATGGCAACGGAGTTATGATATATTGAGGTGGAAAAACATACACCGGCACTTGAGCTAACAATAAAAGAAATGGGCATGGGATTTTGGAGGATTATCGAATTCGCTTTGAAGGAAATTTCGAAAATGATTTAAAAAATGGATATGGAGAGGAGCTCTATCCTGAAAAGTGATTATAAAAGGAAACTATGTAAATGGTGAATTTACAGGATATGGCTACCTTAAGAGGATTGATGTTGGTGTCGAATATGAAGGCGAGTTTAAAAATGGCTATTATCAGGGAAAAGGAAAGTTAACAAAGAAGAATGGCCGAACGTATATTGGTGAATTTTCTCATGGAAAAAGACAAGGGTTTGGGACTCTTCTATTTCAAGGTCATAAATGGGAATGTCAGTGAAACAAAGGTAACCATGTTGGTGAATACCGATTATACCCGCCAAATAAGCAATATTATCTACTTGGCTATTGAAAAAATTCTCAATTTATAAATTATATGGATGAAATTACAACAAATATCTTCCTAGGAAACATTTTAGCTGCAACTAATGAAAACATGCTTAAAGAGGTCGGGATTAAAAACATTCTCAGAGTTTTAGACAATGAGAAAGTTGACTTATTAAGTGGATTTTATTATTTTTATTTGAAAGTGAAGGATAAAGAAACAGAAGACATTGCGAAGCATTTTGATAAAGCAATCGAATTTATTGATTTTTCGGTTAATAGGAATGAAAAAATTCTTGTTCATTGCTATGCAGAGGGTAGTATACAGCCAGATCTCCCTCCTTAGGGCGTTGAACTCTGCCCTGATCTTCACTTGTCATTGTTGATTCTTCTAATGCAATAAGTATCTCATTACAGAGGAACTTTCTGAACTTCCTGATTGATTGGGAGTGATTGATGACAGTGAAGCTGAGCTAAATTCTATTATATAGCCCCAAAATATTGAAAGTGATTTTTAATTAAGCTTAAATTTATTGGATTTTAAGTGCTAAATACACATTTCACAACCTGAAGCTAAATTTTAAGGCTCCATGCTAAATGAATAACTTCCTCCAGTCAGACCTGCACCCAACTTTTAAGCTCAAAAAATTGAATGATAAAAAACACAAAGATACTATTATAACTATTTTTCACATATATATATGTTTCAGACTTATTTTAAATTTTTAGCTAATTATTATTTGGATTTCACCTTACTCTCTTCATTAGCTATGATTTTTTGGATTATCACAAATAATATTAATTTAATTCCTTAATATAAAAGGAATAAGTTATAATGTTTAGATATGCAGTTCAGATTTATTTTAAATAAATAATTCTCGCGAAGTCTGCTATTGCAATAGACTAAATGAGCTTATTCAAGTTTCCTTTAAATATATAATGAGTGATGAAGAAATAGACTATATAGAAGAAGAATTCGAAGATGACTCAATATCATTCTCAGTCTCCGCTTCTAATAGAGATTTACCTCCAGGCGTTGAGCTGAACTTGCCTCCATCTCGATACCAAACTGAAGTCAAAGCAATTAGTGAACGATCTTTTGAAGAAAGCCCATCACAGCCAACTCATGAAGAAATCAAGAAGCAAGAAGACCGCTTGGCTAAAGCCCAAAATGCACTGAATAAATTAAAGCAAGAAGAAGCTGCTAAAAAATCTCAAAAAAAAGTTACAAAAAAGCCAAATCCGCCTAAAATTCCTGCAAAGAAGCAAACTGTTAAAAAAGCACAGCAAAAAGAAAAGAAAGCAGAAGCTTTTACTGGTTTTCAGCTAGAAAAACCGGTAAAAGGCACAGAATCAGCAGCTCCTGGCGCTGCTCCATCTACAAATCTGAATTTAAATTCTCTTGAAAAGTCTCAATCATTATCAAGCTCAATTCAGCGAAAGCAAGACCAAATAAATCGAGAACAAGCCCATAAGGAGTCCTTAAACGCAATAAGACCACTTATGAACGAAAATAAAGCAAAGGCTCAAAAAGAAATCGAAGACATGAAGCAGCTTCAAAAAAATCTTATCAAGCGTGAAAGGGAGTACAATAAACCTCCCCCAGCAGAAAAACGTGAAAAAATCGCGCCACCACCACCTCCAGTTCCTCAGCCACGCAGCTTAGGTGAAAAGCGTTACAAGCTGCATCAGCTAGCTGAAAATGATACTACAGGCGGCAAAGGAAAACTATCAGCTGGCTCTCTATCAGGCTCTATGTTGCAAGCTTTAACTATCCTTTCCTCAATGATCAGCGAAGAGTTTATCATAAAAGAAGTCCAAGAAGAGCTTAAAAACACAGAAAAATCCCAAAATATTTTAGCAAGCGGAAAAGACTGCATAAGAGGAGAAATCGACTATCATGAAGAAACAAGAAAACTTTGCAAAAAATACATAGAGCTGCTACAACAGCAGCTTAAACTTAATGACTTAAAAAATGAAGAGCTTGCCAAACAGAATGAGCTGAAAGAAAAAATCAAAATTTTAGAGCCTACAAAAGCTGTAGTTAAAGGCTCCGTTTTAAATGACAGTATATTTTTGATAGTGTGCATTCCATCAAAGTATATTTGATAAATAGTTCGAAGTTTTACCTTTTTTTTAGGTCAAATGTCTCACTATCAAAAAGTTTCAACTATTTTCGACCAAAGTACACGATTATTGAACCTACACCTGTAGTTAAAGTAAACAATGGAAAATACGTGAGAGCTGGGATGATGCCACAAACAGGGATTTATGACACCATTGAAAAATTGGAAGACGTAAATGCTGATATTTTAAAAGAAAATCCTCTAGATGTAGTGATAGAAAAAATCGAGAAACAAGGGGCAAGTGTCCAAGATATTTTTGAGCAGCTGGATAGTGATAATGACAAAGTCCTTACTTTGGCAGAAATAAGAGATGGGCTGCCCAGAATCCAAGTGAGATTGACAGACCAAGATAAGCAGCTGATGATCCAAGAGCTTGATAAAAATAGTGATGGGGTGATTTCTAACGAAGAATTTATCACCATTTTAAACCCAAAACTGGCTGTACAAAAAGAATACCGAGCCATTGTAGGGAATCTTGACATAAATAACCCTATTGTATTTGAAGAAGAAATTTTGGATATGAGACTTAAAGGGAGAATGCTCAAAAAAGATATCCCAAATTTGGTAAATAAATTAAGCACAAAACTCCCTTCAGAAAAAAAATTAATTCAACAAATAAAAGATCTAGAAAAGCTGCTAAATGACTTAAATATAAAAAGAACCCCAGACACGTCGATTTCGACTCAGCTAGAAGAAAAAGTGAAAAAATATTCAGCGTTAAAAGAAGAAGTCTGGAACCAAGTAGAAAATGACTTAGCCCAGCAGTCTATGCAGGTTAATGAGTTAAAACAGCAGCTTATTGATAAAAATATTGCGACTGCACATTTAAATTCAGATGTGGAGACCAAACAGGCAGAAATTGCAAAAAAAAGCATAAAGAAAGATAAGCTAGAGACGGTTGAGAAAAAATTGGATGTGGAAAATAAGCTTATTGCAATTATTATTATTCAAGCTGGGGTAAAAAGATTTATAAATAGGATTAGGTATAGAAAAGAAAGGCTAAGAAGGGCTGCGGCTGCTAGAATAATTACAAGAAATTTCAAAAAGTTCGTAGTTTATAGAAAAAACAAGAAAAATGATGCAGCCATCAAAATCCAAAGCCTTTTTAAGATGAACAAAGCTATCAAACTGAAAAATAAGTTAAAAAAAGAAGCCGAAGAAGCTCAAGAAGCTATTTCTTCTGCAAGGAACCGAAGTAGTACCCAAAGAGAAGAAAATTGGCATAACTGTGAACAGTGTGGGAGACTTGCTGACAGGCTTTGCAAGCTCTGCAGAATCCATTTTTGTGCAAATTGCTTTGCGGGCCAGCACCAGTTTGAAAGCCACTTGTTTTATTTATTGTCAAGCTGCTCAATTGAACAAAATACAAGCTTATCAGCTTCTTACTTGTCTGTAGCCGAACTGGATGCGATTGTTGATATTAGGTATCATCTTGATTACAGGAATATTGATTTATTTGACTTTTTGAGGCAGTGGGATGAGGAAAACACTGGAGAAATTGACTATGATATTTTCAAAACAATTTTAAATGATCGAGAGCTTGGGTTTGATACGACGCATATAGCGAACTTGCTGCTGATTTCGCAGAGATTTGAAGAGCTGGATCAATGTGTAGACTATGTTCACTTGTGCCAACTTTTTAGTTCCTAGATAATATTTATAGTAAATCTTTATAAATCAAATTTATCACAATTTAAATAGAGAAATTTAATTAAAACCTAAAAATCTTGAATAGAGTACTTTTCTTATAAATAATAGTAATCTGATTGGCTTATAAAAATATTTAATCACTTATTGCAAATTAAGAAATTTTTTGCATTAATTTATTTAAAGTTAGATATGTCTGCTGAAAATCTTACTCACACCAAAGGACGCTGGACAAAGTCAGAGCACGAAAGGTATAAGCTTGCTATGGCTCAAAATTATGGGTCCTGAGCTGAAGTCGCTGAGTTTGTAGGGACAAGGTCCGCCAATCAATGCAGATCCCATCATCAAAAGGTCAACGCAAAAAGTTTTGTGCCGAAAAAGCCTAGGAAAAAGAACCTTAAGAAAGAAATTGCAGTGCAATGCTGCGTCGATTTGAGTATTTTTGATGAGTTCATTGAGAATACAGAAATTAATCTAAGCCAAGATACAGGGATTTTTGAAGAAATTGGGCAAGATTCAGATACAAGTAACACAGAAAGTGCTGAAAAAAGCGAGTTTTTAATAAGTATCGACGATTGGGATCACCATCTTGAAAGTGGTTGATTGGGGCTTTTTGCTGAATTTATAGGGAAATTAATAAAAATTTTTTGTCATGAGACATTTGCTTATAAGAGCCCGTCAAATGCAAAAAACATCAATTAAATATCTCCAAGGAAATGGCGCACCGGCAAAAATCCTAGGAGGAAAAAGCATGGACCATTGAAAGTTTAGCATTTCAAGAGTGCTAGTTTATTAGTATTTAATGAAATTAAAACTTACTCAAGATACGTAAAAAATGTATCCATTTTTGGATACTTAAAATTAAGTTAAAAGTCAAAATTTACAAAATTAAAATTTAAGCTGCTTTTAGCATCCAATTCACTATTTCTTTTATTTATTTTACCCGCAACATTAACCAGGCGCTGCCTTTAAAATCTAAATAATTTTTTCTAAAATTTACTTATACATATTCTTTTGTTCAATTATTCCATTTACACTCTTATTTAGGTCTATTACTTTTAAGAATAGTGATTTTTCTCTTAATTTTTTTGGCCGAGACTAGGTTTCCTGACTCATCTCTTTCAGGATCATTAAGCTCAACCGACAGCAAAGGTGTATGCAGTTCCTGAATATTTGTTAATCGTAATTCGCTCATAGTCTCTACTTTAAATCCATCTATCATGTCTTTATACGCTTCAGAAAATTTGGGTAATAAATATTTATGTCTTTCAAATGCCACCATGGCATCATATAACTGTATTGCTTGCTGCTTAAATAATTCGTCTACAGTTTCAGTGCCTTTTAATAGCCCATTTGCCTTGGCTTGCAATAAGTTTATCAAAGCTGCGACCAAATAGTTGTACTGGCTCTCTTGGGCTCTTGTCCCAAATCCTCCAAAAATTGACATAATAATTAAAATTATCTATTAAGCTGTAATATAATAAATTTGACCAAAGTTTTGGCTTAATTAATATATTAAAATAAGCCATTTTCTTTTAATTATGTATATAACCTTAGCAAATAATTGAGCTCAGTGTTCTTCGACAAATCAATTGGAACCTCAGGCACATCTTTATAACTTGACAAATTTAATGTTTTTTTGCTTTTCCAAGCAGATGCATGTGCCATACAAAGCATCTTCTTCCCCCAGGGTCCAGGTCCAAAAGAAGCTGACTTCCTCGCCCCACAGAATCTGCACCACTCATCTCTGCAATTTTTGTAGTCAAAATCCTCTGGTAAACACAGTCCATATTTCTGGTAAATTTCATTAGCTTGCTCTTCTGAGGCGACTTTTTTCTTTTTCCTTGGTTCTCCAGCCTTTTTTTCTTCTTCTGTTATGCTTAAATGGCTATATTTATTCCACAGCTCGCTTAGTTTTTCTTTTAGTGCTTTTACGTTTTCTTTATGCTGGGCTTTATGGGATGGATAAATTGGTGGTCGCTGCGGCTGCTTATGTTGGTGGCAGACAATGTACCTTTTGTTTAGTCGGACTATTTTTCTGGTATAGCAGCGTAAGTGGAATGCATTAGGACAGCGAGAACACTGGAGTAAGGATTTCGAGTTTCCTGAAGCTTTGCAGATCCCACAGTAATGCCAAGGACAAATGAAGCGTTTTTTATGCTTAGTTGCTAAGCAGGAAAGGTGGAAAAATTTCCCACAGTTGTTAAGTGAGCATTTGACGACGATTTCGTAGTTTTTGCCTTCTTTTTGGTGTCCTGCGAATGGTCCTTTTTTGCCACATACAAAGCAGGCAGCTTTGTTTTTGGTGCAGTCGTGGCATTTCCAGCCTAAGCGTTCAGCTATGTTGTCTTCTTCATCTTCTGGGAGATTTGAGTCGTGATTTAGGTCAAGCTCTTTATCTTTGCATTGGTCATGGTATCCTCTTTTGCATGGGCCAGCACAAATTCATCCGCAGCCTTCTTTTTCACAGTGGGCACATATGATTCCAGTCCCTCCGAAGCTTGTGATTTTTTTCCTGTTTTTTTCTTCGCCGCTTTCATCTTCACTTTCGCTCATAATTTGTGGAGAATCTGGCTTATATGCGATTAGTTTAATTTCTATTAAATATATAAACATACAATCATAATAATTATCTAAAATAAGGATAATCCTTATAACATTTTTATTAGAATTATTTATAAATATCATATTTCTACTTGATCGGTTTCTTAAAGGCCTTGTAAGCTCATTCATCCACTGCAGCGCCAGCTGTCTTGTCCCTTTTGCAAACTGTTTGGTCTGTGTAACCTGGAACAGCAAAGACGTCAGAATTTCTTCTTCTTCAATATTATGGGTTTCTATATTAGTTTTTGACGCCATGACCTCATTTACCGCCAACTCTAATTCTTGCATGAATTCTTCTCCTTGTGACTCCACCGTAAAGCTGCGGTCATTAAGCTTGGTTAATAGTCTTGACGACAGCGACGTCTGTGGTGGCAGCACTTTATTCCAAAAATTAGGGTCATCTATATTTATACTGGTATCAGACCCATGCGACACAAAAGAACTTTTGGAAAAGGAATAAGAATTTTTGATTAAATTGTAGTCAACTATTCTTGTATTGGTCTGCAAGATTTGGTCAATATTAGACTCAATGAACTGTTGACTTCTGCCTGAGTCTTCTTCATATATGCTATAAGCTCCAAATTTCAGCAGATTTTCAATTTCCGCTTTATTATCTCTTGCAAACACAGCTTGGTCAAGGCCTAGTTTTCTTGAAGCCCTTTCAAACATTTCTGCTTCATAAGTTCTTGCAGTAATCAGCCTGTATACCTGGACTTCTTGTTTTTGGCCAATTCTATGGGCTCTTGCAGTAGCTTGTACATCATTCTGAGGGTTCCAGTCACTATCAAAAATAATGACTACCTGAGCTGACGTCAAATTAATCCCGAGTCCTCCTGCTCTAGTTGATAATAAGAAAATGTCAATATTTTGTTCTTCTGTGTTAAATCTTTCTATAGAAGCTTGTCTGTCTGTAGCCTTGACTGATCCGTCCAGCCTTTCGAACTTATAAAATTTCATTCGTAAGTATTCTTCTATTAAATTCAACATTTGGGTAAATTGAGAAAAAATCAGGACTTTTTTGCCTTGGTCTTTTAGCCTGGGGAGCAGCTTGTCGAGGAGGACCATTTTGCCTGAGCTTTCGATCATGCGCTTCATTTTTTCGTCATCACTGATAAGTCCTGCAGCATGGCTTTGTTCGACACCTTTGATTAGATATGGGTGGTTGCAGCATTTTCGCAGCTGGATTTCCATATTGGTGAGCTGGGGTGTTAAGGTGCCTCTGCATAGGAAAGAACGGTTTCTTTCGTAAATGGCACGATAATAGGTTTTTTGAATATTTGTAAGCTCTACGTCGATAATGGTTTCTTGAAGAGGGGGGATTGACTTTTCTACTTCTTCTTTGAGCCTTCGGAGTAGATAAGGCTTGATGTTTTCTTGAAGCTGCTCGACTTGCTCTTTTGTTTCTAAATTTCCATATTTAGATATGGTCTTGCAAAGAGATTTATATGAAAATATTTTTTTGAAAAATTAATTTTTATAGAGAATAATGATGATACCTATAGAAAATGATGCATTTTAATTAATAGATAATAAAAAGTTACTAAGGTCAGCAAAATCTTGAGGCTGGATAAAATTCAGTAGCGACCACAACTCTTCTGTGTTATTCTGGAGAGGAGTCCCAGTCATCAATACAAATCTCCTACAAGGAAGTTCTCTTAAAAAGCTTAAAATTTTGGCTTGTTTGTTTTTCAGCCTATGAGCTTCATCAATAGCAATTAATTGCCATGGGATATCGACAAAGAATTTGTTGTAATCTTGCATGAAGACTTCATAGGAAGTGACCATTATATGGAATTTCACCAGTTTTGATTTTTCGCTGACTCCTCCTCTTTTCATTATGTCTATATGCTTTTTCGCCTAAAAAAAAATTTTTTTCTATTAAGCTAATTATCTATTTTATGTAAAAAATTAAAATAGTATTACAAGTAAAAATATGAGGCTTATCATTATAAACTTATAATAATTTTCATATTTATTGCAGAATTCTCTGCCTTCTGAGCCATTCGGGTCATGATAAACCACACAGTTCAGCATTGTCCAGTCTTCTACTGTCTTTTTCCAATGTGCAAGTGTCGAAAGGGGTGCTATAGCCAGATACGGGCCTCTTAATTTATAAGAGTTTACTAGTGTATTAATAAAACTTACAATTTGGACTGTTTTCCCTAAGCCCATTTCGTCAGCCAAAATGCTATTTCTTTTGACGCTTCAGTTTCGAAGCAGCCAATTTAGCCCAAAAACTTGGTACTCTCTGAGGTGTTTTCCGTCCTTAAACCCAGGGGACATAATAAATTGCTGGATTTGGGTCCTTGAATCAAAAGTAGGGAAGTCTATAGAGTCCAATAAATGGATTAACTGTGAATTTCCATAGCCTCTATATCGCTTATTTGCCTCATCTGCAGCGAGGTAGCCCATAACTTTGGTAAAGTTTGTGTTTAAATCAGTCATTTCTTGCCGCGCTTGTGTGTCTAATGCACGGTTAAACCTATAGTAATCAGAAATTTTGGCGGCGTTATTGATTAGGCTTTCTGGTTCCCATGTGGAGTCTTTATATGATATTCATATTTAAATCAATAGAAATAACTTTTTTCTATTAAAAAAGAAGCTGATTTTTGTGTGCCAATACATATGATTTACTATAAATTTTTCCATTTGACGAGGAACAGCTTATCAGTCTCCCCTTCCAGCTGTATCTGCGCTAGTTCTTCTTGAGACAAATGCTGCTCATTTAGGTTAAAATCTTCTTCTTCGTCTTGCTGGGTGAATTCTTCAGCTTCTAAATCGACTTGAAGAAACTCTGGACTGGTCACGTCATAATTGGGAACCAAACTGACCCATTTGAGCGTGTATCGCCCTGCATCAGTCGTGCTGCCATGCCAGAGTTTGTAAAGGTGAACTGACAGCTGCCTCAATGTGTCCCCAATGATCCTGATGTCCGCTTCTCTATCTTGGTTAAACAATTGGCAGTTTTTAAAGACAAAGCCCAAGTCTTTCCAAAATTCCATGGGCAAGGTGTAGTAGCCATTGTATAAGCGATTATGGATAGTTACAAAGTCCACTGGGTACCTTACTTTCTTGTAATACTCAGTTCCACCATTGACTGACTGCTCAATAGGGTATAAGAAAGGTATAGCGTAGCAGAATTCATTTCTCCTAAAATTCATAATTTTGCTAACTTTTTGATAGTATTATTTAGAGTTATATTGCAAAAAATCTATAGAAAAATCGACTATTATGGTCACTCTTTATGGTATTTTTTATCATCTTTTAAGGGTTAAGAATTCCTGCACATTTGCCTTGCCACCGCTCAGTTACGAGAGCTGCCTGTCGGGGATGGACAACAGGGAAGATTTCTGTGGTCAATAATACCCGGTCGACGTCTGTAAAGGCTGGGTCAAAGAATTTGCCTTCTTCTTCAGGAAGTCGATTCATGCGTTCCCTCAGGAAGCGATTGAGCTTAAGTTTGCCATTGCGACCCTCGGAAATGATTTCCTCCTCAGTGAGCCATTTGAGGTGGATATATGAGCGGTCTTTGTATTTGACGAGGTACTTTTCATTTGAGAAACCGAGGATTTGGTCAATGGGTGGATTAAGGAAGACCTGTCACTCCCGTCCTCTATTAATAAACAAAATAATAAATTCTTTTTTTTGAAAATTAATAAATAGTTTTAAAATTATATAAATAAACTCATATTTTTAAAAAATAATTTATACCGCAAAATAATTATGCTCATTTTCTGAAGGGAAATTCAGGTTTCCAGTTCAGAAGTCTCTTCACCTGCTATCTCGTCTTCGCTATCAGAGTCTATCTCAGTGTACCTGTGTAGTTGATTACTTCTTTTGAGGTCTTTGTCTTAAAGACCTACGAGTTGAGCTGACCTGCGGTTCAAACCCGCCATAGTCAGAATTATCGTCAGAGCCAGAGTAAAAGCTCATCCTCTTTACAAATATGAATTAATGGCTCGCAAAGCCCCTGAAGAGATTTAGATAAACTTGCTTAAGTTTATGATTTTACGAGCTGTGAGGTGCACTGGAGAATGTGTTAATTCTGGATACCAAAAATCATTATTTTTTTTTTTTTTAAAAAAAAAACTGTTTTCTTATTCTAATTTTTATATTAATTCAACAACTTTAATTATTTTTATTATCAAATTTTCCTAAAAATCATTTTTCCTTATTTCATTTTCTCAGTGACTTCTCCTTATTACTGCTTTGTTTCAAGCCCTCATAGAACACTGCACAGAAAAAAATTGAAGAGAAGAGTTATTTACTTAATTTAAAAAATCATAAAATGGAAGACTTTATGAGTCGCTGCATAAGTGGGTCAACTGAGTATGTAGCAGTCATACTCAGCAGCCGCTCTCCAGATCAGCCTGTCTATCTCTACCCATTAAACGCCTCAATTGCTTTTACAGTCCCATTCCCTATAGTGAGTTTCCAAATTCTGTCATACCCTAACTGTAAAGTGGCAGTAGATTTATTATACCCCAACTTTTATCTTGCGATAATAATTCCTACAATTTCAGATACAATTCTTACGTCTGTATATAAAGAAGCTTTATTTTGAATAAAAAATATTTACCCTTTTCCTGACAATTTTCCATGTGTAACAGATGAGCTTATTAGTGAAAGGACGCCTAGGAGTGGCAGAAGTGGCCGCATGAGCCAAAGAGACTTAATGACGCTTAAGCTTGATATGAATGACAAGCTGAAAAAAGCCCTGGATCCGGTCTTTATTTGTTTGTTTTATAAGGTTTATCCATATATGCTATATGAAGATGAAGATTTCTCGACGTCTCCGATTATTTATCCACAGGTGTGTTTACCATTGGCACTAGGCTGCAGTTCTCTTGTACTGCCAGTTTCTGTTGAGGTGAGGATGGATATCCAAGATAGTTTGAATTTATTATATTTAGATAAAACTGTTATTGTGCATGAGATTTTGACATTAGATTCCCCATCTGCTGTTATTACTTCAGTTATGTTTATGTATAGAGGGTGCACTATTATAGGAAACCTATCAGAAAGTGATACAAAAGAGGTCATGAAGCTGTATTACGCTAATACTTTGTTTATCAGAACCAACACGTTCCCGCAATTTACCCTTACGAATAAAATAAAAAATGGAAAACAAGAAAAAGTTATTGCATTAGTCGCTGTAAAAGCAGGGGTTTTATGTATTGTACTTCAAGCTTTGACTGATGGCACGGTAGACTATGACCCATGGTTCGTAGATAAAGGTTTAAGGGTTTGTAAAGAAATGGACGACAAAGGAATTTTCGAAAAACTTGAAGAAGAGTACCAAAAAAAAATCATCAAGCCAGAGGTAAATGAACATAAAGAAAAGTTTTTAAGAACATTTGAACAGCAAGTTATAAGGAAGTCGAGGTCTGTCGCAAGTTCTCCTATTGGCTCTCCTAAATCAGTGACAGACGAAAAAGAGACTAAAAAATTCCAACCAACTTATTTCCCTGAGCACGATATTGAGGTATTTCACTATGTTTTGGCTGATTATAAAACTAAGCGTTTAAATGTGTCTCCTATAAAAGGCTCAAAAGAGTGATATTTAAACGTGATCCGGCCACTTTTTTGCCACTATTCTAATTTGTATGAAATAATGCTGGCAAACCCTAACTTGGAGTACCATGAAATTAATGTAAATTTTGACAAAGTTCTTGACAGTCAGCAAATTGCAGCTTGTCGACATGCAAACTCGATTTTATTTTTGCATTACATAGGAGAGCCTGTAAACCTCAAACAGTTTGCATTTCAGCTTTCACAAAATTAATTTATTATCCTATTTATTAGAATAAAATCCTAATTCATCTAAACTAATTCATAAATAAGCTTTTTTAGCTTATATTAAATCTAACTCCCCCCCTTTAAATTGGAACTAAAAATTTTGTTCCAATTTTAAAGGGGGGGGTAAGAAAATTTTTTAAAAAAAAATCATTATAAAATTTTTTATAAAAAAAAATTTATATAAAACTTAAAAAAAAAAAAATTTCAAAAATTTATCGAATTAGATTAATAAATTTGTTTAATAAAATGCTATTTACTCTTTATCCTTTAAAACAAAGCAAGATATAACTAAAATTTTTATTATTAATTAATACGCCAATATTAATTGGTATCAAAACTATTTACACAAAAATTATTATTTTTATTGATAAAAACAATTTTTTAGATAATTTATCGATCAAAGTGCTAATTTTGTTTAAATAAGATGTTATTTATACTCTATTCTTTAAAATAAAGCAAGAGATAAGTAAATTTTGAATTTTTGTAAAGAATTCGTATTGGATTTATATCAAAGCTATTTATATAAAAAATATCATTTTTATCAAAAAAAAACAATTAAATTTTTTTTAAAAATTTACAATTAAGGATAATAAATTTATTTAATAAGATGCTCTTTATACTCTATTCTTTAAACAAGAGCAGGATATAACTAAATTTTTAATTTTAGTTAAGAAGAAACATTTTAAATTTATATCGAAACTTTTTACATAAAAATTATATATAATTTTTTATTATAAAAATTAAATTTTGTTACAATTTAAAGGGGGGTTTAATTTACCAAAAAAAGTGGAAAATTTTACCTATATTTTGTTCCAATTTAAAGGGGGGGGGTAAGAAAACTAAGGCACCACGATGATTCAATATTTACGAAATAAAGTTTCATAACTCAGCTTAAATTCAAACAATTCTTATAAGAGCTTTAGTATAAGCCAGTTTATATGAAGGAGATGTTAAACTACTTAGCGAAAGTTAAAAGTCCTTTCTCTTTGAAAAGTCTGTTAAGACATCCATCAGCGAATCCTTGTCTTCTGACTCTTCCTGAGATGCAAAACGTTTGGTTTGTCTTGAGGGCGACTCCATCTTCGTTCACATCAGCTATGTTTAATTGAACGCTTGAATAATCGCTAGGTCCGACAAGTCTGTTGGTTGCAGAGCATTTTCTTGGGATGTAAAGATCAACTATCTTTTTGTCCTCGTTCTGCATATTTATGGTTAATTATGGACTTATGCCCAAATAAGCATTTTTAGAATTATTCAACTTTTAATTTTACTTATTCATTTTTTCGATTGATTTCCTGGCTTCTTCATCAATTGTAAGCCTGCATTCTAAATTCAGCTTGTGCATCTCAGGGGTTAAAGGTTTCGGGTTATCTCTGAACATATGAATACGCTTGCGAGACTTCACAAATACATTGGCGCCGGAGTAGCTATCTCTCATACTGATTTCTTCAGAGTCTCTGGACGGGATTTCTGGAGAAAATTGGAAATCAATGACTTGTTCTTCTGAGGACTCTACGCCTGCTTCTTGTTTGGCTGGAGCTTCTACTTTGATAGCAGGGGTTTTTATCATTATCATATCCTCTTCTTCTTCAGGGAATTTTATGTCAGGTTGTAAAGGCTCATTTATATCTTCTTGAAAAACAAATAAGTCATCTACACAGATTTCTTTAAGTTTTTTAAACTTAGGCTTTTTATCATTTGGCAAAGGCGAAAAATCTCTTTCTTCTAGCTGGTTTATTTCTTTGGCAATTTCCTCAATTTTTATAGGAGAATGAATTGTCGCCCTGATTGGCTCAAAAACGGATATTGGCATAATTTCTAAGCCAAGTGACGGTCTGGATACTGAGGTTTGGATTGAAAAATTTTCAATTTTAAGCTCTTCAGCCTTTTTCGGCTTTATTGAGTGCACTAAAGGGATTTTTTGGATTCCCAAGCTTGGCCTTGGTGGGGCGTCTTGGATTATTTTTTCTATAACAGGTGGCTTTTTTGTTGGCCTAAAAGAAGCGACATAGGGAATATTTTGGATTTCCAAGCTCGGCCTCATAGGTGAAATTTCAATAGCTCCTATGAAGACTTCTTCAGTTTCTGCTTCTTGCTTCATTTTCGTTGGAGCAAATTCAACTTTTTGAATTAGCTCTTCTTCGATTGCTTCATCTTGCTCCTCGATTTTTGGCCTTTTTGTTTCCTGCTTTTCTATTGGTGCTATTTCAGCTGATTTATTTTCGTCTTCTGAATATGTGCTGTTTTCATCAGCACTTTCTGTGTCTTCAGCTCTTTTACGCGTTTTAAGATTTTTTACCATCAGCTTCCGTTGCTTTAAGTACTCAATTACCATTTGCGTTCTGAGATCTCGCACTGATTCTTCTTCAAAAACCGTCTCACGCTCGTTGCAGCCTCCCATGATTTGTAAGAAATATGAAATTTTGATAGCCAAATATTTTATGTTATGTGGGTGCTTTACTCCTACGACGTTGGAAGTATTCCAGGAAATTTATAACAGCTAGGGATTATTTTTTAATAAAAATTAGTACAAAATTCATATAAAAAAGAATATAAACACAGGAACCGAAACATTTGGTTTTCCAGTCCCAGAGAAATTTTTGCAACAGAGCTGTATAGGCTATACTGATATTTTGGATCTATTAATTGAATATCAAGCTTATGTAGACAAAGAAACAATACTCAGTATTTATGATCAAGAAATATGCGCATATAGAAAGCTCAAGAAGGATTCTATTATTGATATTAGTAACGATGAAGATATTGAGATATCCTGCGTTATATTAAGCATAATTGTTTTGCTTCATAAAAAAAGTATTTACTCCCCCCCCCCCCTCCGTGAGCGAACAAAAAAATTTTGTTCGCTCACGGAGGGGGGTTAATTTTTTTTTTTTAAAAAAAATTTATATATAAATTTTATAAAAAATATTTTTTTCGAAATTTAAAAAAATCCTAATTTGCAAAAATTGGGAAGCAAATATTAATTTAATTTGCAAAATTTATGTTTTAAAACGCAATTTGTTTAAAATTAAACAGAATTAGCTCTAGATTTCATTATACTAATTATCACTTATATATCAAAATTTTTTTCCATTAAAATTTTTTTCTATTAAAAAAATTTTTGTTCACTCACGGAGGGTGGGTTTTTGGTCAAAAAATGGCGATTTTTCTAATGGTTTTGTTCGCTCACGGAGGGGGGGGGGGGAGTTAGGCTTACATATATATTTATTTTAATTAGCATACAAATAAAAAACTCAGAAAAAAGCGAAATCGGCCATTTGCTTTATAGAGTCGCTGATATAGAAGACGACATATGAAACCTAACTGTCCAAAAAAACGTAGAAGAAATAATCGAGCCAGTCGCTGAAAGAAATGCCGAGATTATTGACATATGCATGCTTTATGCTGCACCATTAATTTTGAAAGATGGAGCTTTCAAAGTCAAAGAATGCGATAACTGGAACTTAGACTTCAACGCAGAAAGGCGAAAAATCCTTGACGCTTTTGAAAGGAACCAAATCTACGCATCAATCCGGTTTGAGACTGCCACTCTGCAGCATTTAAGCGAAATTTTAGAATGCAAACCTAAAGTTATCCATATAAGTTGTCATGGTTATTATAAGAAAAACAGGTCAAATGAATTTGTCTTGGCTTTTGAAGACAGTGAATGCTTAGGAATGGTCGACGAAGTTGACAGAAGCAGGCTGAAAAAAATACTCGAGCCTTTTTCTCAGTATTTTTGTATTGTAATCGTAAGTGCCTGCTTTTCCCAAGCAATCGGCAACGTGTTTTTAGAAGCTGGCATAAAATGTGTCATCACAATCCATGACCAATGCAAAATATTAGACGACGCCGCTATTGAATTTTCTTCAAGCTTCTACCGAAATCTTCTGATGGGCAGAACTATAAATGACTCTTTTTTAGAAGCCAAAAACAGCGTGAAAATTGGCATGCACAATACTTGCTGCTGTGCCCATAACCATAAAAGAAATTGTTTATGAAAAGGAAGTAATAATCATAGATCTCACAGTCCTGATGAAAGCTGTGGGTGTGAAAGAAGACTTTATGACGCTCGGCATAAGATTGACTGTGAGTGGGGAAAAAGATTTACTATAAAATTCAATAATACGAGGATTCCGACTGAGGCAGAAGTTAGGGAAGGGTCATGGGTCATTTGCTGCTGCTCACAAGAGGTACCACATCATGAGGCTATGAAATTTAAGCTGCTTAAAGCTGATGAAGAGTCGGCGAATTTAGTACTTTTTTCAGGAAGAAAAGAAACAGAAATAAAAGAACTCTGTGGATTTGAGCTGAAATTTAAGCCACCGTTGGTAAAACAGAAAATTATAGGAAGAGGTGATGATATTAGGAAGCTGCTAGACTTAACAAAAAACAGCCGAATTGTGTTTGTGTATGGGAAATCTGGTATGGGAAAATCTTTGCTTGTAAAAAGCGCTTCAATTTATGCCTGTGAGCGGCGACTTTTTAAGCATGGTGTCATCTATATTGACCTCCAAGGAAAATGTAACTCTAGCGCTATAAATACAACAATCGCACAGAGCTTGAATATTTCTTGAGAAAAAAGCAAAGAAGAGCTCGCCAGAATTATTGATTCGTTGCACGTATTAATTATTCTTGATAATATAGGAGAAAGTCTAGCTCATTATACCTTGGGCACGCTTTCAGCGTGCCATAAACCTAAAAATACAGGTCAGATTTTTCTATATCTAATAAGGTGCTAAACACAAGCCAAGCTATACAATGATAAAGTGAAAAACAAAATTCGGTCACTGATAGAAAGGACACAATTTCTAAAATTTTGGGTCGTCAGTGAAAAGCCTATTGATCCAGACCACAAGGCGAAAATTGAGGTCAAAGAAATGTCGAAATCAAATGCTTTAAAAGTTTTGCATACAAATCCTGAAATTTGTCATAAAATTGCTAACTCCCCCCCCCCCCTCCGTGAGCGAACAAAACCCATTAGAAAAATCGTCATTTTTTGACCAAAAACCCACCCTCCGTGAGTGAACAAAAATTTTTTTAATAGAAAAAATTTTAATGGAAAAAAATTTTGATATATAAGTGATAATTAGTATAATGAAATCTAGAGCTAATTCTGTTTAATTTTAAACAAATTGCGTTTTAAAACATAAATTTTGCAAATTAAATTAATATTTGCTTCCCAATTTGTGCAAATTAGGATTTTTTTAAATTTCGAAAAAAAATATTTTTTATAAAATTTATATATAAATTTTTTTTAAAAAAAAAAATTAACCCCCCTCCGTGAGCGAACAAAATTTTTTTGTTCGCTCACGGAGGGGGGGGGGAGTAAGGATTTGGACAAGCTGTTAAACGTAGTTAAAAAGTCTCCATCAGAGCTTCTCCAAAGTTTGCCTTTATTGCAAGATAAAACAGTTGATGAATTTATAGAAGAATACACAAACAGCCATACAATATTAGGGAAAAATGAAGATAGTAGGGCTGTATATTTATCATTGACGTATTTAAGGAATCGGAAGCCTGAATCTTTTGAAATTATCAATTTGCTATCTATTTTTCCTTCAGGAGTCTTCCGAGAACACCTTGGGCTAATCTGCTTTAAGGTAACTAAACATTGGCATGATGCATTACAGCTGTTAGAGTATGAAGAAGGCGAAGAATGGCTTGGAAAAATAAGGCTAAGTGATAGTAATATTTACTATGATAGCTATAAAGGATATGACAGCCCTATGAAGCGCCAAAAAATATTTTCAAGCTCCAACGAAAATCTCCTCTCAGCAGGCCACTCCACAAAAATTTCAAATTCTCGAAAAAACTCCTTTATCGGCTCTTTAAATGAAATAGTGATAGTTTCAGACAAAGTCCAAAACTATTTAAGGCACGAACTGCTGAATCAGCCATCTTCTATACAAAATATGTTTATAATCTGTATGGAATATTTGGCAAGCCTTTCTAGAGCTCTAATGGAAGCTATTAGTCAAGTCCCAAATATAGCATGTTCAGCTACAATGAAATCGGTGATAAATTCGAATGCTTTATCACCTGTTTCTACCTGAAAACTTTATTCAAACCCAGACCATGATGAAGACATTTTTGCAAGCGTCACTAATTCTAAGCTACTGCCACAGGTTTTATTTGAAAACATGAAGGCTAATTTTATGGAATTTATTAATGAAAATAATATTAAAACAATTTTTCATAGCTACAAACACCCTAAACTAGGAAACTTGATCTTCGAAATCAGCCAATGCACAATCTGCACCTTGTTTTTATTAAGAAAAAAAAAAGAAGGTTTTGCAGTTCTGAACAGTGCCAAAAAGTGCTTAAAAGCTTTTGCCATTGACGATTCTTTGAATTTCAAATTCAGACTGACCTGGAGTTCAATGAAATTAGCCTATGAAAAAGAAATCAGGATAGAAAGGGTTAATAAAGAAATCGATAAAGCAAGGCATTATTTTGAAGGACAGAATATTAAAGACTCTTTATCTGAGTGCTATTTATTAAAAGCTATGGCTACGATACAATCTAAAGGAAGTCTAAGATTTGGGGATATAGAAGAGCTGTTTAAAATAGCTAGAAATAACTGTGAACCAGAAAATGACTGGCCCAATAAACTAGTTTTAGCTAGAATTAATTTAGCCTACTGCAGATGGGCGCATTCTTTTAATGTTTTTCATGAAGAAATGATCGATTTTCTCACTTTTTCAGGGAAAATTTTCAGCGAGCTTAATTTAAAAGCTCTTGAGGAAATAAATTATTATATTTTAGGGGAAATGTATTTTTGCAATGAAATGTTTGTAAATGCAGAAGAAGTCTGAATGAAAGTCCTAGATATCGCAAAATTGCTAAAGGACAGAAATAAAGAAATTGAAATAAAAGAAAAGTTAAATTTAATTTTTGACAGGATAAAAAGGAGGACTAATAATGTGATCGTATTACTGAGGGCTTATCCATTGGTAACTGTGGATATAGCTACAGGACATTATGGGGCGGATTTTATTATATCAAGCTATTTTGCGGAATTTAAATCAAGCTTGCTTATATTATTTTGGCTATAAGTAGCATATTTTTAGGTAAAAAATAATTTAATATCAATTAAATATATCTAGCTACAATGAATATCCGTTATTATAGAAAGACCACAAGAATATTTTATATTTATTTTAATATGATATAAAAAAACATAGAAATCTTCAAAGGAAAAATAAAAGTTTTTTCATTAAAAGCGACATAGGGACACGCGAAAATTTTAAAAAATATATTAAAGAAGGATGCAGAGTTTTGCATTTTTCTTCAAATATGCCTCAAAAGGATGCAATTGTGCTTGAAACAAATCGATTTTATGCAGATCCTATAAGGGTTTCTGAGATGGATCTTCTTTTTGGTCCAAGCTGTGAAAGGCCTGGGCTTGATTTGATAGTATTGGCTATGCCGTTTTCAGCAAAACTTGGTCTATATTTAAATACTCAATTAGGAATAAGCCATATACTATGCTTTGATTATGAGGAATTTCCTATTTATAAGCATATAGTGCAGCTTCAAATGATGTTTGAGAGGGCAATTGAGCTATTCTGCGAAAATTTTTATATTTCTATATTATTTTAATAGGTTTTTCATAAATATTTATGATAGCAGAGGTATAATTTTATATAAAAAAAGACCTGATTTTCCATATATTAAAAAATATTCATTATAAATAGTATATCATAGAAGGCAACACATTATATTCAGCCTGAGAAAAAAGCAAAAACATCAGTGATAATTTTATTCGTGAAAACAAAATTTTATTCCAACACCTCACTCCCCCCCTCCGTGAGTGAACAAAACCATTAGAAAAATCGCTAGTTTTGCCCAAAAACCCACCCTCCGTGAGTGAACACAAAACTTTTTTAATAGAAAATTTTTTTTATGGAAAAAAAAATTGATATATAAATGATAATTAGTATAATGAAATCTAGAGCTAATTCTGTTTAATTTTAAACGAATTGCTTTTTAAAACATAAATTTTACAAATTAAATTAAATTTGCTTTCCAATTTTTGCGAATTAGGATTTTTTTAAATTTCGAAAACAACATTTTTTATAAAATTTATATATAAATTTGTTTTAAAAAAAAAATTAACCCCCCTCCGTGAGTGAACAAAATTTTTTTGTTCACTCACAGAGGGGGAGGGGGAGTCAGCGGAATCTCAAAAAATCGCCCAAAACTTTATCTTGGAAAAGGCCCGATTTTAATAGGCAACGGCAATGTCGCATTATTCAGAAATTCCATTCATAACATCCTATCAAGCGAATCTTTGCTCAATCCAGGCAGAATTCTAGATATGACTCATCCAACCCCTCCTACCAATATAAATAAAAAGAAAAATCATTTAATAGGTCGCCATAAGCTTATGTTTGAAATTATCCAAGAGCTTTTTGATAAAAAAATCGTCCATATAGTCGGACAAAAAGGTGTAGGGAAATCAAGACTTGCAAAGCAGCTGATGAGCTTTGTGAATTCACGGTATATATATAATGATGGGACGTTTTGGATTAGCTTGAAAGACCAGAACAGTTTTGCGAAGTTTTATGAGTGCTTGGAAATATACATAAAAATGGTGACGACAGACCACCCGACCTTTCGACCCTATTTCTTCAAAATCAGCAGGCAACGGCCCAGTGCTGGAGAATTAGGTGGAAAGGGGCCGGCAATCCTTTATGTATAGTCGGGCTGGGTTTTCTTTGGGCCCGAGGAGCTAATTCTCGGACTTGAAGTTTTTCATCCAGTCCAGGACAACCATTGGAAAGGGTAAGGTCGGCCAATGTCTGAGGGCAATATGACCCTCAGACCCTGAAGACGGTATTTGCCCTACGAGAAACTGGGAGTTTCGACCCAGGTGGTTGGCCCTTAGACTCCAGAAGCAATGGAAGTCAAGACTGGTCGTGCGAATCACTTGTTTGAGGCAACAAGGAGGGTGTCCGCCGAGGCTCCTCTGGGGCGATGAGCGTGTAGGGGTGAAAATCCCCGGCCCTGCAAGGTAAACGGCTTAACTTAATCTTAATCTTAATGAGTGCTTGGAAAGAGAAGGGTGGGTTGTATCTTTAGATGAAAAAAATGAAAAAAGCCTTAATCTCAGTTTATTTAGTTTACGTTATTTTGATGCTGATTTCTCAGCATTTCTCTATTTGAATTCTTATAATAGAAAAAATAGACAAAAAAAATTTTTAAGGGAAAGAGTAAGAATAAAAATATTTTGCTGATTTTGGACGACTGTGACGAGGTGCTTAAAGAAGCAAATCATCAGTTTTCAAGCTTAATAGAGCAATTATTGAAAGTATATAAATTAAGTTTGGTCATTACAAGTCGCCAAGTCTGTGTAAAGTCTCCTTATACGAAAATAGAAATCAAGCCTCTAGAGCCATTTGAATCAGCATCTATGCTTTTAGCATGCCTTGATAGAAGTTTATCTAGAAAAGAAGTGATCCCTTATAATGTTGGGTGAAGAAATTTTCACATCTTTTTTATATTTTTTATTATTAAATTAAGGAAAAATAATGTTGGGAATAGCATTTCTCAAGATCTTTTGGAGTCAAATTTGCTTATACCTATCCAAAACCAATAGAAAATTAAAATTTTTATTAGCTAAATTACAATTTTAATCCTAAAAGGTATAAAGAATGCATGAATTTGCCAGCAAAAATAAGAGAACTCGCCTCTAATCTGCGTATTGAAAGTTTCACAGATCTAGAGTTCAAAAGAATAAGATCTTTAGAAGATCAGCCCACAATTCCAAGTACTATTAGATATCACTCAGAAGTAAATCATAATGATTCTGTATCTGATGAAGAAGAAGAATGAGAAGAAGAGCTAGCTTGGAGCATGATTGACAAAAAGTCTAAAAGGAAACGCTACCCCGGCGTCCGGAGACAAAAATCTAATTTTAATAGCATTATTAAGCTTTAATTATCAGAAATCCTATCAATTTTCTTAATAAAAGGCAATAAATCAGATTTTAATTAATTAATCAATCATTGACTCAAATGATATGGTTTTTGACTCTAACGTAAACCTATTCACAAGCACAATATTATGCCCAGGGCTCGAAAACCTCGGGACAGCAACCAGTTTAACCCCATCTTCCATTCCTGTCTGATAACTCCCTAAATTCCCAACCACATACAAGTGTGGCAAATTATCCAAAATAAACGGGTCTTTATCCTGCATAGGGATACACTGCAGTGCATCTGGGGCATTTGCCGCTATATGTCTATGCTTCACATTTAGCGCCATAAGCTCAGCAAAAGTCTTATCAGGCGGCGCATAATGCGAATACATAGAAATATTTTGTCCAGCCGTACACAAAATTCTGCATTTATCAATAGTAAATTCATAAGGATTCGGAAAAGACTGCAAGGCAGAATATCTGCTTGCTATAGGGAATAAATAAGGATTTAAAGGCTGCTGAGGTAAAGAGCAGTTTGAAGGGTCCATTTCTCCAGGAATAATGTCAACTGGGATAGTCCCTGCTAGTTCAGCTAGAAAAGTGTCAAGAAATTTCAAGGATTCGTTAATTTCGGTAAATCCTCTGATGACTTGGTCACCTATAGCTTTTCTATCGACAGTCCATATACATAAAATGGCGTATGGCGACCGACCCACCCTCTCAGTGGTGGTTACCCATGTATATCCGGGCATGGTTTTTGGAGCCAGGAATTAGCCCAACAACGTCCGGGACCTCGAAGCGAGAGGCCTAAGCGCGAGAACCGCTGTTTTTGCGACCAGACCCATGGGCAGTTATTCGTGACTTCTTTTTGCCAGCAGCGCTCAGCCCAGTGAGTGCCCGAAATGAGGCAGGGTGAATTACCTGCCTAAGCTGCTTTAGTGGCTCGCCCCGAATGGCGAAAGCTGTTGAGTTCTTTCTCGGGATGACCGGAAAAGAGGGGAGGCGAGTTAGACACCAAAACGGGGGTCTCTCCAGTTGAAAAGGTGCCCTTCAATGGGCAGATCTGGCGGACGACGAAGCGGAGTTGGCGTAAACTTAGGCGACGATCCAAGTTGGAAATGGAGGTGGTCAGCAAAGCCGGTATAAGACGGCCCTTGACAATGCCTCTACCGAGAAACCGGGGGTTCGGCCCGGGCTTGGTGAACGCTCTGCCACCACACGGGTAACCGTGGCATGCGACCTCGGACGTAGTAGGGGACCTTAAATACCCAGCGTAATCTTAATCTTAATCTTAATCTTTTCTATCGACAGTCCTGGCTGTGTCTGGCTTATATATTGAATCACCCAAAATGACCAGTCTTACAATTTTACTAGCCTCATCATAGGACTGAGTACCTAAATTCCCTTGTATAAATTGAGCTAGGAGATGCAGAAGAATCATATCATAATAAGGACTACCAATTTCTAAGCCTGATACAAAGCATATATACTCCTCACCTGCTTTTTCTAGTGGAAGTGGCCTGTCTACTTGTGGGTAATATAGAGAAAGGGTCTCGAAAACTGCGTTTTCTCGCAAAATTCCATAAGCGGCTACTACAATTCCAGTAATTAAGTCATTTCAGTCACTTTCTGAGTTTCTAAAATCCAATAAAACCCTTCCGCTTTCGTCCTCTAAATAGATTTCGTCTTTTTCAGAACAAAAACTCCCAAAGCAGCTGGGACGAGGCTCCAAAGTCCCAACTTTTGCTATATATTTTTCTATAATAGACGGCCTTGTTTTATGGTTTCTCACAATGACGCCTGAGACTATGCAAACATTGTCTGGCTTTAGTTCCATTATTTGGTGCAGAATTGGAACATCCCGCTGTGCTTTTGCAGTATCGATTGATCTCCAATGTAAAGCATTGAGTCTTGATCGGTATAAGTTGAAATATTGGGCTGTGAAGTCGAGTTTTGACTCAAATCGTGAGCCGAGAAATTCGTAGGAGTAGCTGATAGATCTGCCTTTCGCGGGATTTGACATTTTATTTAGAGGCAAAGCGGGACATATTTGCGAACTGTTTAAATTTAGTAATAGAGAAAATCGCAAAATACCTTTTTGTATTGATAAGCTTGTGAACGCTAGATATAAATTATCAGCAAACATAACTGTATAGGCTATTTGAGAAAACAAAATTTTATTCAGAAAATAAATAGCCCTGGGTCAAGCTACTTCGAAAGAACTCGATGTAGAGCGGCAGAAGTCAATAGTCCATTGTTAGTTTTATATTTTCTATCTAAGCGTAAGTCATAAGATTCAATTAGTAAGCAAAATAATGTTTAAAAAATGCTTAAGAGAAAAGTCTGTGCAAAGTATAAATCTTGAGTAATTTTTTAATGATGCATTTTTATAACGAAAAGCTTCAAACGAAAACAAATTGAAAGAAAAACCTTTATATATTTTAAATAAAGTTTGTTAAAAAAGGTTTCCTCCTCCATTCAAAGCTCTTAATTTTCTACATGCAAAGTTTTTACTCTAAAAAAGTACAAACAGTTAATTTCGATCGAAAAAATTGAATTAAAGTTTTTCCACTTCACCCAAATATTAAAGCATAAGAAGGATTTAAAAAAATCTAATTTTTAAAACTCCTAAGCATGCATAGTGTTTTTTTTGAGTGATACTCATGAAAATTAGCCTGCTAGGTAGCCTCTATCAATAATAGTTATAAATTGATTAAAAATGAGCATTTTCGAGCCTTGGAAAGCTTTAGAATATTGTGAAAAACAAGCTAGCTCTCTTGATATTGGAGTTTCTCTTCATGGAAAATTCATTCCTGCTGAGCTTCGGCAGTTCTATTTTGTAATCCACTCATTCAGACTAGAACTCTTAAAAGCTCAAGAAACAGTGACAAATCCAACTCTTAAGGCTTCTAAGCTTGCATGGTGGCTTTCCAATCTTAACGATATATGAGAATTAAGACCAGCCAGAGAGCCTCTATCAATATCCCTTTGTGAGCTCAGAAAATACTCTACTGTAAGAAAAAGCCACTTTGAAAGAATGATAAGAGGTAGGCTTCAAGACCAAGAAATTAAGACTTGGCAACATTTTGATAGGTTTATTGACAATAACTACACAATGACTTTTTATATTTTGCTTGAATTATTTGGGCTTTTTGGAGAAACAGAATTTACAGCTGCAACTTTTGCAGGCCGAGCTTGGGGTGTCAGCGATTTATTGCTGCTATCCAAACATTATACAGTAAACGGCAGATTTTATTTCCCAGAAGAGCTTTTAACAAAATACAAGCTGCCTCTAAGTGTAGCAGTAGATGACTTAGACCAAAAAGAAAAAATCCCTGAGGAATTTTTTGACGTAATTTTAGAAGTTGCCGCATATGGTAAACAGAATATGGAAAAAGCGAGAGAAATGCTGCCAAACCTACAGAAACACACAAATATTGCATTTTTGCCACTATCACAATGTGACCATTTTTATGGCGAGCTAGAGAAAAGGAATTTTGATATTTTTAAAATCAGCAATAATTCTCTACCTTGGACTAGGATTTTGCTAAGTATGATTCGACATGTGAGAGCAGGAACTTTTTAATCATTAAATTGAATATTTATTCTTAATCATTATATAAGAAATTGTTTAATCATATGCAAATCCTTCTTTTCTGTTTATTTCATCTATCTCGTTGGCGATTCCCATAAAGTACTTCATAATATTAACTATTTTTCTCTGACTATAAGGAGAGTGTTTATAGATGTGTACCATTTCTTCGTTGCTCAGTCTAAGGGGCTTGTTGTCTTTATCTCTCAAAGTGTTTTTGTAACTTTGTCAATCATCGTAAATTTCAAGACTTGGTTGATGTTGCTCAATAGGCTCTCTATCGATGTATTCTTTATCCTTTTCTATTCCTATTTCACTATTTTCTTCTATTATTTCTTGTCTACTCTGCGAGCTGACCCCTCCTCTAGCTATCTCAAGATTTGGATTTTTTTCAAAATTTTCCTCATTGTTAGCCATTACTGGATTTTCTACTTTTTCAGAGTCTTGTAATTGGATTTTTTCATATATTTTTGGCTTCTCCAAGCTATTATTTCCCAAGCTTACTGCATCTTTTGTTTCTTCTTGAGGCTGAGAAGCTTTATTTTCTTGTTCAAGGTGTTTTTGGTCTTGTATTTTAGCATGCTCCTTAATTAAATAAAATTCTCTCATAAAATTATCCAGTTTAAGGTCTCCAACTATATCAATTGTCCTTTTCAATCTTTCAATCCTCTCGCTCATTCTAGCAATTTCTTCATTTTTTGCAGCAATAAGTGCTTCATTTTCTTCATCTTTTTTTAATAATTGCAGATTTTTCTCTTTAAGTTCATTAATTTGGGCTATATAGGCATTTATCGGAGCTGAAATTCCCTCAATTATTTTTCTTATGTTATCAGGAAGCTTGTTTTTCTCCTCTTCATTATTCATAATTAGGAACAAATCTTCTCAGTCACTAGGAAATTCAGTCGCTTGCTTTAGCTTTAAGCTTTCAAGCTTGAAATTCCATGACCACCAAAGGACAAGAAAATCCCACTTGCAGAGAAGATCGCTGAAAAAATTGAGGATTCCAGTTATGGAGTAGCTGTCTGGATTTTTCTTTACTTTTGAAGTAAATGATTGGTGGAGGGCTCTTAAAGTATCTGCAGATTTGACTTCTTTGCTAAGCCCTTGAATTTGAAGCTTGATTTCACTGATTTGCTCCATATAAAATTTAAACAAATTTAATGGCTTCTTATATGCCAGCTTAGGTAGCCCCATTAAGCAGTGTATATATATGATCATCGTTACTACGACAAATTTTGCAAATGCTTGATATGATTATTTGCTAAAAATCAAAAATTAATTAAGATTAATTGATTAAACAATTTATTAGTTAGCGTGAACAAAAATTGAATTAAAATTGCAGATATGCTATTAAAATAAGGAAGTAGGCAATTTTAGGATGACTAGAGGATAATGATATACTATTTAGTGTCTTCTTCTTATAATTATGATCCAAATAATGCTTAATTCTTGAATGAATTTTCACAAAATTATTTCAGTGTACTTAAGTACTTATCCATTCCATTGTATATCAATTTTGCATCAGCTCTTGCAAATATTTTATAGCAGTTACTTCACTAAATATCAGTCCATGAAATCGCAAAAGATTATCAAGGCATGGCACTGCACGCATGATCTATTATCTAGTCAACCTCAAAAATCTTCTGGAAACCCATCATCAGGTATTAATATTTATTATATCACTGTATCAAGGTGATCCTTAAATGTTTTATACTGGTCATTAGCTTAAATGCTTAAGCAGAGCCTAAGACAAAGCAATATTTTGTCTTCACAAAGTTCACAAATTTCAAATTTATATAAAAATACATCAATAATAAAGAACTCACCAATGAATAAATTAAATAATATTGACAATGCACAAACCTTACCTTTTAATTTATAAAAAATTAAAATTTTCTTCCTCAAATTATATTTAATTAAATAAATTAATTAATTTATGCATTATAAAATCTCCTAATTTTATTCCTCACCTTTTCCCTTTATTTCTAAAAATCACCTTCACTTTTTTCTTTACCTTAACCCTAATAAAACTATAATGCAAAACCAGTTCTCCGAATACCAAAGTTCAAACAACGAAAGTCTCGCTGAGTTTTCAGCTAGTCCTACCTCCCCTAGAAGCCAACAAAATTTTAGTGGAGACCCGCTTGATTCTTCTGAATCTGAAGAAAATTCCAGTGACAACAATTCATCAGACAAAGAAGATATCATGTCTCTTGAAGAAATTTCCAGCAAACATATGGCCCTTCGAGCGTCCACAGCTCCAGCGAGGCCTTTAAGCGACATAGAAGAGTTTCGCCGGACTTCTGATTTCCTTTTATTAGAGCATACAGTTATATGCGCTTCACAATTAATACAAAATCAAGACCAAAAGTATGACCTGGACTCAGAAGAAGGCCAAAGAGCCTGCAAAAAATTTTTAAATCAAATCGAAAGGCTTTGTGAGGTTTTTAAAGTAAATTGTGTATCTCGGGATTATAGGAAAGCTTTTTCTAAAGCCTATCAAGTTTTATATAAAGAAGGAACACTTTGCTTTTTAACAGAAATATTGGATTCAGCGCAGGAAGGCTTTCCTTACTTGTATGTGAATGGGGAAAAATATTTATTTTCAAGCGAAGTTTTGGACGCAGGCAGTAAATTATTTCATTCTTTTTGCAAAATTCAGCATATTTTTAGAGAAATTTATAATAGGATTTGTGAAGAAACTTCGACAGGAGTTGTGGGAGAAATAATTAGTGATTTAACTGAAGCGCTGCAGGATTTTGATACAAATTGAGTAGATTTTGAACATTTAAAGCTATTTTATATAAATAAGTCCTTATTTTAATAATAAAAATAGCCTGTTTATTTATATATAAAGGTATATACGTGCATGAACTTATGGTAATAGAGACTGATGCAAGACGTTTTATAACCCAAGCAATTGAATTAGAAAGAGAAATGTCCCTTATTGAAGTCAAAGAAAAAGCCAGAGGAAGAGTCACTTTGGACTCAGAAGAATTCAATAGTTTGCGTGACAAGTTTGTAGTCATTATAGGAAAAATTAATTCAGTTGCAAATGTTGAAGGAAAAGGCAGAGACGATTTATCGCTGAATATTTTGTTAGCTGCTGAAGGCATTTCTAGGAGGATGCATCCTATGCAGAGTCACCCTATAAGAAAATTAGCTGACAAGATCAGACAAGCTTTTACTGCATTTAGGACATTATTTAGAAAATATGACCAAAATATTGAGGTTGTAGATCCACAGCTCAAAAATAATCCAGAACTGGTTGAAGCGCTGACAAATTTTGAAGGGAGTTGGGAACGTGGAAAAGAATATATTTTAAATTCAAAAAGGTGCAACCAAGTAGTGCATATACTTTATTTAATTAAATAAGCATTTTTAATAGGAAATTTACAATAAAAATTTTTTTTGCTATATTTAATCGTAAATAAAATATTTATAATCTGATAGAAAAAAATGCTGAAAAATACCCTACCTTAAAGGAGCAGCTTGAATTTTCTGACTCACAGCTTTTTGTAAGTGTTCCATCGCTGCTCGTCTTAAAATGCCTTGAAGACGACGACAAAGGAATTTGCAAACATTTTTGTCCGCAAATTTATGAAGAACATGAAGAAATTGGAATCGTGTTTAAAAGGCTGAAAAGAAGCTATAAGTTAGGGAAATTAGCAAGCTCATCTGTGCAGGAATATGCAGAATTATTAGAAATGATGATAATTGGAGAAAAAGTGAACCAAAAATCACGAACACAAATAATAAACCCGAAATTCGATAACCTAGACCATGTTTTGACGAAAATCACAAATTTGTCGATTGCAATACAAAGACAGAAACCGAGTGAGTGGAATAGATTTTTAGATGTTGTTCTCTGCTAATTATAGTAAAATTAATTTCGGAATATAAATTAAGTAGAGTATTGTATATATTTTTGCTTTTTAATTTTATTTATTTGGTTTTTGTAATTGAGAGAATTGATAATCATTTTATTTAAGAAAAATCAACATAAATTTTGAGACCAGAAAAAATCAAGAAAATCTATTGGAATGCTTTGTCTTGCATCTAGAAAGAAAAATTGGTGAAAATTTAATTATTTCCTTATTTCAATTAACTATTAGCCCATTTCATAATTTTTTGCAGCAAAAAAAAACAAATAACTAGCTTGAATTGATATCAAGAATTTAGATTATTATTCTTCTCTATAAAGAATAAGGCTAATTTAGATCTTATAGCTATATTTGTACATTTTAACAGAAAAATATAGATTATATATACTCAAACTGTGCATCTACTCTATACTTTTGCTATCAACTCTTCTTGGACTATTTCCTGATGATTTTTATTTACATCATCTTCAACCTCATTCTGGCTTATACCAAAATTATTGATAAGTGTTGATAAATACAATTGAAACTCCTTCTCAGAGACATACAGGTCAAACTCAATCATAATCAAAAATTGATGCTCTAAGCTATTCATCTCTGTACAAGAAATTCCTCCTACTTTAGCGTAGTATACTATTTAATAGAATTTAACAGCTTTTTACAGATTAAACAGATTTAAAATTCTCAAACTACAATAATTTATATGAATTTTTGTAAAATTTATCTTCTGAAAACTTCGCTGATAACATAACTGCGGCTAAAATCAGCCTATGGATGCACAAAGAGTTCACTACAAAGCTATTGTGTTTGGTAGAAATTCTATCTATATAAATAAGGGCTAAAACGTAGCATTCTTCTGAGCATTTCATATATTGTTTAAGCCTATTGAGATAGCTGCCGATAGGAATCCTGGGGATTTTTTTGGAATGGAAAAATGTTTTGGAGTAGCTGCTTAGGGCTGTTTGGTCGAGATAAATTTCGAGCATACAACTCACAGCGTCTATAATCGACATTTTTAAATTTTAATAGCATCAAGCTACAGTATATTATAATGCTGCTCGAATAATTTTAGATATAATCAAATAAGTCGAAGTATTTAGATAAATATTCGATAACTGAAACTATTAAAAAGGTTTTAGATTATCTAATAACTCTCCTTGTTTAAATTGGGGAATAAAATGGTGAAGTTGACGGATTTTGGGTTCCGAGGCACACTCCCTATGGAGCAGGTTGGAACCATCCTGATGAAGCTGTAAATAGAGCCTCTGTCTATTTTAAAATAGGCTTAAGGTTTGGGAGCCTTGTCGAAGAGGGAAATTTTGCTTCTCCCAGAAGGTTTTCCTATTCCTGCAGATGGGCTGGACAGGTTTTCCCTCTCACATAGTCTTCGTCTATCGGAATTATTAGGGGACCTGAAAGAGAGTGGCTCTGGCCTAATGAGTTGATCCTTATGCTAAATGAGTTTTCCAGAAAATTCAAGAGGATGGATTTTGGTTGGGGCCTTATACCATTTGCACTCATTATATGCATCAGCGTAAGCCACCTTTTCCTGGAGTAAATAAGTTTCCGCTTATGGCCGTATAAAAATTTTATTTTTATCTATTTAAATGGGTACCAAAAACTGTTCCAAGCTTTTTTATAAACCATTAATTTATAGATTAAAATTCTTACTTGCTAATAGAACAAGAAATAGAATTATTTTAGAGAAAAATTGGGAATTTTTTGAATTTTTTTAAGAGTATTATCGATGTGATAAATCTATGTAACTTTAACTTTTTGTCATATCTCATTAAAAATACCAATATTAAAATTTTCTTATCTTTTTATCCTTATCTAAGCATTGAAATTATGAAATATACAGGAGCTTTTATCTATAGCAATTCACCATAATATCCTTTAAATAAATGCATTTTGATGCATTATAAAATATAACGTTTTGTAATTGTGTATTATTTTCAATGATTTTTGTTTTATTATATTAATCATTAAACATTGAATTTTGGGTTTTATTTAATAGTAAAATTTAAAATAAATTCCGGTCATACCATTTTATAAATAAAATGTCTAATTCCCATCCAATAAGAGCAAAAATTTTTATATATAATTAATAACTGTAATAGAGAGATCTTAAATTAATTCTATTAAATTTTAAGCAGCTTGCATCTTTTAAAATATAAATTTTTTATAAATTCAATTAGATTTTATTTCGATACTTAATAATATTTTTAAACTAAATAAACCATGTTAAGATTGAGCAGAAATTTGCTTCCTCTTGCTCGGGAAGTAAAGTCTTTCTTTTCGCCTGCATGATTGCGCTATCATTCGCAGGCCCATATCTTTTCATTAAAGATTACAATGTCGGAAAGTCTTTTATGGGCGATATTCAATACTCTAAGTTCATAAATCCTTTTGAGAAGCATACTATTGTGTATTTTAAGGATTATAACACTCTTAGTACACAGCTAATAGAAAAATTGACAGGAATTATTTCTTCTGGGAAGCATCTCGATTATAATTTAGAGTCAATGAGCTGCCAATGAGGAGAAGGCCCCGATTTCATAAGATTTTTACCCACTTTTAAAGCTGCAGCATTTATCGGACAAGGTGCAGTCTCTTTTTCTAACCACTGCTTCCAATCAAATACTATCGAAATATCATCTTCATCAGATACCTCAATTACAATCACATTAACATCCAGCAAATCATCAAGCTTTCTCTGCTATGATACCTATCTTATTTCAATATTGAACCAATTTCATATAGAAAATGCTGAGTTTCATGGTAAACATTCCATTACTTTTAATAATCTTACTGAAAATGATATATACGATATCCAACAAAATGGTGTCAGAGTTTTCACCTTTTGTGATGACCTTAGAAATTTAGTTATATCTTATTTTTATTTAATCCTTACTCCCCCCCTCTGTGAGTGAACAAAAAAAATTTTGTTCACTCATGGAGGGGGCTAATTTTTTTTTTTCGAAATTTAAAAAAATCTCACTTCTATAAAAATTGGAAAGCAAATATTAATTTAATTTGTAAAATTTATGTTTTAAAAAGCAATTTGTTTAAAATTAAACAGAATTAGCTCTAGATTTCATTATACTAATTATCACTTATATATCAAAATTTTTTTCCATAAAAAAATTTTCTATTAACGGAGGGTGGGTTTTTGGGCAAAAAATAGCGATTTTTCTAATGATTTTGTTCACTCACGGAGGGGGGAGTTATATAAAATTTATATGTTTTTTAATAAATACATTAGGCTTACTATTTAATTTATTATAGAATAGACTTGGCTATGACCCTTGAGCTATTTGCAGGAGGTTTTACTACCAATAAATGGCTTCCTATAATAGGATCTCATGTTACATGGTGAATGGAAGAATCAAATGTGAAATTTTTAAAAGAAGCTATTAATTATACAATGGAAAAAAGAGAAAATACTGCAATCACCCTAGAAAAATCACAAATAAAATCAGGCACATTTTTAGCTGTAACAAGGCTGGATGGGCTTGATGAGATGATTATGTATGGGAGTGGCAGCCGTGTAGGGCATAGTACAGTTGCTCTATGGGTTGAAGAAAATGGACAAAAAGACCTATATATTTTGGAAAGCCAAGCTGGATGGTATTGGCCGCGAACTGGAATCCAAATGAATATTCTGAGCTTGGCTATTTAAAAACACAAAAAATCATTATTCTGTTAGGTATTTATAAGAAATTACTAATAATTAAAAAGGTATAAATTTGAAACCTGAATTAAATGGGCTGAAGATGCCAGCTTCAACGTTGTAGTTTTACCATTAAAACCCGAAATCCAAGCACTTTTCAATGAGACATCTGCTTATGAGTGGTTTAAAACTGTTGAAGGGATGCCTTATGGGTATCATAACTTTATGTTTGGCTGAATTGATACCCCAACATTGAATTATCCTCCTATAGTTTCCCCTGAACTTGTCAGTATTGCATTTCAAGCAGCATCCAAAATAATGCCAAAAGCAATAGAAAGCATTTTTGAGCTAGCTTTGAATATGAGGTTGGGCAGTAAAGGGCTGAATGTCCCTGAACTGGAAATTGAGGCAGGAAAAAGAGGTATGACGCTGCTAGATTTAATGGCTGTAGTAGAAGAAGAGGGGTGGCTCTATCCTGATGGATTTTCTTATGTATGCTCCAGCTTTGTACTTGCACTATATAAAAGAGCAGGAATACTTGGAAATTTGGTACTTCAGGCAACAGAATTTACGCCGAGGGATGTGTATTCACTTAATATTTTTGAAAAAAATATAAATAGACCTCAAAATTGTATCGACCAAGATCCAGATATTCCGTATTGTCAGCTTATGGGAAATTATAGGATTGACCTTGGAGATGATTATTCGAGCATTGAGGCTTATGATCATATGGATGAAACTTGTCCTTCAGTTGCACCTGCATTTTTTAGACCTGACCAATGCTAGTAATAAAAAAAGCAATAAAATTAATATATGACCGTTATCTTAAGAAAGCTTATTACGCCACCGTCAATATTGTAGCTAATTTTTATATTTATTATAATAATTTTTATATTAAAAATAATTTTTAATAAATATTTTAATGTTTATTTATCAGTCAATTTTATTTTAACTGCTTATTAGAATAAGAATTTACTCTGGGATTTTTTCTCTAACTCATCTTGCAATAAAAATACTTTTTCCTATTGCATTATTTATATATTTTTGTATACAACTATTATTTATTTTTTATTTATGATAAAAAGAGTAAGGGCATATTCAATTGCGCCTTTGATAATTGCCCTTCCGTTTGTCACTTCTGCCGGGTCATTAGCATTAGGAGCTTTCAAGTCAGCAATGTGAGCTCCACCAGCCATAACAAAGCCAAGTACAGTTGGATTGATGCTTTTCGTGATAGCTCCAGAGATCCAAGGGTCAAGTGATCCATTTGAAAAAATAATATTAGTTGCGTCTCTTAAGTACCATTTAGTTTGGCTATCAGTTGTAGCTCCGAAATAGACGGTAGCGTAGTTAAGGATTGGGCTTCTTCCCCATGTGGAGACACAGTAATTGTTCCACCACGTTTGGTCCCATGGGATATTTCCGAACATTGAGTTGGTAGCATTGGATCCAATCGGAACATTTACTCCATATTTTATTATAAAGAATTTTATTCTAATAAATAAAGATTCCGCATAAATTATTTAAAAAAGTATAAATAAGTACAGCTCAAATAATCCAAACCATTTCCTGGCCCGAAGTTTCCTTGCACGAAATTATTGAGATCATTGCACTCGATTTGGCCTGAAAAATTGAAATATATATTTGCGGCATCTTTGACAGCTTTTAATACACCCCAAATGTCATCGATTTCAACGTCGTTGAATAAATTGCATGCTTGAGTTACAGGATATGCTGGCAATGGATTATTCTATCTCCTAAAATCACTCCAATAAAAATAATTTCAATTTTTATATAAAATTGCCTAAAATCATTTATGATTTTCAGAATATAAAAATTGCTTTTATAAGGATAATTGGAAATTGCCATAAAAGTCATTGCATATTGAATTCATTTCTTGAGCTTGAACATGTCACCTGGAGTGATTATAGGGTAGCAGGTCTGGAAAAGCATTGTCAAGTTGAAATAAGTTGTAGGGTAATCCGTCATATTAGTGATATAGTCATAAGCTGTACGTATATAGGCAGGACATGATGGATCAACAGCTTGATAATCATTCGTGACTATGTGATAGAACTCTGTTGGATCGACTGTGCCATAAAAGTGGTTTACTGGTGCTGAGCTTGCGACAGCCCCATCTACAACATTGGCGTATTTAATTCTCATCCAAGCTGATATCATCCCACTATAGTTCAAGCCAAAATATCCAAAAAAAAATTATTCTTAAAAATAATTTTTTTTTCTATATATTATATTCCCACTATAGCCGCCTCCAAATGTGATAACTTTAGTATTATTATATTGTGCTCGTAAACTAGTCAACAAATAAGCAAAATCTGCCATAGCTTGATGTGGAGAAAGATATTTGGTATAGCTGTTTTTGGTGTATGACTTATTTCCGAATGGAAGAGAGCTGCCAAAATATCTATGCTCAGCATAAACAACGATGGCATTCATTTGTTCTGCCAGGGCATCAACCCATCCAGTGCTGTTGAGGAATACTTCAATTCGGCCTTCTCCTCCACAGAAAAAGAAAATTGGCCCAGTTTCGTTCCAATAAGTTGTTTTATAATAATATTTCATCGAAAATTGGTTTGGCATTGCGCTATAATGATCGATGTAAGTAGAAAAAGTAGCTTGGGTGTAAGAACTGATATCAGTTAAAGGAGAAGATGACTCTTCGTCAGTAAATTTGCCTGCTGCGAAGAAGCAAATGAAGGTTAGCAAAATGATCAACCTCATATTTATTTCAACAGTTCCTGTTGTGTAGGTGACATTGTAATAGAAAAATGTGAAAACTTAAAATTGGTGTTAGCTCAAAAATAATTAAAAATTAGCTGAAATTATAAGGACACCCCCCTCATTTGTCCAATTTTCTAGTCTTTTATCATTTGTCCATTTTTCTAGTTTTTTTTATAGGAAAAAAAAATTTTTTAGGACCTCATTTGTCCAATTTTCTAGTCAAAATTTTGATAGAGAAAAAAAAATTTTCAGGACCTCAATTGTCTCATTTTCTAGTTTTTTTAAAGTAAAAAAACTAAGGCATTCGAAAAAATGCAAAAAAGACTAGAAAAATGGGACAAATCATTTTTGAATAGATTTTGGGACAAATGTGGTCCTGGAAAAAAAATTTTCTTATAAAAAAAAGACTAGAAAATTCGACAAATGAGGGGGGGTCCTTACTTAAAATAGAAATAAATATTAATTATAATTCAAAATTTTATTAAAATACAAGTTTTAATGCAATTTAAAAATAATTAAATTAAATAACTTATATAAGGTAAACTCAGGGATATTTAAGATAATTATTTGAGGATTTTATAAAAATCATAATTATTGAATATTTTCTTATGAATTATAATTAAATGCCATTTCTTAAAGGATTAGCCTGCTCTATTTAATCTCTTTATGCTATCTATTTATAATTAGTGGTAAATATGGGACGTAGACCTGCAAGGTGCTATAGGTACTTATCTAACAAACCTTATCCAAAATCCAGGTACTGCCGTGGTGTCCCTGATCCAAGAATCAGAATCTACGACAATGGCTTCAAAAAGGCTGACTGTGAGTTTTTCCCTAATTTCCCTAACACATTATTTATTTTATTTTTTATTAAAAATTATAAAAAAAAAATTTAAACTTAAATCGCCTTTAAATTGAAAAGTAAGTGCATTCATCTCGTTTCAGACGAAAATGAAAACCTTTCCTCAGAAGCTCTTGAAGCAGCCCGTATCACAGCCAACAAATACCTCTTGAAGAAGACTGGAAAAGAAGGTTTCCACCTCAGAATCAGATGCCACCCATGGCATGTCTTAAGAATCAACAAAATGCTTTCCTGCGCAGGCGCTGATAGGCTACAAATGGGAATGAGAGGTGCCTTTGGCAAACCTACAGGAAAAGTCGCCAGAGTCAGGATAGGAGATGTCATCATGTCTGTAAGAGTTAAGGACAGAGATGTGGAAAATGCCAATGAAGCCTTGAACAGAGCCAGATATAAGTTCCCAGGCAGACAAAGAATCATTGAAAGTGACAAGTGGGGATTCACCAAGCACACAGTTGAAAAATACGAACAACTTAGAGCTGAAGGCAGACTTGTCCCTGATGGAATTAACGTCAAAGAAATCACCCAGCACGGACCTTTGGCAAGACTTAATATTTTTTAAGCTTATTTCTTTAGACTAAATATTTATTTTTTATCTTGATGAGGAATTTGTAAAGATATAATGATAGAGCTAAGTAGAAATAATTTAATAAATTCCCAAAGAGGGTATGTGCATAGAAAAGGAGAGAGGGTTATTGAAGAATAAGTTATAGCATTAATGATCCAAGCCATAAATTTGCAATTGCGCAGCATATCAAAATAAAAGGCTTTTAAAGGTTAGTTAATTTATTCCTCTTACTCTCTCCATTGATATGGGGCATAATATCGGTAAAATTTCTATTTTTTGGTACTTTAACCCTTTAAATTGGAACTAAATGTTTTGTAAAAGGAAAATTTTTAGGTGAAAATATGAATTTTTAAAAAATAATTTAATGAAAAACCGCAGGTAGAATACTATTTAAACAGTATTTAAACTAAATCAGTTAATTTGAATTTATTTTTCATAGAAACGAATTAAAATCCAATTTATATAAAAAATTAGCCCCCATATTAAATTAGAACAAGAATTTTTGTTTTAATTTAAAGGGGAATTAAAATCTAAAAACAGACTGCCGATATTTCAAATATTTTCTTTTTAAACAATTTTTCATAGGAAACCATAAAATATTCTTCTACTTCTAGCACTATAAAATCTGCTAAAAATACTCCTTAGTTATTCTGATTACTCCATCAAAATTCAGTTGGATATAAATGGGCTGTTGCAACTCAAAGCTTGATCGTCCTCAGAAAAAAAAAAGCTCTGGTCTGCCAGGCACAACCTCCTCAACAACCAAGAAGAAAAATGTTAGCAAAGCTAACTTTGTTTCCCAAAAGAAAGGCGCTGTTGAAGATCATTACACTATTATAAAAAAGCTTGGCAGTGGAGGTTTTGGGACGGTTTACCAAGTTGTTGATAAGAGAACTAACATAGAAAGAGCTATGAAAGAGCTCCCAAGGAGCAAAATGACACAGGAAGCCAGCGCCCAAATGCTTTCTGAAGTAGAGATATTGCGAACTTTGGATCATCCTAACATTATGAAAGTGTATGAGCTGATAGAGTCTAGGAAAAGTTATTATCCTTATTTATATTAATTAAAATTTTATTTATAAGGCATTATTTTTTTAATTATATATAAAAACAAATCCTATATACATTATCACTGAATTTTTAACAGGCGGCGACTTATTCGGCAAACTCTTAAAAGAAAAGAATTTATCTGAAAAAGCAGCTGCAAAATACGTCTATGACTTTATGAGCGCTATTAACTATTGCCACAAGAACGGCATCGTCCATAGAGATTTAAAACCAGAAAACCTATTATTAGAAAACAGTGACCCAGACGCAAAAATAAAAGTAATTGATTTCGGAATTTCCCAAAAACTGCAGCCACATCATAAGCTGAATCAAGCAGTTGGGACGATTTTTTATATGGCTCCTGAGACTTTTACAGGGTCTTATGATGAGAAATGCGATATTTGGAGCGCTGGGGTCATTTTATATATAATGTTGTGTGGAAGCCCACCGTTTTTCGCAGAAAATGTCGAGCAGATGGCTGAAATAATTACCCAAGGGAACCTGACATTTAGGCAGCCTGTGTGGAATTCAGTGTCTGGAGAGGCCAAAAGCCTAATTCAAAGCATGCTGGCGACTGACCCAGAAGATAGGCTTAATGCTGAGCAGGTGCTTAATCATGCTTGGTTCAAGAGTTACATCAATAATGAGCTACCAAAAACAGCACTCAGCACTGAGGCGCTAGGAAATCTAGGCAAGTTTCATGCTCAAGGAAAGCTAGAAAAATCTATAATGACTTTTATCAGTTCTCAAGTTACCAGCGCTAAAGAAGACAAAGAATTTGCAGAGTTATTTAGTAAGATGGATAAAAATAAGGATGGAAAATTAAGCCAAAGAGAAATTTTGGAGGGGTATAAGGAGCTAGGAATAACAACGCCGCCTGGAATTTCTGAAGTACTGAAGAAAATTGATAGTGATGGAAGCGGATTTTTAGATTATATTGTGGTTGATTAATTAAAAATAAAAAACAGGGCTATTTTGCTATTAAAAATACCAATGAAATATTGGGTTATACTTGCATATTTTATTTTATAGGAAATATACTGAATTTGTGACAGCTTCTAAGGACTGGAAATCAGCTTTTGAGAAAAATGAACTGGAAAGTGCCTTCAAGATGTATGACCAAGGAGGCGATGGAAAACTGTCATTGAAAGAACTGAAAGAAAGCATCCCTGATATAGAAGACTCAGATTGGGAAAAGTTTTTGCTTGAAGCTGATAGGAATGGAGATAGCCAAATTGGGCTTGAAGAGCTCAAAGTCTATTTGATGCAAAAAATTTCTTAAGACCTAAATTATTAATTAGTTATAAAAAAGGTTTTATAAATATAACTCCATATAACTGAAATTTATCCAAATTGTATATATATCTTGCTTAACTGATCTAAAATTTTAAAAATAGTTTTATAAAAAATAATGTCTCTAGCTAGCTTAGGAATCTTTTCAACAGAGCATCAAATGCTAATTGACTGGATCAATACTTTTCCTCTTCCTGCTTGCCCTTTAGTTGAAACACTCAATGATTTACGCTCTGGACAAGTTATTAGTGAAATTATTGCATATATTGAAGGCAAAGACCATATGGAAGGTATTTTAGAAAGCAACGGCTTAGAATCTGACATATGGAACTGGGAAACTATTTTACGCAAAATTAAGCTTTGACTGCCTCCAGAATGACAATCAGTCCGAGCCCAAGAAATTTTGGATGATCAAGGAGTCCTTTTCATTATAATTAAAGTCATTTCAGATAGACTTCGATCAGGTAACCTTTCTGGGCTTAAAAGTTCTCCTGTAAAACGAGAAATCACGCTAAATATCACCCCTCAGTCAAGAGGAAAACAAAGCAAACAAGGCAAACCTCCTGAGCTAAACGACTTAGTACCAGCAATTCAGCCAAAAATTGATATTACCCCAACTAAAAGGGTAATAGAAAAATCGCCCTTATCAAGGCGACGGTCTTTAGGGGCTGTTTCGCCTTATAGATCAGTGTCTCATTCTTTGGCAAATTTAGAAAAATCAAATCAATCCCAAAAAAAAATAAAAAAATCAAGAATTAGAGAAGACGATAAACAAAAAATTTTGACGTGGATTATCTCTTTGCAGCTTTTGGGGAAAACAGCGACTATTTATGATTTAATTGACCAAATGAAAAGTGGGTGTCTTTTATGTGATTTAATTAACAGACTAGAAGGCAGAAATGAACCTATTAAAGGTATTCAAAGAGTCGCAAAATCAATTACTTCGCATTTATTTAATATCAACAAAGGACTAGAATACTTAAGAAGCCTTCCAAAAATAAATTCAGATCATTTATGGGCAGCTGAAGAAATTCATGATGGCTCTGAAGAAGCGATTTTTGGGATCTTAAACGACATAAAGTCACTTTATTTGCATAAGCAAATAGCTAAAAGTAGCAATGCATCTCCTCAAGAAAATCCGCCTAGAAACTTATCAAGCCCAAAATTGACTATAAAAAGAGGATACAGTAAATCAAATCTTGGACAAGTTTCGCCAAAAGAGCAAAGTCTAGTTGTTGAGCAAATAAAATCTCCTAAATTAATAAAAGTTACTGATGAAATGAAAGCAAAAGTAATTGAATGGATAACTGCGCTGGAATTAGAAAACCACTTAAAGTTTGATAAAAGGCAGGATAGGGATAATTTTAGAAATGGGGTGTTAATATGTGAACTTTTAAGTGTAATTATAAGGAAAAAAATTAAATGCAATTACACTCCAAGAGGTGAATCAGAAATCAGAGAAAATTTCTCAAAAGCTTTAAAAATAATTGAAGAACAAAATGAAATTCCTAAATGGATAGACTATTATAGAGAAGATATCTGTGTAGGCAAAAAAGACTATTTATGGCCTGTATTTTGATATTTAATGGTAACTTATAGAAAAATCCCTCCTCAGCATTTTGAGACCAATGACCTTCCATATGACACCATTGCCCTTAAAAAACTTGATTTATCATTAGTAGCCTGGCTTCAATCGCTCGGCCTTATTAACAAAAACATCAGCTCTATATTAGAAGTAGCTTCTAATATGAGAAATGGAGTCCTTCTAGCAGAACTTATAGAGCTTTTATTCCCTCATAAAGACATCGATATAATAAAACACCCAAAAACTGATCATGCAGCATTAGGCAATATAAGGAAAAGTCTTCACATTTTAAGAAATGATGCAGATATGTCACAAAGACATACATGGAAAGAAAAACAAATAAATCAAGGCGATTTAGGCACAATTTTAGGACTTTTAGAAGATATTCATAGGTTTGCTGATGGCCTGCCACCAAGAAAAGGAGACAATTATTATTTTGATGGACCTTATTTAGGGGTTTTTAAGTTCAGCAACCCAATAATTCCTGAGCCACAAAGCTTAAAACATTATGGGATGAATCGTGGAGAAGGCGAATTAAAAATTATTCTGGCTTTGAAAAGTAATTTTATATAGAAATTTAGATGGATTTTAAAGCATATTCTTTTTTTTTGGGTATAATAATACAAAAAAAGTTGAATTTTTTGACTCACAAAACTCAGGGTTAGAAAAGTGGATCGAAAGCTTGGGGGTGGCAAGCCCAAATTTAAACAAAAATACAATCAATGAGTTCAGAAGTGGAGAAATCTTATGTGAAATTATAGAAAAATTAGAAAGAAGTCCTCTAAATGGGCTTCATTCTAATCCAAAAACTTCTGCTGCAGCATTGCATAATATTAGGAAAGCTTTAGAAACTCTTTATAAGAAGCCGAGTTTTCCCAGCAAATATATGTTTGTAGATGAAGATATATTGAAAGGTGATGGGAATGCTATAAGAAGCTTGCTTAAAGATATCAAGCAAGTTTATCATAACCGTAAGACATGGTGGGGAGAAGGATTAGAACATAAAAAAAGTAATCTTTTTAAATAAATTTTTTAGATAGCATATAACTTAACATTTATAATGCATTTTTTATTGCAATTCAATTGAATGCACTTGAAAATTGATAAAAATGGGGTACTGCCAAAGATAATATTAAATGGAGCAAGTTTTACAGCTTAGAGACGACTTAAAAAACATGCTAAAAGAAAATTTATTGAGCGCTGAAGAGCTTAGAAGCCAATACAAAAGCTTCGCTGACGAATACATGCATAAACCTCGTTCATTTAGCCCCCAGAGAATAATGAATTTCATCCAGTCGAGTTTCGAAAGTTGGGATAAGCTCGTTCTTTTTTGAAAACTTAATTTAAAGCTTAAAACGAGAGAATTTCAGCTGGAGAAAGAAGATTTGGAATCAAGGCTTTCAGATAAAACAGCTCTCGGTAATATGGCTGAGGGGCTAAAGTTGGACAACCATATAAGGGAAACTTTCGCACTAACTACAGAATTCGATCAACTTAAAATTGTCGTATTAGATCTCCAAAGCCAACTCAATATAATGAATGAGCAATTGATAAAGCAGAATGAGCAATCGATAAAGCAAAATGAGCAATTATAAAGCATCAAGAAGAAATCGAAGAGGTTCAAAAATATATGAAATTGACTAGAGATTTAAAGAAGACTGTGGAAGAACTGCAAGCGTCCCAAAAGCTTGAAAGAGAAGAAAAAAATAAGGAATGAAAAGCCGACAAAAACTTGCAGCTCAAAATTGCCCACAGAGAAGGTATCAGCGCTATTCAAAAGGAAATCATAAACAAAATCAATGAAGTGACTACAAGCAATTACGAAAGTTTCAAAGTCATCTTGCGAGAAATTCCTCAAAATATTATAGATGCAGCTCGAGATGAAATTATCGGAAGGTGCATGATCCGTAAAAGCGATTGGGATTATCTACTAAAGAGAAAGAAACTTGTAAACAAAAAGGTCCATAAATCGCTTGGGATGAATAGTGAACAGATTATTGAGTATTATCCTGATATTTGAAAGCCAGGCCTCAAAAAGACAACCTATATAATGAAGCATTATTTCAAGATTGCTGAACAAATTGAATCTATTAGTCTCGGAAATCCAAGAAGTGAAGGATTTACATCGCATACTTAATTAATTTAGTATAGCCTATTAATGCGGCAATAATTGTACCCTTAATTGAGTAATCTGACTTTCAAAGGAGTGAATGAAGCTATTTAATTTTAAATAGTCATCTCGAGCTAAGCTTGGGTTAGGATTGCAGCATGAGAAATTTCAACAGTTTCATCATTCAATACAAGCTACAAAAAACTTCCAGATTGTGTATTTCTTAATAAATTATAAGACTTTTTTAGTTGATTGTGTTAACAAGAAAGTTCGCTTTGCCTCCAGCTATCAGATTCATATTCAAATCTTTGCGGCAGATTGGCTTATGGATGCAAAACATAGGTAATTTTGCAAAGCATTGCTGGACTTTGCCATTCCCAAAGTCCAAGCCAGGAAATGCTCACTTGAAAAGGTATACTGTGCGACGTCACAATTTTATGTATATATTTAATCGCATAAGTAAGGATTTTCCTTTTTCTTAAAATCCAATTACGCTTTGTTGGTAATTGTATATTAAAATTAAATATATATGAATTTTTATAGGTGCTTTTAATGGGTTTGAGTTGCTTTCTGTTGATCAGCTTACATTTCACGGTTTCAAAACGTGAAACTGCTGAAGGAGAAGTACTTATCATTTAATTTGTACTCTTATCTAATGGAGTCTTTTTGATTAAAAATTAATTAGCATATATTAAAATGGTGTGGCTCGATTTCTAAACTCATGTTGTTGGGGATTTTGGGAAGGGAGCGCTGAGCCAGGTAAGTGTATCCGGTAGTCTTACTGGCGCAGGTGAGATAGCAATACTGAGCTGATCAGCCAATTGTCCAATCCTGGGGCAAGTTTTCTGTATTAGGAATTGGGACATGAAGTTGGAAAGGGTTCTCCCAGCCTGAAGACTTTTCTAAGTCAATCGGGAAGTTTACCCAGCGCGATACCAGGTGTTATGTCCTAGGCCTTGAGTCTTCATTTAGCCGACAGCTGACCCGAAAATTCGACCTTTGAATTTTCAATAGAAGGCAGCCTATGTTGATGGGTGGCAAAGTAACAACAAACTTTTTGACTTTCGGGGAGCGAGTGAAGGTCGTACAGAACGAGTAAAACAGAGTATGCAATATGCAGACTGGCGAGCAAGCGGTGGAGTGATATGAAAGAGAATAAGGGCCTTCGGGTATCTGATAGTGGGTTTTCAATAATCTTAAATATCAAATTAATTACTCAAGCTCAATTCTATCTGTAACAACTGAGCCTCTTCTCGGGTCTCTCACTTGTACTTCATGAGTAGTCGGAGCTCTTTTCAGCTGATTATGCTCTTCAGGATTCATAGCTTGCGTATTCGCGTCAGGCAGTACTCCAGATTCCCTCGTAATCCCTACACTTTCGCTTCTAAACTCTATAATCACACACGAAATGTCATCAATCAGTACATCCTCCTCCCCAACAATTGCATATCATCTGATCCTTGCTTCTTCACATAATAAATGTGCTATACATGTATTTTCATAGCTAACTTTATCTACATGTGGCCTTTCAGTTATATCTCTTTTGCATTTATTTCTATTCTTCAATCCATAAATCCCTCTATTTTTTTTATAAAAACATTAATAGTAAATTTAATTATTTTTTGTATATAATATTCCACAAAATTCACGGCGTCTTTATTTTCAAAAACATCTCATACCCCGTCAGAGGCAGCTATCAAAAAGCAGTCATCCCCAACACTCATATGATGGACAGTTGTTATAGGGCTTGCAATAACCCCTAGCCTTGAACCTATGGTATCTCCTATAGACCTTGACATAGCAAGTCCAGGAGAATTCGCATTCATTTCTCATACTCGATAAGGGCCAATTTTATTACCATGCTCATCAGTAAGTCTTTGGACCCTTCCTCCAGCTTTATAAATTCTTGCTAATTCGTCAGGATCTTCAGGCTTTTGATCCTTTGTAAGCTGCACACTGTGGATTAGTGGGTTTACCACGCTGTTTCGACGTTTATTGGCTTCTTCTAATAGCTGGCGATCTTTGTTAAGTGCTGCTTGTGGGGCTGGAGGACGAAGAGGAGGGCAGGTGGTAGCGAGAACTGCACGTGAGTCGCCTACACTTGCGGAAAAAATCGTGTTGTTATGAATAAGACAAAGGACCTCGGTACTGCCAGAGCGGGTGACGTCGATCCCACTTGAAGGTTTTCTGAGCTCTTCATCACATTTAAGTGTTATATTTGTCAAAAAGTCTGGGGGATTTGCCTAAATAACAGTTACTTGATATAAAAGCTTAGCTGAATTATATTCATTTTGGACAATATTTCCACAAAACTCGACCACTTTTTCTCCTACTGGCCCATGCCCGTCAAATTCAGCGAGAAAAATGCTCTCCCCATCACAGGCAAAAAGGCTAAAATCCTGGCATTTTTTATCTTGCTCTTTGTGGGGATCAAAACCAGGGAGAATACAAGCGGATGCCCATATTCTTTGGTCGCCTAGATTGAGCAGCTTGGAAATTACAAATTTTGGTTCGGTTAATTCAAAACTGAGGTCATGCACACTTGTAACCTTGCCAATATTATTTCTTTTTTTAATTTTTACGAGCCCAGTGCGGGGAAATTCTCGTTTGTCGATTGATTGTGAGATTTGGGGTTTTATTGAGTTTTTTGTTTTGCTCATAGAATTGCAACTGCCCATTCTTTTTATGAGGTATAGCTATATTTGTGAATAAATTTTATTAGAAATAAGAGATTAATAAAAATATAATTATATAAAAAGGTATATTAAAAATAATGCCATTAAGAATCAACCAAAATATAAAAGAATAATAATTTTTGTGATTAAGCAGATTTATGTATATTTTTATTTTTGAATTGATTAATTTATATTTTAATTTGGATTCGGGCAGTTTAAAGAGAAAGTTATAATAAACTGACTGATAAACAGATAGTTGTTTAATATATAGATGGTAGCACAAATATGGATGGTTTCACTTGTGCTACTAAATTCAATTATTCTTAATTAAAATTAGAGTGCTTTGCTTTATTACTTGCTGGATATAAAATTTAAAGTGTTTAATCTTTTTTAGAATTATCAGAATTCTATAATAAGAGCCAAAAATAATTTAGCTTCATATGGATAGCTAATTCTTAAATCGCTTATTTTATATATCTTTTAATTTTTATGCTTTCTTGACAAACCAATTTATTTTATTTTTCTGATTTCTCTGATTCAAGTTCATTCTTTCTTTGCATCATTTTTATACTTCAACAATCATATTTAATTTACCCACAATTTTATATGATTTTTGTTATTTATTAAATTCTGCTTCCTTTTGGCTCTAAAAACTTCCTCAACATATATATTTGTGAGAACGATATCAAGACAAGTACAGCTATCTTTATTAGCACAGTCCAAAGCACCCTATCGCATGTTCTTTCTGCCAAATCTCTATGCACTTTTTCTCTTCTCTGGTAAAAGTGAATATTTCTATATATTTTATCTAGTTCTTTATTCATCTTGGTAAGCCCATCATTTATCGGCCCAATTTCTTCTTCCTTTGGTAATTCTTTAAATTGAGTTTTGTCCTGTGAATTAAATTCAAAGCTGACAGTTTTCGCTAAAGAGTCCATAGTCCTAAAACAAAGCTTGTATTTCCCTCCATTTTCAGAGACAAAATCAAAGCTGCCTTCTCTTGTGTCCCTTGGGTTTTGCCATATAATAATCCCATCTGGCTTATGAACTCTTGTGATCACCTTAGTGTCTCCTTCTCCAGAAATCACATAGGCGCCCCAAATGTCACTTCCCTTAGCTGTAGTTAGCTGAAAACACGTTTCTACCCTTGGCGGAAGTGTAAAAAACGAGGCATGACATGAGATTATAAGAAATGGAATTAAAATCAGCATATTTATATTAATTTATATTTGTGTTATCTTTTTGAGGCTCTGTTACTTCTGAGTTTGTAGGCCAATAAGCGACTTTAGAGGCTTCTTGACGGTTGGATTTTGGGCTTAGAGGCTTTAGGCTGTCATAATTATTTGAATTTTCGCTTTTATGGAATTTATTTAAATCTGTAATAAATTTTCGTAGGGCACTGAAAAATTCTTGCTTGTGGAGGATTTCGATGTTATTGTGCCCAGCTCCAGGCACCCAATAAGGAGGGTATGCTAAATTAAGCTTTGAATGGAGCCATTGGCCATGTCTGATTGGGACTTCTTTGTCAAGAGTGCCATGAATAATAAAGACAGGACACCTTATAAATGGTGTTTTATCAATGTTATTGAATAGGTCATATTTTGAGCTTTTTTTTAGTTTTTTGGAAAAAATACGCAAGCCTGAGGCGATAGGGCTTTGAAGCACAATTCCACCTACAGAAAATTCTGAAGCTAAATCACAAGTGGGGCCTGATCCTATTGAGTGACCATAAAGGATAATCCGGTCCCATGGAATTTCTAGGTTATTAATAGTGTGATTGTAGGCAGCTCTTATATCAGCATATAATGATTTTTCTGATGGTTTACCAGTACTTTGACCGTACCCTGTGTATTCATAGACAATTACACTAACGTTTAATTGTGTTGAGAATTCTATTATACCTATTTAATTGCATTATGATCTTTTTGAGATTATAATTTGCCATATCAATTTTAATTATGCAGGTATAAATAATTTCGCATGATCCCAATATCTGCAGAATTTCCATGACTAAAAATTACGGTATAATAGGCAGTTTCGTGCTTTATATAAAGCATTGGAATAGTTTCGTTCTCTTCAGTGTCTAGAAATGCGACTGAGAATTTTAGTCAGGGTAGGTCAATTAAATTATCAGTTTGCTTGTTAAGAAATATCATAGGCTCATCATTAACAGTAATAATTTCATAGCTTGCAGGCTTTGGAGGAAAAAAAGAAAAAAATCTTACCATGCGAGATCTGCACCCAAAAATTGTGAAGCAACCGAAGCAGCATTCTATAAGTCCCATTTATGTGTATTTTGATAAATAAAATGTGGTTTTTATTAGAGAGATTTAAGTTACTATTAAACATATCCTAATATTTCAGGAAAACGATGCTGTGTTTTATTATAAAAATATAGAAACTTGAAATAATTATTTCCAAAATTTGATAAAAGCATTAGCTAATTTAATTGAAGCTTTATTATCAATTAAAATCCAAATTTTTCTTATTAATATAGGGATTTAATACTCGAAATACTAAAAAAATACCTTGTAGAATCCATTTATAATGGAAGAAATTCTTAAGAAAGACCAATATAATTTTTCAGTCTTAGGCGATAACGATCAATCCCTCCAACTTATTTTATTAGCAAACCAAAGTGTATATACACAAATCCAAAATATCATTTACGCCTCAGGAAAACTCTCTATCAGAAAACTAAAGCAAAGTTGCTGAAATAAATTCACTCAAATTTTTTCATCAAAAACTAATTTCAATCATCGGCTTAAAAACAGAAACGGAGCTGTAGAATATGTTGGTCTGAGTAAGCCAACAGGTGGAAAAATATTTGCTGTTAATCCAGCAATTATTGGAGATATTTTATGTGCTAGATCAAATATTCCGTTTCTAATAAATTAATTTATAAAAAATTTAATTATTTATCTAACCATTTTTAATAATAAAAAATATACAATTTTAGCATTTACATCTGGGGTACAAATACAAGAAAAAAGTGATTTAATGGTCTTTTTACAAAAAGATAACTGAAAAGAAATCTGTGGGGAAGGAATTTTATATATTCAGACAGCTGGATTTTTGACTGAAAAAAGGCTGGGAGTTGATGAAGAAATTTCAGTTGCATTTAATTCACTTGTAGCTTTTTCAAAAGATATTAAAATTACGCACTCATCAACTCAAACATCGTTCAGTAATTTGTATTTTTATGACTGGGCATTTGTAAAAATAAAAGGCCCTGGAGTGATATATATGGAATGCACAGGCTGGTCAAGATTTGAAAGAGTTAAGCAGGTGAAGAAATTGGAAATTATTTATTTTTTGTTAATTTTGATGGCAGGAATTATTATACTGATGACTCCTTATCGGAAGTAGCTTTATAATGATTTAATATATAACTATTTATATGACTTTTTGTATTAAATATTAAAATAAGTAAATAATTTTTATTTAAATTTAAAAAAATCATAATTTTTTAATTATTTATCATAAAATAAATTAAAATCTGTCATAGAAAAATTCATCATCTGCAAAATAATTCAAAAATTAACAATTAAAAATGGACGCTGACACTTACAAATACAACACGGATCACACCTCCGTAAAGGTGCATGAAGCCCCAGGCGGCCACTCATCAATCAGCCTCGCTTGGAGTGGCCAACGAGATCCTCAACCAAAGCGAAAATCAGAGCAGCACTTGAAACAAATGCAATCTAGCATTTTCTCAGACCCAGAACCACAGCGACAACAACGAAACCAGCCTGCTTACAATCAAAATTATGATAGAAAAAAGCCTCAAAGAGATATAGACAGAGAATACGTCCCAAGAGACAACTATGACGAAATCCCACCAAGGCAACAAAATCGGAAAAACCGAAATGAGGAACCTTATGACCAATACCAAAGGGATTATCAAGAGCCTCAAAGGAATTATAACGATCGTGGCTATGGAAATGCTAGAGAGCAGGACTATTATGAAGAGCCACGAGGTGGAAGAAATAGAGACTACGAAGAGCCAAGGGAGCAAAATCAGAGAAATCGTGGGTACAATGAAGAAAGAAACCGTGGGTATAATGAAGAAAGAAACCGTGAGTACAATGAAGAAAGAAACCGTGGGTATAATGAAGAAAGAAACCGCGGTTACAATGAAGAACCTAGAGACTCATACCAAAGGAACCGTGGATATAACGAAGAACCTCAACGAAATAGGAAAAATAATGAATATATTGAAGAAAAACCTCAGAGAAGCCAGAGAGATTATGAAAATGAAGGAAGGCAGAATGATAGAAGAAGGAGCAATAAAGACCCTTATGAAGATAGAGGGTATTATAAAGAAAGCTCTGATAGGTCTCCAATAGAGAGGCGAGGATACCAGAGAAATGAAGAAAGAGATTATGATGAATCAAGAAAAACTGATTTAAATGTGAAAACGTCAGTAAAGGTCCATGCCCCACCTGGTGGGAAAACTAATTTCATATTTGGTTAAAATATTTTAATCATTATTTACTATATTTAAGAATTACATTTTATTCTATTTTATTTCTTCTTAAATTTGCTCCAGTTGTAGGTCTGACATTTGAAGATCTTGACTGTCCTCTTTCGTTGCTTAGCAGGTAATTTTTTTCAAGGGTTTTTCTTTGGATTTCGATAATATGTCTTTTTATTTAATTATGGGCAGCTACTTATTTTTATTATGTAAATAAAAGAATTTATTGATTTTCTCGAATTTATCCTAAAAAATATACTTTTCGCTTCACATTTTTGCTTCATTTCTTTTGAATAAAGTTCTCTATATCGGTCACGCTCTTCTTTAGCATTTTTAATTTGTTCCTGGAGGGCTGCTTTTTGCTCTTGGATAGAAGATTGGTTTTTCTTGGCATTTTCTAGCTCAGCTTCAGATTGTTTATATAGTTCTCGGAGATTTTCTACAAGCCTTTTTGCTTCATTTGGAGGAACTGTTGACATATCAGCTATCAAACAGTAATTTCCGATTTTTCTGCCTGAAGGCTGAATTTCGGATTTTTCTTGTTTTGTTGCGGGTTTGTGGGCTGACACATTAGTTTCTGTTTTTTCTCTTTGAAATGATTTAAAGAGATGAGGAAAAGTTTCAGGGGTTGGGAATTCAGGCATCATATCTTTTGGAATATGCATAACTGGGCTGATTTAAGTTTATATTAGGGAATAAATAGAAATATTTATTTTATTTTATATAGATTTAGATTGATTATAGGTATTTATTTATAATATAAAATGATAATTTTTTATATGAAGCAAAGCACTGATCTTGCTATTAATAAGAGCTTCTAATTAAATTCAGTATAAATATACCATTCATTTTGATTCTAAATATAAAACTTTTCTCAAATTTTGATTATATTTCCCATTTTCAATATTATTTAGCACCTTTTTTTGGTTTGATATAAGCTCATACAGCTGCGTCATTTCTTTCCTTAAAGCTGAAATTTCGTCCTTTTTTGTCTTTCTATTTTCTTTAAAGTTTTTGACCATATTAGAAAGCATTGCTTCTTTCTCTTTAACAAGCTGCTCATATTGTGTTTTTACACTTTCAAGCTGCTTTTGATGGTTTCTTTCTTGTTCTCTAAATCTTTTTTGAAATTCTTTTTCCACTTCTAGCTTCCCAAGCTCCTTCATATCTTGAGCTGATGGCAAATTTCCTATTGCCTGCATTGCTTTAGGCAAATTATGCACAATAGCAAGTTTTTCTTCGACCAGTTTATGCGAATTGCTTAGTTCCCCCTTTGTTAGAAAGCAAATTTTTTTCTGCTTGCTAACGAAGAGGTATTTTTCAAAATTTTATATATAAAATATATATAAAAAAATTGTTTTCGGGCTTAAAAAATCAGAATTTGTAAACAATTTAAAAGAAAAATATAGAGTTGCTTTAAAAAGGCGCAAACTTTTAAAATTTTAATATAGTTAGCAGTCATTTTTTATATTATAATTCTTAATTATATATACGACTATTATTTGTAAAATATTTATATTTAAAATTTTTTTTGCTTTCTATGATATACTCTTAAAAATTTAAAAATATTTGGACTGCTCTTTAGAAGGAACCAGTAACCAAAAAATTTTCTAGCCAAGGGAGTTAGCATTCTTTGCAACTCTTCTGCTTTGGTATCCATCTGCTCCTTTTGATTATGCTCCGCATTTGCTTTATTTTCTTCTAATTCTTCTTTAAGCCTTGCGAGCTCATCTTTCAGCTCCAAAACTTTCCTCAAATGCTGCTCTTGGCTTTGATTTTCCGCTTTTTTTATTTTTTCAAAAATTTGTTTATTTTCTTCAACTTTTTTTTCAAGTTCTTTATTTTTCTTTATTAAACTGTCAACTTTTTGGACTGCTTCTTTTTGCTGATTTATTTTAGCAAGTTCTCTAGACCCCGGTTGTGCCTGTAAAAGGGTGTCTACATCTCCTTCAATTCCTAGCATATCCACGATTTTTTTAAGCTGCTCTTCTTGAGTCATTTCGATTTTTCTTAATTTTTCTTTAAGTTCAGCTCTTTCGTCTTGCAATAATTTTATTTTCATATCGACCTCATTTCCTGTCAATTTATCAGATGCAAAAAAGGCAGCACCGCCAGCTGTAAGTGGCTTGCATCGGTCTGCAAAGGTAAGTGATGCCAAAGTGTCTTCAAACTGCACCTTGTCTGGGTTTACGCATACAATCATAGAAATCATAGCGTTATTTGACATTCCGTTTTCCAAAATTCTGGTCAATTTGTGGTCTCTATATGAAGTTTGGCTTGAATTTAAGGTAGCAAGAACTTTGCTTAAAGCGTGGAAGCTTGAGCTGGCGTTTAATGACTCGTAAAATTCTTTCCCTTTACGGGTTTTTGGCTTTTCTGAGCCTGCTAAATCTACAAAGTAAAGTGTGCTGCTTGTTAACTGATCCCACTCAGCAGTTTTATATTTTTGGCTTAAAGTGATAGCAATAATAGTATGTGCCCTTGTGGAATATTTTCCAGATTTTGCTTCACAAGCAGCTCTTAATTCAAATCCTTGATTTATTATATGACTATATGAATCTTTCGCTAATTAAATATTTTTTTCCTATTAATATAATCCAAATCATTCATATAAAAATGGCTTACAACCCCATTAGCTTCATCAGGGGTCCTAACCTCAAACTCTGAAGCTGAGCCAATCATCACTCTCCCCATACTTTCTTCAATGTCCAGCTGCTGGTTCGGGAAAACATTTATTGCATGTGCATCTTTATAGGCTAATCCTAAATCGCGAATTTTATCTCCATAAAGCTCCAGCATCTGCATTTTTATTCGGATATCTTTTTGATAAGACAGTCTTTGAGACTCTTCAAAAATCGTTTCCATCGCTCTTAAAAACATCCCACGGTTATGGAATCCTTCTCCTCCAAAAATTAATATTAATTAGGGCTCTTCTTCCTTTAATATATTACCTGAGAGGAGTCTTCGTAGAAGACTCGTTCAGCTGCTGGCGAACCTCCTTGGTATGTCAGCATTTCCAGCAGAGATATTCTCCTCCGGCTTTCAGCCTGGCTCTTAATGCTATCTCGAAATCTTGGAGTATGTAGGCTTGGGACTTGAAGATGCTGATAGTAACTAGAGTTCCAGCTAGGGATAAACTCCCTAATGAGTATCGGTACCAACTATACCTTCGTTTTCGGCACTAGTGTCTCGAGGGGTAAAAGTCTTTTTCCCAAATTTCCATTGGGAAGACACAAAGCCTTCAAAGGGGCAAAACCAAGCCCGAACGCAAATACCCAGTATCCGTAGACTCCGTTTCCTACTCGGTTTGGCTTCAGGCCGCAGCAAAGTCCCTAAACTCGAAACAGGTCCGGGAGAGGACGGACTGTTTACGTCGCCATTTTATTTATGTCCTTCTCCTCCAAACAATGTAAAACTTTTCCCAGAATCTGTCGGTCCATACACAAATAATGTGGCGTCAAACCCGTCCATCATATGGTCTACCAGCGGTCTGCACGTTGTATCATAGATTTCTTCTTGATTGGAGTCTTGCAAAAAAACCCTATAAAAATCAAAAGTGTGGCTTGCTCGCTCTTGTGCGTCAGAAATTTTGATTTCATGCAGATCTTTTGACGTTGTAATTGTGTCGTTATGTTCTTCAGATTTGACACGGACGTAGATTTTTAAGGATGCTCTTTCCATTTATAAAAATTATTATTTAATATGACTTTTTAAAAAAATCAGAAATTAAAGAATTTGAGAGATTTTCGTAGGATTCAGGGAAGGGCTGTGGGGTGGATTTTTTGAACTTGATAGTTTCAATATCGGTCCCATTTTCAAATCTGTCTACCCATTGGACTATTTTTTCAGGCTTTTGGCTACAAATAGAAGCGGCGAGGTCTTTGTTGTTAGTTTGATAATAGTGAAAAATTGAGTTTCGGATGGTTTCGCGAGAAATTTCGCCTTCAGAACGAATAGAGTCTTCATCACTGAGTGGTCTGCCATTAGAAACTTTATCCACCCAATTTTGAATTTTGTAAACAGGCGTTCCTAGTTCTTGTGATAAAGCGATTTTGGAAACTCCTTCAGCTATTTTATTAACAACACATTTTTTAGATTCAGCAGATTTTAATAAATCAATAGGTGTTAATTCTCCGAATAAAATTAATACTTTTTTCCTAGGGATTCTTATAGTTTTGCCTATTTCTTTTAATGTGAAGCCTTTTTCTTTGAGTTTTAAACATTCATTTTTCATTTCTATCATTTTTGACGAAATTTCGTCAGGGACTTGTTTTCAGTTTCCTAAAGAATGGACTAATTCAAGGTTCAGATTGAAAAGTTTTGAGATAAAAGAAGGGGAAATATTTTTTTCATAAAGTTCTCTGACCCTGGACTTTAATAATTCCATATAAGAATTAAGCTCTGAGTCCCCTCGCTTGGGCTGTGGCTGAGATTTTTTTGGTGCTGATGATTGAGGAAAGGAAAAATTTTCTTTGGGTCGTTTGACAGGGAGCTGAGGTTCGGGTTTGGGAGGGTCAATGCTTATAGGTTTTGAGGATATAGGTAGTTTACCGCCGGAGAGAGGAAGAAGATATTGTTGGAAAAATGTGTGCATGTCGTCTTCGAAGCTTTGAATAAAAGTTTGAAATCGTTTTTGGACTTCCCTTTCTATTTCCATAAAACGCTTGAAGGCGAGCATCATTGGCTCTTTTTCTTCAGAGGTTGACATTTTTTATTTGAATCCCCCTAAAATTATTTTTAAAAAAATTTATTTTTTAAACTTTTAGAGATAAATATATAGGCTGATTTCCATAAGACGAATATAGAATCAAAATTATCATATGAAAACTATAGAGGAAATTATATTGTTAATATAAGTAGACGTTTTATAGCAAAAAATAAAAATTTTTGTTTTTTTTCTTCAAGCACCTATGATTTTGTTAAATATTTGACCTATAATTAATGAGGATTTTTATTTTTCATCAAATTTTATTGGATTCAAAATCAAGATATACTTAAACGCTATTAGATATTCTTTATTTTATGATTGGTGACTTCATAATTTTTTTAAATTTTCAACAGTAATTAATTTTTTATTCGGCTCATACAAATAAATTATATATGACGTCAAATTAGAATCATAACTCATTAATTTAATATGTCAACAAAATTTTTATAAATTCTCTAAGATGGTGCAAGCATCTACCCAAGCAGTCTCACACTATTTAGATGAAATTGGCTGGGGAAAGTACCATTGGTCTATTTTTTGGCAATGCATGCTCGTAATTTTTATTTAGTCAAATTTTAATGTGCAATTAAGAAATCTTTCGATTGCCTATTTTGCGGCTATTTATGCTATCGAGCATGGAGCTAGCAATACTCAAAGAGGTTTAATGGAAACAGTATGCATTAAAATAGGGTGGCGAATTAACTAACACCTGAAGTTGGAGAAATTCAGTGACCTTGTGGAAGAAGGCATTCGGTGATGTGTATCTGGCCATTTTTAATTGGTTTTGTGGAGTGAATATTTGATTTGGCCAGCTGCAGCTCATTCCAGGTAAAGGTTTTAACCCTTAGGGAAGATGGATAGAAGACCCAACAAGGTTTTTCGGACCAATGGGACTATTTCCTAGTGTGATATCGGGGAGTTGCCCCCTGGGCCACAGGTTTCAATGGTCGACAGTTCGGCCAGAAAATCTGATTTTCCGAATTTTTTGAAAGGGAGCCCAAGTCAGGTATATAACACAGTGGCCCATCCCATTACACTCCAGGCACATGATTTACACTCCAACTAGCGTGCGAGCCTACTTCTGGGGGAGCATATCGTATAGGTAGGCAGCAGGCAGTCGAGAGATAAATACTCTTTAAGAATCACAGAGAACTTTTTCTATAATCCTAACTAAGATCTAATGGGAACTCTATTTCAATTAGGATGCTTCATTGGCTCTTATTTTTGAGGATATCTCTCTGATCACCAAGGAAGAGCAAAATCTATCAAAAAAATAAGTATTATATTTATTTTTGTTTATTTAGTTTGGATTTTTGCTGACAATCTTTTTGTTATTTTAATTTTATGCTTTGCTTCTGGATTTGGAGGAACAGGAGAAATGGTGATTAATCCAGTCCTCTTTAAAGAATTTTGCCCTACAAAAAATTTTAATTTTGTTACAAAATTGACCTCAGGATTTTCTATTGGTGGAATATTTTTGGCTCTTTGCGCTATTTCAATTGAAATAATTGGTAGTAATTATTTGTCTGATTGAAGCTTTATGGCAGCAATGGTACTTTTTAGCCATATTTTAATGTCAATAATTCGAATAGGGTTAGATGAAACCCCTGCTTTCTTAGCATCAAAGGCAAGATATGCACAAGCTGAAGAGCTGCTGGCAAAAATAGCAAAAACTAATAATAAAAGCCCTTTATCAATTACTATTTATTCTGCAGAATCCGCTAGTGAGCAGCAAATCGAAAAAGCGCCTATTAGAATTAAAGCTATTTTTTCAAAAAGGTATGTAAAATCAACTATTTTTTTATCAGTTATTTATTTTATGACATTCTTTGGAAGCTTTAGTCTAAACTTATTCATGCCTAGGTTCTTAAACTCCCCCTTTAAATTGGAACAAAAATTCTGTTCCAATTTCAAACGGTTTATTTTTTTTCTGTATAAATTCATAAGAAAAAAATTTTATAAAATTGCTAAAATATAAATTGAACGCGATATTTTTTGAATTTTAATTTCTTAGAAGGCGGAAGTAATTTAACGTAATTCTATAATTCTCTAATAAAAAAAATTTGGACTCTCTCTTAGAATGCGGAAGTAATCTAGCGTAATTCTCTAATTCTCTAATTTAATTTGTGAAGAATTAAATTAAAATTAATCAATTAAGTAATTAAAGTGTTTAAATAGTATTCTAATTACACGACTTCCATTAAATTAGCAAAAAATATTCATATAAAAATTAGTATTTTCCCTCTAAAAATTCAATTAAAAATAATTTTTTTTTTCAATTTTTAAAGGGTTTAATTTACTCAAAAAAAGAATTTTTCCTATATTTTGTTCCAATTTAAAGGGGGAGTTAGGACAATTTTCTCTTGCAGTGAGATATATAATAATATTAATCCAACAAGTATCAGGTATCCCAGGCGCGTTTTTAGCATCATATTTAATAAACACAAAGCTTGGAAGAAAATATACACTTATGCTATCAATGTCTATTACAAGTCTTGCTATATATTTTTTTATTTTTATTGAGCACATTGTTCTTGTAAAAATTATATAGGTGATACTAGTCATTATGATGTTTGCATTAGTCAATCTAGCAAGTTTTGGATCATTATTTACACTTTCTCCTGAAATTTATCCAGCTGAAATAAGAAACTCTGCTATGGGGTTTTTCTTTACATGGTCAAGAATCGGATCATCAACATCACCTTTTATTGGTGGGATGATCTTGGATTTAGAAAATGGAAAAGAAATAGCATTGGCTTTATTTGCGTCTGGATACTTGATTGCAAGCTTATGTGCAATTTTTATAGAAGAGACACGGCCTCCTCTTAAAAATGCACTTTTAATTGATGAAGTATAATCACTAATAGCTAATTTTTATCGATTAATAAATACTTCACATTTTTAATTAATAAAATTATTACTACGCCTCTCTGTGAAGGGAAGTTAATTTTTAAATTTTATAGAACAGATGTTTTTTTCAAATTAAAAAAAAATTCCAATTCGTAAAAATTGAGAAGTAAAAATTAATTTAATTTGTAAAAATTTATGTTTTAAAATGCAAGTTGTTTAAAATTAAACAGATAGCTCGAGATTTCATACGTTAATTATGACAAATATAAAAATGTTTATATTAAAAATTTTTGTTCGCTCACGGAGAGTGGTTTTTTTTTTGCAAAAAATAGGAATTTTTCCAATGGCTTTGCTCGCTAATGGGGGGAGTAAGTCATTTGGCTTTAATGCAAGGGATAATGATTTAATTATTTCTAATACGCCTTAGATTTTGTTACATTTAAATTATCTAATTATTTTTGAATTTAAATATCTTTATTTTAATCTCAAAATTAAAAACTATAATGATATTATGGAATTTAGTTTAAGCATACATAAAATGATCTTATTTTTTTATTTAAGAAAATGTGACTAATAATGTCAAATACATCATGTAAGATTTTAAATTCGCTTACCCCGTCGCTTCCATTAGTTCAGTGAGCAAGCAAATCATTGGAATTGTGTTCTTTTTTGAAAATTATATGCAATTATTTTTGACGCATCAGTGATTATTATCTACTTGATTTTATTGAATATTAACAACCTGCATTTAAAACGTTATTTTCCCTTAGAATTACTTGCGAGAAACAAAACCTTTGTAATTTAAAAGGGAGGAATTAGGAAAGGCCAAAAAACTAAATTTCATATCATTAATTTTTATATAACTTTTATTTAATTTTAATATTAATTGAATAAATTCACCAGTTTGGTTTTCACCTAGATAAAATCTCTTAAAATGACGCAAATGCCGACCCAAGTAGTTCAGAATTATTTAGATGAGGTTGGGTGGGGAAAATATCAATGGATTATTTTTGAACAATGCATGATTGTAATTTTTACATAGTCATATTTCTATATTCAATTTAGAAATCTTTCAATTGGTTATTTTGCAGCTATTTATGCTATAGAACTCGGTATAAGCAACACTCAAAAAGGTATAATGGGTGTGCTCTTTCAGTTAGGATGCTTTATAGGCTCTTATTTTTGGGGAAATCTCTCTGATCGTAATGGAAGGGCTTCAGCAGTCAAAAAATCTGGATTTATTTTTATTTTTGTTTATTTAGTTTGAATTTTTGCTGATAATATTTTTATTATTTTGATTTTATGTTTTGCGTCTGGTTTTGGAAATACAGCAGAAATGGTAATTACTCCTGTTATTTTCAAAGAATTTTGTCCTACAAAGAATCTGAATTTTATAACAAAATTGACTTCAGGGTTTTCATTAGGTGGAGGATTTCTCGCATTTAGCGCAATTTCAATTGAGTTAATAAATAGTAATTATGCATATTTATGATGAATAGCTCGCTGAGGAAATTTTTTGGTTTGATCTAAGCTAGTAGATGTCTGAGTTACCGAAAATTTCTCCTGAGAGGCTAATTTAGGTTTACATTTAGAGGTCGAATTACCATTTTATGGTGGAGCCAAAGCTCACTGCGCTAGAGGCAATTATTACCCACCGCTAGTGATGACAAGGCGGTTTATCTTCATATCTCAGGTCCGTTGTCCTGACTGAAGGCCCGTCTTCGAAGTGATTACACTCAATTAGCTTGAATCTCTTATTGGAGTCCGTGAGCTGCGGATTTGCTTCCATTTTGCCTTAACAATCCATCTCTCTGCCAACTTTGAATCGCATAGAGGTTAGGGTAGCCTGCACTACTCAGTCTTCGTCCTATGCGCCTTTATGCAGTCCATCTCGCCAGCATCCAATCCCAGGAACCCAAGGTCTGTTGGCCAGATGATAGGGATGAGGAAAAGCTCCTCTGCTGAGGAGCAAAAACTTCATCTAGGTAGAAAAATTAGCTCAGGGTCAGTCAAGCTACTCATTTTATGGTTCATATTTTTCTGGGGCTATTTAGTGTAAGGTACTATATTTGCCTGATTGATGCTTTATGGCAATAATTTCTCTTGTAGGTCATATTACAATGTCAATATTAAGGATAGGGTTAGATGAAACTCCAATGTTCTTACTCCCCCCCCTCCGTGAGTGAACAAAATCAATAGAAAAATCGCTATTTTTTGCCCAAAAAACCCCACCCTCCGTGAGTGAACAAAAATGTTTTTAATAGAAAAATCTTTTATGGAAAAATAAATTGATATATAAGTGATAATTAGTATAATGAAATTTTGAGCTAATTCTGTGTAATTTTAAACAAATTGCGTTTTAAAACATAAATTTTATAAATTAAATTAATATTTGCTTTCCAATTCTTGCAAATTATGATTTTTTAAAATTTCGAAAAAAAAAAACTTTCTATAAAATTTATATATAAAAAAAAAATTAACCCCCCTTTGTGAGTGAACAAAATTTTTTTGTTCACTCACGGAGGGGGGAGTTAGCATCAAAGGCCAAATATGACCAGGCTAAAGAATTATTATCTAAAATTGCAAAAACCAATGGTAAAGAATCTATTTCAATCAGCATTTTTCCCACAGAAAGTGCTAATACTCAAATTAATAAGCCTCCTATAAAAATGAAAGCTATTTTTTCCAAAAAATACGTAAAATCAACGATTTTTGTATCAATAATTTATTTTATGGTATATTTTGGAAGTTTTAGCATGAATTTATTCATGCCCCGATTTTTGCAACAATTTTCATTTTCAGTAAGATACACAATAATCTTAATCCAACAATTATCAGGTATCCCAGGTGCATTTTTAGCATCTTTTCTGGTTAACACAAAGCTTGGGCGCAAATATACGCTTTTATTATCTATGGCTCTAACAAGTTTCTCAATTTATTTATTTATTTTCCTAGAGCATATTGTTGCAGTAAAAATTATATAGGTAATACTTGTCATTATAATGCTTGCATCGGTTAATTTTGCAAGCTTGGGGTCACTTTTTACAATTTCTCCTGAAATTTATCCGACTGAAATAAGAAATTCTGCTATGGGATTTTTCTTTACATGGTCGAGAATTGGATCATCAATATCACCTTTTATCGGTGGGATGATCTTGGATTTAGAAAATGGAAAAGAAATAGCATTGGCGTTATTTGCGTCTGGATATTTAATCGCAAGTTTGTGCACAAATTTTATAGAAGAGACACGACCTTCATTAAAAAGTACAAATTTGATTGATGAAGATAGCCAGCCATAGTTCATTATTTAATTGAGTAAATTCTCTTTTATTTTGATGGAAAATAATTAATAATAAGCAAATTTAAGGCTAATTTATTTAATGTTAATCATGACTTTTTCGCAACATACAAAGAAAGGGTAATTTGCTTACTGAAGATATATTATTTAGTAGAATCAAAAATCTCTATTTTAAATAGTATCCTTTTAATATCATATATGCTCTCGAATATGTTCTTTTTCTATTTTCTCTTTGAATCCCAATTTGCCTTTTAGCATAATAAATTCAAAATTATTAATATTCTAAAGAGATTTGGCATATATGAGCTGCAAGAAAAACGCCAATTAATGACAACTAATAACTATCGCTAATACTTTAATGCGATTTAGTTACTAAAAAAGTATCATTAATGTTATGCTAATTTAATAAAAATCACCAGCTTTACTTAAAATGACACAAATTCCAACTGAAATAGTAGTGCATTATTTAGATGAAATTGGCTGGGGAAAGTACCAATGGTCTATTTTTGAGCAATGCATGATTGTATTCTTTAAATAGTCATATTTCAATATACAGTTTAGAAATCTTTCAATTGGCTATTTTGCTGCTATTTATGCAATAGATCTTGGAATCAGCAATACACAAAAGGGTTTAATGGGCACACTATTTCAGCTAGGATGCTTTATTGGCTCTTATTTTTGAGGAAATCTCTCTGATCGTCACGGAAGAGCTTCTACAGTCAAAAAAGCAGGATTTATATTTATTTTTGTTCATTTAGTTTGGATTTTTGCTGACAATATTTTTGTTATTTTAATTTTATGCTTTGCTTCTGGGTTTGGAAACACAGGGGAAATGGTAATAATCCCAGTTCTTTTTAAAGAATTCTGTCCTACGAAGAAATTGAATTTTATAACAAAATTGACTTCAGGGTTTGCAATAGGTGGAGCATTTATTGCTTTTAGCGCGATTTCGATTGAAATAATTGGTAGTAATTATTTGCCTGATTGATGCTTTATGGCAATAATTTTACTTTTTTGTCATGTCTTAATGTCAATATTAAGAATTGGGTTAGATGAAACCCCAGGCTTCTTAGCATCAAAAGGAAAATTTAGTCAAACTGAAGAATTATTATCTAAAATAGCAAAAATAAATGGAAAAGACTCTATTTCAATTAGCATTTCTCCTGTTGATAATACAAATGCACAATCAGTCAAGGCTCCCATCAAAATGAAGGCTATTTTTTCTAAAAAATATGTAAAATCAACAGTTTTTGTTTCAATTATTTATTTTTTTATATATTTTGGAAGCTTCAGCATGAATTTATTTATGCCCAGATTTTTACAACAATTCTCTTTTGCAGTTAGATACACAATAATATTAATCCAACAATTATCAGGAATTCCAGGCATATTTTTGGCATCATTTCTTGTAAATACAAAGCTAGGAAGAAAGCACACACTTCTGCTATCCCTGGCTATTACAAGCTTTTCAGTATATTTATTTATTTTTCTCGAGCATATTGTTGCAGTAAAACTTATTTAGGTGATAATTGTCATTATGATGCTTGCATCGGTTAATTTTGCAAGTTTTGGATCATTATTTACGCTTTCTCCTGAAATCTACCCTACTGAAATAAGAAACTCTGCTATGGGATTTTTCTTTACATGGTCAAGAATTGGATCATCTATATCACCTTTTATTGGTGGGATGATTTTGGATATAGAAAATGGAAAAGAAGTAGCATTGGCATTATTCGCATCTGGGTATTTAATCGCAAGTTTGAGTACAGTTTTTATAGAAGAGACACGACCTTCTTTAAAAACCACAATTTTAATTGAAGAAAATAGTCCACAATAGCTTATTATTTAATTGCCTTCATAATTGAAATTCAGAATTTAATATGGAAAAATTGATAAGAAATTTTTAAGAGTCATAAAAAAAATATTTAGAATTTTCAATTAATCAGGAATCTTGCGTCCTAATTGAAATATAATTTAGCTTTTTAATAAAGCAACTATCCAGTCATAAAGCAAGATCTATGACTCTTAATCATTTTAAATAAAATCAGATTGAAATACCACAAGTAATTATAGTCATTAAAATGACGGAAGATCCAGTCCAAGTTACCATAGAAGCAATTGACAAAATCGGCTGGGGTCCCTACCAAAATCGTTTATTTTATTTTGTTTTTGCCGTAATTTTAAATTAGTCTTATGCTAGCATACAATTTTACCAGATGTCAATTGGTTATTTTGGGGAGGAATTTGGCCATGCATGAGACATCTCAAATACTCAAAAAGGATTAATGGGTACCTTATTCCAGCTTGGATCTTTATTAGGAGCTTATATCTGGGGTAGTGTCTCAGACAATTTTGGTAGAATTTTCAGCTTAAAAATCAATGCGCTCTTACTTGTCTTTTCGAGTTTTATATGACTATTTTCCTCAAATTTTCCAATGCTTTTGGTGCTGTGTTTTATTTCAGGAGTTGGGAATATTGCGGAAATTGTTATTTTGCCTGTAGTTTTTGAAGAATTTTGCCCAGAACAGAACTTAAACTATATGACAAAATTAACAAGTGGCTGGTATGCGGGAGGATCATTTTTTGCGATTTGTGCTATTATTATCTACTGAATTAATAGCAATTATTTAGCTAATTGGCTATTTATGGCTGGTTTGATATTTTTTTATCAAATTCTCGTGGCCATACCAAGACTGGATTTAGATGAATGTCCAGAATATCATTGCACAAAACTACAATTTCACAAAGCTAATGAAACTTTGCATAAAATAGCAAAAGAAAATAAATTCTCTAGCGAATATGAAACAATAGAAGAAGTCATAAATCCTGTGCAGAAAAAAAAAGAAACCAGACTTCATGTTATATTTAATAGAGAACATATCAAATCAACACTGCTTATGTCCACAATATTTTTTATGATTCTTTTTGGATATTGGAGCTTTATCTTATTTATGCCAAAATTTCTTAGCCAGTACAATTTTGTAGTAAAATATATAATAATTTGTGTGCAACAAGGAGTAGGTATTCCATGCGCATACCTTTCTGCTTATATGATTGACACAAAATTAGGAAGAAAACACACATTATCAATTTCACTGCTTATAACAGCTTTTGCATCATTTTTGTTTATTTTTTCAAAAAATTTCGTTTCGGTACTAATAATATAGATTATCATAGTTTCTTCTATATGGGCAGGCATCAGTTCTACAGCTTATGGAGCTTTATTCACAATGGCTCCAGAATCCTTTCCTTCAGAAGTTAGAAGCACAGCTGAAGGGTTATTTCTTTCAAGCTCAAGAGCTGCAGGAGTTATAGCTCCATTGATTGCTGGCCCACTTCTAGACACAGAAGGTGGTGAAGAGCTTGCCTTTGCAATATTCGCAGTCGCTTTCTTAATTGGAGCAGTCTGTGCATTATTTTTAAAAGAAACTAGGCCAATAATTACAAAAGAAGGATTAATTATTAAAAATTAGGCCTTATAAATTCTCTTTAGCTGTCTTTTACTGCCTCAAAAAAGTATTTATGCTTAAGCTTTTTAGATTTCGGCCCAAATAATTTTTTTCAGTAAAATTTAAATAAAAATCAAATTCTATTATTGAAAATTCTCAATGGCAGAAACTACTGATGATTTAGCTTCACATTACATCGACCAAATAGGTTGGGGAAAATATCAATGGTATATTTTCCAGCAATGTTTTCTGGTAACTTTAAATTAGTCATACATGAGCTTTCAAAGCCTAGTCATTACTCCTAGCTATTATGCATCAGATCTTGAAAATGAATGAGGAATCTCAAATAAGGAAAAGGGTATTATGAGCACAATGTTTCAACTGGGCTGCATTGTAGGGTCTTATCTATGAGGCTCCTTATCTGATCATTATGGCCGCACTTTCGCAATGAAAATAGACTCAATTGTTATAGTGTTTTCTTGCTTTATTATAATTTTTTCGGAAAATTACATAGGGCTTACTATATTATTATTTTTCTTTGGATTTGGGGTGATTGGGCATTTAGCTCTAATCTCTGTGACTTTTAAGGAATTTTGCCCAACAGAAAATTTGAATTTAATGCCTAGGCTAAATTTAGGAGCTCCAAGTGGCGGGGTAATTTTTTGCTTACTCCCCCCTCTGTGAGCGAAAAAAAATTTTTGTTTACTTATGACATATAAATTTTATAGAATTTATTTTCAAATTAAAATAATTCCAAATAATTTTAAAGCAAATATTAATTTAATTTGTAAAATTATGCTTTTAAAATGCAAGCTATTTAAAATTAAGCAGAGATCTCATTATAATAATTGTCATATATATATATATATCAAAAAACTTTTCAATAAAAATTTTTATATTAAAATAATTCTTTGCTCGCTCATAGAGGGTTGGTATTTTCCAAAATATAGGGATTTTTCCAATATTTTTATTCATGGAGGGGAGTTAGCAGCTGTATTGATTGAAATATTTAATTCTCAATATATTGAAAATTGAAAAATGATTGCAATAATAAATTTTTTTTGCAATCTAATTATTTCTATCTTAAAAATCGATATGGACGAGACACCCGGATTTTTAGTTGTCCACAAAAAATATTCTAAAGCCGAAGAAATTTTGAAAAAAATCCAAACTTATAATGGGAAAGATGGACTAATTCCAATAAATTTACAGTATGATTGTGAAATGAACGAAAATGGAATTCCTTCGCAGCCAAAAAGCCATATAAAAATGCTATTTTCTAAAACCTTTGTCAGATCAACAATATTTTTTTGTTTGGTATTTTTTACTACGAGTTTTGCAACAGTAAGTGTAGTTATGTTTATGCCCGAATACCTAAGCCAATTTCCCGTAATTTTAAGTTGAATTATAATCGCAATCCAAAACTTAGCTGGATTTCCATGCTTATTTTTCGCACCTTATTTAGTTAATTCAAAACTAGGCAGAAAATATACATTGGTTTATTGTCAAATTATTATGTCTTTGGCAGTGATTTTATTTGCTTTTATAAAGCAGCCGATTCTCGTAATTTTTATTTACTCCCCCCCCCCCTCCGTGAGCGAACAAAAAAATTTTGTTCGCTCACGGAGGGGGGTTAATTTTTTTTTTTAAAAAAAAAATTTATATATAAATTTTATAAAAAAATATTTTTTTTCGAAATTTAAAAAAATCCTAATTTGCAAAAATTGGGGAAGCAAATATTAATTTAATTTGCAAAATTTATGTTTTAAAACGCAATTTGTTTAAAATTAAACAGAATTAGCTCTAGATTTCATTATACTAATTATCACTTATATATCAAAATTTTTTTCCATTAAAATTTTTTCTATTAAAAAAATTTTTGTTCACTCACGGAGGGTGGGTTTTTGGTCAAAAAATGGCGATTTTTCTAATGGTTTTGTTCGCTCACGGAGGGGGGGGGGGGAGTTAGATCATAATTATAACTTCAGTTTTGATGGGAGTAAACACCCTTTCATATGCATCTTTGTTTTTATTTGCAGTAGAAAGCTATCCTATTGAGGTAGAAAACACTGCTCAAGGCGTCTTTTTAGCATCTTCGGGAGTGGGGTCTCTTACTGGCCCTCTATTAGCGGGGGTAGTTCTTGATTGAAAAAATGGCCATGAAATATCGCTGGTATTTTTTGGAATGGTTTTCCTTATTTGTGCTTCATGCTCCTTCATGCTAAAAGAAACAAGACAAAATACACAAAAATAACATAAATTATGAATTTAAAAGTAATTGATTCATTTCAAATATTAAAATATAGCATCTTATCTCCATTTTCTGTAAAAAATATTTTTTAATAAATATTAATCTCCATATCAATTATATCGCTGCCTATTGTGCTTGTGGAGCTTTTAAATAATGGAAAATACCAAATTTTAGCTGCAATTATATTTTTTTATCAGATTTTTAATGTTTACTCCCCCCCCCCTCCGTGAGTGGACAAAGCCATTAGAAAAATCGCTATTTTTTGCCCAAAACCCACCCTCCGTGAGTGAGTGAACAAAAATTTTTTATTGAAAAAAATTTGGATATATAAGTGATAACTAGTATAAAGAAATCTAGAGCTAATTCTGTTTAATTTTAAACAAAAATCTTTTTAAAAACATAAATTTTTATAAATTAAATTAATATTTGCTTTCAAATTTTTTACGAATTAGGATTTTTTTAAATTTCGAAAAAAAATATTTTTTCTATAAAATTTATATATAAATTTTTTAAAAAAATTAACCCCCTTCGACAGTGAACTAATTTTGTTGTTCACTGACGGAAGGGGGGAGTTAGTGAAAATAAATATGAAAGAAAAATCAGGGGATTTTAATTGTGAAAGAAAAATATGGGGAATTTTTGGAAGAAATTACTAAATCATCTCTTGGTAGAGAGCAAAAATTATGTTCACCAACAAGTAGAATCATTTTTTTATTTATAAATATTTACTTTTTATTTTTGAGAATCATGGAGACAGAAAAAAAAAAGCACAAAAATTTTGCCTTGATTCTCTGTCAAGGATTGTGAGGCTGTGGCAAAGCTTTTTGACGAAACTGATTCAGAAACTGATGAATTTTGCTCAGATGAAGAAATTTGGGATGAAATAGACTTTCTTGACTTGCAAATAAAAATGGTGGAGGATGAATTGGGAGAAGAAGCCTGGGATAATGAAAAAAAAGCTGTTGATGAAGAAACAGATAAAGCGGAGTGTCTGAGACTCTGGCTCGCTGGACAGGAAGGTGTGATTCTGGATGGTGGAGAGCTGATCCTAGCCACAGGATCCATCAAGTAGGTACCGATAGAGATCATCGAATGGGTAAAGGTGGAAAGTAAGGAGACCAAAAGTCAAAATAGTTAGAAAAGCCAAGACAGCCAAAAATACCAAAAAAGCCTAAAAAAGTCAGACAAGCCATAAAAGCCATAAAAGCCATAAAAGCCATAAAAGCCATAAAAGCCATAAAAGCCATAAAAGCCATAAAAGCCATAAAAGCCATAAAAGCCATAAAAGCCATAAAAGCCATAAAAGCCATAAAAGCCATAAAAGCCATAAAAGCCATAAAAGCCATAAAAGCCATAAAAGCCATAAAAGCCATAAAAGCCATAAAAGCCATAAAAGCCATAAAAGCCATAAAAGCCATAAAAGCCATAAAAGCCATAAAAGCCATAAAAGCCATAAAAGCCATAAAAGCCATAAAAGCCATAAAAGCCATAAAAGCCATAAAAGCCATAAAAGCCATAAAAGCCATAAAAGCCATAAAAGCCATAAAAGCCATAAAAGCCATAAAAGCCATAAAAGCCATAAAAGCCATAAAAGCCATAAAAGCCATAAAAGCCCAAAGGTCCAAAATACCCAAAAAGCCCAAAATTCCAAAAAGACCAAAAACTAAAAAGCCCCAAAAATACGCAAGGGTGGAAAAACCAAAATGTGGTGAAAAAAACACGAAAAAAGAGAAAAAAGCCCAAACAGCTTGGTGTAAATCATCAAAATCTAGGTACAGAAGGAAAGAGCAAGGAAGCATCTTGAGGAATTGGTTCTGGGTGATGGAGAAGAGCTGAAGTAGAGAAAATTACAGATTGACTTAAAGATGATCCATAAGGATCGCTAGGCGGCTATAGCCGTCTAATAATATGATGATGATTTATAAATATTTGAAAAAAAATCTAATTTTAATTATCGTTATTTGCAGATTTTCGAACTTTACCACCTAAGTGTGGAATTTTTTCGCGTGTGAAAAGAGGATTCCACATGTGAAATCAAAAGGGCTCCACACGTGAAAAACACCTTTTCACACGCGGACAAAATTTCACACTTAGGTGGTAAAGTTCAAAAATCTGCAAATAACGATGTAAAATTTCTGGAATAAGTAACTAGATTTATTAAGTAATGTTACAAATTAAAATAGCAATATGATTTAATTATAATAACTAACAAATTTCCTAAATAAATATATTTTGTAAATTTTCTTGTGGTATTCCGCTTATCGCACTCAATAGCACAGACAGTTGTTTTTTCAATTTCCCTATAGCTTCTTCATTATTTTCCAAGCTCTGTTCATATTTCAATCTTGCTTCGATTTTTTTATACAACGACCTCCGCGCATTTGTATCCATATTAACAATGCTGTTTTCTATATCAAAATTATGCATAGCTTTTTGCATTAATTCTTGCGCATCCTCATTGCATTTCTGTCTCTGATGTGCAATCCACGACCTAAACGTCGAAGACTGCAAAAATCTTGTATAAAGCTGAATACACCTCGGCCTTGATGCATATCTCATCATAGGAAACAAATTTTTCGAGTTATTTAAATCGCGAATAAATTCTTGTTCAGTAAAAGGTTTATAAAATGTATTTAAAGAATACGGGGTTTCTCTGATTTTTTCTACATCTATTTGAAAATATTGCTGAAATGGCTGAAGAAATGATAAAGTCAGCTCGTGAAAATGTTTTTTTAGAACTGAGTTATAATATTTTATATAGAAAAGGGAATTTTATTATAAAAATAGACTTATTTTTTAGGATTTGGTATATTAATTGATATAGCTTCTCGGGAATCATTTTTCATAAGCTGATTTAAGACAGATTTTACTGGGTGGATTGCTGAGCCATGCTTTGTTGTTTTATGTGTGCATCTTATATGTCCTTTGTCGCCCTCAAATTGGAAAATATTTGAGCAGTTTTTAAGAGCTTTTAAGAAAAACGGGTTTGTAATGCCGAGTAAAATTGAGCTGAGTTCGCCGTTTTCGCATTGAGTTTGCCGCTTACGGAAATCATGATCAAATATTGTAAAATAAGGATAGTAGTCTCCTTGGTATATTAATGGAGAAATCAGTGAAATTAAGCCTAAAACAGCGAAACTGCAGGCTTCTGGAGTTTCAGTTAATAGCATAAGTGCTTCACCGGTAATTAAAATTTCTCAGAGATTTCATAAATGCTTTTTAATTACAGAAATTCCAAATGTTTCATAAATATTTATATCTTGAAATTGGCCTGGAAAGCCCTGATTTATGCTGTCTAAAATTTCGCTTACATTTAATATATAATCAAAAGGAAAGTTTTCTATTTAAAATAAAATACAGAATTAATTTTTAATTATATTTGAGAAGATTTAGTCCTTCTCCACATGACTGAGGCGCAAATGCTATTTCAGTTGAAGGAACTGTATAAGAAATAACGGTCCCTAGTATAGGTAGCTCTATTGTAAACCCAGGATTAATTGGGCTTCAGCTCCTTATTGCAAACCAAGCCATATCAAAAACTTCTTCTCCATGCTGAAAATATCACGGTCCTACCATATCAACAATTTGTTTAAAAAGTGAAATAAATGGGTGTCTTGTCAATAATACCACTGATTTTTGAGAAAAACCCCGATTTTTATTAGGATCTCTTTTCTGATTAAAGTGAACAAACCCAAAATACTCTTCATCATTAATCTTCAAACTAAAAACATAAGATAAATTTCATAAAGAATTAACTGAATTTGAGTCTGGAAACGCTAAAAATGCTATTTGCTGTTGCTGCTCCTCATTTAATATTTCTGGAAATTGTTTTTCTAGCTTCTGCCCTAAATCTTCGTCAAAAGTGACTACACAAAAAGTGCTCATCCAATCCATTTTTATTTAAAAATAGTAAATAGTGATAAATAAACTAAAGAGATAGGCGATAAATATTGGAAGATTTTTGATATTCCCTTGACTAAAAATGCTGGAGAGCCCCGCTGTTAAAAACTTATACACCTGAAGGATTTTTGGAACAATTTTTTTCAATTATGGGAATCAAGGCACCCAAAAATTTTTTCATATACGATTATATTTGATTTATACAGTAGGCGAAGCATTTATAAATATAATAGGGATTTGCTTTAGAGATAGGCTCAGAAAGAAAAGATTTAAAAATATCGGGAAATGCTGGAATTGGAAAGATGCTAATACGAAATTTATCATTTTTGCAATTTTATTAGAGTTTTAAGTATAATATTGCAAATGCTAACGATATACAGCTGGACTCATGGTCCCAAGGAAATGGAAGGCATAGCGGTTTTTCCCTGATTATCCAAAGATAACAGTTCTTTAACCGAACAAGGACAAGCCATATAAGTTGATTTGTGAAATTAAACAAGATAGGCTTAACTCATAGATGCAATTATTTTCTTTCGTCATATAAGATATCGTCATAATTTATTAGTTAAAATCATTGGAATTTAACAATAGAGAAGGTAGGTTAGCTATTAAAGTTAGGCGTTAGCCATATTTGTGACTGCGCCACCAAATATCTCCCGATAGGAGGTTCTACCACTTTTCGACTCCAGTCCAGAGGGTCTATCCCTTATATGAATGCCCATCCGGTACTTTCTATCTCCTCCTTGTCTTGCGGCTTCAGTCTTGAGTATTTATGGATTTTTGCTGCTACTGGCGATTGGAGTAACTTGATTTCATGAATCAGCTCCTTGGAATCTATCGGATGCTGAATTGCCTTCCTTCGACAGCTACAGGAAAAAAACAACTCATCTGTGGCTTGGGCCGAATGCTATGAGTCCTCATATCCAAAGGAAGCTGTTAAGCTCCTCCATTTCTAACCATAGGAAAGCAGCCAAAACCTACCCGGATGCACATCTTTTGAGACTTCACTTGATTCTCAGCTAGAAGTCCATCCCAGCTCGCCGTAGCCATAAGGTCTCGACTGTTGCGCTAATAAGGTAGATTGGCACATGTCGCCATTTTAATATATACAATAGAGAGAAAGCAATTTCCAAATATTTATTTAAATGAATGAGGCTAGGTCTTTGATTTGACATTTTTTTTGCTTAAATTCATATATATTACTTTATATGTTAAAACACGTGTCTTTACTTCTTCTCCTAGGACTCGCCTTTTGCCACGACGAGCCTAAAAACATATTGAAACTCACTGATGATACTTTTGAAGAAGTTTTATCCACAAATCCCTATGTCTTTGTCGAGTTTTATTCCCCATGGTGTGCTCATTGCCGATATTTTGATCCGCTTTATTCTAAAGTTTCCACTTTATTTAGTGAAAATACCCCTCAGGTCATAATTTCCAAGATAGATGCTACAGTTCATTTAGAAGCTGCAGAAAACTACGATATAAGCGCTTATCCAACATTTAAGCTCTTCATCAATAAAGAGCCAATTGATTATACCGGACCTCGATCGGAAAATGGCATGATCAATTGGATTTTCAAAAAAATAAACCCTCCTGCATGGCACCTGCAGTCTTTAGATACAGTCAAAGCCTTCTTAGAAGACAACAAGCTAGCTTTTGTACTTTTTACTACACATGGCTCAGCTGAAGAAAAAATATTTGAAGAGACTGCAAAAACGCTTGAAGGGAGCTATTATGCAATCTCAACAGACCCAGAAGCTGCAAAGGAATATGGGGTGAACATCCCTCAGCTAGTTGTGTTTAAACATTATGATGATGGCAAAGCAGAATACAAAGGAGAATTCAATGAAAGTGATTTAACTGAATTCATAGAAAAGCATCAGTTACCTTGGGTAATGAGATTCGAAGGGAAAGCTATTGAATATGTGTTTGGAAAAGAGAATCCTTGCTTATTTTTATTCAGAAAAGAAGAGGACTCACAATATGACGAACTTCTTCAGCATATTTCTAAACATGTAAAAGGAGAAATTTTTATGACATATGCTGACTTATGGGACTCAATAAATATAAGACTGGGAAATTCTATTGGAGTTTCCCCAGATTCGATGCCTATGGCGTTTATATGGCATTCAGAAACCAAAAAATACATGCTGAGTGGAGAAATCACTGAAGAAACTTTGCTACAGTTCTTGCAGGACTATAAAAAAGGAATCCTCCCAATTTACTATAAAAGTGAGCCAGTCCCTGAAAAAGACTATGACGATAACATCAAAATTTTAGTCGCCAGCACCTTTGAAGATATTGTTTATAATAGCTCTTTGAACGTTTTGGTACAATTTCATGCACCCTGGTGTGGACATTGCAGGACACTTACCCCAGAATTTAAAAAAGTTGCTGAAAGGTTCTCAGGGACTGAATCAATTGCAGTGGCCATGCTGGATGCAACGAAAAATGAAATCCCTGGACATGAAATTACTAAATTCCCAACAATAAAATACTTTACAACAGAAAATAAAGAAGGAATAGAATATAATGGTTCGAGAGATGCAGAAAGTATTATTGAGTTTATCAAAAATAACACCCCAACTCAAAAGCAAATGAAGCATGACCTTTAAAAATAAATTATTAGGATTTTATATATATAATTGACCAAATTATTAAATAATTAATTGAACAAAACAAACTAAAATTATTATTTAAATGATTTTTTTTTCTATAAGTAATTATTGATAGAATCTGATAGAATTACATATTTTGTAAACTTTATCTGAAAATTCCTTCCTTATGATCTTATTCAATAATAAAGCTAAGATGGAACCTCAGCCTAAAAATAGATGGGTAATGTCTGACTCTGAAGAGGAAGAAGAAGAAGTAAAACCTCAAGATGAGCACATCATCACTTCTCTTCCCACATTAGAAGACGCCAAAGCGCCCAAACCCAAAAAGAAAAAGAAATCAAAGTCAAAACCTAAGGAAGAAGAAGAAAAAGTGGATCCAAATCTCACAACTAAGATTGTGGCTGAACAAAAAGTTGAAGCTAAAAATCTAAGACCAGATGGGACAACAGCCTCTAAGAAAGAAGTGCAAAAAAAAGAGCTTGATGAGCTTGACTCGATTCTGCAAGAATTTGGCTTACAGCCACAAGATAAAACAGCTGAGCAGCAGGCACATGAAGAAGATAACAAGCAAAATCAGCAGAAAGGCAAAGCTAAATCTTCGAAAAAAGAAGTGTTTGAAAGCGTTCGGGCTGAAATCAATGCTCGAAATACCAAAAAGTCTAAGAAAAAAGATAAGATGAATTATCCTAGATAATCTAATCCACAAATTCGAATTTTAAGCTGGGGTTATTTCTAAGGCTTTCAAAATATAGTTCACAGCGTCATTTTGTTGAGATATCAAGGCAACTTCTAGTGGAGTGAAGCCTTCTATGTTTCTTCCTTCAGGGTCACAGCCATTCAATATTAGTAGCTCTATCATTTTTAAATCTCCGACTCTAGCTGCCTGATGCAAAAAATTAAAGCTGTTTTCTGAAATTTTTATATCTGCATTATTTTCTGATCTCCTGCTAGAAGTCAGCTCTGCTCCTGACAAAATTGCTTTAAACGCAGTTACCACGTTTTTTGCTTCTATAGCTTGTGATAGAACTTCGTTAGGGTTTTTGCATTTGATCATATAGCTTTTTAGTTGATATTTACTTCGAATATAGGCATCCCTGTCTTCTATGTTCGAGAACTGAGGAGGCCGGAATCCTTGGCCTCAGATTTCGTCATGATGGTTATGGAGCTCTGAGATTAGCTCATTTGTTATTGGATTTATATTATCCAAATGCAAACTTTTAACTTTTGATATGTGGCACCCAAGTGATCTGTGAATTCCACTGCAAGTTGTACATAAATGGACACCTAAATTTAGACTATATCATTCTCCAGCTTTAGCTAGACAATCAGCACAGAAAATATTAGCGGTAGGCTCATATCCGAGTAAACCTTGTTCGCTTGCAAGTTTTAATGCATAAACCCATTCTTTTACTTCAGCGTCGCTTTCTGCAAGCAAAATAAAGCTTTTTTGTGTGGTGGCAGAGTAAATTTCAAAAGCAAAAAGATGCTCATAATCTATCAGCTCCGTAATTTTTGATAGCACAAGTGTTGTATAAAGTATTTCCTGCTGCCCTCTATAATATACTAATTCTGACTCATTTATTTTAAAATACCTCCTTTTCCAGTCTTTAAAAAAATCAGCTTGTTTCCACAAATATCCTTCTTTATTTTCTTTAAATTGAGGTAGTTTTTTATATAAATTTAAATGCATTTCAATGCCTTCTTTTTCCTTTTTCATCCATTCTTCTCTTGTAACTAAAGCTTGTTTCGCTTTCTGAATTGTATCTGATAATTTGCTTATTACATTTTCCTTTGATTTTAAATTTTCAATTGCAGTATTCGTAAAGCTCTATATATTTCTTACCCATTGTGTAAACACAAGTGATAAAAACTGGTCCAATGCTAGTGTTTGTGCAGCTGAATTTGTAGATGATAATAAATAAGAATAGTCATATCTCATTATTTCTCAGCTTTTTTCACACAAATGGAGCTTGATGAAATGAGATTCAGTCTGACTTGGGTTTTTTTGTGTATATGATTTCTTTAAAGCGACGGTTTGGGATTTAATTAGCTCGATTTCTTTGAGGATTTTTTCATAATTTTTCTTCAATTGGGATAATGGCTGGATTTTGGTGTCAATGAAATTTTGTAAGGAACTGGCAAAAACGCTTTGTAAGGAAAAAATAAAACCTTCATGGCATGCGAGGAGAGTGGAAAGCATTTCTTTTATTTCGGAAAAGCTGGTTTTGTAGGATCCTAAGGCATTAATGGAAGGATGTTCACATAAGGATTTTAGTAGATCAGTCATGGAGTCTATATAGCTTTGGCCTCTATTGTGAGCTATCATTGATAAGCTGATTCAGTCATTAAAAATTGTATTTATTTGTTGAAGCGCCTCTTCAGTTTGAGACATGCTTGATCTAAACATTGGGGAATCCTGCTGAAACTCTTCATACATAATTATTAATTAATTAGACTTTAGTTTCTTCAATTAAAATCTTTATTTTTGCTCTAAAAGAGCATCTTCTATCTCTAATTGAAAGCGTCTTTTTCTTGAGCTCGTTTACCTTTTTGTGTAGAAGTGTTGATCTGAACGATCTTTTCGAACATTTTCTCCTATACCTTGTCAAAATTGTGTACATAAAATTAATCATTTTTCCAATAGAATATTCAATATCATCTTTCGGTCTATTGAAAGTTCTCAATCTGAAGTCATCAATTATTGTACCATAAGGCTTCTTTTCAGTTTCCCCGCTTTCAAAAATCTCCTTTTCCTTTTCACTCATTTATTTTTATAAGGGGGTCTAACTCCAATTCTTCAATCTATTTTTACAATAATTTTATTGCCATTTTGTCTTGCTATATCCAATAGCATAAGCTCCTTTCCTAATAAATTTATCATAAAGCCAATTATCTTTATAAATTTCTTAATAATTAAGAATCAAACAAATAATGGACTCTACTAGGATTCTTAAACGTATTCAGCCCAGTATCTGGAACTCTTTCTGCCACAAAGCTTGTAGTGAACTTATTGTTCATTGGGAAATATTTCGCTGGTAAATCATGCTGATTTGGGTGAAGTCTTCCATATTCACTATTCCTTGTCATGTATTTTGGATTTTGCCCAACATTTATGCCTATCTCTGGATATGTCATTTCTTCAGCTTTTACATTTAGAGAGGTGATTCTGGGCTGAGGGATGCATGGATCGTATACATGCTGGTCAGGCTCGCCTGCTTCAATGTCTTCAATTTCTTTTTCTTTCATAATTTTCGCCTTTAAGAGTTTTAGCCCAGTTTTTTGCATTAGATCAGTCTCGGCGATCTCTCGATAGTTCTTTATCTGAGTGGTGGTTTTTCTGGGGTCTTGGCCTTGAGTTGATACCCATGACTTTCCATAGTCTCCATTAGTAGTTGCGTACATATTTATTATAACTGCTTTATATATTTTTCAAAATAGCAAGGATGTTGTAGAGAAAATTATAGTTAATAATTGAAGGTAAAAAACGTATTTTTAATCAAAATAAATTATTCTTGATGATATAAGATTTAAATTTATTGAGAGTGAAAATATGAAGAATAATAAAATGATAAATTATCATTTTTTGAGGAAGGATGGAAACTGAATTAAATATTTATATTCATTTTATTATCATAAAGTGCTTGTGATACAGCATATAAGGCTATTTCTTATAATAGGATAAATTATTTATGCTATATAACGTATACTTCATACAAATAATCTAAGGCTCTATTAATTTAGAGCTATTCAGAACAATCTGAATTACTGGAATAAAAATTATTGATATTTATTAATAACTTTTTGCTCACAAAATGGACTCCAGTGATCAAAGCCTGCATGACATCTACACTACAAACAGCCAAGAATGATGCGAAAAATACGTAAAACTCATGGGTGACAAAGAAAAACGAGAAAACGAATTGATCCAAGCTCTTGAATCTTTAGAAAATGATGTAAAAAACCTCACAGCTGAAGTTCAGCAGTTAAAACAAGACAACGAAATGTTAACTATTCAGCTACAAATCGTCAAAAATGAAAAAGAACTCCACATAGAAGAACATGCATCATCTTCCAGCAAATGGCAAAAAGAAAAAAGAAAATTAATCAAAAAATACGACGAGGACAAAAAACAATTGAAAAAAATTATCCAGCAGATTCAGCTGGATTATGAAAAATCGCAGAAAAATTTGGACGAAGTTTATAACAAAAATAAATTTAGGGAACAAACATGAAAAAACAAGCTTGAAATTAGAGAAGAGGAGCTTTATAAGGTAATTGCAGATAAAGATAAGACAATTATGGTAAAAAATATATAGAAACTTAAAGAAGCACTCAAACAGTATGAAGAAAAGCCGGATAATAAAGGCTTAAGCAACACTATAATTAAAAAAATTGCGAAAAAGAAGCTGAAAATTAAAAGACCGAAATCCTTTGCAAATTTAGATGCACCTTTGTCAACGAGACATACAAAGAGAGACAGCTCTAGTAATGATATTAGCGATTTAATTACTAATATTGAAAAAGAGCAGGACGAGCTAAGGCAAAAACTTTATGATTTCAGGGACAGCTCATATGCAAATTACCTTGAGGCAGAAATTCAAAAAAATGAAGACCGGCTGAGAAATATTAAAATTTCAAGAAATTCTCCAAGTAGGCTAAGAGTAATGGATTTATAAAATAAAATTGTTGCGATTATTGTAAATGGCATCATTTTTACTTGAGCAATCTGGAGAATGCCATCTCTTTGGAGAGTTTGGATGGCTCATCCAAGCTATATTAGGGATGATGTCATTTAGTTCGTTAATAAGTAATTTTCATATAGTCAAGAGATATACCATTTTAATTAAAAAAACAAGTCCTTTAGTCTTTTAATAGGCCTTTAAATCCTTTTGCTTAATATAAAATATTATTCTCCATAAACCAGGATACGTTGAAAAAAATCGGCGATCCTGAAAGATTTGGTTTATGGACACGTCCAAACAAGCTTCAAGCACCTGTCTCCTACACAGTCTTAATCTAACGGCAGCTTATATTATTGGGAATGCTGAAGAAGAGTCAAATCAATGCACCTGGTATTTTTTAAACTTTACAACAGACACTTTAATTGGGATGGGAATTTGCTATTTATTTTTATACGCCCTAGAGTACATTTTATCGTTTTCTTCTCTACTTTCCTTTAAATCTGGAGACTATGGCTCTCCTCCTCGCTGGGGATGGTGGGCGTATCAGCTTTTATTATGACTAATTATTGCTGTGTCTATGAAAATACTACTTGTCGCTATAATGATAATTTTGCATGAATTTTTAGAAGGTGTAGGCGATTTTATCCTCAGCCCTTTTGTAAAGTACCCGAACCTTGAGCTGATTATGGTTATGATAATAATACCGGTAATCCTCAATTCCTTAATGTTCTGAATCACAGATGGATTTTTGAAAAATACCAAAAAACACGAAAAACTTGCAAAAATAGTATCGATTGAGCTGCTTGAAGATGTATCGAAATTAGGAGAAAAATCCGAAGAATAATAATTAGAATGTATAATTTTCAGGCTATTTGGGGGAAAATAGCAGAAATCTTAATTATAATTGACAATTTATAGATAAATGAATATATTTTTCAATAAATCTCAATTAAAATCAAAATATGGATAAATATTGCCTAGTTCCTCCTCGTAGAAATTACCGAAGAAAAACCTTTTGAAATACTTTCTCTAGTCATATATTTCTCTGCTGTACCAAGAATGAAGTAAATTTTATGCAGGAAAACACAAAGCGAGAACGCAAACAATTTTGAAAAATAATCCGTGATAGAATATCAAAGAAAAAAGACACTGACCGAACTTATAACATTTTGCTTGATCTTTATGAGCAAAAAAACGTGATAAGTGAGCTGGAAAAATGCAAAATAAGTCCGTCATTCACAAAATTCAAGCGTGATGATTTATATTTCACAAGGCCAAATGGTTTGGGTGAAAAAAATTTATATAATTAATTTATAAAAAAAAAATAGAAAAATCAATTTTTATTAAAAAAATTATTTTAACAGATGTGGATTAGAATTTTATGCTCCTCAACTATGGTAAAAACTAGTCAGCAACCTTCTGCTATACGATTTTCATGAAAATTTAGAAGAGCTTGTAAAAACCGTCCTGGTCCTATGCAAGCTGAGTTTTCAGTTCTCCCACAAGGTTTATTGATTTTTAAATTCCACTGATTTTTCAGTTTTGGAACCACCGAATGTCGACCCATTTTATCTAATCAAAAGTATTGAGACAATTTCATCAGATTCTCAGTCAGTGTTTTTGGGTGAAGGAAAAAAATTGTTAAATTTGTTAGCAGAACAAGGACTAGATGCTGACTCCCCCCCCCCCCTCCGTGAGCGAACAAAACCATTAGAAAAATCGCCATTTTTTGACCAAAAACCCACCCCCTCCGTGAGTGAACAAAAATTTTTTTAATAGAAAAAATTTTAATGAAAAAAAAATTTGGATATATAAGTGATAATTAGTATAATGAAATCTAGAGCTAATTCTGTTTAATTTTAAACAAATTGCGTTTTAAAACATAAATTTTGCAAATTTAAATTAATATTTGCTTCCCAATTTTTGCAAATTAGGATTTTTTTAAATTTCGAAAAAAATATTTTTTATAAAATTTATATATAAAAATTTTTTTAAAAAAAAAATAACCCCCCCTCCGTGAGTGAACAAAATTTTTTTGTTCGCTCACGGAGGGGGGGGGGGGGGAGTGAGAAAACAAATACACAGAGTTTTGCAGAGATAGTAAATGAAGAAAATGATAAACAAATCCAGGTTAGGGAGGTCATTAAAATGTATAATGAAATTGGAAAAAATGCAGAAGTTCCTATTGATGTAAATCCAAAATATATCCCTTTGAATCCTTTCCCAAATAATGATATATCTTCTTATATTAATTTTTACATTTAAATTTAATTTATTTTTTTTAAAAAAAAAATTTGTGATTATTTATTTTAAATTTATAGGTCTTTTAAAGGATATATAATAGATGGATACCATTCTACCCTCTGGTTCTATGACAGACTAACACAAATTTCTTTAAAACTTTTAAAATTCCCTAAAAAAGGTGAGCTGCTAAAAGAAGAGCTAAAATCCCTAAATTTACTTCTCCCTGCCGCAGTTTATATCCCTTTCAGCAACCTAAATTGCAGGAACTCTTCAATCTTACATATCCCTATCTCAGAAGCTAAAGTTTTTACCACGAAAGAAAGGGCTCCTTTCCTTATCTGTATTGAAGTTTTCAGACCATATGAAGAGCTTCAAGACATGGACCTACACAACGAGCCAGATCTAAGACGAAGAATAATAAGAGCTAACACCCTGCCTTTTAAGCTAGAAAACCGGCACAGTGAAGACTTTAATGATCCTACTACAGTAGAGCCAGAAGGTATCAATGAACTAATGAAGTCTTTTGTACAGAGAAACAGTGATGAAGGCGCTTTTAAGCTCCAAAACAGCTTTGCAGGTCTGAGCCCAGCATTACATTATGATGGAGTATTTTCAAATATAGACCCTAGGGCTACTACAATTGGGGTAATTTATGGAAATATTGAAGATGAGGAAGAAGAAATGGAAACTAATGAAAATGTAGAGCAGCATCCAAGTGCTTTAAAAGAGTCCTTTAAAGAACAAGCCAATAGGATAAAGGCAAAAAGCCCTTTTGGGAAGCTTAAAACGTGGGATTTGGTAAGGGTCATTGTCAAGAGTGGGGACGATCTGAGGCAGGAGCAGCTTGCAATGCAGCTGATATCATTTTTTTGGCAGACTTTTAAAGAAAAAAAGCTAGATATTTATTTATATGCGTACGAAATTTTAGCGACAGGCTTAGACTGTGGAATAATTGAATGTGTGCAAGACGCTGTTTCTATAGATGGCTTAAAAAAATCTTTGCCTGCAGACCGTAACACCCTTTATGACTTCTTCAGAATCCAATTCGGCGACGAAAACTCTAAAAGGTACAAACGGGCCAAAAAAAATTTTATGCGGAGCCTCGCAGGCTACAGTCTCCTTTGTTATATTTTACAAATAAAAGACAGACATAATGGCAATATTTTAATTGACAGACATGGGCACCTAATCCATATAGATTTTGGATTTTTGTTCAGCAACAGTCCTGGTGGAAACTTAAACTTCGAAAAAGCTCCATTTAAACTTACAGATGAATTTGAAAGAATTCTAGGAGGGAGAAGGTCAAAAATTTTTATTGAATTTAGGTCATTGTGTGTGAAAGGATTTATTGCATTAAGAGCTAAGGCAGAACAGATTATTTTATTAGTAGAAATGATGAGGACTGGGTCTGGGGCAAGCTTACCATGCTTTTGTAGGGGTGAAGAAGCTATAAAAGAATTGAGAGCTCGGCTGATGCCGAGAGAAAAAATGTCAGAAAGTGACTGTAAAGGTTATGTAAATATGCTAATTGACGAGAGTTTGGATAATTGGACTACAAGGTGCTATGATAGATTCCAGTATTGCTGCCAAAATATTTTTTATTAGATTTAAGATTATTTTAAAAATTAATTGCTGATACTAAGGATAGTGATTAAAATAAGGTCTTTATTCTTTCTTACTCCCCCCCCCCCCTCCGTGAGCGAACAAAACCATTAGAAAAATCGCCATTTTTTGACCAAAAACCCACCCTCCGTGAGTGAACAAAAATATTTTTAATAGAAAAAATTTTAATGGAAAAAAATTTTGATATATAAGTGATAATTAGTATAATGAAATCTAGAGCTAATTCTGTTTAATTTTAAACAAATTGCGTTTTAAAACATAAATTTTGCAAATTAAATTAATATTTGCTTCCCAATTTTTGCAAATTAGGATTTTTTTAAATTTCGAAAAAAATATTTTTTATAAAATTTATATATAAATTGTTTTTAAAAAAAAAAATTAAACCCCCCTCCGTGAGCGAACAAAATTTTTTTGTTCGCTCACGGAGGGGGGGGGGGAGTTAGAAAATTGATTAGCTATCTTCATTCTTTCATTGTAGTTATTTTTATTCAAAATTGAGTAAATCATAAATAGCACTACAGTTCCCGAGTAAATAGACCATGGCCATTGAATATTGCTAACCCACATAGGCATCAATCTTCGGGTTGCACCTGCACCTTGGTATAAGTTTAGTGCTTCATGAGCGAGAAGATAAAATGTCAATCCTTTTCAATTCTCTTGCTGGACACTATGTATAAAATATAGTCCTAATGGTATATAAGCAAAGCCTGCAAGTATTCTATAAAATCCTATAAAATATTTATTTCTTGCCACTTCATAAGCTTTTAAATTATATTGCATTGCTTCAACCCCACATATGCATGAACCCATAAATGTGCTGAATAAACCTATTCACATTCCTGAAAACTCCATGTATTTCTTGTATTCGCTTGTGTTATAGTCTGATTTAATAATCCCAAAAGCTCCAGCCACGCCTGGAACTCCACTGAATCAAAGCATCCATCTTAGAAATTTCGGTATTTTAGTGTCATTGGGAGCAGCAACTGCAGTAGATTTGTTTAACTCTGCTTCTTTTCTTTGATGAAGCCGGTCTTGCAGATCTTTATATTCTTTTGTTCCTTTCTTAGGGATTGGATTTACGATTCTCCCTCTTATAAAAGGTAAAGAAAACATATTTATTTACCTTATTTTTCTTCATTTAAGACAGTTTGTGGATTTGATATATCTTATTATTTAATATTTTTGAATTAAAAGTATTGAATTGATTTCCGAGAAAATATTGAATTGATAAGATTTTAAACAATAGCCTAAATCATTAATTTGAATGATAATAAAAGAAAATTGATTTGATTAAAAGAATAGGAAATAAAATAAAAAGGAAGTATAATTCTCTATTAATTTCATAGAAGTTTGCATTTCATAATAAAACTATGCCAGCAAATGGGATTTTCGAAGCAATAGTCCACCTTGATTCCTTTAGAAACATCGATTTATTTTTTAAAGGCTTCTATTACATTGAATGCAAGGCATATTTCACAATGCCAGGGAATAATAGGCTCTATGCATGTCCTCAAGTTATTCATCAGTCTGACGATGTTTCACATTACTACGAACATAATATTCTTAATCCTCAAATGCTGGATTCAGATAATTTATATAGATCAAAGGTTTTTTTGATAAAATATTGCCAAGAAATTGTAAATTTAAGCGAAATTGTTGTGTTTAGAGCTGAGTTTGAAATGACAAGACCTAATAGAGATATTCCGCTGATTGTAGAAACAAAACTGTTTTTCTCAGAACCAAGTAACGCAATTCCAGATGAAGAGCTATTAGACACAATGAGGGACCCAAGTAGATTTACTCAGTTTAAACAAGTGGGGTTAAATAAATTGAAAATAAATCGGCCAATTTTTGGCATTAATCAGATGATGCCAGTCTCTTTTTCAGAATTTTATTCATCAGTTTTAAAAGTCTCTATTCATACCATGCTTGTAGATTTCAAATTTAATAATGGCTATGACAGTATTTTCCCTAAAAATGATACAAGCTTGAGCTCAGAAAAGCTGGACCGATTATATGAAGAACATGTGCTGCATCTTACAATAATTCATAATAAAATATTAAATTTTCTATAAATAATATAAGTTTCCTTTACTAAAATAAAATAAATATATATATAGAAATTTATGATACGAAATTATGTATTAAAAGCAATAAATGACACAGAAATAGAAAATCTCAGTGATTGTGTTACTGAGGAAATAAGTCTGCCTATATGAGTAGATAATATCAATGAAGACGATTTATTTTTAGTCCCAGAAGAAGGAGTCTCAAGATGCTTATTCAGCAAATATGTCAAAACAAGAAATAAATATGAGCTTTTTAGGTTCATTCTTAATGAGCTACGCGAAGTTGTCAGCAGTTTATGCGTAATAAAACACGCATTTATTGAAGTTATGAGGGTTAGATCTACTTATATTATAGGAAAATTTGAAATTCAGCATAATGAAGCCATTAAAAATTTTTGATCACAATTTATTTGTATAGAAAAAAAATTATTTCCATGTGAGCTTTTCAGTGATTCTGATATAAATTTAGTTCATAGCGAAATGACCATTGCTATGAGAAAAGCAGTATTTTATAAAGGAGACCCTGATATTATTGATACTTCATGTATGGAAAATGTGCCTATAATATTTGAAGAAGTCTATGAAAACCTAGAATCTTCATCAGAAAATAAATACTCCCAAAGCGAAAGCCACCTTTTTGTGCTCGTCCATGGCTTGTCAGGGTCTTTTATAGACATGAAAAAAATCCGTGACACAATAGGCTTGGCTTTTCCAAATGCAGAATTTCTAATGTCTAGAGCCAATGAAAAAAACACTATGGGAAGCATAAAAGATATGGGATTTTTGCTAGCCCAAGAAGTAATTTCTTATGTCCATCTACAGAATTCATTTAAAATCAAAAGAATTTCTTTTATTGGACACTCATTAGGAGGCATCATTATACGTGCAGCTTTGGAGCATCTAGAAATATATAAAGAAAAAATGAATATTTTTATCAGTTTATGTTCTCCACATTTAGGGTCTATATATGGAGATTCTAAGCTTGTAGGAGCTGGATGTTGACTATTAAGAATGAGCAAGAAAAATGTTAGTATTCAGCAATTGGCCCTTAAAGATACTGAAGACCCAAGGAACTCGTTTATTTATCGCCTTGCTTTTGACCCTTGTATAGGGTGGTTTAAAAAAATATTTTTGGTGAGCTCTTTACAAGATGGGTATGTCCCTTTTCAATCAGCTAGGATTGAGGCTGGAAAAGGGGTATTTAAAGATGATACTTTGCAGCTGGAAATGGCGTCTGCGATTATGTCAAATATTAACGCTGAGGCAGTATATAGGATTGATTCGATCTTTGATATCCCAGAAATATCGCTGGGGAATTTGATTGGGAGAGCTGCTCATGTGCAAGCCATTGATTGTGCAGCTCTTTTTAAGATGCTTATTTCAATACATTATAGTGTTTTCGCTTAAATTTGATATTTTAATATACAAATATATCATAATAAATTGTAAAATTAATAGCACTTTTCTGTTTGCATATGATGAAAATTATTAAAATATACTTTTTCTCTCCTTATTATAATAATTATATATTTCTTAAAGATCTATTTGTATCTTCATGGTCATACTGAGTATGCATCCTTTCATCTTTCGCCGAAAACAGTGACAAAATAGTCTGGCTCGGAGATGGCGTAAAAATAGGTGCCAAACTTCCTGATTCTTCAATATTTATATTCAGCCATTCCATCATTGCCTGCTCATGCTTGGCTTGGTCTCTTGGCACGTGATGTGTTTTTTTCTTTTCTCTAGTCTTCTGCAGCTCAGTAATTTTTTTAATAATTTTCCAATCCATAGGGTTATCCTCTACATTTAAAATTTTGATATTTTCATTATTTTCGAAAAGCTCCATCAAAGATTGCCCTCCGTTGCTGCCAATTCTGTTATGACTTAAATCTATTGAAGCTATGCCTGGGTGGTATCGGAAAAGTTCAGCTAATTCCATTGCGCATTCACTTTTTAAGCCTTGATTTCTAAGATTTAAGCTTCTTAACGCAGAGTTGTCGTACAAGAATGGAAGAACAGCAAGTGTTCCTCTATTTCCTAAATAGTTTAGAGGTAAAGCAAACCTGTCGCTGAAAAATAGGTCTGGCTCTTCTTCTATTGCTTTTAAAACGCTGGAGTTGGGGGTTACTCTGAGTTGTTCACAAATAGCGACGTATTTTTCTTTCATATTATCATCATAATAAAATTAGATATATTTATTTATAGTGAATATGATAATTTTCTATTATAAATTGATAATCAATTAGATAATAAAAATTTGCATGAGTTCTACAGGCAAACTAAAAGCAATTCGTAAACTGATACTTCTTAAAAGCCAAGAACTCGCCCCAACCTTAGGATTTAGCCCAAACCTCTTCCAAATTGCTGCTAAAGAAACTGCAGTGTCTCCAGTAATCCATAATTAGGCAATAATCGGACATATATTTCCAGAGGGCCCTGTCGCACTGGTATATCATTTAATGGAGTCTTGGCAGGAAAAATTAAATGAAGATGCAATCACAAATGAAGTCGCTAAAATGAGCACAAAAGAAAAAGTTTATTATTTCACTAAAAGAAGAATGGAATACATTATACTTTTTAATATAAATAATAAACCATCATAAATTGCTATAAATATTATCAAAATTGCTTTAAATTGGTATATTCCTTATAAAGATGTATGAAAAGAAGCAATGACAATGGGTGCATCTCCAAGCAATGTTTTTAATACAACAAAAATATTATGAGACACTTGGGATTTAATTTTGAACCTCAGCAGTGAAACACCATCTCTTCAATATTTTGCGATTCCCCAGCACTTACTTGCAAGAGCTGCATATGGAAGAGCATATTTATTCACAGAAATATATTTCCTAACAGACAGCCCAGATTTCAGCCACACTTGAAAGTTCTTAGAAGGACAAGTAGACAGTTTATACCAGCAGAAATCTGCAGTTAATACCCTTTTAGATATTTCTCAGTTTACTTTAAATGCACAATATAGAGTCCTTGAAAGTTTTTATCCTCAGCCAAAATTTCATAATAATCCAATAGTAAAATAAAAATTTCAAAATTAATTAATAATAAAAAAGATTAATTAATTATTGGTTATCAGCAGAAACCAATGGCTCTTTCTCGGAATCCACTGATTTCTTGCTGTATTTATATTTATATTCTCTAGGTGGGAATATCAATCCTTGCACAAACGCAAAAATGATCATTTCGATACTTAGAAGTAAATAAGTGGTGTAGCTTGTAATTTGGTCTACGTCGTATTCATCAGTGTCTGCTATAGCACCCCAGTCAGCTAAAAAGCCTATAAAGGTAGGCTGGATTTGTGTCCCAATGAAAGCAATCTTGACTGCCATAAACTTCGGGTTAACATTCATATGTTTTAGTTCATGAATTTTATGAACATTTGTTAAATAAAGCAATAAATGGTATAATAAATCTTGTAAATAGACTATAAGCTGTTCTAATAAGTTTTTGTAATGGGTTTATATGGAAAAATATACATTGCAATTGCACTGACAACGATTTTAATCATATTAATCCAAAAATCGATGGTCTTTATTTTTGCTGACAGACAGTTTCTTGGCGTTTCTTTTTATTCTTCAGGGAAATTTGCTGCAAAAACCGTTATTTTTCGACCAAATTTTTAGTTAGAAATAATTTTCATCTAAATATGCCTCAGAAATGAATTCAAGAGAGTATTTTCCCCTGGAAATGACATATAATCCCCAAAAATACCCATACTGAGGGTCAAGTTCTCCATAATGATAATTATCTCCATCTACAGTCAGCAGAAGAGTCGCAGCAATCGCAGCAAAGAAAAAAACTATGCCATATTGAATTCCTGCAAATCTGACCCTCCATATAAAAATTTTGACATCTTCTGGGGTTTTTAGAGGGATTTTTCCAAAACAAGGGCAAAGATGAGTACCATTTTCAAGCTGAGTAAATGAGGATTCAACTTTTTCATAGTCATAGTGAGAGCCTGTGCTGTCAATTCTCCATCCGATCAGTCTTAGAGTATATTCTACGAAAAGAATAATCATCACTGATTTCACAATATTAATTAAATAAATTGGCTGCGTAGTCTATAGGGTTTTTGGCTATTTTTAGGCCAAAATAAACGTTTGATAAAAATATTTATATTAATTAAAGTCAGAATTCACAATATCAGTCACAACTTCAAGAATTCCTACATCTTCTCCTACTAGAACTATGACCCAACTAGGCCTTAACTTAAGTTAATTGAACTTGGATTACTATAGAGTACGGAAACTATGCTGAATTTTCATGTCCCTTGTGTAGCTCGCCCCCTTGCTTGCCGGTTCGATTGCGTGACCTGAAGGTATGTGTTGCTTTCTCCGGACGAGCAACTCATAGGTAACGACGCTGGGCGACCTAGCTGTTTGTCAACGGGGTTGCTTTTTCCGAAAATTCAAAAGTGAATTTTCTGGTCAGGCTATCACGAAACTCCTGGAATCGCGCGTTGGGAAATTGCCTGATTGGCCAAGCAAACGCCCCTCGCTTGCTGAGCTATCCGTTCAATTTTCCAGTTCATCGTCCCTCGAGGTAAAATCTTGCCTTTAGATATAAGCCTGCGGTCGGTCAACCCTACAATGCTGTTCACCAGATCAAGTAAATCTGGCCGGACACTCTTACCTAACGCTACTCTCCCTTCCATAAGGTCCTCAGGCTCCTGTCTGGCTACAGGTTCTAAGATGATAGACCAGCTCTCCTCGCAATTTTTAAGTATGCGACCCTACTAGGCCAACCAATCAAAATTGGCGCTGTCAAAATAACCATAAGGATTTTTTGAGCTTGAGGATAATACATATGCTTATAATGATCATAGATATTCCACAACGCAAGAAATGTTGCAAACACAAGAATTATTGCAGACACCCAAATTCCTGCTCCAATCCCAAGCTCTCTTCTGTCATAAGTCATATCTTTAAATTTATATAATAGTCGTTTTACAATAGAAATTCATTTATTATGATAAAATGGATTATTTTCTTACGCTAACAGAAGTCTGCATCATTATTTAACCATTTATGAAGTATTTTAATTTTCTTATCTTTCTTATTATCACTTTATCATATTTTTATAGTAAATCCAAGGTAAAACTCTATATAAGTATCTTAAAATTATTTTTATGATTATTAACAACAAATTTGTTACCCCAAAAGAATTTCCAAATATTCCTTCAATTCGTAAAGACTACCGATATTTCCACGTAATGGACAACTTATGGAATCACAAATATTTTTCGTCCCCAAAAATATAGAAATTGCCCGAGGATGGCGCTATATTGCGCCATCCTCGGGCAATTGGAGACACGGCTCCACACGGGAATTGTGTTCCAAGTGTGGAGCCATTTTTCCACGTGGGAAAATGTGGATTCCACAAGTGGAAAAATGGCTCCACACGTGGAATACGGTTCCCGTGTGGAGCCAATTTTCGCTTGCCCTAGGATGGCGCCATATAGCGCCATCCTAGGGCAAATCCTATATCACAATTTTATCATAAAATCCAAGAAGAGTTTAATTCAGGGCCATACTCGCCTGAAAGAATGGCAAAGCTGCAAGCTGAATTAGAGTCTTTTGAAAGGAGCCAAAAGATGAGTGTCCTGAAAATGCCATAGGATGCTAAATTCATGCATTTTTTTGCTGATTAAAGGTGAATTTTGTTTTTCATGTCCAAATTTTTTATCTATTTGTGTTTTTTCATACTAAAATTAGAATTATTAACAATAAATAATACATGGATATGGAATTTTTAGGATAGTCCCCAAAAGACAGTTGAACAGAAGCTTCAGTCAAGACAGAGGCTGATGAAAAGAAAAGCAGAAAGAGAGCTTGTAAACGTAATTTAGATTCAAATTCATAGCAAACAAAAATCAGAAGACCCTGAATTATTTGTGGAATCTTTAGATGGGAAAGATTTAAATATGCCTATAAGAAAAAGACTAAATTCACAAGAATCACATAGACCAAGAGTCCCTGTTAATGAGTGGGAAAGAGTTGGACATTTGTCACCGGCGAAATTAAAATCAGCTTACCCTAATAAATTATTGGAAAAAGATAGCCAAGGCTTTGAAAATATTTTAAATAAAACTGAAGAACTGCAAAAGCTGGAAGATTATTTCGAAGAACAAAAACAACAAAAAAGGCAGAAACTGAGAAATAAGCTGGCACAGTGACATAATGACAGCTTAAATTTGGAAAGAAAATCTGGAATTGTCAAATACAGGCTTAATGAAATCCCAGAAAGCACTGTTGAAGATTTTAACACAAGCTTAACTTCGAAAAAACCATATACAGCATCTAAAAGGCTAGAAGAGTTAAGCAGACCTCGTATAAAAAAACTAGAAAAACTATTAGAGCACCACGATTTTCGAGGTCTATTGAAAGTCGATTTTCCTAATGCTCTGTCAAAAATTAATTCCTCCTTTGGTTCTGCTGATGTTTCACTTATTTCCTCAAGCTACAAAACCAAAAGATCTTCATCTATCTCAGTTGATGAATCCAAAACAACTTTATATGAGATTTCAGATTTTGAGAAAAAAAATCTTCAAAAAGCAAATTTAGATAGTCCATTAGAAATTACCGTGATCCCTTATTCTCGAAATGACCCGAAGTCACCATAAAATTGGCATTTTTCTTTTAATTTAATTATACATTAAATGGAGATTATATTGCTGAGCTTCCTGATAACAAATGTGCTTGCATTATGCTCGTTTACTCAGCACTGCTCACAGCCTCCTTATATATGTGAAGCACCAGTGGCTCTTAATCCTCATATTCCGCCGTTTAAAGAGAACTTTACAGCTCCATATGCATGCCCCACATTCTTAGGCCAAGATGTAAAGCTTGATCACTGCTTTGGATCAAATTTGGCTGAGGTCTGGAGGTATCAGATGGGGAGCTAACGACACCAACTTTTGCTTGCAAAGTCAACTCATAGATGGTAAATCTCCAATAGCAAGAGGAATTGCCATCTGGGAATTGACTTTGCCAGTAAATGTTGGCTAATCAACTCCCATCGGACGTCTCCCTGACATCCAAAGCAGGGATCAGGCTATATGCTGCAATGATGACCAAAATTCAGCTATGAATTATTTTTTTTATTTTTTTTTAATTTTTTTCTGCTAAAACTGATTTTTTATTTAAAAAATTTTAGCTATGAATTATAAGTTTTTTTTATTGGATGAGACATTTGGACATTCTGTCGGAGGGTGCGATATATGCGCTGCTAATATGAAATACATGTGGTGTCAATTCACATGCAATCCTAATCAAGCACAATTTGTACAAGCTGGAATTAATGAATTTGTTCCAAACCCTGTGGACCCACAACAAAAGATATGGACTATGCTGTCGAATTTTACTGTAACGAACTCGTTGGCTTGCGAAATTTATCAGTCCTGCCAGAAATGTCCTTATGTTACACAGGTCTCGGCAATGCAAAGTCCTGAAGGATTTTTGCAGTTCCAAGGGTATGAAGGTATTTCTATAGGGCTTGTGTGGACGACTTTTCAGTTTTCAGATGGGCCAGAAGCTTTAGATTTGACATTTTTCCCATGTAATTCTAATGTGACAAGTGTATGGGGATATCCAATACAGCCATGCACCTGCAATACATGCTTGAATTCTTGTGCTGCAAGCTATTACGTCTCTTCCCCCACAACTTTAGAAGGGCTTGATTGGCCTGTAGTCGGAATCGCCTATCTTGTAATTCTTGGTGTCTCAATGATCATATTTTTCTCAAAGTTTGCTTGGAAAAAGCATCTAGAGAAAAAAATGCGAGATATCCAGCCTTATGTAGCCCATGATCCTGCAGACAGCATAAGTAGTTTAACTTCGTAAAATTAATTTTTATATATATATCTCATGCTCAAACCATAGGCTAGTTACCCTAAAGCCAATAATAATGAGAAATTTTACTTCTGCGCAAAAATCTTAATTGAAAAGCAACATTTTTATTGATCACCAGATAATAAAATAAATGGTGACCAAGATGTGGATTTTATTATTATTTGCTCAGGTTTATTCTCTATGCTCATTAAGACAAAATTGTGTGCAACCGCCTTATGACTGTCAAACTCCGTTTTCTGTTAACCCTCCTTCTCCTCCGTTTATGGAAAACTTTACTGCTCCTTATGCTTGTCCGATGTTTTTAGGTCAAGAAGTTTGTTGTAGTCAAGATCAAAATGAAGCAATGAATTACAAGTTTTTTCTTTTAGATGAAACTTTTGGCCATTCTGTAGGTGGTTGTGATATATGTGCGGCGAATTTAAAAAATTTGTGATGCCACTTTACATGCCACCCTCTTCAATCTCAATACCACGAGCATTTTTATGGTCAGGCTTTCTGATCTTTCCTGGCAGGAAAGAGGAGAGTTAGTCGAGCTAACTAATTTTGGTTTGGCCAACTCCTAAATGGTAGAAACCCAGCGTTATGTGTTTCTGTTACATAGGGAGCTGGTCAAACTAATGCTAGTTGGCTATACTAACTCCCCTCTTTTCCTGTCGGGAAAGATTCAAAATCAGGAGCTATACAGGTTCTCGGCTATATGTAAAAACTGGTGAACAAAAATATGTTCCTAGTCCTGTAGAGCCAACTCAGCTTGTTCTAGCTTTATTAACAAATTTTACTGTTACGAATTCTCTATCCTGCGAAATATACCAATCTTGTCAAAAGTGCCCATATGTCACTGAAGTATCTGCTATGCAAAGCCCACAAGGATTTTTAGAATTTCAAGGGTATGAAGGCATCCCTATAGGGTTGGTTTGAACTACCTTTTATTTTTCAGATGGCCCTGATGCTTTGGATTTGCAGTTTTTACCTTGCAGTGCAAATGTAACCAATGCATACGGCTATCAAGTTCAGCCCTGCTCTTGTAATAATTGTTTAAATCAGTGTCAAGCGAACTATTTAGTAGCTGCTCCTTCAACATTAGAAGGGATTGACTGAATTATTGTAGGAATTGTGTATTTAGTTGTTCTAGTGTTCACTATGACGCTCTTTTTCTCTAAATACGCATGATTAAAATGAAGAAAAAACAAATCTCGAAGAGAAGAAGGAAATTCTAATGGTATTTATCAAGATTTAGCTCTTTCAAACTTATATTATGAATAAGAGTTTATTTTGCTTTTAATTTAAGGTTAAATTATTTGTATTAATTGCCTTGAAAAATTCATGGATTGTTTGATATATTAGATTTATGGACTGCGCTAATTTGTATTCAATCCCCTCCTCTGTGAGGGAAACAAAACCTTGGAAAAATCTGTTTTTTGGTAAAAACTCTCAGTGAGCTAACAAAAATTGATTTAATATAAGACTTTTTAAGAAAATTATTTTTTGATACATAAGTGATGACTAGTATAATGAATATATCAGCTAATTCTGTTTAATTTTAAACAGCTTGAACTTTAAAAAATAAATTTTATAAACTGAATTAATATTTGTTTTAATGAGATTTTTTTAACTTTCTATAACAAAATGAACTCCCTCCGTGAGTGAACAAAATTTTTTTGATCACGGAGGGGGAGTTAGTTTTTATGGTATAATTAGTGCAGAATCTTAAAAATGTCAAAGAATTAAAATTTAATTGCATTTTCTCTTTCTTTCTTTTAAAATAATTTATATGCAAAAATTAACTAAATAATGATAAATTAGATTTCCATATCATAAAAATCTGGATGTGTTAGTCTATATATTCTTTTCGGCGATACCTTCCGTCATACCCTCCTCTTGTGCTACCTCTTGAATTAAAGTTCCTTCCTCTGTATGGTCTTCGTTGATAGTAATCTTCACGGTTATTTCCTTGTTCCGAGGAATTTTTTATTTCTTGATCATGCTCTACTTCAACCACTTTTTCTGGGACACATTCTTCTTCATTTTTCTTAATTTTCATAAGAAAACTTTTCAATTTATTAACTTAATTTTTAAAAAAAAATAATTAAATTTTTATTTGAAAACATGACGATTTAAGAATTTATTTTTTTCAAATATCACTGAGGATTTAGATGAAATTTTCCCAATATGATAAGTTTCATCTTCAAGGACTTTTGACTTCTCGGCTTTAGCTTTTTCTTCAAAAATTAAGTCTCTTTTTGTGGTGTCTATCGGTTTTGCACTTGCAAATGGATTTGATTTTGGCTTTGGCTTTTCGTCTGAAACTATGGTAGGTTTCACCTCGACTGGCTTTTCAATACTTTTCAAATTATAAGTTGTTTCTTCAGGATATTTTCGTTCTTCGTTCTTAGCTGGGGTTTTAACATTAGTTTGAGAATCTGAAGCTATGATGATTTTCTGTGGATGCGGTTTATTTTCTGGATCTGGCGCAATTGTAATTTTTTGAGAAGTTTTTATGACTGGACTTTCTTTTTTGATGTACTTTTTCTTACTCCTATAGGAAAGACATTTTTTTGAAAAAATTAACCTTATATGAATAAATGCAATTTTTTTTTTTATAATAATTTTTTGCTAATGCTAAGCTATATATATTTAATTTATCAACCCAATTTATAAGCAATTAGCATTTCTAACTAAAAAGGAGTTAGTATCAGTCCTATAGTTTCGATTTTCTTGACCATACTGCCTTCTCTCATTACCATTATACTGATTTTTTTCTTCGTTGTATCTCCCTTTCCTCTGATTTTCATAATCCCTTTTACTATTTACTCTGTCGTTAATATATGATATATGAGGATTTGAAGCATATACTCTTATATTTCTTCCATTGAAATCTGCCCTATCTTTCTCAAGCAGTTTCAATGCTAATTGCTTTTGATCTATCTTCACAAAAACCTGCCCAATAAATCTGTTGTCCTCTATTACCATTTTCACCTTTACTTGGTCCATTTGTTCGTTAGTAAGGCCAAAAAATGTTTTAATTTCGTTTTCGTGGCGGACTTTATAAGGGACATTTGTGAGCTTTAATGTGTATGGCGGACTTTGAGATTCCAGCTTTGATTTTTGTTCAGTAACCTCTTGGGATTGCTCGTTTGTTGGAGGTTCTGGGTTTTGGTCTGTGACGGTTGGATTTTCTTCATCGTTTGAACAGTCTTCGTCGCTCCAATCAGCCCATCGTGAACTTTTTGTGCCTTCCATTTTTTTTAATTAACAGCTTTATAGGGTTACTGTAACTTAGATAACTATAATAAAGAATGGATTAAGAAGATGAAAAGAAATTTGTAAGATAATGGTGCAGAAAACATTATTAAAACGAAAAAATTATAAAGCTTTTAATTTCTATTTATACAGAAAATTTGACAGAATTTACAAAAAAAGCCGAATTTCTTACTCCCCCTCCTTGAGAGAACAAAAATATTAGAAAAATCCCTATTTTTTGACGAAAAACTCACATTCAGTGAGCGAACTTTTTCGAAAGAAAAATTTTTTATGGAAAAAAATTTGATATATAAGTGATAATTAATATAATGAAATCTCAAACTAATTCTGTTTAATTTTAAACAAATCGCGTTTTAAAAACATAATTTTTACAAATTAAATTAATGTTTGCTTTGCAATTTTTCGAAGTGGTTATTTTTTTAAATATTAAAAAAAAAATAACCCTCTTACGTGAGCTAACAAAATTTTTTTGTTCGCTCACGGAGAGGGGAGTTAAGAAATGAAATCTTTCTATAATAAATTATAGACAAAATTAATGCTTCTTAAAATGAGTAAGCTTTAAATATCCATTTCAGCATATAAAAGCTAGATCAACCTTAATTCCATCTTTATCTAAATTATCTAAGCTTTAATCTTGTCTCTCTAAATCCTTTCATCCTTGTTTGGAGTTCAGAAAGCTGTTCATAGAGAGATATTTTCTCTCCACGAAAATTGAACAACTTGACATTGTTAGCCATATCGCAATATCTTTTATATATTGCAGCTTTGATATCTTCTGAGATTATCTCAGTAGGCTCTTGAAAAGGATTATAATTTGTTTCTAAGTCCATATCCATCCCAAATGAAAAATCGTCTTCAGATACACTATTTCCTCCATCACTACAGATCGTATGAGAAAGCGGGGTAAATCCTAATCTTTCGTGCTCATATACACAGTGTGATGTCACAATAGAGTCCTTAGCTTCCAAAACACCATGAGAAATTTCAAGCTTGGGCAGACAAATTAAAGGCAAAGATTCTTCAGTTTTCTGCTCAGAAGGCGAGCTGGGTTCAAAGTCTGAGTTGTCGTTGAAGTTCATTCCGCAGTCATAGCTTTCTTGAGATATCAGACGAGGCCTTGATCCTAGTTCTTGGGGCTTTAGATCAAATCTGGGAACACCCGAAGAAATCATTGCAGATTTGATTATTATTTAAAAATATGTGTAGAAACCAGTGTGGGCATATGAAACTGACAAAAAAATCATTTAAATGAATATAAGAGATTTGTGTGACTAGAAATAGTGTGGAAATTAAATAATAAAATGATTAAAAATTACCAGGAATTTGGCGAAAATAGTTTTTATTTTTTAATTAGCTCATTTAAGTTTTGAATTGGCTTGTAGCATGAAATCTGATAGTAAAATCATGGAAGAAAATGAAGATTCTGGGTTGGGTAATATTAAAGTTGTGTGTCGTTTCCGCCCTCTAAATCAAAAAGAAAAAGAAATTTCAATGCAAACTTGTGTTGATTTCAGCCCTGACAAGCGAACTGTCCATGTCAGAGCTCAATCTGAGAGCGCAGAGCCTTTGAAATTTAACTTCGACTATGTCTTTGATCCATCATCTCATCAATCTTCAGTGTATGATGTAGCTGCTAAGCCTGTCGTAGAGTCAGTAATGCAAGGGTTTAATGGTACTGTGTTTGCTTATGGTCAAACATCCAGTGGCAAAACATTTACGATGTCTGGTCCAGATTTTACTGATCAAGACTTAATGGGCATCATTCCTAGAATGGTAGGCACTGTTTTTGATCAGATTGCTATGTCAGAGGAATACTTGGAATTCCAAGTAAAAGTATCTTATTGTGAAATCTATATGGAAAAGATCAAAGATTTATGCTTTATCAGCTTATAAAGCCTTAAAAAACAGTTTATTTATAGGAAATAAGACAAGGTATAGCAAATAAAATCAATAGAATTTCAATAAAAATGGATACTTGAACCGAGTAAAAATAATTTAAAAATCCATGAAGACCGAATAAGAGGAGTCTATATCTCCGGAATTTCTGAGAGATATGCAAATGACGACCAAGAGGTCTACGATTTAATGGCTTTAGGGCTTGATAATAGAGAAGTTGGCTATACTAATATGAATGCAGGATCCTCAAGGTCACATTCTATATTCATAATCACCATAAGTCAGTCAAATACCAAAGATTTCTCATCAAAAGTAGGCAAACTTTACCTAGTTGATTTAGCTGGCAGTGAAAAAGTCGGAAAAACTGGAGCTGAAGGGAAAAGGCTGGAAGAGGCCAAAAACATAAATAAATCTTTGACTACGCTGGGACAAGTCATTTCAGCACTGACTGATGGAAAATCCACTCATGTTCCTTATAGAGATTCTAAATTGACCAGAGTTTTACAAGATTCTTTAGGAGGGAACTCTAAGACTACCTTAATTGTAACTTGTTCTCCTTCACCTTATAATGAAAGTGAAACAGTAAGCACGCTGAGATTTGGCATCAGAGCTAAGGCGATTAAAAACAAGCCTAAAGTGAATCGTGAGTATACAGTTGCAGAGCTGAAGCTGCTGCTGTCTAAATCTCGAGAAGAAATCGTGATGAAGGATAAGAGGATTTTTGAGCTGGAAACAAGCTTAAAACAGTCTGGAATCCAAATTCCAGAGATCATATCCCAATTTCTATATAAAATTCTTTTTTTCTTATGATAAATAAATATGGATAATCATTATAAACGTCATAGAATCTACTGAAGACGAAGATTCCTCATTCCTCAACATGTCCAAAGCTTCAGAATACGACGAAGTCATCCAAGAACTAGAAGAAGCCAGAACTCGGCTTTCTGAAGAATGCCAAGCTAGCTCTCTTTTACGTCAAGAACTCGGCGTCACCCAAACAGACTTAGAAAGCTTAAAAGCAGTCAACGAATACATGATGAAAGAGCTGGAAAAGGCCAACAACCTCAACAAAGCCTTAAAAACCAGTTCAGAAGCCAAAGACGAAAAAATCTGCACATTAACTGACGTTAATGAAAAACTCGTCGAAGAAGTCAAAGCACTCACTGAAAAAGAGCTTAAACTGGAACAAGCTGTTATAGGAAAAGACGTGGAACTAGAACAGCTAAGAACTGATGTTAAAAAACTACAGGCTGCTTTACTCGAAAAAGAGTCTGAAATTAAAACTCAATGGGAAGATTTTGATACTGATGAAGGAGTCCAAAAGGTGGGAAGCGCCTCGACTATTCCGTCATGGGATTTAATGAAAGAAGAAAAAGAGCTCTGGGACAATGAAAAAAAATTACTAGTAGTAGATCTTCAAAACAAGACAAATAGCATAATTTCGCTGAATCAGCAACTAGACGAGTTTAAGAAAAAATGCAAAGAGCTTGAAGTAGCGCTGAATCGGGATGAAAAAGATCTGCAAACTGAAAATAAAATACTACAAAGAAGCTTGGAGCAGCTGACGAAGAAATATCATATTTTGTCAGCCAAAAAGGCCAAGCTGAAAATAGAGGGGAAAGCTAATGAGAAAAAAATGAAAAGAATTACTGATAAATGTACTGAGCTTGAAAATAAAGTCAACCATTACCGTGAAAAATATAAATCAGCTAAGTTCTCATTAAAGCAAATCAATCTGCAGCAAGAGACAGCTAGAGCTTCTATAAGCCACTTTGGAGGAGTCCCTCATCTAAATATCAGGAAAACTATAGCAGGAGGTTCTGCTCTATCAAGAAGAACTCTGACCTTTGCAGCCAGACAAAATATACTGACTGAGCCTTAATTAATCATTTCTAAAAAATATTAATAATTAGAAAACCTCTTTGTAAAACCAATTTCAATAAAGTTTTCATTCATCACCATAGTCGCATTTTCTACTTGGCTTGTCGGAGGGATTGGTAGCACGATTCCTTGATTTTCTATTTTTTGGTCAATATAATTTGCTATTGCATCAGCAAAATAATTAAGAGCGTCTTGGACGTCTTGGAGGTTTATTGGACCGATTGTACTGTTAGTGGCTGTAAAGACTGTAAATTCTGTAGAATTAGGAAGGATGCTTCCAAATAGATAGACGCCGGTGCTGTTATTAACAACGTAGCCTGTAAATTGAGTCATAGCTTGCATGTTTAGCCTAAATGCGGTTTTAAAGGCATTTTCTGCTGTGGTTACGACAAAGTCACAATAGGAATTAGATAATAAAGTACCAACCTCTGAAATAGTGAATTGAGGAGGACTGCTCACAATGCAGTTCATATTGATAGGCTTGTCATTTCCATAAACTTTGGGAAGGTTTGGTAAAATTTCTGATAGTCCAGTAGTTGATAGAGTGATAGGGATTTCTTTTGGTATGATATCATTGGTGATGTTAATGTTCAAAATTCCTGAGTCTTGCAAACCCCAGAGAAAAGTATGATATTTTATATTAAAAAATTTCTTTTTAATTTAAAAATATTTTACTCCCCTTTAATTGGAACATTCCATCGATAAGTTTGCATTTTTGGGCACTTTAACCGCTTTAAATTGGAACAAAATTTGTTTTTCAATAGGAAAATTTTTATTGATGAAAATAAATAATTTTTATAAAATTAGTTTTGACCTAATGCTATTTAAACAATTCTCACACTTAATCGATTAATTTTTTTAATTCTTCATAGAAAAATTTAAATATAAATACCTTTTAAAATAAAAATTAACTCCTTTTAAATTGGAACAGGATTTTTTGTTCCAATTTAAAGGGGGAGGGTGAGTTAGTGAAAATTTATTATAAAATGATAATCCTTTAATATAAAATATAATATTTTATTGATAATAATTTGAGTCTAAAACTGGGAAAAAGAGGATTAAAGACATGAAATAGAAATTATATCTATCTAAATAAGCATATATCAAAAAAGTACTCTGAAATCTGAATTTTGAAATCCTGTGAGCTTACCCAAGCTGGGGGAATTTCTGGCAATGTTACATTAGGAACGAGTTTTGGCTTTTTCGTCAAGAAAAATGTTCCATTAATTAGACCTTCTATATATTGATTTTGCACCACTTGTAAAGCTTCAATATGATAATCAATACTTAGAGGCAAATTTGGGATTTCTTCAACATAAACAATAGAATTTAGAATTTTTTGTATTTGAGGATTAAAACTTTCTCCTATATGAGTTACCAGCTTGCGCTTGTACGCATTTGTCAGCATATTGATGGGCAAAAAGTGATTAAACAGCTGGAAAAATGATATTATTTGGCTATCAGTTTTTATTCTCATCTTAAAGCTGTCTAAATTTCCTCGTGCTGCTAAAATTTCTAAACTGACTTTTCCTTTATTTGTCCCAATTTAATGAAATAATTATTATGGCTTTTGCTTTAAAGTCTCTTTGATGAAAAATTCATTCCCCCTTCGATTCCGGCCGAAGCCTTGCGAAAGCAAAAATAAATAAATAAATAAATCCCAATTTTAATTGGTATTGTCAAATTCGTGTTTTCCAATGACGAGCTTATTGTCCCCTTCACTAAAAACGGAGTCCTAAACGCAATCTTTGACGTAGCATTAAAGCTCAGATTTATCAGTTCCAAATTGATATAACTGATAGTATCATCAATAACTAATTTTACACCTACATTTTCAGCTGTCAAATTAAATTCTAGAAACTGTATATCAGTGATATTTATTTTCAACAAACCAAATTTCACATCAAAATCTGGAATTTTATTTGCTTGAATTTCAGTGATCACGTTCGGGACGATAGAATTTTTTATATTTATCAGGGCATTTTGGGAAATTGAAGTTCTTATGCCGGGTCTGAGTGCTAAAGCTGATAGACATATGAAGGAAAAAATACTTGTCAACCCTTTCATTATTTATAACTTAAATTTTGTGAGTGATTGTAATAAAATAAGAAAATTGCTATAAAACAATTGGTCTTAGATAGGAAAATCAGCATTTATTGATGAATATTTATTAAGCATTTAAATTTGTTTTAAAATTATAATTTGGTTGTCATTATTATTGAAAATTTGGTTTTGCTGGTCTCAGATAATTATAAATAAGAAATAAAATATTTATATTTATATTTAACATTTTGCTAGCATATTTCTATATAATAAGCTCTTTCTGCTTACAAATGTCTTAAAATAAACTATAAATTGAAATACCAAAATGCTTTATGCTGTTCCCATTCAGCAAAAAATCCTGTAGCCCGTTTTTTAATTATGTGCCATTTAAATCGAGCAAAACATCACAAAACTACTTATTTAAAGTCGATATAAAGATGAAGTTTTATGGCAACACGTCATCAATTTGAAGGTGAGCTAAAGATTAATATTTAGGAAAATTTATGAAATTTAATAAATATTATCATAATTGAATGAATATATTTCATTTTAGCAAATTTGAAACTTAAAGAACAATTAAAATGTATTTATTGCAGGTTTTTAAAAACTTTGGTGTTTATATGTAATAGTCATTTCAATAAAAATGTCACTGCATTTTTTAATTTCTCGCCAAATATTTGTCGACCCACCACGACGTCATAACTTTCAAAAAATTTGTTCTTTATTTAAAATTGGAATAAATTTCATAAAAACAAAATATAATCTTTTTCCTCTCCAACTTGTATTTCTTCTACTGCAATTAAAGCTGCTCACTATAAACTTATTAAGGCATTTGTAGCATTTCATACAAATACCAATTAGTTTATCTATATAAAACCTATCCGGCAATAGATACTGAGTTTTTATGTGAAATTTTTATTACAATAGAAAAAGTCGAGGAAAATTTGCAACAAAGTGGCTTCAGCGAAGATCACTGGTAAATAGGGCTCTAGCAAGTAAGTCATTCAGTACGAAAAAGATTCAGCATTGTTTCGATAATATTAATTTTGTGGAGTATGCACTTAGAATACATTTCATATTCTATATTAGCAAATTAATTAAAGAAAAATTATATAAATAAAATAATTTTTATATATTGAGAAAAGATTAGTCATAAATTATATGTTAATATGCTTATTGTTTAAAATTATTTGAAATTTCATGATGTCACTAAAGTAACTTACATTTTTTACAGTAATAATTAATTTTTACTCCATCAAATATATATGAACTTTAACCCAGATCTGTCAGAATTCCCACAAAACTTACCAAACAATTCCTCAGTTCCAGCTTTTAGTTATCCTGAGGACATTTGGCTAAATTGGCCTGCCATTGCTTCAATTGGCATTTCACCCAATTTATGTGAGATTAATGATAATGCCAAGTCCAAGGAGTCGCCAAGCACCAAAAATAATAACAATGTTAAGAAAAAAAGAGGTAGGAAGCCTCTGAGGCCTTTTGACCCTATTAAGAAAAAAACAGAAGAAAAAGATAAATACTGGCTTAGATCTTTTAGGAGCTATATGAAGTTTCATTATCCTCAGATAGAAAACTCTCTTACAGAAGAAGACAAAGAATTTTGGCTCTTTTATTTAGGCTCGAAAGGCAAGCCTGACAAAGGAGGCAAATTCTTGTCATATGGGAAAAAATATTCATTTTATAAGTTATTTGAATAAAATAGAAATAAAATATTTATAAGGCGAGTTTAGAGGAAATAGCATACAAAGATTTCTTGTTTTCTCATCAGAATTTTATAAAAGAGTATAGGCAGTGGTTCGCTGAGTGCGGACAGGCTGAGCTTAATAAGAAATGTGAGGTAGGAAGCGACTTGTGGTTTGTTTACTACGATTATGCTTCGAAAGAGCTGTTGAATTATACTGTGGAAGAGAAAAAAGAGTCCATTGAGCCAAACCAGGGTTTTGAAGATGAAAAAGGTGATGTCCCAGTTTTAAATATGGAGCAATTAATGAACCTTTATATGATGTCAGTTTGGATGCAGGTGAATTCTTACTCACCCTCAATTAACGAACAAAAACATCGGAAAAAATCTATTTTTTGCCTAAAAACTCGCCTTCCGTGAGCAAACAAAATAGAAAATTTTTTTTATGAAAAAGATTAATATATATAAGTGTTAATTAGTAGAAATCTTTAGCTAATTCGTTTAAAACAAAATAAATAAATATTTTCTTTCGTTTTTTTTTTTTTAATTTCGAAAAAAAAAATTACTATAGGATTTATAAATAAATTTTTTAAAAAAAATTAGCACCCCTCCATGAGTTAACAAAATTTTTTTGTTCGCTCACGATAGGGAGTTAGGAGTTGTAACATTAACTAGTTGCATAATATAGCTTGCTCGTAAAGGAATAATTAAATAGAGACTTAAAATTGAAAATAAAACATGTCTATTAATTTCTTCACCACGTTTATAAGCTTTTTGCTTACTATAGTTTTATTTAGAGTTATAAATCTGTACTTTTAATTAAATCACCTTAAAATAAAATATTATTAATTTATTCACCAACTACTATTTACAAAGCCATATCTGAGTTTTGAATTTTTTTGAATTTATAAAAGCCTTTTTTTAAGTTTTTTAATATTAAAATGCCTTAAATCAGAATTTAGTTTAAATAAATTAGTTTTAGGCATCTTATCTAAATAAGATTATTTATATGCGATTTTTAGCATGTATATTTGGTTATTATTTATTTTTAACTTTCTATAATAGCCAGCTCATTTCCAAAAAATTCTTCTAATCCTGAATAAGCTGCTGGGTTTTCTTTAACTACCTTTCTACATCCCTCCTAAATATCCCTTACAATTAAAGCTCCTTTTACTTGATTCCACATAAACGAGTCCTGGCTTCTCAATCTCGGCTCAAGCACATGCGGTATATATTCACCCAGTAGTGAAACCAGGACAGTTTTGACTGTTTGTGCTCCAAAAGCATTAATCCCTTGTATCGCTCCATAATGAGTGCACGCTGGCTTTGAGGGATCTTCTAGTACACTAACATAAAGCTGAATAACCCTAGCTTTTAAGTCATCATAATATTGTATATATTTCTCACATACTTTTGCTACTATATCTGCTGTATTCCTTCTAAACACCCAATGCCCCTCTTCTAATAAATTAGTCCTCACAACTCCAGAAAGCAAAGTTGGGATTATTTGGTGAAGATAAGGCTCTAAATTTAGATGCGGATTCAGTGCCAGCGCCCCCAGCATTTTCATAGCTCTGTCTAGTAATTCTAAAGAGTTGCTCTCAAAGACCAATTGGTAAAAAGATCTTGCCAAATAAGGTACCACTTGTGTAATGCTCGAATCATTATACAAAGAATCAAGCGCCACCTGCAGCTTTTTCCCTGTCTGCAAGGACTCTAAAATGGTATTATAATACAGCTGCTGCTGCAGTGACAGCTGATGTGTGACATTCCCAATCAAAATTTTGTCGTTCGGGACATTTTCTTTGATTTCTTCTTCTACGACGTTTTCTGTATGGTTTTCAGGGATATTTGGGACTTTTCCATTGATAGCGAGCCAATGGGAATGCAAAGATACATCAAAAGGTGGGGAGATTTTACTAGTCAAAAACTCGGAAAGCTGGATTTCTGCATCGTCAATAATCCAGGCATCTTCGTCATTTGGCAGATTTTTGTACTTTAAAGGGACGCTGCTTGGAAAGCCATAAATGTTCTAAGTTTGGATTACGTCAAGTCCACATAATTTCATTGCGCGTTTGATGTCTTTAGATTGCAGCTGAGACCGGTGGCTTCTTTTCATAAAATTGATAGCCAGACCAATTACTTGGCGAATTCGCATCTCAGAGTCGTTGATTAGGGTGGCTGAGGCGTCAGAAGTGATATTTTTGATGCCTAAATTTTCACAAGCAACTGCGACTATCTTTTTGTCCATTATAATGGGGAATACAATTAACATTAATTTTAGTAGAAATATAGCGAATAAGCTAATTTTGCAATTTTTTTAGGTAAAAATGATATTTTTTTGTTATAATAAATACAGAATACTAATTAAAGCTTGGATTTTGGATTGAAGTCGGCTATATAGAAATTACTATGTCTCTTTACAATTGCAGGGTTTTTTGGAGAGTCTTTGTCTTTTCCTATTATGATCATAGTGTTTCTCCTGTCAATGCATTTGGATTCTCAGAAGGCTATATTCATTTTTATTTGTTCTAACTTCCCCTCCTCCGTGAGCGAACACTTCGTTCACAGAGGGGAGTAAATTTTTTTATTTATAAAGTTTATATTTAAATTTTAGAGTAAATGTTTTTTCGAAATTTAAAAAATTCAAATTCGAATCAATTTTAAAGCAAATATTAATTTAATTTGAAAATTTATGTTAAAAATACAAACAGAATGAACTAGAAATTTCATTTAATAGTTATCACTTATATATTAAAATATTTTTTCATGAAACAATTTTTTGTTTACTCACGGTGGGTTTTTAGAAAATAGGGATTTTTCAATGGTTTTTTGTTCAAGGAGGGGGATTAAACAAACTTGTTTAATTGTGTCTTCGTTCAAGTAAGTGCACCAGGCTTCGTAGAGAGGAAAGGCTACATTTTTTAAGAACCCGACTTGGCTTTTAGGCACATTTGTGTCGTTTCTGTCACAGTAAACTGAAATTGGCTGCTTCCGTTCTCGTTCCATATCGCCTTGTCTGAAAAATTCTTCACATATAAAGCTTGTCCATTTTTCGTGGAGTTCTTGATATTTCGCTGCATGGCCTAAGTCAGCACATTTAAGTGCCATTGATAATATAAAATTTTTATCATCATCATTTTCAAGCGAAATATCACACAGACTTATAGCCCTGGTCTTAAACTTCCCCAAAAATTCAAAATGTTTCGACATATCCGTCTGCAGTATCATCTCCACAATCATTTTTCTCGCTTTAAACCACTCCTCATTGGATAAATGCAAAAATATATCATGGTCATGATAAGTCATAATTTCAAAAGTAATAGAGCAATGCATCATTTCTAAGACGCTGCAATCATTATACTTTATAGCCAGCTCATCTCTATTATTCGCAAGAAACCTATTTGTTACTGCAGGATGCCCCACATCATGTCCTAACGCAGCTACAAAAATGGCTATTGTATCAAGAGCGCACAATGAAGAAAATCCTTGTTCGCTTTGAGTAATAAAATACATGATAGTATGCAGGACATCTGCAGCATGGCAGGCATTATGATACGGAACTGGCTTGTATGTCTAATTATTCCTTACTTGTTCCAAGCTTTTGAAGTAGTTTTGGATTGTTTCGTCTTTTATTCGGAACTCGTTTTTCAGTCCTCATTTCTGAAATAGATAGTCTGCAACGATTATTATACTATGTCCTGTGGCATTGTACACGAACCATATGTCGAAACTCCAGTTTTTCCCCATTCCTGTTAGCACATTTTCTTAACTTAACTTAGGTATCTGGTGTTTAAGGTGTCTAGTGCCGAACCCCATAAAAATGGAGTTATAGCTAAACTAGTCACGTCGCCGAGTCATCTTGGAATCGCGATGGCTAGCCCGCCGGCCAAGCCTTCATCTGCACTTCGCCTCCAGTCGCCGCACATCTCATCGGCGCGTTGCCGTCGCTCTCCCTGACTCAGCTCCTGCGCGTATTCCGCCTAAGGGTCATCCTCCATGGGGATGTGCTGAGAGGTAAAACTCTGAGCCTCTTGAATGCACTGAGGAGCTGTTCCTTTGGTTATCCCCAAAGTTAAACAGCTATTGCTGTGCAGGAGTTCTCGAGAGAAAACCCACCTCATAAATAAAATTCCATGAGGGAGAGAAAATTAGCAGAGCTAATTTCTCTTGAACCGAATGCCATTTTATTTATGTTATCACATTTTCAAGCTCAGCAGCGCCATAGTTAGCGAATGGGAAATTATTGATCCTTTCTAACATTTGTTGTATGCTTGGTCTTCGGCTTCGACGTGGTGTAGGAGTTTTTAGCTCAGAAAACATCTGGGTCAGGAAAACTCGGTCTTCTTCGTCTATTTCATAACTTGGCTCTATTTTTATGTCAGCTAAAAATGAGCCGTGGGCTACTCTACGCTTGATTTTTTCTATCTCATTGGCAGCTTCTTTTAAATTCTTTTTGACGTCATTGAACATGATAATTTTGGCTGCGCTTTTTATGTGGGATTTTATGTGGTCACAGCATTTTACGATTTGTTCGACTTCAGAGTTGACGTTGTTTATAGTCCTTACTCCACGGTTGGCATAACTGGTTATAGGCATTAAGGCTTCTTCTTCCTGAATTTTTCGGTAAAATAACTGCCGAGTCCTGTAATCGACTTGATGGGCATCAAACGTCTGTAGGGAAAGAAGCAAAAGCATTATGAGAAAATCGCATACTATAGTGTAGGAGCTGGCTTTAGTAAAAATCAAACCTATAATTAAATAGAATAAGGATCCGAAAACTGATAAAAATGTGACGTATTTGAAACAGTTGAAAATTAAGGCTTTTGTGACTGAGATAAGGGCGACAATGTAAATTACTCCGTTGGGGAATTGGTGATCGTAACTATCTGATGTATACAGAAATATAATGAATTAGAGGTCTTATTAGTAGAATTTTCATATAATTATTCAAAATTCCCTATAAAAACCTGCGATATTTACATTAATTTTGAATAATTCCTGATAAAATACTTTCTTCGCCTAGACAATAATAAATTATTGTCAATACGCTCAATAACGTATAAAGCTCTCTATTAAAAGTCAACGCGACCCCAGAAATACACACAAAAAATAAAATCACCATAGAAATGCAAAATAAGCATGCACAAGATAAAATATGAAAAAGCATGTGGGATCATGGAACTGTGTATTCAGAACTAAATAAAATTTCAGACATCAATTTAATTGCCAAAGCACCTGTATAAAAAATGTAATAAATGACTAGTTTTGATTTTAATTCTTTTGATAAATTTTTGCAATCTTCTGAGTCACAAAATAAAGTATATTATATTTACTTAAAATAAATTATAAGCTAGATAGATATCAGCCTTATTTAAATTAAATAAAAATGGGATAACTTTAAATTTGAAATCCATTTGTCTTTGTGAAAAATCCAAAATGTTCTGGTCAATAGGAAGATTCGGAGTTTCATATTGTGAGTGCTCATTTATCAAATAAATCACTGAATCTGCTTGGTTCGATATCGTTCTATCAATCCCCATTTGTAGCTCTTCCCCTAGCATCTCCTGGATAAAATATGAATTTATTATGAATTTTTTTATTATTTCAAATTGAGTCAGCTTTTTCATTATTTTCCAACCTTTTTGCCTTCTCTCCAGAACCCTTTTTTTACAGTCCCATCGACCATAATCATTTCGCCTTGTCCGTGCTGTTTCCCATTTTTTCATTCTCCTCTGTATTTTCTTCCGTCCGCCCATGTATAAATCCCATGCCCATGCTTTTTGTCGAGCCTATAGTCTCCTTCATATCGTCTTCCGTCCTTTCATACATAAACTCCATACCCATGCATGTTGTTATTGGCCCATTCGCCTTCATATTTCCTCCCATCTGTTCACGAGTAAGTCCCAGAGCCATTAATTTGGTTTTCTACTCATTGGCCTATGTATTTAGACCCGTCATTCCATATATACAGCCCAAAGCCATGCTTTTTCCCATATTTATAAAAGCCTTCATACTGACTGCCGTCTGCTCAGGTCTCGATTCCGAAGCCTTCTTGTAGGTCATCTTTTCATTCTCCTTCATATCTAGCTCCTGACATGTGTGAGTACACTCCTTTTCCATTAGCTTTATGCTATTTAAACTAAATTTTTATTTAAAAATTATAATAAAATCGTATTTTCTTATAGATTAAAAAACAATTATAGGTAAAATAGGATATCATATCGTCAGTTACCTTCATAAATATCTCCATCAATATGCCAAAACTTCCCAAACCCTTCTGCTTTATTATTTTTCCAGTACCCCTGATATTTAGCACCATCTGGCCAAGTTTGAGATCCATAGCCATCTCTCAAATTCCCAAGCCATTGACCATTATAAACAGCTCCGTTCTTATACATAAACGGAGCTCTTTCTTCTCTCTGTAACGGCATTGAGCCTGAATCTTTGAAAACTGGGATTTCTTCGTTAAAGTATGACTGCTTATTTACTGATTTACTTAAATGCGTCAATTTTTTTATAGATAAATAAAATGTCATTCGAGTATTGCCAGCCAAGGGTGGAAGCATTGAGCTGTTGAGAAGCGCTGGTCAGGGTAGTAGGTTTATTTGGGATGGGCTGACTTTAGAATCAGAAATGCTTGTGACGCCACCATTTTGGCTCTATCTCTTTAGTGGGAGTGTGCCGTTAGACACCTTAAGTGCTCTAATTAATGTAATTTAATGTTATATCAATTGTTTTCTCACTTGGTAGCCTCTTCACAGTGATTGTATTTTTATTAATGACGTGAGATCAACGGAAATTTCATCTAAATTCATAATGGACTCAGGAATCTCACTTGCTTGGGCTCTTCTCATGCGAGATGTATTATTTAGATTTTCCTCCACAATTTCAGGCTCTAGCTTTACTTCTTTTTCTTTGTCGCTGCATGAGCACGATGAGCAGCTAATTTGTCCCATGATTATTTGATAAATGAGCCATTTGATTTTTATATAATTTATAAGTAGGTTATTGTCATAATAAATGATTTATTTTTAAAGAAAATTAATAGTGGCGTATTAACTAATAATGAAAATTTAGTTATATCTTGCTTTGTTTTAAAGGATAAAGAGTAAATAGCATTTTATTAAACAAATTTATTAATCTAATTCGATAAGTTTTTGAAATTTTTTTTTTTTTAAATTTTTATATTTTTTTATAAAAAATTTTATATTGATATTTTTTTTTTTAAAAAAAAAAAATAACCCCCCTTTAAATTGGAACAAAATTTTTAGTTCTGAGCACAATTAATATATAAGTCCTATGGCTGGCGGAAACACTGGTTTTAAGTTGATTTTAATATTTGATTTAAAATGGAACTTTATGTTTGGAAGATTCTCTCACTACTCACGATACTCTTCGTGTCTATATCTGTTGGGTACACTGCTTTTGTTCTGTAAGAGTTATTTAGGAAGAAAATACCTAGTAGACTGACAGGAGTCTTCAGCTCTTTTGCTGGTGGGACTTTCCTTGCAATTGCATTATTGCATTTACTTCCTGAAGGAGTAGAAAAGTTGGAAGAGTTCAAAGAGCTGCCTCTAGGATTTTTAATAGCGTTATTAGGATATTTTTTAATTATAAAGACTTTGAGCTTTACCATGAGAGAAATTAATCTTAATTTAAATTAAAAGAACTATAAATGCATTTTTATAAACTATATAATTATTGTTATTATTATACCTCTTTATTTTGTTTATTGACAAAATTGCATTCGACAGCCATCACTTAGTAACACATGGAAATCGGCATGTTGACCTTGGTGTGCACAATCATAAGCCAGTCGCTGACGAAGAAGAAAACAGGCTGAAACATCTCATTTCGACAAGAAATCGTGTTGTCTGTCACTTAGGTACAGGATGTGGTGAAAACTGCATAGCGCTTTGTGAAAGCCTCACAGAGCCTTTATTAGACAACTGTCATAAAAGACATACATCATATATCAGTTCAATTTTGCTTGTTTTCGCTTTATGTCTTCATGGTATCCTTGAAGGATTTGCAATTGGGCTGCAAGAAGACATAAACGATTTAATAAATCTTGTGATTGCAGTAACCCTCCACAAGGTTCCGGAAATCTTGGCATTATCGTGAATTCACGCTAATTATCACTTATGATCCCGGCGTTTCCTGAGATGATTGTTGGTGAAACCAACTCTTGAAATAATAAATCTGTAATATCTAGTAAATTTATCATTTCAAGGTCGGTTTCGCCAATATTTGTAGGCGAAACCAATCCCGAATGTCTTGGAAATTTTCAGGATAATAGCATCTATTAGCATTGATATACTATATGCATCAGTATAGGAGATATGAACCAAAAACATTCAATCACTGCTGTAGCTTTACTTGTTATGGCAAGTCCATTTGGGATAGTAATAGGGATGCTAATTATGACCTATGTGTCTTCTTTTATAGTTGGAATACTGCTGAGCTTTACAACTGGGACTTTTCTTTATATTTCAGCATCTGAGATTGTTGTAGAAGAGTTTGCAGTTTCAAAAAACAAGTGACCAAAATTCTGTTCACTTATGTTTGGAGTTACAATAATAACGTTATTGTTACTGCTAGAAGGGCATGAATAAACAAAATTAATTCTAATTAATTAATGGCTCAAGCTAAAATAGATAAGTATTTGTTATAAGCAGAAGTTTTTACTTTTAGAATTAATGGCGGGAGCCTTAAGATATGCTTATAGTATATGTCTTGTTCTTATTGAAAATTTATTATTGTTATCTTATAATTAGCATATTTAGTATATCCTATTTTGAATTCGAAAATATTTGACCCTGACTCTATCCATATATCCTAATTCTTAAATTTATACCAAATTCGCTTATGAAATTATTGAATCAAATTTTAATAATATACATATGATCAATAAAACGGAAAATTCTGCTTGAACTCTTTAAATATAAAATAAAAAAAATATGCTTAGCCATGCCTTTTCAAAAGATACTAGCGAATGTCTTCTGGACCATTGTCACCACAGCTCAAACCCAAAATCCAAAGAAATCCTGCTAGAAAAGCTATGAAAAATGAAAGAACTCCACAAAGTCTACCATTCTGAGATAATCCGTGAAACATCAGAAATCATCATGAGCATTGAAGAAGCTTCAAAGTGTGCTTTAAAAAAGCTGAAAAAGAACGAGTCCAAGCTGGACAGGATGATTTGTTCACTAATGTGTCTCTCTAATCCCAAGCTCTCCCCAAAGCTAATCAGGTTTTTACAAATGGAGCCAACTGAGCTACTTGAAGCTCACGATTTTGAATATCCAATCCTCTCTATAAGCTCCTCTAAGCTAAAATCCATGATAAAAGGCATATTTCACGTCAATTCGCTATTCAAGAAACACGTTTTTACCCCAAAATCTTTCCAAATCCCTATTTTCAGAAATTTTACAAAAGATCTGGCAGTCATAAATCTTGACAGCAAAAGCACTATAAATTATACCCTCAATACTCCTCAGCCGATGTCAAAGAGTACTTGCATGTGTATGCTCCCAGGTAGGAAATATTTCTGCTACGGAAACTACGCTGATTATTCCTATTCTGGCCTCAGTCTCCTTATAGATTCCCAATTTAACGTCAAAAAACTATCTGATGGGATCCCTTGCCACTGCTCTGGGGGTACTTACCTACGTGGATGTATATACGTATTTGGAGGTTACAACCACAAAGGCCTTCTCAGCCTGGCTGAAAAATATACAATTTCTACTGATTCCTGAAGCAAACTTTCCCAATTGCCAGAGCCTTCAGACTATTGTTCATGTATCGCCTTTGGAGAGAAAATTATTCTATCAGGAAACATGCATTCCAAGCTTTATTCATATGACCCTCTCTTAAATTCTTATGACGAGCTTTTTAGCCTGACTCCTGTAAGATCAAAAGTGCTATGTGGGGCTAATAGTAGACTGTTTATTATAGAAAGCAGTGGTAGAATTTATGAAAGCGCGATAAAAGATTTGAGAGTGTGGGAGCACCTTTGGGAAGCGTCAATAGTTAGATTTTCGCCGTTATCGTGTGCTGTCACCCATGATGAGAGCATATTTTTTGCTTTATCGAATAATCAAGTATAGGATTTTTCTAAAATGGATTAAAAATAGCATTTATTTAGCAGAAAAGACAATTTTATGGGAAAATGGATATATAGATTTGATATTGCGAAGAAATCCATCGAGGAGTATAGTGTAATTTAATTTACTCAAGAGAAGATTCTTATAAATAAATAGCTAAATTATATGGCAACCCTTAGATTTCATACTATTATTTCAAATGATTTACAAAAATACAAGAACGCACTGTTATGTCTTGGGACTGGCCTTGGGAGTCTTGAAGTAATTTCTGTATTTTTGAGATCAAATTTAGATGCAGACGCCAAAAATTTGTGGATTTTGCTTAATTTTAGCCAGCAGGAAATCAGCACGCTGACTTCATTATTTGAGGTAGTTGACATTGGGAGTGAAAAGATTGATAGCCGATCAAGGGAAATTACTTATAAAAAAGGAGGAGCTGTGCATGTAACAGGAAGAACGGCTGTTACAGATATTTTAGAAGAAAAAATAGACCCAAATAAGGTAAAAGGAATTGTGATACATAATGTTGACAAGCTGGGGTCAGCTTGTAATGAAATGTTTATTGTAAATTTATTATTGGAAAAAAATCCAGAGATTTCTGTAAAATTAGTCACAGAAAACCCTTTTTGGGTGAATTTAAATGATATAAAAGAATTCGGGATATCAAAAGTATTGTGCTGACCTAAAAGTAGATATGAGATTGCTGAAGAGCTTGAAAACTTCGCTGGAAACTGACAAAAAATAACGCTTCAGCCATCAGGCGCAGCTCTCAAAATCCATAACTTGCTTATAGATATGCTGCAAGTGTGTATTAATGAAATAAAAAGGTCTAATAAAAACTTTGATCTTCAAGAAATTGACTTACAATCAGCAGTTCGCCAAATCAAGACTGAAACCGCAAGGAGGAGGCAGAAGGTGCCGGAGTGATGGGGGATAGACCTTCTGGACTGGAGTCGAAAAGCTGTAGAGCCTTACATATGGGAGGTATTTGGTGGCTGCGCCACCAATATGGCCTAACGCCTGGCTTTAAATAACCTACCTACAATCAGCAGTTTGAAAAAGCATTATCAGATATTGAAATCCACAATGGACTTTAAATTGAGAAATTTGCCTTCAAAAACCAAAACACTGTGTGATAATATCGAACAAGTCAGAAAAATGCTGAAGAAATTGGAGCATTGTGACAGTCTTGAATTTTTAGAATATTTGCTGAGATTTATGAAATTTATAAGAGAGCAGGTGTCAGATTATAGGGCGAGTGAAGGAATTTGGCATAATATGGAAAATGAAACAGAAGAGTTGATTAAGGTAGCTAGAGACAGAGTGATCAAAATTGATGAAAATAATGTAAATTTCAATCTTTCACCAAGCAAAAAATGAGAAACACTCGGAAAAATGGTTAAAAATACTATAGAAACTGAAGAAAGCGGATCTATTTTAATTATTAACCCATATAGTGTCCACCAAGCTTATCTTAAGCAATACATTGTCGCCTATTTAAAAGGAACTCCTGAGGTGATCTTAGAGTTCAAGCTGAAATGTCTTCTAGAATCTTTTAATCCTCTGCTTACTTATGAGTCTAAAAATCAGCTAATCCAGGAGCAGCTTAGCAACATGTTAAATGAGCTGAAATCTAAATATGAAGTTTCTTTTTCTTTGCACCCTTCAGAATCTTTTCCAACCCCAGTATTCAACAAAGAGCTTGATGAAAGTGATTTAATATTGCAGGAATATGTATTAGACTCATTTGGATACTCATGAAATGACTTCCAAGTTCCTAATTGAGATATTAAGATCTTAAATCGTCATCAAATTGATAATTTTATGAATATTAACCCAACGCATATATTTATTTGTTCTTATGATCTGTCATTGATAAGGAAAATCGAAATTTATGCTGCGATATGTAGGGACTTGGAATTTCCTTTAAAAAATGTTGTGCTGTTTGCGGCACCGTTGTATGAAAACTTGCTTTATTCGTTTTCGCAGCAAGCGGAAATAGCTGGTTTTAAGCATTTGTTGACTTGTGAGATACCTAGAGTGATTTCTCTAGCCCCCCTTTGAAATTGGAACCAAAGAAATCTGTTTAATTTAAAGGGGCTTTTTTTGAAAAAACAGTAAATTTTTTCATGAATAAATTTATTTCTATTAAAAAATCTAAATTGAACACATATTTTTAAATTTTGATTTATTTTTATGCATAATTAATATAAAATATTAATTGCTTCAGAGCACGTCAAATGTATAAAAGAATTCTACTTTTACTACCCTGCTAAATTAAATCAAAATTATTTTTATAAATTTAGGAGGGGAATAAGAGAAAATGCTGCAAAAATCATAGTAGATAAAAGAGAGTTTTCAAGCATCCTCCCATATGAGCTATACAAGCAAGGAATCCGAGTAATCCCAGCCCAGCTGCAAGTAGGAGACTACATATTATCACCTTCTATCTGCGTTGAAAGAAAAAGTGTGACAACAGATGACATTTTCCAGTCCCTAAGCTCTGGAAGGCTTCATGACCAGCTTATCAAAATGAAATCATACTACGATCGTTGTGTCCTTTTAATAGAATTCCGTGAAGACACAGAATTTTCTTTATCTGCAACCAACAGCCGCTCAATAGCCTGTCTTCATTTATCCCAGCTTTTAAACAAAATCCCAGGCATATCTCTTTTATGGTCCACAAGCCCTGAGCAATCCGCCCGTTTTTTCCTTAAAATTAAGCAAAATCAGCCAGATCCTATCCTTTCTGAAGCCCTCCACAAAGGCTGCAGCTCCTCTGACGCCCTTTCAATGCTTCCTTCAATCCCAGGAATATCTGGTCAAGCATAGGTAGCAACCCCACACCCCCACCCCCCTAAAAATGGTACCCCCACCCCCCTTTCACACAGATGGCACCCACCCCCCCCTCTCGGGTTTATTCTATAGAAGTAATTGATAGGAAATAAGCAAAATAAATTAAATATAACCCAATTAAAACACTATATTGATAAATTAAGTCCACAAATTACTTTATATTTATGATTAATTAATAAATTTAAATTAATTAGCAATTAATTAGAAATATATATTAATTTTGCTTTTTATATTTATAAATATAATGCCAAAGATATAGATAATGGCATTAATTATTAAATGAACCAAGCACAACACAATAACTTGCATTAAATTTATTGATTCATACATTAAAGCTAATCTAATGTCCATTGTACAAGGATTGCAGGACTGAATTGGTAACAGGATTCAATAGTGGTGCCATTTTTTAGGGGGGGTGAGGGTGGGGTACCATTAAAAAGGGGGGGGTGGGGGTACCACTTTTAGGGGTGGGGGTGTGGGTTGCGACCTATGCTTGACCAAATATCCTCAGAAAACATTCACATAATTCTCCAAAATTTCGCCTCAATCTCCAAAATTGCCCAGTCCTCCCAATCAGACCTTGAAAAACTCATAGACCCTAAATCAGCAGGCTTAATTTTCTCGTTTTTTAACAGCCAAACTGTTTCCCATAGACTTAATTAATGTAAAATTGATAAAAAGCATTTAAGTTAAGCTAAAACTGCATCATTGACCTGCCCTTTCTTTGGTTTTCCAGCTTTGAGTGGGTAAAGTGTAAGTTTTGACTTGAAAAGCTCTAGTCTTTGTACGTTCCTTTGTAAAGTCTCAGCACTTTTGTTTCTTCTTCTGTGGTCTACTTTAATTCCAATTGACCTGGCGAATTGGGCTGTTAAGTGGGCTTTTTGAAGCTCTTGAAGAGAAAAGCCTCGGCCGGTCTTGGACTTTGAGCAGTATCTGAGGGTTTGACCTTGGACTATTGGTCTTAGAGTTTTCAGAGGAGTGGGGGCTGACTGGGCGAGTTTAAGACTTCTAGCTTTACGACGACGCTGTTTGCGGGCAGGCTGGTTAAACCAGGTCTTTACGTAGCTTTGCCAATCCTTATGAAAATGAGCATTTGGGACCACGTTATTGTGTTTCACCATTTTTTGATATGATTTATTAAGAAGATGACACAGAAAGCGAATTTAAGGAGAAGGTGCTTGGGATTTGATAATTTGAGTATTTAAGAATTAAATTTAAAAACATCAGTTAATTGTGTATTTATAATTATTTTCAAGTTGCTACAATTGATACACTAGGTATAGTCCAGAGCTGCTTTTATCTCTCTGGGTTATAGTGGTATTTGTTTAGCTTGGGAAATATAAGTTGGCAAGCCGCATATGCCAGATAAAACTGTGCTTGGTAACTTATCTGTTCAAGCTAACTCTTCTCTTTAGAATGGCAATTTAGGTCTAAAATAAGCCTAAAGCAGCCACTTGCTATATCTATTTTTTGAATTAAATTTAGCTAGATCATTTAATCATTCTTGGCTCATCAATTTTAAGCACAAAATAACGCTGAATACGCTCTTTTATGATAAGCTGAATTATTTTTGTTTCTTACCCCCATGAATTTTAATAAATATGAGCTTTGATCAAACTGGCAGGCATTCTCGCAGTAGATCTCCCCGTTCTCCATACGATTTTACCTCCTATCCTCTCAAGATAGGTATTCCCTTAGAGCATGCAAGCCAAATCAGCGACCCTGAGCTCATCAATCGCATTCGCAGCGATACCAAGGTTGACATCAGCTTTATGGACAAAGTTCCCGGCTTTGACGAAGCATTGGTTTCTATTGAATCAAATTCAGTATCTTCAAAAATCAATGCAATGAGCATGGTGATTTTTACTTACCCTATTTTTTAAAAAAATTTTATATAAGGAAAATTGATTTATTTACAAATATAAAAAAAAATAAAAATATAATGGAAATTAGATAATTGACGAACTGGCAGGATTAAAAGACTATTCAGAATTCACCACCACCATTTTAATCCCTGACGCTGCAGTTTCTTCAATCATCGGCAGAAGTGGTCAACAAATCCAAGCAATTCAAAGACAATCTGATGCAAATGTATCGGTCATCGATAAAGCGTCAAGCTTGAAAGATAGAATTATCAAAATAAAAGGAAGACCTAACAATATTAAAGACGCTGCTGAAAAGATATATAGAATTGTCATGGAAAGGAAAATAAGCTCGCCAAGAAGAGAAAGAAAGCCTCCAAGTCCTGTCAAAAGAGTGAATTTTATATAGATTGAAGGGCCGAGCCTTAATTTTCTTTTACCATCAGATATTGCGAGCTCTATTGTGAGAAGAGCTAGAAGCGATTTTAATCTAGAAGCCTTCACTGGCAAAGAAGTGGGAAATTCAGAAACTATAGCTGTAAGTAAAATTTATGCTGAAAACTAACTTTAGACGGTAAAAGGCGCCCCAGCTGATATAGAAGATGCGATTTTTGAGTTTATCTTGGGGCTGAGAGAGTTAAATGACGCGTTCAAGCTTGTAGTTGATACAGAAAGCTCACTAGGCTCGACATGTAAAGTTTACTTAATCCCCATTAATTTTTCTATAAACTAGCAAAATAGCTAAATTTTTTTAATTAAATTTATATATAAAAAATTTTTCTTTCCAAATTTAAATTTGTAAATATTTGAAATCAAAAATCTATATTATTGCTCATGCGTCGAATTATTATTTTTAAAAAAACTTCAATTAAAAATTTACCCTAGGGTTAATTTTCGGATTTTCTTAATAATTTTGCTCTCTCTAGCGAAGGGGGAGCTAGCCTTTATTAATGATCTGTCAGATAAATTCACAACTGCGACTATTAGAATTGAAAGAGCTGGAGATAAAAAAATTATCATTATAAGTGGGTCTAACTCTCCTATGATAGGCTTTATTATATTTAACAGTAACCTTTATTAGTTTCCAAAAATTGCATATAATAATTTTCCACATTTTTGAAATATTCCAGCATTTTATATAATAAAATCTCAAAACTAATATGTAAATTTTTATTAATAAAAATAAATATTACCTATATTAGTTTAGAGGAGTAAGAGAACTAAAGAAGACATTATTCGGACTTTTATAGTCAAATTAGAGAGCAAAAGGCATAGAACCCCTGATCGAAGATCGCCTAGAAGCTCTCATGGAAGAGGTGAATCTCCAAGAAGAAAATACCAATCATCCATCAATGTAACCATTCCTGATATGCTTGTTGCAAGATTAATCGGAAAAGGAGGAGAAAACGTCAAAAGTATCATGAATAAAACAGGGTGCAATATTTCCTTCCAGAAACCAGAAACTAGTGATGTAAAAACGCCTGATGGAGTTCCTGCTAGAATTTGCACGTTTAAAGGGACACCTTCATCAATTGCAGATGGGGTAAAAATATTGCTTGACCAAGTTATTTCTTTAGCTCGGCAATAATTTAATAAGTTACAATCTTACTTCATGACAGCCTTATCTGTAATAATCATAGCTAAACTTGATCAGAATAGACAGGTTTGCCATGCAATTCCTCTAATAGCAGTATAGCTATTAATTGCTTTATCAATTGCATTTTGGCAACTAAGTCAAAAATTATAAAGTTCTGAGGCTATCTGGCAATAAATATAAATCATGGAATTTAATGAGGCTTTACCAACCTTATGCTGACCATAGGCTAATTAATTCTGAAATAATATATGGATTTACGTAAGAAAATCGATCTCCATTTTTATAATTTAAATGAGGTTTTGAGGTTTGTCTAGATAAGAAAATTTATTCTTAAATATTACCAAGATCATTGGCTAAACTTATTATGGATAATGTAGCATTAATTATTTCGAAGTTTTGCAACATGAATTAAATTTTATTAAAATTCCATTCCAGTAGTAATTATATCTAAGAAATATCAAGCCTTTTATGTGAGTATTATTCTTAAATTGCACAAAGCTTGAGCTAAGAATCTAAAAATATGAAAGTCAATAATTTTGAAGAAAAATTATTATCCTTAACTATGCTCAATTTACTGTATATAAATTAAGCTAATAAAGGAGCGATATATGTCACTTTATTTAAAGATCATAAAAATTCTTCAGCTACCCAATCACTTAATATCGATACTGACGCTTAATTTCTAGCAATTTATTAATATTTCTCACATTCATTCGAAAATTCTCATTAATTGCCAACGCCATTTTAATGGCTCAAATAAAAATGAACTTATTAAAGAAGCTATGTGCAGAAGCCTACGCTACAGCTCTCCTGACCCTCGTTATCGTAGGCAAAAATCTCGACGGTCCACTAGTTGGTTGTGCCTTTTGGATGTGCATCCAAGGCACAAACATGATTCACTCCTTCCACTTTAATCCATGCGTCCAAATTGCATCAATCATTCACAAAAAAGCCTTAAATCAGCTTACTAATAAAGATAGACAGTACTTGCTATGGTCTATCTTTGCCCAAATCATAGGAGCAATTCCTGGTGTTTTCGCTGCATGGTGGATATATGATTCAGATTTCTATTACAAAACAGGACACAAATACAATGATGCTCAGAAATTTTTTGCTGAGATGTTATTTTCTGTCCATTTTATTCTGTGTACAATGGGTATTACATTCTGGCCAGATAATAAATTGATAGGGAGTTTGGTGGTATCTGGTGCACTGACTGCAGGGATAGAAACAGTTGGCCATATTTCAGGCGCATGCTTTAATCCGACTATTTGTTTTACAGTGAATATTATACAAGGAATCAGAACTGGGGATTCAGAACATTTTGAATATCTTTGGCTATATTTTACTGCCCCAGTAATAGCTATATTTATTTCTGCAGGACTAGCATGTATTATTCATTTTCCACCAGAAAAAACGATTCCTAAGCTTGAAGAAGTAAAAGAAAAGAAAAGAAATAAAAACACAGGCCATGAAGTGGTAGAAACAGTTCATAGTATAGATCTTCAAGTAGCGAAAAAAGTTTAAATTTTTTACTATAAATTCTCTTTTAATTTATAGTCAAATTATTGATATTAACATAGCATAAAATTAATTTATTCTTCAAGAGCCTTGCTTCAGCTTGAAAAACTCTTTTTTGTTTTCAGCTTCTCCACAAATTCTTTTCTTTCTTGCTCAATTTTCTTACCATTTAAATCTCTTGCAAGCTTAAACTTATACATAGGATGAGGATGGTTGCTTTTATCCTCACAGTCCTCACAAAGGGTCCAATTTGTGCAAATAGAGCATGCATATTTAATCTCATTCTGTATATTTTTTTGGCAGTTTGAGCATTCATTATTCACATTACTTATAGGAAACTGTACTTTATGTTTCAGGACGAATTCTTTTACCTCTTCTGTCAGGATTTTTTTGATTATTGACATATCGACCATTGTGGGTAAATCATATTGTGTCTCTTTGTTATCGAAATTTACTTCAATGCTAGTTATTTTGTCTCGGTATTCTACAGCTTCAGTTTGAGTAAAAGAGTTGGAGAATTCAAAAGATGTGGAAACTCCTTGAGAGACCTTTCCTTGAGATAGCTTTTTTGTATCATTTGAACTATTGCTGTCAGCTTCAAGTGATCTGTCATTTCTGGGAGGATTTCTCAGCTCGTCTCCTGAAAAACTGCTTGATTTGTCGTGGGAGTATAAAGATGTTACACTGTTTAATCTTTCAAGCTTTATGGAGCTTGCTGAAAAGTCGGCTTTGCAGCTTTCGGACATTATTATATTTTTGTGATGTTTTTTAAAAATTAAGTTAAAAAATCATAAGATGCTATTCTGCTAGAGATATTTGGATCCAAATGCAATATACTTACTCCCACCAAATTCATAAAGAAAAAACTGCCATTTTTTTTCTGAATATTTTTAAAGTGCATTTAATAATGAACAAAATTTACTATAAAAATTTTAAAAAAATCAGAAATTTATTTTTAATATAGTTATAATGACTTAAAGAATATTCAAGCTCTTTTAAATGATACAATTAATATATTATTCTGTTTTCCTCATTTTCCTTATTTCAATTTTTTTGGAATCCCACGTGACATAGTGTAAGCCTTATAATCTTTATCTAATTTTTAAAATATAAATTTAAAGCATTTTTAAAATATAAAGTTATGCCCCGATTACTTGCAAACAAAGATTTGTTTGTTATTAAAGTAAGAGGAGATAGTATATAAGAGAATTATATATTCATAAATTGAGAGTAGCACTTTTTAGAATGAAAAATATGCATTTTAGATCTAAGAAATCAAATTTATAAGTGCAAATCTATGAAATTAACTTTAAAAAGTTGATTACTCCCCCCCCCCCCCCCGTGAGCGAACAAAACCATTAGAAAAATCGCCATTTTTTGACCAAAAACCCACCCTCCGTGAGTGAACAAAAATTTTTTTAATAGAAAAAATTTTAATGGAAAAAAATTTTGATATATAAGTGATAATTAGTATAATGAAATCTAGAGCTAATTCTGTTTAATTTTAAACAAATTGCGTTTTAAAACATAAATTTTGCAAATTAAATTAATATTTGCTTCCCAATTTTTGCAAATTAGGATTTTTTTAAATTTCGAAAAAAATATTTTTTATAAAATTTATATATAAATTTTTTTTAAAAAAAAAAAATTAACCCCCCTCCGTGAGCGAACAAAATTTTTTTGTTCGCTCACGGAGGGGGGGGGGAGTTAGAATTTTCTTTATTTAAACAGATTTTTTCCATATTTCTGAGATCATTAAATAATTTTTTACAAATATGAAGGTTACTGATAAGGTATCAAGCGTTGGCCGAGGAGACTACCAGTTCAACAAACTTCCCCAAAATAACAAAATAATAGCTGAATACGTCTGAATCGGTGGCAGAGGCCTAGACATCCGTTCTAAAAGCCGCACCCTTGATATCCCAAAGATAAAATCTCTTTCTGATATCCCAGAATGAAACTATGATGGCTCTTCTACATTTCAAGCCAGTGGTCATGATAGTGAAATTCTTCTCAAGCCTCGAGTTTTTTACCCAGACCCCTTCAGACTCGGAAATAATATTTTAGTCCTCTGCGACACTTGGAAACCAGATGGAACTCCTACAAACACCAATTTTCGCTCTGAGTGCTTAAAAGTTATGAATAAAGCAGCCCATGAAGAGCCTTGGTTTGGGTTTGAACAAGAATATGTACTCTATCGTAATGATACTTACCCACATAGACCTTTAGGCTTCCCAGAAGGGGGCTACCCAGCTCCTCAAGGGCCTTATTATTGTAGTGTTGGAGGTGGCTGTGCATTTGGAAGACAGATTATGGAGGCTCATTATAGATGCTGCTTATATACAGGGATTTCAATTTCTGGGACTAATAGCGAAGTTTTTCCTGGACAATGGGAATTCCAGATAGGGCCTGTTACTGGAATTCACCTTGGCGACCAAGTGTGGATGGCTCGATACCTCTTATTAAGAGTTGCTGAACATTATGGAACTTCTGTTAATTGGGAATGCAAGCCTGTTATTGGGGAATGGAATGGGTCTGGCTGCCATGCGAATTTTTCTACAAACTCAACTAGACGTGAAGGAGGGATACAGACTATTTATAATTATATTGAGAAATTGAGAGAAAAACATATGTACTGTATAGATGGTTATGGGAAAGATAATGCAAAAAGATTGTCAGGGACATGCGAGACATCAAATATTAATACTTTTAGCTTTGGAGTCGCAGACCGTGGGGCATCAATAAGGATACCAAGAGTTACGGCAAATGATGGAAAAGGCTACTTTGAAGATAGAAGACCCGCCTCAAACTCAGATCCATATGTAGTTTCTGCTTTATTAACTGATGTAACAGTTCTTGATGGAAATAGTACTGAAGAGCTTCATGATAGGTATGTCTCATTTTTAACATCAATACGTCCTATAATCATTTAATTTAGCCTTTACTATTATAAATTTTAGAAATATTAAATGAGGAGCACAACAGCAAAAGCAATTTAACGTTTCCAGACTAAAATCAGTTAATTTTTATGAAATTTATCTTATGTTTTTTGTTTGAAGATTAATGATGAAGAGTATTTTGGGTTTGCTCACTTTATTCAGAAAAGAGATTTTGAGTTTTCATAAAAATTGGTGATATTATTGAGCTGAGCCATGTGTAGTAAAAAGTACAAAAGCTAGCTTGTTGTCTTCTAAGAAGGTTTTGACTCTATCTAAAGACTGTAGGTGCTATGCAGGAGGGTTTATTTTCTTGAAAATCAATTGATCATACCATTTTTCGATCGAGGACGGGTATAATCAATTGGTTCTTTATTGATGAAGAGCTTAGTTGGATAAGCGTTTATATCGTATTTTTCTGCAGCTTCTAAATGAACTGTGGCATCTATCTTGAGAATTATGACCTTAGGGATATTTTATCTAACTCCCCGCTCACGGAGGGGGCTAAAACAAAATTATTTATAGAAAAATTCTTTTTTAGAAATTTTAAAAAAATCCTAATTCGCAAAAATTGGAAAGCAAATATTAATTTAATTTATAAAATTTATGTTCTAAAGCGCAATTTGTTTAAAATTAAACAAAATTAGCTATAGATTTCATTATACTAATTATTATTTATATATCAATTTTTTTATAAAAAAAATTGTTTTTTATTAAAAAAAATTTTGTTCGTTAAAGGAGGGTGGGGGTTTTGGGCAAAAAATAGCAATTTTTCTAATGGTTTTGTTCGCTCACGGTTGGGGGGAGAAATAAAATGGAAACTTTAGAATAAAGCGTATCAAAATATCGGCAATGAGCACGCCATGGTGAATAAAACTCGACAAAGACATAGGGATTTGTGGATAAAACTTCTTCAAAAGTATCATCAGTGAGCTTCAATATGTTTTTAGGCTTGTCGTTGTAAAAGGCGAGTCCTAAGAGAAGAAACAAGACACGTGTTTTAACATATAAAATTAATATATATGAATTTAAGCCCAAAAAATGTCGAATCAAAGACCTAACTTCATTCAAATTAAATAAATATTTAAAAAATGTCTGCTCTATTGTTAAATTTCTTACTCCCCCCCAATCCTTGATTGAACGATTGACTGTAAAAATTCCTAAAAATTGGGGAAATTAACCCCCATCCTTGATCGAACGATTTTCATATCATGCAAATTTTTATATATATAAAAATATAATAGTTATCAAAAGCTTGGAAGATGTACCTAATGAAGTTGTTTTCAGAGACTTTGAGACGATAGAAAGCTTCGGAATCAACCATTCAAAGTAATTTAATCATCAACATGGGCTTAAAAAACTCAATAATCTAAAAAATAGAGATTCTTTAAAATTAAAAAAAACAATTTTAATTTAATAAGTAACAAATTAAAATTTATACAGTTTAAAGGGGTAAATAATAAATTAAAATATAAAAAATTGGTATTTTTATAAAATTAATTCAATTTTTTGCTGTAAAAATAATTATTAAATACTCTTAACCCTCTTATTTAAAAGTAAATAAAAAACAATTTATATATATATTTTATTTTATATATAAAAATTTTTTTCCAAAAAAAATTTTTTTAAACCCCCATCCTTGATCGAACGATGGCGAGTCGTTCGATCAAGGATGGGGGGGAGTTAGAATTTCAATGATTTAAACTAATAAATTATGATGATATCTTATATGTCTTAAGAACATTATCATGCAAAATAAGTTAAGCTTATCTTGTTTGATTGCTGGTATTAAATAAAATTTAAATTATTATGCCATCACTTAACACCTATCAATTAATTGCATGAATAATCGAGACTATGCTGATGGGATTTGTTAACATAATATGAAAATATAAAATTGCACCCAACATAATAATGCATTTGAATATATGGTAATTTTAGATCCTAACTAAGATCACACAAAATATATTGAGAGAGATTCTTGATAATCAAATTTTGCAGATTTGATTTAGTCATAAACGAAGTGTTTCAGTCTCTGATCGTGATGTGTCAACATCTTGCCTATTTCTTGACGAACTAATAGCAAACTAATAAAGTCACAACAACTGCGTGGGAAAATACTCCAGATGGTAAACGAATTATGCACTGTGCTATTTTGCTATCATAAGCATATCCATGAGGATTTTAAGAGTCCTTGGCAGCTTAGATCAAACATCGGCACTAACAAATTAATCTAAGCAATACTTATCTTCAGACTTTTAGTTCTATAATAAAAAATATGACATCTTTTGAACTGTACTTGTATGAGAATTTTTCAAGGCTTGATGAATGAACGCAGACTAGCCTTAATCAAGGTTTTTCATCATTTCAGACAATTAAAAACGCATTTCAGACTCTTTATAGTAATAAAATCCACTTCATAGATCAAGAGTTTTCTTTGTACGGGTCTCCCGCCGAAACTGATGAAACTTCAGAAAATCAGGATTTTATTGAAAAAATCGAAGAAATAATGCAAGACTCAGACCGAGAATTAAGGATTCCAATTGTATCTTGCTGAAAAGCACTGCCAGTTGAAGGAAACCGCCAATTATCAGATGAAGAGCTTAAATTTAATTATTTTTGGCAAACAATAGTAATTCTCCCTAAGAATCACACACTTATCGATGGTAGTCCTCTGAAAAACACATCCGAATTAATTTTTTTCATAGACTCATCAGGGAATAACTTTCGAATTCCTGAAAATATAAAATCTCTATTAACTGGAAAATTTAATCTTGAAGATCCGGATGGATGGCAAAGCTCTTTTGCTGGGTGCTTTCCAAATGCTAAAATAACTGATACATCCTTCGCTAAACAATGCACATATCCTTACGAAAGCGGTCTTTGGTGTTTATTTAACACGGTCATGCTTATTTCAAAAGGCAATCATAAGTTCTTGGGCTCATTTTATAGATTTGAAATCGATCGAAGTAGTAAATTGAGAGCTATTTTAGAAAAATATAGCATTGACTTAAATGATCCAACAATTTGCGTGACACCACACCGTCCTACGAAAGCTTCAGATATATCACCCGAAACTCGGCAGTCTGCTTTAAAAGTTAAAAAAAAATCTACTATTTCTGGCGGGAATGTAGACTTTATAAATGCTATAAGTGATGATACTTTTGTTGATAAATGATTATGGGATGAACGGCAACCCCAATATTGACATTTATCTTCAAGGAATGCGTGATTCGATTTGAAATGCATATAGCGAGCATGAATATGATTATCGTCAAGGTTTAGAAAATGTAGTAAAAGCATGATGTTTGAAAAACCCACATCATAATATTGATTATACAAATGAGAGTATTGAAATGCTAGAATGATTCGTTGATCGGTATAATATATATATAAGTCGCAGTCTTAGAATATTCAGGACATACATAAAAGATAGCTCGCAAATTAAAATTGATAATGCTATAATCAATCTGGCACGAATGCTTTATGATATTCATAAAAAGCCTGTTTTAGAGATCTAAAATTCCTAAAATAAGTTTCATTATGAAATTTAAATTGTTATTTGTCTCTTCCTACTCTTTTTGGTAAAATCTAGCACTAATTTGCTGATGAGGCTAGTGCTGCTATTGTGCTGCTAGTGTTGCTATTGTGTTGCTGGTGTTGTTATTATTATATTTCTAGTGTTGCTAGTGAGCTAGTGTTGCTAGTTAAGCTACTGTTGCTAGTGAGCTACTGTTGCTAGTGAAGCTAGTGGAGCTACTGTTGCTAGAGTTGCTAGTGTTGTTTAGAGTTGCTAGCGGTGCTAGTGAAGCTGGCGATTCTAGAGTTTCTAGTATTGATTCTAGAGTTTCTAGTATTGTAGTGGTGTGGTGCTAGTGGTGTTGATTCTAGAGTTGAGAGTAGCTAGTGTTGTAGTGGTACTAGTGGTGCTAGTGGATGAATATGACAGGCCAATTAATGACTTCATTAATAAAAATGGTGAAAGAGATATTGCTGCTAATTTTGGATGATTTCTGAATCTGCTATGTAAAGACCTGCCAAAGTTTATTGATAAATCAATCTTCACTGGGACTCTTAAAATCGCACATAATAAACTTTCATCAAGCATGAGAAATTTAAAGGCATACACAATTCAAAATGATTTTCTCTACGCAGATTGCTTCGGATTTACAGAGGCAGAAGTAACTGAATTGCTTAGAAAAAATTTATATTATGAATCTGAAGGAGATTTTAAAGAGCAAATTAACATAATTAAGACGTGATATAATGGCTACAATGTTGGCAAGATACGAATATACAATCCTTGATCAATAACGAATTGCTTGCAGGCTGTAAGTGAGAAATCTGATTTTCCACTTCGACCTTACTGAATAAATACAGGTATCTACGATATATTGATGTCTGCATTTAGTAATTTGGAAAATTTTAATGAATTATATAATATAATGAAAACTGGGTACCTCACTTTGAATCCAAAACTTCCTGACGAGATACATTTCGGAGACATGAAAGAGATAAAAAATAACTTTTTTGGCTGTCTGCTGCATTGTGGATATATAACACCTAATATTGATGACAAAAAGCGGCAAACTTATGTTATCCCGAATAAAGAAACAAAAAGAGACTTCTACGAATATTTGCTTCAAAAGTGAATTAATGAAAAAACTGGAGAGAACAGAATCAATGTTGATGGGACGGCAAAAGAATTTATTGAAAACTTGGGGAATTGCGAAAAACTTCAAAACCTAATTCAAGATGAGTTGCTTGACAATTTTAAAGAAAGTGATTATAGAACTGAAGCAGATTTTCAGACTTTGGTGGGAGGTATCGCGATGCTTGCTTCAATTAAAATTGATAACTCTGCATGGACAGTATACTCAGAAAGGCCTAACGATTCCAGGAACAAAGCGGATGCAATTTTTCTTCCAGTAGCCAATTTGAGCAGTACTATAATTATACATGAGTATAAAAAATTCGATCGGTTGAGTATCGAGAATGCTCAAGTTCATGCTACAAATGCTCTCTGGCAAATTTTTGTTAAAAAATATATGGATATTGCTATTTCATTATATAAAAACAGCAGAGATCATCAGTATTTTAAAAGCATAATTGTTCGAGGGATTGTCTTTTATCGAGTTGATCTGCAAAAAAAATGAAGCATATTGATTCAGGAAATTGGGCCATTTAGCATGGAGCAAGCTATAAATATAAACACATGATTTACTCAAGGATGTCGAGTTATAAACAAATTAAGGTTATGTGGTGGAGACGGATCGAAAGATATGATAATTAAGGAAAGACAAAAGCTTGGTGATGAAAATTTAGAAATCTTAATTGAAAAACTTATCACAGACTATCCTACTTTAGACTATTTGAAGCGGAAAGAACAGAAAAGAGCTTCCAATCCTGCTGAGGATAACTACAAATCGAAGAGATTAAGTGGAACATAGATAATATGTGTTCTGTTTGTAAAATGCCATTGCATGAAGCTTGCTTTGGTTTACTGATAAGGTATCAAGCGTTGGCCGAGGAGACTACCAGTTCAACAAACTTCCCCAAAATAACAAAATAATAGCTGAATACATCTGGATCGGTGGCAGAGGCCTAGATATCCGCTCTAAAAGCCGCACCCTTGATATCCCAAAGATAAAATCTCTTTCTGATATCCCAGAATGAAACTATGATGGCTCTTCTACATTTCAAGCCAGTGGTCATGATAATGAAATTCTTCTCAAGCCTCGAGTTTTTTACCCAGACCCCTTCAGACTCGGAAATAATATTTTAGTCCTCTGCGACACTTGGAAACCAGATGGAACTCCTACAAACACCAATTTCGCTCTGAGTGCTTAAAAGTTATGAATAAAGCAGCTCATGAAGAGCCTTGGTTTGGGTTTGAACAAGAATATGTACTCTATCGTAATGATACTTACCCACATAGACCTTTAGGCTTCCCAGAAGGGGGCTACCCAGCTCCTCAAGGGCCTTATTATTGTAGTGTTGGAGGTGGCTGTGCATTTGGAAGACAGATTATGGAGGCTCATTATAGATGCTGCTTATATACAGGGATTTCAATTTCTGGGACTAATAGCGAAGTTTTTCCTGGACAATGGGAATTCCAGATAGGGCCTGTTACTGGAATTCACCTTGGTGACCAAGTTTGGATGGCTCGATACCTCTTATTAAGAGTTGCTGAACATTATGGAACGTCTGTTAATTGGGAATGCAAGCCTGTTATTGGGGAATGGAATGGGTCTGGCTGCCATTCGAATTTTTCTACAAACTCAACTAGACGTGAAGGAGGGATACAGACAATTTATAATTATATTGAGAAATTGAGGGAAAAACATATGTACTGTATAGATGGTTATGGGAAAGATAATGCAAAAAGATTGTCAGGGGCATGCGAGACATCAAATATTAATACTTTTAGCTTTGGAGTCGCAGACCGTGGGGCATCAATAAGGATACCAAGAGTCACGGCAAATGATGGAAAAGGCTACTTTGAAGATAGAAGACCCGCCTCAAACTCAGATCCATATGTAGTTTCTGCTTTATTAACTGATGTAACAGTTCTTGATGGAAATAGTACTGAAGAGCTTCATGATAGGTATGTCTCATTTTTAACATCAATCCGCCCTATAATCATTTAATTTAGCCTTTACTATTATAAATTTTAGAAATACTAAATGAGGAGTAACAACTGCAAATAGCATTTTTTTGTCATTAGATCAAGCATCGGCACTAGCAAATAATCTAGACAATGCTTGTCTGCAAATGAGTAATGAACTTTATAATGATTTCTTTATTAAAATTTGTTAGTTATATATAATATAAATAAATAAATGCAAGCAATAGCTTTTGAAAATCTAAAATCTGTCAATTGTATCTTAATTGGTTAATAAAAAATATGCCATCTGCAGAAAAGTGCTTATATAGGGATTTTTTGCAGCTTGACGATTGATTGGAGACTAGCCTTAATCAAGGTTATGCATCATTTCAGACAATCAAAAACGCATTTCAGATGATATATAATAATAAAATCCATTTCATAGATCAAGAGTTTTCTTTGTGCGGGTCCCCCACCTTAACTGATGAAACTTCAGGAAATCTGGATTTTATTGTAAAAATCGAAGAAATATTGCAAGCCTCAGGCCCAGAATTGAGGATTCCAATTGTATCTTGCTGAAAAGCAGTACCAGTTGAAGAAAAGCATCAATTATCAGATGAAGAGCTCAAATTTAATTATTTTTGGCAAACAATAGTAATTCTCCCGAAGAATCACATACTTATCGATAAAAGTCCTCTAGAAAACCCATCTGAATTAATTTTTCTAATAGACTCGTCAGGGAATGATTTTCGAATTCCTGAAAATATAAAATCTCTATTAAAGGAAAAAATTAATTTTGAAGATTCGCATATAGGGCAATTTTCTTTGGGCGGGTTCTTTCCAAATGCTAAAATAACTGATACATCCTTCGCTAAACAATGCATGTATCCTTACGAAAGCGGTCTCTGGTGTTTATTTAATACAGTCATGCTTATTTCAAAAGGCAATTATAAGTTCTTGGGCTCATTTTATAGATTTGATATGGATCAAAGTAGTAAAGTGAGAGCAATTTTAGAAAATTATAGCATTGACTTAAACGATCCAACAATTTGTGTGACACCACGCCATCCTATAAGCGCTACAGATAACTCGCCTGAAACTCAGCAGTCTGCTTTAAAAGTTAAAAAAAATTCTATTATTTCTTGCTGGAATGTAGACTTTATAAATGCCACAAGTGAAGATGCTTTTGTCGATAAAACCCATTTTATCAAAAAAATTATAGACAATCTCAATAAATTAATTCTTATTACAAGGCCAAGAAGATGGGGAAAGACGTTCAACATGCGAATGCTTAAAGCTTTTTTTCACCCAAAATATGATGAAAATGGAAATTTCGCGAATTTGCATGCATTTACTGGCGGAAAAGATAATACAGATCTAAATAATTCAGATCTTAGCAGATGCTTGAAAATAATGACTTTAGACGATGGACGATATAGAAAATATTTCGGAAGTAAGCCAACAATTTTGCTGAGCTTTGGTAGAATATTTGGCTATAGAAAAAATGGCAACCCCAATATCCAAGGAATACGTGACTCGATTTGAAATGCATATCTCAAGCATGAATATGAATATCGTCAAGATTTAGAAAATGAAGTAAAAGAATGATGTTTGAAAAACCCACATCATAATATTGATTATACAAATACGAGTACTCGAATGCTAGAATGATTCGTTGATCAGCATAATATAAAAATAAGTCTCAGTCTTAGACTATTCAGGACATACATAAATGATAGTTCGCAAATTAAAATTGAAGATGCTATAATCAATCTGGCACAAATACTTTATAGTGTTCATAATAAGCCTGTTTTAGTGCTAGTGGATGAATATGATAGGCCAATTAATGACTTCATCAATATAAGTGAGGAAAGAGATGCTGCTATTGAGTTAAGAGGATTACTGTATCTGCTATTTAAAGACCTGCCAGAGTTTATTGATAAAGTAATCTTCATTGGGATTCTTAAGATCGCACAGGATACATTTTTATCAGGCATGAACAATGTAGAGGCATGCACAATTCAAAATGATTCTCTCTATGCAGATTGCTTCGGATTTACTGAGGTAGAAGTAACTGAATTGTTTAGAAAAATTTTAGACTATGAATCTGAAGAAGATTTTATAGAGCAAAGTAACATAATTAAGACGTGATATAATGGCTACAATGTTGGTAAGATACGAATATACAATCCTTGATCAATAACGAGTTGTTTGCAGGCCATAAGTGAGAAATCTGATTTTCCACTTCAACCTTACTGAATAAATACAGGCAGCTACAGTATATTGATTTCTACATTTACTCCCCCCCCCCTCCGTGAGTGAACAAAACCTTTAGAAAAATCGCCATTTTTTGCCCAAAAAACCCACTCTCGAGTGAACAAAAATTTTTTTAATAGAAAATTTTTTTATGGAAAAAAAATTTTGATATATAAATGATAATTAATATAATGAAATCTAGAGCTAATTCTGTTTAATTTTAAACGAAATGCATTTTAAAACATAAATTTTATAAATTAAATTAATATTTGCTTTCAAAGTTTTGCAAATTAGGATTTTTTTAAATTTCGAAAAAAAAATTTTTTAGAAAATTTATATAGAAATTTTTTTAAAAAAAAAACAATTTAACCCCCCTCCGTGAGTGAACAAAATTTTTTTATTCACTCACGGAGGGGGGGGGGTTAGTAATTTGGAAAATTTTAATGAATTATATGAGATAATGAAAACTGGGTACCTCACTTTGAATACAAAAATTCCTGAAGAGATACATTTTGGAGACATTAGAGAGATAAAAAATAACTTTTTGGCCTATCTGCTGCATTGTGGATATAAGGATCCCCCCCCTCATTTGTCCAATTTTTTAGTCTTTTTTTCTAAGAAAAAAAAATTTTCAGGACCTCATTTGTCCCAAAAATCTAGTCAAAAATGATTTGTCCCATTTTCTAGTCTTTTTTTGGATATTTTTTCGAATGTCCTAATTTTAGTTTTTTATTTTAAAAAACTAGAATATGAGACAATTGAGGTCCTGAAATTTTTTTTCTATCAAAATTTTGACTAGAAAAATTGGACAAATGAGGTCCTAAAAAAAATTTTTTTTCCTATAAAAAAAAACTAGAAAAATAGACAAATGATAAAAGACTAGAAAATTGGACAAATGAGGGGGGTCCTTATAACACCTGATATTGATGACAAAATGCGGCAAACTTATGTTATCCCGAATAAAGAAGCAAAATGAGACTTCTACGAATACTTGCTTACAATGTGAATTAATATAAAAACTGGAGAGAACAAAATCAATATTTATGAGATCGCAAAAGAATTTATTGAAAACTTGGGGAATTGCGAAAAACTTCAATACCTAATTCAAAATGAGTTGCTTTGAAATTTTGAAGAAAGCGCTGATAGAACTGAAGCAGATTTTCAGACTTTACTGGGAGGAATAGCGAGGCTTGCTTCAATTAATATTGATAACTCTGCATGAACAATATACTCAGAAAGGCCTAACAATTTCAGGAACAAAGCGGATGCAATTTTTCTTCCTGTGGCCAATTTGAGCAGTACTATAATTATACATGAGTATAAAAAATTCGATCGGTTGAGTATCGAGAATGCTCAAGTTCATGCTACAAATGCTCTCTGGCAAATTTTTGTTAAAAAATATATGGATATTGCTATTTCACTATAACACATCAACGCTAGTGAATCTCCATCATCTTGGCATCTCTCGACACAATTAATGATTGGCTTTGGGTGAAGTTTGATAAAATGACTTTAATTTTTCAAAATGGTTTTTTGGTATGAAAAAAGCACAAACAGTACAATCTACTTTTTTCCTCTTATTTTGAAAGACAAAATTAATGATTGTGATACTCTTACATTCATTTAGGCGATATTGTTTGTCATTTACTAGCATGCATGTATGCTGTTTACTATGCAATCCTATCTTGAGTTTTCTCTGCTTAAATTTGCTTAATCTAGATAGAATATATTTTTAATGCACTTTATTCATCTGTTTTTGCTATTTAGTTTTTCACCCCTGTTTGGGAAATATAAAAAGTACCGTTTGCACTTTATTCATACCAAAAAACCATTTTTGAAAATTAGAGTCATTTTTTTAGGTTTTAGAAAGAGTTTATTTAACCTCATCCGTTGGCTTCACCAACAGATGCTAGTGAAGCCAACCTCTGAAATAGAAACCTGAAATGCCTGGCGAATTGCCATTTCAAGGGGTTGATTTAACCAACCCTCTTGGTATTGAGAGATGTTAGGATGATGAAAATGCACTAGCGTGAATGTGTTATATATAACACCAGCCAAGATTATAATTATTTTAAAAGTATAATTGTTCGAGGGATTGTCTTTTATCAATCTGATCTACCAAAATGAAACATATTGATTCAGGAACTTGAGCCATTTAGCATGGAACAAGCTATAAATATAAACACATGATTTACTCAAGGATGTCGAATTCTAAACCAGTTAAGGCTATGTGGTGGAGACGGGTCGGAAGATGAGATAATTAATGAAAGAAAAAAGCTTGGTGATGAAAACTTAGAAATCTTAATTGAAAAACTTATCACAGACTATCCTACTTTAGACTATTTGAAGCGGAAAGAACAGAAAAGAGCTTCCAGTCCTGCAGAAGATAACTACAAATCGAAGAGATTAAGTAGATAATAGATATTATAGCTTATGCATCCTAATAGATCTCTATAGACAATTGCATTTATTGTGCGATAAGCGAGGTTAATATTCATATTAGTTTAACTTTAGCAAACAGATTAAATTATTAAAGAAACAAAAATGATTAAAGACATAGAGGCTGCCTTCATTATAATTTCTGTAGCTGGGGGCATTAAACTTGGCTGATTCTTAACTCTTGAGCTGGAAGAATTTGCTGTGCTCGTTCCACTTTTATAACTGATTTGGTAAGCAAAATTATTTGACAAACCTTATAAAAAGTGAAAATATTAATGACTAATTCTGAAACATACACATATCTATTTGAATCAGGCTGAGCTAAGTTTCATAAGTTGAAAATTAGTTGCATTTTAAATAGTTTAATTTAGCGGTTGACTTTGTAAATAAAATTTAACTTTTCGGGTTAGTGGCCTTGGAGTCAGTTGATGACAACTTCATAATCAATTACTAGCTATCTGGATGTTTTTTTTGGCCGCTGCTTTTTTCCTTGGCTCGGAGGTTGGATGTGTGTCACCCTCTTACAAAGGCGGCTGACAGAAGGCATATAGCTGCATTTACTTCTATAGAGCCCGATGGAGTGCTGATGGAGAGTCTTCATAACCCACCAAGACTCTTGGGGATCCCAGCTCAAACCCTGCTACTAGAGAAGATCACTGTTCCAAATAGTGGCTGAAGTTCCATCAGGAAAGCAGGTTGGTGTTAGTCGAAAGCCAGGAGGTTGTAAATCTGGAAAAGTTTTAAACATTTTTATTTTAATTTACCTACTTAGCTATCTAGCTCACTTATTCGATAGCTATTGCTTAAGCACATCAACTGCCTATCTCAATTCGTATATATAGAAATCCATTAAGGTGCATGGACTATAGTAGAAATTGATTTTTACTTGTTTAATCTATTTAGTGTAACGTCTTTTTGGGTAGTCACTCCTACTATGACCACTTTTTTTTTCCAGTTCCCATTTGCTAGGATTCTAACTTCGGCCCCTCTTTAAATGAGACCGAAAATAAGGGTTAGGGAGAGTCAAGTCAAGCAAACTTTTTCTGGTCGTATCTTTATCTTATGGTTTTTATTTGGGTAAGTTTTAGATAAAAACCTTCATAAATTATTTCTATCATTAAAGACTCATAAATCATCATAATAGCTCTCTATTTTAACCAATAATTAATTTTTCAGTTTAATTTTCTTACTCTTCACTTTAGCATTTTCTTCATTGAGATATATACATCTTTTAATAAATTCAAAGCCAATATTAGTAAATTTTTTATTAACAAAAATAATTATCTGCTGGCATCTGAAATCAGATTTTCACAGACGTCATCATTTATAGAATCAAAATGGTACTCATTATTAGCTTCCTGTGCTCATATCTAGGAATATTTGCACAAAGAGTAGATTCTATAAGCCTTCAGCAAGGACACACCTCAGAGTCTTATTCAAGTGATGATCCTTTAGAAGTCCAATCACAAGATCAGTCATCTGGAGCTTCAGTGTGTCCAAAATACATATGCTTAGATGAATATGTTGACAATTGTTTAACCACTTCTGGTGACACCCACAAATTAGGTGACTGTAAAGACAATTTTTATTGTCCTAGTTTTAGCCTATCATCGCCTCCTGAATCAGTCGAATGTGTACAAGCAGAGCATAGTTACGAGCCGCCATCTATTGATTGCGTCATATATGCATATGAAAATGACGTATGCAACCAAACCATCCCTTGCCATCCTGACTATTTTTGCAAAGAAGGAGCACTTATATGTACCAGAAGAGCTTCTAGTGGAGACATTTGTGAGTATTTAGACGACTGTGAAATAGGGAATATTTGCAATAAAGGAATATGTGTAGAGTATTTCACAGTAGATTCAGGAAATTCAGCAGACTCAAAACTAGCATGCTCCTCAGCTAAACTTTCTAATGGGATTTGTAGTGAATCTTCAGCTACAACTGGAAGCGACTTACCAAAATTATGTGAAAGTGATGATGACTGTATAGCGAGTGATGGGGCGAAAGGTGAATGTATATGTGTACCAAATAGCCGCAGAGAAAAATACTGCAGGCTGCATGACTCTGATGAGCCAGTTAAAAATTATCTTGCTGCTGCTAATGATGGAAGGATTGAAAGCAGCAGTTTTTTATTGTACTATGAATTAAATTACCCAATAATTGAAAGAGCTGAACCTTGCTATTTTAAAGATACACAGGAGCTGATTAAATTCAAACAATTAAAAAAGTGGGCAAATAAATGCTCACTCCTCCATACTTGATTGAACCGATTTCCATAAATTAAAAAATAATTTTTAAACAAATTTTTATTAACGAGGACTAAAAAATTTTTTCAATATAAATATTGTGTGCGCTATACATAATGCAGCATATTATCAAATGTACTAGAAATTTCATTATAATATCTAGGATTAATTATAATCAAAGATAGGTAGTTAGATTTGAGGTCGGGTAGAAAGCAGATTTTATATCAGAACATTTGAAAATTAATTTTCCTATCTTAATTGAATAGTTCAATCAAAGATAGGGGGAGATAGCAAGCTATTTAGCATTGATTGGGTTGCTTATAATTATTTTTTAAACAAGTCCAATTATTTCTTTCCTATTATTAATCTTTTCAATTTCTATGATTATTTTACTTAAATTCTTGAAAGCAGCAAGTTTTTGAATTCTTTCAAATCAATTTTCCCATCTTTATTTTCATCAATTTCGTTCACTAACTGTGCCCAGGAACTTTCATTATGCCCAAGAATCCGTTTAAGCTCTGCAGTCGTTATATCTCCACTTCCATCCTGGTCAAAAGCACTAAACGTTCTTTCAATATTTTCAACATTTAATAATTTCTGTTTGTCTACTATAGCCATAAGAAACTCTGAATAATTCAAATACCCGTCCATATCTCCATCTCCTTCATGCATAAGTTTATCTACCTCTTCTTCAGTTATTTGCAGAGACGATTTATTAAAGCCTTCTAGTATTTCTTGTTTGCTGAGCTTGCCATCTCCATTTTTATCCATCTCTATAAAAATATCCATTGCTTGTTTTCTTTCAGCATCTGATATAAGAGAATTTGTCATAAAAAGAAGGACTGATTGATAGAGTTTGGATGAGGAATAAAAGTGTTTGAAATTTTTTAATGTAAGGGGATTATTTATAAATAATAAATTTTTTTAATGGAATTTTTAATAAGCATTTCTATATGAAAAAGCATACGGGCCATCATAGGCTTTGTAGTATCGATAAACTTAAGTGACTGCTTTATCCAAGGATCGTCTAAAAGTTCTGCAGCAGTTGCGCGGCGATACACATCAGGTTCAAGCATAAGTCTAACAGCACGTTTCGCATGGCCTGAAATTCTTTCCCATGCTTTTTCTTTAAAAGAAGGTCTTCCTTTTGCTATTTTTTTTCTTGTTTCTTCATCTGTTTTGCCAGAAAATGGAGGAGCTCCTACTAATAAAATATATAAAATTACACCAGCTGCCCACACATCGCTTTTAGGTGTAAAAGCTCCTTTAAGAGACTCAGGAGCAATATAATAGGAATATCCTACAGCTGGCGGTGCGAAGTTAAAGAGTTTTAGCTGAGAATCTGAGGTTTGATCAACAAAAACTAAATTCTCTGCTTGGAGGTATCTATGAGTTATTCCACTTGAATGCAAGTAAGCTAAAGCTTGTAAAATTTCTCTTGTAATTCTGGCGCTTTGTTGCTCATTATGAGTTCCTCTTTCCAAAATCCTTTCAAAAAGCTCTCCTCCGCAGCAGTATTCAGAAATAATATAAGCATTCCCACCATCTTGAATAGTATCAATTACTCTGAGTATATTAGGATGGTCTAGTTTTCTATAAATTGATACTTCTTTTATCATATCTTCAGTCAAATCTTTTATTTTTATTATTTTCACTGAATATTCTTTCTTTGTGAAATTATTCTTGCATAAGAAAATCTGTGAATTTCCTTCGGATTTGATTTTTCTTAAAACTGTATATAAAAATTTGAAATTTTCTGACCTGAAATTCTCAAAATCAGCAACTTGGATTTTAAAATCTTGGCTGCTTTCCATAAGCACTTTAAATTCAAGTCCTGGTAGCTTAAATCTCATATTATTTGCAAGCCTTAATGGATCTGAAGGTTTTTTATGCAAAATCCTATCTCCGGAATTTACAGAAATCCAAGTCCCAGACGGTGAATGATTATCAATTAAATTCCAGCCACTAGATCTCAGTTCAATTCTAGCATGATTTGAAATCAAGCCTTCAAGCTCTACATCGCATGCTGAGCTGCCTCCCACTGTAATGATTTCATCACCAGTAAATACACAATGAAGCCCATATACTTTTTCTGATGTAAAAAATAGTCCTAGCCTAGCTACTCCAATGAAGTCTTTATGGTCTTTAAAATCAGAAAGCCATATATCAGAGGCTTCTTCATATTTAGGAGCTTTACATTCAACTATCTTGCACTCATACTCCCCAAATGTAATAACTGCGTCTTCATATAGCAAAACTGGGTAGTCAATAACTTTGAGCTTCAAGCCAGCATTTTCTCCATTATCTACCAAATAATACCCATCTTTTCTACTATATATCTGGAAATGAAGGTTTTTTATTCTTGTGTCAGCTGAGCTGAATTCTACATCATTTTTCACCTGACGATTTTCTTTTCCAAAATACACGCAGCGGTCTGCACAGAATCTTGCAGAACTTGGCATCCCTTCATATGTGATTTCAAAGGCGTCTCCTCTATTAAAGCTGACTACTTGGGTGACAGGGTCCGGGTTTACGTTTTCTACTACTAAAAGGATTTTATAAGATAAGGCATCACTGTCTTCTTGCTGGTTTTTTCTTTCAGCTTTTGCGATCATTTTTGCCTTGTCTTCAGGACTTTCCCAAGAACTGAAAAAGGCATTAACTTGTTCAGCACAGACGAAATTATTTTTATAGGTATCAATTTGGTCTTTTATAGCTATTCTTAGGCCATTAGTAATTTGAATGTTTTCAAGCTTGAGAAGGTTGCAGAAAGACTCAAAGAAAATGCTGAATGGGCTGGAATGGCCTTTTAGATAGGTTTCATAAAAATTTTTGGCACGAGGATTTGTAAGGACTTTTAGATCTTCTTTGTGGAGGTTCAGACCTGTGATATCGAGTTCTAGGTTTTCTTTGAAAAGGATTGGGGAGGAGTCGAGGTTTATGATTGTATTGTAGAGAAAGCCAGCTTCAGAGTTGGAGAGGACGAATTGGACAATTTTTCGACAATCTGTAAAAGAAACGACTTCTGTTAGAAGATTTTCAATTGCTGAAAATCCATCTGAGTCTATGTTTTTGATGATGATATTTGATTTATTTCCTTTGTAGTTGTGGAAAAGCTGGAATAAGCTTGATTTTTCATAATTGTTTCACATTGGGGTAGGCTCTTCAGGAACATTTTGGATTGGAACGATTTCTTTTGGCTCGTCTTCATCATTATCTTTTTTCTCTTCAGCTACTACCTTAACAGGTCTTTTTCTTACTGGTATCTCTGCAATTTCTGCTTCATAAGTACTCTCATCAAAATTAATAAATGCATATAAGCTTCCAATCAGCCCTTCGATTCTCACTAATTCTTCTAAAATAGTGTTATGCTCATCCATTTTCAAAGGAAACCCAGCTAACACCACAAACTTGTGCCGATTTTGGACCTTCTTGACCCTTCTTAGCAATATTTCAAATTTAATATTTTCCAAATTTTCTCCACTCTGCAACCTTATCCCTATTTCATCAGTCTCTTGTGCAGCTAACTTCAATTCCAGATCAAAATCTATATAATATAACTGATTTTTCCAGCAGAATTTTTTAATCGCCTCATACCCTGCTTTATAAGCAGACTGCACTAAAATAACTTTTCTTTTAAAATAATGGCCTAGCAATTTCTTATTTTCTGCTATAGCTAATGAGCCTTTATGGATCGACCTCATTGAAAATGTAACCGCTCTAATGGACTTTCCTATCTTGTACATCTTAGAATAGACCCCTCACTATTTAGAGAAATATTTAGATATTATAAAAAAAATCCCTAGTTTTAAACTAGTTCCATATAGTTTTTATATATATTGTTTTTTTAAATAATTTGAAAAATGTTTTAAAAATCAGCATAAGATTTGGACAAAAGAAGCCAAATCATGTTTTACAATAAAAATAGTTATTATCTCTTGATATTTGAAAAATACGATTTTCGCGGTAAAATGTTTTGGCCCAAATATTGGAAATTAAAAATAGCGAGTCAAAAAATTTTTGACAAGTGTGAACCATTTTGACAATTAAACGATCCAATTTTAAAAATATCTTTATTATAAATATTAATTTTTAATTTAAGATATGATTTTAAATAAAAAAATGGCTGGTCCATTTAATTTAACTTAAAATTAATTTAATTAATAAAAGTAATAGAATATTAATAAAAAATTTTTATATGAGCACATCATCTCCAAGTTGATATTGAGAAAAATAAAAGTTCTTTAATAAAAATAATAATTCAGCTTAAACAATTAGGCTTTGTATTTATTTCATATTATTCCTTATAGGAACATCACTATGAGGGGTTACATTTTTTCCGATACTTACTATAAGATTCTGCCATTTTTTTTTAAAAGTCAAAAATACCATAAAAAAAATTCAAACGCGAACACGAGATCTTCAAGACTAAAAATCGAAGCAAAAAAAGTTCATTGGGCAAAATAAAATTCATATTAAATGATTTAGCTTTGCTGTTGAACCTGACCTTAACTCTACATAGGAGCTTGCTCCATGAGGGGTAACATTTTTTCCTATAGCCACTATAAGTCTGCCATTTTTTTTTTCTAAAGTCAAAAGTAAGCAAAAAATAATCAAACGCGAACACGAGATCTCTCAAGAATAAATCGAAGCAAAAAAAGTTCATTGGGCAAAATAAAATTTATATTAAATGATAAGCTTTGCAGTTGAATCAGACCTTAACTCTACATAGGAGCTTGCTCCATGAGGGGTAACATTTTTTCCTATAGTCCATATAAGTCTGCCATTTTTTTTTCTAAAGTCAAAAATACCTAAAACAAATCAAGCGCGAACACGAGATCTTCAAGACTAAATCGAAGCAAAAAAAGTTCATTGGGCAAAATAAAATTCCTTTAAATTGATAGAGCTTTGCAGTTAAATCAGACTTTAACTCTTCATAGGAGCTTGCTCCATGAGGGGTAACATTTTTTCCTATAGTCACTATAAGTCTGCCATTTTTTTTTCTAAAGTCAAAAGTAAGCAAAACAAATTCAAATGCGAACACGAGATCTCCAAGAATAAATCGAAGCAAAAAAAGTTCATTGGGCAAAATAAAATTCATATTAAATGATTAACCTTTGCATTTGAACCAGACCTTAAATCTACATAGGAGCTTGCTCCATGAGGGGTAACATTTTTTTCCTATAGTCGCTATAAGTCTGCCATTTTTTTTAAAGTCAAAAATACCATAAAAAAAATTCAAACGCTAACACGAGATCTTCAAGACTAAATCGAAGCAAAAAAAAGTTCATTGGGTAAAATAAAAATCCTTTAAATTGATAAAGCTTTGCAATCAAATCAGACCTTAACTCTACATAGGAGCTTGCTCCATGAGGGGTAACATTTTTTCCTATAGTCACTATAAATCTGCCATTTTTTTATTTAAAATCATATCTTAAATTAAAAATTAATATTTATATAAAGATATTTTTAAAATTGGATCGTTTAATTGTCAAAATGGTTCACACTTGTCAAAAATTTTTTTGACTCGCTATTTTTAATTTCCAATATTTGGGGCCAAAACATTTTACCGCGAAAATCGTATTTTTCAAATATCAAGAGATAATAACTATTTTTATTGTAAAACATGATTTGGCTTCTTTTGTCCAAATCTTATGCTGATTTTTAAAACATTTTTCAAATTATTAAAAAAACAATAATATAAAAACTATATGGAACTAGTTTAAAACTAGGGATTTTTTTATAATATCTAAATATTTCTCTAAATAGTGAGGGGTCTATTCTAAGATGTACAAGATAGGAAGTCCATTAGAGCGGTTACATTTTCAATGAGGTCGATCCATAAAGGTGCATGAGCTATAGTGATCTTGTATCAGTTTCTATTACAAGTCTTTCAGGGATTTTAACAGGATTTAGTGTTGTTGTCTCAGACACTCTTTCTGCTATCATTCATGATTCTAATATTTCGCTTCTTTGTTCAGATGTTAAATCGTCTTCTTCTTGCAGCTCAAATTTAATTCTTGCTCTTTTTTCTAATTCTGGCATAGAGCATCTTAATTCTATAGCTGATAGAACATTAAAAGAAGAATAAAATAGCTTGTATCTGTATACTGTAGAAGAAACTCTTGCATGCAAAATAGGTTTTTCGTCGTAGTTTAGACCTTCTTCATCTTCTTCACCTATTTCTGGGACTGGGTATAAAGGGTCTTTAGCTAGAAGAACTTCTGGGGGAAGGATTCCATCAATTACTACAGGCTGGTAAGGATTTTTTTTGAGATCTTCTTTTATACCAGAAATAATTTCCATAAAGGTTAGTTCTTCTTTGGCGTCTTCTTCTGTGGAAAGCCGAGTTTTGGTTTCTTCAATAATGCTTGTAAAGTCGAGGGTTCTGAAACCAAGCTCTACTAGGGAATTTGTAACTGTTGTACGGCCGCTTAGAGAAGGACCTGACACAAAAATAAGCCAGCTTTTTTCAGGAGGACTTTGAATGCCAATTTCATACTTAATGGCTTCTTCATAGTTTTCATTGATTTCTTTAACGTTTGGTATTTCATTTAACTTTAACCTAATCAGCCTTCCTGTGGTATAATAATATTCTGAGACAGGATCAGCAATATTGGGCCATGAATTTGTATGTATGTAATAAATTTTCCGGATTTTGCAGACCCTTTTTTCGAATTCGCTTATTAAATTCAAATTTTTTACTGCAAAGTTATATAGTGCAAATTTAAGGGTTGCGTTGCCAGAGTATATCATATTGAGCAAGACATCAATGGTTTCTGGGTCATCGAAATCAGTTTCATATTGAGCTCTTGACAATCCCCTCGCATTTTTCCATAAATCCATTAAATTGGTTGCATTGACAAGTTTATAGCCTGAATTTTCAAGGTACTTCAAAAATGGGAATTTAATTTCGCCTCTCACCATCACAACTTCTGGCTCTATTGCATCTCCAGCTCTCAGCCTCAAATGTTCTAAGTCTACCCCAGAGTCTAGTTCGTGCAAAAGTGTTGTCTTTTTATAATAAGCGATTAGCTCAGCACTTCCAAAAATTGATTGGTTATAGAGCTGGCTGAATTGGGTTGACGAAATATAATTTTCTGATTTTTTCCCTAAACTTAACTGTCTGTTTTGACACATATCTCTTGGACAATGTAAATAAATCACTTTATTAGGCGCTCCTAATAGTCCTTCAAACAGCTGAGCCTGTGCTAAATTCTTCGGAAACCCATCAACTAGTACTCGTGTATGGTGTTTTAATTTCTGTAATTTTTTTGCAAGCCTTCTAGCAATTTCTTCATCATCAGTTATTTTCACTTTTTGCCCTTCTCTTTTGATTACTAAAATACTGTCCAATGACATATAGTAGTAATAGTACCTTTCAGCTAAAATCTTGCTTAAGGTGGTTTTTCCTGAAAACTTAGAACCAGCTACAAATAAAAGTTCAGGCCTTAAGGTGCACACAGCCCTATGAAACACTTCAGGGATTGTCGCTAAGCAATCAACTTTCCTCACAATTCCAAAAGGTTCATATAACTGCAGCACAGGTAATGACTCTGCTTTATAAACTCTAAATCTTTTAACGATAGTCTCTTCATTGTCATCAGCTCTCCCACTTGTTTTTCCTCTCTCAATCAGTCTATTTAGCAGCACGTCTTCTTTATTTGTATCAAAATGCAGCAGGTAATTGATTTTTAAGCCCATTTGTTCCAAGTAAACTGCCTGATCCACCGATCTGGGAAACCCATCAATCAGCACTGTATGGGCGCTTGTAGATTTTAAAGCTTTCATTAGTAACGTTACAGTGAGTTCTTTTGGGACTAAATTTCCGCTCTGCACAATTGCTTTGATGTTTTGGCCTTCTTCGCTTCCACTTCTGATTTCATGTCTCATAAGATCTCCTATTGAGATGTGCATAAAGCCATATTCTTCAACAAGAACGGCACATTGGGTTCCTTTGCCAGTTCCTGGACCTCCAGTAACGAATATGATGCGTGGCCCTTTGCCTTCGAAAATATTCGATTGCTCCATTTTAAAGTAACTGATTGATTATCAGTTTATGAATTAGTTAGGATTGGGTTTATTAGAATAGCAGGCTATAGGTTGCTGGGGACAATTCGGCGCTTTTTGTAGCAGACAGTGTCATAATAAAAGATCAAGGTGATGAGGATGAATATAAGAAAAATTGATGCCAATGCTATAGCACAAGTCCCTACTTCTTCGCTACAGTTTTCTTGCATCACGGATTTGCATATATGGCTGTGGTTCTGCATGACATAAATGCCAATAAAGGAATAGACTAAAGATATGGCGTAAAAAACGTCTTTATATGTACTCATAAAAATTACACCAATTGCGAAGGCCAAGCATAATGCTAAAATTGACCAGTTTTCGTTGGGCCAGCCTAGGAGATTGTAGGATGTTTCGGAGAAGGATAAACAGATGAAAATTCTGTGGAGGAAAAGAATTAAAAGTCATCCAAGTAATAAACTAATTTTTGCATGGACTCCTAAAAATACTGATCGAGAAACCACATATCGTCCGTCATCCTCATACTTTACCCTTCTATGTAATCTAAATACAATAATCATCAATGCAGTTAGAAGAACTGTGCAGATGATGTTTACAAATAGCAATTCTGTGAAGTTTCTTACTCCCCTCCGTGAGTGAACAAAAACCATTGGAAAAATCCCTATTTTTTGCCCAAAAAACCACCCTCCGTGAGTGAACAAAAATTTTTTTTAATATAAAAAATTTTTTTGATATATAAGTGATAATTAGTATAATGAAATCTCGGGCTAATTCTGTTTAATTTTAAACAAATTGCGTTTTAAAACATAAATTTTATAAATTAAATTAATATTTGCTTCCCAATTTTTGCAAATTAAATTTTTTTAAAATTTTGAAAAAAAAAATTTCTTTAATTATATATCGTTATTTGCAGATTTTTGAACTTTACCGCCTAAGTGTGGAATTTTTTCCGCGTGTGAAAAGGTGATGATTTCACGTGTGGAGCCCTTTTGATTTCACATGTGGAATCCTCTTTTCACACGCGGAAAAAAATTCCACACTTAGGTGGCAAAGTTCAAAAATCTGCAAATAATGATATAAATTTTTTTAAAAAAATATTAGCCCCCTCTGTGAGTGAACAAAATTTTTTTGTTCACTCACGGAGGGGGAGTTAGTGATAAATAAATACTGTTTAATGCATAAACAGCAAATGCCAGATAGCCTAATTGATTTACCATGATTTCTCTGGAAGCTAATGTTTGGCTGTAGAGCATATAGAGAAAGAATATTCCTAATGATAAAATAAAAATCCACCCAGCAAGAATAAAGAAATGCTGTGGGGAGAATGAATTGACGCTATGATATGTATCGCTTGCTACTAAAGCTTCTCCAAGAAGCAGTCCAATCGCCTCAAAGGCTACGCCAAGTATATGGAATAGGCGCATTTTTTCTATATGCTGTTCTGTGTATCTTGAATAGAGTCATCCACCTGGTATATCTTGAATTTCATCTTTAGATAGAGTAGTGTAGTCGTCTAGATTTTCATAATTGATATTTGGGCTAGCGTCTTCATTTATTTCTCTTAAAGTCTCGAATGTTGTATCGGAATAAATAAAAACAGGGGTATCAATTAATTCCTGAGATTTCATTTTAAAGAATAATTTTCATTTATCTGAATTTTGAAGTGGTGAATAATTACATAGAATATATTAGGTTGTTGATATTTAAAAGCTATTTTAGATTTTGCAGATTCTTAATCAGAATAATCACTTAAGGCTAAAGCCATATTAGCATTGCCAGAAATAAACATAATCTTAAATTTATATTTATTTAATCAATTGCAGCTTTAATACACTTTTCTCATAAATAAACGGAAACCTAAATATTGATATAATCAAAAATATATAATAAACAGCTTTTAAAATCAAAGAGAACCTTAATAAATTTAGATTTTTAGTAAATAAAGCTTACTTTAAGATCATTTAAGAAAATTCACACAAAATAGTATGGAATATATTAAATTTAATTGATTTTCAAAAAAAATTGCCTTCAATTTTAGGAAGCCACCTACAAAATAATATGAAATGATAAAAAAATGAAGGCGCTACTTTTAAATATTTTATCACCTTATCCTTATTCATAATTTAAATTAAAATGGGAGATATACAAGAAACAATAGACATCTACAGCGAAGAATCTTCAGACGAAGAAGCAACCGAGACGAAAGAAAACTATTCATCATCAGAGTATTCTTCAGAAAAATGAGAAAATGATGTTGAAAGCCAAAATGAATTAATTGACGAAAATTCAGAAGCTGAAAATGAAGCCATAAATAACCCAGCTTGTGAAGAAAAGACAGAAAGTCTGCAAATAGCCATTACAGAAAAAAACGAAAATTCAAAAATTGATGAAGAGGAACTCTTGGAATCCTGGATTGAAACCTCTCAAAGCACCACTGAAAGAAATGAAAAAATAAATGATAAATACCAGAGTCAGCCACCTGAAAAAGAAAATAAGGATTTATCATTAGAAGAAAAAATTATAATTTTTGCAATAAATGTGATATCACAGAATTTATGTAGCGGTTATTTTAATTCATTATAATTAAATATAAAGAATTCGAAGACGAGATATTTCATTTAAAAGCTGAAAAATCACAAGAAATTGCTTTACTAGAACAAAAAATTTCTTTCCTAGAGGCTTCTTTGGAAGAAGGCCTAATAAGGGAGAAAAAGATTTCTAATGAAGTAAAAACACAAAAACAAATGTATACACAAGCTGTCAAAGATATTAATGCCAAACATGAAAATTATATAGCAGATCTTCAAGCTCAAGTCCTCCAAGAAACAGAAAAATTCAACGAGCTTGAAAGAATTATCTTTGAAAAAGATACAGAAATTGAAAAGTTCAAAATCCTTCTGAATAGAAATGAAGAACAGCTATCTAATATTATAAAAGAAACAAAAGAAGAAACCCAGCTTTTGAAAACAAAATTTGATAAAAAAGAAATTTTTTATAAGCAGGAATTAAAAAATCTTCAACAATCAGCTGAGTTAGAAATTCAGCACTTGCGTGAAAAACTCCATGAAACAGAAGGAAATCTAAGGGAAAAAGATACATTTGCATTGAATTCTCAATCTCAAAGCCAAAAAGAAATTGCAATTCTTCAGCAGAAAATAGAATTTTTAGAGCAAGACCTGCTAGAGACAAAAAATAATTTAGAAGACGAAAGAAAATCGCATGAAAGCATGCTTTATACCATTGGACAAGTTAGTCTTTCCCCTAAAGAAGAAGATCTGCTATTTGAAATAGAAAAACTAAAATCATCCCACACAGACCAAATAAAAGAAACAGAATCAAAATACGAAGACCTTATCAAAAATTTAAATGAAAACATTAAAGGACTTAAACAAGGTAAAGAACTAGCTGAAACTCAGTATAATTCTCTTCTTAATGAAGCTACTATAAAGCAAAATGAGCTATTAAATATCATAGAAAATGTAAAACAAGAGAAAATCCAGCTTCAAGAAAAAAATAAAAATTATGCTGAAAATTCTGCAAATGAGGATAATGAGGCAAGATTGAAAAAGAGAATTAAGGACCTTGAGCTCAGAATCGAAGAATTGAATGCCAACCATGGAAAAGAAGTAGACTCTTTGAAAAGAGATAATGATCAAGTTCTTAATCAAATTAAACAATTAATGACCAATGAAAAGCAGGCTATTGAGCAACGAACTAAATATGAAAAAGAAAGATATGATAAAAAATATGCATTGGCTTGTGAAGAATATGAAAATAGACTTAGAGAGGAGCAGGAAAGGTATGAAGAAGAAATCAATTCTCTTCATGAAGAGCTTAGAGAGATGCAAGAAGCTAGTGCTCAAGAGAGACTCTTAAACTTAAATTACTTATGCAGGCATGCAGGCACTACTCGCCTCCGTATAATGCTCCGCAACTTGTTTGAAGTCTGGACACAACTTTCGACTGTGTTGCTTCTCACAGATGGGGCTTGCACTCGCTACCCGAGAGTCAGAAACTCTAGGCCATCATGCTGTATGCTAACGGGCTTGCTCTTTCAGAAAATTCGAATCGAATATTCTGATCAGCTGTTGACAAAAATTGTACCCGAAGCTCAGGAAACAACGCCTCGTATTGCGCTATGGACTTGCTCGATTGGCCAAGCGACAACCTTTAGCTTTTTTGAACCTGGAGCTCAGGACCCAACACCTTGTATCGCGCTAGGGATTTGCCCGATTGGCCAAGCGACAGCCTTTAGCCTTGCTGGGCATCCCTTCTCAACTTCAGCGAACCATCTTCCCACGAGGTAAAACCTTGACCAGAATGTAAGCATACAGTCTGCTAAGCCCGGTATTTTGCTCCACAAACCTCTAAAAACCTGGCCAGATACACATTTTCCGAACGCTGTCATCTCTTCTACAAAGTCCTCAGCTTTCCCAATGAGCCTGCTAGCTATAAGTGCTAAGAGTGGAGGTTGACTCACCACGCCATTTTAATGTATATCTTGCTCAAGAGACCCAGCAGCATAACAACAAAATTGCTTTATATTCTCAAAAAATAGAAAATCTTGAAAATTATCTGCAAAACACTAAAGAGCAGCTATCGTTAATCCAAAACTCACATACTCAAGCTTCTGAAAGCCAGTTACAATCTTTCAACAATGAAAGAGTCCTGCTTTCAGAAAAAATTGAAAAATTAAGTAACGAAGCTGCATTCAAAGATCGAGAAATTGCAAATTTTATTTTCAAAACTGAACAAAATGAATCAAAAATTAAAAATTTAGATAGAGAGCTTGATGAGCTAAAAGAGCAATTTAATAAAGAAAGAGTTTCATATATTGAAAGAATCGAATCTGCCAAAAAAGCAAATCATAAGCTTGCTGATGAAGTAAATAAAAAGAAAAGCGACTATAAGCGAGAGATAGCTCTAGCAAATCAGCATATTGAATTCCAAGCTAAAAAAATAGCAGATCTTGAAAAATCGCTTCAGGAAAACTCCGTTAAATATATTTTTTGAATTAAAATAGCGGTAAATTAAATGCAAAAAACCTAATAAATAAACCATTATTTTCAATTATTAAATTTAATATAATCCAGCATATAATGATTCAATCAAATCATGGAAAACTGAAAATGGACAAGAACTGTCAGAAATGGTTGAGAAACTCAGCTTAGAAAAAGAATATGCAGAAAAAAAACTAGAGGAAAAACGTAAAGCAACCAAAGAACTAGAAATGAAACATATTCGTCAAGTAAATATTTTGGAAAAAGAAAAAGCTTTATTAGAAGAAAATTTAGCTCATGTTAATAACAAAAAAGATGAAATTGAAAATAGACTGAGCTCAGAAATTAAAGATCTTCAAGAGCAATTAGCGTTAAGAGGAGGAATAGTTTTTAAAGATAAATCATCAGTTTTAAATGATTGTGATGCACTAAGAGCAAGATCTACTGAGCTGGAACATAAGGTAAATGAACTGCAAATTTTAGCAGAAAGAGACAAAATTCTATGGGAGAACAAATTTAACTTTTTGCTTTCTCAAAGGGATCAAGCTAGAAACGACCTAGCTGACCACCAGAAAAAGTTTGATATAGCATTAGAGCAGCTCCAAAAACGAGAAATGCATGAAAAAGACAAAATAGAAACTGCTACAGCGTCGCTTATTGCTTCAGTAGAAAGCAGATATAGCAACCAAATTAAAGAAATCCAAGAAACTAATCTTGCTACTATAAACGAATTAAATAACAAAATAAGCCTACTAGATAGAGAGCTTCAAGCTGCCAAAGATGAATTAGGCTCAAAGAAAAATAATTATTACCAAAACGAAAATTATGAAAAAAAAATCAATGAACTAATAGAAAATGAGCAAAAATTAAAATCAGAATTTGAAGTTTTTATAAAGCAAAAAGACAAAAAAATCAAAGAATTAGCAGATTTTATTAAAAACGAAAAAGAAAATTTTAAAAATAAATTTGTTGAACTTGAACAAAAAGTAAAGGAAAGTGACCATCAAAAAAGTCAGATATTTTTAGAACATGAAAAGGAAAAAGCAAAGTGGGCTTTAGAAAGGGACATTTTTCTCCAGCAAAAGAATGAGTCACAAGATCTGATTGAGAGGCTTGAAAAAAGAAAAGAATCACTTATAAGAGAAATCGAGAAATATAGATCAGAGAGACCTACTAAGCCAAGACCTTCAAGCAATATAAGAGCTAAACCTCCAATAACTTTAAATCGGTCATTTATACCGAGCTTTATGGAAAATTCCTCATATGAAGAGTTTTCAAAGGAGAAATATGATGATAAAGGCACAGAATACAGCACACCATCAAGCTCTGCAACACATGAATCCTCTCCTCTTCCTTTGAGACTTAAAAATTGTAATGCTAGCAGGCCGCTAAGCTCAATGAGCAGAAATAGTAATGATGGAAAAAGAAAAAGAGATGAAAACATAAGGTACTAATATTATTAATTTATTTTATTGCGAATTCAATTAGAATAAAAAATTTTTAAATTAATAAAATTTGGATTTAATTGGAAATGGAGTCGGTCAAAAATTTTGGTAATTGATTGTGGGATGAGACTAAATTCTGAGGAGAAGTATTGGTAGAAGTGATAGGGCTTGATAAAAATCAATATACTGATATGATTGAAGCCCATCAAAGAGAACTAGAAGAACAACAAAGACAAAGGGATATTGAAATAAGAAGAGGAATTTATCATGGAAAGAGCTCTTAAGAGAATTGAGAGGCAGGCTCAGTAATTTATCTATGAATAATCAAATTAAATGATAATGCTTAGATTTTGTTGCAAAATTAGTTTTTGATCTTTTAAAGGGTTGATTGTTTATTGAAGAATCTATCAATCTTTTACTATAATTAATCTCTTATTCAAGATATATTAATTATAAGTATATCTGGATTATTTCTTATCTAATCTGCCACAAGTTCAAAGCAAGAAATATTCAAGACTCCTAAAATACTTATTTTTAGCATTATTTATATGAAAATTATTATATCTCATAATGGATTTAGAAGTGTCATATATATGAATTATTATGAGATGCTAATTCAGCTCAAACCCCAAGAAATTAATAACCAAATTTTGTGTTGATTAACTTTTTATAAAAGTATATGGAATCAGAGATAGTTTTGCCACGCTCATCTGTTAAGGCGCTAGTGAAAAAATACACCAGCCCATCTTTAAGAAACAGTTCTGTTGAGATATCCGACGCAATAGGAGGGGTTGCACTAAGTAAGAATAATTTAGCGTTTATCCATGAGCTTGTCTCAAAATCCTATTCTGACTGCGTAGCAAAAGGAAAGAAAACAATTGTGCCAGATAATGTTTTTGCCGCGCTTGAGTCAATGCACTTCCCTATCAATAAAGAAGAGCTTGAGAAAGAAATCGCTGCATATGAAGACATGAAATCAGTAAAATTAACTTAGAATAAGCCAAGTTTGCAGCTTAAGCTTCAGAAATCAGGAAAATCTCATGATGAGCTCATCGAAGAACAAGAAAAGCTTTTAGCATCAGCCCAGCAAAATAGTCAAGCAGAAGAGAGAGAAATTAAGATGACTGAAGATGTGGATGAGTATGATTAATATTGATTCTTGTAGAGGCTAATTTTAATTATTTTCTTTAAAACTAAGCTCTATAGCAATTCGTTCGATATATCCTTGATATATTGTGAGGAATTAACATAAATAAATTTAAAAACATAGAAATTCGATATCGATAATTTTATTTATATATTGTATAATTATAAGACAAAAAAATGCAGAGATTTTATTATATAAATATAATTGGTATTATAGAATTTTGTCTGAAAACAATAAAAATTTTTATTGAGAAATAATAAACTATAGCAGAGGCTAGTCACTGGTTTAAATTTAAATTTGATCCATTTTTATTCCGTAATAAACGCAACAATAAAAGTATGATAGCGAGAGGAATGACTGATCATCTTAACTCGAACTATGAAAGTATCGAGGGCAGCCAAGAAAAAAATAATGGCAGATTCACACAAAATACTGCCCTAATACCTCTTAGTTTTATTCCCATGAATTCATTAAATGATTTTCGATGTGCCGTGTGTCACGGACCAGAAGCTTTTCTGATATGTCAAAATTGTTCAAACTCATATCATCCAATTTGTGCCAGTTTTTACAATCCGAGTTTGTCATACAGTACTCTTTACTGCTCATTTTGTGTATCTTTTTTTCAAACCCAATACATTGAAGATTCAAATAATGGATTAAACTCTCAAAACGTCAGTACGAAAAATAATAATGGCAGATTGCCTGAACACGCCAAAACTTTAGAAGAAATAAGGAATGAAGAACTACCTAGTCCAGAAAAGCTTAAATTTGAAACAGAAAAAATAGAAGATTTGCTGTTCATTTGTGATAGTGTATTTACTTTTCAAGAAATTTTTAAAATGACCCCATTTTCTATAGAACAGCTATATGAGAGTTTAAGAGCTAATGAAGAAACCAATCTTATCAAAGAATTACATCTGTCCATTATAAAGCTACTAATAAGTCATATATTAGAAAAAGAAAACTCTAACGAAACCTTAAATATAGATACTGGATTTTTATATTCCATATCCCAACTTCGAGAGGTTTTTGATGCCAATAAAATTCTTCCTTATTCATGGTTGACCTTAGTTAATGAAGTTATGAGACTTCCATTATTCAAAGATTATTCTGAGGATACTATTATTGAAAATATACTGCAAAAAAGTGAAGAATTTCCTATTGAAAATTGCTATTTTGATTATAGCTTTGAAGAAAAGGTTGGGATTTTAATATTTTTATTAAATTCTGTATTTGATTTTAGAGAAATCCATGAAGAATTGTCCAAAAGAATTGAACTAAAGACAGATTTAATCAGAGAAAAAGGGCTGATTATGACTCAGATAAGAGATATAGAATGCCAAAACTGTGAAATAAAAGATGCAGGAATAAGAAAATCATCAGAAAAAATACAAAAACTCCACAAGCAATTTGAAAGCATTAATCAAAAAATTGAAAAAATCCATATTCGAACCAGTCCAATTGGCACTGACAGCGATTTGAACGAATATTATTTTTTTGAATTTGATGCGTCTCGGATATATGTCAAACCATACAAAAAGCAAGGCGAAAGTACAGATTCATTAAATAATGCGAATCCATGGTATGTTTACACTAACCAAAGTCAAATCGATAGCCTAATCGCAGCTCTTTGAATAAGAGGATTGAAAGAATCAAAATTGATTGAAGGCTTAAAAACTGTAAAAACCAAATTAATTACTTCAGAAAATGAAACTGGGGCTTTCTATATTAATGAATGCTCTATATTTGAAGGCAGAAGTCTAGGCTTAGAAGACCTGAAACAAATAATGCTTGACTTAGATAAAAAATTTTCAAGCTTCCTCAAGAAGGGGCAAAAACAATGAGATAGCAATGAAAGATTAGAAGACTGAAGAAAAGAAGTCACCCAATCCCAAACCCCTCAAGATTTAGCAATTCTCATGCTTGAGCATTCTCAAAAATCCTCAAACCCACTAAGGCTTTCAGTTTCAACCCAAAACCAGGAGGAAGAAAAGCATAAATATCGCAAAGTCTCTATCAGAATATGGCAGGACTTAGGTGATTACCACAGTTTTTGGGAAAATTTAACACAATCAATTACAACTTTAGGGCAGCTGACTCTTGATATAGAAATTTATTCTACGATATTAAATAGTTATATTGAAAAGAAACAAGAAAGCATGGCCTATGAAACAGACACAAAAATACCTAAAGACGAAGAAAAATCAAAAGAACCAGAAAATCTTGAAAAATTTGAGCATGAGAAAGTTTGCTTTTTCTGCGAAAATGGAGGAAGACTAATCCAATGTGAAGCCTGTCCTAAAGTAGTCCATTTTTCTTGCATTGGTTTAAAAAAGGCTCCTAAAAAAGAATGATACTGCGACAGCTGCAATAACCAGATTAATTTTTCTGTCCAAACAAGATCAAAAACAAGACTAAGAAAACTGTCTAATTAATATGCATTTTCTATTAAAAAATTATTTTAAAATAAAAATATAAATTATATTAATCTAATCTTTGTCGGCACATTGGGCAGCTATGATCTACCATATGCCACCTCATGATACACTTGGGGTGAAAAGCATGCAGACAAGGCAGCTCCACAAATTTTTCACTCTGTATAAAATTTTCCAAACAAATAGTGCAGGGCATATTTAGCATGGCCCTAGTTACTTTAAGCTCCTTCATCCAATGTATATTATTTGGCTCCTGTATATTTCCTCTATTAATTCCAATATCCTGCTGGTTCGCATCCAATAAATAGCTTAAATTTTCATTTTCTCGTCTTCTCAATTGCCTTCTTCTCTAAATAATTGATACATGAGACAGCATTATGCAGGATGAGGCCAATAAATTGAGACAATTAAAAGCCACAAATAAGATAAATGCTCCGATTATTGCCAGCTGCCCTTGGTCGTGGTAGCATGAAGGAAGGCCACTAATAACAAAATAAATTGCTCCACCTATGAAGTCAAGATATATAACAGGAATATGAAAAGCTGCTAAATAGACAGAGGCGCATGAGGCTTTATTCTTGGTGCATGATATAATGACGTGTGCTTGTAGACAGAGAGCAAGCAGGGAGTAAGTCCAGCATACAAAAATCAAGTCGCATCTGACTTAAAATTACAAGTATTTATCATGATAATAAATGGAATAGCCGATTGCACCAATGATACATTGGCAGAGAAGGAATCTGATGCTGAATAGAGGATACCATTGTACCATTAGTTCACAAAATTAATAGAATTTGCTACTTTTGCAGGTTAAGTTTGAAATAATTGATATGGTGAATTAATACTCTCCAACTTTAAAAAATGTCTTTTAAGTGATGATACTCAAAGAGAAATAGGTTAATTTTCAACGAAATATTTAGATTTATTGATTTTCACGTAATTGTAAAGGTTTAAGCCTTCGGATATAAAAATTAATTTCTATACCTAAACCTAAAGAAGTTTATAGAGAAAATGCTAGTATAGAATATTAAGATTGATAAATATGTATATAAGTTTATTAAATAAATTAATTTGTAACGGAATCTTGCTCAAAAATGTAAAGCTTTGTATTGGAAGCCATAGGAATTCCGTTAAAATCAGTAGCTAAAGCTTGATTATAAGCTCCCATGTTTTCGAAAGCTACCATATCTCCGATCTCTGCATCTTCAAATTCGCATTCAACAATTTTATCCAGTCCATTGCATGTTGGCCCATATAATGTTGAAAGCACCTTTTGACCTTCTCCTCTATTCCTTCCCAGCAATATTGGTTTAGGAATAATATCTGAATAAAACCTTAAGCTTGAAAAAGTCCCTATTAATCCATCTGACAAAAAATAATCAACTTTATTTTCCCCATTTATAATTCTTGACCTTTTCCCAACAATTGAAAAGCAGCTTGAAACTATTGTTTCTGCGAAAAAAATGCCTGGCTCTGAAATTATCTGCACTTTTCTTTCTGAGAAATACTGGTTTATCCCTCTGTTGATTTCTTCTGCTGCGTTTTCAAAATTTTGAAAAGTAAAGCCTCCTCCTATATCTAAAAGATGCATATTAAACCCATATTGTTCTCCTAGATTTCATACTTCATCAGCAGCTCTTATAGCTCTGAAATAAGCGTTTGTATCTTTAACTCTTGAGCCAACATTAAAGCTCACCCCAGCAATATCAATGCCTAGTTTTACAGCTTCTTCAAATATATTCACCCAATCAGTTTTAATTGCTCCAAACTTATGTCTGAAGCTTAAAATAGCCTTTTCGTCAATTTCAAATATTCTCAAGACTAGTTTTAGGTTGGGAAGTCCGAAGTTTGCAATTTTTCGAAGTTCTTCGACACAATCAAAGGTTGCGTATTTAACACTAAGATTTGAGATCGCTGCAAGGTCTCGATTTGATTTGATGGTTTGTGCAAAGATTACGTCATTTTCTATATTTGCATTTGAAGATTTAACTAACTCAAGCTCATGCTTGCTTGCACAGTCAAAGCCTATGCCTAGAGAAACCATTCTAGATACAACAAATGGATCAGGATTGCATTTGACTGCATAAAAAGGTCTGATTGACGGCAAAAGCTGATATCATTTCTCTAAAACGAGGCCAAGCTTTGCAATATCATAAAGCGATATGTTGTTTTCGAAATTTCTGCTTTCTAAAATAGCTTCAAAAATTTCTTTTGTGCTTTTATTGGCTTCAAGTTCCAAGGACCATCCTTCTTGATCAACTATTTTGGACATAATAGCGATGTAATAATTAGATTAAAAGAGAATAAATAATTCAATAGAGAAAAAGTGAGACAAAAAGATTCTATGATAAGCTTAATAATCATTGCCATGAAATAGGATTAAAATATATGCATAATATACGGAAAATTTCATCTGAAATAGATCTTAACTAAATGAACTGCTTTTTTATACTTCAAGGCTCTAATATTAATATTTTTAGCTCTAATTAAATTAGCTTGCCATACAATTAACTTTATTAATTTGCAACGAAATCTTGCTCGAGTATATATAGTTTTGAGTTCGATGCCATTGGAATCCCATTAAAACCAGTAGCCAAAAATTGATTATAAGCTCCGTATTTTCGAGTGCCATCATGTTTCAGCATTTTCGAAATAGCATTCAACTATTTTATCTAGTCCATTAAAAGTCGGTCCATATAATGCTGAAGTCACCTTTATGCTTCCTTCTCCATTTTTTGATTTTGGTAAAAAATCAGGGTAAAAAACCAACCTTGTACCATTTTCAGATTCGGCACCCCAAAGCTTGCAATTTTTTGAAGCTTTTTTGCACAGTCAAGGGTCACATATTTCACCCCAAGGTTCAATATTGCTGTGAGGTCTCTGCTTGATTTGATAGGCTGTGAAAATATTACATCATTTTCTATATTCGCATTTGCTGCTTTGATGAACTCAAGCTCTTGTTTGCTTGCACAGTCGAAGCCTAGCCCTAAAGAGACCATTCTAGATACGATAAATGGTCTGCATTGCATTAACAGCATAAAAATCTAATTGATGTAAAGCTGGTGCTTTTTCAACAATGAGTCAAGTTCAGGATACAGTGATATGTTATTTTCGAACTTTCTGCTCTCTATAATCGCTTCAAAAGTTTCTATTGTGGCTGATAATTTCCCAACGGTCAGAACCCATACTGAGTTATAAATAATTTTATTCATTATAGCCATTATATAATTATTGTTGATATTGAAATAAACATAGTCATATTATCTATAGCCAATATTTGAGCAATCGATTTTAGAATAGTAATTAATGATTATAACTTATTAAAAAACTATTTTATAATCATACTTATCAATTATATCCAAATCAATGAAGTCAGAAAAATAAATGCAACGGTAAAAGAATGATTTTTTTATTAAATTATCAAATTTATTTTCTGCATATTGGGCATGTGCTGTTATATCTCATCCAATTTGTATAGCAGCTACTATGAAACAGGTGGAAACACCTATCAGTTCGGGCAACTATTTCATTCGGCCTGTACAGTTGCTTGCAAATTGCACATTCATCATCTAAATTTAATGATTCCGTTCTGCTGGTGTTTAACTCAGAAACAATATGTAATTCATATCTTGACGCTAAAAGAGGCTCAGTGCGTTGTGAGTGAGCATATGTATGACTATAATATCTTAATCTTCTTGATCTTGTTTTACGTGAAACGCAGATAATAATCAGGAGGATAATAAGCATGCTTAAAATTCATATAAAGGCAAACCTTAATACTCTTTACAGTGAATTCATTTGGAATGCGACAAATATATAGAGTCCTGATGCAAACGTTGTAAAATACCCCACAGCAAGAATTTTCAAAGGATTAAAACAACATTTCATTTTAAATAACAAAAATACTATTTTTTATCCTTGTCAGATGCTTTTAATCCATTAAATAATTAACGACTAGCAAAAATTATTTAAAATTATTGATTTATAGTTAAAAATTTCAAATTATTTTAATCTGCAAATGCCTATGTAATGCTAATAGCATTCATCCTATTTTCTGATTATACATAAAGACACTGATAAATTCTAAATAATTATATGATCAAATTATTAAGCTCTTTATTAAAACAATAAGAAGTATATAGGTTATATAAGGACTGGTTTGTGGGATCCTCTAAAATAAATTGATACCAAGCCTTATAGTTATAAAATCAAAATGGATTTTAGTAAAAAGAACAATTCAAACCTATATCCAAGTCCTTCTAAAAGATTAAATTTCGACAATATCACCGACTCACCTATTTTTAAAACCAGCAGCCATTATCATGAGTCTTTTCTCTTTCAAGAAGAGGCTAGCTATAATGGCAGCCAAAATGAAATCACTGCACCTTCTTATATTCCTAGCTTTTTCGACAAAAAGTGTTCCATAACACGGAAAAAGCAAGCAAAAAACTTAGAAGCCCAATCAATTGAGTTTAAAAAAGCAGGGAAACTGATAATAGAAGAACTAAAATCCCCAAACCCTGAATTTGAAGATGCCTATTCAAAGCTAAGGGAAAGCTATAACAAAAGTAGGCTCGCTTGAAATGAAATAGACAATATAGAGTCAGAGAAAACAGAAAAAATGCATGGAGGTTTTAATCAGATTCTTGAAAGCATAGAAAAAACTTTGCATAGTGTAAATAAAACCAATGAAGAATTAGAAAAGAAAAAGAAAGAAGAAGATATTAAAAAACTTAATGAAACTAAAGAAGAAATAAAAGATCCTCCTTTGCTGGAAAAGCAGATAACTGTGATGGATATAAAACCTGCAAATGAAGCAAAACAAGAGAAAAATGAACCATTTAAAAATAATACGTTTGACTTTGATTTTTCTGTTAAAGATCCTATTGTGAAACCAATAATAGAAAACAATGGTTCTGTTCGCCCACAAATTAACACTGTAAAACCTATAGTCGAAAATAATCCAATTAAGCCTAGCCAAGATAATCAATTTATGGATCAAGATATGGGGAGCAATATGCAGCAAAATTATTCTATGCAAACTCAAAATACATATGCAACTAATTCTCAATGGAAGCCTCCAACTGCTATTCCAGGCCAGCAGGGAGTATTCCAAAATAGTTTTTCTATTCAAAATGCTCCAAAAGAAAATCCATTTCAGCAACCTGTAAATCAATTTTCGCCGAATCCAGCTTATAAAAATGCTTTCACTTCTCAACCATTAGGTGCAACACAACCGTTCCAGCAAACAACAATTGTTAGTCAGCCAACACAATCTTTTCAACAAATCACACTAACAAATCAACCAGTCTTTCAAACTCAGCAATCTCCATTTTCTATTCAAAAGCCCACAAATGTGTTTCAACCAATAGCGTTAAACACAAGGCAAACCACAACGCAGCCTCAACAAACAGCGTCACCATTTCAACCAATAGCGCTATCTGCTCCATTACAATCAAACACATTTTCAATGCAAGCCATGACATATCCCAATGCCCCTACCCCTACCAATTTTCCCCCAACAACTCAAAATATACCTAATCCTCCTATGAATATATCAGCACCATTTAATTATCCAAAATTAAATAATCCAGAATCTACAGTCAATACTTCTATAACAGAAACTCAAAAAAAAATGCAAGGTTATGCTAAAGATCGGTATGAAGCTGAAAATTGTCGGGAATTTTTAGAATTTAGAAAAGATGTTTGTCTAGCTTTATGGAATATAAGCTCAAAGGCAAGTGAAATAAAATTGACATCAATATCCACAACTCTAAGAAATTCAATGGCAAATTTTTCAAATTCAAATTTCCTAACCAAAGCTCATATATATCTTTGCATTAAATTAGTAGATTTGTATTTGGAGGCCTCTCTTCACACTCCAAAAATTCATGGATATGGTGAACAGTATATCAAGTTGCTTGAAAAAGTTTCAAAATTTTCAAATTCTTCCCCACTTTTTGAAATTTTTAAATTGGAGATATTCTTTCGAGCTGAAATTTTAATCCCGAATCCAGTATCTCCGGAGCTTGCGCTACACAAGTGCCTCATGAAAGACCTTGGAGAGAAAAAGATGTCTGAAATCCAGAAAATTGTTAACACTGAAATCATCAAAAATATAGCGCTTGGAAAGCTGTTTGCAAGCTATGTGATTCAACTGCAAGACATAAGTAATGCATGATACTCTATCAGCAGCATTATGAGTTGAGACTCATCAACTGCTGATCGATCATATCTGCCTATTTTGTATGGCTGCTTAAGTGCAATGGCAAACGATTTTCGCTCAAAATTCAGCTTTGAATACGACAATATCGTTAGAGCTTTCAATAATACTAAATGACCCTCCATCAAGGCCAAACTTGGCCACCCTATTTTTAATAGCATTGTATCCCAATTTGAAAAAACCTTCCTTCAAAATCGCATGTAAAACTACCTATTTAATCTTCTCATTTATAAGTCCCCAGCTGCCTTTTAAATTTAATAATCGTTAAGGTCCCTTTGTTCCCTTAAGTAAGCAATGGTTATAATGAAAAATATGGACATCTCGAACTCAGATTCAAGTTCAATTAACTGCAACCTGCTCCAACTGACCTCAGAAGAGCACGAAAAGGTAGCATTCACTTAGTTTTACAAAATTCTAAACAATTCGAGGTCCAATAACTTGTCAATTTCTGATCTAATTTCCCAGTTACACACTACAAGTGGGGCTGGCAGAAACCAAGATTCTGAATCATGAAGCTGCAAATGGACAATTGTTCCTTCATTAGGTAATTGTAATTTAGTTAGCGGAAGACCATTAGCTCGATGGGGATGTGCAGCTGCTAAAATTGAAGGGAAATTGTATCTTTTTGGCGGGAGAGGGACCGATTCAAAGACCAGAAGTTCGTGCCACGTGCTTGAGCTTGGCCCGAAAATGTTTTTTTCAATGAAAACTACGAATTTGCCTAAGCCCAGGGAAGGGCATTCTATGATTCCTTACAAGCAGCAGCTTATTGTGTTTGGAGGATGTGAAGGTGGAGAAGGCGAAACTGAGCCTTACAATGACGTCTGGGTGCTAGATATAAACACCAAATCTTGGGATGAATACAAAACAACTGGAGCCAAACCAACTGGGAGAGATGGACACGCTGCTGGAGTGATCCGAAGCCAAATGATCATATATGGAGGAAGTGGCTCTCAAGGCCTTTTAGATGATATTTTTTCTATGAATCTGAACACTTTTGAATGAAAATCTTTGAAATGGCAAGGAGATCACCCAGGCCATAGAGAATCCATGGGTTTTGCCTCCACTAAAGACAGACTTTGGATATTTGGAGGAAACACCAGCCACCTTTCCTCTGAAGTCGACGAATACACCAATGACTTTTTTGAAATTGAAATAAAAAATGATGCAGCAATTTGCAGACGCATAACCAGCGATAATTGTCCACCAAAAAGGCTTTCCCACTCAATGTCTCCTTTAAATGTAAATTTTCTTATAGTTTTTGGAGGAGAATGTTCTACGAAAGGTGCAGTAAGCGATATATGGGTTTATAGCATTGAAAGAAATGCGTGAAATGAAATTAAGCCTATGAATTATATTCCTGGAAGAATGGCTCACTCAGCTGCGACTTTTAAAAATTCACTTTTTATATTTGGAGGAATGGGGAATGAAAAAATTGCGAAAAATGAAATGGCTGTGTTGTCCTTTGGGAAAAGCAAAATTGAACAAATCAATAATAAGCCTGTCAAAAAACAGCTGCAAAGTCATATGTGCGCCCTTTGTGGCCATTCTCAGGGCACATGCGAATTTTTGAAAAGGTTTCCTGAAATAGGGTACCCAAGAATGAACTTCTTCTGCAAGGCAAGTATCCCGGTTTCTGCTATTGAAGGGATGGGGAAAGAATTTTTAAATGATTTTAATGCGCTTTCGAAAATATGTGATATTATAGGAAAAGGGGTAGTTGGAATTAACTCTAGAGGGACTGTGAATATGAGGAAAGGCAAAATTATTAAAATAATTCCGAAAGCTGAGCCGATGGATTTTGAATTTTTGCCTGAGAATCAAGAGGATGGAGAGTTCGATATCAGACAAAAAATGCTGAAATCGTGGGACTCTAGCAATTTGGATACAAAAGTGATGGTTTTAGAAGTCTCAAGCAAGCTGGAGTTAAATCCACAGGAAGTAGGAAATTATTGTGTTGGGACTAGTGGAAAAAATTTATTGGTTCCAATGATGAAGCTTTCACCAATAGCAATAATTTTTAGCAGAACAGAAGAATTCTTATCTATTGCACTTATTGAAAAAACAGACCTATATGTCCCTTGCTTTTTTATTGTGTTTGACAAGCTAAACCAGCCAGTATACCCTAACAAAGATATTTCCCAACCAAACTTAATGAATATTCTTAACAGAAGCCACTTTAACTACGATTCACTTTTCCCTAAAGAAAGAGGTACCAAAATTTACCTCTATCCCCAAGAATTTTCACTACGAAATCATGATATAACCTGCAATTCTTTTTCCCTTATACAATATTTTATGTACAAGTTCTATAAGCCTCCTTTCCCTCTCCGGTTCGTTATAAATTCCCATGAAGTAGCTTTTATTGATGTCCATAAATTACAATTCACAGAAACTCTCTTGCATACCGACTATAAAATCCAAAGAACTTCAGGGGTTCCAAATTTTAAAGTCCTTATATATAGAGAAAGCGCTTTAGTATATTGGGAAGCTGTCGAAAACCTCCAAAATGGACAAAAAAGACCTCGAGAATCCGACACCTGGATTATCAAGTTACTAAACAACTACATGATCTCATGTATAACTGGACAATTCAAATGGAGAAAACCAGCTATGTTTATGTTCGCTGACCTAGGGAAGTATTTGAAAAAGGCTAAACTTTCTGATAACTATTAAATATAAAAAGTCGATAATAATATGGTAAGTGCTAGGTCAACTATTTTTTACAAAATCGGCATCGATATTCTGTACTTTTGTGTGGTTTTGTCTGTATACTTTGTAGAGATTTTTAAATTTATGGACAAGTACTACATAGGACTGCTGGGGATTAGATATGATTACACCAATTCGCAGTATGGTCTAGAAGCCCAACTTGTTGCGTCATACGAACAGTTCTCTGATCATTTTTGTGACCCAGGTATCTACGCACAGTATTTAAGCAAAAAGTTGTGCGACAATAAAGACAATTTGGAGATAGCAGGGATTTTGTTTGTGGTGTTTTCATCTTTGGCGCATGCTTTTATGGCGTATGGGATACTCAATATGATTGGCAAGGCTTGTGGATGCAGAATGTGGGGATTATTGAAGTATGATTTTCCACACTATGTATATCCTGGGGTTTATATTGTGGCGGTGGTGCTTTATTTATCAGTTTCACAATTCTACAACATGTCACCACCTAGCAATTATGACTCAGATTATGACCTGAAAATTTACTTTGGAGTTATTCTTATGTTTTTCGCTGTATTTTTATCAGTTTCAAGCGGAATTTATTTTATGTTTTTGAAGAAAAAGATGAATACCTATCTATTCCCGAGAGATAGTTTTTATAAAAGTTTGAAGGAAGAAAGAGAACAGCGAAAATCGCTAACTCCGAAAATTGCGAAAACTGATGCTGAAAGTGAAAGCTCTGAAAAAGTTTAAGATAATGATATTAGTTAGTATTAACGCTAAATTTCTTATCAACCATAAGTAAACTTTCCATCTCTTTCTTTTTGCGGGATCTTTTGATGAAATAAATTGCAATAATTAGTGTAGAAACCACCAAAAGAACGCCAACAATAATAATGAACCAGACCCACCATTCTTTGTACCAGTTGGAGTTGTCGCCATCGCTGCTGCTATCATCAGATGGGCTTGATCCCTTTCCAAAAATCAAGCTTAAAGTTCCTAATTCTACTTGTGCTCCTGATTCTTGAATATAAGCAGCCAATGAATATTCAACTGAAACAGACGAATCGATTGGAGAAATTATGACCTGAGGCAACAAATTAATCTCAGCCAAAACCACTTCACTAGAAGTCCTTTGCACAAGCTGAGTAAATGAATTGATTTTAATTGTATTTTCATCTTTATAAGCAAGGTTTATATTTGCTATACTTCCAAATGACTGAGAAGCTAAAGGTATTCCTACATCAATATCAGTGTAGATAGCGTTTATAGTTTCTTGTGTGTAATTCAGAACTCTAAGCTTTACTTTGGTAGTATCCCAAATCGGGAAAACCATCAGCTTTAGAGTTTCGTTCACAGCAATTGAGTTAATCCAATAAGCATACTCTTGAGTAAGCGGTGGGAACTGGCTTTTTAGCTCTAATCCATCATTATTTATATCATAAACATATACATCCCCTCTTACTTCAGTAGCAATGATCATTTTCTTATCACTTGTCATATAAGCTGAGGTGTAATAAGTGTTTTCATAATTAACTATTGAAGACGGTACTGGGAAAGTAGCGAAAATAGAATAAGTAAATCCTACGGGATTCACTGTTTGGGTTGCTTTAAGGTATATGAATCCGCTATAAATTTCCAGTAAAATCAGATCTGTGCTGTTAATGTAGAGAACTGAGCAAATAAAGAAAGTATTGGTCTCAATCACCTCAGGATCAATATAAGAGACCAGATTTAAGGAAACCTGGCCATTATTTGTGATGATTTGGTAGACATCGACAGTTTGGAAATCATGGACATAAGCCAATGGATATTGTAGAGTTAAATCATCAGCTATAGTAATTAGGACAGCAGGGTATGATTTAAGCATTATTTGTTGAGGGGTTTTGATATTTGTTAGATTGAGCACGGTCAGATAAGTGTCACTGTACATTGAAGCTTCAGTCTTCCACTCTGTGCAGGACATAATTAATACATTACTATAAGGCGCGCTCTGTATTTTCAAACAGTTAGTCGTGTAGGATCCACGGAAATCAGTCAAATTATAGACTTGGGACACTGAATATGGGCTAGCTGTGGTATCATAAGCAATGATCGCATTTTCTATGGAGACATAAAGAATGGCTCCAGATTGAGTCATGTCGAACGCAGAAACAGATGTTGACTCATACGATAAAGCGCTATCAATCTTATATTTGCCTAGAATACATATAGGGGCTGATTCAACTGGACAAAGCTCAGAACTTTGTATAAAAGTTCCATTTTTATTGTTCAATAAGCCGAAATTCAAGTTATTCCCAATAAAAGCGTTAAGAGGTATCGGCTGAATAAATGAACTATCAGTGATTTTAACCTTTTCTCCAGATGTGAGGACACTGCTGCTAGTATCAAAGCTAGTCTCTTGCTTAATAGCTGTACCTCTTGGGAGTAAGGAAAAGACGATGGTAGTTTTATTACTATTGTAGCTGTTAGTTGCATTTAATTCAAATTCAACCACAATTTCAGTTGTAGGGGCAGCTGTAAAATTAAACCATACCAAAGCCCAGGTAGTAACACCACCATAATACTGAGGAATAAAATCAGAACTCACTGGAGGACTGAATTCATCAGCTATTTGGCTAAGCGCATAAGAAGAGAAATATTCCCCTGTGTACACAAATAGGGAATTGATAGAGCCACCTTCTAAAGAAATGGCGCCAATACTATCAACTGGGATCGAGGTGTATAAATTTTCAAAGGTGTAGTCGTTATAATCAAACACCAAAATTTGGTTTCCATCAATGTTTTCGCACAAAACAACTACAAACGTGTCACTTATATCAATAGCAGTATAGCTACAGCCAGAAAAGACTGGGTAATAAGTAATTTGGTAGCTAGAAGAAGTAACTTGAACTCCAGCAAAGCTCATTGCAGAGTCAGATTGAGGTGAAATAATGAATACATTTTCTCCATAAGTACCGATGCGTGCATATATATCTTGCAAAGAGCTGATTGTCCCAATTGTTGATGCTGCATATGGCCCTGCTGAGTTTGAGACTGTAACCTGAATAAGTCCAGCGTTGAAGTCGTAAACATAAATGCTACTGCAGCTTCCACCATTATTTTCTATTACAAAATCTATAGGCATAAATTGGTTGATTCCTGATATGCTATTTGTAGATATTGGTGTCCAAGCAGTAAATTTGTATGTTGTTTGGTCAAATTGGTAAATTTCTATTTGCTGTCCTCTAAGTGCTGCTATATTTGTGCAGATAATGCTTAGTTTAGTTGAAGGAATTATTTGGATCCATGAAAAAGTGCTTAATAGAGTTGGCTGATAGCTGCTGCTTACAGAGTAAATGTACCAGTCTACATCATATAGCCAGTGCCACTATATAGCTTTCTTTATAGAACAAAATGCAACTGATAATTGAGCAGCCAAGATAGACTCTCAAAGTGACTAGCTAAATCTCTATGCCAGGAAGGGTTAAAGAGTAGTATGTCAAGCAATGGTTGACATATTAAACAAAGTTGATAAATAAATGCTCCGATTTTTAAAATCCCATATATTTATATTTCTATAAAATATCATAATTTATGAGCAACTTTAAAAGCAAAGAAAAGAAGTGAGTAAAATAGCTAAACTGCTACAAGGTTTTCAAGAGTGGAAACATTCATATATAATAATCCATCTGCATTATGTAAAGCGCTCAGTCATTTCTGAGAGATTTTCATTTTCGTATTTCTGCTAATAATCGAAACTTGGAAGATGAAGAAACCAAGTGAGTAAAATTGCTGGAACTGATTAAAGACGTTCAAGTGTAAAAACATTTATAACTAAAGATCCTCTGCAGTATGCAAAGTGCTCAGTAATTTCTATGATACTTCGATATATCGGATTTCTATAATAAACTCAAAATTTAGTATTTGGAACAAAACTGACATTAGCACAAAATATAATAGATTATGCACTTACAAATGCAGAGGGATTATTAGTTATAAATGTTTTCACTCTCAAAAACCTTGTGGCCCGTCCAGCTATTTTACTCACTTCATTTCTTTGCTTTTAAAGCTTCTCATAAATTATGATATTTTATAGAAATATAAATATAAGGGGATCTTTTTAATTTAAAATTAATTTAATTATAAAGCCATTTTAAAAATTGGAGTGTTTATTTATCAACTTTGTTTAATATGTCAACCATTGTTTGGCATGCTACTTTTAACCCTTCCTGCCATAGAATTTCAGCTAATCATTTGATAGGGTCTATCTTGGTTGTTCAATTATCTGTTACATTTTGTTCGCAAAAGAAAGCTATATAGGGGTATAGGCTATAAGCTCCAGTGTTTTGATTTTGCAGATAGCATTCTACAATCAAAAATCTGATATTGCCTCCAATAAAAGTTATTGCATTATTGCTGTACATTGAACTGTTTGTACAAGTAAAGGTTGATTGACGCATAGGGCCTGATGAAGGATTCAAGCTATAAATAGTAATATTTGAGTCACCTGTAGGTATGGCCACAGCAATTGGGATGAGTTCATTGAAATCGGTAGCCAGCACAGGACTAAAAGTTATAGAAGCTTGTGTATTTATATTTGAAGTTTGCATGTATTTCTCCGGAAGGACGATTCCAATAGTCACATCCTGAATATTTCCAGATGTTTCAAGTTTATAAGCTAAACCTTGTCCAGCATAATAATTGGATACAGGCAAATAAAACTCAAGATTTTGTTTACTCTCTCTATTTCTTATTTTTAGCATATAAAAATCTATTTCTTATTTTTAGCATATAAAAACTCTTATGCTTATCGGAAAATATAATTTTATTGAATAAGAATAAAAGTTAGTAACATTAGTATTCATATACATAATTATTTCAGAAGGATATCCAAAGCCAGCACTTTTGGCAAATCCTTTGTAGCCATAAATTTCATAGCTTTTTGGGTCAACCCCATGCAAAACTATAGGGACTTGGATTTCTGTATTTAAATTGCTGACTACCAAATCTCCAGTAAAGGTATATGGAGAGGACAAAGCCACAGAAGATGCATACGGTCTATTGATTTGATAAACCCAAAGGTAGCTCGGAGTGTTGAAAATAGCATACCAAATATTGCTCATTGCGATAACAATATATGGAGGTGCTAATACACTTGAATCTGTGGAGAAAAGGTCATATGAAATTTCTGAGTATAACAAATTTTCTTGTAATTGAGATTGCAAGTATTGCACTCTGAAACTTGTAGTTAAGTTGCTGATAAAATAACTAGTTGTAAATGTATATGTGTTACTTAATCTTTGTAGCCCTAACAGACTGGTAGCTTCATGCTGGCGAGCATATCTTGATAATTTTTTCACAAATTGAAGAGAAGGGAATAAATATAAAGCAATTCCTTGAGAAGTCCCTACAGCCAGCCAGTCATTATCTAAAGAACAAGAAAAAATATACCCATAGTCGCTTGGATCTTGCAGAAGCATTGGAATATCAATAGCTGTATTCGGAGCCGCTAAATAAGCAGTGGCGTTAAATAAGAACACACCGTTATTTGTGTCACAAATGTAAGCATAATTTTTATTTGAAAAGCCCATTGCAATTGGATTAAAAGTTTTTGCTTGTACAGTGCTGTTATTAATCTGATTATATAAGGTAGCAGTTGAATGTATAGTATCAAAAGCAATCACATAAACTGTAGGCGTTGTACCACCCACCTGGACAAAGCTGAAAATATTGCTATTCATTGTCGTAAAAGATGACCCGATTAAAGAGTAGCTTGTAGAAATCGTATAACTCATACCTGAAATAGGTGCAATTGTCGCGGTTTTTGTCAAATTATAAAGCGACGCTGAGATTCCTGTCTTGCTGCTCTGCAAAATAATATAATAAGCTGTATTTGAAAGGTAAACTGAATAAACCCCTACAACTGTGCCGGTCCCTGAAATTGGAGAAGACCCTAAAAGCTGAATGTTGCTTACTCCCTCTGTCTAAATGGAATAAAATATAGGCTAAATTTTTATTTTTTGGAGTAATTTAACCCCCTTTAATTTGGAACAAAATTTTATATGTAAAAATACTAATTTTATATAAAGTAGTATTGGTTTAATTTAATGGAGATAGTGCAAGTAGAAAACTATTTAACAGTTGGGCGCTAAATAAATTAATATTTTAAATTAATTTCCATTCAAAAATAATGGATTTAATTATATTTTTTTCAATGAAAAAATTAGCCCCTTTTAAATTAGAAGAAAGATGTTTTTCCAGGGGAAAGTTAGACTGGCAATATTCCAAAAGTTAAGATTTGACCCTTCAACTGTATACAATAGCTGAGGGTTGTTTTGATCTTGCTGGATCAGATCAAAACTGTTGGGAGGATTATTGGAGGCTGCCTTTTTTGTTGTCGAAATTAAGTTCATGCCTTGAGTTATAGAAGGACTAGCACTGTTTATGCCGCCTGAATATGATCCGCTGAGCGAATAAGTGAGGTTTTGACCTTGGATATAATATTGAAGGGGAAGATTTCGAACAGAATTGTAAGGAACTCTAAGGCTGGAGAGATCGTAGAGCTGGACAATTTCATCAGCCTTACAAAGCAGTGGGAGCAATAGCAGGAGGAGTAAGACAAGAATTTTAGGAAATAAAATTTCTTCGACCATTTTAATATTATGACGATACTGAAAAGTACTTATAATCTGCAAGCTTTTTCAATAATTAATAAAGGAATTTTGTTTACTTTGGCTGATATTGTAAACCTCAAAGAGTTTCTTTATTAATTTGGTCTAAAAACAGCAATTAATATAACTTGTAATTTAGCAAAGATGAATCTATTAATTATTAAAATAATTCAGCCATAAAAGCATCAAATGATATTATTTTGCATTGAAATAGCCATCTATAGAAATCATTTAGTCCTTTTTCAGACTTATAAATGAGCTTCGTTTCTTACTCATAAAAACCATTTTCCATCGCAATTTAATGAGCTATGCTAAAAGCCAAAATAATTGTAGCGATTGTCAAATGTTCTACAGGTGATTTAGCATTAAAAAATTAAAAATTCGGATTAATACATAAACAAACATATGAAAAAAAGTAAATCAAAACTAAGTCCTTTAGCACCTTTTATTGAAATCAAGCACCGCGCCAAATTAGAAGACTTAACGGTAAATCAAAGACCTCCGGAAACTCCTAAAAACACAAAAACCCAGGTTTTTGAGAAAAAAATAGAAAAAGTTACAGGTTTATTAGACTTCAACCCAGAAAAGGGTTTTGATAGGAGAGCGATCGCTGAGCTGGACAAAGTGCGTGGGCTATTAAAATCAGAAAGTCAGCGAAAACGAGTCCAATGAGTTGCGACAAAAAATACTCGCGATGTTTCTCATCTAAAAGACAAAATTAAAATCCCTGAGTTAGATCTTGACACCATCTTAAACAGTATGGAGCTTCCTACAGAGCTAGACCAAGTAAAAACACTGCTGACTAATTCAGATTATCGAGGAATTACTAGTTCATTTAGCCCTACTGGGCTAAGCAGCCCGATTTCTTGTAAAAGAGAAGCGTGCGTAAATAGAGCACTTGCAACGATACCCTCTTCCAGTTCTAGCAAGCGCTTAAATTTAGCTGCACTTGTGGAAGAAAATTCAGATATAGAAGAAAATACTTTGAGGCCTCTAAGTCCTTATGAAACATTTGAAAGGTTTTACTTACTCCCCCCCCTCCGTGAGTGAACAAAACCATTAGAAAAATCCCTATTTTTTGCCCAAAAACCCACCCTCCGTTAGTGAACAAAAATTTTTTATAAAAAAAAAATTGATATAAGTGATAATTAGTATAATGAAATCTCGAGCTAATTCTGTATAATTTTAAACAAATTGAGTTTTAAAAAATATAAATTTTATAAATTAAATTAATACTTGCTTCCCAATTTTGTAAATTAGGATTTTTTTTAAAAATTTCGAAAAAAAAATTTTCTATAAAATTTATATATAATTTTTTTTAAAAAAAAAAATTAACCCCCCCTCCGTGAGTGAACAAAATTTTTTTTGTTCACTCACGGAGGGGGGGAGTTAGGTAACCCAACTGGTCGACAAGAAATCGAAAATCTGAGAAAATGATTCAGCTTGATGAAATCCAAGTATTTAGCTAATGGAGACTTGGATGCTACAGAAATAATTTATGGAATGTGTGGAAAAGAGCTAGTAAGGCAAGTAACTGTGCATTGCATTAACAGAGGAGAGTTGCTGAGAGAAGTTTTAGAAAAGCAGCCAGAAATCACAGAGAGGAGATGTGAATCTTTAGTTGAGGAAATGAAAAAATTGAAGGAAAAACACACAAAAGAGATTTTTGATTTAAAAAATGCTCATAGTAATGAAATTGCACAAATGAATTTGAAAATACAAGCAATTGAAGACCAGCGAGACCAAGAAAGACTTGCCAAGGTAAAATCTGATGACAATTTGTTAGCTTATAAAGCAAGAATTAAAAATTTAGAAAGGCATCTGGAATTTAAAGCCAGAATGGATAGACCAATTATTAAAGCAAGCTTAAAAACGAGGACAAATACACTTCCAATCATGGAGCATAAGCTCTCAGTTGTATATTGAAAAGAACAGCCACCTGAGACCGTTGAAACTCAGCAGTCAGAAAGTGAAGAAGAAAAAGAAATTCTACAAACTGAAGAAAATGAAGAACAAAAAGATCAAATCATATCAGCCAGCAAGACAATTCTTGATGAAAGCCAAGACAAAACATTTAAAAACGAATCAGAAGAAAATGAGAAATTCCAAGAAATGCCTGAAGACGTAAAAGAAGAGGAAATCGTACAAATGGCTTCAATTCAAACATATGAAAGAGAAACACAAACTGAGACCATAAAAATTGATGTAAAAAGCAAAAGCATCGAATCAAAAGAGGTGCAAACAGAGCCATTTGTATATAGCGAAGAAAAGATTAATGCCGAAGAAGAATATATTGAAATAAAGGATGAAAATGAGTTTAAAGATGAAGATATAATTGATGAAGCTGAGATCTCAATGCTAGACGATTATGCTAATATTTTTGATCCTGGAAAAGAGATAAAAGAAACAAAAGAAACAAAAGAAATCTTTATCGCTCCTCTCCCTATTGCTGCAACTAAAGGATCAGCCAGATATGAAAAATCTTCAGTTCCACTTCACCCTATACTTGAAAGGCCGAACTCAAGCCCAGTAGCTATTAACTCTACCCTTCTCTGTGAGCGAGCACTAACAAAGAGTGTGGTTATTTTATATATTAAAAAATTGTTTTAAAGAAATTTATGTTTTAGATTGTAAAATTCAATAGATATTCATTTAATAATTATTATTTATATCCCAAATCTTTTTACTCTTTCAAAAAATTGAGACTTTTCACTGCTATTGCTTCTCATATAGGGATTAAGAAAAGAAACTCTATAAATAAAAAATTTAAGCAGGCAAAGACTTCAAGAAGAACTTCACAAGCAAATAAAGACAAATTTCAAATTAAAAACGAAACCCCTGAACCCTTAAAATTTTCCAACGGCAAAAATAAAGAATTTTCTTTTATTAGGCAGGATTCAAACAATACCATAATCGATCACAAGAAAGATGAGCTTGATACAATTAATAAAGAAATAGAAAATAAATTGAAAATATTGGAAAAATTGACTGCAAAAATAGAGTCATTTGAAAATTCAATTAATTGTGTAAGCCCATTTCTTACTCCAGGGCCTGATGAGCAAAGGCTTAATTCTTCTCAATCTAACAGCAGGCCTGACACTTCTTTATCATTCCCAATCCCGAATTACCCAAATATTTCTATCAATATAACAGAATATATTCCAAAAGATGCTGACATTAATTCATGAAAAGCAGGGTTTAGCTCTGGCTTTGAAACAGGAAAAGAGTTTGGCTTTAAGGATGGGAAAATGCTTGGATATGAAGAAGGCCATCAAAATGGCTATTTAACAGCTGTAAAAGAAAACATTGAGTCAAACAACTCATTTTGGGTAGACGATAAACTAACGAAAAGCTTTGTACTTGAGCCAGAAGACAAAATTTTTACGGAATCAAGAACCCATTCTAGCCAAGCTGCTTCAAGAAAGAAAAAAAACACAAATAAAGACCTCACGAAGTTTATGGAATTTAATTTCCACCACGAAACGACCTCGACCAAAAAAAACCACCCAGCTCCTGGGATCCTTCAAAGGTTTCTACAAAAAGATGTGAATTGAATCAGCACGAAAGCTACAATTAGCAGAAAAATGCTGTATCATTTGATGTTTACTATGTATCAAGATATTAGGTCAAAACTAAGCCGCTCTGAAGAAATTGATAGCTTGCCAACATAGAAATGGGTGGCTATGCTATGCAAGCAATTCTAGTAATATGCAGAGACTAGCCTAGTCTGCTTTCAGGATTGGTATTTACCTTGATGGAAAAGGAAGGCATGAAGTTGGAATGGGACGCCTAGCAAATCTTACAGGCAATACCTAGGTCAATCACTCAATTCTCCCACGTAAAACAGTTAGTTCAATTTCTAGCTTTGTGTTTTTTATTTTTTGCCGATAGTAAGCTTGAAAATTCATTTTTTGAGATTTTGAGTGGGCGGGTGAAAGCTTTTTCTCTGACTTTTTGGTAGTAAGACATTTCCTCTGCACATTTGGTTGAAATTTTTTCCTCGTGAGACATTTTATCGAAGCTTTATGGTTTCTCCAAGTAAATGTCTGACGAGTTAAAAAAAACAATCGGCCAAATTTCCCCTAGTAAATGTCTCACTAGCAAAATTCCTGATCAAATGACATGGAGTCATATGGGGAGGTTTTTCAGCCCAACAGTATGGGCCAGAAGTCCATTGCCTGTTCAATCAATACTAAATCCAAGTGGCAAGAGGAGACGGCGACATAGAATTCACTCCAGAAGACCATAGCATCAGGATCTGAAGGAGAAGCAAGATAGTATTCATGCCAACTTACCAAACGAATTAATTATCCCAATTCGATCAAATTTTCCTTAACAACGTCATAAATCAGGTGAAGCTCCTACGGTGATCCAATAGGCAGTCGCAAACTTAAATTAATCTAGCATAGCTTGCTCGAAGAAACTTATGACATTTTCATTACAAAGTATGGACTGAAATCTATAGGAGACAAAAAATTTTTAGAATTTGTAGCCTCTTTGATTAAAAATTCTAGCGGAAGAAGGGCAATGATTTATTTGCGATTTTTGGGGTGTGGGGAAAAGCTTGGCTCCAAAAACTACAGCTGGCATAGCTTTATCTTCTTTTTGAATATTTTAGGCATGGTAATGAACTCTAAAATTGGGATTATTTTTGGAATTGATGATTCTGCAGATAGGCTTATGTACCCAAGCATAAGGGTCATTGAATCCGCAAAAGAAATTTTCGATAAAATTTTAGACAAAACAACTATTGGGAACATTGTTGCGGAGCTCGAAAAAGAAGTTATCACAGACCCAAAAAATTTGAATCCGAATGGTCTCATTGACTTAGACAGAGCTTTTGAAATTCTTATAGAAAATTACGAAAATTATCAGAGAAATATAATAGAAGGAGTTTTCACAATTCAGTCTGCAATGGGATTCCAAGATGATGAATGCATTCTAAAAAGCGAACTTTTTATGATAATTCGCTGCATTTCTCCTGAAAAAATTATTTTGGATGAAAATCGTATAGGTTTTAGCTTTGTGATGCAAAAGTGGTTAGATGGCCAGCAGCTGCTGAATCTTGACTCACTTTCTCAGCTTTTTACCAGTGATATCATCTCTATCTGTATAGAAAAAAATGTTTTATCTATTGCTGATGTAAAAAACTTTATAAATAAGCAGGGAATAAACGAAAATGATACTATAAAGGACTATAAATCCCAAAATCAAGAACTTTTAGACATATTAAACCAAATGAAGTCGAAAGCAGAAAAGAATTGAAATTATGATGAAAATAGCCTCGAAATGAGACTTAATTCGATACAGCATAGGATTGAAATTGAAGAACCTATTAATCCATTAATATGCTGGAAAATACTTCAGCTCGAGCTAAGACGAATTAAAAGAGAGTGCATGATTTAGGTATTCTTGTAATTAATAGATGAAATTTTTCAAAGCATAGCAGAAGAAATAATTTTTTAATTGTTAATCCATATCCCAAACATCTAAATTTTTAAGTTTTTTCAGATATCCTCGGAACGGGTACACTCGCCTTGCATTTTCAATATTCATTTCTTTCCAATGCGCACTCTCCACAGAGCTTCCAGCTTCAATTTCTTCTACAATTATTTTCAAATTTTCTAGCAACTCAACTTGTTTGTGCAAAATTCTCTTTTGAGATATCCTGTATCTTAAAGCGAATAAAGTTCTCATTGGTTGCGGATTTCTTATAGCATCTTCATCTTCACCTAGTGTTGTTGGATGTGTCCTGATTAGTTCTTTAATAACATCACAAGCTCCTTGGATTATATTAGCCTCAACATGAGCAGCAACCCTTAAATTTTCATATTCTCTTGTGTTCCACACTAATTTCCTAAAATAATTCAAAAATTTTTCATTGAGTTTATTGTACTTGAGATAAAAAATATTAATTGCATCTTTTAACGAGTTTTCTGTTTTTATATCAGGCTTGCTAATCTCAACCCTCCCTCCTTCAGATTTCACCCTAGCTTTGTACATCTAAATAAATGCTACCCTCACATAAACGCTATCATATCTGTTTGGAAGTAAGCAAAAGCCATAATCAAGCAGCAAGTCGACATTATTTAGTCTCCCATAACAGTTGAATACTTGTGAGCCTTCTTTAAAACTTCCATCTTCTCCAGCCCTCATTACAAAATATTTGTTAGTCACATCCAGTCTGTAGCTTAAGTCTTCTTCTGAGTTTTCTGAATTACTACTGCTTTCAGATGATGAAGCTTCACTGTCAGTTTCTTCTCCTGACTCCCCCCCCCCCCTCCGTGAGCGAACAAAACCATTAGAAAAATCGCCATTTTTTGACCAAAAACCCACCCTCCGTGAGTGAACAAAAATTTTTTTAATAGAAAAAATTTTAATGGAAAAAAATTTTGATATATAAGTGATAATTAGTATAATGAAATCTAGAGCTAATTTCTGTTTAATTTTAAACAAATTGCGTTTTAAAAAACATAAATTTTGCAAATTAAATTAATATTTGCTTCCCATTTTTTGCAAATTAGGATTTTTTTAAATTTCGAAAAAAAATATTTTTTATAAAATTTATATATAAATTTTTTTTTTAAAAAAAAAAATTAACCCCCCTCCGTGAGCGAACAAAATTTTTTTGTTCGCTCACGGAGGGGGGGGGGGGGGGGAGTGAGCTTCCATTAACACGTTCTTCTTCATCAGAACTGCTTTCTAAGCTATGAAAAGACTCTTCTAGCTCCCAAACTGAAGAATGGTTTGTAAAGCCTTCATCTTGGTACCATCTAATATGCTTTTCAAGCTTATTTAAATGCGAGCGACTTCTCATTGGCACAGCTGATTGTTTAGAAGAGCCTAAAAAATCTGAATAATCTTTAAGTAGAACTGGCTGCTCTGCTTTGACAGTAAGAAATTCTTTTGAAAGGGTCAGGTAATCTATATACACATCTTCATGGTTTAAATTGTCAGCTAAAGGAATTATCATGCCATCTCCCCAGCAGAACGCTCTTGTTGTTACTATTTTATAGGCCCAAAAAAAGGCTGATTTTAAGTCTCTGAATATTTTGTTACTTTTCTGGAGGGAAAAAGTCAGGGTGTTTTTCAAAAATTTGTGATAAAGAATTAAAATAAATCATTGTTTCTCGGTAACTTTTTCTAGCATTGAGTAACAAAAATTTATCTTGTAATAGCTTCAGTTCTTCAAAGTTTCAGTCCATAAGCATTTCAGGATTTTGTATTGTCTGGAAATAAGGATAATAAAAGCTTTCTTCACCTAGAAAAAACTCATACATGAGGTAGACTCATAAAATAAAATCGTCAGATCGATGGCCTGATTTAAATAAAAAATCACATTCATTGAAAACAAAACCTATTGGGCTCTCTCGCGCTTTTTGAGGGGTAATAATAATGTTGAAAGGAATAAATAAAAATGCCTATAAAGGTTTTACCTTTAGAGAAGGGATGTCAGTTTTGGCTTTTGCGCCGATGTATCCGTAATCACCAAATGCAACAGGGAAATCTATGTTTGGAAAAATGCAGCCGTTATCAGTGAGCCATTGTAGATATCTTTGATAAACAGGATCTGACTTGATTTCTTCAGTCAGTTGTATATTTACTTCCAAGACTTCAGGAAATAAATTGTATCCCTCCATTTATTATGAATTTGAGGTGGGTTTATTGATAGCTTTCATTTAAAAATGATTTTAATTTGGAATATCGCCAAATTATTGATAATATATAAATATTTTAGTCCTCAGAAATCGGATTTTATTGCAATTAATCTCATTTATTAAGACAAAATTAGATTTATTTTTTATTTAGTATTGAAATTTAATTTGAACGATTTTTCTCGCATTTTTGGATTTTACAGCTATTTTTAAAGAAAATTATCTTATTTTGTTCAGCCTTTAAAAATTATCACTATAATTTGTGTTATAATATGGCCTTAGCCGCAAGGATCTCTCGCAGTCTTAAAAATCTGAGAGAACTTAGCCCAACTCAAGGCTATGTAGACTCTGTGAAAAGTAAATGATAAGCAGATAACATTGTGTCGATTTTTGGATTAAATGCCGCAAAAAAAGGTGACTTTGTAAAAATTGGGGATAATCACGCATGGGTTTTTGCTTTACTTGAAGAAAAGGTGCTAGCAGCATGTTTAAGCGAAAAAATTGAAAAATTAGAAGGAGACGTCACACTTGACATAAATTTCAAGCTCCAAGTCCCAGTCAACGCTGCAAATACAATTTTGCATCCTCTATCTCCAAAAAATGAAGGCCTCGATTTCAGCAAATTTCTTAATTTAAAGCCGAGCCTAAAGCATTTACCATGCACTAAAATGCTGACGAGTGGATTTTTGCAAGTAGATTTGATGCAGCCTTTAAGTTATGGCCAATCAGTAATGCTACATGGAAAATCAAACTTAGGGAAAACAAAGCTTGCCATGAGTGCTGCCAAACAATTTTTAAATGCAGGAGACAATCATAAAGTTGTTATTGCAAACCCAAATCCTTATATAAATGCAAGTGCGTTGCAGGCTTATATAAATTCCCCAAACTCTGTCATTTATTCATCAAAGCACCTGAGCTCTGACATTTCCCAATACTTCACACCCTACTTTGCTTTGGCTCATGCATGCTATTTAAGGGACCAAGGAAACCATGTCTTTTTACTTATCAATGATTTACTCCACCACACATTTATCGAGAGATCCTTATTTTACCAATACAAGCTAATGCCGACAAATATAGCAAATATGATTTTTGAGCATTCAAAATACTTATCTGATAAGTCTTCGCTTACCTCAGTAACTATTTTAGAAGAAAACAGCGAAGATAATATTCACAATACTTTATCATTAGGAATGGCAGTCCATATGCGCTCATTTGTCAATCAAGTTATTAATTTTGAGACAATTAAAAAGCCATTTATTGATAATCGTCCTTCATTAGACTTTACCAAAGGTAAAAAAATCCCAATTATTTGGCAGCACCCTATTTTGCAGTCAATAAGAGCAGAATTTATTGAGATTTTTTCTGACCTTAAACAAATGCAGGAGCTTGAAGAAGCCAGATCTAAGCTTAACATAAAAACAGAGCCATGGGAGAAGTATTTATTGCTGGACTCGAACTATTTCTTGAAGCTAATGAACCAAGATACACCTATGGAGCTATGGGAACAAATCATTTTTTTGAATTTCTGCATATATGTGATTAAAAATGAGATGGTTTCTATGATCAAAAGTGACATGAAAATTGTGAGGAACGAATTTTTAGAATTCATAAGAAAATCAGTTGACACAACAGTAAACGGACTGAAATACCGCATTTCTGAAGCCACAGATGTGCAGGATATAAGGAAAAAGTTGAATAAAGCTATTAATGAAGTATTTCTAGAAGAACTTAAGAGGAAAGGGAACTTGAAGCCGCATAAAGAGGACTATGAGGAACTTATAGCAAGCAGTCACTCTACAAGTGTGGAAGCTCTCCCTAAAAATGTTAATGAAGATATAACAACTAGGCAGGTCTTACAAGAGAAGTATGAGAGTATAATTGGAACTGGTAAAGATGATAATTCTTAGACTTTGAGATAACTAAAACCTTTAAGCTATTTTAATTGCCACTAATATTTATAATAATACTTAATAAACTTGTAATTAATAAGAAAAATTTAATATTAACTGATAAAGCATAATAATTGGCTTCTTTTTATTATGGCAGATAAAGGACTTCTCACAGGAGAGCTGCAGCAGCGATATTATAGATACAAAAGATTGCTAGAAGAAAATAATTTTAGTATGCCCACAAAAAAGATCATGTTTGGGGTAAGGATGACAGTCATGGTTTCTCTTGTAATTTTTTCAATCTCTAATGCAGTGACAGGCATGGCAGTGCAGAAAACCGAAACTGAATGCATATGGGATGGCTTCTTCGTCGCCACTCAGCCACTTAATAAATATTTCGAAGAAAATGAAGGCATTAAGCATGGGATGATGATTTTGTCATCAGCCTTGATTGACTCCATTCTATTCATTTTCACAATCCGGTACATCTTGTGGGGCAAATCCTGGAGGCCCTTGATATGATTTGTGTCGTTCTATTTGACTAGAACACTAATTATAATTAAATATGTCGGCTTCGTCTAGGTATGGCCTCCTGGCCATACAGCCTCGACACATATTTATTATATCCGGCAAGGTTTTTCTAGCCTTGAAATGGGCAGCAATGCTATGGTAACCAATTCTGCAGGTCGTAGAGCCTAGCCCAAGCCCAACTTCGAGACTAGTTTTTTTACCTCGAGGAAAAGGAGGGTTCAGATTTGGAAAGGGCAAGCCCAGCAGAGTCTACAGGGGAACCTAGAACAATCGGGCGACTGCCTAGCGTGAAATTGGGCGTTACGTCCCCAGGATCTGGACTTAACCCTTTTTGCCGATAGGCTACCAGAAATTCCATTTTTTTGAATTTCGGAATGCTAACCTCGTACTCCACTGCCTCAGGAGGCCGCACAAACCCGTAGCCTGCCCACTCAACACTGGAGTTTTTTTTTACAAGAAGGAAGGAGGAGGCCGGACGGAAGGAAGGTCGCAAAGCGGGTGAATCCCCTAGGGATCCTCGGCGATTGCGTTAAAATTAAGGGCACGAGCCCGTCTATCTAATAAGATAAGACTAGAACACTAATTCAGAGTGTATTTATAATGAAATTCCCTGATGATAATTTGTGGGACTATCCAGGAATCCCGTCTATAACGGTAACATATCTTCGAACAACTGATTTTTTCTATTCAGGGCATGTAGGGGTCATGGTATTCTGTGCGTTGGAGAACAGACATGAAGGAAATCGTCTATTAATGTATTTGTCGACTTTTACAGCATTTTTTGAATTTTTTGTGCTATTAGTACTTAGGGCACACTATGCAGTTGACATGTTCGCAGGGATAGTTTTTGCTCACTATTTTTGGATTATTTCAGGATGGGTTTCTCCTTATCTTGATCGATGGGGCGGGTACAAAGATTCTCAAGCCGATTATAATAAATTACAGTTATAGCTAAAAGATAATGAATTGTTTTTGGTTATAATTTAGAACTGCTTATTGCCAGTATTTTTTTATTAAAATTAATTAATTTTCTACTTTTATTCTTAATTGTAAAAATGATTGCGGCCATTTCAAGCTTATGCAAAATTTGAATTAATTATTAATATTATCCAAATATAGAATTAGCAGCAACAGCAAGTTTTGAGCGAGAACCATTATTTCCCTTTGGAAGTCTTTGACCTGGCATAATTCGTGGCGCATTAGATCCTATAGGATTTGTGATTGGATTATGCTGATTAGGGTCAGGCCAATAAAAAACATTCCTACGGTTTACAGGATCTCCACCAACTGATCTAGACACCCTCCTTCCATTTTCGTATGATTGATTCACTGACTACCCCCCTCGAAGTTCGACCAAAAAAATCTTGGTCGAACTTCGAGGGGGGTTAAGAAAAAATTTTTTTAAAAAAAAAATTATATAGAATTTTTTTTATATAATTTAGTAGTTAAAAAAAAAAAAATATTTATCATATTCTTCTGTATGGTTGAGAGGGTGTAAGGGTTAGAAAAAATAGTGCAAGATGGTTTTGTAACGCTTTTTAGAACTTGAATACAAAAATCGCAAGCTCACCCCCACATAGTTTAAAATTTTTGAAAAATTGCTTATTTTCCTAGTAAATTTATATAGGTCATGGTCGAACTTTGAGGGGGGTTAATTTTCCTAAAAAATAGGAATTTTCCCTATATCTTGGTCGAACTTCGAGGGGGGGGAGTGAGATTCTCTCTGAAGATTCTGCGGTTTCATATCCCTTATTAAGGTAAACCTTAGCGAATTGCTGCTTTATTGGTGATTCAGTACTATGAATTCCAGGGACCCCAGGAAAAGCAATTTTATTTTGCTTTTCAATGCTTTTTAATATATTCATGTTGTATCTCTTTTCAATTTCATCCATTTCTTCTTGTGTTCTAAAATTCCTTTGCTTTTCAGTTAATTGCTTTTCTAAGGCTTCTTGAAGTTCTCGTTTTTCTCTCAATCGTCTTTCATTTTCGACCGCACTTTGAAACTCCACTTGTCTGGCATTATTTCTTGCTCTTTCTTGTTCCCTTATGCTCTCTAAATATTCAAGCTCTTTCTCTCTTTTTCTGGCTTCAATTTGTCGATTTAATTCGGTTTTCATGTCACTCATGGCTTTATCTTTCATATTTCTTTCAAATTGTTCTTTTAAAGCAGCGCGCTCTAAAACAATCCTTTCTCATTCTTTATTCCTCATTTCTGTTTCATATACCCCTTTTTCGTTTGGGATAGCTCTGTAATTTCTAAATTTCCTTTCTTGCTCTTCTAGTCTTTTATTATAAAAATCTCTAAAGGCTCGCTCTTTAGCTTCCATTTCTTTCATGTTTCTTTCGATTTCGATTTTGTCTTTGTATTTTTCAGCTTCTTTTAATTCTTGGAGTCGCCTTTTTTCTTCTTGTTGTTTCATTAGGGCTTCTCTTTCTAAACTCACTGATCTCATCTTATTTTCTAGCATTCTCTGCTGCTCGAACTCTAAATCAAACTGTGCCTTTCTAATTCTTTCTTGTTCTTTAGCAATAGCAGCTTCTCGCTCTTGATTTATTTTTCTTTGTTTTTCACTAATTTCATTTGAGTATTCTTTACCCCTTTCATGAGTGAGCAAAACCATTTTTTTTTTTAGCAATGAGAGAAAAAAAAAAGGTTTTTTAAATCAAAATTTTTATGAAAAAATATTTGATATATAAGTGAGAATGATTATAAAGAAATTACTAGCTAATTCTGTTCAGTTTTAAGCAGCTTGCACTTTAAAACATAAATTTTATAAATTTTTGGATTTTATTAAATTTCGGAAAATAAAAAATCTATAAAATCTACATATAAATGTTTTAAAAAATAATTAACAACCCCCCATAAGCAAACAAAACTTTTTTTACGCTCACGGAGGGGGAGCTAGAAAAAACATCCTGAAATGATTTATCTTCATTTCTTCGTCTTGCCTCAAAATTTTGCATGGCGATTTGTTGTGCCGACAAGAATTGGCGTTCTTTATTGAGTTCTTCAACAGTTTGCATTTTATTAGAAACTTTTTCACGAATTTGTCTGTCTAATTCCTCTTTGTAAAGCTTTTTTGAAAGCGCTTGAAGCTGCTTTTCTTCTTCTTGCAAAAATTTAGTCGTGGCGGCTTGAGCATTGATTACAGCTGCCCATTCTCCATCATTTTTATGTTGAAGATAGCGACGGTTTTCCATTAAATATAATAATTAACGTCTCTTTACAAAATGTAAATATTAATGATTCTTTGCTATAAATTTAAAGTAGAAAAATATTAGATGGATTATGAGTATTGATTATTTCTCAAAATATTAAATAAAAAATCGAGATTATTTTACCTTATAATGAATCAATTCCAGAGTTGGATTTTTTTTCTCATATATTCACCATTTATTCTATAGAAGGAATGCTTGAAGGAGAATTTAGTGAAGTAAGAGAAAATCTTGCCGCATTTGAAAAAGACTATGAAGAATTTCAGCAGAAAATGTGCAGCCTGAGGAAATGGAATATGAGCATTATTAATATAACTTTTATGTTTGAATAGTAATTTTTGGCAAATCCAACACTAAACAGACAGACGAATCAACTGTTATTTTTTCCTTATTTCATTTTTATAAATGTGTATAATTGTAAACTTTTCTCTAGGGAGTATATTAATAGCTGATTATATGTTAGTCAAAACTTTATCTTATCGGCAGATATAATGCAATTAATAAAATGTAAATTTAATTGCATCATTAACCCTCATCTTCAGCAGTATCTTCATCAACATTATCCGATGCACATTCTTTATAATCAGCCTGAAGTTCTGCTAAATCTTCTCTCGCTTCAGCAAATTCACTTTCTTCCATTCCTTCAGCTGTATATCAATGAACAAAAGCCTTTTTTTTATACATTAAATCGAATTCACCATTAATTCTCGAAAAAACTTCTGAAATAGCTGTATGATTGCAGACCATAAGTGCCGATCTCGACATTTTAGCGATGTCGCCACCTATGATCACTGTTGGCGATTCATAATTTATCCCACATTTCAGCCCTGTTGGACATCAATCAACAAAATTTATGCTTCTTCTACTTTTCATTCATGCAATTGATGCAGATACATCTTTAGGTACAACATCTCCACGATACATCAAGCTGATTGCCATATATTTTCCGTTTCCAGGGTCACATTTCGCCATCATATATATAGGCTCAAAACAACGACTCGTTATTTCTGAGCAATTTGGACTATAAGGTGTGCAAGTTGACGGAAATAGTGGAGCGTATGATGAAAACAGAAAATGAATTCTTGGGTATGGGACCATGTTGTTTTTAATCTCGTATGGATCTGCATTTAATGCCCCGCCAGCTCGCATAGATAAAGTTATAGAGGAAATTGCTTGTGAAGTTAAACTGTTTATACTTGTGTAGGTTGGCTTGTCAATGGCTAGTTGCCAGTTGCATATATCGTAAAGTGCTTTATTATCAAGTATAAGAGCAGCATCAGAGTGTTCAATTAGCTTATGAGTCGCAAAGACTGAATTGTAGGGCTCAACAACAGAAGTTGATGTAGTTGAAGAAGGATAAATTGGAAAACTGATCTTAGGCTTTCCTCCGTAGTCAACTGAAAGCCGCTCCAGCAATAAAGAACTGAAGCCTGATCCAGTTCCGCCTCCTACTGAATTGAAAACTAAAAAACCTTGAAATCCTATACAATTTTCAACTATCTTTCTTATTCTGTCTAAACTTTCGTCTACGATTTCTTTTCCAATTGTATAGTATCCCCTAGAATAAATACTTGCAGCATCTTCTTTTCCAGAAATGAATTGTTCAGGAAGAAATAACTCGCTATTTATTCCTCTTTTTACTTCGTCAATAACTGCAGGCTCCAAATCGATAAAAACTGATCTTGGCACAAATTCGTTTTCTTTAATTTCTGCGAAAAAGGTTGTAAAATTATCATTATAAGGAGTATCTTCATTAACAAAATGCCTATCATTTTTTAATCCATGCTCCAAACAAAATAGTTCCCAGCAAGCATTTCCAAGTTGAATTCCAGCTTGCCCAATATGAATTAATAATACTTCTCTCAGATTAATTTATTTTCATTTTAATTTATTGTGTCTTAAAAAGGAAAAAAATCATAAAAATAATTTCGGAAGGATATGAAATAATAAAAGACTTATATGCATAATAATTATACTGAATTTCTTTGATACTTAATATCATTCTCTCCTTCTTTGTATTTCCTATAGTTCTTCATAATCTTTTTCAATATCTGTAATATCATGCCTTGCCTCACAGAATTCTTCCTTTTCCATTCCTTCTCTGCAATACCAGTGAAGGAATGCTTGCTTTCTATACATTGTATCAAAATCTTTATTAATTCGTGAAAATACTTTGGTAATTGCTGAATTATTACTAATATACAATACAGATCTCAATAACTTTGCCATTCAGCTTCCAGGAAGCACCATAGGTTGTGAATAGGTAGTCCCACATTTTAAAATATTGGTATATTGATTGCTATATTGAAAAGCCCCTTTTGCTTTTGCAGCATTTACTGATATAGATACATCTTTTGGTACTACATCTCCTCTGTACATTAAATTGTAAGAAATAGCCCTTCCTTCTCTTGGGTCGCATTTTGCCATCATACTTGAAGCCTCAAATGCTGATTCACTTATATTTGAAACTGAAGGAATTTCATAGATCACCCGCTCAGAAGAAAGAAATGGAGCATAAGACGAAAGCATAAACTTCATTCTTGGATAAGGAGCGAGATTTGTTTGAAATTCATGCAAGTTTGTATTCATGTAAGATTCATATCGAATGGATGCAGTCATTGCAGAAGCTACTTGAGCAATTATATTATTTAAGTTGGTATAGGATGGCTGATAAATATATAATCGCTGCTTGCATATATCATTGATTGCATCGTTATCAAACACAAAAACTACATCAGCGTACTCACGCAGTTGATGTGTTGCAAGGACTGAATTATAGGGTTCAAGTACAGAAGTTGAAATCTTTGGAGAAGGATAAATTGCAAGGCTAAATTTAGTTTTTTTGGGATATTCAGATGAAAGATTTTCAAGCAATAATGACCCAAATCCAGATCCAGTCCCGCCTCCCACAGAATCAAAAATGAAGAATCCTTGCAATCCTGTGCAGTTATCAGCGATTTTTCGTATTTTATCGAGACTTTCGTCGATTACTCTATTCCCTATTGAATAGTACCCTCTGGCATAGTTACTTGCTGCGTCTTCTTTACCAGAAATGAATTGTTCAGGGAGAAATAGCCTGCCGTTTATTCCTCTTTTTACTTCGTTAATAGCTGTAGGCTCTAAATCTATGAAGAGTGATCTTGGAACATATTCATTTTCTTTAGTTTCTGCGAAAAAAGAAGTTAAGCAATCATCATAAGGATCACCTTCATTGGCAAAATGCCTATCGTTTTTTAGCCCATGCTCCATACAAAATAGTTCTCAGCAAGTATTGCCAGCTTGAATTCCAGCTTGCCCTATATGAATTGATATTATTTCTTTCAGATTAATTTATATCAGTTTTATTTATAGCCTTGCAGTAGATTAATTGTTAAACTTAATAAGTTTTTCTTCTTATTTCAGCCTAAAAATTTAAAAATACAAATTATTAAAATAATCTCTTTCCAAGAACATCTTAGCTATATATTTCTAATAGAAAATAGCATTTTTCATACTCTTGAGAATCTAGTCTATAAGTTTAGGAATCTTTGCAAGCTTTGCTTGGAATAGCCAGGACTAAAAATAAAATAATTTAAAATATTAATTATTTATGTCCTAATTAGTATCTTCTTCTTCATCTGGATTTTCTTCAAGTTCTTTGTAATCATTAATAAGAGCAGACATGTCATATCTGGCTTCATATAATTCTTCCTCCTCCATTCCTTCTTTATGATACTAATGAAGAAAAGCTTTCTTGGTATACATCAAATCAAAATCTTTATTAATTCTTGAAAATAATTGAACGATAGATGAGTGATTGCTTATGTTGAATACAGATCTTGCCATTTTTGCCATATTTCCCCCAGGAAAAACTATTGCGCATTATAACAAAATCCACATCTTATTCCTACATATCATCAGTCAGCAGACTGAATCCTAAGTTTTTCTCTCGCTTTAATTATTGCTGCGTTTGCATCTTTTGGTATTACATCTCCCATATATTTTAAATTGCAGGCTATATATCTTCCATTTGTTGGGTCACATTTTGCCATCATATGTGCGCTGTCAAAAGCTAAATCTGTTATATCAAAAACTGATGGGTCTTTATGGTATGCTCGCACAGTTGAAAGAAAAGGAGCATAAGATGAAAGCAAAAAATGCACTTTTGGGAATGGTACTAGATTTTTGTTAAATTCATATAAATCTACATTTAAGGAATCATAGTATCTTAGGGATACTGTCATGCCAGAAACTACTTGTGCAATTATTTTATTTATATTGGTGTAGGTTGGTCGCTCAATATCTAATTTTTGATTGCATATGTCATAAATTGCTTCATTGTGAAGTACGAGAGACATATCAGCGAATTCACGTAATTTATATGTAGCAAGGACTGAATTATAAGGTTCTACTACAGAAGTTGAAATCTTTGGAGAAGGATAAATTGCAAGGCTAAATTTAGTTTTTTTCGAATATTCGGATGAAAGCTTTTCAAGCAATAAAGACCCAAATCCAGATCCAGTCCCACCTCCCACGGAATCAAAAATAAAGAATCCTTGCAATCCTGTACAATTTTCAGCAATTTTTCGTATTTTATCGAGACTTTCGTCAATAATGGTTTTGCCTGCTTTATAATATCCCCTGGCATAGTTATTTGCAGCGTCTTCTTTACCAGAAATAAATTGCTCAGGGAAAAATAGCCTGCCGTTTATTCCTCTTTTTACTTCGTTAATGGCTGTAGGCTCTAAATCTATAAAGAGTGATCTTGGAACATATTCATTTTCTTGAATCTCTGCAAAAAGAGTAGTAAACTTATCATCACATTCTACATCTCTTATTGAAGATTGCCTGTCACTTTTTATTCCATGCTCTAAGCAAAAAAGTTCTCAGCAACCATTTCCAGCTTGAATACCAGCTTGGCCAATATGAATTGATATTATTTCTCTCACTTTAAAATTATAATTCACGAATAGGTCAGGCCAGACACTTTTATAAGATGTTTTAGGAAAATATTAAACTTCTTCGAATGCAGTTTATTTCAAATAATTCTATCTAATAATGAATCTTTAAAATTGCATGCATAGGATTTCTTTTGAAAGAAACCTTAAAAAGAATAAATGCTAGCTTTGCCAAGCAAAATTAATATAGCTTTTTCCAAAGTGAATTTTTTATCAGAGATTATCAGGGCTTCAGCTTGGCTTATTATAATAATTATTAGAATTTTAAATATAAATAAATAGCACAGAAATGGGAGCTTCTATGGGTTGTTGCCAATATAATCACGAAAAAGGAGAATTCATCATAGCTCAATTGAAATTTTCAGAACAATTTGTGTCAAGTAAAAATCAGCTTTATGATGAGAGACCTCTATTAGATCAAGACTCACAATCCTGCATAGAAAATGAGAACAATAAAAGCAGTGTAGGAAATTTTGAAAATGATGTTAAATATACTAATCAGGATGAAACTAAAAATAATTTTTCACGATATGCTGAGCGAGCTATGACAAATTCTGACTTTTTATTTTTATCTCCTCAAGCAAAACCTAAAACTCCAAATTTTGGAAATCAAATCTCATAACTAAATTTTTGTCCTTATGATCTTTATGAAAATTATACAAAAATTATAGTTTAATGCTTTAATAATTTTAAAATAATATTTATTTCTAAAATAAAGATATATTTTTATATTAAACAAAATTTAATAAATCCAGTGATGATAATTATTTAAATTTTTAATTGTTGAAATTTGAATTACCATAAAGATGAGAATAAGCTATATCTTGTGCATAAAAAATGAATAGTGCAGAAAAATGAATGGAGTGTAAAATTCAAAAAATTCAACAATTAAATTCAAGCTGCAGACTAAGCTGAGTTTAAATAATAAAATAGATGATTTTTTAATTAATATTAAATTTTTGACTTTATTAAGTAAGTCATAATATTTTATATTAAAAAACAAACTAGTTATGGGAAATTGTGTAAAATCCTCACTCTTCTGTTAAGAGCAAGCTTTTCATAGCTTTTTATCAGTTTAAAAAAATCCCAATTTAAGGATAATTTAATCTGATATAAATTTATGTCTTTGAAAGATACAAGTTTTCTAAAATTAAATAAAATAAATAGGAAATTTTATTATAGTATTCATTAATTATATCAAAGTATTATAAAAGGAACATTTATAAAAAAATTTTTGCTTAAATAGATTTTTTAAATAGCTTTTATCTCTTCTACAGAAGAAGGGGAGTTAGGGTCTTCCAAACATAAGCATAACCATTCTAAAATTTCAAATGACAGCTTACTCCCCCCCCCCCCTCCGTGAGTGAACAAAAAAATTTTGTTCACTCACGGAAGGGGATAAAAATTATTTTTTTTCGAAATTTAAAAAAATCCTAATTCGCAAAAATTGGAAAGCAAATATTAATTTAATTTATAAAATTTATGTTTTAAAAAGCAATTCGTTAAAAATTAAACAGAATTAGCTCTAGATTTCATTATACTAATTATCATTTATATATCAAAATTTTTCTAAAGTAATTTTTTTTTTTTTTTTTTTTTATATACATAAAATGGCGGAGACGAGCGACCCGTCCTTCCGTGGCGGGTGTCCTTATGTATACCGGACGTGGTTTTTGGATGCGGAGAGCTACTCAAGGGAAGAGTTAGCCTCGAGGCGAGAGGCCCAGCCCAATTTCCGCTGATTTTGGGACTTGACTTAGGCAGCAGTTTTTCGCATTCTTTTTGCCAGTAGCGCCGAGGCCCAGACTCGGTGTCCAAAAGAGGCAGGGTGAATTACCTGCCTAGGCTACTTAGTGGCTTAGCCCCGAATCCCGCAAGGGGTTGAGTTCTTTCTTGGAGATGATCCGGGAAAAAGAGGGGAGGCGAAGCTAGACCAGACTCAAGGGCGTAAGTCTCTCCAGTTAAAAGGGTCCTCATACGAGGGCGATCTGGCCAACCGGAGGCAAAGACTGGCGTAACTCGGGGCGGAAGGCTGAGTTGGAAAATGGTGGTGCCCAGCAACAGTCGGCTGACGACTCAATAGGGCAACCCACTACCGAGAAACCGGGGGTTCGGCCCGGGCTCAGAGAACCAGTGATGGAAGTCCATCCTTTTCGCTCGTGCCAGCACGGCTCCTCAAGGAGCGCGGAGGAATGCCACGCATGGAAGTAGGGACTATAAATACACAGCATATTCTAATCTAATCTAATCTAAAAAAAAATTTTGTTTACTCACGGAGGGTGGGTTTTTAGGCAAAAAATAGCGATTTTTCTAATGGTTTTGTTCACTCACGGAGGGGGATGGTTAGGGACATTTGCATATCCTCAATCCACTGACGAAGAAATAAAAAGCTGCCAAAATCCAAGAAAAGCAATTAAAACCAAAGGACCTATCGCAGATGCACGAAATCAAAATTTCGAAGACTCAGATGCTCCTACAGCCGAAATCTTAGATCGTCCAAAAACCAAAAAAGATAAAAACGAGCTCGAAAAAATTCTTCTGTCCCATTCCCTTTTTAATTCCCTTTCACACGAAAATGTTTCATTAGTAATCGACCAAATGAAGTTTTATTTATTACACCCTAAACAAGCCATCTTCAACCAGGGAGACCACGGGAATAATTTTTTTATAATTTCTTCTGGAAAAGTCGAAGTAATTGTGAATGGTGAAACTAAAGGAATTTTAACAAAAGGAAAATGCTTCGGAGAGCTCGCGCTGCTGCACAATAGCGAAAGGACAGCAACAATTAAGACGATTGACAGAGTCACTTTGTGGGGAATTGGTAGGCAAGAATTCAGAACGGCAATTGAAAAAGTAAATTCAAATAAATACAAAGAAAATAAGCAGTTTATTGACAGTGTGCCCATTTTAAGTCTTTTAACTCCACAACAAAAAGACTTGCTGCTATCAGTGGTGATTTCTCAAGAATTTCTACATGGGCAAAAAATTGTAATAGAAGGTGACCCAGGTGATCTTTTATACATAATTAAAAAAGGCACAGTTTGCTGCACTGTAAAAGGAAAAGAAATCAGACAATTATCTCATGGGGAGTTTTTTGGAGAGCAAGCATTGCTTTATAATACACAAAGAACAGCTACTGTTACTGCAATCTCTGCAGTCACTGTTTTATCTTTAGGCAGAGAAGATTTAACAAGAGTTTTGGGAAACCAGCTGCAAGGTATTATCTATAGAAATTCGCAAAGAATTTCTATTGAAAATTCAAGGACACTAAAAATCCTTACGAAGTCTCAGATCGAGCTGGTTATTGAAAAAATGCAAATCTGCACTTATACAGATGGCCAAGTAGTCATACAAAGAAATTTTCCTAAACAACAAAAAATCTGGATGGTATTAAAAGGATGTCTAATTTCAGAAGATAAGTCTAGAATAGTAAACGTTTTCGAATGCATAGGAGACGAAGATAGTCATCATTCATCAAAAAAGAAGTATGATTCTGAGTTTAAATGTGTCGGAAAATCAGATATCGCTGAAATTTCTTGGCTTGATCTAGAAGAATGTATAGGAGGCTCTTTATCAAATATTGCGTCTCAAAACGAAGTTTTATCAATCTTACGAAAAGTTCAGCTACTAAGATCGCTATCTATGAATAAATTAGAAGCTTTGGCATCTAAAATTAAAGTGAGGCATTTTGAAAACCAAGAACCGATTTTTAACCAAAATGATGAAGGCGATGACTTTTATATTGTCAAAGAAGGACAAGTTGATATTGTTAAGGATGGAATCCATATAAGGACGATTACAAGAAGCGACTTCTTTGGAGAAAGATCAATGATATCAAATGAACGAAGGACTGCTTCAGTTATAGCACATGGGAAAAATGTTTCGTGCTGGGTTTTAGAAAAACATAATTTTCTAGGAATGATTGATGAAGGCATCAGAAACCAGCTCATAAAAAGGATCAATTTGCAAGATGACTCAGTAGCTTTAGCTGATTTATGCCCTATTAAGGTCCTCGGAAAAGGGATGTTTGGCAATGTATTTTTAACGATCAACAAAAAAACAGGAATGCCATATGCAATTAAAACAGTTTCCAGAGCCAAAGTTTCTGCGTTTGGCATTTCTGACGACTTGGTATCAGAACGAAAAATTCTCCTTCAAATTGATCATCCTTTAATAATGAAGCTGGTAAAAACCTTTAAAGATGAAGAAAGAGTCTACTTTCTCATGGAATATGTCAGAGGAAAAGACCTTTTTGATGTACTCAGGGTGTTAAATCTATTAACAGACGACGATGCAAAATTTTATTCAGCTTGCATCTTCCTTATGCTTGAACATCTGCATGAGCGGCGAATTATTCACCGAGATTTAAAACCTGAAAACATTATGGTTGACGAGGAAGGGTATCCAAAAATGATTGACTTTGGGACAACAAAAATTGTAGAAGGAAGGACTTATACTGTAGTCGGGACTCCTCATTATATGGCCCCAGAAGTAATCAGTGGAAAAGGATATGGGCTGTCATCTGATTACTGGAGTGTAGGAATAATGATCTATGAATTCTTATGTGGAGGTGTTCCTTTTGGAGAAGAAGAAGAGGATCCTTATAGAGTCTACGAAAAAGTTTTAGAAAGAAAACTAGCTTATCCTAAATGTGTAGGCTTTAAACTAAAGGCAGCCCCTATTATTGAGCATTTATTGAATAAAAATCCAGCTATGAGAGGAACGGTTGAGTCCATTAAAGCCCTTCCATGGTTTCAAAACATCAATTGGGACAAACTTATAGGCAAACAAATCAAGCCCCCACATGTACCTAAATTAGAAAACCTAGCCACAGATATCGAAAGAGGTATCCAAAAAAACAAAAAACTTATAAATTTTATCAGAGTAATTTCTATTTAGAAAGAAGAAAGCGCTGAACACCATGAAATTTTAAGAAAAAGTGTGAAAGCTCCTCCATCAAATTGGGATGAAGACTTTTAAATTAGGTTTCAACGTTAATTCTTTTCATAACTTCTTCGTAATATCCAGGGTTTGCATTAACGTATTCTTGATGGACGCTCCCTTCATACTGTTGGCATTGCTCTCTGACAGACTGCAAAAAGTATAGTATTCCGTGCTTAGTCACATAATTTACTAAAAAAGTCGGGATTAAAGACATGTGCGGGTCACATCTTGCGATCAATGAAATTTGTGATTCGTTAGGACTTATATAGGTTATGTTTAAACATGCATAGTTCATTGTGATTCTGACACCTTCAGAAGTGGGGATATTAATATCTAAAAAGCTTGAATATTCATCAATACTTCTTAGAATCATTAGGGTTGAGCTATTTTCAGGGATAGGGATGCCTACAGCACTTACGACCATGTCACGATTCGTTACTGGTCAGGGCAAATCAAAAAAATAGTGGATTATTCTTCTGAAAATGCTAGGCCGTCCCAAACACTTTGCGTCTTTGAGGATAGGTACCCAGTTTTTCAATAAATCGCACTCAGAAAACAAGGCTAGTAAAGGAGTTATAGGAGTGTGCAAAAGCATTTCTCCACGAACTATCACTTCGGATGTCGTATTTTTGGAAAAAGTAGCAATATCTTCGTCTTGAGCCACAAGTTCTCATGATTCTAAGTCCCCCAAGAGCTCTAATAGTAGGTTTGCTAAGCGAAGATCTTCTTTAATAACACTAATTTCAGATATTTGAGAAACCGAAAGCTTTTCTTCAGTTGAAAGTTCTGCTTCTATTTTAAAATTACCTAGCTCAGTTAGTTTTTTGTGAGCAAGAATTAGTCTGTCATCTCTAAAAAGCTGTTTGATTTCTTCAAGCTGGGTGTCCATTTAACTTTTAATAGTCCTAATGAATTATAAATGACTGAACAGTTTTTAATTGGCAAAATAATATGTTTTTACATTGATATGTTTCAGCCCGTTATGCAAATTTCTAAATTGTGCGAAGAAAACGGTTTATAGGTTGTAAACTGAATAAAAATTGTTTATTAGCCTTATTTTAATGGTATTCATAAATTTCTAAGTTAAAAAATTCTCAAACACAGAGCCTATATTTGTAATAATTCCAACAAGGAAAATGGGCATGCTTTTTTCTCGCATCTTTTCTTCGCTTTTTGGGAGCAGTGAAATACGAATTTTGATATTGGGCCTTGATAACGCTGGAAAAACAACTCTTCTCTACAAGCTTCAACTAAATCAAGTCATAGAGACAGTTCCAAGTAATTTTTAATTAGCTATTGGATTCAATGTAGAAACAGTTCAATATAACAACCTTAAGCTTCAAGTCTGGGATCTAGGAGGTCAAGGGACAATAAGACCTTATTGGCGCTGTTATTATCCTAACACAAATGCAATTGTCTATGTTGTTGACAGCGTAGATAGAGATAGAATTGATATTAGTAAACAAGAAATGCTGTCAATGCTACAAGAAGAAGATTTGGCAGGATGCCCATTATTGGTTTTTGCAAATAAACAAGATATGCCTAACGCAATGAAAGAGGCTGAAGTCAGTGACAGATTAGGGCTTCATACAATTAGAAATCGACAGTGGAGAATTTGTGCTGCAAGTGCTAAAAAAGGTGAAGGGATTTCTGAAGGGTTTGACTGGTAAAAATTATTTAGGCTTGTTACAATGCTGAAAGGGACATCATAACTTCCTAATACAAATACAAACTAAATAATTATCCGTTTTGCAATTAGACTTCTAAATAATTATATATCTACTAATAGCTTGTTTTTGCATGTCGAAATGTTATATTTATTTGTTGCCTCTAAAGAAATACAATAATTCATACGTTTAATACAAAAATAATTTAAAATAAACAATGACTTTTCCTTACCAGTATTCAAGCGGATTATCCAATCTCTATACATTTCGACCTGAAAGCTCAAGAGAATATTTCACAAATGAAGATATTTTAAGGTCTGGCCGCAGAGCTGATCCAGTAATGAATCCTGGAGAGTATGTAGCAGAGATCGAAAGAAAGCACGATCAAGAAATTTCGTTTTTAAGATCTAAATTAAAAGAACAAGAAACAAAACATGAGCTACAAGTTGACGATTTAAAGCGACAAATCGCGAAAACTAGAGAATCAATTGAAAACCGAATCAAAAAGCAATCTAACGAAGCAGAAAAAATCAGAAAAGAATACCAGAGAAAGTTCGACGAAGTAAGATCTCAAAAATCCCAAGATATTGAAGAGCTTACAAGCCATCTCAATGAGCTAAAAATAAAAGCTGAGCAAGAAGGCTACTTGTTAGAATCCAAGAAAAAAGAAATGAACTCACTCAAGCTAAAACAAGAAGACGAAATCAAAGAGCTGCAAGACAAAAAACAAGAATTAACAAGTGAGCTTGATTTTTTAAAAGAAAAAATCTCTGACGTCCATAAAAATGAAATTGGTAGACTTCAAGACACCCTAGAAAAGCTAAAAGAAAAGCATGTAAAAGAAATAGATAACTTTAAAAAGGAAAAAAGCAATGAAGCTAAAGAAATTGAGAAAAAATTGGACGCTAAAGAAAGGATGATTCAAAACTTGGAATATGAAATAAGCCATTTAAGGAGAGAATTTGAATTGAGAAAGCAAGAAACTGATAATGATTTGCACAGTCTAAAGGATTCTTTGTTTGATTCTCAAAAAAAGCTTGAAGAGCATGAATATGAGGTAAGCAAAATTGTCCCTGCAAGAGATGCTGCAAAGCAGGAAACTAATCTGCTTAGTAAAAGCATCAGCAAGTATGAAAGTGACATTGCTAAAGAAATGAAGAAAAATAAGAGATATAGAGAAAGAATAGCAAAGCTTGAGAGACTTGTATACGCAAAAGGCTCTGCGACTAGTTTGAGTTAAATTCACTCTTTTTACTTTATTAATGTTTAACATAATTAAAACAGAAATTACCAAAATGCTAAATTATATATCTACTTTAATGAAAAAAAATAGTTAATGCTTGAAAATAATTCTATTTAATGAAATCTGAAAGACAAGGATTACTACCTGCTATACCTTTGTCATACATCACAGTCACAGACGATCCTCAGCAAGACTCAAAAGAACAAGTATCCACACCAAAAAATCCAATAAGTCTGGAAAATATAATTGACCATGGAAACATTTCTGAATTGCACAATATTCAATCAGAAAGAACTCCAAAGTCTACAAATTATTCAGGATTAACTTCAAGGCTTCCAGAATCTAGTAGAAAAATCGTAATTTTTATAAAGAGCCGAAATGAAATCGAAAGACTACTAAATGAATATCAAGCTTCTTTTGATTATGGAAGAGCTAATCTTACTGTAGATTGTGCAGGCCCTAGATTAGGTCCTGGATATTATAATATCGGATTAAGCACACTCGGAGGAACATCTTTTCAGTTCAGCACAACTTGTCGATTTCGAAGACCAGAATCTCTTGGACTTTATGCGTCTCAAGATAAATCCAAGTCTGCCACAGATATTTTGAAACATAATAAAAATATGCTTCAGCACAAGCTTTCAAATAGGCTATATCTTAGCAAAATCAAGTCAGAAGTTGAAGCTGCCCGCATCTGCCAAGCGAAAAGGAAAAAAGAATTTCTACTTTTTCAAAAAAAAATTGAAATACAAAGCAAAATTGAAGATAAACAAAGGAGACTTATAATGAAAGTAAAAAGAGCCCAGGTTTCGCATATTGTGAAAGCTTGGTGCATTTTATTAATTGTAGCTTCTTGGAATACAGAAGCTACTTATAAGATCAAATATCGAAAAGATTTGCATGCTAGGTCACAAAAAGTACTGAAAATGCTTTTTATTATGTGTAAAAGTATCGGGAAATTTAAAATCCTTGCTCAAAGAGCAAGGTCAAATTTAGCTGTTAAGAAATTGCAAATTTTATCAAAACCTATTCATATTCACTTGAAGCATATTAAAGTTGCATATAAAAACAGAATTACAGACGTTTTTGAGAGGACTTTGATGTCAGACACACTTTTTCAGTTGATGGCATGATGAAGAAACAGGCTGATCTTTATACAGAGAACATGGAAGCATATGCATATAGAAAAGAAAACAAGCATGATCATCAGAAAAACAATATGAAATAAAGTTGAATATAAAATGCATAGAGAGCAGCTAGTTAAGATGAGAAAGTATAGCAAAGATGAGCTTCATAAACCTATTGAGCAGAAAGCTATTTTAGGAAACTCAACAATCCCTGATGAAGTAAAAGAATTCTATATAAAAATGAAATTAAAAGAAAGGCTTAATGAATTTTTGGTTGAGTTAGAAAAATATAAGCATGCTTGCAAATTTATAACAGAAAAGAACAGGAGTGAAGGTATAGAACTGGAGTTCCCAGAAAAGCCGGTAAGAAATTACGTCTTACTGGACCATGATTTTAGACATATGATCATACAATGTATAGAAAAAAGATCGGAATGGCCAAGGATAATGGGTGATAATGAATGCTAACTAATTGTTTAATAAGGTAAGAATAAATTTTAATATGAGAAAAACTATTTTGAATAGGAAAAATGAAGCAGATTATAATATTAATAATATAATTTTGAAAGCTGATTAATAAATGAGTTTATAAGTTATAGAATAATCTTTTCTCATATTAAATGAAAACCAAGAAAACTGCTGACAAAACAAGCACAAAAGCTGAGCTTGCGTCATTAGATGAATTTGGTGCAAACAGACCAAGAGAAGAAGCGCATTTATCAATTGCTCCTGACTGGTATAAAGTCCATGCACTTGTTTCTAGAATTGCTTCGTTATAGTATGATTGAGTATCATTAGAAAGAGACCCACAAGCTATGAGATCTTGGATATCATCTGTATGTGTCAAGGTTCCTGAGCAATTTGAGACTGTGTATTGAAGTTTAGGATAAACCTGGTCCCAAACCCCGATAACTCCTGAGACCATTCCACAGTACCCGACTGATGTGCTGGTACCGTCACATTGGCAATGATCTGTAGTGAAATTAGCTCCATCTGTTTTATATTGATATATACAATCAGAGCCGATAGAACACTGATAAGGACTGCTCAGAGTTTTATTTTGAGAAACAATTACGATGCCTTCACAGACTCCATTTCTCACGAGGTTTGTTGCACAGAATTTTGAACTGGAAGCAGCAGTCCCAACAGCTACTGAGAAAAGTTTGGTGCAGACAAGATTGTTGCAGCCATAGCCGACTTGACATTGAGTGTCAGATGTACAGGCAGTGTCTACAGGATTTGCAGCCATACATATACCTTGGTTGCTGGCATCAGTGGTCTCAGTTTGCAGTCGCCTTGCTGTATTAGTTGTGGTGGTATTGTTTGTTCCAGATGAATTTGATGAATTGCTGGCGCTGCTAGAGTTTTCAGATGTATCATTGTTGCCTGAGCTTGTATTAGAGGTCGTAGTATTGGAAGTCGTTGTATTAGTGCTAGAACTTGTATTAGACTCAGTATTATTAGTTGAGCTGCTCGTATTAGACGTTGTGGTATTAGAAGTCGTAGTATTAGACGTTGTCGTATTAGAAGTTGTCGTATTAGAAGTTGTCGTATTAGAAGCTGTCGTATTAGAACTTGTCGAGCTATTTGTATTATTAGAAGGAGTGACCCCACCACTTGTGCTATTTGTAGCATTCTCACTTGAACTATTTGTAGAAGTTCCATTGCTACTCGTTTGATTAGTGGAATTTGATGAACCAGTGGAATTAGTTGTATTTCCGCCAGTACTTGCATTTGTGCCTGTTCCATTTGTACCATTTGATGTATTGCCTGATGTAGAGTTATTTGAGCTGGAGTCATTATTTGAGGTCTGGTTTGTGCTTTGAATATAGCAATAATGATTGGGCTGACACTCGTCGTCTAGTGTGCAATTTTGCCCTTCCGGAATTCCTTGGCAAATTCCATTCTGACAAGTGTTGCTAGCACAATCTGAGTTAGAGCTGCAAGGGTAGCCTGCTGCCGATTGCCTAATCAAGCTGGTCGTGCTGTTTTGGGATATGGCTGTTGTGCAATTTGATGAATTCCAGCCCCCTGTTGTTGACGTAAATTGTCCATTATCTTGACACTGTAGACCAGTTGTGCAGGGGGTAACTGTCACCTTTCCATCTGATGAGGAGATAGAGATACATTCTGATGAGGTAATCCCTGTTCCACAAGTAACAGTGTGGCACGATGTGTATTCAAGCCCTACCGAAAATCCGATAAGAAATAGAAACAGTACATCGGTAAATTTCATTTAAATTATTTATTAATCTTAAAAATGTAGCTAAAAAATGGTCATAATTCATTTCAAAATTCGCAATAGTTCTGATATTTACAAATTGAATTTGTAAAAATAATTCCCTATGATATTATTCGGCAAAATTTGTTTTTGAATCTATATTAAGTATAGTATAAATAAGCCAGAAATTGCTTGAAGAAATTTTAATTAATTCATTAAGACTTATATTGATAGCGTCCCCTTGTAATTTAGAGTCCTTTTCTCATCCCTGGATTTATTTAAAAATATTTTATACATGTCATTGCTAGAGGACAGCGGAAATAAGATTCTTCGATTATGTTTAAACCAAACCAACGTGATTTCCTATATAGTCATTGCTCTTTGTGGGGACTTCTAAAGGCTTTAGAATCGTCAAAGTTGATGATGCCTCGATATCATCAATACATGAGATTTCTACTAATCAACAATTTATAGGCGGATTTTCTCTAATCGCTCCTATGTTTTCAACTCAGCTTTTATGCTTGGTTGGAAGCTCTCTCAATGCAAATTATCCACCGAATTACCTATATTTTTGAGACGAGTATAACAATAAGGCTAAAGGCGATATAAGATTTCGAACACCTGTCAAAAATGTGCTCATAAGACGAGATATGGTAGTTATCGTCCTGGAAAAGTTGGTAGGAAATATATAGACATACGTTTACATGCTAAATACTTTGAAACCTGTGGCATCGATCCCTACTCTTGATAACGAGTTTGGAGTAGGCGCAATTTCTTATGATAAAGACAATTTTATTTTAGCTACTTTAAATACAAGGGTAGGGACGATTAGAGTTGAAAATTTTTATCAGGGAGAAGTCAATGAAAAATTAATGTATGATAGCCCAATAGGGTTTATTATGGTCGACTTCTTTGGAAATTTGGGGGCTTGCTCAGTTGCGAATGGGACCATAATTCGAGTTTTTGACTGCAAAACGTTAGATATCTTTCATAATTTTGTAAGGGGAAGCTCGTCTGCTTTGATATCAAGCATGGCTTTTAGTCCTAGTGGGGCATATTTGTTAGCTGCCAGCAACAAATCTACAATACACCTATGAAATTTAAAGGCCACAGAGTCTTTGTCAGTCTCAAAAATAATGAGCCGGTTTTCTTCTTATTTTGATTACGAAAGAAGTGTAGCCAAAATCCAAATAATACCTGAGCTTTTGCTGGCATGTGAACAGTCGACTTCAACTGGCCCAGCAATATGCTGAAGAGGAGAAAATGAATTTTATGTAGCCCATTTGGATGGGAAATTGTATTTGTGTAAATTTGACGAAGTCCAAAATTTGATTACGATTGAGAGGAATAATTATTTTATGCAATCATTTGAAGAGATCTCAGACGATACGGAATGGGTAACGTTAGATTAAATTTCTTGTAATAATTTATATATTTTATATTAAGATTATTATAGAATTGGAAATTTTGAATTTCACCAGGAGTAATAATTATATAAATATGACAACGTATTTTGATGAAAATCAGAAGCAGAAAACTGATACAGAATCTGTGTCAGTATCAGTTTTCCCTCCAAACAAAATCCCAATTATCGTAGAGCCTGAAGGTGAGTTACCCTTTTTCCTTGATCAGAATAAGTTCCTTGTACCTGATTATTTCACAGTTCATGAGCTTTTATTTCATTTGAGAAGAAGACTGCAACTACCTAAAACTCATGCGATTTTCCTCTTAATAAACGGAAAACAGCTTGCTAAATTAGACACGAAAATTTTAAACTTATATGAAGAGTGCCAAGAAAAAGACAAAATATTGTATATCAAATATTTAACGGAGCCTACACTTGGTAGTTTTTAAAAATATAAATAACAGATATAATTGAAATACTAACTGATATTACATCAACAAAACTTCATATTTTTATAATTAATCCCCCATAAATATTAAATAGTTAATTGCATTGAAGATAGATTGAGGAATTTTTACTAAGTTTAAAGACGATAAATGTGAGATATATTACAATATCAAATCATGTTAAAAAGCTTAAGGGAATAGATCTAAAGAAAATAGTAAAATATCTTATATATCGTCTATAAAAAACACATTAAATGATTGAGCTAAAGATCATTATATTTAAAAGCTTTTTAGCAAGTAAATAAATAATTGCATGTTAACAATAAATAAAATAGATTGATGAAAGCTGTCCAGTTTTACCCAAGTATAAAAGGAAATAAAGAGCCCAAACCAAATTGGTTAGCTTGAAAGAGGATGAGCATTACTCATAAAGTTAGTACCCCAGTTTCAAAAATCAGAGATCTGAGGAAAAAGATATATTTTGATGATCCCAAATTTATTAGCCAAGTCGAAAATCCTTCAATAAAAGTTGAACCTGTTAAAATAACTAAAAATCTCAATCTCAAAAACTCACGCTTCTCTGCAGAAACAATAGTAACCCCATTACCAAAGTCAATAAGTATCGAAGAGCCTAAAGAAGATTTTATTGAGGCGACACTTAATCATTTCTTAGAAAACAATGCTGTAACATATTTACCACCTATTGATTTCATTAATAAAGTGAGCCCTAGTCCTGAACTATCTATAAACAAAGAGGCAAACAATGATGACTCTGCAAGAAATCATCTTGAGAATGATAAAAATAACGCAAAATTAGTTGACGATTCTGAGATGTTTGAAAATAATTTAGAAAAAATTGAGCATGAATTATTTAAAGATTTGCTACCTAAGCCAGTAAAGCTTCAGCAGAATCACAAAAGATTGATTTCTGAAAAAGTTACTTTAGCTGACCTCGGTTTGATAGGACAGCATATTCCTCACAAATATTTCCCAAAACGAGACTCAGTTGCTATCAGAGCTCGGCAATCTCAGTCGCCCAAAGTATGCTATATCTCATCAACACAAGAAGAATCTACTTCTTTTAATACTCCTCGCCCAAGGCACACCCTCCAGACCCCTATTGCAGCCCACTCATCACCTCGAGCCTTAAAGTCAATCACAAGAACTGAATTTTATAAATTCGCAAGCGCAAGCCCTCCCTCCAAGCTTCCCAAAGCAAGCCTAATTTTTCTCGAAGAAGAAGTTCGCGATATTTCTCCTACCTATCGCCCTCGAAATTCTACAGGTTTTTATCACAAAAGTGAGATGACCCCAAAAGCTCACGTGATTAACATTGGAATATCAACAGACTCCTAATAAAATTTTGTTTAAATTTATGATATAATCCAATTAAAATAAAATTGTTGTAATTAATGAGTTTTTACAAAATACTTGTCATAGGCGATGTCGGGGTGGGGAAAACCTCTTTAGTTAATAGGATTGTTTACAACACCTTCACAGAAAAATATAAAGCGACTATTGGGTGCGAATTTGGCTTAAAAGTGATAGACATTAATGGTGAAAATGTACGAATTCAATTGTGGGATCTTGCTGGACAAGATAGGCTTGGAGGAATTTCACGTCTTTACTGCCGAGATGCGAATGGGGCTTTAGTAATCACAGATATCACTAGGAGAGAAACTTTAGATAAAGCGACCAGCTGAAAGGCGAATATAGACGAAAATTCCAGATTGGTTGATGGATCCCACATACCTATGATTTTGTGCGCAAATAAGTATGATCTTACGAATCCCCACTCTTGCATGACACAAGAAGAGCTCAATGAGTTCGCGGGATCTCGCAATTTTTTGGCTGGGATTTTCACATCCGCAAAGACAGGTGCCAATACAGAAAAGGCGTTAATGATGCTTGTAACCGAAATGATGAATAAGTGCCCAATAAAAGAAGGTGGAGTTGAGTCGAAAATAGTCAGCGCGACTAAAAAATTGGAAGCAAAACCTGCTGTAAAAACAAAAAAAGGATGCTGCTAATAGAATCCTTAGAATAAGCACATATTCAAGAACTTCAATTTTAGTAATGTGTGAGATAAATAAATATGTGTCTTTTGGAACTCTGCGATTCTTTGGTATAGCAAAGTCTGCTATGAGTTTATTCTAAATAAGAATATTCTTATTTAGAATAAAAATTTAAAGAAAAATTCTTATTTCTACTTATTTAATTAAGTAAAATTAAAATTTATACAGGTTTACATATTTGCTTGATCTTTTGCAAGACATCTTCTGGAGCATTAGATATTTCTGGAGCATGCCGATTTTCCTCAGCATTTTTGATAGATTCACCAAGCTTAGTAATACTCTCATCTGCTATTATTCATGAAGAAGAAAAATGCCTAAGTGGAGCTGCAGATTTTACTTGTCTTTTAATTTCGCTGTCTTCTGATACTGAAGATTTTTGAAGTGTTGGCTTTGTATCTTCGTCAGAAATTTCTGTAGGCTCAGTGTCTATATCTACAATTAGTTCAGTAAACTGAATTGAGCCTCTAACTCTATTTAGTCATGGGGCTTCAGGCTTTGGGGTAACTTTGGAAATAGTGAAAAACTCTCGGACTCTTTCTTCTGGTATATCAAAATTTAAAGAAGGGAGGTCAACTCGAGGTAGAGAAATTGCTGGCCGAATTTGGACTTTAGGACTACAGTTGAAAGGGAGGTCCATGAATGGGAAGTTAGATGCGAAGTCGTTGTTTGTATTCAATGGCATTATGTGAGTGGGCTCGTTATTCAAAAAAGGTTTTATGGAATCTGGATCACATCGAAAAGCTTCTTTTAGAAGGGACTCTGCAGAGTCTGAATTTTCTAAATCTCCAAGCTTTTTGCTCGAAAAAATTGAGTTTGCTATATTTTTAAAAATATTATGAAAATTTATTTTAAATATATATTTTTGATAGATTTTTTTCCACCATTTTGAAATAATTACTTCGAAATGCATCCAAAAAATAATTACCATTATTGATTTAGGGAAAATAAGGAAATTTCAATCAATGCACATAGAAATAGCATCTGCCCTTTGTGCTTACTATTCAGAATTTTGGCTAGATCTTGAAAGATTTGTAAGGAATGAGACATACTTCTGTCTAAATGGCACAAAGCTATGTTAAACAAAATTTCACAATTTTCTTCTTCTGCTATTAGTGCTTCATCCGAATTCAACAAGCTCACATCTTTTGCATGAATAATTTCCAACACTTTCTGGAATTCATACAAACTCTCATCAAACTCTCCTGTATACATCAGTGTGACCCCTTTAATCCACAAAATATATTTTTTATCAAATATTTCTCCTTTGCCCATATCTATCCAATTTTGGCAAACTCTTGTCATTTCTTTCCAATCTTCAGATTTTTTTTCGGCCTTAATCATTTTTCTTAAATATTTCAGGCACTCCATATCAAATTGAGCAGTTTTATGATTTGGCTTCATTTGCAGCACTTTTTTGATTTCAATAAAGCTTTCTTCTATTCTATTCATAAGAATAAAGCATTTTAATTTTTGATAAATCGCATCAAAATCATTTTCAATGTCAAGTATATCATCTAGTGTTTTAATAGCGTCATCATAAGCTCCAGTAAGCATAAATAAATCTGCTTTTTGCATGTGAAATGATATGTTAGTTGGATCATTCATCACTAGTTTTTGAAAATCAGAAAATGCTGAGCTGGTGTCGTCTGTAAGATATTCGCATCTTCCTCTATAAGAGAGGATGTATAATAAACTTTCATTAAGCTGATGAGCTATGCTGAAATCTTGAGCTGCGTCCTGAAACAGATGCAAAGTTGCATGACAGAGCCCTTTAAGCACATAATGCTCGTACTGGTTGTCTTCGGCTTTTTCAATTGCTAATTTCACGTCGTCTAATGCGTCCTTAGGTTTATTGTTTAGATACCGAAGAACAGCCCTGAAAAAATAAGTTTCACTTTCAATTTCTCGCTTTTTGGCAGCTTTATTGACAAGGTCTTCAGCTTCTTCTAGGAGTTCTTTATCAAATGGCTGTGAATCAAATGCAATTTTGAGAAGAACAGCTGAATGGAAAATTTCAGGTTCAGGATTTTTAGGAAAAATTGAATGGGCTTTTTGAAAGTAGCTTATTGATGATGCATAATTTTTCTTACTCTCCAAGTGCTTGATCGAACGATTTCGATGATTAATTCGATCCATAATTGAACAATTTTTCACAAAATCAAGATTGAAATCTGTCCTACCCTATCCTAATCATAACTCTCCATCTTTTATAGTAATAAAATATAGGGATTATGCTATATAATCGCTCAAATCAATTTTCATTCGGATTCTAGCTAATTCGCTAATATATCACATACTCTATGTGGCTAGTGCATAAGATACTTTATTAAAAAAAGCTTTAATATGTTTTTTAATTCTTATACCTATAATAAGATAAGTTAGTATAATGATATAACCCCTGTGATAATTTCTGGTTATAGCGTGACGCACTATCAAGCTTGAAATAAGAAGATGCTTTTTTTAGATCACTTAAAGCTTTTTCATGCTGATTTAACGCATTATACCCATATGCTCTATAAGTATAGCAGTTTCCTTGATACTCTTGCAATACTGACTCCCCCCCCCCTCCGTGAGCGAACAAAAAATTTAGAAAAATCGCCATTTTTTGACCAAAAACCCACCCTCCGTGAGTGAACAAAAATTTTTTTAATAGAAAAAATTTTAATGGAAAAAAATTTTGATATATAAGTGATAATTAGTATAATGAAATCTAGAGCTAATTCTGTTTAATTTTAAAAACAAATTGCGTTTTAAAACATAAATTTTGCAAATTAAATTAATATTTGCTTCCCAATTTTTGCAAATTAGGATTTTTTTAAATTTCGAAAAAAATATTTTTTATAAAATTTATATATAAATTATTTTAAAAAAAAAAATTAAACCCCCCTCCGTGAGCGAACAAAATTTTTTTTGTTCGCTCACGGAGGGGGGGGGGGGAGTGAGTAATTTTTTTTAATCAGCTTCGTAAATAAAATGATCCCTTCTTTGTACTTTCTTTTCATCATAAAAATCACAGCTTCAGCAAAAGATCTTAAAATTTTTTGCTGCTTCATCTCACTTGCTCCCTTTCATCTATTAAATGCATGTAAAGCGCCATAGAAGTCTTTTTCTCTTATTTTAATTGCTCCAAGATAATAAATAGCAGTAGGGCTGCATTTCATTTCTTTATCATATTTTATAGCTTGCTCGAAGCATAAAGCTGCTTCAGAATATTGCTTTAGGTTGAATAAAATTGTGGCTTTCCCTAAATATGCTTCAGATTCTTCTGGTTTACATGACAAATAGGTATTGAAATCTTCTAATGCTTTTTCAGGATCTTTTTCTTGGCACAATTTAGCTCTCTTTAATAAAGCAAGTAAATAAGATTGAGGCAGATTAATAGCTTGATCAATATAATCAATTGCAGCTTCATCATCTCCTAGAGCATGCAGACAGTCTGCAATTCCAAACAGAGACAAAGGCTCTTTTGAGTTATAAGAAAATGCTTTTCTAAAATCACTTATAGGGCTTTCCCTTGAATAGCCTGATAACGGGATGAAGCCAGCCCGTTATCGGGATATTCAAGGGAAAGCCCTATAATGCTTTATCATACAGTTGCTGCTCTAAATATAACTGCCCTCTCAAAATATACCCTTCCACAAATCTCGAAAATTTTGAAATTCCTTTTGTAATATATTTTAAAGCTTCTTCTAAATGTCCTTGGCTTATTAATTGTTTTCCTCTATCTAAACAAGTTTCTTTTTCTTCAAGTAGCGTTGACAACTTGCTTGTGGCTTTTAATGAATGATTTCTTCTCTTTTTCGCACCTCCTATTATAGTAGAACTTTTTAGAGTGCGATCTACTGAAGGGCTTCGAAAATGTATTGGAGTAGTTTCTTCATATGGGGTAAACGATTTATTTACGGTTGGAGTGAATCTTTTGCGTAAATGACTGGGACTCTTTGACGAACTATTTGACTGCCTTGAAGGAGATCTGTATTTTGATCTGCTTATGTTAAGAATGCTGAAATTTGAAGGCCGAAGTGGGGTGTGAGATTTTAATAACATTTTTTATTTATGAGTTAAATCAACGGCATGATTCTATGGCTCTGATAATTGTTGGTTTATATATAAATTGATTATGCCTAAAGGGATTAAGCAAGCATGGATTTGAGAAATATTATTTTAGGTAAATTTGCAGCCTATTGAAGTAAACTCTGACTGACTTGTGCTATCTCTTTTGCTTAATTAATTATTTGTATAGCCCTGCTGTAAAAAAGAATAATAGCTATTCTTTAATCCAACCGCAAAAAGTCATTTTTAATGATTTCTCAGTTAAAACTCAATACCCACAAATTTTAACATATATCTAAAGAATTAGAATGGCGTTGTACACAAGGGCAATTGAAGACCTTAAACAGATCTTAAGCATAATTCCAAGATCCAGATCAAAAGAACAAATCAATGTAGCATTTAAACAGAAAATCAGGTTTTATATTAAAGATATAGAAGAGTTGAAACCTTTGCCACAGCCTTTGAAAACCCAAGTAAACAGTAAATAGCTCTGCAAATTTATGCTGCTTCTTGATATTCCTCAAAATTCCCAAATTTTCACTATTAAAGACAAAACCATTGATTTTTACATCGTATTATCAGGAAAAGTCTTGATTGAATGCCCTGGGAAAAAATCAGAAACAAAAGGCAATCTCGATCTTTTTGGTTCCACATCACCATTTAAAGAAGAGATATGGGATCGTTACAATGCAAGCGCAATGGCTGACTCACTGATCATCTACGTGCCTAAAAAGAAGTTCACAAAAATCGGAGAAAAATATAAAGCATTTCTCGAAAGAAAGCAGTTAATTGATTTTATAGGGAAATCAATACCGGGTGGTAACCTTATCAGTGAATCTGGAAAATTAAGCTTATTCGGCTTATTTTCAAGCATAAATTTTGTGCCTGGAGAAGTACTGATAAGAGAAGGAGAAGTTTCAGAAAATGCGTTGTTAATTAAAGAAGGTGAATGCAAACTTATATGTTCAAATGGAGCAATTAACCAAAAATGAGGGTTCATATCACTTACAACGTCAAGCTATAATTATGGCATTTTGGTGCCTGGAGAATGAGCAGGAGAAGCTTCAATTTTAATGGACCGACCAATGGAAATATCAGTAATAGCGAAGACTGCAGTTATTGCATTAAAAATAAGTCGAAATTCATTATTGCATGAATTTCCGAGTGCTGTTCTTGAAATAATGAGAAAAAACGTTGAAACTAAACTTCAATGATGAGCAAGCAGGCGAGGAGAAATAGACAAAACTATTGCCCAAGCAGTATATACAGAAGGCCAAACTGATTTTAATAAATCTTTTGAATATACCGAAAAGGATTACCCCAGGGCAAACCGCAAAGCACTGTCAAATTTCAGAAGAATGGAACTTGTCAGAAATAGTCATGATCCAAGAGCTTTGAATTTTAGTCCTAAAATTCGTAGCCCATCTCCGACTCGAATGCTTTTAGAGGCTCCTTCTTTGATAGAAACAAAATCTATTCGGCATTTGTCTTCAAATGCAGGCTCTCAACGACAGCTGACCATAGACACAAATGAAGAAACTAAAACCGTTTTGCAGTCTGGCTCAATTTATTCCAATAAACTAGTCCCAATATACTCCCCGAAATCAAAATCACGTACCCCAAGCAGCCAAAGACACAGTTTTACCCCTTCAAAGCTACGAAAAAGCTTCAAACTTTTCCCCGATATCTCTCCAATCCCTCATAGCGACTCCAAAGAATCAAAAAGTGCAATCCGTCTCCGTAAAATCCCAAAATTTTTAGCAGAAGATTCTTAATTTAATACATTATTCACCTTCCTCATCTTCCTCCCCATAAAATACTTCATCATGCTTATTCCCAATATGCTTCGTTGTGGCTTCTTTTGTTTTGAATTTTCTTGAGCAAATTCCACATTTGTATTCATCCCCAATTTTTATTGTATTATTATTGACAAATTCTTGGAAATTTCTCAGTTCTTCTTCGTCCATGCTTTCTCCGCTTTCGCTTCCTTTCTTAAATCCCATCAATGGTCCTAGAAAATCCATCATATCAATAAAGCCTAAATCTACAATAAAATCGCTGCCTAGCAAGTCTTCTAAGTCACTCATGTCAAGTTCGTCCATTTCTGCAGTCCCATAGGTGTCATACATTTCTCTTTTTTCTGGGTCACTCAGCACTGAGTATGCTTCAGTGATGCTTTGGAATTTCTGCTTCGAGGAAGGGTCAGGGTTTTTGTCAGGGTGAAAAGCAAGCGCAAGCCGGCGGTAGGCAGTTTTTATTTCTTGTAAGGTGGCTTCTTTGGGAACTTGAAGCGTTCCATAATAATCTTTTGTGTTCCCTTCCATGAAGAAGTATTTATTTGGAATTTATTTACAAGATTAGTTTGCTATGAACTCTTTTAGTTATCCATTTCTGGTTATACGTCTGGATAAAGAGCAGTTGGTTGTTTCTTCATTGGCACAGAGCCTTCTTCCAATTTCTTATACCAAGGCAAGTTAGGAAGTGTATACAGACCTTTGCTCCATCTGGTATAGTTGGTCTTGTGGCTAGGATCCTTTCTCTTGAGTTTAATCAAACTGAATGTGAGGCAAAGTCCCATTATTAGCCCGAATCTCTTTGCAGCTGGCTGAAGATCCTCGTCTTCGATGCGCCTGTTCCTAACAATACTCTGCATCATGTACTTGCGCTCATTGAATTTGGTTTTAATAGCCCTGCTGAACATTTTTATAGCCAAAATTTATTCAATTATTATTTTAAAAGTGACTTAGTTATTTCCTAGAAAGCATAATAAGACCTAAAAGTGATATCATGTTAGTTTAAATAAACATTATTCAGATAGCTTAGATTATTGGTAGGCTGTATGATTAAAAAGAGTTGGCTTTAATTTAGGAAAAATAACTATGATTTTCTGTAAATATAGTTTCTTTTTGAGATTTTTGATCTGAAAAAGAAAAATGGATAAAAGGTACAATCAGCCAACGAACGTTGTATTTTCTGGAAGCGAGCAGCCAATTAATAAAATAATCAGCCCAACCAAAATTCACAAAACGACGTCACAGCAGATTCTGAAGATTCCATTCCCAGAATCATCTTATCAATTTCCTATTGTTACAGCCAATACACTATGTCCTCCTTCGCAAATTGCAACTTTTAATAAGGAAAGAGCTTATTCGCATAATCCAATATCATTTAGAAGCAATGCATTAGGAGATGAGTCTCCATTTTCAAATCAATCAATTTTGCGTCGAGGATCATTACCTATGCAATCAACTCTAGCACCATCCCCTCAGCAGCAATTTTCTAAATTTATTAACGAGCAAGGGTTATCTTTTTCTTTTCGAGCCGGTATATCAGAAGATGAGCCGTCATTTTCCAAGCAATTAGAATTCCGTCGAGGATCCCTCCCTTTAAAATCTATATCACCTACACCTAACTCATATTCTTCACAACCTCAATTTTCTAGCTTAAAAAAAGATAAGGATTTTCCACAATCGCCAATATCTTTAAAGGACAATTCTCCAGCAGAAGAGTCTTCATTTTCAAGGAAATTAAGTTTTCCAAGAGGGTCTTTGCCTCAGCAGCTAATTGCAAGTAAAGCCGACAAAATTGATAGGCCAATTGTGAAGGACAGTTCTCCAAGGAATTTTTCAAGCACATTTGATAATTCTGTGAGATCAAGTTTTGCTGGAAGCTGAAAAATGATGCAAAATGGCAATTCTACGCCTGCAAATATGAATGTGAGATCTTCGGCTCAGGAATACAAAGAAATGAAAATTAAAGATCCTCAAAAGCTAGTAAGGAATGCAAGTGGATCAAATCTGTATTCACAAAAGAAGTAATCTGAATGTTCAATGAAATTTAGAGTATAATATATAGATTGCCAAGAAATATTAATTAACATACAGAATTATACACAATTTTAATAAAAATTTAACTTATAATTAAGTTCAAGTACTTTTATTACTTAAAATTTGAAAATATTTGCATGCTGATTAGTGAATATTGCAATCTAATTAAAAAGGATATCCCATGCAGCTTAATTTTAGTTAGGATCAACGAATATGCTATTCTTAATTATCTAACTCTCCCAGTACTCAGCAAATTCTTGTTTATTTGTCGATGGTTTTAGCACAAAATTTTTAAAGAGTAATTTTTATATGAATAAATCGAAATTTGCTTACTATCGGAGATTGAATGCCAAAATTTGGATTCTTGGCGTTTTATCTGAAAGCCTCATAAATAATTTCAGATCTATTATTATATAAAAAAAATGCTGAAAATTTTGTGCTGAAACACCCATGAATTTGTTTATTACTTTGAGGAGTAAGCATATTTAACTAATACTTATAATTTCTTTGAAAATTATTATTAAGACTTAGCTAAATTATTTTCCAAAAAATAAAAAGAATCAGTTTAATGCATTTATTTTTATTATCAGTACATACTTAACCAATTTTTTATTAATTTGGATGTGAAAATAAATATTCCGAATAATTGTTTCTTACTCTAAAGCAATGAAATAAACTAAAAAGAGAATATATCAAATATTTAAAAATAAAATTCAATAAAATAACTAAATAGAGTGAGATATTTTATTATTATAATTAAAGGCCATATTTATCAAAATTCATATTTTATCAATCCACGATGCTTACTCCCCCTCCCTCCGTGAGTGAACAAAACCATTAGAAAAATCGCTATTTTTTGCCCAAAAACCCACCCTCGGTGAATGAACAAAAATTTTTTTAATAAAAAAATTGTCTATTAAAAAAAATTTTGATATATAAATGATAATTAGTATAATGAAATCTAGAGCTAATTCTGTTTAATTTTAAACGAACTGCTTTTTAAAGCATAAATTTTATAAATTAAATTAATATTTACTTTCCAATTTTTGTGAATTAGGATTTTTTTAAATTTCGAAAAAAAAATATTTTTTATAAAATTTATATATAAATTTTTTTAAAAAAATAAAATGTTCACTCACGGAGGGGGGAGTTAGCAACCTCCGCCAGAAATTTCTCCGTAACATCGCTGTAATTGCTCACGTTGATCATGGAAAAACAACTCTCGTAAACTCAATCCTTACTCAGAGAGGAAACTACACGAAATCAATGGACAGCTTAGATCTTGAGCAGGAGAGAGGGATTACAATCCTCTCTAAAGTGACTGGGATTCCATATAAAGACTACCTAATCAACTTTGTCGACACACCAGGGCATGCAGATTTTGGAGGCCAGGTGGAGCGTGTGATGAGCATAGTGGATGGATGCCTTCTAGTTGTCTGTGCCACTGAAGGTCCAATGCCTCAAACTCGCTACGTTCTTAGTAAAGCTATTGCTGCAGGCCTCAAGCCAATAGTTGTCATGAATAAACTTGATCGTCCTACAGCAAAGCCAGGCGAAGTCGAAAGCAGGATTTTTGATTTATTTTGCAGTCTCAATGTCAGTGAGCATCAATTGAGTTATCCTCTGCTCTATGCCTCAGGGAGAAGTGGTTGGGTTGATAGAGAACTCAAAGGGCCAAGGGAAAATTGTGACCCTCTACTGGAAACTATAATTAATGAAGTTGACCCTCCAAAAGAAAAAGAGACTGGACCTTTTAGAATGCTTATCACAATGACTGAGACTAATCCTCATTTCGGAAAATATATGATTGGAAAGGTCAATCAAGGAGAAGTAAAGCTTGGTGACGATATTCATCTGATTGGAAGCCAAGGGGTTAAAGAAACAGGCAAAATCACAAAAATCCAAAAAACATTGGGAAGTGAAAGAATTGATGTCAATAAAGGAATTGCAGGGGATATTATATTGGTGTCAGGCGTCAATGGGCAAGTAAATGATACTGTTTCTCATGTAGAAAATACAGAAAAATTGAATGCAATACCTATTGATGAGCCAACAATGACTTTGAGAATCAGGGCTAATGACTCACCTTATAATTCACAAGAAGGAACAAAGAATACTATAGGTGCTATAAAGAAAAGACTTTATGAAGAAGCTGAAAATGATTTAGCTTTGGTGGTAAGAGAAGGAAACAATTGTGTTGAAGTCTCTGGAAGAGGAGAGTTGCATTTAGGAATTTTAGTTGAAAATCTGAGACGTGAAGACTTTGAAATGACTATTGAGCCTCCTATTATTTTGACCAAAATTCTGGAAGATGGCACAGTTGTCGAGCCAATTGAAGAAGTTGTCATTGAGTCTCCACAAGAGTTTGCACTGCCTTTAACTGAAGCTTTCTTAAATAGACTAGCCACATTCATTGATCAAAAAGATATAGAGGCTGCCTTTGAGAGTAGCGCTCTAAGCGCCCGAGACTTCCCGACGAAGTCTGGGCGGTGGTTTGACCAGCTGATGTTGGTCGAACCAGCATCCAATTTGACAAACCTTCTGTATAAGAAGAATTTGTCATTTTGGATGTTGGTTTGACCAACATCAGCTGGTCAAACCACCGCCCAGACTTCGTCGGGAAGTCTCGGGCGCTTAGAGCGCTACTCAAAGGCAGCCTCTATATTTCTGCGACCCATTCTAGAGTAATCTTCCATATCCCTACAAGAGCAATGATGGGGTTTAAGCCAAAACTTCTCAGTATAACCAAAGGAAATATGACCATTGAGTCCCATGTTAAAACATATTCACCTTACAAAGGAGCACTCAGAAGAAGACAACAAGGAGTGGTAGTGGCAACCCACAAAGGAAATTGCACTGAGTACGGAATCAACCACTTAGAAGAAAAAGGCCAAGCTTTTATTACCCCTGGGCAAAAAGTGTATGAAGGAATGATCATTGGAGAAACTACTGTTGAGGATGAAATTGTATTAAATCCAAATAAGGAAAAAAGGCTGACTAATGTAAGGTCTGCTATGAGAGATGAAAATATTAAGCTGAGTCCAGTTAAAACCTTTACAGTAGAAGAAGCTTTTGCTTATATTAATGAAGATGAACTAGTAGAAATTACACCAAAGTCAATCAGGCTGAGAAAGAAAATTTTAGATCAAGAATCCAGAAAAAGAGCTAGAAAGTCTAATGCTTAACACATAAGTAATATTTTATCACTCTATGATTATCTCTGCCACAAAAACAATTGAAATTTATATAAATCAGAGCTTTTTTATAAATTTAAATAATTTATTTTTTAAGTGAAATTCATTTGAAAATTTATTGAAATTCAATTATTAATAATCTCAACTTATGGATCAGAAGCCAGAGTCAATTAAGAAGTCTGCTCTATCAAAAGATGAGATTAAAAAGGCTCAAGAATTGATAAAGCATCTAGAAAAGCGTCCAGAGTCCAATTTATTTTCAAAACCAGTTGATTATAAAGCATTAGGCCTTATCGACTATCCACTCATTATAAGCAATCCTATGGACTTATCAACTGTAAAGAAAAAGCTCAAGTCCTCAAAATATTCTAACTCCAAAGAATTTCTCAAAGACCTCAGCCTCATCTGGGAAAACTGTAAAACTTATAATCAAACTGGCTCTGTAATCCTTATTTAGCCTATCTATCAGCATGCTGAAATGATGGAGGTATATATGAAGAAATACATTGATAAGCATAGTTTATTTGTAGAAAAAGCGGTCAAAAGACCAAGAGAAGACATTTTCAGCATGCCTTTGACAAACAATGAAGCACTAAGCTTTGAAAGCAAAATCGAGCTTGCAGAAAAAATCAGAAGAGCGCCTGTTGAGCTGCTTGCAGAAATAGTGAAAATTGTTGAAAGCCAATGCAAGCCTGCAATAGAGGAGCTGGACACTGAAAGAATCCAAATTAAGATGAATGCTCTTGACAAAGACTCTTTTGACAAAATATTTAAGTAAGGATTATGCAGCTTAATTAATGGGGCATGCAATAATGACGAAGCAAAGCCATCTAAGAAGCAGAAGTGTTAGATATATTTAATAAAGGACTATTATTTCATTATTTCTAAAGATTTATACACATCTTTATATTTCAAGGCCTAAATTTCGCAGGGAGGATTTAAAAAGATCCCAATCTTTGTCAATGCTGATAAAAGAAAACCCAGTTTCCCATTTCTGATCTCCTGCAGTTCCTTTGATTATTAAAGAAGTATCTGTTGTCAAGATCTCGCTGATCTCAAAAGCCATTTTCAGCTTGAAAAAGGCTTCTTGTAGAGATATGAAGCTATGCCAATAATGAGCAGCATTTTCCAGTATAAATTCTTCTTTATTATGTGACAAATATTTATTCAAAAATTTCGAAAATTTTTCTCACAATTTTTCAAAAATTTCATCATCAAAACCATCCATGATTTTTACTGATACTTCATATCCTGTCTCTTGGCCTATTAAAACCATATAAAGCTTGGAATACCAAGGAGAATTTAGAAGACTTGGAATGTGCCGAAACGCTTTGATTTCTTTATCTCCATAGGAATGATGATAAGTCAAATACCACCTGTCTCTTTCTTTTAATTCAAGTATATCCCTGCTTAAATTTTCAATTTGTGAGTTAATAACTGCTTCAGCTGATTTTTCTTTTTGCCGGTTTTCAGAAATAAGTCCTGAGATAGCCCTTTCAATTTTATTGTCCTGCTCTTTTAACAAATATACAAGCCCATTTGAAAGGCTTTCCAAGCTTTCTTTTTCATAGAGGGCGTGCTCTAAACTTTTTTTCGCATCTTCTAATCTGTCTTTTAAGTCCTGAATTTTACGCTCTTTAAAAGGATCAAGTTTTGGCGTTTTTCTGCCTGAAGAATTTGGAGGAAAATTAGCTTTCCACGGAATTGGCTTCAAAGGGGTAAGTTTACTTGTATCAAGTTTAGAAGAGACTAAAGAGACTTTTTCTGCTATTTGAGGGGTCTCCTCTATTTTTTTTTCTTCTTCATTTCTTTTTAAAATTGGTTTTACCACGCTTTTAGAAGACGCCTCACTTTTTACACTCACTGGACTATTTTCCTTAACATTTATATATGGAGTTGACTGCCTATTGCTTATATCTTTAAATCTTCCAATACTTGGCGACACCAGTGTGTCTCCAGAGCTGCAAATTTGCATAGATTCGCTGTCTTCTTCCTTTACTGGAGTCAATAAATTTGGGAATCTTGGAGCGTTATCTTGTGAGCACGCTTGGCTTGGGGTATTATCGCATTTTATTAATAAAGCTGGCATTCCAGGGTCAGGTCTTTCATAGCGGGATTCTTCTGGGGTATCTTCTTCACAGTTCATATAGACAGGGGGAGATTCCAAACTTTGATTGAATTCTTCAATTAGCTCTCTCCCAGTTCTTTCAGGCTTTAAAATTGGTTTTGAGGGAGGAGACATGATTTCAGAGATGTCCATATCTGAAGGAGAATTGGCTTGTTTCCGCTTGTATGTTTCGTCTTGTTTAGCTGATTCGTGAAAAAGTTGAGAAAGCTGCGGATCTTCTATAGGACTTGCACTTCCAAGAGGGGCTTGGAGAAGATCTTCATCTTCAATTAAAGGATACCGGCCTCCTTCAAGAGGGCTTTCTTCTGTAGTTTGAAGGTACTGCCGAACACGATAATTGCCCCATGAAACTCTGCGTTTAATGTCTCGAGATTCACTTGTTACGTCACTTTCCCTTTTTATACTGAATAAGTCTTGGGAGTCTTGGTTGGACTCTAAATCACTTTTTGCAGAATACAGGTATGCGGGCTGTTTTGAATTGAATTCTTTTTCCGCCATTTTATTAGCAATTTTCCCAGCTTTAGCAGATTATTTTTTACCTGTTAAATAGCTTAACTTTAATTTCACCCCAAAAATAAAATTTCCATACATTCTCTGAACATTTTAATTGCGTCTTTATAAGTAACAACTGATCATGGACTGATATTACACACCTAATAAATACTCCTATATCATAAAAAATTACTTTAAATATCAGGATTTATCAAATTTTTATATATATTTATTAATTATCCAATACTAAATTATGATCACATATCTAATCCATCCTGAACAAGCCTCCAAAAAATGATCCTGCTTAAAAATTTCATTAACTGCTGAGGATTGAAGGCCTATCCTATAATAAAAATGAATTCAGCAACCAGGTACGTGCATAGAAACTTCATTACCAAGTACAATGAATTGACAAGATCAGACGTCTTCTATTCAAGCTCCACTGCACGAAAGCCAAAGAAAGGCGATCCCAGCTCACTGAATATAGCGGCACTGCCAATAATAAAACGAGAGGTGAAAAACAGGCTTTCACGCAAAGAAGTCTGTAGCCTCCAAGACTACGATTTAGAGACTTATATTACTGAGCTAGCTTTAATAGATTATTCCTACTTTAAAGGTAACTTCTAAGCAGCAACCAGCATTGAAGAACTGATGGCGGGGATAATTGCGTTTATGAGGAAAGAAACAAAATTTTGGATTTTGGACTCTGAGGTGTATAATGCGATAAAAGAGACTGGAGAATTCAAACCAGAGGATAATCAAAATGGAAATGGGAACTCAGATAGCTTGGAGGATGATAGAAGTATCCCGTATAGTGTTTTAAGAGAGCATATTAATAAATCGTCATCAGAAACACTTTTCGCTGCGAATAGATATATGCGTATCCCTAGACTTCCGCTTGTTATATTCCCTATGATTTTCCAGTTCATTAAAAAAGATTATCTCGACATCCCTGAGCACCTTGCCAAAGTTGGTGACTTTTTCTTACAAAACTTGATTTATACCAGTTTATTAAGAGCCAAACATCATTATAAAATAGAACTGACTTTCAGAGAAATAAATAACGATGACCCCCCTCAATCTTCATGTCTATTGCAACAAAAATGCAATTTTTTAATATAATGCTTTATATAAAAAAAAAAATTTCATGTCTCTTGCAACAAATTTTCAATGTACATCTTAATTAAATAAATTCTTTAGATTCAATTAACTATTAAATAAGCTTTAAAATTAATTAATTTACAGGATTTTGACTAACTCACTAGAGAAAAATGTATTAAATTTTTTTATAAAAATGTTTTGTTGTGGTATGCATGAAGATTTTTTCGAAAAAATTTTTGTTGCAATAGACATGAAGATTGAGCGGGGGGTCATCGTTAATTACCAGAAAAACGAAAAATTTAGAAGAGAAATCCACATGAAAAGCGACGTTGTCCACAAGCCCAGCGATTTCTCAGAATTGCTGCCATTAGGACAAGATACTGTTGATTTAATGCTAAAATTTCGAGATTTTTGCGAAAATGAAGGGATGAATTTATCAGCCATTTTTGATAGATACCACGAAATGAAAACCAAAGAAGAAGAAACTTTAGCGCTGACCTTAAAATTCTGTATAGAAGGTTTTACAAAGTTTGTTGAAGGCAGTGGGCCGATTTTCGAAAGAGTTGTAAAGATGAGCAAAAGAAAACTTGATGATGGGACAGCCTTTTTCCATTATGATATAGCCAAACCTCCAATAATTGATGAAAACGCAGAAGTAGACGAAAGCTCGTGCGAAGATTTAAGAGCGTATTTATGAAATAAAAGGAAAATACCTGGCATGCTAGATATGAATGCAGCGCTGAAAGGAGAAGAAGGGATCACTAAAGTGGCAGAACATCTACTTGAGTTTTATGAAAGCCCAGAAGAAAAGAAAAAACGAAGCTATAGGTATTTTTCTCAAGAAAGATCTGAATGAAATGCAGAGGATTACGAAAGATTCTATAAAGCCGTTGAAAAATATAACGCAGAGCCTCTTGCTAACAAGAAAATTGCTAAATATATGGGAAAGCATATTGACCCGAACGGAGAACTTTTTGGGACGGCAAAAATACTGCAAGGCTCGGCAAAAAACTGCAAGGCCAGTAAAAAAATGGCAAAGCCAAGCAAAAAAATGCAAAACTTGCAAAATTTTTGCAAGTTTTGCAAAAACATTGACAAAAGCAAAAGCAATTTAAAAAAAAAAAAGCAAAGCCATGCAAAAATTTAAAAAAAAATGAAAAATTTCGCAAAGCAGGCAAAACTTTTGCAGGGTGGCAAAAAAGTTGCAAAAATTGGCAAAAATCACGATTAGAAAATTTAAACAGTAAAATTTAATAATTTATTGGAAGTGTAGTACAATGTTAAATTATTTAAACAACATATAATATAGAAAAAGTAGAAATTAATTTCGTGAAATAAATGCTAAAGTTTAATACAAATATCTTTTTTAAAGAATTTTCTAAAAGCATGACTTAAAAATTTTAAAAATTTGGAAAATTTAATTTTGGCAAAATTTTAAAATGAGATACAACAAAGTGTTTTGCCAAAATTAAATTTTCCAAATTTTTAAAATTCTTAAGTTATGTTTTTGGAAAATTCTTTAAAAGATATTTGTATTAGACTTTAGCATTTATTTCACGAAATTAATTTCTACTTTTTTCTATATTATATGTTGTTTAAATAATTTAACATTGTACTACACTTCCAATAAATTATTAAATTTTACTGTTAATTTTCTAATCGTGATTTTTGCCAATTTTTGCAACTTTTTTGCCACCCTGCAAAAGTTTTGCCTGCTTTGCGAAATTTTTCATTTTTTTTTAAATTTTTGCATGGCTTTGCTTTTTTTTTTTTTAAATTGCTTTTGCTTTTGTCCAATGTTTTTGCAAAACTTGCAAAAATTTTGCAAGTTTTGCATTTTTTTGCTTGGCTTTGCCATTTTTTTTACTGGCCTTGCAGTTTTTTGCCGAGCCTTGCAGTATTTTTGCCGTCCCAAAAAGTTCTCCGACCCGAACCATGTCAGATATGAACGTCAACAATATAATAAAAAATTGAAGCTGATGAACTCCAACCCAGAAAGCCCTGCTGAGTCGCTTAAAAATTAATTTCTCAATCTTTTATTAATTCTTGCCATTAATTTAACTTTATAACTAGCTTCTTAAAGTATTGAGTCTCCAGCTATACAAGCATTTTAGCGGAGTTGCCTCTTTACTAATAAGTCTGCTCATCATGGCTTTTAATTTAAGGTTTTGCAAATGCAGATTATTTGACCTATCAAGCCATTTTATGACCATAAATCCTTCCAAAAGGTGTCGTTTCTTGCTTACAGTTTGCATATAAGGAACTAATTCTTCCATTCTTTCTGCAGCTTCACCTTTAAGATATAAATTAGGAGTCTCTTGAGGTGGCGGATTGCTTTTGCTGGATTTTACTGAATCTCTTCTACTAGGAATATCGAAATCATTATTAGTTTGAACTGAGATTTCAAATTCAATGACACATAAAGGCTTGTGAAGAATTGAGAAAGAAGTAAATGACCGATTCGTGACTTTGATGTTTTGCACTATTACTTCCTCTTCTTCAAACTCATATTCTTCCTGATTCCACTTCATCCATGCTTGGAGCAGCGGGACTTTCAAAATATGCTGCAAATTGCATATAATCGCTTTGATATTTTTAGTGTTTTGGAAGGTCATTTCTTTGCGAACTTTTGGCATAGTTTTTTTGATTTTTTCTAGTTTAATATTAGTTTTCCACCCATTAAAACTTTTTCTGGTTATTTTGGTAAGTATATGACCTAAATTCCTAAACACAGATTTAAGTAAAGCATTCGATTTTGTAGGTGCCTTGACTGGCCTTAGCAGCTTGGTCTGCATTTTCCATCGATAAAATCCATTGTTAATGACCTTTCTAAGTGCATGCTTAATTAAAGCCAAGCCAACTCTGGAGTTGGTTAAGTCTTTTTCTTCAACTTCAATTATCTCACCATCAGCATTTTTGGTCACTTTTGATATATGAACTTCTTCAATAACATCAGTAACTTCTTCGATGATTTCTGCATTAGAATCGAGAAATTTCTCGAAATTTACAATATTCACCCAGTTTAAAAAGCTTCTCTTTAGCAAATCAAAATGCCTGATACCTGATTTTACAACTATGCTTTCCAATAGTTCAATTCCTGAACATTGTTTCTGGCTTCTCCAATATGGGGGATGCAGCTTTACGCCAAAGGACTTTAAATTCCACCTCCAGAGTGCTCTTTGTTCTAAATTGATTCTTCCAGTCATGATCATTCTTTCTAGGCATTGTGCTTTTATGTCTTTTTTTTCTGAAGGAGTTAGGTGCTGGCTTTTATGCTTTAAATGCAGCCATCTACTATAAGTTTTTAAGTTTATTAGCTGAATTTGCTGCTTTTCAAGAACTGGGCTGGCTAATTTTTTGAACCCTGAGTTGCATTTTCTCCTAACTACTCCCCTCCGTGAGTGAACAAAACCATTGGAAAAATCGCTATTTTTTGCCAAAAAACCACCCTCCATGAGTGAACAAAAATTTTTTTAATAGAAAAATTTTTTTATATAAGTGATAATTATTATTATAATAGAGCTAATTCTGTTTAATTTTAAATAAAATGAGTTTTAAAATATAAATTTTATAAATTAAAGTAATATTGCTTCCCAATTTTTGCAAATTAGGATTTTTTAAAAAAAAATTCTATAAATTTTATATATAAATATTTTAAAAAAAAAAAATTAACCCCCTCCGTGAGTGAAACAAAATTTTTTTGTCACTCACGGAGGGGGGGAGTAATAGCCTCACTAATAATTTCAGATACTTGATTTAAAAATGCCATAGTTGCCAAAGAATAGCGAGTGCTGTTATCGAAATTTTGAAATGAAGGGACATCCAGCATAAACTCGCCATCAAAGCCTAGGCTTGATTTATCTTGCTTGTGAGCTACAATAAAATCAATGGACGATTTTTTCTGACTGAACGAAACCTCATTTTCTGAGAATGCTTCGATAAAAGAAGTATCCATTAGAGGCTCTAAAAGTGGTTCAATTATAACTGAGCAGTTTTCTGAAGTAGAAGAAGCTAGAGTAAGCAAAGGATCAATGATTGGTTCTACAATAGAGGAATCATCTTTTATAGTATCAAGTGGGTCGTCCAATAGTGGCTCCACTATTGGATCAACGTAAGGAGAATCATATCCATGGCGTGTTGAAATAGAAGAATTGTGGGACAATGATGAGTGACCTGTTTTCTTAATATCCTGATTAAGGAGCATATTCTTTTCGCTCAAATAAAGAGGCTTTGTCAATAGCAATTCATCAATATAGCCATCAGAATCTTGCTTTCTCGGTGATACGAACGGGTCGACTGATGGCTCAATTTTTGGTGACTTGGTTTCCAAGAGAGAAGAGTCTTCCGATGCGTTTTCGCTGTACTCTGAATTGAGTGTTAGCAATGGATCTATAATGGGCTCTACTAATGGAGAGTCGCTTCGTATATTGGCACAGTCATTATTTGGACTGATAAACGTGTTTTCTTCATCAAATTCCATGTTATGGTTTTCAAGACTTTTTAATAAGTCAGCAGTTGTACATAAAATTTTATTTGAGCCATCAAGACTTCTCACAGTGGATTTTTCAGATATTTTTTCAGGTGAGTAAGTCTCAATCTTTATTTCAGAGGCTGGTGTGTTATATTCAGGCGGAGTGAATAAAGGTGATGGTGAATTTTCCATTAGCTAACTCCAATCTCCTTCAGTGAGTGAAATCTTTTTTTAAGCGATTCTTTGCTTTTAAGATTTAATATATAATTAATCATTATTTTAATTAAACTTATAGCTAACACTATTTAGCTCGTGCCATAAAAATAAACCTCATAAACTATATAGTCAGTGTCACTAACTATATTTTTGTAAAAAATTATTATTGAGAAAGCAAATAATTATTATTTCCATGGCGCACGAAACGACAGTAAGAAACGAATTAAGCTTAATTAAATAGTGGAGACTTAATGCGTTAAATTGCTCATAAAAATGCAAAATACTCTAAGCTTATCGCTAAAAATTTAAAATAAATATCTAATAAATTACAAAAAATGGGACTACATCAATTCATAAGTATCATTTTATATATTTTGGAGACATAAATTTTTTAATAGTAATATAGGTTTTAATTTCACTTCAAACTTAAGCATGAATATTAAGTATTTAACACTAATTATTTTTTTAAATTATTTTATGAAATTTGTATTTAATAAGTTAAAAGTATAAATAAATTTTGAAATGGGAAACCTCAATTGTTCACAATTTTGCCAAGGTTCAGAAGGAGGGCACGAATTAGATTTAAAGCAATCAATAGCCAGAATTTCTATACAGAATAGAAAAAGCATTAAAAACCTTCAAAATGCAGCGCCAACTCAAGATCCTCCACCATTCCACCATTCTCTCCAAGAGCCTGAGCCATCAAATACAGCTTCATCAGATCTCAAAAGCTTTGTCGACGGCCTCGAGCAGCAAAGAGAAGAAGCTGCCTTAAGAATCCAGCAAGCATTTCGAATATTCTATAACATCCGACAATATCTACAGTTCAAAAATTACCGAAAACTCAATCACAACTACTTTTCAAGTGATTACATAAAGGAAACAGTATCCCCTGCAAATGGATTGCTCAAACGGAAAAAGCGAAAAATTTATACTTATTTGGATGGATCTACTTATGAAGGTGAATGGAAAGGAGGGTTCAGAGATGGATATGGAATAATGGTATGAAATGATGGGTCACAATATCAAGGAGAATGAAGCTATGGTTACCCATTTGGAGAAGGAATTTTTCATTATAAAAGAGAAGACGTTTATGAAGGAGAATGAAGATGCCTCTATTCGTTTGACTTGAATAAAAAGAATGCAGCAACAGATGGATATGGTAATTTATAAGCAGCTTGACTATATAAAAAATGCAAAGAAGCTAAAGAGGGTCCAAGATATTCAGAGGAGCATTTAGAAAAACTAAGAAAGCTGGAAAAAGATTTCGGAGACGTCATTGAGATTTTAGAGCAGCATAAAGCGAACACTGAAAATATATTTGATACTCAATTAACTGCAAAACTTAAAGAACATACTTTTCCTGGAAAAATAAAATATTATGGAGAAATGAAAGGGAAAATTCGTGAAGGAAGAGGGAGAAATATATGAGAAAACGGAGACCTTTATGCAGGCTTTTGGTCAAACGATAAACAAAATGGGATCGGAAGAAATCTGTGAGTAGATGGATCGACTTATATAGGAGAGTACAAGGATAATTTGAAGGAAGGTGTAGGAGAGTATTGCTGAATAGATGGGTCCAAATATACTGGACAATGGAAAGATAATGTTTTTCATGGGGTTGGAAAATTTGTGTGGGCTGATGGTAGGGAATATTATGGGGAATGGAGTGTTGGTAAAAGGACAGGATTTGGAATTTATACATGGGCAGATGGAAAAAAGTATGCGGGAGGGTGGCTTGATGGAAAAAAACATGGCATTGGTTATTCTACTGATGAAAATGGGAAGATAACCAAAGCCAACTATAGCAATGGTAAAACGATTAAATAAGTAATAGAAATAATAACATAATTAAAAGGGCTTTGATTATAAATAATAATAAATATGATTAATTTATGAATAAATTTTTTATTAATAATAATAATAAAACAGCATTTATTTTGATCTTTTCAATTAATTTCAGAAAATTTTTAATTAACTTCTTATACACAAACATGAGCTTTTTACCATGGCGAAATAATGGTGATAATGCTATGGATTTTCTTGAATTTTGCACAGGTGTATAGCATGTGCTCTATGACTCAACATTGTTCTCAGCCACCCTACCAATGTGATGTTCCTCAAGCAGTCAGCCCTCCTATCCCTTCCTTTCATGAGAATTTTACTGCCCCATATGCCTGCCCTACATTTCTGGACCAAGAAGTCTGCTGCAATGATGACCAAAATTCAGCCATGAACTACAAATTCTTCCTTATTGGAGAAACATTTGGGCACTCTGTAGGAGGCTGTGATATCTGTGCAGCGAATATTAAACTGATGTGATGCCACTTTACATGCAACCCTCTGCAATCTCAATTTGTTTCAGCTGGAGAACAAAAATATGTCCCGAATCCTGTTTCGCCTGAACAAAAAGTACTTGCTTTATTGGTTAATTTTACTGTTACTAATTCTTTAGCGTGCGAAATTTATCAATCGTGCCAAAAGTGCCCCTATGTGACCCAAGTTTCTGCGATGCAGAGCCCACAAGGGTTTTTGGAATTTCAAGGATATGAAGGAATACCAATAGGCTTGGCATGGGTTACATTTTTCTTATCAGATGAGCCTACATCTTTGGATCTTCAATTTTTGCCTTGTAATACAAATGTGACTACCGCTTATGGGTACCCTGTTCAACCTTGCACGTGCAATACTTGTCTTAGCCAATGTGCCGCAAGCTATTATGTTGCAGCTCCTACAACTCTTGAAGGGCTTGCTTGACCTGTGATAGGAGTTGCATATCTGGTTATATTTGTCTTTTCATTGATTGTTTTGTTCTCTAAAAGAGTTTGGAAATGTCATCAAGATAAGAAAAAATTAGAGAAAACACATTATAATTCGCATGAGAGCAACGGAGTTTCATCTCATCTGAGTTCATACTAAGTAATATTCTAATCTTTTGTCACGTAATAATTTTAATAATTTATTAAACAGTTATTATGGAAGGCCCACCCAGAGAAACCCTAATTCAATACGACCCTCCAGTTGAAACTTCATCCGATTTTGTTTCCCCTAAGAAGCGTCTTCTAGGTCCAGCTGGCCGTAAGCGTGGAACACTCCCTCCAATGGAGAGTAAACCTACCATTGAAGAATATTTGAACTCCATCCTCCCACCTCGTGAATGAACTCAGGACGAAAAGCGTTTTATCCAATACGTCTCTCACCAATCTGCATCACGTCAAGATGTAATCACTCTCAAAGAAAAACTCGATCAAAAACTAATGGAAAGACAAGCCAGAGATTCAGGGATCTGCCCAGTAAGAGAAGAGCTTTATTCTCAATGCTTTGATGAAATTATTAGACAAGTCACAATCAAGTGTCCTGAAAGAGGTCTTCTTTTAATGAGAGTCCGTGATGAAATTAAAATGACGATTGCGGCATACCAAACTCTATATCAAAGCTCAGTAACTTTTGGGACGAGAAAACAGCTGCAAGCAGAAGAAGGCAAAAGTGAGCTCCAAGAGAAGAAAGATGAACTGGAAAAGCAGAGAATTAGGCTTGAAAACAAGAAGTCTGAGCTACTCAACAAGAAAGATGCGCTTTTGAGGAAATATGAAGAAAAGAAAGCAGCGAATGAAGCGAAAAGAAAAACAGAGCTTGATTTCTTGGAATATCAAGGAAAACATCTTGACACTTTTCTTAAAAATATTGATAAGTAAAACCATTTTAAAAGTGAATTAATACTTATATTAAATGAATCTAGAGAGCAACACCCATTTCGCACTTGAACTGAAAGAGGCTTTAAATGAAACACTTAATTTGACAATTAATTTAGAAGAACTCCAAAATAAAGCTTTTAAGACAAAAATTACTGGTGAATCCAGGAGAAATATTAACAAAATTTATAGGGAAGTTGAACAATTCCGAGAAATGCTAGAAAAACAGAAAATAATCAAAACCCAAGATTTAAATAAACGTCCTCCAAAAATTCTTCAAATGCCAAACGAAGATAGCGATGAAATCAAGTACCCTAGTCTACCTAAACTTAATGGAAAGACAGTTTTAAGAGACACATTAAAGGATTCAACACATAGATTGAATTCTTGAAAAATCGGAAAAGGAAGCAACACAGACCGTAATCTTAAAAGATCAATAACCCCAATTGAGAGAAGGCAAAATAGTCAAGATTCAACGCCTGAAAGAAGATTTGGCAGGACAATGACATCATGGGCTGAAAAACAAAAAAAGACACTTGACCAAATGGACAATATAGAAGGCCGTTTAAAAGATTTTAGAAAAGAAATGCATGGATTATCAATTTTTTGTGAAGCAAATCCAGGTGTTCCTTGGAATAATGATAAGGTTTTTCTGCGTAAACTGTATGAAAGTCCTGAAGAGAGAAAAGAAATGCTAAAAAAATATAACGAAAAATATGGGGCTAGAAGAATTTCTAGTCTAGTTAATCCAGGGACTTTGAAGCAAAAATTGACAGAAATAAATCCTAGCATTCCTTCTTTTAAGGGCAAATAAGACTTTTCCTCTTAAAGGTTAGTCAAAATGTTTTTTAAAATATTTTATATTTTATATTTAAAATTTTAATTTACATTTGCAAATATTTGATACAAGGAATTGCTTTGTTCGCTTAAATAGATTTTAATGTTCCGAAAAATAGATATTGTCTCAATGATTTTGTTCGCTCTTAATAGGAGAACTAAGGTAAAAGATGAAAAAAATGATAAAAATGCAATTACAAAAAATATATTGGCTTTCTTTACTGAGCTAGAAAAGCCACCGAATTATAATATGGCGCAGGATCCAAAGAAGCTGCTGAATCGATGCGTTTTTGGTTTTAAACAGACACAAACCGAGCAAGACAAGAAGCTAATTGATACACTAAGTACAAAATCCAAAAGTATCCATAAAAGTGAATTGAGAGCATAAAATATCATTCGATTTTCAATGATTTTAGTTTTCAATAAGATAATCTGCTTATGTAAATTTTAAACATAAAATTATTTTTATATAAAAAAATAGATTTAATAGTTGCATAAAACAAATTGAGCGACCTATATTGTGATTTGTTCTTTAATGATAATAGTATTTTAATAAGATATATTTACACTATTTATTATTTCTAGGGGTAAGATAATGCTGAAATGAATCCATTGGAGAAAACGGAGGCAGAATAAATGAATTTGCATGCGGAGACTGCATTTGCTTCATGAAGCCTAATGATTCTTGCAAAGAATCTGATTTTTGAATGGGCATCGTATCTGGAATCAAAGTAAGCGAATCAGATCCATGAATGCCATCTAAATCTGTATTGTTATAGTTATCCCAATTAAAAACATTCAAAGCATCATCAGGAAAATTAAAGATATGCGCTTTCATAAAATAAAATGGCATTCGGTACAAGAGAAATTAGCTTTGCTAATTTTCTCTCCCTCATGGAATTTTATTTATGGGGGTTGGGTTTTCTCTCGAGAACTTCTGCACAGCAATAGCAGTTTAACTTTGGGGATAACCAAAAGTTAAACTGCTCCTCAGTGCATTCAAAAGGCTCAGAGTTTTAGCTCTCAGCACATTCCCAAGGGAGGATGACCCTTAAGTGGAGCACGCGCAGGAGCTGAGTCAGGGAGAGCGACGGCAACGCGCCGGGTGGGCTGTCCACTGATCAGACCAAGATATCTCAGTGACGTCACACAAGTTGGCTTAGTCCCTATTTAAAGATGGGAGTGAGCACTAGACACCTTAAAAACCGAGTTAAGTAAGCAAATAAGATATGCGCTTTCATAAACTTAGGAGTGTAACCAGTTAACGGTGCTGCTGTATTGATGCTTGAAATTGGAGTTGCTGAGTCGATTTTTAGCTCTACTGCTTTTACATTTTCTATTTTAATGGGAAGAGATTTTCGTGACTCTTTTGTTGCAGAAACAGAATTTTCAGCCTTTTCTTTAGAATCGTCATAAAGGGAGTGCAAAATAGATGAGGCTTCAACAGTAATGGACGTTCTCTTTGTCCTTATACGCTTTTTATTTTTCTTTTTTCCTTTACTTTTATCGTTAAGTATTTCGTCATAATTAATCAAAATTTTTGCCATTTCAGGATCTAGGAGTATCTCTTTTACTGATCCGTATATTTGTTCGGCTGCAGGCTTATTCCTATTGTATTTTCTTATTCCCCCCATCCTTGATCGAACGACTCGCCATCGTTCGATCAAGGATGGGGGTTAAAAAAAAATTTTTTGGGAAAAAAAAATTATATATAAAATAAAAATATATATATATATATTTTTTTATTTACTTTTAAATAAGTATTTAATAATTATTTTTACAGCAAAAAATTGAATTAATTTCATAAGAATACCAATTTTTAATATTTTTTGGTCAACCCTCTAACGCCAGGATTGGCCATACTCCTGTAAAAATACTCCTGCAAAATACTAGTCTAAAAAATTAGATAAATTGTATATTTATGGGAAAAATAATTTCATAATAATACGGAGAGTGACGAATTTAAAACTGTATAAATTTTAATTTGTTCCTTATTAAAATTAAATTGTTTTTTTTTTAAAATTTTAAAGAATCTCTATTTTTTTAGATTATTGGATTTTTAAGCCTAGGCTGATGACTAAATCACTTCTGATGGCTGATTCCGTAGTTTTATGTCGTTTCAAAGTCTCTGAAAACAATTTCATTAGGTATATCTTCCCAAGCTTTTGATAACTAATATATTTTATATATATAAAAATTTGCACGATTATAAAATCGTTCGATCATGGATGGGGGTTAATTTCCCCAATTTTTAGGAATTTTTATAGTTAATCGTTCGATCAAGGATGGGGGGGAGTTAAGTTTTTTCTTATTGCACTGTAAAACTGATTTTTAATTGAATTATCAGACCTCCCAGGAAGATGCTTTCCTATTTCTGACCATCGATTTCCATATAGCATTTGTTGCCGAAACAGAATTCTTTCTTCTTCCTTGCTCCAAGCACCTTTTTTAAGTTTTGGATTGATATGATTGTGCCAGCGTTCTCGACACTGCTTGCCAGTTCTGTCTGTGATTCCATATTTCTCAGCTAGCTTTTCTGAAATTAAAATCCAGTTTTTTTCTCCGAATTCTTCAACTAAGTTTTGGATAGCTGAATCCTCCTACTTATTGGATACCATTTGGTTCCAAATTTTTCGTTCTCCGTGAGACATCTTTATTAGTTAGAAAAATAAATAAAGTAATTTGATAGGAGAGAAATTTAAATGAATGGTGAAATTTAAAGAATTTCTAGTTAATAGCCCTAGAAATGTAACCTATTTGGAAAATTAAAATGAAGCCGCTATGATTAATTGACATTATGCAGATTAAATTCGATTCTTTTAATTGTAACGCAAGCTGAATCTGTTAAATATATTATTTATAATAGAAATTTTCTATTTTGATAAAGAAAATTAAGCTAATTAATCTTCTTCAAAATCTGGATCGGCAACTGTTTCATCAAGTGACATATTTAAAGAGTCTAGCTCATTAGCATGCGTCTGGCCTTCACTTTTTACGAAAAATGAAATGACAGTCCTTCCCACTTGCATTGCAATCTGCGAATTCGGGTCTAGAGCGTATCCTTCAGAAACTTCAATAAGCGTTCCAAATTTTGATCGATTATCTTCTAGGTAAAAAGATCCATTTCTAAACAAAATATGCGCATGACATCTTGAAACTGAAATATCAGAAATTCTGAGTTCACTTTCATGTCCTCTCCCAAGTCTTATCGAATTTTTTGTCGTTAAATGTACAACGTGAATTGATTTACTGCTTTTCTCCTTACTGATTTCTTCTAGAATTAAATAAGGCGCTGAAGGCTTTTCAATTGGGAAGAGTTCACTGGTTCTTCCTTGATAATTTATTGACATTGGAAACTCTTGCTTGCATATTTCGCAAACTGCAGACTTCCAGTAATAAGAATTCAAGTTTTCGTTTGATTTCACAGCGAGCCTTGAAGATATCCATCGCAGTAAACAATTAAAATGGATATATTTTACTGATCCTGAGCACTTGCAGGGAGAAATCATAGGATTTTCAGGCTCACTACCATCTGAAAGGCATATTCTGCAGATTTTGCATTCGCTGCCTATAGTTGAGTCTACGATTAAAGCTTCGTCATCTATAGTATCAAGCTCCCTTGAGGGAGTTGTTTTAATTGATCTTATCCTGAATCTGACACGGCCAAATTTAACTACTTCGCCTTCAGAGAGTTCATAACCATTTTCTAAGCCCGGCTGTTTATAGGACCTCACCACAAGTCAAAGTTGCTCGTTTTCCACAGGCTTTACAAAAAATAAGCCCGTATCTGTCTGAAAGAGGGAAGCAAGAGGTTTTGACTCAGCTGTATATTGTGAGTGGCCATTCATTGATGTATAAAGATTCACTTCATTGCCTTTCCTTAAAATTTCGCATGGTCCGTAGGCTTTTAAACTTTTTTTGCATATATTTCTTGACTCATAGTCAAAGAGGCCATGAGAATCCCTTGTCCATGTCAAAGATTTCATGATGACACTATGTAAAGGATACAATCCGGTCGAGTTCATTTGAAAAAAACTATTTATATACTAAACTGATTATGGATGACATATTTTCAAAGAATTCAATAAGCAGAGGATTTTTTATATCTAGTTGCAGTCAGCAAATAAATTTTACTTCAATAAAAAGAAATGGCTTGAGAAATCATATCAGATTGCATGAGCTTTATTATTTTTATCAGATATTTTAAAATAGCCTACTATAAATTGAATATTCCAATTACTTATTTATTTTATAACAATTCATGCATACATTAGAAACAAAAGCTACCTTTTTTGTAAAACTATTAACTATTGCACAAAGGAAGATTTTGTTTGGTAAATTATTGCCAATTTCGCTAGAAAGGATTATAATAGTGAGCATTTGTTTCCTTAAAAAGCAATTTAACCAATAATGGCTCACAAAAATCAATTATTTATTATTCCTCTTCAAAATGCATATACAAGTATTTCTTATTATTTAAAGCAGGTATTTTGCAAAATGCATCCAACATAATAATTATTTTTTTGAAAATAAAAATCATATTTGATTGGCTTTACCTTAGCTTAACTTTTGCTAAATTATTTCATCTTGATTTATAATGCTAAAATTTTCTAGGCTTTCAAGGTTGCTATATGGTGCTCGTGCCTTTTCTGAAGAAGCAAAGTAAATTCTATTCAGGCCTCCCGAAACTACAAATTTTATCGAATCAACTCTTCCATCAAAAGCTAAAAAAGAAATCTTAGTCACAAGACCAGAAAAAGGAGCATTATGGGCTCAAGGCCAAGTTGTTCTCAGGTACCAAAGAGTGAAATTTCGATCTGACAAATTTCCAAGCTTAAAAAGAATCCAGAGATTTTTAGAATACGAGCAGGCCACAGATATTGATGTGATTGATATAAGAAAATACACTAACAATACTCCTTTTACCACAGTCATGATTTGTACTGGGTATTCTCCAAGACATATTTCAAGAATTGCTTATAGCCTTGTCAGAGCATTACGAGAAGCTAATGTTCCTGACTGCCAATATTTCCGAGTTAGTGGAGTTAGGGATTCAGGATGACTTATGGTACTCCTTAAAGATGTTTATTTGCATGTGTTCACAGAAGAAACAAGGAAGGAAATGGATTTGCCAGGAGTCTACGGATATAAGATGACAGATGAAGAGGTTGAAATGTTTAGAATGCAAGGTTTTGAGATGTATCAAAAAAATAGAAGGAGAAGATAATAATTTAGAAATTAAACATTCACAAATTAACGAAGCATGAAAAATATGATGAGCAAAATATTTGATAAAAAATTGCTGCAATATTTAAGATTTTACAGTACTTTTTATAATATTTTGATTATTAAAATAGGTGATTATTCATAATTTGATTTAACTTTCCTTAAAAATTTAATAATTAATATTTAATCTTTAATTTAGCAAGAGGTATCTTTATTCAAAAATTGATGGAGCAAATTTACCAGCTCAAGCTAGACTCTCCTGAATACTAAATCAATCAATTGTTTCCCTCCTGAGAGTCTCTTCTCTATATTTTGGCTAAAAATCCTAAAAGCTGAATTTAATTACATTGGCTCAATAGAAAGCAAATATAATAATAAAATTTAGGATTAAGAATATTTATGAGCAAACCTTATTAAAAAATAGCCATCAAAATTCCATCTACATATAGTTATCTTTAAAATTATATTAAGAGTCTATTGGTGTTTTGCATAATGGACACAATGTGCTTCTTTGAAGTCATTCATTAACGCAAGCTGTGTGGAACATATGAACTACATAAATCTTACAACATGGAAGTGTTTTAACCTCTTCTCCAATACCATACTCACTCAGGCAAACCATGCACTTTGCAGCTTCTGGGTCTTCTGGGATCACCGCTATTTTATGAGTTGGCAGCATCGCAATGGCATCTTGAGATGCCCCTTGAATTTGTTGTTGCCCCATGGCACGCATCACTTGTTCAAGCTCAACAACTTGTCTTGCAAGAGCCAGCATTTGTTGGTCAGTAAGCCCTCTGCTTCCTAAAGAAAGGATTTGTTCAAAACTTGGAGGAATTCTGCTTCCAAAAGATCCATCATACACAATTTGCGTAAAGTCGTCGATTACTCCTCGAGGAGGATAACAGTCTGTGACCATAAATCCTACCCCATTAATGTTTATTATTTGGTCTTGAGTTACGACTCTTCTTACACCTTGGACAAATGGCATAATGAAAGAGTTCAAGACTTCTTCGATAAGAGCTGATTGGCTGAGTCGCTGATATGAAGAAGGTAGATCTTCAATTAAAGGAGTTAAGCTTACAGTATGAATAATGTCGAGGGGTTCGCCTTGAAAAAAGAATTGGGTGTTAGGATTCACAATTCCGTCAATAGGTTGTCCTTGCACAACCATGAAGTTCATTGAGTTCAAATATATTATTTATAATGAACAAGTAAATATTATTAGGCTCCTAGTTTAATATAATTAAAAAAAAATTATTTAATTAGAAAAGGATATAGATATTGCCCTGTATGAATGTGGCGAGGTCTTCTTTTGAAAAAGGGCCGGAGCGATGACTTATATATTTCTTCATTAATAATCGAAGGCCTAATTGGCAGTATCTGCACTCTGCTTATTGGGTGCTCAGTCAAAATATCAAAACAAAATATCACTGTTTGGTTCTTTACCAACCCAAAGCTCGGATAAGCTCCCAGCACTTTGAATTTCGCATCTCCATATGAAAAATAGTCTCCAATCCCAAGGCACCTTAATCTCTTCTGAAAATAAGGCCCTAAATAATACCCAAATATAACAGGAAAATTCGGTTTGCCTCCGATCATAAATTCTGCAGGCACCCCTTCTCTAAACAACCCAAGTGTAATCGTGACTAATTCCCCAATTTCTTCGCTCCCTGGTACATTATTGCATTCCTGAAAAACTTCTTCAAAATTTGAGCTTGGAGGCGGCGATTCTTCTCTTATATTTTCATCATCATCTCTTCTGAAATAAATCCCACACCTTTCGCATTTAACCCTTTTGCATAAGCCTCCATCATAGGCCAAAGAGGCACATTGAGGGCAATTCACATACAAATTGCTTGCTTTCGGTGCTTCTTCAATGAGTCCACAATTGGAGTAATTTGATGACTGAATGTGAGCAGATCTTCGGGTTTTTCCTGAGCCTGAGCTTTCCCATATTCCCGAACTCAGTGGTTTGTGGTAAGCAGGTATAAATGTATTTGGCCTTGCTTGTGGAGCTTGGATAGAAGGGGGATTATCTGAGAGTCTGCTTCTATTATTTCCCATTTTGCTATGAACAGATTATTAATTACTTGAAAATTTAAGAGAGGAACTTTTCCACAGCGCTTCCACGTCTCAAAGTCATGCTGCGGACTAGGATGTTTTCGATCCTGGCTTTCTCGTTTTCTTCTTCTTTGCGCATCAGCACTGTTTGGTATTGTTTATAAGATCGCTTGGAGTTCCAGAACCCTTCATTTATCTTGAGCTGGGCTATGCAGTTTTCTTCAATCAGCGGGGAATTCATAACTTTGTTTAAAGCTACAAAAAGAGGCATTACAATGTTTTTTATAAACCCAGCTTGTGATTTGGAAATATCAGTTGTATCTTTGTCACAGTACATTGAAACGGGAATTCCCAGCTGTTTTTCTTCATCACCTTGGGCGAAGAATTCTTTGATAACTAATCCGCATCATTTTTCATGGAGGTCGACTGACTTGGCAGCATGACCAATATCGGCTGATTTTATTGTCATTTTGTATTGGTCCAGTCTAAACTCAGCATCTGATGGCTCAGGGAGTTCACTGATACTTAGATATTTCGAATTGAAATACCCCATGATTTCAAAATGCTTTCCCATGTCTGTCGCCAAAATGAGCTCAATAATAAGCTTCCTCATTTGACGCCATTTTTCAGGCTCCAGGCTTTTAAATAAGTTCGGCTCACTTTTCTTTAGTATTTGGAAAAACATCGAAGCATGCAGCATTTCCAGGACACTTATATCGTTAAACTGAATTGCTAAATCATCATTGCTCATGATCAAGAATCTATTATTTTTCGCAGGATGGCCTACATCATGTGCAAGTGTCGCAAAAATTCCTGCCAAAAGCTCTAGGCTGCTCATTTCATCTCCTAGCTGTGAAGCATGAATTAAAAACAAATACGAGCACATCACATCTGCGGCATGGCAGGAGTTGTGGTAAGGGTTTCTTATATATTTTGATTCCAAAACTTCTAATAAATTAGTCAAGCTTTGGTCTGTAATGCCAAAAATTTCATCAAGTCCGTATCTTCTGATCATGTAGACTCCACAAGACAGAAGTGGGCAGCCTTTTGTGCATTCGTCAATAAAAAAAGTGTTGAAGTTCCATTCGTTGCCGATTTGACGCAAAATACCCATTAGCTCAGGAACCCCATATCCTGTTGTATAAAGGGGGTCTTTGCGGTTTCTCTTGGCAAGAGGCTGACAATGAATTGAGCCACTTTTACTAGCATCAATAAAAGTCTGCTCAATAAACATTTTGTCCTGCTCGTCCAGGTTTTTGACAATGTTATTCAAATTCGTTGAATAAATGTTGGGGGACGATCTTAAAGTTTCTAATGATTTCAATATAATGTCTGCAGATGCTTGAACTTTTTCTTGCATAGCAGTATCTTGTGATTGAACTTCTGAAAGCAAATCAAAAGATTTGACTAGGGATGCTACAATTTCTTCTATTGTAGTGTTCGCATGCTTTGATTCAATTTTTTGTCTTTGATCACTTAAGCTTCTTCTGCCTTTTCGTTCTACATTTTCATGTATCATCAGTGATGCGTCGCTTTTATCAGGAGCCAGCTTCATGTCTTGGCTAATTGATTGTAGCTCAGTAGCTAAATAAAATATCAGTAACATAAATAAAATAAATTGAAAAATTGTTGTGCCCTGGTTCATTTGCCCAAACATGTTTAAAATAAAGGCAATAATCCCTAGGAAAGCATTTACTTCAACAAACTGTCTGATTTTTTTTATTAGGTTTTTATGAGCTATAACGCCTAAAATTGCCAAAAACGCAAAACTGGTGGCAAATGAATCATTTTTATCGTCAATTTGAACTAAAACTACAAAAACGTTTGGGTCTGAGAAGATAATAGAAAGGCCTACAAATATATAGACCATTTCATTTATCAAGTATTTTTTCATAACTTGTGAGCCAATTCGAACTTCTAAAATCATAATGGCGAGGCTGAACAAAATGCTTCCTATAAGGAGAATTATACTTAAAAATAGAAAATTTGTGGAGGAGTTGTAAATAGAGTAGTAAGCAAGAGAGTTTCCGAGGCATATTGATAGTAAGCAGTAATAGCAAAAATAGAACTTGAGACTGAGCTGTTTCCCTGGTCACAAATTTTCGGATTGGGAGCATGAACTTTCTACCATACTGACCATTGATATATCCTTGCCTGGGACAGCAAGAGAATGCCCATCATATAGTAAGGGGTCTGGAGCTCTGAAGGAATGATCTGGAGATTTCATTTTGGGAATTTGGTTTTATAGCCACTTATAATAAATAGCAACTTTGGGACTGGTGCAGTTTTCCTATTTTATATAGTGAATAGGAAAGTGGCTATGCACTAAAAGGTTTCTATTCATTATAATGGGTATATATTTAGAACTGATAAATATAATTAAACTAATTTTTTTAGATCCGCGTATAAATAAAAGTTTTTATACTTTTTATGCAATATCTTATAATACGAATAATTACTTCGTTTTCCTTTGAAAAGGAAAAAAGGACTATTTTCGCCTTACTACCCCCTCCTCCATAAGCGAACAAACAAATTTTGTTCGCTGATGGAGAGAGTTAATTTTTTTTCTTAATATAGAATCTACAAATTTTATATAAAATTATTTTCCAGAAATTTAAAAAAAATCCAATTTGCAAAAATAGGAAAGCTAAAATTAATTTAATTTGTAAAATTTATGCTTTAAAATGCATTTTGTTTAAAATTCACATTTCATTATAATAATTATCATTTATTTATCGAAATCATTTAATAAAAAAATTTTTGGTCACTCATGGAGAGTTGGCTTTTTACCGAAGAAATAAGGATTTTTCCAATAGCTTTGTTTGCTCACAGAGGGAGGTGAGAGTTAGCAAAAAATACAATAACGCCAGCATATTTATATAGCCCAGAGCTTTATTTAGATTGCCTTTGGTTACAAAATCTCCTAAGAAATGGTGAAGTTGCTAGAGCTGCAATTCGGCTAAATCAACTCCACCAGTTGGTAAGTGAGACCATAATGGCATTATTCAACTGGTGGGGTTTGAGCTATAGTAATTGCCCGAGGATGGCGCAAGATAGCGCCATCCTCGGGCAATTACAATAGCAAAGATGGAGCCCTAGCTACAACTCCACGAGCTTTCAGGGCATTTTATAGCAAAAGGCAATCCAAATAAGCCCTAGGCTATATAATTTTATCAAATATAAATTATTGATCAAAATAAATTAAAATTTAAATAATGAATTGAGATTGGAGCTGTAAGTCATTTGAATTCTTCTATGTATTTTAAATCAAATTAGATAGAAATCCCTAATTTCGATAAAATGTCACCAATCAAATGGATTAGCAAAGTTAGTCAAAGCCAAAAGATTGTGATCAAAATGAAAGATTGAAAAACGACTTTTATGGTGGATAGCAAATTCTTAAATGGTTTTTGTATTAGATTCAAAATATCAAAAATAATGTAACTTACCTATAGCTTTTATATTGGTTTTAGTAACTTATTGAATGCTTCAGATTTGAAAAGTCATTATAAATAATTTACAATGGTATTTTATGTTAATATTTTATTATTTTAATTGAGAGCGGATATTATAGCAGAACATTTTATTGCAAAGGCACTTTAACTCTACAAATACAGCACATAATTTATTTTATTAGTTCCTTTCTAAAAGTGCAAAAGCTTTGAAAATATTGGAAGATGCTACTTCTTCAGGTTTTAATAGCACATAGTGCTACATTAAATAGAGATCAATAAAAATGTGCCTTTCACTTCTTTATTAAAAAAGAATATTCTTCTAATTTCAATATAAAAATTTAGTTTATTTACCCTCCAAAAATATTTTAATCTTAACTCTATCACTTCAATGTATCAAAAGCTACATCATTCTTCAAAAATCTTAAAACCATCCAATGATAATTAAATTTAATAATCAAATTTGCATTTTATGGAAGACTTACATACTCAAGAGCTTATCAAAGAATATTTAACTTACCATGGCTTTTCAAGTACTTTAGAATGTTTTAATGCAGAGCTGAAATCCAAAGCAATCTCAAAGCAAACAAAAAAGCCCACTACTAGTAAAGAAATCGGAGAAATGCCAAGACTGTACACAATTTCTTTGGGCGAAGATGGAAAAGCTGCAAGAGTTTCAACTCTTGAAAAAAGATTAGAGAACGCAGAAAAGAGCAAGGAAAATATTTTAAGAAACGGAAGAAAATTATTTGAAATAGTTGTTGACACAATTCAGTTACTAGAAGAGCAAAACAGTCAAGCCTATCAAGATAAAATTTCAGTATATAAAAAGCAATTAGCAAAAATCCAAGAAATCCTTGGGCTGAGAGTGTATGAAACTGAAAGTATTTCAATTTTGAATCCCAATTATATACAAGAAATGAAGACAAAAATTTTAAATGACCTAGAAAGAAAAAATTACACAGAATTAGCTGAATTATTAGTGACACTTCGAGCAGAGTCTTTGTCAGCTCCAAAAGATAAAAGATCTGAGCTTATACGACTGCTATCAAGTGAAGATATCTTTTCTGGCGTTGTGGGTTATTTTATAGGACTTTTTCATCGTATCGGACTTTTAGTTCTAGTTTTTTTTCGTTGACATTTCCTCGGCAAAAAACCGAATTCTATCAAATTTATTATGAGGAAATAAATTTGACCAATGTCACACTACCAAAATGTTCCGACCAAATGACACGGAACCATTTTCTGGGTCTCTTAGAAATCTACTAACAATTAGAAACCACTCTATTAAATCTTGTTTATTAGCACTGGTTTCAATATTATGTTCAGAAAATCATGGTAGAAACTATATTCTTTCCGGCTATAGCTCTACAGTTATTGCTCAATTAATGGCAGAAGTTAAAGAGCAAGAGTCTGGAAGTGTCACTCAAAGATTTGCATTGGCAGCTTTATCAAAACTAAGCTACACAGAAGATGAAGTTTGCAGTCAATTAACCGAAGCTAACTTCATTGAATGGCTTATAAAATCAATGCTTTACAATCAAATTGTGCGAAAATCACCTACTCATCCATTTGTCCATATTTTTGGAAGTGCTTTACTTGCAAATCTGCTTAATTTTCCTGCAGGCCGTAACTATATCTTGCATTATGGAGAGCCAAACGTGATTTTACGGTATCTTTTAGACATTGTTAAAGAGCCAATGCTACCAGCTGAAGCCATTTGTGCTCTTCTTATATGTGTATCTACAGCAATGTCTGCTTGTGATTCTGCAGATTACTCTAATGTAGAAAGAGAAATAAGAGAATTAATTTCAAATTACCAAGAAAGAACTGATGAAAATGAAGAAATGAAAAGCCTTGTTTTTGCTGCATGCACAGCATTGCTACAAAAGCAGCCAATTGAGCCAAGATTAGGAAGAGAGGAAGAAGAGACCTCATCATCTATTGAAGTTTTTGATTTTGAATGCTTTACTGATGAGATATTATTGGAAACATAATGGGCATTAATTTAAGTGTTTTTTAAATAGTTCTATTTGTGCTCTGGCTCTTTTTGGGAGTTTTTTAATTTTAATCGTTTCATTATGTGGGATTTTAAGCTTTTGCAAATTTTCTTGGCCGGTTTTATACAAATCGTCACAGCTTTTCATAATTTGATATATTTCAGAAAGCTCTCGGTGCTTCTTCATTCTTTTTTCTGTATGAAATATAGGCTCAGTAGTGCTCGTTAAAAGTGAGCAATTAACGTGATGCTTACCCCATTTAAATTGAAAAAAAATCCTGTTCCAATTTAAAGGGATTAAATTTTTTTTACAATACTTTGAATTTTAATTTATTTAATGAAGAATTAATAAAAAAATTGAATCGAATCAGTGTTAAAACTGTTTAAATAGCATTATACTTGCTATATTTATTAAATTGAGTCAAAACTATATGATAAAAATATAATTTGAGCATAATACTTTGAATTTTAATCTTTTTTATGGAGAATTGAATATGAAATTAATAGATTCAGTGTGGAATGTTTAAATAGCATTCTACGATTATTTTTCCTATTAAATTAGGTCAAAACTAACTTTATAAAAATTAGTAAGTTCTTTTAATTTCTTTTAAAAATATATAAATTGAGAAAATACCTTGAATTTATTTTATTTTTATAAGAAATAAAATAAAAATTAATCAATTCAGCTTGGAAACTGTTTAAATAGCATTCTTCTTGCATTTTGTCTATTAAATTATGTAAAAACTAATTTATAAAAATTAGTTAAAATCTTCCCATTGAAAACTAATTTAAATGGGGTTTAAATTATCCAAAAATTGCAAATTTACTAAACTTTTCTTCTAATTTAAAGGGGGGGAATTAATAGGGGAATTCGATTTATTTGTACCCTGCATCCTGATTATTGTGCCCATATCCATTTTTCTTGGGTGATTTGGATAAAGTAAAGAGTGCTCTGTTGCCCGGTTTTGAATTAAATATTTATGCTTCAAAGTATTAGCAGCTTGTCTCAGTTTAGGAGAGGCTAATAGGTTTTGTGCGACTTTGTTTCCCCAGAAATCTGCCATTGTTATAGACTTTCTTGATAAAACATTAGATAGCTCAGAATTGAACCTTCTAAGTACTGGCTTTACTTCTACATCATTCGGCAAGCCAAATTCTTCTAGTACAGTAAGTTTGCGCTTGAGGCTTTTCATATGATGGTCATTAAAAGCATCAGGCTCAATTGTTCTTCTTCTTGTGTATTTTTTTCTTTTCAGAAACAAGTTGCTTTCAAAAGTGGCTGTATGAAATTAAATTAAAATTTAGACTGGCAGGAAAAAGCTGTGGACAGAAATCATCCGGATAATGAAAACTTACCAAGGAGTTATGAGCTACTCCTATGACTTACCTTTAAGGCTGCGCTAGGCACACTAAATGCTAGAATTAAAGGGCTTGAAACATGCTTAGAATATTAACTTTCCCTCTCTCCATGAGTGAGCAAACCATTGGAAAAATCCTATTTTTGGGGTAAAAACCTATCTCTTGTGAGTGAGCAAAAATTTTTTATATATAAGTGATGATTATTATAGCTAATTTGTTTAATTTAATTAACTCCCTTTTTAAAAACAATTTGAATTGGGGATATTTTTAAACTTAAAAAAAAAAATTTATTAAAAAAATTAACCTTGAGTTAGAGAATAACAATTTTTGTTCATCCACAGAGGGATGGAATAAGCAATTTTACGACTACGGTGGCGCATCGCCACCACCATATTAATTATTGCGGCTATATTAGGAGCATCTGGAATGAAAACTGATGTTGTTGGGGTGAGTTCTGGCTTAATTTCAGCTGCTGTTCTTGGGGTCTTTCTCAATGTTGAATCGAGAGCTTGCCTTGATGTGTCGCATTTTAGATTGAGAGCGATTTTAAGTCTCCTAAAATTCGGTTCAGTCATGCTAATAAATTAATTAATTTATTTAAATGTTTACACAAAAACTTTATCCCTTGTAAAAAAGAATTATGCACACAATTATAAAGTAAAGCCTTTGCATATAATAATAGATTTTGAAATTTATATATGTGGAAATAAGGACTTTTGTTTTCATATCTAAATAATTTCTTAATGCATTTAGTACAAGAAAAGAATGTTTGGAGTAAAGTTTTATAATACCATGATTCAATTTTCAGGAATCTTTTGAAAAGATAAAGCAAAAATTATAAAAAAGTAAAAGTTCGGGTTGCAACAAATGTAAGCAGTCTAAAAAGAATATTGAAACTTTAAATCAATTGAAAATTGTAAAACTGCTCTTAAGATTGTAAAAATAACTATGTATCCGACAAATCTTTTTTGATCACAAAATAGCACTTTTCGCCAAGTAAGAAAAAAGGGTGGAAAGAATGTGTAGAATACTTTTTTTTAATGACTCGGCATATTGGCTTTTATTTTAGAATTAATCAATACTGCATTTGAAATATTTAATTATACTTTAATTATGCTTATTTATTAATAGGATTGACAAAAAACTAGCATTAACATTAACTTACTTAGAGTGTTTAGCGTGCTTCTCCAGTTCCGCAGAATGATTTAACAAACCCATAAGGGCTCACCCCAGTAGACATCAATTGGTGACGTCATCGGGCATTTCCGACATCACCCTTTTTATCGGTCGGACCATCCTAAGCAAGTGATGGTCAAAAGACTACTGGATCTCGCAGGCTGCGTTGCCTTGCTCGAAGCCTGACTGCTGCATGTTTTGCCACCTATGGGTCTCCCTCTTGGGGAGTGTCAAGGAGTAAATCTCTATGCCCACCAAGTATTCAAGGATCAGGCAGGAAGCTGTGCACCTTTCCCCGTTGCTTACTGATATTGCTGGATTAGGTTTCATCGGGAAAACTGAGCCCTATAATAACAAAATTGCCAAAGGAGAGAAATACTCAAAGAGGAATTATCTCGACGACGCCATTTTATTATTATGAGAAAAAAACTTTCAATAGCTAGTTCGAAATTTTGGTGATCCAGTTGTTGAAACTTCTCCATACCTTCTGAATCACGATGTAACCATTTCATCCGTCCATCCTTTTGGCCCAACAATTTCCAAGAAGCTCTGAAGTCCTATTCAGCCATATCCATGTTTATCAAGACGTTTGTAGGCATAAACACGCTTGAATATTTCGAAATCAACTTTCCCATCTGCATCAACAAGAAATTCATTGATGACGTTTATAATTTTTGAAATTATACGAGTTTTTATGTTATCAACGCTATAAGGAAAGTGGTAAATTTTTACCATAAATTTTTCTAACTCGGAAACACTTATCTTTCCATTTCCATCATCATATTCAATTGAAAACAATCTTTGGACTCCTTCTTCCCACCCATTTCCACAAAAGCTATACATAATTTTATTATTATAATAACCCATTAAGCCCCACTTCTTATTATTTGTTTTGTCTCCACTTTTATCCTTAAAGCTTTGGGGGAAAATCTATTTTTTTAAGCTTAGACACCTACATTTAATATGCAATTCGTTATTAAATATAGATGGCTTCATGAAAAAATTCGAGATTTCCTTTTAATCACTCTCCTTAAGCTATCAAAGAAGGAGAGTGGCACCTTGGTCTTTTCAAAAATACAGTTCAGAATACTTTAAAAGTAACAAATACAGGATGAGCAATAACTCTGCAGGTAAAGCATTTACTACAGTAAAGTCTTTAGGCTGCATATGTGCTACAGAATGAGCATTTACTGCAGAATAAGTTTATGATGAAAGGTGAGCTACAGGATTAGCTATAATCTGCAAGATGACTATTTATAATGCAGAATATGCTAAGGATGAGCAGTAAATCTACAGGATATATTATAACACTACAGAGTGAGCGATTATGCTACAGGATGAGCTGCAGGATCAGATGGAACACTATAGGACGTGCAGGCATGCTGCAGGATGAGCTATCAAGCCACATAATTATTAATCATTCTACATAATTGTATATTTATAATAGCATGATTCAATTGCCTGATAAATTGAAAAATGCTTAATAATTACCTTTTCAAAATTTAAATAAAATGTACTAAATAAATGTTAGTAAATAATTTAAAACTTTTATTACCAAGAATTATTTGTCTTAATTAAGTGCATAAAATATGATTTTTTCTTTTTCTTCCAAAATAAGAGATGCTCTATTTCTATAATGACCCGTAATTTGTCCTCTAAATCTGTTTCTTCAATATTGTTTCTCGTTTCATCAAAAACTGGATCTAGGATATAAACAAGCATATTGAAAAGCAAAAATGTATTGACAGTAGAAAATATTAGATATCAATAGATCTTCTCATTGTATCTAGCATCTATGCTAAGATTATTCATACTAAGAAAGTAAGCAGTTAGGAATGCTATTGAAAAATCATTTGTATCTGTTACAATTAAATAAGCAATTGCTGAAATCACATTCACAAACAAAAAAATCAGCAAAAAAGGAAAAGTTTCTGTTGCAACAAGTATAAACAGTCTAATATAGGATCTTGTAACTTTAAATCACTTGAAAATTGCAAAGCTGATCATAAGATTTCATAAAATGACTATAATATTTAGCGAATAAATTTTATGATAGCATAATTCTATAAGGCATCAAACTATTGAAATAATGTGCAGAATAAATTGTTTTGAATGATTGAGCATATAGACTTTTGATGCTTGCTTCATTTTTATAAAATCCGCAATAGTCAAAATAAAATTGATAGCCAAAATAACATAAATCAAATTATGATCAGGGAAACAGATATCCATACACATCAGTATTATCATAAATAAAATTAGTAGGCAGCTCAGAGAAATGGGAACTTGCAGCTGATCTCATTTATAATTGATGACTTCATTGGCAAATTTTGATTGATAAATCTGGGAGTCTGAAGTATTATACATACTTTCAAGCAGTTCCAGACTCTCCTTAAGGCCAAATGAATAATCTCATTTCAATATATTTGTTGATATCTTTAAAACTATCGTGCCTTTGTCAGTATTTCTTAATGTATTAATTGAATAAATGTCAAAGTATAATTTGTCTGATAAGATTACAGATGGAAATTTAGCCTTTGTAATAGAAAAAGGAGGAGATTTAATAATAAGTGATGATAAAAACTTTGTTAGATTCTTTAAACGCAATTTAAAGAGTTTGGGGATGTCATTTTTGATTGCAGAAACACATTTAAATCTTTCAGACTCATTAGTTTCTGCTATAAAGTTCAATATCAGGTCAATACATCTGTTAGAATTTCTCATTATTGCATAGCCTATTGGGCTAAAACCATCAATGTCTCGTATTATTTGCACACCAAGCTCGAGTGCTTTTTCAAGGTTATCTTTCAAGTCGAAATATGAATAAATGTGCAATAATTTAACTCCATATGGTTGTATCAGAAATGTTTTTGATTCTTCAAAGGGTTCAGTTTCTGGCTGGAGAAGAATATGCTTTGCTATGAAATTTGAGATTCAATCAGTGCTAAAAGAAAACCTAATATCGTTAAGGGCCATTTCATCGAAATTATATTTAAGTTCGAAGGCTTCCACTTCATTTGCACGCTTAAAGACTATTAAAGAAGTCATGTCTTGGGATATTTCATAATTGCATATATTTCAATATCCTATATCTAATAAAGGAACTTCAATTGCAGATTTTACATTCTTTAATATCAGTGTTGAATTATTCATAAAAGTCAAGTAATTTTGGAATATTTTGAAGAAATTGTGCCTTCTGCTTATTTTAAAGGAGTAATGGATAGTCATTTCTGGTAGCTTAAATATATTAACATTTGAGTCTTGATATTTAACAACTAAATACTTGTCATTGTCTGTAATTCCTATTCAGTCAGAGCTGTAAGATTTGTCTGTGAATGCATGCAATGCAACATGAGTGCTTAATGATCAAAGTATCACCTTCTTATCCAAACCCTCACTCACAAAATATTTTTTATTGTTTATAGCAGATATAAATACAATGTTTTCATAATGTTCTCGTTTTAGAATTATCTTAGATTCTTTTTGTATAATTCAAATGTCTCTATGCAATGATCCAACCATAAAAAGAGGGTAAGGACTGATTATTTTCACTATTTTGAAAATAACTGGCACATCTGCTAAAGAGAGGTTATCTTCCTGATCAGTTTTTAAATTTTTAAAAGTTGCTTGAGTCTGAGAGATTAATATTAGCCAATCATCTATTATGCTTTCTCAATAAATGCTTTCATTTTTTCGCATAAAGGCTTGAGTAGCCATATCGGTCATGTCAAATTTATGTACAAGATATGAATCATCACTATATACAGCCAATTGACCATCATTAGAAATCAGTAAGCTTTCAATGCTATAATTTCATTCAATTTCGTGGATTTTGGAATTCAATTCTCAATTTCATATTTGGATTTGAAAGTTCTCTAATAAAAAGAAAAGCAGTTTTGTCCTTTTGCAAATCTTCACATCTTTAACACTATATTCAATTTCCTTTTTTATTTGATTTGTGCATGGATGTTCCAAAATGGCAAGATCAAATTCATTTGCATAAAATAAGCGCCCATGATATTCGTCAAGTTTCAATCTCATTGGTATAATATTTGTATAGTATACAAAAATATTTTTTTGCTTTTCGATATTCCAGATTCTAATAGAGCAATCTTCACAACCTGTAAAAATATATTTGATGTCGCTAGTGAATTTTATTTTTCTCACTAAGTTACTATGCTTAAGTTTAATTAAATTTCTTGTTTGAATATCAAAAATAACAGCGTTTTTTTTATAACAATAAGCAATCTTTTCACTGTTTTTAGAAAATTTCCAATTTTTAGGCTGAGAATTTTCAATTTCATAAACTAGTTCAAGTTTTTCAGAACTGATAATTTTAATAACAGATTTAATCCAAATCATTATTCATCTAGCTTTAGGGCTCATTCTAAAGTCAATTATTTCATCAGCAAAAGTTATCTTTATTCTTTTCAGCCCATCAAAAATTCATAAATGAAGAGTGTATGGTGTTGAAGCAAACAAAATAGCTGGCATGTTGTTAGAGTAAAATACTTTTTCAACACTTGTGCTGAATGATTTTTCTTTATTCCTGCTTGAAAATTTGTAAAAAGTTATATTTTCACAGCATATACAAATTAAATTACTTTTTCATGTATATAATCCGTGAAACGGATTTTTTGGACCACTTATAATTTTTATTAATGATCCAGTGTTTTTTTCTCACAAATTGACTCCTTCACTTTCATAATTTAAAATATGGCGTCTTCGTCTGGGCATGGCCTCCCGGCCATGCAGCCTCGACTCATATTTTAATTATATCCGGCAAGGTTTTACCATTTCAGAGATGGACAGCAATGCTAGGTAAGCAATTCTGGTAGCTTTCAGAGCCTAGCCCTAGTCTAATCTCAGGGGTGGATTTTTCCTCGTGGGAAAGGAGGGTGCAAGGTTGGAAAGGGGAAGCCCAGCAAAGTCCTCTGGACCATTCGGGCAACTCCCTAGCGTGAAACTGGGCGTTACGTCCCAGGCTTTGTACTTTTCCTTTTTGCCGATAGCCGACCAGAAAAGTCCATTTTTTGGGCTTTTCGGAAAAGCAACCCATGTACAAGCAAGTAGCTCATCCATGAGCCGTCGAAGACGTGGACATTTGCCCTAGAAGCACCTTGGAGATCGAAGCGAGTCTGTCCCCAGCAGGTTGGTGGGCCCGATGCGACGAAAGGCGAGTGATAAACCTGGGGTTGTAACCCCGTAGTGGACGTTAAGCGATATAAATTCTATGTAATGTAATGTGACTCCTTCACTTTCTGAAGAGATTGTGGCAATAAAATTTGTGCCATTAATAATTTCAGCATCGATAATAAGTCGTGTATATGATTCAAAATCATGTATATATTACCATTATCAGCATTTCAGCAAATTATTTTTCTGTCACATGAAAATGAAACAAAGATTGGATCTTTGCTGTTGCCTTTAATGCCTATTATAAGGTTTCGATGACTTTCTATTTTTAAACCATTTTCTGGTTTCTCTTTAATTATAAGAATGCTTCCATTGTATGAAGTTAAAAATAACCAAGACTGCATCTGGAATACTTTGTGTAGTTTGTCATCGCCAAAGTTAAATATCCCTGAGATATCTTCATTTAGTAGCATTTTCCTTTGTCTTTCTATGGAATCGATGATTTGATTCATAGGAACGATCTTGTATTTAAGCCCCCTAAACATTTAATTATATTTTAAGTATTTTATTTATTAATTGGATTGAGAAAAAACTTTCAATAGTTAGTTCGAAATTTTGGTGATCCAGTTGTTGAAACTTCTCCATACCTTCTGAATCACGATGTAACCATTTCATCCGTCCATCCTTTTGGCCCAACAATTTCCAAGAAGCTCTGAAGTCCTATTCCGCCATATCCATGTTTATCAAGACGTTTGTAGGCATAAACACGCTTGAATATTTCGAAATCAACTTTCCCATCTGCATCAGCAAGAAATTCATTGATGACGTTTATAATTTTTGAAATTATACGAGTTTTTATGTCACCAACGCTATAAGGAAAGTGGTAAATTTTTACCATAAATTGTTCTAACTCGGAAACACTTATCTTTCCATTTCCGTCATCATATTCAATTGAAAATAATCTTTGGACTCCTTCTTCCCACCCATTTCCACAAAAGCTATACATAATTTTATTATTATAATAATTAAAATAATATCCCATTAAGCCCCACTTCTTATTATTTGTTTTGTCTCCACTTTTATCCTTAAAGCTTTTGGGGAAAATCTATGTTTTTAACTTAGACGCCTACGCTTAATATGCAATTCGTTATTAAATACAAATGTTTTCATGAAAAAATTCTAGATTTCCTTTTAATCACTCACCTTAAACTGTCAAAGAAGGAGAGTTTTAAATTAGGTCACCTTAATTTGCAATAATATCATCCTTTTGACAGCATTTTTTATTCTTTCCATAGATGTAAGCTGTTTATATAGCATTTGTTGAAGAATTTTTAATAGGAAACACAGACTTTAGATATGGTTTTAGGTTTGAATAAAGCAAGAGCTATAACTTCGCATTAGAAAATAATACCGATTCATATTTAATCCTGGCAATTTAATAAAGTTGTAAAAAGTTTTGTTTTTTAATTGTTTTTAATTATTTTTTGAAAACGATTAGATAAACAAATAAATTAGCATTATTTCTAATTCCGAAGAATAATATAAAACTCATCAAAAGAAACTGTTGATTTGTTCTTTCCTGAAAGGACCTTTGCCTTATCAAATGTCCATTCTACAATTTTTTGTTGGTTCGCTTGTTTTTTTCTTTTCTTTAAAGCCATGCTTATCACATGTCTTATATACATAAAAATGGCGACGACGTGCAACCCGACCTCTCGACCCTATTTTCTCAACAGCAGCAGGCAATGGCCCAGTGTTGGCGAATTGGGTGGAAAGATGCCGGAAACCCTTTGTGTATGTCGGGCTAGGTTTTACTCGGGCCCTATGGAGCTAATCCGTGGGACTCAGGCTTTTGCCTCCAGAACAACCATTGGAAAGGACAAGATCGGCAACAGTCCCGGGTGGAGGCTAACTCCCTCGAATAGGACTCAAGAGATGGCATTTATCCAACGAGAAACTGGGAGTTTCCACCCAAGTGGTTGGCCCTTAGGCTCCAGAAGCCATGGAAGTCAAGACTGATCTGTGCGAATCCCGTGTTTGTGGCAACAAGGAGGGTGTCCGCCGGGGCTCCTCGGGAGCGATGAGAGTGTAGGGGTGGAAATCCCCGGCCCTGCAATGTGCGAACGGCTAATCTTAATCTTAATCACATATCTTAGCTCATCTTTTCCTAAAGACCTTTCATGCTTGAATTCAAGCATTTTAAAGAAAACTGATTATTGATTACATAGTAATTTCTGCATAGTGATATTTTTTTTAAATTCAGATTTTGGCTCCTTATAGAAAAATGACGCTTTATCAAATATTTCCTGCTGAATTACTTCAATTGAGTGAGAAAAGCTTTTCAAATCAATTCACTGCGCAACCTTTATTGGAGCAAGAAGTTGATTTAATAGATGATGAGTGCAAATGCAACAGTCCAAAAAATATTGGATCACGTTCTTAATATGCACTTGAGGCTCGCATTTTTCGATTCTTGAGCCTCCTTCTGTTTTATGAGTTGTGTAGAGTTTAAGGAAGTTGTGCCGGATAATTTCAAATTCTTCATTTGAATCTAAGAATTAATGCCATCATGGCATGCCTAGTAGCGACAGATGAACTCAGAATTTTTGCCAGAAAATAAAACAGCTGGCGGAAAGCTACGAGGTCGCAGGTGGCTAAATTCCCGGGTTTGATGTGGTCTGGGCTAACTGGGCCTCCCCTCGACCCACAAACGAGAAGACCGACGGCGCAATACCAATCGAGGACTTCTGGAGGAGCATTATGTTGCCTGCAAATGGCAGAGGTAGTTCCAGAAGGAGGCATCAGACGGCCCCCTCATACCCTAAGCACTACCAGGGGGTTAAGAGAGTCCTTTGCTGAAGCTTTTTGGTCCAAGCAAGTTTGGGTGGTGAGTCTCCCCAAAAGATGCTGACGTCACCATTTTTGGTGACATCATCAGAAAAGGGCGGTAGGTGGCTTAGTGACTAGCGCCACATGAGCGTGAAGCTGAAGCTCGACTGGATTAGGGGCTGAAATAATCCCCGCTTTAACCCTCTCTAATCTAAAAATCTCATCTCATCTCTGATTTGAATCTATATTAATATTACAAATTTTTAAATTGTAAATCCACTTATGGCATTCGGAAGTGCTAAAATTCAATTCTGGAATATCATAGCTAACTATAGAAAAACTTTGGCTTATTAGAAATGGATCTGGCTCCGAATTCAGTGATAATGTTGACCGAGAGCTGTCATATGAGCTTATGCTTGATTTTAAGCCGAAAGGATATGATGATTTAAATCTGAATGCGCGTCGATGAGTAGGCTTTCTTTTGAGGCCTATATATTTTATGAGTAAATTTGAAAGGATTGCAAGTTTAATTGAGTCTTCTTCACAGTCTGATAGTTTCAATATTTCTTGACTTGAATCCAAATCCATTTATTCGTTTTATCTCGGAGTCTAGATTAAAAAGATTTTTTTAAAAATTAATTTAGAATTATATAAAAAATTTTAACTAATTTTTATTTTCTTTTACAGGTTAGTTTTTCGCCTATTGAATAAGATCTATTGCATATTAATATTAATAATAATTGATGCATGCAATAAGCGCATTGGTTGAATCTTGGATTAAGTATGGATTGAGTGGAGTATAGCCTAATTATCTTTATAAAAAGCAAATCAATTATAGATAAAACTTCTTCTAGCTAATCCAACTAATCCGAACTTAAATTTTTAATATTTATAATAAAATTTTGTTTAATTGAAAGTCATGTATTAAAATTAAATCTATTATTTGCTTTATTATAAAAATCTATAATAGGATTTACTAGATTTCTAAAAGAGATTAAGAAACAGCAATTTCTAGCCAAAAATTTTGATTTATTTCTTATAAAGATTTATACGATTGCTAATGCAATATTAAAATCTACTCAATCCATAGCTTTATAATTAAGTATAAGTTCATTATCAATAGCAATAAATGGAACCTGTAGTGATCTCTACTCCAAAGAAAACCAGAAGAGGCAATATCTTTAGTAGCATTAAGCAGCATTACTTAAGACATGATGTCCCTTGTGGATATTCATCATGCATTCACTGCAGCAATTTAATGCATGCTCCACTTTCAGACACAAATCTCTATTTTTTCGATTTAGAAGCTTTAATATCTCACATAACAGTCCTTGAGGAGCAATATCAATGCCCAGTTCTAACCAACACAAATACCCTTTTCCTTCAGTCAACTTTGCTAGAGCTCAAAGTAAAAGATCAAAATTTATATAAGCGAGTCAAAACCTTTATCGATGAAAATCATTTTCACGTCTTTCTTAATGAGCATAGAGCAGAGACATATATCCCACAAGGCACAAAGGACAGAGAGTATTTATCCGCCATTAAAGCTGCAGAATGGCTAAGTTCTCATCTTCCACAAGTTGAGATTAAGGTTATTTCATTGAGAAGCGGTGAAAGATGCATCAAGCTTGAAGAAATCGTAAAAAACACAATATTAGCTGACATGTTCCCTGTAGACGAGCCTGCAATGAACCCTATTTTTAGTGAGCATATTAACCCAATTCAAGCTGAAAAAATGATTAAAGAAGGATCACTTTTTGAAGGCGTTTTGCATGTTTATAGGAATTCCCCTGATAGTGCTTGGATAAGGGTAACCAGGAATGTGGGCCAATCATTTGATGTGGCAATAAAAGGAATTGAAAACATGAATAGATCAATTGATGGGGACGTAGTAGCAATTGAAGTGCTTAATGAGCCAATGGATATTGAAGAAAAACTAGACCATTTAGAAGAGGTGGAAGGAGTAGATGTAGTCAATATCAAAGTCGCAAATGTTGAAGAAAAACCACATAGAGAAGGCAGAGTGGTGTCTATTCTCAGAAATAAGCAAAAATCTTATTGTGGCAGCATTAGAAGAACTGGCGTTTTTATTGACAATAGAGAACAATGCTTGTTTTCTCCAGTGAACCCCAAGCTACCCGAAATAAAAATTTACTGTGCGAATCCTTCAAGATTAGAAGGTATGAGAATTACTGTCTCTATTGACAAATGGGATATCTCAAGTAATCTTCCACAAGGACACGTGGTAAAAATACTAGGAGAAATCGAAGACGTAAAAACTGAAAGTGATGTAATCTTATTGGAGCATGACGTCGTAATCAAGCCTTTCACACAAGCTGCTTTAAACTGCTTACCTCCACGCGACTGGGTTTTAACACAAGAAGAAATAGACAGAAGAACTGATTTAAGAGATAGATGTGTGGCCAGTGTTGATCCTCCAGGCTGCAAAGATATTGATGATGCTCTCCACTGTAAAGTTCTACCCAATGGAAATCTTGAAGTAGGGGTTCACATAGCAGATGTCACTCATTTTGTGCTTCCAGAGTCTGCTCTTGATTTAGAAGCTTCTGAAAGATGCACGACGGTGTATTTAGTGGAAAGAAGAACTGATATGTTGCCTGGAATACTTACAGAAGTGCTTTGTAGTCTGGTCTGTAATCAAGATAGACTAGCATTTTCAGTCCTATGGGAGCTTGATCCAAAGACATATGAAATTAAAAAAACTACTTTTTGTAAAAGCTTAATACACTCCCGGGCATCTCTTTCCTACCAAAAAGCACAAGAAATCATTGATTCTAATGTAAATGATGAGATGGCTTTTTCGTTAAGGAAGCTACTTGATATATCAAAACACCTAAAAAGGCAAAGAATTGTTGCTGGAGCTCTCGAACTTGCCAGTGCTGAAGTTAAATTTGAATTAGACACAGATAAGCTTAAAGCAAAAGACATGGCGCTATACAAAACATTTGAAACCAACAGTATGGTCGAAGAGTTCATGCTTCTCGCAAATATTGCGGTTGCTGACAAGATCTGTGAAGCATATCCTGCATACTCTATTCTACGTAGACATCCATCTCCAAAGCTAGATGACTTAAAAAAGCTTGCAGAAAAGCTGGAATATCTAGGCTACCCACTCAATTATGACTCATCTTTAACTCTCGCAGAGTCGTTAAACAGAATTATAAGGCAAAACGACCCTTATTTTAATACAATAATAAGGATGCAGGTAACTAGGTGCATGAATCAGGCTGTTTATTTTTGTTCTTCTGAAGTTGATAGGCACGAGTATTACCATTATGGGCTTGCAGCAGAAATCTACACACATTTTACAAGCCCGATTAGAAGATATGCAGATATTTTGGTCCATAGACTGCTGGCAGCAGCTATAGATGTGAAGTCTCTGCCTGAAAAAATGACTGACAGAAGAGAAATGGGGAAAATTTGTAGAAGAATGAATTTTAGGAATCGCATGTCACAGTATTCTGAAAGGACTTCAGCCAATTTGCATACATATCTTGTGTTCAAGGGTCGTAAAGATGTAATCGAATATGATGCAATAGTCACTGAAATTTTGCCGAATGGTGTTGATGTGATGATTCCAAAAATTGGGCTAGAAGGGGAGGTTGAGCTGCCTAATGCCAGTGAATATGACTCAAGATCAATAGTTGTTGAGAATCAAAAAATTAGTCTTTATGACCATATTGCTGTTCATGTTGATATAACTTTTCAGAATTTCAGAAAAACAATTAATCTACAGTTCATAAGAAAATCTTAATAATTATTTCTTTAAACCATTGTCAGAAGATAAGTAATCAATTAGGAATTAGTACAAATTTAATAATATAGATAAAGATATTCAATAATGCAATTAATTAAATGATATACATTAAAATGGCATAGCGAATCAACCCTCCCTCTTAACACCTGTAGCTGGGGAAGCCCAGGATCTTGTGGAAGGAAGAATGGGCTCGGGAATGTGCATCCGGCCAGATTTTACTTGATTTGTCGGAGTGAAAGGTTGGATTAGGCCAAACTTAGCTCATTCCAGGTTAGATTTTACCTCAGACAATACCAGTAAAGTTTCTCCTGGTTGATTGGAAACATTCCCCAGCGCGATTTCCTGGGCTGCGAATTATCATCTTGGCCGACAGGTGACCAGAAAATTCATTTTTTCGAATTTTTCAGAAGTCAAACCTGTCAGCGCACAGCTCGGTGGCCCAGTGCACAGGTAGCGAGTGCAAGCACTCGTCCGTGAGGAGCAACGCAGCGAAAGCCATGCTCGGACTGGCAAGCAAGAGGTGGAGCGGCAGGGAGGTGAATATGAGCCGGAAGGTCCACCAGGAGCTTTTTTCATAATCTTAATTAAGTTAAGCAATTAATTAAATGAGTATTAATAATTAAATGGATTTTGCATGAGTTTTTGTGGGGAAAAAAGGGGTGGAAGATCCGGAGATGACAAAGCATAGCTTCCAAGTGGGTCTGACTTCCTAGGAGTTGCTTCAGGCAGAATTGGCGAGCCAAGATCACTTGTTCTTCTCGGCAATAAATCTTCTTTATACATTAAATTTCTTCTCTGCCTCGATCCTTTGATAATATCTTCAATAAACTTCGAGTTATCATTCCCTCTTATAGGAGAATTCGACGGGATTTTCAATTTGCTAGGAGTCTTTCTTTCACTTACAAAGGACTTCTGCTCATTTTTGTTTTGTTTAAGTTCGCTGATGAAATTTTCCTGATCTTGAATTTTCGTTTTTAATTTCTGCTGTTCTTCCATAAGCTGTTTGCAAAGCCTGCTTAAATAATCAATAGTTTCGTTTTCGTCGCTAACCACGACTGACTTGCTTGCTTCTGCAAAGCTAGAGGTTACAGGTTGTAATGGACTATAACTAGGTGTTCGAGGCGAGCCTTCTTCTGTTTTTACAGGAGTTGATGTACCATTTTAATAGAAAAATAGCTTTTTTCTTTGATTTTTTATATAAATTATTATTTATTCGTATGGGAATACTTGCTCATTGTTCACTTCTTGAAACCGTCCTTCATCTCTTCGGTTTCTCCTATTTTTTTCATCAATTTGTTCTCTTAATGCTCTTTGCATTTCTCTTTGCATTTGCTCCTTTTTCAGCTTCAATAAGCTTGATTCATCCCTCTGAAGTGGCCCTTCAAGTAATTGGCTTCTGTTTATAGTAGAGAAATTTTCAATTTCATATTTTTTTTGATATTTTGTCATTGGAACGTCCGCTACAAATGGGTTATAAATTGATACGTTTGGAACGATATTTGGACTAACCTGCGGAATCTGCTTAAAATTGGCATCTTGAGGGTTCTTTTTGTCCTGGATTTGTCTGGTGAGTTCTTGAAAGTAGGTTTTCTGTTTGATCTGTTTGATTTTATGGAAATCTTCATCCTGATGCATTGTAAAAATATGTGCTCCAAATGCTTTACTTGGAGTGGATTCAGCGTTTTGTCGAATTGGTGCTGATTTAGGGTGCAAAAATTTCGCACTAGGTATTGAATTGATTGAATCTGAAGCCATCCTTAAAGGAGGTGGCTCATCTACGCTTTCTTGGAGGAGGTCTGTGTTTTCGCTGTCTGCCATTTATGAATTTGTTAGCCTATTATTAGTTATTGCATTTTACTTATTTCATCTTCGTCTTTATTATAGGCAATCATTAAGACTCCATCTTTTACTTCAAACGAGTTCCATCTTCTTTCATATTGTTCAGGGATTTTAAAACTGATGGCGAAATCTCCATATTTCCGCTCCTGTTTTATCACTCTGGCACTTTCTGGGCTGTTTAGGTTGGGCTTCTTGCGGCGGCCTTGGACGACTGTAAGGACATTTTGACGTGTGAGGAGGATGTCTTCTTTGGAGAGGCCGGAGATGTCCATGTAGATCTTATAGGCTGAGTCTTCAATGATGTCAACTGCAGGGATAAAGCTGTCTGGACGAGAAATTATGAAGCCGCTGGAATCCATTGAAAACTGGGGGAGTCGAAGACTTTCTGATTGAGACATATTTTTGCATATAATTATTTTCTTCAGAGGGTTTTGACCGTTAATTAGCTGGACTTCGACAGGGGTTTTAAAATAGGAAGAAATCTTGGATTTTATTATAGATACTACTGTTTCAACAACTGATAAAGGCCTATTTACTGGCACAAAAACAGCCTTAAGTCAGTATTTTAATAGTGAAAATGTCCAAGGGTTTAGTTTTTGCCCAATTTCTGAGTCAGCATTTGCGAGGCACACATGTCGTGAATAATCAGTCTTAAATCAGCTTACACTTTTCTCAACCAATTCATTAGACTCTGGAGAATTTGCAGCAACTTTGGTACTTTGAGTACTCCCAGACCCATAAATCTGTGTCACCTGGGTTTCCCATATATGATTAATAACATTTTCATCTTCAACATCTTTGAGATTGTGAACCACAATCACTTCTCTGAATATTTTTGTGCTCGAGTTTTGTAGACTTCGAGTGATTTTGTCTAAAAATCTTTGGTCAAGAGAGGTGAAATCATTGACAACACATATAAAATAGTCAGAAATTTCAAAAACCATGTCAAGAATAAAGAGTTCAGTTGCTTCTTTTTCTGCAACAGAAAATTCGTTTAGTACTTTTACAGGAGAGTAAGACCCTGCAGTATCGAGCAAAATTAAATTCGTGCCTGTGTCCATTTGGACATGCTTGCTCCCTCTGCTCTATGAACAAGTAAAAATCTCTATTTTGATAAAAAAATACTTCCTTGAGCGGGCAAAAATTTTTTATGCAAAATATTTTATATATAAATACAATATAAAAAGTTAATTTTATAAAAATAAAATAGCTCATAATATTTATAAAATAAATTCTTATATTTTAATTTTTTTGGGAAAAAACTCATGGGAGGAGTTAAAAGAAAGACCTCTTGTATTCACTTTCTTTCCTGAAGGCAAGTAAGAATCTGTTAAATTGTTTAACAGAAATGTTTTACCTTTATCATAAAGTCCTACTACAGAAACAACTGCTCCATCCCAAGAAGTATTTCCAGCATCATTTTTTATATTAGGCTCATTTTTAACAATCACTTCCCCTTTGCTATCTGCTTGGCTCTCCATCGTCTTTCCTCATGAGCTTCAGAATTTTTCAGAAAATTCGACTTCCCAGCCACTTTTACTGATATCAGTAATAAGTCCTATATCTACGATTCAGTCATAGACGTCAGTAGCGTTCAATGTGCCAGCGATCCTGTTGATTCTTTTATTAATCATATTTTTGGCAGCTGATGCTTCTTCTTTAAGTTTTTTGATTTCCTGCTCTAATTGACGGACTTGTAAGCTGTGACTTTTTTCATGAGATAAAAATGAATCTAAAAGATTCATTTTTTCCTGGTTTCTGATTTTAAGTTCTAACGCATAAGCTTCAATTAGGTCAACTTGATCTTGTTTTGAGGATTGTTGACTAATTAAGATTGGGAGAGACCTTGTAATTTGCTCCTCTTCTTCAGTGAGAGTGTTGAACAAGTCTGTTGCATGCCTGAGAAAGGTGTCTGAAGGGCTAGTGTCAGTTGGAGGAAAATTAAAGCTGCTGGAATTGTCATCTTGCCAAAAATCATAACGTGACATTTACTTACTTTTCATTACAATTTTATTCATTGTGCAATTTTTTCTATAAATTTATTTATAATTTATATCTAGAGTATGCATAGAGCGATTTAATAAAATAGGGATGATTCGAAATGATATCATGATCCATATTTACAAAAAATATTATTTCTAAATATTTTTTCTCAATAAAGCTAGAAAAGAATATCTAATATAGTCTAGGACTTCGCTTTGATTGCTTTGAGCTGTAAAATGCCCTGCGAACTAGTGGAGTAGTCTAGGACTGCATTTTGCAAAGTCAACTTCGCTAGCTGACAAGTGAAACCTATTATGGCACTTGCCAACTGGAGACTTGGTGTTGCAGCCCTAGGCAAGTCCATAGTATTTAGCGCAATTTGCAGCCCGGGGTAATCAAAGCAAGGCCCTGGGCTTATCCTTCATTAAGATTGTATAAGCCAAACAAAATAATTTAAACCATACGATATTTAATTACTAAAATAACAGCCGAATATGCTAATTAATAAATTATGAGTTAAAAGATGCTGATAAATGAGATCCTGAAGCTGCAAGTCCAGAATCTGGCATTGCATTAACCATAGTTTGTCCAAATGGTGGAGGCGGCATCCTCTTTTTCTTCTCCACCCTCTCAATAAAAGGTCTGTCTCTTGGCTTTTTAAGTGACGTGCTTTTCTTTTCCCACAATTCTTTAATAGATGCAAACGGCTCATCTTTCGGTTTCTTTATTTGATCTCCATAAATTTGCAAAGCTTCCTTTGAATTAGGGTGTTTTTTCGGAATTTTATCAGGTACAAAAGCTTGTTTGAATGGCGGATTTGTCCCCCATTGCTTATTCCTTAATATTGATAAATTGAATTTTTCAACTGGGTTCATTTCTTCTGTTTCCTCAATAGACTGACCATATTGTAAAATTCTATCTTTTTTAGACCTCGTATCAGGTTTTGGCAGTTTCACAGAAGGTTTTTCTGCCATTGAATCTTCTTCTGTAAGCTCTTCAACATCATGATTTTCTTCATCAAAATCTGGGATACTTTCGAGTAAGTCTCTTTTACTTTGTATATTGCTACCTGGTTTGAAGGATTCCTGGCTGCTTTGTGGGGAAGATTTTCTATCATAATTATCCCTCGGATTATCTACTATATCTTTATAGTTTGTAGGAATATGCTGGTCTGTAAGCGTCCTATATTCTTTTCTGGTCATTGTTTTCAGCTTTTCCGACGATTGATGGTTTGGATATTTTGTTCTGCTTCCCTCTACTACAGTTACGCCCGCACTTAATTTTATAGTATCAAATATAGGTGGTGCAACTGACGTTACATTTTTTACCCATTCCTGCTCTTGGAGTGGGGCTTGCTTTCTAGCTTTTACAATAGAAAACTCTTTCGTCTCTTTTTTAGGCTTTTTCTGATCTTTCGAGCTATTTTCTTCTACTACTGGCACAGGGAGTGTATATTTCATTATCATAGCTGTTGGTGGAATAGTATCATACTTAATTGCATTAACCAATACAATTTTCCCTTTGCTATCATATGTGAATAATTTATGTTTCAAATCTTCCGCTTCCCTTACAATTTTTTTTTCTTTTTCCTCTTCTTCCTCCTTTCTCAGCCTAATCCTTTCTTTTTCGTCTCTTTTTCTTTTCATTTCTCGTTCTTTTCTTTGTCTCATTTGTTCTTCCTCCTCAGAGATATCTTCTTTATCTTGTGCTATTGGTATTGGCTGCCCTTTGACTTCATCTATAACTTCTCCTTGCATTCCTCTGACGGTTTTATTAAGCTTGTTTACTTGGTTAAACACAGAGCGGCTTGACCTGAAGCTTTTTACACTTCGCATGTCAGCTGGCAGTTGTTGGTTTGATGTCTCAACTGAAGGCATTTTTATCTTTTTTTTGACTGGGATTGAGGCTCGTGCCCAGGTGTCTATTTTACATGGAACTGGCTCTTGGTCTTCTTTCCAAGCTTCGGTTTCACCGAGATCATGACGTATGAAATAGGCTTCTAATGTGTTTGCTAAGAGGGATTGAAGATTTTGAGATGCAAAGGAAACTGATTTTTGGTCTATATAGTGATCATAGAGGATTTCACCTCCTAGGGAGTAAATGCTTTGTATCGCATGGTATGCTGCAACCTCAGCATTTTCAAGGTCTTCTTGTATTTGGGTAAAAGGATCATCCATTTTATAAGTAATTCAAGATAAAAGAAATTTTTGAGAAGAAGGATCTATCTAGAAAATGAGATCTGAAAGAAAACAGAAATTTTAGTGAAATTTGAAATGGCTTTTGTTTTAGCGAATTTATTGATAATTTAGTCAAGTGGGTTCACATAAGGTGGCACCTGTCTAATCGTTTTTTGCTCCAATAAGTCTTGGTCTTCTTCTCTCAACTTCGAATTCTTTTCATATCTTTCCTTTTCTTTCTTTTCTCGGCTTAATTGAAGGTTTGCATCCCTTGTTGATGCCTGCATCATTCTTTTCTTGCTTTCAAGTTCGTCTTCAAGGAGTCCTCTCATTCTGTTGGCTTGCTGAGTTTGAAAGGCATATTGCATTTCTTCCTCTTCCTCCTGGCGCTTTTTTTCTTCATTCTGTCTTTTTTGCTCTTCGATCCATTTCCTTTGGGTCTCCTGCTGGGCTTTTTTACGCTCCTGGTAATGCAAATCTTCACCATCAAAGATGCGGCATCCTGAGATCCCATTACGGTCGTCTGGGTGCCCGTGGAGCCAATTTTCTTTCGTTCGCTTCATATTTAAATAACTGTCACAGAATTATATAAATTATTAAATTAAACGTTTATGTTGGAAACCGGCTAGCCTTCACCCGTCTTGTCTCCAAAACACCGCAATTTTTGATCTCTGACCTGAAACACCCTGTCCAAGATATCAGATCCCTAGAACAGGCACCTCCAATAGAATGCTCCAAAGACCTGATAAGGAAAGATCATATGGTAGGCATAGTCTATCTCGCCCATAGGAGTAGAAACAGCACTTCCCTCTTCAGCAAGGCATCTCCAAACCTGAAGTTCTACTTTAAAAAGGGACGCCATGCTTTCAGATTCATCAGGATGGCCAAACCTTCATACATAGGTAGTGCGCCTTGGAGTGCAATTTCCGTGAACGTCAGCATTTTATTTCTTCATAATTAGATAAGAATTTTTTAAATTTAAGGGAACATAACTTTTATTTAATATTTAATTTTGTTATATTTATACAAGAATTAAAATATAATAACTTATCAAAAATCTTACCAAAGGAAAATCTAAAGAAATTCAAATGCAATTTTATATTGATAAATGGATAAAAATGAGTTTCAAAGCTTAGCTCATTCTGAGAGTTGCATTCTTAATACTGATTCCTCTATAGAAGGCTATGTTTTAAAACTTTCCAAAAGGAAATGAAGATGAAACAAGAGATACCTCGTTCTGAAGCATGGATTTATTTCTTATTATAATAAAAAGCCTAGAGATTTAATCTACTTCGACTCATCAAATAAAGAAATTTCGATTCCAAAGGAATATGAAAAAATCCAAAATTGTGATGTCTCTAAAGTTAATGATGACTTTTGTAAAAAGAAAAATAAGCCTTTTGTGTTTCAGATATGCTTCTTTAAGAATGGTAAAGAAATCATATGAATTTTTGCTGTAAGCAGCGATTTATCATTACGTACATGATTAAAATGTTTAAATAATGCAAAAGAATATGAAAAAAAAATCAACCCAGGTGAAAAATTGGCTAAGTCTTATAAAGAAAGTGTCAGCTCTGAAAGTGTATCAAATATTTTTGAATGCAATATTGATCTAGACAGTGATTCTTCTGTACAACAACAAAATAATATAGTTGAAATTTGCCAGCCTGAAGATAATTCTGACGAAATTATTATTGAAATTAGTCAAGTTCAAGAAGAAATTATTGCAGAAAAAGAAGAAGATTCATTAGAGTTGCAAAAATCTGAAGAAAATATAAAACTAGAAAGCGAGATAGACTACCAATATCAAACATTGTGAATTAAAAGCATATTTATAGAGGAAAGCTATAGAGAAATATTTATTCCGTTTATTGATTATTTTGAAAAATTAGGAAGAAAAGTTGCCAAATTTATTGTTGAAGAAATTACAAATGAAAAGCAAATCAAACCTTTAGAATATTTTTCAATACCAATATACATTGTTAATAAAATAGTTTGCTTTGTAGCAAATAGTGAGGATACATGTAAAATACTAAAAAATGAGTATAAAGCTTGTAATAAAGTGACAAATTATATATCTAAGCTGATCCCAAAAAATGAAAATTTTGATATAAGATGCCCAATTACTTGCTTACTTCCTTTCTTCATGAGGGAGTAAAAGATTTCTAATATATATAGCCCGGATCTCCTTGGGCTGTATAATTAATTACCCCTTTTAGATCGGCCTAATAGCCGTTTAAAGTTTGAATTTTCACATAAATTTAACTGCCATTTGACTGTTGAAAAGCTTGCCAAACGCAATTTGGTTTGTCAATCCTCAGATGGTGTTAAGATTTTTTAAAATCGACATCTGAGGCCCAAAGAGTTAAAATGGTTCACAATGAGAATCTTTCAAGACACTGGCAGTATGCATGCTTTTATATGCTTAGTTATATTAAGTAAGAAAATGCTTACTGCAATCTTTATTCTGTTCTTATATATAAATAGGATAAGGGCTAATCAGTATAAATGCTTAATTAGATTAAATGAAATATTTTTTTATATATAATTAATAACTGTTATAGCGATATTATAGCTAATTATAGTAAAAAAATTTTTATAGAGTTTGCATTCTTAAGCATAAATTTTATAATTTAAATTCGTTTTTTTTCTTTTCAAATATGTTTTAAAATCTAGAAAAAAATATATATTATAATATTAATATAATTTGTTTTTTAAATTTAGAGGGTTAGTAGACTATAAAGGATACAGAGTTTTCTTAATAGCTTCTCCACCTCTTTATAATGAAGAATGTTTGCTATATGGGAGATCAGCTGATGGAACATTTTACTCATCATCTTATGTAAATGATCAAGTCAATCTGCTATTAACTGAATTAGGACTTTCTGGAGATTTTGATAAGAATTCGGCAACTTTTCAAGTCCATCAATGCAGTGGATATGAAAACTATGAAAATTATTTGGCAATAAACCGAAAAGAAATACAAAAAGACCCTCCTGGAGAACTTATTTATATTATAAATTTACATAAACTGCTATCAAATTGCTATGATAAAACGCAAAAATCTAGGAAAATAAACAAGAAAATTTTGAAATTAATCAATGATTTCGATAAACTTAGGCTCATGCCAATAGACTCACATTCATTAGAAAATATTCTCCATGAAAAAGCGATAAAATTAAATTGTCTGGGCAAAATTGCAATTGGGACTAAAATGCCACATATAAGAGAATTGTGTATTATTGAAATATTGGGAAGGACGATTAAAAATTTGTTTAGAAAAGAAATAAGAAAGAACTATTTTATGACTCCTGAAGAAACTTTAGATACAGAAACTTATGACTATGCTATAAAATGAATAAAATCACAGAGTTCAGATGATTATTCAGATTTATTAAAAGAAATTGATATAGAGCACTATCAGATTTTTGAGAATTTTATGATCCCTTCATGAGACATAATAGAGACTAATAGTATTCCAATGATCTTTAATAAAGGCAAAGCTACAAGAACAGACAGGATTACCCTTTTATTGCTGAACTATCTAAATCTGATCTTTGGAAATAATGAAGAATGCACTGATTTTTGAAATGATACTATCTGTGAATATGCCAAACATCATTTCGATATAGATTCAGAATACTTACAAAAAAAGAATTTAAACTTAAAAATGCTTTATGGGCATACTCTCAATCATTGTGGTGTTAAAATGAAGCTTTCTTCTTATCAAAAATTAGACAGTAATTGTGTAATTTTTACAGTTGATGACTTTATTCAATTTACAAAAAAATCAAAAATATATGACTTTAAGTCTCTAAAACGAAAATATCAAGCAGAATTCGATTATGACCCAAAAATTGAAAATTTTACATTTAAAGAACTCTCAATCTATATTAAGCACTTTCACAGCATTGATATATGCATAAAACATTTTGAAACAAAATCATCAGCAAATAATAAAATGGCTTCGTCTGAGTAAGTTCTCGCCGAGAACTTTCCATCCTTGCGATATTTTATTATTATAGGGCTGTTTTATCCAGTAAACCTTTATCCACAATACTAAATATTACTTACAGCATAGGGTAAGCGGATTTCACCAAGGATAAAATGAGGAATAGAAGCTTACTGCTAGACATAGCCCGAGTAGATTGATTATTAGGCAGAGCAAGCTCAGAAAGCAAGGCCAATGCATCTCAGTGCGACAAAGTGGCCAGGCCGGTAAAGTTATTGATAAAAAATAATAGGCTTGTCCTTCCATAAAAAGTGCAGAATTAGGCCTATTCACCCTGTCGAGCTGAGAAACGAGTTAAACAATAAATAATAAGTAAGTATTAGCAAATCATCATCAATTAAAAATTTTGAAGTTAACAGAATTAGGTATTTAGGTGTTCTTTTAATTGCATATTTCTATGCAAGTGAGAAAGAAAAAATGATGGAATGCTATGAAAGGTGTAAAGAACTCATTTCATTTAATTTCAATAAATATCATCCATTAGGATTTTTTATTGATGAAATTATGGCAGATATTTATATAGAAAGTCAACATTATGAAAATGCAATTTTATTGCTGAATAGTACATTACAAATCTCAACAATTTCACTGGGATCAAATCATGCTTATGTAGGGAAAATTTATGTAAAGCTTGGATTTCTATTTGATAAGCTGAGTTCTATTAAAGAATCAATAAATTCTTTTCAGACTGCTTATTCTATATTTTCATTAGCATGTGAAGATGATGAAGCTTATACTCGAATCGCTTTATTATTAGCTAAACTTTTATTTAAGCGTGAATCTATTGATGATGCAAATAGGATTTTCTTTCAATCATCTGATAGACTAAGCAATGAAAAATTAAATACTGAAATCATTAGCTCATTATATGAACTTATTTAATTTTATTAAATTAAATTGCCAGCCCAACTCCTCCAGTTAACCAATGCTTCCTGATCAACTCTACCAGTTCGATGGATATCATGCAGGCAATGGAGATCTAAAAGAGGCCCACCGTTATATGAATTTGATAGTTCCAATTTAAGCTTAAATATTATTTATCTTTAAATAAATCATAATGGATATTTTCAAATATTAAGAATCATTATAATAAAATCCGATAATTGGACAAATAGATTTTAATTGAAAAGTACTTTAAATAGGACAAACCTTTAATAAAACACCAATTTCCTGTTCTGGCTCTGCTGAATAAAATCATTCTTAAACACATGTCTCGCTAACAATTTTGCCATTTTGTTAAGCTGCTGCATTGTCAAACCCTTTTTCAGCTTTGGGCACGAAAAAAGCTCATCCGTCACTTTTACTGCCACCAAATTCGCTTGAGCTTTCATAGCAATAGGAATATTCGCATTTTCAGAAAAAGTCACAATTTTTCCGTTATCTTTTCTTGTTTTTTTAACATAACTTGGAAAGTTCATAATAATAGTTCTACGAATAGGTGCAGCCGGTAAACTTTCTTCTTCAGAAAACAAGACTCAAATAAAAAATGGGACTTATCTGACTCATCCTTCTTCTCCCACGCTCTCAGGTTGGTTTTTGCGTTCCAGAAGATAAGGGGGCTGAAACTTGTTTCCGGGGTGGGTTTTTCTCCCTGGCCGCGACACCACACTGCAGGGTTTTAAACCGACCCATAGACAAGAAAACCAGAGTGTATAAGACAGCTCCGCATTTTAAATGCGAAGGGTAAATGGGGACCAGAAGGATGATTTGGGGTCGTGTTCTATCTCCCATCGCTGGATAGATCATGCCGACCGCGAGGAGTTATCCAAGGAAGCACCTAGGTGCGTCTCTCCAAGAGGTGGCGACATCACCATTTTTTGTTGATGTCGACAGAAAAGGCTTAAGTGCAAGCCGATATCTAGGGCGAGAAGCTTGAAGTCAGCGAAGGCTAAGAGGGGCTGAAATAAACCCAAAGACTCACTCAAGCTTAGCATAATCTAGCTAATCTTCAGGAAACAAAAAAGACTCTACTTGAAGTGTAGAAGCTGCAGGCTCTTCTAACTCTTCTATTGGGTGAGTTTTTAATGCAATTCTAGGCTTTGTGGAACTCATAACTGAAGTAAATGAGCTGTCTGCGTCTATATGAGAAAGAGAGGAATCTTGAGGGTTGTTTATGGGTGATAGCTCATCTTTAGGAGAAGAAAGAAGAGCTGCAGGAAATGTTGCTTTTCGCTTGGATGTGTCATTTTTGTAAGGAAATTTGGATTCTTCTTTTGGATTGGATTGTCTGGGTTCTGGAGTTGTAGATTTACGCTTATAGAGATCGATTTTGTAGGTAGATTTTCGGGGCTTTTCAAGATCAGTGTCATCTTGCAATTTGGCTGGATCAAGCTTATAAGAAATTCTGGTAGAGTCTGGCTTTTCTGGCGAAGTTGGGCTTTGGTCAGGAGGTGATCTAAACTCAGGCTGGATCATTTTATAGCATTTTATATCAATTTTCTTTGGAAGCTCTTTTTCTTCTGGTGTAGCAGGGCTCTGGTCCTGCGGTGAAAATCCAGGCTGCGTTAGCTTGTAGTTATTTACATTGATTTTATATGATATTGTTTTTTCTCTTGGCTTTGCTTCAGTTTTCTCGTGTTTCGGAGATACTTCTTGTGTGTTTTTTCTATTTTTGAGATCGATTTTATAAGAACTCTTCTTTTCAATTGTTTCATTTACTATTTCAATATTTTTGGTTTCATTTGTTATATAAGGAGAATCTAGCATTCCATGTGTCATATTTCTCTTTTTAAGATCAATTTTATAAGAATTTCTACTTTCACTTGTTTCTGTATAAGAACTATTTATTGATTTATCAAGGATTTCGTTTTTTGGCTCATTTTTCCTTTCTTCAACATTTTCCTGTGTAGTTTTTCTTTTCTTTAGATCAATTTTATATGAATTTTTGGAAGATATATTTCCAGAAAAGCTAGAGTTGGCGGATTGGTCAAGATTTTCACCTTTAGGATCGTAACTTTCAGATTGGTCTAATAAGAATTTATTAATAGTCATTTTGTAAGATTTTTTAGTTTCTTTGGAAGTATTCAAATCAATAAAAGAAGAGTCATTTATGATTATACTCTGGCTGCTTGTATCTCCATTGTAATTGGAAGAAATCATAGGCTGAGACACTGCAAAGGATATTGATCGTTCAGCATTTTCTTGGCTTGGAAATGAAATGTTTTGTTCATCAATTAATTCACTTATACCTGAAGGATGATTTTGCTTTATTTCTTTATCTTTAGGATTTTTTAAAGGCCTAACAAAAGGTGGTGGCTTTCTATGTAATTTAATATTCGGTCTTATAAACGGAGGTGGCTTTTTATGCTGTGATTCCATTTTTCTTGCAATACATTATTTAAAATCTTAGCTTATCTCTTATCATTTTCAAGTTTTCCTTAATAACCCTAAAATCATTTTTAATTAAAATATATCATTATTCTGCATAAAATACCACATGAAGCGCAATCGCAAAAAAATTTCTCAAAAACTATTCACACCCCTTACTAGCCCTCATCCCCTTGGCTCTTCAGCAAGAATTTCCACAAAAGGCTACTCAGAAAGTTATCGTGAAATTTGTTCAAAAATTCATATAATGCCTAACAATCACATAACTTCAGATCTAAGAAATTGCGAAATGAAATTAAACGTTGATGAATTAAAGGATAAGGATTTAAAGTCAATTCAAGCGTCTTTGCCTGGTTTTCAACTTTTGAAAAGGATTTTTATTTGAGGCAGGAATTTTACTGATTTAGTGCTTGAGCATGATTTTTACAGCTCTGGATCTATGATACCTTCAGCTTCTGAGCCTTTTCTTAAAGTAAAATCGCCTAGAAAATTTTATTTAGTCCCAAACCCTGAAGATAAATCTGACTCTGAAATCCACATCGACCCTGGCACAGTTTGCAATAGTAGAAATCGCAGCTACAATGCAAAAGTATTAAAATCTTTATCACTGAATATGGCTAATAACAGAGCCATGACTGATATAAAATTAATTGGTTTAAAAATTGGCAAAGAAGGCTGGAATTTTTTAGCTGAAGGTTTAGAAGGAGAAATCCCACTTGTTAATCTCTATATAAACTTCTGCAAGATGGAAGATGAAAATTTAAGCGTCTTAATACCACCGCTTATGAAGAGCAAAACTATTAAAAATTTAGATTTTTCTAGCAATGAACTCGAAGAAAGCAGCGGATATGATATAGGAAGAATTATAAATATGCAAATAGAAAGGAGAGATCATGATATGTGGCTTGCAGGTCTACGCGGAAGTTATATAGAAAACCCTAACAAAGAAGGCCTAGAAGAGCTTAACCTCAGCAATAATAAGTTAAAAGATAGAGCAATATATGACCTATGCCATGCATTTTATCATGATAATGTCCTCCGCTGCCTTGATTTAAAAAAAAATAAAATCACCCTTGATGGTATCAAAGAAATTGTCAGTCTCCTATATTCAAACTCATCTTTATTATTTTTAGATATAAGAGAAAACGTAAATAATGAAGGGACAGGAATTTTAAAGGCAATAATAACCAAGCTGAGAAAAAATTTTGCTGAATATTCCCATGAAAATGAAGAAAACAAAGCTTGGAAATCAAAATTAATGAAGCTTCAGCAGGCCATTGACCCAATTTTTATTAGCGAGCCTAATAGTTTTAAGCATGAAAAACAGCCCAAAAAGGTCAAATTGAGGAGAAAAGATACATTTGATTCTGATGAATATAAAAATGATGAATTGGCAAATAAATATCTTATGAAGTCTCATAGCGAAGAAATATCGAAGAATAGTAGTGAAAGTGACAGCGAAAGTGAAGAATATATAAGACCAAGGCAAAGCCTTGGTAATGAGCATTATTTATTACAAGGACAGAGATCACACGATAAATGTTTGCAATGCCATGAATATGAAGAAGCATTAGAAAATGCTGAAAATGTATGCAGAGCATTAAGCATAGAAAATACAAATTTAAAAAAGCAAATAGAAACTCTACGGAAAAATGATAGAAACCAGCAATCGTGGTCGAATTCTGCAATAAGCAGAGTTGAAGGACAAGTTGCATATATTGCTCAACCTGAAAGCATTTCAGCCATAAATGCAAGTGTAAGAATAATTTAGAAACAAGCTCAAGGGGGGACAGGGGATGACCGAGGAGCTTTACAAAGGATAGAAGCGATGATGTCAGAACTAACTAGATTGATGGATGTACTAGAAATGTCAAATAGAGCTGGGAATGCACAGAGCTCTGTGCTTTAGTTAAAAATTATTAAAAATTATTCTATTTTTTAATTGAGTGAATTTTATACACTCCAGCAACCAATGATGGATCGAAGAGCAAACCCTTTAAACTCAAGACAAAAATTAATAATTTTTAAGCAGTCTAATGAAACTACTGATAAAATCTATGTAGCAAGGCCAATTGTTATAAATTTAATATACTTTTTCTTGAAGAATATCAAGCTAACTGCGAAAAAAGATGTTAATCAAAATGAAAAAAATGAAAGTTTTTTTGAAGTAATAATAGAAATGTGGAAATTAAAAATAAATAATTTTCATTTTATCAGTCTTCTGATTTAAATTATAATATAGACAAATACAACTATAGCCAAAAAAATGCAAGCAATTTAAATTCTTTTAATAAAATTCTGATCACCTTGAACTATTTCATATTATGATTAAAAACTCAACGTAAATCAATTTTAAATGGGAATTTGTTTTACCAAGCCTAGGCTAATAGGACTAGAACACTCAGAAACCAAAAACACTCCAATAGTAATCGAGCGTAAAAAAGGCCACAGACTTTCCGTCGCCTTACTACCAGAGCGCGATATCAGCGAACCTCTTAATGAAATTATCCTTAATCATTCCAAATCGATACGCTCTGAAAAGCCTGATGCAGAAGAAGAAAGTAGAGGCTTACTCGTGTTAAATTCTCGCACAATAATTGAAGGAATGCAAAGCACTCGAATTCAAAAAGGTTTTGAAGACAAAAAAATGAACATCGACGGCGATTTCGCCAAAATTGAAGCGATTCAATCCATGGGGATTGGATTTGCGTGCAAAAAAGGCTTAAAACCACATGCCCCAAATCAAGATGATTTTGCAATAGTTTTAGATGCAAATTTCAAGTTTTTCGGGGTTTTTGACGGGCATGGAACAGATGGGCATGAAGTGTCAAACTATATACATTCAAGGCTACCAACAACATTGATGACTCATCCGTCATTTGAAAGCGATATTTTAACAGCCTTCACTGAGTCATTTTTACAAACAAACACGAATTTAAAAGACTTGTGCGAATCTGAAAATGCGAAATTTGAAAGTACACTATCAGGATCAACCGCAACAACAGTATTACTTCGTGGCACACATATATAACGATGACCCCCCCTTCAATCTTCATGCCTATTGCAACAAAAATGCAATTTTTTAATATAAAATTTTTATATAAAAAAAAAAATTTTCATGTCTCTTGCAACAAATTTTAAAAATTTTTGTTGCAATAGACATGAAGATTGAGGGGGTTCATCGTTATATTGGCCACGTAGGAGACTCTCGAGCTATAATGGGCATCAAGCGTGCAAATACATTTGAAGCAGTTCGACTCACACTTGACCACAAGCCTATGCTTCCTGAAGAAAAAGAAAGAATCGAATCTCGCAACGGTGAAGTAAAAAAGCTGCCTGATGACATTCCTCATAGGATCTTTGTAAAGGGAAAAGATTATCCAGGGCTATCTACAAGTCGTGCAATAGGAGATTTTTTGGCACAAGAAGTTGGAGTAATTTCAACTCCTCAAGTTTGTGATATAGAGCTTACTGAAGAATCCACATATTTAATCATGTGTAGTGATGGAGTATGGGAATTTATTAATGACCAAGAAGCTGTTGATACTGTGTCAAAGTCAGGAACTAACGCCAAACAAGCTGCAGAAAGGTTAGCCAGCCTAGCTTGGGGCAAGTGGATCCAGTATGAAGAAGATGTTGTAGACGACATCACTGTTATTGTTGCATATCTTCCTAATCTAGTCAAATTTTAATATTGTATTTAACATGAATCATATGATCCCTTCTTGAATTCTAGACCATTTAGAGAAAAGGAAGCGTATCAAGCCTTTCTCAATTTTGGCGACGAATAGAATAGTTTCACCTTTAGGGAAATTTTCGCCAAGTGAATCTCCATTAAGATGAAAGAATTTAAGTGTTTTATCAACAAAAAGCCCTGCTAGAGAAGTTACTAATCATTATGCAAAGAAACAGAGAAATATGAGCAAGTATTATCATTTGGAGAATGTGGTTTTGAGAAATGAAGAAGGAAAAAATAAAACGATCAGCTTAACTTCAAAGAGCAAGAGTATTTCTCCAGGTGAAAGAAAGAAAAATGAAATTTTCAATAAAAAATCAGAGAACGACTCTTTTGAGTCTTCTGATTTCATTATATTTGACACTTGCAAGCAAGCGCCAATCCTCAAAGAAAAATTTCGGCAAATTCTGCCTCCTATAAAAAAAAGGATAAGAAAACCCCGAGAAATCATAAAATTCGAAAATTCAGGAATTCAATGCGAATCTCCAAACCTAGACCGTGCGAATGAGACTCAAAGCAAAAGTAAGACAAATAAAAAAGACCGACTATCAGAAACAATTAACGATTCGAAAATTAAAAATCAGGACGGCAGCATTGATAAAAATTCTACTCATTACAGTGTATCTGGATGACGGCAAGCTGAGGAAAACGGTCACAATACATAAATGTTTTAAAATGTCTTATTCATAAAACTCACATTTTCAAATAAATCTATATATATTAAATTTGTAAAAATTAAACAAGAATTTATTGGGAATTTCCAAGTTATAAAAGTAATTTCTCAGCACAAAGTCTCATATAAATAAATGTCCACAGCCTATAATTTTTAAAATGGGCACCTCCTCATCAGAGATTTTAGATGTATATTGGAATCATCTTGACATTGAAGAAAATATCAGCAATGCAGTATTGAATATGGATACCGAAATCCCGTGCTTTGTATCTGAGTCTATTAGTGTAGTATCTGAACCTTCCTCTCTCATACGATCAAAATGGCTGTCAACATTGACATCAGGGATTTCAACTGTAATTTTAATATAGACTTTGGAATGTGCTGGAGTAGCTTCTTTAGCGCTTATCAAAATAATAAGAAATTCAGAGCCTAGAAACTGTGATGACAGTTCATCAGATGAATCATTAGAAGAACTGATGGCTCCTCGAATGAAATTATCGTCATCGAAATCTTGTCCAGAGCTAAGTAAGCTTCATTCATAATATACTAATGATTTGATTGTTATAATAGAAGTTATTTTGATGATAATGAGATAAAAGAGATAAAAAGCAAAGAAATAGCAAGATAGATAGGGATTATTCCATAACTTATTTTGAAATTCAATGAAATTAAACAGAATTAGACTTTTTATTGAAAATATTAAAAAACTATACTTGAATTATAATAAATATCAATATAAAGACTCTTGAATTCTATGCCTTATTTGAAAATAATAAAATTGTCATCTTGAGCTATTATTCTAACTTTGCTATCTCCATAATATTGATTATCAGTTCAGGTACTCTAAACTAGAGATAATTTCAATAAGTTAAAAATAAATTCCTCGCTATTTTCCTGAATAATAAATGGCTACAGACAGAACCGAAAATTTTAATCAGTTTTACCAAACTTTTAACCTCAGTTTTACACACAATGTCAAGAATGAATTAAAAAAAATCATTAATCGCAGCAAATCTACTGGAAAAATACCACCGATACATTTGCAAGAAGATTTAAAACGTAATGACTCGCCTGAAATAAAGATCCAAAAGGTTTTTGTTCCTTTTTTGCATGAGCGCGATAGCGTAGGAAGACTTCTTACTTCAGAACCCACTAGAACAAAATTGTGAAAGCATGCATCAATTGACCGTTATCAAGAAGAAGCTGATTTAAGGAAAAAGAGAAAAATGATGCTGATCTTTCCAAATCGCCGAGAAACTGTAGGTCCTGTATTTGCTCAGTATCATAACCCTATACCTTGGATTAAAAGAAGCTACTCAACACATAAAATTAAAAAGCCTAAAGAAAATAAGACTTTAGACAGCCCAGAATTAAAAGCCAAAACTCCAGATATCAGTCCTATTAAAGCTCATTCGGAAAAAGTTGTAAAGAAATATAAGAGGCAGTTGACGAATTTTTTATTGAGGAATATTCATAAGAGAAAAAGAGATACAAAAGAGGAAGAATTTACAAAATTTGATATATTAAAGCCAGAAGTCTTGGCAAAGATCAGAGCAAAAAATAGTTTTGGGAGTATCAAAATACATGGTACACCCAGCGAGATTGAAGAAGTTCTGAAATTTAATTATATAAGAGAAAGGGAAAAGGAAATTACAATTGAGCTAAAAGCAATTTCAAGCGCCTTGCAAAAGAATAGAGGCTCAAATTAGCAAAAATATAGCGTGTATTTAGTGTATTTAAAATTTATATTCGAATTTTATAAATCAGTCTTAAAAAGAAACAAGTAATTTCTTATTTTTAGTATAATGCTTACTAAAATCTATGCTATATTATTCTTTTACTTAATAAAATATTCCAGATATTCTTAATTCCTATGCAAGCTGATAAAAATATGGAACAAGCTGAGAGTTTTAAAGCTAAAGGAAATGATGAGTACCGAAAAGGCAATTATCAAGCTGCCACTGATTTTTACACTCAAGCAATTGAGGCCCAGCCAGATCAATCCACCTATTACAGCAATCGTTCAGCATCATTATTTATGTCAAAACGATACAATGAGTCCCTCCAAGATTGCTATAAGGCCCTTGAGATTGATCCAAATTTTGTTAAATGCCTTCAAAGAGCTGGCAAAATCCATCTGATTTTCGGCAATTATGATCAATCTAAAGACTTTTTGACTCGAGCTGTCCATGTGGAGCCAAATAATGACTCTGTAAAGTCCGACCTTAAGCTATTAGAAGATGCAATCGGAAATTACTCAATGCTTATAAATATGAAAAATAACGCTCAATATAGCCAAGCTCTTTATTTCCTAGATAAAGTGAGTGAACAGTCTCCTGAAAAGCAGGGTTTAAAGCTTATTAAACTAGAGGTCTTAATAGATTCAGGCAATTTGGATAGAGGACATCAATACAGCACTGAGCTTTGGAGCGAATATTCTACAAACCCAGACTATTTGACATTAAGAGGTAGATGTTTTTACTATAAAGGCTTACCAGATCAAGCTAGAAAGTTGTTTCAAGAAGCATTGAAATTTGACCCTGACCATCAGTGGGCTGGAAATATGCTAAAAAATTTACGAAAAGTGGAGAAATTTAAAGAAGAGGGCAATAAACATTTCTCTGCAGGAAATACTCAGGAAGCTATTGAGGCTTATACTCAAGCTTTGCAGGTTGATCCAAAAAATAAAAATATGAATGCCATTATCCTAGCTAATAGAGCAGCAGCACATATGAAGAAGAATGCTTATATGGAAGCACTTGTAGATTTAAATAAATCTATAGAATTGAATCCAGAATACACAAAAGCTTATATGAGAAGAGGAAATGTTCATTCACATTTAGAAAACTATGAAGATGCTATAAGAGATTATAATACAGTAAAACAAAAAGATCCGCACTATGATGATATTGATAATACGATTCACTTGGCACAAAGTAATGCAAAAAAAGCTAAAAGGAAGGATTATTACAAAATTTTAGATGTTGAAAAAAATGCTACTGAAAGTGAAATCAAAAAGGCCTACCGAAAGCAGGCGCTTAAATGGCATCCTGATAAAAATTCTGAAACAGAAGAGTCAAAATTGCAAGCAGAAAAGAAATTTAAAGATATAGCAGAAGCATATGCAGTGCTAATCGATCCAACTAAAAAACAACAATATGACAGTGGAATGGATCTAGAAGATATAGAAAACGGTATGGGAGGATTTTCAGGGTTTGGAGGTGGCGGAGTTGATCCTTCGCAGATTTTCCAGATGTTCTTCGGAGGAGGTGGTGGAGGCGGATTTGAAGACATGGGGGGATTTGGAGGATTTCCAGGATTTGGAGGAGGAATGGGTGGCAGATCAGGTGGGCATAGGCATGGAGGATCAGGAGGGTTCCCAGGTAATGTCAAATTTACATTCAGGCGTGGGTAATATTTTATGAATTTATCTCTATTAGGATTATTAATAACACACAAAGGTTTGAAAAATTCTTTAATGAATGAATAATTGAAATTCCAAACCAATAAATTCGTGATATGAAGCCAAATCATTGTAAAAATTAAAATAATGGGCTTTTATAAAAAACAAATTAATTTAAATATAATTTTGAGCAATAAAAAATTTAGCACAGATAGGTGCCTTTTAAAGAAAATGATAAATATTTGATATTTTTTAGGGAAAAAATCATCTTATGGTTTAATAAAGCTTAAAAAATCCAGTTTATCATATATACCTTATATTGGAATTTTGAAAATGGCTCAAAAGCTAAATATTCATGACTTTGAGCTTCTTCAAACATTAGGAACAGGTATTTTATAATCAGGATCATATGGACGTGTCCGCTTAGCTAGAAACAAAAACTCTGGGCTTCTAATTGCAATAAAAATGCTTAAAAAATCTTCAATACTTCGAATGAAACAAGTCGATAATGTGATATCTGAATTTACAATTTTGCGAATAATAAGGCATCCTTTTCTGATAAACTTATTAGGATTTTCTCAAGATGATCGATATTTGTACTTTGCATTAGAATATATAAAAGGTGGGGAATTGTATATGCGTATACACGAATCATCACGACTTGAGCCAGAACATGCAAAACTTTATGTAGCACAAATAACCCTTATGTTTGAATATTTGCACTCAATAAATATCATATATAGAGACCTGAAGCCAGAAAACCTACTAATCAATGATGATGGCTACTTAAAACTTATTGATTTTGGCTATGCCAAGATCGTCGAAGGAAGAACCTATACTCTTTGTGGCACACCTGAATATCTCGCTCCAGAAATACTAATGAATCGAGGATACGGGAAATCAGTTGATTATTGAGCACTAGGGATTTTAATCTATGAAATGCTTAGTGGGATAGATCCATTTAGTGATGAAGATCCTATGGCAGTTTATCAAAAAATTTTGAAAGGAAAATTCCGGTTTCCTATAGATTTTGATAGGAGAGCAAAAAGTTTAGTCAAACATTTATTAGTCGCTGATATAAATAAAAGGTATGGCACTATGAAAGGAGGCTGCGAAGATATTATCAACCACAGATGATTTGAAGGGCTGGACTGGCAGAAGTTATTTCATAAAGAAATAATAATGCCGTATATGCCTGGACAAAGAAACCTAAATGATACAAGTGTTATGTCAGGTGAGCAGGAGTCAGATACACAATCGCCAGGGATTAGACCTAATGATGATCCATTTTTAGACTGGTAATTTAATTTTTATTAATATTAAAATACTTCACTGTATGGAGTTAAGTCATCCTAAAGCAATTTCGAACTTCCAAGATGGCAAAATAATTAAACTTAGAAGCATAATCCAAGATATCCCAATCAATCCTAGCGATCTTTCTCTTAAGCTTGAACTTCAAAGCAATTTACTAAAATTCAAGTATGATATATTTAGAGGCGAATACTTAAATAAATATCGGTTAAACAGCTCCTTTTCACCTATACTGAGTTCAAGAAAAGATCTGTGTAAACATAAAGCAATTGAAATTCAAAAGAAAAACGAAAATAAAATGAAAAAGAAACTGCAAAGGAGGTATGAAGAAGAAATAAAAAGAGTTGACGAAGAAGTGAAAGTTATCACATGCAAGTTTGATAATTTTCAATTAAAAGATAGCTTTAAAAAAATGAATAAAGAAGCACTTAAAAGAAGGTTTGATTTAGATTTGTACAAGTATAAAGCAGAAAAACTAGATATGGATAAATTAAGAAGACTTGCAAAGTCTGAGTTGCTTAAAGGTGAAGTAAATCAAATGAAAAAGCAGAAAGAACTAAATCAAAAGAAAGTAAAACATAGAAGATCAAGTATAACTGTTCCAGATATCCAAATCAATAGTTTTCTAACTGAAATCAATACTTTTATAAGCAAATAAAAAACTCAAATTTTTAATTTACATTGCCATTTTGTTTATTTACCCTGGCTTCTCTGTTTTATATTTTTATTTTTGCTCTTATACACAAAACATCATTATTATACTAATTCGTGAAATTCCTTTAAATTAGTAACATAAATTTCAGTCCAGAATAGCATAATGTATTGATTCTTAAATTAAATATGATCGCTTTTGAAGTTCTATCTCGTATTTTCCTTCATCAGCTATATAGTACATTAAAACTATTTATATGCTGATGGAAAGAATGACTATGCCTAAAGTGTGCTGAATAAACATAATTCGTTTTTGAAATTTAAAATGGATAAAAACTATCGTGATTATTCATCCTCCGTCAATCGTTATGAAGAAAGCACTTCACAAGAATCAGTATCACTACCATTAAGGTTTATTGCAGATGACACATTAGAATATTCAGCTCATACAAGTCTTTTGCAAGTTCTTTTTTCTGTTGATTCATTCTTGAGAGCAATTATCGAAGCTGAATTTTCCAGGTCAAATATATGTGAAAAAATTAAAGTAAATTACTATATAGGATTTAGCTGAAGTTTATAACTATTCAAAGGTTCCATCTGGTACAATAAACATCAATACCTTGCTTCCATGATTTCCAAACTCCTTGAAATCATTGAACACAAATCCAAAAGAGATTTTGGAGTTTTTAATAAACGAGTTTAAAGCAAGTCGAGGGAGATTCAATATTGACTCGATTTTTCTGCAGCAAAATCAATCTTTTGCTATAAAAGTATTGGCAAGTAGCTTTAAAGAAAGTGATGATTATTCACAAATGGTTAAGAAAGAAATTAGCACTTTAAACCAATCAGCAATAGTGATTGTAGAAATCAAATGAGACTTAAACCCTACCAGTGAAATTATCATAAGAATCATGAAATCAATGCTGTCATTCAATAACGAAGATTATGAATTAGCTGGAATTATAAACTATAATGGCTGTTTTTATTCATCCATTATAAAAAGAAATGATAAATGAATAATATTTGATGAATGTTCAAAATCTGAAATGGACTGAAACGGAGTCATGTGGACTTCAGCAAGCCGTTCGCTATATCCTAGCTTACTAATTCTAAAGCAATGCTATAATTATGATTCAAATTCCTATAAAATTTCTGTTCCAGATTATGACAAACTTTTAAAATTTGCGCAAAAAAAGGATGAATCTACAAGAATTTCTATATGTGAATTAGCGAGAGAATACACAAAACCACCAACACCTATAAGAGAAAACAAAGGTATATTAAAAGACTCTATTACCAAAGCTTCTAAGCCTGTTGATATCTCTATCCCTAATAGTGAGCATCCTCGAAAAATAAATGTTATTGACACAATCCCAACTAAAGATACTTCAGATGCTTGAAAATGCAAAAAATGCTCGAACTCGATCCAAGGAAATATTTATGAGTGTCCTGAGTGTAGAATTATTAATTGAGATAAATTTTATGAAATAAAATCTAAGCAGACAAGGAACAGGATTCCTGTGGTTTCTTCATATACTCCTAAGGAAGATCCCCAGACTCATAATTCGTTGTTTGATGACCCTAAATGCTCATTGAAAAAGAATGATGGAAATAAGCAACTTCCTCCATCTTTATCTTCTTATGTGCAGCAGGAATCTTTTAAAGAAAAAGCCAAAAATTTTTACATTTTAACTGATGATGAGCCGACGTTTAGAAACCAGACAAAAGAAGAAAAACCAAGAAATTTGAGCTCAAGTGCAAGAATAGAGGCTAATAAATCAGTACTTGCGTCTACAATTTCAGGGACAAGGTTCCAGTTTCCTAAGCCATCTACAAAAAATGAAGAGCCGTCATCTGATTTTTCTAAATATGAATCCAGACGCCCATTAAGTACCACAAATAGAAGTCTTCTCGAAAAAAATAAATCCCCACGAGAAGGATCCCTTACCAAAAGAGTCACATTTGCCCAAGATGAAGTCAAAAAGCAAGACCAAAGCAAATCTTATAGAGAAGACAATTTACCATGAAGAGAGTCTAAATCTTTGCGGGTTGAGTCCAATGTAGGCTGAAAATGTGAAATCTGTGGAGGCTCCAACTCCTTAATGTTCTATCTATGTAACGTCTGTAGAAAACCCCGCCCAAGTGACTATGATAAAAAAAATGATGAAAAATTAATATCAGGTCGCAGATGGGCTTGCGAAGAATGTAAGTCAAGCAATTCCATTTTTTCTGACTGTTGCTGATACTGTAAAAGTCCTCAAAGATCAAAATCAGTAAAAAATCTTCATGAAGACCGCGCAGAGTTCAGAGCTTCAAGCTATATGGTAAAAGAAAGAAGAGGGCGTGAAAGTATGTATCGCTAGTTTAGCTAAACCTCAAAACATTAAATTTTAATTATGGGTTGTTGTCAATGCAAACCAGAGTTTAGAGAGCTCTACCAATTAAGCCCAGCTACAAATATTCAGCTCACATCAGCTTTTACATTTAAAGATGCAGATTCTTTTGACGATATTAGCATTCCTTCGCATGACAACAGTATTATAGTTAGTACAATTCCTAACGATCCATCGTATACTAATCAAAATACTGCAAGATCACCTCCAGAAACACCAAGGCCGAGGTCTACAAGTTATTCACCATTGGGCAGGAAAAGCGATTTAGAGACTGCATTTCTGTTTAGTGGTCCTATTTTTACAAAACAGAATCTAGATAATGATGGGGTGAAAAATGAGATTCCTTTGCCAAGCAGAGAAGAAAGATTGAGAATCAAGCTTTCTTATTGGAAAAGAAGAAGCTTTACCGGTGTTTTTGATAAGAAACAGGAAAGTTTGGCAATTAATGAAATAGTCAACGAATTAGAGAAGAAGTTTTCAAAAGAAAATGACGAAGATGGTGGGTATGAAGAATTTCAAGATAAAGTTTAATATAAATTTTGTGATAACATAAACTAGAAATTTATAATTTAGATGTAAGTAATTCAGTAATGAAATTATAGAAATTATGAAGATTTTTGAAATTGATTTGGAGTTTGATACTGACCCATCATAAAACCTGTCATAAATGGGTTGTATGCCATCATTGGGGCCATTTGGTTAGCAAAAGGTCCTTGCTGCATTGATGCATTTACAGCAGGACTTGATTTATCTTCATAACTAAATAATCCATTCCCAAAATTCAGTGTTTCTACGCTATCAAAAGATTTTTCATTTGTTTTTGGCTCATTTAATACATTTACATCTAATAAATCAATTTCGCTATTCTCTTTTGTCTTTTGTTCTGGGCTTTTTGATGCTTCTTCAGCAGTTTCAAAAGGGTTTTTAGCATGAACATTATTATGCTTTGAATTAAATGCATTTTCCCTTGAATCCTTTGGAATATAATCATCAAAAGATTCATCAGTCATTACATGTGATGGTCCTGGCCCTCTTTTGAACCTTTTTTGATCTTCATATATATCTCTTTCTTCCTTTCTTGTAGGATTTTGCAAGGAAAGTCTTGGCAGCCTATAAGGAGTGACATAGCTTTGTTTTCTTGCTTCTCAATTTGGCTCTTCTTTGCTTTCTTCATAGAGTATCGTCCCTGAATTTTCTTGTCAGCTTTGAGCGACTTCAAGTGTATTTGAATAATTAAACAAACTTTGACGTGAACTTATGCTTCTGCAAGATTTCAGACCTGGAAGATCGAAGCCTTTTAATAAATCATCAAATGATAAATTTTCACATCTAAGATCGTATTGATTATCACCAATTTGATAGATATATAATTTGTGGGAATAAATTTTGACCGGGTATATAGAAAAATTTGTTGTATTTTTGGTGTTTAGTTTGATTTCTCCATTAAGAAGAATCTTCCTCTTTCCAGATAGCTTGCTAACATAGAAATTCAGGGTATAAACGATTCCATCAAGCTCAAATTTTCAAGTGTATTTTCTTTTAGTTCTTTTAATCATTTTCCCAACATTTAAAGCATCGAAGTGTAAAGGCTTAAAGCTTTCTGACATTTGTATTTTTTCGAAAAAATTATATTTAAGTTATATAGCAAATTAATTGAAAAGTCTAGAAATTAAAAGTAAAAAAATAAGAGTTGATACCATTAGTAACTAAAAAATATGTTAATAATTATTATCATAATTTTAGGCCTACAAAGGACTGAATCTAAAGAATACATGGAGTTTTTTAATCTTCTTGATTAGTCAAAAATGGGCTAAAGCATGTCCTGCTATTTCCATTTTAATTCAAATTTAAAAAACAAATAGGCCTTATATATTGCGAGAATTGTTAGCATACTAATATAGAGAATTTTATATTGATAATAATTATTTCTTTGCTACTTATTTATATAACAAAATATTTTTATAGCTTAAAAATTGAGAAAATTTTATTTGGCAGCTAAATGGAAACAAAAAGAACCCTTATGCGCTCAAATCACTGCAAAGCTTAAAAGCTTTTAAATGTTATGCAATACTGTATCTTTGTATTTTAATATGCCGTTTATCTTACTCACTTCAACTGAGAGCTTAAAAGTGGTTGCTCAGTTTACCGTTTTGTTCTTACCACCATCGATCATAAGCTACTTTGGGTATAAAATTTCATAGCAGACGATGCTTCAAGCATTTAACTTTATTTTGGTGTGCTGAAGTGCTTAAGTTTCTTTCAATATTGATTCTTATCGCATCGTTTGCCAATTTTTGTTATAGTTAACTACACTGACTGGCACGGGGTGCTTTTGGCTCGAAACTGAGCCAAAAGCACCCCGTCCCAGTCAGTTTAGTTCACTATATATATTTTGCTGAATTGAATTGGATTTTAGCATATTAAAGATAATACTATATACTAAAAATTATACACTACAAGGACTATGAAATCATTATAAGTTTGATGCAGGCATGATATTTTATACTCATACCAAAGCTATTATTGCGAAAATAGTGATTCATGTGGGCTGAGTTATGCTCTTTGCTATGCATCAATGCTATTTTTAGGAATTACCTTTATATATTTTTCCCTATTATTATGAATGCCATCCTCAACAGATAAAAATGTTGCATTTTTACAAGAAAAACTTTCTCAAAATTCCCAATACCCAAAGTCAATATTTCAAAGAACTGTTAAAAATTCTGAGGAGTACATTCAAATGAGTAATTGCTCACCATTATTTAGCCCTTAATTTTTAATAGCAAATACTTCTATGAAGAACTTAGCTTACTTAGTCTTTTTCTTTTCAAGTTTCTTCTTATAGAACTCCAGCTCTTCTCCTTCCAAAATATATCCATCAGCTCTTCCGCTTTGTCCAGGTCTTGACGTAATACAAGCTAGAAGTCTTCCAGTCTTAAAATCGCTTTCCAAGGTAGGGTCGATTCTCTTTTCCTTAGAATTCTCTTCCCATTCCTTTTGTATTCTTTTTCCTATATTTTGCCATTTTTAATTATTTTCTCCAAATTGATCATATTTATTGTCAATTTCTTTATTTTTTCCCATTTTTCTTGAGCTTTAGCTGATCTTGTAGCGGTTTCTTCCTTCTTCACTTTTCCGAGATCTTGGCCATAAGTCTTGTAGAAAAAGGCTTTGAAAGGAGTGGCATCAACTTCTAAGATGGTGTTTTTAGTGATCGTGTTAGTTCTAACCAATTCGTTATTTGTGGCATTGTAGACGACCCATAGAATACGGGTTTTGATAGTCACATTTTGGCTTGCCCAGGAGAAGTTTCCAGCATCTAAGCGAAGAGCTCGGTATTTTTGGTTTCCTCCACGGCCACGAACTAGGTGAATACGTTTTGGACCAAGCTTAGTCATGGCTGGTTGTCTGGCCTTCTCAAAAGCTCTCTTTTTCTTATGAATAGGCATACGACCTCCTGTCTTTCTACGCTTGTGTCGTGAATCACGTGAGATACCCATACCCAGAAATTATAATATGGCTAGAAATATCGCTTTTTAGGTCGTCAATCATGATATAGTGAAATTTAGAAAAAATCACTAGAGCAATGCTAGATTTCAAAAGAAAGCTGAGCCTTCATATATTTAAATGTAAATTTTAGAGTTAAATATTAAGGTAAATTGTGTGAACATATTTTTAAATTTAAGAAGCTAACTAAAGAGGTTGTAAACTTAAGAGATTGGAATATAAATTATTTCATATAAAGATGAACTATGAGAATTTTCAAAGAGATATTGGAAAATATAAATGAAGAGTAAAATGAGAAGGAATTTTAATGCTGATTATTTATTTGCTTTTCGGAATATTTATTTTGATCATTGATGGAATAGGAGGATTAGTTAGTTTTATGATCTTGTTTTTCTTTTATCCTTTATTTGGGATTTCAGGTATAAAGGCATCAACAGAGAGCAATATATCTAAATCGAAATGCTTTAAATCAGCGTTAAAAATTACAAATATTATAAGTGGGATTTCAAGCATTATAACATCGATGGGAACTTTGTGTATTTTCATTGATTTTCGGAGTTTTAAAGCTTTTTATTCTTGTGGAATTTATATAGGGAAAAGCAGTATGCCCCAAGCCTCCCTTTAGCTTGGGCTATCCTGATGTCTCAAGCTTTAGAAAATTTTGGGCACACAACAGCAGACAGAAAACACACTATTGTTTGCATGCATATACACAGATTTCATACCAACTGCACGAGTGAAAAAAAAACTGATAAAAACTTCGAAAAACGCACACACAGACACACCACTTACACTACTACCCAATTACAAAATCATTGTTTGTTTTTTCACTATCTTAAACCGATTTCACACTGATTTAAAAAGACGCCATTGCCACTGTGCCTTACGTCAATAGAGGTTCCAATTGAACTGAATAGTTTAGCAATCTATAGTATTTTCCATTAGTTTAAATTTCTCTATCTTATATATAATCCTGCTTCATTTTTTCAACTAGTGTCTCATACATCCTCATTAGGCTCAAGAAGCAAGGTTTCAGTTCTAATACAGCCGATTTATGCACTTCTTTATTATTGTTATAATTAAAAAAGTAATCAATTGCGAGCTAAAGATTGAAATACTTCTATAGAAAATTTATACTCTTAAAATTTATCTTTTGAAATGCAAGCTGTTTAAAATTAAACAGACCTAGCAAGAGATTTCACTATAGCAATTATCACTCATAAATCAATTTTTATTCATTTTAAAATTAAAATTTGATCTATAGAAATTGCCCGAGGATGGCGCTATTTTGCGCCATCCTCGGGCAATTCAAAAAATGGCCTCACATGGGAATTGAACCACGTGTGGGGCCATTTTTGGTACGTGGAAGTCAATATTCTCCACATACCAAAAATGGCCCCCACGTGGGTTCAATTCCCGTGTGGGGCCTTTTTTTGAATTGCCTAAGGATGGCGCAAAATAGCGCCATCCTCTGGCAATTTCTATATCTATAAATTAGAAGTATCCTCTCCTATATTTGATTGAGCTGCATTATCAGGAATTCCTACTTCTATTTCATTCATATGTTTTTCTTTTCCCCTTAGGTTTTGAATTTAAGAGAATTGATAGTGATATTATTTAATGATAAATAATAAAGAATTGATTCCTTTAGACTTATATTCTCATTTACATTATTAATTGGCAGCAATTTAATTGGTACAAATGCATTCTTTCAAGCTTGCACAAAGTAAATAAAAAGGATTTAATATGTTTTATTTTTTTTTCCACGGTCTGAGCCTATATAATTTAGGCTTTCTTTATTGGCTTTGCTAAATTTTAATGCCTTCTCATATATTTAAATTATTAATAATATTTAATATTTTTGGGACCGGAGAAAAAATGTGAAATGGAGTTCTTTATGTAAACCGAGTGTGCTTGCTAGCCCCTATGAGCGAACAAAATATCCTATTTTTAGAGTAAAAACCCACCCTTCGTGAGGGAACAAAAAATTGTTTATGAAAAAATATTTTTATATAAGTGATAATTATAATAATGAAATCTCTAGCTAACTCTGTTTAATTTTAAATGGATTGCATTTTAAAAACATAAATTTTTTTTAATTAATTTTATATTGCTTTCCAATTTTTGCGAAAAGGATATTTTTTTAAAATTTCTAAAAATATATAACACGCACCGTGAGCGAACAAAGTTTTTTATTTGCTCACAGAGGTGGGCTAGTTAATATTTTTAAATCAATGTGAAGCTGATGTAAGATTGTATGAAAGCAATGCATTGGTGATTGGGTATTAATGTATGTGGTATGCTTTTGTGAAGTTTTTATCAGTGTATTTTTTTGCTCCTCACTCAGACATTGTGAAAATGCATGTGAGCAGTAGTATATTTTCTGTCTATCCTATAGTGTGCCCAAATTATCTAACATAATTCCTATTCTTACTGTAGTTTATCGCACGGGGAGTTGGTTTACCTACAAATTTTGGTAAAGCCAACTTCCCCGATTGGTGTCAAAAGACATCGTGATAGCACGAGCAAAAAGGATGCTCAGACTATATTTCTATCTGTTTAATTGAATTTATATGGCTTTCATCAATAATTACTTTTGCATTGTCCTATGTGTCATATCGAGATCTATGCATTTTGTTTAGATTAGTTACTCAACACCAGGAAAATAGATACAGGCCCCTTCTTCACCAGCCAGCTGCTTTTCCACAATATGTTCCTATGCAAGTAATTGCTTAAAAATAAAGTATTATCATAAATATAAATAAATTGAATTTTATGGATGCTCTAAACCAAAATTTATAGCATATCTAGAAGAGAATTAAAAATAATAAAATATGGAGAACAATAGAATTGAAATAGAAAGAAATATTGCAAGATATAAGTCTATAGTGAAGTGTGAAGCAATCATTATGATTTTAGCCTATTCAATACCTGGGTTATTTATATTTATAATAGCTGGATTTAGTGGCCTGATTGGTTTTACTGTATTCTTTTTCTTCCTTCCTTTACTGGGATATGCAGGAATTAAAGTTTCGAAATCAAGTAATATATCTACTGCGGAGGTTTATAAAACAATATTATTTGGCATCTCAGCTACCAGCGGAGGGTCAAGTGTGTGCTGCTTAATAGGATTCCTTATATTTTTTATATATTTATATAAGTTTATTATGAATAGCCCACAAAGAAGCATTTTGATTAGCTATATCTTACTTGCCAAATCAGTTGGCAAACAATATCTCTTGGCTTCTAAATTAAACTTGGCTAACCAAAAATGTTTCCTAGTAGGTTATTCTTAGTAAGTAGTATATATAATTTTGAGTGCACAAAAGAGATGTATTGTAATTGCCCGAGGATGGCGCTATCTTGCGCCATCCTCGGGCAATTTAAAAAATGGCCCCACACCGGGAATTGAACCCACGTGTGGGGCCATTTTTGGTTCGTGGAAGTCAATCTTCTCCACATACCAAAAATGGCCCCACACGTGGGTTCAATTCCCGGTGTGGGGGCCATTTTTGAATTGCTCGAGGATGGTGCAAGATAGCGCCATCCTCGGGCAATTACTATATGATACTTGCGGGACTTATAAAGGAATCTTTGCGTTTTTTATGTTTTTGTGTGGGTTTTTTGGAATTTGCTCTATTGTTATTTTTTCAATGTTTTCCATATTCTCTTGCCATGCCAAAAAGTTTCATGAGCTTCTTTTGGCTCGAGAGAGTGCATCCTTGCCATCAATGGCTAATCAGCCCTCAGCATATCAATATATTCCTTTGCAAGAAAGCACAGCCCATACTTTCAGAGTCCAACCACCCCCAGCTAATCAATATATTCCCATGCAAGAAATGTCACAAAGAGTTATATAAATTTATTTCCAAGTTTATCTTTAAAATAATTGCTTTACTATCTTAAAAAAATCTTATAAAAATGAGAAGCGCAGGTAATACTTTTCGCCCAGGTTTTGACGAAGCAGCTTCTCCAAATACCCGAACCTTAAATACTCAAGGCTCTGTGACCTCTCTAGTTGGCGCCCAGTCTACATCTGGTTCAGCTTCTTTAAAAGGAAAGCTTTTAAGCCTAGAAGAAATGATCCGATCAATAACTGAAGAAATGAATTTTCACAAAAAAGAAGTCCAAATCCTTCGCTCAGAGAAAGATACCTTGGAAAATGTTTTAAACATGAAAATTAATGATGTTAGAAAAAGCTTGATGAGCGAAATTAACCGTGTTGAAGAAGAAATGAAAAGACACTTTTCACATCAAAAAGCTGAAAATAGTAGGCTACAGCAACAAATTACTCAGCTTAAAGGTGAAAAAACAGCTTTACAACAGCAGCTTTTGGCACTCCAAAGAAGAATAAGTGAACTAGAAAGCCAAGTTGGAAATGAGCCATAGTTAACTAATTAAATAGATAAACGAATTTTATTAGATGAATATCGCTAATATCAGTTTATATGACAGAGGAATCTTACTCTCTCCTGCCTTTAATAATAAACAAAATCATTACAAATACCAATTTTTGGAGACTAGCATCCTTCAATAGCGAGCAAAAAAATGTCTTAATATAATTTTTCTCATAAATTATTTTATCCAATAGTATCTTTTATAACAAGATCTTATGCTAATTCTATTAATATTAGACACCTGCATCTTTCGAAGCATAAATTTTTACAAATAAAATTGATTTTTCTTGCAAATTTGAACTTTTTGAAATAAAAATAAAAAATAACATATTTAATATTAAAAAATTAACCTCCTTTTGCCAGCAAGCGAAAAAAAAATTTTTGCTCATTATCTGAAAGGGGGTGAGTTAGCGAAGCTAAAAAAGCAAGAAATGATAGAAACTGTAAGCAAGGAAAAAAATGCAAAAGAAATCGAAGAAATTAGAAATGCTCCTAAAATTAACGCAAGAAGTAAATGAATAATAAAAAATCGAGTTCTGAATAAAGGCCAAGATGATAATGATTTTTGGTCATATGATAGTCCTAAAAAATCAGAAAATATTTCTTATCAACCTACTCAGGATAGCTATAATTCAAAAAAATCATATACGCCAGATGGATATCAGAGTCCTATTGGTGCCTGGGAAGAAAGGGTAAAACAATATTTTGACACGAAAAACCAAGTGCCATTTGAGCCTCAGCACATCCCTCAGATAAATGAAACATCAAGGTCTATGTGCCCCATTACAGATGAAAAAGTTGAAAATAGACTGTTAAGGATTCATAAAGAAAAAATTGAAAAAATAGAGACAATTCGCAAGGATTGCATAGAAGAAATTCCAAGCTTTTCTCCAAAAATTAATAAAGACTATAAGAGATGCTCTCTGAGGCCTATCAAGCAGACCACATTCACGTCCATATAGTTCCGTCACTTGCTTGCTTTACAGTCCGAGCATGGCCTTTCACTGCATTGCTCCTCACGATGAGGGCTTGCACTCACTACCCGAACTCAGAGATGCCGAGTCACTAGTTGCCTGTCGACTAATATGGAAATTTGCAGCCTAAGATGCAACGCTGGTATTGCGAAGGGAAATGCTCCCGACTGGTAGGAGTAACCCACTGGCGCTTCTGGGAATCCCATTACAATTCCGAGTCCTATCTTCCTCCAAGGTAACACCTTAACTTGGATGTGAGCTGCAGTCGGCCTAATCCGAAATTGAGCTTCACTATAGCAATAAAGCCTTGCTGGATACAGGAAGTGGTATCCAACTTCAAGAAAAAGACTTTCTGGCTGGAGTCGAAAAGCGGTTGAACCTCCCGTACAGGAGGTGTTTAGTGACTGCGTCACCCATATGATTAGCAACTTATTTTAATAGCCTAACCTAACATTGCTGGATGTACATAATTAAACGTTATACTCCCCTTTCACGAGGCTCTGGGCTACCCAGCTCCAAGTGTTAAAAGGGTTGGGTTTGTTTGTCATACGATTTGATACTTATCAGGTGAAATATGCCAAGACCTGAAAACACTTCAGACTATCTCTACTACAGTGGAATAAATCATAAAATACGAAAAGAAAAAGCAATCGAAACCATTCATGAAAGGTCCCACTCATTTAAGCCTACTATAAATAATAACGCAAATGAGCTTGCGTATAATTGAAGAAACAGGCTAATTAAAATTCCCGAAAATACAAATGAAGAAGAATCGAAAGTTTCAAAAAGACTAAATAATGAAGAATTCGGAAATTTTATTGAAAGAAATTATGAAAAACCACTGAAAAAGTCCAAATGAAAAATCGATAAAATAAATAAATGAATGAAGCCAAGGAAATCTTGAGATGTAAATTTATATGAAAAAGGCATTAAATCAATTTTGGAAAAAGACGAAAAAGTGAAGGCTAGACAGGAAGAAAAAAATAAAGCAGAAATCAGTGAGTGCACATTTCAACCACAATTAACGCCAAGAAGCAAAACACCTCCACTTAGTATTATAAATAAAATTTCACCAAAAAAAGAAGGTTACAGAAGAAAATTAAAAGCATGTGAATGAATAAAATATTGAGACAAGTCTGGAAATAAAACTACTTTAGCATTAATAGGTACAGAGAATAAAGATATTTTAAAAGAGCTTGAAGAATTAGAAAGCAGAGTGTTTCTATCACTTTCTTCCTAGATGATTTTATAAGGTAAAGATTTTCTATTTGCCTTCTTAATATATTGCTTAATAATAATTTTTTAATTCAGCTTTATTATTTATGATCAAGTTGAAAAATATTAAAATAATGAAAATCCATTGCAATTGTATTCAGCATTATTATCTGCAAGATGTCGACTTTCAAAATCAATCGTAGATTCTTTACTAATATTTTTATAATTATACAGCTTTTGGAAAATTGCAACAAACTTAGAGCCCTTTTTGACTAGTTTTCGATTTTCATTCTTTTTTTGCAGTTTTTCTTTTTTTTCATCGCAAAACCCCTCAAAATTTTCCATAGATCATCCAACAAATCCTAACAGTCCACTAACTGCCCCGAAAGCACTGCTTAAAAAAAGCAAAAAATCCATAGTGATCGTTCTTACTATTAACAACCCTGAAAGATCGATGTTGAAATTGATAAGAATGCTGAAGTATCTGTTAAAAGTCATCATTTCAGCCGTTTTCGTTGACCCAAGCACTGTGCTTCCAAACGAAACTAAATATCCAGTCTGATTATTTTTTCATGCTGATGAATCAGATAAAAACAGCTACATATACATTACACTAGAAGTCATAATAAAAGTAACAGAAGTAGGATCTGATCCAATAAAAAAATAGCCTTTGGGAGGATATATATTAGTCTCATAAGAGCTTGATTCTCCTGGAATTGAAGAATCTGAAGTTACATTCACTGAAAAATAGCTCGCATAACTATTGCTCTCAGATAATCCCAATTTCATATATGAACTTGAAGATAAGCTGCAGGATTTGCAAGTTGAAAAAATAAAACAATTTTTGTCTATAAGTTCACAGTGTAAAGTAGTATAATCATTAACAGTATTATCTCAAGATAATGATACTCCATTTACACAAGCTCCATTTTGTGCACAAGATCCTCCATAATTATATAGCGTCACCACTACCAATATGTCTGCTGATATTGTTCCTGCTTCTTGTGCAAGATTAAGTATAGGTATCAGGGACGTTGTTTCTGTAATATTGTCATAAATTCTTTGCAGAACCAACAAAAGTACTAGAAAAAACGCTCAAAATTTGCCAACTATTGAGAAAAATCCTCCAATTGATGTCTTTCTTTTTCACATCGGCTCATTATCTTTATTATGCTGAGTATCAAACATATCAGCTTTTGCAATTGCGTTTCAAAATGGTCTGTTAAGTATTGAGCATAAAATTAAAAGAAAAATAAAAACACCAATTATAATTTCAAAAACTGTCGTCCAATAGTTCACAGTCCCAGTTCCTCCTTTATAAGAAGATGGCTGCTTTGAAGACGTAGATAATAAAAAATATTCAGGAATTGGATTCGTGCTACCAATTTCACAATGCATCCCAGCCGGGCAATTCTTGCATAAAATTGCCCCAGGATTATCAGAATAGCTTCCAGAGAGGCATGGGATGCATAAAGATTGAGCTTGAGCTCCATATCTGTTAAGAAAAATTCCCGCAGGACATTTTGTGCATTCAGAAGAGTCATAATTTGATGAATAACTGCCAGGCTGGCATATTACACACTCAGAATTATTTTTATATGATCCTAAACTGCATGGATATTCAATAGCTGAGTCTTCAAAACTTATTTTATATAATGTGGAAGAAGTCAATCTTCCAGTAAGCAGGGTATTTATTGCCAAACCTCCCCCAAATATGTAGAGTTTATCAGTAAAATATACAGACTGATGAGCAAATAAGCGGATTCCCATTGATTCTTTAGATACAACTGTAAAATTTTTAATACTAAAAGCAGTAATCAAATCAGAGACATAATAATCACCAAATTCTCCACCAATTATGATGATATAATTTGGAAAAAGAGTTGCTGTCGCTTCACTTGGAGATATGCCAACTTCATCACCAAAAGAAGTGATAGATATCCAATCCCGAGAAGCAATATTAAATCTATATAAGTATCGATTAGGCATTCCATCACTAAGCTGTCCAAAAAAGGCATAATAATTATAGCCTTCATCTTTATCTTCAACAATGCATTGGTGCCATGCAAGAGGAGGAGCTTTGCTATCATAAGGTGTTAATTCCGTTCAAGTTAATTCATATATATTGAACATTCATACGTCATTAACTGTGCCTGATTTTGTAATCCCTCCAAATAAAATGATATAGAGATCAATAAAGTACATGCAGGCTCCTTTTCTAGGACTAGGATAATTTGTAGAAGAAATAGAAATTGAAAATCATGTTTGCAATGCGAGTGAAAAAATATAAAAGTCATTGAGCAAGCCATTATTATTTTCACCTCCAAATATAGCCATGCCAAATAAACTTTGGGCTGTAGCTTGCCCTGATCTTGCTGATGGTAGCCCTGAAGATTCAATAGACTTCCAAGTTTCTTTTCTTAAGTCAAACACTCATAAGTCATTATATCTAATTGAAAATTACAGCTCTCCATTATTTCCCATCCCTCCAAAAACAACAATATTTGTATTCACTAAAGCCATTGAAAACCGCATCCTTGCAGGGGGAGAAACTCAATTAGCAGAAATTGTAGTAAAATGAGGGGTGGATAAAGATAAATCAATAGAAATCAAGTCATTTGTTATGGTGGATCCACTAAATTGATATACCATAGAGTCAACAAAAATGCTTATAGCAGATCCTCTTGGAATTGTATCAGAATTTGAGGTGTAATTTACTAACTCTCAGTTTTTTAGACTATTTAAATTAATTCTTCATATGTCTACTACGTCATGGTCGTAATTATAATTAAACCCGGGGAAAATGTATAAAAAAATAGAATACACTCCGATGGAATGAAAAATTCTTCCTGAAGGAATGCTTCCATCTATTTTAATAATATTCCATTCCTGAGAAGTTAAGTTATAAGCATAGAGATCTGTGTCATATAAAAATTTATTTCCAGATCCTCCTCATATGTAAATAGAATCCTTATAAAAAGCCATTTGATTTTGTGTTGTAGTAGGAGGGTTTCCATTATTTGGCATAAGCGAACTAGTCAAGTTTTCAAATTCAAGTCTAAATCATAATTACAAGTATAATCGAGTATGCACAGAGTCAGTAGATTCACCTCCAAATATTGCATGATAATGTTTATTATTTCAAACAAAGGAACAATAAGCGGCAAATGATGTTGGGCTAATTGTTGACCCTTTTAAAGATATCTGCTCCCACTATATAAAACTTACAATAAAATAATCTAAATTGAAGCTTCAAAAATCTGATGCGATACCTAGGTAGGTTTTTCCCCCAAATATAAATATACGATTTTCATTTTGATCATAAAAAAGAGCTGGGCTGATGCGTGGAGCTGGAAAAATAGGTGTTGCTGGGTTTAGTTGCAATCATTCAGAGCTATTAAATTGATAGCATCAAATGTCATTGTAATACTCCCTTTGGTCTGAAGAGCCAGCAAAAATAATCATTCGGTTATGAATTTTGTCATAAGTAGATGATGAAAATTTTCTTGTATTTGGAGGAGTATCAGTTCTTGGTATTTTTATTGATTTCAAGCTTTCAGTAAGAATAATTAAGGAAAGCAAAATTCTGATACAAATTCACATTTATAGTATTGTATTATTAATCAACTGGAAACTATAGGATTTAGGAAGTTTTAATTAATAAAATTTTCAAATTTTATAATTTAGCAGTCAAAAATTCTTTGAAAACATTATCTTAATCGAGTAGTTCTTTTTTTCTCTTTTGAATTAATTTAGATTAAAATTATGCTTAAACTATCATTAATTTTTGATCTCTGATTACTATATATGACTAAACACTACTTCAATTTGTTCTTAGTTTTGAGCTTTATCTATAAACTAATAAAAATAAGCCGCATTAGGTGAGCAATCTCAAATATAGCAATGTTTTATGGCGAGTACGTTTAATAAATTCTTAAGAATATGAAAGAAAATAAAGCGATATGATTGAGTTTCATGAATTTCATGTTTTAACTATCATTACCTTGCATTATTTAAGAGATAATGAATTCATTTCATAAATTTATTTTTTGTTGATCTTTGATAAAAGGCAAAAATTTTATTATATTTAATTTTTCGAGAATCAGTTTATTCATAAAAACATCGAAAACTTATTGTAAATTGCATTTTTATAATGAAATTATCCGTTTATATTCAAATTTATTTTCTTTTGGCTAATTGAATTAAAAAACTTTATAATTGAAAGAGAGTATATCTAAAAGCAAAATAAAGGTTTTTGATCAGTTATATTTGTAACTCGAGACTTGACTTGCTACAAAGTATGACTAACCAATCTTAGAACTGAAAGCTTAATTAAAAAGAGTTGGACTATATTAATTGTTTTATTAATAAAATTGATATTTTTAAAGTAAGATCTCCTAATTCTGATCAGTTCCTATCTATAAGAGTTATCATGAATGATATTTAAGCTATTAATATCATAGTCATAGACTCAAAAGCCTAGATCATCTCTTCTTATATAAATCTTATTTTCATATACAATGCTTTGAATTATTCCACCGGTTTCAATGCTATCAGTTAATAGTTTTCCATGCTCAATTATTCTATTTTCTTCAGGATAATACTCTTGTACTACTTCTTTTCGAAAAATCAATATGAAATTCATATAAAGAACGATACCTTCAAGCTCTACTATTTTTGTTTGATTATATGCTGGGTCAAAAATTTCAATAGCATCATCATCTCCTATAATATAGATTTTCCCTTCAAATAAGCAACTGCTATGATATTGTCTAGGTTTAACTAAATCACAAACTTTTTCTCAAGATTGGAGCCTAAGGTTAAAACATTCAATTTCTGCTAGTGCAGGGCTAGTAAGACCTCACCCTCCAATAACAAAAACCAGTTCATTGAATTTTTGCATTGTATGATTTCCTCTTGATACTATTAAATCAGGCTTATTTTCACATAAACAATTCATTAAATTTAAGTATAGCACTCTTGAAGAAGGCACTCAATCTTTATAATCAAAACCTCCAGTTATCAAAATATGATTATTTTCTAATAAAACAATAGATGAACCATAGTAAGATGGAAATGAGAGAGCGAATGTTTGAATTAGCTTTGTTTTTGCATCAAATATTTTTAGTTTTTCTTCGTAGATATCGAATAGTTGTCTTGATTTTTTTGAATTAATACTAATAGAAATCGATTCTAAATAGGAAGATATAGAACGAGAGAAATTAAATGATGAAAAACATCTTGGGGTTCGCAATAAAGCTTCTCTTGGCTCTTCCGATTCAATATTCAATAATGAGTTTTCAAGTTCAGAAATAATTATATTGCATTCTGAAACTGTTTTTGACAACTCTTCTTCTGTTCGATCTTTGATATAATTTACAGAAATTATCCAATTTGCTGATGGAAGACTCAAGAAATTTATCAATTTCTTTAAACGCCCTTTCTCTAAGTTCTTTCTTGGATTTTTCCATAAATAATTATAATCAAGATTTATGCTTAGCAATCGAATCTTAACTCTAAATTAATTAGATCTCAAAAATTAATATAAAATCTAAAAAAAGTATTATCATAATATTTTTAAGTTATAAAGAAAAAATGAAAATAGTTAATTCAATAATTGTTCTATAAGATAATTTCTTAAAGATTAAGGGTAATATCTTTGATTATAAACTTGAGAGTTTCCTCCATATGCCATCCCTTGAGCTGAAAAATATTGATTTCTTATCATATGGCTTCCATCAATCAGCTGAGTTCCATAATTGTTATTCTTGTTTTCCTTGGAATTTTCCAGTATTTTTATAACCAATTTAGTAGCCTTGCTTATCAGCGCGTACGTTGTAACTGAAAATCCAGTCAATACAGATAAGGTCATAGCTTCCCAATACTCAATATGTCCATTCTCAGATAAAATGCTTACCAGCATGTAAGCAGAAAAAGAGATCCCGATTAAAGAGTAAAACACACCAAGTTTGAGAAGAGCATAATAGAGGTAAATAAACCATGAACAAGGAATAGTTATGAGTCCTCCTAGGCCAAGGATTAAGATTGGTACAAAATAAAGCATAAGAAGTAGCTCAAACAAGTCTTTATCAGTATCATCACTTATGACTGAAAGTACCACTACTATAAGGCAAACCGCTGCCAAAAATAGAGCGATAAATGAAAGTGAGATAGATATAAGACCTTTTTTTGCAGGCTGGAGGTCATTGTTGTAATAATTGTAAAAATGAGGGTCCATTTTATTTTTATTAATCTGATCATGAGAAGTTTTATATTCTGAGATTAGAGGAAAAAGCATAAATATTTATCAAAGTAATTAAAAATTATGAGATCTACGTGAATTATAGAATAGAGGCATAATAGAAAGCTATTTTTATTACTAAAAAGTGCTGTATTGAAATAAATTCAGTAAGAACTGATATTTCACAATGCAATATTTAAAAGCTTATGGTATTATAGTGAATTATAATTTAAATCTATTATTTACCTAGCAAAAAATATAGATTAATTCAAAAATGTTTAGTTTTATTTTATGAAAACTTGTTTTAATATTGAATAACGATATAAAAATATAAAATCGAAGACGCTTTGGTAACAATTTTCTTAAAGTATTAAAATTTTAATAGCTTTAATTGAAATAAATATTTAATAAATCATAACTAGGGTGTCCAAGATATATTAATTTATTTTTACTGCTGTTTGCATTCTTGCTTTTCTTGTCCTGACCCATCAACTTTTACTTCGGATGGTTTCTTTTGCCCTTTTTCGTCTTCATCACTATCTTCATCTTCTTCTTTTCCTCTAATTCCTAGATAATAATATAGTGCATTTGGAATAATTTCATCTCTTAACTCATATCCTAAATTCATTTCATCTTCAAATGGATCAGCATCAATATCTTCTTCGTCGCTTGGAATATCTTCTTCATCTTCAGGACTTCTAGTTTGAAAAATCCTGAAAAAACTTGGAATATCAACAGTTTTAGTCATAGCTTTTCCTTTTTTACCCTTTTTCACTTGCTTTGTTTTTTTTGTGAAACTATTTCTTCCTTTTCACAAAATTTCTGTGCCAACTGATTTTTCTAAAACATCGTTTTTTATAACGAATTCTTTGGATAAAACTGTGTTTTCTATGTAATCATTGGCAGAAAATTCGAAATCAACTTTAAAACTATCATGGTCAGCAGATTGATGATATTGAATATCAATTAAATGTTGTAAAAGAGGGAGATCTTGCTCATATATAAATGAAGAAGCTTCATCACTATTCTGTAGTACCTTAAGCCAGAAATTTTCAATGGATTTTATGTGTGAAGATCTTTCCAAGAAAATCGGACCGTACTGGGTATCATACTTATTATGAAGTGCTTGAAGCTCTTTTTCAAACTCAAAATACAAAGAATTTCTTTGCTTTTGTAAGTTAAGAACAGTTCGCATTGGAGTTTTGATTTCTTCTGGAAGGACAGCAAATGCTTTTTCAGCTTTTTTTTCTTGCTGTTTAAGCTGGTGGTCATTTGCTTCACCTTCCATAATTAAAATCTCACAAAAAAAGCCAGAGGAAAAATGATTTACTTATTTAATTAAATAAATAAAAAATGCAAAGAAATAATTAACTGCATAATTTTAAATTCTCATGTTCCCTTATGACTAAGGAATATTTCTTTAAAAGATTATACAGAAAATTATATGATTCTTATGCTAAATATACATGAAAAGAGATCGATTCTATAGCTTTCGCTCTAATACAACCAAAGCCCAATCAATATCTCCACTCCAGCAAAGACTTTTACTTCATAATAAAAGGAAACTCAATAGGAGTGAAGTGCTTAAATGTGATATCCTTACAAAAATATACGCAGGGCATGCAACAAAAGAAGATATTTTTGAGTTTAATGCTGAGATAAAATTAAGGAAAAAGCCAGAGGAATTCGAACGGAAAGTTAAAACTGCTTATTCGAATCGAAGAAAATTAGAAATAATGATTGCCCAGCCAAAATGGGATGAAGAAACTGAAATGGATCAAGGTGAAACTGCTTTTACATCCTTTGATAACCAACATTCCTCTTCATATACACCAAAAGATGTTTTTATTCCTTCAAGTACCATAAATTCTTATACAAATAAAACTAATATATCTCCAAAACAAGTTTCTGCTTTAAACACTTTTCGTAGACCATTTTCTGCAACTAAAAGGCGGCAGTCTCTATCTGAAATCCAATCTCAAGTCTACAAAGTGAACTCTAAGCATTTAGATTTAAGCAGGCCAATAAGATTAAGAAGCAAACTATATTCAAGACAAAATTTTTTAAGTTAATTTGAATGATTTAAAATATGAATAGGTAAGTATGATCCACAATTTCTTCTTGATAATTAGAGTTTTATCAATGATAAACTCTATAAGCTTTCTATCATTCAATTCATGACTCTTTAGAATTATAAGGAATTAAATATATAACTCTTAATTTATGATATAAATTTGTATGAATGCCAACAAAAACGGATCCAAAATCAATAAAAATCAAATAATAAATTTACTATTATTATCTGAGAATTAAAAATATTCTATTAAGAAGTTGCAGGTAAGTGAAATGCTCATGCAATTTGAGATACTAATATGCAAAATGATTGGCTAGTTTATTAAAAAAGAGGTTCTACCGAGATTTGAACTCGGGTTACAGGATTCAGAGTCCTATGTGATAACCACTACACTATAGAACCTATTGTCTATTGTTCTAAACCCTTGAATTTATATCCAATAAAATAAATATAATGAAGAATATTTAAATTTATTAATATAAGAGGTTGAGTTGCATAATGAAAAAAATTTATTAATACAAGAGGTTGTAGATGCAGGAACAAATTTTTAAAGAGCGGCAGCTTAAACATGATATTGCGATAAAAATTGGAGTATATATAAAGTTAAGCAATAGATGAAACTAATAATAACATAAAAGAAATTGTCTTCTATTTGGGAAGCTGGTTTGACTCAACTCCCTTTTTCCAATAAGGAAAGATCAGGAAACCTAGTCTCGAAATAGAAAGATTTTTGCTGAAGGGAAATCTCCTTTAATGTAAATGACTTAGTCTTAAATATTTTAAATGTTTAATTATAAAGCTTTCCCACATCTCTTTATTGCTTGATTAATTTATTTTATAATTTAAATTAAAATCAATCAAATCTTTGGTTTAAATAATATGGATTCTATTTTTTATCAGATTATAATGACCTTGAAAGTATTCAAATTATTTCATTTAATTAAGACCTTTTTTAATTAATAAAACCTCAATAAATGATCTTCTGTATCTCAAAAAAGACACCTTCTTGACTAATGCTTGAATTTATTTAGGTAATAATTTTTAATAAATTTACTTAGTTAAAAGTCTTTCCTAAATATTGCATATTTCTAAAAAATAGATTTGGGTTATACCGAATAAGAAGATTAGGTCTGATTTCTTTATAATAAGTGCAAGGCCTTTCGTCTTCTGAATAGCTAGGCAGGAAAATATCAAGTATAAGAGAATCTTCATGCGCGTGAATTTCATGCAAATTACCACTGTTTGCTGTTAAATAAAAAATTTGAGGTCCTACTGCGACCTCTTCCTTAAGAACCCTCGTTGTCACAATTCCAGAACTGTTTATTGAAATGATGTCCCTGTTTATTAAGGAAATTTCGCCAAAGATCAAGTATGTGATTCCTATCATATGTGGATGATCATGAATCGGAAAGGCTGATCCTTTGCTCATAGCGAAAATTCCTATAGACAGGTTTCTGTTCTCAAAAACCTCAATATATGTAATAAATTTAGGATAAAAACAAGAGGCCTTATCAATTCCTAAGTCTTCTGCTGTCACACTGATCAATTTTTGTTGGGTTTCATTGATATAAAATGGCGGCTTGTTCAGCTCAATTTCATTGGCTAAATCAATAAGTGAGCTGGAATCTGATGATAGCCGAATCAAAAACTGAAATAAATCTCGAAAACTATCTTCAGCTATCACCTTTTGCATATTTAATTTAATAGCTATCATGAAAAATAATTAAATTATTATTATTATTAAAAAACCATTTTCATTTGAGTGGTTGAGATTAATCCAAAAATAAACAAAGAAAATTCTCGATAAAATAGAATTCAATAGAGAATTATTGAAAATGTGTCCTTTTAAATTATTAAATATAGCTGAAAAATCATGCTTTACTTATTTTATAAAATAAATTATAAAAATGCATAACTCTTTCAATTTGATAGCCTAAAAATTTATTATTATTTGCTATTTTAATTATATACAGATACATTTTTTTCTTATAAAATAAAATGATTATGAGTAAGAAAAATCTAATTCAAAACTAGAAAAATCTCCATGTGAATTCTGCGTGGCCATAATAATTTTATCAAAAATGGAAAATGACTCAAAATTTCTTGAAGATCCTCATGAAAGAGAACACTTCAAAGCAGTTTGTGGAGCATTTTTTAATTATCAAGTAGACTCATTAGTTGATATATTTAGGATAGAAAAAAATTTTTCAAGTCTCAAGCCAGAGCATCTAGCTCCCACTTTATAATTAAGCAAAACTATTGGAAAAAATCCTATTTTTTGAGGGAAATTAGCCTTTCGTTGCAATTGGGATAATTAAATTTTTGAGATAAGATTTAATATAAAATTTATATAAAAAATAAATTAAAGTCTCTCTATGAGCGAACTAAAAATTTCTTTTCGCTTACGGAGGGAGTAAGTAAACTTAAAGAACCAATTGAGATTCGTACCCAAAAAATGAAGGATGGGACAGCTGCAAACTATTATTTTTTAACTCATATAGTGCATCCTTATATCGATCTTTTCAGTCACACAATGCTTCCCGATGGTCGACTCCAAATAGAAAACCTCAATGTTTCTGGCAAAAATATAAGTAAAGTCCGTAGCACTCTTAGGCAGCTTGTACGAGACTGAGCCATAGAAGGCGAAAAAGAGCGAGAGATGTGCTTTACCGTAATTTTAGATGAAATCAAACGCGTTTTTCCAAACGTGAAAAATGAAGAAGGAGAGCTGATTTCGATATTAACCCCAGGAGCAGGGCTAGGCAGGCTTTCATTCGAAATTGCCAAGCATGGGTATAAGTCACAGGGTAATGAGTTTTCTTATTTTATGCTACTGGTTTCAGATTATATACTCAATAATACAAAGACGTCAAATCAGTTCACAGTTTTCCCTTTTATCCATGATTTTTCCAATGTATTTACATTAAATGAAATTTTTCGACCGGTAAAAATTCCAGATATATGCCCAGGAGAAGAGCTAAAAGAAGGAAGCGATTTTTCAATGGTAGCTGGTGATTTCATCGAAATTTATTCTCAACAAAAATCTCAGTGGGACTGCATCGTGACTTGTTTTTTTATGGACACAGCTAATAACATAATGCAATATATAGAAATAATTTACGAAGCATTAAAGCCGGGTGGAGCTTGGATCAATTTTGGGCCTCTTCTCTATCATTATTCCAACTCAGACGAAGAAGTTTCTATCGATCTGACTTGGGAAGAGTTCAGACACGTCATACTTCAGTTCGGGTTTACATTAGAAAATGAAAATACCAAGCCTTCATGATATGCAGCAGAGGCAAATCCAATGCTAGAAATCACATATAAATGCATTTTCTTTACAGCTATTAAGCCTAATAATTAATAAATAAATGCTAGCTTGCAAAACAAGGAAAACTTTTGTGCTTATTAAAGCATCTATAAGAACAATAGTGAACGATGATATGTTTGGTGGTAGAGCAATTTGGAAAGGCGACATCGATATGGATAAATCTTATTATTTTGGCAAAAAAGAAAGAAAAGAGCTAATGGAAATGATGCAAAAACTTGAGGACGCTGCGAAAGCTGAAGGTTTAAAAGTACCATTTCTTGATAATAATAGATATGTGACCCACAAGCTCTTAAATATTCTAGACAGGCATTCAATTCATCCGGAAGATACTCTTGTTGACGCCCTTGTGGCTTGGAAAAATAAAATTTATGAATAAATGCTTTTACATTATACACTTTATTAAGCTTAAAGGCGTATAAAATTTATTTTAGTATTTATTATTTTATAATTTCTAAGTTAATAAATACAGCGACTATTAAAAGTAATTAATAGTATTTATAAGACGCTATTCATTGATGCAGAAAATCAGATTCACTAATAGCTATTACATTTATCATAATAAAATTTACTAGTTCTAAGTTAATAGGGATGGAAATTCAAAAGAACAAAAAGAGTTCACAATAATTATTTTTTTTTCAAGAATTTATCTCAATAAAACCATTTAATTTAAATATGCCATTTCTCATTCAATATCTCTACTTCATACTAATCCATATTACATTAAGCACATATTTTAATAAGGTCAGTAAAGATTTCCTTCTAAATTTTAAAATTTTTCGAAAACATCGCTTAATCCTTCAATAAATTTCTATTCAGCCCCATTAATTCTTACGGTATTTCTTATCTTGATTCGATAATATAATTAATTTTGATTTGATATTAATGTCAAAACATTTTGCATATGAAGGTAGTAGTGAAAGTTTAGAAGACTCCATAGACTATCTTGAACGAAATTATCTTCGCACTCACCCATCTGAAGACCATCTAGGCTATTTCTATCCTGATTCTTTGCGTGGGAATCGCCACTCTCATCTATCGAATTCCTCGACAATTCCTAAACGATCCCGGAATCACCGACATCATGACCACCATAACTTGAAACGTGAAATTGAGCAGATGAAAATGATGTACGGTGACAAAACAGAACATATGCTGCGTTTGGAAATTCTATTCCAAAGAGCTCTCAATCAATTAACTCTTGAGCTCGATTCCATTGAAGAAAAACGAAATCGAATCTCGATGCTGGAAGCCAAAATCACCGAAAAATTAGAATCCTCGAGGACCCCAGGCATGGGCTTTGGAGGTGCATTTCCAACACAGCGCAGAGGCGTTTCGCGATCACCTGGCGATTTTTCATTTTCAAACAATGAAGGTGATGAGACTACGAATTTTTCATTTGGAGAAATTGATGAAAACATCGAAGTCCACCTACCTTACAACCCTGATGCTATCGAATTTGAGCGATTCCTAAAAAAGCACGAAAAAAGCATGCCGTCAAGTGTGAAATCTGATGGCTTGGAAGAGCATGAACAACTCTATATCCCATACATATACCATCCTTCTAAAACTGGGCTTGAAGACTTCGAAAGTTTCCCTTTGGTCCTGGGCCAAGTGATAGCAGAAAGATATAAAGTTGAGTGCATAATTGCATCAACTAATTTCAGTATTGTGGCAGAATGCCATGATATGTTCCAAAGAAAGCAAGTTTGTTTGAAAATTATTAATAACCAAAAAGAAACATTTGACCAAGGACTTGATGAAATTAAAGTGATGAAGACTTTGGATAAAGTTTGCAATGGAGACCTCGAAGGAAAATTTATCGTGAAGATGCTTGATTTCTTTTACTTCCGGCAATGCTTGTTTATTGTCTATGAAATCCTTGGAGAAAATTTGTTTGTGATAAATTCCCACCCTGACCTATCATATTTACTACAAGGTGAAAGACTAAAAAGAATTGTCAGACAAATTTTAACTGGTTTAGATTTTATTCACTCACAAGGCATTATTCATGCTGATATCAAGCCAGAAAACATTTTACTAACAAAAAAGATAAGAAAACAGTCCAATCGTCAGCCAAAGCTTGAAATAAGACTAGTTGACTTTGGAAGCAGCTGCTTTATTACTGATGAACTAACCACTTATATTCAGTCAAAAGCCTATAGATCTCCTGAGGTCATGCTAGGCGCTCCATACGATACAAAAATCGATATATGGAGTCTTGGCTGTGTCATAGGAGAGATCTTAAGTGGAGATATTTTATTTATGGCAGACGACATCCCTGAAACTCTTTATAAAATAAAATTATGCACTGGAGAAGTTCCAAGAGAAGGGAAACTCGTTGATCTCTATATAAATGAAGACGGAACTATAAAAGGAGAAGAAAGCCTCGACATTCATATGAAAACCCTTGAAGAAATAGCTTCAGGCGACACACTTTTGTATGAATTTTTAAGGCTCCTTTTAAGAATTGATCCCACAAATAGACCATCAGCCAGTGAAGCTCTTGCACATCCATGGCTGCATTGATCGTCATAATAATCTAATAACATGTCTGTGATTTATTTAGTTTAGGTAGGCTTGGCTCCTTCTTCAGATTTATTGATTTCTTGCAAGACAATAATTCGGAAATTTCTTCCAGGGGTAACGAGGATTTCATGCCTTTTCAAGGTGAATCTTAAGAGTGTCATGTCATTGGCTGGGTTGACGTCTCTGACAACGCTTCTGGCTTTATCTACAAGCTGATTGATGTAGCCAGTGAGTTTCGAGTCTTCTGCTTTTGTCATTGTGGATCTGACTGAGTTTCCATCTGGACCAGTTATTAAGAGTCCTTTAACACGGCCTTTAACCCTGTTAATTGCTTCTTCAATTTCTGACATTTATAACTGCGATTATAAAATTCAAGGTAAGATTAATAATGGGAGTTAAAATAAGGGTTTAAAGTTAGCACATAAGTGAAAAAGTTGTTTATAGCCATTTTAGTTACTTTTTTGCCTCAACATTGTGTAGAAACTATATATATAAATTTCCCATAGATGGCGCTGTTTGCCCTTGATTTGCCCATTGGGGAAATTTTTTGGTTCGACCAGTCCCATATGGTTTGGTCAAACCAAAAAATTTTCTTCATGGGCAAATCAAGGCCAAACAGCGCCATCTATGGGAAATTTCTATAGCTTCGAAAAAAAAATCTATTAAGATATGTAAAAAATAGAAGTTGCATATGCCATGAATCTATATATATAGTTTTTTTATGGTTTATATATGAAAATAGGGCATTTAGAATTAAAATAAATTGTTAAAAATCGGTTTTAAATCAAAATAATGTTTTCAGCCATAGTCTTACGCCTTTCCATATTTCTCTTCATTTTTTCGAATTTTAATTGACTATTGCAGTCGCCTTTATAATTGATAATTTCTGAATTAAAGTCATTGAAATGTTTTTCTTCTAAACCTCCATCAATCACCTGCAATATTTCTTTATGGGTAGCTTTAACAGGCCTTAAAGCTTCTTTTCTTATTTTTTCTTTTCGAGGACTTAAAAGAGGGCTTAGTTGATCATTATTTTTGATCCCTAGCTGCTTTTCTATAAAGTCTTTCGAAATTCTTTTCATGAATTTTACTCTCGGAGACTCTAAGCTTTCATTTCTTTTGTGACTAATCTCTGTTTCTTCCCTATTTAAATAGGTAGGCCGTGGTATTTCCTCTATAAGAGACATATTAATTGATGGCCTCTTCATACCATGCCAGACTTTTCCAAATTTTCTTTTGGTGTTTTTAATCGATTAAGATCTTTTTCAGAGGAATAATCTTTTTCTCGTTTATTCTTTAAATTTATTGAATTAATTTTATACTCAAATTTTTATATAATAATAGCTCTTCATATTAAAAAATAAAATTACAGTGGTATATGATAGCATTTAACAAATTTAATTCTGGTAGTGCAACGATTTTAATAACCTCAAATGTTTCAGAATTGTTGACATCTCCAAAACTCAGCTTGTTTTCCTCACAACCTTTGTTAAACTTCCCAGTTAAAATTCTGACAACTTTTGAATGGCTACTTGTGTATTTTTTCCCATATTTTCGGTTGATATATTCATCGATTGTTCGCTTATGGGTGCTTTCACGGTGGGAGTTGAAACCCGATAGAATTTGAACTTTGCTTACTTCTTGCAGAATTCCACATGACTCTTGGAGCTTTTTTAAGCCAAAATTTTGAGCTTCTTCTCAGTCACTGGAGGATGAAGCTTGGAGAGTAGTGCAATCGTCAATAATGCTGTCTAATGTAATGCTGATATTTGATAATGGAGAGCTTGTGACTGTTTTTAAGGCTGGAAGAACTACGGCCATTTTTATATTTTGAAGAGATAAATTTTATTTTAAGGATTTTCTATGAACAATTACCATTCTTCTGTAGAGCTAATACAAAAAAATGCTTAATTTATTTCTATGTGTTTGAATAACAACATTTTGCTATGAAATAATTTTCGAATTGATTTTTTAATATTGGCATATTTCTTTTAAGGTAGAAAAGAAATAAAATTGTGATTCGACGGAATGGATTCCGACACACACTCCCCATGAAGCAGGGAGGGCCCGTCCTGATGAAGCTAAAGATAGTACTCTGTCATTTTTAAAGTGGGCCTTCAAATTTGGGATGCATGAAGAAGAGGTATGCTTTGCTTCTACCCTAAGGTTTCTTGACAGATAAGCTAGAGATTTTTCCTCCAACTTAGTCTTTTGCTTATCGGGACTAGCAGGACATCTGCAAGAGGTGGCTCTAAACTAGGGAGCGAATCTCTTTAGGTTAGGTGGGGTTTACGCCGGATAGGTAGGCGAGTGGTCTATCCGCTTACAGCCTTATGGACTAAGCATAACTTTTAAGGTAAAACAAGTTCTTCTTTTATCGTAAAACGTATAAAAAATTATAATTGAATATTTGTAAGTTTTATTTAGATAAGAACTAATCTTCTAGCATCTTGATTGGGATGACAGGTGATGCAACTATTATTTCACGAAGAATCCATGCATTTGTCATAAAAAATAGTGCGCTCGCTATCCATATTTCTAAAAACTTGTTTTCACCTAAATACTCCAAGCGATAGCACCAGTAATTCCAAAACAGTTCTGAAGCAACCCAGCAAGTAAGCAAAACTGTTATTCTCTTTAATGAAATATTAAATTTTGGAAGCAAAAGCGGGATCAAGATCATATATCATAGAAAGTATTGAGCTGTGCAAACTTTATTGAATATTACAAAAATAAAGGTTTCTGCAATAAGAGTTGTATACAAATTTTTCTTAGTCATAAAGAATCCCAAGTAAGCAATAAGTCCCCATTGTGGAATAAATGCCAGAAGGCCAAGAACTTTAGCTGCTGATTGAAAAGTTAGATAAAGCATATAGAAATACAGTGAAAAATTGTGCCTGTTGTCCTTTCTGATGAAATGGTATAAATAAGTTTCATATAAAAATTCCCAGCCGTATATTTTCCAAAACACTGCTATGAGTGCTAAAAATAATCCTCCACTTATGAGTGTGAATTTTATCCTTTTATAGGTGAAAAACGATGATTTTTCTTTATCAATCCACAAATAAAAACTTAGACAGTAAATAATCGGATAAATTCTGAGATGAACTGAAAGACCGTATAGAATTCCTGCCAGTTCGATTTTATTTGTTTTAAGAAAATAGATTGCCCCTAATAATAAAACACTTGTAAGAGAATCTGATGAGCCTCTCGTTGATACATTAATAGCAATCGGATTAAGCAAAAGTGTTGCGCTCCATAATGGGTTTTCGTTTTCAAGCTTAAGTAGTTTTATTTAACTCTTCCCTCCGTGAGTGAACAAAAAAAATCTTGTTCGCTCACGGAGAGAGGAGTTAATTTTTTATTTAAAAAAAAAATTTCCAAAATTTTAAAAAAAATCCTAATTCGTAAAAATTGGAAAGCAAATATTAATTTAATTTATAAATTTTATGTTTTAAAACGCAATTTATTTAAAATTAAACAGAATATCTCTCTGATTTCATTATACTAATTATCACTTATATATCAAAATTTTTTTTCAGAAAAAATTTTTCTATTAAAAAAATTTTTGTTCACTCACGGAGGTGGGTTTTTGGGCAAAAAATAGCGATTTTTCTAATGATTTTGCTCGCCCACGGAGAAGGTAAGAAACAGCCAGACACCAAATCTCCAACAATAAATAAAATTTTTCCAAAGAAAGGAACCAGTACATTAGGAATAAGGATATAGGCGAGAAGTGGTGTATACCTATATGTATGTCTCAGATAAGGACTATTTCCTTCATATACATAATTTGCTGCATCTGAATAAACTTTGTAATCTATGTCTGTGTATTTTAGCTCCATCGTTCTGTCTTGCCATTCCCCGTAGATAAGAAGGGCAAATCTTATTACAGCAGATAAGATATATAAGCTTGTTGTGCTTATCCTGCTTTTTGACACCATAGAGTTCTAATTTTATTACTTCATATTTGCAAACAACTGGTGGCATGGAGCTTATTGGCTAGTTTGATTTTTTAGAGGGAATATTTAAAATCTAATATCCCTGGCATCATTAATATAGAGAAATATATCCTCTTAACTATTAGTTTTTATGATAGGTTGCATGTGGATAGTTCCATTGACCTTTGAATTTTCTTCTTATAATGAAACTTAAAACAAAAAGAAAATGAAGGCAATAATAAAGGTCCTGCTCAGGAACTCAGCGTCAAATTATATAATATATCGGCAAACTAAAATTGTATAAGCTAATTTCCATGTGTTTCTTACTAATAATTTAATTTTGTAAGGCATTTGCAGATAAATATGACTGAGCACAAGCACGATCATGGACATGGGCACGGTCATGGGCACGATCACCATCACCACCATCATGGTGATGCTTTATCCTTTACATGAACTTTTACTTATGCAGCTAAAGCATGGAATCACCCCGAAGGCAAACTATTGATTACATTTGTATGTGTTTTAATTGGATCATGCATATTCGAAATTGCAAGTGGGACATTTAACAGTGATAGTCGTTTAGTATCTGATGGATTTCGCAGCGGGTTCCATGGGCTTAGTGTCTACGCTGGATTGATTGGTTTAGCCTATGGTTTGAACCATGATAAGCCAGATAAAAAATGCACATTTGGCTATGATCGAACACAAATTGTTGTAGCATTTGGAAATGCTATTTTTGGGTTTTTTATTGGGATTTTTGAACTATTAGAATCAATGCATGAGCTAGCAAATGGCCCTAGAGCTCATACAGGCACTGACTCACTATTTTTACTATTTTTTAAAGTGATATTTGAAGCTTTTATATATGTCAACATACGAAAGTTTATGGATAATAATGGCAACAGGCCTCCTATCTATGATAACTTAGGCGTTATTGCAATACAGTGCTTTAGTGCCTTTGTGAGTGAATCTCTGTACTTAATAAGTACATTTCTCAATTTGGAAGAGGCGATTTTTCCATTTTATTGCATAGAGCCTCTATTAAATTCTCTATGAACAATCAGCACAATTTTCATGCTGAAGCCTTATTTATTCAGGAATGGGAATATTTTATTGCTCAAATCACCATTAGGAAAGGCTAAGGATTTATTAGTGAAAAAAGAAAGAGAAGTTTCATTGATTGAAGGTGTTCAGTCAATAAAATCTGAAAAAGTCTGGATGCTCACTGCAAATTCGCTTGTAGGTGCCATCAAACTTTCAATCCATGAAGGTTCTGATCCATCAGTCATAATACAAAAGACCCATGAAATTTTGAGCGGAGTTATTGAGCATTTGAATATTGAAGTTTTTATTGATAAAGACAATGGAAAAAATAAAGAAAAAGTTTTAGAAAAGAGCCAACATAATAACATAGAAGTAGTAGCTTTATAATACGATTTATGCGTAAAATATGAATTAAGATTATTATAAACTTGAATTTAAATAAATTTAAAACTCTTGACCTGGATTTCTGCATAAGTATTTTAACAATATTTTTAAATCATAATTTCCCTTAAATAGGAATCGCCAAATCATATTAAAAGCCCTAATTATAATCATACCCTACCAACAATATGGAAAGTAAAAAGGTTCGGGTATGGATTTGTGGATCTTGAGGCTACTGGAGTAAAGTCAATTTAACCAAACAAGCTTTAATACAAGAATTAAATCTGCGAGACTCTCAAATAGAGTGCATTCCAGGAGAAATGACCCAACTCAAAGTGGACGTTATCATCAATGGACAATCAATTACGGTCATCAACAGAAAAGGAGGAAACTTTTTCCCAAGACACGCACCTATGGAAATTGTAGAGGCAGTAAGAAAGTATTTCTAACTTCTCAATATCTATGTGAAGGGGTTACTTAAAGTTTAGTGACTTCTGAGGATAGAGCAAGTTTAGATAATTAATACATCAAATTTATAAATTTTGCATCATAAAGCAGAAATTTTTATACTGAAGCTTTGAAAGCAGAATTCGGCATTTTTGATAAACAATAATCATGGTGAAAATATAATTAGAATAAAAAGCAGTTATATTTACCTTATTTTAAAGAAAAATCAAAATATCTATCCGCTGGTCTTAATTTTTTCTCTTTTAAAATTAGCAAATGCGACCACCAGTTTCTCATAAATATCGGCTTGTTAGTTAGCTTTATTATCGCAAACCACTGTTATTTTAATTGAATGAGATAAGAAATTAGGGAAATCTAAAAGCATGGTGAAATAATAAATGGCTCAAGTAAGTAGAGTTTTCGTCTATACCTTAATGATTGGAATGCTGGCGTTTGGCTCAGCAAACACACTGATATCCAAAGCAATGGATCTTGAAGATTTTGAACACCCATATTTTCAATGTGCAACAATGTTTGCTGGGGAGTTTATGTGCTTAATCGCATTCGGTATCATGAGATGGAATGAAAAACGCAAAGCTAGCCCAGCTGCACAAAATCTTGTGCAGGCCAAGCCTGCAGCACCTAAAGAGGGTCTTGTTGCTAAAGCTGGACCGCTAATTTTCTTTATCCCAGCATTCTTCGATACGTGTGGTTCAACTATGATGTTTATTGGTCTTGTTCTTTCAGCAGCTTCTGTATATCAAATGGTAAGAGGGTTTATTATAGTCGTCGTAGCTATATACTCAATAGTCTTTCTTAAAAGAACTTTGTACAGGCATCAAGTATTTGGAGTTTGCTTTGCATTCTTAGGTGTGGTCGTTGTCGGGATATCTGCTGTTCTCTTTGAGTCAAGCTCTGCAAAAAGTCCTATCCTAGGAATGATTTTCTTGATTTTGGGCCAATTCTTTGCTGGAGGTGTGTTTGTATCAGAAGAAAAATTTTTAGGCAAGATCACAGTGCATCCAATGCAAGCAGTTGGTATTGAAGGATCTGCTGGGCTGATTTATTACTTTATTTTATTACCTGTCATGTACTTCATACCATGCTCAAACGACAATTTATGCTCCCATGGAAGAGTTGAGGACTCAATCAACGCTTTTTACCAGATCGGCACAAACTGGATTCTTATGCTTTGTTGGTGGGGAACCATGTTTAGCATCGCATTTTTCAACTTCACTGGGATTTCTACGACAAAATACGCAAGCGCACTTGCAAGATCAACTATTGATACAAGCAGGACTCTCATTGTTTGGGTATTTAGTATGGCTGTAGGATGGGAACAATTTGAGTGGCTTCAACTTATAGGATTCGCGTTACTTGTTATAGGAACAACTGTATATAACGAAGTCCTTATCTTGCCATGGTGGGGATTCAAAGAAGCAGTAGAGAAGCATCGAGCTGCAGCTGCAGGTCATGGAACTGAAACCCATGATGGAAAAGATCTTGACACTCTGGGCTTCAACCCTGACAAAAAGTATGAATACTCAGAAACTTCTTCTGATATGCTTGACTACAGGCCACCAAGCACCAAAAAATAAAGAATACAATATAAATTTTAAGTAAACCTTGAAATGAAAAAGCTTTAATTAGTGGATTATACTTTGATAATATAACTGCTCTAGCGTAAATGCTCGCTAATGTCTTTTTTTAGATAAACAACTCTCTTAATCTAAGAATGAATTTAATATAACTGAATATAAATAAAATAAAATTATATCAAAATGTCAAGCTAACTGGACAGACCTCGTGATGCAATTTTCTCAACCTTATTGCTAAAGAAACTAGTCCACGAAACTAGCGGTTGCGATCCAGGAATAAAACCTGAGTCCAACGGGTGTTGGGTGTCTGCACTCAGAAGCAACAGGAAAATGGGTCCAGGCCGCAAACTACTTCCTAATCGCTCGATGCAGGGCCACAGAAGTTCCATGAGGTCAGGAGCTGGAGAAGGAGCAACTGATGTCAATTATTTTCTAGCTGGTTAAGCCATCTCAGCCGATCAAGTGTCCGACAGGGAATGTCGTAAAGTGGATGAACCCTTAAGGGTCTTTGGTGGCTCTTTATACGGCCAAGCTCATCTGCTAATTAATATTAAGAATATAAATAAAATGGCCGTATTAACTCGAATCGCTGCAGGCTTCACTTTCTTGTTTACTTCTTCAACTTTAAAATCCTCCAATGAAAGAGCCAATACAGAAGTAAAAGCTAAAGCAAGTTTATCAGGAAATCTCGTTTCTGGAGAAGCTGAGTTCTTTCAGCCTCGTTATACTTTAAACACTGAAATCAAAATCAAGGCAACTGGTCTTAACCCTAATAAATCCCATGGTCTCCAAATTCATGAGCTTACCAAAGATGGACAAGCTGCTGAAATTTTTAACCCATTTGCAAGAAAGCATGGTGGTCCCTGGAGTACAGAACGAAAAGTAGGAGACATAGGAAATATCAAAGGAGATGAAAAAGGTGAAGGAGCCTACACAATTTCTGATCCTTACATAAAACTGAGTGGGAAGTTCTCTGTTATTGGAAAAATCATTGCAATTCATGAAAATCCTGATGATCTTGGATATGGGAGAAATGATGAAAGTCTTGTTGACGGACAAGCTGGCAAAGCTATTTCTGCAGGAGCTATCAGTCAAATAAGTTAAAAACTTAGCCTAATTATTTATAATGATAATGACGTTCTAAGATATTCAAGAAACGCTTCTTGGATGCTTTCAAGATTTGTAGGGATGTGTTTGTTCATCTGTAAAAACTGCTTTCGAGCTTTACGTAGCTGAAGAGAGGTAAGCTTTTGGGAATAAGGGTATAGAAGGGTTGAGTCTGGGATAGGCACCTCTGAGCCTTCTGGGTATAATTCTTGTGCATTTAAGATAAATTCAATGGTATTTTGAGTGACTCTATCGACTTGATACACGTAATCAGGAACTTGAATTTTTTGTCCTTTCGTTGCAACTGGATCTGGAAGTTGTCTTGTTGTGATAAGAGAGTTTAAAATGTCTTCAAATGAAATTTCCTGGTTTTCACGGATTACAATCAAGGGATGGTCCCATCGATTTTTTTCTTGAGGAACTTCCATCCTATTAGCTAGATCTCTTACTCCCCCTCTAAAATTTTAATAAAGAACTAACTCCCCCCCCCTCCGTGAGTGAACAAAACCATTAGAAAAATCGCTATTTTTTGCCCAAAAACCCACCCTCCGTGAGTGAACAAAAATTTTTTTAATAGAAAAAATTTTTATTGACAAACATTTAGATATATAAATGATAATTAATATAATGAAATCTAGAGCTAATTCTGTTTAATTTTAAAAACGAATTGCTTTTTAAAACATAAATGTTATAAATTAAATTAATATTTGCTTTCCAATTTTTGCGAATTAGGATTTTGTTAAATTTCGAAAACAAATATTTTTTATAAAATTTTTTTAAAAAAAAAAATTAACCCCCCTCCGTGAGTGACAAAATTTTTTTGTTCACTCAGGAGGGGGGGGAATAAGTAAATACTTTGGTATAGCTCATACCCCTTTATAGATTTCTTTATCGAGCAAAATGTATTGGAATATTGAACGAGCAAAACAGAGTCTCTCAAAGAGATGAGCTCAATCTCTATATCAGAAAGTGCTAAAAAGTGACATGTCAAAAAATGGTGACAAGTGTGAAAAAAGTTGACAAGTAAACGCGCCAATTTTTAAAATGGCTTTATTATTAAAATAAGATACTAAATTAGACTGAGATTGATTAATAACTAAAAATCTTATTTTTAAGGTCTTATAAATTAATGATAATTATTATAAAAAATCTACATAATAGATTTAATATTTTTGACTATTTTTTTAATTAATAAATATTTGTAGAATTAGTCTTTAAAAACAATGCATATATTGAGAATCACAAGCCACGCACTTTGCAAATTATAGCTCTAGTCTTTTCATATATAAATTTGCATTAAAATAAAGAGATTCTATCGAGCCGGAAAAATGCACATTGAGTTGCAAGTTTTTGATTTTTATTTGCAAGCCATATTGAATTTTTGCTAAACACTAATTTAATAAGTCAATAAGAACTTCGTTCTTAATTTAATTCACAAGCCACGCACTTTGCAAATTATAGCTCTAGTCTTCATAATAAATTAGCATTAAAATAAAGAAATTCTATCGAGCCGGAAAAATGCACATTGAGTTGCAAGTTTTTGAATTTCACTTACAAGCCATATTGAATTTTTGCTAAGTGCTTCTCATATGAGTCGATAAGAACTTCGTAGTTAATTGAACTCACAAGCCACGCACTTTGCAAATTATAGCAATAGTCTTCATAATAAATTAGCATTAAATAAAGAAATTCTATCGAGCCGGAAAAAAATGCACATCGAGTTGCAAGTTTTTGAATTTCACTTACAAGCCATATTGAATTTTTGCTAACTCCCCCCCCCCTCCGTGAGCGAACAAAACCATTAGAAAAATCGCCATTTTTTGACCAAAAACCCACCCTCCGTGAGTGAACAAAAATTTTTTTAATAGAAAAAATTTTAATGGAAAAAAATTTTGATATATAAGTGATAATTAGTATAATGAAATCTAGAGCTAATTCTGTTTAATTTTAAACAAATTGCGTTTTAAAACATAAATTTTGCAAATTAAATTAATATTTGCTTCCCAATTTTTGCAAATTAGGATTTTTTTAAATTTCGAAAAAAATATTTTTTTATAAAATTTATATATAAATTTTTTTTAAAAAAAAAAATTAACCCCCCTCCGTGAGCGAACAAAATTTTTTTGTTCGCTCACGGAGGGGGGGGGGGGAGTAAGTACTTCTCATATGAGTCGATAAGAACTTTGCATATATTGAGAATCACAAGCCACCCACTTTGCAAATTATAGCAATAGTCTTCATAATAAATTAGCATTAAAATAAAGAAATTCTATCGAGCCGGAAAAATGCACATTGAGTCGCAAGTTTTTGATTTTCACTCATAAGCCATATTGAATTTTTGCTAAAAAATAATTATATAAGTCGATAAGAAACTTCGTAGTTAATTGAATTCACAAGCCACGCACTTTGCAAATTATAGCTCTAGTCTTCATAATAAATTAACATTAAAATAAAGAAATTCTATCGAGCCGGAAAAATGCACATCGAGTTGCAAGTTTTTGATTTTTCATTTACAAGCCATATTGAATTTTTGCTAAATACTTCTCATATGAGTCTATAAGAACTTGATATATTGAGATGCACTTAGTTTTCTTTAAAGTTTTATTACAAAAACTCCAGTAGGATTTTGATTTAAGCGGCTATAAAGACGGAGCCCATTATGGAAGAATTTGCACATTAACTCTCAAAATTGAAAATATTAAATAAATAGCCCCATATTAATTTTCAATTATTATCTTCAGTCTAATTGGGTATCTTAAGTTTTAGTTATTTTAATAATAAAACCATTTTAAAAATTAGCGCGTTTACTTGTCAACTTTTTCACACTTGTCACCATTTTTTGACATGTTACTTTCTAGCACTTCCTTATATAGATGTTCAGCCCATTTTTTTAATAGAGTCTTTCTTGGTCGTTGTACTTTCTATTGCATTTTGCTCGATAAATAAATCTATATCGGTGCATGAGCTGTATATATAAAAAACAATTATTTGAGCTTTTGGAAATAAATTATAAAATTTAAAACAAAACTCCATGTGAATAAAACAATTTCATGCTTTGTAAGAGAAATTAGTAACTCTGGAGGATAAATTTGATTTCTTTGTAAAGCGATATCTACTGGGATCTCGAAATAGACCACGCAATGTGTAGTTTTCACTGTTTTTACAATGCAATGCAATTCATATCTGTAACCTTTAATGTAATTCAGAGAGTCACAAATCACGACTTTTGACTGTGAAAGCTCTCGCTCAACAGTTGATTTTATCAATGCCCTTAAATTTTTTTCTGTAAATGATGAGGAATATGCTTCAGCTTTATTGATTGATAAAGATTCTTCATTGATAAGAACTACTTCCCATTGCTGCTGCTGCTCTAAAAATTGTTTAAGTTGAAGCGCAAATTGTGTTTTACCAGATTGAGGGATTCCACAAAGAAGAATTAAAGGCATGGCTAATTATATTAGTTAAATGGCTTATAAGAATTTAGTGCAGCTTTATCTTTTGAAAAAGACAGCTGATTGAGATCTCCTTTCGAAAATTTTGGAGAATTCATTAAGCTCTGGTATCTCCTATCGATTTCCTCAATTTCCTTTTCTAGACTTCTGGTATTTGCTTGTTTTTTTGAGTGATGGCTGTGAGAGTGAGCTGATTTTTTCAAATGATTATGGGACTCTCCAGGCTTTTTCTTCTCTTTTCGATGCTCATGTATTTCTGTTATATCTTTTAAGTATTGCTCATTTTGAGAATTTTGTTCCATTAGTAAATCTTTTGTGTTTTCTAATTGGGTTACAGTAGATCTCAAAATTTCTATTTCTTTCCTTAGTTGCTCAATTTCTTTTTGTTGGGTATCAGCTAAATCTTGTAAGAATTTATTCTTATATTCCAGCTCTTTTACTTTCTGACTTTCAAAAAATGTTTTCTTTTGCTTATCTGATCCTTGGAATAAAGAAATTTCTTTTTGAAGCTGTGAATTCAATGCTTTTGACTCTTCAAGTTCTTTTTTCAGCTGACTGTTTTCAGACTCAATATTGCTGCTCCATTCTTCATTTTCTTTAACTTCACTTTTAATTTTGCTAAACGTATTTTCTAATTTCTGGGTTTTTGAAGTTTCATATTCTAAATCTTTCTTCAATACATTTGATTCTTGCAAAATTCGATCATTTTCTGAGGCTAGCTGCCTATTTTGATCTTCAAGCACTAATAATTTATTCCTATAGCCTTTAATTTCATTTTCATAATCAATTATCTTTCTCTTCGCATTTTCTAAGGCTTGTTGATCCTCTTCCATTCTTCTGCTGAGGTTTTCCTTATCTTGTTGCACTTGCTGGTTTCCTCCAATCATTTGTCTTCTCAAAGCTTGGTTTTCTTTTTCAAGATAAGCTAGTTTATCTGTAATCGCTCTTATACAGTTTGCCACTGCCTTTGAGTTCGCTTTTTTATCTTCAAGATTTGATAGTTTCATATCTAGAAGCGGGCTTGGAGTAGTTTCATATCGGAGAACAGGGCTATAAATAGTAAATTCAGGGTTCTGCTGAGATTGTAGAGTTTTATTTTTGGGTGAGATATATCTCTCTTTAAAAATATTCAATTCTTTTTCGAATGATTTGTCCATTTATAAAGAAATTTGAGAAAAAAGTCAATAATAAGGAAAATGCAGCATCAAAAATTAATGCAATTAGATATTGAGTATATGGCATAATAGGACTAATATAGTTAATAATATATTAAATGGGAAATTGCTGTGCAACCAAAGAAAATAACCCTCCACCCAAACCAAAACCACAAGAAGAGCCCCCAAAAGTTATCAAGCAAATCAAAGTTAATTGCAAAAATCCACATTTTTCGCTTACCTTTGATTATCATTCCAAAAAGCCAGTTTCTTATATAATTAACGAAATCACATCAAAATACCCCAAAATTGACCTCGATAATCTAGCTTTACTGAGGGGAAATTTAGAAATCCTCGATTTTAATGCAACTCTGGAAGAAATTGGGATTTTTCCAGGCGATCATTTGAAAGTCCAAATTATTGAGAAATCTAATATACATAAAATGGCCGGAGACGAGCGACCCGTCCTCCCGTGGCGGGTGTCCTTATGTATACCGGACGTGGTTTTTGGATGAGGAGAGCTACTCAAGGGAAGAGTTAGCCTCGGGGTGAGAGGCCCAGCCAATTTCTGCAGATTTTGGGACTTGACCCGGAAAGCAGTTTTTCGCATTCTTTTTGCCAGTAGCGCTGAGGCCCAGACTCGGTGTCCGAAAGAGGCAGGGTGAGTTACCTGCCTAGGCTACTTGGTGGCTGAGTTCTTTCTCGGAGCTAATCCGGAAAAGAGGGGAAGGCGAAGCTCGACTCAGATTCTCAAGGGCGTAAGTCTCTCCAGTTAAAAGGGTCCCTGATAAAAAAGGGGCGATCTGGCCGAGCTAAGCAGGGTTGGGTAATGCTGGCGCTTAGGTTGGAAATGGTGGTTCCCGGCAAAAATCCGTATGACTCGGATCGGAGGGAATATCACTACCGAGAAACCGGGGGCTTCGGCCCGGGCCTAAGTTAGCTTTGAGGGAGCCCACCCCGCAGCGACATTGCTGCAGAACGCATGGTGCTTAGGAAGTGGGACTATAAATACAAAGCGCATAATCTATCTAATCTTTATTGAGAAATCTAATGAAGTGACTCCTAACGAAGAAAATGTAATGAAGCATATTGACGAATCTAAAAATAATTCAAAACTGTCAGGGTCCTTAGAAGATATTGCTGAAGAAGAATCCACTACAAAGCATGAAATTGGCCGGGTTCAGCCAAAAAAGGCTGGGATGAGGCTAAAGCAGGATGGAATGAGAGACACAGAAGCCTGCAAACTATGAAAGACTGCTTTACTCTCTCCAAAATCGAAACAATACTTGAAGCTAAATGGGCTTGACATAAGCTCAACAAATACTACCCACGACATTTCTTTGAAAGAAAAACGATTTTTAAAGCATTTGCCTGTTCAGTTCAATGCAAATGGCCATAGTGTAACAGTAGACAGTGATGAGAGCTTTAATGCTGATGATAAAAAATATGCTGTATCTCATAAAGAAAGAGCACCTCATCACCCAACTGATTTCTTCAGAGATCTTCAAGGACCTTTTTCCGCTCTGAAACAAATTTAGTAATAATTAGCATTTTGATATATAAAATTGTATTTTAGTTAAAGAGCGCTAAATTTATTATCCTATTTTTTATTATAAAAATTGCATTTTTATTGAGAAAAATATAGGAAAAGTTCTGTATAAATAAAAATTTTTGCAAAATAGTGATTAATAGTAAATGATAGAGTTTTAATTTAAGAGCTAGCTAAGTATTAATTATATTGATCTTGGGTATTAAAGTAGTAATTTTTCCTATTTCGTCATGTGTTAGATCGTTTGCAGATAATGAAAGCTCTTCAAAAGCAGAGAGATTCTTTAAAACAGATGCAAGTGGATATAATCCTCGATAGCTGATATTATTTTTATGGATATCAAGGCTCTTCAAAGCTGAAAAATCACTCAGAGTCTTCATAAGTATATTCATGTCTTCATCATTAAGATCATTGTCTGCTAACTCTATTTTTTCAAGTTTTTTTAGTGAAGAAATAGACTCGCAGAGCACTTTTAGTTCATCTTTTCCTATTCGATTACTAGAAATCACAAGAACTTTTAGCTCATAGCAATTTTCTAGACCAACTGTAATATTCATAAGCCCATTAAAGCTGAGTTTGTTTTCTTTCAAAATTAACTTTTGTAAATTAAATAATTCTGCTAATATAAAGCCTAAAAATCGAGATTCTGGGTCATCTAAGTCAGCGGATATAATTTGAATTCTTTCTATTGCATCTGCATTTCCTCGAATTACTTGTTTATATAGAACTCTTGTTTCATCATTCATTCTTTGATGATACAAAGCATATATGTCTCTTAAGTCGCTTCCTTTGTAAATTACGATATCATTATTAGCTTCAACAAAACGCCCTACATCTTGGCAGCATAAAGAATTTCCCATATTTAATCAATCATGCTGTCAACCAATAGCTCCAAGTTAAAATCATTTTATTTTTAATTAATTAAACTGAGCACATGAAATATAGCTTTTTTCATTAGGAGAAATTGATTTACTATTAATAGTCTAATTTTAAACGGTTAGAAATAATAACATGGCTCGCCTAACAAGTCAAGAGGAAGAAGACTGCCAAGATATTTTCCACCTTTTAGATCATAATAAAAACCAGATCCTTGACCTTGGAGAGCTGGGGAAAGGTTTACGAGGTCTTGGCCTAAATCCATCAGAAGGAGAAGTTCGTAAATACATGGCAGATTACGACAGAGACCGCAACAATGGTCTCAGTTTAGAAGAATTCGAAAGTGTCTATCAAAGATGTCTCAGCTCCTCTTCTGTTACTGAAGAAGAAATCAGAGCTCAATTTAAAAAACTCGACAAGAATGGAGATGGAACTTTAGATGCAAGAGAGCTTAAGGATATTTTAATTGGTGGAGAAGAGCCCTTGACAAGAGAAGAAGCTGATGCGCTTATTGCAGATTTTGATGTTAATGGAGATGGAGTTTTAAGCATTGATGAATTTGTGAACGGCCTGCTGGGACGTCAATAAATATAGGCCAGGATAATATTTAAACTTTCAACTTAAAAGATAATAATTTTTCTAAGACTAATATGGCCAAACTAACTGCACAGGAGTGGGAAGACTGTCAAGATATTTTTACTCTTCTAGATCGTGATGGGAGTGGAACTCTTGATTTTCAAGAACTAGGGAATGGGTTAAGAGGTTTAGGCTTAAATCCAACTGAAGCTGAAATCCGAGCATTTATAGCAGAATTTGATGAAGATCAAACAGGTGGCCTTACTCTAGAAGAGTTCAAAAATGTGTATATTAAGTGCCTTAAAACCTCTGTTGTTACTGAAGAGGAAGTTAAAACACAATTTAAAAGACTTGACAAAAATGAAGATGGTCATGTTGATGCTAATGAACTTATGGAGATTTTAATGACAGGAGATGATCCCTTAACTAAAGAAGAAGCTCAGTCAATCATTGAAGAATTTGATACAAATGGAGATGGAGTTTTAAGTCTTGATGAACTACTAGACGGGCTACTCGGAAAGAAAAAAGTTAAATAAAAAGCTAACTATATAGCAAATTTATTAATTTATTATTTTTCAAATTTTTCTTGTCATTTTTACGTTTTATTGCTAAAAAATCCATTAAATCTTTCACCAACTAACCATTTTCTAATTCCATATTAAAAAATTCATGTGGAGGAGAATACTCCGTCAATTCAGCACAAAAGTCAAGCCAAAAAATCTACGACTCGAAAGCATATCACCAAAAGTCATTAGAGCTGAATACGCAGTCAGAGGCGATGTTGTGCTTAAATCAATGGAGATGGAAGCTAAATTAAAAGACGGCGTTAAATATCCCTTTACAGAAATAATCCCGTGCAACATAGGAAACCCTCAAAGTCTCGGTCAGAATCCACTTACATTTGTCAGGGAGGTTTTATCTCTGATTGTAAATCCAAAATTATTGACTTTACCAGGAATCAGCCAAATTTATGCATCAGACGTTATTGAAAGAGCTCAAATTCTATTGAATGGGACAACAGGAGGTGTCGGAGCTTACACAATGAGTCAAGGGCTCCCAGTAGTGAGAAATAGCATTGCAAAATTTATAGAAAAACGTGATGAGATGGGAGAAGTTGACCCAAATAATATCTATTTAACGAGTGGGGCGAGTGGAGCTGTTGAGTTTCTATTCAAAATTATTATTTCAAGCGAAAAAGACGGTGTTTTGGTGCCAATTCCTCAGTATCCACTTTATAATGCTTTAATAGCTTTACAAGGAGGCTCAGATGTAGGATATTATATTAACTCAAGCAAAGGACACTGGGAAGTCTCAATAAAAGAAATGGAAAAAGCTCTAGAAGCTTCAAAACTAAAAGGAATCAGAACCCGATGTCTTGTTGTTATAAATCCTGGAAACCCAACTGGACAAGTTTTACGAAAAGAAAACATGAGACAGGTAATTGAGTTTTGTGATGAGCACGATTTGATGCTGATTGCTGACGAGGTTTATCAGCATAATATTTACACAGATTCTACACAGTTTCATTCCTTTAAAAAAGTTTCACAAGAAATGAATTCACCCATCGAAATCGCTTCACTGAACTCTATATCCAAAGGGTATCATGGAGAATGCGGACTGAGAGGCGGGTATATGGAACTCCACAACTTTGAAACACAGGTAAAGGATCAAATTTTGAAACTTGCATCAATTAGTCTTTGCAGCAACAGTGTCGCTCAATGTGCAATGGAGCTTATGGTAAACCCTCCACAGCCAGGAAGCCCATCGTATGACACTTATACAGCTGAAAAAAATGCCATTATGGGAGCTCTCAAAAGAAAATCCCAGCTGATCCATAAGCTTCTAAACGAAATGGTTAACGTTCAATGCAATTTTGTGGAAGGTGCCATGTACGCTTTCCCAGAAGTAAAATTCTCCGCTAAAGCTATAAGAGAGGCTAAGAAGAAAAACATGCCAGTCGACAAATTCTATGTTTTCCGAGCTTTAGAAGAAACCGGAATAGTCCTTGTCCCAGGGTCAGGGTTTGGCCAAAGGCCTGACACATATCATTTTAGAATCACCACACTAGTTCAAGAAGACAAGCTAATTGATCTTTTGAACAGGTTCAAAGCCTTCAATGATAATTTCCATAACCTTTACAGTTAAATAATAGAGTCTTAGTAGTAAAATGGCCAATGTCAGTGACTTAGACATCGATAATTCAGTCAAAGACAGCTTACAACGACAAATTGCTGAAATAAAAAAAGAAATACAAGAGGCCAAAAATAGAAATAAAACAAAAGAACTAGAGCTGAGGAAAGAAAATGATCAAAGGAAATCGAGAATTGTATTGAAAAGCAGATAATAATAAAAAAGCATCTTCGGAATTATTCAATTTTCAGTAAATTTATTGTTTAGGGAGTCAGTAATCTGCCAATTGGCTGCAACCTGTTGCCTATTTCCCATCCAGAAAAACTGCAGAATAGCCTAATGGCTGCAGCCAGTAAGCCAGTTTACTGGCTCCAATAAACAATATTATCATGAGGTTTAATTTTCCCTAGTGAACCATCATCCAACTATGGCATAATAGGATGGGATGTTTTGCCTCTTGAATTCTAGGAGGTATATGGGTTTGCTGCTTGAAACTTCCGAGGGTGGTCCCTGCTACTCTCCCTTTAAATTTGAACAAAAATCCTATTACAATTTAAAGGGGGTTAATTTTTTTTTTAAAAAATGTATAATAATTTCCTATGAATAGTCCCATAAGCGGGTGAATTACTTGCTTAAATTGCAATTTGTTCTGACCAAAATTATTAGTTTTGGTCGGGCCAAGTAAAACTCAGCGGGCAATTCACCCGCTTATGGAGTTATTAATTGGAATTTACAATATATTAGACTACATTGGACACAATATTTTGGATTTTTAATTTATTTTTCTAATTAATTAATTCAAAATAATCAATTTTGTGCGAAAATTGTTTTAAACAATATTCTAATTGCATTTTTTCAAAATTAATTTTATAAAAATTAGTATTTTTGCCTATAAAGTTTTCCTGTTGAAAAAGAAATTTACTCCAATTTAAAAAGCATTAAAGCATTCACTAATGTAAATTTTACCAATATTTTGTTCCAATTTAAATGTTGGTTGAGTTAGGCGAAGAAGGCACAGGACTCAAGTCTGTAGAGAGGCAACGCATCCAGTGAGGTTTGGCTTCTATGTGTCCTTGCTTAGACGGGCTTCACCTCCCTATAAAAAAGCTAATTCGGATTTAAAAAGGGCCGACCGTGTAACAATAACAATACAGTCCCCTGGTAATTAAACTGGCATTGAACACTAATTAACTAAATAAGCCAATATTGAAATGCTTAAAACTAAAAAAACAAAGCCATGATTACAAAGAGTTCTTAGAAGAGTCAAGAAAACAGTGGGCCACTGATATAAAGTGTAGGAATAGTTCAATAATTGTAAGTGTTAATTAGCAATTCAAAGCGTTTTTGAAGCAGGAAAATGATGTAAAAATTAAATACTTGACTGAGATAGTAGATTCTCTGTCTAAAAAGTTCTTATTGCAGCTGAATATGATACCGAACTCACGACTCAATGCAGTCTTTTCATCAATTAACGAAGAAGAAACGACGGGGCAAATAATCTCGCGCCCCACGGATGCAAATTCTGAATCAGAAGGAGAAGACACAACCCAAGAATTTTTTAAGCCGAACTTGAATTCAATGATTCCAGACAATAAATATTTAGTCTCCTCCTTGATGAGAGAGTAAAACTTTAAAAAATCCTAATTTTATGAAAAAAATATAAAAAAATTATTTTAAAAAGGTATTTCTATATTAATTGATAAATATTATTATAGCATAAGCACGTTCATAGATCGACCTTGACTAATTCCTCACTTTCCGCCCCCCTGACAGTTTCAGTTTAGATAAAATAGCAAAAATCGCAATGACTCGTCAAGTTCAAAATGATGAATTTGCCATTTTCTTTTTCCTGTTTCATTTAAAATGAACCGTCAGGGAGGGTCAGGGGCGGTTCTCAAAGTATAATGAAATTCCGAAATAACTCTATTAAATTTTAAATAACTTGCATTCTAAAGCATAAATTTTATAAATTAAATTAATTTATTTTCCAACTTTTGCAATCTCAACTATAAATTTTTAAGAAAAAAATTTTGCTTGCTCATGGAGGTGAATTAAGTGAAAATTTGCAAGCTGTAATTAAAGGGAATAGTGGAGTTGACGGCTCAAATCTAGATATGAAAATTGAAAGTATACAGAAAGAGCTAATTCCCCACTTTCTTTAGCGAACAAAGCAATTTTGCTCACTCAAAGAGGGGCTTATATTTTTTATAAAACAGTTTTATATGTAAATTTTGTAATAACTTTATTTTAGATTTAAAAAATCCAAATTCGCAAAAATGGAAAGCGAATTAATTTAATTTGTAAAATTTATGTTTTAAAAAATTCAAAAGCATTAATTTATTTTATTATACTAATTACTACTTATATACCAAAATATTTTTTATAATTTTTACATTAAAAAAATAAGCAAAGCTATTTTTTAACAAAATATGGATTTTCCAATGGTTTTGTTCACTCACGGAGGTAGGGGAATAAGGCATTTTATTAATGAGCTTAAGAAGAAAGAAATAGAAGAAGAAAACTTAAGGTTTATACCAAAATCCTTCGAGATTTCTTCACCAAATATATCAAAATCGTTATTATCTCCACAAATATCACCGAAAACTATTACATCTAAAAACTTTTACAATTTTCGCAGCAAACTCCTTCTCAATTCTCCAGAAAAAATGCAAATTGAATCGATATCTTCTATTAAAGATTCAAAATCGTCTGAAGATAATAGTGCTTTTTCCTTTAGTAACCCTGACTTTACTATTGATAATCCTTCACTTTTCAACCAAAATCTTACTCTCCCTTTAAATTGTATCTCTGGTAAATTTTATAGGTAATTAATCTGCATAAAAATAAATTAAAATAAAAAAATTTGTATTTAATTTATTTTTTTTTGTTTTTAAAAATTTGCTTACCAATTTGAAGGGGAATTAGTCCTATCAAATCAGGATTTTTATTAAAGAAAGACGAGTCTTCTAGTGAATGAAACGCTGAAAGCGAAATAAAAGCAATAATAGGTTCCAGCTCATCCCAGGAAGAAGGTGTTAATAAATACATCATAACAGACTCTGGGTTTTTAGACTCAAGTAATAGTCGAAACATTGTCAATAAACTTACACCTTTTTTTATCCCCGAAAACTCAGGAGGGTCTGGAGAGTTTTCATCAGTCTATGCTGCAAATTCGCATAGTGCAAGCTCTTATTTAAGCCCTGAATCTCAAGAAATGGAAGCTTTATGTGTGAAAAAAGAAGATTACTTAAAAAGCCAGGTAACTGAAACTGAGGAAAGAGGCCTTTTTGAAGCTAAATGTACACAAACTGAGGGCAAGCCTAAAAGTTTTTGGAAAAAATACTTGTGCTGTTTTTGCAAGTCTGAAGAATATTAATAATTGTAATTAATTATAATATAATCCCTCAAAACTTTTTTAAGAGTAAAATAAGCTATATATAATTAATAAATAACTAATTATTTATATATGATATACACTAGCTCCACCAAATTGGCTTTGGCTCAACTCGTTTTTGTGACCCTATATTTCTTTGTTGAGCCAAGCCGTTTTGAAGTCTATCATATTGTGCTTTAAGTTGATTGTTATTGCTGCTGTAGCTTGGCAATGGGTCAGGCTTGACTCTTGGTGAAGCAATCATTAATCCTACTTTTCTGGCAGAAGCTTCTCTGCTCACAACTTGAGGGACAACTGGGTTATTTGACTGATAAGAAGGCTTCCTCAACAAAGGATTCACCCTAGGGTCATCTCTTGATTCACCCCTAGAAGATGGGTACATTTCTGAAATAGGGATTTTATCATCTTTTATAAGGCTCCGTGGGTCCTTAGCTTCTCTTGAAGGAACTCTGTAATTTTGGTATGAATCTATATTCCTTTGGCTTTCTTCTCTTATTTTATAATTGTTATACCCATCTAAAATCCCTTTTTTGTCTTCTCTTGATGATGGCCGATATTGATCTTTTGTGTCAATAATAGGAGATTTGTAAGGCTGGGAGTCACTTTTTTTTTCGTAGTAATTTATTGAATCTCTTTTTGCTTCATTAGGAGTTTTCCGATCTTGACTGTAGGGAGATTTATACTGCTGCTGAAAATTGTCAATAGCTTTTTTTTCTTCTTTTAACTGGAGTTTGGCAATGTTTTGGTCTAAAGCTCTTCTTTCTTGTGTTGGAGTAATGTATTTTTGGTAGAGTTCTGGCCGATATTCCTTTTGTGGCTGAGGTTTATATTGATCATAAGAGTTAAGATTGGTTGGGGGGATTTGATATTGTGAATCTATATTCATGGCGCCGTTTTCTTTGGCTTTGTATTGCTGATATGAATCAGCAGCTGGTAATTTTTCTCTAGAGCTTGGTCTATATTGTTGATATGAATCAATACCTGACTGTTTTTCTCTGGAGTTTGGCCTATATTGCTGATATGAGTCGACACCTGATGGCTTTTCTCGTGAACTTGGCCTATACTGTTGATATGCATCAGCTGCTGGTAATTTTTCTCTTGAGCTTGGCCTATATTGCTGATATGAATCAACACCTGACAGTTTTTCCTTCGAGCTCGGCCTGTATTGCTGATAAGAATCAGGCCCTGGAATCTTTTCTTTTGAGCTTAGCCTATATTGCTGATATAAATCTTTTTTTTCTTCGACTCTTGGACTCGGCTTATACAAATCAGTGATTTTTTTATCCTCTCCAATTTGTGATGCGCTTGGAATTTTTTCTCTCGAACTAGGCCTATACTGTTGCAATGGATCCTTTTTTTCTTCTCTTGGGCTCGGCTTATATAAATCATTTACTTTTTTATCTTCACGAACTGGGATTAAGTGCTGCTTCGCTGAATCTATTATTTTTCGTTCTTCTTTTATTAACGCTTTATATTGTTGGACCGGATCATTTACGATTTTCTTTTCTTCTTTATTAGGTGCTTTATATAAATCGTGTTGTGAAGGATATTTGTAGTCCAGTTTATTGCTGTTTTCTCTTGAAAGAGGCCTTGATGATGCTTTTGGGGACAATATATCTTTTGCTTGAGCTTTTAAAGGAGCACGATTGCTATTTGGAGCTTTATCGCTATAAAGATTGTTTATTTCGTATTTTTGTGGATTATTTAGCATATCTTGCAGCTTTTGGATTTCAGATATTTGATTTGTTTCAGGCTTATGCTGACGAATTAAATTTCTTCCTTCTTCATTTCCCTTATTCCTTCTCTATTTAAATTTGAGCAAAAATATCTGCTTTAATTTCAAGTAAGATTGGTTTTTTTTAAAATTAATTTATAAAATTTATCTATTCAAAGTACTAACTTTGCTTAAATAGTGTTCTTACTTGCATATCCCCTTTAAAAATACATTTTTATCTGTAAATTTTAGATTTTATCAACATTAAATTGGTTACTAACTCCCCCCCCCCCCTCCGTGAGCGAACAAAAAAATTTTGTTCGCTCACGGAGGGGGGTTAATTTTTTTTTTTAAAAAAAATTTATATATAAATTTTATAAAAAAAATATTTTTTTTTCGAAATTTAAAAAAATCCTAATTTGCAAAAATTGGGAAGCAAATATTAATTTAATTTGCAAAATTTATGTTTTAAAACGCAATTTGTTTAAAATTAAACAGAATTAGCTCTAGATTTCATTATACTAATTATCACTTATATATCAAAATTTTTTTCCATTAAAATTTTTTCTATTAAAAAAATTTTTGTTCACTCACGGAGGGTGGGTTTTTGGTCAAAAAATGGCGATTTTTTTAATGGTTTTGTTCGCTCACGGAGGGGGGGGGGGGAGTAAGCAATTTTCATAGAAATCACGATTTTTACCAATAAAAATTAAAATTTAAGAAAATAGAAAATTTTACCTATTTTTTCAATTCAAATGGAGGATTTAGGTTTTACAGCAGCTTTTGAAATATTATTCCCAGCTTTCGCTTGGTCAAGCAAAGGTCTAATTCTGCTATTTTCATGTTTGGCAGGTGTTGATTTGGGTATATATTCTTCAATAATTGGCACAGGAGCTCTTAAGTCATTTATCATTGGCTTCATATGTGAAACTGGAGGTCTGGCTCCTTTCGCTGTAGAAATCACCCTTTCTTTCACAATATCAAGATCCTCTCTTTTCGCTGGTCTCGCACTCGCAACTCTCTCAGAGTCTCCATAATTTGATTCAGGAAGTTTATTTTTTAGCGCATGAAATCCTTCAAATTTAATGGTCCCTAGCAAGTTGCTATTGATTTCTTCTCCTCCATTTCCCAGCTTTGCTGCATATCTTTGAACACTAGGCAGCTCCAATAATTTCTGGCACGTTGGCCTTGCATTTGGGTTTACCTGGAGCATAGATCTGATAACGCTAGACAGGTCTTGCGAATAAATTCCTGGGATATTTGGATAAGTTCCTTTGATGATTTTGCTATATAAGCTTTGCATGTCGACACCAGTAAATGGAGGATTTAAAGCAGCCATTTCGTATATAACACATCCTAACGATCATATATCAGAGCTTGAGTTGTAAGGCATGTCTTTTCACACCTCAGGACTTGCATAGTAAGGTGTCCCTGTCTGTGTGACTGCCATTCCACGCTTGTTTACCTTTGAAACATTGAGATCTCCTAGCTTGAAAACTCCGTCACTCCCTATGAATACATTTGCGCATTTTAAGTCTCGGTGGAGAATATTTCTCTCATGAAGAGCTTTTAAGCCTCTTGTAATTTGGATGAGAGCTTCCCATATTTCAGATTCAGGAAATCGAGTTCGGTTCAGTTTGTGGGTCTCAATTTTTTTTAATAAGTCACCACCTTCAGCTAGTTCCATTACAATGCATAAAGAGTTGCTGCCTTCGTCGAGAAAAGCTTCTTTAAAGGCTATTATATTTGGATGATGGTAGGAAGCCATAATTCTTACTTCATTCAATGCGTTTTCTTTTTCCTTTTGTTTAAGAACACCCATCTTGACTTTCTTTAAAGCGTAAATCTGCCCATCAGATTTTCTCCCTACCTTGTAAACACTGGAAAAAGCTCCATCTCCCAGCTTGTTTAACAAGTCAAAATCTTGTATTGACATTTATATGAAAAATTATTAAGAAGAAGTTAAATTAGTTATCTGACTCTCTTGGCAGGAGAGGTCATATCAGATCCCCAGCCCTTCTGGTAGGTTTTTCCTTCGAAATTCCAGCTATTCTTCATCATAAGTTCGAAATATCTATCATCATCAATGGAAGCAGAAACATGGGAGTAATATTCTAGAAACTCGTCCATTGTCACTCTGAAGTCTCTGGTGTTTTCTTTATAGACTGCATGATGGGTTTCAAAGGTATCTAAGAATTCACAAAGAATATCGTCTTCGGTTTTCTTGCCTGAAATAACGTCTGGGTGTCTGGTAGCATTGTAGACTCCTTTAATATCATCAATTTCAACAATCCCATTTCCGTTCTTATCAAGCTTACTGAAAGCCATAGATATAAGATTCCTTCTGAATGGGTTCAGTTCTCCTCTCAGTCTATGCATGAACTCTTCATAGTCAATTGTTCCACTATGATCAGCATCCATATAGTTGAACAGTCTTCTGGTATCAGACTCATTGATGTCAACTCTAAAGTCTCTCATAGCTTTTGCGAATTCCTGGGCATCTAAGCTCTTTGACCCATCGTCATCCATGATTTTGAAGCTTCTTGAAAGTCCAATGAAACCTCTTGCACCTCTTGAGGCAAGTCTTTCTTTCAGAGCAGTTAAAAGTCCTTCGACTGGACCTCCAGCAGTTGGTCTTGTGGATGAAGCTGGCTCAGCTTGTCTGCTTGCAGGCCTATTGCTTGTGCTGTAATCGACTGGGTCACTTGAAGTTCCCCAAGGAGTTTTGGCAGCTGCGTCTCTTTTGTTGACAGAGCCTGCATATGGAACTTGCCCTCCTCTTGATGGTGGCTGATTTCTAGCAGATCTCCCTCCAACTTCTCCAGCCCATGCTTCTCTTTTAGGTGCTTGCTGTCCTAATTTCCAAGCATTAGTCATCATAAGCTCAAAGTATCTATCGTCATCAATGCTTGCTGAAACATTGTTATAGTACTCTTCAAACTCTTCTTTTGAGACTCTTCTGTCTCTCTGAGAAAGATCACTGATGTTGTGGTGGGTTTCAAAAGTTTCCAAGAATTCTCCAAGGATTTCGTCTTCAGTCTTCTTGCCAGATTTTACATCAGGGTGTCCTCTAGCGTCATAAACGCCTCTGACATCGTTGATATCAATGATTCCACTTCCATCTCTATCAAGTTTATCCCAAGCTTGCTTGACTAAAGCTTTGCGAGCATTATTCATAGGCCCTCTGACTGCTCTTATTAGTTCATCATAGTCAATAGTTCCACTTCTGTCTCTATCCAAAGCTTGGAAGAGTCTTTCAATGTCTCGGTCTTCAATATCGACTCTAAAATCGTGACAAGCTTTCTTGAATTCGTCAACTGAAATATTTTTGGAGCCATCGTCGTCCATGATCTTGAACTGGCGTTGAATTCCAATTATTCCTCTGGTCCCTCGGGCTGCAAGTCTTTCTCTGAATTTTTCACATAAAGCTTCACCAGTCCTGGTTAGAGCAGGGGTGGCGCCTTTTGTATCTCTTTCAGGGGCACGCTCTGGAGCTTTTTCTGTCTCACGTCCTCCTTTAGAAGCTGGTCTTCTTCCAGCGCCAGATTCTTCACCTTTCCAAGCTTTGTTTTTAGTGTAAGCTGGAGCTTCGCTGAGTTTCCAGGTGTTGTTCATCATAAGTTCGAAATATTGATCATTGTCAATGCTGCAAGAAATGTTGTTATAATACTCTTCGAACTCTTCTCTTGTAACTCTTTGATCTCTCGCACCACCAATGTTATGATGCATTTCAAAGGTTTCCAAGAACTCTCCTAATACAGCCTCCTCAGTCTTCCTTCCGCTTCTCACATCAGGGTGGCCTTTAGCATTATACACGTTTCTGATATCCTCAATATCCAAAATCCCTGAATTGTCTCTGTCAAGCTTATTAAACGCCTGATTGACTAAGGCTTTTCTAAAGGAGTTCATAGGCCCAGCAAGTGCCCTTAAGAACTCGTCATAATCAATTTGTCCAGATCTATCTCTATCGACAAGGTTAAAAAGTGCCTGAATATCACCTTGTGAAATTTCGACTCTAAAGTCCCTCATAGCTTTTGTGAATTCTTGGAGGTCCAAGGACTTTGAGTTATCATCATCAATAATCTTGAATTGTCTGGCTAGCCCAATAATCCCTCTTCCGCCTCTGGAGGCTAATTTTTGGCGGAGTTTTTCAAGGGCTTCTTCTCCTTCTCTTACTTGGCTTGATTAGATTGATTAAAATTATAGCGGGTCTTAGGGGTTTATTTCAGCCCCTCGCAGTCCAACGGATAGCTTCGCATTGACGCTAAGCGCTATCCTCACACCACCTTTTTCTCTTCTGACATCCCCAAAAAATGGTGACGTCGAAGGTCTATTGGAGAAGACACCCTACCGAACAAAACCAACGATCTACAAAATTTATCAAAAGACTCCTTCAACCTCTGGCAGGGCTCAGAGTATAGGGGAATCGCCTTTTGCCTCCTCCATGGCTGTCAGAGCCTTATCGCAGGCTCGGAATTGCTCCCATGGAGTGGTATCGGGACTTTGCGCCGGTAGGGTCATCTCGTAGGTAAGGAAAAAAGACCAGGGTCAGCCCCTAGGTCAAAAACCCACCCCGGAGAACTATCGCCATGTGGCTCATCTTTCTTAGGCCCGGATCAACTCACGGATCACCAGGAGTCCACCTCAGATCACGCTATTTTAATAATTCTTACTTGGCTTGAAGAAATTCCTTTTGAAGGGGATTTCTTGGCAGAAGTGTCTTGGTCAAAGACTACTGAAGTGAATTCTTTGTAGTCGAGGGAGCCTGAGCCGTCAGTGTCATAGACGTTGAAGAGCTGTTGGACCTGCTCAGGATTAACGACCATTCCCACCTTCTCTAAGGCCTTGCAGAACTCAGGGAAGTCAACTGTTTCAGTGTTGTCTAAGTCAAAGTACTTGAAAGCTCTGAGAAGGATTGTTTCTTCCGATACGTGGGCTGTCGACTTTTGACTTAGTCTTTGCCGAAGCTCATTCTCAAATTGTGCTCTAAAGCCAGCCATTATTTATTTTTAATCGAACAGTGTCTATCTGCTTTTAATATCGAAAGAGACAAAGCGTTTATAAATACTCGACAGTGCAGTAGAAAAGATGCAGTATTTTAAACTGTAAAAAATGGAGTTTACAAAATATAATGGAGATAATAGAAATACAAAATAAATAATTATTGCCGACAGATTTTAAGTATTCAGTATAATAGAAAAGGAAGTTTTTTTATTTTTAATTTTAAAGAAATTTATTTACTAAAATACAAGACTTTTAAGCAAAAAACCCCTATAAAAACCGCTTTATATTTCATTCAGGGCTTAGCAATATAATTTATAATCGAAAGCAGTAAAATTATTCCAAGAAATAAACAATTTCTTTTCAACTGTAAATTATTTGCAACATTTATACTTAAATTAAATACTTTAACATATCATATTTAGTTGGCATTTGTTTTATTTAAACTTCAGCTATTGTGTCTTGCACTGAAACGATGAATGATCTAGTTTGTGTGTTAAAGAAATGCCTTCGGTCCTGGAATGAATGATCAACCCTTGTTCTGCTTCTAATTCTTTCAGGTGGAGCATCTGGGTCGAAATCTTGATTGTTTTTCAGCATTTCTCTAAAATTATCAGAATTTTTTCGTGCTGGAAGCGGTAAATTAACTCTCAAAGATTCCAATTTTTCAGCTCTCTTTTTAGCGGCTTTGTCATCAATCTTTTTCTTTATAGCCTTTCTAAGCTTATATGATTTCCAATTTTTTAGTATTATTTTTGCACTTTCTTGATTCATTTTTCTCTGGAGATCTTCAAAATACTTTAAAGCCCGTTTGAGCTTTAGCCCTTGAAAAATCAGTTTATATTTCCTTCTCACAGAATATCCTCGATAATTTTTTTGTATTGTAACAGCAGCTTTATTATATATCATTTTTTGTTTTTTTGGTATTAAAACTTGTGTAAGATACTTTATTCAGCAACTCTGGATTTTTCTAGCAGCGACCCTTACTTTTAGTTTTTCGAAAGCAATATTTTGCTTTACTCTATATTTTCTCCATGTATGTTGAATTAATTTCGAAGCATTTTCACATGTAACTTTTTTATGATACTTTACTGCTTTTTCAATCATTTCTTCTTCTGTATATTTTAATAATGATAATTTATCAAAAACTATGCCATATTGCTTTCCTAGTTTAGCCGAGAGTTCAGTTTTTCTTTCCCTTGTTTCAATTCTTCTCTTGAGTCGCTCTTTCAGATTAGCAAGCTCAATGAACTTTTTTGAATGATTTTTAACAGACAAAGGTGTACGCAACATAGTGGGACTATGATCACTTCTTATACCGTTTGAAAAACTGCTATCTCGGCCATTTGAATATCGATTGCGTTTTCTTTCAAAAGACTTGTAAATTCTTGGGAGCTCCCTTGAAGGAGGCTTCGGGGTAAGATTTTCAAAATTGAACTTTGGTGCCAATACGATTGTATTGTTTGGGTTTCTAACAGACGGAAGCAGCATTTTTCAGAAAATTTATATAGCCATACTTGATGAATCATTTAAACTGGAGCGAAAAAACCACATTCTTATTTTATGAAGGAAATATAGTAATTTAAAACTTTCTTAGAGTATCCTATTCATTTTGCTCTCTTAGGTTTATTTCTAAAACAGAAGATTTCAAAATCGGCTCGGCTGAAATGTTCAAGGAAGACTCTTCCCTTGCTCTCATCATCGTTGTTTCTGTGTCAATTTCTGAAGCGTAAGGAGTGCTTGCCCTATCAGGCCTTAAGTAGAGGACTGAATTTTTTTCATTTAGCGCATCAAATGAAGCATCTTGGGAAGACGAAGACACATCTAAAGGCTTTTTTGATGCAGATGCGCTTAAAGACGGCACGATTGGTGGGTTCGCATGTGTTCCTTCACGGTTTACTTCTGACTCTACATTGATATCATGCTGATTGTTTTCAGTTAGTTGCGTTTGAGGCCAAAACACCCCATCTCCTATTGGCCTTCCTGACTGTCTATATATCGGGAATGGCCAGAGCCACGGATTTTTACCAAAAACCTGTTGCCAATTTCTTAGAGGGCTTATACTATAGTTTACAGTTGATTTTTCCAAGCATTCAATTGTAGTTGAGTTATTAAGCACTAAATCCACATGAAATTTCGTGAATTTTGTTAAAATAAATGCAAGTGCAGAAAGTAATAAGAAAATAGCGATGTACAATAAGTGAGGGTATAGAGAAACCCTTACACTGTCATCAAGTAAATATAGCAGAGAGTCATAAATTTGTGAAACCAAAGATAAAAGAACATAATATGATGTTACAAGCGAATAAAAAAGCATCAGCATAAAAATTTTTCGGTTGTTGAATCCTATGCAGTTGTTAATTCAAGCTGTTTATAAAATACGGCAATGGTGGTCCATATTAAGGATGCAGATCCCACAGACTGAGCAATGATGACATCTTTCAGGTTTAAAAACATGGCACATTAAGCAATATCTCTTCCTTTTATATTCAGCATCTCCCATATAGAAACCCTAAATATTTGATACCCAGTATGGTGGAACCTTCCCTGGATCAGAAGAGGCTGCTTGAATAAAACTCCAAAAAAGCATAAACACCACTAAATGGAACAAATAAAGGATTATTGGTGATAATTTCTTTTCTGCATGGAATTTACCTTTGATGTTGGGAAGGCAATAGACAAAAACAAATGTATAGTAAATAGTCATCATCAAAAAGAAAACCACCAGCACAAAAACGTTTCCAAAAGCTTTTCTTATGCTGATCTTCATATCTTTAAATTATTATTCGAGCATTTAAATTATTTTATATTCTTAAAAACAAATAATTATGATATTAGTTTTCAAATAAGGTATTCAAGAAATCAACAAAAACATTTAAAAATAATTTAATTAATTGAATTAATTACTCTAAAAATACCTTTTACATTTTCTGCATCTGAGTTTCCTCCCTTTACAAGAGTTCATCATATAAGGAATCATAAAACACCCGAATACTCCTCCAAGTGCAAATATCCCAATGGCAGACCAGAAAGTTTTCGAGTCATTCACATACTCGATTTCACTCACAACCTCTGCTCTGCAAAACGCACAATATCTTAACTGTGGGATGCTTGATGTAAGGTTTAATTCATATGGGTCTTTAGAACTTTCTTCAATAGGTATGGCCATTTTGACTCCTTTCGAATCATCTAATTTAAATGCTGCTGGGATTCTGACCTCCAGTTTAGACTCCTTACTCTCTCCCTTTAAATTGGAACAAAAATCCTGTTCCAATTTAAAGAGGGGTTATATTTTTTTAAAAAAAAATTATATTGTGAAATACACTATGTAGCACGGGGCTTTTTTTGGCTCAAGTTCCAGCCAAAAAGCCCCGTGCTACATAGTGTAAGTCACTATATTTAAATTTTTTCTCTAAATATAAATTGAGCGCATTACGGATTTAATATTTTTATCAAGAAATAATTGAAATTGATTCAATTAAAACTGTTTAAATAGTATTTCACTTGCACTTTCATTAAATTAGGCCAGAACTAATTCATAAAATTATTGTTCTCATTAAGATTTTGAAAAACAAGTTTTGTTCCAATTTAAAGGATGAGAGTTAGGTTCTTGTGACGTTAACCCTTCAAATTCCTCTCTAAGCTCTAGCAGCTTTTTTTGGATCTTGGAGCCAAACTTAGAAAAGCTGACGTTTACAGAATTTGAAGCTGTAGTGTCTGCAGAAGCTCTGCCTATTAATGGAGAACCTGCAGAGCTGCGCATTGTGCTGATATTCGCGAAATCGCTCCCTCTTATTTCAAAGGGAAGATCAGCTGTTTTCCCTTTTTTGGTTGGCATGACTGGAGAGCCAGAAAAAGTTGGGACTATATCTTCTACACGAAGGGTGTTTGGAGAACGTGACCGAAAAGTGGGGCTTGCTGGAGAAAGAGCTCTAGGACTGTTAAGATCAATTTTGTTTGAGTAGCCTATTCTTCGACGTGGCTGTGGAGTTTGAGATAACATGAAATTTATATTTATTAATAATTAGGATTAGGATTAGGATTATTAACAGTCAGGCATTAGCAATATTGGTGACGCAGTACTAAAAAATTCCCGTACGGGAGGTTCCACCGTTTTCGACTCCAACCCAGAGAGTCATTCACTCGAAGGTGGATGCCATTTCGATACCTTCTGTCTCCTCCTTGCCTTTTCAGTCTTGAGTGCTTATGGATTTCTGTGGCCATGATACGAGCAATTGGAGTAGCTTGATTCCATGGATCAACTCATGGAATCTGTCGGGTGCCGAAGTGCCTTCGACAGCTACAGGAAAAAGACTACTCTTTGTGTTTGGGTCGAAACCCCCAGTTTCTCGGTAGAGGAATGCCCATGGGTCCTCGGATACAAAAGACATTGCTGGGCACCTCAATTTCCAACCACAGAAAAGCATCAAAAACCTACCTGGATACACATCTCTTGAGCCTGCACTTGATTCTCAAATCTGAGTCTGTCCCAGTTCGCCGTAGCCATCTGGCCTGGGCTGCTGCACCAAGAGGGTAGGCTGAAAGTGTCGCCATTTTAATGTATATTATTAGTAATTAGGATCTGATATATTTTGGAGAATATTTATTTTATTAAGTTTCAGTGTGAATTACCTAGCTTCTTATAATATTGAATTGGAAAACAGTTATAGTAACCTTATATCTTATTTAAAAATTGCTATAATTTGCAGATGCAGGTGTTATAATCTGCATGCACTTCTTTTGAAACTGATAAACATTTTTCATCGATATCTAATCTTGTAACGCTTTGAATTTGTAGCTGCATAGGAGTTCTTTCGATATCAGACACAAGTGTATAATTTCCTATCGGATGCAAACCATCTTCATTACTTTTAAAAAATTTGAAACTTTCATCATCACTTACTACGTATCCTATGAATTCAAAAACAGCACTTATGCTTTCATTGATTGATAAACTTGCTTTTATTTTCTTGTTTCCTCCTTCATCATATGGCTTTAATTGCTTTTCTTGAACAGTTAGCAAATTTTTGAGAGTTGGATTATGGCAATATTGGCCTGAGACATCAATTGCTATTTTTCTTATTATTGATTGCAACCCTAATGCTATTAGAAGCTTTACTTCAGGATCGGCCCTAGCTTTTTCTAAAGGAATGTCTACATAGTCAATGCAGGAACAAAAATAAGCAGGAATATCAACGTCTTCACATATTCTTTTATCATTTATTTTTTCAAGTAAAAGGGAAAGAGCTGATGGCGGACTATTTTGAGATTTTCAAAAATTATAAAGTTCAGAGTTGGAAGATAATTTACCATAAGGCGACAAAGCAAGATTTTTAAAAGTTAAATATCAGTCAAGTCTGCTTACAAGTCTTTTTGTGTTGTGCTTTAATATTTCATCAGTTTTCTCTCCCAGTCTTGATATCAAATCTTTATTTGCTATTAGTATATGCAAAGGGAGCTGATTTTCTCTAAATCCTTCATCGTACTTATCTCACTCCCTCGAATGTTTTCCATGATCAGACATTAAATGAATTGCAAAATCTTCTTCTGGATGGTTTTTAAAATATTCAAAAATGTTCACAAAAAAGTCTTTTAAATCACTATCAGCTGTTCTAATAACAGTTCCTGTTGACTCATGAGCTGGCGAAAGATGAATGTACCCAAATCTATTGTGACCTTTATAATTTTTCATAAATTGAGAAGCATAATTTAATAAATATCAATGAGAATGATGTGTGCCTAGACAGCGCTGCCTTTCAAGAAAATCAAGATACCCAAAGATTTTTCGAGCAGCATGTCAGAAATTTGTAGCGACATGGTCTGTTAAAATTTCCCGGCCTGTTATGAATGAAACAAAGTCTCATACTGTGTCATAACCAAGCATTGTTACATAGCCGAGATTTTCATAAAATTTTCAGATCGACTCAGACTGAAGCTCCCTAAATTTTCACCAGTCTCCCTGATTTTGTATTGAAAAACTTTCAAGCCGTTTTTCGTGAGATGCCCTATCATATCCATATAAAAGCGGAACCATATTAGGTTGTGTGTTAGGCCCATGAGCATTATTTATAAGGAAATCATATATTGCATAGCTGCTAGAGCTATCCGCAAATGAGTTTAGATATTCCATAGTTTTAGGTAAATTTCTATATGCATGTTGTCTTGAAAGTGAATCAAAAAGAACTAATAAAACAGTCATAGGTCTTGGGGTTTCAGTCATTTTAAGATCCTCAGAAATTGATTTCGTTTTATTCAAAGCTCTCTCAGAGGCTGATTTTTTGAATTTATTAATCAGAACTGCCTGCTTTTTAGATCTCATGCACCTAGAAAAAGCGAATTCTCTGTCTTCCAAGTCTACAGGCTCAGAATAATACTTTCATTGAAATTTGAAATCAACTTCTCCTAGCAGCTCTTCTTCTGGCTTAGATCCCATTACATATTCTGCTTTATATTGTTTTTCACAGTCAATAGTTAATTTATTGTCAATTATATGGAGATCTTCTGTTAATCTAAATAGGCAATCCACAAAACGCCTGTTTTGGTCAAATAAGACTTTTGCATCCTCATCTGAAAACCCAAAATTGTTCGGAACGCAGGTAGCATTTTTAGTATCTGAAAGATCAGGGAATTGGAGAAGCGGATAGCTTGAAAAAGAATTGGAAAATGAATTATTAGTGCTTAACAGCTCTATTGAGTTTTGTAGCGGTGGAGATGGCAATTTCCTTTTGATTTCTATAGTGGCTGCATCCATATCTCTATGATATTCGATAACGCGTACTGTAATTTCTTGTGGGGCACTTTTATAGTGTAAAATAAAGCTTCATAGCAGCACTGTAAATATCATAATAATTACCAGAAGAAGGAGAAAATTGACTCTTCTTCTTACACTTCTCTCCATAATTCAACACTCTTATTAATTTGCAAATGAATAATAAATCTATCATTATAAAGATGATGCAAAAGTATCTAATTAGAAATACTTTCATCATTTCATTATTTTAATAGCTTACTCCCCCCTCCTCCGTGAGTGAACAAAAAATTTTGTTCACCTACGGAGGGGGGTTAATTATTTTTTTAAAAATATTTATATATAAATTTTATAGAAAATATTTTTTTTCGAAATTTAAAAAAATCCTAATTCGCAAAAATTGAAAGCAAATATTAATTTAATTTATAAAATTTATGTTTTAAAAAGCAATTTGTTTAAAAATTAAACAGAATTAGCTCTAGATTTCATTATACTAATTATCACTTATATATCAAAATTTTTTTCCATAAAAAAATTTTTCTATTAAAAAAATATTTGTTCACTCACGGAGGGTGGGTTTTTAGGCAAAAAATAGCGATTATTCTAATGGTTTTGTTCACTCACGGAGGGGGGAGTTTAGGAAAATAATTACGATAAACTAATTTAAAATCTAAACATCAATTATTTTACTATCATCATGCCCACTCACGATAATTTCATTGGCAATAATAACCTGCGAAAGAATCTCCTTATGAATAATGTTCCCTGTAGGATAGATCATAAACTTTTCCTTATTTTTAGTGATCATGATTCAAGCCTCAAAAGTTTTAATCCAAAACTGGTTCATTTTATCAAATTCAGGATCAATTATGCTTTTAATGCTCACAATCTTTTTCTGACTCACAAAAAATGCTCCCTGTGTTATTACTTCAAGATCTTTACCATTTTCTAGAAGAGACAGCTCTTTGACCGTATGTCTTGTATACGTAGTTCTCCTAAAGACTTCGAATGAACCTAAACTGATAGCTATCATATCTCCAATCAAGTGAAGCCAGCCAAATGATTTGATTAGATTAGATTAGATTAAAATTATAGCGGGTCGTCGGGGTTTTATTTCAGCCCCTCTCCGTCCAACGGATAGCTTCGCGTTGGCGCTAAGCGCTATCCTCACACCACCTTTTTCCCCACTGATGTCCCCAAAAAATGGTGACATCAGAGGTCTGTCGGGGAGAAAACCCTACCGTTCGGCCGAGCCTTTCTTAGTCCCAAAGTTCAGCCAAAGACTACCTTAACCTCTGACAGGGCTCAGAGTACGGTTGAATCGTCTTTTGCCTACTCCATGGCCTGTCAGAACCTTATTAAAGGTTCAAGATTTCTCCCCATGGAGTAGCATCGGGACTTTGCGCCGGTAGGGACTTCTGCAGGTAAGGAAAAAAGATCTAAGGTTATCCCTTAGACCAAAACCCCACCCCGGAGAAACTATCGCCATGTGGCTCGCCTTTCCTGGCCCGGATCAACTCACGGGTTGTCAGGAGTCCACGTCAGATCACGCCATTTTAATAATTCTCCAGCCAAATGAAGAATGGTTAAGTATCACACTTCTTGTGACGTAAGCTGTTAATGCTGCTCATATAGATGTGGCATAATGAGGTCCATTTCCTTCAATACTTTCGTAGAGCTTGCACTTACCGTTTACAAATATTGGCTTTTGAATGGGTTTGTATGCAAATCCTCGGGCTATGAATCTTATCAGAGACATTATCTAAATAAAATTATTATGGGTTTCATTCCATAAAATTTATTTATAAGATTTGCATTTAAACTATGCTTTATTTAAGGAAATGGAAAAATCAAAATCTAGTTTCCTCAAAATCACTGAATAAGTACATTTCCTGCCAGATTTGAATAAAGTGCCTATTGAATATTCGAATCTGAAAGAATACTAATTTAAAATAATTTTGATAATGCTTATAATAGTCTAAGTTGAAGAGTGGATATATAATTAAAACGCTTTAAAAAATTCATAGATTAATATTTATGAATTTGGTTTAAATCATAATTAAAAAAATTCCATAAAATATCTTAATTCAGATCAATAGGCTTCATGAATTTTGTTCGATTCATTGATTGAAAAGTTTTCATAAACCATCTTGCTTCAGATCAAACGGTTTCATAAATTGCAAATTTTTAATCGATTATAAAGATTCTTAATCATTTAAGTATTATAAATTTATGCAAAAATAGCTTAAACAAATTATAATTAGCATTTAATTATGCTTTAGCAAAGAAAATTGAAAATGATTTTTTTAAAAGCTGCCAAAAATTATATTTTATTATCCAAAAATGTCCATAAATGTCAACTTTTTGGAAGCTTGTGATGGATTAAGTTCTTAGGAGGTTTTAGATTGGCTGAGCAAAATTCTGTATCATTTTAATAGCTAAATAGAGAAAGCAACTTATTTCGCATCTAAAATTAAGAGGAATTATAAAAAATAAGAAAGAGAAATATTAATTAAAAGCAAGAGCAACTGAAATACTTAGGAATTGAATCCAGATAAAAAATTATTATTAGCACGGAGGTAACCATTAATTTACTTTCGCTATATTATCTGTCCTCTCTTCTTGAATAGGGAATAATTCATTTAGATCAATATCATCTTTTCCAGTATTTGCTCCAATACCAAAGCTCTTGTTCATACAATGTTCATCGTTATTTTGAGACTCTATTCTATTCTCTTTATCAACTTTAATATTATCCAAAATTGCTGTAGTTCTTTCTCTGAACCTCACTTTTAACTTCAAGCTATAATAAGCAATAAGTTGTATTGACCCGACTAAAGGAATTCACAATACACACACCAAAGAAGCTATCGCTCCTTCTTCAGCACATACATTTGATGAAATATCATTAGCCTTCCAGTCGTTATCTTCGCAATCTGATGAGTAAAAAAGTGAGCTATACCCAGACCATATTCAGAATCCTATTAAGTGAGTAGCGAACATGATCCAAAATAGCGGTATCGAAATTCATAACCGCTTTATATTATGGAAAATATCAATGATCAAAAATATTGTAGTAACTAGTGCTAGCATTATAGACAAGCTTTCAAGTGTAACGTATATAATGCCTCCAATGTACAAAGACTTGAACATTGAGCATTCATCACTGCTGAGAGGGCTTGATGCTCCACTTTTGTCACAGTCATTTCATATATCTAGATAGCTTTGACTTGTTGAATAATTTCCAAAGTTTGAATTTGGGTACAATAGTCCTCCGTGCCACTCATAAGACTTCATAGACCGGAAGAATCAGTTTTCTGAAAGAATAGATAGAAGCTCGAGTGAGATGATTGAAAAGAGTAGTATAATAATCAAAACTCACCAATGATTCTTGCTAAAACAGCTGTCGTTTCGAGACATTTTATTAATTTATTTCGTTGCGCATTATGAAAAGAAAGAAAAGTGAGAATTGGCTTAATCTATACTTTAATTTAAAGAATAGATGAATTTTATTGATTTAGAGTTTATTAGCATTGATATTCTGAATTTTATTAATTTGTGCCCGTTACATGAAATATGAATTTTCTCTAAGTTATCTGATAAGGCAAGAAGTAAAGAAATATTTATATGAGAAGAAATATAAGTATAGATATAGTCCTTTCGCAAGTTTAAGGCTGTTTAAAACCAAAAATAAATGTGATAAGAATAAAAAACTGCTTAATTAATTTTTCATTCTTTCAATTAAAGAAATGAAGAGATAGTAAAATTATAATACATAATGAAAACTAGTTACAGTTATAGAATTTGCATATAGCATGAATCACAATCGAAGTCACAGTTGAACAATGATAATTTTTTTAAACCAACATAAAAATGGCTGGCAAATTGGATTTAATTAGCATTTGTCCTTGCTATAAAGCTGCTAAAAGGCCAATTACTTCAAGACTCAAAGATCGATGACGTGCATTAGTTCACATAATAAATGCTAAATATTTAGACACAACAAATTCCAATAAAGAAAAGCTAGCCACACATGAGTTAATTCTATCTCAGGTGATGCTAATATACGAGGATGAAGACGTTATAGAAGATTTGCACATGGTTTATATGATAAACCACAGTCTCATCGAGCAATACCTACCACAAATATGCAGCTATATTTCGTTTTCTATATCAGATTTCTCAAGAAGATTACTAAATGAGTTTTTACTGGCAAAATGCAAGCAGAGCACTTCTTTTGCCCATGCAGTTTACTGGCAGTTCATGAATCAAATTAACCCTCGTTTGAGATCTAGTTCACGAATTATTGCCATAGCAAACAAAGTTTCAACAGCCTCTTCTGCAGCGTTCAAACATCTCTCCAGTGAAGACACTGGTGGAACAGGGAACTTAGAAAGCAGAAACTTCTTTAAAACAATTGATTTTGTTCAAAAATTGGTGGATGCCTCACAAAAACTCATTTCTGTCCCAAAAGACATGAGAAAAATTGCCTTGGATAAGATGCTCCTCGAAATTGATGAAGAATTTTTACCTTCGAAATTCATAAGTCTGCCTTTTAAGGGACAAGAAAGAAGATATTTATACAAAATTTATAGGGAGTATTCATTTCCGCTTAGCACTAAAGAAAGGGTACCTTTTCAAATAACTATCGGAACGATTGAAAATGAAGCTAATTGAAGATTTAACTGCAATGAAGACCATGAAATTATAGAGCAAAAGCTGATAAATAGAAGTTTGAATCGATTAAATCTTACAGAAATTGACCCAGATCTACTAGAAGATAGTGGAGTTGATGAAGAAGAAGTGTCTCTTATTGACAACAAATCTGCTACACAGCCTAAAACTTGTATTTCGTGCTTCAAGAATAGCAAAGAGAAGCAAAAATCTTTATTTTATTTAAGAAAAAAGCCAAGAGGACTATTTGGAGAAACCTCACTGAAAGAAATCGAAGAGCACGTTCAGCAATCAGAGCCAGAAGTGAAGCTAATTTCTTTAATTATCAAAGCTAATGACGACATCAGACAAGAGCAATTTGCTTCTCAGCTTGTGTTTATGTTCAAAACAATTTTCTCTCAAAGTAAGCTGAAGCTATGGGTAAGAGATTTTCTAGTAATTCCTGTCAGCCAAAACGGAGGAATTATTGAAACCATTGATAACGCAATTTCAATAGACAGGCTGAAAAAGTTTGACGATAGCTTTGTTAGTCTTAGAACATACTTTATCGACACTTTTGGACCAGAAAACTCAGACCGCTTTGCAAAAGCTACTAAAAACTTTATAGAGAGCTTAGCTGGCTATTCATTATTCTGCTACTTATTCCAAGTCAAAGACAGAAACAACGGAAATATCTTGATAGATAGTGAAGGGCATATAATAGACATAGATTTTGGCTATATGCTTTCAAGGACGCCAGGATCTGTCAATTTTGAGTCAGCCCCATTTAAGCTAACTGCTGAGTACTTAGAAGTCATGGGAGGCCAAAGTTCGTGGCTTTTCTTAGAATTCAAAAAACTTATAATTCAAGGCTTCTTAGCTCTGCGAGAGCATAGGTATAAGATTGTGAGATTCGTAGAAATTTGTATGCAGACGTCGAAACTTCAATGCTTTGAAGATGGGGAAGCTCTAATAGAAGCGTTAAACGCCAGATTTGCACCAGAAATGAGCAAACACCAATGCAAGCATTTGATGCTTTCTTTAATAGAAAGAGCATGTGATAACTGGCGTACGAGATGGTATGATATTTATCAACAAATATGTGTAGGAATATGGTACTTAAAATTTGAAACGAGAAGAGAGTTTGGGGACCTTGTGGAAGGGTAAGGGAGTGCAACATTCAGTGAGTGTCCAGCTGTGTTTTACTTGGCATGATTGAGGGCTAGTTACCACAGGTTCACATCCTGGGCAAGGTTTTACTCCGAAGGAGGATGGATTTGGAAGCTGGAAAGGGATAGCCAGCATGGTCAGATGGCATTCACTTAACCAATCAGGCATTCTCCTAGAGCGATACCGGGAGTTGCAGTTGCAAACAAGGGGGTGATGCGAAACATGAAACGTGAAAGCAATTAGCGGGCTGGCAGGAGCTTCTCTATAGCAATTTAATGAATGAATGTGTAGGAATCTGGTAAATTAGGATCACATAAGTAAAGAATTATCATCTTTTCGATTGAATTAGCGCTATTATAATATATATTACTAACCAGTCAAAGGTATTTTATCTAGTATATTTAATTTTCAAGATTCATCCTTTCAAACATCCCTTTGAAGTGTCTTCTGTCTCTCTCTTCGGATTCCTTCATTTTCTTATTCCATAACTTATAAGCAGCCTGAATTGAAGGATCTCCAGGTGTTTTCTCGTTAGCTTTGTCAAAATCAGATTTTGCTCGATCAAGATCATTAAGCTGAAGATAAGCCATTCCACGCCGATATAAAACTTTAGAGCTCTCATTAATTTCGAGTGCTTTATTAGCTTTTAAGATGGTGCGTTCATAATTTCCTTCTTTAAGGTGTACAGCTGTCATATTCGAATATGTGGAAAACCTTATTTCGTTAACTTGAGCCTCTTGCTGATCAGTTAAGCAAACCTTTGCATATTGCGATAGTGCTCCTGACTTTGAAATTAAGCCTTCAGTGTATAAAAACACTTTCGCGTATTTTTTTAATGCATCCTTGTAATTGCCTTGCTTAAATAGTTCATTTCCTTCAATTTTAAACGCTTCAGCTTTGCTTATATGCTCAAGTATTTTTTCTTCAGGAGAAATTTCTTCTTGCGGTTGTATCTTGGCTTCTTCAACCATAATTATTATACTGAAATGGATAAATAATAAATATCTTTGCAGGCATTATATCCATTTTATATTTGTTTATATAAGCAAGAAATCTAAGAAAGAATATTTATAATTGTCAAAACTTACTAATATTTTTCCATAATAATCATCCTTTAATAGCTATTTATATTAGACTTAATTCTGGTAGTAATAAAATATGGTCGAGCCTACAGCGAAAATTCTAAGAATAAGACCTTTATGCGCAAATCTAACAAAGCTAAATGAAACAGAAGTCAACAAGAAATTTTTCTGCCAACTCGCAATCTGCGACCATCTTCAAAAATCTTCTAAATGTGAAAATGGCAATCTGCTATTCTGGAATGACGAAATTGAATTTCAATTTAAGACAGGAGAATTGCTTAATGTGTCGTTGTGGGAAGAAGATAAAGAAGAAGTCATGATTGGAAAAGGGGAATTTCAATTGTTCAGCTTGGGGGAAGGACAAACTGAACAATGAATTCCATTGATTAGAGACGAAGAAAGAGTAGGAGAAGTAAAACTAGGTCTGTCGTTAATAATTCCTAAAGTGGAAGAAATTAAGACTGAAGTGTTACCAGAAGTTATAAGAGAGCAGAAGTCCAAAGTGGAAACACATGAAATAGTTAATCCGCCGGTGACTGATGTCGAACAATCTCAAATTGAAGCTAAAAGTGCAGAGGCTGATCATGATTGGGAAGTTTTGCAGTCAAAAAGCCCTCAAACAAAGCCTCCTGAGATTGTAGCTTCTGAAAATATAGTTGAAGAGAAGTTCATTCCTCCTGAAGAATCAAGACAAATTATAAGACCCCCAACTGAGCCTCAAAATCTTTCAGGAATATATTATCAGGCACCACTCAGTGATCCTTATCAAACTTCAGCTACTCAAAGCTCTACCCAATATCATCAAGATCCAATTCAGAATCAACCTTCTATGTTTTCTGGGCAATACTATCCACAACAAGTTTCAAGTCAGCCTTCTCAGCCAAATTTACAAGAAATTCCGCATCCTCTAATGCAAAATCAATCTTCTGAGGCGAATACTCAAATCTCCCAAAGTCCTCAGGTTGAGGGACATCCAATTCCTCAAGCTAGCACAGAAGTTTCAGCCCAGCCTTATCAAACTCATTTGCAGACAACTGAAGGCCAAACTTCTCAACAGAGCTCTGAAAATCAGGGACAAATCTTTCAATCTGGTCCTCAAACTCCTACTCAGCCTGCTGTACAGTCAACTCCTGCTGAGGCTTACCCAACTGGGCCACAAATGGCGGGGCAACCATATACTCAAATGCCTCAATATTATCAACCTCAAATGCCTGGACAGTATGGCCAACCTTATCAACAACCATCTCAATACTATAATCAGCCATATCAGCCTAGTCCTAATCAAAGTAGTCAACCTTACCAGCAAGGAGGCCAACCTTATTCACAAATCCCTCAGCAACCATATCAACAAGTTAGCCAATCATATCCAAATACCAGCCAACCATATCAAAGCCCTTGTCAGCCTTATCAAAGCCCAGGCCAGCCTTACCAAAATTTAAGCCAACAATATCAAAACCCTCAAATTCCGCAGTCATATCAACCTCACCAGCCATTACCGCCACCATGCTTCCCACAAAATCAGCAAGGACAGATCCCAATGCAATCCAATTATCCTCCTCAGCAAATTCCTTCAAATCTTAGTGCTGGAATGCCATCTGGGTATAATCCAAATATTTCAGGCCAGCCAGGCTATCCTCCTCAACCTATTTATCCTACAACTCAAAGCTATCCACCTGGAGCTTATCAGCAGAATTTTCCTTATCCTCAATATCCTGGTTCCTCTCAGCAAGTATATCAGAATGCTCAATATCCTTCTCAGCCAACCTATCAGCCGCCATATGGATATGCACCTTATCCCCCACAAAGCTTGCCTTCTCAGCCTGGACAATATCCTGGGCAACCTCAAGGACCTTACATTCCTACTCCTGCATCAAGTGCTCAGCAGCCAACTTCTTTTACTGCATATCCGCCTTATAGTTCAAACCCTAATCAAAGAAGTTAAATTCTTTTTTGAATAAATTAAGGCAGAATTATTTATTAATTTCTGGCTATTTAGTTTAAAGAATTGTCATTTTTTCTTAAATTAGAACAATATATTTTTGCTTAAAAATTTTATTGTTTGTTGAATCGAAAATTTCATATTCTAATTGATAAATCTTTATTAATATCGGGGTTCATAATTAAAATTATTTATTTAGCCTTAATGCATAGACTATACATGTATTTAATCCCAAAAATCTTTGTTATTATTCAGCCATCAATTATTGACAATCAATAACTTCCCTTTCAAAAACTCCGACAGTTATATTTAAGATGGCCGTAAGGAAACCAGTTGATGAGTGGACCTTGATCTTGCAGAAGCAAGCTGAGTACAATAAACTTCACGAAATGGAACAGAAAAACAAGTATCTCCAAGACCAAGAAGATCTCCGCAGAGGCTTAGAATATCAGCAGCAACTCACTTCCCCATTGGTTAGCGAGCAAAAAAATATTACTCATTAAATTTAAATTAATAACTTTTTCAGATTATAAAAATCCAAATTTGCAAAGAAAATTTTCTCAAAAATTATTTTTAAAAGCCAAGCTTTTAAAATTTAATATTATTATAATAATAATAATTTATTTATTAAATATAGTTTATCCCAATAGATTTAGATTAAACATTTGCTAGTAATGAAGGAGGCTTAATTTCCAATAATAAAGATCATGCTCGCTAAACAACTGGGAGTCAGAGATCTCCAGAAAAGGCAGGAGCAGGAAGAAAGAGACCGTGAGGCGCGCGAAGTATCTTTAAGGGCTAATTGGTTTAAAGATCAAGAAAACACCAAAAAACAACAAGAAGCAATGATAAAAAAGCAAATGGCTGACGACCTCCTGAATCACCAAAATTTACTTAAACAAAGAGAAATCGAAGAAAAAAACCGCATCCTTATGGAAGAGCAGGAAAGAATCCGCATTGCCCAAAGGAACCTTGAAGAAGAAGCTAAGCGAAAGCTTGAAAAGAAAATGCAGTGGCAGCAGGAGCAGCAAGCAATGATGCAGTTCCGTGAATATCAAGAACAGCAGAAAAATCAAGCTGAAATGAACCAAAAAATGGTAGATGTCGAGCTTCAGCGACAGAGAAAAGAAAGAGAAGAGCAAAAAGAGCAGGATTACCGAGAATACTACAGAAGGCTAAACGATAACCAACTTAACCGAGCTAAAGCTTTTAGTCAAGCTTTACAAAAACAGTCAGAAAAAGACATCGAAAGAAACCAATGAATCAATAAAAATGTGGATTCATACAACCAGCAGCTTGCCAGAAAAGAAGAATACGAGCGACAAATAGATTAATTAAGTTATAGTCTTTACCTCTATATAGATTTCTTTATCAAATAAAATGTAATAAACCCAAAAATCCCGAGGGTATGAGGGAAGGACTGCCGGATAAGTCGCCATTTTATTTGTGTGAGCAACAAATAAGGAATATGAACTCGCGATCATTAAATCAGACTCTTAAATCACAAATTGAAACTAAAGAAATGCAAAAACAATATGCTCAAGAAGAATTTAAAAGAATGCAAGATGAGGTGACACAGAGAATAGAAATCAGCAGAAAGCTGGAGCAAGAAAGAGAAAACCAAAAGGCTTTGCAAAAGCAGTTATATCGGGAGCAGCTTGCAATGCAAATGTCAATGAATAATGACTTGAGAATGAGCCAGTTTAAGCTGTCAGAAGCTGAGAAAGTGATGAATAAAGGAATTTTGGATGAATCAATTGGAGGAAAAAGATTCCAAAGAGGAGCGAATGAAATATTGAAGCCGCAAAGCTCGTTTACAACAAAAAATTTATCATACGACGAAAATGCGAAAAATTTCTTTGGGGCAGATAGCTCAGTTCCTGATGTGAGAAAGTCAAGAGAGTATGGAGACAGAAAAAGATTTAACCCTATTACAGGTGTGGAATATCCACCACCTATGCCAAATTCAAGAACGTCTTTAAGGGCTGGATTAAAAATATAATCTTTACTTGTTTTAGATTAAAGACTTTTCAAATGCTTACTCCCCCCCCCCTCCGTGAGCGAACAAAACCATTAGAAAAATCGCCATTTTTTGACCAAAAACCCACCCTCCGTGAGTGAACAAAAATTTTTTTAATAGAAAAAATTTTAATGGAAAAAAATTTGGATATATAAGTGATAATTAGTATAATGAAATCTAGAGCTAATTCTGTTTAATTTTAAACAAATTGCGTTTTAAAACATAAATTTTGCAAATTTAAATTAATATTTGCTTCCCAATTTTTGCAAATTAGGATTTTTTTAAATTTCGAAAAAAATATTTTTTATAAAATTTATATATAAATTTTTTTTAAAAAAAAAATTAACCCCCTCCGTGAGCGAACAAAATTTTTTTGTTCGCTCACGGAGGGGGGGGGGGGAGTTAATAAAAAGGAATTACCTATATAATTTGGAAAGAATTATGATATGTCCAAAATAAATATAAATAAATCACTTTCCATAGCAAGTGCTTCATAACCTCTTTGCATGGCCAAAAGAATTTGGATAAAATCATTTTTTTAATGAATAAAGCATATTTTTCAGTACAACCAATGAGAGGCTGCGAAAGCCCTCCTTTGCCAGTCCTACGATCAAATTATGACCCTGCAAAATTGCTAGAATGCCAAAAAGAAACCGAAATTTTAAAAAATGAGATATCAGAGCTGAAAAGTGAAATCCATCATTTGCGTAAAAAAGAAAAAGAATCAATCAAAGCAGAAATCCAATACAAACAGCTCATAAGAACATATCAGCAAGAACTATCAAAACCGCCACTATTACCATCCAAAATGCCAACTGAAGAATCAGAAAAAAATCTTTCTGTCATTACCGATGCTTATGACAAAGTATATGGATGCATTAAGCAGCTTCAAGAAAGAATCAATGACATGCTGGTAAGCAAAGAAATCACTCTAGTAGCTGTTTTTAATGCAAGGCTGCAAGAAATTTCTAATGAATTGGAAAATGAAAAAAAAGAGAAATTGGAGTATATTGAAAATTTAGCAGAAAGAGAAAGCAACTCAGTCAAAGAATTAGGGCTCCTCAAAGGCTCAGTTGAATTAGTTGAAGCTAAAAACTCATTTTTGGAAGTAGAGAATAAGAGGCTTAAAGGAGAATTAAAACAGTTGAAAACTGAGTATGATATACTAGAGCATCGACTTTTTGAAATGAAATTAACAAAATCAAAACCCAGACTTGCTTCACCTCGATCAATTATTTCTCCTACTTCTGCGCCAAGTATACTCACATCTCCACCTGTATCTCCTGGGTCTAGAATTAAATCATTTATCTCGCCAAATCGCTCAGCAGAAGAATCGACTGATGCCAGATATCAATTGGTAATAGAAAAACTCAAGAAGTCAGTAAGGGACCAGAAAAGCAGCTTAAGAGCAGCTAGAACTGCATATATACGAGAGCTGCAAAGCAAAAATGAAATTGAAAATGTAATACAAACATGCATAGATAGTGTTAAAAAACAATTAGTCAACTGTAAAGATAAATCCAAAAATAAAGCTGAACTTGTTAAACAAGAGTTAATTGACAAATTAACTACGCAGGAAGAAATACTTTCTCTATTATATCAAAAAGTTCAGCGAAAAAATTAAATTAATTTAATAATTTTTGGATTAATTTATCGAAGAGATTGAAATTTATTTATTTTGAAAATAAGTAGATGGAATGCGGAATTTGATTAATTGTTTCTCCTCAATTTTTAGCCTCCAATGATTTAAAAATGGCCACGAAGACTATTTACCTTGTTCTTGACATTTAGTCTTAATTCGATTTATACAATTATTTATACCATTAATTATTTAAACAGTCGAAAATTAAATCATCCAATTCTAGTCATAGCAATCCTGTCAAAATTCTATTTCTTTGGTATTTTAGGGAATTTCTCATTTCAAATTTGTCTATCTTCTTATCCAACGCAAAAATTTAATAGTAAATTCATAAATTTGAGTTTAGACGACACTTCTTAGGTCCAAATACAAATGTTGAATTAAATAAAAGGACAAAATAAAATAACCAATAACTTCAATTTTTATATGAAATTTTCAGAAATCTAAAAATCCAATATAATCACACTAATTAAAAGTGTATAACTTTATTGGATCTAATTAAAAACCCTCTTAATAGCCATTCCATTCAGGCAATTGTTGAAAGAAACTAAATATGTCAGGTATTCTAAGTTCAATCATAGCTGCAATTGACGGCACGGTTTTAGTGTCTTTTATTGCTGGTGCAGGTGTCATATTAACCCGTGCAAAGGTATTTATCATATAGATTCTCGATCGGAATGGAACCGAGACTTTTGGGAAAATCATCATTTACTTGCTCCTTCCTTGTCTCCTATTCACTAACATGCTGCTCTATGTTGACATCTCAGAGATGAAAAACTTTGGCATAGCATTTTGCCTTGCCACCTTTCACGCTCTCGTGGGCTGTGGGTTGGGATGAATTTTAGCCAAATTAACTGGGGCGAAAAGGGACATTAGAAGGCTAATTATGTGTTGTATAGGGTTTCAGGACACAACAGCCTACCCTTTGGCATATGCAATTGTCCTAGGAGGAGATAGTGTTACGAAATCGGATAAGGATTTTAATGATAAGGCTACAGAATACGTGTTGATATATACCATATTTATTATTATCTTTAAGTGGACAATCGGCTATGAGTAATCCCTATTTAGAGTAATGATGCAGAGAAAGTTACCAAGACTACCTGGAGCTGAAGTAATAAACAGTTCTGACATATAGAAATTTCCCATAGATGGCGCTGTTTGCCCTGAAGATTTTTTGGCTTGACCAAACCATATGGTACTGTCGAACCAAAAAATTTCCCCAGTGGGCAAATCAAGGGCAAACAGTGCCATCTATGGGAAATTTCTATAACACCTGAAGATCTTGGAAGAGGCGAGTATCTATTACCTCTATTTAATGTTCTAAATACTTCTTATTCTTAGCTTTATACTATTTCTTATCGAAAATAGGTATACACTTCAACCTCAAAATTTTATTTAAACTCATATGAATATATGGAAAATAAAGAAAGGCATGACTCCTCCGATATGGGCTGCAGTTTTTGCAATTCCTTTTGCATTTATTCCCTTAAGTCAAAAATACCTTTGGACAGGCTCAGGATCCCTCTTAAAGAAAAATTTATTCCAAGCAATGTCTTCTTTTGGTGGATGTGCATCCCCATTAATTTCATTTATTTTGGGTTCAAATTTAAGCTATGGATACCCTATAACTGCTGATATTAGCAGGTAACAATTATTTAGCCTACATATAGCGGTTATAGTAGCTGGCAAATTGATTATTATGCCTTTTATAGGCCTAGGCGTAGTTGGTGGGCTTTATTATCTCGAAGCCATTGTAAGCTTTATTTAGGGGAGAATTTTCACCTTGATGATGATGATAATTTTTGCTGCTCCAAGCTCGCTTCAACTGCTGGTTATATGTGAAAGCAGAAAAAACCAAGAAGAAAACATGTCAAAAGTAGTCGTTTTCGTGTATGGATTCGCAGTTTTTATGATGCCATTATGGACTACTATCTTTTTGTGGTTACTTTATCGCTAAATAAAATAAAATTTTATTAATTCTTAATAATCATGATCAGTTTTAAATAGAGCTGAATTTTACAAAATTTTAACATTAAAATTATTTGGTAATAGCAAATGGTTTTAAAAATAAAAGTTAATAGGTGTTAGAATTGGCCTTTGCATTGCTTATATAAGTCAAGATAACTTTGGCACATTCCAATCTCATTTTTATTGAATTGAAGGCAGTTTAAGAAGTCTTGGTTATGTTGGGAGCATGGCTCTTGGATTTGTTGAGGCTGAGACTGGACCTGAGCTTCTTGAGCGTGACTGCTACCGCTTCCCATGAGTCCTCGAACTGCTTGGTGAGCTACCTCGCTTCCTGCTCCAAAGGCCACTCCTTGCATCAATGTTCCTGCTAGTGAGCCAACCATCCCTGGGCTTTGCTGCATAGGTGGGGCTTGATATGTTTGCTGAGGAGCTTGAGCTGTTTTTGCAGATCTAGTTGGCCCAGAGCTTCTTGAAAAGCCACTTGATTTCATACCTCCTGATTTTCTTGGCATTTTTATTATTATAATTTAGGGATATTAAATTACTTATGTCTTTAGAATTTCTGGAAATTAAGGGTTATCTAAAGAATAAGCTTCAAAATTAAATTTAGAAAGATTATTGGATTAGATTAAGTTAGAATGAGTCTTCGGGGTTTATTTCAGCCCTCTCTCACCTTGCTGACTTCAGGCTCCTCGCCCTAGGCATCGATTTGCGCTTATGCCCTTTTCTGTAGACTTGATGAAATTGCCATTTTGCGGGGAGGTGTACCAGGTACTCCCGAGTCAAGTCCTAGTGAACAGTATCATCTATCTAAAGTATGGAAAGTAGGAGAACTCTGAATCCTCCTTCTGGTCCTTACTCTCACATCCAGATGCTTGGATTGTCTTATGGACTCTGGTCGTGGTCTCCCGACCAGTGAAAAAAACCTCTCCGAACACAAAATTTCATGCCTTGTCCCTCTTAGATCCAAAAACCTGAAGGTGTGAGAGAGGGACGGGTAGGACAAGTTACCGTCTTATTTGTGTAAATTTAGAAATAAAAATCATAAATTAATGCAAGATTCAAATTAATATGCATTTTCTAATTCCCTTCCGTGACTTAGCAAATTTGTTTGGCCTGCTCACAGAGAAATGCTTCAATCTTTATTTAAAATGGCTACACACTGTAGCAAGCTATGCGCTTAAATATTTATAGTAAAAATTAATCTATTATCAAAATTGTTTATATAGCTAGCGTTTGTTTATTTATTATAGATTTACTCATATAAACCAAAATCTTTGAAAAATATTTTATTATTTAATTTCATAAAAAGTAATGGTTTTACTTATTACAGAGATGGGAGGGTAAGATTTAATCTAGTTTCGGGCAGTTATATCTTTTCATAAATTGATTGCTACTTAAATTAAGGCTAAAAAACTCCGCAGATGAGAAGAAAGGCACACATTCTTAATCAAACGACAACCTAAGAGTAGAAAATTTATTGAATTTATTAATATTTATATGCGGCATGCTTCATCTTAAAGCCCTAATCTAAAATTATCAAAAGAATAATATAATACCTATAAAATCTAAATATAAGCATAACAGCCAATAATCAAATAGTCTTATTTCAATAAAATTTAATCTCTTGGAGAATAAGTTTCTCCTGAAGTGTTTTCTTTCTTAAGATCCATAAGTGCTTCAATCAATTGCTCAACTCCACCCATGATTCCCCCAATATTTATTTGAATTTGATATATTTTATGGATAAATAAAATGGCATTCGGTTCGAGAGAGAATTAGCTCTGCTAATTTTCTCTCCCTCATGGAATTTTATTTATGGGGTTAGGTTTTCACTCGAGAACTTCTGGACAGCAATAGCGGTTTAACTCTGGGGATAGCCAGAGGAACTGCTCCTCAGTCCTCTCAAAATTTTCGGGGTTTTACCTCTCAGCACATCTCCACGAGAAGATGACCCTCAGGCGGAAACACGCGCAGGAGCTGAGTCGATACAAGGGTGACGGCATCGCGCCGGGTGAGACGTGCAGCAAGGCTGGTGAAGCAGGAGTTGATAAGGACCCCCCCCTCATTTGTCGAATTTTCTAGTCTTTTTATTATAAGAAAATTTGTTTTCCAGGACCTCATTTGTCCCAAAATCTAGTCAAAAATGATTTGTCCAATTTTCTAGTTTTTTTTGCATTTTTTCGAATGCCCTAAATTCTAGTTTTTTACTTTAAAAAAACTAGAAAATGAGACAATTGAGGTCCTGGAAATTTTTTTTCTCTATCAAAATTTTTGACTAGAAAATTGGACAAATGAGGTCCTAAAATATTTTTTTTCCTATAAAAAAACTAGAAAAATGGACAAATGATAAAAGACTAGAAAATTGGACAAATGAGGGGGGGCCCTTAGAAGGCTTGGCCAGGGCTGACTTGTTCCAAGATGGCTCGCCTACGTCACTAGTTTTGCCATAGGTCCTTTTTGGCTGCGGCACTAGACACCTTAAACACCAGATAATTAAGTTAAGTTAAGTTAAGATATATTTTATGAGGGCTTCTTGATTCAAGAGATCTATATGAAATTGCACACTCTTTAAGTATTCTTTCCTGCTTCGAGTAAGGTTTGCTTGTGGAAGTAATTGATATATATTTATTATCAATTGCAGGAACTCCAACAATATCTTTTGCTAGCAGTCTTACCCCATAGTAATCTTTTTCTTTTATAATGAAGATCCCAATTTGGCAAACAATCAAGAAAAATTTAATTTTTCTATACCTGACTTCTGAGTAAAAATAAATTTGCTCGAATTGATATAATTTATTGTATTTCCTCATTGCAAATTGCCCCATAGCATTAATAGGCTCATAAGGATACAAGACTTTGTCTTTATAAAAAGGTCTAGGGAACCTAATTCTCCCTTGAAGTCTCAGCTTATGTTTCTTCTTTGCAAAATTTCCTATCCCAGAGAAGGCATCACTCATAGTCCCCACAATGACAGCTGCAGGCTTTGTAACAGTCCCAATAATCCCTTTTCCAATGCCAGTTAGCAATCCTTGCAATCCTCCTTGTGTAGCTCCTTTTATAGGAGAGGTAATAATCCCAGTAATCCCATTTAAAAATCCATAAGAAATCTGTTTAAACCCTTGCCCAATCCTATCACCCAAATTTTTCTTTTTTTTTGCTTTCATAGCTCTCATGGCATTTTGGAAATTTCTATCAAGTGTTAAAGCAGTCAGGACTTTTCCAATTCCACCACTTAAGTTGCCAAAACTCTTAAACAGTCCATGCATAGTATGTCTGACGAACCCAACACCCCCTTTAAGTAGAGTTGGCACAAATTGCTTTTGTGACGTAAATAAGGCAACAGTAGGGTAAAGAAGCATTTCAGTGACTCCTGCTTTTAGAGAATTAATCAATGCAGCTGGGTTTCCAAGCAGCTCTACAGAGCCTACTATTTTATAGAGTTCCCTTATAGCTTGAGAACGATAATGATTGAACATTGAGTTAAAAAATTGAGATTTTGGCTGGTAAATATTGGTCATATAGTATCCTGCAAGTTTAAGCTCAGTTGATTCTATTGATGTAAGTGCAAAGCCTAAATCTGCTAAAATCTGTATAATATTCGTTTGTGTCGCCTTAGATTTTCGATTATAATGATTTTTATCAATAGTGACACAGAATTCTAAAGGATTTATCTGGATTTTTTGTATGAAAATTCTTTTATCTGACAGCAAGTCTTTTTCTGAGTCTAGCAGTAGTGGTGCTTCTGCTTTTTCCAGCATAATTTTTGCGCTAGTATCATATGAGCAGCATCTCATTAAATTGTTTCCATTATCACCTATAATTGTCGGAGCATTTTCAATAATCGTTTCATTTGAATCAGATCCAGTTCTAAAGCTTTGTTTCACAAAATTAATAAATCCCAGCATATCAATAATTAAAGCCTCGTCCATCTGTATTTCTAATGGCGATAGTGAGAAAAATATACTGATCACATTATCAATTTCCTTAACTGCCTCTTTGACTATTTGGAAATAAAAAGTGTTTTCCTGCTCTCTTGCTTTTGAGTTAGGAAAATATGGATTTATTACAACTGGCATCGGGGCATCTTCTTGTTGGTTATCTAGTTTCATCATAGACAACAAAATTTCTAGCATGGTTGTCATGTCTTTAAATTTATCATATCTCATGGAAAGGCCGCACAAGTATAAGTAAAGAAGCTCTTGAGGAGCAGAGTCAATGAGGGATATCCCTATTTCTTTTATCATAAGCTGCAATGAAAGCACAGGAATTACTTCAGGCTCATCATTCTGGTTTTCAAACTCATTCTTTTTACCAACCTTGCATTTATCGTCATGTTTTTCAGCTTTGTTTATAAGTGAATCTGGGCAGTTCTGAAATTTCATGATATGGGTTGCTGATTTCAACTCGACCTGGACGTAAATATACTGTTGGGTGCCTTGCTTTGGAGCTTTAAACGCAGCCTCTATTTTATCATACCAAGCCATAGCATCGTTAGCGTCAATCCCTTTAAATAAATAAGATTTAATGCACGACCTAATCTCGAACCTTCTATCTGAGTGATAAATTAGCTTGGTGCAGTTGAACTCTAGATTGATTTTGCCTGCCCCTTCCAGAATTAGCCATTTATCAGCAAGTTTCGCAGTCACTCTTTTGCTTTTCATTACTCTTGAAGTCTTCACGTAGATTTCTCCGACTTTTTCTATGTTTCTTTCTAATGCTTCTTTTCAGGCCTCTTTACCAATGTTTATAGTATATGTAGCAATTCGGTCGATTTCATATTCCCTTTTGACATCATTTATATAGATTTGAATAAAATGAGGAGAAATTTCTTCATCCCAGGTATAAAATTCGCAAGTTGGCACACCGTCTGTCATTCGCTTAAGTGTCCTCCGCTTTTCTTGCATAGAACTGTTCATACCAATGATTTGGGCATATTCAATGTCGTGATCTGTGTGATTTTCAAATTTGTAAGGAAGGGATTGAGTTGTGTTCACAAACTGCACTATAATCATAGGATCACTACTGACGACTGAAATTTGAACATAATCTTTTTCATGAGTTTTAAGCTTATTTTCTGTTGGGAGCCGAATAAAATATTCTCCAAGCTCATGTATCCTGAATCCTCCCGACCATTTTCTTGCAACTCCAGTAGAAGGAGCAACATCTGCAGAGAGCCTCAATATTTTTTCCAATTTTGCATGAGACCACCAAAACGGTATAGTTTGGTTAACTTTCAGCGTAATAAAATCATCCTGGGCAGCCCCCTGCTGCTGCACTAAAAACTCTCTCTGATGCAAATTTTTAAGCAGAATTGAAGGGCGGAACGTAATCACGTTGGTGAGCTGGAAAATACCTGTTCCTTTTTCTATAGTAACTCCAAGGTCACACTGGCCGTCATCATACTTTACAATGCTTATTTCTCCAGAAGTCCCTGAGTTAATTAGCGAGAAATTGGGTGACCAATGTGATGTAATGACCTCAGTTTCGCTATCTAATATAGCCACTTTTAACTTTGACATTTGTTTAGATGTCGAAAACAGCTCGATCTGCTTCCACTTCGCATTAGGATTGTGTGTAAAATGTGAGATGATGCTTCCTTCTCGTTTCGGATTTCTCGGGATCGGATAGTCAGCAGACCTTTCACTGTTATTTCTGGGACCTTCTGATTGACAAGTCATAAATTCTCCTCCAGTGCCGCCTCCCATAGTATACGTATCCAAAAATTTCACTTGCAAATCTCCTTCTTTTGGTCTTGAGCTTTTGGTTAGCCTGACTCTTTTTAATTCGTCTTCTTTTTTTTGATTTTGAGCTGACTTTGATTCAGCTTTTTTTATTTCTTCTTCGTCAATATCATCATCCCTGCTTAATGGCGACGACATCGCATCCTTCTCAATTTTTGCTTGTTCATCTTCTTTATCAATATTCTGGCTGATTTTATTTCCCATTATTAATGAAGGCTCAGCGTATTGCAGTTTTAATGAGGTTTTATTGATAATCCAATATGGTGAATACAAAGTAAGCCTAAAGCACCCATAATCGTCTTTAAGCACTCTTAGCCACAAGTAAAGAGCGCTATCTACATCGTTTTTGTCAGTCATCCTGAATGGGATTCTTTCCTCTTTTTCAATGTCCATTAAATTCAGCCATAATTCCCGTGACCATTCACAGCCTGGAAGCCTAACCTTTATTTTTATACGGCTGTCGAAAAATGGAAGGTAAAATAAATGAGAGGTTTCGCCTTGTCTTACTGTAATTTCTCTTAGTTTCATATTATCAATTCAGGTAGACATCATACAAAACATAGGGAGAGCATTAGTAAAGCTAACAGCTGAGGTAATCACTAGTTCGTTTTCATGTATTGCATCTCTGAGGTCTATTTCTTTTTTTAATTCTAAGCTATCAAGAGTTTCATCGCCAGGTTTATATCTTTTACCTTGACTTTCTATTTTATTTTTATAGCCTATGATACCTCTGTTTTCTTTTTTTATTTCAGGCTGATCATTCATAGCAGATTGACTCTTCCTGACTGGAGTGCGGTTTGGCAATTCTTTTACTGTCAATGCACAAAAGAAATGTTCATTTAGGTGTTCGTCTTGATTTTTGCAATATAAAGGAATAAATTTGAGGTCTAAATAAGTTTCTTCTTTATTTTCAAAGCTCATAATAGGTCTGCAAAGCAGATTCTCATCAACTATTCCTTTAAGACCTGACAAAGTGACGTTTTTTGTTTCTATAACACTTGCGCTTGTTATTTCACTACTGTCAATGCTAGTATTCCCACTAGCAATTTTCCCAATAACCCTTGACACTTCATATTTCCCTCTAGGCCTAACAAACATTTGGCCTTTATTTACCGCTACAATAGGAACCGACAATTTCCCCATTGGCTCAACTTCTGCTTCTTTAAGTGGGTTTTGCAAGTTTTCGTCTCTTGTAAATGATACTATCAGAGGGGTTGGCAGATTATTAACCAAAGTAATAGATGATCTAATGATTATCGTTTTCTGGGCCAATTCTTGGTTTCAAAGTATTTCAGCAACTAATAGCACAATATTATGGTAATCTTTATCCATGGTTGACTCCATCTGCTTTGGAGCTTTCTTTCTCTTTTTTTTGGGTCTAAGGCACTTAAAGCAAGCAGATATGTCAATTTCTTCTTCGTTATACTTTTTCATGTCTTCTTCCTCGATGAAAAAAGCTTCGAACTTTTTAAAGAAATTAAGCTTAGATTGGTTTTGGTTCGTTTTTTTTGTTTTGATTTCTACACCTTTCGAATTTTCATTTAGATAGTCAAGCAAGAAAATATGAGTATCTGGGGTATCAATTTCTATACCTGTAATCTTCTTGAACCGAAGTGTGAATTTTTTTCTGCTTCCTTGGTTGCTCTCTAATGGGTTAACGTCAATATCTATAGATTTTCTGTCACTCAAAATGTGTTTTATATTTTTAGAGTGAACCAGTCTTGCACTATAGTCAAACTCATCACTATTAAAATCTTTGGATTCGCCATCAGCAATTTCTCTTGAAACGGTATTACTTGAGGTAGCTTGCTTTATATCAACTTTAATAGGAAGACCAGTTTGATTTACAAAACAGTAAGGATTCCCTACGAGAGTTGGGCTTTCTCTTATATCATCTAAAGCGCTTCACTCTGGATAAATGTATCCTAAAGATTCTATAAGTGCATAACTAATATTCACCTGCAAAGAATTGCTATACTCCTTCAAGTCAACACTCACAGAGTCTTTTGTGCTTGATAACTGTATCTCAACACCCCAAGGCTCAATAAGAGGTTCTCACGTCATTAGTCTTTGGTTAAAATAATCGAGCTCGAGTACACAGAAAAAGCATGCAACTTTTGCCTCTTCTTGTATATCATGTTGGATTGCTCCTAAAGTTTCTTTAAGAATTAGTCTAAAGATTGGCTGCGTTTGGTCATTCATGATATTTATGCATGCTCCGTACAAGGCGATATTCAAGGATTCATTTTTTTCTTCTTCTCCTGGAGGCTGACATTCAGAGTCTACTGCTAAGGAACTGACTCTTTTAAGCATATCTGGAAGCTCGAGTTTTGCTGTTTCAGGGATTGGTTCAGTTTTAGCTTTGATTATCCGTAGAGTTGGAGTAGCTGTAGGTCTGCTGAGAAGTTTAGATATTTCTTTGAATGATTTTATAACTGAAAAACTTAAATGGAAAATTCAGTCAGAATTATCTTCCTTTAGCGATCTTATGTTGACTTGAGTTGTTACTCACTTCCCCATATATTTTGGCTTATAAAACATATAATCAACTAAGAGTGTAAAAGGCTCTAAAATAGGCTTAAAATTTCTAGCTTCTGTTGAGTCAATGTCATTTCCTTTAACGAGATAAGCATTTTCAAATTCTATAACTTGTTTAAATGTTAATGACCCTGGTCCAATAAAGCAGTCTTTATCTCAATTAACATCTAACACCATGGATCCGATTTTTAGTAAAACTGCTGGATCCTCTGGACTCTCATAAGAAGTCAAAAAAATCAAGCTTCAGTCAATGATTCTTAGCTTCAGCTCCATCCCAGGAGGATCTGAATCGTGTATGTATTTTATATTGTCTGGGACTGGAAATTCAGTTGCATTAAACGCGCATTGGAAAAACCCACTGACTGAAGTCAAGAAATCAACAATTATATAGGTCGCTGTGTCATTTATGGTAACGTCAATAATTTTTTTACCCTTCATAAAAATAGTTGTTTCAATCTGTGGGCTGTTTGTCAAGCCATCATAATGATCAGGCCCTTCATTTTCACTTTCATTTCTATGTGATCTGATATACGAAAGACTGCAAACTATAGGATATAAATGATCCGTGTCTAAAATTCTGGTTTCTCGCTTATCATCAATTTCTATTCATTGGATTTTAATTGATATATTTTTTTGTCCATTCCCTTTGAGCTCAAAATAAATATCTAAAGACTGGCAAGCTAAGCTGCAAAGGAGATTTGTGCTATAATAAATTTCAAAAGGCCTTTTTTCAGAAAACATCTCTTCAGTGTTTCCATCAATGATATACAGGACAAGTTCACTGATTTTTATCTTCATTTCAAGCCAATTCTCATTATTGCTACTATCAATGGATGAAGGCGGATAATTAGGAAGCTCAAAAAAGTTTTCAGTAAATATTTTCATTAGCAAATTGTATTGGTCCCTAAATAGGTCTATAACAATGCTTTGGTAAGTGAAATTAAGGCTTATTTCAAGTAGACCAAGCCTTACAACAGAAAAATGAAGACATAGGTCGAAGTCAATTGTATTGGTCGTAATTTTGGTATTTTGTGTGTCAACAATATCAAATTCAAGGACATGCAAAATATAATCCTGATCTGCAACATTTCTATTGGCATGCTTTTTGTCGTCCTCCTCTAGTTCATCTTCTAAATGGTCACCCGTGGGCCAATATTTAATCACGCTGCTGCTTGCTCGCCCTAAATAAGTGCAGGGCATTTCTTCTGAGTCTATTTGGTCAAACTGTTCTGATTCAAAACTTTTAGCTGATTCGTCATTTATATCTTCAAGTGGGATCGGAAGATTTCTGGTCCTCAGCATGTTTTGCAGCTGTTTTTCTTCTTTTTGGTCTTCTTTTTCTTCATCTTTGCTGTCAATTTCTGCTGGATGTGTAATTTTGGGCAACGATTCTCGATCGCAATCTTGAACTAAACTTGAGTCAGGGTCGTAAAAATAGACTTCAAAGTTATCAACTACACACGGCTGTGCAGGTGCTTCTGCGAAACCTTCAAATTTTATGGTTTTTCTCAGTAATTTTTTAATTGATTCTTGTCTAGATTTGTTTGAGGTTCCTTCTCTCAATTTTTTCTGGAAAAGTCCTGATGAGCTCACTCTTTCTAGTCTTAATAACTCATCATTTGTTACAGGTGGTGTTTGTTTACCTTCTGATTTTTCAGCTTTATCATTCCTCTGGGCTAAGTCTAATTCGTAATAGAATTTTTTTGTGGCTATAGATTGAGAGTTTTCATTATTTCCGAAGGTCAGTGAGGTAATTCTAGCAACTATCCCATCATTTGATATAGAATTCCTTGGCATAAATATAGTGGAATTCAGAAAAATTAATGAAACTTCAGTTCGTCCTTGGCTTTCGGTTGAGGGCTCTGAGTCTGGGAGCAAAGTACTATATATGCCATCATAAAAATAGTTTATGAGTTCTAGCAAAACTCGGTTAAGAAAAGTGAGCTTTATATCTGATGCCCTGAGCTCAAACAAGGTTTGAGTTGTAGTGTTCTTAGGGAGTTTGCTGTAAGAAATAAAATTAATGTCAATTCTTGGAGTGACAGAGGTCGCTGGACCGAGAATCACAGGATTGTAGGAGCTTACAAGTGATATGTCTAATAAGCAGGGATCTATCACGCTCAATCTTGCTTGCATTTTATTTGAGTAACTGTCTATCGAGCATAAAAATCTCTTGGCTAGAACTGTATAATAAGGCTGATTATCTTTATAAAAAAGTAAATTGAGGGTACTTGTATTCACTAGTAATTTATTTAAAATATGAGGATGCTTGTCTTTAAAGAAATCAGGGGCTTGTATTGAGTAGGTTGGTGAGCTTGACACACATTGAGAGCATTCACTCACAATGCTCATGATGTGTTTAATCATAGGAATACTGATAGAGGCATCAACTTGGCCTAGTCCCAATTCGATTTCCTGCTCAATGTTCCTGAAGTTTTGAGATTTGGCATCATGAGTTTTCATAAATACAAATATCCCAGGTTCTTGTTTCCCAAATAAATCATAAGCTTTCAATTTATCCCCATTGGCAAGACTGTCAATAGGGAACATTGCTCTCATATACAAGATGGTTTTTGGGGTCTGGTCAAGTTTTGAATGCTCAACTATTGTAACTTCTTTAGATCTAAAAATCAGGTAGTGGTCAAAAAAGAAAGAAGTTAGGCTTAGTGCAGGCTGTTTTATGATCAAAGCAAACTGGTTAGAATCTGTATACAATTTTATGCAAATTGCATTGAAATTTGCAGAAATTACCTGTTGCCTTTGTAAGCACACGATAACCGACCGACGCAAATTGAAGTCCATATAAGTATTTTTAAGACCTAAGGGGAAATTTGATTTGTCGTATTTATATTCATAAGAGTCTGAGCTCAAACGCTTCCATGCTTCAAAAATTCTGCTTGTCTGGAATATATGTTCAAGCTTGATGTCCACATCAATAATTCCTCCAGAAATGCTGATCTCTAATGGTTTTAGATAAATATCTTCAATTTTCATTTTTTCGGGTTTTAGCAGCTTTTTGATGGGCTCTTGGAAAATTATTTTAATACTCAAATATTTTGTTCTCATCAGTGAAAACAGTGGTGGTACCTCTTTGAGCTTGAATAGAGGTAGCAATCCAGTTTGTACTTCAATATACTTAATCTCGAACTCGTGTACACTAAAAGCATGATTCATAATTATATCAGCAATTTCAAATCTAATTGAATATGTCGGCTCTTCTGAGTATTCTTTAGGAAAAACTAAATTTAAAGTTTTTATATTCATTTTACATTTTATATTTGGCGATGCATATGGCTTTAGATGAGTCCGTTGGAAACACTCCATCAAATCCAGAAACGAGCATGTATTTTCATATTTGCTAGGCTTTACCATAATAAGAGCTTGAGCAAACAGCTTTATGTCATGAATTGTTTGTGGAACTATGATGAAGTCAATCCAAGGTATCATGACAGAAATTGAGGTTTCTTCCTGGATATCTAAAATTTGCTTAACTAATACTTGTTTATATTTCTGTTCAAACTCAAGGCTGGCTCCTTTCTTAATCTTTAATATAGGTTTAACTAAAGATGACTGCGAACAATTCTGCACATCATTCAGTTCTATTTTTCTTGTCAAAATTGTGAATAAGACAGTACTTTCATACTCAGATTCTCTGATTTTTATCCTTGGCTCTGAGCTTTGGATACTTCCATTGAGCTCAAGCCTTGTAATTAAAAACTTCAGAAATGGATTACTCTGGCTATCCTTTGCGCTAATTCGTCTTTGCAATGTAAAGCCAATAGACTCTATAATTAATTTAACTTCTAAATTGGCTATTCGGTTAGTTGCATTTACTATTTCAATTCCTCCTTTTTTCATAAAATAATTCAAAATATTGGTAAATGAGGAAGTTTTAGAAGCTTCTTCATCAATACTTCGTTTAAATTCTTCATAAGTAAGCTTATCCAGCATTTCTTGCCGATACATTAATATTTCATCAAGAGAAAGATGCCTTTCTAGATCGACCATTAATGCTTTTTCTAGTAAAGCAGGTGGGCAATTGCTGTTGAAATGGATAGCAGGAATAATTTTGCTTTTAACTTTTTTAAGAGAAATAGTGCTTGTAGAAAAATCATCAGACCTTTTAGGTTTTTTTTCTAAAGCTGATCTTCACATGTTTTTCATTTGCCGTAGGCCTGAGGAGACGCTATCTTCATCACTTCTAGAGCTTAATCGTTGCAATGAAGTTTTGTCAATGCTTTGCATACGATCTAAGAGCTCTTTTGGAGATACTGAAGAAAGTGAAGAAAAGTTATTTGCTGACTGGTCAGGTATTGGATCGTTGAAATCTTCTTGTTCTTGGGCATTTTCAGAGCTTTCAATGATTCCTAGATGGTGTTTTGCATATAATTTTTGGTAAACACTTTTTCAAAGGACTTTTCTTGTTAGAAATCACCACGATCTCAGTCTCACTTTTTCAACAATTTTGTCTTTAATTATTGCCCATTTGTCTTTTCCTGATACATGCTGGTAGGCTGATAAAGGACTTTTGCTTGAGGATATTGAATTTATAAAAGTGATAGCTGTCCTTAAAGCTTCTTCATCTGCAGTTAAGTGAATATTTGATACTTCGACATTTAAATCAATATCTACGTGCTCAGAGGATTTTGCTAGCAATCTGATATTTTTTGAGCTCCATTTTATTTGAATGTCAAATGATTCAACAAGATTAGCCACTTTTCTGGGGATTTTTTCATGTGAAAAAGCCCATTTTACTTCAATATCAGTAAAGCTTATAATTTTAAATTGAATTGCACTTTGTGACATCAGTCGTTCGTTTCCTTCTAATCTTTTCCCAAAGAGCCTCAATGATTCCAGTTTACTCCAAACCCAGTTTTCATATTCGTCGTATATTGGTTCAAACAGCTCATCAGTCGGAATTATACTAAATTTTCCAATCGAAAGAACATTAAATTATATTAAAATTAATCTTCTTCTCGTTTAACGTCCAATACCACATCATCTACCTACACTTCCATCCCTGCTTCTAGATTTCCATCCACCGCTAAGTCAGGCACGGCGCGGCTTCGCTTTTAATGGTCCATAGGTTCGGCGTGAAGATTTCTACGGTCATCCTTCCTGCTCAACAGAAACCAACTTGGGTCCGCCAGACGCCCTATAGGTCCCAGCCTCCATAGCCTGGGGTTAGTAGCATCCTTCCGGAAAATTCAATTTTCCAAGGGACAGAAATTCTGCACTGCCATTGCAGACTAAAGGCCTGTCATAGTCGGAATAATTCTCTGGGGAAAGCCAAACCTCATAATCATAAAATAAAAAAAAATTTCTGGCAGAAACCAGAAAATTCGAATTACACAATTTTTTTTTATCCCTAATCGAAAGAAACAGTTCTCGGCTGATTTCAAGCTGTTTATCTTTCTCCGTTTTGATTCTATCTTTTGGGGTTGTGTCTATTTGTATTTTTTCCTCACTTTTTTCAATTTTATCAATACTATCTCTTCCCGTTTTGATTCTATCTTTTGGGATTCAGTCTCTTTCTATTTTTTCCACACTATTTTCAATTTTATCAATACTACCTCTTCCCATTTTGATTCTATCTTTTGAGGTTGTGTCTATATCTTTCTTTTCCTCAGCTTTATCAATTTTATCAATACTAATATCATTTGCCGATATACAAGTTTGATGTCTAATGCTTAATTGTACATTGGAAACCTTAATGTGAAGCCGACTTATTATATATTCTATAATTTCTAATTCCCTCTCCTCTAAAATCGAATAAAACATCAGTAAAATTTGCATTTTTTGGCTTTAATAGGAAAATTTTAACGATGAAAGTACTTATTTTTATAAAATTAGTTTTGACCTAATTTAATAGACAAAGCGCAAGTAGAATGCTATTTAAACAATTTTGACGCCTAATAGATTAATTGTTATTTAGAATTCAAAGTATTTATATTTTTTAAAGATGAAATTACCAATCTTTATAAATTAGCATTGACCTAATTTAATTGACAAATGTGGATAGAATGTTATTCAAACCGTTTTTACACTAAATCGATTAACTTTTTTATAAAAGAATTTAAAATTCAAGATATTTTGCTCAATTAGATTTTAAAGAAATTTAAAGATGAAAATTCTAATTTTTATATAGTTAGTTTTTACTCAATGTGGTGGGTAAAACTCAATTGGAATGCTATTTGAACATTTTCAGCACTGAATAGATTAATTTTTTAATTATTTCTTCATAAATAAAAATAAATTAAAATTCAAAGTATTGGTCATTTATATATTTTTAAAAATTTTTTATAAAAGTTTTAAGATGAAAATACTAATTTTTAAATTAATTTTGACGTAATTTAATAGAAATTGAGTGCAATTAGAATGTATTTAACATTTTTTACACTTAACCAATTAATTTTTTTAATTATTTCTTCAAGAGATTAAAAATTTTTATCTATTAAAGAAAACAATATTTCACCTCTTAAATTTTAATAGGATTTTTCGTTCCAATAGAGGATTAAGCTGAAATAATTTTTCCCCGGCATCATATTCAATAGTTTATAAAAGGATCTTTTCTTTTGGTTTATCTGCTCTTCGAACTCCGACAAAATTTTATGTTTTATTTCTTCTGGGTCAATGGCAGACTCGATATTCTGAGCTAATTCATAATCTAATTCGAGGAAAATGCCATCAACAATAATTTTCACCAAACAAGGCTCCCCTAAAAGCACTTTTGTCCAAGGAATAAGTAGCTGAAACGACTGTATCAGCCCTTTTGTCAGTTTGACCGGAGAATTTTCAAAGCTTAATAAATTGCTGTTCAATACCAAGTTTTTAAGCTCGATTTTTCCATTAAATAGTTCTGTGACTAATTGTTCAGGATTTAAACTGCTGATCCGATCTTGAAGAAATTTGTTAAAGAAATACGTAAGACATCACGCAACAGAGCTACTCATTTTTGGTTAGAAATGTTTATTATTGAAATCTATTTTAATATATCAGTTAATAAATTATGACGAGCTTGAGGAGGACTACACTTGCAGAAAGAGGCAGAAGAATTGCTAATGAAATTGTAGCAAACCCGAAAAACAGAAAGCATTTTGACAGGCTAATGAAAGAAGGGAAGGACTGGATCGGCGATCTTACAGAGCAGCATGGGCCTTTTAGTGGTTATGAGTTGCATGAGTTTTTATATTGATATAAAAAGACTTTAAAACACCTTCCAAAGAATAAAAATATCCCTGAAGCGGTTGATCCTAACTCCCCTCTGTGAGAGAGTAAAAAATTTTGTTTATTTATTGGATTTTAGTTTATATATAAATTTTTATAGTCATTTTTTTTTAAAAAAATCAATTCGAAAAAATTGGAATTTATTTAAAATGGAACATAATTAGCTAGAATGTTTATTATAATAATTATCACTTATATATATTTGTATACTGACCCAAAAAATAGGGATTTTTCCAATAGTTTTGTTTGCTCGCGGAGGGGGAGTAAGCAAAAACCTCTTGAGAAACTGGAAATAACTGAAGGGATGATAAACCCTGAAGGTTCAGTTCGGCTTAATAAATCATCTCCACAGAAATATGAACAAAGCGCAGTCGAAAAAACTACGAATGCTATGTGCCCAAAAGAAGGAGATATAAAATTCACATTTAAGGCCAAACAAAGATACATAGACGTTACTAATCTTTTGAAAAAAACCAATGGAATGGTTCCTGATTTCGATATCCTCAATTTACCTGAAAGAGAGCCTGAAGAAATAGCTATATCGCCCCTTACTTGGTTAGTGAACAAAAATTATTGAGAAAATCACGATTTTAGGTAAACTTTTTTTAGAAAGCAAAAATTTTTTATTTCCACACTTTATTTTTAATGATGTGACTAAGGAAATATTAATTAATAATATTATATTTTAGATAGCTACAATTATAAAACATAAATTTTGATTTCAATGTTTCCAAATTGGGTGTTTTAAAACATGAAAAATATTTATTTTATAAAAAAAATTTAAACCCTTGTAAGCTAATGAGCAAGAATTTTGTCCACTAGCCTAGGTGTGAATTAAGCCTCCCCCTATTTCAGTTCCAGAAAAATATGAGGCATTCTTGCTAGAAGAAGTTCTTTTACCTCCAGAGCCTCCAAAAGAAAACAAAAATGAAAAGCCTGAATTCGTGACTTCGTTTTGGCTCCCAGATGCAACAACAAGAAAAATGATTGTAGCAAGGGAAAAAGCAGGCAAAACTGGTTTCGATGAATACATAGACGTTTCTAAGCACAAGTTTAGAGAAGAGTATAACCCGAAAGATCTCGGGCAGCCTGATTTTGTATTAAGACTGCCAAAGCCAGAGCTTGCGAGATTAGAGCTTGATAAGGATTCAGCAGAAACTGAGACGAAAAATAAGAAACAAATGATCAAGGAGAAAGAAGAAGCTGAAAAGTTGAAAAGGACAAAAATTGGCAATGTTTCGAGGCCAGAATGGGTGCATAGATTCAATCCAATCCCTCTGAGTGTTGAAATAGGAACACAGCAGCCTCACAAGCTGCTTCCAAAGGGCGAGTATTCTGAACCGATTATTGCATTGTCTAGAGATGAGGACTTCAGATCAACACTTTAGCTAATCATGAAATAATTGCTGCATAAACAATAGACTATTTAAATAAATACTAGAATATTTATTGCTTATTTACACTTAAAACTTTGATTACCTAAATATTTACAGGAGTCAAGTCAAAATTGCTCGTAGATGGTATCTTCACTCTTTTAACCGCAAATTTAGATGAAGATGAGCTGAACGAGCTCGCGGTGTTTCTACGGGCATTTTCCTGATACTTTAATATATGAAACTTAGGCAAGCATTTGCTTGTAGTAAATGATATATTTCCAACTGATTTGTTGCTAAGACTGACTTTAATAGGAACTTCAAAGTTGCTTCTTATAAATGAGCCTTGATCGACAGTTGCTGATTTTTTTCTCCTTTTCAGGTTACTGCTAAAAGAAGAGCGATCTCTTTTTGTTTTCGGTTGCACAAATTCTCCATCTGCGCATGAAGATAAATCAAATCGAGAAATCGGTGCTATATACTTGGCACTGTGGGAAATCGTTGAAGAATAAACTAATGAATGATTTAATAATTCGATATAGTTTGCGGATTGAAGAGGAAGAGGTTCCTTAATAGGGGTTAAAATTTGAGTTCCATTCACTTCAAATGGAGATTTGGAACTAGATGATTTAGGTCTTGAATATTTGATTGGAGGAGGTTTGCAGTTCGGGAGAAATGAATCTTTTGATGCGAGTGCAGAGTTTAGTAGAATAAGCTTGGATTTCAGGCTTGACTTTATTTCTGTCTTCCTTTTGCTTACTCCCCCTCTGTGAGCAAACAAAATCATTGGAAAAACCCTATATTTTGGGTAAAAACCCACACTTCATCAGCGAACAAAATTTTTTATGAAAAGAATATTTTAATATATATTAGTATAATATCATCTCTATCTAATTATGCTTAATTTTAAGTAGCTTGCATTAAAAAAATACATTGTGCAAATTAAATTGATTTTTATTTCAAATTAGACATTTTGAAAAAAAAAGTTAATATATAAATTTATAGAGGAGGAGAGTTAGCATTAATAAGACACTAGAGAATTAATAAATCTTCATGGTTAAAAATTATTGACAATAAATTAGCAATATTTAGAACTCATATGTTTGGCAATATTTCACATTGACAAATATATGAAGAAATTATTAGAGCAGGGTATTTTTATATAAATATAAGCAAAAATTAATTAATCCAATGTCAGCTGGGTCTCGCTTAAAATTATCAGACATATCAGCTATTTTGCTTTTTGAAAAATTTAATATACTTCGTTTATTTTGATATTTAAAACATAAAGTTATTTAATGTTACTCAATGAAGAATCTATTCATAATGATATGCCCAGAATCTGTAAGCTTGATAATTTGAGAAACAAGCTCATGAAATTCGTTACACAAGTTCTCTGTATCCTTGGCATAGTTGTCTATAATAGTTTGAAGTGGATTCTCTATTATTTCATCAACACTTTTTATATCATCCACTTTCTCACTAGCAGGCTTAGATACTTGTTCAGAAGCAGTATCAGTTTTGATATCATTAGCTTCTTCTTTGATTTCAGAATTATTATCCTGACCTTCCTCGACCATTTCACTTTCTTGTTCAGATTCAGCTACACTTTCCTCTGCATCTATTAGCACAGGCTCATCAGCAGCAGTCTCCTCTACACTTATCAAGGCAGTTTCATCAGCGTCTTCAACACTTTGCAAAGATTCTTCTTCTTCTTCTTCTTCACTTTCTAAATTTTCAGAGCTCTCTTCTTCTAATGACTCTAATATTTCTTCAGGCCCAGTTTGTAAATCAACAGGTGGTATTATGTCAATTTGCTGAATTAACCCTTCATCTGAGTCTTGAAGATCTTCACTCACATCTTCTAGCTCCTCTACTAAGTCTCCTTCTATTTCTTCCTCAGACAAATTATCACTTTTCTTATTATCTTCAATAAGAACAACAGATTCAAAAACTCCTCCTTTTTCAAGCTCAATAAATTTAGGTTTTACTTTCTTGTCTTCACTAGCATTATCCATATCTTTCAATTCCATCTCAGCATTCGATTCCATTCCAACTCCTAGCATGTTTTCAAGAAACCCTACTGATCCTTCTCCTTGCAGAATTGCTTCCATAATGCTTTCTTCAATTTCGAGAAAACTTGTTGGCTTATTTCCATACTCCTCATAAATTTTAATAATTTCATCTTTATGCTTCACAGGTAAAGTTTCACATGAGCTTGCAGACTCTTTTAAGCTGCTTAATATATCTTTAATAAATTCATAACTTGGGCTGTCTGCCTTGCATACATTTTTAACATATTTTAAATCAGCTTCAACATGTGTAAACAATCCGCATCTCCTGATTTCTTTTTTAAAGTCTCTTCTTCCTACGTTTCCAAATAATTCTTTTAATATCTCATCACTCGCTTGCATTTTCAGTTCATGAAGTTTTTCTCCCCATTTAACGAAATCATTGTAAGAACGTTTGAAATTATTTTGAAGGGCATCAAATTCTTCCATTGTAAGATCCCAGCTTGATTTAGGTTGGGATGATTTTGATAGTAATGTAGGCGCTTTAAAAAGACCAGGTGCTCCAGAGTAGACACCTAAAATTGAGCAAAGTAGCAAAATAATCATTTATATGCCGTTAAATAAAAATTTAGTTTAAATGCTGATTTTTCCGTTAATTTAAAAAAATGACTAGTCGCGTTAGCACATTATTCAATAAAATTATTAATTATTATAGATATATTATTAAAATTGCTTTTGGTTTCAAATAAAGATAGCTCATATAAAAATTAGATATTCATATAACCTTCTTTGGTGGAAAATTAGCATGACTGGGAAAAAGCTATAGAATTAAATTTAAAAATATGTTATAATTTAAATATTTCCAGCATTTTCAAGCTCTCTTAAGCGAGCTCGGCTTTGCATAAGTGAACTAACTCTGGAATTAAGATCGTGTCTTGATGGCGTTGTACTTCTAGTAGGCATAGTCTGTCCTCCTCTAAGTGGTGATAAAGAGCTCATATTAAGCCTTGTTGGTGAGTTTCCTCTCAAAGGCGACTCAGCTTCAAGTGTTTCAAGCAGTTTTGCAGCTGCATTTCCAGTCCTTTCATGCTGCTCAGGCAAAGGTGTTTTTCTATTCAGAGGAGTTGACATCCCAAAAGATTCATAAGGAGACGTTGACACCATGATTGACGGTTTGCTTATAAATGGAGATGCTTGGGTACTTCTCATTGGAGTGGTAAGCATAGACAGCGTCCTTTCTTTATATTCCTTAGCTCTCAATGACAATTCTTTTTCAAGACTTTCGAATAAATGCTTGTTTTTTGCTTCCAATTCAGAAAATTCTATTTGAAGTTGCTGATTGTCAGCTTGAAGTTTATTGTATTTTATTTCCCATTCTTCGCTAGTTTTAGAAGCAATATCAATCACTTCAAGCTGCTCAGATATTTGCTGTGCCAGTTTTTCTACTTCGTATTTCATATCACTGATGCTTTGTTTTAGATACCGATTTTCTTGTTCATATGTAGCAAGACTTTGATCTGATTGGGCTTTGTTTTCTGTAAGGAATTGCTTAGCCTTATCATGCTCATATGATACATCTTCTAAGCTGGATTGCAGTTCAAGGATTTCTCTAGACTTTTTATCGAGCTCTGATTGCAAATCAATCTTCTCTTTGTTAACTTGGTCAATGAAGAGCTTAAGGTCTGAGCACTCTCGTTTAAATCTTTCTAGATCTGATTTCAAATCAATAGCTTCTTTATTCGTTTTATCAGCAGAAAGTGACCAGCTGTTCTTGTCAGTTTCATATTTATTGGAAATTTGCGACAGCTTATTTGATGTGCTGTCGAGCTGGGATTGCGTTTGTCTTAAAAATTCATCTACTTTCCTTTTTTCTTCATAAATAAGCTGAAGATTGTTTTCTGTCTGCATCCTTTTAAGCTTTTCATCTTCCAGCTGTTTTTCCAGTTGCATTTTTTGTATTTTTTCTTCTTCGAGCTGCCTCTCTACTTGATTTTTTCTGAAATTTTCTTCATCAATCTGCCTTTCAGCTTGGTTTCTTTTGAGCTTTTCATCATCAAACTGTTTTTCAACTTGATTTCTTTTGAAGCTTTCTTCATCAATTTGCCTTTGTAAGCTCATTTTCTTGCTTCTTTCTTCTTCAATATTTTTTTCTAGCTGAGCTCTCCTTGCTTTTTCTTCTTCTATTACCCTTTCCAATTGGGTTCTTTTCAGTTTTTCATCGTTGGATTGCAATATACTCTTTAGATTTAAATCAAAAAAATACTAGATATTATAAACAACAATTACCAAAATATTTTTAATTATGATATCCCAATTCATACTATTTTTGTTCAATTTAGCATGATATATGTTCTTTTCTTTTTCTTGACTATACTGCTGTTTTAAGTCTTCAATCATTTTTTTAAGCATTAAATTATCTGAATTTGAGCTTTGGTTTTGGAACTCCAGCTCCGTTACGTTTGCAACTGAAAAGTCAAGATCTTCTTTCAAAATCATCAATTGTTCGCTATATTCCTGGTTTTTTAGTCCAAGCCTTTCATTATTGGTCAACTCTACATTCAGTTTATCAGAAAGTCTGTCGATTTCGACTTCAGCATCTTGAAGTTTTATTTCCAGCTGCCGATTTCTGCTTGTCAGTTTTTCAATTTCTTTCTCTTTAGCTTCATTTGCTTTGTTTTGATAAGCTTGCTTAGACTCAGCTGCTTGCAAATCTCTTACTATAGCTTTATTTTTAGCTTGCAGCTGCTCAATCTCTTGTTTTGCTCTATAAAGCTGCTCTGACATTTCTTGGAATTCTATTTCCAGTCTTTCATTTTTGGTGTGCTCATCTGAAAAGTTAGCCCCAAGCCTTTCATTTTCTACTTTTAAGTCTTGATATTGAGATGACACTTGCTTAAGTTCATGTAAGAGTCTGTCATTATCCTTGCATTTAGTGTCAAGCTTATATTCCAAGTCTTGAATTTGAGACTCTAACTTCCTTTGTTTGCTGTTAAAATCAAATTCCATCGTTCTCATCAGCTTTTCGTTCCTTTGCTTCGTATTTTCGATTTCTATATCAGCTTCCCGCTCTTTTCTTGATAGCTCTCTAGATCCAATTAGTGGAGTCCTTGCTTGCCCTCTATCAAAAGCTACTATATCTTGAGCACTGAAATTCATATCAGTAGACAAGTTCTTGCTTTTGCGATTTCTTACTAAGCTTGAAAAGTCAGGTCTCAATATTTCAGAAGTATCTTGGTCATACTGGTTTTCTGCTAAATTTTGCAAGGTATATGAGTTTTTCGAGGCATCTCTGCTTCTGTTTATTATTGTTCTTTCTTCTATAGAGTTTTTATTTCCAAGTACACTCCTAGCTCGTGTGTGGTGTTTTTCTTCCATCAATGAGAACCTTGGCATTTGTTCTTGGTTTCTTTCATCCCGTTTATTTCTTGTAAATGAAGAATCAGGAGTCACTTCTCTGCTTTGACTTGGCTCTTGCCATCTACTAGGAGTTGCAGCCCTTGATCTTGATGCCTGGTCTTTGTTTGGCCGATAAGGAGAAGCTATATCATTTCCAAGGCCGATGCAAAATCCACCCCCACAAGCTACGCTTCTTACTTGTTTATCTTTTAATGCTGAGACTGGAGTCATGCTTGTTCTTGTTTCTGCATCTCCAAGACCAAGTTCTCCATTACTATTTCCTCCCCATACATACAAAGTATTTGAAGAATCCAAAGCAGCTCCAAAACTTCCTCCTATGTCTACATCTTTTATTGGCCCAGACCCATTGTTAAATCGCTGTGGTAACAAATATTCACCAAATGCACTCGTTCCCCATACAAATAAATGACCTTTATCACTTAAAGCTGCTGAATGTTGCCCTGCACTTACTTTTTCAATATAAACATTTTCTAAGTGCTTTATTTTTTCAGGCCTACTATAGCTCTTTTTATCCCCAGTTCCAAGCTGGCCAAAGGAATTTCCACCCATTGCATAGACGCTTCCATTTACTGTAACAAATAGTGTATGATATACTCCTGAAGCTGCATTTTTTACATCTTCATTTGTATGAATATATCGCCTGAGCATCTTTATGGCTGGGCTCCCCGATTTTTCCCGAAGGGAAAGAGGGGGTTGGTTTCACCAACTAATGTTGGTCTGGCCAACTCAACAAGTGACACAACCACTTTCTGCGTGGTTTCTTCCATTTGGAGAGTTGACAAAGCCAACATTAGTTAGTGAAACTAGCTCCCCTCTTTCCCGCCGAAAAAGATCGGAAGCCCAAGCCATAAAGGTTCTCAGGCTATACACAGGAGCTAATTCTTTTTCTCTTCTGCCAGTTCCTAATTGTCCTGCTTCTCCAGCTCCACATGTGAGTAAAATTTTCCTGTATCCTTCTTCAGCAATCAGTGCAGTATGCCTTGACCCACAGCTAGCTTGCCTTATTTTCAAGTTTTCAGGAACTTCCATTCTTACAGGGGTTCATTGAGTATCATTACTTCCATTTCCGAGTGCTCCAAATTCTCCAACACCCCATGAAAAAGCGAAGCCTTGTTCAGTTACTGCAATAGTGTGACCCCACCCGCAGGAGATTCGAGATGCTTTATAATTTGATAACCTTTCGACTAAGCAAGGAGAAGAACTTAACCTTATTGATTTGTCGCCAATTCCTAGCCTGCCATCACTGTTGCTGCCCATACAGTAAACATGCCCTGAAGAAGAAATAAAAGCACTATGTTCTTCGCCACATGAGATATCTTTGATTATAACATTGAAACTACAAAATCGTGGAAGTGTATATGTCTTGCCACTTAATTTACCTCCAAGTCCTAATTGGCCGAAGTGGTCTGCTCCCCAAGCGAAAATTTCAGTATATCCTTCCATGTTTAACGTTTTTTTAAATAATAATTCAAAAATTTAAAATAAAATCTTTACATTTTTCGACATTAAAAATTGGAAAAGGCTTAATTATTTGGCATTTTTTAAATATTTATAAAGCAAGTGTATGACAATTTTTAAGAGTTTTTAGTATTTTAAAAAAAATTGATTACTAACTCTCTCACATAAGCGAGCAAAATCATTGGAAAAATCCCTTGCTTGGGAAAATAACCACTCACTATTAGAGATAAAATTTTGCTCAAAAAATATTTTAATAAATAAGGATAATTATTATAATTAAATCTCTATAATTTCTGTAGAATTCTAAACAGTCTTCATTCTAAAAAAATTTTACTTTTCAATTTGACTTCTTAGTTCCTTTGATTTTAACCCCAAAGGGCGCTGTATAGCTTTCATTAGAAAAATTTCAAGCCCCTCTTAGTGGGCAAGCGAATTTTTTTGCTCATTTAACAAAGGGAGAGTAAAAATTTTATTTATTATTTAAATTATTTGTTTCGATTTGGGTATAAAGAAATAATTTTGGCTCAATTTTCAATAAAATTGTTATTCACCAAATCAAATTAAATCAGTAGAGTTATTTAATAAATGTCATATCGATCAAAGATAAAAGAGAAAATAAGCACTTACCAAAATGTCCAGGATAGCGTTATTGGGCTAGAAAAATTAGGTTTTTTAAGCAGACTCAATCTATTACTTGAAGACATCAGCTCTTCATCTCTTAATCAGAACCCCAATTTCAAAGAGGACTTGAAAATCATTATTAATAATGCTGTCGATATTATCTGAACCTCCTCTAGCGGGATAATTCGAGATGAATCAACCCAGCCAAGTCCAGATTTAAAAACTCAAAATTCAACAGAGCCGAAAACTCCTGAAAAAAAATCTCCAGGGTCCCCGTTACCAATTTTTCGATCTGCTGATTTATATGATGATAATCATTGGTCAAGGTCAAAGTTCATTCCATTAAATAAAAGCTTCTCAAACTTAAATATAATCCAAAGCCGATCCATCAGCCAAAATACGCAGAAATATAACTCTGAATTTAGCCACATAAATAGTCCTGGGACTTTTAGCAAAGAAAAGAGGAAGTTAACGGAATCAAAGGTTTCCAGCCCAGGTCCTGGGTATTATGATTATAATGAACAAAAAGTTAGAAGTAAATCTCCATGTGCGGTCATTCCGAAAGGAGGCAAACGAATGGATTTTGCGAAAAAAACAGAAACACCTGCGCCGACAGACTATTGTCCTTTGAGATATTTTCTATCAAGACCTATTTAATCTTAAATCTTTTGATTAATTTTTATCTAAGACCAAATCCTTCTGAATTCTCAATAGCAAGTAAGACTAGCTTTTTCATTGTTTCTTTATTAGTATATTCAGGCAATAGTAAATGATTAAAACATGTGTGTGCCGTCATCAGCCTGTCTGAGTCTTCTCCGTTTTTCGCAATCACAAATTCTATTGTTCCAAGCCCATTGATAGGGGCTCTATCGGATCCTGTTACGAATTTTAAAAATTTTCGTTTTTCGTCTTCAGTGAAAGAGTGGACAATTTCCCAAAACATGGCAATCTACATAAAATATACAGTTTTTGAATTTCTAGTAAAACCTTCATATTTCGCGATTTTTTCAAGCTCGTAGAAATCAAGAATAGGATTGCCACAAATCAATAATTCAAGCTCTTTTGGCTTAAACCAATGTATAACATCACCTTCACAAACTTTTAAGAACCCTAATTTAAATGCTTCAAATATTTCTGAAATTCCTTTGTTAAGCCATCAGTCTACATATAAATCCACGAACTCTTGTCGATTTTCGTTGGTGACAGTGATCTTTGATCCATTTTCTTTGAGTTCATGCACAATTACTTGATCGAACATTTTGGTTTCTAATGTAAAGTTGCGGCAATAAATCTCTTCAACGTTTTCTTCAGTTTTTAGCATTAATTCAAACTGCTTTACAAGTTCTGGATCAAGTTCTTTTAAATCATCAATTGTTGTCGGAATTCCTAATAATTTTTTATAAACAGCTAATGGCATTTGAATATCAAGGATAACGCCATTATATATCGCTAAACCTAAGATGACCCCAATCAGCTCAAAATTAAGTTTATGCTCTAATGTATCAGGGTTAAACCAATAAATTCTTTGAGGCTCATAAAGGTTAAACATGCTGAAACTTGGGTCAAAAAGCTTTTTAACAATCAGCTGGAAAAATTCTTTTTTAACTCCACCTGCATCTATCCCCTCCTCACCTAAAAATCTTACCTTTATTGGCTTTCGGAGATTTATTGCTCCACTTAGCAGCTGATTAAGAGTGTCTTCGATGAGATTTTCTCTTCTTACATCAAGTATTGAATAAATGCCTATCAGAAATAGATTTATTGGGTCATGTATTTCTCTAAGCATTTTATACTTATTTTCATACTGCAAAAACGTTGATTTTGTATTTGCATCTAAAACCCACGGATAAAACGCAAATGAAAATAGATTAGGATCATTTTTATCATATCCTTGCTCAATCAAATTAAGAAATATTTCATACTCTTCCTTAATGTCGATTTTTCCTTCCTCTTCTTTCCACTCTTCAAACTCCTGCTCGTTTTCTTCATTTTTTTCTTCTATATTAACAGCATCATTATAAAATTCACTATAATTTACTCTTTTTACCCTTTCATTAGAGTTGTAGAGGGCCTCCGTTAGCCTAATCACATATAAAATTTGACTTTTATTTCCTTTATAGCCATCCAAAATTTTTATTAATAAAAATTGTTTGACATTTCATAATAAACTTTGGAGTTTTTCTTGATTAAGCTCATCTATATAGTAAGAAAATTGGGTTAGGAATTCTTCAGAAGAGCATAGTAATTTAGCTAGCTCTACCAAAATGTTGTAATTTTCGATTTCCGAGAGCTCTGGCATAAAGAGCAGCATCAAAGTAATCCTAGGAATATAGAGATTACTGTATGAATCTTGAGGATAATGTTTAATTGCTTGATAAAGCCAATCAGCAGCTAAAATTCCTTGCTGAACGAGATTTGATATAAAACCAAAAAAATTATTTAATTCATCCCAGTCTATTGAGGCACTTTTAGAAGCCAAAAGTCCATTAGAAACAAAATTAAGCCCAAAAATCTTCAGATCTTGGAACAAATTTCTGATATCATCTGAGCTTGCAGCCTTCACATTTTCAATTGAAGTTTTAGGGGATATTTCTGGGCATAATATAAATTTAGAAGAAGCTTCTATATCACCATTAGGAGCGCTTTGCAATAAACTTATTATTTTGGCAGCAGCTTGATTTGGGTCTAAACTTTTATATTCTGAGAACGAAGCACAATGTGGATTAAGGCAAAATTTTCTTCCACAGCCTTTTACTGCTTGAGTATGAGCTCGAAGAAAACTATTTTTAATTCTTGCTTTTTGATCTTCCTCTGACATTTTCCTTAAAGTTTTATTAGGAATGAAAAATATCTAGCTTTGAATTAAACGGGAGAATTTTTTTAAAAGCTTATGCAAAGATTATGCTTAGATTTTAAATGCAGACTTATTTGGGGAGCATTATTGTGTGTTTAAGGTGAAATAGAAACCATCACTTTTTAAATTAAATAATTTACAATTTATGTTTGATTATTCTAATTATTTATTCTATTAATTGAATTTAAGCAACTTCAGTCGGTTTTTCCCCCTTTTTCTTTCCTTTATCTGCTAGTTTTCCATTTTCCCAGACCCCTTTTCTCGCTTTTCCTTGCTCATTATAAAGTGTTCCTTCTCCATGCTGCTTCCCATTCAGCCAATGTCCTTCATATCTCTTTCCATTAGGCCATCCAAAAATGCCATATCCTTCTTTTTGGTCCATTACATAATCTCCTTCATAATATCTTCCATCATCCCATTTAAACTTTCCTTTTCCATGCATTTTATTGGATTTCCATTCCCCTTCATATTCTCTTCCATTAGTCCACACATATTTTCCTGTCCCTTCAATTTCATTATTAACGAACCCGCCTTCATAGTGACTCCCATCAGCCCATACAAATTTTCCTTGTCCATTTTTGAGGTTATCTTTGTAGTTTCCTTCGAACTTTGACCCATCTGGCCATTTTTCAGAGCCAAAGCCTTCCTGTTTGTCATTAATCCATTCTCCTTCGTAGATATTTTTACTTACACAGTATTCCATGAGGCCTTTGCCATTCATTTTCCCTTCAACCCAGTCTCCTAAGTACATATCTCCAGCTGGATTGATTTTTCTACCTTTCCCATGGAGTTTTCCAGCTTTTCAGCTGCCTTCACTAATACCTCCATCTGTGTGATACATCGTGCCTTTTCCTTGAGGTTGACCTCTATCGTTCCATTCTCCGACATATACACTGCCATCTGGAAGTTTTGTTGGCCCTCTCCAAGTAACCCCAGGTAGCTGAGCAGCATCAAATGCATAAGGACCTGCTCTTTCATAGACTTCTTTTGCCTGACTACTTAAGAGGTTTGCGGGAACTTCATTTAATTCTGGATAATTCATTGAGGCTTGAGCTGCTTCTGAAGTTTTATTTCTGGATTCTTTCACAAATAGTTTTCTTGATAAATATCCTCTTACTGCTGATTGCGCTTGAAGAGGATTAAGAGCTGGCTTAGTGATAGCAGGCTCAATTACTGTTATTATAGGAGGAGATGGAAGCACTACAGGTTCTACGTTTGCATTTTCTTGCTGAGTTTGATGTTTGAGAAGTGCATCGTTTCTTTCTTCTATTAAAACTCCTCCTTCCTCTTTTTTAGGACCCATACAATTGCACGCACCCATATTGATTTATAAGCATAGACCTAAAAAACATTTTTTATTTCAAATTTTCAAATTTTTCACTTTTGAGATAGTTGGAAAAAGCATTTTCGCATGAGCTGGTATTATGAAATGAGAGATAAGTTAATTTCAAAAATCGCCTTAAATTATCAAATCAAATTTTATAATTTTTATAAATTTCTAAGGTCTAGCAATATTATTTTAGAAAGCTATATAATAAATATCGTTAAAGGATTTTTATCCCCTTTAAATTACGATCAACTGCTTATATTTCTTTTTTTTCTCTAATAAGGCTTCACTCCCTCCTCCGCTAGTGAACAAAACCAATGGAAAAATCCTATTTTTTGAGTAAAAAGCCCACCCTCCTTGAGCGAACAAAAAATTTCGACAATTTGTATGATTTTAAAATATAAAATTTCACAACTTAATTAAATATGCTTTCTAAAAAATTAATTAAAATTTATATAAATGTTTTAAAATAAAATTACCCTGCATAAGTAATTAATTTTGGCGTATCAAGAAGCTGTAAGAAATAATGCAACACATTCTAAAAATATTATTTGAAAAAAAGCATTGAAAATTACCAAATTATCTTTGGAGATAAAATTCTTTAATTAGGAGGAACTCATAAGCTTATTATTAATGCTGGAATTACGCAATACTTATTAATAGCCTTGATTTAATCTGAAGTTGCTAGGCCATTTAAATTATCCGTAATTCCAAATTTAATGATCATGGAATTTTAAGATCACGGATTTTATCATTCCTAGCAATTTATATTATTTTAGTCTAGCTTTCACCGTGAGCCAGCAAATATTTTAAAATATATAAGTGATAGTTATTATAAAGAGATAATTTATTCTGTTCGATTTTAAAAGCTTGCATTCTTTGACATAAATTTTACTGATTTGCTTTTCAGTTTAAAAAAAGTTACAATAAATTTTATATATATGTTTTTTTTACTTACTTACAGAGTGGGATAAGCTTATATAATGCCTAATAATCTGTTCCCAGAATATGCTAATATAGAGGTTTCATATATTCATAATGGACATTTTACCAGATCCCTTGAATGATCGTGTTGCAGAATGCCCACCACCTCCTAATCGACCCCTTCGACGAGACCTTTTATTTCCCACTGGAGAACTAACAAATGCTGACTATAGAGTTCTCAGAGAACACTTATCAAAAGAAGGGAAACTTGACAAATCTTCATTTATAGAGATAATTGAGCAAACCACAAATCTTTTTCGATCAGAGCCAAACCTCTTAACCTTACAAGATCCCGTAACAATAGTTGGAGACATACATGGACAATACTATGATTTAATGAAATTGCTTGATATTGGTGGGCCTCCTGATAATAGAAAGTATTTATTTCTTGGTGATTACGTTGATAGAGGATCATTTTCTATTGAAGTTATTACTTATCTTTATATTCATAAAATTAGACACCCTACAACGTTTCTCATGATACGGGGTAATCATGAGTGTAAAAGCTTAACGTCGTTTTTCCAATTCAGAGATGAGTGCTTGTATAAATATGACATAGAAGTGTATGATAGAATCATGGACAGCTTTTCATGCATGCCAATTGCTTGCTTGGTCAATAAGAAATTCTTATTCCCCTTGGTCATAGATAAAGATTTTTTTACTGATGTGGTGTTAATTTATAATATTCTAGATAAATTTAAAAAATCCTTTTATTATATATTGAATAAAAATTTAATTTAGTTTATAAATTTTTAATTGGAATGTCATATTATAATCATTAACCATATCTTTAATATAGTTTTTTACAAATAACTACTTTAAAAAATTTTTTGCTATTATCTTCCCAAAACAAGGATCTTTTCTAATGATTTTGCTCGGCAGCCAAGGGATGGGGATTTAGCTTTTCATGGAGGAATATCTCCTCAGCTAATTAGAGTTGATGATATCAGCAGAATTGATAGGTTTGTGGAGATTCCTAGGCACGGACTGTTCTGTGATATTTTATGATCCGATCCTATAGATAATGAAGAAGGGAAAATGCAAGATGATTTTGCACCAAATTCATCTAGAGGCTGCAGTTGATATTATGGTTCTGATAGTGTGAATATATTTTTAAAACGAAATGGACTACTATCAATAATAAGAGCTCACGAAGTCCAGCTTGAAGGGTTTAGAATGCATAAATGAAACGGAAAGACTGAATTTCCATCTGTGATAACAATTTTTTCTGCTCCGAATTACTGTGATGTATATAGAAACAAAGGTGCTATATTAAAACTTGACAATAACGTTCTTAATATCTTGCAGTTCAAAAATGCAGCCCATCCTTATTTGTTGCCAAAATTCATGGACTTATTTACTTGGAGCATTCCTTTCGTCATAGAAAAAACCTTAGAAATCCTAAAAGCCATACTCAAAAAGAAGCCAAAAGAAATAGAAAATTTAGAAGAAGACTCGAATATCATAAGTGAAGCGATGAAACAAGCTGCAGAGGAAAGGAAAAATAAGCTAAAAAATAAAATAAAAAGCGTCAGCAGAATGCTGAAAATGTTCCAGACTTTAAGATGCGAAAATGAGCTTATTGTAAAATTAAAATCAATTTGTCATGATAATAAAATCCCGAGAGGGCTACTTTTAGAAGGCAAAAGTGCAATAGAAACCTTTATGCAGGCAAAAGAGCTTGATAAAGAAAACGAAATGTTTCGAGAGTAGTCTAAAGTGATAATATGGGATAATAAATTAATATTCGGGAATTATTCTAGCATTATACGCAAAAGCGCATATGTTTAACTGACTATTTATTACTTTTATTTCGATTTTAAATTTGAAATCCTGTTACAGCAATAAATTATATATTTCACTTACGCTTTTAAATTTAGCTTTGACAAATTGAGATTAGTGTGGTAGATTTTTACCCTAATTTTAAATAGAGAATCGTTTAATAACAGACCTAGTTATAATTTATATTTTGTGACGCATAAAAGAGAAGGGTCCATTATGATATAATAGTGCAAAGGAATTAAGGCAAAATAATTATTATAATCTTTATTAGAGCTTGCAACTTTTGAGCTTTATTTACAGTCTCAACAGTATTGGATTATGCTAAATTATTTTCAGATTTTGAAGAGAATTTGCTGTGTATCTAATAAATGAGAGAAAATAAAATGAAAATAATAAAAATATTGCTCTGAACCTTTGCCGATGAGGATGTCTATATATAAAATTTTATAGGTAAAATGCACCTAAGAAATTTAACATAATTAATTCAATCCAATAACAAGTAAGTTACTAAAAATCACTTCAGTTTTCTAATAAATCTGAATTCCGATTCATTTAAATGCTATTTTCTTCAATATTCTCTGTACATTAAAATTAATGAGCATCAAATCATCCAAATACTCATATTGATAGTTATATTTATCTAATTATGGCTTCCTACAAAGAGCTCAAGGAATGATTTGTTACTGGATTCAATGGCTCAACACAACTCGACATAATCCAAGTGTGCATGTTTCTCCCAGTATCCTCTATTTAGGCAGCACTTTTATTAAGAAATATTTCCTGTAAAAGCCAAAATTTTATTTATGACTTTATCTTCACAGTTATCCCAATAATAGGTAGTGTCACCTCAACAGAATTTAACCTACTCAAACTTATTATACTTGCTTTAGTTTGCATAATAAACTCACATAAACTTACTTCACCTTTTACTAATACTCGACCTGCATTTGAAATCAAGGATGGAGTCAAGCGTTTTCAGTTTGTTACAGAGTATAGAAGTCTAATGCTTGTAGCAACCTGTATTTCTATTCTTGCTGTAGATTTCCCAATATATCCCAGAAGGTTTGTGAAAACTGAGACAACTGGAGTTTCATTGGTAAAAACTATACAGATGGATATTGGAACTGGAAGTGTGCTATTTTCTAGTGCATTGGTTGCTAGAAGTGCAAGGGATCCTCTAAAGCCTCTTTTTCAAAAAATTAAGGCGGCCATGTTTAGCTGCCTTCCTCTGCTACTCATCGGATCTCTGAGGGTAATTGTTCATAAAATGGTAGATTATCAAGAGCATGTGTCTGAGTATGGCGTGCACTGGAATTTCTTTTTAAGCTTAGGAGTTGTTGTAGTGGCTGCTCCATTTCTTGATGGAAGTCCGATGACTCGAGTTATTTTTTCTATTGTGATTATGATTTTTTATCAAATTTTGCTGATATTTGGCCTTGAGGACTATATATTTAATGGCCCAAGAGATAACTTTTTTAGTATGAATAGAGAAGGCATATTAGGGTGTATTGGATTTTTCTGTATATATCAAATTGGATTAGGTTTGAAACAGCTGATACTTGATTCTAAAAATTATATGAGAAATCTAGCATACGCCACAGCATTTTCTATGATAATTACACAGATATTGTTTGCTTTCGTGGATCCTTCAAGACGATTAGTATTTTCTATTTAGAATAATGTATCTTATACAAGTTGAGTAGTATCACACAACTTATTTTATTTATCAGTTGTTTGCTTAGCTGAAAGATGCGTTGTTAATTGTAGCCCAAATGCTATAATTGATGCTATCAATTATAACCAATTGCCCTATTTCATGTTAAGCAACTTAATGACAGGCATTGTAAATGTATCCATGTTCACACTTTACACACCTGGATGCCTTGCATATTTTATTATTACTCTTTATATGTTTACAGCTCTCTCAGTAATGTGGTTGCTACTAAAATTCCATATCAAATTAAAATTTTGGTAACATTAGAATTATAAATATTTTAATAATATCCTCTTATTTCGATACTAATAGAAATAAATTTTACCTTAATAAATTAATCCCTACAAGCAAAAGCACTTTATTCAATAATAATTAAATTCTTCTTTAATTTTCATATAAAAAATGCGGCTTATTTAAATATAAATATGAACACGCCTAGCTACTGTACACCTCTAGCATCAAGAAAATCTCAATCGAGGACTCGAGTGCCGCTTTCCCCTCTCCCTCCAGACTTTTCTCCGGTGGTTTGTACAAAGCCACGGGATTTCGAAAAAGAAAACACATACTTGGCAACTCCTCCAACAGCCTCAAGTTTTGAATCTCCATTCTCTGATATGGACTCTCCTTACTTTACACTCAGGTAATAATTAAGGAATAACATTTTTGTCAGCCTAAACTTTTTCTTTTAACTTAGTAATGGATTTTATGTTCCAAGAGGATACTGAGAACTTTGATTTAAATAAGACTCTTCATGAATTTTTTTGCTATGTTTTCAGTACAAATTGCCATATCGATGAAGCAAGTGTGACGTCTGAAGAGATGAGGACGCTAGAAGAGCTGGATTCTTTGGAGGTCTTTGAAAATTTGAAAGAAATTGTCTTAACAACTTGTCAGCGATAAAATTTAAAAAAATAATCAAAATTAATCTATTTATGTTTAGAGTGAAAATTTTAAAATTCAATATATTTGTTAGAGATTTCATTATACTAATTGAAAATGTTTTTTATATTATTGTACAAAATTATGGTGGATCAAAGAAAGAGTGGATTTTAGTCAAAAAATAGGGATTTTTCCAAATTGTTTTGTTGGCTCACCGAGAAGGGATTTAGAACTATTGCGATTTAAAAAAGACCATACCAAATCTGACAACGCAGAATTGATTCAAAAAAATGAACAATTCGAAACGCTACTACAAAAGTCTTAAACTTAAACATATCAGGTTTGGCTACCATCTTATTGGTTGCGCAGTCACCAAAGACCCTTTCAGTCACCCCTTGCTTCGAAGAGGGCTCGAACTCCACCTTCTTCTCGCCAGCCTCCTACCAGGTATGGAGAACATCCTGCAATTGAGTGCCATCTCCTCCTTGCCTTTTAGGTTGCAGCGTTGAATGGGCAGACTATGGACATCTGCAGTTGTTACATGAGTTAAACGAATTTTCCGAGCAAAAATCCTAAAATGGAATTTCTGCTAACTTTTATCAAAAATGAGAAATTCAAAGCTTGAGGTGTAAATCTCGATTTCACGCTATGAAGTTGTCCGCTACTCTAAGCATTACCTGCAGAATTCATGAGGTTTCTCTTTCCCTCTCTGAACCCTCCTTTACCCTTGAGATAAAATCCAATCCTGAAAATGGATTTGAGCAAGGTTCTATATATTACATAAATTGCTTGTCCAGCATTGCTGCCCATTTCTGGGTGTGTACAAAACCTTTCAGATATAATTGAATATGTGCTTGAGGCTGCCTTTCCAAAAACGCCTTATTTAATTCCTGCTACAAAAGTCAGAAGCCGAAGTACGAAACCATATTCGAGTTGAACATCAGCTTAAGCTTCACATTGAATCATCACAAAATAGAATTGATGAGCTGGAAAAACTTAACGCACAATTGAATAGGAAAAGAGATGATGGAAACAACTCTGATAAAAACGCTGATAAGGAAGTTGATATTAAACTTAAAGAATTTGAAGAGAGGCTCCAAAATGAGCTAAAAAAAGTGGCATCTAAACAAAAAGAAAATAAAAAAGAGGTAAATGAAAAAATTGTTAAAGAATTTGAACAACAGTTGCAAAAATACGCTGAAGAGCTCGAAAAAAAAGATAAAATTATCAGCAGGCTAAAAGAAGAATGTATGAAACTGAAATCAAAGCTGGAAGAAAAACTCGATGAAACTGAAAAATTAAAACAAGAAATTGAACGGCTAAAAGTAGCAGATAAAAAAGCAGAGCCAAGGAATCCTGTAAATATTGAATATTTAAAAAAAAAACTTGAAGAAAAAGCAGTTGATCTGAATAAAATGCAGCAAAAAATAAAAGAAAGAGCGAGCAACAAATCTCCTGCTTTGCCAGCCAGCAAAGAGAATCAGCCTCATCCGTCAAAAGATAGGTCTAGAAATAGCCGCAGATCTACAGGAGAAGCTGAATTGTTAAAAAGTAATACAATTGATTCCAAAAAAACCAACACTGAGTCAACACCCCAAAAAGATAATACTGCGAAAAAGTTAAAGATGGCACCAAAAGGGCATATAAGAAGTTTCTCAGATCAATTAAGGCCGCAAACAGCGCCCAAGCGAGTTGGGCATTATTAGTATGTTATAAAGTTAACCTAATTATTATCTTTCATGAGCTTTAAATTTGAAAATATTGTGAAATATGAATGAAATTACTTCTAATTAAATTACTGAAAAAGCGCTTTCATAAAAGCCATTCCAATAATAAAGGATTTATGACAAATAAGAAACCTTCCAAAATTATTTAAACTCAATATATTAAATTTACTTTTGGAGAAGTTGCTGTCTTTATCAGAATTAGTGGATAATAAAAAAAAGCACGCCTTTTAAAGAATAATTCACAGATGAGACTCAATCTTCTGGTAGATTTTTTTTGGATTTTATTTGTGAGACGTTTTTATTAACTTCTTATCATTAACAGGATAATATTACGGACTAGTTAAATAATAATAATCGAATGGGAAATTCCACATCCAACTTCAGGATTCCAATAACTTTTTCCACAGATAAAAATTCTCTCAAACGCAGCAGCTCGATTATATCCAGCTTCGCCCATATTGAAAAAGAATCAATCTCCTTGAAATATGAAGACGAGAAATATTACTTAGATTTCAGGTACAGTGCCAGGGTAAGATCTACTATTCAAATCTTTCTCTGTGCTCACCACTCAGAATTCTGTAATATTCAGCCTGACATTCCAATAATTGCTTTAACAATTCAAGAAGGAATGTCTCAATGCTTCCCGTCAGATGTATCCACATTATCTTTATCAGAATATGGAGAAGAAGAGCTTACTAAATATTCTTCCTCATATACCCCTTTAATAATCCAAATCATTCCATTTTCATCAAATCAACAAATTCAGCAACTGCATACATCTTATCTTTCATTTGTAAAAGAAAATGGTCGCTTCTCAGTAAAGCTACTAAGGCAGCATTTAAAAATAGGATACGAAGTATATGAATTAGTTGAAATTTATGGAAATTATTTGGGAGAAAAATGCTCTGTTTGCTTGAGTAGCAAGAGGGACACTCTTGTTTTCCCCTGCAAACACTTGTGCTTGTGCTCAAGATGCGCAGTTAATTTGAAAATGCAAGCCGTCAGAAAATGCCCGATTTGTAGAACACGTAATTTTTATTTAGCGCTTGAATCATTTTTGAAGATTTCTAAATAAGGAATTTTCAACACTTTATGATTTGAGTCATAAAATAGTTGATTTATAATATAATTTATTGTATAAAACTAATTTCTGAAAATAAATATGCCAATAAGCTTTCTCATATAAGAATTAATTCCTTGGGATAGTAAATTTTTTAATATATAGAATTTTGTAGCCTTGCATTATAAAATATGAATCATACCTTATCAGAAGCCCTTCTTAGTGAATTGGGGTTCGAGCCTGCAACAAAATGCACTTTCAATCAAAAATTAGATTGCTTAAGACCATCAGGTGGCACGGCGTTGAGAGATTCTGTAAAATTAGGTTTAGAATTAATTCTCAACCTTAATAACATTAAATAAATTAGGAACAGGAGATATCTGGAATTTCCTTCATATAGTGATAACAGATGGAGTAGATAGTGGCTCTAAAACTTCTATTGAAGAACTTGCTGTAATTTTTTATATCATCGGCCAAACTATTCCAACTGATCGCTGCCAAACAAATTACATAGGAATAAATCTAAGCGGTAATGCAGCGGCTGAAATGGCAGTTATGAGCGCTTGTGGCGGAGACAGCTGCAAAGCTCACCGTGCTTCAAATGTTGACCTTAGCGAAATATTTGAGAGAATAAGTATTGGCATAGGAATTATAAAACAGACTCAGGCTATAGGTGTTACTGATTGCACTAATGCTTCATTAATGATACATGAGCAAAGTGCACCAGTATTGACAATGAGAAGAAATAGGTTTGCCGTTTTGCTTAATCTTGATTTTAGTAATTCAATGGATGGAGCGAATTGAAACTCTTTAAAATCAAGCGTGGCTATGTTTCTAAGGAGTCTGCAGGAAGGGGATATAGTTTCTTGCTTGCTGTTTAATCACAAAGTGATGCTGCTGTCTGAAATGAATATTCCTGCCTGCTTACCTCCTGCTTCATCTTCTGCTCGAAACTTTTCTTCTCCATCTTATAATCCTATTCAATCTTCTATCAGTCCTCCAAAGCAAGCAAGTGGGAAGGCTATTAATTCAGGAACAGATTCGTCTGCAGTAAATTGCAAGTGCAATCTAGTTTAACTGATTAGTTTTTTATAATTATAGCATTTATTATTAAAGGTAAATATGAAATAATTGCGCTATAATGATACAATACGCTAGAAATTATATTCATTAGTGCAGAATAAGATTAAGGAAAATATTTATATTGAGCTCGTTTTAGCTTTAGTTTCTGTTTTAAATATTCCTTACTCCCCCTCCATGAGTGCACAAAAAAAATTTGTTCGCTCACGGAGGTGGTTAATTTTTTTATAATTTTTTTTTCAAAATTTAAAAAAATCTCACTTCTATAAAAATTGAAAAGCAAATATTAATTCAATTTGTAAAATTTATGTTTTAAAACGCAATTTGTTTGAAATTAAATAGAATTAGCTCGAGATTTCATCATACTAATTATCACTTATATATCAAAATTTTTTCCCCAAAAAATTTTTCTATTAAAAAAATTTTTGTTTACTCACGGAGGGTGGGTTTGGGCAAAAAATAGCGATTTTTCTAATGGTTTTGTTTACTCACGGAGGGGGAGTTAGTAAATGCCTAAATAAAAGGTTTATTAGACTCACTATCTTATATGCTATGGAGTATTATAATTTCATTTTTAAATAAATTCTTTAAATACCTTTATTTTAATCATCTTCAAAGCTAGAAATTCAACTATTAAATCTCATGCTATTATCTTTTATGAATATTAAAGAAAGATGGCCCGATCTTTACTTTGGATCGGGCTTGCCTGATTTCCACCGAAGTCAAACGAGAGTTGATAAGCCAAAAACTCGTTCTCAAAGTCGACTTTCCTAACAAACGTTGGCTTGCCAAATTCCCAGCTGACGATGGTGGCCATTTGGCAAGCCCGATTTAAAGCAAGGATCGGCTATATTTAGCATTTTTAACTATAATTAAATATATAAATTGTCGATATTTTAGCACTTCGCATAGACAGATATTTAATGATCTATTTTTCATAAAAAGGAGTTTTATTAATAATTTGAAATTATTAATAACTTTCTGATCATCATTTTTTTAATGATTTCCGTTCAAAATTTGAATCGGATATAAAATGGATAGTGTATCTGAGAATATTGTGACTCTTTATTGTTGCATGCTACCTGGCTGTGCAAAGAATTATTCTACTAAATTCAATTTAAGAAGGCATGTGACAGTCTATCACTTAAAAAAGACGCATAATCAATGCCAACTCTGCCAAAAATGATTGGCAAGCAAACAAAATCTGCAGGAGCACATGAGAATGCATTCTGGTGAGAAACCTTTCTCATGCTCGAAATGTGAAATGAAATTTAGGTTCGCTAGTCAGTTATCTTTACACAAAAGAAAATGCCAGTATCAGGATACCGATGATCTGGAATTAAAAATTGCTTAATCTAATTAATATCCTTTGTATTTCAGGATGGTATTTTACTATTTTAATGATATTTATTAGTCTGGCATGAAAAAATTTCTGGCAAGATTTATCGGTGGTATTTTTAGCCAATTATTGAAATATAAACTTAATTTCTTTAGTGAGTTGAATTGAATTTAATATTAGTACGTTTATTTATAAAGATAGTTTTTAATATATAGCTTTTATTGTATCTATAAATCGAAACTTTATATGATACCAATTTTGATATTTGTATTAGTAAAATAACGCATGATAGGTATACTGGTATTTTAAGTTAATCGGATGGTGAAAAAATTTTCTGATAGTTTTGTTCTTTGTGATTCAAATATTTGATGGTTATTTATTTGGAATAACTAACTCCCCCCGCTCAGTGAGCAAGCAAACTATTGAAAATCCTTTTTTCGAATAGTGATTATTATTAAAATAAATCTCTAGTTAAATCTCTTGAATTTAAAACAGCTTGCATTCTAAAATATTAATTTTATATTAAATTTTTTTTTTTGAATTTTAAAACATTCTATATAATTTTCTCTTTATAAAATTATAAATTAAAAAATTAACCCCTATGCAGCTAGCTAAATATATTTTGCTCGCTCATTGAGTTATGAGTAAAGAAAGAAAATTTTAAGAATTCAGATTTTGATCAAATAAGTGGTATTTATGGATCAGATGAAAATAAAAGCTTTGTTTAGAACTAAACCAAGAAAATAGGGATTTTTTCAAATATATATTTGCCCAATAATGCTTGTAGTCAAATCGTCCGCATTAAATGAATATTAATTGTCTCAGGTCAGAAATCTAAAATAAAATTTAAAATGTCAATTTAGCATGGTGAATTCCTATCGGAATGTTATCGTTGCTTACAAATATGAAAGCTATCTCTTCTTTTAAGTTATAAAAACTTATAAAGTTATTAATAATTCTTTGAAATTATTCTATAGCAGCTGATTAATTTTTTTTGTACAATCATTAGACTATTAAGTTCAAAACACCTCATTTATAAGCAATTCCTTTTATATTTGTAGTATAAAACTATTTTTCTTATATTTTCCATATAAAATTTGATCATCATTATAATTGGTTACTGCTAAACATTATGCATATAATCTAAAATAATTTAATTAGGCAAATAAGAAGCTATCTAATTGATGAAGCGTTGAATATTTAAAGATTAATAAATTAGACTGGGTTTAAAGTCACTCAGCAAAAGAGTATAAGAAATCTTATAAAAGAATTTAAATTCATTTATAAAAACTGATTATTAGAATTTTGGCTTTCTTTATTTATGCTAGAGTTGTTAGAAAGTCAAATGGCTAGTGTTGCTTTATATATACTCAAGCCAATTTGAAATCTTCTAATTGAATAAACTTTATTGAAGTAAACAAGAATATCAGACTCGCCAAAGATCATACAATTTAATTCTTTCCAACTTAATGAGCAATTCTCATTTTATAATCCTTATTTAGTATCATTTCAATACCATTGCTTTACTTATATAAAATAATCCACACCATATTAACTATGTTGCAGCTCAAAGGTTCAATATCAGCGATTCGGCCATTCAAAAACCAATCGAATTTCGAATTACTCAACACTCTTATAGCATCTAATTTCTGTGCTCGACCCTATCTCGTTCAAAACATAAACCATCTTCTTTGGTTATCGAATCTTTTATTAGGGAAACATGCAACTTGCTATTACATTTCACAAACAGCTGGGAAGGTTTTCAGTGCAGGAGAAACTTACCAGGAGCTTAAAACAGTGCTCCAAAAGCTCGCAGCCCAAAAAATGGGCGGAATAATTGATTATTGTGCAGAAGGAGAAACCTCTGTTGAAGGATTAGACAACAACGAAAAAGCCATAATTCAAGCTGCTTTATGCGCTACTGAATATCCTTATCCATCAGTAGCAATTAAAGTAACTGCGCTAATTAATACCGATTTGCTGGAGAGGCTAAATGGTTTCATGCTTAAAAAACTGCAAAGAGGGAGCGACAAATTCATCCGAATTTTTAACGAAAGCGTCTTTGATGGACTTGAAACAGAATTTGATGAAAGGGAAATCAAAGAAATAGAAAATTGTATGGGAAGACTCAGGAGAATTGCTAATGTATGTAGAGATAAAGGTGTTTCTATGATGATTGACGCTGAGCAGACATATTTTCAAGCTGCGATCGACAGCTTTACATGGACGCTTCAAAACGAGTACAATAAGTCATCAGCGATCGTTCTTACAACAATCCAAAGCTACCTAAAAGACTCAGAATCCAAATTATCCTCATATCTGCATTCCTCAAAAGAAAAAAATCTGTCAATAGGAATCAAGCTTGTGCGTGGTGCTTATATAAGAGAAGAAAACGATTTAGCCCGGAGAAAAGGAGTCCCTTCACCTATTCATGACTCCAAAGAAGCCACAAATTATGCCTACCATAGCAACACAGATACAATTTTCAGCTTTTATAAACCTGGTGACCAATTGTGCATAGCAAGTCATAACTGGCTAAGTGCAGAATTCGGGAAAGAAAAACTCTATGAGAAGAAAATCGATAGATTGAAAGGAGGAGTGACATTTGGACAGCTGCTTGGCATGAAGTCAATGATGAGTACAGTTTTAGCTTCAGAGCATTATGCTGTACAAAGATATGTACCCTTTGGGCCATCAGAAAAATTGATTCCCTATCTAGCTAGAAGAGCTATTGAGCAAAGCCAAGTCGTGGGAGAACTGCATGAGCAGGTAAAAATGATTAATGACGAATTCAAGATACGAGCTTTATCATAAACGATAAATAAAAAATATAATTAATTGAAAAAATAAACCAGTCCAGCTATGTATAAATTTCAGAAAAGTCCCCCATTTAATATTAAATGGCTTCTGAACTAAACTATAGCAATATCTGTTTACTCGTCCTAGGCGGTAGAGAGCTTGTTGCAAAGCACGCTGGGTGAAGTCCTAGTAGAATAAACACGGAGCTTGAAATAAACGATCTAAGCAGCTTAAAGTTCGTTGAAAGCATATCAAAATTAATATATCTTGCAATCGAAGAAGCAGGGAACTCGGGCGCTGAAAAAGTAGTTTCAGAATATGGCTTGCCCTGAAAGGTTGCCAAGCTTATGCAACTAAATAAAGGCAAAAAATCAGGCCACAATATTTTCACGATTCCGCAATACTCCAATCAGACAAAGGAGAATAAGTAGCAATTATAGTAATTTAATTCGAATTTTTTATGAAATAATTAAATGTCATTCAATGTATTAATTGAAGATTCATTAGGAGTAAGTTACTAGTTAGAATGAAGCTGTAATACTAAACTGCAATAAGCTCGCAATGGAAGCCTTAAGCTCTGGCGATGCAGAAACTGCAAGTAATTTATTGACAAAGGCTAATAACTTATTAAGATCGGCATCGTCAAGTGCTGTGGTCAAGCTAAAATCAATAACCCTCAACAACTTCGGCTGCCTATATAAAAGGATTAATAATCCTTTAAAAGCTCTGAAATATTTGTCGGAAGCACTGGAGTGTGAGTCAGAAAGTTCTATTGATAATGTGAATCTTGCTGGAACCCTTTTGAATATATGTGCGATTAAATCTCAGCTTGATTTGCATGAAGAAGCGGTTAGTCATGGGTTAAAAGCAATAAAGATACTAAATCAAGCTGCTGAGCAAAATTTAAACACGAAAACGACGCTTGCGATTGCATATCATAATGTAGGGATCGAACAAGAATTTCTAGATAAAATAAAAGAAGCCCAAGATTTTTTTATGAAAGGGTGAGAAATTGCCCATGAACACTTGGGGTCAGTGCACCCGGTTACACAGCTTATTGGAACAGCACTGAATAAAAATTCAAAGCAAAGCCAAAAAGTGGGGAAACTGGAATCTCTAAATAGCCTAGCCAATAGCAAGGCAAAGCTTTCGTCATCAAGGCACGATACATCAACTAGAAATTCAACTCTCAATCATGTGCTAAAACAGGAATTAAGGAGAGAGCAATTAAGAAATAAAGAAAGAAACAGCTTAGACGAAATTGAACTGGAAAGTGGGCATTGGGATGAAGAAAATAAAGTGCAACCACCAAATAAAAGTTTAACAATTGAGAAGAAAAATAAGCTTGAGCCTATGCCATCAGGAGCTTTTTCGGAGTCAGCTGGACTCACAAATGCACGGTTTCTTACGGGAGAAAGAATGCAACCTATGTATAAAGATAAAACTCAAAATCCAGGAAATTATTCAGTTAGAATCACTAACTCCCCCCCCTCCGTAAGTGAACAAAAAAATTTTGTTCACTCACGGAGGGGGGTTAATTTTTTTTTTAAAAAATTTATATATAAATTTTATAAAAAAAATATTTTTTTTCGAAATATAAAAAAATCCTAATTCGCAAAAAATTGGAAACCAAATATTAATTTAAATTATAAAATTTATGTTTTAAAAAGCAATTAGTTTAAAATTAAACAGAATTAGCTCAAATTTTTTCCATAAAAAATTTTTCTATTAAAACAATTTTTGTTCACTCACGGAGGGTGGGTTTTTGGGCAAAAAATGGCGATTTTTCTAATGGTTTAGTTCACTCACGGAGGGGGAAAGTAAGAAAAAAACAAATTTGAAGCCAATAGAAACAATTAAAACTCCTAATGCTTTGAGAAAAAAGTTCATAAAGCCAATCATCAAGCCTGATCTTACATCTCAGCCTTCCAGTAAATTTTCAAATTCTCCAGAAACCAGTACAAAGTCTATCAGAAAATTTGATATGAGCTTTGATTCCCGAATAATTAATATAGAAGGACAATTACAAAATCTTCAAAAAAAACTTCACGATTTTGAAGCAATGTGCCAACCTTTGAAAGAGCTTGAAGAAGAGCCCAAAAAAATTTCCAAAAAAGAGATAGAAAAGAGAAGAAGAGGGTTTGCTGCAAGAAAAATCCAAAGAGAAGGAATTTTAAAATTAAGAGTCTTAAGGTCCTTCAGATTTGATGCCTCTGCAAGTTTGTGACTACAGGGCAATTGCTTTCCAGGATTAGCATTGGTTATCTGGCCCATCAATACCAGTCTTATCCCAAAACTAAGGCTTGCACCACGTCCCTCAGTTTCGAGGTCACGAAGACCCCACGATGTTGTGTATCTTGCGGGTAGCTATAGAGGTAAAGATCAGCCCAATAAATCCTCTTGGACCTTGAGGAAGGGTGAAACCCAGAAAAAAAGAGCCATGTCCCTCCGAAACTGGCTGGTAAAGAATAACTAATACTTGGACTGAAATGGCCACCGGCTGACTTTCACAGCCACTTACCCCATAAGGCAATTATACAGAATACTTACTCCCCCCCCCCCTCCGTGAGCGAACAAAACCATTAGAAAAATCGCCATTTTTTGACCAAAAACCCACCCTCCGTGAGTGAACAAAAATTTTTTTAATAGAAAAAATTTTAATGGAAAAAAATTTTGATATATAAGTGATAATTAGTATAATGAAATCTAGAGCTAATTCTGTTTAATTTTAAACAAATTGCGTTTTAAAACATAAATTTTGCAAATTAAATTAATATTTGCTTCCCAATTTTTGCAAATTAGGATTTTTTTAAATTTCGAAAAAAAATATTTTTTATAAAATTTATATATATAAATTTTTTTTAAAAAAAAAAAAAATAACCCCCCTCCGTGAGCGAACAAAATTTTTTTGTTCGCTCACGGAGGGGGGGGGGAGTTAGAATGGAAGAGCCTGAGCCTTGGTGTAGGCTATAAAGCCATTTTGGAGCCCACGATGATGAGTCTTCGGTGAGGACATATATTATCGCCACCATCGTATTCATTATAAAGGGAAGTAAGGGAATGATTGCAAAAAAGAGAAAATGCAGCCCAAAACATCCAGAAACATTTCAGAGGCTATCGAGATAGAAAAAGATATTTAAAAATAAAAAGTGAAAGAAATGTGGCTGCTGGAAAAATACAAAAATGATATAGAAATAAGAGGATTAAGGTAAATAAAGAGGTCGGGAAAGATCTTTTCGATGCTAAAGCGTCTTTGGTAGAAACTTCATGCCAGACTGAAACTATGCCGCCATCACAGGCAAGAGAAAAGAGAAGCCAGAGCTCTGATAAGCCTAAAAAAGAGACAATAGAAAAAATAATTCAATCAGATCCAATTAATAAGAAACTAGTACTGGAATCCACATCAATTGAAATAAAGAAGCCTGAAGTTCAGAAACATAAAAATCTGTTTCAAATGCTTGCAATGATTCAAGCTTACATAAGAGGTTTCATTCAGAGAAAGCGATATGAGAAAATCAAGAAAAAAATATTTTTAATTCAAAGTGCTGTCAGAATGCACCAATGTCACAATATATATAAAGGGATAAGAGAAGCTGTAATATTCATACAATCAGTTTATAGAGGCCATCTGATTCGGAAAAAATTCATAATTAGATAATAAATATCTCTAACCCTATTTATCTATTCTAATATTACACAATAGCACGCTTTCTACTGTTCTCTCTAGCATCCCGAGTAATCTTGGCTTTGAGCTTAACTCAATTACACAGCTTGCTCCACTATATTTGGTTCCTTTTTCTTCTCCAATCCTATCAGCTGCTAAAAAATAAACTTTTCTTTGAGTTTTCAGCAAAGGCTCCAGCCTCCACAGCCAATAATTCAACAATTGCAATTCATCTCCATCAGTATAAGTCCAGTTTGTACAAAATGCACACAAGTCAACGTTTTGAGACTGCCAAAAGTCAGCCAATTCGTGCAGATCATAGTCTCTGAATTCATAAGGATTTATGTCCATACAGATTCCAAGCCCTACAATTAATTGATTTTCTGCTACTGTTATCGTAACTGAGTCGAATATTTCTCCTTCTCTTGACCAATTTTTGTCAATTACATAAAGATGATGCTTCCTATAATTCTTTATAAGTACGCCTTGAGGATTCAAGACCATCATAGAATTATAGCCTCCTTCTTCATATTTTTCAGGGTAACCACAGAAGATGTGTGCTCCCAGTCGTTGCGCTTGGTCTCTGCACCATCTAAAAGTTGGATATTCTGAGTTTGGTAATTCAAGGTATGGTCTTATGTCTTCGATATCATCAAATGTGTAACCAGGAAACGCCATTTCAGGAAGGACAACAATGTCAGCATTTATAAAATTAGCAAGCATAGAGCTGACTTTTTCCATTGATGCCTGAGGATCTTTATAGACTGGGCAAAATTGTACACATAATACGCTTACGTTCATATTAATTATAAGTTTTTGCATAAGTTTTGATGGTTCTCTGCATAATTTTATAAAGCATTCTCTGGCGAAACGCTAAAGATAGTTCACTTGTGAATAAAATTCTAGACAAATCGATATCTCTTTATTTAAATTTCTTTGTATTATTATAAGTCTACCGCATTGTAAGGCTCTAGGTTTTAGAGAAAAGTTAAATTTTAAAATATGGAAAAAGATAACTTTATAATAGCAATAATTTAAATACCGTTTATAGCATTAGAAGTCTATTGATCGCTAAGGTCCAAAATTGTTACTTAGCTTGGCAAGTTTGCAACTAATAGAAGTTGGCAGTTCTAATTGAGAGTCAGTATTTATAAATTTTTATATTACCTAAATAAGAGTGAGCTAACTCCGTCTACTTCTCAATTTTGAGAGAAGCGATTGGGTCTCTAAGCAATCCAAGAGCCTTGCCAGGCTATATGGCTATTATAAATGGATTTCAATATATGGATACTTTATTCATATTAAAAAAATGGGCTGCTGTGAAATCCGAACAGTAATATAAATTCAGAAAGCTTCTGACATGCCAAAGCTATACTTTGATATACCAAAAACAATACCTATACAATCTTATCAATTCTTTACCAGTAATTCTGATACTGATTTAATAGTAAAAATTAAATTTTTGAGAGCTAACAGTAAATGAAGCGACTTATTTAAATTGATATATCATAGAGACCCTATTAATATATCTGATATAAAAGACCAAGGGTGAGAAAGACCTCCAAAAACAATTGGCTGCTTAGCAATTGCATACTTAGCAGAAGGAGCTTTAGAAGAATCAAACAAAATTCAGTACTATATCAAAGGAGTGATTGGTGCAATTGTCACAAATTTATACTCTCCTGATGAAACTCTACAAGAGTTTTCCCTCAAGCTCCTAAACAGAACTTTAAAAAACGCAACAGAATCAACGATATACGAGATACTGAATTTTAATGTATATAAGCCATTATTTGCCTTATTTCCTTCACCGATATTGGGAGATTTGGCTATGGATACCTGCAAAATAATTCTCTATAGAAGAGAGAAAGCACAAAAAGTGTTTTTTAAATTCAAAGGAGACGGAGAACTATTAAAATTTTTAGAACTTAACACAGTCAATGCAACCTTTCTTATGAGCTGCATCAATGCTCTTATAATAGTATAGTCTATTTAGGATCCTAATGGCAAACCCAATTATGGAAACTTAAATAAGTTAATTGATGCCGGAATTGTGGAAGCAATTAAAAACAATAAGCCAATCCTTAATTTGTGCTATAATAAAAAAGCAGAAATTGATGAGTTATCGTTCCTAATGTGACTCTCTTTGAAATAGATATAAAATAATTTTAGATAATTAAAAATTCACATATTGCAAATGCAAAGTTATTGTATTATTATGTATACACTTTGTTAGGGTTATCAATTAAACCTTTTGTTTGGCGTTAACCCGCTTTTCTTAGATCCCACTGGGATTTGCTGGATCAAAATCCACGAAGTGATAAAGCAAAAGGTAATCTGCCAAAATAATGCTGATGCTTAAGCATATATGAGTGATATGAATTCATCTGTATTTAGTAAATCCATAAAACATCGCCTTAAATTTGTCATTGTAAATCATTATCTGAACTCTTCCATCCCTGACTGATGCTTTGATCTCTTCATTCTGAATATATTCCACAGGGACCTCTAAAAACTTATTCATGCACCTGTATTTTTCACACATTTCTGGGTTGTAAACCATTCTTTCAAAAGGATTCTCGACCTGCTTTCTGTTGTCTTTATAGACTCTATGGCCTTTTTCATAAATTCCCCAGAGAGCGATCAAAATTAACAGTCACAACAGGTTGAAAAAAGGTACAAAACTAAGTGCGAGACTGACAACTATATATCTGACTCTAAATAAAGGATAAAGCCAATAGTAAAATCTGTTCCGTTGGATATTTTTGAATCTTACTCCATTGACCATGTTATAGTTTGTGTTATAGCATGCGGCAAAATAGTTGAATCGAAATAAAGGATTACTCTTCAGTTTTATTGCTCTCCCTCGAAATCTTATATTTTCTTGGCTGCTTCGGCGTGGAGGACTTCTGGCTCGATTATCCTCTACAAGAGATGATGATGCATTCATATTTTATCTCCCATTTCTCAAATATAAATCACTTAAATTATGGTGAGGGGAAAGATATTTCTGATAAGGGTTATATAGCAGTAAGATGATTTTGCCTTCTAAAAGCTATATTTTAGCAAATCTCTTTTTCCTAAATTTAGGACTGTTAATTAAATTTATAAAAGAAGATAGAGATTCCATGCCAGAAATTTGATATCTAGATTCTTTATATTTATTTATATCTAATACTAATCTGCAAACATAATTTTATTAAAATTAGAGATATATCCAAAGCCTTCATTTCCATAATTTCCTTAGCCCTTTTTATCTCTCCAACATCAAAACAGTTTCTGATAAAAGTAATTTTATAGTTTTATAATTAAATAGTTTCTTATAAGCACGCAAGTGATTTCTATCATCTTTAAATCAAAAAAAAAATTTTAAAAAAATTTAATTTTCTTACAATTGGCAAGACTCTTTTCTACTTTATTATTCCATTATTTATTGAGAATATTTCAGTTATATTCCACATATTAATATCCTTCAAATTTCTTAATAAATCGGTACCTTTATTAAAGCAATTTATTTAAAAAAGATTTAATAATAAATAAATTTCTTATTACTTCTTAGTTGGAGATTTTGCTCCTGCTCCTGGTCCTGCCTTTTTCTTTCTATTTTTTTCTCCTTGGATATCTTCATCTTCATCAGGCAATAATTTGGTAATAACTCCAGCTCCAACTGTTTTTCCTCCTTCTCTCAGGGCAAATCTAGCTCCTACATACAGAGGCAGCGGCATTTGAAGCTTGAATTTTGCTGCAAAGTGGTCACCTCCTACAGCCATTTTTTTCTCTTCTGGGAACATGATTTTAGACTGGATATCAGCAGTTCTAATAAAACATTGAGGGGCGAATCCAGAGAAAAATGGCTTTTTTCTTCCACCTTCGTCTTCTTTTAAGACGTAGAGTTGCCCTTCAAAGTTAAAGTTAGTTTGATATGAATTAGGTGGTGTTACAGCTTGCCCTCTATGAATATCTTCTTTTCTTAAGCCTCTTAATAGCACACCTACATTGTCGCCGGGCTCTCCGACATCTAATGTTTTCTTAAATGTCTCGACACTGATTACAGCAGTCCTTACTGGGTCTTTTTTAATCCCAATTAGATCAGCGTCAGCGCCTGGCTTGATAACTCCGTGCTCAATTGTTCCAGTGACCACACACCCTCTTCCTGCAATATTATAGCTTCCTTCTACACTTAAAAAGAATGGCTTGTCCTTTGGCCTCTCAGGGATTACCAATGAATCGTCCATTGCATCAAGCAGTTCTTGAATTTTTTTAATCCCGTATTCAGAATCTGGCTCATTCAATGCACATAAAGCAGATCCTTTTACAAATCTAGTATGCTCTCCATCATACTCGTACTTATTAAGGACTTCTCTCACTTCCATTTCTACGATTTCTTGAAGCTCAGGGTCTGGTAGTAAGTCACATTTGTTCATAAAGACCACGATGCTTTTTACTCCAGTTTGCCTACACAATAGGACGTGCTCTCTTGTCTGAGGCATAAGCCCTTCACGAGCAGAAACTACAAGAATGGCTCCATCCATTCTCGCAGCTCCAGTAATCATATTCTTAACATAATCAGCGTGTCCAGGACAGTCCATATGAGAATAGTGGCGCTTGTCTGTTTGATATTCAAGGGTGCTTGTATTGATGGTAATACCTCTGGCTTTTTCTTCAGGAGCACAATCGATTTGTTCATATGTCCTTTCTTCAGCCATGCCTTTTTGGTGGAGATAGTGTGTGATAGCAGCGGTAAGAGTAGTTTTACCATGATCAATGTGTCCTACAGTGCCAACGTTCAAGTGAGGCTTGTCACGGATATACTTAGCGAATGATCTGGTTAATACACGCAGCATTACCACAGATTAAAATTTAATAAAAGAATATGAAAATGCTATGAAGGACAAACAAGTTGGAAGATGAATGAAATTGAATTAGAAGATAGGGGAGCTGAGAGAAAAATAATTGAAATTTATATATGAAAATTATTAATTGGCAGGAAATACTTTGAATAGCAGAAGAAAATCACTTCCATTTCAACTATAGATTAAAATGTGACTAATTTATGGGCAAACAGAAGAGATTGCTTTATCCTGTTCAAAATTTAGCAGATAGCTGTGGCTTATATTAAGGCTCAGATATTTAGATGGAATAAATGATTAATTTCGAATGCTAATCAGAAAATGGACACTTCATTAGAAGTGGCTTTATATTAGCCAGCTTCATGTACGACTCTATTTGTGAAGGGATCTCTTCTAAAATTTTTGATTCAAAGCTTTCAGGAGAGCTCATATATTGTCTAAATGGTACAAATTGGACACAATCTCGTAAAGCTTCGCGCTGATTATGATCTTTAAGAACTCCACTATCTGAATCCAGCCTATACATATTAGAAAAGCATTCCCCTCCAACTCCAATAATAATAACACTCATCGGAAGCCTCGATGATTCTACAATCAAATCTCGAGATGCAGGAAAATCGTCAATATCTCCATCTGTAATTATAAGTAATACATTATATATCGATCCATCAGTTTTTTCTCTAGCTTTATCATTCGCCATCTCTAATTCCCCTTTTCGTGAGTGAAAAAAATGTTTGCTCATGAAGTTTAATGTTTTTATAAAAAATCTCAATTCACAAAAACTTATTTAATTTGTAGAATTTAATAGAGTTAACTAGAGAGTTCATACTAGTTACCATTTATAGCATATAATCCTGATAGCTTTTTTTTATCGAACAGTTAAAATAGAAGGGGAAGGCTTAATGGACTCTATTGAAGGAAGGAGCTAGACTCTATAGCCAGAAAGGATTAAAAAGTGGTGTGCCAAAAAATGGTTGGCAGGTTTAAAAAGGTTGGCAAGCAAGCCCGTAATTTTTAAATTTGAAAAAATGAATTTTTTTGAAAACCTCTGACATAAAATTACAAAATCTATTTCCGATATGTTTTTGTCTCAAAGAGCATTTTTTAAATAGAAGATAATGTCTCCTTTCTGCCTTAATAATACTTCGATATGAAAGTCTAAAACTGTATCTTTAATTTAAAAATTAATTTTAATGATAAAGTTCATTTTAAAACTTGCAGTCTTGCTTTCAACTTTGTTTACACTTGCCAACCATTTTTTTCATGTTACTTTTTAACCCTTCCCGCTATAGACTCTAGCTCCGTCCTTCAATAGAGCCCATTAAGATCAATTTATTTTATCAAAAAATTTTTTTTTATTACTCAGGAGGTAATTTTTACCCAAAATGGGAATTTTTTCGGAGGAGTAAAATCCATCTAAAATATGTAGGTCCTTCTAGTTCTATATTTGGGAGCTCTTTTATATAGGTTTCTATTATTTTCTCATGCCCTACTACGTAAGGATTTGATTCGCTTCTAGTCAAAGAAAAGCAGTGACTTATGTCCCGAATTCAAATAGGCCTCCCTCCGAACCCAAATATAGCGATTTTTTTGTCTTCGTCATAAATTTCTATGATCTTGATGACTGCCTCAATGGCTCTTTGGTATTCATTTTGTATACTGGAATTAGAATAATGCAAGTTTAAATTAAGTGCTATAAAAAACCATAAACAGATAGACTACAGTTCGCCTATCTGGCGTAAATCCCTACCTAAGGATTAACTCATTAAATTAGACCTGCTCTTGCAAATGCCCCTTTAGTCCGATAAGCAAAGACCAAGTGCGATGCAAAGCATGTCTAGCCTATCTGGCAGAGACAGGGAGAAATAATTTTTTTCAACTCCATCGGACGGTTCCTACCTGGTCATATGGAATGTGTCTAGTAGTCCATCTTCTGTCTACGCATATTTTTTTCAAATAATGCAAGGAGTGAATATCTGTGTGATCTCCATTAGAAGAAGTAAAATCAATTGCCACGATTAGCTTGATTGATGTTCCATTCTGCAAGTAGTCCATGTATGAGTAATTTCTTGTGATTGTAGAGCTGGTGACCTCTAAAATTCCTGAATTGGTGTAGCCTTTGCGAGATGTTTTGGAATGGTTTATAGCCCGTTCCCGGCTATAGATTGGACTATGCCCGATCTCTGCCGGAAAACTCGGGGGGTTGTCGGCGTCACTTCGAGGTGACGAGTCAACTCCCGAGTTGGCAAATAGCCACCATTAAGTGATTTGCCAACTCGGGGAGTTGACTTGTCACCTTGAAGTGACACAGACAACCCCCCGAGTTTTTCGGCAGAGATCGGGCATAGTCCAATCTATAGCCGGGAGCGGGCAATATTAGTGCAAATTGAGAGCCTGCCCGCAATAACTCTCGCAATGTCACTGTTACCTGCCCAATAAAATCATCTGAGCTGCACCGGTCTCAATCAAAACATTCGATTTTTATTGATCGATTGGGATCGCTGCCGCAGAGCTGATGCAAGTTTATCTCAAAAGGTTTCCATACAGGATCAAGCGTTTTGTAAATTATTTCTGTCCTATAGCATTCAGATCAGGAATCATCCTGCAGGAGTCTATAAAATATAAGATACGGGTCGCTTTTTCCTCCAAAGTCCATAGCGTCTAAATGATGCCCAACCAATCCTATATAATTTATGCACCATAATAGATCGCTATATTCCAGCAGAGTGCCAATAGAAAAAAATATGTCCAGGACACTTATGCTAATTGCCCGAGGATGGCGCTATCTTGCACCATCCTCGGGCAATCAAAAAATGGCCCCACGCTGGGAATTGAACCCACGTGTGGGGCCATTTTTGGTTAGTGGAGAGCATCGACTTCCACGCACCAAAAAATGGCCCCACATGGGTTCGATTCCCGGTGTGGGGCCATTTTTTAAATTGCCCGAGGATGGCGCAAGATAGCGCCATCCTCGGGCAATTACAATATCTTATACAGTCTAAGACTGACTATGCATCTTATAATTATAGACGGAGATTTCTCATTTTCGTTTTTACTTTTCAAAAAAATTGATAATTTTAAATTAATTTTAAAAAATAAAAAATGCTCAATAGTCGTTTATAGAATTTCAGGGGATATATTTTTATCTTTGACTCTAGATCTCTGACTTCTTCAGCTTTTACCACAATTGTCCCAGTAATCTCCTTAATAGTTCCTCTAAATATATGAGATATAAAAGGTTGCCTTGCAATTAAATGGTTGCTTGTGCATTCTATGCTTCCAATAAAGTCTGCCCCAGAATAAATAGAAAATTGCAGCTCGCTACTCTTTTCGAAGCAATGATCAATGATAATGTTTTGTTTCCATTTGGGATTCTTCGACATAAAGACTACTTCTGTTGAACCCAAGTCTACTCATTTCGAGTCTTCAACCTTTAGCTGAAGTCTACAGATTGGGTTTAAAGTTGCTGGGGCCACCAAGTCTCGAGCTTTGATAAAGAGTTCGAATGTTTTGTGACTTTTGGAGCTGAATTCTCTTACTAACATATTTATCGATAAAAAACGCTTTTTCCTGATAATATCCTATTAAGTTTTAATTAATGATTTAGCAGCTTCTTTGACAGCGTCTACTTGAGAGATTTGGAGCTGAGATACAAGTCTTAAGATAGAATCGCTATATCCTGTCACCAAAATATTTTTCTGTTCATCCTCAAGATCTGCACCTATAGTTTTCCCATGCCCCGCTAAGTTTATGCTTATGAATTTCATGCTTGGATTGACTGTTTCCCTATAAGTCTTAAGAATCTGCTCAACAGTCCAATTTCTTCCACTTTGTGTGTGATTCATCTGCCCACTTCCTGGGGAAATCATCATATCAGAAAATATGAACATATTGTCAAAATGAACTCTATTCTCTATTGCTTGGTTTATATAGTCAAAAGGAAAATCAGTTCCCCCTCCCAGAGTACTGGCAACTTGATTCACTTCGTTTATAAGGTTAAGAATATTCTCGCCTTCAAGCTCAACCTTTTTCCAGCATTTTGGACTTGCTGTAGTTGGCGATGAAAAAACGACAAATTCAGAGTTTTCACAGACATGGCGCATCATAAGTCCTAGTAGAATTCCAACTTCTTTGCAAGAAATATCACTGCCTGATCCACCCTCTCCCGAAATTTTAGTGCCCATGGAGCCTGAGACGTCAGCGAAAATGACTGAATTGCCTTTGACTGGCTTTACGTTTAAAGCTGTTGAAAGCTTGACCGCCTCTTCTAGAGCATTTTTATAGTTTTCAACAGTTTCTTCAGTTGGGACTACTTTTGGGACTATTTTTTTTCTTTTGTGCTTTTCTTTCAAACCTCTTTTTCCAGAAGGTGCGGGAGGCTCATAGTTTGGGTCTTCTTTTAGCTTTTGTAATTCTTCAATATTGATATTTAAAGCAGTATAAGCTGAATAGAATCTAAATGGGAACAGCCTAGAATTTTGAATTTGATCTGGGTCTCTCAATCTACTCTGAACAGCTCCATGAATTTCTGAGTCGACTCCAGTTATCAGCAGATTTCTCAAATTCCTCAGCATTGCCATAAACGGCAGCTTTCTTGACTTTATAAGGTCCTCCCAGACTTCAGGCTTATTTCCCATCTCGCTGAGCTGAGTCTCCCATGTTACAGGTGTCGGAATTTTCATTCTTTTATTAGCAAGTGAGGGATTGAATTCTCCACCTACCGCCAATCCAGATGTAGCAAAAACGTCCGGGTTTTCAGGATATCTTTTTCCGAGAATTGACATCACATTGCTAGCTGGCTCTTTTAAGTGGCAAAGTCTTACAAGCTGTTTGAATGATATCGTCTTTTTCTTAGTAGCTGCACTGTTATCACCCTTAGGCTTAAATTTGAGCTTAAGTAAACCTCTTTTGCGTTTCCCTTCAGAACAATATTTTCCTAGATGGTAAATAGAAAAAGTCTTGAATTTATCTGCAATCAGTTTCTGAAGACAGTTGGGGATTGCTATTTTGTTTTCCTGCTCATGGCCTACAAAGCTTTGATAGAGCTCAACAGTTTCGGTTAGGTCAGAAGGAAGACGGATTGTAGCCGAAAAATATTGTTTGAGGTGCTTTTTGGCTTCTGGGTGAGTAGCAGCGAATGCCAGTATGAAATTGGAAGCTGAACGGATGTTAAGTTCATTTCGGGTGTAGTAAGCAAGTTGGCAGATAAACTCTGGATCAATTGTGGCTACTTCGTTAAGATCTGCTATGATGTCTGCGATTTTTTGTTCAGCCTTCGCATAGTAATTAGGCTCGCGCAGCATACAGGCAGCAACTCGGCTAACTAGACGCTCTCTTGGGTCTTTTATATTTAAAGTGACAAACTGCTCTTCCATATATTTATATCAGATCAAAATAGAGGTTTATATTAATTCCTAATAAAAAGCTAAATGTTCATTAAATAATAAAAGGGCCCAATTACATCTGATATTTATTAATTATTTTCAAAAGAGCTGTCTTTCTTCACCCCAGCTTCCTCAATTCTTGAAACTTCGCTCTCCATATGCCGCTCTTCTATATCAGCTTCAATTTCAATTTTCCAAGGACTCAAAAGCTTCTTTAATAAAGGTTTTTCCTCACTTTTGGGCTGAGGTTCTAGTATGACTGAGTTTGCTTCACTGATTGGATTTGCTTTATCCATAAGGATTTTGCACAAATTCTGGATTTGTTTCATTGACTTGTTCATTTTCAAAATCTTTTGCTTAATCTGAGGCACATTAGTAGATTCTGAGGATTTCGAGTCAAATAGGCTATAGAAGTTTCCTATGTTTGGCGCTGTAAGGCCGATAAATTTCTGATCGGAATTTATCGGTTGGTTGCACCAAATCAATGCCTTGGTCGGACCAAAAAGCGATTTGGTCCGACGAACTTGGAAAGCTCCTGGGAAAATGTCTGCGCTTCAGCGCTATATAGAGGAAACCTCTATATGCAACGATTTCCCTATTGACTTCTCTCTAAATGTTTTCCTTAAATTTTCTTTGATGCTTTGATCAACATTGACTGTGTCTTCAGTTTTAATTAATGAAAGATTGCTTTCAACAGCTTTCTTCCCATAAGCGCTTTTGAATTTATCCATGTCTCACCTACTCTTTTTTGGTCTTGGATAGCTTAACTGTGATTTCACTTTCGCTGTTTTTCTGTAGTTTTCCTCAGCTTCTTTCATTTTTTGGTCTGTTCTGAATAGCCTTTCGCTTGCTAGCATGCAGATTTCATTGGACTCTTCTTCATAGAGCTGCATCATTTGTTCAAAATCTTCTTTAGAAAAAGCAAGAAGTTCACAATGATCAGTTGCTTTGACAGTGTGGAGATGGGTTTTACTTTCACTAAAAAGTAAGTCAACCTCTCCAAAATAATACCCCGGAGCTAGCAGAATAAAAGGAATTGTAACATCATCTATCACGATAACCATTGCCACTTCTCCTTTTACAAGGAAATACATTTCTGTTGCGTATTCTCCTGCTTTATAAATCATTTCTCCTTTAGCGACTTTTAATGGCTTTAGCTTAGGAGCAACCCAAGCTACAAAATGGCTTTGTTTATCACTAAAAAAAGCATTATGTCTGATCATCCCTTCATATGTAATGATAAGAAGCCCTTTTCTGAGAGAAGGCGGCAGATCCTCAATTAATTCATCCACATCTTTTCTTGACTGCGAGTTATCATATTCCAAAGCATTCGTTAGCTTTTTAAAGAAAACTTTATTGAGCTTGTATTCTCTTGCAATTCTCTGCAGCACCTCAAGCTGCCGATTTAGCTTTGCTCGTCTTGTATCAAGATTTCCTATAAGATTTGTTAAAGAGCCGACACCATAGGAATAAAGCCAGATCCCAATGATCATAACAAAGGACGCAACTATTCTTTCAGTTGTGTTAGTGGCTACAATATCTCCATACCCTACAGTTGCCAAAGTGGTGACCGTCCAATAAAGTGAGACTATATATAAGTTCATGTTATCATAATCTTGAAAACCGAAATTCTGTATCCAATTTGTGGAAATATTTAGGTTCCATCTGCCTGCGAATACTCATAAGCAGCATATTAAGTGAATTAAAACAATAAAACTTAGAAGAAACCATATAAGTCTTTCAATAGCAGTACTTATTCTAAGCAGTAAATTCACATATTTAAAGGTCTGATCTTTATTTTTTGCGAATTTCGCCAGACGAAACAGCTTACTCCCCCCTCCGTGAGTGAACATAAAAAAAATGTTCACTCATGGAGGGGGGCTAGTTTTTTTTAAAAAAATCCTAATTTGCAAAAACTGGGAAGCAAATATTAATTTAATTTATAAATTTATGTTTTAAAACGCAATTTGTTTAAAATTAAACAGATTTAGTCGAGATTTGATTATACTAATTATCACTTATATATCAATTTTTTTTTCATAAAAAATTTTTTCTATTAAAACAATTTTTATTCACTCACGGAGGGTGGAATTAGTAATCTTTATTAGCCTATATATTCTCGGCAATCTTGCAAGTCTTGCAAGCATATGATAATTTCAACCCGTAATCATCAGCTCAAGAGGAATGCATGAAAACACATCTAAAATCATTCAAGTGCTTAAATAATGCAAAATAATTTTTTTGTTGCTTGTTACCAGCACATTATCAGAGTTCGTATAGGCTAAAAAGCTATTAACTATGACATCAACGAAGTAAACCCCATCTACAACGAGATCAATAATTTGTCATGCATAAGGATCCTGATCTACAAATGAAACTCGGTATGGAGTGATAATAGTTGTAAAAAGAATCATAACCATGATAATTTTGCTTCATATCATCATGAAGCCTTCTTCAGGGATTAAAATCCAGCCTTGATTCGGGTATCGTTTTTTGGTAGTTTTAGGTTTGGTTGTAGTGAAGGTTTGGATTTCTTTTCTTCACACTGAATAAGTTTGATCATCATAAGGAGCATCACCAATCATGGACTGGTTTCAAAAATAATTTATAACTTATGCTAAATAAATAGGAAGAAGATTTATAAAAAACTAATTATCAATGCATAAGGATTTGAAATAATTCATAATTTTATTAGCAAAAAGCCCCATAAATATTAATGGAGGCAAAATATATAGGACTTTGCGCTTTATTTCGTGGAGTTGAAATGGTAGCAGATTATTTGAAAATCCCTAAAGACGAAGTTCAAGCGTATAGATCACTTGTGAGCCACAAGAAAATCCCATTTTTTGAAGAACTCAGGACCTGTGTAATAGATGCCACCTTAAAAGTCGGTTTAGATCGTGCATCTAAGATGCTTTCTATATCTCTTGTATCGTTATATTTAATTACTGAAAACTCTCGCTATGCAAAATCTACACCAGATCATGCTCCCTCTTCTTCAATCTCCACTTCTCAGAATTCTGCTCCCAAAAAAAAAGTTTTACCTAACTCCCCCCCCCCTCCGTGAGCGAACAAAACCATTAGAAAAATCCCTATTTTTTGGTCAAAAACCCACCCTCCGTGAGCGAACAAAAAATTTTTTTACATATAATTTTATATATAGTTTATTATATCTATATTTAATACAAATAAAGAGGATAATATTGAAAAATAATTATTAAGTTTGTTTGATATATTATTCAAAGGGTTTAAAAAAAAAGAATACCATAAGTGAAAAGGTTGAATTTAACAATTTTAAATTTAAGACAAAAAAATGAATAGAAGAAATCGATTAGATAATTAACTTCTTCATATTAACTTGATGGCTGAAAATCTTTGGATGATTAAACGCCATAAGAACCCGTCAACTCAAATGATTTTCTGACAAGTTGAGGGCTTACAGCATCTCACGCCTTTGAAGCAATGTTTATCAGTTGCTGGCGATCAAGAGCTTTGAGGTTTCCAGTTCTTTTCGATCTTCTTTCAATCTGCTCTGTTTGGAATTTGATTCTGAAATCTGTTGTTTTTGATTTGAAATTTGCAATTACCAGTGCGTCAAGTGGTTGCAAATACTTTGTGCACCCTCCAGGGATCACAATTTTGGTTGCATCTAAATCTGAAATTGCATTAGAAATCATGATAGTTTTATGACTTCCAGCCTGATCATAAATCAGCAGTTGGTTTTCTCGTCTCAATATTGTTCTGAGGTAGTCATTAAGAATCTGGTCAGAAATGTAGCCAGATTTATTTGATTTTATGATGACATTTTCTGGAATATTCAGTCTTTCTCTTACAAGGTTCGGGATCTGGCCATTTTTCTCTTGAAAAATGAGCAAAGCAGGCATTTTTTCTCCATCAGCTCTAATCATAAGCATAACAGTGATAAAATGGTTCATTTTAGCTGATTGAACGCCTAGAATTCGTTGAGTTCCCTTGAAATCATAAGTGAACTTGCTTTTTACATCTCAATCAAATCTCGTTTCATCGAAATTGTAAATGTTAGATGGAACGAATTGAGGAAGCAATGACGCTAAATCATCTAGGTATTGCCTGACAAGTTCTGCCTCTTTTTCGATTGGCTTAATGCTTGAGGCATTGATTTTTCTGAAAGATAAATTATTTCTGGTCCTAAATCCTTGCCACCATTTATCTCCACAGCCGAATCGCGCCAATCCCATTTCTGCCGCCAAACTTTTTGCTTTCTCCTCAATCGTTGATCTGAGAACCTGAATACCTTGCTCACGGATTGCAGTAAACCCAATGAACTAGTTCTTTCTCTAGCTCTGAAATTGAGTGAAGCTTTCTAATTTTAATTTTTTATCAGATTTTACTGATTTCTTCAACTCATCAAGCTTATTCACCCATTCAGAAATCGAGCTAAAGGAGTTGACATGAAAACTTTGCAGCAAACATCTCTCATGCTCATCTCATTTTGGTGTTGAATGTAAAATTCAGCAATTTCAACTTTCTGCCAAATTTCAATGTACTTTCTTTTCCCTTTGTACATTTTTTATTATGATTTATAGAGAATTTGCTTATTATATTAAATAAGAAAATATATATAAAATATTTTAACTGAATGCATATATTTATTACTAATAGGTTTATTGATTATTAAATTATTGAAAAATTAAGCTGTGTTTTACCTTTAATCAAATGGTATTCTTTTTTTTTTTGGGAAATTCCCTTACTCTCCCCCCATAATATTTTTAAAATAATTTTCAACTTATAAAAAAATATTATTTTACAATTAAAAATTTATATATAATTTTTTTTAAAAAAATAAAAATTAACCCCCCCTCCGTGAGCGAACAAAAATTTTTTGTTCGCTCACGGAGGGGGGGGGGGAGTAAGAAAAATAAGCCTATAGCCATTGATATTATCTCTCCTGAACCTAAAACGCAAAAATCATATGATAATCCTATCACTGACCTCTATGACCTTGAAGATTTGAAGCAAAGGGTCTCTAAACTCTACAATCATGGGGTAAGAGTAAAAGTTATTATGTCTCTTTATGATATACAAAATGTGGCATATATCCATTCTTGAGGAGGCTGAGACAGGTCTAAAGTTCTTCACGACAAAGCTTATGAAATGAAACGGCAAATTGCTAATATGAGGGAAGACAGAATGCCTGATTTCGAAATCTGCAGGGAATTAGGTATTAGGCATTTTAAGTTGAAAGAAATTATGGGAGAAATGCCAAGAAAAAAACTGATTTTTATGAAAAAAGATATAAAAATGATTCTCAATGAATATAAAGAAAGGAAAAGAAAAGATAAAATTGCAAGAATGAATGGGATCACTGAATCACAAATAGATTATTGACTGGAAAAGAAGGCAAAAAAGCAGCTTGATACTGTATATGATATTAATATAATTGGCCCTATTGAAATTTTAAATGCTCTTGAGAGCTATTATATACATGAAAAGATTGAATTAGCTGCTCAAGACACAGAAGTAGATGAAAAACTATTGTGCGTGCTTGTCAAAAAGTTTGAATCAAAAATGAATGAATATTATGCAATCAAAAATAAGAATAATAATTGGAATCAAAAGAGTAAAAAATTTTATATCAAATAATTAATGAAAATAATTTCAAACTAGAATATTGCAAAATTTTGGTATTTGTTATACTATGTTTTACTTTACTCCCCCCTCCGTGAGCGAACAAAAAAATCTTGTCAGCTCACGGAGGTGGTTTTGGGCAAAAAATAGGGATTTTTTTAATGGTTTTATTCACTCACGGAGGATCGAAGTTAATAAAAAATAATAGTTAGTATTATTATATAAGGTTCCCAGCATTTTTATATTTTCGATCAGTAATTTATACGTACAATTAAAGAAAATAAGTAGTCTAGTAGTCTTCAAGACAGCCTGGGTTTGTGTGATTTTTCGAAAAATTGATGTTAAAAAATTATTAAGTGCTACAGAAACTCAGCTTTCTCAAGTGTAGTGCTTCAAGCTTATTTATCTTCTTGCGTGATTAATTGATACTTAAGTTCATATATTGAATTTATTTTTATTATGAGCATGCTAAGTCACATTAAGGCTCATTACTCTAGGATTTCCTTATAATAATTTTTGTCTGTCGTATTTGCTTGCGTGACTTTCTTTGAGGTTATCTATTGCAAGTAAATTATAGGAGAGATTAACAGGAAAAATTAATTATATATATTCTCTTAATCAATTTAAAAAAGCTCATATTGGTAATTACACTTTTCAAAATTGATGAGCTATTCGATTTAATTATTTTAAGATTTTAATCTTTATTAGAAGATTTGACATTTTAAAAGCATTACTTTAATTTTACATAATGCAAAATCTTGTAAGATCGGACTTAACAAGAATAATAGAAAACGAGATTCAAGAAAACTGCCAAAATAGTGTTGATTTCTCGGAGATTACAATAGATAAAAGATACATTAGAAAAAAAAGAGAAAGCAGAGCTGCGCAGAAGCGTTATAGCGTGAATCGAGAGGGAGCAGCAAGTGTAGATATGGTAAGAGATCTCAAAAAACAGGCCAAGCCTTTTCATGAGAGTTTTCTTTGCATAAAGGTTGAGCCGAATACCAAAAGTGTGGCATGCCAAAATGATTTTTCATCGTCCGGGGAACATTTTGACTTAATTGATTTAGATTCAGAATTTGAAGAGGAAATAATTCATTCTACATCAAAGGAAGAAAAGCCTCTACAAGCTCATTCTCCTCACAAACGAAATAGCCTAAGAACACCAATTATTTTTACCCCTGAAATGCTTGACAAAAGAGAAAACCCTCAAAAATACTCACTTACCGATAACGATAAACCTAATCAAAAACTTTTGCCAACAATTTCATATAAATTTTCAGCTGATCTAAGCGTTTCCCAAACTTCAGGAGGCTATTTCACTATTAATAACAACTTAGGACTAAAGGAAAACACTAATGAGAATGGCTCAGCTCAATCTGCATCTCCATTGAGGAAACGGGTGCTAAAACACGCCACAAAAATTCCGAACTTTGCTCAAATAAATCTAAACCTTCAAAATAATAAAAATCATCAAAAAGGTGTAGCATCTGAAGATTGCTCACCTGCTGCTGACCCATTCTTCTCAAGCTACTCTTCTTTTGGGTTAGGAGAAACAAGACCAACAACAATTAATAAATTTTCATATAGAAAAAAAGGGAAAGATGAATCGTTGGCTTTTAATATTAAAAAGCTCTTTGAAGGAGAACAAAAAACACAGTCACTTTCCCCAGCGAAAATAAGAGAGAAGCATTTAATGCCCTTATCAAGATTAAAATGAAATTAATTTTTTTGTAAAAATATTTATTATGTGCAATTGATATAATCGCTATTTTCTAATTAATTTAAAAATTAGGCTACATTTATTATATTAACTTTAAAGTTAATGAAGCACAAATTAATAAGGATTATAAAATAGGAGAAACAAATTATGATATAAATGACAAAGAACAACTATTTATCAGATCACGAACAAGAAGTCATTTACAATGTTATTCTGGTATCTTCAATTCTTAGTCTAATTGGATCGCTTTTTGTGTGCTTTGTATATTTAGCATTTAAAAGCCTTCGAGTATTTGCTTTTCGGCTGGTATTTTATTTGGCAAGTGTAGATGTTTTTATATCAATAAGTAATTATTATATAGGCTTCATGATTCCATATGATAAAGGAAATTCTGTAAGATGTAGAATTCAAGGAGCAGCTATTACTTATTTTACGTTATCTGAAGTACTTTGAACATCAGTGATTGCTCATACTCTATATTCAAGTGCTATTAAAAACGCTAGTTTTGAAAACTATCATCTAAAATATTGTCTTTTTTCATTTGGAATACCTTTAATTGCTACAATTATCCCTTGGATTGGTGATTTTTATGGGCCATCTAACGGCTGATGCTGAATTGTTCATGATAAAGGCAATGAAGGATATCATACATATCTTATCTGTTTAAAATTGGCTTTATTTTATATACCATTATGACTAGTCATCATATATAACTTTGCAGTTTATATGAAAATTATTAGAAAATTACAAGAAAATGAAGGGTCTTTTCATGAGCATACTAACATAAGGAGGGTCTTAATTATGAAACTTAGACTTTATCCTTTGGTTCTTATGGTCTGCCAAGGCCCAGTCTCAGTCTTCAGACTGTTCTCTTTCTCTGATGAAGGATATGCTCCATTTGAATTGGTTTTGCTTTCGGGCATTGGAATCTGTATAAATGGATTTTTAAATGCAGTTATCTATGGCCTTACTAGGCAGGTTAGAAAAGAAATTGCAAAAATAATATGTAAATATAAAACTGAAGGGAGGCCAGAAAGAGAAACAATGACTCAGTCATTGAAAATAGTTGAGGAATAATAAATTTTTAATTTTAATATTTATATATTAATATCAAAATATGAACAGCCAAAGTCTTAAAAATGCCACTTTAGCGCCAGGATGGAGACCAGATGAGGTTGAAGTTTTAAAGGTAGCTTTAATGAAATTTGGAATTGGTAGATGAAGAAAAATAATGCAAAGCGGCTGCTTGCCTGGTAAAACTCCAAGCCAACTTTCGAGCCAAACCCAAAGGCTTCTTGGTCAACAAAGTTTGGCGGAATATTTACATCTTCACCTTGATATAGACAAAGTTGCAAAACATAACCAAAATAAAACCGGTGTCAAAAGAAAAAGCAATTGCATCGTTAATACCGGGAAAAATCCCGACCCAGAAGAACTGGAAAGGCTTAGAGAATTTAACCGCGAACAGTTTGGGTTACAGCCAACTGATATAAGACAACTGCAAATTCCTAAAATTTCGCTGCTCTCTCAGATATTGTCATTTCAAGGAGATCCTTTGACAAAATTAAAGCAACTTTACGAGCTGAAAGGAAGAATTAAAAAGCAAAAAATATAATAATTAAAATTTTTATTATAAAATTGTGTGGGAAATTAAAAATTTTGAATAAACTGGATTTCGAATAAATATTGATTTAAATGTCCAAATCTCTCAAAGTAATCTGCAGAATTCGGCCTCCGTTACATGAAGAAAATCCAATTAATGTCGAATCAATAACCCTGACATACAGAAATCAAAATTTTACATTTGATACACTATACTCTGACATTTCCTCTCAAGCAGAAATCTATGACAATGAAGTAGAGAATTTCACAAAAGATTTATTCAAAGGGAAAAATTCCTGCGTAATTTTATTTGGAACTTCTGAGTAATTACTATTCAGCTCTGGAAAAAGCTATACATTGAGAGGAAGTGAAGGAAAAAATCGCGGAGTTTTAGTCCGGTGCACAGAAAGAATTCTTTCTATGATAGAAAGAGAAAGAAGCCATGGGCGAGATCTAGAAGTGCGAGCAAGTGTTACACAGTTTTACAATGACGTTATAAGTGATCTGATGGTCTATAATAGCAGAGGCTTAAGTGTTGTATATGAAATCATCAGCTTTATCCACTGATTATGAAACTAGAGTACTAGTTTCTACAAAATAATAATTCCTTAAATATGCTAGATATTAAAAAAAACAGTCTTTAATCAAGCCAAGGGCAATAAATGGCAGCATACCAAGAATTGAAAATTTAACAGAGCATCCTATAAGAAGAGCCAATGATTTATTTTCACATCTTCACCACGCTTTACAAGTAAGGAAAGTTTTATTGAAACCTGACCCAAAATTAAAAACAAAGTCTCATTTTGCTGTATTTTTAACACTTTATGAAGTTCAAGCCAACAAAGAAATAGGAAGTATCGCCTTTGTTGATTTAGCTGCATCAGAAAATGCTTCAAACGATCAAAAGGTTTTTAAGGAAAACTGCTTATCTCAGGACGAGAAAAAAAATATTGCAAAGACTTTTAACGCTCTCTCAAAAGTATTGACCAGTGATGAAAATATATGAAGAGAAAATTCATTAATTTTAAGCTTAAAAAAGTATATTGAAAGCCAAACACTTTTATGCTGCAATATAACTACAAACCCTTCTTTAGCAAAACATACTATGGCAGCTTTAAAATATGTGTCAAGAATAAAAGGAATCCCATCTAGAGAATCAGAAATTCCATTAATTGATGAAATCAAAAGGATCAAGCAAGAAATAAAGGATTTTCGTGTTGATTCTCAAGAGCCTTCACTTGATTGGCTTAGCGATAAAGAAATCATTATCAACCAAATTCAGCAGCAGCTAAGTTCAGTTTCTAAAGATATGGCTTCAACTTACTTTGGAGAATGCGAATCTATAAAAAATGAATTAGCAAGCTTACGAAATAAACTAAGTGATAGATCGCCCGGACTACCGAGTAGAATTCATACGAATGAATCTTCACTTCATATGAGAGAAAGCCCACCGATAAGGCCCCAATCTTCTCACGAAGCTACAAGAGAGTGTTTTACTGATAGAAATTTTCCTAATGAGCTTAGAGAAGAAAACGACATTTTACGAAGCAAATTGCAAAATAGCCAAGCCCAGCTGAATTTGCACTTAAAAAAGATTGATGAAATGAGCATTCAAATAAAAGAAAGAGACATAAAAATTGCGAACGACAGCTTAAAAATTACGGAGCTTCAAAGAGTTCTCAGAGACCAAGAAAATTTAATTAGTGATCAAGCAGAACGATTAATAGAAGGGCAAGTAAAATCCGCTGAGCTCTATGCAAAAGTGCAGGAGTACGCATTAAGATTGCAACAAACAGGAAGTGCAAAACCACCTACAAATCCCCATTCAAAAAGCCCTACCCCAGATATAGCAGACTCAAGGATAAAAGAGCTAGAAAAGCAGCTTCTAAAGGAAAGAGAAATTCATAATTCACAAGTTTCTCAGCTCCATGCTTTATTGTAAATATTACATAGAGAAAAAGAAAAGCAAGCAAATGAAGCTTATAGATATTCTCCTGTTCCGGGTGAAAGTCCAAGCCTGACTAATTCAGAATGAAAAAAACAGTTGAAGGAAAAAAAGAAAAATATATCAGAGTTGGAAAAACAAGTGCAGAACTTGCAAGGCGCGCTTAATGAAGCAAGCTTTAAAGCAGGAGTTGAAGCAAAAGATAGGAAAAAATATGAGGAAGAAAATATTGCTATGAGAAATAGAGTTAGCGAGCTACTAGGAAATAATAATGGACTTGAAGGGAAATATGAAATTTTACGTATAAGAAGCGAAGAATTGGAAACAAACTGGCTTGCAGCCAGGCAAGAAGCAGAAACCAGGAAAATGAAAAATAAAAGCCTCAGAAACAAATTAAAAGAAATGCAAAAGCTGATGGACATGGAAAAAGATGAAATTTTACTACTTAAAAAAGAAGCTGAAGAGTTAAGATTTAGCTTATCAGATTTAAACGAAGAAAATGAGAAATTAAATCAAGATAATCAAATTAATGAAGAGGAAAAAAGAGCAATTCAGCAAGAAGTTGAGCATTTAAATAAAGTGCTAGAAGAAACATCTCAAAAGCTGTCTAAACAGGAAAACGCATTAGGAAATATGGGCTCAAAGCAGGATTTAGAATTTTTAGAAGGAGAAATAAAGAAGAAAAGTAAAAAAATTAAGCAATTGAAACAGGTTAACCAAGAACTTATGGAAAAAATAAATGACAGTGACAACAAGCTGAATAGTGAAAAAAATGGGCTAATGCAAGAAAGGGATAACATTTTGGCGGAATTAGAAGCATATAGAAATGGTCAAGTGCATGAACTATCTATTGTCGAAAACCAAGTAAATATGATTGAGCAAGAACTTATAAAACTTAAAGAGCAAAATAAAGTTCTATTGCTAACCCTCCCTCTGTGAGAGAACAAAAACATTGGAAAAATCCCTATTTTTTGCCAAAAAATTAAACCTCCATGAGCGAACAAAAATTTTTTTATGAAAAGTTAATTATTATGATGAAATCTCTAGCTAATTCTGTTTAATTTTAAACAACTTGCATTTTAAAACCTAAATTTTACAAATAAACTAAATATTTGCCTTCTAATTTTTGCGAACGATTTTTAAATTTCAAAAAAATTAACCCCTCCGTGAGCGGACAAAAAAAATTTGTTTGCTCACGGGGAAGTAAGAGAACAAGAAATAATGAAAGAACTGAGATCTTCAGAAGCTGCCAAAATGAAATACAAAGATAAATGCTGTGAGCTAAAAGAGCAACTTAACGATCTTGAATCATATGTAGCAGAAACAGAAACACATTTGAAAAATTTAATTGAACAGCAGAAAAAAGATTTAATAGGGCTTAAAACAAATGAAGATAAAAATCAAGCAGTGACCTCGAGACTCAGAGCTTTAGAAGATATCCAAAATCTCATTAAAGCGCATAAAAACCAATAAATTAATCTAAGACAAGTTTTAATCAATAATATATAAACACAATTAAGCTGAAATACCAGAATTTTCTATTGCAGTAGTGTCATTTAAGTTTTCTTTTGATTTTTCTTCAATTCCTAATATGCAAGGATAGAATTAAAATGGTGATGTTGACGGAATAATAAAGACTTAAAGGCTCACCTCCTGATGGAGTAGGTAGGCTAGCGCGATGGATAGTGAAAGTGCCTCTAGAGAGCAGACTATCTCAAAGGGATGCCTGCTGAAACAGGAAGATCTGATTTTTTCCCTAAGGTTTTCATGTCCTTACTAGATAGGTAAAACAGATTTTACCTAGCAAATGGTTTTACTTATCGGGACCATTGGACTAGATTGTGGCTCTGTATTAGCGAGTTAATACCTTGGACAGGTGGTTTAGTTAGAAATCATAAAGGGCAGCCTTTTATTTTCGTGTTTGAACTATTTTAGGAGCCCGGACAAGGCAAGTTTTGTACTTTATGCTCTTATGGCCAGACCATTTATAGCATAACACAACTTAACTTAACTTAATCTGCAAGAGTTTTCATTCTCCATCGAAGGGTCTTCTTGTGCATTTTCTTCTTTTGCAACTTTCATTTCTTTTTCAACTTCATTTTCATTATCAGCCGGATTTTGAAGGGTAAAATTTGAATTTGTGAATTTTTGTAACTCGTTCCAATTTACAGGAACGACCGTTCCTGAAGAATTTCTTATATTTCTTATTGGCTTTGATTCTGCATATTCAGGATTATCAATATATGGCTCAAAAATTTCTTCTAAAGGAATTTCTTCCATAACTACTTTACTATTATTCACTGTAACTTCTACCACTTCATATTTTTTAGCCTTCCTTTTACTCAAAATATATTCATAAGTCGTCAATTTTTTTAGCATCAATCATGTGTGAAATCCAATCAATTGTGCATTTGCGATAGCCACTAAGCCGCTAACAACCACCATAAAGCAAACAGCAACAAGGTAGCAATATATCCCATCTCCAGTAATGTTTAAATTTTCCTCCAACCGTTCTTTAAATGCTTGCCCATTTAAAATTTCGTTGAATGCAGCAGATCCACATATAGTGATGATTGAAACCAAAACTTCCAAACTTCATATTAATTTAACAAATAATTTATAGTTTCTTCTTCCAATGCAATTATTAAGTCACTTGCAATGGTGGTCAAAGTGATCCACACATCTTTCACACTCTCTGCAATGTTTGCTATCTGCATGCACATGTGCTTTACACATTTGACAGATTTTAGGATATTCACTATGGATTGGGATTTTTTAAGGTATTATATGGAGAGATATTAAATTTAATAGTATAGATTATTATCCGAAAAGGTATACTTTTTTAAATCAAAATCTTTCCTGAGTAGTTTTTACATTTCTTTTTTTGCAATAAGCTCTTCATGTATAGCTGGATCAGTAGGATCGATAAAAGTGCATAAAAATCCCAATATCAAAGTTAAAAGAAAAAAAGCTGAAAAAATTATCCCTATCATTATCTGTAACTCATTTGGAAAAACCGGTATAACAAACACATAGAATAGAACAGTTATTGATCCTATAAGAGCTCAAGCAATAATTTGCAAAGTGTGAAATGGTCTTTGAAATCCATTCTTTTTCATTATTTCTAATTTTTAAAATATTAAGAAACACATTGAAAGTATTAGATATACCAATTCAGAGCAATGCCATCTACCAAAGAAGGATTTATAATAATCAATTAATTTAACCTTAAAGTTTAACGTCTTTATTCATGCAGCTTATCAGGATCTCGCTAAGAAGTCACTCACGGGGCTCTTGCTGCTGATCCATCCTATTTTAATTATCAAGCAAAATTATCATCTGACATTTGAATCCTTATGCGGCGATTCTTCTGCTTTTGTTCTCCTGAATAGAAATTCCTCTTTTGTAAAATTTTGATTATGACTCCAATTTTAAACTGAAACAAAAAATTAAGTTCTATTTTAATGGCGGGTTAAAAATTTTTAAAAATTAAATAATATAATTTGAGGAATTTTTTTGGAATTTTAATTTATTATGTATAAAGGATTAATACATAAATTAATCGATTATTTTTGCACTTTATTCATTAAATTAGGTTAAAAAAAAATTATAAAAATTAATATTTTTACTTAAAAAGTTTCTGATTTAAAAAGCATCTTGTCCAATTAAAGATAAGGTTGAAATACCTAAAAAATGGAAATTTGACCTATATTTTGTTCCAGTTTAATCTTCAACAGCAAATTTATCCCGTAAATGCAGCATCACGCCCAGCGATGCTCAGAGCTGGATTCCTATCCCAAAGGAAGGGCGATTTCTGGAAGTGTGCAAATAAAAAATGAATGCTGGGACCTTTAGAGTGCCTGGCCGACCTAAGTTGGAGAGCTCAGAAAACTTTGGATGATGCCATATCTTAATTATGAAGGCGTTTATATCAATATAAATTATTATTAATAATTTCAGCACTTCTCTCAAATGATATTAATATACTGAAAATATATATTAAATCATTTATTATATATGATTATATATAAACATCTTATTAAACGGCTTATTTTGGCCTTCCATGTAAGCCAAATTGATAAACGCATGTATTATTTCCACCATAATTTGAATCAATTTCTAGAAGAATTCCGCTGATTGCAATATCACAGCTATTTTTACATTTAAATAATTCTCAGGCTTTTCTTTTTTCACCTTTAATCCTTAAATCAAAGCTATAAATTCCTAATAAAGAGCACTTATTACTTTCAGTTGAAGTTTCTGTAGATCACACTTTAAACTGTTTTGGTGCTGTCACATAATCCACAATCTATATAGCTTTTACATTAACATGCCTCATAAAAAATTGCTCGGGGTATATTTCATATCCGAGCTGAATAGCTAATTGTCCTTGGTTTCCTGCAAAAGCCCAACAATTTCCTAAAGAGTTGTCATCAGATAATGCAGATTCTCTTCGATTATTAGAAAACCAGGATAAAGCGCCATGATATTCAGCTGTAGAGAACTCTGAAATAATCTCTGCTTTATTTGAAATACTTGCATAATTAATATATGTGTCTAAAGAGTCTTCTTGGATCTCTTTTATAATGATGGGCTGAAGGACTTCTCTTACAGGAGGAATTAGTGAAGGGGTGTCTGCAATAAATCAGTGAACAAAAATCATAGAAGAAAGACTACCTAAGAAAAAGGATATAGCCCAGGGCTATTTTTGGATCGTTCTGGATGTACAATACCAGCTCAACTGGTGGAGTTTCCCCGCCAAAATCAGTTGCCAAGTCAACTCTATCAGTTGGTAAGTAAAAAGCTAATACTTCGTTAGTCAACTGGCAGAGTTGACTTGGCAACTGTTATTTCCCAAACCAACTACATAATGGGATGGGCATTATATTGCCCAGGGGTATAAAGGTTGATATGAAAAAACAGGATAAAAAGTCCATCTTGTCCTTCTTAATGGCAGTTGGAGCTCAAATGTTCTTGAGATCTGAATATGAGTTGTGTATAAAGGGCTTTGGAGTAGAGAAAGAAAAGCTTGATTTGCTTGGGCTTGAGGCTAGTGAGGGGGGCAGCTTTATTAAGGTAGATTTGCTAACAGAATCCATTTTAAAATATATAAATACAAAGCCCCAGGTTTTAGCATAATTGATTATAAGAAGTTAACATTAAGCTTATATTTAAAGCAATTCAATATTAAAATTTATTTTGGTTTTCTCTATTATTTCCATTTTAAATTAACCCCCCTCCGTGAGCGAACAAAAAATTTTGTGCGTTTACAAGGTTAATTAATTTATTTTTTTTAAAAGTTGCACATGAATTTTATAGTAAATGTTTTTTTTAAAAAATTTGAAAATATTCCAATTCGTAAAAATTGTAAAGCAAGTTTAATTTAATATGTAAAAATTTATGTTTTAAAAATGCAATTTTTTTAATTAGCTAGAGATTTCATTATCTAATTATCGCTTATATATCAAAAATTTTTTAATAAAAAATTTGTTCGCTCATTGAGGGTGCGTTTTTGTCCAAAAAATTAACTATTATGATGATGCAAATTTAAAGCTAAATTTCAGCATTTCTCTCTTTAATATTCATAACTGCATAAATTGAATCTTTTATTAAATTATCAATTTCTTCTTTTTTATCTCTATGCTCAACTTTCAGTCACCTCTAAATCTCCCTGTATAAAGTAAAATTTTGTAGATCCTAAATTTTCCCTCTAACTTCCAAGTTTTTCAGATCCTCTCATAAATTCACCCTAAATCCTTCATCACCCAGCGTTTATCAGCGAGATGCATCTCATCTTCAACCTCCATTCACAGGCCGTGCGTCTTTCTGATAGATTTAGATGCCCAATTTCTGAGATTATGCAGTCAAATTGAACCCTACTCTAAGCCTGTAAATGTGTCCAATTTCTCTGATTAAATATGAATTCAATATCATATAGAGACTTTGCTTCGCATTAATTAACTGCTGTAATAGCCTTGTCCTTTTTTGTATATCTTGATTAATTTTTTTGCGCCATTCGCCCATGCATATATATTCTTAATCTTTCCTTTATTGTCTTTAACTTCTTTATTGCCTTAATATTCTATTCATTCTTATTCGTCCATAAAAATGCCATCTATATCATCAAGCTCTCTTCGCCCTTTATAAACGCAGCAACGAACGCAACCAGCTCACTGTCTAATCCTCTATCAACCAATGTCTCAAGGAGTATGTTTCTATCTACAAATTATAAGGCCTTTTAATATCCAAAGATGCGTATTAGGTGTCTTATTCTGCAATGACTGCTTTCAATTATAGTTTGCAGGATAAGGATTTGATCAGAAAAACATCAATCCCTTAAATTAAGTATAAATAACTGAATTAAACTCTATAAAAATAGGTGATATTAAAAATATTTCATTTCCAAAACAGTGAGAAAAAAATACTCTATTCTTTTTATATTATTTGAAAAGTTTAAATAATTTCTTTATTTCTTCGCTTGAATTTGACCAAAATTCTGTTTAAAAATTTAAAAAGGGATCAATTTTTTTGATAGAATTTACAAATTTGCTAAATTTTTCATGAAAAATTAATTTATAAAATTTTTAACTTTCCTTAAATGGTATTTTAATTGCACGACTTCTTGAGGTTGTCTGTTTGAAAAGAAGCATTCTATACTGAGGTTGGTGTAAAAAGAGAGGTCCTAAGAGACTTGTGACAGAGACACGCCGGCTGTTAGACTTTTATCATCTACCGTTATATACATAAAATGGCGGACGGCGACCGACCCACCCTCTCAGTGGTGGTTACCCATGTATATCCGGGCATGGTTTTTGGAGCCAGGAGTTAGCCCAACAACGTCTGGGACCTCGAAGCGCGAGAGGCCTAAGTGCAAAAGCCGCTGTTTTTGTGACCAGACCCATGGGTAGTTACTCGTGACTTCTTTTTGCCAGCAGCGCTCAGCCCAGTGAGTGCCCGAAATGAGGCAGGGCGACTTACCTGCCTAAGCTGCTTTTGTGGCTCGCCCCGAATGGCGAAAGCTGTTGAGTTCTTTCTCGGGATGACCGGAAAAGAGGGAAAGGCGATTTAGACACAACTAAACGGGGGTCTCTCTAGTTTAAAAAGGTCCCTTCAATGGGCAGATCTGGCGGACGACGCAGCAGTGTTGGCGTAAACTTAGGCGACGATCCAAGTTGGAAATGGAGGCGGTCAGCAAAGCCGGTATGAGACGGCCCTTGACATTGCCTCTACCGAGAAACCGGGGGTTTCGGCCCGGGCTTGGTGAACGCTCTGCCACCATACGGGAAACCGTAGAATGCTTCCTCGGACGTAGTGGGGACCTTAAATACCTAGCGTTAATCTAATCTAATCTAATCTAATCTAATCATCTACCGTTAATGAGAGCAGTTGGTCCAACTTGAGGTAATCAGGGAGCGGGGCTTGAAGAGTAATCTATTAGACTTAAATTATACCCCAAAAAATAAATTGCTCAAATTTAAATGGAGAATTATAAAAATCATAACGACTTAATAATTTAAAAAAATTGCTTCTCTTATTGTCATTCTCAGCAAAAATTATAGCTGCATCACTAACTATTATAATTATTATTTAACTTATTATAATCTAAATCAATCTCTTCTTTCAATTCTAATTGAATTTTATAACATTATTATATGATATTCAGCTTTACTGGCTTTTTTTCTTTACTCCACCTCCTTTAAGCAATATATCGGTAAATAATTTTTCATAAAGTTTGATATAACCTAATTTAATAGAAAACAATGCAAGTAGAATATTATTTAAACGGTTTTACATTGAATCGATTAATATTTTGAATTAATCCTTCATAAAAAAATTAAACCCCTTTTATATTGAATATTTTTTTTCTAGTTAAAAGGGGATTTAAATTTTCTATTATTATCAAAATATAAGTGCTTTTCCGTGATAATGGTGCTCGAATTAAGTAATTCCAATATCGGGTATTAAAACAAATTTGATAGAAATTCGAGATTCTTTTTACTGTCTATCTTTTATATGAGTAAGTAGCCATTACTAGGCTAGTGAATAACTTTTAAGGCTGATAGCATCAAAATTCTATGCCATAGCAAATAGATCTCAAAGGCTAATTTGATTTAATTTTATCATTATTTAGCTAAGCCTTTCTAATATATAATTATAAACTATTAGAGCGAATGCCTATGAATTCGCACAGAATCTATTAACTTAAATCATTCTACATAGCTGATCTTCTCATTGAAAATATCATTAAATTGATATTTGCACTGCAGTTAAGATTCTTGAACTGTGATTTATAGCAAAAAAAATATTAATTTTTCTTTAAATACTGAATAATTAAACAATAAAAATTTCCTCTCACAACTTTATTTAGTTTCTGCCTGACTAAGCTTAAAATACTAACTCCCCTCTCCGTGAGCAAACAAAACCATTAGAAAAATCCTTATTTTTTTGCCCAAAAACCCACCCTCCTTGAGCGAACAAACATTTTTTAATCAAAAAATTTTTATGGAAAAAAAAATTTGATATATAAGTGATGACTATTATAATGAAATCTGTAGCTAATTCTGTTTAATTTTAAACAAATTGCGCTTTAAAACATAAATTTTACAAATTAACTCAATATTTGACTTCCAATTTTCGAAAAGTGGAATTTTTTAAAACAAAAAATTAACCCCCCCTCTGTGAGCGAACAAAATTATTTTGTTCGCTCACGGAAGGGGGAGTAAGGTTAATTAAATAAAAAATGAGTAATGCAGAGCTAGAAGCCGACGATGAAAAGTTATCTGAATCTGAAGAGCATAAATTGAACCTCTTTCAACGTACTTGGCGAGGGTTAAAAGCAGCTTTGATGGGAACGCTATTTGTAATGGCGAAGGACAGCAGGGTGTCGTTCAAATTAAATTTGTTAGGAATGGTCATTGATACCCTCCAGCTACTTTCTTTTCCGTTCAATGACCGAGCAGAGTTTCCCTGAAATCATGAATATTCAGAGCTGTTTGCAGAGATTTGCTATTATTTAAAATTTGAGTTTTATTTATCAGAAGAAGATTATATGAGAAATCTGGTTATATAAGGATCCCCCCCTCATTTATCCAATTTTCTAGTCTTTTATCATTTGTCCATTTTTCTAGTTTTTTTTATAGGAAAAAAAATTTTTTTTAGAACTTCATTTGTCTAATTTTCTAGTCAAAATTTTGATAGAAAAAAAAAAAAAAATTTCAGGACCTCAATTGTCTCATTTTCTAGTTTTTTTAAAGTAAAAAACTAAAATTTAGGACATTCGAAAAATCCAAAAAAGACTAGAAATGGGACACAAATCATTTTTGACTAGATTTTGGGACAAATGAGGTCCTGAAAAAATTGTTTTCTAAGAAAAAAAGACTAGAAAATTGGACAAATAAGGGGGGGGATCCTTACATAGTTTGCATGTTTTTCGTCTTCGCAAATTTGTTGAATTTTGGGATAGTTGGCTACAGATTTATCAATAAAAGAATCCAAAACGTTTTGCTGTTGAAGATGCTGAGATCGGTCTCCTCACTTTTGACCACTGTCTTATACTTACCATTTCAAACTCTTTTTATTGTCATTTTAAGCTGTGCTGTAGGAAATATGGAGATGGAAGGATGTCCGAAAGAGCAAAGCTGGCTGCTTATAGCTTCTTCCACAATAATTTCAATTATATTTGGTTTGCTAAGCTTGATTGTGGCTGCAAGCTTTTATGAATTGGAATATACTAGTGAAGATATCGCAGCTAGGCCGCATGCGAGAGTTGAGTTGATATTTTTGATGATCAAAGCTGTTATGATATTTTTTATCAACTTCTATTATGAAAAGGAATACTATGTGATGCTTGATATCGTGTTTTTACTTACTCCAACTCCGTGAACAAAACCACTTGGATAAGGAGTAATATTCAATTTTTTATGAAAAAATATTTTGATATATAAGCGATAATTATTATAGTGAAATCTAGCTAATTCTGCTTGCATTTTAAAAACTAAATTTTGCAAATTAAATTAATTTACTTTAAAATTATTTCGAATTGGATTTAAAAGGTGTTACTATAAAATTTATATAAAATTAAAAGAAATTAGCCCCACGGAAGGGATAGTTAGTGGTTTAATAATGACTTTTTTGTACATTTATTATATGCCATTTTATGATTACCGGACATGTGTAATTCAGACACGATTTTTAGGAATTTTCACCTGGGCTACTATTTGTTTAACAATCGCTCTTATACTCGACGATCATGAAAATCCTGAACCTGTAACAATGTTTTATATAGGTTCCCCTTGCATGTGGATTCTAATTGGAGAAGCCTGCAATTGGCGTCGGCGGGAACTATTGAAGAAAACTATAAACACCATTCGAAATCCTTATGAAGTTGAACTTCATACAAGATTCATGATACTTGAAAAAGTTGGATCATATAAGACCAAAGATACACAGCTGCTTGACGAAATTGAAGAATTTTACTACCAAGCTGAAAGAAAATTCCCAAAATCCAGTATTTTAAAAATTTTTGTTGCTCAATTTCACTTGACTTACTCCCCTCTACCTTTAAATTGGAACAAAAATATTTGCTAAATTTCCATTTTTTGAGTGCATAATGCCCTATAAATTGGAACAATAGGAAAATTTTATAGGTAAAAATACTAATATTTATAAAATTAGTTTTGAACTAATTAACGGAAAAAATTCAAGTATAGCTCATGAACCCATATGGATCGACCTCATTGAAAATGTAACCGTTCTAATGGACTTCATATCTTGTACATCTTAGACTAGACCCCTCACTATTCAGAGAAATATTCAGATTATAATAAAAAAAAATCCCTCGTTTTAAACTAGTTCAATATAGTTTTATATAATTGATTTTTATTATTAATTTGAAAAATTTTTTAAAAATCAGCATAAGGTTTTCGCAAAATGATGTCATGGCATATTTTGTACTTAAAATAGTGTTTATCTCTTGATGTTTGAAAAATAAGATTTTCGCGGTAAAATGATTTGACCCAAATATGGAAATTAAAGATAGCGAGTCAAAAACTTTTTGACAAGTGTGAACCATTTTGACAATTAACGAGCCAAATTTTAAAAATATCTTTATTATTAAAATTAAATTTCTATTATGATATGATTTTGAAAAAAATGGATAGAATATTTAATTTAACTTAAAATAAGTTTAATTAATAAAAATTAATATTTATTAGTATCCCTTCTCCACTAAGCACTCCTTGCTAGACAATGATATCTTCCATATCTTCTTCTTCGGCAATCAAATTGTCCACTTCTAATTCCTCATCTTCGACTTCTTCTTTCTTACCTTCTATGCTGCAATACTTATTCCTTTATGTTTAATTTGTTCAAATATAAATAATATTTGTTTTTATGCTTTCTTCAGAATCGATGCTTAGATTTCTCAGTCTCTTTCCATACCAATTTTGATTGCTGCTTCTTTCCCTTTGAAGGTTGATGATTCTTTGAAAAGTTGTTAACGACTCATGTCATGTCCTTTAGACTATAGAAAATAAAAAAACTTGTGAATCGAGTTGTGTCAAGGCGAATGGATAGAATTTCGTAAAAACATGCGAGTTTTATTACGATCAATGGTACTCTAAAAGCCAAAGTTCCCAGTGAAGGCTGATTGTTCTCTGCAAAGTTGTTTACAACTCATATCATGTCCTTTATATATAAAACCAAAAACTTGTTAATCAAGTTGTGCCAAGGCGAATAGATAGAATTTCGTAAAAAAACATGCCACTTTTATTACGATCAATGGTACTCTAAAAGCCAAAGTTCCCAGTGAAGGCTGATTGTTCTCTGCAAAGTTGTTTATGACTCATGTTATATATTTTTAATTAAAAATAAAAATTTAATAAATAAATAAATATTTTTTAAAAACTTTAAAAATATATTAATTAAAATTTTTTTATAATGACTTAAGTCGTTAACAACTTTGCAAAGTATCATTATCCTTCGATGGGAACTTTGGCTTTTATAGCGCCATTAATCATTATCAAACTGGCATGTTTATAGGAAATTCTATCTATTCGCCTTGGCACAACTTGATTAACAAGTTTTTGGTTTTATATATAAAGGACATGATATGAGTTGTAAACAACTTTGCAGAGAACAATCAGCCTTCACTGGGAACTTTGGCTTTTAGAGTACCATTGATCGTAATAAAACTCGCATGTTTTTACGAAATTCTATCCATTCGCCTTGACACAACTCGATTCACAAGTTTTTGATTTTTAATATATAAAGGGCACGACATGAATCGTCAACAACATTGCAAAGAACAATCAGCCTTCATTGGGAACTTTGGCTTTTAGAGTACCATTGATCGTAAATAAAACTCGCATGTTTTTACGAAATTCTATCCATTCGCCTTGGCACAACTCGATTCACAAGTTTTTGATTTTTAATATATAAAGGGCACGACATGAGTCATTAGCAACATTGCAAAGAATCATCAGCCTTGACTGGGAACTTTGGCTTTTAGAGCATTATTGATCATAATAAAACTTACATGTTTTTACGGGATTCTATCTATTCGCCTTGGCACAACTTGATTAACAAGTTTTTGGTTTTATATATAAAGGACATGATATGAGTTGTAAACAATTTTGCAAAGAACGATTAGTCTTCACTGGGAACTTTGGCTTTTAGAATACTATTGATCGTAATAAAACTCGCATGTTTTTACGAAATTCTATCCATTCGCCTTGGCACAATTCGATTCACAAGTTTTTTGATTTTTAATATATAAATGGCATGACATGAGTCGTTAGCAACATTGCAAAGATTCATCACCCTTCACTAGGAACTTGGGCTATTAGATTACCATTGATCATTATAATATTGGCATGTTTTTACGGAATTCTATTCATTCGCCTTGGAATAATTTCATTCACAGTTTTAATATTTAATTTTAAAAATTTACAATAGCAAAATTCAACATGATCACGACGAAAACAAGCAAAAATCTTATCGAACAAATTAAAATTTAGCCAAATGATGGAGCTTTGCAGTCAATACAACTAGTTTCTGCAATTTTTCAATTTAAATATGTATCTTAAATTAAATTTAATTTTGATAATAAAGATATTTTTAAAATTGGCTCGTTTAATTGTCAAAATGGTTCACACTTGTCAAAAAGTTTTTGACTCGCTATCTTTAATTTCCATATTTGGGTCAAATCATTTTACCGCGAAAATCTTATTTTTCAAACATCAAGAGATAAACACTATTTTAAATACAAAATATGCCATGACATCATTTTGCGAAAACCTTATGCTGATTTTTAAAAAAATTTTTCAAAATTAACAAAAAAACAATTATATAAAACTATATTGAACTAGTTTAAAGCGAGGGATTTTTTTATTATAATCTGAATATTTCTCTGAATAGTGAGGGGTCTAGTCTAAGATGTACAAGATATGAAGTCCATTAGAACGGTTACATTTTCAATGAGGTCGATCCATATGGGTTCATGAGCTATAGGATATTATTAAACAGTTTTACACTGAATCGATTAATTTTTGAGTTAATTTTTAAATAAATAGAAAATTTAATATTAATATTTTTTAGAAATTAAATAAACTATAGCAGAATTTTTTGTTCCAATTTAAAAGGGGAGTTACAAAAATCGCCAAGAAGCTATAGCAAAGCTTGAACAAGCTGAGCAAAGAAACCCCTTTCTAGATGAACAGTTCATTATATATAAAACTAGACAGCATGTAGGAAAAGATGCGATAACAATGGTTACTTTTGCAAGCTACCTTGAATCTGCCCACATTGCTGAAGTTCAATCTTTATCAGCCCAAACTGAGTTCTGGCGTGAGCTTTCCAAAAATAAAGCTCCTTCATTTGATAGCTTGACAAGATTAGCAAAAACAATTACAAAAAATTTTGACACAGCTTACAGTCATTATCAGTATTTGATGAATGTGGACAGAACTCACAAAAAGATGCTCCCTATGTATGTGTATTTTTTACAGGACTTAATGCATAGAGACGATTTAGAAGTAAGAAATTTGAGAAATAGAGTTCATGATATAAGAGCACAGGATTCAGCCAAGCCGGTATCAAAAGATATCTTTTTGATGGATCCTGAGTTAGAGATCACTATTGCAGGACACACAAGTGGGCAAGTAGAAAAAGTAAATGCAAGCTTTTTGCTGTGATTACAGTATCCTAAGGCATTGCTGATTAACCAAAATATTATTAAATTTATGCCTGATCCATTTGGAAAAGATTTTATTGCGAAAATTGATATTTTTAAGGATTATTGGGAAGATTTAAATGAAATCACGCCTGATGATGTGTATTTTGTTGATAAAGATGGATACATAGTATCAGCTCCTTGCAAATTTGTAATAGCTGATGATTTGCTTAATAGAAGAAAAAGCTTGGCATGAAAAGATTCATTGAAGCCTGGGGATGGAGCTAGCAACCTCAGCAACTCATTTATGGAGGACCCAAAGCTTGGAAATACCGCAGATGCTATTGCATTTTATCAAAGACCTATGTTTCCTGATCTTGCAAACAAGCTGACTTGCCAATTCACAGTCAGTAGTTATGAATTCGCTTTATTAATCATAAACTCAGACTTAAAAATGATATATTTCAACCGCCAAGCACATTTCTACTTCGGCGTAATCCCAGATCTCCACGGCCACAAAGACATTGGAGAGGTGATTACCAACTTCAAATACATTTTCGAAAAAGCCAAACTAACAATAAAAAGCCGAAAATCTCGCCACCTAGACTACGAGCCCATTCAGTCCTTTATTTTGACTCCTAACGGCCATTATCTAAAAGTAATCTTCCACATCTCTGAGCATTGCATTGAAAAAAGTGTCTTCTATATAATAAAAATGTTCCAAGCTCCTCCATACTCGAAGTCTACAAATTTATTTCTAACTCACTTTGCAAGGTGAATCGAGTCATCAATTTCGCGCAGGAATACCTGCACTGAGTCTGGGGTTGTAAATCCAGAAAACACAGAAAATGGCTTAAAAAGCACCAAAAAAATCATGATGAATATAAGAAAACAGATAGAAGAAAAGAACAAAAGCTTTTCACCTGAGCTGAACAGGCTTAGTTTATTTTTCATTCTGTTTGGCACTTTTATGATAACTGTATTTAGCTTGAGTTTTTATTATGCTGAAGTGTCGTTTAATACATATTCGGATAGATTAGATTATATGGGCAGCTTGACAGACATTCAAAACTATAGTGTCTTGCTATCGTTTTTTGTTAGGCTGCTTGAGGCTTCACAGAAAGGTCTTTATATGCCTGAAACTGTCGATAATATTATGACGCAAGCAGGATATGCTGCTATGAATTTAAGCACTTTGGCGTCAGATATGAGCAATCATGTAAGCTTTACCTGGCTTCAAAACTCTGAAATTGGATGCTTGAACTACGATTCAACGAAAGGGTATTATATTGAGAGCTTCAACCCTATAAATAGTATAATGCAGCAAGTCACTTTTACAAAAAAACTGCTTAAATCAACAGGAGACGTTTGGGATGTAGAAAATAATCCCACAGCTTACTGGGTCTTTGAAAATGGGATGAATGCAATTGCGAGCTCACTTGATTATTTGGCTGATAAATATAATGATCAAGCTTATGATGATAGAGAAACCACAATGCTCTTCGGTCTTTGATTTGCATTATCAGAAGTTGTACTCGTGGCTGCACTTCTTCTTTTCGCTATTCCTTTGTTTTTTAAGTCTGAAAGAATTCATTTGGAGGTTGTAGGAGTGTTTTTCAGCATAAACCAAAGATTAGTGTCGTTTTTAGAAGAAGACACAATAAATAAGCTCGCCATGAGAAAAGATAAATCATACCCAGACTGCAGAGCGCAGTATAGCGCTGGCGAAGAACTATGAAATGAAATCATCCTTTCTGATAAAAAATCAGAATTAGGTTCATTCACTAATACAAGACATAAGCTGATTGCACATAACAAAAAATGCCTACCCAGATTAAAAATATTGCTAACAAATGGTCTTATGCGGAGTATTTTGATCTTTTGCATCGTTTCTTTGCTTTTTGTGTTAGTTCTTCAATTTTGGGTAGGACAAATGATCCCATTGAATTTGCTCGAGCATGGTGTTAGAATTGTGAAGTATTTTGGTACTGTAGAGGTGCTTTTAACAAGAACCAATCTTTTCTTGTTAAACACAGTATTGTCAACTACAACTGGATACACTGGAGTTATTGAAATAAATGGCACGTACGCGAATGCTTATTTATCAATTGATTACACCACATCTGAACTGATGAATGAAACTGACTATTTGAGGAATTACATTGAAGTTCTGCTTGTAGGTAACGATTCAATGAAAATCCCATACCGTGACATCTATTCTTTATCAAGATCTGACTTTTATAATGATTTGTTTGTAGATAACTGTGAGTCCTTGATAGGAGGAATTGATTGCACGCCTTTGAAAGATATTCTTGATTCCGGGTATAGAGAATCAATAATGACGTTTATATTCGATTCAGAGTTTATAATAAAGAAAACCTATGGAAATCTTTTGAACTTTACTGTTGAAGATAGGTGGGATGACCTAGGGAAGGATTTGCTAAGAGCACTTGAGCTTGAATATAAATATTTATGACTGATGGGGAAAGGTGTTCAAAATAACGTTCTAGATGACTATCACGCAATTTTAAGTCGCTATTTTTTGATAAGAGAATATGTATTAATTAGCTTCTGCTTGATGACTTTCTTTTATTTTATCCTCAGTTTCAGAAGGGCATTGCTAAAGCAAGAAAGAAGGAAGCGACTGTCAAGGTCCATGCTCCTACTTTTACCTGAAAAAATCATTGTCAGGTCTCAGGAAGTGCAAGATTATTTGTGTCATATAAATTTGGACTAATTTTATATTTTTCTTTTATTTTTTTTTATTTTAATTTCTCCTTAAATTATGCATTTTCTTTTACTTTAATAATGAGAAGAAACTTATCTTGCCTAGAAATCCTAAAAGAATGCAAGCAATCCCCTTCAGGCCGTTGAAGCACAGAGCTTTTTCCTAAAAAAAAATTATTGCGTAGATCTCAATTATCATTTCATGCTCAAACTCCAAATTTATGAAAAACAAGTGTTACGCCAGCCGCTACAAGTCGAAACCTTGTAGCTTCGAAGGCACAGTTTGAAATAAACAGAATTAAGGCTAACCGTGAAAATACGAAACGAGACGATGAGTCTAATATTGAAGACGACAGCTTTGAAGATAAATATGACCAAGCAGAAGGAAAGTTCACAAGTAAATTTGCTGGGACTTTTACAATTCCAAGATCAAAATTCCAGTTAGCGTCAGGGCCTGACTGGCTACCTCCTGTAGACCGAGGAAAAGAAACTTCTCCTACAAATATTGAAGAACTTCAGCTTGTGACTGCTTCTTCTTTAAAACATGCAGAGTATTTACAAAGTTTTCAACAAAAAAAGCCCCAAAAAAGGTATATGAAAAGTCTGAAAAATAGTTTAAGAGAAATGAAAAACCTTAAACTGACTGCAGATGATATATGGAGAATGGACAAAATAATACCAAAAGAGCCTTATCATAAAAGTGGTGCTAAAGAATTTCTCCAAGCTTGCAAAGATGGAAATGAGATTAAAGCTATGGCAATGGTTGCTGAAGATAAACATATTATCCATGTTTTCGACTCTATGGGAATGACTGGACTGCATTGGGCATGCATGAGAAATTTTGTCAATTTAGCAAGATTTTTACTAGAAAATAAAGCATATATAAATACCGCTGATTATGTAAAAGCTATGTAGTTTCATAGGACACCTATGCATTTAGCTGCAAAGATTGGTAGTGAAAGACTTATAAATTTATTGATAGAGTATAAAGCAGATCCTTTAAAATTTTCTAATGGAAAAAAATTGCCTGTGCATATGACGAAAAATGAAGCCATCAAATTTAGAATTAGAAGGTATATGATGGTAAATTTCATATAGGAAAATTATGTTCATCAACTGAAAAAGAAGTAATTTTGTTTTAATTTGCTAATATTTTGCTGTATTTAAATATTACTTTTAAATAATGGAAGTTTAATGGGATTGTAATAATAAAATCATCTTAAATTTATCTACCAATGAGCACATCAAATGAAGAAAGTCAATTCCATACTCAAGCATCCCTACCTGCAACATCATCTCGCTCAAAGCATCGCGATTTTTCTAAAGTAACGTCCAATTAGATTTCAGAAAAAACACCTATTGGAGATCCGAGTTATAGATACAGTGTTCCTATCAAGCAGCGGCATGGGCATAGTCTATTACTTCCTAGTAAGGAATCATCAAGCCCCACAATAGAGCCTCAAACTCCTGCAAGCACCAATATTTGAATAGAAAATCTATGTGATGCAGCAAAAGAAGGCAATATTGATCAGCTTCATGAGATTTTATTAAATTATTCTAACTCCCCCCTTAAGAGCGAACAAAAAAATCGTGTTCTCTTACGGAGGGGTGTTAATTTTTTTTTAAAACAATTTATGTATAAAATTTTAAAGAAAAATTTATTTTGAAATTTAAAAAATTCCTAATTTACAAAAAAATTAGAAGACAATATTTAATTTAATTTATAAAATTTATGTTTTAAAACGCAATTTTTTTAAATTAAACAGAATTAGCTACAGATTTCATTATACTAATTTTCATTTATATATCAAAATTATTTACCATAAAAAAATTTTTGTTCACTCACGTAGGGTGGGTTTTTTGGGCAAAAAAATAAGGATTTTTCTAATGGTTTTGTTTCGCTCACGGAGGGGGGAGTAAGGAAAAATCATTATTTTTATTAGAAGAGAACGCAATCGACCTAATAAATGGTCCTTCAAATAATAGATGAAGACCAATTCATTTTGCATGTCTGAATGGACATCATAAGCTATTGCGAGAGTTATTGAATTTAGGTGCAAGCTGCAACTTAGAAACAGATGACCACTGAACTCCTTTGCAATTAGCATGCTATTATGGTTTTTTGCCATGTGTGGAAGCTCTCTTGCACTCACCGTTGATTCAGATTAATAGGATGAGTGAAGATAAAGGAACAGGGTTACATCTAGCATGCGAGACAGGGCGCACAAAAATAGTTAAACTACTGCTAGAAAATAAAGCTGATATTAATTTAGAAGATCCTTATGGAAAAGTTGCATTAGAGTTAACTCAAAAAACAAAAATCATTGAATTAATTCCCCAATATACAGGTGAAGGAGAATTGTTAAAATATTCAAAAAAAGAAAATATTGAAAAGCCTCCTTGCTTCAGCGGGCATGTATATTGGTCAGCTCCTTGACAAATTAACGATAAACATGCTTTTCTAGTACTCAATATAAACGATGGGCACTTAAACCATTACCATCATAGAATTTCATTTTTGGATTCTCAGCCTCCTGATTTTTGCATAAAAATAAAAGACATAGAAGATGTCAGGATTTTTTCTGAAAAAGAAAACTCTGATAAGCATTTTTTCATTATTGAAGCTAAAGAAAATACCCTGAAATATTACTGCAAGTTTGCTGATATGACAAGAGTTTGAGCTGACCAAATATTAGAAGCCATAAAATATTTGCAAATAAGTAAGAAAAGGAGGAGCAGCTTTGAAGAGTCTGAAGATGAAAATGAAGAAAGGTTTAGGATAAAGCCAAGATATTTGCAGTTTGAAGAAGATGACAAACAAATTAACACTGAAGAAGACACTGAAGAAATTATTAATTTTTCCTGTTTTGACACAATTGATGAAATATCTGCAGAAACTTATGGAAAATCGTTTTTAGTTAGAAAAAAAAATACGGGGGAAATGTTTATTATAAAATCACTTGACAAAATTACATTAAAAAAGAATGACCAAATAAAATACGCCATCTCATGCAGCAAAATTTTTAAGACAGTTAGGCACCCGTTTATTATGGATATGTATTGGGCTTTTCAAACACCTAAAAACATATACTTAGTTTTAGAAGCGTTTAATTATGGAAGTCTCATGGATTTATTAAAAACCAAAAAAACTCTGCCTGAGGATGCTGCGAGGTTTTATATTGCAGAAACATTACTTGCTATTGAGCATCTTCACTCGTTAGATTTTGTATATAAAGACTTGAAGCTTGAAAATATTTTAATTGACATGCATGGGCATGCAAAACTTTCTGTTTTCAATTTTACTGAAAAAAAAGAACTATCTCCTAATGAGCCTCCAAAGATTATTGCTCCAGAACTCCAAAACCCCGGAGCTTATAAGCAAGTCGATATTTATTCTTTGGGAGTTTGCTTATTTACTTTGCTAGCAGGATTTCTTCCTTTTTACTCTGAAGATCTAGCATCTTGGCACAAAAAAATTAAATCTGGAGTTATAAGATATCCGCATTTTATTACACAAGATGCAAGAAGTCTAATTCATATGCTGATGAATAACAACTCTGATAAGAGGCCTGCTATTGAAGAAATAAAAAATCATGATTTTTTTAGAGATATTAATTGGAGTGATATTTATGAAAGAAAAGCTCTTCCACCTTATACTGGAGATAATTTAAGAAGAAAAAGTGAGACTGAAGAGACGAGGACTCCTGTAGAGGATGAGCATGAAAATGCTGAATAATTTTTTATCATTTAATTATGCTATAAGAGATAATAAAAATGTGTTGAATAATCATAACTTAATAATTTTTTCTCTGATAGAGAAAGATAGCTCGCTGATAACTCAAATCTAAGAGAGTTGTCAAAAAGCAAGGGATGGGTAAAAGAGTTAAAGGGTTTAATGAATTATTAAAGAGTTATCTCAAGAATAAATCATTAATTTAATTAAGTCACCCCAAGGGAACCAATTTCTCTTATTTAAACTCTTGTATTTTTTGATTTATAACTCCCATTTTACCTCACCATGATCTCCTCAAACTTTCAGCTACATAAAAATATCCCTTAGACTCACCTCTCTTAAAATTCCCTAATTTTTTCTTCTAAAAAAATTATAAATTTTGTTTTCCTCTGCGTATCTAATAATAAATCACAATAATTAGCTAATTTGGAGACTAAAAAATAAATAATTCGAGATTTATAAGCTTAACCGCTTATTTACCAGTAATTTATTAATCAACATTATAATGCATTCAAATCAGACTCTAGCTGCAGCTCTCTTTCCCAAGCTTCTCTTTTTGCTTTTTCAATCGCCTGCTTTGTCATTATTTTCCTTTGTTCTTCTTCTCTAATTTTTTTCGCTGCAGCTGTTTCTGCAATTTCTGATTTTTCTTTCTTCGAACTATAAGCTGACTGTGTTGGATTTGTGCTGGTGACTTGCAGCCCAGTCTGCGGGATTTCATCAATTGCATATACTTCTCCATATGGGTCTAAATCTATACCTTATTATATAAGCTTTCTTATACTGGAATATAGTTTATTCCCTTGCCTGCCATAATTTCTTATTAAATGTATAAGAGATACATAATTAAATATGTCGTCTTCGTCTAGGTATGGCCTCCCTGCCATACAGCCTCGACGAAGACAACATATTTAATTATATCCGGCAAAATTTTTCTAGCCTTGAAACGGGCCGTAATAATGCTATGGTAACAAATTCTGCAGGTCGCAGAGCCTAGCCCAAGCCCAACTTCGAGACTAGTTTTTACCTCGGGAAAAATGAGGGTTCAGATTTGGAAAGGGCAAGCCCAGCAGAGTCTACAGGAAACACCTAGACCAATCGGGCAACTGCCTAGCGTGAACTGGGCGTTACATCCCAGGATCTGGACTCCACCCTTTTGCCGACAGGCTACCAGAAATTCCATTTTTTGGGATTTCGGAATGCCAACCTCGTATTCCACAGCCTCAGGAGGCCGCACAAACCCGTAGCCTGCCCACTCAACACTGGAGCTTTCTACAAGAAGCAAGGAGGAGACTGGACGGAAGGAAGGTCGCAAAGCGGGTGAATCCCCCAGGGGATCCTCGGTGATTGCGTTAAACTTAAGGGCACGAGCCCGTCTATCTAATGAGATATGTATAAGAGATACAATTTTATCATCTGGCATGATCATATCTTCTAAACTCATTAATTCATCCACTTCTTCCTCTTTTTCTTCTTTGACTTCTTTTGTATAGTCAATTTTCTCAGTAATAAATGGGTGAGATAATAAATCGCTCGCTTTAGGCCTCAAATCAGGATTTAAGTTTAGGCAAGCTCGGAGGAAAGCTACGCATGGTGCAGAAATATTTTTTGGAAATTCTGGAGGCGTTTTAGTTTCGGTAATAATCTGAAGAACCTGCTTGACATCTTTAGAAAAATTTGACCAAGGAGGCTGGCCTGATATCATTTCAATTACAACGCAGCCTACAGATCATATATCGGCAGCGTAAGAGTGGCCTGATCGTTTTACCACTTCAGGTGCCATTCAGTAAGGAGATCCTCTCAATGATTTGCATAACTTAGAATCTTCAACATGGATTGTTGATCCAAGCCTTTTGCTTGCACCAAAGTCTGAAAGTTTTATAACGCCGTCGTTATCTACCAACAGATTTGCACATTTTATGTCTCTATGGACAATCCCTTTGCTGTGCAAAAATGTTAGGCCTTCTAGTAATTCTTTAGTTTAAGTTTAATAGATTACTCTTCAAATCCCGTTCCCTGATTTTCTCAACTTGGGCCAACAGCTCTGATTAACGGCAGATGAGATAAGTCTAACCGCCGACCTGTTTCTGTCCCCTGGTCTTTTAGGACCTCTCTTTCTACACCAGCCTCAGCATAGAATGCTTCTCTTCAAGCTGAGACTCTCAAGAAGTTAAGAAACTCTCTAACTGAGCTCAGTTTAGGGCCGCAGTTCTACACCTAACTACCATTTTAAGTTGTGAATTCTTTAGTGTATTTTTGTACTGTTTTTTCATGGAGTTTGCCGAATTTATTTAATAAATGTCTAACAGATCCTCCTGGGACGTATTCCATGATAATGTCAACTCCCATATTGTCAGCACTCACATCTGTGTATACGTATCGTACAATGTTTTTATGTTTCAGCTCCTTCAGAGTGGATATTTCTTTTTTCAGGTTGCTTACTTCAGCAACAATTTGCTTTGGATCTCCTGATAGACTGACACGCTTCGCTGCTAGTAACTCGCCAGTCTCAATATTTAAACATTCATAGACTTTTCCATATGCACCTTCTCCTATAGGCTGTCCTCTTTTTCAGTGCAAAACTGGAATTGCAGTAGTCTCAGAACAATACTGCTTAGGTACTACAACTGGATTGCTCTTTTTCCCAGGGCGGGCTACGCTTTTAGAACTTGCACATCCCATTTTGGTAGTTTAGGTTATAAATTTATATTTTGAAAAATGCTTACTCTCTGCTTCCCTTCCTTTTTGAGCGAACGAAAGCATTGGAAAAAATCGAGATTTTTTTGGTAAAAACCACCTCCATAAGAGAACAAAATTTTTTACAGAAAAAAAATCGATATATAAGTCAGAATTTGTAAAATTTATGCTTTAGAGTGCAAACATGTTAAATTTTGGATTTTAAACATAAATTTACAATTATGAAAATATAATTTTTTATAAAATTTATATATGAAATTAAAACAAAAAAATTAACCCCCTTTGTGAGCGGGCAAAATGTTTTTGTCATATGGGGTAGCTGAGTTAGAGGAGATTTAAATTCGTTAAATAATTTTCTATTGAGGGATAGCAAGATGGGATTTCTAACTCCCCCCCCCCTTTAAATTGGGACAAAATATAGGTAAAATTTCCACTTTTTTTGGTAAATTAACCCCTTTAAATTGGAACAAAATTTATTTTATAATAAAAAATTACATATAATTTTTATCTAAAATGTTTTGATATAAGTTAAATGTTTCTTCTTAACTAAAATTAAAAATTTAGTTATATCTTGCTCTTGTTTAAAGAAGAAAGTATAAAGAGCATCTTATTTAAATAAATTTATTATCCTTAATTGCTAAATTTAAAAAAAACAATTAATTTTTTTTTTTAATTTTATTTTATCAATAAAAATTATAATTTTTGTGCAAATAATTTTGATGCCAATTAATAGTGGTGTATTAACTAATAATGAAAATTTAGTTATATCTTGCTTTGTTTTAAAGGATAAAGAGTAAATAGCATTTTATTACACAAATTTATTAATCTAACTCGATAAGTTTTTTGAAATTATTTATTTTTAAATTTTTTTTTTTTTTATAAAAAATTTTATATTGATATTTTTTTTAAAACAATTCTTAACACCTTTAAAATTGGAACAAAATTTTTAGTTCCAATTTAAAGGGGGGGAGTAAGAAGTTTTCAGAAGTCTTAACAAGATTTAAATAATCCTGAAGACTTTTGCCCTTATTAATAAATGAAACCGCTTCATGAAGGGTTGTAACAATGGAAATCTGGTTGTGAAGGATTTTCTTTATTTCGCTTCTGTAGACTACAGCGAAGTATTTATTTATGGATAAATCTTGTTCCAATAAATTTAAATCTTCACCCAATGTCGTCGGAAAATCATCCAAATACTCTTTTATAAACTTTTTCGAATCAGAAAGGATTTCCAATTCATTTTTAATGTAAGTAGGTTGCAAAAAAGCCTCTGGCCACATGTTTTTTCTTCATTTAAATGCTCTTATAACAGTGAAAAGTCCGATGGGGATTATACTGTTATAGAGTTTAAAAGCATATACATCGTCAAAGCCATTTTCAATAATGTAATCTTGCATTCTAGGATCACTAGCAAGATCCTCAATTTTTATTTTTAAAGTTGCATAATTATACTTTATATTTTTCAAAGAAAACCCATAAACTGTCAATAGCTGCCTGTTTGAATATCTCCCATAGCTCATGTACACTTCTGATCCTTTTACATAAAATTCCTCTAGTCCTGCTTTGATTACCACGCTTTTACTAGAATCTTCAATTGTCGCTGAAATAGGAGGCTTCCAATCCATTTTTATTTTTTTTGCATTTTCCCTATCTAAATCTTTTGATTCAGCTATTTCAATTATTTTTTCAAGCTTTTCTTGGCAGGCCTGAGAAATATTTAGAAGAGAGTCTTTATAAATGGTTGCGATTAGTTTAAACGAAATTTCTGATGTGGCAATTCTTTCATAAATTGGGTCATCATAATCTTCATAGTCTTCAATATTATAGACTCTAGCACTATAGTCTGGCTCTTCTGAGTTGGAGAGATAGTAGTAATGAGTTTCAATAAGATTATGGTTTAGAAATTCTGCTATTGGAACAAATGATATACTAGGGACTAATTTGCCAAATGTGCGTGTTAGCAATAGCCTTCACCCCCAAAGAAAATTTTCAAAGGTCAGCATTTCATCAGTAAAAATAAGAGTTCTCTTACTCCCCCCCCCCCCTCCGTGAGCGAACAAAAAAATTTTGTTCGCTCACGGAGGGGGGTTAATTTTTTTTAAAAAAAATTTTATATATAAAATTTTATAAAAAATATTTTTTTCGAAATTTAAAAAAATCCTAATTTGCAAAAATTGGGAAGCAAATATTAATTTAATTTGCAAAATTTATGTTTTAAAACGCAATTTGTTTAAAATTAAACAGAATTAGCTCTAGATTTCATTATACTAATTATCACTTATATATCAAAATTTTTTTCCATTAAAATTTTTTCTATTAAAAAAAATTTTTGTTCACTCACGGAGGGTGGGTTTTTGGTCAAAAAATGGCGATTTTTCTAATGGTTTTGTTCGCTCACGGAGGGGGGGGGGGGAGTTAAGATCTCCTTCTCAGGTTGTGTATAAATAATTTAATAAATAGTTTGATCTCTCACTATCATATTCTAAGTCTATATCTTGCAGCTCTTTAATGTCTGCAATTGGCCAATCTTGAAGGACTTTGGCATCAGTTGGCTGAGCTTGAATAAAAAAATGCCACTCTGATGATTCTCCTTTAAATTTTTCTCAAATCAGAAATGAGACTAAAAGAAGTTCATCGAAATATCCTTCATATGGCTTAAATGGGTCTGATAATTCTGATATTTTTTCATATACTATACTTCGTTTGGCAAGGTTAGCAGAAAAAATACAGTCACTTGGTACAGAAATTATGGTTTCGCCTGGATGGATATAGGGCCTTCCTATAGATGGCGAACAATGCGCCATCACCGGGCCATGTCGGGAGAGGGTTCCACACGAGGAATGGTTCTACGTGTGGAACCCTCTTTTTGGCTCGTGGAAAGTAGTTTTCTCACAGGTCAAAAAGAGGGTTCCACACGTAGAACCATTCCTCGTGTGGAACCCTCTCCCGACATGGCTCGGTGATGGCGCATTGCGCGCCATCTATAGGAAGGCCCTATATCTTCTGCAGCTCTTGTACCTTTGTAGCCAGGAGGGAAAATCGCAGGATATTCAAGCTTAGGCCATCTTATGTTTTTGCTGTAAGCTCATTCAAAATATTGCCGGAGTTCTGGAGATAAGGAAACATTATCTGCAAAGGGGTTTCCTTTTTCCATTAAATATGGGATTAAATCTCAAGATAAAATAATTTAATAGAAATTCTACTTTATTTATGCTTACTCTCGTAAACTTATAATAAATTACTGAAGAAAATAAATGATTGGAATTAAATTACTACTATTATCATACTAAATACAAGAAATGTCATCCAAAAGTCCGTTAATAGTGCAGAGATATCCACGCAGACTCAATACTACTCCTACTGCAAAGAATACATTTACTAATAACTTATTAGCTTTTCGCACAAAAACTCCTCTTTCTAACATAAAAAATACAGAAACCGCATATATCAACCCTTTAACGAATTATAAAGCAGAAGCTCCGATAGTGAATAGACTAAAAAGAAATGCATCAAATTTGCCCACAAAACTTACTGAAAAGAAAATAATTATGAGGTCAAAAACTCCTATGGTTTTAACCTCTCCTAGGCCCTTGACAGAAGAAAAAGATAGCATCTATTCTGGCTCTACTAGCGATTACACGATTGGTTCTATTATTGGTTGCGGATCTTATGCCGTAGTGCGGGATTCATATAGCAATCTAACGAAAAACAGATTCGCGGTAAAAACATATGAAAAGACCAAAATATCTGATCCTCAAAAGCGCAAAAATGTAAGAAACGAAATAAAAATTATGCAAAACCTTAAGCATCCAAATATTATTGGAATTAAAGAAGCAATAGATTCTCCAAAGCATATTCACATTGTTATGGAGCATATAGATGGCTTATCTTTGCATAGCTATATCAAGCGAAAAACTAACCGTCAAATCCCAGAAGATGAAGCTAGGCAGCTATTTACTCAAGTTGTCAGAGCTGTAAATTATTGCCATAATTTAAAAATTATTCACAGAGATATCAAGCTTGAAAATATTCTACTTGATGGAGCCAAAAGCATAAAATTAATTGATTTTGGATTTTCGACAAATGTTTTTGATGAAAAAATCAAAATGTTTTGCGGAACACCAAGTTATATGGCTCCTGAAATCGTAAGCAAGCGCGAATATTTTGGTGGCCCCGCTGATGTATGGGCGTTAGGAGTGCTATTATTTGTGATGCTGTCAGGTGTTTTCCCTTTTGCAGGGAATTCTGATAGAGAAGTATACAGAAAAATATTGATAGGCAGCTTTGAAATTCCCACTGTTGTAGCTCCTCAAGCAAGATTGTTAATTAAAAGAATGATTCAGATAGATCCTTATAAAAGGCCAACATGCCAACAAATTTTAGAAGATCCTTGGATGAATCCAAATAAGGAAAACTTATAAAGAAAACTAGAATTTAATTTATAATGCAGTTTATTATAAATTTAAGTGAATGAAATTATTATGACAACAATCAAAAAAGGCACTAAGATGCAGTGTCTTCAGTTAAATTGCTCGGTGACGTCTCCATTAAAGGATTTCTTGAAATAGATCCTATATTAATTTGAGGCAGGCTTCCTCTAAGCGACCTCCTTATATAATTCACAGGTGGAGAAGGCAATATCGGGATTTTTTTTTGTTTTTGCATTATTTTCTCCATTAGCTGCTCAATTCTTTCTAAGCATTCTGTATTTTTATTTATTTGTTTTTTTACCTTCAAAATTTCTTTATTCCTCATTCTTATAGAAAATTTAAAATTTCCTTCTTCGTCTTCAGTCTCACAATTTTCTTCACCGATTTCTTGATTAATAAGCTCCCTAAACTCATCCGCTTTTAGGTCTTGGATTTTCCCCGCTTTATTTGCTTTATATAAAGCTAACGTTTCAGCTAAAGCTTTTTTGATTTTTCTGTCCCTTTCTTCAGCAATCATCCCGATTTCTTTCCAAACAGTTGGAAATTCAAGTTGGATTTTTTCTATTGTTTTTTTGCCCATGATTAGTAAAAATGTATCAGTGCTTGCAACAATTTTGTATTTTCTCGCGACCTTCTTAACAAGTTCAATATCGCCAAAATAATGACCTTGTTGGAGTGTGCGATAGACTATTCCTTCTTTGTCTTTTATGTAGCTTACTTTACCATTAACAATAAAATAAATATTCTGAGGAGCCTCACCTACATTGCAGATAATTTCATTAACATCTACTAATAAGGGCTGTAAATAGGGAACTATACTCGCAATAAATGAATAGTCTTTTAGCGTAAAAAACGAAAATAAACGAATAGCACCATGATGCATATTCATTGCGATTTCATATCGCAAATGCTTTGGGAGCTCATTAATAAGTTCTTCTTTTTCATCAAATGTAAATCCATTTTTCTCAGTGAATTGTCTTATAGTTTTTTGCATTTTTTTCTTGATTTCTCCCGATATTCTTGCTTCTTTGACAAATTCATCAGCAACTGATAGCCTGTAGTCTACTATATTTTTTTTAAGATCTTGTTTGGTAAGCATTGTAGATAAAGAACTAATTGTAAAGGATAGAAAATAGACCCCACATACCATCCAAAACATAGCTAAAAATTTTTCTGAATTTGAATAAGGAGCTATATCGCCATAGCCAACCGTTGCTAAAGTAGCCGTGCCTCAATATATACAAGTAAGGTAGAGAGTTCATATATCGTTATCCAAATAATGGTATCTGAACACCCATGTGTCAGTCGAAAAATCATCTGCTTTTGCAGTATAAAATCATAAGCATGCCACTATATGAAGGCATATAATTATGGCAGAAATAGCACTTATCATCCTCATAGCCGTGTAGTTTATGCTAAAAGCGCCTTGAATGTTTTCTATATAGCTCGCTGCTTCCTTATTTTTCATAAATTTAGTCAGCTTTGACAGCCGAAACAGCCTTGGCAATGATTTTAGCCTAAAAAATTTGATAAAATGATTGATACCACCTGGATATCCTACTGAAACTAAAGCTTCAATCATCCCGAGCGGAATTGATGCTAAAACATCGATGATTAGCCACCCTTTTAAATAATTTCAAAAAATTTGTTTCCTTGTGTACATAAGTTTTCCTTCTTTTGAATAAAAAGCTGTATTAAGCTGTACTATTGTGTCAGACAAAAAGGAAAGATCAATAAAAAAGTCCATCCAGAATCAAAAATCAAAATCTGAGGTTGTAACAAATGCTAATACAAATGGGGTAGTTATTGCCGTGTACAATAAAATTATTCCTACAAAAATATCCCAGCATGCTTTGCATTTGCTGCCAGGATGTATAATACCCTTTGGAAGGGCTCAAGCGTATTTTAATTAGAAATGAGCCTTGAATTAAAAATACGCTGTTTTATATCGAGCATTAAAAGAGCAAATCAATCAATGAAAAATCAATATAAATGAGCTTTTGTCTAAATAAAATAATATGTGCCTTTGGAAGCGATTCCTCAGACAGACTTGTACCTTCATGTGACAAAATTAGGCATGCTTTTTTCCTAAAGTAAGCATCCCCTGCTTCCACCTGTTCATCACGCCCCATAAAAAGTGCACTAGAAGGTCCATAAATTTCTTTATCTTTAAGTAACCTTTTTATTCTAATACTCATAATAAGCTTTCTCTTCGCTCTTTGCCAGACTTCTTTATATTTTAAAGGAGGAAGTTCATTTGGATTTTTAAATGTCTCATTAGGATCAGTAGATATTGTAGCAGGCTTAGATATATCTTCTTCAGAAAATTTTTGGGAATCCAGATTGAAAAGATGACGCCTTTCAGTGTCTTCTTGGATTTTGGGCAAAATTTTTCTATCATTTCTTTTTTTGAGGAAACCAATTAAACTCTGTATATCTTTTACCATTTCACGTTTTGAATAGAGATTATTATAAAGGTTTTGGTTAAGAAAGGAAATATTTTGAAAGTTTGAAGAAGCTATTAGAGATATGTAGGTTAAAAATAGAAAAATTATTAATATTTGAATTTAGATATTGTCCATCTGATGTAAATTGGTTTCAGCAAATTTAAAATGGTGAATATGATTTTGCTTGAAATTTCATATAGAGTCGATGCCAAGTTGATAATAAATCTATATTTCGGCTTAATGTTGAGAATTTTTATGTTATTTATAAAGAAAAATTTGCCTAATTGAAAATATTACAAATTAATAGCCGTGAATAATTAGATTTTATATTATTTTTAGATGTTAATAAAAATAATTTTATGATAGATAAATAAATAAAATAATGCAAGAGATATAATAGCAAATCGATCAACTGTTTTAATTATAACTAGCAGGATTAATTTAGTAAATTGCTCCATATTAATTTTAAAATGAGTGTCCCATCTCAACGCTCCTTTGGGAGATTCCACCCCCCGCTCTGTAACCAAATGAAATCCAGCACAGGCGCCCCATTTCGCAGCCAAAATTCACAATTTTCAAGCTTTAGACAAAATCCTTTTTCTCAATCTAGTGACACAAAGCTTACACAAAATGACGACACTCTCTCAGTTTTCAGTGATTCTACAATAATGGGCCCTCCAAGCATTTCTCAAGATCATTTTAATTCCTTCAGAAGCGATATTTGCGATATGTTCAAGATGATCATTGATAATAACCAGAAAATGACTTTACAGATGATTGAAGCCTTTGTGCAAAATAACCAAAAAGAGACAGAAAAATCGAGAGAAGAGTATAAAGAAATTAAGGGTGAGATGATTGATAAAATTGATAATATTTTGAGTGAAGCTACAAATAAAAATGAAATAAAGCACTTAAAAGATGAATTACAATGCATGACTGAAGAAATGAAAAATCAACAAATAAATTTTCAAAATGAAATTAAAAAAATCAGCCTTGGTTTATCAAATATCCAAAGAAAAAAGCCGCGAAAGCATAAGAAAAGGACTCCGGAAGCACCACGAAAATGGTGGCGGGAAACAGAAAAGATACCCCCTCTGCCATGTCCTTGCCTTTTATATACAGAAACAAGGATGACTCGCAGACAGAAAATTAAAGCATACAATGAAGGTACTTTAATCTGTAAATGTAAAAAATAAATTTTGTTGCTATTCTCCTTACTATTTCAGCAAAAAATATTGAAAAATGTCGACTTTTGAGAAAATTGACCCATCTATGATTCAGAAAAACATTTTTTATATTTACATATAATTATAATAAAAAAATATACTATAGAATTTTAGACAATCTTCATCTTAAGCAAAGCTTATAAATTAAATAAGATTATCATCTCTCATATACCTAAAATTTCGATTTTTAAATTCTATGGCAAACCAAAATTCTTATTCTCAGCCAAGTGAGAGTTAGTTATTTATCCAGTTCTGATAACGCCTGCAGCTATCAGCTTATTAATTGCGTTTCTAATCTTCGGATCTGTCATATATTTCCCAGCTGACATTGGGTTTTCACTGATATCTTTTTGAGCGGCTCCATGCCAAATGATAGTGTATTTTTGATTGTGTACATTTCATCGAAGTAAATTTTAAAATAGTGTGGCATTTGGTCAAAAATTTAACTTTTTTTCCAATCAAATGTCTCTCACTTTCAAAAAATTTCTACCAATTTTCAACCAAATGCACTTCGGTGAAATACACGCTATCAAAAGTGAACTATCATTGGACCTGCACCCCTTTGAGCACCTGGCTCATCTGAGGGTCTTTAAACTCCCCACTCCTTAAGCGAGCAAAACCATTGGAAAAATCCCTATTTTTTGCCCTAAAACTACCTAAGTAATGCAATAAAAAATATTTTGATAAATAAGTGATAATTAGTATAATAAATTTCTATAGTTAATAATGTTTAATTTTAAAACAAATTTCATCTTAAATCATAAATTTTTTAGAAATTAAATAAATATTTGCTTTCTTATTTTTAATTTGAAAAACAAAATTATTATAAAATTTATATATAAATTTTCTAAAAAAAAAAGCAAACCAAATATTTTTGTTCTCTCACGGAGAGGGGAGTAAGAATATTTTGGATTTCTGGGTCAGCCATTGCATGCCTGATTCTTTCTTCATCTGGGACTCCACTTGATTCGCTTTGTATAGCAGCCATAGTCTTTTGTAGCCCTTCCTTGCATTCGTCATTATTAGGGTCAAGCTTTTCTGCTTCTTCATAAGCTTCCAAAGCTTTATGGTATTCTTTCATGTTATAGTGGACATTTCCTTTCCTGATCCACGCTCTGGTGAACTTTGGATCTAACTCAACAGCTTTGTTGACATCAGCCAAAGCCCTTGGAAATTCCAAAAGCTTTATATAGCAAGCTGCACGGTTTGAGTAATATTTGGCGAAAGTCGGGTTTCGCTTGACTGCTTCTTCATATTCTACGAGGGCTCCTGGGAAGTTTCCATTCTTGAAAAGCTCATTTGCTTGGTTATTGTGAGTTTCCGCAATTTCAGGGTTAATATATGCAAGTTCATCCTTTTTCTTTTTTTGCTTTTCAAGATCTCTAAGTGTGAATTTCAACTTATCGTCGTGGAAGTCCATTAAAGACCTTTTAATCTGCTCAATTCCTTCCTCTAGTCTCCCTAACTGCACCAAAGCTAGTCCTTTTCTTGAAAGTGCCCTGGCAGTTTTGCTTAGATCAGCTCCAACCTCTCTTCCCTTTGCTAAAGCTTCATCACAGAGTTCAATAGCTTTTTCGAACTGTCCCATTGAGAAATAACAGGCTGCTTTGTTATTAATGTAGGTGATTTCGTCTGGGTTTATTTCTAACGCTTTGATATAGTGTTCAAGTGCTTCTTCGTACTTTTTGTTTTTGAAGAGAGCGTTTCCAAGCTCTTTTTCTTCTTCAGCTGTTAATTTTCGATTACTCCCTCGCGAACAAAATTTTTGGAAAATTCCTATTTTTTAAGTAAAAATCTGTAGCAAAAATTTTTTTATATAAAAAATTTTTTATGAAGAAATATGTTGATATAAAGTGATAATTAGTTTAATGAAATCTCTAGCTAATTCAGTTATATTTAAACAGCTTGCATTTTAAAAATATAATTTTTATAATCAAATTAATTTTTACCTCTATAAATCTTCTATATAAATTAAAAAAATAGCTCCCTCCTGCGAGCGATCAAATTTTTTTGTTCACTCTAAGGGGGAATTAGGATCTTTAGGAGCTTCATGCTTTTCAGCCTTCTTTTCTTCAGCTTTCTTTGGAGCTTCTTTGTGCTCTTCGTGGTGATGGTGATCATGAGAATGGTCATGAGAGTGGTCATGAGGATGGTCGTGGGGATGGTCGTGAGGATGAGAATCTTCATGCTCTCCTTGCTGGGCGCTAGTGTCGAAGCCTATTAATATGCCATTTTAAAAGAAAATAAATAATATGAATTGCAATGAATCCTATTTTCGAATAAATTTAGAAATTAATACGAATTGTAATAATAAGAATCTTTTGTCTATTTATACTCCAAGACAGTCCATAACCCTTTGATCTTGTAAAAGCATCTGCATCATATTAGGATTATTCTGTACCAAAGTTAGCATCTGGATAAAATCTTGCTGTTGGAAGTATCCCCTGGTTTTCGGATGGGTCATTAACTTTGCCAAATTTTCCCCAACAAACAGATTCGCCATTGGGTTTGACGACTTATTTAGCTCCTGTTCTGCTCTTTGCAACCCCTCTGTAAGCTGAGCATTCCCAGGCTCGATTTCTAGTCCTTTTTTGTAGGTTTCTGCCGATTCTTTATATTTCCCAAGATAGAACTCTGCAAGACCTTTACGCGTGTATCCTCTCACCCAATCAGGCTTTAGCTGAACACATTTGACTGCATCTTCCAATGCTTTGTCATATTGCTCTAAGCTGGCATAGCATGCTGAACGATTTGAATAAAACACGTGGTCGTTTGGAGAGAATTCAAGCGCTTTTGTGAAGCATTCGATCGCTTCTTGGTAATTTTTTTGTTGAAATGCGGTGTTGCCTCTTTCTTTCCACTCCAATGCTTGAGCACTACTCATTTTATAATTCTAGAATTGAGTGATTAATATGGATTTCTTAGTTTTACCATGACAGAATGAATGAGTGAAAAAATTGATTTTCACGATAATAAGGTGGATATTTAAATTCTGTTAAAATTTAAAGCATCATAGTATAAATAGATATAGCAATATGCAAGAAATAATTAATAACGCCATATGTATTAATCAACGCTATAGTCCTCTGCCTCTTCAAGCTGAATACTGAAATAAAAAAACTTAGCTTTTTTGATGTCGTATCCTTTCTAAAATAAATTAGCAAAAATTATTTCCTATATAAATATACTTATATCTAGTGAAACTTGAATATCTCAATAACTTACCTTTAGTAGAAAATATAATTGCTTCTTTTTTCCTATAATAGGGTTGAATTGTATAGAATTCCATTGACTCTTCTAAGTTCTTCCCTTCTAAAATACTCCCATTATCTATATTAATCATGAAAGATTTGAGATTTTTTTCTTTGTATGTATCTTCCAGCCCGATAACCCCTCCAAAGTAGATGACAAGATTTGAGCTTAAATTTAGCAGCCCTCCTCCATAAATAAATGCAGGCATCTTAAAAGCATGTTTAATCAGCTGTCTTCCCTCTAGTGAATATATAGAATGAGATATTTTTTCTCCTTTAATTCCTCCACAAATATAAATTCTTCTGTTAATTGATGTACAAGAAGCTTTGTAGAGATTTTTACTGAAATTTGTAAGCCTTGTCCATTGACGCTTGCTAAGGTCAAAAATTTCAATTGACATCGAATTTCTCCCAGAAATAACATAGAGAGAGCTATCATGCATAACTGAGCAATGGTACTCATGGCTATCATATGTGTTTGGTAGTTCAGAAAAAGCGTTATCATAAATTCAGGCTTTATTTGTGTCTCCAGAAAGACTTTTTCCAGTAATAATAATCCCAATAGGCGTGACTACAGCACAGGACCCTTTATCAGCAGGACAATTATTCTGTGTTGAGGCATTTAGTACCATTTTCTTACAGCAAAATTTTTTATGATATATTAAATCATTAAATTTTCATACCATCAAAAGCTCTATAAAAAATTTAAAATATATGATATAAATTTTTCTAATTTTTGTTTCTGTAAAATGCTGATAATTCAGACTTTCATTTTTATAATCCAAGTAGCAAGCACTTTCAAGATATAAATTCGTTGGTTCTTCTTCTGGCAATTGAAAATCTTGCTCAGGAAGATCTAAATTAGAATTTTTAAAAGCATATTCAATTTGATCATCTACCCCATGATTTCCTTTCTTATACAACTTTTTGAGTTCCTCAGTTACAGCTTTAACCGAAATTCCTGCATTAATTTTTGTCGAAAAAAATCCAAGCAGCTTGCAATTTTCATCAAAAATTGGGGCGCCCTGAGCTCCTTCCCCTAATAAAATATCTCCTAGGCTTATTTTATCTCTTTCTATATTGTAGCCTACAGTCCTTCTATTCAATGACGGATTTGTTTTTAGGTAATACAAAATATCAGCTTTTGTTCCTCGTCTAGAAGATGGTTCTAACTCTAAAGGGACAGGCTTGACATCGTGCAATAATACATCTAATTGTCTGCACCAGCTCAACTGTGCCAAAGCAAAATAATTTTCCTCATTTACTCCAAATTTGTGATAAAATCTGTTCAAGTCGAATGGAACTGTAGTTGATCGTGAATCATAAAACATAACACTGTAATTTTCTAGGCAAAGATCATCTTTTAGGATTTCGCTGCTGGCAAGAAGCAGGGTTTCTGATATGAGCACTCCTGTTCCTTCTATATGGCCAGCTGCATTTTTAATCTTTACAACTGCTTGGGAAAGTTTGCTTATAGGATCAGTACTTAAGATTTGGGGTCTTTCTAAAGTAATTTTTAATTTTAAGACTTTTGGATTCAACCGTAAAGCGTTTGTAAAATCTTGGGAGTTTTTTATCGTCATTGGAGGTTTATCCATTGTTTGTAACAGAAAAGCTTGAGATCTTAGATGAGGAAACTCATTTGATATCCATTTTCTTGCTTGCAAATAGTCAGTGTATCCTCCTGCTTTTTCTTTTTTAGTTCCTTCATAATCTACTATTAATGTGTGAGTTTTTGAAGATATGCATCCCATGATTTTTATGTTGTACTTTTTTATTTGTTTATTGGATTTACCTTAAAATTATATGAATTATTAGAAAAATCATTTATATATTAAGCTCAGAGATATTTAAAGCCTACAGTTATGCTAAAGGAATTATACGACGGAATAAGAATTCAAGCAATTTCAGCTAACAGTGAAGTACACAAGAGAATTAGCAGTATTTATAGCTTCAGTGCGAGTCTTTGTAATGATTTGAGACAGATTTGATTTTTGCTTAATCAAGGATTTATAAAATGATTAAATTTAAATAATATTTGACGTTATGATTATGATATTGAAATATGTATAAATCCAGGGAAGTCCTAACTAGCAGGAATTCTAAATCAACTATCCGTTCTGTAAAGCTTGATAACTTCAAAAAGCCATCAATTTCTATAAGCCCTCTTAATTACTCTCCAGAGCCAGGATTTATCAATTGTCAAAACAAGCTGCATGATGAAGTCGACAAATTAGCTCAGAAAATCAGACAAAATCGAAGAAAACTTCTAAAAAGAGATTTAAGCTCTCACAAAGGAAGAGCCAAGCAAGATTTTTTAACGTTTGAAGACCAAAATATGCCATACCAGCTTGCAATGATGAACCATTATAGGAGAGAAATTGTAAACGAGCTTATCCATTTTAAGCACAGAGACTTGACCCCTGAAAAATTAGAAGAATTAAGAGAATCATTAACTCCTACAATTGTGCATCAAATGAACGAAGAAAGTAAAATTTAAGTAGAGAGGTTGCATCAAGGCGAAAGATTTAGACAAGAAATTTTGAGCAGGTCTCCTCACAGTAATGCAATTTATTCTTTGGCTGCTTTACCGAAGCTATCCAAACACAAAGTTATAAAATCGCTTGAAAGGATTATACCTGACTCTTCAAGGTTTAAAATAGAGTAGCATTTTTCTATGTAAATCACTTGAAATTTATATTACTTTCTTTTATTTCTTAATGGTTTATGATTTAATAAGTATAATTATCTCTTAAAGTAGTATCCTAGTTCCAAAGATTTTCTCATTAAATAGAAAAATTATTTTTCATTTATTTATCTAAAATTTCTTCACAATTTACAACTAATTTAACGTGTAAATAATAAATAGAAATATTTATCCTAGTTATCTTCAATTGAATTTATAACACATATAATAAACTTATAGAAGCGTGCACTTCGCGCATGTCCCAGTTCTCTCACTTAATCCTGACTGATTTTCTTTAGCAACCATTTCCTCAGCTTTTGATTTTTCATTTGGCTTGGTGTCCCCCATATCTTTTACGGGAAGCTTTTTCGCTATTTCTTCCTCACTGAGAAAAATAGGCTCCTCATCTGAACTTGAACTCTCAGACTCAATTTTTGACTCTTTTGGGTGTATTGCATTATCTCTAGCAATAGCCATATATAAATTCCTTGGAGATGAAGCTTCAATTGGGAACTCTTTATAAGCTTCAGGATCAGAGCCCTGCCTTGTTCTTCCTAGCGTTGATCTCCTTCTTGTTGGAATATCTATTGTTGGCCTTTGGAAGATAGGGAGAGCTTTTGAAGCTTCTGAAATATCTATTGTTGGCCTTTGGAAGGTAGAAGAAGCTTTTGAAGTTTCTGAAATATCTATTGTTAGCCTTTCAAAGTCTGAAGGAGCTTTTGGAGCTTCTGGAATGTCTATTGCAGGACTTTGAAATGCAGGAAGAGATTTAGGGACTTCTGGAATATCAACATTTTTTATCTCAGGCAGCTCTGAAGTAGAACTTTTCGTTAAAATGCTGTCTTTATCAGACTCCATGCTCCTTGCTTCTGGTTCCCCACTAGTTCCCACTGTTTCTGATTCTGCATTTCCCCCTAATAAGTCATCAATATTTGGAGGCTTTTCATACACAATGACACTTCTTCTATGAGTTTTATTCTTAATTAAATAAAATTCTCCATTTATTATTCTATCTTTCGCTATCAGCATTAATTTATTTTTAAAAGGCATAGAAGGATATATTTCTTCCTCTTCTTCAGCTTCTTCACGGATAAGAACTGACTGAGAGCCAGTTTCCCTATCAATTGAGCTGTAATCAAAGTCTGAAATTCCTCCAACTATAAAATCACTGCTTGCGAAGCCTCTGGTATTTCTTTCATTATGCAAAAGTTCTGCAGTTATGCAGACTTTTGCATTAGGGTCACTGCATTTTTCTATCGGGATTTCTAGCTTATTTATAGGTTTTTCTGACCTCGCGAGTTCAGAAAATTCAAGTTTAGCCTTGCCTAATTTTTTCGATGATTTTCCGTCAATTTCGAAGACTATTAGAAATACTGATTTCTTTTGGTAAGTTCCACTTTTCTCTTTCATTGAGATATCTTGTAAGGTGATGGGATACTCAAAAATGACTTGAGATTTAGAGGAATCATATTGCATTGCTTGGGTTTCTTGCTTTTGGAAGCCTATTTTTGCTCGGACTTTTACGAGAGCTAATTGCTTCAGGGAGGCTTTTATGTAGTGAATTTGTAAGTTGAGGTCATAGAGTCTTTTTGATGATCCTTGAGTATTTTTAGGTGGCATTTCGAAAATGATATGGATAAATAAAATTAATTCGACTTGTTTTTGGATAAAAAATCTATAAGAAAAATAAAAAACTATCTAGAAAAATATAAAGACTGATAAAAGTAGATTTTATCAAATAGAAAAGTGGATGCTCTAGAATATAAAAAATGAAAATTAAACAGAAATTATTAGAAAATATAAGCTTTATTCATTTTAGGTAATATAAGAAAGTTTTTGAGAAGATAGAATCATGTTTTCTGAGTCATAAAATGAAGATTTATGGTATCTTGAAAATATAACTATAAGTGGGACATTTTTATTATCTATAGTAGACTTTTCCTGCCTAACATTATTCAAAAATAGATTGCAAATCTCAGATTATACATTTGTATTACCTTATAAGATAATCTATGAAATTTAATTAAATTGATCGCTTTTAATTAATTAAGCTTGGATATCTGATAAGAAAAGTGCTCCAGGAAGTTCTTTTCCTTCCATAAGTTCCAGTGAAGCTCCACCTCCAGTGCTGATATGGCTGATTCTTGCTGCGTCTGCTCCCATGCTTTGGACAAAGGCTGCAGTATCACCTCCACCTACAATGCTGACTAGTCCTCTATTAGCAGTTCCTTCAATAATTTCTTGGAAGAATCTGACAGATCCAGCTCTGAAAGCAGGGTTTTCGAATACACCAGGAGGTCCATTCCAAACAATCGTTTTATGGCTGATTAGCTAAGTTTAATTTTTTCATTTTATTATACGACCCAAAATATCTATATAAAATAGGTTAAATCTATCAATTTTAATTGTTCAGTGCCTCTAAACGTTATAGCTCTTCTAATTGCTTCTGCCATTCTTTCAGCAGACTCTGGGCCAATATCCATACCGATCCATCCTTCTGGAACTGATCCAGCTGTAGTTTGGACGTTGCAGCCTTCTTGGAATTTATCTCCGCACACAAAATCACTTGGCAAGTGAATTTGGACGCCTTTTTCTTCAGCTTTCTTCATGATGCTTTCAACAATTTCTGCGCCTTCAGCATCGAAAATGGAGTTTCCAATTTCCATGTTTTCTAGTCTTTTCTTGAAAGTAAAAGCCATGCCTCCTCCAATGATCATTTCGTCACAAAGGTTTAAGAGATTAGTGATCAGCTGGATTTTGTCTTTGACTTTGGCACCTCCCATGATAACCAGTAATGGCCTTTCAGGGTTTTCTAAGGCTCTTGAGAAATATTCTAATTCTTTTCCCATGAGAAGTCCAGCTGCTCTGACTGGAAGTTTAATTCCTGCCATTGAACTGTGAGCTCTATGAGCTGTCCCAAAAGCATCATTAATGAAAATATCGCCAAGTGATGTCAAAGTATCTCTGAAAGCTTCGACAGCCTCTTTAGAAGGCTTCACTTTATTGCCTGCTGCATCCTTTCCAGTGCCTTCTTCTTCAGGGTGGAATCTAAGATTCTCCAACAAAATAATTGATCCTGGTGCTGGATCAGAGCAGGCCTTAACCACATCATCTCCTACACAGTCTGTAAGGAAGGTTACAGGTCTTCCCAAAAGGGTCTCCAATTCAGCAGCGACTGGTCTCAAAGAAGATTTTGCCTCTACTAAACCATCTGGCCTGCCTAAGTGGCTCATTAAGACAACACTTTTTGGGTTGTGCTCAAGCACTTTATTTATTGTTGGGAGGGTCGCGACGATTCTTGTTGTGTCAGAGACTTTGCCGTTCTTTAGAGGAACGTTAAAATCTGCTCTAATAAGGACACGTCTGCCTGGGATTTGGTCAAGAATGTGATCAAGTCGAAGTTTCCTAGCCAACATTTTTATTATATCTGAGATGAAAAATGGACAAAATCTTTGGATATTCTGCTGGCCAAAATTAGCTAAATTACAAAAATTTGATGAATTAACGCGACTTTAAAAGAATAATAAATAAAACAAAGAAAATGTAATTTTTATTAGAAATGCTAACTCCCCGAACGAACGAAAAAATTTTGTTCGCTCACGAAGAGAGGGTTAATTTTTTTTTTAAAAAATTATAAATTTTATAGTAGTTTTTTTTTTTCGAGATTAAAAAAAATCCCAATTCGCAAAAATTTGAAAGCAGATGCTAATTTAATTTATTAAATTTATCTTTAAAAATTCAACTCTTTAAAATTAAGCAGAACTAGCTAGAGATTTCACTATAATAGTTATCATTAAAAGCTTTTCATAAAAATTTTTTGTACTCTCATGGAGGATGGGTTTTTGCCCAAAAAATAGGGATTTTTCCAATGGCTTTGCTCACTCACGGAGGGGGAGGAGTAAGGAAATACTCTGGAAAAAGAAAAAGTAAAAATAAATTAATTTCACTCATAGAGAAGACAAAGGACGAGCTGAAATTGGTTGTAAAATTGCAAATTAGTATTTGCTGAGGCAGCATAAATTATTTTTTTCCAGTTAATCGTAAAGCATAAGAAAGGTGAATTATCATTTACTGAATTATAATTAATGCATTAACCATATCAGAAAGTTGAATAAGCGAAAATTTACATGCACAGGAAAGCTATTTGAATAAAAATACAGCTATTTAGGCTTGAAATTCCACATAAATGATCTCTGGCTTGAGCTTGATGATATGCTTCTCTCTATTTCATCCATCAGCTTATATTTCAAATTCTTCTTCGCTGCAGTATCAGGATGTGAAGGCAAGCAGGTAGTTGAGCCTTGCTGCAATCCAGCTACATACTCTGCAAACGTTTTACTTCTTTTATTATTTTTTATAGAAATTTTCCTTGATTTTTCAGACATATGTATATTGCTAATGCTTTTTCCTCTCGATTTTGTCGACGATTTAGATCTGAAGTAAAATTTTCCTACCCTAATGTTAGGGATATACGAATTTGATATAGACCTTTCCATTGGGTAAATTAGATCAAAATTAAGTTTCCTTATTTCTAGTTGGGATGCAGTTTTTGAATTTTTCTCATCTTTATAATTATGGGTTCCTTCTTTTATTTGAGTTTCTGAATCTTTTTGAGTACCTCGTTTTGGTGAAGCTTGAATATTTACTTCGGGCAAAGTTATTTTAATTTCTAACTCACCTCTTGGCTCTGGTTTTACTGGAAGTTTTGTAGTTAATTTATGTATTTCAATTCTTAAAGTCTTAGGAGAAGATATTGCGTTATTTCCTGGAGAAAGCGTTCTTGAGTTATTCTTATTACTGGAGCTTACAAATCCGAGAGAACTTTTACTCCTTACATGCTGGATCTGTCGTATCCTCAAGGACTTCATTTATAAGTTTTGTGTATACTGTGATATTATTAGAAATCTTTATAATAAAAAATAAATAGTTCTATTTCTTTTGATGATATTTATCTTGTATAAGGAAACAATAATTTATTATTTGGTTTTCAGCTTAAGCTGGATTTTCTTTAGAATTATTGAGGAAACCATATTATTGATATGAAAGTCATGATGAATTTAGGACTCTTATTGAATAGCTTGCGAGCTAAGCAAAACTCACATGAAATTGAAGCTCTTCTCCAAAAAGAAGATCTTACCCTTGAAGAACTATTAGACTTTGAAGACGAGCTTATCTACGAAACCAGAAACAAAAACTCTCATTTGCTTGAGTTCCTAATCCCAAATCAAGTGGAAAAAATGATACAATATATCACAATAGACCCCACAGACCTATCTAACTCCAAAGCCTGCTATAAATATCCATTTGTAGTCAATGAACTATTTTCCTTAGAGTGTGTGGAAATTTTGGATGCATTTTTTAACGAGCCCAAATTTCTTGAACAAATTTTCAACTTTTTAGAAACTCCTTCACTAAATTTACTTCTTGCTGGGTACTTCTCTCGAGTAATTCAATGCTTACTTAGTCGAAATAGCTATGAACTCTTATCTTTTCTATATGAAGGGCATCAGCACGGAAAAAAACTGCTAAACCACTTATACAGTAAAAGCATATGTGAACTGGTGGAGAAAATACTATGCTGTGAAGATCATGGGAATCCTGCTTATAAAAATGAGCTTTTATCCACAATTGACCAGATTTTAAATATCATCTCTCCTTCAAGCTTGCCGGAGACCTCTACAAATGCCAGCATTTTACTCAAAAATCTATTGTCTTCGAAACAAATGAATTCCAATTTTCATGAAATTTCATCTTATCTCTCAAATAATGTGCAAGATTAGGATTATTAAAGTCAGGTATTAGTCATATTGGTGACGCAGCCACCAAAAATCTACGTATAGGAGGCTCACCCGCATTGAGAAAAAATACCCAATATGTATAGCCGTAGCCGGTACAGTTGTCTTCTTACCTTTCGGTATCAGTCTTGAGTGGGCGGTTATGGATTTCTGCAGCCCTGCGACAAGCTATTGGAAGTAGCTTGATTTCAGGGATTAGTTCATTGGAGTCTATCTGGTGCCAGAGTGCCATTCTTTGGTAGCTACAGGAAAATGACCGTTCCATATGGCCCGGCCAAAAGCCCCATTTCTCGAGGATGCCCAAGGGTCAGAAGGACACTGCTGGGCACCTCCATTTCTAACCATAGATAGTGAAGCAGCCACAGCCTACCTGGATACGCATCTGCTGAGTTTCACTTGTTTCTCAGCTTCGAGTTCGTTCCAGCTAGCTGCAGCTTAAGATCTGGACTGCTGTGCAAGAGGGCAGATTGGCACATGTCGCCATATTAATGTTTAATAATGTGCAAGCAATTCGTAACATTTTTGAGATGCTTTTTCAAGATAATATCATAGTTTCAAGGTCAGCTGCAGTTGTTATAGAAGCTTTAGTGAATCAAATTACAGCCTGTGATGATGAAGTGGAAGGGCATACTGAGATTTCTCCATTGATTTCTTACATAGTACTAAATCTAGACAAATTCAAAGAAAGCTTAAGCAAAGAAAACGGCGTAAAAGTGAATACAACTTATAAAACGACCATTACTTCTGTTGGGGAAAACAAACTTAAAGTGATAGAAATCATAATTTCCTTAATAAAACTCGCCCATGAAGACTTGCTTGATTCTATTGCAGAAAGCTCAATATTAGAAAGCATCACAGTAATATATATGTAGAGTCTATTTATAAATCACCCTTGGAACTCTATTCTTCATAACCTATACGAAAAGCTTATCCAGTGCATTTTTAGTTCCAATCACGAAACACTCAGACAAGCTGTAATTTTTATATAGATTTTTACAAAAGCGAAGGTCCCACAAACTCTTATATCTTTATCTGGAAAAAAATATGAAGGAAATTTCCGTATGGGAATTCTTGGATATGTTACAAGACTAGCTAACTTAATTAACTCTAATTTGAAAGATAGTGAAGATATAGAAGGCTGGACAGATTTTATGAAAACTTATATTTCTTTTAGGAATGAAACTGAATCAAAAGTATTAGGAGGAAGATCAAGAATGATGAGCTTTGATATGACTGAACATACTCATAATGAAAATGAGGGCGATGCTTTTCAAGATATGAACTTCAATTGTGAATATCAATTAATCATACAAGAGGAAGATGAATACAAGCAGGAAGCCAGTACACTTCCGAAAGTTGAGCCTCTACATCAAGTTAATAATTTTTCTGATGTCAATTTTTGGAAAATTTACACAAACCCAGACTGTCTTGAAGATATTGACTAATAGATTTCTTATTTCTCTAATTGCTTTATAAATTTAAGATAGAAAGGATATAGAAAAGCCTTTGCATTGCAAAACAATTATTTTCAATTAATTATGTTGAAAGTCTTTGGACTGTTTGAAGTAAAAATACCAAGGTCTCAACCTCTTTTTAATAATCTAAATATAATAATAAAAAAATAACTTACATTTTAAAAGTAGGCATAATCATTGAATTAAACAAAATTAAAAAATCCTAGTTTTTATTAATTTTCCTCTGATATAAATAAAGAGCTTCTGCGATCCAATATATTTATTTTGATATCTTGGACTTTTTTGAGTTACTTTCTCATCATCCAAGCATTTTCTGACCATTTTCTGACCATTTTCTGACCATTTTTAGCCAACCTTATACGTTAAAAATTTTAGTTAAATTGGCTCATGAATTCTCTTAATGCCTATATTAAATTAGTCGGGCGACATAAATATAATAATATGGATAGCCTTTATATCTCATCAAACCAAGTAACCTCCTCAAAGAAGAAGCTTGCTTTTCAGGCATTAGCTCTTCTTGCTGTTGTTGGAGTTATAGCAACAGTTGCTGTCGCGTATACTCGTTCCCCATCAGCTTTGATTCTACATGAATTAGAAGTGGAAGAACAAGAGTTCCAAGTCTTTATGTCAAAATACCAAAAGGTTTATGCAACCCCAGAAGAGTATCATACCAGATTCCAAATTTTCCGCGACAATGCTGCTTTTGCTAGAGTTCATAACTCCCAAGAAAAATCATGGTCTCTCGGAGTTAATCAATTTTCTGACCTGACTTCAGAAGAATTCAAGAACAAGTACACTCCTTACAAGTTCCCTCAATATAGTGCTTCTCCATTCGTTGAAGAAAACGAAGACCTTACTCACCCTCTGTGAGTAAATAAAACAAATTTGTTTGCTCAGGGTTTTGTTTTTTAAAAAATTTTATAGTAAAATTTTTTCGAAATTTAAAAAATCTAATTTGGAAAATTTTGGAAAGCAAATATAAATTTAAATTGTAAAATTTATGTTTTAAAATGCATTCGCTCAAAATTAAACAGAATTAGCTAAAGATTTTATTATACTAATTATCACCTATATATCAAAACTTTTTTCATAAAAATTTTTGGGGTTTGGGCAAAAAATATAGAGTTTTGTTCACTCGGGGTGAGTTAGCATTCCAAGCACTGTAGATTGGAGACAAAAAGGCGCAGTAACTGCAGTTAAGAATCAAGGGGACTGTGGAAGCTGTTGGTCATTCTCCACAACAGGAGCAGTTGAAGGAGCTTGGTTCCTCGGCGGCCATAGCCTTGTTTCTCTATCCGAGCAAGAGCTAGTTGATTGCTCAACCTCTTATGGAAATGCAGGCTGCAATGGTGGACTTATGACAAGCGCTTTCAAGTTTGCTATTGCCAATGGCTTAACTACTGAAGCAAATTACCCTTATACTGCCAAAAACGGACAATGCAATACGTCACTTGAAAAGCAAATAGCTGCCAAAATTACTACTTATAGCAATGTATCTCCTAACAACTCAAACGCTCTATTGCAAGCTGTAGCTCAGCAGCCGGTTTCAGTAGCAGTCCAAGCTAACCAAAGAGCATGGCAGTCATCCTACAATAAACTGAATTAAGCATTAATATGGTCATTGTAGTGCAATTCTTTTTTATATTTTAGTATAGGTATTAATCAGAATTACTAAGATCTGGCATATACACTGGAGGAATTGTAACAGCAGATTGCGGAACTGATCTAGATCACGGTGTCCTTATTGTAGGATATGATAATACTAATAGCCCTCCTTATTGGATTGTCAAGAACTCATGGGGCGCAAGCTGGGGAGAGGAAGGATATATCAGAATCGGAATCCAGACTGGCTTAACTTAACTTAACTTAACTTAACTTATTAGCCATCACGTTTAACGTCTCCTACGGGGTTGCTCTTCCAGGACTACCACCACGCTCTCGTCGCCCGGGGCCCACTAGTTGCTGGGACAGCTAGCTTCGATCTCTAACGTGCGCCTCCTGCGCGATGTTCCGGCTTCGACAGCTCATGAATGAGCTACTTTCTCTGTAACGAAGGTTGCCTGCTGAGAAATTCCAAAAAATGGAATTTCTGGCCGACTTTCGGCAAAAAAAGGGAAAACTTGCACCCGGGCGAAACTCCCGGTTTCTCGCTAGAGACTTGCCCGAATGGCCTAGGAATTACCTGTAGGCATTACTGGGCTTCCCCTTTCCAACTCCAAGCCTCCTTTTCCTTCGAGGTAAAATCCTAACCCGAGAACAGACTGGGATCAGGCTCTGTACTCTGCCAGAATTGCTTACCTGATATTGCTGTCCATCTCTAGCTAGGCAAAACCTTGCCGGATATAATTATAGGGCTCGAAACTATCTGGCCGAAAGGCCAGACCCAAGTTGAGACGCCATATTTAATTAATTATGGAATCCAGACTGGCAAAGGACTTTGTGGAATCAACATGACTCCTTCATATCCAACTGCTTAATAATTCTTAGAAATTATTTTATTATAAGTCACTTCTAATCAAAAACTACTTTAAAAATCATATTTATATCAAAATGCTAAATCCTTAAAAACCTCACTCATTTTGCTGCTTTTGATAGCAATTTTATTAAATTAACTAATTTAAAATTCTATTTCCATTAAAAACAAACAATTTAGAATTAACGCTTATAACACCCTTAATGCATTTTAGCAATTAAAACCATAATTTATTAAATTTCTCAAATTTTAATGTTCAATTTCTACTTTTCGTCAACTTTATTCCCTTTCACCTCTTCTGCTTTTAAATTCAAAAAAATTTTCTCATAAGATAACTGCATATATTAATATGGGCTGCTGTGAGTCAAATACTGAGCGTGGTGAGCTTAATTTTACCTCAAACCTAACTATAACAACTCAAGCTGAGTTTCAAAGGCTTAAAAGTGAAGACGGATTCAACGATATCAGCCTAAGCTCACCCGTAGAATTTCATGAATACAATAGCTGAGCAAGTGAAAAGACAAATTTTTCTAGAAAAGACGGAGATTCATCACCAAGTACTTCTCGATCGACTTGTTTTTCTTTCCATAGAACTGAAAACGAATTGGCTTTTTTGATTACTTCAAACCTCACAAAAAAGCCAATGTTTCAAAGGTACGAATTAACGAAGTTTAATTCTTATGAATAATTTAATGAAGCTTTATCACACAAATCAAGATAATTATTTCGCATAAAGAAAGCAGATAATTAATTTTATTATATTGATAAATTAATAAACTATTTTATTAATATAGGCTAAAAAGTCAATTATGATTTTTATTCTTTTTTATAAAAATTATAGTGTCTACACTATCTAATAATTTTTGAGCAAAGGAAGATGATTTTACACGAAATTATTTTAATTTTTTATTGCATCACATTTTGTTCTCTATTGGTTTTTATATCTGCTACTTTCGATTTTGAAGTTAGCTATTTCGGAAAGAACCAAATTATCGGTATCATAATGGTAATAAGGATATTTAAGGTTGCTGGCTATAATTTGCCTCGTAAAAAATTACATATTTAAATATATTAAGTTATTCGTCATTTATTTTTGGAGCTAAATAATATTTCATCACTCCTATCTCAAAGTCAAATCTCAGTATCAATGGCAAGTCTTCTGACACTGACAAGATTGCTTGACTTCCTAAAACTGAAGCTTTATTAAACAAATTCAAATATCTCAGCGCAAAGCTTGCATTCACTCCATTTGTCACATCAATAATTGTCCTTTGTTCTCCAAGCTGTCTATGTTTCAACGAAATCGCGCCTCTTCCTGAATCCCCATTCACACTAAAAACCACCCTTTCTTTATTTACATCAACATTCAAAGTATCGCTCATTTGACTGAGTTCTCTGCAAATTCTGCAGAATTCGCTGCTTGGTAGTTGTATTACAGCTGCATATTCTTGCTCAGGGATTCCCATATGTTCAGTATCCAAGCTCAATAGATTCAAATTAAACTCACTGAGTTTATCGTCATTTTTCCCTTCAAAAATAAAAGTAATGACGCTGGCTTGGTCTTCAGCACGAATTGTGATGGAATCATCATTATCGGCACATTTAATTATTTTCGATAGGTTTGAGATAGAGATTCCTAGTGTTTGAGCTCTGTGGCATTGATATTCTTCAAAATCAGAAGCTCGGAGGAAAAATGTGACGAGAGCAACATGGGAGGCATCCATTGCTTGGAGAGCGATTCCTTCTGGGTTGATTTCAAGGTTGACATCTGTGACTAGCTCTTTTAAGGCTTCAATAATTTTCTTTAAAATTGCTGCTTGTTTGAATCTTGCTTCGAACATTTTTTATTTTTATAATTAAGCCCCATTTTTTGGGATTTTATATAAAATTTATTGTTAAAATAAATTTGTAAACTAATTTTGATAGATAAGCTGGGAGAGTTAGATAAAAAGCGACTCCACAGGGAATTGAACCCCGACTATAAGCTCCGTAGGCTCACGTGCTAACCCTTACACCATGGAGCCGTGTGTATTTGCTAATAATAATTAATGCTTAAATTTGCTAAAGAGAAATTTTTTCTTCCAAAGGATTGCGTTTACCTAAAATTTCGTGAAATCAGATAAAGTATCAATTTTTTTTTATATTCTTATTCTTTTTGTAAAACCCTACTCCCATTTAAAATCCAGCTGATCTTTAGTTTTTTGGCTCTATGAAATCTTTTGACATATGCATGCTTAAAATATTTTATATGTCATAAACCATTTTTCTTATTAAAAACGACGGAATTAAAATATAATAAAACTCGGTTCTGCTTCTTTCCATGCATCAAGTCCACCTTTCAAGTAGCTTGCTTCTATTCCTCTTGCTTCAACTTTCTCTACAGCTCTAGCTGAATCTGCTCCAGTTTTGCACACAAACACTAAAGGCTCATTTGAACTGAAAATTTCACTTGAATTTTCTACATCGTGAATTGGAATATGAATTGAGTTTTCTATATGGCAAATATTGAAATGATTCGAATTTCTCACATCAATAATTTGCACTCTTTTTAGTTCTATTAATCTTTTTAATTCTGCGCAATTTATTTCCTTGTCTGGGATGCTTGGGATAGCTGGAATTTGTCCCAGAAATTCAGCATAGTTGAAGGTGTGAGGATTTATTTGGCCACTACAAGCTGGGCAGGTGGGACTTGTGTCTCTTAGCTGAAAGAGTTTAAATTGGCAAGATAAACCATCGTACATTAGGAGCTTTCGAGACAATACAGGTAGCCCAAGGATGAGTTTGATTGTTTCTATAGCTTGAAGAGTGCCGATTACGCCTGGGATCGGGCCTAAAACTCCTATGTCTGATGCTTTAGACCAAGCATGCCGAGGTGTTGGCTGGGGGAATAAACATCTTATGCAAGGAGATGGAGAAAATACAGTAAGCTGACCTTCCCACCTAAGCGCACTACCTGATATCACAGGTTTCTTATAATAAACTCCTAAATCACTTATTAGATATCGGCTTTCTACGTTATCAGTCGCAATAACAATAATGTCATATCCTGGAACAATACTGGCACTTGATTCTCCAGTTAGCCATTGTGTATAAATTTCCAACTTAATTTCTGGGTTTAATTCTTGCAATAATCGCCTTGCACTTTCTGCTTTATTTATCTTTAAATTGTTAGAAGAATGAATAATTTGACGATGAAGATTAATGGTCTCGACTACGTCGCCATCAACTATTCCAATTGTTCCAATCCCTGCACCAGCTAAATATAAAAGTAATGGAGATCCAAGTCCTCCAGCTCCAATTACAAGAACTTTTGCAGATTTTAGTTTTTTCTGTCCTTCAAGACCAAATTCTCTTAATAGAATCTGCCTATGATACCTTTCAATTTCAGCTGGAGATAATTCGGCTTCTACCATTATATTTAATATAAAATTACTAAATTTAAGATTTCAGAGTTTATACTGCTCAAGATAAAATTAATCCTCATTAATTATAAAAAGATTTTACTATCATTAGGCATATTTTCTTAAAGCTATCTCTATAATTTTCATTATTTTTTTAATCATTCTAATTTTTTAAAATTAATTATAACGATTTCGCTACCCCTTAAAGCTGTTTTTCAGTTAAATTTTAATATGAAGTCTGATGGAAAAAACTATAAGCTTGACAATGATACCCTTGATCTTCAAATAGATAGATTAAATTCGACAATACAGTCCATGATGATTGGCATCCAGTCAGATAAAGAGAGATCGTTTGAAGGATATTCCGATTTTAAGCCGCGCTCAAAAAGAAATTGCACTTATATGATGTCATTAGAAAGTGAGCCTGACTTAATCGCAAGCGATCGTGAATGAGTATGTGATACAGTCCAAGATGAAGAAATTTTGGATAATATTGAAGGACTAATTTTGAATTTGGATAGGGTATCAATGACTTTAGAAGACTATAGATCTCATGAAATGAGAGCTATTGAAGAGCTTGAATATGAAAATCTAGAAGAAAATAAGTTTCGGTATGAAATAAAATGCTCTCTCAATGATATTTACAAACTAATTTCAGATGCTAACTCCCTCTTCTGTGAGCCAACAAAATTTTTTGCTCTCTGTTTAATTTTTTTTTATAAAATATGTTTTTTGAAATTTAAAAAATTCCAATTCGTAAGCATTAATTTATTTGTAAAATTCATGTTTCAAAATGGAAGCTGTTTAGGATAAGCAGAATTAGCTAGAGATTTCATTATAATAATTATCACTTATATATCAAAATTTGTTTTTCATAAATTAAAAAATTTTTGTTCTCACGGAGGTGATTTTACCGAAAAAAAAGGATTTTTTCAATTGTTTTGTTCGCTCACGGAGTAAGCAAATTATTGATGATACAGAAACAAATAAAGTCTATCACGGAGAGTTAAAATTTGGGGAAATTTCTATGAATGTTTCTATTGAACATCTCGATCTAATTATTCCTGATAAGTCAAATTTGACTCAAGAAATTCTGAACCATCTTTCTGTTAAAACTTTAACAAATCAAAAAAGTATATCGTTAGAACAAGCCTGTATAAGTCAGTTGGAAAATGAAATAGAAGAATTAAAAAGAAAAAGTTTAATCCCTGAAGATGTGTTTGATTTTGGAAAAGCGTTGAAAAATAGCATTACAGAGACTTACGAGAGATCATTTGATGACTATTCTGCAAGCTTCAATAGTGAAAACTCTTTGGAGCTAACTAAAAGTACACTTGATCTTTTCTCTAAAACCGAAAGGCCGGCTTTTCACTTACTCCCCATTTGTTTAACTCCCCCCCCCTCCGTGAGTGAACAAAAAAATTTTGTTTATTCACGGAGGGGGGTTAATGTTTTTTTTTTAAAAAAATTTATATATAAATTTTCTAAAAAATTTTTATTTTCGAAATTTTAAAAAATCCTAATTTGCAAAAATTGGGAAAGCAAATATTAATTTAATTTATAAAATTTATGTTTTAAAATGCAATTTGTTTAAAATTAAACAGAATTAGCTCTAGATTTCATTATATTAATTATCATTTATATATCAAAATTTTTTTCCATAAAAAATTTTTGTTCACTCACGGAGGGTGGGTTTTTGGGCAAAAAACAGCGATTTTTCTAATGGTTTTGTTCACTCACGGAGGGAGGGGGAGTAAGAAAAAAATGTCGCAAAAATTCTGTTTTTTGGGAATTAAAAAATTTTTTTGATATAAATTAAATAGATTTTATTTCAAATTATTTATCAACTTGGATTTTTTAAATTTCTGAAAAAAAATATACTCTCTCTTTAGCAGACAGAAAACTCTGCTCTAATCAAAGGTGAGCTAGATCTCCAAAAACTCAAAAAAAATGAAAAAATAAAAGAAGAGCTGGAATGGCAAATTAATGAGGTCCAAGTCATAAAAAATCAATATAATAAAAAACTAAATCAACTATTACAGCAGACTGATTTATTTCAACAACAAGCTAATTTAATAAAAATTAAAACAGCAGAGTTGGAAAAAGATATCAGCAAATTTAATGAAGAAAAAAGGATCTTTGAAGAAAAACAAGTAAAAATAAAGGATGAGATTAAATCCACCTTTATTCAGCACAGCAGAGAGCCTTCAGGAGAATGACTAAGAACTATTAAAGGCCGTCATAAAACAGAAAAAAGTTATTTGGACTTAAGAGATAGCACTCCAGATCCAATTACTGATGAAAATGCTCAAGCATTATATGAAGAGCTTCAAAAAGCCCAAGCTTTATTGCAAGGCACAATCCCTGAAAACGCTGATTCTGTGGTGATAAAAATAAATCGCATAAAAACCCAGATATCAAATTTACGCTCTGCTAAGGCTTTGAATAATTTCCAGGTACATTCAAACTCTATAAAAAATGCAATACATAGTATGGAAAAGCAGTTTGAAACTCGTGACATCAGAAAAGCATCTCCTGCACCAAAAATGCCTATGATTTCATCCATTACCCCAGAGCCTATATCTGATAATACCAAAATATTCCATAAATTGGAAAATTTAGACAAGTCGCCTAAACCTCTACCTCATGATAAACTTATTAATTCAGTTTCTGAGGCAAATTTAAATGTCAAACCTCCAATCCCAAATCCAAAAATTATAAAGAATTCTAACCTTGCAATAGATTCAGAGATAGAAAACCTTAAAAAACATTTAAGGCTTAAAGAAATTAGATTAGAAGAAAAAGAAAAAGAAATTTTTGACAAAGAAATGAGGCTTCATAAGACATGGATGAAGCAGCCTGATGCCAATCAACTGATACCGATGGTACAGAAAGAGTTGATTTTCATACAAAATTTGAAGCAAAATTTAGAGTTAAAGCAAAAAGAAATAGAAAGGGACCAGTTTTTGCTATTGAAAAAATTATACTAAATGCATATGAATAATTTTTGTAAAAATGACAGATTTGTTAGGCATTTTCTTTAATAGCCCCGGGTGCTATAAATTATCAGAATTGTCCGACAATACTCATAAGGGATAGATCAAATCAAGAAAAAAGAAGAGTTTCTGCTCGAAAAAGAAACTAAAATTGACTATGAAGTTGAATTAAAGAAGCGAGAATTATCAGAAAAAACGCAAGCAGTCTATCAGTTATTAACATGTTTATAATTGACAATTAATTTTAATTCTACTGCTTTTATTATCTTTTGTTATAACTGCTGCCCATTATACATTCAATAAAAATTTGTTTGCTTGCAGGGCTTAAAAAATTATATATATAATTTTCGTAATTTTTTTTCTCGATTTTTTAAAATCTTAATTCGGAAAAGTTGGAAAGCAAATATTTATTTAATTTGTGAAATTTATGTTTTAAAATGCAAGCTGTTAAAAATTAAACAGAATTAGCTAAAGATTTCATTATAATCATTTTCACTCATATATCATTTTTTTTTCATAAAAAATATTTTATTCGCTAGATTTTTAGGCAAAAAATATGGATTATCCAATTGTTTTGTTCACTTACAGAAGGGGGGAGTAATATCTCAAATTCTATATAAAGTTTTTAAATCTAATTTTAATCTCTTTATGGGTTACAAATTTTTGTATATTCGCAGTTGCAAAGAATTGAAACTTATAATCAAATTTAATTTATAGGTAAATCCTATAAATTGGCTGGACATGGGCTTATAGATGAATTGAGGAGTTCTCCAGTTGGTCGAACCGACTGAAGAGTTGGTAATTGAATAATAAGAGGCTCAATTACCAATTTTCCAGTTTTTTTGATCAATTTGAGCTGTCCTCACCAACTGGAGAGCTCCTATCTTCATCCATAGCCCATATTAGGCAATTTATAGGATTTACCTATATAAATTTATGCTTTTGATATAATGTCTAAATATAATAATTTCTCTGATAGTTTTTTATGATAATTATTAGTAGCATAGCAAATATTTATATAAAAAATATTATTGCCATTGAAAGGTGAATTTTCTCAAAACTCAAGAATATTTTTGATTACTGTTCTCTCACTAAAGGATTAGCAGTTTGTTTTTTTAATTATTATTATCTTAATGATTTATTTTATATTTTGGCTCTCCATCTATGAAGCTCTACTAAAATTTCCACAGGAAGAGCTGACATTTCTTCTCTTTCTACAAACTCTGCATAATTTTCAATGAAATACTCTATGATTTTCTTCTTCATCACTGCAGCTTGCATTTGATGCGCAATATTTAAGTACTCAAAAACATTTTCCTTTGATATTATATCATCAATTGAAGCGCCTATAATATCTTTTAAATCTGGATTTGTAAGCTGAAGATAATCAGCATAAGGGACTAATTGTGACTGCTCTTCTATAGAAATTTCTTTTATTCCTTGAGACCCTAAATAAATGTATACGAACATATATGCACATTGTATTTATATATGAATTTAATCTCTAATTTTTTATATGTTAATGAATGATATGCATAAAAATTAATTTGAGATTTTCTAAGCATGTAATATATTTTGTTAACGGGATTAAAGCTTCTATAGGGACAGTATCAATTTGAATTTGATTTTCTTGAGACTCTGCAAATGGGTTTAATATTAATGATCTAAAAAAGATGCTCCCAGAAACCATCATAAAAGAATGCACCTTTATTTCTCCTCCCTCTGCTATTAATGTAAGATCTTTTGATTGATCATCATTATGTAAAAGCTCCAAACTGTTATACAAGCTATTCTCTTCATCAAATATCAAAAATTTACCTTCTTCTTTAACTTTTTTATCTTTTTTCTTTTTTAATTGGTTTTGCACGTCTATATTGACAATGCTTTCAACTTTTTGTGGCGAATAAATTCTTTTCCTTTGCAAATCCTCAAAAAATTCTACTATATATTTTATATAAGAAAAATATAGTTTTTCTGTGAGCTTTTCTAAATTTTCAGAAGCTATGCCTAATATCAATAAATATAGCATTTTACCAGTCAACCGTTATCATACTTAAAATGAAAATATAATAACAGATACCAGTTGAAATGTCTATATTTATTATAATTAGGCGTATCATACTTGATAATTCTGGCCTATGCCCTTGCTCGTGAATATATTTAGCTCTATTAGCTCTAAGTTCATTTCTATGCAAAATACCGCCTATACTATTTTGACTAAGACAGTTTGTAACTTCTATAACATTTTCATGAGATACATTATAAAATAAATATAAAATTATCTTGGTCATTAATGATGAAATTCCATATTTCGTCGCGATTGATAGGAGATTCAAAGCATCTGTTGTATTTAATGTCATATCAAGCTCATCTTTATATATAAAACTGCATAAAGCTCTTCCTATTTTGATACTGCAAGGAACTCTTATTAATTTTTGGTTTCCAAATTGCTCAATAAATTGATGAAGCAAAGGCACTCTAAATTTCAATAAGGACTGCTGAGAATATAATTCGCCATCTTCAAAAATCAACCTTGTGTCAGCATGAGTGCCAGGTCTATCTAACCATTCTTCCAATTGCAATAGAGGCGATCTATAAACAGGTAAATAGTCAGCTAGCCTATAGACTAAAGTATCATTTGACCTATTATTTGTATCTTGGTTTAAATTTCCTCCGAATAAAACAATATATTCATCACATAGTACAGATGAGTGAAAATTTCTTGGTGGCTGTGCAGGGCCTCTTTGAGCCACTTCGGTTCATTCATTTTTTGTTAAGCAGTATTTTCATAGATCGGCATATCGTTTTTCAAGGCCTCCTCCAAATAAGTAAATCTCATTTCCGCAGATTTCTGCTGTGTGGCATGATCTTCCTGAAGGAACAATATTATTAGAAATTTGAGACCATGTAAAAGTAGAATCTAATGTTCAAACATCGCCATAATGGGAAGTAGTATCTCCTCCGCCAATAATCAGCATTTTATCTCCATAGCATAAAGCGCTGTGTTTGTATCTTATAGGTGGAGAAGTGCCTTTTGTTTTTACTTTTTGCCAGATAAGATTGCTTAAGTCAAGTAAATACAAATCACCGAAAAATTTGAACCCATCTGATCCGCCAAAAATAAGCAAATTACCATTAATGCATTGCATAGAATGTCCATATCTTGCACTTGGAGCTTCTCCAATACATAAAACTTCATTTCACGCCTTAGTACTAATGGTATATTTGAACAAATCAGCTTTATTAGAATATCCAAAATGCTGCCCACTACCTCCAAAAATATATATCCTGAGCCTCCTTTTTGCTTTCACAATATATATCTCCTGTAGCAAGTGGATTTGCCTCTGGAGTTGATTTCCAACATTCAGTTGATATCGGAAGATATCGATATAGCCCGAAAAAAGAAGTCTTGGATAATACATACAACCAGTTTGCTTATTAATAGCAGCTGCATGAGAGCATCTTGGTGAAGGCATATTAGGGCCTGGACTGGATTCTTCATGAAGTTTTGTTCATGTTTGTGTATAGAGATCTAGACACCCAAGCTCATTTAAGACTGTGTTTCCATCAAATCCACCAAAAACATACATTTCTCGACCTTTGTACTGTACAGCTGAATGGCCGCTTTTTGGTCGAGGCAGATCTCCTTTGCAGTTTATTGTTGACCAGTATCCTCTAGGGATCCCAATGTCAAGTCTTTCCATTTAGAAATTATAAAATTCTAAAATTTTATTGTAAAATACTAAATATTAAAGATTTTTAATATTAGAAAGCTTATTTAAGCTAATTAAAAATAAACTTTTCAATTTTTAATAAAAGATTTTATTTAGATTTTAAAATTAAAATATTTGAAAGTTGAAAATACGTAATAGCCAAGTTTATACGTCATAGAAGTTTGCAGGGAGAAACCAAATCTCCTTTTTGCTAAACTTGATTAAAATAAATTTATATTCATTTAAATGTAATAATTTTTCTTAAAATATGACAGACTCTCCAATTCGAACACATGGATCAGCAGACTTTGTAAACCGAAGAAATTCGGCATTTAATTCTAAACGAAATTCGCCTCGAGTTTTTCTAACTCCAAGAACTCTATCAAGCACAGTTCCAAAGCCGCGAGTTCCACATTTAGTCATGAACAATATTCCTACATATGAGCAGGCAAGTTTGGATATGATGTACAAAAAAACTGAAAGAGATTGCAGCATTCTCGAGGATTTATTGATAAACCAAAGCTCAAGAACATTTGATGAGAGACTAGTAAAGAGGGTTGAAGGAGAAATTCAAAGAATCGATGGCAGCTTTTCTTTTAATATAGATGAAGAGTCATTTGAAAATACTATCAAATATATACAAAAGGCTGTCGATAAGCTGCTCATAGAAAAAAATGATATTGAAAAAACCAAAGAGAATTTAAATAAAATCGCTTTAAGTTTGAATTCATCATCCACAGAGTCATGATCAGCTAAAAAAGGGAAAGAAATTTTAGAAGAAATGAAAAACAGCATGGAAATCGAATATGAAGAAATCAAAAGAGCAAAAATCAAACTAGCAGAAACAGAAAAATTTTTAGCAAAATATGATGCATTGCTTAAAGAAAAAGAAAAGAAAATTAAAGAAAGGCAAGATCAAGCGAATAAAATGTTTGAAGAAAATCTGGAAAATAAAAATAAGGCCATAGAAAAAGAAGAAAGATTAGAAGATACTGAAAAAGAGCTGAAAGAAAGAGAAAAAATAGTAAAAATGAAAGAAACCGAATTGAAAATCAAAGAAAGTGAATTAAATGAGCTTGACATGAGAATAAATGAAATGGAAACAGAAATAAAAGAAAATCAAAAAGAAACTGAAAAAGAAATCAGGGAAAGAGAAAAAAATTGTTATGAAAAGGAGCAGGATTTAAAAGAGCGAGAACGAAAAATCATGGAGAGAGAAAAAATGATTGAATATAGAGAAGAAAAACTAAATGAAAGGGAAAAAAGATTTGATGAGATTGATAGAAAAATTTCTGAAAAGGAAAGAGAAGTAGCAGAAAAAGAAAAGCTTATAAGAAAAAAAGAGAAAAAAAATAGCCAAAAAGAATTTGATTTAATTTCAATAAAAGAAAAAAATGACACTGAGTATATGATGAAACAAAAAGATATTGATAAAAAATTAAGTGAAATAAAGCTTATTGAGTTTTCTTTGAGCGAAAAAGAAAAGAAAATCAACGAAAAGGATATCGAATTAGATCGACAAAGATTTTTATTAGAAAAATCCAAAGAATCATTCGTAGCAGAAAAAGAAGAGTTTGAGATTTATCAAAAGCAGCAAGAGGAAGAAAATAATTTCATGAAAGAGAAAATATCAGAACAAATGAAAAAAGCAGAGGAGCTAAAAGAAAATGGTGAAAATAAAATTCAGATCTATGAAAAGAAAGCAAAAGATCTTGATATAGAAAAAGAATTTCTGCAAAAAGATTATGAAAATAAGCTTGAAGTCTTGAAAAGCAAAAGCGAATTATATGAAAATATGAAGCTTGATTTAAAGCAAAAAGAGGCAGATTTTGAAAATTTCAAAAAAAATTACTATGAGGCTGTAGAAAAAGAAATTGAAAATAAATATTTTAGAAAAGAGCAAGAAAAAACAGAAGAGTTTGAAAATTATGAAAAGGATCTCAAAAATATTATCGAGACACAAAAGCTCGAAATAGAAAGCTACATAAATCATCTAAAAGAATCTGATAGTTATATTTCTGCTTATCAAGACACAATTAAAAAGCAAAAATCTGAACTTGAAGAAAAAATGCTTTTCCAAAAAGATGATACCGAAATAAATGCATTACAATCGGAAATTATATCATTAAAGCAACTATTAGAAGACTCTAAAAAGAAAAATATTGACCTTGAAGCTATTCTTTCACGAGATAGAAGACAAATGAAGGAAGCTATCAAAAAGGAGGTATTAGAGGAATGCCAAGAAAAGCTAAGCCTAGTCCAACAAAGGGAAAATGGCATAAACATCATGATCTCTAATTTAGAAATAGAAAACAGGGAAATTGAAGAAAAAACAGAAGAATTAAAGAAAAAAGAAATTGAAATAAATACAGAAAAAGAAAAAATTAAGGAAGCTCAAATTAACTTAAAAAAAGAGCATGAAATGCTTAAGGCTAAAGAAGAAAGTTTAAATAAGCTGGAATATGATGTGCATTTGAAGAGGAATGAAATGATGGCACAAGAAAAAACTTTAATTGAAAAAGAAAGAGCATGTGCGTTCAACACTAAAGAAAAAACTACTGATGATTTTACTAACTCCCTCCCTCAGTGAGTAAACAAAAAAGTTTGTTTGTTATGGAGGGTTTTTTTTTTTAAAATTTAAATATATTAAAAATCCCAATTTGCAAAAATGGAAACCAAATAGTAAAATTTATATTTTAAAATGCGAGGTATTTAAAATTAAATAGGATGAGCTAGAAATTTCATTATAATAATTATCATTATCTATCATAATTTTTATATTAAATAAATTTTTTGTTGATCACAGAGAGTGGGCTTCTATGTAAAAAAAAGGAATTTTTCTAATGGTTTTGTTCGCTCACGGAAGGGGTAGTAAGCATAACTTGCTGACTGGAAAAGGACTTAATTTTATAAGCCGAAAATCAAATCCGGGAAAAGGAGTTCCTATTAACCTTGATAAGCTTTTGCAAAGTAAAGAAGAAAATAGCGATGAAGAAAACTTATAACGATCTTAATCATTTACATTTTTTATTGGTTAAAAATAATGTGAAATTGATAAAATTCTTAATAATTCAGATTCATAATTTATATATCACCAAATTATTTAATTGATAAGATATTATTTATTATATTAAAAATCAGCAAGCTTCATTTCGCTTTGCTTATTCTTCCCCATCCATCTTCTTGCCTTTACTGCAACTAAATCCCACAAGCATATGTAGTCATGACATCTTTCATCTAAAACAGCTACAACCAATGCAGTTGTTCTTTTGTCATTCATATTTGTTATATCAATTTTAGAACAAACCAAATTATTGATAATATCAGATAGATCAGATGATGAACTCCAATGTCCATCAATCTTTTGTAAATGCATCAGTTTTTCGACTTCATATCCAACATCAATGCACGGATTTGAGCATGGTGTATATGCTGGCGGGCTTATTGGTGTTTGTGGCTGAGTTGTCTGCTCACTTGCAGTGTTAATATCATTAGGATTTTTTATTTTTTTGGTTGGTGGGTCAGGGTTGTCATTTTTACCTCTTCCTCTTTTTTGTGGAAATACAGTGACGTCTATTTTTCTTTGAGGCTTTTTAGGTGATTTTGCTGTGATATTTTGAGATTCTTCCTTATCTATCTCTTTTTTAGGTTTGGTTTGCTTCTTCACTTGAGTTTGATTTGCTGAGATTTTTTTCCCCGACCTTGTAACTCTTGTTGGCATTTCTTCTTCACTTTCTTCTTTTTTAGCTACTTTAAAAGGTGTCTTAGCTTGTTTCTTTACTTTTTTTGGTTCAATTTTCTTTTCAGAGAATTTTCTACCAGATCGTGTTCTTCGTGATGGTTGCTCTTCTTCACTTTCGCTCTCTTCTTTTACGACTGCTTGCTTTTTCCCTCTACCTTTTGGCTTCTTTTCTTCTTCTTCTTCAATATCCATTTTTTCATTATCAATTTTTTTGATTGCTTCTTGTATATCTACATCTCTTACAGTAATTCTTTTATTATCATCAGCAACATCATTTGACATTGTAAAGACTTCAATTAAATATGCCTCCGCAGCTTCTTGGAATGCTTTGTAAGCATCTTGTTTGATTCTCATATTGGGAACTACATCATCAGAAAAATCTCTGACAATTCTTTGTATTTTATTTTTTGGAATCATAAATTGATCGATTTTCATGGCTTGTTTTATTAGTTTTTTCTGAGCAACTCTTCGTCTTTTTGTTGCTGGTGTAGGAATGGCTGCTTCAGGTACTTTCTTTGAGCTTCGGAGTGTCCGTGCTGTAGCTGGACTTTGAGGATCTTGCTGTTTTGCTTGAGGCTGAGGTTTTTTAGCTCGAGCAACTTTAGGTTTTACTGCCCTTTTAACTCTTGAAGCAGCTCTAGGTGGTATTACTGCATTTCCAAACAATCCTCCAGTATTTGCTGTATTTCCAAACATTCCTCCTTGATTGGTTGTATTTCCAAATAACCCACCTTGATTTTGTGCATTTCCAAATAGCCCACCCTGATTTGCTGTGTTTCCAAATAGTCCTCCTTGATTTGCTGTGTTTCCAAATAGCCCACCCTGAAAAGCTGTATTTCCAAATAATCCACCGGTTCCAAATACACTAGCAGGCTTTTTCAGGTATTTTACTAGACCTGGAATTCCAAGATAATCGATTACTTTTAGATTCATCCTTTCATTATTGCCACCAAGAGATCCAGTCCAATTTTTCCCTTCAATTGCTATTATTGCACTGTGACTAACAATCTCATCCTGGTTTATTTCAATGTCAACATTTTCATTGACTCCTATAATTTCGCTATAATATTGGAAATAAATTTTCTCAGGGAATACTCCTGCCTTCCATATACCAGCAATATCAATAGAGCTTCCAGCATATATGTGGAAAGGAGTGCTTGGGTTTACAAAATCAAATTTGCTGTAATCTGAAAGTTGGATATTGGTAAGAGCAGGAATTAAAGATTGCTTAAGTGAGCCAATAACAGCTGGTTTAATTTCATTTTCAGTTTTGATTCTATATGCAACTCCATTTCCTTCTTTTGCAGCTTGATTTATTAAAATTTCATAATCATTTCCAATGCCAATTGTGCTGATTCTAGCCCCATCTCTTTTGTCTTTAATTATATTTAAAACTTGGTCTCTTCTCTCAACGTCTCCATCAGTCAATAAAAAGATACTCAATGGATATCCTGGCTTTCTTGGAGATTCTAATACAAATTTGATAGGGTCGTAGATGTTTGTTCCTCCCATATTAGCATCATATTGAATTACTGTTCTAGTAGCCTCTTCTACTGTGCAAGAGTCATATTTCTTATTTTCATTATACATTTTGTTGTAAGAGGAGCCAAAGCTAACAATGTTAAAAAATGAGTCTTCTGGAAGAGAACGGATGAATAAAGCAGCTGCTTCTCTGGCAAGTTTAATTCTTGCGCCAGACATAGAGCCTGATCTGTCAAGGATCAACACAAATTCACCTTTTTGTTCCCATCCACTAAGATTCGTTAAGCTTTTATCAGGGGTGTATGACAAATGAAAAGCATGCCTATTAGTCCTAGGATCTTCTTGTACAATTACAAAAGGTACTTTTGGGGTTTCATAATAATAAGTAATTTCTAAGTCTTGCTTTCTATCAATATTTTGTAATGCTGCTGCATAATGCTTGTTGTCTAGAACAATATAGTTGCCGATTTCTAAGTCATGAGTTTCTGTTTGATCTGACAATGGATTCTTTATAACAAATCTCCCTGAAAGGATTTCTTTATCTTCTTCATCAACGTGTTGGAAAAATTCATGAGGAATTTTTAATTTAAAAGTATTTTCTACTAGCTGCTCTTCAGTTTTGCAAGCATATGAAATTTCATATGAGATTTCTGAGTTTGGTTCGATGAGTCCAAGATTAAATAAATATAAATCGCTTTTTTCTAATTGCTGCAAGATATATTTGTTTTTTTGATCAATGGCTGCATTATCATAAGTCTTTAGTGGAGGAGTATTTTCTACTAGGCTAGTGTCGCAGCTTTTCCCATCAATCTTGCACAAGAAGTTGTATAGCTGAAAATCAGAAATGATCGGAATAATGATTTCTCCTTCGATTGCATTAGAAGAAAGGTTTTTGTAAGTGCTTTTGAGGGTGAACTCAGCGTATTTGTAATGAATTTCACCTTCGATTTGAAAGCTTGAGCGTGAAAAGACGTCAGTACTATTGCCTTTTGCTGGTAACATTATTTTTATAAATGGGATTCCATTTTCGGAAATAAGTCAATGTAATGGAGATTTTTGAGAAAGAAATCAACAGAAAAAGAGAATATTTGAAGAACTAAAAAGAACAAGAGCTAATTTACGAAGTTTATTTTATGAAATAGCAAGATAAAAAGAAAATTTTTGTTAGATCTCAAATTTCAGAAAATTATGATAGTATTTTATTTGATTTATTTTAGCAAGTTTTGCTAGTAATTAAATCGCCACCTTTATCATGATATATATTTTACATAGAAATTTATTCTAGTTGCTATTAAGGACGAAACGCAACAATTCTCAAACTATAAATATAAAGGAACCGTATACACCTCCGCCTGGGGATTAATTGGCTTAGGATGGGACTTGAAAGTTCTGTTGTTAGCTTCGTTTGCCAGCTCTTCGAGCTGAGAATTAACTTAAAGTAATTCAGTCGTTAAAGAAGCTGCCTTTAAATATGGATCTGCAGCAAAGCTAAAGAGCCACATGAGAGCATCATTATGGGCCTAGCATTATATCAATCATCTTTCAACAAGTCAGCTATTTTAAGAATTATAATTAAGCTTTCATTCATCAATTTTCACTCTATGCTTCTTAAAATATTTAGTCTAAAAATAGTTCAGTTCATAAAATATATATAATTAAGATTAAATATTCTTTTCTCTTCTTAATTTAACTAATCTAATATAAAGCTATTGAGAATCAATTAAACAGCTTATTATTTCATTAATTTTTTAGCTATAAAAAGCACATATTAAATCAGGCTAAAGCAAAAAAATAATTCGTTATCAAATTTATAAAAATTCTATTATTTTATCTAATTTTTCATAATCAAAAGTTTGGAATATTGCTTTTTCAAGTTTGACAATTTACTAATTAGCTAACTCCTACCTCTTAGAGCAATAGGGGGTAGTTTTTTTTAAAATAATTGTATATAATTTTATAATTGAATTTTGTTTTTAAATTTAAATATGCAAATTCGAAATAATTTGAAAAACAAATATTAATTTATTTTGTTAAATTTATGTTTTAAAATGGAAGAAGTTTAAAATTCAAAAAATTTTATATTATTTGTTGGATTTTCCCAATGGTAATTCGGTCACAGAGGGATTAAGATTATTAAAAATCAGGCATTAGCCATGTTGGTGACGCAGCCACCAAAGAACTCCAGTGCAGGAGGTCTGGACTGCTGCAGCAAGAGAGCAGGTTTACATGTGTCGCCAATTTAATGCATTTTTTTAAGGATTAGGATTAGGATTAGATTATTCGGTCATTCGGTCGCATAGGGGAGTTAGGCATTTGAGGTGTCTGCTGTAACTTCCAAAAAAAGAGCGACTTGGACTGAAAAATAGCGATACCACGGGCCATCCTATCACTTAAAATGGCACACAATATGGAGGGGTATTCCAAATAAAACCCTCCTAGCCCGACTGTACGTCTCACCCTTTTCAAGTTTGACAGCTCATCGTTGTTTTTTATTACCTCATCTCTGATGTTCACTGTAAATCTTCTTATTTTTTTCTTTTTCCTTATAATTATTTTTTCTCCCACTGGACTTGTGCACATGCTGGCAGCTTTTAAGTGCATTATAGGCCCAAGCCTATTATTTTGTAGACCTTCTTCAACTTTTTTCATTTCAATTTTCTTCTGTTGCTTTGGGGAATTATAATAAGTGTAATTATAAAGAATTTTATTTAGATTTTTGGACACCAAATCATTTAAATCATGTTTAAAACGTTCCGGGCTATTCTTAGGTATTGTGTGAAAATTTTCTATTGAGCTAGTTTTATAAATGACAGGATTTTCTCTTTGAGTATAGCCGAAATCTCGCTTGTTTTGTTTTAAAGCATTTCTTATATCTAAATCATATAGCATTGATGTATAAATATATTTTTTCTTGCCAGGGTCGTTGTCTTTTATAAGGCCAAGAATGTATTTTTCTCTTTGGATTCTATGAAAATCATTTAATTCGTATTTTTTCTTATAGATCATCTGTTTTCCTGTTAAATATTTTTCAGTTTTTGTGAAATGTGGGCTTTTCACCTTGGAGAAATTGTCAATGCTTTTTACAAGCTTCTTCATATTTTCCTTCGTTTCTTTAATTTTCGCTAAACAATTCACGATATCTTCATCTAAATCTTTAACATCACATTGGTCAGGGCTTAAAGAGCCCCTTTCGCTTTTACTTGCTCTTATTAAAAACTTCTTATAGTCCATAATTTATTAAAAAATAATACATTTATTTATTACTCAGGTACTGGAGTTATCCATTTATAAGCTTTTTGGTTAACAGTCTCAAAATCTCCTGGTTTCTTGCTTTTTTCAATGTTTTTTCTTTGGAAAATTGAAATTTCAGGCTTGGTTATTTTTATATTAAAATCGAGATTATTTGTGGTTTCATATTTTATCGGGTCGTTTCCAAATTGAAAATGGGATCCCTTCTTTTGATCTTCTATTTTTAGAGTATTATTATTAGAAATACCTGTCAATCGAGTGTAACTTTTATTTACAGTCATATATTGGGAATTATTGGGAGAAGCTCCAAGGGTGATATGGCTAAAGGTTTTAGGCTTTATGTTTGGGTTTTCTACTTGACAGCAACTTTTAGGATGAAAAGAGCTGGAATAAAGAGAAGCAAAGGCAGAAGGGTCAGTGCCTAGCAAAACACTTGATTTTCCATTTCCTGCTGGAGTTGTTTGAGAAGTGCTTAATAAGCTGTGAGTTTGAGCATAAGTGCTGTTTAAATTTATAGAGTCTATTCCCAGCTTTACATGCGATTTTCCACATTTTTGTTTATTTTTTATATAATTTTCAGTTTGAAATGATAGATCAATTGGAACAGATTCGAAATTTGAAGATCTTGATGATTTTTTGTGATATCCCAGTTTAAAACTGTTAGAAAAAATATCCTTATGTGAAAAAGATGGGTTAGGTGTCTCATTAATTTTACCTTGAAAATCGTTTTTCTGACTCGTTTTGTATAATTCTGGCTTTAACTTAACTCCTCCTATATAAATATTTTCGTTTAGCCTCAAAATATCTGCTTTTACCCCAGCTGAAATGTCTTTGTTCATATCAGTCATACTTGTAGTGTATTCTCATTTTTCTTTTCCTACCTCAAAATGATTTTTATCCATAAATTTCTTAAAATCTTCAAGTAAATTTTTATTTTTCTCAAATTTTTTATCAGCAAAATCCGATTGGAAAATTGAAATAGGCTTAATATAATTATTCCCCAAAACAACAGAACTGTTGTTTTCGTTTCTTATATGGCTTTTTGCGGCTTCAATTTCAAAGCTTGTATTGAACGGCGAGCAAGGACTTTTTCCAGCTTCCTCTATGTTATTTTCTCCTGAATAATTGCCTAGAGTAAAGTGGTGTGTGTTATTTTGAATTTCTTGAAAATTTTTTATACTTATTTATAGAAGTCACACTATATAAAATTGTATCATCATAACCAATATAAATTATTTAATAAGATATATTATATTTTTGAAGGTGTTTTAGGAGTAAAAGCTGCAGCTGAAACACTTTTTGTGACACTTTTACTGCGTCCAAGATTTACACTTGATTCTTGAGAAATTGGAATTAATTTTTCTTGAGATTGAGAAATTGTAAAAGATTTGTTAGGATTTTCAAAAGTTGAATTGGAGCGGTAGCCGAAAGAGAAGTGAGTTGAGCGGAGATCTTTTACTAGTGCTTGTCGTTTTTTCTTTGGAATAAAAGTGCCGATTAGTGACATTAGTTGTGAAAAATTATTATTAGAAGTTTAAAGGTTAAGAATAATGTTATTCGATGTTTAACTGGATAAATCTCTTTACAGTTTGAAAAGTTATAAGAATTGATTGGTGTTTAATATAATTAAATATTTATCATCTCAGCTCTAATATGGACTCTAACCATGCATATTTAATTAATCCAAGAAGGTTTTGCAAACCCAGAAATGACAGCCATATTAGGAAGGCAATTCAAACGGCGCTTGGGGCTTAGCCCTTGTCCGTTTTAGAGCTGAATTTTTCACATCGTAAGCAGGAAGAGATTGAATTTGCAAAGAGGAAGCCAAGCAGGCAATCCTAGGCCGGTATGCAAGTCTTTAGAAAGAATCCGGGAATTATACTCTAGGCTTCGAATTTATACCTTTTTGCCGATCAGTCAATTTTTGGGATTTCTGTGGAGACAGCTTACTTATCACCTATGCGAGTCATAGGGCTACAGAACTCTATAGTATACCAACTCAACACTGGAGCCCCTGGTATCGAGAAGGTGATTGCCATAAGTGATCCTTCCCTAGCAATGATATCAGGGCTGAAGAAGGAGCAGTGATATTGAGCTAACTTTCCAAGTAAATTCATCTAACTTTTCAAGCTTCAACTGGTATTGCCACAAATCAATGAATCATTAAGGATCCTTGATGACTGAGTAACCAACAAGGCTCTGCCTATCTTTACTTAAAATTAAGATTAAGATTGGTGTTTATAAATATCTCACATTTAAATTGCGTTAGCTATTCAAATAAAGCGATTTTTTCTTATAATTAATAAATGGAAGATTTTGATACAAAAGGTTTTCAATATTGCATGTCTGAATCCTCTTCATTTTATGAAGAAAAGGTTTCAACGACTGTATCACCGCTCGAAAATGAAGATCTGAATATGGACTGGCTTCATGCAGACACAGACTTGGGTTTAGATCTCGAGCTTACTGAAAACTTTTTCTCTTCAGACTTTTCTTCCAAATCTTCCTTAGACTACATCCCAGCAGACTCCACTCCTACAGCTTTATGCTCGATTTGCCAAAAAAACATCGTAAAGCTTGAGGACCCTTCACAGATCAGAAAAAAACGCAAGCGCAATGACAACGCCCCAGTCCTTTCGTCTATGACTGTATGTGAAGAATGTAGAAACCTAAACGTCGAAGACTTAAAAAACTACAAAAATGCATCAGATAAATCAAAAAGAGTCATTAAAAGAGAGCATGCAAAACGGAGGGCAAATGAAAGTGAAGCAGTAAGGAAACTTAAAGAAGAACAAGAAATGCTGGCTGAAAACAAAGACATGCCAGAAAACGAGCGAAGAAAACTACAACAAATGATAAGAAACAGAATTTCTGCACAACAAAGCAGGGACAGGAAAAAGGCCTTCGTCAGCCAATTGGAGGAGGAAAATAAGCTCCTAGCTGAACAAAATAACAGCTTAAAATACAGATTAAAACAAATTCAAGCTGAGAATACGTACTTGAAAAATCAGCTTGTTCAGATACACATGGGGAAAGACGAGCAGCCTTATTTTTCAAAAGTTGCTAAAGGAGCTACCTTACTTCCCCATTCCATTAGAGAACAAAAAAATTTATATATATAAAATTTTATAGTAAATTATTTTTTGAAATTTAAAAAAAATCGTTTTCATAAAAATTAATTTGCAAGCTATTCAAAAATCCAGCAGAATTAGCTTATATTAAAAGCATTTTTGTTCTCGAGGGTGGTTTTTTACCCAAAAAATAGGAATTTTTCCAATGGTTTTGTTTCGCTCACGGAGGGGAGAGTTAGCGCTTGCAACCGTCATTTCTGTCATGATGGTCGTTAACACTATCCAAGCAGACCAAAATTCTACCACTTTGCCACCTGCAAGGCGTCTTATCGAAAATTTTGACCTAAATGAATATAAAAACAACGAAGGTGTAAGTTTAGCACAAACCGCACATAAAACTCTTGAGGAAATCGGCATCAATTTAGAGCAGTTTTTGCCAGCTGAAAAAAATGAGCCCAAATTTTCGAACAATTTACTAGAAATAAGGAAAAACAGAATTGATAAGACCCACACTACACCACATCTGCGAGCACTTGCAGGGCCGAATGATCCCTGCATGAAAGCGATGACACAAGAGATCCAAAAAGGAGCAATGACGAGTGTATTTTGCCCATCAGTGCAAGCATATTGGGATGATGTGCAGACGCAACCAAACTTAAACTACTTGCAATTAATGATGCCATTAGAAAGCATGCCGAGCTTGGCACCAGCTTCATTGGATCCGTCACGCAAATATTTACTTGAAATGGTTTGCAAAGTTTCTGATGTCAATGTTTTTCCTATATCTTAGAATTTGAAGCATAAGCTAACAGTTAGATATAATTAAGAATATAATAAATAATCAGGTCAAGCAGTGCAGATCAAGGATCATTATTGTTTATCATCAGATTGTTTTCAGATCTCGGCTTTTTCACATGATTTTCATCTTTGGCTAAATCTCTTCATATAAAATAAATTATTATAATTGGAATTTTGATATGGCTTAATACTTATCTGCTGCCAGAGCCATATTTGCAGCTAATTTCTTAAAATTCAACTACCAAAAGAGCACCTAAATGTATTACCAATTTGAATTTCTCAATCTAGCAGTTCTTCAATATGAAGCTTTCCACGAAAATCATTTTTTTTTACAAGCCAATACATATTTCAATATATTTATAAAACACGAAAATTTTATATAAAATTTTCAATATGGGCTGCCATTGCTCTGGACAAGATCGTCATGAAGAAATTCAAGAATTTGAAAATCCTTTTTTACAAGTAGTGAATGATCAAATAAAGGAATATGATGTTGTTATTTATTCCAAGTCAAAAGATGAAAAATCAATAGAAGCAAAAAATTTGATGAGAAAGCATTCAATTGCATTTGAGTATTTCGAGCTTGACAAATTAAACGATGATAATCAGGTTCATTGCGCATTAGCAGAGTTAACTGAAAAAAAATTTCCCCCTTATATATTCATCAATGGGAAATATTTAGGAGGAGTGCCTGAGCTTCGAAAAGGTTTGGAGTCAGGCGAGATCAAGCCAAAATTAACTTAATTATTTAAATTATGCTGTAATTGCTTATAAAACGAATAGTTTAAAATGGTCTTTGGAAGCAATATAAAGTAATAAATTAAGAATGGTGCAATATAAAATAGGATCATTTTATTTAAGGATGACTAGATTGATAAAAGTTGCAAAAAAATATTATATTTATCTATATATTTTTACAAGAATTTTATTAAATTATCAAAGTACATGAAGATTGTTATATTTTAACAATGATTAATTATCAAATTAGTAATTATTTATTAGAAAACTTTGATTTAACATGCAACATAAGCATGATTGATTTTTTATAAAAGATTATTAAACTTTCTTCTTAACTATTATATTTTTAGCTTAAAAGAAAAAAATTACTTAAAATTAATTGAAAAATTCACTCACCTAAAATAACAAAATTTAAATATTAATCACAGATTATTAATTAAATCATTATATCTTATGTCACACGAAAGAAGGCATTCAATTTCTCTATTATTATCAAAAGTTAATCCAATTCCTGAAGGCTCAATTCTTCAATTACTTGTACCTTTGCTTCTAACACCTCCATATCAAAGGACTCCTAAACAAATTTCAACTTTACAAAATTTGACGAAAAATATAAAATTTTTTATTAAACAAATAGAGGAAAGGGGTGATGAAATTCATTCGCAAATTTGCCAATTTATTGGATATGAATTTATATCTGCTGGAGATTATGTTTGTCATTTTGGGGAAACTGGAAGCAAATTTTATATCATTATTGATGGAAGTGTAAGAGTATTAACGCCAGCAAAATTAAATGAGCCTGATAGCAATTTATTAGAAGTTGCGCAGCTGCATTCTGGGATGGCGTTTGGAGAACTTGCACTTATAAAAAATCAGCCAAGAGCTGCAACTATTCAATGCATTTCTAATTGTTTTTTGGCTGTGCTTGAAAAAGAAGATTATTTAAGAATCCTTGGCAAGGCTGAAGCAAGGAAGCTTGATCATCTCATTGATTTTTTACAGTCTTTGCCATTATTTCGAAAATGAAATAAAAGATCATTAGCTAGGCTTACCTATTATTTTAAGCCAAAGCAATACAAAAGGAAAAATATTGTATACAAGCAAGGAGACCATGCTGATTATGTTTACATTGTAAAATGAGGAGAGTTTGAATTATTTAAAAAAATTGGTCTCCCAGTTTCTGAAAAAATTACTTACAATAAACAGGGATTGCAGAGGAAAGAAATGATAAATTCTCCTCACAAATTTGAAGCGAAAATAGCAATATTAGCGACTGGCGAAATCTTTGGTGATGAAGAGATTCTTAATGATACGGTTCGGCAGTGCTCTTGTATTCAGTTATAAATATAACAAAATATTCTTTGGAGATTTATCCATAACACATCTTTTCTTTGCAATCTTTTCCCAGTAGATATTTCTCGGCACCATTTAGTTGAAGCTTGTTCTTATCAGTTATTTTTTTTGCAAACTCGGTATTTTTGCTCAAATGCCTGACTAGGAAAAGTTTCGAATATATTAACATAGAAATATCCCCGAGGAAAAAACTGCAGCCAATTTATCATTAATTTTAAATAAAAATTTTTATTTCACAGAAATTTCATTCTGGCCATGATGGTATACTTGCCATTCTTCAATAGCTGAAGTTTTAGCTATATCTCGTAGCGATTTTTATACTCGCATCAAAGCTGAAGAAAGTGTGAAGTATCTAATGAGTAGAATAATTTTGAAGGAAAGCTCAAGGCCAAATGTACTTGAGAATATTGATTTTCTTAACGAAATTCGTCCAGCATCAAGAAGAGAAAAAATCATTAGATCAATCACACCTGCACCAGGGTCTATAAATGAATCTTATAGGGATATATTACGCTAGGTTTATAGACATTTTGAAAGGCCAAATCATTTTAAAATTATGATAGAAAACACTAGTGATATTATCATCTTTTTATTATTTTAATCTAAGCTAATATAATCAAAAAGTCAATATCACGTATGACCATACTAAAATAAGAATAAGAACTCCAACCCCATCTCCATCTCCATGCCCGGAAAAGAAAAGAAAATCAATAAAGCCTATGACACTCCTTGAATATAAAAGGCTTAAAGAAGAAGCTATAGCTGAAAGTAAAACAGCACAAAACTTTCTTCCTCGGAAAAATGCGGGAAGACGTACTCCTAGTTTAGAAAGAATATACGCAAAAGATTCATCACCAGTATCATTTATAAAACACAATAATTTCGATGTTGAATTTAAAAGGAAAATCCCTGTTAAGTCTGGAGGGTTCTTTATAGGAAAGCCTAAGCCTTCCTATCCACCTTCTGCAACGAACTTTTTACATTTATAATATCAATTTATAGTAATGCTAATTAATATTTTTAATTTTTCATCTCATATCATGGATTAACTTAGCAATATCTTTTTTAATAGTTTTTCATAAAAGTCTCATGACTCAAAAGCTTGAAATTTGTCCAATTCATTAAAATGCTATTTAATTTTAGCCCACACATGCAAGACACAAATATAAATCAAAATTTGTCTTCATTTAATTTAAAAGATCCAATATATCCTTTTTATCATTAATCTTTGAATTTATTTTTTTTAGTTTTAAATCTAACTATTTCTAATTTCAAGATTATTTCGTTTTTTTTGGAATAGAAGAAAATATTTTTCTAATCTCTCAAGAAATATTGTTTATTATAATTCTTCCCAAAATAAAATTCAATATGATGAATTCTAATTTCTGAAGAATTTTTAGGTATCATTTAAAAAATCCCTTAACTAACTCCGTGAGCGTACAAAAGAGCATTGCTCACTCACTCGATAAGGTAGGCAATTTTTTTTAAAATTTCACACGAAAATATTATATAAAAGTTTATTTTTTCGAAGTTAGAACGCCACCATGAAAATTAATGAATTTCGTTTTTTAGAATTCGAGCTGGTATTGTAATTACCCGAGGATGGCGCTATCTTGCGCCATCCTCGGGCAATTACTATAGAATACATTAGGATTAGCTATAATAACTATTATTTACATATCAAATATTTTTATAAAAAATATGTATATTAAAATGTTTTTGCTCATGGAGGTTTTTTAACAAAAATTGAATTTTTCCAAGGCTCCGTCCCTTACTGTTGGGGGAGTAAAGACAATATTTAAATCTTTATTCCGAATCAATTATTTATTTTTTGGTGGTATAATAAAAAACTATGGACTCGTGAAAACTAAATCTTTAGGTATTTTTTAAAAAAACTGATCTTAATTCAGGTTTATACACTATTTATTATATATATATATGAGCATTCTATTTTAGAGCACTAATTTGAGATAGCTCTAGTCCTGTAATTTCGTGACTCACCCTTCGCCGATTGTATAGTGCATTCTGATCAAGTTTCAAAGAAGGAGCTCTTTTGGCTTTGACAATAAGCAGCCTTCGTCTCTGCTCTTGAACCTCAACTGAGTCATTTGCATCAGTTACTGCAATAGCTAAATTGGTTTTAGCTGATTGTTTTACTACGCATACTCCCATATTTTTTATACTTTTAGTCAGATAAAATAAAACCAAATTTAAAACTGCAGTTTTTGAATTTACCACCAACTTCATACACTTATCAAGAATCAATATAATCATTTTAATTTAAACATCAAAGAAAAGCAGTTGAAAATAATTAAAATTACTATATAATAGCAAGACAATCTATAAGGAAATTTTATATAATAGCTGACAAAGTATGAAAACGCAGAAAATTAGGAAAAGTCATAATATAAACTTGCTATAAATTTTCTCGTTATCAATTATTTTAATTTTTAAGCTTAAAATTTAATGATTCAGCAATTTAATAGCCAATTTTTTGCTATCAATTATCTGAATTTTAATTCTTATTCACTCCTGTTTAAAAATCCATTTTACCATCATTTATAATTTTTTGTTTTTTTGAATTGATTTATAGCTCAATTTAAGAGTCTATTATTAATAAATTATTTTGAAGCGTTGCATTTATGTCATGCTAACTTTTGCATCTTATTTATAAAATTATTCTAAAAAGGCATTGAATTAATATAATTCTCCTATAATAAAGCGTGAAAATATGGTTGAAGAAAAGCTATATTACTTGATGCTTGAAAGCTGTAAAGATCAGCTCCTTCGACATTGTAAAGTTACATTTAAAAGCCTGGTTGAAGTCCACGAGGTAAATTTTTATATACTTTTTTTCGTTATTTAATATCAAGCAAAATTCAATTATCTTGCTCCCCATTTAAGAGTCAGCAAGTTTTTTTTGCTAAATTATGGGAGTTAATTTTTTCAAAATTAGGTACTTTTCCAATGATTTTTTCGCTTATAAAGTGGGTAAACCAAAGTTAGAGGCTACTCAAAGTAGAAAAAGGTTATTTACGGTCTAAATTCGAATTCAAAAGAAAGCAATATATAGTTTTCATACCAAAAAAAGAAAAGGAAAATTCCAAGTATCGATTTTAAAGCAAAAGAAGCTGTTCTCCATTTACAAGAAATAGCATCTTCTGTTGCTTTAACACACATATCAGAAGAGTTTAAAATTGATGGAAATTTAATACCATCTTCAAATGTTTATTTAGCTAGGATAGAAAATAATGGTCTTATACAAACCTATTTTCATTCGTCTGAGGATAAAAATGACCACTTACGCAAGCCTCGAAGAGCCACAAATCCACCTCTTCATCCCGAAGAAAAAATTGGCACATCCAAACGATCTAACTCTACAAATCTAAAACTTCCAAATATTATAATTACAAGTTCTTCCAGTCCTAAAGGATCTTCAGATTATAAATTAGTAGAGGCTCCTAATGATTTTATAAGAAAAAATGATGATAACTGCAATACTTTTTCCGCAGTCAATAAATCAGCATCTTTAGAGACTTCAAAATCAGAAAATTCGCCAATAAAAGGAAGATATGTAAGAGTTAATAGGAGAAGTTCCGTGCCGATTAATAATAACATAAAACCATCATCAGAAATTCCATTTTCAATAAACGGACCCTTTTTGTTGAAGAGAAGTTCTTGATTTAACGCAGATAACCACAAATATTATTCAGTTAAAGAAAAACTGAAACTTATAAGGGATTCATATAAAAACGCTCGGTTTAAAGCTGATTCTCATAATAAATAACTTATATATAGCTATAATTAATAAGGCTTTATGCATGATATCATGATGCTTCATAAAATTTTTTAATAGTGCAAAGACAAATTAATGCTTACCCCCCTTGCGTTAGCGAACATAAAAATTTTGTTCGCTCACAGAGAGGGGTTAATTTGTTTTTTAAAAATTTATTTTTAGTAAATTTTTTTTCAAAAATTTAAAAAAAATATTTAGAAGTAAAAAAACAATTTAATTTGTAAAATTTATTTAAAGTGCAAGCTGCTCAAAATTAAACAGAATTAGCTCGAGATTCATTATATTAATTATCACTTATATCAAAATATATTTTTTCATAAAAAATTTTTGTTCGCTCGCGGAGGTTGGCTTTTTGGGCAAAAATAGGGAATTTGCCAATGATTTTGTTCGATGAAAGAGGGAGGGAGCTAACCTTTTATATTATAGGTATATTTTAGCTTAAAAAGGTTTGACATGCATATATGCTATGACATCGAATTTGTTTATAATTTGAATTATTTAAGAACTGATTTTGCTAATTAATAAAAGGGAAATTAATTTATCTATTTTTAATAAGCCTTTGCTATTAATCATTCAGAGTATCACAAGCTAATATAAAACTTTTTATTGTTAGTAATAAAAATGAAAAGAGAAATAAAGGATTGTGGCCCTGAGACATTTAACGAAAAAAATTTTGAAGATTTAAGGATAAATTCCGAATTAAACATAGAGTTGACCAAAGATATATACCTTTTTGATTTATTAGCTTTGGAATATAAAATTGAAATCAATAAAACTCTCGCTGAAAAATTCATAAAGTAAAAGCTATTCAGAAATATAATATCGCAGAATTTTTGTACCGTAGAAACCTTACTCCTCCCTCCGTAAGTGAACAAAACCATTGATAAATCCCTTTTTTTTGCACCCTCTCTAAGTGAAGAAAATTTTTTTATATAAAAATGCTTTATGAAAAAAATCTGATAAATAAGTAATAGTTATTATAATGAAATCTCTTGCTGATTCTGTTTAATTTTTAATAACTTGCATTTTAAAAACATAAGTTTTAAAAAATTAAATTAATATTTGCTTTCCAATTTTCGTGAATTGGGATATTGCTAAATTTGTATGAAAATAACCCCTCTATTAGTTTTGTTCGCTCACGGAGGGGTAGTTAGAAGATTTAGAAGAAAATAAATCAAAATCAGAGAAAGGGTTACTTTTATTGGACGATTTAAGAATTTTAATAAAGCTTTATGAAGAAAACAGAGTAATTTTCATTTACACAGAAAATGAAAACTTTGAAACTAATGACGACATAAATGACTTTATTGAAACCAATCGTGCTGAAACCTATAAAGTAAATTATTATTTAGCTAATTGGAAACTATCCAAAATCCTACCAAACTTTATCATTTTTTAGGCTATCAATAAAAAGTGACTTCCAAAATTTAGCGTTTTTACAAAAAATCGCAAATAATGATTCCTGTATTTACAGTTTAATTAGTGACATTAACAAATTTGTCTACTCGCACTCAAAAAAATCCTCAAAGGAAATCCTTATACTTTTGCAGGAAGGAAAAAATTTAATTGATAATTGCTGCTGAATTGAATCCAAAAATGACAATTTTCAAAAGCAAAATTCTGTATCAGCTCCAGAATTTGCCAAAAGATTTGAAAATTTCAAAAGGCAAAGATCCACAAGTGTACATAAGCCTGCAGAAAAACTAGAAAATTGTGAAAATTATACGGCGAAAGCAAAACAAGAGCCTACAATAGAAATTTTTGAAGAAATATCTCCTATTAGCTATATAAAAGATATGAATAATAAAAACCCAAAGGAAAAAGAAAAACAAGATGCAAAAGAATTTATGGAAGAAGATGGGGGTGAAATAATAAAGTTAACAGAAGAGCTGAAATCATGCTCGGAATCTATTAGTATGACATTGAGTTTTGAGTACTCTAAATCAGATTTAATGGATCAGACCCCTTCAAATAATGCTTCTTGCCTCCAGCCTATTAATGAAACCCAAAGTACAAATCCAAACACTCTGTCTTCTTCGAGAATTCAGAATAATTTATGATTTAGCAAGGAATCTTTCAGTTCTTTTGAAGAATTAAGAAGCTTTCAGGAAGTTTCTAACAATAAAGAGCATAGAAGAACGAGCACCTTGGATACTCAAGAAACCAGAAAGTCCGAACCATATTTTTATACAAATGAAGTTGATGAAGAGCTAAGTGACAAAAGGTCTGTAGCAGCTCAGAGATATATTCTAAACTCAGCAATCGAAAATATGTTTTCGACTTTCACATCTGAGGAAAGATATAGCGTCTGCATATTTTTTTACTCCTTCGTCTCGATGTTTCTAGAGACGATGGGGGTTGGAATTACCAACTTTTCTTGGAGAATCCAACACTTCAATTGAAAAATCTGCTGATAATGCAGTTTTAGCAATTAAAGGATTGGCCTCACCACAAAAGTTGGTAAAAGGAAGCCCTCTATCTTCTCGTTAGATATCAGGACAAAGGGTCCCATAAAGCGCGCAGACACTATATACCCCAAGAGCTGAAACTTTTAGCCCTATCCCTACAATATTGAAACTTGAAACTGAGACAGTTTACTGCAAATGTTTTTCGTGCTCAATATTTTAATTATTCTCATATAATTAATTAAATCAATCATTTAATTCAGCAAAACCTTTTTTGTTTTTTATTGTTGCTATGCTAATATAATTATTATTAAAGATAAATGACCAAAATTAATTATTATAAACAATTAAGATTTTTCTGATTCTTCTGAAATTGATATGTGATTTAGCATATACAATTTTTCGAGCATTGAATTAATTTTATCAGGAGTTACTAAGCAGTTATTTAGGCTATGGCATAAATCTAATGCAATTAAATAATTTTGTTCAGCCAATTTTAGGTTGTTTTCTTCTTCTAAATAAATATTTCCAAGGTTAAAATAGCAGTCACAGTACATAGGATTTTTGTTAATTCCAAGTTGATACTGGCTTATAGCGGATTTTCAATCATTAAGTGCTTTATAAGTTAATCCAAGATAAAAGTTAATGCAGGCATTTTCTGGCTCAACCATCATTGCTTCTTCATAAAAATTTAAAGCTTCTTCAGGAGAGCCTAATCAGATTCTAAAAATATGACCAATATTTATTAATGCTTCTGGCAATTCTACAGTTTTGATGCACGCTGTGTCCAATTTCTCAGCCATTTCAATCAAATCCGCTATATCAAAAACTCCAATATTCCTCAAATTTTCTTCCTCTATTTCCCTTTCATTACCAATAAAAAACTTCCAAGCTGAAACTAATAGTTTTGTCCTTTCATCAATAGGCTCAATCAAAACAGGCAACTTACTCCCAATTGCATTTTCTCCATCAATGACTACAGCTAAAATCAAATCCCCTACACTTGTATTATATTCTCTATACATCCCTAAATGCAAATAAATTTCGCTTTGTAATTGCAATAATTCTATAGAAGGAAAGTAATTTCGTTCACGATGATAAGCTCTAACTAATTCATTTAATCTTTTTGCAATTTTCTTTAGCATTTTATGCTCAGTACTGACTTTTGAAAGCTGATTAAAATCCATTGAAATTTTTGACCCAGTTTTTAAATGAGATATTTGAATTGAAGGATTTTCTTGAAGTCCTGAGCTCATTTCAAAGGATGAAAAAGGAAAAGATGAAGAACTTATTGATTTATGAACAGATGATTGGTCTTCCTGTGTTTCTAGGTTTTCAATGTTTCGCTTATGACGGGACAACTTTAGATCAGAACATGATGAAACTGGAGATACTGATTTTTTAGGATTTGAGATGAATTTTTCTTCTTCATTTTTTGGCTGGGGGAGAGATTTTCGTGATTTTTTAGGTTTTGATACGCACTTACCCATTTTAATATATAGTAATGCATTTTTAGAGCTGATGGTATTGATATATACAAGCATAATAATTCTTTACAAAACATAATGAATAGGAAAAATAAATATGAATTGAGCAGTAGCAAGTGTAAGAAGGCATTTCCGATAAAATAAAAAAGGGTTGAAAATAGCTGCAAAAGACAATATGAACAAATTGTGTTAATAATAACGTAAGATTCCAAAATGTACAAAATAAATATTGTTAGTTTTAAATTATTAATTTTTAGCTTTTATATAATTAGAATGCTTAGAGTTAATTAATTATTGGCATATATTTCAAACGCCTTAACAATGAGCAAGATGCAATTAAAAATATAAAATTTTAGGCTTAACTGAGCCATATAAAGAATGTTTAATGACAATTTGATAATTGAATGCCAATTTAAAACGTTTACAAAATATGGGCTTTAATCAAAATTTAATATTTAAATTTTGTTTAACTGCCAAAAGCTACGTTTCCAAAGACAATAATTATCTATTAAATTTTCAACTATTTATTCTTTAATAGAGACTGTTATTATTAAATTAAACTGTTAAACTACCATAAACGGATGCCCACTAGCCTTTTTCCTACCTACCTCGGCTCCAAAGCAGCAGCCTCCATATACTTCGGAGTTCAAATTATTATAAATTGGAAATTAGTGAAAACTCTTATAAATAGGAATCTACTAACTTTGCTTATTCTTAGTGCAATTAATAACATGATGAAAATATTTATTGCAATTAAATTTAAACTATATATGATATAGTGAAATGTGCATTCAACTCAAACGATCAATAACATTATATGTTAGAGCTTCAAAAAGTTTACATAATTTAATATAAAACTGTGAAATACTTAATGCACTTGCTATCTCTTCTCTTCTTTTATTATTTATTTAGTAATAAAAGTTCAATTCTGTCATTCAAGACTTAGTCTGCAATAAAACAGTAAATAGCAATACAGGAAAATATGCTATCGTGATAATTTTAAAAATTAATATAAAAATGAATGTCCAATCAATTTAATCAAAATTTAATATGAAATTTTAAATCTAAATAAATTTTGAGAAAATGAAGTTTAAGAAAATAACATCGATAGCTCTTAAATTTGAATTATGATTAAAAATTTCCTATATAATTCTGAACTCTTTTAATTTTATTAAAATTTATCAGTAATCAAGTAATTATAATCTATTCGTTAACTGATCCAGCACAAAAATTTCTGATATCAACTCATAAGCAGCTTTAATTCTCCTAATTTAGTATTTTGAATTCTTCGAATAACTGATCTTTTACCTAATAATTTGGAAGTTTATAATAATTCTAGCATTATCATATATTTAAATCTATGTCCAAAAAGAAGCTATTCAACGAAGATCCTCAAAGATTCATTTTCGATGACAAATCTTTAAAAATTTCAAGTCCAAAACTCTTATCTCCATCTAATTTATCAAAGAGTTCCAATGGATCTTACTTAAACGTGTCAGATCGACCAGATTTCGGTAAAGCAAATAATGGGGAATTTGTAGATCTCAACTCAAGCTTTACCACTGTTTTGAGTACCCAAGATACTGCTGATTATGATATAAATTCTTATCCGGCAAGGTTTTACCATTTCAGAGATGGACTGCAATGCTAGGTAAGCAATTCTGGTAGCTTTCAGAGCCTAGCCCTAGTCTGTTCTTAGGGGTGGATTTTTCCTCGTGGGGAAGGAGGGTGCAAGGTTGGAAAGGGGAAGCTCAGCAAAGTCCTCTGGACCATTCGGGCAACTCCCTAGCGTGAAACTGGGCGTTACGTCCCAGGCTTTGCATTTTTCCTTTTTGCCGATAGCCGACCAGAAAAATCCATTTTTTGGGTTTTTTCGGAAAAGCAACCCATGTACAAGCAAGTAGCTCATTCATGAGCCGTCGAAGACGTGGACATTTGCCCTAGAAGCACCTTGGAGATCGAAGCGAGTCTGTCCCCAGCGGACTGGTGGGGCCCGATGCGACGAAAGGCGAGTGATAAACCTGGGGTCGTAACCCGTAGTGGACGTTAAGCGATATAAATACCATAAGATAAGATAAGATATAAATTCTTATTCAAAGCAAGATTATGACCTGATGAGAAAATGACTTGTCCAAGAAGTTGAAGAAATTAAAGCTTATTATAAGCAAAAAATTGCAGAACTGTCAGAAAAAGAGCTTGATTTAATTAAAAGAAATGAATTACTTGATGAAAAAGAAGCAGAATTGAAGAAAGAAGCACTCCTTATAAAAGACGAAAAATTAAAAATTATCAGGCAAAAAGAGTGCTATCAAAGGGTCATGAATCAAAGGAAAGAAGAGCAAAATAAATTCAAGGAACAAATCACAAATTTATTGGCTGATATCATTGCTCATAAAGAAATCAATGATGAAAGGCCAATTACCCCGATATCCCCATATGTTAGAAATTGAGAAGAGGATTACTCTCCAAGAAAATTTTCCCTGAGTAAAAGTAAGTCGCTCCTTCTAGAAAATCCTTTGACCCCTAATAGGAATGCATCAACTACCCCAGATATATCAATTTCAAGTGCAAAAGGGGGCTGGTCATCTTTCTGAATCTTAATTATAGGCAGATTCTGCCTTTTTGTTTACGCAATCACCAAGGACTCATGAGGGCTCATCAGCTTTGCAACGGTTTCTGTCAAGCTGGGTCGGAAACGAAATGACTCCCCCAGTGAGTTGGATAACCAGCGTCTTGCTCTTTATTCGGCATCTGGCGCCAGGTATGACCGAAGTGTTCGCTTTTCCTTTTGCGCATTCTCCTTGCCTTGCGGCTCCAGTGTTGAGTGGGCGGACTAGGAGTTGACGAAGACTGTCTGTATAAAAACATAAAAAGGGAATTTCTGGCCAACTTTGGCAAAAGGGAAAAGTTCAAGGCCTGAACATTGCTGTCCATTTCTGAGTTGGTAAAACCTAGTGGATATACTTTAAATATGTGCTCGAAGGTGCATAGTCTCCCGCCATGCCCGAGCTGAGACGCCATATTTAAAGTACTAGTTATCTTTTCAAGGAGATATATTCGACTCCAATATTGATCAATTGCAAGAGCAATTAAAAACTCTTGAACTCCAAAAAGCCGCTTCAGGGTCTAATGTTGATGCTTTTGATGTAAAGATCAATAGACTTAAAACTCAAATTTCTAATGAGAAATCCAAAAAAATAATTTCCATATCGAATTCAAAATGCAATAGAGTCCGAAGAGGAATGACTTTTGTGGAAAAATACTCAGACCATTTAGACGCTACACATGCAATCACAAAAAATACGTCTACCTTATATATAGATTCCCCCGGGCAAAGTGATATTTCTTTTGATGAAAAAGCTTCACACTCTCGATCGATTTCTCCTTTTAATCTAGACCTGTCATTCGATGGAGTAATAAATGACCCAAATAAGACCAAAGTCCTTACTAATTTGAGTATCAGCATGCTTCTTCCTAATAAGGAAGAAAAAACCTTAGACATATCTACAGAAAAATGGAAGAAAAAAGGATGGATTGCAGTGCCGAACGTACAGAGCTTAATCCCCAAGCCACCTAAAAAACTAACCCCTCTTGAGGAAAAGCAAAAAGTTTTGGACGAAGAAATCGAAAAACACAAAAAAACGATTTCAGAGCTAAAATCGAAAGCAAGCCAACTTGAGTTGGAAGGACGAGATTTGAGGAAAAAATTGAATATTTATGAAGACAAAGAAAAGAAACTGGACTCGTATTTGAAGAGCCTAGTTCAGCTCGTTGAGATGCACATTGAATTTATGTAGTCTAAATTAAAATTTTGAGATGATTTTAAATGAAATACTTTTCTGTTGAATATTGGAGGAAAAGGTTACGACTAATCCCAATTGTTATTAATAGCAATACTGGAATTATGATAAATTCAAATATTAAAGAAATAATTCTTAGATTATTTACACTATGGCAGTTATTAAAACACTGCCAGATGCTAACAGTTTCTATAAATCCTCATCTTTAATAAGGATTAATAAGCAGAAATTAAATATGCCTCTTTTCTACTTTTTCTTTTTATTTGTAAATCAATTAACAAAATTAAAAGCCAATATGATTAAGTATATTTCATATACTTCTTCTGTAGCTCTTCTTTCCTTATTGCCAAGGTTTCAATAATATTAATTTTTCTCAATTGGCTGTTATCTCTTCCTTCTATTGCCAATTTTTTCTTAAGATTCTCAAGATCCCTCAAAGCAATCTTTGCTTTGTAAGCATCTTGAATTGCTTGAAATTCATCTTGCTCTCTTTTTATTTGCTTCGAGGATTTTTTTGCTTCATCAGCTTTAGCTCTTTGGCGATTTCTGTATTCAATATGTTGATTTCTAATTACAGATTCTTTGAAATTCCACCTTTTCTTGAAATTTCGATTCCTTCTTCTAATACTACGAGGATCACGAATCTGCGACAACAGATCTAAACAGTCTGACATATTTTTTATAATAATATCAGAAATAATAATAAATAAAAAAGAGCTAAATATTCTCTAGATCTTAAATATAGTTATATTTTAATTTCACTGCATGAACTAATTTAATCGCATTATTATCCTTTTGATCTGAATAATAAAGAAGATAATACCTAATTTTTAAATCATTTAAAGACTTTTAGTTTATTTAATAATGCATTTATAAAATTAAAAAATTAACAATCAATATTTCATAGTTCAAATTAATAGAGTAATTGCTATATTAATTCGTCAAAATAAAGGCTTCTTTTGAACAATTTTCCAATTCTTCATATTTTACCTTTGTCTAATTAAAATGGTGGTAATATCAGCTGGCCTAGTCACCAAGAATAGGAGAATTCTTCTCGCAAGGCAATTTCTTGAAATCTCTAAAGGACACATCGAAGGTCTCCTAAATTCATTTGTCCGTATGATAGACCCAAATGTCCAGCACACTTTCATAGAGAATGAGTCTGCTCGCTTTGTTTATCTCCCATTTGAAGATTTATATCTCGTCCTCACTACATCTAAAGACAGCAATATTGTAGAAGATCTGGAAACTCTTCGTCTTCTATCTAAGATAATCCAGCACTATTGTCCCTTTGGATTGGACGAAGGCAATATCTTGAAAAATTCGTTCGAAATCGTATGAGCATTCGATGATGTGATTTCTCTGTTCTAAATCTTTTTGATTTAGGAAAAAAACGATTTAGATCAAAAAAAAAGTAAATTTTATCAGCTAATACGAGATAATATATAAAAAATCATATAAAATATTTATATCTTTGGAAAATATGCATAAATTTCTCAAGGCTATAGGGAAAGTATTACACTAGGCCAAATGCTGACTTATTGCGAAATGGAAAGTGCTGAAGAAAAGCTTCATAAGGAAAAACAAAAAGCAATGATGCAGGAAGCTAAAGAGCTAGCAAAAAGAAAACAGTCAGAGCTCGATAAAAAGAGAGCTGTAGAAGACAAAGAAAGAAAAAGAGAAAGAAGAAGCGTTCAAGAAGAGCCAGAATATATGACAAAGCCTGAAATTCCAAGCATACCAAGCCCTACAGTGATTGAAAATAGCATCCAAAACACCCAAACTACACAGATCTTGCCGAAGAAGCCTACAAAAGGTATGGTCTTAGCAACAAAGGGCAAGAAAAATAGAGGTGACGCATAATTTCATATACGCAGATTAATCTTCTTATAATTAAAGTTATTAAAGCTTATCACCTAACTCCAAAGTTTTCATAAACTCTTCTTCAGTAAATGCCAATAGTCTTGCTCCTTCTAGATGTATTTTTTGCCTCTTCAAAATATCAATCAGTTTTAATTGTTTTTTAAACGCAGTCAAAATTTCAGTCTTCTGCCTTTCTAATCTTTTATTGTCTTGGTTCAGCCTTTCTATTTCTTTTCGGTTTTTTTCATTAGAGTCTCCTTCATTAGCCTTTAGCTCTTTTATTTGATTTTTATACCTTTCCACCTCTTCAATCAGTCTATTAAGTCTTACATCCCTAGAAGATGCATCCTTTGAGGAACGTTTTTCGTTGGCTTTTAACAGAGAGTTTTCTTTTTCAAGCTCAACTATTTGTTTTTCAAGCAAATTATTTTTCTGCTGGGCTTCGTTGAACTGCTTTTTCATTTTTTCAAAATTTTGCGACATGATTTGAAGCTGCTGAGAATGTTTTTTGGTATCTTCTGAGGCAGCTTGGTTGTAGCCTTGCAGGTTTTCTATCTGTTGAGCTTGGTCATTAATTGTTGACATTGCTTCGTTGAGTTCTTCCTGCAAAGCTTGGATTCGGGCTTTTTGAAATTTGATGATCGATTGTGCTTCAGATAAATCTTCTTGTAAAGCTCCAAGTTCTTGAGGCTGGTAATATCCAGTATCGAATTGTTTTTCTTTTGAATCTTCTTCTTCTTCTTCCTTATAGTCTTCTTCCTGTTTATCTTCCACTTCATCTTCTTCATAATCATAGCTATCTTGAATATCTTTTGACGGCTTATTATCAGACAAAGGGTAATCAATGTCTTGCTCCATTTGGGCTCGCTGAAACTCAGCTTCAAGTTCGTCATTTATGCGTCTCAGCTCAGCCTCTTTTTTGAGCAGGTATTCACTTTTACTTTCCATTTAAAAATATTTACTTATTGGCGGCTATAAAGGAAATCACTTTCTATTATATAAGTATAATTATTGTTAATTAATGACATCGTCAAACACTGAATCGCCTTCAAATACTATTTCAGGCTCATTATTTTCAAAGATCTCCTTGATGATGTGTAAAGACATTGCAGAAATATTTTCATTCATATGGTTTGTTAAAGCTTCAAGCTTAGCTAAGCATCCTGCACTAATAAATAAATCTTTGATATCATAGTTTATGTAGTATTTTTCAGCATTTCATGCTGTAAAGATGCGATAGATTATGTCTAAACAGTTATTTGTGATGCTAACTAAGTTAAGTAATGCTGCGGCCATAAGAGGAGTTATCTAGTGATTGCTTTGTCTCAGCTTCAAAAAATCAGCTTAATATGCCCCGAAGAAATGGAAGTCCCTTCTTATTATAGGGATTAGCTCCATAGGATAGAGCCACTATCTTGAGGGTGCCCCAATAAATCTCAATAAGGAAAGGTCATGTGGTCGGAAAAATCTGTCTATCTACAGGAACAGAAAATCTTCAAGGTAAAAAACACACCCTGCTTCGCAGCTTCTCATTGTCGTGATTTACTGAGCTCACTAAGAACACTTTCCCCACCCATCGCATCGGCTCACCTACTCAATCAGGAGGTGAACCTCGGACTCCTATTTTCGTTAACGTCGTCATTTATTTCTTTGTGATATCAGGATCATTAAAGTCTAATGCCTGAGATAGTGATGAAAAAATATTTAACTCTACAAGCTCTAATTTATTGAAATTTTTAGCTTGCTTGCAGAAGTTTGAAAATAGAAAACTTGCTTCTTTTCGAGATTTCGGAGAATTATGAGCTAGACCTTTTATAGCTCGCTTAAAAATTCTATGATTTTGCAATAGTTCAAGCTGGCTGCTGTTTCCTGCAGCGATATTGGCGAGAGTAAAATAAATCTCATCATCTATCTGATTGCACTCATTATCAATCAAAGTTTCAATAATATCCAAGATCCCAAGATCAATAATTACTTGTGTTTGATCATGATTTCCTGAGCAAATAATGCCAAGAAACTTTAAACTGTCATAAATAATGCAATTTTGGTTTGATTTCAGTCCTTCAAACCCATATATATGAAACTCATTATCCACAATTAATTGAATTTTCTCATTATCTAGGTTCGCAATATTTGATAAAACGCATAGGCAGCTATGAAAAATTTGTAAATTGTCAATTACTATCAATTCTTTAACAATCTCTATAACATTTATGATACCAATTGGATTCAGATCCTTTGCTCTTAATGAAATATTGTGGATGCTCCAATTAATCAATGATGCAAGCTCCATATTTTGTGAAGTCCAAATATGCTTAATTTTCATGATTTTTTCTAAATACCCATTTTCTAGCACTTCTTCAGCAAATTCTATACAATCTCCACAAAGGTTACTTATAGCCCAAACTGCATGCTCACACACTAATGGATAATCAGGTGAAATAATCCTAATAAGTCTTTGAATTACACTTAAATTTACTAAAACCTCAGCATATTCATGCTTACCTGAAACCATATTGCATATTGTCCAAGCTGCTTCACTTACAACAGCAGCACCATTAGAATAGTCGAGCAGTGATATACACTTTAAAGGGAAATCCAAATGAATAAGAATCCCCATATCAGGTGGGCTATCTACAGATATCATGATCCTTATAGCTGTCAAAGCAGCTGCAAGCACATTCATAGGCGGATCACTATGAATTATTTCAGTCAGTCTGCTTAACTTGTCGAAATCACTCAAATTCCTGTCTGAAAGTCCTGCAGAGTAACTCTGCAAATCTTGGCTTACACTCCTATACAAATTTTCTTGTTCTTTATCCGCAGCGTTTTCTGATATTATTTTCCTTTTCTTCATCATTTTTTCAACTCTCTTGTTTCTTCTGAGCTCGACATTAAAGTTCTCGTGCTTGATTTTCATTTCTTCTTCATTAAATCCTTGCAGAAATTTGTCATTTCTATGTTTGAATCTGTAGTCCTGGACAAGCATCATTTCCCTCCTTTTTATAAATTTTTATATAAAATTACCCTCATTTTCTTCATAGTTATAATTAAGATGTCTCATAGAATTGGCTATAGATTTCTATCGCCTCCACACTGCGAAATTACACGACGATTAGCAGAATCAGCAGAAGGTGCTTTTTTACAAAACGAAGGACCTTATTCTATATTAAAACTTGGTATAAAACGTGCTAAATTTGCTTTAAGTTCAGCTTGTTCAAGCATTTGAAACTATATTTTCCCCCCCGCCCAAATAGGAGTGATTTCAAGAGATGCCTTTTCAAGCTTGAAAAAAATTTATCCTATTTCTGAGTTCATAGAAGATAGTATATCTCAGCCAAAGCCTCTTCATACAGATACTGGAACTTCAGCCCCCACCCCAGGAAGATTCGAGATAAGAGATTCGGAGTTAAAGCGGCCATTTGAAGAAATTACGCCTTATCAAGCAAAAAGATTGAAAAAAGAAGAAAGTTTAATGCTAAGTGTGATAAATTCTGAGCAATCGACTGCAGTAGAGAGAGAATCGTTTAAGCCAATTATCCCTGAAAATAAAATTAAAATTCCGCCATGAAGGAAAATGCACATCAAGTTAACAGATAAGCAAAACAAGAATGAGCCAGAAAAAAATAACAATAGCATAATGAGAAAGGAAAAAGAAATAATAGTGAAGACTGTGACAATCATCAAAGATGCTGAAAAAGAAAATTTTAACAAAATTCAGTCCTGCGACTTTAAAGACGAGCCAGAAAAAAATGACAATAGCAAATTTATAAAGGAAGACGAAAACATAGCAAAGACTAAAATCGTAAAAGATACAGAAAAAGAAATTTGGAATCTCAACAAAGTGCAATCCTCTGATTTTAAGAATCAGTCAACTAGTCAGGCGCCCGACCCCGATTCAACATTGCAACTAAAAAAAAATTGGAAAGAGGAAACTAAACAAAGATCCACAGAAGTATCTTTTAAAGGGGAAACTAAACAAAAGCCAGTAGAAATGATACTAGGGGACGCTAAATCAATTCACTTAGAAAATATACAAGAAGAAAAAGAAAAGTCTTCAGAAGAATCAAGCATGCAAGCTGGAAGTCAAAATATTGAAGAGCCTTCATCACCTGCAGTAAGCTTTGGTGGCCAATCTCAAGAATTAAATGCAGTTTCTCCGACAAAAAATTCGAATGATTCAAATTCATTTTTTGTAAAAAATAATAATAAAGCACTTGAAAAAATCAATGAAAATGAAGAAAAAGAAAAGGTTGAGATGGAATCTGTAAAAACTGAGCATTCGACTCCCAATTTTGATAAGGATGAGAAAAGTAAAGAGTCTGACAAGAAAACAGCTGAACATCCTGGGAAATCTGAATTGCTCATAAAGAATGATTCTGTTTTGAATCCTTTTGAATCGAAAATTTATGAGGCAGCCAAAAATCAGCCAATAATAAATTTATTCAAGATGCCAGAGCAGACTAATAAATTAATTAGTTCTGGATGCTTTAGGTCTCATCTCCAATGTGTGACGTTCTGTCGGCTTCGGAGAAGCCTGCTAGAAGCCAAGCGAATTGGGCGGCTTCCACCTTTGGCAACTCTGAGCCCAGGCCGAAACTCCTGGCTTCTCGGTAGCTGCATTTACCTTTTGGTCAAGACCTTTGCCAGTAAAACCCTTTCAGGTCAGACCTTTGATAGATAAAATCTTTTAGGACAGACCTTTAAGGTTAAAACCCTTTGAGGACAGGAAATACCATATTCACCCTGGTCCATTTAGTTTATCTACCCTGACTATTAGTCTGGTCAGTGTCGTTCCTCTGAATTGGAGCCCTTAACTGAAGGAAGCCTCCATTACTTTTTCCAATCATCTTCAAAAAAAATACTCAATAGCTCCTGCGATTAATACAGACCACCGCAGAAGCTTGAGCAGGTAAGTCATCCTGCTCCATTTCGGGCACTCACTGACTTGGGCGTTGCTTGCAAAAAGAATTTACGAGCTACTGCCCTTCTGGCTAAGCCATGAAACAGCAGCTCCATACTTAGACCCCTTGCTTTGGGGTTCTAGTGTTGCTGGGCTAACTCCTAACTTTAGAAACCATACCAGAATATGCACATGCAACAGCTATGAGAGGACGGGTTGGACATCACATGCCATTTTATGTATATAGCAGGCCAATAAAAAATTAGAAGCCAATAAAGCAGATTCAAATATTGAGGAAGATAAAAGGCAGCTACAAAAGTTTGATATTTCTTCTACAACATCTTCAAATCCATTTTTATCAAAACTGCCTTTATCATCATTTTCATCTGCAGCCAATATAAATAATGAAAAAAATTATGTAAAGCCTTTATTTGTTTTTGGTGGCCAGAACAACTCATTTTCAACCAACCCGTTTAGCCAGCTTCCTTTAGCTCCAGCAAATTCTTTAAATGTCGATATCAATCCATTTCAAAGCCTTAAAACAGCTACTTCAACATCAGGCTCAATTCAATATAGCCAGCCTATGTCAATAAATAATACTCCTTTAATCACATCTTTTTCAGATTCTCTGCCTAATTCATATCGCACCTCAGCCGATGCTGCTCAATTATCTTCATCTAAGCCATTTAAAAGCAATTTCCACCAAAGTTCTTCAATTTTTGATCCTTTAATTCAAAACACTACTCAGCCTCCTACAGTTGCTCCTATAGCTTATCAGCCTCAATTTGGAATCTCTCAATCCCAAAGCACCCAAGCTAGATCAAATCAGCAAATTCAGTCCAATTTTCCTATCCCTAATATTGATATCAATATGAGTAGGGTTGCAAGTGTTACACAAGAAATAAAAAACCCCTTTGAGAATCCATTTCCTAATACATCACATAATTAAAATGGAGGTGGTGACAAAATAGGTCCTCGACGACGTCCCACCATTTTGGCGCAAAAGTTGCTTTATAGCCTAAACCAAGGTTCAGGCCCTTTAACTCTAACCCTTAGCATGCCTAGAGCTGCCGTATGGGGTGGGTAAACTTTGGGAGTCAGCTGGTGGTCACTCCAGTCAAAAGTTTTAATTATCCGAATGGTTTTTGGGCCGTGAGTTCTTTCCCTACCGGTTCCGGAGGCATCGGGCTAACTTTTGCCTTTCATAGCACCCGACATGACGTGAAGCATATGCAAGGTGGAGTCTCTCCTAACCCGTCGAAACTCAGCGGAGCATGCAAGCCTTGGTCGTGGGAGAAGAGGCCCAAGATTGGCAAGCAGGTTTTGGGATCCTCGAAAGCGTGCGGAGATATCAAGCTGGAAGACTTTAAAGCAAATTTAAGTTAAGTTAATACATCACAAAGAACTTTTAATTTGGGCGCTTTTCCAGATCGAAAGTTTTTAAAGGCAAAGCGGCCAGAGCAAAAGTAAATGTAATTTAATTAATTGTAGTATAATTAAATATGCTTCTTGATATGATTTAATTAAGACGTTGAATGAATTAACTGATATTATACACCTCTTTGCCAAATTTTATAGAATTCATAAAATAATATAAATGCCAAATATTTATAAATTCATCTAAATAAAAGCTGTTGAGAATCTTTTAAATAAATCGGAATCTCCCATTTGTTCGTCAGTATAGAAGAAAATTCATTGAAAAACTTTCCTCTAAATTTGGTTTTGATTGATTATGAATTTCATAAACAATCTCAAAATTTAAAAAACAGAATATTTTTAAAATAATTCAGGAAAAGAATAGATTCCTTGCCAGAAAAATTAATTATAGTTTACTTGATATTTGTCGGGTTTTCCACGCTACTGAGTAGAAGGATTTGTATTAATCCTTTGTGAATGTATTATACTTAAGTCTTCAATGACGATTTCATCCTGCTTTTCATCTTGAATCGTCACCCCTGCCGCAAATTTTTTACTATTTTGGTCTTCAAACAGCAATTCCGAAGTTTTGAATTTTTTTACCCCACACTTAGAAGCTCCGCATCCCATTTTACAATTTATTGTAACAGTTTACGTGATATTTTAGATAAAACCATTTTCTCACATTAAACACTTATATGAAATCTCTTGCAGTTGTAGCTAAAGAAACTAAAGCTGAATTAGAAGCTGACTATAGCAATTATCTCTTGGAAGCTGACAAGCACGAAAAAGTCTCATTTACGGATCAGCTCAAATTAAAACGGATTCTGAACAAACTTATTGCGTCAAATGTGGAAAAAGAAGCAAAACTGACGAAACTCAAATCTGAGGTAGACAACCGCTCATGAAATAGCATAAATTCTTATCATTCTGGGAAAAACATGTTTATCACTACCTATTCAGATTCCATTTCAGTAAGGAGTGCATCAAGCACTTTCTCTATCATCCCCAGCAAAGATGATGTCCTGGAACAGCTGAAAAAAATAGAAGAAATGAGCGAAGACGCTGAACAAGAAAAAATCAGGGTTGAAGCGCTGCTAGCGAAAGAGAAAAAAACGAATTTAATATGGCAGGAGAGAATCCAACACTTAAATGAAGCTCACCACCGAGTGACGAAAAGCCACACTGCTTCAATTCTTTCGAAAAGGAAAGCTTAAACTTAAACTTAAATTACAGTTTGGGGATTACCCTATTTGCCAAATCGACAGGGAGAATTTTTTTGAGTTAGATAACTCACCTGGAGAGTGAAAGCTCGAAGATCACCTTTCCACCTGACTCCATGGCACCTATGAAGTAAGGTTCTGTGTCTCCGTTTCCTCCTTGTCTTGTTGGCTCCAGTGTTGAGTGAGAAGACATGGACCTCTGCGGCATGCTGCTTGCTTTAAACGAAGGTTTTCCATACAAAATCCCAAAAATTGGAATTTCTGGTGGACTGTCGGCAAAAAGGGAAAATTCAAACCATGGGCGTAGTTCCCAATTTCACGTTAGGGAGATGCCCGAATGGCCTATGCCTTGCCTGCGGATGCTGCTGAGCTTTCCCTTTCCAACTCTGACCTACCGTTTCCCTCGATGTAAAATCAAATCCTGAAAGCGGGCTAGGGTTAGGCTCTGTGTATTGCCAGAATTGCTTATATAACATTGCTGCCCATTTCTGGATTGGCAAAACCTTGCCGAATATAAATAAATTGTGCTTCAGGATGTATTATGGGAGGAAATGCCAGGGCCGAGGCGTCATCATTTTATTTATTCTAAAAGGAAAGCAATTAGCAACTTGATCCTGGGTCAAAAAGAAACGATGATTTTTGAACAGGAAATGCAGAAAAGGAGACATGAGTTCTCTTCTCAGTTCAACCAAAAAAAACAAAAATTAGAAGAAGTAAAAGAGGAAATCGAAAAATTGATTGAAAGGATAAGCTTTAATCTTATGAAATGAACTGATCAGAAAACACTTATTCTCACCTTGGCTAATAGTAAGATATGCTGCTCGTTAATTGAGGCTAAACTATATTTTACAAAATTCAATATATTATTTAAAATGAAAAATCTAATTTATAAATTCTGTTTTAAAACTCAATATCTTAAATTTAAATGATTTGCTAGAGATTTCATTATTATAATCATTAGGTCTTTATATCAAAATATTATAATACCTCATAGGAATACTCATAATGATTAAGGTCATCCTATTTATATATACAGAGGATAAAGGTATGCCCTTATTTATTATAAATAGGTATTCTAAATTTTTTGTTTATGGTGCTTTTGATAAGCACACATAAAAATATAATTTATACCAATGTTAATTTCTGCTCACTAACAGAGGGACTAACCTTCTCTCTGCCTAATGGACTTGCTATCTAAATAAGAGTGGAGTTAGGGATAATTATATGCAAGCACTGGAAAGCCAAATAGAAAAATATGAAGTGGAGAAAGAGGAAAAAAGAGTACTGGAAAATACTTATAAATCTTACAAAGAAAACATGAGAATCATTAACGAAATCATGGAAAGGCACGAAAAACCCCAGTGCCAGCAGCTGACGTATGAGACAGCTGACCATTTAGCTGGTATGTATAAGTTTTTTATATATCAAGATGCATCCCTAAGCTCTAGATTCCAAGAACTTACGTATGAGTTTCTTGAAAGGCAACAGGAACTTGCAAATTTAGATGGAAATCTTCATGAATTGGTAAAGGAAAATGATAATATTTTGCTAGCAGAAATTAATGTAACGGAAACTTATAATCAGTTAAAATCTTCCTTAGAAGATATGAAGATTTTAACCTCCCTGACTGAAGATGTAGCTGAATCTGAAGACAATTTATTGAGGTTCTATTTATTGATGTTGAATTTATCAATAACGTCCTTTAAACATATTAAAAATATGAATTCAAGCTCAGATGCAATTACTTTTACCAAAGAAAGAGCCTTTATCAATGCATATGAAATAATAGAAGAGCTTCAAAAAGGATTTTGAAGGAAAAGAAACAATGAAAATACCAGTAAAAATCCTCCAAAAGAAGAGGCAAACGCTTATATCGAGATTCCTGAAAATTCTCCGGAAGGAATGTCGATGAAAAGGTTCACAAAAGAAGTTTTGCCATACATGTCATTGCGAATCACTCATTTTATTGATTGTCTAGGAAATTTTATTGATGATGAGGCTGAGAAAAAAAGGATAGGGAAATTATTAAAAAAACAGCCATTTATTAGTTACTTTGTTGATGTCAAATCTCTAGAAGAGTTTTTTAAATTAAAGAAAGACACAATAATAGACCCATTTCTGATCATTTGCAACTTGACTGAACTTGGCCATTCAAAGTTTCAAAGACAGTTAGGGAAACTATTCAATTCACTTACATTTTTATACACAAGATTAAAATCAAATTTATACTTAAATAGAGCGAATTATTTTATTTTTAGAAAAAAGATAAAACCTTTATTTTTAAGCTAAATATTTTATATAGTTCATATAATTCAATCTACTAAAAAATAAATGAGCTTAATTATTCATATTCAGAATCCTCTTTTCAAGATGAAAAGCTATTCACAAGAAAGCCAAATCGAATCCCAACGCTGATAAAAGAGAAATTCAAGTCAAAAGCTGTCCCGTCTGAACAAGATATAGACCTAATCCCCATTTATAAGCCAGCCGAGATGACAAAGTCTCAGTCAAAGCTAGAAGTGAAGCTAACTGATGAAGAAGCAGCTTTAAAACGCATGAAAAATTTTATGCCTGTTCAACTATCCAATATTGAGAAAGACAAGCTAAATGAAAGTGAGGATGCGGATACTCGAAATTCAAGCAAAGCAAACACGAAGAAAAATAGCATCATCTTTGAGTCTCTTTCACCTCAAGAAATCCTTAATGAGGTTAAAGGAATTGATAGGAAAATTTCAAATATTCGATATAGCGAGAGAAAAGCTGGAAACAGACTAAAAAGCAGCTTGCAAGAAGCGCCACTGCTATTTAAACAGTATAATAAGCCTTGAAACTCAATTTCAGCTCGAGGAATGAGCAGAGAAGAATTAAGTAAAGAGCCAACGCGCCCTTCAACCTTTTATAGAAGTCCCAGGAATCTGTTAAAATCAAGCTAATTTATAAAATTATTTACCTGCTTAATCTCTGCTTCAAACTGAGAAAATATTTTCTCAATCTCTAAAGTTATTTTTGATTAAAATTTGAATTTGTAATTTCTGAGCTAATTTAAAACAAAAATGATAACACATTTTTTTCATATGCATAATCGTCATCCTTACTAATACGATATTAAAACTATTAGCCTACAGATAATCTATTGAAATTTTAGAACTTTTTAAATTTTTAAGCCGGATAAATCTGGATAGTCATGATTATACTGCCTGATTTTTATTTTTATTAACCTATTTAAACTAAAAAGTCACCAAAGATTGGCTCCATTAGTTTCTATGGGAGGTAAGTCTTAATAATTATAAAATAATGTACAGGCTTAATGTGTTACCGAATTACGAAGTAATCATCTCTGGAACTGAGCTTGACATTGCCATTCCTAGTCCTACTAACTACAACATGCCAGAGAACAAATCCAAATTACGGGACATGGTCAGAAATGCCAAAGAACAAAAGCTGAAGTTGGCTAAAGACAGGATGGCTATGATAAAACTATCAGAGACGCTCAAAAATCAAGAAAAGTCGTTAAACAGCGAAGAGGAAATTCTTAAAAAAGAAAAACTAGCTGTTCAGCAACAACGCATGGAACTTAATGAATTAAGGGCCAAGCTCAGCCACGACCAAGCTAAGTTGAATCAACTTACTCCTCCCCTTTGTGAGCAAATAAAAACATTTTGTCCTTTTAAACACAAAGAGGGCTAATTTTTATTTAAAATTATATATAAATTTATAGATAAATTTAATTTTAAAAATGTATTTTCTAAATGCAAGCTGCTTAAAATTAAATAAAATAGCTAGACATTTCATTAAAAATTTCATAAAAACAAGGATTTTACAATAGCTTTGTTTACTCACGTAGGGGGGAGAGTTAGAGAAAAGTTGGGCGCGGAAAACGAGCAAGTCAGCCAAGCACTTGAAGAGCTGCGAATAAAAGCTGTTGAACTGAACAAGCAAAGAGGCGTCGTAAAGAAGGCATCTCCTTTAGGAGATAGAAAAGCCCAGAAAAAGAGCACGTGGTCAGAGATCCAAAATTTGAGCGAAGAGTTTGTGTGATCGAGCATAAAACCCACCCCTGCCCTCACCACTCCAATACCAAACTACATAGTCTTGATAGCAAGAGATATTATAAATATATGGTATTATTTTCGCTCCTAAGCTATTAAAACGCGATTTTAACATGCTTACATATATATTTAGTACTTTATTTCATGTCTCTCCTCTCTGCAAAAATTTTTAGACTAATAAATAAAGGAGCTAGCACATAATTACGCTGTATATTGCTTAATTATCGCATTTTAACAGATTAGAAGCCAAAATACAGTAATATCCCTTATTTTCTTATTATCAAGACCGGGCAGTTTGGCATTGAGGGGGGTTTATGCTTGACCATTTGTGGACGAACTCAGACAGGAAAACAAAGAAAGAAGCATCAAAGTCAGGATGGAAAAAAGACAAAATTCATTAGAAATCTGGCTTTAACCATCATCAGGCATTGCTTAATAATAATCGTTTAATTCAAATTTAAGACTTTATTAACACAAAAAATGTGTGGAATAATTAAGAAAATGATCTTTTATGTTGAAATAAATCACTTGTAATGGAATTTCCGTCGTACAAGGTCATCACCTTAGGAAGTTATGGGGTTGGGAAGACCTGCTTGCTAATCAGAGCGACTGAAGAGAACTGTGTCTTTTCTTCTAACTACATGACAACAATTGGGGTCGATTTCAAAACCAAATTGCATAATTACAACGGACAATTTTTTAAGCTGATGATCTGGGATACAGCTGGACAAGAGAGATTCCATCATATAAATCGACTTTATTATAATGGGTGTAATGCTGCTATTCTCGTTTATGATATTACAAGCCTTTTTTCGTTTGAGAAGATTCAAACTTTTCTTGATGATTATAATAAAAATACGGTATTATATCTTTTGGTCGCGATTTTTTCCCCAGCTGACATTTTCGATGCACTATCGTTGAAATTTCTAATAGAAAAATGTTTCAGTCAAATGGTGCCAGCAAATGGCTGGAAGAGAAAGAAAAGACATGGAGCTAAAAATACAGATGGGACTTCAGCAATTGTACTTTGTGGAAACAAAAGTGACTCATTAAATAGACAGGTTTCTTATGATCAGGGGAAAAAACTTGCAAGTCAGCTAGGAATTCCGTTTATAGAGTGCTCAGCATATACTGGGGAAAATGTCAATCAATTGTTTGACATTTTAATACAACAGCTCACAAGAGATAATAAATTACCAACGCCAGCTGCTAAACAAACTTTTGTGATATCAAAAACTACAATTACTTAAAAATGACGTGTCGAATCAACCTGCCCACTTAGATTAGATCATGCTGAGTTTATAGTCCCCGCTATCATCGATAACATTTTGTGCGGCGCTATTACCTGGCGGCACAGCCAAATTAGGTGACTTTCACCTCTTGCAACTTGCACAGGCAGAAACCCCTGGTTCTCGATAATAGTATTGTCCTGTTGGGTCGAAAACTTTGCCGGCACCATAATTTCAAAATTTTTCCCTTCAGCCGCCTAGTTACTCTGCCCCACCCTTCATCTTGGCCGGTCTTGTTCTTATCGGAGCCCTTGAGCCGGAGAGACTTACCTTGTTGTCTCATCTGCCTTCCCTTTTTCTCAGGTCATCCCTGAAGAAAAACTCAACCGCTTCTGCAGTTCGTGACAGATCGCAGTAGCAGCAGGCAATCCATCCTACTCAATTCCGGGCGCCCACTGGCTCAGGTGCTATTGGCAAAAAAAGTCACCATTAACTGTCCATTGGATAAAGCACAAATCAGTGGATTTGTGCTTAAAACTTCTCTGCAGGACACCAAATCCTGCTAGATCAATCCCCAACTCCAAAAACCATACCCTGATATACATAGGCTACCGTCACATGAGAGAACGGGTTGGCTTAAATCGCCATTTTATGTATATAACTTGTCATTTTAACACCTGTCGTCAGACAGGACTGAGGGCGTTGTGGCTAGAAATTCGCTTTTTGAATTTTCGGAAAGGGTAATCCTGTTGACGTACCGTACAGTGACCCAAAATCTTTACCTCCGACTACGAGCACAAACCCTCGTCCGGAGGGAGCAGCACATTGATTCAAGCTGTTGAATCAGACTGGCAAGTAAGAGAGTGGAGCGAAGCAAGGGGCATTTTAAAGCTCACGTGGCTCTCCGGGAGCTTAGTCTTAGTTAAATTTATAAAGTAGCTCCTGGCCATCACCGAAGGTCCTTTTCTTCCGCCTTTTGGACGCCTCGCTTGCTTTCCTTGCCCTGCTCCCAGTGTGCACCTAAGTGCCACAGGTTATCACTCAACTCCTTCCGGTCATGGGGCTTGGTCATGCTATCCCGGAAGTAGGCTGACTGGGTCACCGTGCTTCACGTCGCCAGACTAGGGTTAGAGCTAAGGATTAACTCCTTAGCTCTTGTCGGCTCCTGCCATGCCCTCCAAATTGGCACTAGCAGTCCCTAGAGGAAAAACCCTTTTTGCCCCGTGTCCTATCGGGACGACCCTAGGATCGTCGTTGGACTGGGAGGGAAACCTAGCCGGACACAAACTACCAGTACCCCATTCCAGACCTTTCCCTGGGCGGATTGGCTTCAGGCCGCAGCAAGGTCCCCAATCTCGCCTCAGTTCCGGGAGAGGACGGGTCGGTGTCGTCGCCATTTTATTTGTGTGTGGCTCTCCGGGAGCTAATCGATAATAATTTAAGCTAAGTTAAGATATCAAAAACTAAGAAGAAAAAATCATGCTGCTAAGTAATACTTAATTTGAGCACCACTTATCTCTCACTCCCAACTTTAAATTGGAACCAAAAAAATATCTGTAAAATTTTAAATTTTTGAGTGCATTAACACCCTTTAAATTGGAGCAAGATTTAATTGTTAAATTAAAACTTTTAAAAATAATTTTATATAACAAGTCTTGACCTAACTTAACTGATAAATAGGAAGTAGAATATTATTTTAGAAGTTTTCACACGAATTGATTATATTTTTTTAATTTAATTCTTCATAAAATTAAAAAAATATTGTGTTCAATTGTTTTTAATTTTTATAAATAAACCCCTCTTTAAATTGGAACAGAGTTTTTTGTTTCAATATAAAGGAGGAGAGTCAAATATTATGCTATTTTAAATTCTCAATTAATTTTGTTAACAAATAGGGATTTTATTATTGAAAATTATAATCTCAATTTTTATATTCGTTATCTGAACAGTTTTTTGACTAATTATTTGCGGGAAAATGTTTGTGAATTCCGAATTCATATTCATTTAGTTTTTTTAAAAATTATTTTCGAAATTTAATTACATAAATTAGATTTATATACATAAAAATGGGTGATGAAATACCACCCGACCTCTCGACATTGTTTCTTCAAAATCTGCATGCAACGGTCCATGATGGAGATTTAGGTGGAAAGGGGTTGGCAATCCTTTATTTGTGTCGGGCTAGGTTTTCCTCGGGCCTCAGGGAGTAATCCTTGGGCTTAGAGTTTTTCCTGCGGAATAATCATTGGAAAGGGCAAGGTCGGCCAACGCCTGATGGGCAATATGAACCTCAGACCCTGAAGACGGTATTTGCCTAATGAGAAACTGGGAGTTTCGACCCAGGTGGTTGACCCTTAGACTCCAGGAGCCATGGAAGTCAAGATCGGTGTGTAAATCCTTTGCTTGCGGCAATGAGGAGGGTGCCCATCGAACCCCCTTTGGGAGGGATGAGCGTTTAGGGGTGGAAATCCCCGACCCTACTTGGCGAACGGCATAATCATAATCATAAATTAGATTTCATCAGATTCACTCTACAATTATTGTTAAAAATCAGGAAATCCATCTTCAAACGCTGTTTTTATCGAAACTAGGTTGTTGATCGAGGGGAATTTTGATGTGTATACTGGAGTTGAATTTGAATTAGCTCTTGAAATGGTCCCATAATCAGGAGTTTCATCATTGGACATTTGAAATTCTGAAATATTGCTTGACTCACTCTTTAAGAGTGGGATGCTTACAAAAATATTAAAAGTCCCAGGACTTTTCTCCTTGCTGATATCATCTAATAATGTTGGAGATAGGGTATCAAGAAAGACTATAGGATTTATTGGTGTAATTGACTCTTCTTTTTCTTCAAACAGGTAACTTGGAGTCATTTCCCTTACTCCCCCCCTCCGTGAGCGAACAAAACCATTAGAAAAAATCGCTATTTTTTTGCCCAAAAAACCCACCCTCCGTGAGTGAACAAAAATTTTTTTTATGGAAAAAAAATTGATATATAAGTGATAATTATTATAATGAAATCTCTAGCTAATTCTGTTTAATTTTAAACAAATTGCATTTTAAAACATAAATTTTATAAATTAAATTAAATATTTGCTTTCCAAGTTTTGCAAATTAGGATTTTTTTAAATTTCGAAAAAAAATATTTTCTATAAAATTTATATATAAACTTTTTTAAAATAAAAAAATTAACCCTCCGTGAGTGAACAAAATTTTTTTGTTTACTCACGGAGGGGAGGGGGAGTTAGGGTTAGAACTCTTTGATCTTCCTCTGATTGTGTAGTATCTTCGTCTCGAGACGAATAACCACCTGCACTTTGAAGGATATCATCTACACAATTATTGTAGTCAAAAATACCAGTTTCTTCGCCAAAACAAGGCTTACTGTATTCCTTGAATCGGCAATTTATTTCCATTGAATCGACTTTGAAAAACTGTTTATGAGAATTATACCAATCCTCATAATTTTTCAAAAAATTTTCTGATATCTTCTCCAAATGCAAACTAAACGGTTTCAAATTTTCATTTAGAAGTGATTTAGACGCATATGCTGTGTAAATCAAGTCTAAAGAGCTTGAACTACACTCATTTTTTCAGTTGATTTTTTGCAAATAAATTGTTCATAACGCACACTCCATTTCGTTCAGAGCAAGATCTTTCGCAGTTGAAATCATAAGCTTCATAGTATTCTTCTTTTCATCTAAATTTTGGAATGCTGCATTCTGAGTAGCTTTAGAAAGAATGTTTATTATGTAATTTGAGAGATTGAATTCAATATACTCAGCTCTGATGGCTTCGTATTCTCTCAAGTGATATTCTTCCTCTTTAGTTAAAAATGAAATTTCTGGGTCAATTTTCAATTTTTTATGTGGTAATCGGCTCGGTCTGTCAATTGAACTTCTTTTTGTTGTTTCTTGATCTCTTCTGTTACTAGGCATTTTTAAATATTCTAATCCGATAAATTATATAAAAAATGGCATTAAAATTAGCATAATGATTGGAAGTTGAATTGCTTATGCCACTATGTACTTGTTTGCCGAATGCTTGGATATAATTGATGAAGAAATTTAAAAACATTTATTTTTTGCATAAGCAAAGCTATTGCAAATAAAAAATATTTTTATTTTAATAGGTTCATTTAAAGTTACTTATCCCCCTTCTTGAGCATGAAAAAATACCTATTTTTTGGGTAAAACCCACCCTCTGAGAGCAAACAAAAATTTGAGATAAACAATTTGATATATAAGTGATAATTATTAAAATGAAATATCAAGCAAGTCCTATTGAATTTAAGCAGCTTATATTTTAAAACATAAATTTACAAATTAAATTAATTTTCGTTTTCCCAATATTGAAAAAATAAATTTAATATATAAATTTTAAAAAATAAAAAAATTAACCCCTTGCATTTGCGGTCATGGAAGGAAGAATTAACTGTAAATACAAATTACCTTCTTCTTTCTCCAATTAATAATTAAAATTTGTAACAATTCTTATCGAAATAAAAAATATTTGCATCTAAATGGATTCTTTAAATGGAATTTTAACAGGCCTCACTTTCAATTACCCTGAACTTTCTGAAAGAGCAAAAGTTCTCACAAGCAACTACCAAAATCTAATGATAAAGTTGAAAGACGTAGCAGATACAATTTCTCAAGTAAGCGGCCCAGTTAGAGTTCTAGAGACTCAGAAATCCAATGCTATTAAAATTCTCGACAAAGTTGACCAAATCCTAACCTTTCAAGAAAAATTGTCTGGCCTAAAATCAGCGATGAGAGAAGGGCAATTATCAATTGCATCTCGCATCTGCGGAGAGCTCAACGAAACTACAATCCCTTACCATATATCTGAAGTAGAAGAGCTTGAAAGGCTTAAATCAGAGCTATGCTCTACAGTTCAAAAGAAATTCGGGGAAGCAATAGCTGAAAATGATAAAGGAAAAATAGAAATGTATGCTGGCCTGTTTTTGCCACTTGGATTAGGACGCGAAGGAATTGATAGATACATTCAATATATCAACGCAAGTTTGATTTCTCAAATCAAAGCTGCAGTAGAGTTGCTTGGAAAAGACGCAGAAGTAAAGCATGAAGAAGTACTTGTGAGGATTTTCAGATGCACTGTTAAGGTTTTTGATACTCATCAAGAAGCTGTGCAAAAAGTTAGTTAAAAGTTGTATACGGCCATAAGCGGGACCCGCACTAGTCGGACTACCTTACTCCAGGAAAGGTGGCCTGGCGTGTATGCCAGGGTTTAAAACTGTGCAAAGCAAAACCCAAATTTGACCCTCTTGAATTTTCTGGTGAAACTCACCTAAGGATCGACTCCTAGGTTGTTTAAACCCACTGTAGGATGCTCTGATATTGCCGATAGACAAAGACTTGTGAGAGGCAAAACCTGTCTAGTCAGAACCTTGAGGGAGAAACAAAACCTCCTCATCGGCGAACCTTCCCAAACCTGAAGGCTTACTTCAAAAAGAGGCAAAGGCTCTGCTTTCAGCTTCATCAGGAAGGTCCGACTGCTCCATAGAGAGTGCGCCTCGGAGACAAATTTCCGCCAACGTCACCATTTTATTTCTAAGCTGTTCAAAAGGAATTTGGGAACTTAGGAGTCATTGATTTATTACAGTCCTTGCAGAGGGAGTCTGATCAGCAAGCTGTTAGAATTTATAATCAATTTTTATCTGAAAAAGGATTGCATATAACAACACAGATTATTCGGAACCCCAATTTTACTCCTGCTCAAGCAGATTCATTGTGCGAAGATATCGCAAAAATTTTGAAGCATAGTGAAAGCTTTGAAACGCATATCAATAAAATAGGAAAAGGAGTTGTTTCAAAAGCACAAAATTTTCAGCCTCAGCCAGGAATTAGCAACGAGACTGGGCTTTTAAGGATTTCTGGACTAAAATCAAAAATCCAAGAACTAGCTGATATTTATATTTCACTAGAGACTTACTATATGATGAACTCAGTCAAAAACTCTTTAGGAAAATTGAATATTCAAGCATACATTGAGCAGTCATACCAAGCCAAGGATAATTTGACTTCAGGCTCGAACTTTGAAGTTCTTGATGAAATCTTTTTTATTATACAAAAATGTGAGCAGAGAGGACTTGCTACTCTTAATATAAACTCAGTTTGTGCTATATTAAACCATATCGGTGGCTTACTATCTGAAGATATCATTGACCAATTGAGTAAAAAGATTCCAGGCTCCCGATATGGAATTTCAGGCAGTGCGTCTCTCTCAAGCCAATTTACCACAGCAAACGCAGGCCTAATAATTTCTCTAAATTTACTAGAAACCACACGAGCTTACTCAAAAAAGCTTTCAGCTCAAGTAGAACAAAAATTCAAGAAAATATATGGCGAGGAAGGGAATGAAGTAGATATGTTCAAGCACTGCTTAAGCTCCATTTTTGATGCGTCAGAAAAGGCAAGAATCCTAGAGCAAGACATTCTTAAGTCAACTGTAAGTGGATTCCAGGGGCAGGTAAATAACCTATTGAATCCATTTCTTCATGCTGGCTATGAATTGTCTGAAGAAACTTATGCAGATTATCAGGTGAATGATCCTTTTGTATTAAAGCTCATTAAAGAAATAAAAGGACAGCTGAAACAATGGAGGTATCAAATGATGACTGACCTGTTTGAGATGACTCTGGACCTTATCACACAAACTTTGGTGGAATTGATTGAGTATAACTTGAAAAATGGGAATAAAAAGTTCAATGAGCTTGGAGCTCTTCAGTTTACAAGAGATATAAGAGAAATATCTATTCAGTTACAAGGAATGACTAACAAGCCTTTAAGGCAGAGATTTGTGAGACTTAAACAAATAGGGCAAGTTTTGCAGGCAAAGAATGTTGAAGAGGTCGAAGGATTTATAAAGGAAAGAGACTGGAGAATCACGCAAAAAGATACTCTTGCTTATTGGAGACTAAGAATCTAATATTAATAATTTGATATAAATTGAATTATGCTGAAGTTTATTTCTGCAATTTGGAGCATGATATGAGGTTTGATTTATTATTTTGATATTTGATAGTGATTTAGCATTAATGGTAAGTTCACTATTAATTTTGCAAATTAATGGGGATTAAGTTCTGCCTCAAATTTTTTATTAGAACGCAATATAATTCTATTTTAAAAGAGATTTAAAATAACTCACTCGTGCTTTTAAGCTGCTCAAATTTCAGAGAGGGGTAAAATTTCTTACAGCTAATGCCCAAATATATCATTTAATAAAAAATGCCGATTTTAAAATAATCTAAGATATTTAAATTTTATACAAGCGTTACTTATGTTCTATCTTATAGAACTTTATTAAATGAAACTTCTTCAAGCTTTATTTTGAGCACTTAATAAAAGAGAATTCTAGAAATTAAAATAACTCAAGCTGGCATAGAGATGATGAAAAGAAAAATATATTATCTAAGTTTGTTAAACTTCTCTGCAACAACCTGGGGATTATCTTCTGAGAGTTTCCTAATTCCAAGAGTGCGGTGATCAAAAGTGCACCCATGGACTTCAGGAACTCGATGTCTTGAGCAAAAGTTGTGCTGACACTTGCATTGGAAAGATAAAGGCCCAACCACCTTTTTGCAAGTTCAGCATCTGTCTGGATCTTGAATCACCTGAGGTGGTGGCTGTTTGGTTTCTTCGACAGGGGGTGGAACTGCTGAGATAAGCTCAGGTAGAGCCCGGATCGTTTCCGATTTCAGTTTTTCTAATTTAAAGCATTTCGAGCAAAGCCCATCTTGGCATCCAAAAAACTCTTTACAATTTCTGCACATATGCGAATCCATATTCAATTTATATTATTCTTATTACTCATTTTTTCTAACATCCAACAGAAAGATTCCGGTGCATTTTTGGGCTGGATGTTTTCTAGTGATGCATTTGCTTAAAAATTTGATCGATATTTCCCCTGAAGACACTTTAGTAATTATCTCTGAGTAAATGTCGCACTATCAAAAATGCATGCACCCAAAAGATTCATTACTTTTAATTTCAGCTTATAAAATTTTATTGCTATTTGAAATTTTTGTTTAAATACCTTAATTAATGAATTCGATTTTAAGCTTAAGTTATCATTTTTGAATTATTGTAGTTTTCCATAGGGCGAATACCTCTTCTTTATCGTTTTATATGTATTCTTTTTTCTAAGGAGAATTGACAAATATATACATTTCACTGATATGTAAGTATCGTTTATATTTATTTGTCTTATATCTTTTTGACTATGATGAGTCTAACTCCCCTTCCCCCTTTAATGCAATTCCAATTTAAAGGGGGGCTTAATTATTTTTTTAAAAATTAAATTTTTCTAAATTTTTAAAAATAAAAATATAGATTGAACACAATTTTAATTTATTATTATGAAGAATTAGTTCAAAAAAAAATAATCTATTTAATGTGAATCTGTTTAAATAATATTCTAATTCATTTTCTCCATTAAATTAAAAAAGTAGTTTAAAAATTAATATATTTACCTGTAAAATTTTTAATATTGGACAAGCAAAATTTGTTCTAATTTAAAGGGGGTTAAATCCTCGAAAAATTGAAATTTACTGATAGTTTGTTCAAAATTAAAGGGGGATGGGGAGTAAAGGATATCAAATGAACTTAAGTCAAAGAAATATGAGCATCATTATAGCAAATCGAATAAGTGCTTTATCAAAACAATTTAAGCTATGAGACTAAAAATGATAGGCAAATATATTATATCCTGCTCCTTCAAATCAGAAAAATTAAAATGAAGTGGTTTATCTTTTTATTCTATTATACACTTGCTTGGGATTACTCTAGCAATGGAGGAGACTGGACTGACACGTGCAGTTCTGGAAACAAACAGTCCCCAATTAACATTAAGAAAAGCAGCGCAAGCTCTTTAGGCTCAAAATATTCAATGGAAGTTTATTATTACGGAAAAACTAGCTCAAGAACTGTTTCTAATAATGGGAATTACATTTACATAGAGAGCGATTTCGGATATATCACTATTACCGACTCAGACGGTTTAGACAGGAAATTCCTCACTGACTATAAAAATAAATGGTGGCATTAGCGGAAGATAAACTCAGAGCACAATTTCTATTGAGTAAATAGGATGCATCCATATTGCAGTAAGCAGAATGCCTATATCGCTTACTTGGACTAAGCTATGGGGTTTGGAAATGAAATAGTTTTCTTTCTTCGCAAATGGTTGCCTGCCATACCAGATGAGGTAGGCAGGTCTTGCCTCTCACTCAGTCTTTATATGCCGGACTACCAAAGTATCTCCAATAGAGATGAGTCTAACCCGATAAGCTAATCCTTGGATCAGGCGAGCTTGTCAGAATGAGTAGGCTCTGCGTCATTTGCATAAAGACGTATATGCACCCCCTCCTTAGAGATGTGATGGGTATTCGATTTTGACCACATTACTCTAAGTCTAAATCTAAATCTAAATCTAAATCTAATAACTGATTATATCATTTTTCATCGGCCCAGTGAGCATCAATTCAATGGACACAGCTCACAAATGGAACTTCAAATATATCATACGATATCTGACAGCGATTATACAGTCGATTTCCCCAAACGAGCAGTAGTCTCTGTGATGATTCGTCCTGGAGATTATTCTTACTTTCTCGAGGCCATCGATGTAGAAAATTTACCTTCTACTGGTATGTCAAATACTTTGCCTTCAGACTCAAATGTTAACCTGCTGGGAATTGTGGATCCAAGTGATGATTATTTTATGTACAGTGGATCATTGACTACGCCAGACTGTGAAGAAAATGTCTTATGGTATATTTTTGAAACTGAGCAAGGAGTGAGCTTTGAGCAGATGAATTATTTTAATGATACATGGGATGGAAGCTCAGCGTTTAAAAATGGAAACGTGAGATCTCTTCAACCGAGAAATGGAAGAACTATTCGGTATTCTCATTCCCTTGGATACTGCCTATCATCAATTCTTTTATTCTTTATTATAAATAGTTAATTACCCATATTTTGTGTTTTGTTTAATGAACCTATAAATGGCGAAGCACTGGTTTTCTTTCTTTATCTCTTTTGGCCACAAATCAAAGCTAGAGGGCTGAAGTAATTCTTCACTCTGCTTTTTGATGTCCAAAAACTCCTTCATTTCTTCTTTGGAAAATTGCTTACTTCTCCTTCACAAGCCAAAAAAATTTTTTTGCATACACACAGGTTTTATGTTAAAATCTTTTCCTCAGTCTAAAAATTCTAAATTTGCAGCCTAATAATGGTATTTAATTAAAAAAATTCATATACATAAAATGGCGTATGACGTCCGACCCGTCCTCTCGTGTGACGGTAACCCATGTATATCCGGGCATGGTTTTTAGGAGGAATGATTTAGCCCAGCAATATCTGGAGCCCAGAGGCGATGGGCGAGCGCACAGACCAGCTGATTTGTGGCCAGATCCTTGGGCAGTTAATCGTGAATCCTTTTTCCAGCAGCGCCCTAGCCAGTGGGTGCCCGAAATGGAGCAGGGTGATTTCCTGCTCAGGCTGCTTTCGATGGCTTTGCCCCGAACAACGGAAGTTGTTGAGTTTTTATTCAGGGATGACCTGGTAAAAGGGGAGGCAGGCTAGACTTGCAAGACGGCGGTCCCTCCGGTTTAAAGGGGCCCTTTAATGTGGCGACACCGGCCAGGGTAGGTACAGTTGGCCTTAGACGGCGAAGGGACTGAGTTGGAAATGGTGGTGCCCAGCAAGGGTCTTCGGACACAAATAGGACAACCCACTACCGAGAAACCGGGGGTTTCGGCCCGGGCTCAGAGGTACCAGAGGTGGAAGTCCACCCAATTCGCTTGTGCCAACACGCTACTGGAAGTAGAGACTTTAAACATTTATCTTAACATAACATAATTAAAAAAATTCTAAATTTGAGAATTTAAGCATTTTGTATTAAATAAAATTAGATTATATTAAAGAACACCTATATATTAAAATATTTTATAATAAAATTTTTGGTCAATGCAGAGGGGCTAATTTGACAAAAAGGCATTTTCAATATTACTTACTCTCTAATGAGGAGAGAGATAGAAGCTACTGGCTCTCTATATAAAATTTACTCATCATTAAATAAGAATGAAGCAATTGCAAGCTCTTCAGCACTGACTTTCTGCTGAAAGATCAAAGGATTTGTAGCTGGGGTCAAGAATTTCTTAGCAAATGTATGCAGCAAATAAATTGGTAGAAGAATAAGAACGTTTTCTTTATTCGTGAAGCTTTGGATTTTGAAGGCCATATAGTCCATATACTGCTCAGTTAATTCATCAGATGATAGCAGTGAGTGAACAAACTTTTCAGTTGGGACTTTCTTAGATTTCGTGCATAAATTGCAACCTTTTTCAGCGACTGAATCCAGAACTTCACATAAATCCAAAAACGTGGCAACTCGGACTTCATCAAAATACTGTTTGATATCAGGGATTTGTGTCGCCCAAGTCATCAAGGTTTCGTTTGATGGAGCAGATAGTAATATTTTCTGCTTCATTGAGCAAGATCTAAGAACCATTGTGGAATAAATATCGTTCATTTTCAGCCCAAATTGATTTTTTGCTATCATTTGAACTCCTGGCTCTTCTCTGTAGCTTGACCTGTCCTCAACTAACTTGTTAATATAAAGCCTAGCCTCTTCAGAAGAAATCAGAGTTTCTGGGTGGGGCAAGGGGACAGATATAGCCTGGATTCTGTACCTATTGATTAGATTGAGAATAGGATTTAAAGGCATTTCGTCTGCTGTACAGCCTACAAGGACTATTCATCTCCCTTCAATTTCTATTGCGATTTCTCTGCTGTTCTCAGAGATCTCAATATTCGAGACATCTGGATGATTCAGATATTTGATATAGTTTAGTGCTTTTCATTCAGGCTTATACTGGGCTCTAATAATATTTCTGTTTTCTTGTCCTTCTTCTTGCATTAAGACTTTTTCCAAGGCTACCATTTCATCTATCCCGATCATTGGGCCTACTGTCTTTCATTCATTTTGCATTTTCTCCAGGTATTTCGCCTGCCCCGTTTTAACGCCATAGATCCCTAAATGCAGAAGATCGAAAGGATTTTTCCCTACTTTTAATAACTTTTGTGCAGCTGAGTTCCCCACCTTTACATCCCATTCTCTTCAATACTTTGCCCTTCTCACAATATTTCCCCAGACATATTCATTCCCTGAAACCTTGTCAAACAGTTCCCACGTCTTGGAGTGTAAAGCTTGAGAATATCGCTCAATTTTACCTTTAAATGTGCATTTCATAATTATTATAAACTCTTACAATTATGGAATTTTATTGACGCTTTTTTGTCTAGCTTTCTGATTCATCTCTTTCAGCTTATTTTTTATTCTGGAAGGCACTTTAGAACCTCCATAAATTTTCCTGGAGTTGACTTCGTCTTTTAGTTTGTTCAGGATTTCGTCAGCTTCTTGCAAATTTATTTCGACATCAGATAGAAGCTCTTTCTGCTCTTCTTGCTGATTGGTTTTCCATCAGTCTAGAAGGTTTAAGATTCTGGAGACTGTTTCACCAGCTTCTCCATGCAACTTAAAAGGATTTCTTGCAACTGATTCTTGGATTTCTCGCTTGTGCTTTACTTGTTCAATTACATAGTTTTCAATTGATTTGTTCGAGTCTCTGATTGACTGCTCATAAGACTTCATTCTTTGCTTTTGAGACCCCAAGACTTGGAAAAGTGCTTCTGTTGACTCAGATCTGTCCATCTTAAATTATTTCTTATTTCTTAACCGATTTATAAGATTCCAGTTTTCCTTCTGCAGTTTTTCTATTTGCTGCTCCTTTTCTTTGTTGAGCTTTTTTTCTTCGTCAAGCAAGTTCTTCAGCCGAAGATTTTCGACATTGCCCCAAGAATTATTTGGCTTAGGCTCAGGGAGCTGTTGGGACTCCACATAATCATAATATGCATGTTTTTGTGATAAAACTGTAGAAGGCTCTTCCCTTCTGCTTAATAGTCTATCTTTGTCTTTTACTAATATAGCAATATGTTTTTCACAATGATCCCGCGATTTTGTGATAAGCTCAACTTCTCGGCACTTCTTTTCGTGCTCTTCTTGCCAGTGGTCTCTTTCTTGTTCTAATTTAGCTCTAACTCTATCGCCAATTTGGATTTCTTCTTTAAGGTCCGAAATTAATTTGTCTTTGAGGGTATTAGAATTTGAAATTTCATCTAATTTGAGCTGTAGGGAAGATAGGCTCGATCTGAGCTGCTCAATGGCGATGCTTTGGTTCGTAGTGTCCTGCTGGTATTTTAAAATGTTTTTGGTTTTATCAGAGTTGTCTTTTTTATAAGATGCGAGTTCTTCGCATACAGTCTTGTAGAGGATCTGGGTTTCTTGATTAGAAAATTCAGCGTCTTCAGCTCTTTTCTTGCAGTTTTCTAGTTCTGTTCTAAGCTCGTTGATTTCTTCTTTTAACTCATGCTTGGCTACTTTTAAATTCGCGATTTCGTTCATTTTCTCCTCCCATCGCTTTCCGAGAGTCAAGGTTACCATTTTAAATAAAATTAATTAGTAGCCTTTTGGATAGATCAAGTTCTCAATCCTGAAGAAGTCTCTGTCTTGCAAAGGAACTTAACTTAATATATTATCGAGTAACTTCGGCCAGCCATATCGGTTTTTCACTCCCTTGCTTCCCTCCACCTTCTTGATTGCCAACGTCCTTTAATTTACTGGGCTATCCTTTTCCAACTTCTAAATTCATCTTCCCTCAAGGAAAAACCTTGCCCTGAACGTGAGCTTGCAGTAGGTCAGCCGACACTATGCTCTATCAGACCAAGCCAAATCCCCGGCCAGAAACACCTAGTGCACGCTTCTCTCATTCATAAGGTTCGAAACCTCTGTCTGGCTAAAAATGATAAGATGGCAGGTTATTTCGCCCGCTATTTTTATATTCGTCTTGCAAAGGAACAATCATAACTGGAATCCCAGACTCCTGACTCACCTGAACACCTACTTCTTTTGTCTCAATCCCTGCTTGTCCTTGAAAATCCGCTGTATCTTTTTTCTTTGAAGCCTCGCTTTCTTCAGACTTATGAGAAAATTGTCTGCCAATGAACTTTTCAGTCTGCTCTTCATCAATGACAGAAAATTGAGGATTTTCATCTTTCAATAGGTCCACTTTTATCTCTATTTGCTCAGGCGCTTTCTCCGTCTCCTGGATGATTTTAGGTGCTTCTATTTCAATGCTCTGCTGAGTTGTACTTTCATTTCTTGAGTGTGAAGCCTGAGATGATGCGTAGGATGCTGTCTGGCTAATTGGCTTTGAGCTTGGCTTAGAGCTTGGCTTAGAGGACACTTTAGATTGGCTTTGGGCTCTCTCAGGCTGCATTTCTTTCTTTTTGTACTTTTTCTTTTCTTGAGATGGCCTACCTTGTGCGCCTTGCTGCTGGCTTTGGTTTTGCTTTGGTTTTCTTTTGCGTCCTTGCACTAAATTTCAGTCTTTTATGTAATTTTGGATTGATGAGCCTGTTTTCAAAATATTTTCAACTGCTTGATCCATTTCTTCCTTGCTGAAGAACATTGAAGCAAATAGCGCTAAATTTTCATCAGATTCGTTAGGGAAAAATTGTTCAAGGCCTAATGAACGATCAACTTGCGATTTAGCTGGTAATGAATATCTTCCAACCTTGGGCTCTTCATACTCTTTTTGAGCTTGGTCCTTTTGAATCAGGTATTTTTGAAGACTTGTCATCACCCAATTTAATATTATTCGTTATCCGAAATATTATTAAGTTTGTCATATTCTATCTGTCTGAATTAGATCAACAGGAGAGCCACATTAAATTAATTATTAACTTAAAATAATAGCTTTATATAGGTGAAATTAAATTTCCCTTTGATTAGTATTCAATAAATTCTTTCTGATTGAGAGGAGGCCAAGTATTGTTGAAATAAAATAATATGGGCGCATCTAGTGATAAATGCGAACTTGCTATTCAGCTGGATGGGACATCTTTTAATGCAGGAGGCGAAGTGTCTGGTAAGGTCTATCTTGCTGTAAAAGAAACTATTGAGTCCAACACAGTCTGACTCAAAGTTAAGGGCGTTGAAAAATGCGATTGAAAGAAAAGGCCGAGCGACGCGAACCGAGGAACTAAAGCGAGACACTATAATATGGGGGTGAAAATTCCTCTATTTAATTTCGATACAGTTTCCATTGTTCCTGGGCAATATACTTTTCCATTCGCTTTCATGCTACCTGAGAATCTTCCAGGGTCTTTCAAAGTTAAGAGGAAAAGCTACTCAGCTGAGATTATGTACAAGGTAAAAGCTGAAATCGCTCCAAGCAATGATAAATGCTACAAGAAATCAGCGCCATTTACTGTAAAGCAAGTCATCACAGAAGAAAGATATTCAGTTTCATTAGAAAAATCTGCTCAGATCGTAACTTGTAAGTGCTTAAATAAAGGCACAACCAGTATTAAAGCGCATTTGGATAAAAATGCATATCTGCCTACAGAGAGAGCTAATATTATCATCGAAGCAGACAACTCCATGTGTCATGTGCCGATTAAGACAATTGAGGTCACTTTATGGAGGACTTTAAGACTTAGAAGTAATAAAGACAATGTATTCTATGTCAGAGACGCTCTAAAAACCTTTAAAACTGGAAGCGTACCACCTTCAACTGGGTTGCTGAGCCAAAATGCTATAAAAGTTGAAGTCCCATTTACAGATTTGAAAGAAAATATCGAAGACATTTGCTCAACCAAAGGCAATAAAATAGAATGTGCTTATTCGTTCCAAATTAGAGCTGTACTGGGGTCTATAAACGACCCAAGCTTTGAAGTTTGGACTTTAATACATCCAATGGAAATGAGTCCTCAAATATTGGAAGCTCCAGTTGACTGGACTCCAACTGAAATGCCGCAAGCTCGTCTCACAATTGATGCGGCGTTTAACTATTTCCCATCCGCGCCTCCTATGGATGATGATTCTTAATTTTAAACTAGATAATCAATGGCCAATGTGTTTGAATTTGATATTATAGGGAAGAACTTTTTTATTAATAAGGGATAGAAATAATCCAAATTTAGCATTTAAATCTATATGTCAGTATTTTATTGAGAATGAAACTTATTATATAATTCAGATCTAGTTACAAAAAGGGATTATTTTTAATATCTTAAATAATATCAAATTCAAAAGAATATTAGCATATATTCAGAAACTGCATTTAAAGGAGCTTTTTATCCTAAAAATAAGTTCTTTATAATCATTTTTTGATAGTGGAAAAAAGTAATATAAAATCCCTTAGTTTAGAGTTTTTTAAATAATATAAACGTCGTTAATTTTCAATTTCGTAATGAAAAATTTGAATTAAAATTGTATTCATTAAAAAATAATAATTTGCATATTAATAAGGCTAAAAATTCCTAAATTACTAACTAGGTTGAGAGCATTTTATATCATAATGATAACTACTAAATGCAATTTAGCATATATTTTATGGATCAAAAGTTAAATCTTGCAGGGAAGAGAAAATCCAATTCTAAACCCTCAACTCCCAGAACCAAAGGCTTAATCAAGAGTAGCGATGAACCTCCACCTCGTAGAACAAATTCAAAAAATTCGTCAAGGCCTCATCACAGACCTTTTAACTCATACGGAGGAGCTGGACCAGGTTTTTCCGATCGGTTTGAAAAAGCTGTAAAAGAAAACTTTGTTAAAAGTTCCTTAAAAAGCTCTAACTCCTTTTTGAATTGGATTAAAGTCTTATTCAAATTTAAAGGGGGTTAAAAAAAATAAATTAAATTCTTATCAATGAAAATATTAAAATTAAAAAGCATAAATTGAAAAACTATTTTGAATTTTAATTAATTTTTATGAATTAATTGTTCGAAAAATTAATCAATTCAGTGTGAAAACAGTTTTAATAATATTATCTCACAATTTTTTATTTAAATTAGGTCAAAAAATGGAAATTTTATAGATATTTGTTCCAATTTAAAAGAAGGAGTAAAGATGCTTTTCCTGCAAAAGTAGCTGGCAGATCCAGTCCTAGAAAATCTCCTCCTCCCCATTCAGCTCCCAAGCATAGAAGAACGACTTCTCTTGCAGAGAGACCAGAAACTCATGGAGGAAATAGAAATATAGACCCTGAAATGACTCACAAAAGGAAATTTTCACTGGAAAGGCCAAAAGAAATTATGGTTGTTTCTTCATTTGCCCATAGATCTCAAAAAGGCTTTATCCCAGGGAATCCTCAAAAGCAGAATCAAGATAATTTTATTACCTGTGTTAATTTTGGAATGAGTGCCGAATGCTATTTCTTTTCAGTCTGTGATGGGCATGGACTTTATGGTGGAGAAGTTTCAGGGTATATTAAGCAACGGTTCCCTACAATTCTTAGCCAAGATCCAAATCTATTAGGAAATCCACGAAGAGCATTGATTTCATCAGTGATTAAAGTGAATTCTGAGCTAAACCACCAAGAATTTGATATTAGCTTTAGTGGCTCTACAATGGTTTCGGTTTTAATCCGTGGGAAAAAGCTATGATGTGCAAATACAGGGGATTCCCGAGCCCTTTTAGGAAGACAACTGTCAGATGCATTTCTGTCTCAGCAAAATATCCCTGTCAAGCAGTCTGGAAAGCATTGGATGTCTATAGCACTCTCAAGAGACCATAAGCCTGATGATCAAGACGAATCGGTCAGAATTTTGCATTGTGGAGGTAGAATTGAAGCTTATCAAGACGAGCAAGGAAACCCATTGGGGCCAGCCAGAGTATGGCTTAAACATCAAGATATTCCTGGTCTTGCAATGTCGCGCTCTATAGGAGACGGAGTTGCCAGCTCAGTTGGCGTTATTTGCGATCCAGAAATTTTGGAGTTTTCTTTAACTCCTGATGATAAATTTTTAGTCATTGGAAGCGATGGCATTTTTGAGTTCTTGAGCAATGAAGAAGTAGTAAAAATAGTTGTGCCTTATTGAAAGACAAGAGATGTTCAAGGCGCTTGCGATGCACTTGCTAACTCCCCCCCTCCGTGAGTGAATAAATTATTGGAAACATCCCATAAGTGATTATTAGTATAATGAAATCTCTAGCAAATTCTGATTAATTTTAAATAAATTACATTTTTTAAAACATAACTTTACAAATAAATTAATATTTGCTTTCAAATTGAAATTTTTTTAAATTACGAAACCAAAAATTTACTATCGTTATTTGCAGATTTTTGAACTTTACCACTTAAGTGTGGAATTTTTTCCGCGTGTGAAAAGGCGTTTTTCACGTGTGGAGCCCTTTTGATTTCACAAGTGGAATCCTCTTTTCACACGCGGAAAAAATTCCACACTTAGGTGGTAAAGTTCAAAAAATCTGCAAATAACGATATTAATTTTATATATATAATTGTTTTTAAAATATTTAACCCTTCAATGAGCGAACAAATTTTTTGTTCTCGGAGGGAGGGGAGTAAGGAAGCAAATAATCGCTGGACAACAGTAAGATTTATGTAGGAAGAAGAAGTGATTGATGACATTACATGTGTAATTGTTTTTCTTGATATTCCAAATTAAATGTGATTGAATTTTCAAATATGAATGCTTGCAGATGCGCAATTTAAATGAAATAATCAATTTTGTATTTATTTAATTTTATTATACAACAAATTTGGCAATTAATATTTAATGATATAAAGAAATGTATTATTAAAAGAAAAGAATTAATGAAACATATTATTTAACCGTTAATTTTGAATGTGTATATTTGAGTTTCTTTATCCCAACCAATATATTGAGTTCGGTTTCTCAAGCAAGATTTCTTCAGCTTCTCTACAAATTTCTCTTCAGATTCGCGATCTGGAGCACATTTGTAAAGCATGATTGTTGCAGATTTATTTAGTTCTTCCCCTACTTTCGGCTTTTGATTTTCACTCCCCCCCCTTTAAATTGGAACCAAAAATTTTGTTCCAATTTAAAGGGGGGTTTAAAACATTTTTTTTAAAAATAAAAAAAAATTATATAAAAATTTAAAAAAAAAAATTTTTCAAAAATTTATCGAATTAGATTAATAAATTTGTTTAATAAAATGCCATTTATTCTTTATCCTTTAAAATAAAGCAAGATATAACTAAATTTTCATTATTAGTTATTACGCCACTATTAATTGATATCAAAACTATTTACACAAAAATTATTATTTTTATTGATAAAAAAAAATTTTAGAAAATTTATCGATCAAAGTGCTAATTTTGTTTAAATGAGATGTCATTTATACTTTATTCTTTAAAATAAAGCAAGAAATAAGTAAATTTTGAATTTTTGTAAAGAATTCGCATTGAATTTATATCAAAATTATTTTATTAAAAAATATAGTTAGTGACACTGACTATATCATTTTTATCAAAAACAATAAAAATCTTTTTGAAATTTTTTTTTTTTTTTTTTAAAATTTATCAATTAAGGATAATAAATTTATTCAAATAAGATGCTCTTTATACTCTCTTCTTTAAACAAGAGCAAGATATAACTAAATTTTTAATTTTAGTTAAGAAGAAACATTTAACTTATATCAAAACTTTTTACATAAAAATTATGATTTCTGTATATAAAATTTTTTATTATAAAATTAAATTTTGTTCCAATTTAAAGGGGGGTTAATTTACCAAAAAAGTGGAAATTTTACCTATATTTTGTTCCAATTTAAAGGGGGGAGTCAGAGTCATCAGGATAAATTATTGCTTCGCGATATCCAATTTTGATAATTTGGTCAAGATCAACTCCTATCAGATTGGTTTCACCCTCAAAAATAATTTTTCCATACGAATTTTCTATTGTAAAATCTTTTACTCTAGTGATTTCATCTTTTGTCATTCTTGCGAGTTCTATCATAGATGGAGAAATAGTGTATTCTTCATTAGTCAGCTTCGGAAGCATCTCTTTTGAAACCATTTCAGACTTGCTTGGCCCTTCCTCAGCTATTACAATATTTATAATATCCCCATGGGAAACTCCTAAAGATCCTATCGTATCATCTTCTTGTGCAACGGTCGACTTAAAGACAAGCTGCACTATTGAGTTTTGTGGGATTTTAATCTGTCTTAAAATATAAGTCTTGATGTCGTTAATCAGCATATTCTTATGTGTCGGAATTTTAATGTGAGTTGGATTAGGATTATGCAAGACTGCTTCTATTTCAAATGATCGGCCTCTGTTTACTGGTGAAGGAGCCGGGTCTAGTTTGGAAACATCTTCTTCTTTATATGGCTCTAACTTTAAGTTTGCAAAACTAGGTCTTTTTATCAAGCAGGAAATATCAGGAGATTTTGGGGTTTGGTTTAATCTTCAATCATCCCATCCTGAGTTCCCAATCTTCCTCTCAAATCTTCTTATTGATTTATTTTCAAATTTTGGAGACGCAATGCGCTCAATTTGTGAGGAAATAGTCTCAGTTTTCCTATTTGTTGGAGAATATCCTCCAAATAGTGATTGCGCAGTAATTTGGGCAGGTGTAAAGGTAGGCTGATTTGAGGTTTGGAAAAGAGAGCCAGGCTGGGTGGGGCTTGATAATAATGGAGTAACTGGATTAAAAGATGTAGAGCTTAAAGTTTGGTTTGGCAATAAAAAATTTGATGAAGGCAGTACTGGTGGAGGTATTAGGGAAGTGTTTGCATTTAATTGAAAAGCTGAGCTCATCGGCATTGAGCTTGAATTAGCAGAAAGCAGGCTTTGGCTATTAGGAGCAATTAAAGGTTTTGGCTGAAAAGTATTTTGAAAAGCTTGAAGAGCAGGCTGGAAATTCTGAAAAGGCTGAGCTAATGCAGCAAATTGGTTCGAAGTAGTAGTTTGTGGAGCCGAATATGTAGGATTGGGTTGAAATGGTTGAGATACAGTTGCTGGCCATGGCTGAATTAAAGAATTATTTTGTAGAGGCTGAGATTGAAAAAATGGAGAAGTTTGAAATTGCTGAGGATTTGATGAAAAAGATTGGGTTGGTGTGGTCGAAGCAGGTGGAAAGTTTGGTTTTACCTGAAAGGACTGGGATGATTGAAAAGGAGCCTGAGACATTTGAAAAGGCATTGCACCTAAGGTATTTGCAGGCTGGAATGTTTGAAAATTCTGCTGCTGGGATGTTTGAAATGGTGATGTCATTCCTTGAGAAAAGGGCTGTGAGCTCTGAAAAGGAGTATGCCCAGTTGAAAAAGGCCCATTTGAGACCTGAAAAGGCTGTGATGAAGCTGTTGCTCCTATTTGGGACGGAACAAAAGATGAACTCTGAGGGGGTCATGTTGAGGCGCCAAATGGTTTATTATAAGCTGATGCAGTATTCGATGTTTGAGTCGAATTGACTCCAAAAGGACTGCTCGTTCTAAGAGCTGATGTTTGCATTAGATTACTTCCTCCCATCGGCACACCATTCGGATACTTTTTTTTGTCTTCAAATCTAAGCTCTTCTACTGACTTATGGCCGTATTCTTGCATTCCAATTATATTTGTTATGTTAATTGCAACTAGATCTTCCTTTATCTGCGTTGCTTTATATTTCGGGTAATTTCCAAATTGATTATTATTACCAAAACTCATAGAATTATTTACCGTCCCATAAATGTTTTGAGGGGTGCTAGAAGCTGGCAAGTTAAATCCAACTCTGTTTTGGCCCATTGTATTGGAACTCCCCTGCATTTGGAAAGCCTGGGAATAGCCCATAGGAGTAGAAGTTTGTCCATAAATTGAGGATTGTGTTGTCATTGGATTGTTTTGAAGTGTAGAGGCTGGCTGGAATGAAGGAAAACTCCTGCTTTGAGAAGAACTTGTTATAGGAGGTTGAGCTTGATAAGCACTGTAAGAAGATGGCATTGAGGTACTAAATGGATTTGGTGTGGCTTGGAATTGTGAAGGATTTTGATAATTAGAGGTTGGGTTTGATTGAAAAGGATTCGGGATGTTGCTGTAGGGATTAGCAGATTGATAAGAGTTAGTATTCATATTTTTATAAGTTTAAAATAGAGTATCTAATCTGTCAGTTAATCCCTATTTTTGGCAATAGGGATCTGAATAGTGCTTTTATTAATTTCACGTCATCTAATAAAATTTTATCATAATTTATTTAGAATGCTTATAGCCCGTTTCCGGCTATAGATCGGGCTTAGCCCGATCTTTGCCAGAAACGGGATATATAAAGATTCTTCTTTATTATAAAGCTTACAAAAGCTTTCATCCTATTAGAAATTCTTCATCGAAAATAAATTGAATAATTAATTAGCCTGTTTAATAGATAATTTCTTTATCTATCGATTAAGGCATGATTGCTATCATAATTTAAGCAAATTTCAAAGAGTTCATATTAAAAGTTAAATCAAAAGTTAAAGCAGCCTTTGAATTTAAAAAGGCATTCAAATGCATACCTTATAAGTCTAGATTTTATACAGATGAGGAGATTTATATTTAGCAATAAGCACTGTATTGTGAAGCCAAATGCTGCTTTCTAGAAATATTTTTGCAAGATGATAATAATAAGAAATGATTTTCAAAGTAAAACATCCTCAATTAGATCTCAATCCAGAAGAAGTAAACATTGGAAAGAAAAGATTTAGACATAGAAAAAATACAAATTCTCTCAATTATGCTATAATTGGAGAAATACCAAAATCCAATAATTCGTTTTCAATTGAAGAAAACATACTGAGAACTAAATATCAACGGTCTTCAAATAATAGCCCTCCCCAAGGCTCTCCAACGAATGGCACTTCCTTAAATTTAGATTACTTGATTTCCGAAAAACAAAATACTCAAAATTTTGCGAATAGAATTTCTTCTCCTAACTCCTTGCATCGGTTATATAAAAATGCTCCAAAGTTCTTTATTCATTTTTTTGCAAAAGTAGCCCACTCAAAAAATGTTTTAGTATAATTATTTCTTGGAAAAATATTTTATATATAATTTATGACGATAATAATGGGATTTTATCTGATTATATCAAATTGCATCATAAAAGCATAAATTATTTTTTTCATTTCTAGCATTTATAAATAATTTATTTTAAAACTTTTAAAGCCTCAGCCAGCAACAAAAAAAACTTGTTAGCTAATCAAGAGAAATGTAAGAAACTAAATGATATTCAATCTCCAATTTATCCTAGAAGCCAGTCAATTTCAACAGATTATGAGTCATCTTCTTTATCCTCTTATATTACTCATAGTCCTGGATTAAAGCATAGTAATGATGATAAGTTGAATTTATCAATATTTAAGCAACCTAAATTTACAAAACAAAATCCGTTGATAATCTATAATAATCCTATTCTAGGATACACTCCTCGTATATCAAGAGAGTATAGCAACTCTCCAGACAAGAGAAGAAGCTTGGCGGATTATGGAAATATGATGATTTCCAAAAGATAAGCTTACAAAAGCTATTTGGAGTATAGAAAATTAATGGATGATATAAAATTTTCTAATATTTTAATATATATTGCCTTAAAGTCAATAGCAAATAAAATTAGAGTTTGAGTTAGTTTTTCTTTCTATATTAGGGTTTTTATTGTTAATTTGTATTTATCTTCTTATTCTAAGGAGTAAAAAAATTGCTATTATAGCTTTTTTGGCGCATTTGCTTATAAAGTGAAGGGAGCTGAAATAGATGGCAAGGCCTATTTCCAAGATATAACTATTTAATGAAGCGAAAAGGAAAATACTGACTCCCCCTCTGTGAGCTACAAAACAATTGAAAAAATCCCTATTTTTGGGTAAAAACCAACCCTCCGTGAGCAGCTAATTCTGTTAAAATTTAGACAACTTGCATTTTGAAACCTAAATTTTGCAAATTAAATTAATTTTTACTCTCAATTTTTACCAATATGGATTTTTTAAATTTTGAAAAACAAAAATTTTACTAAAATTTGTCTAACCTCACTCACCGAGAGGGGGAGTAAGTTTCTTAGTTGACTCAGATTATTAAATTTAAATCTATTAAGAGCAGAAAAGTGAATATAAACTTCCTTGATAATAGTTCCCTTCTTCTTGAGAAGGCTAGACACTTTACTACTTTTACATCTTGGCTTGTGTTGATTCCATTTTATTAACATTTAGGCAACCTAAATATGTTAAAATTCCAGTTTAAAACTAAAATGAAAATGATAAGACTATTAATTATCTCAGACTTATTAAAACTATAAGTTAATTCTCTACCTGATATTTTGCATAGAGCTTCTATTGGATTAATAATGCCTCTTACTAAAGTTTTGAATAAAATCTCAGGTCGAAATTTATTTTTGCAAGATTTTTCTAACATAAAGATCAAGATGGCAATGGACTTCATCTTACTCCAGACTAAAAAGTAAAAATTCTTTCTGAAAATAGCATAGAATTTCGAATGGATTAATAAAGACTAATAGCTACCAAATCCCTATTTAGCAGAAAATTCAATTAAAGCTCAAATTTTCTTTAAATTGAAGTTATCGTAACATTTCGATTTTAATAGACTTGATGTTTAGATTTCTATTGCCAGTTTTCATATTTTAGTTTTAAACTGGAATTCAAAATGTTTAGCTTGCATAAATTTTAATAAAATGGAATAAACACAAGCCAAGAGTTAAAAGTAGCAAAGTGTCTAGCCTTCTTAAGCAGCAGGGAGCTATGATCAATAAAGCTTATATTCATTGTCGGCTCTTAATAGATTTAAATTTATAACCTGAGTCAACTAAGAATTCAATATTTTTCTTCTCGCTTTAGTTAAGTAATTATGTCTTTGAGATAGGCCTTGCCCTCTATTTATACCCCATCACTTTATAAGCAAATGTGCAAAAAGAGCTATAAGCTGGCATGGTTGAATAGTCCATCTAACTGCTCTTATTTCCCAGATATACTAATTTTATATGCTAATATTGATAGGAGTTCAATTTTAAAACACTTTAAAAAAATGGACATAAGTTCCTCTCAATAATTCTAACACAAAAATGTATTGATACTCAATAATTATAATATTAATACTTTTAAAGTATTTGATATAAGTGCCCAAATATTTAGCAGCTAGCAATTCTTTATGCATAAAATATTGTAAAGCGCAGTAGAATTGATAATTCAAGTGATTAGCAATGAATTTTTAGTAAAATCACAGCTATTCTAATATTGCCCTCCCAAGCCTAAGCTTAACAATAACAATCTTTAACATTTCAGCTAAATTAGCCATTTTCTCAATTCTTAATTCAATTTATGGAAGAAGAGTGGCTCAATACACTAAAGCAAGGTAAGTGTCTTGCTGAAAGCGATCTGTTTAATCTCTGCGAGAAAGTCAAGTCAATACTCATGGAAGAAAATAATGTCCAGCCAGTTTCAGCTCCTGTGATAATCTGTGGAGATATCCATGGACAATTTTACGACCTTCTCGAACTTTTTAGAGTAGGAGGCCCAATCCCTGAAAAAAACTATATTTTTATGGGCGACTACGTCGATCGTGGCTATAATTCAGTAGAAACATTTGAGTTCCTCATGGCCCTAAAAGCCAACTATCCACAAAGCATCACATTACTCAGAGGCAACCACGAAAGCAGACAAATTACACAAGTTTATGGCTTTTATGACGAATGCGTTCGGAAATACGGCAATGCAAACCCCTGGAAGTACTGCACAGAGGTCTTTGACTACTTAAATATATCAGCAGTGGTAGAAGACAAAATTTTATGCGTGCATGGTGGATTGTCGCCTGAAATAAAGACGATTGACCAAATTAGGGTAATAGAAAGAAAAGTTGAAATTCCTCATGAAGGGGCATTTTGCGATCTTATGTGGAGTGATCCTGAAGATATTGAAACTTGGTCAATGAGTCCAAGAGGCGCTGGATGGATTTTCGGATCAAAAGTGACTGAAGAATTTAACCATATTAATGGTCTCAATTTAATATGCAGAGCACACCAGCTCGTGCAAGAAGGGTACAAGTTTTGGTTTCCTCTTCAGAATTTAGTCACAGTTTGGAGTGCTCCGAACTATTTTTATAGATGTGCTAACCAAGCAGCTATTTTGGAGGTTTCAGAGGATTTATCAAGCACTTTTAAAATGTTCACAGAAGTCCCGGAGAGTGCTAAAAGCATCCCTCCTAGATCTGTCGTTCCGTATTTTCTTTAATAAATTTACACAAATTCCAAAAAATAATTATTAAAACGTTATATGATCATAGAATAGGCAGCTATTTTTCTTAATATAAAAATTTTATTATAAATAATGAAAATTATTAATTTTATTTACAAGCAAGCTAAGAATTGTTAAAGTTTAATCATGATTTTTTCATTTAAGTTAAATTTATAATAATTAGTACCTTTGTCTTCTAGAATTCCAATATATATTGCTCCTTTGTTATATGAGAAATAGAATTGATTAGAATATTGGCTGATTATTGAGGTGGCTATTTGTTTCCAAGTATACTCATCTCCAATTTCACTTTCAAATATCAGTCCGCCGAAACATTCAATCAAATACAATCTACCTATATTTATTAAGATCTTTCTTTTATCTATCGGAAATTCATAAGGAATTGTTGTGAAAGAGTTGATTTTCATGGAATACAATAATAGATTTTTATTCTCTTTTCCAGAAATTAGAATGTTCCCTTTAAATACTACACTGTGTGTAAGCCAATCAGCTTTTGGCATCGGATTTAATTTAATTCATCGATTCTCATCTAAATCAAATCTGCAAGATAAAGTCAAGGGTTTGTTGTAGTACATTCCACCAAAGCAGTAGACAGACCTGTCGAAGTATACAGCTGAAGATAAGTAGCAAGGTGTTCCAGATGGCAACACTTGAAACCTCAAATCACTATCAACTATCATCGTAATTCCTCTAGTTGGCTCATGCTTACCAAAACAGAATATTCCGCCATTAGGAAGCCGAGCAGTGCTTGTGCCTCAGTTTATTAGTCTTTCTTTTTTAAATATTGTCCTAATTTCTCTTTCACTTTTAGTGTTATAAATAAACGCATTGGTTTCGAAATCTCATTTCTCATAGTTAAAAAGATAAAGGGATGTGGCTTGATAATAAGCCTCAATATATTCTTTATAAGCTTGAGCTAGAAATGGATCAGAATTATAGTTTTGGCTTTCAAATAGCGAGCAAGTTCGTCTAAAATCCAGCTCTAATTCTGGGCTATTGACTCTTTTTCAAATCTCAGATGTTTTAGCTTTGAGGTATTGGCAATTAAATAATTGTGAATCAAGGTCTTGAAGTTCTGGAAGAGTTTGACTTGCTTCATATATCAAATCTTCTACTGCTAAAATATTGAGTTGAGAATTAAGTAATTTAAGCTGTTTTTGAGTTTTGAGCTCCATATATAAATTATAAAAACGATGTTCTTTATATATTTCTAATTTACTGCAGAAAAATAGTCTTTGCTATAAGAGGAATAAATATATATAGTTTGCATCAAGATTTGAAAATTTTAATTACAATAAAGATTTCATTCTATTCAATAAACCAATATAAATAAAAAGATTAATTTCTAGGGATAAGTTGCCTTGATTTAGATGATGTCCTATTTATTAAATATTTATTTAAGTCAGTTTCTATTATGGGTTATCCGAACAGTTCTGCATAGATTGCTCTAAAAACATATTTATTTCAGATAATAAACCACCTACAGTATTATTAAAATTTCCCACCATATAAATTTATTAATGGGCTCTTTTCTGACTAATACGCAGAGTGTCACAAATAAACCCTGGATTGGATACGCTCCCGAATTTGAAAGTATATGCAATGCTTGCAATGGAATTATTAGAAGACTCGAAATTATCATAATTTCTCCAAGAGAATTCTTTCACCTCAGTTGCTTTTCGTATAAATCAAATAATGTATTGCAAATCAGTGATTTTGATATTTATCTTAATAATTGAGATTTACAACTTTTAGAAAATTATTTATTTCCAAGAAATTTAGGCAATTTGCCAATTAAACGCCCTCATGATATTGACTACGATATCAAAAAAAAGTTTACTTCAGGAGTTTTCAGATTAAAGCGAGCCTGAATAGAAATTTTTAAATTTCTACATCCAACTGACGAAGTTTTAAAATTGGCTATCATTTCTAAAGCCATTTATGATTCTGCAAATAGTGAAGAATTATGGTACCATTTTTATTTGGTCGAATATGGAAATACTAAACTAACGAAATCAAGCTGAATTAAAAAATACCAAGAAACTTGAAAAAGAACATGCTTTGGATGCAAGACCCTTAAAACCATAAAATCTGAGCTTATATGGTGCAAGTACATTAAAAAGCCATTGTGTCTCAATTGCATTAAATTTAATTCGGATTTTAAAAGAATACTTGTAAGTGAAATAGAAGAGAAATACTTTGTTAATCCGAGAATTATCGATTTTAATTTTTGGGTCAGCGATGATGGGCTCAGGTTTACTTATCATTATGAATTGGCAAAAGGGATCACTAAATGAAGACAAAATAACAAAGAGAATTTACTCCAAAAATTCAAGGATATAAACTATTTTGCAGATCTTAAAGAATTAGTTGACTCATTGAATTTGACAAATATGACAAATATAGTTCGTTATCCTTCAAGATTAAAATCCAATAGATTTATTCCTATAATACCAAATATTTATTTCTATATTAGAAATCAAGATGAAACACTGACTTCAATTGAAAATTATATGAAACTTATATAAATCTCTGAATAGCCTATATTAATGTTTAATCTCATTATTTATACCATTCACGCTAATTTATAGAAAACGCTATTGATAATTCTGTATATAAATTATAAATTAATAAAAATTTATGCATAAATATTGCCAATGATAAAATCTGAACACAGATAAAACTTAGGGAAAATAAAATTGAAAGCTTCCTCTATTTAAAGAAATCTAAATTTTAAGCTTTGAATGGTGATTAGTGGGAAAAGTTTTATTATTATCGAATTTATTTTATAGAAATTTGCAAGCTATAATAGTTCATCTACTTTTTTTACATCTAAGCTAAATTTTCAGTAATTGTATCTAGGATTTTGAACGCACCCTATGTAAATTCCTCCTTTATTATATGAGCATGAAACTTGAAGAGAATAATGGCGTAATCCTGATTTTGCGATTTTTTTCCAAACATATACATCTTCTGTCTCGCTTTCATATATAAATCCCATTTCACACTCAATTATATACAATCTTTCTGCATTTATAAAATCTTTCTGACTAAGCTAAATTCGTATGGAATTTTAGAGAAAGAGTCTAGGTCAACTGAAAATAGCATAAGATTCTTCTGTATCCCAGCTATCAAAATGTTCCTCTTAAATACTACACAATGGCAGCAGTAATCATGCTGCATCAATGGGGGTAATTTAAATCATTGATTTTTATCCAAGTCAAACTTTTCTGACAAAAATAAAAATACATTTCCTTTAGCTAATCCTCCAAAACAATAAACAGACTTGTTGAAATATAGCTGATGATAAGTAGCATGGTGTTCCAGGTGGTAGTTCTCTAACACTGAAATTGTCAGAAATTATAAAAGCAATCCCAGAAGGCTATCTTCTACCAAAACAGAATAGCTTACCATTTGGAAGTCGAGCTATGCATGTGGTGTTATCGACTTTCTTAGAAAACTTCAAAGGTTTTCTTATCTCTTTTTTACTTTCAGTGTCATAAATAAATAAATTAGCTTTCTTGTTGACTTCTCTAATTAAATATAGAGATACAGCTTGGTGATAAGCATTTAAATATTCTTTAAAAGCTTCTTGGAGATTCAGAGCAAAAGCAGAACTCTGTTTTTCATATAATGAGCAAGTTCTTCTGTAATCTCGCTCTATTTCAGGACTGCTAATGCTTCTTAAAATCGCAGATGATTTTGCTTTTAAGTCTTGAGGATCCAATAATCGATTGTCAAGAACTTTATTAAAATGATATTGAACGAATCCTCCTTTATTCTTTTCTAGATCTGAAATAAACTAGAATGAAGCAATTTGAGTGAATTCTGAGCTTTGAGCTCCATCTTATAATTTGAGAGGGCATAGCTAAATTTAATAAATATATAATTGGCTTATAAATTTAGAATTAATTGCTCATTTTTTCGAACTGAAATTTTGGGATTTAATAACTTTATAGTTAACTTATAACTTATTCATAACGCTTTGATTCTTATAATTACACTTCAGAATATATAAACATCTAATATCTGAGCTGTTAGAAACTATAATGTTTTGAATGATATGCATTACCTTTCTCTTATTAGCTGAAAATGCACTTGATAAGGATAAAAAGTGGCATTTGGCTCTGCAAATAGTTTCCAATTATACTAATCCAACTTGTAGTTCATTAATGTCATAATCATATTGATCCAAATGCAATCTATCTAGTTCATTCAAATGTAATTTTTAAATCCTTTAAATGCAGCTTCTTTTCCTAAAATTCATAAATCACCCTGCATTTACACAGCATACACTCAAATGATGAGGCCGTAAGGGTCAATGAAAGTGTTTTATATACAAAGCTATTTAATTGAGCCATCATAAAATATCATAAGGCTGTCTTAAAACAAATTTTTGAGTTATTTGAAATTTTAAGTTTAAGTTAGTTATAAAAAATTAGAGAAAGATAAACTAAAACAGATAATATTTAGTATATTTATCTTCTGGTTCTTGATCTCTGTCTGACTCTAATAGTATTAAAATCAAAATCTTCATCTTCTTCAATATCCATTTTACTCTCTTTAAAGCTCGCTTCTGTTGGCTGCCCTCTCAAATTTTGGAAGCTAGGGTCAGATTCTTCGATAATAGCATTCTTTACTTCATATCTGGAAAATAAAGCTTTAGATGGTGCTGGCAAAATCTGATTTGGCCTATTATTTCGAATAGTTCGGCTTCGACTTCTCGTTGCTATTTCAATATCTTCAAAAACGATCTTTTTCTTTTTTCTACTCCTTTTTCTCACTTTGTGAGATTCTGCTGATGCAATTGAAAACTGTTTAGCCAATAAACTTTTAGTGTCATTAACTTTCGTACCCAAAATGGTACTTCAATCGTCCTTATCTTTCAGTGCATTTTTGATAACATCTTTTAATTCGATTTTACAAGTGTATAAAATAAACCTAGGTCTTTTAGGCAGAAGATTTCTTATGTTAAATTTCTTACCAGTCACAGCCCTTTCAATTTCGTACATATGCTTTTGCATGGATAATTCAATTTCTCTTGATTTTATCATTCTAAAATGTTGGCTAATTTCTTTTGAAAATTCTTTTAACTTTTTTAATAGATAGGGTTTCAAGTAGTGAAGCTTTATTTTTTCAGGAACAAATTGATTGTTGATATTTTGCTTTTTCTTAGGATCGATCTCTATCTGTGGCTCTGTTTTAGATCACAGTAGCATTAGGGTATCAATTCTTGCTTTATGAATTAGCTTCATTGATTTGAGACTTTTTTGGATTAAAATTATTTTTTTCCTAAATCGTTTAATTATCTGATATGCTTGTGCATGGCTCAGAGATCAATCAAGAAAGTTCACCATAATCTGTGACTGCTTATTTTTTCGATTCAACTTTCAGTTTCTTATATATCGAGTCATTTTACTTCTTAGGGCATTCCAAGCTTCCCTATTTTTAATCATTTTGCATCTAAGCCTAATCTTCCCAATTATCAAACACATTATTGTAAACCACTTTCCTAAGAAATTGACTTTCTCTTTGAACCTTTTGTGCTTATTAAATTGCTGTCTTCACGATCATGAAGATGCTATAATTATAAATAGAATTCCTCAGTTTTGTTTGATCTGTAAGATTTCTTTTCTATTTCTCCTGAATTCATATTTAGCATATTTTTCTTCAAGACTTTTTACAAGATTTTCATGCTTACTCCCCCCTCCGTGAGCGAAAAAAAAAAACTAGTTCAGTCACGGAGGGGGTTAATTTTTTTTTTTCGAATGTAAAAAACTCCCACTTAATTTAATTTGTAAAATTTATGTTTTAAAACGTAATTTGTTCAAATTAACAGAATTAGCTTATCAACTTATATATCAAAAAATTATTTTCAATAAAGAATTTTTCTATTAAAAAATTGTTGCTCGCTCAGAAAGGGTGGGCTTTTGGGCAAAAAATAGGGATTTTTCTAATAGTTTTGCTCGCTTACGAAGGGGGGAGTTAGCTATTTGAATAAACTCTTTTGTTTTTTTTGTCAGAGCTGCATCAATTAATCTTTGTTGAGATTTTTCTTTGAGCAAATCATTCTTTTTCTTACGTGTATGCAAAGAAATATCACGTGCTGAAATATCTCTATTAGCAAATTTTTGTTTGCTTCCACTATATCTAATCAAGACAGAGCTAAGTTGGTGCTCGATTGGACTTGCCAATCTAGGGGATGTGTCAAATTGATATGCAGGGCCTGGAGTTGGTGTGGCTGATCTATATGAGCCAGGACCAAGGCTTAGCTCATAATTATTATCAAATTTCTTCAAGATACTTGTAGGCATCTTTGGACACTCCAATGCTGTTGGAATGTGGAGTTTGCTTGCTTTAGATTTGATTTTAAATTTTATATTTTATAAATAAGCTTTGAAAAAGACTAATAGGCTATTTTAAAAAAAAAATTAGCACAATTTTCTATGCAAATAACTCATCAATCCATGCAAAGACTTGCTGAGTTAATTTTAAAATAAGTACCAAACTTTTTATTCTGGCATAATAATTCATATACATATTTAATCTAATTATGCAATAGACAGAAGTTTGCAATGCGTGTTTTTCCACAAAGGAATTTAAAACGGGTCTGCTTCCGACGCATTTTCAAGATCAAATGTTGATTGCTTGGATTGCCCTTTGATATCGGCAAAACTATGAAAAATCGATTTAAATTTTTCAACTTCATAAATTCTTTTTTCCCTTTCCTCCTTAAGCTGCTTTTTTTCCTTTCTATCATTGTATCCCTCTTCAAAGTGCTCCATAAAATGTCCCGCAACCTCAATTATTCCTCCAACTGATCCAAAAACGCTGCTTCAAAATAGAAGAAAATCCATGTTGAGTGTTCTTACTATTAGCAATCCAGATATATCTACATTGAAATTGACGAGAATTTCAAAATACCTATTATATGTCATTGACTCTACTGTTCCAGTTGACCCAAGCACATATTTATCAAAAGACACCAAATTTCCTGTTTGGTTGTTTTTATCTGAAGACTGAGCAAGGAATAACTATATAAAAATTACACAAGGAGTCATTATAAAATCCACAGATGTAGCCTGAGGTCCAATAAAAATAGTACCTTCAGGAGGATGTATGTAAGTTGCATAAGAGCTAGACTCGCCAGGTATTGAAGAATCTGAAGTAACGTTCACTGAAAAATAGCTTGCATAGCTGTTAGTTTCATATAAACTGAGGGTTAGACTTGAACTTGATGATAAAACGCATGATTTGCATTCAGAAAACACATAGCAAACTTTATCGGTGAAATAGCAATTCAAAGTAACGTCATCATGAGCTGTATCCGTCCAAGATAAGCTGATTCCATTCGCGCAACTGTCATTTACAGTACAATTTCCACCATAATTATATAAGCTCACCACAACTTTTATATCTGCAGAAAGTTTTCCAGCTTCTTGCGCTAAGAATAGATAAGGAATAAGGGCCTTTGTTTCGGTAATATTATCATAAAATATTTGTAAAGTTGTCAAAACGACCAAAAATCCAGCTCATAGCAAAGCCATTAGTGAAAATAGTCCTCCAACAGACGTTTTTCTCTTTATCATTGGTTCGTTATCTTTATTATGCTGAGTATCAAATATATCAACCCTAGCAACTCAATCTCAAAATTTTTTGCTAAAGAAGGCTAGAAAAACTATCAAAAAAATTAGCACAGATATAATGATCTCAAGTATCAAAGACCAATAATTTACCACTCTCACATCTCCTTCATATTGTTTTGGCTGATTCGAAAACTCTGAAGGCAAATACATTTGCTCCATAGGCTCTGTACTCCCTACATCGCACTGCATTCCAGCAGGGCAGTTTTTACACAACTCAGTGCCAAGTTCGTCTGAGTAGCTTCCATATCTGCAAGGAATGCAAAGGGAAGCGGCTTGACCTCCAGAATCGTCTAAAAACGTTCCCTTTGGGCATTTTGTGCACTCAGTGGAATCAAATTCTTCTGAGTAGCTTCCAGGCTGGCATATTAAGCATTGAGAATTATTAAGATAAGAACCTTTGCTGCATGGGTAGCGAATTAGGGAGTTTTCAAACGACATTTTAAATAGTGTTCCTGATGTCAATTTTCCAGCAAGGAGAGTATTAATAGAAAGACTTCCTCCAAAAATATATAATTTGTCAGCAAAATAAGCAGATTGGTGAGAAAATAAGGGAATATCCATATACTCTACTGATAAAATTGTGAAATTTTTTATAGATAATGTAGAGATTGAGGAAGACACATAAAAATCACTAAATTCACCACCAATTATCACCATGTAGTCAGGAAGCACAGCTACTGTTGCTTCACTAGGAGCCAACCCAAATTCATTTGCTTTGAAATCTTTAAAAAGTGCTCAAGATTTAGTGTCTAAATTGAAACCGTAAATTGACTTATTTGGAAATGCTCCTGCAATTTGTCCAAAGAAAGCATAGTAATTAAATGATGCACCATCATATTTTATGAGGCACTGATGCCATGCCATAGCGGGTACCGAACTATCATAAGGAGATAGATCAGTCCAAGATAAATCGTATATATCAAAGCGCCATATATCATTTACATAGCCGCTATTGGAAATTCCCCCGAACAGAACTGCATAACGATCGATAACATACATGCAAGCACCTTTTCTGGGACTTGGAACATTATTATCAGTGCTTGGGATAAGGCTTCATCTTTGCGACTTAAATGAAAAAATATACATGTCATTAAGCAAACCAGTGCTATCTTCTCCTCCAAAGACAGTCATCCCAAAGGCACTCTGAGCTGTGGCCTGTCCTGATCTTGCAGAAGGCACAACAGCGGTTTCAAGAGAACTTCAGAGCTCTTTTTCAATATCGAAAATTCATAAGTCGTTCAATCTAATTGAAAATTACAATTCATCGTTTCCTCCCATCCCCCCGAAAACAATTAAATAGCTTTCAATCGAAACCATTGAGAATCTCATTCTTGGAGGAGGAGATGTTCATTGGCTAGAAATGGTTTCAAAATACGGGACTGGCAAAGAGAGATCCATCAAAATCAAGTCATTTGTTACTGTTGATCCACTGAATTGATATAAGCTTGAATTAACAAAAATGCTTGCTGCTGAGCTTCGTCCAGATGTTGAAGAATTAGTGAAAGCTACAGATTCTCAGTTGTTTACGCTTGTTAAGTTTATTCTTCAAATGTTCACCTGATCTCCATCAGTGTTATAATTGAATCCAGGCAAGACATAAAAGAAGCCAGAGTAAATTTTTACACTGTGAAATATTCGTCCAAGAGGCACATTTCCGCTGATATCAACCTTAGTTCACCATTGGGACGTTAAATTATAAGCGTATAAGTTTGTATTATAAACAAAGTTTGCGCTTATACCGCCCCACACATAAATAGAATCCTTTTCGCATGCCATCTCACACTGCATTAGATTTGGAGAATTTCCATTATTAGGCATTAATGAAATACTTGTATTTTGAAGATCAAGCCTGAATGTTATTTACAAATAAAGTCGATTATAAACAGAATCTGTCGTTTCTCCTCCAAATATTGAATGATATTTTTTATTATTCCATATAAGTGAGCAAGAAGCAGCAAACGTAGTTGGATAAAATTTTGAGCCGCTAAAAGATAATTGTTCTCACTAAATTAATTTTACGATAAAAAAATCTAAATTGAAACTCCAAATTTCTGAAGCAATTCCTAAATAAGTTTTTCCTCCAAATACAATAATTCGATTTTCATTTTCGTCGTAGAAAATAGCAGGGCTCACGCGAGGAGATGGAGATGTAGGAGTTGATGGGTTTAGTTCTGACCATTCCAAAGTATCGAAATTAAAGCTTCAAATATCATTATAATACTCCCTTTGGTCTGATGAGCCAGCAAATATTATCATTCGATTTCCATGGGAATCATAAGTTGCAGATGAGTATTTTCTTGCTTTTGGAGGTGATCCTGTTTTTGGAATCTTAACAGAGTGTAAACCGCTGACTAAGTAAAATAATAAGCAGAGATAAAAAAGCATTTTCTAATCTGGGTCTATGGCAAACAATTAGAGATAATTAAAACTTTTTATATTTTAAGAGCTAAAGAACATAAGATATGCTTTAATATAAAGTTTTGTTTCAAATCAGTATATAATTTTTTATTTAAAGAGTGTTTTGTGTAAAGTTTTTCTGTTTTATTCAAATAATGATTGATTTGTCCGATTCAGCTTGGGTTGAATCTTATGATTAGTAGATTCTGAGAGAGATATCTATTATTTCAGCTTTAATATTTAAGAATGCAATAAATAATGCTAATATTTAAATTTAGCTTTAAAGTCAAAGGAGAGAGAATCAAATTACTCAATCGGAAAGAAGACATTTTAATATAATAAATAATAATAACAAAATTTTCTCCAAATAATAAAATCTCTGAAAACCTTATATTATCACTAACATAGGTGCTTTGTGAAATTAAAGAAGTTTATATCTAGTCTATGAGTTAAAAAAAATTATTGGAACAATTAATTTTTCAATAATTTTGCATGAAAAAAAAGTTTAGAAAATATTAGAATAGCTAAAACTATCTAATTCGATAGTGGAGTTTTTGCTAGCTAATTTCTTAAATTTTGGCTGGCGAGAAAAATTTCCTAAGAATTTTCTTACATTATGTGCTAAATGGCTTAATTCTATTTTTGTTGATCTTTTTTCCTTAATCTCATTCAGCTTTTGTTCAAAAAACTCCATTAGAAAGCCGCCTAAATCTACTATTCCACTTATAGACCCAAATAAAGTACTTATAAATAACATAAAATCCATATTGATTGTTCTTGCAGTTAGAAGTCCTGTAGTATCAGTTTGGAAATTAATGACTATACTTACATATTTATAATATGCCATCTCGTCTACAGTCCAACTCGACCCAAGCTTGGTATTTTGAAGAGAGATCAGATATCCAGTTTGATTGTTTTTCCAAGTGCTTACATCTGAAAGAAAAAGCTATATAAATATTACACTTGGAGTCATAATAAAATTAACATAATTAGGATTCTGCCCTATCATTACTTTATCTTTTGGAGGATAAGCATATACTGAATAAGAGCTCGGCTCGTTAGGAATTGCTGAATCTGCGGTCACCTCTACTAAAAAAAAGCTCCCATAGCTGCTGCTTTCTGTGAAATTAAAAACTAAGCTTGCATCTGTAGATATCTCGCAGTTCTTGCAAGTTGTGGAAACAATGCAATTTTTATCAAAAAATTCGCATTCCATTATGGTTTGGTCACTATTGGTGTTCATCCAAGTCAAAGATAATCCTGCAGCGCAGCTTCCATTTTTCACACAAGTGCCTCCATAATTGTATAAGCTGAGAGATACAGAAATATCTCCAGAAAACTTCCCTGCTTGCTGGTAAAGGTGAAGAAGGGGAATTAAAGATTTTGTTTCAATTACATTATCATAGGATTGCTGCAAAATATACTGGATCACAATAAAGAAAGCTCATAGTGTAGTTAATAAGGAAAAAAGGCCCCCAATATAGGTTTTTCTTTTATACATAGGTTGGTTGTCTTCATTATGCTTATCGTCGTAAATGTCTGCTTTCGCAACTCAGCTTGATAACTTACCACTAGATACTGCAATTAAAACAAGAATCACACTTAATATAGAAAACAGGACTTCCATAAAGCGTACTCATTTGTTGACAGTCTCTGTCCCTCCTTCATAATACTCTGGCTGATGATTGAACTCATTATTGGTAGACATTTTTATACTTGGAGAAGTGCTTCCAATCTCACATTCCATCCCTGCAGGACATTGCTTGCATAATCCGGCTCCAGTAACGTTAGTGTAGCTACCATATTTGCAAGGAATGCATAAATTAGCACTTGCAGCTCCAGGCCTATCAAGATAAGTCCCCACAGGGCATTTTTCGCACTCAGGAGCATCATAGTTTTCTGAATAAGTCCCAACAGGGCAAATTTTGCATTCGGGTCCTACTTTGTATGATCCAGGGCTGCAGGGGTATCTTATTCGTGAATCGTTAAAAGCAATCTTATACAATATGCTTGAGACAAGCCTACCAGGCATAATTGAGTTTATTGATAAGCTGCCCCCATATACATAGAGTTTGTCTATGAAATAGGATGACTGGTGAGAAAATAAAGAATCTTCCATGTATTCTATGGTTTCAGTTTCAAAATTAGTGATATTTATCAGTGTAATGAAATTGCATGAATAATAATCCTCGAATTCTCCTCCAATTGAAATTAAAAACGTGTTGAAGACTTGCATTGATTGCTCACTAAAACTTGTGTATATGTCATTATATTGGAAAGTATGAGTGGTTTCCCAAGATTTTGTGCCTAAACTAAACTTGTAAATGTTTTTATTAGGAAGATCACCACTAAGTTTGCCAAAGAGAGCATAAAAACGTCAATCGTCGTCATAGTACATGTAGCATTCATGCCACGCCATAGGTAGGACAGAACTTCCAGCAGGGGTTATATTTTCCCAAGACAGTTCCCATAGTTTATATACCCAAATATCATTGGAGAATCCTTTTTTTGTTATTCCCCCAAATAAAATAATAAAAGGCTCCAACGTCTTTAGGCAAGCTCCTTTTCTGGGACTAGGAGTGCTTCCAATGCTAGGAATTTCATGTCAAGACTCAGATGCTAGAGAAAACACATAGAAATCGTTTAGCAAGCCTGAGCTGTCTTCTCCTCCAAAAACAACCATTCCAAATCCAGTCTCTGTAGTAGCCTGGCCAGATCTTGGTGAAAGATTATCAGCAGGATCCAGTGATTCTCATACTTCCTCTACTGTATCAAAAGTCCAGATATCATTGAATCTGCATATCTCTTACAATTCGTCATTACTCCCAATCCCTCCAAACACAATCAAATATTTTTCTACTCTTGCCATTGAAAATCTCATTCTTGCAGGAGGAGAAACTCAATCTTCTGTAACTGTTTCATATTTTGGCATGAGTTGCGACAAGTCAATAGAAATCAAATCATTTGTATTGAGTGCTCCGCTAAATTGGTACAGAGTCGAATTTACAAAAATGCTGGTAGCTTCGCTTCTCACAGCTGTATTTGAGTCCTTTGTAAATGGGACCTTTTCTCAAGATGTGAGATCAGATAGCTTTATTCTCCAAATATCATTAACACCTGAATTGAAATTGCTATTAAACCCAGGAAAGACATAGAGGCAGTCTGAATATTCTGCAATGTCAAACATCATTCTTCCAGTGGGTAAGTCGCCAGATATAGCTGGCTTTGATCACGATTGAGTTGTCAAGTTATAAGCATATAGACTTTGGTCGTAGTTAAAATCATAGGTTAATCCTCCTCATACAAAAAGTGAGTCTTTATAAAATATCATTCGAGATTCACCTCCAGGTACTGGCAGATCTCCTTGATTTGGCATAATTGTGCAATTTGCATTTTCAAAGTCAAATATATAAAGCCTCGTTTGCATCAAATCGGGAGATTTACCTCCATAAATTGCGTAGTGAGTTTTTTTATTCCAAGTAAATGAAACTGATGCCATTGCTGATGTTGGGTGGAATCGGCAGCTAGAAAAATCTATTTTTTCTCACTATATATGACTCACAATAAGAAAATCTAACTACGCCACTTTAAATCAAAGCAAAATATTGGCAAATTTCAGTTTTTTAATTAATGAACCTCTTAAACTTAAAAATTTTTATTTTTTATATGTAATGTAATTTTTCTATTGGCTATTAGCTTTATACCTAATTTAACTTGGCAAGTTAACAAAATTTGGTAAACTAGTAGAAAGTCTTAAATTGCCTATATCATGATCTATTTTAAATTGGGAGTATGAATAGAAGACTTCTAAACAAAGTTACCACTTAAATTAATAAAATTCATTTATAGAAAATTTCATATAAATTAAAGATCGACTAAATCGAAGCATTTTTTTATATAATTTAAAGGATGAAGGAGTAAATCAAAACTTCAGATATCAGATGCTAAACCAACATAAGTTTTTCCTCCGAAAATCAAAAGTCGGTTGAGATTTTTGTCATAAAAATATTGAAATTTTAAATGAATATTGCAAAAAGAAGCATAGTACATATATGTCTAATTTAATCAGAATCAGCATATTGCTGGACTTACACGAGGGTCAGGAGTTAAGGAAGTAGATGGTATGAGCTGTGATCATTGATAGTTGCCGAAATCGAAGCTTCATATATCATTATAATATTCTCGCTCAGATGAAGATCCTGAAAATATTATCATTCTATTTTGAGTTGAATCATAAGCGGCTGCAGAATGCTTTCTTGCATCAGGAGGAGTTCCAGTTTTGGGTATTTTGTATGAAGTCAAGCCATAAGCCAAGGAAAATAATAGAATCAGAATGTTCTTATAAATAAACATTATTACCAATATAGCATTTCAAATTAAAAATAATTGAATTTTAACAATGAGCTTAAATAATTCCCAATAAATGGAAAGCTATAGGAATATCAAAATTTATGATGCTGGCACTTATTTCTTAATCACAGGCCAAAAAAAGACATCACCTCTATACAGCATGATAAAAATCATTAAAAGTTCTGGACCTATTTCTATCCAAGAAGATTTTCAAACTCTAAGTCAAAATGATCTGCTTATGTATCTCAGTAACATTCTTCCAAAGGACAACATACGCACAGCCACAGAAGCTGAAGCTATACTAGGACTCACAAAATTTCTCCAGGGTTATTACTTATACTATATCACGAAAAGTCAAAAAGTTGCCAAAATTAGAGACCAGTCGATATACAAAATTCAAGAAACCAAACTTTTAAAGCTTTTCCCAGAAAAACAGAAATCAGAAGAAAAGAGATACATGGATATTTTTAGCGGTCTCGACATGGCTATGGGATTTTATTACTCTTATACCTACGATCTCACTCATACGCTTCAAGAAAACATATCCTCAATGATGGGAGACGACAAATCCTTATCGAGGTCTAACAAAAGGACTCAGTCTCAACATCATTTGGGAGAATGCGTCAATAATGAATGTGAGCACGAATGAGAATACTATCCTTGGAAAACCATGTATGTGTGAAACCATGATCAAATGATATCAGTCCTATCAGCACTTAAAGACAAAACTTGGATAACTCCTATAATTCATGGGTATGTAGGGTACCATTGCCTGTCTATGGTAGGAAGAATCCTTGATTTAGTCGTCATTGCGAGAAGATCAAGATATTTTGCTGGCACAAGGTATCTAAAAAGAGGACTCAATGAAGAAGGAAAAGTTGCCAATGATGTAGAAGAAGAACAAATTCTTATTGATAAAGGACCTTTTGGGCCGATGAGCTCTTTTGTACAAGTTAGAGGAAGTGTTCCTCTGTTTTGGTGCCAAGAGCCAAACCCAGTTATCCCACCTCCTGCAATTATTTTGAATAAAAATGATTTTTTAAGAGAAGGTACAAGAAAGCACATAGCTGATTTATTCCAGAGATATGGAAAACCATTAAATCTTATTAGTTTGCTGAGATATCAAAAAAAGCACAAAGAAAATGCAATTGCACAAGAATATTTCAGATGCGTTGAGTATCTTAATGGCCATCTCCCAGATAAGTATAAGTTGAAATTTTATCCATTTGACATAAAAACTGAAGAAAAAACATCAAGGGCGAACATGATAAACAAAATGTACATTCTAGCTGGAGAATGCTTGGACCAAACTTCAATTTTCACTTGTAAATTCAAAACAAATGGGCTGATGAAGTGCGCTTTTCAAATAGGAACAGTAAGAACCAATTGCATTGATAGTATTGATCGAACTAATATAGCCCAAATGCTAGTTGCAAGAGTTGCCCTAGAAAGACAGCTAAAAGAAATGGGCTTGGCACAATACCTTAATATAGATTCAATGATAATTAGACTGATAAGCCAGCTTTATGAGGAAATGGGAGATATGATTGGAATTCAGTATTCAGGCTCAGAAGCCCACAAAGGGAAATATATTCAAAATAAAAAGAAAAAGAAAAAATTCACAGCGATTAAGAGACATTGGGCAAATCTCATAACAGATCCAAAAAAGCAGCAGGCCATGAACCTATTTTTAGGTGTTTATAAGCCTCTCTTAAATAATGTCCCGCTTTGGGAAATTGAAGATGATACGAGGCTTCATAATCCAATTGATCTAAATAAAAAAAACCCTGAAAAAGATTGATGGAAAATTGAAGTAGGGAGATTTTTGAAAAGGCTGGGGATTTGGAGCTCAGCTGCAAAAGAAGAATTCAATAGGAGCTTTCCAATCCGCAGGGTTTTCAGCGAGACAAGCTTGAGTTTTGGCTCTTCACCTAAAAACGCCCCAGTAAAAAAGAGAACAAGAACTTATTCAGTATCCAAGGGTCTTTTCACCCTTCCAAAATCTTCAAAGATGTCCTATTTTGACGAAAAAATGCCTCACCCACATTGCAAAATAGTTGAAATTCCCTTCTATGATCCAATAACATATGAGTTTTCAGGGACTGAAAAAATTGAAGAAAAATCATTAGAGCTTGAAAAGCCTTCATATTTAAAACTAAAGTCAGATGAACTTGCTGTATTTGAAAACTCTTTAAAGAATGAGAATAAAAATGATGAAAGCTTTTCTGAAAAAGAAGCTGAGCAAGAAGATTTTTGCGTTGACCCGAAAGAGCTTGTTAAAGAAGCAGGAACAGATCTCGATCTCTATTTTAATATAAAATTAGATGGAGAGTTTATGTTGGAGCAAGAAGAAACCGAAGACAATGATAAGAGCGAAGTGAGTGTGATTTTAGAAAATGAAGATGCCTCTCATAAAGTTCATATTTTAGAGAACTATGTAGACTCAAAGCCTAGCACATATGCAAAAATATTGTAATTAGATAGTCAAATAAAATTTAATTTTACATAATATCGCAAATATTTATCTTTGCTAAATTCTTATACATTCTTACGTTCCATAATTAATATTAAAGAACATGCCTATAGTCTAATTTAATAATTTGAAAATAATGAATGCCTTTGACTCGCGAACAAGAATTTTTTGCCACTAACGGAGAAGGTAGTATCAAATTCTATATATTATTGTTTCAAAAATCCAAATTTGTTTATATTTAAAATTAAAATTCTTATTTCTTTGAGAAATTTATGTTTGCAAAATTTAATATAATGTGTTGTTGCATTTATTTCTTATAATGCATATGCATACGTTTAAAAACGCAGATTTTAGTACGGCAAATTCATAATTTGAAATTTCATATGAAAATCGCGCGTATAACGGCCATAAGAAATTTAGCCAAGGGATTATATAATTTGCTTGAAATCTCATTATTATATACAAATATGTATTTTTATAGAAAACAATATTATATTAAAAAAATTTTTGCCTGCTAACAAAGAGTTAATTTCATTTTAGGAAAATTAAATCCTTTCATTCGTGAGCAAACATTTTTGGCATAACCTATATAAAAATAATTAATAGTCATTATAGCAAAATCATTTATGTTTATGTAACTTGCTTTCTAAAGCACAATTTATGAATTAAAAATATAAAATAAATAACATAAAACACCCTGCAAAAATATTGCCTTCTAATCAAAAGCAGCGATGCAATGTTTACTCACTAATAAGGCTAGAGTAGTTAGCTAATTTTTTGCACAATTTAGTAACTTCGAAAAGAAAGTACGAAGCTGAAACTATCAATTTTTGCATATCTTTATTATGTTCACTACTCAACCGTTAGACAAGAATTAGTCTGACGTATTTTAAGTACAATATACAGCCTAAATTAATACTTTATAGAAAGCAATCCATTTTCCCCTATTCAAAGAATTATTTTTGGCCATATATAAAAGTATAAAATATCGACAGCAGCATAAGCCTACTAGAGCTTGGCTAAGATAAAGAAATCCAGAGCAAAATTCTTCTTTCTGAGTATTAATTTGATTAAATTTTATATGAAATCCTTATATTAGCCTAATTTCTTTTTATCAATAAATTTTTGCTTTTTGTTAGCTAATAAACATCTAAGCTTTTATCTCATAATGGTGCGAAATTTCACGAGATGGAGTCCAGCTTGTTGAAGAAAATCCAAGCCTCTAATCTTAAAATTTTAGATAGGATTCATGATCGAGAGACTATTCTAGAATTTAATTTAACATATTTTGCTCTTTGGCAGATTTATAGATAGAAATTATAGAATGCATAAAATTGAGGTGTCAGCACCCCATTTTGATAACACTCTGGAGAATTAATTCAGATTTTCATCACATCAAGCAAAAATTAGGTGATGAAAGCCATTTAATGTTTACAATAAGGTCTTATGGCTTAAATATCTTTTTAGATTTCAATAAATGATGCCTATATCAGGATGCAATTGTGATCAACGCTTATGCCTTCGCAAAATTTTAAGATCTAAAATTAACTTAATAGACTTTTTTTCCTTCGCTATCAAGCTCTTTTGGAATGCCTAATTTAGCATTGGGTTCTCTTACTCCTCCCCTCGGTTTAGTGAGCAAAAAAATCTTATTCTCTCACGGATAGTGGTTAATTTATTTTTTAAAAAATTTTTAAAAAAATCCCACTTCGCAAAAATTGGAAAGCAAATATTAATTTAATTTGTAAAATTTATGTTTTAAAACGCAATTTATTTAAAATTAAAACAGAATTAGCTCGAGATTTCATTATACTAATTATCACTTATATATCAAATTTTTTTCCATAATATTTTTGTTCGCTCACGAAAGGTGAGTTTAAAAATATGGATTTTTCTAATGGTTTTGTTCGCTCATGGAGGGCGAGTTAGACTTTCCTCAATTGGGTTAAAGATATATTTTTCAGGATGCCGAAATATATCATCGTTCCCGAATAAATAAATTCTTGCATATCTTGATAAAGGCCTTATATCAGGGTCAGAGGAAAGAATTATCAAGGTGGTCAAGAGAGGAATATTAATATTGACACTTGGAGAATTTTCTTGCCTTTTTGGTACTTTTGGGAGCTTAATAGAGGCATGCTCTAATTTGGTGTGCTCTCGTTTATTTTGCTTTGAGGAAAAGCGTTTAAAGCAATGTGGGCACTCATAAGGCTTGTAACCATAGTGGCAAGACTCTATATGACGCTTTAAGTTGTATTTTGAGCTTAGAACCTTTCCGCATCCAGCAACATTGCATTTTAAATCTCTCAGTGGAGATTGTTTAATAGTGCTTTTAGCCATGATAGCCAATTTATTATGGAGGTTACCCAGTCTGTGATTCATAAAACAGATTTTATTATTGTCATAATCAATATTTGATATCCTCGATTAATGAAGCCATCAACAAAATTCTTTATTAGTTGCTCAATTGGTTAAGCGTGCCTTGTATCAATTAATGAATACCTCGTCCTTACTCATTTCATCCATTCCCATTATGGCATTATAGACCACCATCTCATAGTAAAAATGCCTCATTGAGACTTATAAAATTCACCTTAAATATGTTTAAGAATGAATCACTAATATCAGATACTGTACAACCTAAAGCTGATTTAATGAGAAAAACTTTAAAAATTAGTCTTTTGCAAAATTTCCTGAATTTTTGATTGATTTCTGCTTGTGTTTATATAAAAATAAATGCTTTTCCAATTTAAATCATATTAAATAGCAATGAAATGCTAAGAGTAGCTTTCTTATGCTAATTTTACAATTTAATCCTTTAATTTCTCAAGGATATGTTTAATTATCTAATCAATAGTTAAAATCTATGTCTTAAAGCTTCTCAGATTTTTCAAAATGTCAAACTCTAAAAATGCAAACCATGCATTTGTTCGCTTTTAGATGTTGATGGCTTAAAGTTTCACAAGAGATAATATTATAGGCCATAAGAAAAATTAAAATGAGAATATCATTACATTACAAAATAAAAATATTTGTAAACCATTATATATTTCTTGCCAATCCTTGATAGCTGATCTTGATAGCCTAACTACTCAAAAAAGTGTCTTTATTATAAAAAATACTTTATATTCCTTATTCCTTAAAAAGTATTCGTTGGGATTTTTTGTAATTTGCTTTATGTAAACAGTACACCAGTTTTCTTATGCTAAGGAGAATTTGCTGGGCTAAAATAATTAATATTACTTTTTAAAATTTGCGGATCATCTGATCCGATCAAGCTTCTACTCAAAAATCGCTGTTGAGCAAGCCTTTCTATTCTTTATGCTGTAAAAACGACAAAGGAAATCTCTGATGCGCATTTTGTTTCAGAGAAATCATTTAAAAGTGATTATAGTTAAATTACGACATCTTAAAATTTATAAAATCATTCTATTTCTTATTAAACTATGAGTAATTTACTTAAGAACCTCCACCAAATTTGTATATACAAAATCAGGCCTAAACGAAAATCTCAAATATGACTCCGAGCTTTCATTTCCTGTCAGCACAAGTGCAGATTTTACTTCACAGTTTTTTGCTAATAAAATATCAGTTGGCATAGTGTCTCCAAAAATAATAATTTTGGCTTTATCTAAACTGTCTCTTTTGATAATACTTTCCAGCATCATTGGGTGCGGCTTCCCAGGGGTAACAAAAGTCTTATCACGAGCGGAAGCAACTAAAGCATTAATTGTGCAAGCTGAGCATGGAATTTTAAACCTTCCTAGTTTTCAGTTGGCATCATAATAGTTTGGAGCAATTAATTTCGCTCCTTTTTGCATGCATCTTGAGGCATATGCAATATTATGATAACTCAACGTCAAAGTATCAGCAACTACAACTATTTTTATATCATCATCAGTTTGTATATCAGCATAATCTACATCAGGACTAATAAGAGAGGCCGCAGGAACTATGTGAAATCCTGCGTCAACAAGCTCTTCATCTAGCCCTTTTGCTCCAATTGTTAATATCTTTGAATGAGCTTGACAGTTGTTTGTAGCTCAGAGAGCACAGCTGGAGGAGCCACAAATTATATTCTCTATTTTTGAGTGTATGCTATATCTTTCTAAAGCTTCACAAATGTTTCTTCTGGAAAGCTCGCAATTGTTAGAGATGAAGTAGATTTCTTTTCCTAGGGTTTGGAGTCTTTGGATTAGCTCAGAAGAACCTGGCAAAGGTCTATGGTTGTTTCAGATCACTCCATCAAGGTCAAAAAAGAAAGATTGAAATTCTTTTAATTCATCTATTATCATTATCTATTCCATAATTAATTCCCTTGTTAAGTTTGAGGAATATCGGGCTATGTATTAATAAGAAAAAAATGACGATTTGGATAGTTTATTTTAAGATTCAAATTTAATAAAGGCTATTCAGTGCTAAAATACGTGCTTGCAGAGTCTGGAAAGTCGGTGAAAATTCCATCAGCATTCTCATAGAGTAATTTTAAGTACATCTCTTCTGCGTTAGCTCCTTCAGGCAGAATATCATCTCTCATAACCCAAGGATGAACAAACAGCTCATTGCTATGGGCCTTGGCTATAAATCCAGTGCCATCTAGTCCAAGATCAAAAACATACCCTAAATCTGGTCCAACTCCATGAACTATCGTTGAGTACTCCTCAATCTGATTGCTCCCTATTCTTGAATCAATTAAGTATACCAGAGGTAGGTCAGTAACTTCACTAAAATATTTCAAAGTTTCTAATTCAAAGCACTCCAAAACTATTGGACATTTTTCGCTTGCACTGTTTAAGTCCCCAACCCCAAACTTATTCAATACCCCCAGAAGCATTTCCTGTACCGGAAATCCTTTTGAGTTGAAATATTTTGGATATTTCAATTCAATATACACTCCCAGCAGTTTTTTATTCTTTTTTATTCTCTCCAAATTTTCATTAATTGCCCAGTTTAGTGTTTCTTCTATTGTGATTTTCTGGAACAAGTAATTTAGATGCTTTGGCCTGAAGTTCAGCCTTTGCTTAGCCCTGAGCTCTTTTATTTGATTTAATGAAAAATCTTCAATAAATCAGCCAGTTTCTGTAATATTTCCTTTATAGGTATCAATGGTTTTAGTTGTGTGTAAATTTGAAAATTGAGGTAAAAGATCGATATTTGTTGTTTCATTCAGAAGATTATCGTGGTTGACGATGAGTTGAAAGTCTTTTGATGGGACTAAATCAGACTCAATAAAATCGGCGGACATATATGATGCAACTTCATAGGCTTGCAGAGTATGCTCAGGAATATATCCACATGCTCCTCGGTGAGCTATAATAAAGGGCCTATTTTGAGTAAGGAGATAAGGAGCTGATGTAGGTTTGGCTAAGGCAGATGAGAAGAGTAGGGCAGTTATGAACCACATATGAAACACTGAAGTTATTTATAAATTTGGCCAGAAAATGCCATTTTAAAATATGGGTGTATAATATTTTTTCTTGAATATATATGCTTGCATTTCAAAAGTCTTTAGTCATAAATATCGGGACCCTTAAGCAGAGACATAACAAGTAATATGATATTTTACATAAATAATAAAAATTTTTCAGTTCATAAGAAATTATATTGTCCAACTATTATAGATTCTTTTATTCTAATTTCATCAAGCTTGAAAATTAATGCAATAATAGTCCAACACTAAACTTCATTAATTTGCATCGATTGCTCAAATGTGCTATAAGAAAATTATTATTTTTCAGCACAATAAATCTATTCAAGCCTCCTTTTGGCTTGGGCTATACCGACATCTCCCGACGTCAGAAGGGGAGTTGGTTTTATTTACATTAGTTGGGCAAAACCAAATCCCCAGATGACAAAATCCACTCTATATTGCAGATTTAGATTTTAGGAGTTGGTTTACCAACAATTTTGGTAGAACCAACTCCCCTAAGCATCGGGAGACATCGAGATAGCCTGATCAAAAGGAGGCTCGGGCTATATTTGCATGCCAATTCAATACTTCTCTTATAAAGACTTGATGCAAAAAATTTATAAATGGATGAACCAATTATGATCAGACTTTCAATGCAGCTAAAATGTCCAAGGGTTTGCTTTAAATAAAAATGAGTGCATCTGCCATCATCCTAGGCTGTATTACAGGGATGGTTCCGCTAATAGCCATAACACTTGCAGGAGCAGCCTTAACATATCTCAAAATTTTCAATAAGGCTTCAAATGACATAATATCTAAAAGCTACCCAGAATTCTTTTTTCCATTGTATTGCCTTTTTAACCTTGCAAAATACGTAGATATCAACAAAATGTCAGAACTTTGGCCACTTTTTGTGTCCCCTACAATAACAATTTCCATTTCCGGGCTGATTGGATTTGTTTTCATACCGATTATGAAGCCTCCTAAGAATCTGACTTTCGTCACAGTTACAATGATAGCTCTACCTAACATGGCAAATATTCCTTTACTAGTTGTGCAGGGTCTTTGCTCTTCATATGGATACTTAGGAGATGACGATCATTGCAAAGATATAAATGGATACATAGCTATAATTGCTTTGACTTTCAACATTTTTATGTGAGTTGGCGGATTGACACTTATAAGAATTGATGCAATTTCAAAGGAAAATGAAAGAAAAGTTGGAGATGCCGCCAATGAGCAAGAAGAAATCAAAGAAAATGAAGCAAAAAGAGAGCCTATGCCGTTAAAAGCAATCTTAGTGAAAAGCTTTTTATCGCCTATTCCTGTTGCGAGCTTTATAGGACTTATCTTTGGATTTATCCCTGGGATTAAATGATTATTTTTTGATGATAATGCTCCTTTATTATCAATCTCTGACTCCGCAATGACAATTGCTTATAATGGAATAGTCCTTTCACAAATGATATTAGGGAGCAACATTATGCTCTGCAAGAATCAGATAAAAGAAATTGATAAAAAATATGCAATATGAGTTACACTATTTAGAAACGTAATAATACCTGGCCTTATTCTATTATACACTTATTTTGTTTGGTGATTAGGGATTTTTGGAGATAATAAAGTAATGGCTTATGTGAATTTTATTGCTGCAAGCTGCCCAACTGCAATTGCTGTCTTGATTATTTGCCAACTCTATGATGTTGGGATAAAAGAGTGTACTTTGCTGAGTGCAGTTCAATATATTACTGGGCTATTTACTCTGACTCTTTTCAGCTATATTTTCTTTTTAATAATTTAAAAACTGCAAGGCAACTGTGGAAGTATAATGGATTCGTATAAAATAATAAAAATTAGTTTTGCTCTAATTCTGTGAATAAATCAATTCAAAAAATAAATTTTCTGCGCAACGAAATCCTTGCACCAATATAATTATAATAAATTTGCGTAGAAATATGCTTGGTTTCATTTTACACAGCCAAGGAGGATACTAAAGAATGAAAGTGAGTCTTTTTCTGAATGATTTACTACCCCCTTAAATTGGAATAAAAAAATCTGTTTCAAAACTAAATAGGTGTTAATTTATCCAAAAAATAAAATTTTATCAATCTAACGAGAAAGTTAGATTAAAACGAATATCAATTATATTAAATATTTTATATTACGCAGCTCCAAATAAATCTTCGTTCATATTATTGAAAGGGTTTAGAATGGTAGCATAGTTAGGTTTGCTAATAATTGACTCTTTCAGTATAGTAATTGATACAGCTTTTCCTTCTTCTTGAATTTTTTTTTCTTTTTCATCTGGGCTAATATTTGTAAAGCAGCTTGCTAACCCGCTTCTCTGTGAGCGAGAAAAATTTTTTTGCACAAGTTTATTAATTTTTAAAAATTTGATATATAAATTTAGCATCAAATCCTTTTTTACAAAAAATTTTAATTGCTGACTCCCCCCCCCCCTCCGTGAGTGAACAAAAAAATTTTGTTCACTCACGGAGGGGGGTTAATTTTTTTTTTTTTAAAAAAAATTATATATAAATTTTATAAAACATATTTTTTTTCGAAATTTAAAAAAATCCTAATTCACAAAAATTGGAAAGCAAATATTAATTTAATTTATAAAATTTATGTTTTAAATAGCAATTCGTTTAAAATTAAACAGAATTAGCTCTAGATTTCATTATATTAATTATCATTTATATATATATCAATTTTTTTTTTTCCATAAAAAACTTTTCTATTAAAAAAAATTTTTGTTCACTCACGGAGGGTGGGTTTTGGGCAAAAAATAGCGATTTTTCTAATGGTTTTGTTCACTCACGGAGGGGGGGGGGAGTGAGATATTTCGATAAAGGAGGATTAAATAGTTTTCCCATAATTATTTAATCCAAATATAGCCCTTGGGCCTTTTTGAACACCAGTAAACTTGTTTTGCTAGTTGCAACAAGGTTTGCTATTCATCTAGGAAATAGTTTCCCATAATTAAATCTTTATTATCCTTTTTGAAATAATCTCTTTAAACAGGTTAATAATAAAATTTAGTCTAATTCAAATAGCGATCAAATAGACAATGATGGATCCAAATAAATATAGCTCTTATATCTTTGATTGTGATGGTGTCTTGTGAAAAGGACATCGAGATATTCCAGGAAGTTTTGAAGTATTGCAAGCTTTAAAAAGCAATGGGAAAAAGCTATATTTTCTATCAAATAATTCAACGAAAACTCCTGAGGAGCTTTCTCAACAAATTTCATCTCATGGTTATCCAGCTTTACCTGAAGAAATTTATTGTTCAGGAGCAGCAATTAGCAAATACTTAAAAAGAAAACATCCAAATGCTAAAAGGCTTTATTTGATTGGCACAGATCAGCTTAAAGCCCAGCTTGCAGCTCATGGATATGAAATTTTGCATATTTCTAATATTGAGCAATCTATTATTACTTCATTTGAGGACATAGAGCGCTTTGCTACTGGGAATCCTGTCGATTCAGTTGTGGTTGGGCGTGATATGAGATTTGACTATAATATGGGATATATGGCATCACTCTATATCCAAAATGGAGCTAGTTTAATTTCAGCCAATGGAGACTCTGGGCTTGTTCTTAATAGTGGGAAAACAATACCTGGCTGTGGGCCGCTTACTGCATTTTTGGAAATTGCGACAAGAACGAAAGCTGAAATTGTGGGAAAGCCAAGCACTTTTATCCTGGATATTATAATTGAAGAAAATAATTTAGAAAAAGAAACAACAGTTTTAATTGGAGATTCAATGGATTCTGATATAAAAGTAGGAAAAGATTGCAATGTTGATACTTTACTGGTTCTGTCTGGAGTGACGTCAGTTGAGGATTTGCCGAGGTATGATTTTTCTCCAAATTTTATTCTCCCAAATTTGGCGTCAATATTTAATTAACAGGCTCTTGAAAATGAGTAAATTTTATATATTGAAATTTATATCATAAATTAAAATGGTAACAGAATCATTCCGACCACTAACTCCACAGTCATGATCTGTAAGGAATTTTTTAACCTTAAGGGAAGGATTAGCTTCTGATGCTCTTATAGTTTAATATTATCTTCATAAGGATAGGTGACAGAGAGTTGGAAAGTGTTCCCAGGATGTCCTCTAATTCAATTAAGGTATATACATAGAGTGTTATCAGGCGTTACAACCTGGACTTCAAGTTCCCCATCTTAGCCAGTTACAAGAAAATTTGAACTTAGTTTTTCTATAAGGTAATCTATGTTTACACGGCAATGCTAACAAACCTTCAGAACTTCGGGAATAAGTAAATGTTTTGTGGGAAAAGAATAACACAATGCAATATTAGCATGCTGACTGATAAAAAAAATAGAGGAGTTATATAGCCCAAGACTAGCTAAAAGCCATCATGATATATGTGGAAGGAAATAATCCGTCCATGGGTTTTTATATAGTCTAAAATAACGGTGACAATATTGAAGTTATAGCAAGATATCATTATATTAAATATAATTTTATTTTTGCAAGATAAATAATAAGCGAAGTTTTCTTCAGAGCGTTTATTTCATTTATATCTTTCAGAATTTTAACTCTTTATCGCAAACAAATTTTCTGGAATAGTTTATAAATTTTTATAAATTATATTGCAATGATTTAGAAATTTAAACTTATAAAATAAATACAGAATTAGACCTATAATGTATTGGCAATATTTTATTTTGCTTATTTATGGTAAATTGATTTTAAAATGTCAAAAAAATTTTGACATGCCATTATATATAAAACTGAGTCTATGGTATGTTAAAATTTTTTTGGCATTTTAAAATCAATTTACCATAAATAAGCAAATGAAATTTATGCAAGGGATTATATTATTTTATTTATAAGCACTAAATGTATTTCAAACCTATTTAATGCATATTTTAAATTATAAAATTGAAATATAACCAAATTAGTGACGATCTAGAATTGTATGCTATTAATTGAAATGGTGTAATATCCTATCAAAATTAAGCACTGAAGTTGGCAAATCTTAGTTTGCCTCAAGAATGAAAGTTTAATCAGTAATATATACACTTATAAAAGCAATTGATGCATTTTTGATATCAGATTTGTTATAACTGAATATTATAAATATCAGCTAAAAACTAATTCCATAATATTGCTATTAAAAATGCTATATCAAGCGTTACTCAAACTCATAAAAATTTAAAAATATTTAGATTAATATTATATACTAATTGCCCGAGGATGGCGCTATCTTGCGCCATCCTCGGGCAATTCCTATATCAAAAATAATCGATTCGGCAGCTACTTTACCTTGACAATAGATGAAATCTTTCGAACCTCAAATAAGAAAAATCTCCTTACTCCCCCCCCCCCCTCCGTGAGCGAACAAAAAAATTTTGTTCGCTCACGGAGGGGGGTTAATTTTTTTTTTTAAAAAAAATTTATATATAAATTTTATAAAAAATATTTTTTTCGAAATTTAAAAAAATCCTAATTTGCAAAAATTGGGAAGCAAATATTAATTTAATTTGCAAAATTTATGTTTTAAAAAGCAATTTGTTTAAAAATTAAACAGAATTAGCTCTAGATTTCATTATACTAATTATCACTTTATATATCAAAATTTTTTTCCATTAAAATTTTTTCTATTAAAAAAATTTTTGTTCACTCACGGAGGGTGGGTTTTTGGTCAAAAATGGCGATTTTTCTAATGGTTTTGTTCGCTCACGGAGGGGGGTTAATTTTTTTTTTTAAAAAAATTTTATATATAAATTTTATAAAAAATATTTTTTTCGAAATTTAAAAAAAATCCTAATTTGCAAAAATTGGGAAGCAAATATTAATTTAATTTGCAAAATTTATGTTTTAAAAAGCAATTTGTTTAAAAATTAAACAGAATTAGCTCTAGATTTCATTATACTAATTATCACTTATATATCAAAATTTTTTTTCCATTAAAATTTTTTCTATTAAAAAAATTTTTTGTTCACTCACGGAGGGTGGGTTTTTGGTCAAAAAATGGCGATTTTTCTAATGGTTTTGTTCGCTCACGGAGGGGGGGGGGAGTAAATAAATATTATTGAAATATTTATGGTTCATTCCCTATATCTTTTTCCAAATAAATTATACAAATACAAGCATCAAAATTAAGAGTAATATGCAATTTATAAATCTGCTGCATTTCACATCATTTACTTCATTTTTTTACTGTCAAATTGTTCTTCTTTTTATCAAGAATTTCAAAAAAATAGATCTTTAAAAATGTTCAACTAAAATTATGTGAAAAGATATATCCATAATTGTCAATTCCTAATCTAGCACTATGTTTATATCTAAATCCCCTTTTATAACCATTAGAAAATTTCTATTTTTTGAAAAATTAACTCCCATTGTTAACAGACAAAAATTTTGTTAATTTAAATTATTTTGTACAGACTATATTATATATAATTAAGATTATAGCAATAATAACATCTCTAAAAATTATATTAAATTTAGGAAGAGCGTCTTAAAATATAAATTTTTAAATTCAATTCAATTTTCAATTGCGAATTCAAAATAATATTAATTTTTTTAATAAAAAATAACATTATCATAACAAAATAACTTACTCATTCACTAGTCATGAATAAGCTTAACCTATTTAAAGACTTTATTTACAAATCGGTCTTATGAGCTTCAGTTTGTGCCAGCCAATATAAATTTGATAATATCTTATTATCTATTTTTTAAGCAGCTTTGAAATATTCACTCCAAGGCTGCTACCAACTTCAGACATTTGTCGAGAAGGATCAGATTCTTCCATAAGCGAGCAGACCTCATTAATTTCAAAAAGTTCTTCTTTGAGATTTGTTGATGGCTTTAAGTTAAATTTTAAATCTCTTATTGTGCACAGAGCTTTCTTCAGATTTTTGCATTTTCTGAAATCAGGGCGATTCTTTATAATTATTTCACGATTCAATGATACTTTGCATCCCATTTAAAAGCTTACAATTAGTAATAATTAAGATAAGTAAAAACCATATAGATGGTTTTATTGGCAAAATATAGCACTTCCACCCATATGATTTACTTTGCATATTTCTTGCCGATAATGTTCGAAGGAATGATCTAACACATTTTTCTTGTAAAACCAACTTGTGAATTAACATTTATCACTTATATTATTAAATAAAGTTTTAAAACTATCAGCAGCAGTAAGTCCTGCATAAAACAAGCCATGTGGTGGATTTGCTATATAGGCATTACATATTTTCAGATATCGTAAAGATATAAAGATTTAGACAGGAGTATTATTATATATACAAAAAATTAACTTAGTTTCAAAGCAAAACAATAATTTTTCTAATATTAATTCAATATTTTTTATAGTTTTCATTTTTAATTATTTTAAAAAAGCTAATAGCCCAGAGAAGCTTATATAATTTAATCTTTTAAATATCTATTGCCTTGAAATTGATTAGCTTTAGGAATTAATTAGAATGATCTCATCATAGTAATAGTTTACGCTTTATTTGTGAGATCTTTAGAAAATATATTAACTTTTCTCATCCCCTTACTCTTCCCTTTGTGAGTGAACTAAAAATTTTTATATTTCATAGTAATTTGTTTAGATTTAAAAATCCAAAATTCGCAAAAATTGAGGAGTAAAAAATTAATCAATTTGCAAATTTAATTTTTTAAAACGCAAGCTGTTTAAAATAAAAAAAAATTAGCTAGAGAGATTTCTTTATACTAATTATCACTTATATATCGAAATATTTATTTCATAAAGCATTTTTTATATTGAAAAAATGTTATTCGCTTGATGAAGGCGGATTTTAACCCAAAAAATAAGGATTTTTTCAAATGGTCTTGTTCGCTCATAGTGGGTGTGAGTTAGTCGTTGGAATGGAGATAGAGATTAAAAAATTTTTGAAAAAAATATATAAATTTTTCTTAACTCTCATAAAAAGTTTTATAGTTCGAGAACCTGTTTAGATTGCTAGGAAACAATTCCTAAAAAGGTTAGGCAGAAGCTGATAGATCAAAATGGAAATGAAAATTACCATTTTTCTAGCAAGTACAGATAAAATTTGACAAATAGCATTTTTTAATTTCAGATGACGTTTCAGGTCTCTATATTACTTCTTCAGGTATTGCTCCAGAGTGGTCCAAAAAAATATATACGCTATATATACTAGCTATAAAAGAGAAAATATGCAATATATTAGCAAATAAGCTAGAAATAATTAGAGTTGCTTGAAACAGACTATGCTGTGTATTTAGAATATCATTATTACCATAGAAAGGTTCTTAGATTTGAGGTAGGACAGGAAGTATATTATGTTTAATTATATGAAAATCTTTGATAATGATAGTTGGTGAATTTTATTTGGAATCAATTGATAAAGGATAGGAGAGTAAGCAATATTCTGTGATTATATATTTTTTATTATCAAAATACATTTCAGTCAGTTTCAAACCAGCACTTATATATTATAAAATCTTCCTAAATAATGCATCTTGTGCTAATTGAGTATATACAAATAGTTCTTAAAAAATTGTCAAATAATATAAATTCTCTTATAATCGCTATTTAATTATTCAAAATATCATTACCATATACTTATACAGTTTTTTTCCTCTTTGTTTCAATGATATCATAAAGAATTAAGCTCTCTATTGCTTAATCATTAGCTCTCCAGACTCTCATTCACTAAAAATACACTATTTAATTTTCCTATAAATAATTTATGCTTCTTCTTCCAATAATTTTTTGCGTTTTCTCAATTTCTGGCAATAGCTTGAATTTCGATAAACTTATCCATATTACATTAGCTTATAATTTACTACACTCAGAAACACAGAATTCATTATACCTCATTGATTCCTCCATTACTGGATTCACCTCGCCAATCGCAAACAAGTCCTCTTTTGTTTTCGTCGATCTGCACATCTTAAAGCTCAGGTCTTTCATAGTGCATCTTGTTTTCTTGCTTGATATGTCAGCCCTTTTCAGCTGATTCGTACTTCTTATTACTTTAGCATGTCCTAAGGATGAAGTGCATCCCATGTTGTTTAGTTTTATTTTTAAGCTTGATTATCACTTTTAAAATGGTGGCTGGACTAATTTTTTTAGATATGCAATGAGAAGATGCGCTTTGGCTTACATTATTGGTTGCAATTATTTTTATTTACCCCCCACTTCGTAAGCGAACAAAATCCTCTTTGTTCGCTCACAGAGGTGGTTGATTATTTTATATATTAATTTTATAGTGAAATTTAAAAAATCCGTATTTAAAGAAATATTAATTTAATTTGTAAAATTTATTTTCTAAATGAAAGCTGTTTAAAATTAAACAGAATTAGCTAGATATTTCATTATAATAATTATTAATTATATATCAAATAATTTTTCTTAAATTTTTGTTCGATGGAAGAGTTTTTAGGCTAAAAAAATAGGGATTTTTCCAATGGTCTTGTTCGCTCACGGAGGGGGGAGTTAGGAAATGATCGATGAATGATTTGATAGATAGTTGTATTCTTATTAATAATTATTATTCGTCTAAAGATACATCGAAAAGTTCTTCTTCTTCCACTTCTTGTTTAGGTTTTATAGAATCTGCGATCGGGTGGTCCAAGTCTTGCTTTTCTAGTAAATAACCCTTTTCGATGATCTCATTTTGAATTTCTGCAAATTTCTGTTTATTGCCTCCTTGTAAAGCTAAGAAAACCCATAATAAATATTCTTTATAAGTGTTTAGCAATTTAGTAAGCTCAATAGAATCATTCACAGTATTTTTTATCGATAAATCATTTATATGCTCTCCACATAGCTCAAGCAAGCCAGATTCTGGGTCTTCATGAATTGTTAACAGTTTGCATTCATTGAGAATATCTCTATAAGCTATTAGCTTTGCCATTGTAAACCCAGCCATCCCTTGAGTTAACAGACTCGAAAGGGCCATTTTACACTGTGAAATCTCATCACGTATTTCAGCCAACTTTGACTGTAAATTAGTTTCCAATTCTTTTATTTCATTCCTATCAAATGTATTCCCAAGACTATACATTCATAAATCTTCACTATCATTCTGTGGAGTCATTTCTACAAATTTTCGAAGAGTTTCCCGTTTCATTGCAATTAGATCCATTTCTTCGGGCTTTGCATTATTTAGATAGCTTCTTGCTTCTTTCTCAATTCTTTCTTTTTCTCTAGATTGTTTTACTTCATTTTCATAGAAACTATAAAGTTTATCAATCTTCTGGTTAAGTTCAGAAAGCATTTCTTGGGCATCTTCAGCTATTTCTAGAGGAGAGCCTGGACGATCGTGCTTTGATTCATAAGGATCGCATGAGTTGAGTAAATCTTCTATTACTCTTTGAACTTTCTTAGAAACTGACTCATGATGTCGATCTGAATCTCGAGTTCTTCGCTTTCCAGACATTTTCAGACCGGTTTTCTTGCTATTTATATTTAAATAATTTAATAATTATTAATTTTCTTAAACAGTATATTTTTTCTTGCAGCTGAATTAGAATTCTTTAATAACTATATGTTTTAGCTTTGACAGAATTCTAATTATTCCTTATATAAGATATGGATTTTTATAAAAATGTGGAAGGTGCTACTCTTTTTTCCAATATTCTGCTTTTGCAATATAATTTCTGTGGAGCACACCATTACTCCTCCAGCTCTTGTTCTTCTGCAAAAAATTGCCATGTTTTCAAAGCAAACATCTGAAGCAGAATCTTATATAAAGGTTTCATGTAAATTTTATATAGGATCATCAGTGACAACCTACACTGACTCCTTTTTAAGTTGGGACAAATATCGGTAAAATTTTTGAATTTTTGATACACTGACCCCTCTTTAATTTGAGATATTTTTTACCAACGAAAAATTTTATAGGTAAAAGCATGAATTTTTTAAACATTATTAATTAGTGAATTTAATGGAAAAAGTGCAAGTAGAATACTATTTAAACAGTTTTAACGTTGAATAAATAATTTTTTTGAATTAATTCCTTATAAAAATAAATTAAAATCCAAAATATATATTGCATTCAGTTTATAATTTTTTTGATTTTAAAAAGAAAAAAATAGCATCACTTTAAATTGGAACAGGATTATTTGCTCCAATTTAAAGGGGGGGGGGAGTGAAGTTTTTTCTATAGGAATTTACAATAGCAAGGATATCGCCTCCTTAATAAACTATCAAAATGCCACAAGCTACATGAGTTTAAATACATCTTGCAAGGGAAATTCTACAGACCTCCCAAAAGAATTGCAAAATCCAAAAATTACATTCAGCTCAGATCAAAAACTGGCGCAGCGCCAGATAAACGAGACTGATGTTTATTATGTCTTATTATTTGCTTGTGGGAGCACAGAATTAAACTTACAAATTACTGTTGAGTCAAAAAACCCGCATGGTTATGTTCCAGCAGAGTTTTATATGCTAATGCCAGTATTTTCTAATTAGTTTTATGAGCTTATGTGCTTCATGTACATTCTTTTGCTAGTCTCTTGGGGAATTTTACTAGCTTATTATTTTGATAGTGCGATTTTTGTACAAAAAGTGTGAATTCCAGGAATATTAAAGTTATGATGGCTATAAGAAGGTAAACTCTACCCATCTTGATACCTTTAGTATTTCCAACCTGAATCATCTGTTCAAGAGATCAGCTCCAAAAGGCAAAGCAACAGTATGGAGGTACCCCGATTGTCCTGAAGAGGAAAAGCCATATGGCAGCAAAAATCTTTCTCGCCCATCTAGCATTTTCAAGAAAATCTCCGGGGAGTAACATAACTTCCCTCTTCAGCAAAGTTTACCCAAACCTGAAAGCCTACTTCTAAAAAAGGACAGGGGCCCCGTTTTCTGCTTTATCAGGATGAATCCGACTTGCTACATATGGGCTGCCTCTCAGAGTCCAATTTCTGTCAACGTTACCGTTTTATTTCTTCGAGGAATATTAGGAATCTGTATATTTGAATATGCTGTTGGGTATTTGGACTGGGCTATTTATAATAAAAACGGCCAGAGAGAAGTATCAATATTAATTTTAAGTATTTTTTTGAAAGCCTTAAGAGACGGCTTAGGACGAGTATTATTACTTTGTGCATCTAAAGGCTGGGGAATTGTGCATTCTACGCTTGGAGACTCTTTAAAGCTAATTTTGGTTACTGGAAGTCTTTATGTGATTTTTGACATGATTTATGAAGCTGTTTTACGCACTCACGAATCAGCAGAACTGTGGATTACTTTGCTAGTTTCTCTGCCATTAGTGATTATCAATACTTTTGTGCTTTATCTGATGTTTTCTTGGCTTGTGTTATTATTCTTCCAGCTAACTCAAAACAAACAAAACTTTAAATTAGGTCTATTTAAGCAGTTTGGATGGGCTTTAGCCATTGTAGGTGGACTCAGTGCACTATGGACAATTGTCGAAAGCTTTATAAAATTCATTTGGCCCAAAGATGAAGTATGGCATTGGTATTGGATGTTCATAGCAGTTTGGGATGTTGTGTTTTTTTTAATTTTTATATATAAATTTTGTAAAATTATTAAAATAATTTTTTTTAAAAAAAGAATAAACCAGTTTTTCATTGTAATAATCAGCGTCATGATTATCTGGAGAGTAAATGAGCGATCAAAACTTTTAGCATTTTCCGAAGAAGTTCAAGAAGACGATGAGCTATCCTTTGAGGAAGAAGAAAAGGCAGGGATCGAGCTTACAAAGAAAAAATAATCCAAACTAAATTATTCTCGATATGTATTAGCATTCTAATTTAATGTTTTGTATTACTCCATCAATGTACTCACTGATCCTCTCAATGGACTTTTTCTTTTGTTCCATAAGTTCTTCAATTTGTCTTTTTATGTGTTTTCTGTTTGTTTTTACAGCCGTTTCTATCCTTCTGTGTTTGCTAAATTTCGGCTTCCAGTTTTTTATTATGTTATTTAACGCCAACGTCGTTTTTTTGTCGTCAGCATATTCATTAATTAAAAATTCCAGCTCATCATCAGTGCTTTTTGTGAAAGATTTTTGTGCAAGAGGAGTTAGCGATCGTGTTCTGCTTTTCTGGGGTGCTGTGTCGACCTGGAATTTGAAAAAATTGAATTTGTGGTTTGTGTGTTTTGTGTTGGTTTTAGGGGTTTTAGGGTGATCTATAGCTATTTGTTTATATAGTCTAGTGCAAATTCTTATAGTATTTCAATATTTATTAAAAAATATATATTAAAGTCGATTAAAATGGCTGTTTATTCATTTTTATATATTATATTGTGTTAGGGCTTCAGTTTGGAGGGAAGAAGGATGCATAATACGCGTTTGGAGAAAAATTCTCATGTTTGGTTGAGAAAATTATAGGGGTCAAATTTTTCGGTATTTGAGGTAACTTTTGTATGAGAGGATCAGATTTAATATAGACCTTAGGAGGTGTTAAAGATCTGTGATCTATCTCTGTTTTCAATCTACGAAGCTTTGGTTTGAATGGAGATTTTGTGTTATGGCTCATCAGTTCTGTGTCGAAATTTTTTTGTCGACACATTTTATAATTCAAAATGTTGAATCAGAAATTAATTTACTTCAGAAAAGATCAGAAATATAGTTATTATTTTTATGAATTCTCGAAGATATTGAAGTAGTTTATTAAAAATTATGTTCTCCAACTGTATAAATAATGAAAAAATTAGAAAGGGAAAATTTGAAGCGAACTAAAGCTGAGAGGGAAATCGATAAGTATATAAGCAAAGACGCAACAGCAATAAAAATACAAGTCTGTGAGGAAAAGAAAATAGAAAAGCCTGCTCAGATAACACCAGATAAAGCTTTGGAAAAAATCAAGAAGCATTTAAGAAATGAGCACACTTATAAAAAATCAATCAATCTTTTATCAAAACTTATAAGAAAGCATCATACCAAATTTTCAATAGAAGAAATATTAGATTGCTTACTCCCCCCTCCGTAGGTGAACAAAACCATTGCAAAAATTGCTATTTTTTGCCCAAAAAACCCACCCTGCGTGAACAAACAAAATTTTTTTTATGAAAAAAGATTTTTATATATAAGTGATAATAAGTATAATGAAATCTCGAGCTAATTCTGTTTAATTTTAAACAAACTGCGTTTTAAAGTATAAATTTTATAAATTAAATTAATATTTGCTTCCCAATTTTTGCAAATTAGGATTTTTTTAAAATTTCGAAAAAAAAAATTTTTCTATAAAATTTATATATAAATTTTTTTGTTCACTCAAGGAGGGGGAGTTAGAAACAATTTATGAATCAGGATTTATAAATAATCCACCCCAAGACCAAACTAAAGAAATTTTTAGATTTGTATTCGAAAATTATCAAGAATCCATTCCTGAAGAAAAGAAATTGACTTTTGAAAGGTGAATGTTTTTGGCTGACACAATAAATACAATTCACACAGATGATTCTTATGTTTTCCATAAGAACATAAAGTTTATGAGGGAAAAGTTGGAAGAATTAAGCGAAGAAAGTAAAGATTGAAATGAGATTTATTATAAAGCACTATTAGGCTTAGAAAAATTTAAAAAAATCGAATGAAGCAAAACTGCAATTCAAAAACTTATTGAAGATACCTATGAAAAGAAAAATATTTTTACAGAGGCACAGCAAGAAACTTTATTGAAATTGAGGGCTATTGAGCCGAAAAGAGCAGTTGAAAGTGAAAGGATTAGAGATATATTAGATGCTCCAAAAGAAATAACAGATAACCGCGATGAAGTTATCATAGTAAATGGCTTGGACTCTTGGTCCTTGAGACAAGCTGGAGTATAATTTTATGCCTATTAATATTTCATTTATTTTATTATATTTTTTTCAAATGCGTATTTATTTCAAGGTACTGGATAAGCTTTAAATGAAGAGATGAATAATTTTTTAAAACTATTATATGAGGAAGAGTTTTTTTCTTTAGCTCCACACTTTTCAAATTCATTTAATCTTAAAGAGAAAAGAAATTATTTTGGCATATGAAAAGGATAGTCAAATGTGATTTCATATTAGAAATTTTCACTGAAAAAAAATTAATTTTTATTATATGGATTTGCAGCCAACTTCAGATAAACAAGCAATCGAATCTGTATTTTACAGCCAAACAAATCACTCAATTTATTCCCTTCTAGGCCATGAAGAGCATGAAAATATCTCTTTACCTATCAACCCAAATTTCCTCACATATAAAGATGCGGCCTTGAATAAGTTATATGCTGAATCCCTATACCTAGATAAAAGAGACTCAAAGTATTTATCAAAGGAATTCAAAAACAACCTATTGACATTTTATATCTTTATTACATCATATATAGCTCATGCACCGAAATAGATTTCTATACCCCAGCAGAATATCTACCAGAAAAAATATGGTGCAGGGCACCTGTCTTATGCAGGATAAATCTGATTAGGCACCTTTAAATCATAAACGGAGATTTGTTATTTTCGTTTTTACTTTCAAAAAAGCTGACAAGTACAAATGAATTTTTGAAATTAAAAATGGATGGCCAATAATGATCTAAAATATTTCAGGGGCTATATCATCATTTCAGTAGCCACCTGATCGTTGCTATATTATGATAATAAAATGTGTCAAATTCATTTTATCGTCCGTATAACTATGCTAGCTATTATTCTTTTTTTATCATATGCTATTTTGTTTGGGATTTTAATGAATCACAATCTTATTTATTATGCTCAGCGTTTTTATGCCGGTCTAGGGCTTTTTATTATGCTATATTTAATTTTGTGTGAGGAAAATATTCTTTCAGGGATCACAGGATGTGGATATGCACAAAGCACACAGTCTCATGTTTTAGCTATGGCTTGCTTTATCACTTTATTGCGAATCGTCACTTTTGATAACTTCTTCAGCATTGCAATAATTGCATTTTTTTCTCTTATTTTGCTTTTAGGATGTTTTGTTGCTTTTTCTGCGATTTCAATAATCGCGCTATTATCAGATTTCTTTATTTTGCTTGTATTTTTGGTTCTTCAGCTAGTCGAATCTCGACAATCAGAATTCAGAGCAAAGCAACTTTTTTGGAGGAAATCTAAAGAAGAACAGGCAATGAGCTCAGGCCCTGTAATTTTTGAGAAGGAAAACAAACTTAATAGTCAAGAAACATTTTTTGAGCCACAAATTGAAGCTATTTTTAAAACACTTGACAAAATTAAAACCAATATCAAAGCTGCCTCTATAGTTATCATTTTTTCAGATGTGAAGAATAAGCTGAAAAGAGCCATTTATGAGATAGAAAAAATTAAAAGGAAATTGGTTCATGGTAAGCTTTTTATACAAACTGATATACAGAATAATAAAAATATGGACGAAGAAGATTTGACATTTATTTTGGAAAACTTTGTAGATAGAGGGCATGGAGAGCTACAAAGAGTAACTGTAAGAAGAAAAACTATGTCAGAAATCATTGAAAAGAAGCCAACTCTTGTAGGATATAGTTCTCCTGACTTACTTGCCTATTTTAATTTCGAACTTTTTTTTTGTCTTATAGAAAAAATTATTTATTTATATAAGATTCAGTTATAATAATAAATATTTTTCGTCGTTATTAATAATTATCTATATAGGCTTTGCTCTTTATTAAATGGAGTGAAGAAGCTAGAAAGAATCTTATCTGGGGTGGGAACTAACTGGAATTTTGACATTTGATTTGTTTATCAAATGACTGGGTCAAGCGTTTCAATTATATCAAAATATTTATTACAGAAATGAGGGATTAATGAACTTTTCTCTATTCCAGAACCAGTTTCTGATTCATTTTTCAAAAATTTAGAAAATGTATTTGATATATAGTCTTACAATAAAGAAATCCCTTATCATAACGCATGCCATGCTGCAGATGTTTTGCATTCACTTTTATATTTTTTGACTCAAAGTGGACTTCTACTATCTCTTACTTCATTTTAAAACACATTTTGCATTTTTCGAATAGAATGGAAAATATATTAACATATTTTTATATTTACTCCCCTTTGAAATTAAAAAAAAATTTTATTTCAGCTTAAAGAGGATTATATTTTTGTAAAAGAAAATTATATTCAATAAAATATTTTTTTATAAGAATGAAATTTATTGATTCAAAATGCTAATTTGTCTAAATAATATTCTATTTGCAGTATTCCTTAAAATAAAATAAACTATAAGTTAATATTTATTTTGGAATATCAAATTGGATCAAAGCTAATTACATATAAATTAAATTTTAGCTATAAAATTTGTTCAACGCTAAAGGGGTTAAGAATTTTACCGATATTTTGTTCCAATTTAAAGGGGGACAGAGTTAGATTTTTATTTTATAAAAAGATTCAGCACTCTGGAAACATTTTCAGCAATGATTGCTGCGCTAGGGCATGATGCAGGCCACCCTGGCTTAACCACAAGATTTTTGATAAATAGTGGTCATGAATTAGCTATTAATTATAATGACTTCAGAGTCTTAGAAATGATGCATGCCGCCAAAATATTCAACATAATGAAAGAAAGCGACAATAATGTACTCAAACACTTATCAAGTGATGATTGGTTAAAAAGCAGAAAGTTAATAATCGAGATGATTTTGCATACCGACATGACTATGCATTTCGAAGCTCTAGGCAAATTTAATTCAAGGGTAGCTCTTGGAGACTTGAGCTTGGAAAACCATGAGGATAAATTTTTAATTTTGTCTATGGGTTTAAAATGTGCTGACTTAGGACATAGCGCAAAAGTGCAGTTATTGCATGAAAAATGGTCTTTTCTGCTAATAGAAGAATTCTTTAAACAAGGGGATATTGAAAAAGAGAGAGTCATGCAGGTTTCAATGTACTGTGATAGAAGCACATGTGACATTAATAAAAGCCAGGCTGGGTTTATAAAGAATATTTGTATTCCTCTTTTTGAAAGCTGATGTAGATTTTTAAAATGCGATATCATCAATGCAAGTTGCTATAGTCAACTATACCTATATATGATAAAAAGATCTGAAATAAAGTAGATTATATTAGATTAATTAGTGGGTATAGAGGAGTATTTTAGCCATATCCATCCCTAACCGCTTCAGGCTAAAGTTGACGTAAGGATGGCAGCCTTTTCCAGTCGTCGTCACAAGTCTCTCGAGGAGACCTGACTTGTTTGATCTTGCCTTCACTGCCAAAGACTCTCTTAGCCAAAGGTAGTACTTAGAGTATGAGTTTATCTCCAAAACCTCATTTTTGAATTGCCACGCCTTATAAAGGCAAATGTTGCTTCCCCAGAAGTATGAACAGACACTCCGAATTCGGTTTCTCTTCTATGGGTTGAAGTAAAAAGTCTTTCATAGGGTCTTGAATAGTCAAAAGCCCGGACGAATTCTAAAACGATGAGATCTAATTCTAGAATTGGGATCAACTCACGGACAGCCTGGACCTGTGCTCTACTTGCCATCTTTTAAAAAGTGGAATAAAGTAAGAATTGAGACAATTATTTATTAAAACATGAAATGTTTTTATTATTTTAAAATCTAATAGTCTGAAAGAAAGCTTAAATGAAAACTGTAAAAATTGGGAAGACAAAGCAATCAAACATAGGCCAAACTCAACCATTCCATATGATTTTCAATCAAGCGATGGGTCTATTATAAATCTGAGAACGATAACAAAAGACCCACCAAAAAATTCATTTTAATAATATCTGAATTAATAATTTCCTTAATCAAAATATGTTCAAACCAATAAAATATTGGATACTTTCTATCTCATGGAGAATCAAAGTCTTAAATACTTTTATTTATATCACAGTTTCTTATTTAATTGTCTAGGATTTAAATAAAATTAAGAAATATTGAACTCTCTAGACCTTTGCCAGCCAAATCGAGGAGACTTGGGCTCATCAGGGCTTTTTGGTTCTTCGCTGGTTCTAGGAACTCCTTCACTTTGCCTCATTTCAGTAATAAAGCCGCTATACCTAGGTTCAGGAGTTTGGCTGCTTCTAGGCTCTGGTGATTTTGTCGGTTCCCTTGACCTTGGAATTGGTATTTTGCTTGATGCTGGTGGCGGCAATCCAGTAAAGCTTCCTCTTTTCCTATGCTTTGGAGTCGGCATCTCAAGAGTTGGTGTTCTTGATCTGGTCGGTGGCTGAGCCCCCAGCCCCGACATTCTTCTTGAATGTTTTCCTTTAGGTGTAGGTGGCTGTATATCATCTTGACTTAAATTCAAATCTGAATTTTTCCTCGACAAAGACCTTACCGCAAATCCTCCTCCACTTTTCAACTCTATATAAATCTTACTGAAATCTCTAACACCTTTCCCTCCTATAGACTCCCTAATTATCACTTTGCAGAAGCTTTCCGAAGTTAAGCCATCCAAGCTTGCATCTGCATTTAACCTAAGCCCATCATCATAATAGCTTTGTATTTCTTCTGGAAAAAGATCAGGGTCCAATAATAAAACGTAATTTTTGAACTCGTCAAAGTTTAAGTGAGTTTTCCCTTGGGAATTAAACCATGACATCAAGAAAGCTGCATCTTTTATCTGTACTGTCTTATAGACATCAATAAGAACCATCCAAAACTTGCTTTTCTTTATAGTCAAATTCAATGATTTGCAATTTTCATAGTGACTTTTTATATCAATTTTTTGTAAAAATGTATCTCGTGAGATTTTACCTGTGTTTTTAGGATCTAAGACGTTAAATAGAATAGTTGCTTCGTCTTCTGGCATTGCAAGCTCTAATTCTTTCCTCATTCCTTCTATTAGCTGATCTCGTGAAATTTCGTTATCTTTTCTATCAACATCAAATCCTGCAAAAACATTTTCGGCAGTCTCCCCCATTCTAATGATTTTGTGGCAAATCCTAAACACCATAAACTGCTCTGATGTAAACCTTTCAGGTTTTAGCAGACTTATTGCTTTCCCACGGCTTCCTCTATCAGTATCAAAAAGATTGTAAATTAAATTCATAACATCAATCAGAAAAGCTGCCCCATCATTGTCGCTTTTCCCTGCTTTAGCTTCAATATTTCTGGTTTTCATGTCTTTCAGTGCATTTGTTACTAATTTATTGAACTCAATCCTCGCTTTTGTCAAAAACAAAGCTAATTGATAAGGAATTGGGTCATGATGAATAACTTGAATAAGCCTAGAGAATAAAATCCCTAACGAGTGTCTTTTTTTGTTCAATTCTTCCAGCGTTGGGATTATCTGGCACAATGCTTTATGAGCTATTTTTTTAAGTCCATATACCCTAATTAAATGATCCATCATATAATCTGGCATAGTCCTCGGAGCCCTTTTTGCTTCCAAGTCCGCACAGTCAGCTTCATATTTTTTATCAAGCATTTCTTCAAAAAACCTGAAAACATTTTGGATTGACATAGGTTTTTCTCCTCTTCCCCTGTGAGCTTCATAATAGATCATTAAAGGGTTTTCACTGATCGTCGCTTTCTGCTCTTCTGAAAGCATATCAAGTGCAGCTTTGACGCCAGCTTGATTCACTTTATTATCATCGTCATCATATATAGAAGTTACATCAAATTCGATGGTTTTAAACATGACACTTCCTTCTGTTTCCAAATGCTCAGGGTCTTCTAAAATTTCTTTTCATCTATCTATAGAAGCAGATAGATTTTGAAGGGAATATTTTTTCATATATTTTAAAGCACCCCAAAGGATTCTCCGCTTGTGGGAATCTGTAAGGAGCATCAGCTCTACACGAAGCTTTTGGGTTTCTGCAGATAATTCTTGGATTTTTGAGGAATATTCGGAATCTAATTTTTTCAGTTTTTCCTCGTATTCTTGGGCTAGAAAATCTAAGGCTGCTTTATCTTGGCAGCCATCAATAAGTCTTGCTTTGAGTCTCTCGTTTCGCTGTGTCAGGCTTATGTTGTCATTTTTTAGGATATTTAATTGATTTGTGATGAGAATGTTGGAGGCTTCTTTTTCGGATAAAAGCTTGTCATAGAGAATTTTTAGCTGCTCTTTGGAATGTTGCTCATCTGATTCACGCTTTTTAAGTTTTTTATTTTCTTCGTTTAGGTCAAATATTGTGGCTTGAAGCTTGGAGTTTTCGCAACATTGGCTAATATTTCCCATATTTATCTTGATGCACCATTGAATTTTTCTTAAATTTAGGTTTTTATTAGTATGGTTCAATTTTCAGCAAGGAAACTAATTATAGTGAGCTATTTTGAGAACCATACTTAAAAAAATATGTGCAATTGCATTAGACAAAGAAGAAATTACAAAGCTGGGCTTTAAGTATTTATTTATATTATTCGTTCTAATTTTGAATATTTGAGAATTAAGACCTCTCAGCAGTGGATTTCAGCAAAAAATTAATTTATGAAAGAAAAGGTAAATTTTTTGAATAAATGCTTTCCTATATAATAAAAAGCTAATGTCAGTTTTTCTAAAGCAGATTGCCTAAAATTTTGATCCAGGCTTGAAATAGTATATATTGTACTATTGATCGAAATTTTTGCATTTTCATTAATAAAAGACAGGATATTAGCATTTGAAAATTCCATATCTTGATCCTTAGGTAGGCAGCTTGTTAAAGGGCAGCAGCTTGAAAGCTCTAAAAAGTTATGGCTTTGGTCTTCCAAACAGTTTTCAATAGGAACTCATACAAATTTTTTCGGACAAAGCAGCTCACTTGGATAAAACTCCCCTTTATACTTCATTTTTTGGATATTATTAATATAAAAGCCCAAATAATAGTACTTAAATCTTTCAGAGAGATTATTTTGAACGAATTCTATTTCCTTCATTATAGAAAAGATCCCTGGTGACAAAAATGATATTTTTGAAGAATAAAAGAAATATACTGCAGAAACCCCGCTTGGGAGAATATCAATTACGCTAACACCCACTAAGATTCCATCAATTTTATGAAGCATATGGAAGCTTCCTAACCCATAAGGATACTCATGAGATGGCTCCTCTTTTATTAAAGATGTTTTACATGCAGTCTGTGTGTAATGCTCAATTGATAGGTTAGTTGGTGTCTCGCCATGCACAGCCTTGACGTATTCTTTATATAGCTCATATGATTCTTGAGAAAAATCGCTATCAACCAATTCGTGCTTATAAGTATGGGGAATTGCTGAAATTTTATTTTCATTTTTATTCTCATCAAGAAGCTTAATCTCTTCAATTTCGTTTTCAAGTAAATTGATAAATCCATTCTCAACAGAAAAGATCCTTCATTTGCTATTGTTTATTTCTAATTCAAAATAATTTTGCAATAATTCTGTTACATCAGATAGATTTAAATTTAGTCCATTTTGTTTTGCTTTTATATGAACAGTTATAGCAGAACTTATAGAGTAATCTCCAAATCTTTTTTTTCTATTGGGTGAGTTTCTTTTGATAACGCATAATTTATCTTCAAAACTGATTCCCAATACTTCGATAGTAGCTTCCACAGCATTTTTTAGTTTTTCTTTTAAATCATTTGGAATAGTCAATATTTCGTGCATTCTTTGTTTGATTTTCGTTGGCTTTTTCACTGCATTTAAATAGCGGGCAAATTTCTTTTGGACTTTTTTTTGGCTCTTATTAGGCTTATATAAAATTGTATTGCATCTTAAAGAGATGAGCTTGCAGCAAGACTTTTCTAGGACTGGGACATAGCAGATGTCTCCTCATCTTCTATATACTCCTCTCCTATGAATTGCTTGGCAAGGGCAGAAGATTGGAGAGTTGGCGAATGAGTCTCACTCAAGTAGTTTGACTAGGAGATTTTCCCTCTCCAATTTCCTATCCTTACCTTGCGATTGATAGGAGGAAAGCATATCCTTTAAACATTAATTTTTCGTAGTTTTCTACACTCATTTCTTTACAATAAAAACCAAAAACAGTTGATGGACCCTTTTTGCAGTATATGCAAGCCTCTTCAGTGTGCTCACCTCCTAAACTTATTAAATTCATTAATAAAAATTATATGAATGGACTTACTCCCCCTCGTTTAAGAGTGAGCAAACAAAAAATTTTTTTTTACATTTTTTTATTTGAAAAAATTTAAATATAATTAATAATGCTATTCTTTTCAAAATATTTGCGAATTTGTATTTTATAATCTTTGTAAAAATTATATGTAAATTATTATACTTTGAGAGAGTGTTGAGAAGCACTTCTTTTCAGACATCTCATGAACTAAATTTCATCTTGGCTTATCATTCTCTGTTACTCTGACCAGAATTTGGTCTTCCATGGGTATTGGTGCACCAAATATCCATGCCGTATCTGGCAAGAGGTCTTTTCAACACTCTCTCAGTGCATATGATTTTTAAAAATATATTAACCCTCCTTTAAGAGAAATAAAAATAATTCTCGCTTTTAAAGAGGGCGAGCTATTATTCATATTTATTTTCTCCACATAATTTTCATAGTCATCAGAATCTTTTTATAGTTCCTTTTATATATGGGAAAAGCACTGATTGTTAAAATATTACAAAGATAAAATAGAGAAATGCTCTATTTTACAGAAGAATTTTTTTGAATATTTTTAGAAAGTTATTTAGCATCATTTTTAACTTTTTTAGCTTTATAATATTAGACAAAAGTTAATTTTAACTGCATTTTCATTGCCCTTCAAAATTCAAAGCCACCTACTACATAATAAATTATTATAAAAATGAAAAAATTAAACGAAGAAGATGCTCTGCTAAATCGACTCCTCTACAAAGAAAGTCCTGCATTACGAAATTTTGCCATAAAATGTTTAGAGCTCGGCCACATAGTTGATTTCAAAAATATTCATCCAAGCCAAAGTGAAAAACTCTTAAACGACTTAAAAGAAGGCATCAAAGAGCTCGAATATATCGCAGAAAAAAGAGAATTGTCCCACTATTCCTATGATGCTGACTGAAACTATCTAATCTCACAAACAGATGCTTTACAAAGCAAAATAGACAGCTACAAACAAGAAATCCAAGCCTTAAAAGAAGAATACTCCCACGAAAAATCCTTAAGATCCAATTTAATTGAATATGAAGAAGAAGCCCGAGCTATCAACAAACTGCCTACCTGTGAAGAAATTGACAGCGCAATTGAGAAAATCAAGCACGAAATCGAAAGCACAGACAAAAAAATCCTTCACTACGTAGACGTCATGTCTCAGATTTCCTCACAGTCAAAGTCTCTTTTTCCCACCTTGGAAACGTTGCAAGCTTTAAATAACCAAATTAATTCATAATTAAAATGGCAGACGGACAAGTAGTTCCTTTAGGAGAAGAGCAGCACAATCGCAAGCCTCGAAACACCCCTTTTCGCCAGCAGACAATGAAAGCTTACAAGCCAGTCCCTACAGTTAAATCAGCTGTAATTATTTTTACCACTTTAGGGTCGATTTTTATAATTGTAGGGAGCGTTTTATTGTCCTATTCTTTAGAAATCATTGAGCACCGTAAGCGGTATGACAACGTGGGAGAATGCGACAAAACCAAATATGACAGGCTGAGCCTCTGCAATATTACCTTTGATGTCACTGATGAAATGAGCTCTACAGTGTATTTTTACTATGAACTTGATAATTTTTACCAAAACCATCGAAGATATGTAAAATCAAAATCACAGAATCAGCTGATGGGAAATGATTTATCAAAAGGCTCGGTAAGCACAGATTGCGACCCTATTGTTACGATGGAAGACCTGGGGATTGAACCGAAGTATAGAGAAGGCGGCTGGGATTTGACTGATAAAGATGTAGCCAACCCATGTGGGCTAATCGCGAAGACCTTTTTTAATGACACTTTTATAATGTGGGACCAAAACGGACACAGAGTTAATATTTTAGAAAATGACATTGCCTGGCCTTCAGATAAAGATAGGAAATTCAAAAATCTGAAAAATTGGCAGAAAAAGCAGTGGAAAGACGTGGAAGACGGTAAATTCCTATGTAGAGCATTTTATAGTGTGGATGAGGGTTTCTGGACTGCCGAATTTCAGAAAATTGTGGGGGAGGATAGAAGATGACCTTACAGTGGGGACTTATACAGTTCAAATTAATAGCACTTATGACGTGTCAGATTTTGATGGGAAAAAGTACGTAGTGATATCAACTGCAAATGCACTCGGAGGAAGAAACGATTTCTTGGGGATTGCTTACATTGTGGTGGGCGGAATTACAATACTTTTAGCTATAGCTTTCTTTGTGCGTGGCTATTTCTTCAAAAAGTCCCAAGACTTGCATTATAGTTAAGAATTTATTAGTTATTTCAAATATCAATGGACAGCAAAATTAATATCTTTATTTAGTTAAAAAATGTTATAGCTTTTTATAATGATAAAACTTTGGTGCCGGCTTCGTTTTTCTGTTTATATAGTGAATAGAAAAGCGCCTAACTAGTTGCAAAGTGTCTATCGATTAAAATGAGTATATTTAAATAAAATGACTGAAGAGCTTGTGCCACTAGATTATTTATTAAATCCTAAACAGTTCGAAAAAACATTTTTCATCAAAGAGAACTATGCAAGTCTAAGGCAGATTGCATTAGACGGCTATTTAGGATTATTGCACAACCGATTTATAAGCTGAAGAATTTTCCTAGGGATTTTTCCAGAGCATGAGTCAGTTGAAAACTGGATTTTAATTACCCAAAAGCTTCGAATAGAATATGCAAATTTAAAAGAAATCCATGGAGTATTTACTAATTAGAAAGCCCCAGTTAAAGACTTAGATCCATTGATTTTCAACCCATTATCGCAGGATCCAGATGTAAAAAATATATAGAACCCTTGGAATAATTACCATCAAGACTTCCAATTAAGGCAAACTATTAGACAAGACGTAGAAAGAGCTTATCAAGACAGATTGCTATTCCAGATGGAGCCTATCAAAGAAATCATGACAAATGCATTGTTCACATGGTGCAAGCTAAATCAAAATATTTCATATAAACTAACTCCCCCCCCCCCTCCGTGAGCGAACAAAAAAATTTTGTTCGCTCACGGAGGGGGGTTATTTTTTTTTTTAAAAAAAAAAATTTATATATAAATTTTATAAAAAATATTTTTTTCGAAATTTAAAAAAATCCTAATTTGCAAAAATTGGGAAGCAAATATTAATTTAATTTGCAAAATTTATGTTTTAAAACGCAATTTGTTTAAAATTAAACAGAATTAGCTCTAAATTTCATTATACTAATTATCACTTATATATCAAAATTTTTTTCCATTAAAATTTTTTCTATTAAAAAAAATTTTGTTCACTCACGGAGGGTGGGTTTTTGGTCAAAAAATGGCGATTTTTCTAATGGTTTTGTTCGCTCACGGAGGGGGGGGGGGGAGTAAGTTAAGGTTAAAAATTAAGCTAGCCATAAGCAGGATAGACTCAATTTCTTTACCTCGTCTTGGTTTCAAAAAGCCAGTATCTATAAACCTCAGAGTTCATATCAGGAAAATGAAGGTACAATTTTGGATTTTCCGATCTGAACTGCCTGCCTCAAAAATAAGATCTCTAGGGTAGAGCCGTCTTCTGAAAGGTGGTGTGATACCGATGAGGAGAAAGTATATGGTAGGAAAAACCTGACAAGCCTAAACAGGAACGGAAAAGCTTTCGAAATAGAAAAAACCCTATTCTGCATTCCCAGACCTGAAGACCTACTTCAAAAGTGACATAGGCACCACTTTCGGCTTCATCGATATGATCCTACCTGCTCCATAGGTGTGCGCCTTGGACTCCTTCATCCATCATTGCCACCATCTATTTCTCCTATAAACAAGGAATGCATGAATTATTAGGACTTGTGCTATTTGTTGTGTACTCAGAGCAGGCACAAAGGATATCAGAGATTTCTGAAGACGCTGCACAATGTTTGAATATTTTAAATGACCCAAATTATATAGAAGCAGACACATATTGGATTTTCAAACAGATTATGGAGCTAGGAATGATGGAAATGTTTCAGCCAGTGGTTAGCAATAAGCCTAATTCTCAAAAAGATAAATTATTTGCATGGGAAGCAGAAAAGAATGATTTAGTAAATCAAGATAAAAGTAATGAAGAAAATGCATCCCCAATTCTAAAACGATGCCACAAAATCCATCATAGACTATTAAGAGCTATTGACAGAGACCTTTATAACCACTTAGAAGAAGAAAAAATCGAGCCACAAATTTATCTGCAAAGATATATAAGGTGTATGCTAAGTCGAGAATTAAGTTTTCCCAATACAATTATAATATGGGATTCTATATTTGCTTGCATAGGCTGGGATTATCCAAACGAAAGCGAAACAATTACAGGTAAATTAGATTTTGTAAACCATTTAGGACTTTTAGACCTAGTTTGTGTCGCAATGATTATCTTTGTAAAAGATTTTCTAATGGAAAGTGATAGTACTGGGATCATGAGAAGACTGCTAAAATTTCCACCTGTTGGAGAAATTTATATAATAATTAGGATGGCTTTATCCTATAAAGAAATTTTATTTGATGGAAGACTAAATGATCCAGTATGGCCAATCAGACCAAGAAACCATCCTCCTGAAATTGAAGAATTCAAGCATCATAGTTTGGAAGAGAATTTCGAAAGAAATGAAGAAAGTAAAGAAAAAAAGCATAAAAAAATAAATATCAAGAATATGGAAAAAATAAAGAAAAGGAAAAATGATAATGAAATGGTAAAAATTGTCCATTCTGTCATAGAGACATTGTATGAGCAAATAGAAATATCAGAATTTAATGAAGAAAAAACTGCAAGAGGGATGGAGCTATTGAATCAATTAAAAGTTGAAATTAATAAAGAAATCAAGAAAAGGCAGGATCAGTTGGCTTTAATTAAATAATCATAAGGTATTATATATGTGAGCGATTTAAAGGGTTTAATTTTAAAGATAATTTAATCTTGTGAGGAAAAATTTAGTAATTGTAATCGTTACCAATTTTACGAAGATTAAGATTGTTAGGCAGATTTGAAACTCTTGAGCTTATTATTTATTAATCTCATTTTCTTTGATTTCTATTTCTGCTAGCTTGTAAAGAATTGACTTGGCTGATTTGTAGTAGAAAATATATAAGCCAAAGATGGAATTAGCTCGACAGACCTGAGCTATTTTTATTTAGGAAAAGTTTTTCTCCACAGGTGAAGCTTTTGCTCAGCTGATAAAGAGATTTTCCTCAAGCCAAGCCCTACCATATATTGGGATCCTGAGATAGGAGGAGGCTGGCGAGATGGGCTGGAATCAAGGCATGTGGGATGAAGATTATTAGTGTAGTCTCTCCGTGGCAGAGAGGCGGATAGTCTAATGCAAGATGGAAGCAAGCCCGTAGCTCGCCGGTATCCATTTGAGGAGATTCAAATTAATTGGGTGCATTCGCATTGAAAGATTGATGCTTTGGTTCAGACAACAGGTGCGAAGCATGAAGATAAATCGCCTTGTCATCGCTAGTGTTGAGTCATAACGGCCTCAGGACCTCGCGGTAAGCTTTGGCTGCACCATAAATGCTCTTACGACATCTAAATACAAAGGTTAGGGTTAAGGTTGATTTGTTGTATTTCTCAAAATTTACTTTGCTATTCAATGAGCCGCCTGCCATAAGACCACTAATTAAGAAGAGCTGCAAGACTAAAGGTCGAATTGCACGTAGAATTGAGCCATAGTGTTCAAAAGAATTGAAAAGATATCTATTGTAAGCCATTTTCAATTATTTTTATAATTTATCTTACCCTCCTTCAACCTCCATCAAGGGAAATAGGTCTATATAAATTTCAATTGAGATGAATTTTTTTTCATATCAACTGTTTTGCTCGCCAAAAATATAAATTAACAAATATGCAAAAATTGTATTAGAATTATGTATTAGCGATTATCTAAGATTCGTTATTAAAAAAGTTAGATAGTTAGATTAGAGGTGTGCTATTTGATCTATGACTATGTGAAAATCGTTCGATTAAGGATAGGGATTAATTTTCCCAATTTTTAAAGAAATTTTTAATGGAATCGTTTGATCAAGATGAGGGAGAGTTAGAATTTATCTTTATTGTGTCTTAAAATTGTACTAAAATATTTCCTACTATTTTACTTATTTTTATCTCCATTTCTAAATAATTCATAATGCAAAAAATTCTTTATAATTTTAAGAAATAATATGTGCCTCATTTTATAAAATTGTTCTTATAATCAGGAAATCAAATTTCCATTATTTTTCAAAGAAAAATAGATATAAAATCAATTTAAATATAATAGATATAGATTTTCATAATAATTTATTAGTTAGTTATCCATATTTATAATTTCCATATCCGTTCAGTATTCGATTACCTTTAGAACTGTTTATCATTTAACCCTTTAAATATCCAATCTCGTGTATTTCTAGAAAACACGGCTGAAAATTTGCCTAATTAAAAATAAATTTACAATTTAACCGAATGGCGAGATATAGAAATCCAAAATCATCTTCCACAAATGAAGTTTATTCTATTATATCAACTCTATCTAAGGCTGAGAATTTAAACCTTGCTGTCCAGTGTATTCAAAATGTGGCTCAAGAATTCCAGGAAAATGATCAAGAAGAGCCAGCTCCAAGTGTGAGAAAATATATTTCATATGTACGTCGGTCATATGCAGGGCCGGAAAATCAGTTAGACCGAGAAGACTCGGAAGGCTATAGCGAGTCTTCTTCTTCATATAAATTTAGTGAAAGTCGGCCACCAAGTCGAACTGATGGGTCAACCTTTCATAGCGAGTCTATAGGCTATGCTGATGATTCTATTGAATACAAAGCTATGGTTTTCTCACACTCCATTACTAAAGTATACCGTGAGCACAGTTTTAGATCGATCTGAGAACCCCCTTTCACCTCCCCCCGTCCCTTGACGGTTTCAGCTTTATTGAAATCTACAAATTGAATTTGACTTGTCAAATCCTTAGTGAGGGACTTGTCATTTTGAATTAACAATTTCGTTCAAACTGAAACCGTCAGGGGGGTGGGGGAGGGGAGGGGGAGTTTCAGGTCGAGCCATACTTGTTCTGAAGGTATAATGAGGAGACGTTATAATCACATTTTTAAGCTTGTAGTTCATCCTTTGTTTGAAAAAAATCAAATTAATCTGCTAATTTCCATTGAATTATTGAGAAATATTTGATTTTTTTTTGGCTTTTTATGAACTTTTTTAATTGTTGTTTAATATTTAAATAAAAACTTTTATTCAACAATTTTTTAAATTAATTAATAGTAATGTCATAAAATTCAACATCATGAAATTATTTGCTAGACACCTTAAACACTTAATTTAATATAAATATAAATTCTAATAATTTAATAATCTATGCTCAATTAATAACGAAAAATAAGCGTCAGTTATTAAATAGCGGAGTAAGGATAAAGTCTCATCGTACACATGTTCACAAAAAATTCAAAAAAATTAAATTAACACCTTCAGAAAAAAAGAATATTCTGACTGAATCAATAAAACGAATGGTGATGTCAACTAAAATTCACTTAGATCAGGATGCTTTATATAGATGATATTTTCAAAGTGTAAAATCCCATGTTTATGTCCCAAAATTTAAAGTTTTACCCCATTCACGATTAACATCAGGGGTTGGAGTTTTAGATCATATCATTCGCTGTGGAACTTTAAGGTACCATGGGCTTATGAAGGAATTTCTTATCAAATGAAAGGCAAATACTCGAATATTTTATGATAAAATTGATGAAATTCAAAACCACAAGAGTGCAATGAAATGGCTAAAAAAACTTAGTTGAGCAAGCGTACATTTTTATAACACAAATGCCTATTTAAGCGTGTGTGAAGGTTTTTTTAGATGAAAACAGCTAGTACTTGAGGACGAAATTAATGAAACTAAGCGAAAATACGAAGATTATGTATCGTCTGCACAAAATGTAGCACTTTTTGGATTATCAAAAATAATGATATTTAAAAAAAAAAGCTATTTTGATGATATAAAGCAGAGATCGTTTAAACTGACGATTCTGAGATGCAAGCTTCAGCATTTGTTACATTTAATCAAAAAAAGTTTGAGAACTTGGCTTATAAGAATGAAAAAGCCCAAAGTTTCACAAGAGACTAATGGAAAATCACATTTACAGAATTTAGCACATATTGTTAGGTATAACATAAAAACAGCATTTTTTAAATGGAAATCATTGCACAAAGATGATGCTTTGTTGAGTTCTGAAAGATTTAAATTCAGAAAAACAATTTTATAGCATTTGTTTTTTAATTTTGACTATCTTCTCATAATAAAATATTCTATTTTTAACTAAAATAATTTTATAATATAAATGCTAGTATTTAGATTAATCATTATCAATATACGAAATTTAAATTTTATATTAAACAGAGATCTCTTAAGAGCTTTTGAAACATGAAAAAGCCCAGAATACATTGAAGAGGTAGAAGAAATTGAAACTGTCACAAGGAATGTTGTAACAAGAGTCGATGAGGTTATTGCAGTGAAAATTTTCACACCAAAGCAAAAAGCGTTTACTTCATTGGAGTATATGGAAGAGCACAAAGCAGAGCCATTAAAAAAATCACATAAAATTATTAAAGCAGCTCTAAGAAACTTAGATCATATTCTTATGATCTGTGTTCTTCAGGCATGGACAAAATGAAATCAGCAAGTTTCTGGGTCTTTTATTGAATTTCCTAAACAACAAAAAATAATAAAGTTCGCGTCTTATCAGCTTTCCTATAAGCCTCTGTGCAGAATTGAATCTTCACTAAATCTTGACAAGTCTTTTGTGTACTCAGGAGAAAGTTTTTATAATTCAACCCTTGACACTTCGAGCTTTTTAAAAAATGTTAATCAAGAAGAGTGCCCAGAAGGCCTAAGTCAAATTGTATCTTACCTGTTTAACGTCAAATTGCAAAAATCTTCCCTTTCTAAGGTCACCTTCTTTGCATGGCAGGCAAAATCACAAGAAAGAAACCTCAAAAGGAAAAATCTTCATACACTTATCAAAATTATAGAAAATTACCTTACTCCCCCCTCCGTGAGTGAACAAAAACCATTAGAAAAATCCCTATTTTTTGCCTAAAAACCCACCCTCCGTGAGTGAACAAAAATTTTTTTTAATAGAAAAAGTTTTTATGAAAAATTTTGATATATAAGTGATAATTATATAATGAAATCTCTGGCTAATTCTGTTTAATTTTAAGCAAGTTGCGTTTTAAAACATAAATTTTATAAATTAAATTAATATTTGCTTTCCAATTTTTGCGAATTAGATTTTTTTTAAAAAAAAAATTAACCCCCACCGTGAGCAAACAAAATTTTTTTGTTCGCTCACGGAGGGAGGAGTTAGGAAAACAGAAAGAAAATTCTTTGAAAAATGGGTGAGTATTGCGTAATTTAGCAATATAAATTAAATAATAATTAATCAATTTTATACAATTAATTACTCAATCAAAGAATCAAGAAAAGTAATAAACCGCTGTGCATAAAACCCTGGTGGAGCACAAGAAACTGCATTTTTGTCATGAAGTGCTGCTTTTAGCATATGCTCAACTTTTTTCTTGCTTCCATAATGTGTTAATATGTCAATAATTCCCATAAAATAAAGTGTTTTTCCGTCGCTACTGATAATCCCACCATTATCTCTTTCTACAAATGGGATAAAATCTGAATGATTAGCAAGTTTGTTTATTATTTCACTATTATTTTGGATTTCATGAATGCCTAATAGCAAGCTATAATCAATTATATTTAAACTGACCATTAGTTCTGAATCTCTTTCTATTTGCTGGATTAATAGTCTTTTTCTATCTTTTCCTATGATAATTTTTTTATTTAATTGAAGAAAATCTAAGTCTTTTCTTGCTACTGATTTATCTGCATTTGGATTGGTAGATCTTCCATATGTGGAACCTTTTAGGTCAAAGACTTCTTGGAGCTCGTGTCCTGATTTGAAGACATTTCCCATTACTACAAAATAAAGCATGTGTCCAACACTTACTATTAATTTGTGGAAACCAAAGAACCTGGTGATTAGAGTGTGGGGATTCTTCATGACATGAAAGTAATAATCAGGCAAAATTTTTCTTAAAAATAAATATTCCTCTCTTTTCAATGTTTTTAATATATATTTCCCATCATCACTGAAGTAGAAAAAGCTTCCACTTTTTCCTGATGAGCATTGACCTTCTAAAGAGGAAAATTCATTAACCATTAGGCTTTGCATTATTTTTTCAACACCTAATGATTTTGTATATTCACTTGCAGAAATTCCATAAAATCTTCTAATTCGCTCAAAAATCATTGGGGCATAATCTCTGAACTTATAAACTTTTCTGTTTTGATTTTCCTTTCCTGGTAGAAGATTATGTTTAGATTTTTCTTTGAATTCTTCTTTAGTAACATCAGCAGTTGGATCTAAATTTACTGCTGATGCTTTTACTGCTTTTTGTATTCCAAGCATCATATTCAGAACTAAATTTCAATCATGATCCCCCCAGTGAATTGCTGAGTCTTTCCTATGCACATTTTTCATTTCTATACTTGATAAGGCTAGCTCTTCTTCTTTAACTCTACTATGAGTGCTTGATAAGTCGCTTTCTTTAAATATTTTTAATTTTTCTAATAAGTTAACCAATTTTTCTTTCAGTTTTTCCAGCTTTTTTTCATTTTCATCATTTTCTTCATCAGAGCATTCTGATAATAAAATTTTTGGAACTTTTGCATTGCCAATATTAATATCAGTTTCTGATGTACTATTGTCATTGATTTCATATTTTTGGCTGGAATAATTTGAAAAAGTGCTTCCTTTTCTGAGCGGGAAATTTATACCGCTTTGGCTATAAGCTCTCATTTTTGAGATATCTGGTTTTTCAATATCTAAACCATTGATTATGCCCAGGCAGTCTTTTATATCATTTTCGATATTTTCTATTGATTCTTTATAGCTCATATTTTCAAGTCTTTTTTGGTCAACATTAGGTGGGTTTATCTTATCAGTAATTCTTTTATTTACAAAATCGAACCATTCAAACAGATTTTCATTTTTTCCCATTGATTCAGTATACTCTTCTAAATCAATTTCGTTATCTTTTTTTAAATCCAGGAGATCAAAATAATACCGAATATCCTCTTGTGTTGCAGAAACCTCAATTCCTGTCAAAGTATTATACATTTTTCAAACATTAATGATTCAGCTTGAAAATTCACTGTAAGTAATATTTCCTTCTCCTGCATTTTTTATTAATTTGAAGCTTTGATGGGCTTTTTCTGGCTTTGTTCCGTTCATTAAAATATTTGTGTAGCTTAAATATTCTTCAAGGGTTACAATCCCTGATTTTGACTTGTTCATGACTGCAAAAATCCTATCTGCTATTAAACGGGTTGATTTCATACCTAGGAGTCCCATGTTTTCTCTAAAATCTTCTATAGTGAAGCCTAGCCCTCTTGCAATGCGTTCAAAGCGTTGCTTATAAAGGATAAGTTCTGGGTCAGTAAATCTGTATCTTTGGCTTAGAATTTTGAGGTCAAGGTCTCTTCGAGGTTGACCTTTTTTCCGAGAGCCACCGCATGCTTTACCAAAAATTAACATTTATAATACTTACTTTATTAATCCTGAGAGTTGCTTGTGTTTTTAAGTTTGCATTTTATTATTATGTATGATTTTTGTGATTGTTAATCATTTAGATAGAGAATAGAACAATAAGTGGAAAAATTTTGAGGTATTATTTTTATTGATGAACAAATTTTATAATATAGATCTATTTGTGTATTCACTTGAAAATATTTAAAAAAAATGAAATTAGACTAACTTGTGTTATCATTTATTACTGGTTATTTAAAAGCCACATAAACAATAATCAGGATCTTTTTCATATTTTTCTGTTATATATTTGCACTCATCTTCTCTCTGGTCAAGCCGATTTACATTTAAAATTTTCAAAAACTTGTAATCGTCAAATTTTATTGGCTTTGCTTTAAATAAATCATTATCAGCAGTTACCTCATCCCCCATTTCTTCTTTAGACAGCCTAACATCAGCTCTAAATATTGCCTTTTGACTTTCTCTAACTTTAAAAGTTAGTTTAAAAAAAGCATCACCGTCATATTCGATAACCCCAGCTTTTAAAATAGTCTCAAGAGTAAGAAATTTGCATACACAAGTATCAGATTGTCCAATGCAATTATTTATCAAATTAAGCTTCAGAATAACTTGATATACAATTTTTAGAACAAAAGGAGAATTAAACTCTGAGTCTTGCAAGTACTCAACTGGTAAGCAGCTACATCAGGTTAAATTTATACCAGCATCAATGCATGTTCTGTTGTCAGGTATTATTTCAGTAAATAAATTATATGATTTGAATCGAATTGATGTCATTGAAGAAATATCTTCTTGAGAAAAATTTCCAAGCCCAATCAGTGTGCTATGAAAATCATAATTGCTAATCAATTTATTTGAATTTTGGATGAGGGTTTCTATGCTTTTTGGGATTTTTGATAAAAATGAATTAGAAGCAATTAGAAATGTTAATGGGATTCTATGCTCGTTTACACCAGAACTTGTTTTCAGCCAACCTCCGTGCCTTGAGCCATGATCTCCTTTAATAAAAAGAATTAAATCTTCATTTCTACTCAAAATACTTCTTAAAAATTCAACCAAATCCAAGTCAAGTGTAGAAATAACTGTGCCTGTAGGTTCATGTCCTGTATTTATATGCATATAGGTAGCTATTTAGTTAGTTATGCGACAACCGGGGATTCACCAATATTTTACTTTACATCCTCAGTGGGCTCCTGGTAGACAGCCTCCTCGCCGCTGCAGGCAAAGGATTCACAAACCTTCTTGGCTTCCATGGCTTCTGGAGCCTAAGGACCCATCACCTGGGTTGAAACTCCCAGTTCTCTTTAGATAGATTTCACCTCTTGAGCCCTGTTTGAGGGACTTAGCATCCTCTGGGGCTGTTGCTGGTCCTATCCTTTCCACTGATTGCCTAGGAGGGAAATCCCAAGCCCTAGGCATCAGCTCCCAGTACTCGAGTAAACCTAGCCTACATACATAAAGGATTACACTTTAATCTCCAACTCTGGGCCTCTGCCTACTGCTGTTGAAGAAATAGGGTCGAGAGGTTGGATTGTCTGTCGTCACCATTTTTTTTTATGTATATATGCATATAGGTAAATCTCGATACATTTCTATAGGCTTCAGAAAATTTTAAAATATGGTCCATCATTATTGCATGGACATTCTTATTCCCTATGCATCTCTCTGAAGTTTTATCTTGATGATACCCATAATATTTTTTTGCAGCACAAAAGATTGTGCCCATTATATGATCAACTTTAGGATTTTTGCCAAGAAACATAGAATAATTAATTATTTTTCCAAAAAAAAAAATTTTTAAAAAAAATTATTATTATTTTTTCTAATTTATAAGCATAGACACACTATCACCGCAGATATCAGTTCCTAATAATGAAACAAATCCGTTTTGATGCAAATATCTTCAAATTGACTTTTCAGTGTGCAAGTCTCCTCTGTAATCTAAATTTATTTTGTATTTAATGTCACCAAATAATGCTGGCATATAAAAATGATGTGAGTCTCTTCCCATAACATTATTCATCTTAAAATCAAAAATTGAGTAATTTTCATCTAAATTTTTTAAAAATTCCACCGATTTTGGAAGTTTTCTTAAAAAATTCCTTCTACTTAATGAATCAATTACAAGCATAACAATATTTAAAGGCTTGCCTTTAAGAGCCTTTTCAGCTCTTTCTAATGCTAGAGGTTCTGGTCTGAATTTATATACAAAGTGTTCGAAATCTTTAGTTTTTGTATCGCTGCAGGTCCCAAACGCATACTCTTCTGATTTTAATTTTACAGGCTCATGATAAACCCGCCGTGACGTGGGAGTATAAGATCCTATTTCTTCATAACGATTTCCTAATACAAAATACCCAGAACAGTTCATAGTAAAAACATTCTTTTCTATATCAATATTTATTACACCTGGTGTGGAATTGTAAAGGGTCTCACATCGTGGGTAATCAATATCTTCAAACCATCTCTTGGCTTCCTGCAAAGTGTAGCCAAATGTATCAGGTTTACATGAAACATCGAGAGGAAACACTGAATTTTCATCATCGAAATAGTTTAAGCTTGCATGATATGAAGTTTGAGGAGGAGATTTTTCATCTAAAAATAATTCAGAATTCAAAATAATAGATGTCGTTTCAAATGGATTGTTGTGAGTATTGTGAAAATAAGAATAAAAAACTGTTAAAAAAAATCATCCAGCCAGAATAAGCAGGATAAGAATTTTTTGCTTTTGCATTTAAGCCATTATTGAATTTCAATTTAAAGGTAACAATAATTTATTAAAAATTTAAGATAAGTTAATTCTGGAAAACTTAATATTTTATTATGCAAGAGCATTATTCTTGAGAAATGTACAATGTTTACAATTCTATTAATTTTACTTTCCTCTCCCTACATTTCTCCACTCACTCTCATTTCCCCAAACCAATAGATTTCTTGGATTTACAAAAACATATAGCTTATTCATCAAGATTGCTATATGCTTCCCTGGAAGCTCTTGCTTTTCATCAGAAATTGTTTCCCACTCCTCATTGTTAGATCTCCACAAGCTTTTCCCTAATATCATCATTTTTTGTCCATCTCCAAAAATCTTGATATTTCCTAAAGACTCTGGGGCTTTTATCTTCAAATTTTCTCATCTATTATTAACAAACTTTTCAATATTTTCACAAAAGCTTCCATTTGGCCTCAGTCCTCCAGCCACATACAAATTTTCAAGAAAAACGGTTGCTGTGGCTCCATTTCTTGGTAAATTTATAGGGTATATAGGATACCATACATTTTTCTTAATATCGAAATATTCACATTCATTAGTTAGCTCGCTACCATTAAATCCACTTATTACATAAACTCCAGTACTCATAATAGCCATAGCATGGTTTTCTCTAGCAGTGATCATTTCATGCTTTTCAAACAGGGTAAACGTATAACTATCAAAAAAATAAAATTTTTTGCAGACTAAGTTATCTTATCTTATCTTATAAAATTTATAACGCTTAACGTCCACTACGGGGTAGCCAACTCCAGAGCTGTCACCATATTTGTACACGTGTCGGGCCTGTGGACCTCTGGATCAATCCCTTTTGATCATCAAGGCACGGACAAATAAGGCGTTTCGGCTTCGACGGGCTTCGCTGCCGCCACGGCTTTGTTTCGACTCAGCTCCTGCGCGTGTTCCACCTAAGGGTCCACCTTCCTTCGGGTGTGCTGAGGGGGTAAAAACTCAAGGTCTTGAGCGCACTGAGGAGCAGTTCCTCTGGTTATCCCCAAAGTTAAACTGCTATTGCTGTGCAGAAGTTCTCGAGGTAAAAAACCAACCCCATAAATAAAATTGCTTGAGTGAGAGAAAGTTAGCGGAGCTAACTTCGCTTGAGCGAAAGCAATTTTATTTATGCAGACTAAGTTATCGCTTTTCCCACCTGATATATAAGCTCCCGTCTCAGCTTGTGCCACAACTGAATTTTTTGGTATTTTAATATCAACATTTTTGAATTCCTGCGAAATTATGTTATAGCTTGATAACCCATTTTCTTTTGGACAATAAATAAAATGAAACCGAGACTCAGAGCTGGGGATTCCTTCCTCAAATATAACTTCATGCAAAAACTCGTTAATTTGTGAAGAAAATAAATGGACGGTGGAGACTGATTTTAAGTCTTCAATAACCCCTAAAATATTTACTCCAATATTATTCGATATATGCATCCCTACAACTTTTCCTTGATATAGAATAGGAGTTCCTGGAATTGCGTTATACTTATATACTAGTTTATAAGGGTCCAATGAGATTAGAGTTACTGTTGTGTTATTGATAGAAATTTTATCCCCAGGGTGCAATTTGGTGCAGAGGATAGGTAAAGGCTCTGCTCTTATGCCAGCTTGAAGTCCGACTAATGAAAATGAAAGTGCAGAGTTTCGATAGAAAAATACTTTTGGGTCTAGCTGAAGGTCAGATTTAGCTTGTAAAGCTTTTTCTGGGCTTGGAAGGACTTTATTAGTAGTCATTACCAAATTAAAATTTGTTACAAAACCTGCATGCTCTAGCTCATCTGATTTAATACTTATGTATCCACCTGATAAATCGATAGCTTGGTCATTTTCTATATCAATAGTTATGGTAAGTTTTCCTTTTCCTTTTGTATATTGAAAAAAGTTATCATTTGTCAGAGGGTTCTCATTGATCTTCATAGTAAATTCTTTATTGGTTAATTGCCGATAGTTTCTCCTTGCTTCTGCTTGAAGCTCATTGAAATTTGTGATTTTTTTAGGGATTTCAGTAGTTTTCCCTTGCAGGTTCAAAGAAAGCTTATTGTAGCTTGTTTGGGTTCCACAGCAGCTACCCATAATTAATTTTTGTATCTAAATTATAATAAACTTATATAAAGAATCACTAAAATAATAAGAAAAATATAAGCAGATTGCTTAATTATAAATTTAAATAATTATAAAATGAGCCAAGAAATCTCTGCTATGAAGATGGCTAAGTTAAACGCAGCTTTCTTAAAGAAAATGCAAGATGCTTGCTGGAAAATTTGCATCCCTCATAAGACTGAAAGTGACTTGAACACTGGAGAAAAGCTTTGTTTAGATCGCTGTGCGGCTAAGTATTATGAAACAAATGATTTGATTTCTAAGTATTACACACAAGATAAAAATTCTCAAGTAACGCAATAATTTTATCTATGCCTGATAGGCTTAAATAAACCTTCTCCTATAATAAAAATCGCTTATAATGATATAAATTATTTACCCTCAAAATTCATATGCAGGCCATTTAATATTTATAAGAATAGTTTAAGTCTAAATTATTGAGATAAGATTAGTGCAATAATGAGTCCATAAAGACCTAAGGCTTCAGCAAAGATAAGGATCAGAATCATCCCGACAAAGATTTTATCTTGCTGTGCATTTGCTCGAACTCCAGCGTCGCCTACTATTCCTATAGCCATTCCAGCTGCTAATGAGCTTAATCCGCAACACAATCCTGAAGCCAAGTGTTTGTAGCCATCATAGAATGAGTAGTCATTGTCGTTAATTTTTTGGACGAGAATAACTGCAACGATAAGACCATAAATGCCCAAGACACCAGCCATGACTACTGGGATGATTGATTTCATGATCAGTTCTGGCTTAATTACACCCATTGAAGAAATACCTACTCCACTTTTTGCAGTACCATAAGCAGCGCCGAGATTAGCGAAAACCAATGCGCTTGATACTCCCATGAACCCAAAGAAGGCTTGTGTAGTCACTGTTGCCATTTATTTATTCTAAAGTTTATTTAATTATTATTTTAATTTTTCTAAGATAGGTGTTAATATCATTATTTCTCAATTTATTAAGAGATTTAGAAATTCGAGTCTTAGATAACAATTTTAATGTTTAAATGAATATATAAATCGTAAATATTGGTTTTATATACTTCAAAAAGTCCATGCTAAATAAAGTATAATTAAAAAGGCATTAATAGGCTTGTGTCAAAGTATTTTGATTAAGAGAAAAAATAAAGTTTAGTCAGCACTTTCTATTTTTTTTAGTATTAGTTATATTTTCTAATGGTTAAATTAATTTCTTACTCCCCCTATCCGTAAGCGAACAAAACTATTAGAAGAATCCCTATTTTTTGCCCAAAACCGCCCTCCATAAGCAAACTAAAATTTTTTTAATAGAACAATTGCTTTGGAAAAAAATTTGATATATAAGTGATAATTAGTATAAGGAAATCTCGAGTTAATTCTGCTTAATTTTGAAAAATTTCGTTTTAAAACGTAAATTTTGCAAATTAAATTAATATTTGCTTTACAATTTTGCGAAGTGGGATTTTTTAAATTTTGAAAAAAACAATTTTTTCTATAAATTTATATATTAAATTTTTTTAAAAAAAAATTAAACCCTTTGTGAGCGAACAAGATTTTTTTGTTCGCTCACGTAGAGAGTAGTTAGCAGACTTTAATCCCTTTTGATATATTATATATTTCTATAGGAAAATAAATTTCCATTATGCTCAGTTTTTCATATAATTTCTCATTTTTACGACAAATTAATGGCATTTGTAGAACAATAATAATTCTACTCATCATGGAAGAATCAGTTCCGCTTGAAGAAGAAAAGCATGACATTCGGATTTTTAGTCTACCTATTGATAGTAATAATATTGGGAAGAATGTTGATATGGAAAATATTTTTAGTAATACAGAGCCTCCATCACCAATGACGGATGCCTCACTCCCCCCCTTTAAATTGGAACTAAAAATTTTGTTCCAATTTAAAGGGGGGTTAAGAAAATTTTTTAAAAAAAAATATCAATATAAAATTTTTTATAAAAAAACAATTTATATATAAAAATTTAAAAAAACAAATATCAAAAACTTATCGAGTTAGATTAATAAATTTGCTTAATAAAATGCTATTTACTCTTTATCCTTTAAAACAAAGCAAGATATAACTAAATTTTTATTATTAGTTAATACGCCAATATTAATTGGCATCAAAATTATTTACACAAAAATTATTATTTTTATTGATAAACAAAAAATTAAAAAAAAAAAATTTAGAAAATTTATTAATCAAAGTGCTAATTTTGTTTAAATAAGATGTTATTTATACTCTATTCTTTAAAATAAAGCAAGAAATAAGTAAATTTTGAAATTTTATAAAGAATTCGTATTGAATTTATATCAAAACTATCCGAATAAAAAATATCATTTTATCAAAAAAAATAATGAAAAATGTTTTTTAAAAAAAAAATAATTTTTTTTGTAAATTTAGCAATTAAAGATAACAAATTTATTTAAATAAGATGCTCTTTATACTTTCTTCTTTAAGCAAGAGCAAGATATAACTAAACTTTTAATTTTAGTTAAGAAGAAACATTTAACTTATATCAAAACTTTTTTAGATAAAAATTATATAAAATTTTTTATTATAAAATTAAATTTTGTTCCAATTTAAAGGGGGGTTAATTTACCAAAAAAGTGGAAATTTTACCTATATTTTGTTCCAATTTAAAGGGGGGGGGGGAGCCAGTACCCAATTTTGTGAGTAATCATAAGCCTTCTGAAATAAATAGAAAACCAAAATACAATCTTAAGAATCTAAAAGGAATTTTAAAGAAAAAACTGGTAAAAAATTATTTACTCCCCCCCCTCCGTGAGTGAACAAAACCATTAGAAAAATCACTATTTTTTGCCCAAAAACCCACCTTCCGTGAGTGAACAAAAATTTTTTATGGAAAAAAAATTTGGATATATAAGTGATAATTAGCATAATGAAATATAGTGCTAATTCTGTTTAATTTTAAACGAATTGCTTTTTAAAACATAAATTTTATAAATTAATTAATATTTGCTTTCCAATTTTTGCGAATTAGGATTTTTTTTAAATTTCGAAAAAAAATACTTTTTATAAAATTTATATGTAAATTTTTTTAAAAAAAAAAATTATTTAGAAAAATTATGGGAAGATAAAATATGAGGACATAGATAATGAACTAGCTATATTATATACAGAACTATGGAGCAACAAGCAAAAAGACTTAGATTTATCAGCAATTAAATATTGCCATCCATATTATCGTATTGATGAGGATCAAATAGAAGACATTGAAGACAAAAGAGCAAGAAAAGACTATGGCGAAAAAATTATTGGTGACTATTGTGACGAATATGACTTAGTAAGAAAACTTCTGCAGTTTGCATCCAAATTAACAATCAAATGGAAGATTGGAAATCTAACAAATCTGCTTTATAGGTTTTCACCAAAATATGGCCACACAGGGTTACTAGATATGGAGAGCTTAACTAATGATTATTTTACAATAGAGTCGATATGATTAAGCATTGAAGCAGAAAACCTGCCTGAAGAATTAGGCATTGATGAAGAAACCAAATCGTTGGCAAAATTTTATTATGATTCAGCGTTAAGTGTGATAAAGTTTTTATTAGAAATTTATCAGGAAAATCGAGTGCTTGAAAATCAAAACGAAGAATCACATAGTAGATCCTATGAGTTATGCAAAGCAACTCATATATGCCAGGACAGTAAATATATATAATTTACTTAATAGTAATTTATTTGAGATGCTAGGGTGTAATGGTATAATTTTAAAATACCATCAATTTTATCGAGATGCTTCACCTATGCTTACATAAATCCAAAAAATAAAAAATTAAAGTATCTCATTGAAGAATTGGATTATGCTTGCAGAAATTTTGAAGAAAGAATTTTCGAAATACTCCATGATTATTATCTAGCCATCAAGTTAGATAATGATGATTAAATCGTCGGATACTATTTATATTATACTTTTATAACTGAATATTCCATTTAATAGAATATTTTATATTATTATCATATAGCCCTATCTAAAACAGGGATCAGGCCATAAAATCTGTCTTATATTATTATATATACTTTTATTAAACTAAAATAAATTAATTATTCAAATAAAAGTTCTCTGGCACCTAAATAGATTTCTTTGGCTTGATCCTGGGTAATTGAAAATTTCTTGAAAGGAAGTATTAATTTTGTATGTTTGTGGAGAATTATTCCAATATAAGTAATCACATCATATGGGGTTAGACCTTCATTAATAATGATTTCACGAATGTCACTCAATTCAATAAATAAATGACTTGTGCCTCAATTTCTCTTTACTTCAGTGATTTGAATGCCAACTCCTTTAATTACACATAGAGTTTCTTCAATAATTTCATTTGTATATTTTTGCCAGAGATATACGATTATTAGAATTGTCCAGAATTGTTTTAGATAAAACCCGAAAATTGAGAGAAAAGCTATTGTCAAGGCAAGTTTTAAAGGAGAGCACTCATGGTTTGAGCAAGTAAATGTGCGAATCGTTTGGGTTTCATTGATGGAATCAATAGAAAATTTCATCTTAAATAAAATGCAATTGAACCATATTAAAACATAAATAAACTGATGGGATCAAGGAACAATAGTTACTCTAATCCATACTCATATTGAAATATTTTTAATATTTAGTATTTAATTAGGCAAGGTAGTTATATAATCAAAATTCGAAGAAAGTCATATTACGATTAATTTGTGCTACTATGGCCTGACTTTGGATAAAAGCTTGCTAACGTCATATATGCGTGATTAAATGCCGTTCTTAGTATATTCAATAAAAATTTTTATATCTCAATATGCCAATTAAGTAGAGTAAAAGGTAATCTCCCTCCTAAATTACATTTTTGGATAGAATTTAAATAAAAAATGGGGGGATAAATTAATAATAATAAAATGGATATTAAAGATATTTTAGCAAGCTGAGGGTTAGATGGACTTGATTTTTCAGGCGAAGACCAAAATCTCCCTCATATCTGCCAAAAGTGTAGTCGACAGTTCACTGAAGAAACATTTTTAAACCTTCACAAATGCCCAAAAAAAGAACCTGAAGAATTTGCTATAAATAAATTCGTCTCCACCTTAGCTGAAAATGAGCGAAAGCTCGAAGTCATGAAAAACCAACCACAAAGACTAGCTTTTGACCCAGCTTTACAATGCCCTTATTGCTATAGAAAATTCCTTCAGCAAAAAGAAATTGCCATACATGTCACAAGCATGCACCCCTCTGAAAAAAATGCCAAAAACCTACTGAAATATACAATTGACAATTGGTATAAATGTGATGAATATGAGACTTGTGAGTATATTTTCCAAGTTATAACTAACCAGGTCAAGCCTGCTAAAAAGAAACCGAATCAGTATCAAGCTTTAATTAATGCAGAATCCAACAACAATTCACGATCAGATGTGCTGATTTTATTAGATGAAGCTATTGATGCAAATAAAATGAAGCTAAAAAATAAAGGGGATAATGTTGAAGAAATTTAACATAAATTTTTAATTAAAATAATATTTGCCTAGAAACAGTTATAATACAATTAATTGTGATGAAATTGAAGGATTTTGTCGTTGTTTACATATGAGTAATCAAAACTTATGTCTCGAGAAACATTCAAACTATCGTCTGGATTGCAGGTTCTTCTTTCCGTTTCTGCTCCTAGCTTGTTTATATTTGGGCTGATATCACATATTTTGTAAAGCAATTCTTCTTTGAATTCCACATCAATCTGATGAATGATATTTTCAACAAAATCAAAATTGATGTCTTTGAGGCCATCCATATCTTGAATTATCATATTTCCCATTTCTAGTAAATCAGTGCACTCTTGCTCTAATAGGTCAATAGGGATATAATTAAGATCTCCAGCATGATTTATGATGTTTTTTAGCTTGATATCTACTTTTTCTTTTCATATTATAGCTTGAGAATTTAAACTATTTAATAGAAATTGGATGCTTATATACTGCAGAGTCCTTGAATATAATTTTTATAATTTAGGTGTAATTAAATAGACTAGGAGCTTAAAATTATTATTAGGGAGAATATCAATTTTGGAATATCCCTTGCAGCTACCAAATGATACTCAATAAATTCAAAATTTCTCTGCATAAGTTTCAGCGCCTGTTTTTCTGTCTCTATTAATTTTTTCCTCAGTTTTTGAAAGCCTTCTCTTATCTCTTTTTCCTGCATTCTTTTTTTTTTCTGAAATTCTTCATAAACAAGCTCCATTCTTTGCTTATTATTTTCACTAAAATATTCCGATATTCCATGATTAATCTGCTCTGACATCCCAATTAAATAAACAGCTTTAATAGCTATTTCACTCGTAGAAGCTTGAATAGGTCTAATATCATGGAATTTATGAACCCCAAATAAAGCGCAATCAGCACATGTCTTTATTTTATCTTCAACACAAATGTAATCTAAAGGCTTTTTATGCTCACCGCATTCTTCTTTTGTTGAAGATTTCCACATAAGGTTCAAAAGAGAGTAATTTTTGGGGAGTTTTTGATAGGGGACGTCTGTGGTATGGGCAGGATTATCAGGACAAATGATATTTTTTTTAACTGATAAAGCCTGGATACATTGAGAACAAAATGTGTGCCCACATGGGAGCATTAGAGGCTCTCGGTCAGTCGTATTGTAAGGTTTTTTGCATCTATTGCAAGAAAAGTCATCAGATTTAGATTCCATTATTAATTAATTCGAAAAATCAATGACATTTTCAGCCTATAAGCTCTTATAAATTATTCGAATTAATGGGCCGGAAATAAATAATTGGCCGTTTAAGAAGTAACCTGCTTTGTTTCGTGGCTCAAAAAATTCAAATAAAGCCCCGTCTGAGCCTTGCTGGACTTCGACTCTGTCAGTTGGATTTCCTCGGAACACTTGCTCAGCGTCGATTTTAAATAAAAATGAATAGGATTCGTGAGGGTGAATTGCAATTGGTCTTGCGAAAAAGAAATCTTCGACTATTGAGCTATTATGGAAGTCTCGATTTTCAAGATCTCTTCATTCGATATGGCCGCCTAAATTTTCACCTCTGATAATGCTGAAGAATTCTATTTTTCCTATTAAATCTGGCTTGCTTGGTCCTGAAATTCCTACTCCGAAAATTTCAATTTCTCGGTTTACTTTGAATGAGACAGCTTCAACCTGATTTTTTTTCTTATCAATAAACCAAGCTTTAAGTGGAGGTGGAATGATCCCTTTGATATTTTCTGGTGGTAAAATAGACCGAAATCTAGTTAAAACGGTTAAGTTTGGAAAATTCGCTGGAGCTATAGCTCTTCCTTTGAAATTCCCAGGCCCTTGAACCATAGTAGAAGGCAAAATTAAAGGCTGCCCTGCTTTAATTCTTTTTATTTCTTTTATTAGCTGCAATTTTGCTATATTCCCCAAATTTCTTACCTCAGAAAGTTCCTTGCTTATTTTTGGTGTCAATTTATTTCCCAAATCATTTCCTTGCTTAAAGCATTCTCTTGCTAAAAATTCAGCTAAATTAAAATCGGTTCCTATAATTTGCTGTTTATTCCTTCCTTGTCCACATTGCCTACATAATCCTACTAGCTCTTCAGCGTCCAGATAATAAGCGACATTATTTTGATGTGTGTTACAATAAATTATGCATAGTTCTATGATCTCTGAGATCAGCTGACTTTTAATTCTCGGAGAAGGAAAAACATTTTGGTGTTGCTCATTGCAGAAAAAGCAAGGTCCAGAACCTCCAGGAAAATGGTTTTCGATACAGACAGAGCAACATAAGGATCCACAAGGTAAAATCATAGGCAGCCTAGAATTTCCATCAAAAAACTCTTGGCATGTTAAGCAAGTGCCTGGCGATAAATTTTCAGAAAAAATATCTTGCAATATGTGAGGCTGGGTTATGATGAAATCCAATGGACAAGTAACTGCATTTGAGGTAGATTTTAAAAATTGTGAGCAATCTTGACAGATCAGGTGAGTGGCTGGGCATGAAAGCGCTTTTGGTCTTTTGTTAGATAAATTAAATTCTTTATCACATAAAATACAGAGTGGACTCAATAGCTTTCCCCTTTCCTCGTTTGTCTCTGTATGAATGCTCTTTATTTTTTTCAATAAAAATATTTTTTCTTCTGTTGATTTTCTTAAAAATTCTTTTAGCATGAATTTCAAATCACTATTAATTCTTGCATAATGAACGTGAGATATATGTGAGTTTATATTTTTAAGCATTTTATCAAAAGTATCAGCGTTTTCTATAGGTAAAACTGAAGGGTTTCTTTGGGGCGGACAATTTTCACATATAGAATTTTCCCATAGATGGCGCTGTTTGCCTTTGATTTGCCCACTGGGAAATTTTTTGGTTCGACCAGTATCATATGGTTTGGTCAAACCAAAAAGTTTTCTCAGTGGGCAAATCAAGGGCAAACAGCGCCATCTATGGGAAAATTCTATAGCACTTCTCCATTCTCAATATTAATCAAAATCCCATTTGTTTTTGTATGGATATCACAACAAATAGATTTTACTAATCCTGATAATTCTTTATAAAGGCGTAATTTTTCTTGGTTTGGCTTGGTAGAAATTTCTCTGAATTTTTGTCTTTGGCTTGCAGGAATTTTTTGAGGGTTTTGTATTTGTAAATCGATTGCAGAATTTATAAAATAATTCCCAATATCAGTCATTTCTAGATCTATAAGATCTTTTGGGTTATAACTAACTGAGCATTGAGAGCACAATGCAGAAATCTCTTGAGTATTGAAATATGAAGCTAATTGCTGAGGGTGATTTTGGCATACCAACTCAATAAAATTCAATCTATCCAGGATAAATCAGGCATCACCTAAATCCTCAATAGAATTAATGTTGATTATCTCTCGAAGACATAATGGGCATGAGGGCTTTGGTTTTAATAATAAACCAGAAGTGCACTCGCAGCATATATTGTGTCCACAATGTAAGGACTTTGGGCGATTAGATTTCGTTGTGTACTTTGTCAAGCAGACAGGACACTCTAATTGAGCTTCCATTTATTATCATTTGGAAAATTTCCTTGAGATGAGAATTTTTTAATCTCAAATCTCTCACTCTATATTCTTATATCAGTTTATTTCAATCAAACCTGACTAAAAACTTTAAAATAACTCATTTCAAGATATAAAAAGTTTTTTTATCTAAGATAAAAAACTGAGATATGAGGAGTTTATATAGATGGAAAACTCATTCCATAATTATAATTTATTTCTTTGTAAACTCTTTAGATTATTATACAGTAAAAATTCCTTTTCATAGTATCCTAGCAACCTATTTTAAAAAAAAAACTCAATTAATATTTTACTGTAGTTTTAGTAAAATATTTATTATTTGGGGGCATTTCTATTAAATTTCCTCATAATAAACTCTGGTATGAAACAAACAACCTTATCAACCCACTTCCCAAGTGTAAAACCAGACCTAGATTCTGCTACACGCAAGCGAAAGCACAAAGAAAATGATGATGAATCTCTTCATGTTTCGAAAATTCTCAAGCTGGAGCCCACTCAAACTCAACGAGTCGACCCGCGCATTTGCAAAAGCCTCAATGGTGACTTTGAAAAGTCAGCATCTGAACCCATCCAGGCACAAAAACTCAAAGTCCTTCTAACCCCACCTAGCCAAGTCCCTCTTCTATCTCAAAAAACCCAAGACTTAATAGAAACTCTTAAAAAACGAAACTTACTCTTTGTGTCAATATTTATTTTTATATATTTTAAAAATTTATTTGACAAAATTTCATATAAATTAATTTTAAATTAACTCTGGGGAGATTTAGATCGTCCAAGAAAAGAGGTCGATGAGGTGTTGAGCTCGGTTACCGCGAAAGAAAAGTACCAAGACCTATTAGACCCCCAGCGTGCTCTTGCCCTTCCTTATAAGTACAGAAGACTCTTAGACCTGTTAGAAGCCGCAGATACGAGCTTAAATTGTGAAATTCGTTTAAAAAAATCATATATACCTATCTATATAAGCTTAATTTCAAAAAATATCTGCCATATATCTACTTTTTTTTAAATAAGATTACTGGATCATATCCTGCTTTTTCATATATCTTTTGAAAATATAAAAAGGGCGGTGTCAGAAACATATAAACTGAAATTTGATCTAACTCAGCTCCAGCAGATGCTTTATGTAATTCCGACCATCTATAGGATGACATGGCTGAAAAAGAATGCAAGAGAATTCGATTTAATTATGGATTTCCCTGAAAATCTTCCAAAAATTGAGAATCAAATTACAAGAGATCTAATTGAAGTAAGAAAGTCTCATTTCAGAAAAGGGCTAATAGAAATCATCAAGCAATACCACGAAGCCTTCCTATCTTCACTCCCAAGTCGCCCACAAATAGACCCTGAAAAACTCAAAACATGGCACTCTTCTTTTGATTTACATAATTTGCCAGACCTTCCTCTCAAAGATCTTCCAGACAAACCAGACTCTCCAGTAATCCCAAACATTTCTGATATTTATGAGCTAGGGTTTTCAAGAAATAAATTATTAAAAAATGTCTTTGAAGGAATTTCAGAAAATAAAGAAATTAATATTGCAGAAACACCAGTCACTGGTGAAAATACACCAATTAAAGGGCTCTCACTAGAAATTTCTAATCAAATATTAGCAAAAGAAGCTGCATTTATTGAAGAAAGTTTACAGATGGAAAGTCCTGAGAAAAAAGCTAAACAAGTAAGAGCTCAAAGGCTAATTAACATGTGCGAATTAATGAAAGCTTTATTTTCAGTCCACAAGACTCCAAGTATCTTTTTCTCATGCTTAGTTAAAAAAATCAAGAACAATTGCAAAGGATTGGCAAAAGAAGTAATTGAAGAAGATGTCAAGGAAATTGTTGATCTTTTCCCTAACTGGATTTCTATTTTTAATACAAACTCTGGAGATGTCGTGAGAATGAATAGAAAGCATGAAGCAATGATGGTGGATTTAATTGAAGAGATCCAGAAAAAATATAACTAAGTTAATTTAGGATAATAAAAATATGAAGCCAACTTATCTACAACAAACTGATGAAAATTTGAAAGAAAAATTTGATTTTAAAAGACAAAGGTTTCCTTATTCTGTTGTATGGACTCCTTTACCTCTGATAACTGCTCTGATCCCGTTTATAGGCCACACTGGGATTTGCTCAAGCGAAGGTGTTATACATGATTTTTCAGGTCCTTATACAGTTTCGGTCGACGATATGGCTTTTGGAAACCCAACTAAATATGTTCCTTTAGAATGTGAAAGCAAAAAATCATGGGATGAGGCTGTAGACAAGGGTGACGGCGAATATAGCCAAAGAATGCATAACCTGTGCTGTGATAATTGTCACAGCCATGTCGCTTATGTTTTAAACCAAATAAACTTTGAAGGAGGCGGCTGGAATATGATCAGCATTTGGTGGCTCTGTATAAGAAAAAGTCATTATGTTGGCATCAGTGGATTTATTAAAACTTATGCAGGCTTCGCTGTGGTTATCATTCTAATTATGGTTTTAAGAATGGTTTTAAGCTAAATCTACTCAGTCAAATGATTAATTTTATAACAAATATATTCAATTGCATCTTTTATAGTCCTGATTTCTCTTATATCGTTATTTTCTCCAAGTTTTTGGATAATTCTGTTCAGCCCAAGTAGTCCTGTAGAAAAGTCTGCTTTAACCTTATCCAAGTCTTCTGAATGAGTTTGTAGCTCATGTTCTCTTTTAGAAAGCCCAACTTCTAAATCATAAAGAGTATGATAATCATATTCATCCTTTTGATGTTTTTGCAAACTTAAATTATCATATTCTTTATTAAGCCTTTCTATTTCGTTTTGCTGCCTACGGAGTGTAGCTTCTAAGTCAGCTCGTAAAGATTCAAGGCTCTCTTTAGTAACTCGAAGTTTTTGAAGCTGACTGAAAAGGTTGGACACTGAAGTGGAATTTGTAATTCGAAGAGCTTCAGAAATTTCGCCTTCTCTTGTCGCTAAATTTTGACTTGCTTCTACAAACTCTAGCCGAAGCTTGTCACCTTTTCTGACTTCATTGTCAATTTTTACTAAATTATTGATATCTTGGTCTTTTATTTCAGCTTCTTTTTGTCTATACCAAAGCTGCTGCTCTTGTTTGTAAAATGCAATAGCTTTACTTCTTTCTTCGTATTTTTTTAATTCTTGGTTTAATAATTCTCTCATCTTTGTGCGTTGAGAATTAATGTTTTCTTGGATTTTTCCTAATTTTCCTCTTGTAGCTAAGGCAGAAGTCATGTGATATTCGCTTCCTCGATCCAAAATTTTATTCTGAGCTAGAGTGTGCACTATTTGTGATTTTAATGGCTTTTGTTTTTAAAATAAAATTTTCTTATATAGAGAGAGAGAAATCTTTATTACTTAAAGGCCTTTATTTCAGGGCCATGTCCCGATTAAAAATTTTTTTTAACTTTCTTCTTTTCCTAAAAAAATTTTGGATAAAATTTTGGTAAAATTTTTCTGAACCCACGTAATCCGCGATTTTTTCGATTTCTGAGTCTGATATGAATTTTCTATTTCTGATGAAATTTTGAATCTGATCTAAATTTTATTTTCCTGATAATGCTTGATTCTGATATCAATTTTATTTTTCTGATAAAATTTGAATCTGATCTAATTTTTATTTTTCTGGTGTCCAGGATTTTCTTATCGATTGTCTTCTTATCATCAATGATCACCTCAGTCTTCCTATATTTGAAGGTTTCCTGAATAGGATCTATTTCATCTAGTATTTTTCCATCTAAACGACTTAAAAACTCCAATATTTTGTCATCTGTATCAACATTTTCTGTATCACTATCATTTCATTCATACTCTGATTCAGAATTATCAAGTAATCCTGCATCAATAAGTTCATTTAATAGTAAAAGTTCGAAAAATTCATCCTGTAAAGCTCCGTTTTCTTCACAAAAGGAAGAAGAATAGGAAACATTACTTTCCGAATCTTCCATTAAAATAAAAGTCTCTTATATAGAAGATATTTATTTGTAATAATTTTTAGTCATTTTAATAGCCTAGTCGGGTCTTTAATTGAGCACAAATTTAAATATCTAACATTCGCCATATGATTTAATGAATCGGTAAAAATCGATTCTAGATCAATTTTGTTCTGCAGCTTATCAAATTTCTCTTGCAAGTTTCCTAGATATTGCTGCCGATCGGTGTTTTCTTTTTCAACGTGCGTTAAATCGTTATATTTCTGATTTAGTGAGTCTAATTCAGCTTTTAATAAACTTTGGTCATGCTTCAGAGAATTATATTCTTTTTTTTTCCTCAATACATGGTCATATAAATCCTTGATGACTTCTTTTACATACTTTGATTTTTCCAGCTTTCTCACTGTATCAGTGAGGTCTCCTGCTTTAAGTGTAAACAGTTCTTCAATTTCTCTATATAGGAGTTACTGGTTTGCCCTTTGCTGAATATTTCTAAGTAAATCATGTGTTACTGAGGACCGATTTTGAGATTTTCTTGTTGACGGAACTGACGTATAATTCGCTCGTGGCGTCGCTTTTGTTGATGGAGTCATTGAAGTTTTCATAAAAAGCGTTGGGACAGATTTGATATTCGGTAATTGGACTTGCTTTGGGTTCCTTACTGTTGAGCGTGAGTTTAGCTTTTCATCAATAGAAGTCAACGCAAAAGTATCTTCTGGCCTTTTCATATATTATAATAAAAATCTAATGTGGGCTGATTTAGATAGGGTTCTATTAAAAAGCTCTGAATTAGCACCTGCAGAATTCCAACCGGGCGAAGATATTAAATCAGTGCTTAGAGACTATGCAAGAGTGCTGGTTATTGGTGCAGGTGGGCTTGGATGTGAAATTCTTAAAGATTTAGCACTAACTCCCCGCAAGACAGAGACATTTTTTACTAGGAAAAATAGGGAAAATTTCCATTTTTTACCCAAAAAAATATAAAATTTCCCCCTATTTTTCCAGTAAAAAATGTCTCTATCTTGGGGGGAGTAAGTGGATTTCGTGATATTGAAGTGATCGATCTTGACCGTATTGACATCACCAACCTTAACCGTCAATTTTTATTCCGCCAATCTGATGTCGGCTCTTTCAAATCAGAAGTCGCTGCTAAATTCATTATGGAAAGAGTCCCGGAATGCAAAGTAAAAGCTTACACTTGCCCCATCCAAGAATTTGATGAAGAATTTTATAGTGGCTTCCATATAATAATCGCTGGTCTTGACAACATTGAAGCCCGCAGATGGCTAAACTCAATGATCTACAGTATGGTAAAGTTTGATAAAGATGGAGAGCCTTTACCTTACTTACTTACTTAATTATCTGGTATTTAAAGTGTCTAGTGCCGCAGCCCAAAAGGGCCTATGGCAAAACTAGTGACGTAGGCGAGCCATCTTGGAACAGATCAGCCCTGGCCAAGCCTTCTATCAACTCCTGCTTCACCAGCCTTGCTGCACGCCTCACCCGGCGCGATGCCGTCGCCCTTGTCGCTCGACTCAGCTCCTGCGCGTGTTCCGCCTAAGGGTCATCCTCCCGTGGGGATGTGCTGAGAGGTAAAAGCCCGAAATCTTGAGAGGACTGAGGAGCAGTTCCTCTGGTTATCCCCAGAGTTAAACCGCTATAGCTGTCCAGAAGTTCTCGAGTGAAAACCTAACCCTATAAATAAAATTCCATGAGGGAGAGAAAATTAGCAAAGCTAATTTCTCTCGAACCGAATGCCATTTTATTTATGGAGAGCCTTTACCAGAAACGGTCAGACCTATTATCGATGGCGGCACTGAAGGCTTTAAAGGTCAAGCCAGAGTTGTAATTCCTTATAAAACCGCTTGCTATGAGTGCACTCTCCCTATGATGACTCCACAAAAAGGTGTCCCAATGTGTACAATTGCTGAAACTCCAAGAATTCCTGAACATTGCATTGAGTATGCCTATATTATTGAGTGGGAAAAAGCCTTTCCTAATAGAAAAGTAGATAAAGACAGTTATGAGGATATGAATTGGATATATGAAACTGCGCTGGAAAGAGCAAAAGCGTATGGAATTGAAGGAGTTACATATATGAAAACTATGGGAGTCGTTAAAAATATTATACCAGCAATAGCATCGACTAATGCAATTGTTGCAGCTGCTTGTGCGGCTGAAGCACTAAAAATAGCGACTTATGTGACGAAGCCAGTGGATAATTATTTTATGTTTATGGGACAAACTGGGATACATACAGCTACACTGCAGATAGAAAAAGATCCAAATTGCTTGGTTTGCAGTAATAAACCTGGGATAATCACGATTGGAAAAAACTCTAAATTGAAAGATTTCATAAGCATTTTGACTGATAGCAACTCAAAATATAAAATGATAAGCCCTTCTATTAGTTGTGGAGCTGGGATTCTGTATATGCCAAAGCCACCTGCTCTAGAAGAAAAGCATAGGTTTAAGCTTGATTTAACTTTCCAGGAGTTGATTGACCAAGGGTTTTATGGAGAAGACTTTTTGACTGTGACTGACCAAACTTTCATAAACTCTATGAACTTTAATTTACTCCACCTCCGTAAGTGAACAAAACCATTAGAAAAATCGCTATTTTTTGCCTGAAAAACCACCCTCCGTGAGTGAACAAAAATTTTTTTTAATAGAAAAGTTTTTTATGGAAAAATTTTTTGATATATAAGTGATAACTATTATAATGAAATCTAGAGCTAATATTGTTTAATTTTAAACAAATTGCTTTTTAAAGCATAAATTTTATAAATTAATTAATATTTTGCTTTCAAATTTTGAATTAGAATTTTTTTAAATTTTGAGAAAAAAAAAAATTAATCCCCCCTGTGAGTGAACAAAATGTTTTGTTCACTTACGGAGGGGGGGAGTTAGTATTTAGAGATTAAAATAAACTTATATCAATTTAAAAGTAAATCAATTTTAAATAATAATAAACATATGGCTTTTGTATAGATATGATTGGATATAATTCAAATTTTATATTTATTTTTACTGTAAATCAACCTCTAATATAATTTTGTTTTAATAAAATTTTTTATAAGAACTGTAAAAGATGGACAGAAGGGCTATGAAGAGAACCTTAACTTTAATGCAGAAGCAAGAACAGGTCGAAAGAATGCACAAAATTGAAGAAGAAATCAAAGATTTACGAAAATATATACAGGATGTTCAAACAATTCATGAAAAAAAACTGAAAAATTTCGGAAAACTGATAGGAATTGATGAAGACTTAGAGTCAATGATTGATGCTCATCAAAACTCAATGGAATATAAAATTGCAGCACGATATAGAGAAGTTTACCAGAGAATGGAAAATTATACTAAAAGAAATCAAGAGCTAGAGGAACGATTAAAAAATAACGCTGAGCTTATTAAAGAAGCAAAAGCCAAAATAAAAGCAGGTTTTGAGAACAGTGAAGAAGTCAAAAAATTAGAATCGGAAATTTCAAAATATCGAAATTCTATAAGAGAATTTAATGAGAGCTTAGAAGAACAAACTTTGAGAAATACTGACGAAGAACTGCAGCAGCAATTAGTGCAAAAACATATAGAAATTGAAGAAAAATACTCAAGCCTACACAATATATCCTATTTTGAATAAAAATATTAGTAAAGCTTAGAATAGTACCCTATTCCTATATAATTATTGGAATTATCTGAATTTTTAAAATAAAATAATTTTCTCTAAAAATATAAAAAATATTTTTATTAATCAAGCTGATGGATTTAAAGAAGCCGTAAACATGTGGGAGATTGGAAGAAACGAAAACGAAGCAAGCTATAGAAAAAAATTTATTGACAAGCATCGAAATATGACAGATAAAATTAACGAGCTTGAGCAGGAATATGAAAAAAAAATTAAAGCAATAGAAAAAGAAATATGGGAGCTCACAAAAGTAAAAACTGCAGAAATTCATGATTTAGAGTAAAGAATATTTAGGAGAGAATATAATGAAATGAAAGAAGAAGCTTTAGGACTTTTTGGGTTTGCTCATACTCAGATGACGATATTTGAAGAATTAGAAAATATACCTATTTAAAGTAAATATAAATGCTCCTACTGGCTACCGTTATCCTATTTTCTTATAATAGCTAAGGAAGCGGCTAAGCAGGTTTAATAATTTTTATATTATAATAAAGAATAAAAACGAAAGGAAAAATCATGAAAATTTGATGTCAGAAAAAAATCAATGGCTTGTTTCAAGATTTCCAAAGTAAATAATAAATAGGATTTTTAGAATTATCCTTGAAATTGTAAAAAAAAGAAAAAATTCGTATCAGCCTATTGATAGCTTAATATCAGAGACAGTAAAGTCAAGCCTAAATTCTTTGAGCCTGAAGACAACTATGAGCAATACAGCGATTGATAAGTTAATTAGCCGAATTAAAAAAAGAAAAGTTACTAATCATGCCGAAGTTACTAGGCCACGCCTAGAAGATATCGAGAAATCAATTGACCAAAAGCTAAATCAATCAAAGCAAACAGATCTGATAGAAATGGGGCAAAACCTCCAAAAAGCTATTAAATTCAATTATCTGCAAATTGACAAAATTAACTCTGAAACTGATAAATTAAGCTTTGAGCAGCTAGAGAATGAGTGTCAAGAAACCTTACGAGATATAGAAAAATTCAAAGAATTGTATACAATTTCTGTTAGGAATAGGATGGTAATAACTATTAAGGAAAAATCAATTGACAAAAGTTGAAATCTTGACAGAAAAACATTTTTTACTGAATATATAGCAAGGGGCGATTTCCAGTCAAGGACAAGTCCTGATCCTCTTAGCAATCAACGAGTGTTTACTCCAGCGTTCACAACTATGCAAAGACCAATAACTCAGATGAGCATGCCAAGTTTACTACAAAAAAAGTATAGAATGACGCCAAGGATTTCATACTCTCCACAAACACCACAATTAGTAATTTTTATTCAGTTCCACCATCGATAATATAATTTGATAGAGTTAATAATAATTTTTCATTTATCTTTTATAGATGTCTATATAGACTGATCTTTCTATTCATGACGATCTTCTGATACCATTATTAATTTCTCACACTCTGATTTTTCTATTTTTAAAATATGCTTCTTTTTCGCCAATATTTGTTTAAAGTCCCATACTCTGATCCCTCCACCTCCTGTCGAAATAATCCAATTCCCATCTATTGAAAAGCTAGCAGAAAGTACTTTTTGCATATGGGCTTTAATTTCGTAGAAACTGTTCTGTGTTACTAAATCAATAATTTTAACATATCCATCATTTCCAGCACTTAATAAATATCGGCCACAATTCGAATACTCTAAAGCAGTAATTAAATCATGCACCCTATCAAACATATCCATACTAAGGCCAAAAAACGGATTTTGATAAACTTCTGCATGAGCCATTATAATGTATAGAGGTTTCCTCTATATAGCGCTGAAAGCGCAGACATTTTCCCAGGAGCTTTCCAAGTCCGTCGGACCAAATCGCTTTTTGGTCCGACCAAGGCATTGATTTGGTGCAACCAACCGATAAATTCCGATCAGAATTTATCGGCCTTACAGCGCCAAACATAGGAAACTTCTATAAGTAATTTCAGCATTTTCGATATTTCATATCCTAATGCACCCATCAGAACATGCAGATGCAAGATATTTATCGCATTTTGAAAAACAAATTTTTAAAGACTCGGCGTCATTAACTATTAAGTCTGAAGTTATTTTTGAATTTTGGTCTCATAATTGAATAAATAGGAATGAACATGCTATATATTTACCAGAATTAGAATAGCGAATTGATCTAATCTCTTGCAGTCCCATTTCTATTGAGACTTCTTCGTCAATATTTTCTAACTTCCCCCCCTCCGTGAGTGAACAAAAAAATTTTTGTTCACTCACGGAGGGGGGTTAATATTTTTTTTTTAAAAAAAATTATATATTAATTTTATAAAAAATTTTTTTTTTCGAAATTTATAAAAATCCTAATTCGCAAAAAATTGAATGCAAATATTAATTTAATTTATAAAATTTATGTTTTAAAAAGCAATTCGTTTAAAATTAAACAGAATTAGCTCTAGATTTCATTATAATAATTATCACTTATTTATCACTTATATATCAAATTTTTTTTCCATAAAAAAAATTTCTATTAAAAAAATTTTTGTTCACTCACGGAGGGTGGGTTTTTGGGCGATTTTTCTAATGTTTTTGTTCACTCACGGGGGGGAGTAAGTCATATATATATAAATACTCTGAGTTTCTACTTCCACAAGCAAAATATCTGCCACAAGGCGAAAAATCAATAGCGTCAATTTGTTCAACGGGCTTTACTTTTAAAAATAGAGTCATAAGTTTCTAGTGACCAAATATTAATCTCAGAAGCATAATCAGGAACTGATATTAAAGTTAGCTCATTAGATGAAATACAAAAAAATTTAATTTCTTCATCATTTTTAAGCTCATGGAGCAGCTCTCCTCCAGGAAAGCTAAACATCCTAATAACGTCATCTGATCATAGAGAAATAATAATATCCCCTACCTTTGAAAATATGAAAAATTTTATATGCCTCTTTTTAGAAGGTTTGCAAATTGTTGTAATTTAGTGATAATCAAATATGGCGTCTCGACTCAAGAGGTAATGCAGCTTTGAATGATATTTAATTATATTGGCAAGGTTTTGCAACCAGAAATTGACAGCAATATCAGGTAAGCATCAATTCATTAAATTATTATAGAGAAGCTGCCGCCAGCCACTAATAGCGCTTCACGTCCCTTGATTCGCATCACCCCCCTACTTGCCAGTCTGATTACACAGTCTAAGGACTATGTTGCTCCTTCCGGACAAGTGCTTGCACTTGCTACCCGGAGGTAAAGATGCTGGGTCATCGTGCAATATGCCGAAGAGGTTGCCTTTTCTGAAAACTCAAAGTGTGAATTTTCTGGTCAGATTTTCTGCCCAGATGAAACTCCCCGATATCGCGCTAGGAAAATATCCGGTTGACCGATTGGCCAAGTGAACCCCTCTAGTTTTGATAGGCGATCCCCTTTATCACTTCCAAGTTTCATCCTCCTCAGGATAAAGCATTGCCCTGAATATGAGCCTGACAAGGCTTCCAGAATCCCCGTCTGGCTACTGGTGCTAAGAGGGAAAGTTGTTCGCCATTCCGTATTTATGTATATGCAATTCCAGATAAGCATTTCCGGCTGCATACAAAGCCTAGTCCAAGCCCATTTTCAGGTTTTGAATTTATTTTGTGGGAGGCTTGCAGTTTGAAAGAAGAAGCCAAACAACGCTTTATGGATTCGATAACTCTCCAGCATGAGGCGGGCAGTTACTCCCTAGGATACAAGTTTTCAATATTCCCTTTTGCCAATAGTCATCCATAAATTCACATTTTTTGGAATTATTGTGCCCTCAGCTTCACCTCTGAACGGTCCTCGTCTTCGGTGCTTAAATTTCGACGGCTCTTTGTACTAGAGCATGGATTGCCTTGGCTAAATCGCAGCGGTGGATAGGCCAAACCCTAAATCAGGGACGAAAGCCAATACAGGTAATTTGGTAGCAGATATTAAACGAGAAACCAATAATTGATTTAGTATATGTGTGTTGTAATTTTGGTAGCGTCTTTAAATCTCCATATTTTTAAAGTGTCTTCATTAGTTGTGACCAGATAATCCCCAGAAGGAGAAAAGCGATGAAGCTTTGTATCTTTAGAAGCATCTGCAATTTCATATATAGTCGCTTTCGCGTTTGCAGATCTTAGATTATAATTTTATTTCTTAGAAAGCAAATCCTCATTCGTCAATTATTTGTTTGGCAAATAGTTATTTTCCGATCAAATGTCTGATTAGAAAATGTATCCCAAATAATTCCAGAGAGATGCCTACTAGAGAAATTTTCAAAGCCGCTTTAGTTTCTAAGCTTAATATGCTGATTGATCTACTAAAAAGTGCTATAAATTGGCTGCAAGGTGAAAAAATTATTTTTCTACTCTTTGAGCCTGAAAGCTTAAAACACATTATTTTTTCGCTGGTTTCTATATCCCAAATCGTAATTTTTTCCATATAAGTTCAAGTCGCTATAAATTTTTCACAAAAAGAAAAGTTCATTGTTGCAATGCTATTATTTTTATGTGTCAGCTCAGTCAATTTTCACGCATCTCCACCACTTATTATTCAAATATCTACAGTACTACCATGTTTTACAGCTAAAAGATTCCCTAATGGCGAAACTAAAGCTGATTCTACCACTTCAAACTCATTAATGGCTTCTTTAAGGTCAACAACACTAGTATAAAACCCTAAATCAATTACCCGCACGCCATTATTAATATCTAAAATTCAAAATCCTTTATGTGGAATATAATAAATAGTGCACTTATTCAGATCGTTTACCTCAGATATCAGTTCATAAGATTCCAAGCTTCACAATTTTACGTTTTTTTCTTTTCTTGAGCATGAAGCAAGAAATCTATTATCTTCTGAAAAGCACAGCGCTTTTATTTTCTTTTTATGAGCAGTAAATTCAATAATTTTTTCCATTTTGTCTATTTTTCAAATCCTGATTTGTCCTCCATGACTTCCTGATGCTAATAAATTTTCTGATTTTGAGAAATTTACAGCAGAAATAGCCAATTTTTCTTGTTCAGTTTCGCTTTCACTTTCGTCTTCTTCTTCATTTTGATTGTCTCGATAGCTAAAATATTTTGTAAAGTCATAAAATAAAAATGAGCCATCAATGTTGCAAGCTATAAAGCCATTTTCATCAGGACATATTTTAATAGATGTCACCTGACTGTTTAATATATATGCGCGATTTTGACTATCTTCTGCTAGTAAATCAGCAACACCTATCGATCTGTTTTCGTCCAAAGTAATAAAATAACGCCCATCCTTTGTGAATTCCCATATAAGTAGACCAGGAGACGTTTTAGAAATAACTGTTTTACAAAGGACTCTTTTATTGAGGTTTCATATTTTTACAACAGAATCGACTTTACTCACTGTTACAGCAAGATCATTACTGGGATATAAAAATATATTATCAATTGCTGAATCTTGCCCTACTAGCGTATAAACAAGGGTTTTATTTTCAAGCTCATAAACTCTCAAAAAACCTTCGGAATTTCCAACGAAAAACAAATTTCCAGTTTCTGCAAACGAAAATGATGTGATAATTTGTTCCCCCACAATCAAACAAAATTCTTCGCATGATTCTAAATTTCTTAAAATTATTAATCCAATAGTATTGCAATAAGCCAAAATTTTTCCACAGCATGAAAATGTAAACATAGTTCCTTCACTTGATGAAGAGTTTTTGATCTCGAAAAATAGTTCTTTTCTATCTATGCTTCATAATTTTAAATTTTCATCAATATTTCCTATGCAAATATAACTACTACAAGGAGAAATCAAACATGCAAATGAATCAGAGACTTTAATAGTCCAAATATTTTTAAATGTCTTCAAGGAAATTATTATTATTTTACCATCGGCCCTGAGTAGGCAAAATAGTTGTTTATCAGGAGATATTAGCATGTCAAGGGTTAAATATTTTTGGCTATTGTACGCAGGTATTTTTTTAATTGGTTTGTTTAAAGTTTTTACAAATTTTATTTTTTTAAACTGAATTCCTGACTTCCATAGATCAAATTGAGATTTTTCATTCTCCTGCTGCATTTTTCTATATAATAACGTATTAAGATGCTCATACTTACAAAATCGTTGCTTAATCCTCATAAGGATTTCTTGACTATTTTTAAACGCTTTTTGTAACTTTTCTTTATCTTTCCAGCCATTCGCAATTATTTCGAATATTTTTAACTTGCTTTCGTTGATTATATCTCCAATAAACTGGATGATTTCAACCTTATCAATGAAATTCACTTGGTTGAAATAGCTGCCTTGAGCAACTTCAATATCATTCCAAAATTCAATATCATCAACGATTTGATGAGATATAAAATAATCTATAAATGATGTCTGCGTAAACGAATAAAATCTTGATTTCTCAGTCTTTTTTATTAAATTCAAAGGGCAACCATGGGATTTTGTAATCACTGATAATATTGGAGTCCATTCAGAGTTTTTTATTTCAAGTGGTTTTCCATTGGTAGTGTCTAGGGAAAATTTCATTAGAGTTTTCATATAGATGTCTCTAATGATATCATAGCTTTGGTGGTCAAAATTATCAGATGAAAAAATAAGATTTTCAATAACAGCTTCAAAAATTTCTGATTTTTTGGCAAGGAGATTTTTATGGTTTTTTAAAATGCTGATGATGTTCGGTTTGGACATTAAAGCATTTAATAAGAAAGGATTTCTAAGGTTTTTGTGAAGCTTATGGACTGTATGAATTTCGTATAAGGCAGCTTCGTAATTTATTCAATAGCCTTTTTCTTTTTTCAAGTAATTTTTTATATATTTTATGATTTGTTGGTTATTTAAAGGTTTGATATAAAGCTCATAGATTTCATCACGAAAGCTATTAAAAACCATTCTATGGGAGTTTTCTGATAAATATCCTTATATAATCAAAATATGGAATCAGCCGGCTTTTCTTTCCTCGCTAATAGATAAATTTATTATAAGGTTTTGGCTTCACTCAGCAATTATCCAACAATGAGACGGAACTTAGTAGGATTTCAAGTCCTTAGAGAAAGAAAATTTTGAATGTACCTCCAATCCCATGTGGTGAAGGCTAGTCCTTAGAGTGACAGACAGGTTCAAGTTGGTTTTAAGGATCATAACAACTATCTAAGGTACTGAAAGCAGTGGTATACTTACGAGGTGATCAAGCTTTGGTAGGGTTTAGTAATCAGATGGCTCGAAAGTGACTTAGTCTGCAATAACCAGACAAAGGCGACATGAAATAGAGCCATTAAACTATAAGATAATATAAGATAGGATAAATGTCTTCATGTAATAACGATTTTGCTATTTGGTAATTTTTCAATGATGCTATAAAATTTTATTAAATCAGAATTTAATGAAAAATAATCAAATCCATCTAGAATGAAAAGTATCTTTTTATTTCATAGATGCTCAAAATCAATATTTATTGAGTATTCTGCTAGAATGTCTTCAATTAAATTCTCATGTTCAAGAATTGCTCAATAATAGCTAATAAAAATTGGGAAATATTCAGTATCTGGATTATTTAATAATCTCAAACACAAAAATTTGCAAAATAATGATTTTCCTGAGCCAGAACTTCCCATGATAAAGCAAAGCTTTTGAGGCTTTGATTTGAGGAATTCCCTAACTTGGATATACAAATCACATGGGATTGCTTCACTATGAGAAAATTCACTTGCCCTTAATTCTATATAATTCCATTTGAAGCTCTCTGTAGCTTTTTCCATAAAATACTTGTAGGATGTCACATCTAAATCCAAAAATCAGGGCTTTATTGAGATTGATGATTTATTCCCTCTTTTGATTTTTGGGTTTCTATATACTGAAAGTAATATTTTTAGACTTGATGAAGACTCCATTAGAGAATATATTATGCTTTCTGTCTTTTCTAAAAATTGGTTCTTATGAGCAAAGTCATCATTGAATAATTCAATATAAAGTTGTAAAGCATAAGATTATTATAATTATCTATGATCTTTTTGCTTTATTTCTGATCGACTCCCATGAGCCAAAAATGGGTTTCCGCGTAGAATTTCTGGATTTTCACGCGTGAAATCCATCTTTGGCTCGTGGGAGCCGGTCAGAAATTACACAACTGATTATAATAGTTTTTGCCCACTCTCTGGATCAATTTTTTCTCAAAATTACCCTATTCTTAATTATCTTCAGTACATTTCCTAATTTTTTTTTATTTTTTATTAATTGCATGCTTTCCTCTCAAATCTCTAGCTAAAAGCTGGCTATATGATTCCTTCACACGACGCATACACCATAACGACTATGGCCTATTATATTGGCTTATTTGCTTTAACCTATTTTTTGCATATTTTGCCTTTTTTTTGGCATTTTTTTTGGCCTATGTTTTTATGGCCTCTTTTTTATAGGTCTATTTTTTGACTGTTTTTGGTTTATGATTTTGGTACGTTTTTCTAAGCTGGTGTTTTTCCTTTTATGGTATTTTTTTTTTGCAATTTTTGAATTTTATTTTCACTTTTAATTAGCCTATTTACGTATTTATTTATTTATTTTTAAGAAGCCATTCCTTCACACTTGAATGCTAAAATGAAAACTTTTAAATTTGACTTAATGACGTCGATAATATGAATGGAAGGTCAGATGACATTCAAACAATCAATTCGCTATGACAGAATTGCTTTTTCGCAAGGTATGCATATAGAGCGAACAACAGGAATATCCCAGTAAAAATAGGCAACAAAAGCAATATTCAAAAATAAAGGGCAAAAAAAAGCAGTCTTTTTGATATAGACTTCAAATGATAACGATAAAAATAGTCATTTTGGAGTAGACCTGGCGTGAAGGCTCAAAGTTATGTAACTAAAATATCATCTCCCTGTAAAGCATAATGTAAAGTCTGAGGTTTTTTGATGTATTTAATTAATAAATTGCAAGCATGCAAGGATTCATTGGAGTCTGAACTTTTTATTTGTTCCTTGACTATTCCTATCATTTATTCCCAATTTTATTGATGATATTTTTAGGGCAATTTTATTATCAAATAATAGCATTGCAATTGGATCAAGGCATAAAATAGTTTAGCTTTATTTAAGAAATTTAATGGTAGTTATTATTTTATAATAAATTATTGATTTTTAGCATATTAAGAGCATCTTAAATAAACTCTGCAGATATGTATCTACACAGAAGAAATTCAGAAGACCTATATAATATTTATTCATATCTAAATCTCAAGCGAAGTGGCGCAGTGGAAGCGTGCTGGGCTCATAACCCAGAGGTCGATGGATCGAAACCATTCTTCGCTACTTTTTATTCATTTTTTTTAATATTTAGCACAAAATTCATTCCATTATTCATTCTCTACATTTTCAGAAACTAAAAGCTCAGTGCTATGCTTATTTCCTCAAAATTTGTTTTCTGATATTATTTTTATGCAAATTTACCAATTTCATATTGATTAATCTCAGTTTATTCAATTAATAAAATTTTAATTTTTCAAAAACCGTAAATTATTAGTCTCTTAGTTAGCTTAATTTAACTCGGCCTCTAGTTGGGCCTCTAGATGAGCAGCACCTGTGAAGGCGCTTTTTTTCTCGGTCTTGTTGCTATTCTCGTACGTATGTCGGACCTCGCAGTACGGCTCGCTCCTCCTAATCCCCTTGAAGCCATTTGGGAGTCCAGAAGTACGGGAAACACTAGCGGCTTGGCGCGTTGCCTTGCTCTATCCGACTTTTATCCAGCACCTGTTCGGCCTAAGGGTCCTGCCTTTTATATCGGCAGTGGAAAGAGGTAAAACACGATGTCCAAGGCTGGCGAGATAAAAAGTCCTCGCCATTTTACGCCACCTTGTACAGAAGTCCACGTGTAAAAACCGAACCCTATAATAATAAAATCGGGTGAGAAGGAGAGGGAATTCACGGAGTGAATTACCCTTTCTGCCGAAGCCATTTTATTATTATGTAAATTATTAGTCAAAAATGCGAAGATCACATCTAGAAGGTGGAAGAGGAGACCCTCCTTATTTCAGACAAACTGGTCATGCAATTTATTCAGTTCTTGGCCATGAAGAGCATGAAAGTATTTGCTTCCCAATAAATCCGAACTTTATAAGTTATAAAGAAAAGGTTTTGAACCAAAAATATTTAGAATCTCTATGTTTCCATAAGCATAATGATAACAACCTATCCCGAGAATACAAAAATAATTTACTGATTTTTTATTTATTTCTAACCTGCTATTTAGTCATTTCCTTACTTCCTTCCGAATTTTTTTTAAAATTTATTTATAGTAATTTTTTTTCAAAATTTAAAAATTCCATATTCGAAATAATTTTAAAGAATGTTAATTTAATAAAATTTATGTTTTAAAATTCAAGCTGTTTAAAATTAAACTGAATTATTTTGAGATTTTTATTGTAATGATACTTATATATCAAAATATTTTCATAAAAAATTGTTATATTAACAAAATTTTGTTTCCTCACAAAAGTCGGGTTTTGGGCGAAAAGCAATTTTTCAATGGTTTTGTTCTCACGGAGGGGAGTTAGCGACATGATCACTACTCTACAACTCAGACAAAATAAAAACTGGCCCATTTACGGTGAGAATGATTTTTTTGACAATGATTTTAGTGATGTCATACACAGTTTTATACTTTATTTGAAAATATCATCATTTTGCATATTACACAAATTTATTTTTTGGAATCCTTGGTTTGCTGATTATGTTTTATTTAGTTTTATGCGATGAAAATGTATTATCAGGAATGTTTGGTAATGATTATAATCCTAATGCCCAGACTCATACTTTAGCGATGGCTTGCTTTATAGTACTTCTGAGAACTATCACTTATGACAACTTTTTTATTATTGTGGGAATTTCTTTTATAACGATGATACTTATGCTGGGCTGCTTTTTGACGTTGACAAGTTTGTCACCAATTGCTGTTCTCTCTGATTTTTTTATTTTAGTTATTTTCTTTGTTATTCAGATTATCGAATCACATCAAGCAGAAATGAGAGCAAAACAGCTATTCTATAGGAAGATAAAAGAAGAGGAAGCTTTAGACCCAAATCCTTCTTTTTTAGAGCCCGAAAAAAACACTCAAAACATGTTTAATTCAGAAATTGAAGTGACTGTAGGAGCTATTGACAAAATTAAGCAAAATATAAAAGCTGCTGCAACTGTGATTATGTTTAAAGACGTCAAAGTGAAATTAAAAAACGCAACCATCGAAATAGAAAAAATTAAAAGAAAAATTGCCCATGGCGATATGTTCATGTTTAATGTTGATAAATTCAGTGAAAATCAAGAAATGGATGAACAAGATAGAGCATTTGTGCTGCAGCTTTGCTTGGATCAAAAGCATGAAAAAACGCAGCGAGGAGCTGTAAGAAGAGTTTCAATGCTCGATGTCCAAGAAAAAAAGCCTGAATTTTTAGCCAAAAGTTATGGGATGGAAGAATTGGAAACTGTTTTATATTGTGTTGGGGTTAATTGAAAATTTGACATATGATTTGTATACCAGACAACTGGGAGCAGTCTTTCAATAGTTGCAAAATATTTATTTCAGAAATGAAGCTTAAATGAAACTTTTTCGATTCAAGAAGAAGTCTCTGATAGATTTTTCCAAGCTCTTGAAAGAGTAATATTTATATAGTCATATCATACCCAAAATGCTTATCACAATGCTTGCCATGCAGCTGATGTTTTACATACTCTTTTGTATTTCATTATTCGAGGTGAACTACTTCAAACATTAACTCCTTTAGACACTATGTCTTGCATTGTAGCTGCTTTAGGCCATGATGCTGACTCCTCCCCCTGTGAGCAAACAAAATCATTGGAAAAATCCCTATTTTTTGCCAAAAAACCTATCAGTAGAAATTTAAAAAAATCCATATTCGAAATAATTTTAAAGAAATTATTAATTGAATCTGTTATTTATGTTTTAAAGTGCAAGCTGTTTAAAATTAAACGGAATTAGCAAGAGATTTCATTATAACAATTATCATTTATATTAAAAAAACCTTCTGTTTGATCATAGAGTATAAAATTACATAAAAATTAAAAAAAATGAACCCCAAAAAATTATTTTGTTCTCTCACGAAGGAGGGACTGAGCACCCTGGTGTTACCAACAGGTTTTTAATAAATAACAGAGACGAGCTAGCTTTACAATACAATGATGCAGGAGTTTTGGAAAATATGCATGCTTATAAAACATATAGTATAATGCAAAAAGCTGGTCAGAATATTTTCCAAAATTTATCGAACGAAGACTATGTTAAATGCAGAAAATTAATAATAGAAATGATCCTGGAAACTGATATGGGGCGGCATTTTGAAATTTTGGGGAAATTCAATACCCGAGCTAATAATTTAGCTGATTTATCAATGGAAAACCACGATGATAAAATCATTATTTTATCAATGGGATTAAAATGTGCAGATATAGGCCACAGTGCAAAGATACCAGAACTGCATGAAAAATGGACATCTTTTGTTATGGAGGAGTTTTTCAAGCAGGGAGATATAGAAAAAGCTAAAGGAATGCCAGTTTCTACGTACTGTGATCGAGATACAACAGATGTGTATAAAAGCCAAGCTGGGTTTCTTAAAAATATATGTATACCATTATACGAAGTGTGGTGCAAATATTTGCACTCAGAAGAAATCAATGTAAATTGCCTAGAACAATTGAAAAACAACTATAGAAGTTGAGAAGAAAAAGGAAGACAAAGAAGATTAACGCCTTTTGCATCTGGCTCTGGATTTGAAGACTCAGCGTCCAGAAGAATTAGTTTAGCTTCAAATGGGATTCAAAAAGAAATACAATCTCCTGCTGCAACTTAATTGGGTTATGCTTATTTATATAATAATGTTTCGTAATTTCTATTTTCACTTTTATAATACACACTACTCTTCCTGCAAAAATTTTGATGAAAATCCTGGTATTAAATTGATTTCAGCTTCATCATAATCTTCATTGGAAGACATCGTACCGCTTGGCTCTTTATTAGCACTTTGAAGAACTGTTGCGTGCTTTGCTGTATTTATAGGTAAATGGATTTTTATTTCTTTTCTGGGAATTTTTTCTTTTAATGCTTTCAGAGAAAATCCTAGTTCTTTTGGAGGTTTGAACATAAAAGAAGAGATGGTATTTTCAGCTGAAAGCGCCCTAGGAGTATTGGCCTTGGATTCGATTTGTGACTCTTTTTCTTCTTCCTCTTCTTCATTAATAGCGAAAACTTTTAATTGGCTGCCGTTTCTTGATACTACGTCAGCTGATTTTGAGGTTATAGTTGACATTGATGATAAATTGTGACTTGGTACAGCTAGAGTATCTTTTATTTCGTCCTCAATGCTATATTCAAAATCAGCAAAATTTTCATCATGAAAGTTCCTATTTTCAGCCAAAAAATCTTGATCTATATCCATCACTGTGTATTCAGGATCAAAGTTTGAGAGCCTTAAATTTGGCCGAAAAGGAGGTACAATTTGTTTCCTTACTCCCCCCCCCCCCTCCGTGAGCGAACAAAAAAATTTTGTTCGCTCACGGAGGGGGGTTAATTTTTTTTTTTAAAAAAAATTTTATATATAAATTTTATAAAAAATATTTTTTTCGAAATTTAAAAAAATCCTAATTTGCAAAAATTGGGAAGCAAATATTAATTTAATTTGCAAAATTTATGTTTTAAAACGCAATTTGTTTAAAATTAAACAGAATTAGCTCTAGATTTCATTATACTAATTATCACTTATATATCAAAATTTTTTTCCATTAAAATTTTTTCTATTAAAAAAATTTTTGTTCACTCACGGAGGGTGGGTTTTTGGTCAAAAAATAGCGATTTTTCTAATGGTTTTGTTCGCTCACGGAGGGGGGGGGGGGAGTTAGCATTTTGTCAAATTTTATTTTTTTGCACCAAGGGTGGGCTTTGATTTCTGCGAAGCCTCCCAGATTTCCAAGCCTCTCAGATGGATCTTTGTTTAATAATCCCCATAATAATGATCTTCCACTTTTCGATATGAAATTTGGAAGCATTAATGGTTCGTTGAGAACTTTAAAATACATTTTGGATCTATTTGAGTCATAAAATGGAGGTAAACCAGTTAGCTTAGTTCTTAGTTAAGATTATTGAAAAGCTATTGTGACAACTCAAGGGAATTTACTCTATCTTTGCTTCGCGACCGCCTACCTTTTGTCTGTTGACTGCGCTAATCCAGAAATGGGCTCACATGCTAGCTATAGTGTAGTGGGACTTGGGTTGCCCTCCCAGAAAATTTGAAAAGAATTTTCTGGCAACTTGTAGATCAAAATAGATCTTATTACTCATGGCGCAACCAGGTATTGTGCTAGGTATTTTTCAATTGATTCAAAACTCTGCTAGACTTTCCCTTTACAATACCAAACATTCATCTTCCCCAGAGGTGAAACCTTGACCTGGAATGAGCTTGATCAGTCTAATTCGCCATTGCGCTCCACCAAACTAAGTGAAACCTAATCGAATGCATGCTACCGGGCGCAATCCTCCTTAGAGCTGTTAATAAGTGGGCTGGCTCGCCACCATTAATTCATGGTAAACCAGTTAGCATTTCAAATAGGAGAGCGCCTAGGCTGTAGTAATCGACTGCTCGGCCATGTCCTTGACTTTTCAAAACTTCAGGACTCATATATTCTGGTGAGCCACAGAAACTATATGTTAAACCATTCGGCAAAATTCCTTGCTTAGATAATCCAAAATCCGTGATTTTTATATGTCCATCATAATCTAATAAAATATTTTCTGGCTTCAAATCTCGATATAATACCCCATTTTCATGCAAGTACTCTAGCCCAAGTAAAATTTCGCCAAAGTAAAATCTGGCTTGGTCCTCTGTAAACCTCCCCAAGTTATGCAGATGGAAAAATAGCTCACCGCCTGGACACAAGTCCATAACTAAATGCAAGTTTTCCTTAGTTTGGAAAGTCCAGTGCAATTTCACTATAAAAGGATGTTGAAGTTTTGTCATAATATCTTTTTCACTTACAATTTGGAAAATTTTATCTTCTTTTATTACAAATTTTTTACTAATTGTTTTTATTGCATATAAATGTCCAGTATCTTTTTTCCGCACTTGAAAAACAGTAGAAAACCCGCCTTTTCCTATCACCTTTATAGGTGTGAAAGTCCCGCACGAAATTTCTGAAGGCACAGGTTCTGAAAAAATTGCAATTAATTCTTCATTATCTTTTAAGAATGACAATGGCCTGTCATACTTTGTTAATAAAAAATCCAAAATATCTGAATTCAAAGCAGTTCTAAATCCAATTAATGTATTCGGTGAATTATTTAATCGAATTGTTTCAGATAAAAGCCATCCACATGTAACTGAGTCATCAGGTACTTCGACTGAAACAGTATCTGAGCCAATACGAACTTTCAGAGTTTTTGGGTGAAAAGCAGCACCTGTACTGTGCCGCGTGATAGGTTTTTTAATTTCTGTGGTGCTTCTTTGTAGCCTTATTTGACTATATGATTCAGCTTGTCCCATGATTATTACTATTTTTTATCTCTTTATTACTTATTAAACAATCCAATGAATTATAACTTATTTTTTATTTAAATTCATTCCAGAAGTGATTATGAAATTATCGATTGTAAATATAATATTAAGATGGTTTTAATGTATATGTATTCACCTTTGATTTATTCAAAAATTTTGAGATAATTATGGAGTCACCTTATATTTTTTTATAAATTTTAACAAAACTCATAAAATATTTTGACATTGTAGACAAGAAAATAAAGCCTCTATAATAAAATAGCATTAGTGAAAGTCGTAGAATTTCTTTCTTTCAAAGGTAAAATCTAATTGCTTTGAAAGTCTAAAAAATATTTTGTAGAGTCCTTAATCCCTCCTCCTTCCGTGAGCAAACAAAAATTGTTTTAATAGAATTTTTTTTATAAGTGATAATTATTTTAATGAAATCTCCAACTAATTCTGTTTAATTTTGAACAAATTGAATTTTAAACATAAATTTTACAAATTAAACAAATTATTGATTTCCAATTTTTGCGAATTGGGATTTTTTAAATTTCGAAAAAAAAATTAGCATAAATTCATATATAAATTTCCTAATCAGAAAAAATTAACCCCCCCTCAAAGATCGAACAAAATTTTTTTGCTTGCTCATGAAGGAAGTGAGTTAGCACATTAAATGAAGAAATTATTGAATAAAGACTTTTAAAAATAAATAACTGATATAATTTAATAAACTCTCCAGGCTTTATATATAGAAATTAAAGATCAAAAATGAATACAATAAATAAATTTTCAAAATACCATTAAAATATTTGCATAAAAAAATTCAAATAGAAGATTATTTACTATATTTTCATTATTGAAACAAAATTTTATTCAATTTAATTAATAAACAGCTTTAAGTTCGATGTACACTGTGCTAAGAAAGTAAGCACATAATTGAAAATATTTTTTAGGAAAGTTTTTCCACATCAAATTTTTCTTACCCAACCATTTAAATTAGAGCAAAGTATAAGTAAAATTTTAAATTTTTTGGTTTCTTTAATCCTAAAGTTTTATAGTAAAAATATTAATTTTTATGTAATTATTTTTAACCTAATTTAAAGGAGAAAATTTTAAGTAAAATTTATATTTAACTGACTACGGGTCGATTGTAGCATGTGTGTGCATATTTTTTTATTAAATTTTTTTTATATGTTATATTAGCTTCATGGGCATATAGTAGCCTCATAGGTGTATATTTAAAATGAATGCATGCAGCCAGTAGTTTTAAAGGCTGGAAGGAAGTTCAGCCTGAATATTTGAAGAAATGGAGGTTAAAACAATATATGCTAATGAAGCCAACAAAATGAGGTTTCAAAGCTTTTCTATTATGTGAGTCAACTACAGAATATTATTTGAAACATAAAGTCTTTGCAGGCTCTGGCTCAAAACGAGAAATCTATTAATATACTAATTGAAGGCTTCGGAGACAACAACTATCACATATTTCACTTCCAACATTCCAGGATTTTTGCAATAAAGAAATTTGTGCAGCTTAAATTTGGAAATGGCTGCCTAATCTAAGTAAATAAGCAAGATATTTTTGCAGAATTCTATATCTCTATAAGGATTACGTTGCAGTAAACTTATTTTCAAAACAGAAACTAATCGAAGTAAAGGAAAATTCTCCTCGCAATATCCAAATACAGCTTCATACGAGATTGTTGATATTCTCGTTGCAATTGTCTTACTATGGATATCCTCATCGTTTTAAGAAAAGATGAAAATATTTATTTATCTTCTCAAAATAGCAGTATTCAATTCATTTATTATTCATCAGATGTTGAAGAAAGGCATGAAAACGCTGTAAAACTAGTGTATCTTCAATTTTGATTAAATTAGCTGAAAGCCTTACTAGCTTCCCTGGAGAAAATCTTCAACTTTGTAAAGCTAGCAAGTCTAAGAGATGCAGCATTTGCTACAGAAGCGGTAGATTCAAATTAAAGCTATTACTGCTCTTTCTGTAATGCTTATATGCATGAAAGATGCTTTGAAGACTATCTAAATTAGCCTAATATATATTTGTTAAAAAGTCGACCCTGAGTCTTACTTACTTACTTAAAGATATTAGAAGGCGTCTGCCGTTTTGATTACGCAGCTACCAAGGACCCTGATAGGGGTTCACCTGCTTTGCGGCGTAGTCCAAACAAACCATAAAGGTTTGCCAATAGGAAATATGTCTACTCCTTCCCACAACGTGCTGCGGCTTAAGTGTTGAGTGGGCCGGCTATAGACTTCTGCGGCTTGCTGCTTGGGTTGACGAAAGTTGACCACTCAAAAAATCCCAAAAAATGGAATTTTCTGGTGGCCTCTCGGCAAAAGGGGAAAATCCAGATCCTGGGACGTAACGCCCAGTTTCACGCTAGGGTAGTTGCCCGAATGGTCTAGGAATTGCCTGTAGACTTCTCTGGGCTTACCCTTTCCAAACCTGAACCTCTCCTCCTCTCGAGGTAAAATCTATTCTAGTCGTTGAACATGGGCCAGGCTCTGCTCTGCAGAATTGCTTACCATGACATTGTGGCTCATTTTTGGAATGGCAAAACCTTGCCGGATATAATTAAAATATAAGTCGAGTATGTATGGCCGGGAAGCCATACCCAGACGAAGACGCCATATTTTAATTATGTCAACCCTGAGTCAGTTAAACAGTTTTTACACTGACTTAATTAATATTTTGAATTAATTCTTCGATAATTAAATATGTCGTCTTCGTCTTGGTATGGCCTCTCGGCCATACAGCCTCGACACATATTTAATTATATCCGGCAAGGGTTTTTCTAGCCTTGAAAATGGGCAGCAATGCTATGGTAACCAATTCTGCAGGAAGCAGAGCCTAGCCCAAGCCCAACTTCGAGACTAGTTTTTACCTCGAGGAAAAGGAGGGTCCAGATTTGGAAAGGGCAAGCCCAGCAAGGTCTACAGGGAACACCTAGACCAATCGAGCAACTGCCTAGCGTGAAACTGGGCGTTACGTCCCAGGATCTGGACTTAACCCTTTTGCCGACAGGTACCAGAAATTCCATTTTTTGGGATTTCGGAATGCCAACCTCGTATTTCACAGCCTCAGGAGGCCGCACAACCCCGTAGCCTGCCCACTCAACACTGGAGCTTTCTACAAGAAGCAAGGAGGAGACCGGACGGAAGGAAGGCCCGCAAAGCGGGTGAATCTCCTAGGGGATCCTCGGTGATTGCGTTAAAATTAAGGCACGAGCCCGTCTATCTAATAAGATATAAGAATTAATTCTTCGAAATATTGGATTCATTTTATTTTTTATTTTTACCCTCCTTTAAAGTGAACGAGTTTTTTGTTCCAATTTAAAGAGGGGGCTAGAAATTTCAAAAATTAAATAAATCAATTGGCTTGAATATTATCAAGCTGGGCGATAAGCAATGCAATGACATTTTAATATTTAAATGCTGTTGTATTATAACTAATAAACTCTTTTGATAAGAGAGAAATATTCAAAATTAATACCATTTTGATTTGAGGCAATTTCTGGGTAAAATATGTACGACATATCTTTTAAGGTGAAAATTATTGAAGTAAAATAAATTCCAACAGACTGATTTTTCACAGGATTCTATTATTGATGAGCATTTAAATTTGTTTATTCCATTTAAAAATAGCCACAACATCAAGTATTTTCGTTAGATCTTGTAAATAAAACTTCATTATCTTACACTGGCCATATTAATTATGCAGGGACCTGACTCCCGGCAAGGCCTATTACCAAAGAGAATCAGTTCTGCTCCTCCCGATCAAGGTCAACCTCATCTAAAGGACTCTCCAAAAAAATCTGCATTTAATTCTACTGCAGAAGAATTTGTTCCTGGAGCAATATCAATACCAAAATCTGAACCTATTCCATTAAATTTTAATGCATTTCATATTTTCTCTAAAATTATATCATTATCAAATAAAAAATTTTTTAATTTTTCAGCTTTATATTCATCTCAAATCATATACAAAGTGGAACCCAACAGCCTTTGAGTTCGTTCCAGGAACTCCCACCTCAACTTTGCCCTCATCCCTGCAGCCATCCGCAAAGGAATTCGTAAGTGTCAACTTTTCCCCGTCAGCCTCAGAATTTATCCCAACAATTTCATCAACCAGCTTTGAGCCTTCAACTCTTCCTTCCACAACGCCTTTTATTCAAGAAGCTGACCCTATCCAAGAACCAATTTTAGAAGAAGAGGAAAGTGACGATGATTATTCTTCAGATTCAGGCTCCAGCTGAGATCCTTATACATTTTCCATTTCTTCACCTTAAAATCTATTATTTATTATTTTTTGATATTTATAATAATTAAATATATATAAAAGTGGAGAAAGTAAATGGAAGATTTGTCTATCCTTATGATATTATATGAAGCCTGAAAGAACAATTCGAAAACCACAGCGATTTTAAGAACATCGACCAAGAATTATCAGCCATAAGCCAAAGAACGATTTTGATCAAGCGAAGAGAACATAGGCACAACACCAAAAAAATGAGCCAAAAAGACCGAGAATGGCGAGAAAAAGAGCGGCAGGCTCAGCAGCCAATGGTCTTGAACTGGAGACGAGAAAAGACCAAAGAAGAAGAAAAAATTTTCCACAGAGCCAGAGTACATACAGAAAAGCTAAAAGCTACCGTAGAAGACGAAGAAAAGGTAAAAAGACAGGTAAGAGTTACCTTAAACAAGCTTTCTCCTAATAATTTAGACAAACTTCAAGACCAGCTTCTCCAAATAGCGAGAGAAAGCTATGAAAAACTTGGACTATTAGTAAAAGGAATATTTGACAAAGCATGATCAGAACAGAAATACACACAAATGTACGCGAAGCTTTGCGGATATTTTAAGGACCAGTTTGAAGGGTTTAAATACCCTGATGACGAATCGAAGACGAAAAACCATTTTAAGCATAAATTATTACACATATGTGAAGAAGCATTTTCGTATAATCCTGAGGATATAGCTATTTTAAGCAATTTTTATAAAAATTATTAAAAATCAGATATCTGTATGAGAAAATTGATGGTAATTATATTGAGTATAGGTTGATATAATTATTTAGAAGGATTAAACGAAGAACAAAAAGAAAACAAGCGAAACCTCTTAAAGAAAAAAACGCTAGGAAATGTTCGTTTTATTGGTGAACTTTTCAACGTAAAATTAATCACTGCAAGAGTTGTGCTGCAATGCGTCCATGATTTAGTAGGACTGCCAGGGAAGCATGATCCTCCTGACAGAGTAATTTCAGACCAGATAGATGAAGACAAGCTTGAAGGAGCATGTATATTGTTAGGGACAGGTGGAGGAAGCTTTGAAAGAAATGTGCTAAAGCCAGAAACAACCAGAATTTTTGACTACCTTGGAAGTTTACTTGAACATAGAAGTGGAGAACTTTCAAATAAACTTAGATTTTACATTATGGTAATCGATATTTAGAACCTTATGGACGAAAGGAAAAATAATTGGCAAAAATCTAATAAAGAAGAAGTCAAGAAAATCGAAGATATACATGCAGAGTTCCATAGAGAGCAAAATGAAATTGCGAAAAGACATGAGAATCGTAGATAATACTATATTTAAGTACAGCAATTTTAAAATTTGTTTTAGTAGAAGGATTATAAAATTATAAGTATTTGTATGAATTTAGCGTGAAAATAATTTTTTCATTGATTATGTTTATCAGCACACCAAACTTAACTTCAACTTGGAATAAATCATTATGAAAAAATATTGAGTCCTATAAATGAGATCTTCTAAGGAAAGTGCGAACTATTATGATCCTAGAGGAAACTCAGATAAAAGTCCATATACAGCAAAAACTCCAGACAAGAAATCGACTCCAAATGTATATGTCCTTTGTCCATTTAACAGCATTCATCATGTATTAACTGATGAATTAGATTCTCATATGTTGGCTTGCCCTGACCGTAACTACAACGAGGTAGGAGAAGCAAATTTCCAATCCTTGTCTCCACTAGAAAATTTCGGAATTTTCCAGCAACCCTCATCTCAGCCTAAATCAGATCTAAACAATGACCTAAACGAAATTTACATCCCAGACCCTGAATGGCCAATTCTTCAGATTACTCAGAAGACCTATGATTTTATTATTCAACAAGGCCTAGAAATTCCGCCTGGCTTTGAAACTTTTCTACCATCTGAAAATGTTCAGAAAGAAGAAGTAAAAGAGCTCAAAGCTGACGAGAAAAGCCCAAATAATGATGAATGGACTACTATTACAGCTAAAAATAAACCAAAAAGGCAAAATAATGAAATTTCAGGTGAAAGGCATAATGAAAAGAAAAAGAAGCATAACAAGCCAAAGCAGAAGGACCAGAAGAAGTACCAAAATAAGCAGTCAGGATCTCACAACTAATATTTCGTATTATTAATTTACAAATAAATTTATAAATGATTTGTTTTTTCTATCTAACCTTCATTTTCCTATAATTTTTTACTTAAACAGCTAAATGGCTAGAAATTTAATGGATCATTTTCTTTAATTAATCCTTCAAACTAATATAAATACATTTTATAATAATGCACGGCATAAAATAACTATCAAAAAATCCACATCCATCTAAATTCCAATTCTAAATTAATATTCGAGAACGATTTTTCTTTTTTCCTCTTATTAACAAATTACTTCAATAAATGGGAGTGTGTATATGTAAAGAATCCCAATTGAAAAATCCTCGTAAAGCTCGCATTCTTTCTACCTCAGAAATTTCAAACGACGTCAGACTCGAAAGTAATTTTAAATTAGGCATCAGAGATAAGTACGAATTTTTAAAAGTCTTACCCCCCTCCGTGAGTGAACAAAAAAATTTTGCCCACTCATGGAGGGGGGTTAATTTTTTTTTTTAAAAAATTTATATATAAATTTTATAGAACAATTTTTTATCGAAATTTTAGAAAAATCCTAATTTGCAAAAATTGGGGAGCAAATATTAATCTAATTTATAAAATTTATGTTTTAAAGCGCAATTTGTTTAAAATTAAACAGAATTAGCTCTAGATTTCATTATACTAATTATCAATTATATATCAATTTTTTTTTTCATAAAACCTTGTTTCTATTTAAAACAATTTTTGTTTGCAATGGATTGTGGGTTTTTGGGATTTTTCCAACGGTTTTGCCCACTCTCGGAAGGGGAGTTAGGTTATGGACAATTTGGAACCGTCAGAGAAGCAAAAAAGATTAGAGACATTCATATGGAAAAAACATACGCGATTAAATCTATATGCAAAGACAAGGTCAAAAAGAACCTAGTGACAATGAAAAGAGAACTCGATATTTTAAAACTTGTGGATCATCCTAATATAATAAAACTGTATGAGATTTATGAAGACGCCAGATATATCCACCTTGTTATGGAATTGTGTACTGGAGGAGATATTTTTGACTATATTCTAAATAAGCAGGTGCTGACTGAAGATGAAGTCGGGAAAATCATGAAGTGTATGCTCTCAGCTGTTAACCATTTGCATAGCTTAAAAATAGTCCATAGAGATCTAAAGCCAGAGAATTTTTTGTTTGCGAGCAAAGCGCATGATGCTGACATAAAACTAGTGGATTTTGGAATGTCAAATAAATTTGGTGAAGACCATACTCTTCATACTATGGTAGGGACTCCCTATTATGTAGCTCCAGAAGTGCTGAAAGGAAATTATGGAAAAGAGTGTGATGTCTGGTCACTAGGCGTTTTAATGTATTTTATGCTTTCAGGAACCCATCCATTCCGTGCGAATGATGTTAAAGGTCTTTTTAAAAAAATTGTTAAATGCGAATATATGCTTTTTTAGGCTGATTTTAAGCTATCTGTCACAGAAAAAATCTTGTATTATCGATTCAGCAATTAAATGAGCCTTAGTATAACTTTGATGATGAAAGATGAACAGTCATTTCAAAACATGCAAAAAGCTTAATCCAAAAGCTTCTTGTGGTGAACCCTCACCATAGGATTTCTATCAAAAATGCCTTGATCCATCCATGATTTCACTATCTAGGACAAAAACACCAAGCTCAGCATATCAAGCTTGAAATTTTTAATTCAATTAAAAGCTTAAAAGCTCCAAGCAAATTGTGGCAAGAAGCCATGAAAGTTTTCGTTAGGGATTTATCAGAGGAACAAATAGCTGAGCTACAGGCAGCATTTCAAGAAATTGATCAAAGCAGAACAGGATTTATCACAGCAGAAGATATTTCTGACGCAATGAGAAGAAATGGCTACTCCTTAGCTAGTGAAGAGATATCCTCTTTAATAGAACAAATTGATTATATAGGTAACGGAAAATTAAATTACACACAATTTCTTATAGCAGCAATGGACAGAAAAAGGCTACTTGACGAAGAGTCAATGTGAAGCACTTTTAAGCATTTTGATGTTGATAATAATGGGACAATTCAAGTAGAAGAGCTAAAATTTGCATTGGAAAAAGCTGGGTGCTTCATATCTGAGTTAGATATGGTTGAGATATTAAATGAGTTTCAGCTAAAAGCTGGGAATGGGATGAATTTTGGGGATTTTAAAGAAATTATGACTTGCTTTTCAGAAGATGCCTCAGCTTTGCCAGAAGAGGCAAATGATGGGAGAGGGAAAGAAAGAAAAGTGACGAGGAGACTTTCACAGAAACGATTGACTGTTAGAAGGGCTACCCAAATGGCTAAAAAAGAAGAAATTGCTAATCAAAACTAAGTTAAAATGTTTTCAATAAAAATTTAAGTAGTGTGAAATTAAGTTTTTGCATTTAGAGGTAATTAACTTAAGCTAAAATCAACTTTTTAGCAATTAAAAATGCATGGCAACTACTATTTATTATAATAATGCTTACTCCCCCCCCCCCCTCCGTGAGCGAACAAAACCATTAGAAAAATCGCCATTTTTTGACCAAAAAACCCACCCTCCGTGAGTGAACAAAAATATTTTTAATAGAAAAAATTTTAATAGAAAAAAATTTTGCTATATAAGTGATAATTAGTATAATGAAATCTAGAGCTAATTCTGTTTAATTTTAAACAAATTGCGTTTTAAAACATAAATTTTGCAAATTAAATTAGTATTTGCTTCCCAATTTTTGCAAATTAGGATTTTTTTTAAATTTCGAAAAAAAATTTTTTTTAAAAAATTTATATATAAATTGTTTTTAAAAAAAAAAATTAACCCCCCTCCGTGAGTGAACAAAATTTTTTTGTTCGCTCACGGAGGGGGGGGGGGGAGTTAGAAAGAAAAAGCATCACAAGCAGCTGTTGAGCTTTAAATTTAATATTATAGCTCAAAATTTTATTTACGAATATTTATTTCGATTGAGGTGTTTATTTATTTTTTTTCAAAAATCATACATAAATTATTTATAAGTGAATAGGATTTATTTTAATAAATCATGATTCATATTTAATAAAATGTAATCTTTTAGTTTTATACTATTCCATTTATTATATCCAAAATTTCTTATTTATCACACTCACATCAATTTTAACTTGCATTTTATTGTATCCTCTTTTCATAGATCATTTAAAATTCCCTCATGGCAGGTAAAGAAAACTCCCAAAATGGTCTCATAATTTTCAACGTATGCAAAAAAGAGCTCGGTCTCCCTGACTCATCTTATAGAAAACTTTCAACTTACTTCCGCCAGAAATATCGAGTCGCCGTAAATCAATCAGAAATCTCATTAGAAACGCTCGCTGAAGCAACCTTAGTTATTCTGGCGGGACCTCGAGAGATGTTCAGCAAACAAGAAGTAGACGCAATGAAAACCTATACTCAAGGCGGCGGCAATATCCTTATTCTTTACAATGAAGGAGGAGAAGCCAAGCTTGGAACCAACTTAAACTATTTATTGGAGGATTATGGAATTTCAGTAAATAATGACTCAGTAATAAGAACAGTTTACAATAGAAAATATTTCCACCCTAAAGAAAACTGTATATCCAATGGTATCATCAACCGAGAAATTTCAAATTTCGCCAAAGGAAAACAAAAGGCTAAAGCAGGCAGCCTAATTGCACAAAATTTTGTTGCCCACATGCTGAAGAATGAAGGTGTAGAGTTAACTGATGACCATGGCGGTTTGACATTTTTGTACCCTAATGGAGCTTCTTTGAATGTCCAGAAGCCTGCAATACCTATTTTATCAAGCGGCCCGATTTCATACCCACTGAACAGACCGATAGCAGCTGCTTATACTTCAAAGACAAGAAAAGGAAGACTAATGGTAGTAGGCTCATACCTTATGTTCTCTGACAATTATCTTGAAAAAGAAGAAAATTTCAAGCTGATGGAAATCCTAACTAGATGACTTTTAGGAGGAGATATTGATATAGACTTAGGCCTTGAAGAAGATAATGATCTGCAAGATTACGCTGTAATCCCTGATATTGCATCACTATCAGACTCGCTCAAATCTTGTTTGCAGACGAGTGAAAACATATCAGCCAATTTCAGGCAGCTTTTTGACGAGTCTCTTTTCAAATTTGACACCGATATGATTCCAGAAGCTGTTAAACTGTATGAAACTACAGGAGTTAAGCATGAACAGATCTCATTAATTCCTCCACAGTTTGAAGCTCCATTGCCAGGCTTAATGCCAGCTTTGTTCCCTCCAAACTTAAAAGAGCCGAACCCGCCTGCGCTTGATATGTTTGATCTTGACGAAGAATTCGCGAGTGAAGTTGTGAAGCTGGCTCAGCTGACTAATAAGTACTCTGATACAGATATTGAATATTATATCAGAGAATGTGGAGACCTCCTTGGAATTACTCAACAAATTGAAAGACTTAAATTCGGATATGGAGGCGAAAATGATGCCAAAGCAGTGCTGCATAGAATTCTGGTTGAAGTTGTTCAGTATAAAAAGCATACTCAATAAGAAATTTAAATTAACTAGAATTTTATCTATACTGATGGACTTCTTGGAATAAACTTAACCCTCCTGAGTGAAAGCCATTTAAATGTTCTCTTTTTTCGGAAAAACCTTTTGGCTAGCAAAAAAGTTCCTAATATAAAAATTTGTTATAAAAAATAGTTCGATATATAAGTATTAATTTTTAAAATGAAATCTCTAGCTAAATCTATTAATTTTAAAACATCTGGCATTTTAATGCGTAAATTTTATAACTTAAATTAGAATTTCTTGAAATTAGAAAAAAAGTAAATATAATTTTAAATTAGAGCCAAGAGGAAATTAGGAGATTCTGATAAATACTCTTCAGCGGTTACGTTTAGCCTGCCTAAAATGTAATTAAAGCTGCTTTCATATTCATCAGGGTCTAAAAGCAGTGAAAAACTTAAATATGAGTAAACCTTGAACTCCCACTTAGCAATCTCCTTTGTCTGCAAAATTTGGTTCTTGTCAATGCTGCAAACTGCTTTCACTATTAACCTCAACTGCTCTTTCGAAACATTCAGATGGGTTTCTTCATTAAATTTGTATGCTAATAATACACAAATTCCCCCATACAGCTTGATATTATCAAAAGTGATTACATTCATCCCAAGCAACCTCTGGAAAAGTGTCCAAGCGATTGCGACTGTGCAAACTTCAATGTCGAAAGTTTTGCAGAGCCAAAAAATGATGTTTTCTCTGACAGTCACAATTTTGCAAAGAGTCAGTCTGCTGTCTAGAAAAGGATATTTTGCCCTGAACTCGAGATTTAAGCTGTCTTTCATAGGAGAATTCTTTATGGTGGTGGGGGCATCACTCAGGTCAATCTGAGGTCATCTAGATGAGTCAATAGGACTTAAACATCATTTAAACGATTTTCGTTTTTCCTTTGTACTGGATCTAGTCAGGGTGTTTGAATTTTCATCGGAATCAGAAGAATCTGATGAGCTGTCATCTGAGGATTGGTTGTTGCTTTCTGGAGCTGTGGATGTCTCAATGCTGGTTAAAAAATCAAGAGCACGATTTAGGTAGGTTCCTTCAACAGGATTTTTTGCAACACGAATTTTTTTCTTGTAGCTTTTCTTAGGCTTGGAGCATTCCTGATCAGAGTCTAGACTGAAAGGTGGAGGAGATATATTTGACTCAATAAGTGATGCGTAACAATTTACGACTCGAATCACCTTTGGAATGATCATAGGTGACACGCGAATATTATCTTCCTGAGTTTTGTCTAGACATTTCTTTAGAGTTTTGGACATAAAATTAATTATTTATAGTTTAGGTATTATGGTGTTTTTTATTTCTTATAAGAAACAAAACACCTATTTTTATATAAAATAAGCTGCAGCTTGCTGTCAAACTGACATATTGAATAGAAACTATCTTCAGGAACCTGCATTTTTTCATATTTTTAAGCCGCTGGAAAAGCTAAATTTTGTGCTAGTATTAAAAACGTAAAAAAAATTATAAAGTGGGCAGCATGATATTATAAGGAAAACAAGAGAGTAGAACGCTGAATTGTTCCTATTAAAAAATGTCGATTTTGACTTTGCAAGTAGGACAATGCGGAAACCAAACAGGATCAGCCTTCTTTAATGAGCTATATGAAGAAGCGTTGAGATCTCCACCAGCTCTTTCAAGCGCGATTTTAAATACTTACTTCAATTTTAATGGGCAAAAGCACTCTGCAAAAGCTGTGCTAGTTGACATGGAGCCAAAAGTCGTGAATGCATGCCTTAGCCAAAACAAGGAATGAACTTATGATCCTTCAGCTGTATTTTGCAAGCAAGAAGGCTCAGGAAATAACTGAGCATTCGGTTATAATGTTCATGGAGCAAAGTGCAAAGATAAAATTTTGAATAAAATAAGAAAGCAGCTTGAAATGTGTGATGTTCTTCAAGGTATGCTTCTCTATATGAGTCTTGCTGGAGGAACAGGCTCTGGAGTTGGCACATGCATCGCAGAAATGGTTCAAGAAGAATTTGATGCAAATTTACTAAGTATTGCAGTTTGGCCTTATTCATTTGGAGAAGTGATTTTGCAAAACTACAATACAGCTCTCACTCTGTCTCATTTAGTCGAAGCTGCAGATGGAATTTTATTATTAGAAAATAATTGGCTTTATCAGACAGCAATAAGCTGTCTAAATGTTCCAAAACCTGATTTCACTCACATTAACAAGCTTTCAGCATCAGTCCTTACATCTGCGTTCACCCCAATCATAAGGCCTAGGCAAGTCGCTTCATATTCCCAGTTTGGCGAAAATCCATTACGAGCTGTGTATCGGAACCTTTGCAGCAATACAGGCTTTCCCTTCTTAGACATAATCACTACCCCTCTTCAATCAGACCAAAGCATTGAATTTTCCAATGATACTTGGTCAACTCTAGCTAAACGCTGCTCTCAAATGCTTCTAACCAATACATCTGAGCCAAGTATCAACTGAAACATGAACATTACATCCCCCAAAAGAAACAAAGTGCTTTCCTCAATCTCCATATTAATTCCCCATTTAATATCAAACAGTTTTTTTTTCGTTATTTTTTGGGGTGTACATTTATATGGAATTATTTTAAAGTTTATTTTCCAAATATTTTTAAAAATATTTTGGGACTTTAAAAGAATTTAAAATGAAACAAATGAGAAAAAAACAGAATAGCATTTTATTAAAAAGTGGCTATTGTAGTTAAATAATACTTATTTTTTTTAGAAATTAAAATATTTGTTCTTTATTAAAATGTGCCTAATTCCCCTCTCCGTGAACAAAAAATTTTGTTCGCTTCACGGAGGGGGGTTAATTTGTTTTTTAAAAAAATTTATATATAAATTTTTTATAGGAATTTTTTTTTTTCGAAATTTAAAAAAATCCTAATTCGCAAAAATTGGAAATCAAATATTAATTTAATTTATAAAATTTATGTTTTAAAACGCAAATTTTTTAAAATTAAACAGAATTAGCTCGAGATTTCATTATACTAATTTGTCACTTATATATCAAATTTTTTTTCATAAAACAATTTTTGTTCACTCACAGAGGGTGGGTTTTTGGGCAAAATATAGGGATTTTTCTAATGGTTTGTTCACTCACGGAGGGGGGAGTAAGGAAAAATTTTAAGAAAAAAATGATGCTTTGCTCGTTATTAAATGGGGATATTAAGAGGCCGAGAAAGCAGCACAGCTGATCTTTCCTCTATTCCTGCAATGTCAGAAAGCTGGACCAACTTCCCTTATGCAGATTATCGAACTGATATTCGATGTGGAAGCTATGAAAAGCGAATGACGGTGATTAACAACAGTCAAGCTATTTTGGAAGAGCTTGATGCTCTAATTGACAAGACTTTCCGAATGTCTCAATCAGGCGCTTATTTGCACCACTACAATAAATTTGGTATCGAAACTTCTCATTTCTTTGAGTACACATTTCCGTGTTTGGAGCAAGTCATAGCGAATTATGCAAGTCTTTAATGTTTATTTAAATTAAGATAAATAAATGGCTGATCCAAAATCAAGAGCTTATCCTCTGGCTGACGCCAAGCTTACGAATACTTTATTGGAGCTTGTACAACAAGCACAAAACTATTCGCAGCTTAAAAAAGGTGCGAATGAGACTACAAAGTCGCTAAATAGAGGGCAAGCGGAATTGATTATTTTGACAGCTGACACTGAGCCTTTGGAAATTATTTTGCATCTTCCATTGTTAGCGGAGGATAAGAATGTTCCTTATGTTTTTATTAAAAGCAAAGCTGCTTTGGGTAGGGCTTGTGGGGTTTCTAGACCTGTCATTTCTTGCGCGATTACTATTAACAAGAGTTCACCGTTGAAGCCAAGCATTGATGAGGCAAAGGATACGGTGGAACAGCTATTAATTTAACGATACGGCTTATTCAGATGGTAAAATGTGTCTTTTTCTTTAGAGTCTAGAAGGATGTAAAATTATTTCATTCAGAATATCATGTGTTAGCGTCATGAAATGCATTATATTTATTCTTTTAAATTGTTTGCTTCATATTCATAAAATGGTCGGTTACGAGCGACCAGCACTCCTCGTGGGGTCCTTATGTATATTCGAGCGTGGTATTTTGGTGCAAAGAACTGCCCAAGGATTGGTTAGCCTCGAAGTGAGAGGCACAACACTATTTCCGCTGATTAGTGGCCTGATTCGAAGGAAGTTTTTTACAATTTTTTTGCCAGCAGCGTTAAGGCCCAGAATAGGTGCTCGATAGAGTCATGGCGGCTTGCTTGCCTAGGCTACTTTGTGGCCTGTCCTGAACTTGAGAAAGATAATTGAGTTTTTTTCCTTGGAGAAGATCCGGAAAAATTGGGAAGACAGGTTAGATGGAGATCTCAGGGCTAGTCTCTCCAGTCTAAAAGAGTCCCTCAATGGGAAGATCTGGCCTAAGCTACGCAAGGTTGGGCAATTTTGGCACTTGGGTTTGAAATGGAGGTTCCCGGCAAAATCTGGATTTTCAAGATCAGGAGGAAAAAGCCTCTACCAAGAAATCTAGGTTTCGGTTTGGGCTCAAAAAATGCCTTGAGGAACACACCTACAGACGTTGGCCTGCTAAATGCACAACTCTTCAGGAAGTGGGGATTATAAATACCCATTGCTATCTAATACAAATTGTATGCGTTCAGCTAATGCCTAAAAATTATATATGTGAAATAGTATAAGATATAATTCTTTATTAAACTAATTTATAGTTAATGAAAATTTTGAGGCAAATAAATTGCTTTAATATTATTAAGAGGATAAATTCCATAATAAATTGCTAATATGTTTATAAATTTTAAATTCATTTATATCATTTCTTGAAACTTCCAAAATGAGAGTTACAAATTCTATCAAGTTTTATGCATCTTCATAAGAGACTTATTGCCAGAGCCTTATTTTGCTTAGACTTTTCCAATAGCTTAAGATGCAAATTGAGGGTTGGCTCTTTTCAATTTTATTTGGTTAAACCAATTCCCATGCGAGTTCATTTCTGCTGGAGAGATACATTTTAAGAGTTGACTTGCCACTTATATTTGTTAAACCAATCCCCAAGGCACTATATAATTTAAAGTTAAATCCTAAACCAAAGTATGGCTCTGGCTATAAACATTAAGTGAAATAAAAATAGCAGATTCTTTAAAAATCATTATACTTATCAAAAATTTTACAAGAATTATCAGCTTTATTCATAGTAAATGGAAAAACCAAATGTACTTCAAAGCTACCTTCTGCCAGACCACATCCTTCCGAAAGGTCGAAGATCACGCGTGTCTTCTCAAAACCAAATAACCATCAATATATTAAGAACTGACAGTATTAAAGATACTGAATCTAAAAATCAAACTCTCCTGCCAAAGACCCAAAATATTTCCCCTACAAACGAAGGATCCGCCATATCCAGAAACACAGAATTCAAGCCTTCTCTAATTCCAATCCAAAGAAACACTAAAAAACGAAAAACTCTGAATGACAGCCCTGTTTTCACAACTGAAGACTTGTCTGTACATCACGAGAACGTAAAAGAGCTATTTAAAAATATCTCTCCTGCTATGTTTCAACGCAAGTCCAAAAAATTTGTGAAGCTCAAAAGCCTTCCTCCAATTGACCCGCCAGTAAAACTAGCGACTAAATCAACATGGAATTTTGACATAAATAAGCCAAAACCTAGAAAATTGACACAAATCCAGTCAAAACCTGTATTAAAGCGAAATAGATCTTTTGAAATATCTAATATCAACAACAAATTATGCCATTTATTGTGATTGGAGGCTTCTATTCTGAACTATTATTTTGTTATCTGTTAGAAATAGATAATATAGCAGATTAAAGAAGATTTTAAATCTAATCGTTACTATAAATGATAAATTCCCCCTTAACATCTGTCTGGATAAAATCAATTGGCTTTCAACGAATTTTTTCAAGCCAAAAATCTCTGTTAAAACTTAATAAAGCTCTTAAGGCAGTCCTTTGCTTTACCCAAGATAGAGTGAAGTAGTTAATTAGCCTTGAGCATTGTAATAAATAATAGATTACTCTATTAAAATATAAAAAAATTGCAAATGAAAGCTAATGGAAACTTGAAATTATTTGTTAAGCCTCAAACTTCTTCTGCATTAAGCAGACCTCATTCAGTGAAAATCAAAAAAAAATATGCAAGGCCTCAATCAGTCGATTTTGCGAAGAAAAAAGCAGCGGTTTTAAAAAGTTTGTCGGTAAATAGCTCATTTGCAAACTTCGAGACAGTCAATAACTGTAAAGGCTCTTCTAATAATAGCAAGAGAAATTCCAATAGAAATGAGACAGGCTGTGCTCTTGATGATCCAAAACTTCCGCCAGTAAACGAAATGGAGCATACAGTTGGGCAATGCTATTGCTATTTATGCACTTGTGGAAAGCATAAATGTCCAGGGGAATATAAGCCTAACACTAAATTTGCAATGGCACAGTTTTCAACAAACTATAAAATTGAATATTATAAGATTGGATTGGGTTAAATTTCTAGCAGATTTTTAGGGATTATTTCAGCCCCTCGCCATCTGACGATAGCTTCGCGCTGGCCTTAAGCACCATCATCATACCTGATCTTTGGCACTTGAAGGCACCAAAATGGGTCACAGAAGTCTCTCTAGGAGACTGCCCTCCCCGTCTTCTGGGCTCCAGCCAACGAAAAAGGCTCCTTCAACTTCCAACAGAGCTCGGAATATTGGCAGACCGCCTCTGCCTCCTTCATGACTTGTCTTAGGCGTATTACGGGCTCAGTAATGCTCCCATGAAATGCCGAAGGACGTTGCATCGGTAGGCACGTCTGCAAGCCAAGGGAAAAAAAGGTCCGGGTTCAGCCCCTGATCCAAATTCCCTCCGGAGAGAATTACCTCAATGTGGCTCTTCTCCTCAGGGTCCGGATCAACTCAGGGACCACCAAAGCCTATATCAGATATCGCCATTTTAATAATTCTTAATATTATAAGAAGAAAAGATTTCCAATCGTTAACTTAGTAAGTAATCCATCTTACAGTCCGAATAAATTTCCTTTTGAAAATATCACAATAAAACGGCAGGACTATAAACCTCATCAAATAGAGCCTCAAAAAAAATTAGAAAAAGAAGGATCGAAGGACCAAAAGCTTAAATTTGCTGGGAGGAGCACATATGATGCTGATTACTTGAACTGAGGCCCTGCATTCATTGAAAAATCGTACCAGCAATCTTTACCATACAGACCGAAGGAAGTGAAAATGAATATTAAATCAAGCTATATTGAGGAGTTTTCAAAAAAGCTGCCGCTTGAAAATAAAGAAGCCAATGCTTTTTCAAAATCTTTGGCTTTGAATAATTGAAAGAGCTCAGACGTTTTCCCACCGAATTCAATATTTATAGGAGAAAGCTCAACTAAAAAGGATTTTGGGTCATATAAGATTGATAAGAGGCCAACTAAAGAAAAAGGGAAAATGGATGAAGTTGTACCTAAGCAGTCTTGGATGGGACAATATAGCACAACTTATAACGATTCCTTTACAGGGGAATCAGATGTTCACATTCCTGACTCTCTTCTTGAGATGCTTCTTCCTTTCAAATATGAAGAATAAAAATACATAAAGAAGAATTTCTTTCAGATTATAAAAATTCTTTTTAAAATTCAAATTTATATAATAATTTGGATTTTATAATGGAATCCGTTTAAAATTTAATAGAAGAGATAGAGATCCATATAAAATCATAATTATATTTTATATAATAATTTTTTACTTATTTGGAGAGGAGGCTAATTCCAAAAATAGGAATTTTTTGTTTGCTCATCAATTAAGGAGTAAGAAAAAGGAATTACTAGGAAGAAAGTCACAAAACAGTTTTTATTTATAGATAACATCTTAATGTTATATTTATTTATATGCTTATTGCAAGCTTAATATAATATAGTATATATCTTCCGTATTTATAATCATTCATTTATAAATAAAATGAATATAAAAATATGGGGTGTTTCAATTCTACCCAGAAAAAAGTATCAACTTGTCAAAGCGACAAGCTTTTTGTTGACCATTCAAAAAGAATTTTGAGCAAATTATGCTCAGAATCAAGGAAAAAACCTAAAATATCCTCGTCTTTACACAACTTAAGCAAGTTTCACAGCAAAACTTATTTATTTGTGGTTGTGGAAGCAAATTCATTTTTAGAAGATTCCCCGTATACTGATCGGCACAAAAAAACGGAAGCAGAAAATAGAAATGGCTACCGAAAATGAATGTAATTCATAATATGGAATCATATTTAATTATTTATTTATTCAGTGTCAACTATTGCTATATTTTTGTTTTAAATTGAATATTATAACTATTAAATATCAATCTCTTCATTTCACATTAAAATGGAGGTTCTTTTGCAGTTCCCTTATTTTTGGCTCAGTGAAGGTGGGAGCTACGACTCTTCTGAGAGTTTACCTATGGGTTATGGAGAAGAGCATTCTTTGAAGCTGGGGCGTATGAAGTTCTAACGGTTGTGAACTGCCGTTTTTTGCGCAGAGCGGAGCTTATCTTACGTAAAAGGCTTCAGAAAACAGAAAATCAAGCTATTTAAGGGCTATCTTGCTAACTAACTAGCTTCAACTTCTCCATCAGGAATGTGAGGTATGCTTTGAGAATTTTCATTGTAATTTATTTCATAGTCTTTATTATTTTCATGCAAATTAGTTTCTTCTTTTTCAACTATTAAAGACTATAAAAAATGGCGTGATCTGGCATAGCCTCTAGCTACCCTAGAGTTGATCCGGATCCAGAGGAGAAGAGCCACATTCTAGTAGTTCTTTGGAGTGTGTTTTTTTAGTCCAGGGCTGATCCTTAACTTTTTTCCCTGATTTGTATACGTACCACTAAGGCAAATCACTTAGTACTTAATGGAAGCATTACCGAGTCTGTAATATGGCTCAGGCAGGCCATGGAGGAGGCAGAGGCGTTCACCCACCTGTCAGAGGTTTAGGGAGTTTTTTCGTTCGTTGAAACCAAGGATACGGGTAGGGCAATCTCTCCGAGAGACCTCCTACATCCCCATTTTGGTCACATCAGGAATGAAATGGGCAGGCATGAGGATAGCGTCAGCATCAACGCGAAGCTATCCGTCTAACGGCGAAGGGCAGAAATAATCCCTCTAGAATTTAATCTTGCTCTTTCTCAACTTCAGTTACACTGAATTCTTTTGGCTCTACATCTTCATTCATAAGGATTAATTTTCTTGGGATTTCTAGATCTAATTTGGAATCTTCTTTGCTAATTCTTTCTTTCGGCTCTAAATAGATTATATCTAACTTAGAATCTTCTTTGCTACAAATTTCTCTTAGTTCTTCATGGATTTCTCTTAAAGTTTCTATCTCTAATTTTGAATCTTGTTTACTGGAAATTTCTTTTGGCTCTACATGAGTTAGTTGCCTAGGACTTTCCAGCTCTAATATGGAGCCTTTACTGTTGTCAAAAATTTCTTTTAACGCTGCATGAATTATTTCTCTTGGGCTTTCCAGCTCTTCATTGGTGAAAATTTCTTTAGATCTAGCACTTTCGTTCATATGGATTAATCCCTTTGGACTCTCCAGTTCTAATTTAGAATTTTCTTCGTTGAAAATTTCTTTAGATTTAGCACTTTTGTTCATATGGGTTAGTTCTTTTGGAGTTTCCAGAGATAATTTCGAATTTTCTTTGCTGAACATTTCTTTAGTATTAGCACTTTCGCCAATATTAATTAATTCATTTGGACTTTCCAGCTTGAGTTTGGAATCTTTATTGCTGAAAATTGCTGATTTTTCGCTTTCATTTTCATGAATTAATTCCCTAGGACTTTCCAGCTCTAATTTCGAATTTTTTTTGCTGAAGATTTCTTTTGATTTCACGCTTTCATTCATTTGACTTAATTCCTTTGGACTTTCCAGCTCTAATTTGAAGTTTTCTTTGCTACTAAAGATTTCTTTAGACCTTGCACTTTCGTTAATATAAATTTGTTTTCTTTGACTTCCTGATTCTATTTGCGAATTTTCTTTGCTGCTAAAAACTTCTTTTGGTTCTACACTTTCATTTAAATTAATCAATTCCCTCGAGCTTTCTATATCTAATTTAGAATTTTCTTTGCTGCGCAAATGTTCTACGCTTTCATTCATGTGAATTAGTTCTCTTGAACTTTCCAGCTTTAGTTTGGAATCTTCTTTGCTACTGAAAGCTTTTGACCTTGCACTTTCATTCACATGGATTAATTCCCTAGGACTTTCGAACTTTAATTCTGAATTTTCTTTGCTGGAAATCTCTTTTGATTTTGCACTTTCCTTCATATAAATTGATCCTCTTTTACTTTTCAGATTTAATTTGGAATCTTCTTTGTTGCTGAAAATCTCTTCATTCTTTTCTATTGACAATATTTCTTCTAGTGAAATACTTTGAGTAATAGTCTCAATATTAGAACTTTCAGCAATAGGCCCAGCATTAGAACTTTGGAAAACTGGCTCAGCATTATTATACTGAGATAAAGGTCCAACTTCTGCACTTTCTGAAATAGGCTCAGCGTCTACACTTTCTGAAATAGGATCAACATCTTCACTTTCTGAAATAGGATCAACACTAGGATCGTGCATCAGCTCAGCATTAGTGTTTTTATTATTAGAGATTTGCAAAGTTGGCTCAGCATGAAAACTTTGCAAAGCTTGCTCAGCATCTGTATTTTGAGAAAAAGTTTCTGTATTTATGCTTTCTGAAATTAAGTCGATATCAGATTCTTGAGCAACATCAGGTTTAGTATTTTGAGAAATAGGCTCAAGTTTATTACTTTCTTGTACAGGCTCAAAATTAAAATTTTGCGAGATCAGATCAGCATTAGTGCTATCAGAAATAGGCTCGTAATTAGTAATTTCCACAGTTGGTTCAGTATTAAAGTTTTGTGATATCGGCTCAATATTAGTATTTTGAGAAATAGGCTCGTAATTAGAGCTTTCCAAAATTTGTTCAGAATTGGAACCTTGTGAGACTAACTCAACATTATTGCCTTGGGAAATGATATTACCTCCTGAAATTATTTCAGGAGTTTTAGAATACATAGAGTCTCGGTTCACATTTAAAATTTTATTCTTGATGCTACTTTTAGAGGTCCTTTTTTCATTTTTTTCTGAAGAAGCAAAAGAACCTTCAGAAATTTTCTTACTAACTTTCCTGAGTGAATATTCATTTATATTAATTTATTTGCTTTCTAAATATAAATTTTTTAAAAGAATGCAATTAATCCTTGTTTGAGCATAGACTTAGCAGTAAGAGATTTACCTCTTTGGGTCTTAGATTGAAAATCAGTTTGAGTTGAGCTTTTTCTTTCTCTATTATTGCTCTTTAATGAAATCCTATCAGTCATTGAAAAATCTTTCTTTTTAGAATGATCTTTTGGTAGCACTGAATGAGACCTAGACATAGATGCAAAATTGCCTGTTTCACTTTTATCTTCATCAAGTGGTGGTAAATGATTATATCTCCCTTCAAAATTTGCAAGCTTTTTGAGTTTTTCATGCAATTTTGTTCTGGAAATTGCATTTTTATATTTTTCTATATACATTTTTATATATAATGTAAATTGGAAATATTACGCTCATTTTTTAGTTTATCAATGAAATTAGATATACCTGTTCATATTCCTCAATAAGTTTTTGGCGAGAAACATTTGAAGGCTGATCAGAGAGCCGTTTTACTAGCATTTCATTTTCATATGATATTCTTTCAGATTCTCTTTTTCGTTTAGTAAAATAATAATGCTAATTGCTTTAATACTCAATTTAGTGTCGCCGAGTTGAAAATTTACCTAATATAATGGGTAAGTGAACTAGGATGCTATTTAAACAAAGTTAGCATTTTGAGTCGATAAATTTTATAATCAATATTTACAAAAAAATTAACCCTTTTGAATTTATATAGTTTTTTTATTCTAATTTAAGGTAGAAGGAGCTAGTAAAATAAGGCTCTTGCTCTCATTGAGATCTTTCGAGCTTGATGAATGTTTCTGTGTACGCCTTTTATAGTGAATATCTAATTTCTTTGCTCAATACAACAGTTTTTTGCACTTAATTTAAATAGCATAACAATTACATTATTTTTGCCTAACTTTATCGCATTCAATTTATCAAGAAATTTCTGGTTCTGCTTATTAATTTCATCAGCTTTTTCTTGCTCAAGGAACGCCCTTGTCTTTTCTTTCAACAAACAATGTTTCTTACTCCCCCCCCCCCCTCCGTGAGCGAACAAAAAAATTTTGTTCGCTCACGGAGGGGGATTAATTTTTTTTTTTTTAAAAAAAATTTATATATAAATTTTATAAAAAATATTTTTTTTTCGAAATTTAAAAAAAATCCTAATTTGCAAAAATTGGGAAGCAAATATTAATTTAATTTGCAAAATTTATGTTTTAAAACGCAATTTGTTTAAAATTAAACAGAATTAGCTCTAGATTTCATTATACTAATTATCACTTATATATCAAAATTTTTTTCCATTAAAATTTTTTCTATTAAAAAAATTATTGTTCACTCACGGAGGGTGGGTTTTTGGTCAAAAAATGGCGATTTTTCTAATGGTTTTGTTCGCTCACGGAGGGGGGGGGGAGTTAGCATCAAAGCTTGATTTACTCGATTTTCTCGAGTTTTTCTTTTTGATCTCATCTAAGCGTTTTTTATGCAGCTTAAATGAGTTTTCTCTATCCCAAAGCAGAGAATAACTCCCTTCTGTTATAGGGATGCTCATAATGGTTTATTTATTTATACATTTCTCATTATCTTTCCTATTCTTTAAGCACGCACCAAAAATTTCCAGTAATTAATCAATCTCCCACTGTCTCTAAGAATTCCGATAATTCAAATAAACTCCTAAATTCTTATAAAATGCTTAAACTTTGCCAGAAGATTTCTCGTCATTTCAAGACATCATCTCGGCTACTGAACAACATCGAAGTCTTTGTCGACGGAACACCAGTGTCAGTAGCTCCCGACTACTCCATCCTCCAAGCTTGCCAAAAAGCTGGTGTCGTGGTTCCCCACTTCTGCTTTCATGAACGACTGGCAGTCTCCGGGAACTGCAGAATGTGCATTGTAGAAATCGAAAAAATGCCCAAAGTGATGACAGCCTGCTCTATGCCAGTTTCTCCAGGCATGAGAATTAACACCAAGTCAGAAAAGACGTATAATGCCAGAGGAGGTGTTATGGAATTTTTGCTTGCAAACCATCCGCTAGACTGTCCTATTTGCGACCAAGGAGGCGAATGCGACCTACAAGACCAATCAGCGCTTTATGGCTACAAAATTGGAAGGTTCATGGAATACAAGAGAGCTGTGGAGGATAAAAATTACGGCCCACTTGTTGCTACAGTAATGACAAGATGCATCCACTGCACCCGCTGCATAAGGTTTTATGAAGAAGTCGCAGGAATTCCAATTCTTGGAACAACTGGAAGAGGCAGAGAAACTGAGGTCGGGACCTATGTGGAAAAAATGGTGCACAGTGAGCTTTCAGGAAACTTGGTAGATTTGTGCCCAGTTGGAGCTTTGACGAATGCTCCTTATGCTTTTACTGCCAGGCCTTGGGAACTGAGAAATGTTATGTCAATTGACCCTACAGACTCAATTACTCCGTCAATTGAAATCAGCTGCAAAGGTGGAGAAGTCAAAAGGGTGCTTCCAAGGCTCCATGAAGAAGTCAATGAGGAGTGGATTCATGATAGGTCACGCCATGCTTTTGATGGCTTGAAAAGACAAAGACTAAATGCTTGCTTAAAGAAAAAGGCTGATGGCAGCTATGAAGAACTTACTTGGAAAGATGCCCTAGAAGTTCTAGCTGAAGAGGTTTCAAAGACATCAGGAAATGATATGGTAGGAATCATTGGTGAATTTATGGACGTTGAAGCAGTTGTTGCATTTAGAGATTTGATGTATAAGCTTGGATGTGAAAATATTGACGCTAAAAAGAATGGAGTCAAACTCAGCCCTGATTTCAGAAACAACTATTTGATGAACTCCAGAATTTCTGGAATTGAAGAAGCTGACTTGCTACTTGTAATTGGAGCCAATTTAAGGCTTGATTCTCCTGTTATAAATGCAAGAGTTAGAAAAGCAACTGTCTTGAATGGCTTAAATGTAGGACTTATTGGAACTGATGACTATTTAACTTATGACCACACCCACTTGGGAACCTCCACGTCAGCGTTAACTGATTTATTAAAAGGAACCCACCCATTTGCAAAAACATTAGAAAAAGCAAAATTCCCAATGATTTTGGTAGGAGCAAATGTGCTGAAAAGAGAAGATGGGGAAGCTGTGAACTCCGTAATCCAAGAAATTGCAAAGAAATACAATGTAATTAAACCAGAGTCGAACTGGAACGGATATAATGTGCTACATAATGAAGTAGGCACTGTTGCTGCATTGGAGGTTGGAATCACCAGCGAATATGACCCTAAAGCTAAGCCAAAGTTTATGTATTTATTAGGAGCTGATAATTTCAAACCTGATGAAATCCCAGATGATGCTTTTGTGGTATATCAAGGAACTCATGGAGATGAAGGAGCGTCTAGAGCCAATTTAATTCTCCCTGGAGCTTCCTATGTAGAAAAGTCAGGGTCTTATGTGAATACTGATGGAAGAGTAAGTCTAGGATTAGCTATTAGTTAAGATTATGAAAAGCTCTCTGTGATATCACGAATGGGTATTTATCTCCAACTTGCTTCGCGATTGCCTGCAGTCTGCATATAGATTTTTGTCATGGATAGCGCCATTAGCCTATGAATTAGTCGCTGAATCCATATTTTGGTTCGGTCAATCGGTCAAAGTTATTTTTGGTTGGATCTGCTTAAATTTTGGCCAAAAAATATTTGGCCGAACCGAAATATGGAATCAGTGATCAATTCATAGGCTAATGGCACTATCCATTGCAAAAATCTATCGGCTATGCTCATCCAGAAATGGTCTCGCACACTAATTGGAGTGTAGAGGGATAGATCGCTGTGCTGTATGTCTTATTTGAGTTGCCCTTCCAGAAATAAAAAAAAAACGAATTTTATGGCCAAGGTGTCAGCCAAGATTCTTGCCCAGGGAGCAACTCCCAGTATCACGTAGGAAATGACTCGATAGTCTCAAGCACTCTGCTCTGGGCTTTCCCTTTCCAAAACCAAACCTCCATCTTCCTCAGAGGAAAAACCTCGTCTTGGAATGAGCTGCGACTTTATCCGACATCACACTTTACCAAACCAAGGAAAAACTGGCCAGAAGCACATTACCGAACGCCATCCTCCCTTCCACAAGGTCCTTGGTTTTCCCTAACTATAGTGTTAAGAGAGTGGGTTATTTCTCACGCCATTTTAATATATAGAGCCAGTCTAGGCAAAAAAGCAATACCTGCTCCAGGACAAGCTAAAGCTGATTGGGAAATCCTCAGAGCACTCAGTGAGGTGCTAGGCCAAACACTGCCTTATGACAATTTGCAAGAAATAAGGTACAGAATCGCTGAGCTTGCTCCACATTTGATTAAGTATGACTATGTTGAGCCTTACAGTTTAAGCTGGCATACAGTCCCTGTGAAAGGTGAAGTAAACAAGACAGTCATAAGCGATTTTATTGATAACTTTTATATGACAGACGCCATTTCTCGTGCTTCTCCAACAATGGCGAAATGCTCTGAAGCTTTTAACCCAGCTAGGAATACCAACTTTGTCCCTGAAGTCCCTATTAGATAAATAATACAATGTTAGGGATAATAAAAAATAGTTTCGATTAATCAATGGCATTTTATAGATTTCCATTAAATATAATGAATAAATGGGAAACATTTGCTCGAACTCTCCAATCCCTAAGCCTTTAAAAATAAAAAATCCACTTTTAATGCAGCGTTTGTATGAGATAAAGATTAAGCCAAGAACTTGAACCATTAGTTTAAAGATAGCAAAAGAAGAAAGCATAGAAATACTTCCAACTACAGAAAACTTATCAGACGAATTTACTCAATTAAAGGAGCAGCATAATGATGAAAAAATCCACTATAATGACTATTATAACAAGTCAGCTAAACTTTCGGTATATTTAACTTAGATGAAGCTTTTTGAGATAGAAGAGGAAAAACGAAAAACTAAAGAAGATATTGATGAACTTAAAAGCAAAATTGAACAGATAAATAAAAATATAAGGAATAATTCATGTGAAAACAAAGAAAATGAAATTGGGAATTTATTGGATAATATTGACAGAGATAGCAGACAAAAACAATTGCTTGAGGAAGAACTTAACTGTGCTTGCGAATATTACTGGCCTTTAGCTCTTGAGTATGAAAATTTAAGTAAAGTTCTGAATGGGGGCGAGTCTATCATAAATTATTATCAATATGTTTTAGGGAGTTTAAAAGCTCATTTAGAAGAGCTTGAAAAGAATAATGCAATATAGAAATTTCCCATAGATGGCGCTGTTTGCCTTTGATTTGCCCATGAGGAAAATTTTTTGGTTTGACCAAACCATATGGTACTGGTCGAACCAAAAAATTTCCACAGTGGGCAAATCAAGGGTAAACAGCGCGATCTATGGGAAAATTCTATATTGAAAAAAGAATTGGATATTGCAGCAAATTATTTGACCAAATAAGCAATTCAACACATAACTTTATGCATAATTTATATTAATTTTTTATAAATCGATTTCTTCATATGCATTAGGAGGCTGATATGTTCCAATTTCTTGTTGAGCATTAATTAACGATAATTACCCAGGTTTTTAAAGTGGTATTCTCTTCTCCATGGAGCATATCGAAACCTCCCTTTTAGCTCCCCAGTTGATGACGTCGACAGCCTTCTTGTCCAGCAAACATTCCAGAATACCCACCAGAGGGCAAGAAAGCCCCCACTGTTCTCATTGGCCTCACTCTAGACTTGACTCCTGCTCGTGTTCCGCCTAAGGGTCGCCCTCTTCGGGTGTGTAAGCGGTAAAACTATTATGCGCCCTAGAATTCGGGCCAAGTGGCTTACCTTATACGGTGAGTCATATTTGACATTTTACCAGATAAACCGAACCCCATAATTATAAAATTCGTGGAGGAGGAAACGTTTATAGATTAAACCATTTCTGTGCATAATCATTTTATTATTCTTCTTGTTGAGCATGCAATGTGTAAACTGGTGCATCTTTTCCATGCAATACAAGTATTACTTCATTAGACCTCATTTTCACATCTGCACTCCATATAACTTTAATAGCAAACATATATACGAATCTACAGAATAAAAGCCCAAACACAAGAAATCCGAAGTCTTTACATTTCCCATCTATTGTATAGCATTGTGAGATTGAAAATATCAAAGTAAGAATGGTTATTGCAATAAATTCAAAAATCTTGAAAGCACTGTATTGGTGGATTTTTTCTGATTTAATCTTCGTCATTCCAGATATGCCTCCTGTAATAGCAAAAACTATACATACTATGGAAATTATATCAATAAAGCTGGATGAAATGTTGACCAAAGAAATATAGTGACCAAAAAATCCATTAAGTGTCATGATAAGATAGAGTAATCTTAGAATTCCAATTATGACATCAATAATTGCCAAGTGAATTACAGCTGTTTTAAGAGTCATACATTCACAAACGCTTTCATAGGGACTTCCTAAGCACCCTAAAAATTTATTTGGATTGAGTAATTCCATTATTTATAATTAAGAATTAATAACTTTTATATTGCAGGCTGAGAATTTGCTGGCTCATTTGCAGATATGCATTTTTCACTGGGGCAAGATTTCAAATACATTGAAGAAGGCTCGGTATGAAGCATTATATCTTTGGCTCTTTCTATTTGCAGAAAATCAGATTTAATGAATTGCTGGCTGTATCCAGAAATATTTCCATTTCGAAAAATTGGCTGCATTTTGGCTATGATTGAAGGTGTTTTGACTCTCTTGCCTGAAACCATAATATTTTCAGGGATTTTATAAACTGTATGGCCATGCAAGTCAGGGTTTGAATTTTCAGCTTTTAAGTATTTATTTTCTGTATCCTTTCTATTATTCTCATAATCTAATATTTTCCAATTACTAAGTGTGTTTTCCATACATGATTCTTTTTGGATCTTGAGAATTGCTAAAAGTATAACAGCATCAAAAAAAGCACATAAGGTGTAGAAACAACTTTTGTAAACAGACTCTCAATTTCCTTTAAAATGAACTACATTTCCACTTATTAATAGTAAAATAAGAAGAACCAGTATAAACAAAACAAATAGAATGATTGTTACAACATTCTTGGACGCATCAAGGCGCTGTTTAGGTGGCCTGCATTTAACTGATATATCATATGTCATTATATATGGAGTTTTACAAAGTTCACATTTAGTATGGGCTAAATCCTCATTTTTTGACACCAACCATACCTTTAGGCATTCTTGGTGAATATATTTTACAGAGCCAGAGCACTGGCATGGTGCTATTAGAGTATGAGTTTCTGTTTCAGAGTCGAAACAAATCTTACATAATTTTTCTGAATTTAGGTTGCTTTTAATACTTTGAAAAGATGATTCAGGGCTATTGCAATAGGGAAGGACTTTATTATTTTTTGATATTTGAAGCAATGATCTCCTAAATAGCTCTGATCTGGATAAATTTTCCTGGTTATTTATCATTTACAGAGTATGTATATATATAACTCATTATGAAGACATTTTATGACAATAAGTCTAGAATTATAATGGACAGTAAAATGCCTTGGAGACTGACTAATAATTTACAAAATTTAATAATTTTCCAATTCAAATCAAATATTCATAGCTTTTAAATAAGAAGCTTGACCAAGTTGATTGCCTTTGAGTTAAATAATTCATAAATTTTTATATTTTAAAAAATATTTTGAGTAAGTATTCTATACTTGAATTAAGCTATAAAGTAAAACTTAGTTTATAAAACTGAATAATAATTGGAAAATAAACAAAGGGATAGTTAATTTTAATTTTAAGATTTTTGATGGAAATTCTTAAATTGAATTAAAAAGAAGGATCTTTGTTTAACTCTATAGGCATGCTAAAAATGATTATAGTTTCTTATTATTTAAAAATATGTTTAGCTTTGAACTTTCAGCTGATCAAGAAGAGCGTCTGAACTCTATCCTCGACAAAGGAATTGAATCTTTTAATCAATCTCCAGAGAAATTTACAGAAATACCTATATCTAACTCTTTTATTTCTGACCAAAGCACCCAACAAATATTTAAATCTGATTTGGAGGGCATGCAAGATAAAATTGCTATTCTTGAATCAAGAGTGCAAAATTCCCAAACCCATAAAAGATCAAAAAGTTCTTCTCGTTATCGGTCTGAATCTCCATCTGAATTGATTCTTCGAAGCATCCATAAATCTGAATTAGAAATTGAAGAGATGGAAAGGAGCATTATGTCGACTTCAAGCAGCTCAAAAGATATCCCATTAACTAAAAAGTCTGATAGCTTTAAAGCTGAACTGTTCTCTGAAAGGCAAAAAAACATACAAAAAAGAAAGGAAAACGAACTTTTGAGAAAAAAATTAAATCATAAGGAAGATTTACAAATGAAATTTGCAAGGCTGCAAGAAGATTATAATATTTTGATGCAGTCGTTTGAAAGATCGGAAAATATTAGGCTCAAGCAAAAAGAGGTGATAGAGCAGCTTAAATTAGAAATAGTCGAGTGCGATGAAAAAAATATTGAGGAAACTCCGAAATTCAATGATAAAAAACATTTTAAAAGTGTCGGAAAAGAAGGGATTAGGAAGAGTGTGATCAAAAAAATACGGTCATAGCATATCCTGCAATACATAATTTTAAATACTAAATAATTCATATTCTTATATTTTCTTTCAAAATAATTCTTCACCAATTTATGTTGAATCTTTAAAATAAAACCAAGATTTTATTTTTCTTCTTCTCTTCCTCCACCCATTTTCCCCATTCCTCCCATTCCACCCATTCCACTCATACCCATTCTGCCAAATCCTCCCATACCTCCCATAGCTCCAAATCCTCCCATTCCTCCAAATCCGAACCCATCAAGGCCAAAATCTCCAAATCCTCCCATTCCAAGCCCTCTTCCCATATCATTTTGGCTGATTTCCTTCATTTTTTCTTTTTCTTCCCTTCTCTTATTTTTATATTCATTGATTTCTTCTTGGTCCTTTGGAGGCAGATATTTTATTGCATTTTTGCATGCCTGAATAATTTTAGGCTTAAATTGTTCAAAAAATATTCATGATAAATCATCACTGTCTTTAAGCTTTTTGATCATTTTAGTGAACAATTTTTTGTCCTTGACTATGGTAATAATAGTGTTGTTATTTTTAGAATTTCTTGTGAACTCATTTAAGGCTTGACTAATGATAGGATCAATATCAAGCTGATCTCTCTGTTGAAGGCTTTGGGAAACATTGCTTGAAATTTTAGGAGTTTCAGCAGGCAAATTTTTTTCTATTGGCCTAATTGGCTGATCTATTTTTGGTGGTGCTATAATTTCAGTGTCAACCGGCTTATTCAGTCTTGCTACCATTAGCATAATTTTAGAGCCTTCTTCTATGGAATATGAGGAAAGATCCCTGTCTCCTTTGAGTTCTCGACCTTTGTATAATAATTTGCAATTTTGAATGTTTTGATTATACTTCTCATAAAATAAATTTTTAAAATCTTGAATTGAAGCATTTTCACCAATTTCTATATCATAGTTATTCTTTTGAGAATCTAAAACGTGAACTTTCATTTTTATAGAATTTTAATAAGAAGTGTGAGCTTAAAAATTTTTATTCATATATTATTTTGGTACTTCAATATATAGCAAACTCTTTATTATTTATTAGGCAAATTTATATTTATTGCTGAATTTATTCAAAAATAATATATTAAAAGTTTTTGTCCTCTATGTCTGATGATAAAGAGTCCTCGCCAGATATTGAACTATCTTCATCTGACTCTTGGGGACTAGAGCTCTTTTTGTTTAATTCTGAGAATTTATCAGATCCTCTATTCATAATTCTGTCCATTTTTCCCGTTCCAAAGTTTTCCAATCCTCCGAGGCCACTCATCATTCCAGATCCGTCCATTCCCATTCTTGCCATACCACTCATCCCGTCAATTCCTCCCATACCTCCTATATTTCCAAACATTCCCAAAGTTCCTAAACTGCTTAGACTTTCTATTCCACTCATTCCACCCATTCCAAACATTCCACCCATCCCTCCTCCCATTTGACCCTGATTTTGTCTTTTGATTGGTTGATCTGGGATTTCTTCAATTCGATTTCTTTGGGTATTATTAATGCGCATTATTACTCTCTTCTTACAAGCCTCAATAAAGGCTTCTTTATTGATCAAAAACCATGTTTTTACATTAGGATCTTGTATTGACAATTGTGAAATAACTCGCTCATATTGGTCTGGGGAGGTTGCAATCTCCACAATAAAACGCTGAAACTGCGGATTACTCATAAATTGATCTACCACGTTATTTATATTATCCAAAGCGACCTGCATTGTAGGCTGATCATACTGAGTTTGAGCTATAAGAATTTCAACAGAGTCTTCTAAATTTCCATTTGTTTGAATTAATACCTGTTTAGATAATTCAGGATCAAAGCCCATCATAATCAATTGGCAGACCAGTTCATCAGTAGCTGGACTCATCAAATCTCTGCTCAGCCTTTGCAAAGGCGTTAAATCAGACAGGGAATTTTGAGTCTTTTGAGAGCCAGAAGAAATTGGTTGTGGGAAATTCGGCTCTGAAGAGATTTGAGGCTTTTTTGAGCTTGATGAAATATTTTGTGGGAAATTAGGCTCAGGGATTTTAGGTTTTTGTGAAAAAGACGAAACTGGCTTTGAAAAATTCTGCTCAGGAGGGATTTTTACTTCTTCTCGCTTCTGAAATTTTGATTCCAATAGCGCAATTTTAGAGCCTTCTATAATTGAGTAGTCTGAAAATTTTTTGTCATCTTTAATCTCGCGGCCTTTGTAAATTAGTTTGCAATTATCAATATCTTGATTATACTCCTGGCGGAAACGATTTTTAAAATCTTGAGGTGAAGCACTTTCTTCAATTTCAAGAACATAGTGATTCTTTTGTTTATCAGTGACCTCTACTTTCATATTTTATAGAATTTGGTATAATGTTATATTAAGATAAGGATAAATAGCTTTATTGATAAGATAAAATCAATAATTAAAACTAAAATTACTTGCTATCGAATACGTTGAAACTTATATGCATTAACTTAATTAAATTATTGGTTTTATTTTATTTTACAATGGTTCGTATTTGATATCATCTTGAAAAATCCATTCAATTGGATACCTAAACAGAATCAGCTCAACAGATGATTTTTCTTGTTTCACTAAAGCATGAAGCATATTTCCTATTTCATCAAAACAAGACTCCAGCAAAAAGTATCTAGAATCAATGAGCTTTCCTTTTTCTGGCTCACACATAGCAGCGTAAAATGTAAAGCTTGCAGTGGCTGTAACAATATTTGCAATTTTTTTTGGAAAATATTCTTTTCTACACAAAATAATAGTGGAGCCATATTTTTGTTTCAGTTTTATTAATATCTGCTGAAGCTTCCTGCTAAGTGCTGCCTCAAGCAATGCTTCTTTGTTATGTTTTTCATTAATATTGCTCTTATCTAAGTGCAGAACTGAATCATGCATGAGAAAAGTGTTATATGAATCAATGATAATAAGAGATCTAAGCTTTGAATCTTTTAAAAAGCTTGAAAGTGAGGCAGCTTGAATTAAGAATTCTTGGAGATTAAAACTGCTGTATATTAGAACTTTATGAGGATTTTTGAGATCCACAACTTTTAGGGTTCTACACATATTGAATCATATAATTATATCGAATTGATCAGAGGCTTGATTTGCGATATATGTTAAAAGACATTTTTTACTTTCGCTTAAAGTGTAATTCAGCTCTATAACTTCGCCTTCTTGGATATTTCATTTTCCGAGATCAATAATGGCTGGCCTTATATTGATTCATTCATCTAAGGTGCAGTCAAAGATTTTTGATTCCATTTATCACTGACTCCGTGAACAAAACCATTAGAAAAATCGCTATTTTTTGGCCAAAAACCCACCCTCTATGAGTGAACAAAAATTTTTTTAATAGAAAAATATTTTATGGGAAAAATTTTGATATATAAGTGATAACTATTATCATGAAATCTTGAGCTAATTCTGTTTAATTTTAAATAAATTGCGTTTTTAAAACATAAATTTTACAAATTAAATTAATATTTGCCTTCCATTTTTCGAGAAGCAGGATTTTTTTAAAAATTTCGAAAAGAAAAATTAGCCCCCCTCCGTGAATAAAAAAATTTTTTTATTCACTTACGGAAGGGGGGAGTAAGATTTAATTATAAATCAATCTATAGTCAGCAATCTGCTGCTAAAAGAGAATTTTTATTGATTTTTTATAAAGACTCTATAGTCTCATATCAATAAACATATTTAAATTTAAACTTTCCCTCCTTCTCTTCAAAGCTTTAGGGTCTACCTATTATTTTTTAATTATGTGTTTCTCGTTAAATTTATAATGTCAAATTTAATTCAAGCAAATTTCCACATTTTCCATAGATGAACTAGTTCTACGCTTTTGGTTTTTCTTAATTTGGTCTCCTAATTTTCTAAGCCTTTTCCTTTTCTTCGGCTCCTGCTCAATAACTTCTTTTTCCTCTTCCCTTCCCGCTTTAATCATCGCTAATTTTTGATTTTCTTGGATTTCTAATGGTTTTTCTATTATACACTCATCACAGAACCATTCGTCTAATTCAGGTATCTGCTTCAGTCCAATGCAGGTTGTATGAAATCCATTGTCGCACTCGTCACAAAGAAGCATAATATCTTCATCAAGGTCAGACCCGCACTTTATGCATCTCACTTCAATAAGAAATGGATCGTTTACTTCAGGCTTCTTTTGGTCTTTATCTTCGATTGAAATTGTTTGCTGACCATTTAGCTCTTTTATTGTGTAGAACCGTAAATTGCAAAGCGGGCATTTATTAGTGACATTAGCCCAATCTTTGATACAGGCAAAGCAAAATTGATCGTGGCCGCAATCGATGATACCGCGTGCAATGCCGGGCTCTATGCCTTCTATACACACAAGACAACGGACTAATAAGTTTCCATTGGCGTCACATACTTTATACTTAGGCTCGGACTTAGATTTCTTTTGGAGTCGCTTTCTCATTTTAATTTAAAATATTGTTTAAATTCGTGTTGGGTGGGTTATGAAAGTCTAGAATCTAAATTGACTCTTATTAAGATAATAGATCATAATTTTACTTGTGTCAGGACATGACGAATTCAAGTGCAAATATCAAAAATAATTGTCTATTCTAGAGAAATCTAAAAAATAATTAATAAGTAATGATCATTGTAAATAAAGATTAGATTAAGTTAGTTTCATAATAAGAATTTAATAACTCCCGTTTAAATTAACATAAAATACTTTAAATTTAATTTTTATAGATAAAAGTGGTAATCATTTATAGTTAATAATAACAAATCAATAATTTATTAATAACTTAAGTAGGATGCTATTAAAGAAAACTAACATTTTAATAATTTTGTTTTCAGTTTAAGGGGGAAGTAAGCAATAAAAATATGAGAATTACTATTGAGCCAGAAAGAACCTTGGGAATTGAAGCTATATCTGTTGATCCAAACTATGATGATACAATTGAAAACGTAATGTGCTTGATATCACTTAAAATAACGACGGTATCATCAAGTGAACTGGAATTGATCTACAATGGAAGACTACTCCCTCTTAGTACCACTCTTGATAAGCAAAATATTAGAGAAGGGCACACTTTGCAGCTAAAAAGGCGAAGAACTAGCTGTTGCACCTTATTATAAAAATTTTAGTTCTATTAGCTCTAGTATTCTAAAAATTTATTATTTAAAGAACAGGTTGTCTAATAATCCATGAAACTGAAAAACTAACTTAATTTCTAAATTTAAAAAAATATTAATTCCACAGAATTAGTATATAAAATTTCAATTGCAAATATTGATTAAGTTAAGCCTATACTAAACTTTATTATCGAAACTCTATTTAACATAATAAATTTTATGCTAAAATTGAGAAATCTATTTATTGGATTATATATATGTTAAAATAATATGTTAACAAGAATAGCTAACTTACCTCCGTGAGCAAACAAAACCTTTGAAAAAATCCCTATTTTTTGCCCAAAAGCCCACTCTCTATGAGCGAACCAAAATTTGTTTTAATATACAATTTTGATATATAAGTGATAATTAGTAAATGAAATTTCTAGCTAATTCTCTGTTAAATTTTAAAACATAAATTTTACAAATTAAATTAATATTTGATTTCCAATCACTCCGAACTGGGATATTTTTAAATTTCCAAAAAATATTTTAATAGAAAATTTATATATAATTTTTAAAAAAAATATTTATCCCCCCGTGATCGAACCAAATTTTTTTTGTTTACTCACGGAAGCAGGATTAAGAGGCTCACTCTAATATCACGAAGCCTCTCAGAAGTAGATCGAGCAAAAATAGCAAGGCCGCCTGCAGAAAATGAAGATACTTTATTTGGCAAGATTGCCAGAAAGGAAATTCCTGCCAATATAGTCTATGAAGATGATAAAGTGTTAGCATTTAGAGATATAAGCCCAGCAGCTCCTACTCATATTTTATTAATTCCAAAAGTAAGAGATAGCTTAACAAGGCTTAACCAAATTCAAGAAAAGCATAAAGATATACTTGGGCATATGATGTGGGCTGCTGCTGAAATTGCAAGAAACGAAAAGCTTGAAGAAGGATGGAGACTAGTTATCAACGACGGTCCATTAGCTTGTCAATCAATTTACCACCTTCATTTTCATATAATTGGCGGAAGACAATTAGGCTGGCCTCCAGGATAAATTTTAATTATAAAAAAATAAGCAAAAAATTGATTTATAATAAAATATTAAGTAATTCACAATTAACTGTTCTAATGAACCGCCCTATTGCACATAATTGCGAGTGTCTGATTTATTTCATTTTGAATTTTTTCAAGCCAAATTATAAAAGAAAATGAATGATTTCCGTGTATGTAACGACAAGCTAAATCACTCATCTAATTTTATTCAGTCCCAAACTTCTTATTCTAAAGGCAATGTTTTTGATCGACTTCTGCAGGATTCAGCCTTAAGAAAGAAGAACAGTGAAATTCTTGTATACACACAAAAAATAAAGCCAAAGCCAAAGCCTCAAAAACTGGATTATAAAATTGAGGAAATTCTTATGCAGAAGCATCAAGCAGCTCAAGCAAGACTGGCTGAGTTAAAAATAAAGTATCAAGCAGAAGAAGTAAAAGATCTGAGACCAGTTCCTCAAATTAACAATACTTCGAGAAAAATAGTGGAATGAAGCACAAAGTTATCAAGAGAGCAAGAAGAGGGTGTAAGAGATGAGAAGGACTATTCGACTAGAGTTCAGGAAATTCTGTCTAATACCAGATATTCAAAAATGCAATTGAAGCAGGAACCAGAAGAAAATGCACAGAATGCTTTTGATGAAGTATCAAGCATTTCGAGACCAAAACAGACTGAAATATCACTAAAAGAATTGGAAAAATCAGTAAATTCAAAAGACACTACTCCAAGGCAAGCTGCTCCGACGAAAGTATTCAGGTTTCCGTCAGACACAACCCAATTAAACTCTCCAAAATCTTTTGCGAAATTGCAATCATCATTAGATGTCAGCTCTCCTCTAACTCTATTTTGGTTCAAAAATGAATGGAAAAAATATATAATTTTTAAATATTTTTAAGTGGATATACTAAAAAAAAAGGCTATTATCTGTGATTTTATTTAGAAATATGAGATTTAATCAATAAATTCTGTAAATAAATTAATTTTTAATAATTCAATATTCTTATAAAATATATAGATCTACTTGCAATAAAATGAGGGTTAAGAGAAACAACAGTACCAACATCAAGAGGGACAAATGGAGTTAAAACAGATCGTCAAAATCGCACCCAGGAAATCCACGAAGTGCATGGAATGTCTATAGAAGAACTTAGACAAGCAGTTCGAGCAAGGCCAAAAGTGTTTGAGCATGAAGAGCCCCCAGATTTGCTCGAAATGGACGTTCTCGAGAGAGGAAAATTTTGGCTAAAATATAAGCATGAAAAAATAGAACTTGAAAGAAAAAGACTCGCAAAAAGAGAAATTGAAGGATGCACTTTTAGTCCTCAAATCAGTCCTAGAGTGACCACAAACTATTCAGAAAGCTCAATAAACGGATTAAATAGGTCAATGTCAGTCGGCCAACTTAGTTTAAGCTATACACAAATATACTTAAACAAAAAACATTATCGATCATCTTCAAATAGGCTTAGATCACCAAGAGTATTTGAAAAAATACATAAGGCAGTCAAAAAAATACCGCCAAAAATCAAAACAAAATATTCAAGCCAAAGCCCGCCACCAGTCTTGAGAAGTCTGTCTCCAACAGTAAAAAATATTAGTTATCAGTCTGGGTTCAATGTTAACGATTTAATATCCCGAGCACAGCCTATGATAGATTATCGAGCTCTAGGAGTGTTATAAGCTAGTTAATTTAAGCAAATTTAATAACATAAAAAATTACTTTATCCATATCACTTTGACAATTATAAACGTTGCAGCTAAAATAACGCAGCCACATACTGCGTATCCAACCCAGTATACTCATGTACTGGACTCTGTTTTTGGTTGAACTTCAAGTGGCTCCATATAATTATCTAAATTAAATGGATTGGCGAGCCAGCTCACTCTCTCGCACCTGTAGATAGATCATTGGGAGACTTTTGGAATTGAGGATAACGTTCGAATGTGCATTCGACCAGGTTTTTGATTGTCTGGTGAATCTCAATGTCTGGGATGCTGACTTCATTATCTTGTTCAAGCCAGTTTTTACCTATGGGGAGAGGGAGCTAAAAGTTGGAAAGAGGATGCCAAGTTGCCCCAGAATTGGGTTTCTTACTCCCCCCCTCCGTGAGTGAGCAAAAATTGTTTTAATAGAAAAAAAATTTATGGAAAAAAATTTTTGATATATAAATGATAATTAGTATAAATGAAATCTAGAGCTAATTCTGTTTAATTTTAAACAAATTGCTTTTTAAAAACATAAATTTTATAAATTAAATTAATATTTCTTTCCAATTTTTTCGAATTAGGATTTTTTTAAATTTCGAAAAAAAATATTTTTTTTAGAAAATTTATATATAAATTGTTTTTAAAAAAAAAATTGACCCCCTCCGTGAGTGAACAAAATTTTTTTGTTCACTCACGGAGGGGGGGGGAGTTAGCGATTCGGGCATGCTCCCCAGCGCGATAATAGGTATTGCGTCCTAGTCTTTGAATTTCCATCTTGGCTATCAGGTGATAGAAAATATGATTTCTCGAATTTTCTGGAAGCTAATCCGTTAAGACATGGCATGATAATCCAGTGTAAACTCTCATCCCTGAGGATCAACATAGTGCAAGGCCATATTCGAGCTGGCAAGCAAGCGATCGAGCGATGATGGAGGCGAGTAGTAGTGGCTCCCGAGCCTACTGCGGGAACTCTTTATAATAAGTAAGTAAGTAAGACTCCATATAATCAGGCTCAGGGGGCTCAGCAAAGGGATTTCACCACATAATTACGGATATACCCATTGAATTCTTTACCCTCCCCCTTTTAAATTAGACCAAATAAGCCTATTCAATTTAACAACTTAAAGGGATTCATTTTTAAAAAAAATTTATAACTATAAAACACTAAATTATACAATTATTTACTCAAAAAAAAGCTAGTATTTGCTTAGATAGCACTTGCACCTTTAAAATAGAGCAAGCGATAGATAAATTTTAGATTTGGCGAAGCTAAATTGAGTATCAAGGATTTTTGTTTATAGATATTTTTTATAAAAATTAAATTATGTCTTTTCAATTTAAAGTGGGCTAATTAACTAAAATAATAGAAATTTTACCTATATTTTGTTCTAATTAAGGAGAGAAGCTAGGTTCTCAAAAATTGGCTTTTGCGGTGCTATTCTTCGGTTCATTTCTTCAACTTCTGTTTGGTTGTGGATTATTGCTCACAACTGTTCCCAGAACATAATCGCAGTAAATAGCATAAAAGTTAAAGCAAATATTGAAGTCATTACGCTTGCAATAAACAAAAATAAGCTGCCTGATACTACTCTTTTTGATGATCTTGTAAAATACCAGTAAGTAATGCTGCTCATAATTATCAGTGTAAGCAAGCACACTAAAAATACGTACACTAGAAACAAAACAAAAGATTTTTGATTTTTAGCACCAACACAGTTGTTTATCCAGGGGCAATGGTGGTCCATTTTTTGTATACATCTCTGACAAGTGCTGCAATGGTGAGTTCTTTCAGGTTTTCATTGGCTGCATCTATCACAGTATCGCAATCGTTCTAGAGGAATGCTGTCAGGAATTTGAAGGTTAGGAGTGTATCCGGGATCGCCAAGAAGAGCTTTTAGATGAGAAATAATTGCCAAAATCATGCATATAGGCTGCTTTAAATTGAATTCAGTTTAAACTAGTTATATTTTCTTCAACCCGGTGCTATTTTTTTTCAGAAAATAGTAATTTTAAATTGTGATTTTTTAACTTATGCAAGATAATTCAAATCATAAAGCATATTATATATAATCATCCAAAAAATCCCAGCCCAAGTATACTCATTATTTTTTGTAAATCATAGAGGGATAAGCTGAAAAACTACAATCCCCTCGCCCAATGCCAAAAACATATAAGTAAGAGCTACAAAAGTGCACCCCAGTATGTCCACCATCTATAAATCGATTTGTATAATTATAAAATCATTTTTAAATGTCAAAAGTGAAAAATTATGATGTAGATGCACGAATTGAGTCAATAAAAGATTCCTTAATCAAAATCCAGAACTCCTTTACTGTAGAAAGCCAAAATCAAAGTTCAAGCTCAGAGTATTCGATTTCTAAATCTCCTTTATACTCATTAAGTTCTCAGGAGGAATCTAAAAAAAAAGCAAAGGATATTATTGAAAAGCAAGAAAAAAATCAGGAGAATTCAAAGAAAAAGCAGGCATATGAACCTCATAGCCCAAAAAACGAAAATTCAGAAACATTTGACGAGCCTTTAGGAAGACAATTAACATTTGGAAAATCAAAAGACCCTGCATCATCAGTGTGATATACAAGATCATTAGAACCTACAGATATAAAAGCAGAAGACTCTGAAGCAAGACCATTAAAAAAAAGCAAAGATAAATCTGAGATTCATATAAATTCTGAAGAAATAGTTGAAAAACTTAAGCAGGAATTAGCATATAAAGATCTGATGCTAAATGGGCAGACTAATGAGCTTTTAATTATGCAAAATAAGCTTAAGCAGCAAGAAATAAATTATTTTGCCAAACTTAAAGAACTCCAAGACACAGGCAATAAAAATCGTGAAAGAAATATAAATGATGATCTACTCAGACAGCTGCAAGAAAGTGAAACTGAAAGAGAAAGGCTAGAAACAGAAAATCAATCTTTAAAAGAGAAAAAATTGACAATGGAGGCTGAAATTTTGATGCATCAAAGAAAGATTTCTAAATTAAAAAGCAAAAATAAAGAGCTGCTTCACAAATTGAAGCACCATTCTTCTAAAAATACCCCAGCTCAAGATAATTCCATCCCGAAATCACCCAGAAAATCTCCAATAAAAAAGCATGAAGAATCACTATTAAAAGGCGAAGTTGAAAGACTCAAGTCAGAAATCCTGGACATCAAACAAGAAGTTTCTAAAAAACAGCCAAAAAAAGGGCATCAAGATGCATATAAAACTGCTCCAATCACTCCTACAAGCCATAAAAGTAGACCAATTTTCAGTCCTACAAAAGATGGAAAGTTTTCTCCAGAAACAGACCCAATGCTACGAAAAATCCTTGGCCAGTTAATGCTTCTCCTCAAAGTAGACAACGTAGGAGACATTACTCAAGCTTGCCAACGATTGCTTCGTGACTCAAAATCCGCTTTTGAAACCAACAAATTTGTCAAAAAGATAACAAACTTGCTATCTAAATACTCCCAGCCAAACTCATTACAGTCCAAACCTGATTTAGAAAGAGTTTACAAGTGAATTAAAAGGCTAATTGAAGAATACCTGCACGTTAAAAAGCAGTGTGAAGCAGTTTTAAGCCACTCTGCAATTCTTCACAGTATAATGAAGATGCTGAACGTGATATTTCCTGAAGACCTGCCAGGAGAAATTAAAAAGAAACTTTATATTTAAACTTAACTTACTGTCCAATATTTTCATTCTGCATTTGTATATCTTCAACAGAAATTTCGTCAAGCAGCACTCTGCTGTCTAATGGGCTTGTTAAAGCCATACTCAGCTCTTCAAAAACGCTCTTTTGTATGCTCTGAGAGTTCTGCAGCCGCCTTATCAACTCAGTTTCTTCTAATTCAAGCCTGGCGATTTCTTCTTCTCTCATGAGTCTCGCGTTTTCTTCAGCTTTAATTTTCTTTTCAAGCTCAGCCCTTATTTGAGCCTTTTTTTCAGCTTCGAGTCTCATCCTTTTTTCTTCCGCCAATCTTTTCTCATTTTTAACTTTTTGTGCGACTAAGCTTTTCGTTAAAACAGTTTCATTTTTCTGCTGCTCTATACAGTCCAAGTCGTCTTTTCTTCTTTGCCTTTGGGCTGAGGCAGACATTCTTTTTTTGGTTAAAACTGATTCTTTAACTATTTGCTTTTTTAGACTAAATTCTTCTCTCAGTTCATGATTGAAGGCAGCTTTCCTTTCTTGTTCATTTTGCCGTCTTTTTTTTAGTTCGTCTTTGTTTATTTGATTTTCGAGGTTTCTGATTTTTACTTCTTTTGCTTCTAAAACTCTAACGCGAGTCTTTTCGATTAATCTGCTAGCTTTTGCAGCTTCTAGTCTGAGCAAGGCAACTCTATTAGCAAGTCTTTTAGCGTCATCGTCTGCCTGTTTTCTTATTTCCCGCTTAATTAATGAGCAAACTATTAAAAAATCACTATTTTATGAAAAAATTAACATTAGTTAGCGACCAAAAAAAATTTTTTAGAATTTAATATATATAAATAACAGTTATAATTATGCTAATAATATTATATTTTAAAAGCTTACATTATTTAAAGTATAAATTTTATAAATAAAATTAGATTTTTCATAAAAATTAAGTTTTTATATAAATATTTTAAAAAAAAATTATCTATTTGTTTTCAGAAGAAAACCTTTGTTCACTAGTCAATTGAGAGATGTTAGTTTTTTTGCTTCAACAAATCTTCCATGGTGCTCAACAACTCCACACTCAAAGGAATCCCTACTAGGACTTGTGCTCTCCATTTTTAAGTTAAATATACCTGTAAATGGAAGCTGTTGGGTTCCACACATTTGAGTTCAGCCACGCAAAGGGCCAGCACATCCTCAAGAACCCGATGATTGTCAAAGCCATAGTAGAGAAGTCAGCCATCAGACCTACCGATATTGTACTTGAAATTGGGCCAGGCACAGGGAACCTTACAATTCCTCTCTTAGAAAAAGCGAAAAAAGTAATTGCGATTGAAATTGATCCTCGTTTGGTCATAATTTCCTGGTCTTCCAATCGAAAATTTATCTTGCATATTTTAATTATGAGGCTTGGCTTCCCTGGTGAAATTATCCCTGCTATAGGGAAGCAAGAGCCGGATGGTTTTTCATACCGGTCTCCTGACATCAGGGGGTACATTTATCCGAGGTGATGGAGACTGGGATCTTTATTTTGCCTGACGGATCCAATAAATGCCTGAGCTCAAAGAAGAGTCGTCGAAGCCAAAAACTTCAAGACTGGTGTCCTCACTGGTGATCAAAGTTCGAGGTGGTCACACCTTTGGTGGGCCCTGAGAAAATTGGCATGAGTTTACCCCAGAGCCAAATTGGAGGTAGCTGTGGTCAAGCAGCCTAGTAGCGGAGTTAAACGAGTATAGATTAATTAAGATTAAGATCCTCGTATGGTCGCCGAAATAACAAAAAGAGTCCGAGCGACTCCTTATGCTCACAATTTTGAAGTCATTTGTGCAGATTTTCTGAAAACAGAGTTGCCTTATTTTGACATATGTGTATCCAATATTCCTTATCAAATTTCATCTCCCCTAGTATTTAAGCTGCTGTCACATAGGCCGCTGTTTAGATGTGCAGTTTTGATGTTCCAAAGAGAATTTGCTATGAGATTAATAGCAAGGCCAGGAAATGAGCTTTATTGCAGACTTTCTGCTAACACTCAGCTGCTGGCAAGAGTAGATCATTTATTAAAAGTTGGAAAAAATAACTTTAGGCCTCCTCCAAAGGTGGAAAGTTCAGTGGTTAGGATTGAGCCGAGGAATCCAATACCTGATATCAACTTCACAGAGTGGGATGGTTTTCTAACTCCTCCCTATAAATTGGAATAAAAGAATCTGTTCCTCTTTAAAGAGGGGTTAATTTTAATTTTTTAAAAAAAACTTGTTCAATTATTATTATTATTATTCTGCTTTAAAACCATATTAAAATGTAATTATATACAAATTTATGATTTTAATGGCATTAATTTGGTAAAATAGCTATTTGCAAACCTTATTAATTTCCCAAAAACAGAAGAATTTATCGATATTTTGTCGAACTAAAGAGGGGTGTAAGGATTTGTTTTAATAGGAAAAATAAAACTCTGGGTGCTATTTTTAAACAAAAAACAGTCGTAGAAACATTGGAAAACAATTACAAAAAATCAAGAGAAGCTGATGGGATAATAGAAGAAGACACAGAAAACTTCAAAGAAAAGCTTGTCAGAATACTCACTGAATCTGCTATGTCAGATGTTAGAGCAAACAAGATGGATACAGACGATTTCTTAGCCGCACTTACAGCGTTTGGAAAAGAAGGAATCAGGTTTAATTAATTTTATTTTCGCATAATCATAATTATGTTGAAGCTCGCTGCTAAAAGTATCCCAGCCATGGATCTGCCTATTATTGTTTATGAAAGGTCTGAAGACAACTATAATATCAAGCAAGCCCAAAGCTTAAACCGCCTATTCAAGCCTAAAACTTTATTTCTAGGAATCCCCGGTGCATTCATTCCTACTATACAAGTAAAATTCCTTCCTGAATACTTCAGATATGCCAAAGAAATAAAAGCCCTCAGCGGAATTAGCCAAATTTGTGTTCTCTCTGTCAACGATCCTTATAGTTTACAAACTTTTGCAGAAGAAGTTGACTTTGAAGAAAAAATGATCTTTATAAGTGACTGGGAAGGAAAACTCTCACAGTACTTAAACACAACGTTTTACACAACTTCCTTTGGATTGCGGTCAAAAGCTTTTCGATGTGTGGTCGAAAACTCAGAAATCAGCCATTTTGTAGTAGAAGAAGATTGAAAAATATCAACAGTCACGAGGGTTTACAATTTTCTGAAAATCATAACACCATATCACCCTTATCCTTATACTACATATTCAAATTAACTTTTAACTCAGCTTATATTTAATTGAGCCTGTTCCTAAGTCACTAAATATGTGTGCAGCAACTTCTTTTGCGATATTTGCTGCTGAAAGAACTTGGTCTACTGCAAGTCTTCCAGGGTTTTCTTTAATGATTCCTTTAATTGTTCCATTCTTGTCAATAGAAAAATGAAGCAAGCTGTCTGCACATCCTTCTTCTTCAGCAGTTAAATCAAGGACTGAACTGGTATTTATTTGAGCAACAGTCGTAATGATTGGCAGTTCATCAATATTAATCCTAACTGTCCCATCCAGAATTTCAATATACTCTTCTTTTGTGTTTTTATTTACTATCCCTTCTGTGGCTAGAACTTTCACATCTTCTAATGCTGACGTTATGGTCAAGCTTATATGTTCTATCAAATTGCTTGCGTCCTTGTCAAGGATTTCTACGTCAATAAACAGTTTCCAACACTTGCGGCCTGGGATAATACATAGCTGCTTCTTATTAAAATAATTCAGCATCAGCATTTCTATAAGAGATTTCACCTCAGCCATCCTTTCTTTGTCAGTCATTAGTGATTTTCCAGCAAGCTCTATGCTTAAGTTGACAATTCCTTCATCTTCTACTTCAGGCACTCCAATTTCGAGTTTGCAGCCACATATAATGTGTGGTGAGGACAATTCAATATTAAGCTGGGCACTTCCAGGAGAAAGTGTGCAGACTCCTTTTTCTATTTTGATACGTCGGGAGGATAAAATGCCTCTGCCGTCACATCTGCAATTTTGCTTGATTCCATCTGTTATGAACTTTTTCTCACTTTGCATTTTATTAGAGTTATTAATTAAATAGCATTTTAAGCTTGACAGCTTCATTTATTGTGTCTTGCTCGTATCTTGATGTGTCCTGTGTAGAGTTTACAAAGATAATTCGGTCTAGCTCGTCGACGATGTCGAAACTTTGTAGGTGTTGCTTGACGTCTTGTTGGATGGTGTCTTCGTCGTCTAAAATTAGATCTAAAAGATTCAATATCGTTTCAAAAACTGTGACACTGTCTTCTGATAGTAAGGCACAAATGAAATGGCTTGTCTTTTTCTTGAGTTAGTGGGAAGCAGTTCTTGAACTGTAAACTTTTTTTATCATACCTGTGAAATAGCACGTCCATAAGGGCGATTCTCAAAGGTCAGATTTGGCCCTTATAAGTAAATACTAGTTTACTGGCTACCTGTGATATAGCAGTCAACTTTCTCTTGCCTAAATTTTAACGAGAGGTAAAAAGCATCCAGGGAATAAGCATGAAAATATTAGTTGGGTCTATATGAAATGGACGATTTTTTGGGATGGCAAATATTTGCCATACACAGAAAAACGTCCATCGAAAATGAGGCTTTTTTAGAAGCATTAGGGTAAAAGGTTTTCTTACATAATAATGATAATTTAAGATCTCTGATCGTAGCAATTTGATTAAAAGGCCGCTCCCTTGCTCTTGGATGAACTCTTGCTGGACACTAGGCCTTGCAACATATAAATTCCTGCAGCATAACGCTGCTGTTCCTTTAAGGCCTTCTTTTGGATCCCTCATATGCCTTATCAATGCAGGCAAAGCATTTTTCTTGATTAAAGTTTCAACAATATCTGCATTGTTTTCAGATAGAAAACTAATGGCAAGCACAGCTGCTTCAAATTTGTCTCTTTCCTGGCTGTTTATAAATTCAAGCAACTTATCGACAATTCCCGTTTTTAAGATTGCGTCTGTAAAGGATGATTCATGAGAGATGTCCTTGTCTGATGCGAAAATTCCTAATTGAATTGTTGCAAGTGTCCCTATTGTTTTTGGGTTTTCAGCCCAAGAGTGTAAAACAACATCTTCATCCATCGTTATTTTGGTGTTTGACGATAAAAGCTTTAACTCTCCCCATAAATTTTGCTCCGATTTAAAGAGTTTTTTTTCAATATATAATAAAATTTAAATTGAATGCATTTTTTTTTATATAAAAAAAATTACTTCAAAAAAATTAATCAATTCTGTTTATACTCAAAAAATAGAAAATTTAGTGATTTTTTGTTCCAATTTAAAGGGGGGAAAGTAAGAGCTTTTCTAGGTTGACGTTTGACCTTATAAAACTAAGCTCTCTAAGTTGAATTTTACTCTAGTTCTTGATTTAAATGCTTGCTGTCTACTGATGCAACATTAAAGTTTTTTCGATAGTAGTTATTTTTGTTGCTGATATAATTACTGGCAACACTTGAAAAATAAGTTTTATCGACTATTTCGTGGCCTTGCTTTATTTTTATTAAGTTAGGATCTTCCATCGGCTTTTGTATCTAAATTCTCTCTAGTGAGTTAATTAAATTTCTTTGCTTGCTGAATAGAGGGGATTATTTAAAAGTCCCATTGCAAATATTTGAGAGTGAAAATTAATGTAATTTACGAAATTTATGTTTGAGAATGCAGGCTGCTTAAAATTTTATAGAATTAGCTAGAGATTTCATTTTAATAATCATTGTTCATATATCAAAATATTCTTATAAAGAGCCATTATAATAATAAAAATTTTAGCCGCTCATAGAGAATTTTCCCTATAAAATAAAATCTCTTTCCAGTCGTTTATTCTTAACTTGTAGAGGAAGAGTAAGTAGAAAATACTCTTCCAGAGCAGCATCCCATTTTACTACAAGATAAATATTAATTTTTTAAAGCTTTTAAGTAAACTATTTTTAAGGTTTAAAGAATAGCAATTTCTTTTAAAATAATAATTAAAGAGCATTATATTTGAAATTAACTAACTCTAATAAGTTTTTATACCATCTAAAACATCAATATTGAAATAACTAATTTTTTTTGAGTATATTTTATAGGTATTATTTATCCTCAATCTCTTGAGGTATCTGATGCGAAAAAAAATTATATAGGCTATTTTTCCTAGGCCTCATTCTTGATCGAAGAAATGGTAGTTCGATCAAGGATAGGGATTAAGAGAATTATAAAGATCCCCAATTCCTTGCTAATGCCTATATTATAAAAATGGATATTTTGAAAAAGGCAGACTTAGGCCTGAAATGTGGGAGATATGAGCAGACACTCGAGCTTCTTTTTACCTACCTCGAAAAGCAAGAAACAATTATAAGCAGCCATTTAGAGCTCCTCGAGAAATCTTTCAGATTTGTACTAGCCAGCACACGAAAAGGGTGAAGAACTCTTTCCCAGCAAGCTAAAGAATCCACAAACCTCCCTTTGCTCCACACAGTCTATAAATCACGAGTCACAAAAGAAATAATCGCAAAATGCCAGCGACTTATCAATTTAATTGACATAAAAGTGCTTCCTTTTCTTTACGAGAAAAGAGAAAAAGTCCGAGCTTTTAAGCTTATAGGTGATGCATACCGCTATATTGCTGAAGTTTCCACAGAAGAAGAACACTCTAAAGCCTCTGAAGAAAGCTTATTAGCTTATCAAAAAGTAATGGAGTTTTCTAATTATTGTGTCAATGAGCTCGTTTTTCTCAGATCCCTTTTGAATTTTTCAGTTTTTTATTACGAAATCCTTGATAACAAAATCAAAGCCCTTGAAGTTGCAAAACAAGCGTTGAATACAATAAATAATGCTGAATATCCAGTCAAGGAGCATGGAGAGGTTGAACAACTAGCAGGTATAATAAAAGAAAATATGAAGCTGTGGGTAGGCTCAGAGTAATTAATTTTGGTTTTAAGCAGTTTTCTTTATAAAAATGGAACCATCTCCTGAGAACCTCAAAGTGGCTGTTAGAGTTCGCCCATTGTTATCAATTGACAGAAGCCAAGACACAATTGTATACTTCGGCGAGGTAACCGTTATTTAGAACGAAGAAATCAGAGTCAGTGATGGAGAACATTACATATCAAGCACTTACAATAAAATTTTTCGACCTGAAGCTTCACAGGACGAAATCTTCGATTTCGTCTCTCCTGCTTTGGGACAAACCATAAAAGGATTTAATTGCACAATATTCGCATATGGACAAACTGGCTCAGGGAAAACATATACGATGTTTGGGGCTGACTGAGAAATGAATAACCCAGCTGCACAAATTTACTATGAGAATGGAGCACAAATGCGTAGAAAAAGCCAGCTAGAGAGTATTGATCACCCATTAGATAATCCAATAAAGCAAGGGATTATTCCTAAATCAATCGCTATGCTTTTTCAGAATACTCAAGAAAAAGAAATTACTTATTATTCGAGTTTTTTACAGATTTATAATGAAAAAATTTATGATTTGTTACAAGATCCGAGAAGAGATAAAGCACTGAATATCAGGGAAAGCAAAATGTATGGGATTTATGTGGAAGGGCTTGCAGAATTTGTGGTAGAAAATGCGGAAGATTGCTTTATGCTACTTGCGAAGGGGGATAGAAATAGAGCAGTTAGACAAACTAGGTTTAATCATCATAGCAGTAGGTCTCATACTATTTTTCAGCTTCTTTTGGAAAGGGATAAAGCAAATAAGAGAGGAGTACTTAAAAAAGGAAAATTAAATTTTTGTGATTTGGCAGGGTCTGAAAAGTATGATAAAGAAAACACTATGGCTCATGAACATGTCCAAGAATTAACTAAAATCAACAAATCTTTGTCAGCGCTTGGAAAAGTCATTTTTTGCTTATGCCCCGTTTGAAAGCATAAATCTAATTCATTATAAAATTTATGTTTAGGATTAGCGAGACAATTATTTTTATATATATTATATAGAAAATATTTTTGTTCAGCCCTAAAAAGGGTTAATTTTCCAAAAATTTAGGATTTTTCAAATTGTTTAAAGGGGTGAGCTAGGAACAGGAAATGCTACACATATTCCTTATCGAGACTCTAAGCTCACAAGGCTTCTCCAAGATTCCTTAGGGGTAAGCACTAGAACTATTCTCATTGCAACAGTTTCCCCATCAGCTGGATATGCTGAAGAAACGATAAGCACTCTAAAATTTGCAGATCGAGCCAAACAAGTAATGGTAAAAATCAAAAAAAATGAAATTTCCGCCACAAATGACGAGCTTGTTTTAAAGCTTCAAAGAGAAATCCAGCATCTAAAGTCAATTTTAAATTTAAAGCGGAAAGGTGGACTAGAAGAGCTTAATAAAGAAATATGGGAACTAAGGGAAGAGAACCAGAAACTGAAAAAAATAACAAATACTTATACGATTGAAGAAGTGGAGAAATTAAAAGTCGAAAATAAAAAGTTGAGATTGGAGTTACAGCATAATGGGCTTGCAAATGATGTAGAAATGACTTATCAGGATTCTGATATAAACTCACCAATTTATGATACTCAAGAAAGCAATCAACATAGAAGAGATGAAACTCCAAATTCTCAAAAAATGAGAAAATACTCAGATTTCTCCCCAAATGTAACTGGAGCTATATCTCCTTCATCTGTAGGACATTCAAGAAAAGCAGTTTGTTCTCAATGTGGTCAATTTCCTCCTTGTGAACATATCCCAGGTTCTCAATATAAACGATCTCCTCCATCATCATATTATTCAACATACAGATCAACTACAAATTCCTTAGAGTCTAGAATATCAAAGCAGCACAGTCTACCAAAGAAATTAAACATCAGGTATAAAATGCATGGATATGCTGTTGAAGACAATGGGGTTGACGAAGAAATTAAAGAACAAGAAACAAGACAAAAAGAATTAAAACAAATTCGAGCCAGATTGGGGCAGCTAGCTCAAATAGAAAGCTTCAGAAAGCAAAAGTTTAAAGCAGAACTTGAAAAGCTTGAAGAAGAAAAACGCAAAGAAGATGAAGAGCTTAGAAAAAGGCAGGCTGAAGAAGCAAAAAAAAGAAAACTATTAAATGAGCAGAAAAAATTAGTTAACACATATAAAGAAGCAAAAAAATTCCAACTTGAAGAAGAAAATAAAAAAATGCAAAGGTTTAAACAAGAAGCAGAAATGAAAAGGAAAAAGAAAACTGAAGAGCAAAAAAAAATGATTGAGGAGTATCATGCTAAAAAAAGAGATGTGATGAGAGAGCTTGAAGAATATGTATAACCCTTTTGTAATATAAATGTGTAAACTAGCTGCAGTAATTACTTATTTATAGATTTTTAAAAGCCATTAGTCTGATAAAGAGCTTGAGCTAGCTAATAATACCACTAGACATCTCTGCCAAAATTTCATATACAAATTCATTTAATTATTCTGCAGTAATTAAATCAATTATTAATTATTACTCTGTATATTGTGTATTTTCTATAAAAGTGCAGACGGGTTTCGGGAAATGATAGATGGAGATGGAGAATAGACCGAGGGGCTTGCTAACAAGTCGAAGCTATGGCTCATAATTGAATACTCAAAATCAGATTCAAGTGTAAACGATGTCTGCAGTATCCGGTTTGTATAAATTTGCTGATGGACCACATTTTTCAGGAGATTCTGATAAGTTTTAGTTTTTTTAAATAGTGGAAAAAGTATTTGGCTTAAAACTTTATAGACTTCATATTCAATATTCTCCACATCATTTGCTTGGACGCGTGACAATGCTTTAGCTGTAAGTACTATTTCTTTTTCTAGCTCATCAGAAGGGTAGTTTTGATAATACTCACACTTAAGCCAAATCTGTAAATATTCAGGGGCAGACTGAATTTTAGTTTTATCTTATCTTATTTAATTTATATCGTTTAAAGTCTACTACGGGTAGCCGTTTTCAGAGCTGCCGCCATAGTTGTCCACGTGTCGGGCCCATGGACCTGTGGATCGATCTACTTTTACGCCATGACACTGGCAAATATCGCGTTCCGGCTTCGACGGGCTGCGTTGCATCGCTCGGTGTGTTGAGAGGTAAAACTTCGAGCCTCTTGAAGTACTTGGAGCAATGCCTCGGCTTATCAGCCAGAGTTAACTGCTATTGCTTTACAGAAGTTCTCAAAAGAAAACTTAACCCAATAAATAAAATGGCATTCTGTTCTAGCAAAATTAACTCCTCTAATTTTCTCTCCATCATAGAATTTTATTTATGACTGAATTTTAGTCAATTTTGGGATTTCTTTGGCAAGAGCTTTTTCAAAAGCATTTAATGTAAGCTCATTTTGCAAAATAAGCTCTAGAGATTCTAAAACTTCTAATGTAATTACATCTTCGAATGAGTCTCCTTTGGCAGCAAGCAAAACAGGATATAAAGAGCTTAATAACATAATCAAATTGTTTCTAATGGTCCCTTCAATCATCCAGATCGTTTTGCTTGGAATTGTTGACACAATTCCATTTAGCGTCCATAACAAGCAGACTATTGTGACTTCTCTTGTCATTTTATAGTCATCATTCATATAGATGAATGTTGACAGCAAACCACTCGACCTCTTGAAGCTTTTTCTTCAGCACCTGCTATGAAGAGGTCGGTAATCCTTTGTGTATATTGGGCTAGGTTTTCTTGGACCTTGGCATATAATCTCTGGGACTTTGAGTTTTTGCCTCTAAGACCATAATTGAAAAGGGCAGGACCAGCAAAAGCCCTAGGTGGACAGCAAATCCCTCTAACAGGATTCAAGAGGTGACGAGAAATTGGGAGTTTCAACTCAGGTGGTGGGCTTATAGGCTCTGCTGTACTAATTTCTTGCCTGCGGCGGTGATGAAAAGTGTCTGCCGGAGTTCCTAACTCCCCCCCCCCCTCCGTTAGCGAACAAAACCATTAGAAAAATCGCCATTTTTTTGACCAAAAACCCACCCTCCGTGAGTGAGTGAACAAAAATTTTTTTAATAGAAAAAATTTTAATGGAAAAAAATTTTGATATATAAGTGATAATTAGTATAATGAAATCTAGAGCTAATTCTGTTTAATTTTAAACAAATTGCGTTTTAAAACATAAATTTTGCAAATTAAATTAATATTTGCTTCCCAATTTTTGCAAATTAGGGATTTTTTTAAATTTCGAAAAAAATATTTTTTATAAAATTTATATATAAATTTTTTTTTAAAAAAAAAAAATTAACCCCCCTCCGTGAGCGAACAAAATTTTTTTGTTCGCTCACGGAGGGGGGGGGGGGGAGTAAGGAACAATAAGTATGCAGGGGTGGAAATCTCCGGTCCTGCTAGAACGAAGAGTTTTCTAATCTATCTATAGTCATCATTTACGTCCTTTAATTTATACACAAAGAAAACAAATGCTAATTCCTCCACAAAAAGTATAAAAAGATAAGCCATCTCAGTTATCGAATTCTCTGTAGCATTTCTTTCATAATAAGAAGTTGGGAAATAGCCATGAAATCCAGGAATAATAAAGTTAAAGGATGCAAATATAATCACAGGTATCATAGAAGTGCAATATATTTTGAATAGTCATTTTTGAGACGCTTTGTGTATATTTTTTCTGAATTTGCTGTCATTCTCATCCCAGCCTTTTTCTAATTTCATCCTCCTATGCAAAAATATTTTCCTGCCCAAAAGGTTAATTTTTTGTTTAAATTTAAAAAATTCAGAAAGTAAAATTTAATTGCAAAATTTATGTTTTAAAATGCAAGCAATTACAGAATTAATAAAGATTTCTTTATAAAAATTATTAAAATTTTTTTTTTAAAACATTTTCACGATTTTTTTCCCAGAAAATAAGATTTTTTCCATGTTTTTGCTCGCTCAAGGAGCGGATTAAGTGGAAAACGAAATAAATACGATAGCACCTAAGTAGATAAGGGATAATGAATGAACAATGTAGTAGGGTTTGCAAAGTTTGAAAAATAATTTCTAAGGTCAAGTTGTGGTGAATTCCGTGAAAATATAAATAAAGGGTAATTAGAAATACACAAGTCTCAAAAAAATTGCTCCAGTGAATGATTGAGACCATATAAGGGGAGCGGTTTCGTATAGGCTTTGTATGTGACCATCAGAAAAGCAATGCGCCGGTAGGTATATAGACGAGCCCACATAGTCCAAGTCAAACTAAGAAAATTAAATCAACTCCCATATTTACATAAAATTTTTAAAGCATAATCCAAGTGGATAAAACAGAAATTCTATAGCAATTATATTCAATTGAAATTGAGATTGAAACACAACAATTTATAAGTTTAATTTGAAAATGGGTATTCAAGGACTATTGCAACTTCTTAAGCCATTGATGACTGAAAAACGGATTGATGAATATTCAGGGCAAAGGATTGGAGTAGACAGCTATTGCTGGTAAATCAAAATTAGGCTTCATAAATCTGTTTTTACATGCTCAAAAGACTTAGCTGAAGGAAGATCTACTAAATTCCCCATACGTTAGCGAGAAAATTTTTTTCTCGCTCAAAAGTTTTTTTTAATTTATGAATTTTTTAGATTTAAAAAATGAATTTGCTAAATTGAAAATATAAAAAACTAATTTAATTTATGAATAGAATGAAATTAATTTATAGCAATATAATTGGCTAGACATTTAATTTTAATATCATTACTTATATCAAAATATATTTTTTAAAAAATATTTACAAAATTTTTGCTTTGCCAAAATAAAGTGATTGTTTGAATGCATTTTTCCTCACTTAAAGATGGGAAGAAGTAAGCGGTAAAATTAAATTAGGCACATCGAATATTGTGTTAGAAGAGCCCTTGATCTGAAGAAGGCTGGCATTGAGCCAGTCATGGTTTTTGATGGTGCACCTATGCCAGCAAAAGGAGAAACTAATGAAGCTCGAAGAAATGGAAGAAAAGAAGCCCTCGAAAAAGCTAATGAACTTTTAAAGATCGGCAACCTAAAAGAAGCTGACAAGCAGTTCGCAAAGTCTATAAGTGTTACTCCTACAATGGCATTTGAATTAATCAAAGAGCTTAAAAAATACGAAATTGAATGCATCGTAGCCCCCTATGAAGCCGATGCCCAACTAGCCTATCTCTTTAAAATTGGCTATATTTCCGCCGCCATAAGTGAAGACTCTGACCTTTTGGTATTCGGTTGCCAAAAAGTCTTATATAAATATGAAACTAATGGAATTCTTCAAGAAATGAACATGGAGAACTTATATAAGCACCCAACCTTTAATTTCTCCAGGTGGAGCCATGAACAATTCATGATGATGTGCATATTAGCAGGATGCGACTACTTAAAAAATTTCAAAGGTATTGGGATAAAAACAGCTCATAAGATCATTTCGAAGACAACTGATCTTACGAGAATTATGTACAAAATAAAACTAGAGGTAAATAATATTGGAGAAAATTATCAAAAAGAATTTTTGACTGCAATGTATTCTTTTCGACATCATCAAGTATTTTGTCCAGTTAATAAGAGAGTGGTTCATATAAATGAGATGGACGAACAAGTGGTGAAAAATGCAGGAAATTTGGAATTTTTAGGACAGAAATTGGAAGATAAGGCAGCTCAGCTAATCGCGCAAGGTAAAATGCACCCGCTTACGAAAGAGCTGTTTGAAGTAGAGGAGTCTTCAGCTTTGAAGAGGAAAAAGATTTTGGATTATTTTGAAAAGAGCGGGCCGATTAAATTTGAAAAAAAGCCAAAAAAGAATGAGTCGGATTTTATAACGATTGTACAGTATATTGAAAACACAAAAAAGCAGACAAAAACAAGCAAATTTTTTAATTCTCAAAGTAATAAAGAAAATATAATAAACGAAGACGATGAAGAAATAGTAGAAAATTCTGCAAATAATTCAAAATTTGAAAAAATTGATATATCTGACCTTTTTAAAGCAAATGTTTTGCAAAACAATGAAATCCATAGAAAAGAACCTGAAACAGACTCTGATAAACAGCCAACCTCTAATAGTAACCAATCTTTTGACAGTATTTCAAGCTTAAGCCGCCTAAGTTGCTATGCTTATAGATCTAAGTTATTATAAACTAATTAATTTTATCCAAAATGACGTATTATGCTCTATTTATAGTAATTCATTGCGCCCTCATAATAATAAATGGCTGCACAATCTGACTATTTGGATTCCCTCACTCAGCACTTCCAGACTGTTCCACTCGTAAAGCAAATCAGCGAGAAATCAGGCCTCCCTGCTTCATATGTGGCAATTGGCTTTATTGGTTTTTCATTTATGCTTGTGCTTTTTGGAATTTGTTCAGGCTTGATGGTCAATGTAGTGGGGATTTTATATCCAGCATACGTCAGCTTCAAAGCAATTGAATCTAAAGAAACTGATGATGACAAGCAATGGCTTACTTACTGGGTTATCTTTGCAGGCTATAGCTTTTTAGACCACTTCATTGATATTTTGTTCTTCTGGTTCCCATTTTATCACACAATCAAGCTTATTGTCCTTGTGTGGCTCTTCTGGCCTAAGACTCTTGGAGCAATTTGGGTTTACAATCATATTGTGTCTCCTTTCTTAAAGCAGCATGAAGGGTTTATTGATGCAGCACTTGGAGGAGATAAATCAAGCTAAAAGTTAAGCTAAAATATCTTATAATTAGAATAGACGCTGCAGTAAATAAAGTTAAAAGGAATAGAGTTCTAATTCTAAATAAAATTTATTCCCCTTAGTTAGCAAGTTAATTTTCTGTTTGCTAACCAATATTTAGTTAGTATAAATTTTGTGTAAACATGTAAGGCTTATTTATATTATAAACACATCAGCTAAAAATATAAAATCCTCTTAAAAACAAATTGTCTTTCTATATTTAATGCTTTAATAGATCTTTAATTTGTGCTTCTTCCAAAAATACTTTTAACAAACTCAATATAATCAATCAGCCCATCTTCCTGAGAAGCCAGACTTAATAAATCCTCAGCTTCTTCTTCATTAATCGGGTCTCCCAAATTCATCATAATATTTTTGAGTTCTGAAACTCTTATAACCCCAGACCCATCTCTATCAAAAACTTTGAAAGCTTCGAGAGTTTTTTCTTCAGTTTCAACATCATTAATTGTTTTTAGCATCATTGAAACGAATTCATCAAAATTAATAGCATTATCTTTATCTGAATCGACTTCTTGGATCATTTCTTGAAGTTCAATATCTGTAGGGTTATGCCCCATTGCTCTCATTGCAGTACCTAACTCTCCTAGACTTATCAGTCCATCCATGTTCTTGTCAAATTGCTTGAATGCTAAACGAAATTCTTCTATTTGTTCATCAGTTAAGTTTTCCATTTAATAAATTGGCAAGACAAATGTCATAGTAATGTAAGCACTATAGCTAGTTGTTTTATTATTAAAGGGATCATTAATAATATAAAATACTTTTTCAAGGAGAAAAACCGAATGTTTGCTAGTTTGCCAAAATGAAATAAGCTATTTAACTTTTATTTCAGCAGAATTAACTCCTACTGGGATAAGAATTAAATTGAACGCAGAATCTTCAGAATCTATAGAAGATCTAAAATTAAAGATTCAAGAAAAAGAAGGAATTCCTATGTTCAACAGCGATTATTTTTTGATTATAATGAATTAGAAAACTGGCATTCATTAGCTCACTACAATATTCAAGAACAATCAATACTTTGTTTGATTTTAGGACCTCGAGATGGCGGCGTATTAATGACAATTATAGTCGAAGGAACAAATAATCACTAAATATGACTTTTCTTACCTGATATCAATATATAACATTTATTAACATGCAAATTTCTGTAAGAGCTTCTGCTGGGAATTTCATTAAATTGAACGCAGAATCTTCAGAAACTTTAGAAGATCTAAAATTAAAAATTCAAGAAAAAGAAGGAATTCCTATAGATCAACATGCTGAAGATCTTCAAAACAAAATTATAGGCATAAGGCAATTGAAAAAAACGTTTTAGCTGAAAAAATTATTTGAAAAGACCAGGCTTTAAAGTCTAATAGCCATAATTTAATTTTAGTTTAGTTTATAGATCAACAGCGATTATTTTTTAATTATAATGAATTAGAAGACTGCCATTCATTAGCTCACTACAATATTCAAGAACAATCAATGCTTTATTTGGTTTTAGGACCTCGAGATGGCGGCATATTAATGACAATTATAGTTGAAGAGAGGTGCAATAATCACTATGAGATATGTATTAATTCTCGTGATACAATTTTACATTTAAAATGTCTACTCAAAGATCTATCGGGTATAACTATCAATCACCAACTATTACTCTTTGGAAAAAACACTCTTCAAAGCTATTCTACAATTGAAAGTTATGGAATTTGTCCTGGCACTATTCTTCATTTAGCTGAAAGAAGACGAATGTGCTAAAATAATTGGATTAATAATTGCATAAAAAGATCTGTAAAATTACTCAAAATATTAATATTTTATTAGTATAGATAATTTTCTGTTGCATGAAGCTTCATTAAGAAATTTTATTTAACTCTGAATAGTCATCTAAACGATGATAGTTCTTGCCTAAGATGTAATAGATATCAATTCAATTATGCCGATTAAACTTTTATGAATGACGGTCTTAACGTTGCATGAGCGATGTATATGGCTTTTCTTACCTGATATCAAAATATAAAATTTATTAACATGCAAATTTCTGTAAGAGCTCCAACTGGGAATTTCTTTAAAGTGAATGCAGAATCTTCAGAATCTGTAGAAGATCTAAAACTAAAAATTCAAGAAAATGAAGGAATTCCTATAGATCAACATGCTGAAGATCTTCTAGACAAAATTATAGGCATAAGGCACTTGAAAAAGGCTTTCTAGCTGAAATTCGCAGTGGAGATTAGTCCAAAATTTATTTGAAAAGGCCAGCTTTAAGGTTTAATTACCTAATTTAATTTTAGTTGTATTTATAGTTCAACAGCGATTATTTTTTAATTATAATGAATTAGAAAACTGCCATTCATTAGCTCACTACAATATTCAAGAACAATCAATGCTTTATTTGGTTTTAGGACCTCGAGATGGCGGCGTATTAATGACAATTATAGTCGAAGATAGATATAATAACTATGAGATATGTATTAATTCTCGTGATACAATTTTACATCTAAAACTTTTAGTCCAAGGTCTATCAGGTATACCTATCAATTACCAACTCTTATTCTTTGGAAAAAATACTCTTCAAAGCTATTCTATAATTGAAAGTTATGGAATTTGTCCTGGCACTATTCTTCATTTAGTTAAAAGAAGAATAACCTGCTAAATAATTGAATTAATAATTTGGATAAAAACGATCTGTAAAATTACTCAAAATATTAATATTTCATTAGTATAGAGCAACTTTATTAAGCGAATAATAAAAATTTTCTTATGCTGAATTTCAAAAATGCATAAATTTAGAATAAACCCTTCAACTTCATTATTATAAATATTGCTTTTCTTACCTGATATCAATATATAAAATTTATAATATGGAAATTTCTGTAATAGAAGCTTATACTGAGGAATCCTTTAAAGTGAATGCAGAATCATCAGAATCTATAGAAGATCTAAAATTAAAAATTCAAGAAAATGAAGGAATTCCTATAGATCAACAGCAATTATTTTTTGATTATGATGAATTAGAAAACTGCCATTCATTAATTCACTATAATATTCAAGAAAAATCAACAATTTATTTGGTTTTAGGACCTCGAGATGGTGGCATATTAATGACAATTATAGTCGAAAATATTTATAATAATCATGAGATATGTATTAATTCTCGTGACACAATTTTAAACCTAAAACGTCTACTCAAAGATCTATCAGGCATCCCTATCAGGCTGCAGCGCTTATACTTTGGAAAAAATATTCTTCGAAATTATTGTACGCTTGAAAATTATGGAATTGGCCCTGGCGCTATTCTTCATTTAGCTCAAACACCACTAAGCTGCTAAATAACTGGATTAATAATTGCACAAAAACGATCTGTAAAATTACTCAAAATATTAATATTTCATTAGAGCACCATAATTTTCAATTTTAGAAGCTTAATTAAGTCAGTAATAAAATTATCATAAATGCATAAATTTCGAATAAAGCCTTAAACTTCATTATTTTAGATATGGCTTTTCTTACCTGATATCAAAATATAAAATTTATTAACATGCAAATTTCTGTAATAGTAGCTCATGCTGAGAGTTTCTTTAATATATATGCAGAATCATCAGAATCTATAGAAGATCTAAAATTAAAAATTCAAGAAAAAGAAGGAATTCCTATAGATCAACAGAGATTATTTTCTGATTATGATGAATTAGAAGACTGCCATTCATTAGCTGACTATAATATTCAAGATAAATCATCACTTTATTTGGCTTTAGGACCTCGAGATGGCGGCGTATTAATGACAATTATAGTCGAGGAGAAATATAATAACCATGAGATATGCATTAATTCTCGTAGCACAACTTTAGATCTAAAACTTCTACTCAAAGATCTATCAGGTATATCTATCAGTTATCAACTATTACTCTTTGGAAAAAATTATCTTCGAAATTTTTGTACACTTGAAAGTTATGGAATTTGTCCTGGAGCTATTCTTCATTTAACTGAAGGAAGACGAGTGTGCTAAAATAATTGGATTAATAATTTGAATAAAATCGACTTGTAAAATTACTCAAAATATTAATATTTCATTAGTATAGATAATTTTCTGTTGCATGAAGCTTTATTAAGCGAGTAATAAAAATCATATTATGTAGGTTTTCAAAAAAATGCATAAATTTCGAATAAAGTCTTCAACTTCATTATTTTGCGAATTTGTCTAAGCCAAATTTATGAATAAGTGCGAAATAGAATAATAAATAAATGAATAATTTTAAAATGGCATTATTGACCTAATTAAACTTTTTTTTCTTGCTTTCTAATTAAATCGAGTATTTTTTCTAGTAGAATCTTAAATTTTGCACGTTTCATCATTAGAAAACCCTCACATGCATCTAAATTGCTTTCTTTATTGTGTTTTGATAAAATGAGTTGCATTTGAGTTAATAGAAAAACTTTTGGCATCCAAATCTTCTCTTTTTCAAATCATTTTGAAAATTTTCTGATGCCTTTATTTTCTTCTAATATGATTATTAAACTTATCGTCAGTAAAAAAGACTTCATCAAAATTATTGATTTCAAGATGGTTTAAATTGGGCCAATATCATCTAATATTTCTCAATCGATCTGATTTATCACACGAGCAATAGACCTTCTTCATCCTCAAAATTTCTTGAAGTTCATCTTCTTCCGCATCATTTGATTCATAAGTTGATTGAGAATGATCAAGTAAATATAAAGCATCTTTTTCTGATAGATTTAGCCCAATCACTTCATTATATTCAAGTAAACCCTGAATCAAATCGAATGCCTTGAAAAAGCAATCAAACTCGATCTAAACAACGCTATCCTTTACAATAATAAAGGCAACGCTTTTTATATTTTAGGAAGATATCTAGAAGCAATCGAATGCTATGACGAAGCAATTAAAATCGATCCAAACAACGCTGGCTTTTACAATAGCAAAGGCAACGTTTTGTCTTTTTTAAAAAGATATCTAGAAGCAATCGAATGCTATAGCGAAGCAATCAAACTCAACCTAAACGAATCTATCTTTTTCAAGAGTAAAGGAGCCGCTTTTCACAATTTAAAAAGATATCTAGAAGCAATCGAATGCTATGACGAAGCGATCAGACTCAATCCAAACAATGTTAATTATTACGATAAAAAAGGCTACTCTTTGTTTTGTTTAAAAAGATATCTAGAAGCAATTGAATGCTATGACGAAGCAATCAAACTCAATCCAAGCAACGCTAGCTTTTACTATAATAAAGGGAACATGCTTTATATTTTAAAAAAATATCTAGAAGCAATCGAATGCTATGACGAAGCAATCAAACTCAATCCAAAAGATGCTAATTATTACAATAATAAAGGCAACGCTTTTCAGAATTTAGAAAGATATCTAGAAGCAATCGAATGCTTCGACGAAGCAATCAAACTTAATCCAAACGACGTTCGCTTTTTCAAGAGTAAAGGCGATATTCTTCACAATTTAAAAAGATATATAGAAGAAATTGAATGCCTTGAAAAAGCAATCAAACTCGATCCAAACAATGCTAGCCCTTACAATAATAAAGGCAGCCTTTTTTATATTTTAGGAAGATATCTAGAAGCAATCGAATGTTTTGACGAGGCAATCAAACTCTATTCAAACAATGCTAGGCTTTACAACAATAAAGGCAGCGTTTTTTATAATATGCAAAGATATCTAGAAGCAATTGAATGCTATGACAAAGCAATCAAACTCAATAATAACGATGCTGGTACTCTCAATGATAAAGGACATGTTTTAAATAAATTAGGAAGATACTCAGAAGCAGTAGAAAGCTATGACAAAGCAATCAAAATCAATCCAAATAATGCCAGGTTTTATAATCGTAAAGGCAATAATCTTTATCTTTTAGGGAGATATCAAGAAGCAATGCAGTGCTTTGATGAGGCAATCAAACTTGAATCCAATAATCCTTTGCATTTCTGCAGCCGAGCTAGAGTATTCAATATTCTCAGACAAGAAGAAGCAGCGTTGCAGGACTTTAATAGGGCTTATAATTTGAAGCAAGAAAAACAAGTAAGTGGAGTTTTCACTGGGAATGAATGGAACCTTTCAGAGGAGGAAATCAATTTTATTAACGACGTATTAGGCCGAGACCGTATTGAACTACTCCAAAAAATGCAGATTTAGAATAAAATTGTGTATAATAAGTCATCATTATAATTATATGCAATTCTTAGATTTTTTACAAAAAAGTAGTCATAATTAACAAGCTGAAGGGAAAAAGGGATTATATACAATTTTAAAACATCACTTTTCATCTGTAAAATATCAGTGGATTTTGAAAAATTTTGGTCAATAATCAGCTTTATTTGGATAGAATTCAGCTTCTCTCTATTATCGTTAATATTTTATTTTTTAATACTTGAAATAATATATTGGGTAAAACATATGAGCATATCTCTGACTTTGGCATGTCTTCTCACCTAATAGCTAATAGCGAAATAAATTAGCAAATTAAGATTAATCTTGAAATTTAAGAGATATGAAATTCTCAGGAATCGGTAAAACTTAAGTTCGAGCTCCAATTATTTAATTTTCCAAATAGCTTGACACATCTATTCTGCCGAAATCTTAAAAAGGCAAATAGCTACCTGTCTCTTCTTAGGGTTACCAGTTTCTTTGAGTGCCATGCATCATGTCGGTCAAGACTGCATGATTCCTGGGCTTCGGCGTTTAAAGTTTCATAAGCGGCTATAAACTTATCATAGCTCTTCGGGCTCGATATAGGTTGTCTGCACAAAAATTTCACCTCTCCTGCTATTAGCAAAAACGTCCAACTCAGAGCCCAAGCCGCAGCTCTTGGTTTGTGCTAGGAGTTGCCTGAAGGGTCAAAAGATGCTGCTGGGCTTCCACAATATAAAACTATCATATTATGTAGAATTTCATAAAAATGCATAAATTTAGAAAAAAGGCTCTAACTTCATAATTTCAAATAAAAAATAATGTCTTATATTTATTATAACTCATCGAACTCATCCCTCTCTAATTGCCTTCTTATCACAAAAGTGTTTGACAAATCCCCTCTTGGTCCCTCAAAAAGCTTAGTTAAAAATGCACTTATCGACAGAGATGGGTTTTGATCCAAGAAAAAATCCAAAATTTCTTTCACAGAATCTGGAATTTTTCGATCCAATTTTTCTACCCATTTTGAAAGAGCATTACTAGTAAAATCCTGATTTACAGAAACCTCAATCGTAGGGCCTAATGACGCTAAAAACAAAGTAGTTATCATGACACCAAATTGTTTTCTATCGAGTTCCCCTTTTCCTGCTTCATCAAAAATATTCCAAATAGCTGTCATTTTTTCTCTTTCTGAGCCTCTAGACAGCAGCAATCCTAAAGTTGCTAATTTTATGCCATCAATGGCTCCATCTTCAGCTTGAAATTTTTCAAAAACGAGCTGTCGAAAAGTTTCTTTATATCTTAACTTCAGAGATGATTCAATATTTCTGTAAGAAAACTCTGTAATTAAAGAATTTTTCATGTTTCGAAGCATTGCAAGCTCAACTTCTGAAGCATCGTAATCTGAAAAACCAAGCCGCTTTTCAAAATTGAAGACGTGCCAATTCTCTTCTGACGCTCCTTCTGGCGTGCTATGACTATTTCCCATATTTAGATTGATTAGGTAATGCAGAATAATTTTGAAGTAAAATCTATATAGGACTCCGCGCTGATTATTTAATGAATGGCAAGTTTGTTTTAACTCATAAAATCTAAGACCCTAAATTATAAAAATATTTTAGCAGATCAGAGGAAAAGAGTGCACAAAAATAATATCAGCCATACTTTGAAATCTTTAATTGACAATAAAGTATTTGTAATAAATTCACCAAAACATATAGAAAACAAATATAAATCATTTTTAAAAAATTTCGAAAATATTTAAATATAGAAACTAAATTCTCCATATCAAATCTCCCTTATTTTTGGCAGCAATTTCTTCTTCCTAATTAGACTATATTTAAGCTTTTACTTTTTATCAATAAAATATCACCAGAGAATAATCTTCAGAAATATATTACCGTTTTAATATACAAAATTTTTAACAGGATGATATCGAATACACTGGAAATTCCAAATTCAAAAGAAAACACACGATTTCGAAAGAAAAGCAACTGCAACGAATCTGAATCATGAGTCGATTCCAGCGAATGCTGGGCATGAAAAGGAATATCGCTACCAAGCGTGTACAATTATAAGCTACGGATATTAGCTGTAACATGAAATATGTGTGGGGCTGGCATCCCACCTGACATCAGTGACATTATAAATACAGACGCAATGCATCATTTATATATATTCAGTACCCAAGAGTGTCTTAGGTCTATCGCCATGTCTCTCATGTATTCAAATAAAAGCGCATGAGAGAAGAAAATAAAAAACGCCTTGGGTTCTGACTATTACCTAGTAGCTTCCAAAACACTTGGAGCTTCCCATTTAGCGATTTTTGGTCACAAATCTCTAAAACATTTTATTTACAACGTTGAGACCTCTTCACTATCAACAGGATTTTTTAATATGATCTCCAATAAAGGAGGCATAGGAATTTCAATGAATATTTTATCAAAAAAATTATTATTCATTGGGTGTCATATTATATCTGGTCAAGATAAAGTTTCCAAAAGAAACAAAGATTTAAATCTGATAGAAAAAAAATTCTCAACGAACATGGAGGCAGACTGTACTATATTATTGGGAGACCTTAATTACAGAATCAGCGGGCATATTGAAGCTATTGATTATTTTATATCTGAAGGGCTTAATAGAAAATTAAAGCCTATGGACCAACTGAGAAATGAAATGCACCTTGGAAATGTGCTACCAGGATATGCTGAAGGGGAAATTGAATTTCCTCCGACTTATAAGTATAAAATAGGCTCAGGTCAGTTGGATACGCAGAATGAAAGAATTCCTTCATGAACTGACAGAATTATGTATAAAGATGTAGTTGGGATATTAAAGCAAAAATCTTATAACTCGATACACTCTAATGTGGTATCTGACCATAAGCCAGTTTTTAGTCAATTTGTACTCAAGATTTAATAATCTTAAATTTAATATATATGAGGAGGCTTTTTCCTTTTGCTTTCTTAGCTTTTGGGTCTTATGCCAAGTCCTCTGCAAATGAATCGGAAACTATATTACTCTAGCCTTATGGTTTAATAATGAATAATTTTGTTGATGTTACCGATTTATATTTTTTTTCAATTTTTTAAAATTGATTTCAATTGAATTAGCCAAAGCAAAACAACAAATATTTATTTATGAGAACTCAAAAGTATTTAAAGAGGCCATTTCACAATTAAATTAGGAAAGAAGTGCCATCCAAAATCTAAAGTTTAAATAATTCTATAATTCGCGGTTAAAGGGCCTGAAAAATATCAGCAAAGACATATCGTTTTGTTCGTATTATTTGTAAAAGGAGTTAGATCGTTCCCTCAGAGGAATGTTCCGAATTTCTTTTATTGACAAAGAAACCCTCAACCCCAAAGGCCACTGCACAGGATTTTTTATCAGCAATGACGGATTTGGTGTTACATCAAGCTATGCCCTTGAGAACAAAGAACACTGCAAAATAATGGTAAAAACTTATGATTCCCGAGAATTCGAAGCTGAATCAAGCTCATTTGAAAATGTCCCCGGAATTGAATTCATTATTATTAAAAGTAACACTGAAAAAATCCCTCTAACTAAAAATGAGATCCGGGACGGAGACACAGCTTTTGTTTTAGGCCTTAAGATTAGATTAGATTAAGATGGTCTTTATATTGCAAACTTACTGAGCATCATGGACTCCACAGTTAACCTGAGCCAGGCCGAAACCTCCGTCTTCTCGATAGAGAGGCATTTCCCCTCGATGGGCAGAGTCATACGAAATTTGCTGGGAGCCTAAATCTTAAACCCAAGCTAACACTGCTTACTTTAGACCCTTTTAAACTGGAGACACTTTAGCCCTTAAGAGTCTTGTCTAGCCTTTCTTCCATATTTTCCCTGACTCATCGCCAAAGGAAAAGCTCAACCGATTACAAAATTCGGAGCAGGACACGAAGCAGCATAGGCAAATAAGTCTTCCTGTCTCTATCGGACACCTAACCTGGGCCTGGGCGCTTCTGGTAAAAAATATGCAAAAAACTGCCGCACGAGCCAGGCCACAAATCAGCAGAAATAGCCAGACCTTCGAGGGGAAGTCCAACCCTTAGGCAGTCTTTAAATAAAAGCCCACGTCTGGATATATAAGGACACACCGCCACAGGAAGGGACAGGCGCTCGTTACGGGCCATTTTATACCTTAAAGATAAATACCCTTATTTCAATGAAGTTTATATTACTGATACCCAGCAGCCTTTCATGAGAAAAAAAGATGGTAATATCAAGACCTATAGAGTGATCAAAACCACACCTCAGATTCCTAAAGAATGTGTAGGGGGTCCTCTTCTTAACGAAGCTGGCAAAGTTGTAGGAGTAGTTATCAATTTAGAGCATGGCTTTGGGGCTTCAGTCCCTATTAACAGTATTAAAGAACTCAATCAAGGAACTGAAAGCAGCTGGGCTGTAGTAAAGCTTTGGAAATCTGCAAGAGAAGGGCTTCTTCGTATAATCGAAAACAAAGCCAATTAGTATTTATAGAGAATAAATTAATTAACGAGAATAATATCGATTAGCTTTCAGCGACTTCAAATAGCCGTTCAAAGGATACACTTCTCGCAGCTCCTTAATGGTTTTTTCTTTCAAATGATTCTCTAATGCATCTCCATTTAAGGTAGCCTCCAATATACTTTTGAGCTTGTTCAGCATATGTTTTTGATTGATAAGTATTCGCTTTTGAGCAATCCTATAAATGATCTATATATCAATTACCGCCATCCTAAGCCTAGAAGGTAAATTACTGTTCAGTAATGAAACATCATGCTCGAGAGGAGTCGAAAAAGTGCTTTCAAGCCGCGTATAAAGCTCGTAAACTTGGTCACAAATCCACAGCTCAAGCTTGATATTAGTAGGTGAAGCTTTCAAGCTTGGTGGGTCTACATTTTGAAGCGCTGGACACGTATAGTCAGCGATTTTCCTGAAATATGTGAAAATATCTGTGCTGAACCTTTTAAGCTTGATTTCATGCAGCTCAGTGACGTCGTCTAAATTGGCGCAGGATAAATCAAACTTATAAGCTTCATTTATTATGTCTTCGGCAGTCACATATCCTGTTTTTCCACTGCTAGGGATCCACATCTATATTGAATTTACTCTGAAATAAACTGCATCATATCTGTTTTTCTCAATAACAAAGCCATAATCAAGCAAAAGGTCTCTATTATTCAGTCTTCCATAAGAGTTATATACTTGTGAGCCTTGTTTAAAAAAAGTCCTTACACCAGTGCTCATAATGAAATAAGAATCAGGCTCATCTCTTGAGTTTGTATTATCTTTGAATTCTTCAGTGTCGTCATCACTTTCATAGCCTTCGTCAGCTTCTTCTTTTTCTTCGTCACTGAATACTTCTCCTATATTTCTGGCATCTTCTTCATCAGAGCTGCTCCTATAATCAGCGATTATTTCTTCAACTTGCCAAATCGCGTCTAGTTCTTTTAATACGTCTTTATTTTTATTATTTTCTAGGTATTTTTCAAGCCTGTTTGTATTGCTTCGTAAGATTGTATCTTCTCTACCTTTATAAGCAGTGTTTGAAAAGTCTCTGTAGTCTTTATTCCCTTCTATAGTTAAATGAGTTTGTTCAAGGATTTCTCTGTACTCGGACTCATATGTAATATAACAGTCTGAGTGGTTCAAATTGTCAGCTAAAGGAATCACCATTCCTCCTTCCCATGCAAATGCTCTTGTGCAGGTCAATCTCCAAGCCCAATTAAAGAGCCCTTTTAAGTCTTTATCAGGAGGGAAATAATTTGGGTGCTCTAATAGTATTTCTTCCATTGATTTCCAGGTATTCTCTATTCTTTTGCTTCATTGTTTGCATTCATACACTAGCACAGGGTCTTGCAGTTCAAGAATTTCTGTTTCATCTCAGTCAATCACTGATTCCATGCTTTTAATAGTCTCAAAATAAGGAAACCAGAAGCTTTCAGCGCCTTTTAATTTTTCATATATGATATAAGTCCACATAATGTGATCGTCCCCTCTAGGATGGGTTTGAAACCAGTAATTGTGCTCTTGGAAAATATGCGCGATTTCGCTTTTCCTCGCTTTGAATAAATTGATAGTGATGCTATATGGGATAAATAGGAACGCCTAAATTAGATGTACCTTGCAAGGAGTTATATCAATTTTTGCAAGAGCACCTACAATGCCTGCGTCGGTGAAAGCGACTGGGAATTCAAGCTAATTAAAATTTACACTTGGGAAAATACAGCCATTTGAAATAAGCCAATTATAGTATCTAAGGTATCTATTGTCGCTTTGGACTTCTTGAGTGACTGCTTGGTTAACTGAAGGATCACGCTGCACAGTTAAGTCTTTCCTTTCTAAAGCGCCTCCGCCTCCTTTTATTTTAGGCTTGGTTTCCATTTATAAAAATTATTTACTTTAATATTATCTTCTGCTGCCTCTCGAGCTTGCTCTACTACTCCTGCTTCCAGCAGACGAAGGAGGTCTCGACGGAATTTTAATTCCATGCTGTTCAAGTGCGCTTTCAATTAAATGTGATATTTCAGGAATATCAGTGCTTAATATCGTCAAAGTTGACATTAAACACCTATTCTTTGTTTTTGCTAGCTGCAGCCTTAAGTCAAGTTCTTGAGCTCTATCTAGCGAGGTTTCTTTATTTCTTGCCAAGTTTATAGCTCTTTCCAACTTCTCTTGTTGGACGCTTATTTGTGAACCTAGCTGTTCTTTATTGTTTTCAGTTTCTGCTGCCATTCTTTTAAGAGTGTCATTTCTTGTTTGGATTTCCATCAGTCGCTTCATGTCTTCTTCATATTGTTTTTGTAGCGTCCTAAGCTCTCTTTCTCTTTTAGAAAGCTGCTCTGTTGCACCTCTGCATTGGTCTTCTAAAGCGTTTTTCATTTGCTGCTCACTTTCGTCGCCTTTTGCAGCAAATGAGTCTCTGAACTTGCTGTTTCTTCCTTTAAGGTGTTCAAGAGTGTTTGCTAGAGCCCTTATTTCTCTTTCTGCTTTCCTTATTTTTGAGTCCAGCTCATCCCCATACCTTTGTAGCTCTTCTCTTTCTTGTGCAGCCTTAATCACATAGTACGCTTGTGTCCTTTCTTCTCCTTCTTCTTGTGCTCTATTTTTATAGCACAGATTTTCATATTTCACCTTTAAATTTTGCACCTTGCTTTTTCTGTCTGCAAGCTCTACCAGAACTTTATGTTTTTCGTCCTCAGCAGCTCTTTGTTCAGCAAGCAGGGTTTCTTTGTGGACGTTGATTTCTTTTTCACGCTCTTCCATACTCATTTTAAGCTGCTGTTTTCTGTTTTCTACAGAAAACAGCCTGTCTGCTTCTCCACACAGTATATCTTTAAGTTTTTTTACTTCTAGTTTCATAGTGTCATGCTGTACCAAGACTTCGTCTTTTCGCTTTTGTTCTTTTTCTATTTCTAGCTCAATCATCTTGATTTGCAGCGTCATTTCTTGGTAGTTGTTAGATAAGACGCTTTCTTCTTTTTGGGTTTTTTCTATAGTTCTTTCAATAAGTCTTAAGTCGTCTGTGAGCTCTTTGACACTTTTAGAGACTTTGTCAAGCTGCTCTTCTTTTTCTTTTAATTCTGCCTCTTTTTCGTCACATTTTATCAATAAATCTTTGTTTTTGTCAGTCACTTGAACACCTTTGGCTTCATCTACTTTTCGCTGCATAAATTGAATGAGGTAGTCTGCGTTATAAAGCAAGACGTGCTGCCTTTGGATTTCTTGGTCTCTCTTGCTGATTGCTGCCTGGAGATTTCTCCCTGCTGCTAGAGCTCCTTTTATTTCGCCTAACAAGTTTGCTTCAACTGAGCGGAGGTCAAGCAAAGTTTGGGTTTCTTTAAACAGCCTTTCTTTGGCGTCTCTTATTTCTTGTTCTAAGCCTTCTTGAATATCTTGATTTACCTTATATTCAAGCTCTTCTGCTTTTGCTTTGGCTTCTAAGTTATCAGTCATCGCACATTCTGATCTCAGCTTAAGCCTTGTCTGCATTTCTTTCTTTTTTGACTCCTCAAATCTCTGCTTAATTTCTGCTAATTCTTTATTCAGAGCAATAATTTGAGCTCTTTTTCCAGCCAAATCTGAAGCTAAAGCGCTTAATTGGTTTTTTGTGATATCGACTTCGGCTTTAAAGCTCTTTAAATCCTGCTCAGTTTGGATTTCTTTCAGTCTTTGTGCTTCTAGCTGTCTTAAATACAAGGTGTTTTCGCCTTGGGCTTGTTGGTTATCAATTTGGACCTTCTGCAGATTTTTGATCCTTTGGGAGAGGGTTTCTTGTTTTTTGCGGATCCGAAACCTGTCATTTCCAAAAGTTTCGCCAGCGTCGTGAAGGGATTTGTCAAGCCTTTGACAAGCTTTCACAGTGTCTTGCAGCCTTTCATAAAGCTCATGCCGCTCAGCGTGCATTCTTTTGAACTCTTCTGCAGTTTTGTCCAATTCGATTTGTTTAGCTTGGGTTTCTGTGACTTCCCGGTCTAGTTCTTCCTGTTTTTGTCTGACGTCCATTGTGAGTTTTTCTATATGCAGAGTCAGTTCTTTGATTTTTGCCTCGTCAGCCCTTCTGTACTTTTCCAGGGTCAAATTGTCGTCTTCTTTTTGTCTGCTTGCCAAGGCCCACTGTTCGAGCTCTTCTTGGTTCCAGTTCATTTTGAGCTTGTATTGGTCAAGCTTCTCGTTCCCTTTGAAAATCTGATTTTGGATGCTGTTCAAGCGGTCTTGCTGCTCGGCTGCTTCTTGTTCAAGCTTTTGGAGATCTGAATAGAGTCTGCCAATTTGCCTTTCGGAAAGCTGCTTTAAGTGGTCTTCGCTTTCAATTTCTTTGACTTCAGTGTCCACTAGAGTTTGGGTATGGACAAGCTCTTCTTGGACGTTTTTGAAGTGGTCTGTGAGGATTTTTACGCGCTCATTGATTTCTTCGATTTCTTCGGTAAATCTGTAAACGAACTCCTTTTTCTCGATGATTTCTTTGTTTAGTCCTTTGTTCTCGTCGTTGGCGTAGGAAGGAAAATCATTTTGAGGGTCGTCAGGCTGGAGAGAGTTTTGGGACATATAACTGTTATTAAATTTATGGAATTATTACAAGGAGGATTGTTATGATTTGATTTGGGGATATCGAAGAAGTTTGTATGATGGAAAAATCAAATTTTTATGGATTATAATCGTGAAACTTTAGAGGTTTAGGTATTATTTAATTCTTCTTAAGTTATATTTAAAAATTTCTTACTTTATCCATTATGGTAAAATTTCCATTATTGGGTAATTTAAACCCTCTTTAAATTGGGTTAAATTTTATGTGGAAGTACTAATTTTTACATATAAAATTAGTTTTAACCTAATTTAACGAAAAAAGTTTAAGTAGAATTTGAATTAATTCTTTATAAAATAAAATTATTGAGTTCAATATAAATTTTTTTTTTTTTTAAAAATTTTACATGCAGCCTTTGATCTCACCATAAAAAGGAATTAAAAAATGTTGATTGGGAAGAATCAGCTTGAAGAATGGCCTTTTGATTCACCAAGATGGCTTTTGGCTCACAAAAATTATTTTTGGTGAAGAAAAAATGCATTTCTAAGCCGATTCTTCTCATTCAACAATTCTATATCGTTGTTTATGGTTAGACTAAAACTAAAAAATTAATTTTTTTAAAAAAATCCTCATTAATTGAAATAGGATTTTGCTCCAATTTAAAGGGGGGATTTAGATGAAATGTGTCGAGAAAAGCCATTCGACTTAATTTTTTGGGGCCACCTAAATCCTTTGCAATATTTTTATAAGTGAAAAAGATTCTTATAGAAAAAGAATTTAATTAGTTTCCAGAAATGATACTAAATAGATATCATAAAATCCCATTTAGCTTGGGCTAGATTTATTATTTAAGCATTGAAGAAAGTCAAAAAAATCTTAAAAAAACAGATCCTATCTAATTACAATCTTAATATTCTTAAAAGGAAAATTTGTGATTCAATGATAAAAAGTTATTTATGCTGTCTTCTTAGGCTCTTCCTTGGATTTTGATTTGCAGCAGCCGAGGTGAGCTGCGATTCCAGTGGCAACAAACCCAACAAGTGCAGCTACTGTTCCTACGAGTAAAAGCTTTTGAGTCTCTTTATCCATTTTATTTATAACCAACTAAAAATAAGTGATAATGTGGCATAAGATCATTCTTTTTTGCTTAGACGTGATTTAAAATCTAGAATTAAGAAAATCAGGTTTTATATATAAATTGATCTTCTAAAAAATTTAGTGCTCTGCTTATGAATATTATAAATATTCTTTGGTTTATTCCTATCCTAGTAGTGACAAAAACAATAAGAAAATTTCTACTTTTGAGGAAAATTGACCTCTCTTCGTTGGCAAAAAATTTGTTTAATATAAACTGTTGCAATAGAAAATATTTTATATGATTAATGATTATAAAAATGATATTAAATTTTAGAATGCTTAAATATAATATATCAATTAAATTATAACTTATTAAAGCTAAAATAATTAAAAAAATTTAGTTTTATGTAAATTTTTTAAATAAAAGAAGTCTTCTGCTAGCGAGCAAAAATCTTTTGGATGAGCTAGCAATTTCTAAAAATTGACATCAAGTGTATTTCTTTTATAAGATTCTCAAATATTGAAGAATTGAACCAATATTGAGAAAGAATTATTAATTCCTTATTACCCATTATTTGAGAGCATGCCCTAACTAAAACTTCTTTTATTTTCCTTGATTTCCATGTTCTTCATATAAATTTCTTTTTACACAGATAAAATATTGAATAGAATTTTGAAAAGTAAATTAAATATTATTTTTCGCTTATTAAGCAGATTTATAAAAGAATAGAAATTATAATGAATAATCCAAAGTGCCTATTAAGGATTTCTTTGACTCCCCTTTCCCTTTAAATTTGAACAAAAAATCTTATTTCAATTTAAAGGGGACTAATTTTATTTTTAAAAAAAACAAAAAATTATATTAAGTTTTTCTCTCTAAAATTATATTTTTTGAATTTTAAATTATTTTTTTTGAGAATTAAATCAAAAAAGTTAATCGATCCAGTGTAAAAGCTATTTAAATAATATTCTACTTGCTTTTTTCAATTAAATTATACCTGTTTGCCAAGAATATCCCACTAAGGAGCATATTTTGGCTCACCATTCTTAAATTTGGTTAGCCAGAAAATATGGCATGCCAACGAATTTGGCAAGCCAGCTATTGTCCCGGCCAACCAAAAAATGCTCCTTAGTGGGTTATTCTTGGTAAATAAGTATAGGTAAACACTAATTTATAAAAATTAGTATCATCAATATAAATTTTTTCGATTTTTTTTCTAATTTAAAGGGGGTTAAAATACCTAAAAAATGTAATATTTTGTTCCAATTTAAAAAAGGTTAAAGAGAAGTAAGAGAAATACTGTCTTATTTATAACCGGCTGTTTCTAATTTAGTCAAGAATTTTTTAATTAATTCACACTAAAACTCTTATAATCTACGATAGAATAGCATCATAAAATTTATAAAACATCAAAATCTTTCAATCAGTTATTATTGAGTTTTAAAATGAAGTCTGAAAACAAACAAGTAGCTTGCAAAATAAAATTAGCCCAAAGATCTAATAGCTTGATATTGACAGGCTGTAACTTATTCAAAATCCCCGATAAAGTATGAACCCTTGTTGATTTATTAAGGCTCGATTTATCATTTAACAATATTGACGTCCTTCCTCCCGAAGTCTCAAACTTAACAAAGCTAAAAGAACTCTGCCTAAATGATAACCCTCTCAGATCAATCCCTCCAGAGCTTTCAAAATGTCCCCATATCCGAATTTTAGATTTGAGCAGGACACGCATTCAAACTCTTCCAAGAGATTTAGCAATGATCCCAGCACTCGTAGAGCTAAACCTAGACAGATGCCCTCTTAAACCAAGCCTCCAAATCGTTTATGAAAGAGGAATTTTTGATCTCTGGGCACATCTAAAACGAAAACTTGACAGAAGAATATACAAAGAACAAGTTTTCAGCACATTAAAAGAAAGCATATACCCAGGAGAAGATGTCAGGGCTATAATGGAGCTTACACTAACGCTTTTCGACCATTTTAAAGATCTAAACACAGAAGCATTGAAACTGTTTGTGCATAACCTTAGAAGAATTTTTCCTGAAAAAATGGGATACGCATCCCCTATCAAGATAAGGGAAGCTTTTGATAGAATCCAACAAGATTTACTGAGACGTGGAGAAGTGTCTAAGCTGACTGTAAAATTGAAGGTGAAATATCCTCAAGCTGATATTGACTATATCTCAAAATTAGCTTTATCATTAACAAACAGCTTATCTAAGCGAGAAATCGGAGCCTTATTTAAAGAAAATTTGTTGCCTGAAGATTTTGATGAGCTAGATATAAGCACAATTAATAACTCATTAGGGACTTACAAAGAAAGACAAGAAGTCGAGCTGAATAAAGGGAGGATTAATTTGACTGCGAAATTTAAAAATCTTTATCAAGATGAATATGCAGCCGATGAAATTGAAAGGCTGTCTAGCGAGCTGGGAGAACAATTCACGTCTCCGGAGAGGCTAAGGAAATTTATACAAACTGCGGATAATTTTCTTCCAAAAAACTTGGGTGAGTTCAATTCGCAGACGATAAAGAATAATTTCATTATGACTATAACTAAAAAATAATGCTTAATTTGTGGGGTTTTGTGGATAAAATTGCTGATATGTCGTTTATAAAGGGTTAGTCATATGGGGATTATGTGATGTGATAAATATAGTTAAAGCTATGCAGGTTTAATGTAGGTTGGAATGGTGTTTCCAGTTATAAGTGGCAAATCAGTATTCGGCAAATATTGATCTCATTGAGTCGACAACACAGGTGATCATCATCATTATAGCCATTTATATAATTATAATTGAGTATTAAAGTCATTTTATTTAAGAATAATGAATAAACCATAGGAAATCCTAAATTAATAAATGATTTAAAGAATTGTCACTAATTTTGGATTATAAAATTTTAATATTCAATAAAATTAAAAATCAAAATAATTTAAGGAAAACATTTTATCTTAAAAGAAGAGTCTTAAATTTTTATGATTTAAATATTGAAAAATCAATAAGTCTACTTCAAGTTTCTGCTAATAACTTAAATTTTCCATTATAGTGGTGAAAATATAATCAACATGGCAAATCTTCATGCTTTGATTACTTTAGTTGTTTTATTTGGTTCAACTTTTGCATGGGACTTTCTTGGATATGACGATATAGATGCTGCAACCCTAAATCCCTATCAAATTACAAGCGTAGTTACGAATTCATATGGAGTTGTCGTATTAGCCCAAAACGCTACAGCTCTTTCAACAAAAAATAATGAAGACCCGATTGAAAGCCTAACAGTTAATATCACTTATATCACTTCTCAGACATTCAGAGTTAAAATAACAGACACGAATAATCCAAAAAGGTGGCAAGTCCCTTATGCTGTTCAAAATGGCAATGCTGCCGCTATTATTCCTCTCTATAAAGTTGTTGTGGGTCAAGTAGGGTCTCCTCTTACCATTCAAATCACCAGGAACTCAGACAGCAAAAACTTATTTTATATAAATTCTTATACAACTTTTATGTATAATGACAAAGACATATTCTTCACCAATAGTTTTAACTATGCTGTCAAGGTTATGGGGCTTGGGGAAAGGGTCTCTACTTTTGTACTGTCACCAGGAACCTATACTCTTTGGGCACAAGACAGAGGTGGATCACCAGTGGATTATGGAGCTGATGGAAAAGAAAACTTGTACAGCTCTCAGCCTTTTTATATTGCAATTGATAACAACTATACAGCGCATGGTGGATTTTTCTTGAATTCCAATGCAATGTCGGCTATTGTAGCGAAAAAATCAGTTGGGTTTAGAACTACTGGAGGGATTATTGATTATTTCGGATTTTTAGGTCCTGAGCCTGAAGATGTCCTGTTACAGTATCATAATGTGATTGGTTACCCTACATTAGTGCCTTATTGGGCTCTTGGGTGGCACCAATCTAGATGGGGCTATCAGAATCTGACTTATCTGCAAGGGATAGTTAACAATTATATTACTAATAACATCCCATTAGACGTGATATGGACCGATATTGACTACATGAACAAATTTTACGATTTTACTTTTGACCCTGTGAATTACCCTCAGGTAACTTTTACTAAATGGGTTCAGTCTTTACAATTATTGGGAAAACATTGGGTACCTATCGTTGATTGTGGGATTCCTAATGACAACACTTATTCAGTCTATACCAGTGGCGTTGCTAGCAATGTCTTTATACAAAGCGCTTATGTGGTGAATACTCCTACAGTCGGACAGGTCTGGCCTGGGAATTCAGTCTACCCCGACTGGTTCAACCCAGCCACAAGCAACTGGTGGCTCAACCAATTAAAATCATTCCAAAGCACCATCCCATTTTCAGGGCTATGGCTTGATATGAACGAAGCCAGCAACTTTATCACAGGCGAAGTCGGCCACACCCCGCCTTCAATTATCAATAACCTCACAATGCCATACACCCCTGGTGATGACATTAATACCAAAACTATTGACGTAGCATCTACTCATTACAGTGGAATTTTAGAATACGATGCCCACAGCTTATTTGGCTCTATGGAAGCTGCTATTACCAACTCATACTTCACTAATACCCTTAAAACGAGAGCTTTTATATTGACAAGAAGCTCATTCCCTGGAAGTGGCAGAGTCGCATCAAAATGGACTGGGGACAATTATTCATCGTGGAGCTATCTCCAATACTCAATAACTGGAATTTTTGATTTTGGGTTATATGGGATTTCACATGGAGGAGCTGATATTTGTGGATTTTTCGGAAATACCAATGAAGAACTCTGTTCAAGGTGGATGCAGCTAGGAACACTCTACCCATTTTCAAGAAACCACAACTCATATAACTCCATTCCACAAGAGCCTTGGGCTTTTGGAGAAACCCTTTTGCAGACTTCTAGCTTGTCAATCAGAAACCGCTACTCAATTTTCTTATATATTTCTACAGGGATGTTTTTGACTAGCCTTAATGGAGGAGCTTTCTTCCGGCCAACTTTCTTTGATTATCCTAGTGATTTCAATCTTTTAAATAACGCCACTGCTCATTTCATGCTGGGAGACTCCATTTTGGTTCATCCTTGCATATGGCCAGGAGTCACTGGGACTGATTCTTATTTCCCGTATGATATTTACTATGACTTTTTCAGCGGCATTTTTGTGCAGACTAATTATGATAACAATATGTATATCGATATGCCATTGCCAGGGGTCATCCCAATGCATATTAGAGGTGGAAGAATCGTCCCTACACTTGATAGCGCTAATAGTGTGCAAAACCTGCAAAGTTTGAGATCGTCAAATATCACTATGGTTGTGGCACTAAATGGAAACCTGCAGGCTTTTGGAACAATAGTGTTTGATGATGGGCTATCAGCTAATACGATTTCAAGTACCCTTTATACCCAAGTTCAGTATAATTACAATTATTTTAATGAAACTGCAGATGTTTTTGTTGTAAATCCACTGACTACAGGCTATACTAGACCAACTGGAGAATTCCCGTCAATTTCTAATATTGTGATATATGGCTGTGCTGTTGGGCCTCAAAAAATATATAAATTAGCTGGCGGAGTGCTGACACCATTAAATGCTTACTTTTTGTGGGATCCATATAATGGAATTTGCAGGATTTACCTAGGGTTATACATTTTGCCTCCAGACCAGCCTTACCAGTTGATTATCAATTATTTCAATTAAGCGATTAAAAGTAAGTAAGAACTTAATTTGAAAATAAAATTATATGTTTTAAAAATTCGCTTAATTTGGCAATATCAATCTTTATAGAAAGATGGATCATGAACATCTAAATGATTAGAAATCTAAGAAAATTTTCTCATATCATGAGGTAAGGGGATGCATTTTCCCTAAAAACCTTTATAAAACACTTCATAAGCAGAGTTCCAAATAATTTATTTTAAGTTAAATATTCTCTTATATAAAAATAATAGTGACACCATCGTTATTTTTATCATATTAATTTTTGACAAAATAATTAATAATTTTGATTTTTAAATATATTTATAGTTTATTATTCTGATTTGAATTTTTTCTGTACCCATACTGAAAGCTGTTCATGGAATTTAAACAAAACCGAAACAAACAAGCAAGACAAAATGATAAGAGCATATTTCAATATTTCTCCATTTTCCTCTATTTCTCCTATAATCATGCAAAGTTTTCGATGCTTATGCTCTGGCTTAAAATTTCTATTTGTAATAAAATCTTTATAATTAAATATGATATTTTGGCTCTGCAGCCTCAAGCACAACCCAAAAAATGGACAGCTATGCTAGGTAAGTAATGGGCAGCGTACGGAACCTATTCCTAGTCTGCTTTCAGGATTGGATTTTAATTCTAATAAAGAGGAGGCTAAGGTATTGCCCAAGAGTGCCATTAGGCCAATTTGACAATATTCCATGGGTAATCTGGCATAGAATGTTAAAAAACCCTTAATTATTAATTAAGTTGTATAATATCTTCAAAATCTCTAAAATCGCATTCCAATCCACATCCAGGGACTTCCACATACGAATTTTCCTGCCAAAACCTAATCTTTTTATCATCATCTATTCTATGGAGCTCAATAAAAAGAGCTGAAGCAGCTGATGGGGAAAAATCCATTCCTAGAGTTCTCATAATCGCCATATACCATGCATCATCTCCTAAATATATATGAAACTTTTGGCTGACTTGGCTTGGCTTTGTTATCTCATAATTTATTGATCTAAACAAATTGATCATCATTTCATTGGTAGCCAGAATCCCTTGCTCTATTGATGCAAAAATAACTGTGTCATGAAATCTGTAATATGCCTCAATAGCAATTTCAGCTTCTTCTTTTGTGAGCTCTGATGGAAAATCAATTTTTCGTTCTTTATATGATTTTAAAGCTTCTCCTAGGCCATATATTTTTTGTATATCTATATCATTTCCTATAAACTTTTTATATTTTTCGCTATGTGAAAGGACTTTTTTTCAGATTTCTTGCCAATCTTTGCTTTGCAGTCTGGGCGTCATTAGTCATCGAATTCTTGGGCATGAATCTTGTGGCCTGAATAAAAAATCATCTGCTTCTTGTGTGAAATTAATTTTAAAATTATAGGATTTTCCATAGATCCCTTCTAGTTGAGCTTTAATACTTGATATGCAGCTTGAAGAATTGCAAGATCTAGCTAGAATGTCATCATCAGTATAATAAGGATGGATTAAATTGTAATATTTTTCTTTGATTTTTTGTCCAATTTGATACTGCTTATCAAATCCTTGACTAGAAAGAATACTAGGATCTTCTTTTAAACCTCAAGGGAAATTTTTTGATGGTGTCCTTTGGCCTTCTTTTGATATTTCAATAACTAATGATAGTTCAGCAGAAACAAATGCTAGAAAAATGACTATCACAAAGTTCATTTATATTTAAAATAAAATTTTTAACAGAACTTTCCCTCAGATTAAGATAAGAATTTTCAGAAAATATAGACAATTAAATCAATAATATTTTTACAGTACTAAATTTCATATTAGGAAAGAGATATAGCTTTTGCAAACTATTGGTATAAGTTTTTTGCTGTTTGATGGTTCTTGCCTTTATTTTTATAGTCTGCTGAAATGGATCTGCTGTACTGATTATAGCCGACGCTATTGAAGGGTTTTTTTTGAACAGCGGTAAAATAATTAACCCTCTCATGCTAAGCCATTTAATTTTTAAAGTATTAAATTTAATTAAATAAAGCTAATATGGTCGATAAAGGACATAATTTTATATCAAAAGATACCGATTCTGTTTTTAAAAGCTCATGCCCCTGCAGCTTTGAGTCTAAGATAAAGAAACCGTCTGAAAGCACATCGTCCACAAAAATTGAAGATATTAAAAATCATAAATCCCAAGTTCTTGCATCTGATAAAAAAAGAAATAAAAAATCAAAAAATGAATTAATTAATGAGCTAAATGAGCTTAAAAAGCTTGCAATATATGATGAAGCTCTTGAAGAAGCTATAAGACGAGAAAAAGAAGCAGCCAAAGGCCAAACAGTAGATGTAGTTATGAGTATACACTATAACACTTCATACGGAGAAAGACTCATTATATTGGGTGGCCATGAACTTATTGGAAACTGGAGATCTGACAAAGCCGTAAGCCTTGAATGGACTCCTGGTAGCATTTGGAAAACCACTATATCCTTGGACCAAAAATCTAAAGATATAGAATATAAATACGCGGTAGTAAGAGGGCATTATGTTAAATGGGAAGGGGGGGACAATAGAATTCTAAAACTAACTGATGCTATCCAATTCGGCAATAAATTGCTGCTTAATAAACTCGAAGTTTGGAGAAAATAGTAAATTATAAATTAATTAGAAGCAATAACATGGCATACCTCAATTTTGCACCCATAAATACTCAGCAGTTTTATCCAAAACCTTTGATGGTCGCTCAATCTATCATTTGTAGATTTTATTTCAGAAAATTTTACCTCCTCTCCTCTTCATAAGACAAGATCAGGCATTCCATGAATATGGTGCTTAAAATCCATAGCAAAAGTTTCGCATATTTTTTTCAGCACATTTTTCCCAAGACCTTTTACTATAACCCCTAAATTATGCTTTCCCCAGGACTCACAAGCAGCCCATGAAATAAACGCACAGGTTGTATTTAAATATTTTTCATATAGCCCTACAAAATAAAAATAAAGGTCTTCACAATTTTCAAGCTCATTTAAAGCTAAATCAAACATATGTTTTCTTTTGATATAAAATTCATCTGATTTATAATCTAATGGAAATGATTGAAAAGGAGTTTGGAACACATAAGGAACTTCATCATAAAAAATAGCTTTCCACATTAAGATAGCATAAATGCTTGGGAGAATCAGATTTTCACTATGGTAGCCTTTTCAGCCATCTTTACTGTACCATCAAAGGGCGTATTGTTCGACTGCTAAAAATTCCCCAGAGTCTGTCTTGAAAAGCGGCCTTCCGTCTTCATTTTTGCAGGCTGCATAAGTTGTGATGTCTTGGAAAAGAGGATGATTATAAGAGTCATACTCGTTTCCAAACAGCTCTGAAGCTGTATGAGGGATTCCTAGTCTTTGAGCTTGTCTTTCTAATGTAATTCTTCTTCCAGATCTCAATAGTGGATCGCTCAAAGCTAAGTGAACTAAGTCTGTAGACTGAGATTTCAAAGCTAGATGAGCCCGAGTTATAATTATCAATCTTTCCCACCAATGTCCACGTTTATTTTGATAATAAGAGTGGCTTAAAATAGTAATTAGTGCTATTACAGCTAAAGAATAGTCTTTTACCCTCTCAATAAACTCAATGCATAAATACAGTACCTTACACCAGCGGTATAAACTCTCATATTCCAGCTTCCAATCATTAATTCTATCATTTGTGTAATTTTTCATAAAAATTTCGAGAGAATCTTCTACATCTCCATATGAATAAACCCCAAATCGTTTTAGTGCTATTAATGCTATACCTTTAGAAACCTCATAATTGGTTTCTATAGGCAGCCTATGTTCTCGTAGCTTTTCTAATACGATATATAAGCTAAATGCTTCTTCCATTTCTATTGCATCAGTTCTGTTTTTATAAATAGGCATAAATATGCTAGGATTTTCAGTTTTATTTAGCACATAGCACCTAAAATCAGCATATTTAAGCAGCTTCATCCTTTGGACTATAAGTTCTTGCATAAGGTTTTCACATGTATAAAATGAAAATGCGTGATGAAGCCTTGTAAATAAAGAGATAGATGAATCAGTCAGCCTTAAAAATGCTGGAAACTCTGGTGGGATCACACAGCTTAGTCATGAATCATAAGGAGAATGCGTTTGGTTTGCAATGGATTCTACTTTTAATGAAATTATGACGTCAGATTTTAAGTCATTTAAGTATCTGAGCTGTTCTAATACGAGCTCTACGAAATGCCGCTTTGGAGAAGGCTTGGTTTCAGCTAACTTGGTTATGGCAAAGGACAGCTCATGAACCTCAGGAAGAGACGATTTTCTGGATGCCATGTATAAAGGGTTTTGAAAATATTTTTCAAGAGGGGGAAGAGGCTGGGAAATGTGGTCATCTTGGTTAAGGATTGAGATTAAGCTTCGCAAATGGGATTCTAGCTTTGAAAGAAGGTCTTTGTTTAAAGATGAAAGAAACTCGTAGGTAAACTGAACGTCTTCACATAAAAAAGCAGTCCTGGATGATCGCAAGAGGATATATATTAAAAATGATATGGCGAAAGACTTTTTCTCGATTTCGGTAGCCCAGGCAAATTTGAGTGGCGGAACCTAAGAAAAAAGAGAAAGGCGATAAGTAGGTGGATCTTGACAGGTTTTGGCATATTTGATAGGGCTGGAACGCTAGGTGACTAGCCAAGTTCATATCAGGGTTGGTCTGCATTCACGTGGGGAGACAGAGCACAGTGCTAGATTAGGAAGTCACAGCACTGCCTAGGATTCCTAGGCCATTCGGTTTTTCTCCACACAATGCTGAGCGTTTCATCACAGCACTCATCGGATGTTCAATTTTTGAATTTTTTGGAAGGCAACCAATGTTGACACAAAAATCGGCAATCTCTCAGATGGGAATATCAAGGTGATACGAGCGTATTCCGAAGGATGGGCTGCGGACCACCCAGCTAAGCAAGGTGGGATAAATGCCGACAGTAAACATTTCAATAATCTTAATTAACTGATGATCGCGCGAGGCCAACTCCTACAAGCTCTTGGCTTGCTTCAAGCTGGTTTGTGATCTTTTTATATTCCAAATTGTTAAAATCCACCCATGCCTTTTTTCTCATAAAAAGCCTAACATACATAATCTTCGCCTGCTCAGTTAAATTTTCAAATTCATCAAGAATTTTTATTTCTTCGTGATTTACCAAAATATCCCCATATAGTTTAAGGACATCAAAAATGCTTCTAAAAAAATTCAAATAAAACTCATCATCTGGCTCATGCTCAATTTTTGACTGAGTCAATTTTTCTTCAGGTGTCAGCATTTGAGTTCAATTTTCATGCTTTGTTTTCTGAGACTCCACAATAGGAGATGGTTTAAAAGGAGCTTTACTTGAGAACTGGGTTTCCAAGATTTTAGGCTTTTCATTCATTGGTATTTCATTTTCAGATTTTGGAGCTTTGAAGAATTGGGTTATAAGCAAATTGCTTACTCCCTCTCCCGCTTTTTAATTGGAACAAAAATATTGGTAAAATTTCCATTTTTTGGGTACTTTAACCTCCCTTTAAATTGAGCAATTTTTTTTTCAATAAAATACTAATTTTTATTGACCTAACTTAATAGAAAAAGTGCAAATAGAATATTATTTAAATAATTCATTAATTTTGAATTAATTCTTCATAATACATTAATATGGCGGAGCCGACCACTTTAACTCTCTTGACGCAACACCTCAGGCAAGGAACCAAGTCGAGAAACAGCATGTATCCTTAAATGCATTCGAGCAGAAGTTTTTCTCCCACCAGAGGGTATAATATCTTGGATGTGGTATTTTTCTTCTGACATAGAGTTGTATCAGCACGGTCAGCCATCGTTCCCCTACACATATTAGGGACCCTCAAGACACTAGGTGCTCAGCTTGAAAGTAGATGTTACTCCAGGCTCTAGGCCCATAGCGAACGGACGTCCCAGGAGCAAGTCAGGCATGGTGAAGCCAGGCGAGGCAGTCGGCGTCAGTCGGTAGCTTCTCAAGAGTTGTAGAGCTTGCAGAGGGGGAAATCCTCAGCCGACTTTTAACAATGCAACAATTTAATTAATTATTTAAAAAATTGTTTTTATACAGAAAAATTAAATATAATTATTTTTAAAAAAAAATAGCACCACTTTAAATTGAAACAGGATTTTTTGTTCCAATTTAAAGGGGTAGGGGAAGTTACTACTTTTCTCTTTTTGTTGGGCTTTTCGCTTGGCATCTCTGGCGGTCTTTTTAACATTATAGACTTAAAATCCCAAAATGGAGGGAATCTAATTAAACTATAATAAAAATATAATTATTTATTTTAAGCTTGTTATAAGTTGTATTGCAAGCTTTGTTTCACTTTTCTATGCGATTGCCATTTCTCAAAATCCAGCAGCTTTTTTTCTAATAAAGGAGAAATTTTTAAGCTTTTCCTTCCCAAATGGACAACAGTAATTGCTTTTGCCAAAGAGATTTGGAATTTTTTCATCAAATATACAGCTGCAACTGCACATGATCTGCTGATACCATAATAGCAATGGACAAGCAAGTTACCTTTTGTCAAGCATTCATCAATTATTTTAAAAAATGCATGGATAGACTCATTAAAATTTTCCACAGCTGAGTCATTATCAACAATATTTACAGTATGGTAACTTTCTATAAATGGGTACCTTATTGGCTGATTATTTGTTCCGATGCTTAAAATAGATTTTATTTCATGTCTTTTCAATAAGGTTACATTTGAAGCGGAATTTAAATCAGATATAAACAGTTCGCCAATGCGGGTTAATAAAGTTAATTCGTCTTTTATAGGTATATGTGAAAACATGTCAATCTCTGCATCAATAATTTCTTTAAAAGGCTCATCAGGGATAATAGAGCGCTCTATAATAGTTTTCTTACCCTTAAGAGCGCGAGCAAAATCATTGCATGTGTTGGACAAAAGCAAAAAGAATTTTTGATATAATTCTTTTTTATAATAATATAAAGAGAACAATAACAATAAAGTATCATTAACTTATTATATTAATTTTTTTAAAAATTACGCTTTTATATTTCTAATTGATTAAAAAACAAGTGAAGTGCTTATTTACCTCTTTAAAAGATTTAATAATAATATTTTTAAAATTTTTTATCAATAAATTCCGTGAAATGAGTAAAAAATATTTTCTCACTCACAAAGGGGGAAGTTAAGAAGTATCCCAAATTTATTAGTTCTGCTGCTGCTAAATAGCACATTTTGTGTACAAGATTCCCCTAGTGCTTTTGCGAAATGCAAAAATGGAGTAGTTAATTTTTTTTGTTTCTCTTTTTCTTTGAGTTCTTTTGATTTTCTTAATTTTTCCATTAAATCGAGGATTTGAGATGAGCTTTTCAAATTTTTTTTATTGTTTTTTTTTGGAAGGCTTGGAAGTGTTTTATTCAGCTTGTCATGATTTCTGATGGCCTCCCGAATTTTAAGCCTTTCTTCAGTAAATATTTTTTTTAAATTAGTGTACTCTAGCTTTGAAGTGGTTGGCAATTTTTGCCAGTGCTGGTATAGCACAGAAAGCGTGTTTGGGTTCGGATTTCAGTTGCATTTATTGATGTTGATTACACTTCTGCTTCGTATTATTTCGACCTTTCGTCTGGGGATTGACACAAAAGATGAATTCATTAATTTTGCGAATTTAATTAAAAAGTTTATTTTTAAAATTTCCATATATTAATTTTTAATAAGTTTATTTTCAGAAATAATTTATTACATTTTATTTAGAATTAATATCGTATCTATTAAATATTTATCCAAAAACTATCTTAAGAACTGCAATCGCGCCTGTAAAGATAAGAGAAAGAACTTTAAGAATCACTCCAGAATTTACAGTTACACCCATAACCGTAACTGGTCTTAATGCTTCATCTTGATACAGCATATTTACTACAAATTCAATACTCCCAATAGAATCTAATAAATTTTCTTTTCCCTTTTTCTCATAAATCTTCTTCCTTATTTTACTTATTTTTTCTCACAAAATATCTCGGTGAGTTGCAAAATGATTATTCAATAAAACTCCAGTTAGCGCCATATAAGTAATGACAAAGAGAACCATGAAAGTTAAGGCAATTTCTGGAGTAAAAATTAATAAATATTGAACGAGGTCTATGAGATTAAGTGACTGTAATGCTAAAAGCACTATTAAAATGCCACACAAAGGAGTCACAAGCGACGTATATAAATGAATTCTCAATGTAAATCCTTTCCCAAAATCCATAAAACTTCTTCTTAAATAATACCACGAGATAATTGAAAAATGATCTGTAAAATCCAGCTTTGCAGGATTACTCTTATCTTGGCTTAATAAATTTAAAGACTCTTCATAGCCTTCAGAAATCAGTGAAGTGCATTCTTTCATCAATAGTCTTTTTCTATTAAAATCATATATACCTACATATATATATGATATAAAAGCAAATGAAACAAACCAACAAAGTAAGGTCGACGTAACAAGAAAAAAATATGTAAGCCATCCCCCTTCAAAATAAGTTAAATGTTTTTGTCCAAACATAATAAGATGCGGAATAAGCCCATATAATCCTGCACATAAAACAACCAAAATCATAGGAGTGAGACTAGCATTTTTTCTGATTCTTGCAAAAAGAAGCCGAGATATTGATAAATTTGACATCCGACATTCTCCAGTAGCAAGTGGGATGTAATTAGGGTCTGGAGGCATAAAAGAGTTTATTATGCTGTAGCATTCGTCAGGTAATGGCCTCTTCAAAACTATAAATAATAATGCTGGGTTCATATTAAATCTTCTATATGAGTTAATGATTTCTCTTTCAGCTACTCTTGCTGGTATAATCAGTCATACCCAGAGCAAAAGATGAGATCTAATTCCTAACGAAGGCATATCCCTAGCTCCAAGCTCCTTTCAATGCTTCTGTGTAAAATATCCATATTTGCTAGATATAAGCATTGTTTTTAATGCTACCACTCCTAATGTCGCTGATATAAAAGCTCCATAGTCATGCAGCCTTTCAGGCTGCTCAGAAACAAAAGCAATAGAAAATATCAGTCATATAAACTGAGGCAGTTCTCCTGTGAAGTACATAATATGTAGTTTAAACATCATGTTTCTCATTAAATACCTCCCGAACAGAAGATAAAGAATCGGAAGAGAAAAAGGGCCAAGAAATAAGTGTGTGAAATGTATTATATTGGCCTTTATAGCTTGAGACAGCCTAAATTCGATTTGGTAAGTATCGTATTCTTGCATATAGTCAGAGTTTTTTTTGAACATTTTCGATCAAGATTTGTATTTGACTTCGTCAGGTTGGGTTGATAAGGTGGGCCGACGCGTTGTATTGTCAAAGTCGACGCTTTCACAGACTAAAACTTCGTCGTCAAGTCTTTTCTGATATTCCATATTTATGTATTGCTAAATAAGATTAAATTAACAGCTTAGTATGCTAACATTTCCGCAATTAGTAAATAAACTTAAAGCACATATTTATTATATGAGTTTTGAGGAAATAATTTTTAAAGCTTGCAATTTATTAGAAAACTTAGTAATTATTTAAAAATAATTAAATCAGCATTTTATTTGTAAATGTATCGAGAAAATCAACTACCTAGGATGAAAACTTTACCTAATTTGCCAAGTGTAAACAATTTACGATCGACTTGACTAAAACAAAACCGTCAATTCTCCCACAAAATGAGAGTAATTTTTAATTAGAATATCAAAGAACTTTTGAATAAATTAGAATTCCATTCACCTGATTATGAATTCATAACATTAGAAGAAGCTTTAAGAGGAGTAGGCGACATTCATCCTGATGGCAAAGTTTTTCGATTACTTCCCCGCTCCGTGAGTGAACAAAAAATTTTGTTTTTCATTATAGGGGTTAATTTTTTTTTTAAAAAATCTAATATAGCGCCTTGCTATAATTTTTGGGAGGCCTCTGGCATGTAGAGTAATCTCCACACGCCAGAGGCCTCCTAAAATTATAGCAAGGCACTATAGTATTTTTTTTTTCGAAATCAAAATGATTGGAAAGCAAATATTAATTTAATTTGTAAAATTTATGTTTAAAATGCTAGCTGTTTTAAAATTAAATAGAATTAACTAGAGAGATTTCCTTATAATAATTATTATTTATATATCAAAATATTTTTATATTAAAAAAATTTTTGCTAGCTTACAGAGGGTGGGGTTTTGGGTAAAAAATAGGGATTTTTTCCAATTATTTGATCGCTCACGGAGTGGGAGTTGGATCTCAAAGACGATAAAGATGCGTCTCGTAAATTAAAACCTGCAAAAATCCATGAACTGAAAGAAAAACAGCAAGATATGGATAAAATGGTATGAGACATGCAAGACGCACTGGACGATTTAATCAAAGAAAGCAATGCCCAGATGAATTATTTAGAAGATATTGATGAGCTTTTAAGCGTAATTGAAGGTAGGCTGTCTCCTACTGAAGAAAGAAATGCTATAGGAACCGTTGGCAGTTCGACTCAACTTATGGCTTATTCAATGGACGAAATCCCAGGAAGAACCCTCTATAACACCTTTTCCCCTAGATCAGAATCTGTTGATAAATATGTCCAAGTCGGCAAGCCTTCAGATGATATTTTTTCTATAAGAGAGCTAGAAAAGAAACACTATAGATACATGCTTGATGCTTTTCGGAATCTTAGGTTTAAGCTCGAAATTTCGTCAAATATCGATTGTATTGCTCCTCATGATATAGAAAAAGAAAGCTGAGACGAAAACACAAAAATCACAATCACAGGAAGCACCAGAGAAATCAATGAAAAAATATCATCACTTGTTTTTAAAGGGATAATGCAAAATTACTCGTCAACTTCTACATCACCTACCCTTACTATTGCTAGAGCTCAGAGCAAGGCAAGCTTGCCTTCTATAAAGTCAAGAAAGCCTTCAGTAGCAGGGATAATTGAAATGAAAGAAATAAGCATACACAAGAAAAATATGAAATCAGTATCAGTGATGCCTGAAATATTGAAATCTGTTGAGCTAGCACCCCAAGAAACAGAAATTAAGCTTGCTTGTAATTTAAGACTGCTTAATCTTGACCCATTTTTGATAACAGAAACAAGAGATCTTCCACATACTTGTTTAACGAGTACTAGGAATAAGTATGATGAAATTGAGTATATCCAATGGAAAATGCCTGAAATTGCTGATAGCAGATTTGATATTGATGATATTCTTGACTCAAAATTTTCACAAGAAAGGTTGTCATTTTTTACTTATTTTAAATCTGAAAATGACCCTACAAGTGATAGCAAATACGCGTTTGAGGAAGAAGTTGCGGAGAGGCTTAATTTGTATAAGACTCTTTATAAGCATAAAAGAAGGCTGAGGAAAATTTTTTTGAGTTATAATATAGAGTCAATGAAGGTGGCCAGAGATGTCTTGACTATGAATTTAGTAAGTTTTATTAGGCTGCTAAGTGATTCTATGGTGCTTAGTGGAAGATTTGACACTTTAGACGCAGTTAAAATATTTTACGTCGCCTTTTCTCACATAAAATCTAAAGCCCAAGAAGCCTCAAAAAGCTGACTTCATCATCTTACTCGATCATATAATTTCAAAGAAATCTATCGTCTTTCTCTTTCAAACTTTATCGAGGCCCTTATCAGACTTGTCCACTCACACCCACGATTTTCATCTTTAACAAATATGAAACTCCATCAAAAATTTGAGCTCTTTTATAAGCTTTACCTTAAACCTGGAGCAAGAATATCACAAGGAATGTATTATATAGAATTATTAAAAGACCTCCATATTATAGAAATTATGAAACATTTCACCCCTCAACTTTATTTAATGTTTAATAGCAGCATGACAAAAATTGAAAGTAAACAAGTAAAAGGAGATTTAAATGATAGACATAGAAAAGTTGAGCTGCCAAAGCTTTTAAAGCTGCTGGAACAGTTTGGGATTTTAAAAGGGCTGAATCATATAGAATATGAAGAGGAAGAGGACATTGAGATCGAACTTATTAATGCTTCACCTGAGCTGAGAAAAATATCTGAAATTAAATCAGATACGAATTATCCAAAAAATAAACTAAAAAGGCCGAAAAGAGGCTCGATATATTTCCCTACATCATTGGTAAGGAAACCTGAAAATCTGAATATTCGGCCTAACGTTTTAAAAAATTTGAAAAATACTGGGTTAGCTTATAAACATAATATTCTCCCATTTTCAAGACCTGTAAAGGATACATATGAAATTGATAAACTAACAGCATTTAGCTTGTACTCTGGATTGCTTATAAAATCAAGCGGGATCTTTCTTACTCCCCCCCTCCGTGAGTGAACAAAACCATTAGAAAAATCGCTATTTTTTGCCCAAAAATCCACCCTCCGTGAGTGAACAAAAATTTTTTTAATAGAAAAATTTTTTATGAGAAAAAAAATTGATATATAAATGATAATTATTATAATGAAATCTAGAGCTAATTCTGTTTAATTTTAAACGAATTGGTTTTTAAAAAATAAATTTTATAAATTAAATTAATATTTGCTTTCCAATTTTTGCGAATTAGGATTTTTTTAAATTTCGAAAACAAATTTTTTTTATAAAATTTATATATAAAATTTTTTTAAAAAAAAAAAATTAACCCCCTCCGTGAGTGAGCAAAATTTTTTTGTTCACTCACGGAGGGGGAGTTAGTGATACTAATTATATTAGTGATAGCGATTTCATGCTGGATTTTACTGATTTTCTTGAGTTTTTTACTATACTTGGTATGCATTTTTGGAAAACTATATCTTCGAATGAAGAATTGTCAATAGTATCAAGTGTGACAGAATTTCTCCAAAAAATAACTGAAGCTTTCGAAAAGCATGATTTTGGAATCATTAACACTCTCTCTAAAAACAAAAAATATATATTCTTAAGGACTTTGACAGCAGATGTTGATATTTTTACTGATAGACCTTTAATTTCGGCAGCTGTTTATCCACAAGAACGATTTCACCAAAGAAGATATTCATATATTTAAATGAAATTTTTAATTTTATCAAAAATTATCCCAAAATTATTCTTCCAGTTGACGATTTCCATGTCCAATTGCTTTTTCGTGGATTTTTTAAGTCAATTTTGTCAAAATTTTCTGGAGTTGCGTCACTTTTTTGTTTCGATCTTCCTCTTAGCCTAACAGTTCTAACTGATGCAGGAGAAACAGCAGGAATAGTAGATTTTCGTGATGGAGATTGCGACTGAGAATCTATTGGAATTTGTGTCTGAACATTTGGGGCAAAAAGAAATTTGCTTTCGGATAAAAAATTTGTTTCTGTTTTATCTTTAATTAATTTTAAAAACGAGATCGCCCCATTTCTAGTCTCAAAAAAGCTTGTATCTTTTTTACTACTTAGTCCAGAAGTATCAGATGATTTCGGTGATAATGATCTAGGGGCAAAGCTAATATACTTTATTGATGTATTTTTTGGCTCCATGCCAAATGACGGTGAATTTTGACAGTGTATATTTCATCGAAATGCATTTGGTGCAAAATTTTGACATTTGGTCCAAAATTAACGGGTTTTTCAGTCAAATGTCTCACTATAAAAAAGTTTCAACCAATTTTCGGCCAAAAATACTTGGTAAAATGAACACTATCAAAAAGGCAATGCCATTGAACCTGCCTTCGTATTTTTTGCGTGAGATTTCCCAAGTTTTTCTTTTCTTTTTTGGTGGATTTTCTGAGGATGCTCAAAAATATCTCCTAATCTTGCAGAATCAGAAGTGGAACGGTCTGAATCAAGTATAGCGTTTTCTCTTTAATTGCTTGGCATTTTTAATTTAAATTTAATATAATTTAAGAAGGTTATTGCTCTGTAAAATTATTGGCAATCAAAGAAAAAATGCATACCATTATTTTATTTTTCTTTATTGGAGGAGGACTTGGCTCTAATATTGGGCTTGGGACTGATGATAACTGGCTTATTTGTCTTTTTCTTGGTTTTCGCAAAAACATTCTTGCTTTCGTTATATCAATGCTTTCTACGGATTTCTCTCTATGTTTTTGAAAAATATCAATATGGTCGAAATGAGATTAAGATTAATGAGGTGTTTAAAATTGTCTTAGCAATAACTCTCAAAAATAGGGATTAAGCCAACTGTATATTTAAGAGGAATTTTGTTACTTAAAATAATATTCCACATTGACCAAAATTATAATTTTACTTCTTAGTAGGCGAGTATCACTCCTGAGCAATGCAACTTGGCTCCTGCATGCGCTCCACTTAAAGGTAACCTTCTCAGCTGCGTAAAGCATTAACCCTTGAACCTTTCAAAATGCTCAAATGATCACAAATCTGTGCACTTTTGCTGTTGATAACCTAATATTCTCTATAAATACCAAATCTCATAGTCATAAAATGCTCAATAGAGAAAATTTCCTGATTTTATTTTTATTGCATGGTTGAAAACAAAGGCTTTTAAAATTTTTTGGGTCTTCACAAAATTATTTTTCGGGGTTGATTTATGATTTCTAGGAGATAATGGAGGAGTTGCATCTCCTGCCACTAGTCCATTCCTTACTGTATCTGATGATCTGCCTGAGATTTGAGAAGGCATCTTCGCTCTTTTGATTCCTTCTGCTCTCTTGAAGAAATTGTTTTGCTTTAAAGATATTATTTCCTGCTTTGATGCTTTAGTTCCCATTTATGAATAATGCTTCTTTATAATTTTTTCTTTTATTTTGAGCTCTTGAAAGATTTTGAGATTAATATTAAGAATATTTTTATTATTCTTACCTTAATACTTGCATGTAATTTTATTGATGAATTATAGTATTCAGGTTAAGCTTTTTCATATAAGTTATATTAAAATATTTGACATATTAAGATATGAGGTTAATTTATTTATTAATTAAATATTGTAAGCAAAATAATCTATCAATTTTAAAATTATTGTTTTTCGTCGGAATTATAAAATTTCCATCCAAAAGAATATGAGATGCTCAAATATCTAAAGATTTTTATTAATAGTTTTAAAACTAAATTTATTCAATTTTTAATTTTAACAATAGAGAATATAAAATATTTTAGCAATTGTGAAAATAAAATTAATTTCTGTATTATCTTATTTAGATTTTCATAGTAAAATTCGCACTGTTACATACTTTTGAAAGAAATACATACAATCGGGCTTATTTAATATCGAAGTAGTATCAATACAATTGTAATAGAAACGTATTATTAATTCATCCTAATGCCGATGGCTCAAATTACCTGGTAGAACTTTCATCGTCTTATCTCAGTAGTATTTTCATCGTTGCCATCAGCAATTTAATTATAAAATTTTTATGCTTTAGACAATATTAATACTTGAAATTCTTGAAAATCAATCTTTATCTCATTCTTATCAGCTTCCTATAATATCATTCCAAATATGATGATCGCCTAGAGCCGGCCTCCTAAAACAGTTTCATTAAATACTCCCATTTCCATCGTGCTTAATATCTAAGCAGTATCAATGCAATTGCAATAGAAGCATATTATTTAATTTATGATTTATGATGGCTCAAAACCTGGTAGGACCTTTCATCGCCTGAGCTCAGTCTTAATTTCATCATTGCCATCAAAAATATCCCTATTAATTTAATTATAACATTTTTACGCTTTCGACAATATTAGTTCCTGAAATTCTTGCAAATTAATTTTTCCATCTCCATTCTTTATCAGCTTACCTAATAATATCTCTCCAAATATGGCCATCGCCTCGACTCGTCCCTCATAAAACCTTTTTCAGCTTACTTTTTGAAATCTTCCGATTTTTCTCTCTATCAAATAATTTAAATGCAGCTTCTTTGTTTTCTGAGGATAAATGTGTTCTTATATCTATTGCTGCTTTGAGAATTCTGTATAATAAAAAAAGCCATTTACATCTTTGTCAACTTCTTTCAAAATTGCTCTACTTCAGCTTGGGCATTTATTGTCCCAACAGTGTGGATGTATTGGCTCGTTATTTCTTCTCTGCTGATTTTTCCATCTCCATTTTTATCCGTTTTTCTGAATATTTCACTAACTTTATGAATATTTATTTATAAAAATTTATCTAAAATCAAAAAAATAATGAAATTTATACCCTTAATTTTTTAAAATTCCAGAGTAAGTGCTTTATTTCCTGATTAGAAATGCATTGAATTGCTATTATAATATGAACGCATTAAAGTACCCCCAAAAAATTTGAAATTTTAACAATATCTTGTTCCAATTTAAAGGGGAGGAGAGCTAAGAATTTTTAGAAAAAATCACTATTATATACAGGAATAAGAATTAAAAAGAATCAGTTAAATTAGCCTTGTTAATAACAAATGAACAAATCTTACATGAACTAATGCGTATAGCCTGTTTGGCAAAATCAACGAGCAAAATCTGCATTTTGTCCTCTTAAGTCCACTTTTATTAGAAGTGAAAAATATTTTTTGGTCTTCTATTAGTTTATCAAGATGGCAGCCTAAATTATGGTCCTCGTAATCTTTAAAATTATGCAATTTCATCTTGCAATATCAGCATGTTGGGTGCGATTTCAAGTGAGAGCTCAGTTCATTTTTTCCTATAAAATACTTGTCGCAGATAATACAGAGATTTTCTTGTCCTCCATGGGATTTTATATGTATCATTACTTCTGCTTGTGTAGGATAAGAATTTGAACAAATAGGACAAGGAAACCCAGTTTCGTTTTCTATTGATTCCATTAAGCTGATTATGATTATAAAAAAGGGGGATTAATTTTGTGTTATTTATAAAGATACGATATAATGCAATAATGATAAATTAATTTCAATTATGATGAAGGAGCAAAAGGTCCAGGTGGCATCGTTGGAGGCCAAAAAACTGTGGCATTTGGGGCAGATCCTCCATATTTTTCTTCATATTGATGTCTTGCAAAGAGTTTCTTCAGCTCGTCAACTGGACCGTACCCTAATATTTTAACTTTATTTGCAGTTTGCTCCGGTATAAACGGTCTTATCATTTTTCACATACACTTCATAGTAAAAGGCGAGTTTACTATATAAGCAGTAATCATCCTACATCTATAATTAGTTTTCAATAGATCCACCAGTGATTTTAGATCAGTCCACGGAATTTGCCTTACTCCTCCCCTTTAAACTGAAAAAAAAATCCTGCTCTAATTTAAAGGGAATTAATATTTTTCTAAAACAAAAAAATTTATTTAAATTTGATAAAAAAGAATAAATTGAGCACAATCTATGAATTTTAATTTATTTTTATAAAGAAATAATTAAAATAATAAATCGAATCAGTGTAAAAACTGTTTAAAATAGTATTCAGATTGCATTTTGTATATTAAATTAGGTCAAAACTAATTTTATAAAATTAATATTTTCATTAAAAAAATTTTCATATAGAAAAAAATTTTGTTCAAATTTAAGGAGGGCGAAAAATGGAAATTTTGTTTCAATTTAAAGGGGTTAAGGACTGGTTTTCCAAGTCTATAATGACCATCCAGTTCTCAACGTGTCCTGGTAACATTAAAGACTGAATTCCATACTCAAGCCAAAAACAAAGGAGTCACGAATATTCTTCAACAGAATGGGCATTAAAATTGATCCTCGATACATTTATCACAAGAAGCGGCCTATAATGAAAATCTCTTCCGTGAAAATAAATTCCGCCTGTGTTAATCAGATGCTCACATTTCGGAAGGAGAGTATAAAATCCTTGTGAAAGATTAGCTCGCCATTGAATTGCTGCTAATAAATCTTTGACAGCTTGCTTTTTGTTGAACCCTGAACTGATGAGGATTCTGAGAAGCTCCTCATCGGTAAAATGTGGAGGCAGATTTATTCTGGGAGAGAAAGAATTAATTGCTTCTTTGAAATTTGATAGCTCATTGAGCTCATAATTGGTAAAAGGAACTCCGTAAAATATGAATCTGATTATGGATTGGCCCGAATTTAGGCAAACTGATGGCCCTGTTGGCTGAAAAAAATAGGCCTCTTGAGGAATATTCTTCGTAACTCTTGTATCAGATTCTTCCATTATATATTTTCATCTTTATTTTTCCTTATGATTCATTTCTTCAACATTATGTTTCAAATAGATTAATATCAGAAAAATAAAATCCAAACTCACTTAAACTTATTTTAATTTAATTTTAATTTATTTATTGATTATTTTATATAGTGAAATTTAAACTGTATATATAAATTAATATGTATATTTATCAATATATTTAAATTAAATTTTGAATGCAAAAATTGGAATTTTATTTATTGGGATTATTAAATCATAAAAAAGATAAATGTTTAAAAAAGCGAAGAAAAAGGGGATAACAATCATTAGTCATATGGGAAGATCTATAGAATTTTCCCATAGATGGCGCTGTTTGCCTTTGATTTGCCCACTGGGAAAATTTTTTGGTTCGACCAGTACCATATGGTTTGGTCAAACCAAAAAGTTTTCCTAGTGGGCAAATCAAGGGCAAGCAGCGCCATCTATGGGAAAAATTCTATAATTCTTGGGATGTAAGCTTTGATCAGCATTTTCGCACACAAAAAATTGGAATAAAGCATAACGATTTTCCAGAATCTTTTAACCGTGATTTAGCGTCGGATAAAACTGATATTGAAGAGAGGATAGATTCTCTTACAAAGCTTGCTAATGAAATTAAGGTTAAAGTTACTATTCAGCAAGAATCTCGAAAAGAAATTGATGCCTCAACTGAGGCGAGCAATAAAAAGGTAAGAAGAAGGCATGGACCCAGCAAAGCAAAATTTGTTGATAGATTACTGTTTGAGTCCAGCATAATTAATTTACATCTATAATTAAATATATATACTGTAAACCTGTCTTACTTCCAGCTTTGACAAATTAAATATCTAAATTACCTCACAAACTGTAGTTTTTATTTTTAGAGTAATTAAAACGTCATAAAATGCTGAAAATGGATGACTTACGATTGGTTTTCCACATTAATAAAAATCTTCAATTTTCTCAGTTATTCTTGCTGACCAAGCAAGGATTAACTAATTACTTTTTATACAAAATTTGTCATCAATCTAAAATCATTAAAACACAAAACCAGCTTCACTTCATGTTTTAATTTATTTTCCTTTAATAATGCACAATCCATCCATATACACTCAAACCAATTTCTCAACAATTTTTTTGAATTTATTTACTTCTCAATTAATCATTAAATTTGAATTTTAAAACGAACAATTAATAAATATTAATTATGCGCTCAAAAGCAAAGCATTCCAAGAAATCCAGACATTCCTTGAAGGCAGCCAAAGATTTCTTTACCAAGCGCAGAGCTTGGTCTTCACAAGAAGATGAAGCCATTAGAAAGCTAGTGATAGAAAATGGGACAAAACAGTGAACAGTGATTTCTGAAAAGCTAAGCCTCCAATTTAATTCTCAAAGAACTGGAAAGCAGTGCAGAGAAAGATGACACAACCACCTCAACCCTGGCATTAACAAGGACAACTGAAGCCTTGATGAAGAACTTCTGCTATTTGAAAACCATGAAAAGCTTGGAAACAAATGGGCAGAAATTTCAAAATTTCTCCCAGGGAGGACTGACAATTCAATAAAAAATCACTTCTATTCTACTATACGGAAAAGATTTAGAAAAATTAAAGGGATTGATGGGACAAGAGAAGACCTCAAAGAGCACGATAAATTATTATCTTCAAAAATCTTATCTTCACTCCAAAAAAAGAAGCGCCAAACTCAGGACAACGACGTGTCCACTACTTTAGATGAAAACAGCGTAAAAGATGAAGAATGTGAAAAATCTGAGAGTTTTCCAGAGTTTATGCCACTTGAAGAGGATGAACTAATAATAACAGGGCATCATATTTCGAACCCATTCTCATCAGCAACTGTGTCGAGTTACTATGAAGAAGCTCCAGTTGAATTTATGTGGACAGATGACCCATATCTCTGTGAGGAAGTTTTTATGATGCCTTTGAGTACACAAGAGAGCTTTCATATGTAATATAGCATTACATTTAATTAAAAAATATATTTAAATAGATTTTTCTTCAATTCTTTTTTGCAAATTATTTCAGGTGATTTCTGCTTTATTTAATTTATAAGTATTAGTTTGTTTTTAGAATTTGGGATTTATGGTAGAAAATAAGAAAAAAATCATAAAAGTCAGCTTTTTCTATGCTTCTTCGGATCTTGTTCGAGTCAAGATCCAAAGACTATCTCTCAGGAAAGAGTTAATTTTTTTTTGATAGATTATTTATTTTTACTGTAAGAATGATTTTTTGAAATAATATAGCCTATTGATCGACCCCACTTGTACAAATTTAAGCAAAGAAGAAATTAAAAAGCCAAATCTATACTTCACCATTTGATGATTACCTATTTTAACAGATGGCAGAACATGAGATACCAACTAAAGTCACTAAAGAAATGAGGTTATTGAATCAAAATTTTCCTTCTCATCCTTCATATATAATTTTCCTAACTAGAGTGAATATATTAAAAGATTTGGATTTAACTATATGATTTCTTTAATAATTTAAACTATTAATAGAAGTGTCCATTAATTTTAATAATAAATCCAAGCAAAAATGTCAGATATAGTAGTTCACTATTTTGATATCTACGGGAGAGCTGAAACAATTAGACTCATCCTTCACTATGCTGGGATCCCTTTTACAGACCACAGAATCCAATTCGAAGAATGGCCAGCAATAAAAGCTACTGGATTCACTGAATTCGGTCAGTTGCCAGCTGTCGACATTGATGGTCATCGATTAGTCCAAACTAGGTCGATTATTCGCTACCTGTGCCAAAAATACAATTATTATGTATCAGGCATTCAAGACGTGTATTACGTTGAGAGTCTTTGTGATTTAATAGACGATATTGGAACATATATGGGAAAATTTGTTTACAATAAAGATTTTGAAGGTCTCAATAAAGCTTTTGAAGAAAGAATGCCTGATTGGCTTAGAAAACTTGAAGCAAGATTAGAAAGAAATAACGGAGGGCAAGGGTTTTTTGTAGGAGACCACGCAACAAAAGCAGATTTTTATGCATTTGGGTTGTTGCATACTTTTATCATTAAAATTCATCCTGAGTATTTTGACTCGTATGCTCCAAAGGTAAAGCAATGGATGACAAGAATAATTGAATCCTCTCAGACCTTGAAGACTTATCTTGATTCTCGTCCTCAACGTGACTTTTAACTAATTAGCTTAATTTTAATGAGGAGAGTTTAATTAAAAACCAATTTTTCTTTATATCTGGATTTAGAGTTAATTAAGCACATCATTTCAGCATTTGCTAAACTATTTATATCTTAATCTAACTTTTAAAGGCAATGAAAATGCTTTGTCCAGCCTATTATTAGCGAAATATTCCTAGTGGTCAAAATTAAGAGCGATTACGAATAAAAATATCCATTAATTTTTATAATAAATTTCTGTATGTCAGACATAGTGGTGCACTATTTCGACCTATACGGAAGAGCAGAAGTAATTAGAATCCTCCTTCACTATGTTGGTGTTCCTTTTACAGACCACAGAGTCCAATTTTCTGAATGGCCAGAGGTTAAAGTTTCAGGGCTCGCTGAATTTGGCCAATTGCCAGTAGTCGATATTGATGGTCTCCGATTAGCTCAAACTCGCTCAATTGTCAGGTATTTGTGCCAAAAATACAATTTGTATACTTCAAATCCTCAAGATATATATTGGATAGAGTCTCTCTGTGATTTAATAGACGATATGCAAATGTATATCGCGAATTTTTTCTGGACTAAAGATGAAGAAGGCCTCAAAAAAACGTTTTCTGATAAGATTCCTGATTGGCTGCAAAAAATTGAAGCTAGATTAGAAAGAAATAACGCTGGGCAAGGGTTTTTTGTAGGAGATCACCCTACAAATGCAGATTTTTTTGTGTTCAGCTTTTTGTATAACTATATTCTTGTAGAGTATACTTTAGTATGGCGAGACGACCTACCTACAGACCTCTTGGCACAATTTTCTCAATACCTGCACTAAACGTCCAGGTAGAAAATCAAGCTGTGATAAAGATTCAGTATCTTTATTGTATATCGGGCTACAGGTTTTACTCATGCCTCAGGGTGATAAAAACTGAAACATGGGGCACGATCAGCAGCATTCCTAGAGAGGAGAGCGGAGTAGGCTCCTCAGATAGCATTTGCCTAGAGTAATAACGAGGATTTCGTCCCGAGTGGGTTTAACCCTAGGGACATCGGAGCCAGATTTGTTCGAATCGCTCGCCTTGGCGAAGGGAAGGGTGTCTGGTGGAGTCTATATGGGACGATGAGTATATAGAAATTCTCGCCTTGAGAGCATTTTTATTAATTAATTAATATTCTAGTAGAGAGCCCAGACATTTTTGACTTAAATGCTCCAAAAGTAAAGCAATGGATGACAAGATTAATTGAGTCGTCTCAGTCTTTAAAAACCTACCTTGAAACTCGTGTCCCAAGTAGTTATTATTACAAAGGCTAATATTATTTATCTAATTATTTATAATCTATTTCAAAATATAATCTATGGCCGAGCAGCAAGTAATTTGTTCTAAAAACATAGAAATTGAAGGCCAAATTGCTTTTGGTCAAGGCTCTGTGATCCACCCTGACTGTTCCATAATAGCTGAATCTGCCCCAATTGTTTTCGGCGAATACAATATCATTGAAGAAAGAGTCAGAATAATAAATCGAAAACCTGAAGAAAACCCAGCCCCGCTTCCATTACAGATTGGCTCATATAACATATTTGAAGTCGGCACTATAATAGAATACAGTGAAATAGGGAATTATAATGTTTTTGAACACCGATGCAAGGTAGAGCCAAATTGTAAAATTGGGAATGGCTGTATTATTACTGCAGGGGTCAGGGTGGCAAGAGGAACCACAATTCCTGATCTGACCGTTGTGTATGGAGAAGGACAAATGAGGAAAAATCAAGGGATGCAAGAAGACAGTTTTAGGCATGAAATTAAAGCTCTTACAGAAGTGCTTGCTAAATGCTTGGGCAGCCAAGCAATACAGGCTTCTCATAAATAAGTTTTATAATACTAAAATTAGTATATTATTGTATTTTATGTGGATTATTTTGTTAATTTGTAAAGAAATAGATAATGATGGATAAAATAAATGGAATATATTGCATTTTTCATTGAAATTAATAAGATGAGCTTTATGCCTAGAGAAGTAATAATAGCTGCTGCTAAAAGAACTCCAATAGGCAGTTATATGGGCTCGTTAAGCAAAATCCCAGCAGTTAATCTTGGTGCAAGCTGTATCAAGGCAGCAATTCAGCAAGCCAATATAAAGCCATCTGATATCCAAGAAGTAATGCTTGGAAATATGTTTGGAGGACTAGGCCAAGCTCCGGCTCGTCAAGCTTCTATCTATGCAGGGCTTCCTTACGAAACCATCTGTACAGGTATTAATAAAGCTTGCTCCTCAGGCATGAAATCAGTCACATTAGCAGCTCAAAGCATCACTCTAGGCCACGTAGATGTCATAATGGCAGGAGGTATAGAAAATATGAGTCTTGCCCCTTTCTATATCGCTGATTACCGTCCTGGACATCTTTACGCTGATTCCACTATTTTTAACCTCCTTTCCACAGATGGTGTATACTGTAAACATTCAAAATTAACTATGGGACTATGCTCAGAAAAAACCATTGAAAAATACGGCATCACAAGAGAAGAGCAAGACAGTTTCTGCGCCGAGTCTTATAGAAGAGCTGAAAAAGCATGGAAAAGAGGGTTTTTTAACAATGAAATCGTCCCCATTGAAGTCCAAGGAAAAGGAGGAAATGTGACGGTAACCGAAGACGACGAATATAAAAAGGTAAAATATGACAAAATCCCTACACTTAAGCCTGTTTTTGATAAAAATGGGACTATTACTGCTGCAAATGCCTCAGGGTTTAATGATGGAGGGTCAACTGCTTTAGTTATGAGCATAGACGCAGCTAGAAAGCTTGGAGTAAAGCCTTTAGCTAGAATTGTAAGCTTCGCTGACGGAGAAACTGAGCCTATGCACTTTGGAACTGCACCTACACCTTCTATACAAATGGCTCTGAAAAGGGCAAAAATGACAGTTAATAATGTTGACTTGTGGGAAATCAATGAAAATTTCAGCTCGATTGCAATTGTTAATATGAAACTACTTGGGATAAGCCATGATAAGTTAAATATCAATGGAGGAGCAGTTGCACTTGGACACCCATTTGCAATGTCAGGCTGCAGGATCATTGCAACACTTATCAATTCTCTCAGAGAATCCAATAAAACGATTGGATGCGCTTCTATATGCAATGGAGGTGGCGGTGCGACTTCAATAATAATTGAATTGATTAACTAATAAATGCTAGGAAAATTTGTTAGGAATTTCTCATTTTTACCAAGAGATGTCGTAATAGTTGGAGCTAAAAGAACAGCCATCGGGTCATTCGGGGGCTGCTTTTCTGCATTCCCAGCTCCAGTTTTAGGCTCCTTTGCAATAAGATCTGTCTTTCTAGAGTCAAAAGTAAGTGAAAAAGAAGTCCAAGAAGTAATAATGGGACATGTATTCCAAGGAGGTGCTGGGCAGTCTTCTACAAGACAAGCTGCAATATTATCAGGGCTTCCCAACACAACTTGTGCTACAGGAGTCAATAAGCTATGTGCATCAGGGCTAAAAGCAGTCACATTAGCAGTTCAAAACATCGCACTTGGTCATAGTGACGTAATAATTGCTGGAGGCATGGAAAGTATGAGCTCTGTCCCTTATATTCTACAAAAATACAGAACAGGCCACCAATACAGTGATAATTCTATACAAGACCTAATGAGTTTAGACGGGCTCAACTGTCCTTATAATAAACTTTCTATGGGTGCATGTGCTGAAATAACAGCTGAAAAATTTGGCATCACAAGAGAAGAGCAAGACAAATTTTGTATCAGGTCTTATACAAAAGCAAATAAAGCTTGAAATAGAGGGTTTTATAATAAAGAAATTGTAAAAGTGGTGGTTGGAGGGAATAAAGGACAAAAAATTATTTCAAATGACGAAGAATACACAAAGGTGAAATATGATAAAATCCCGACCTTGAAACCAGTTTTTAGTGAAAAAGGGACGATAACTGCTGCAAATGCTTCGTCTATTAATGATGGGGCAGCTGCTGTGCTACTAATGAGTAAAGAAAAAGCTGATAAATTAGGCTTAAAGCCTTTAGCAAGGATATTAAGCTTTGCAGACTCAGAAACAGAACCTCTTCATTTCAGTATCGCGCCTGCAGAAGCGATGCAAAAATGTTTAACCCGCGCAGGGTTATCTAAAGAAAGAATTGATTTGTTTGAAATAAATGAAGCATTCAGCTCAGTTGTATTGGCGAACATAAAGCTTCTTGATATTGACTTAGCAAAGGTAAATATCAATGGTGGAGCCGTAGCTTTAGGCCACCCAGTAGGCATGTCAGGTGCTCGAATTTTGGGTACTCTTCTTTATTCTTTACAAGAAAAAGGCAAAACTTTAGGATTAGCTGGAATTTGCAACGGAGGTGGCGGAGCCACCTCTATCTTAATAGAATCCCTTTAATAGTTGAAGAAATTAATAAAAAAATCATTTATCATTTTAAACATGAAACTCGTTATGCGAAAAACTGAATTTTGACAAGCTCATACCCCAGCCGAAGTAGGCCCAGGGACCTATGAAATAAACACCTCCAAAGATTTCAATAAAAGCGCAGCACCTTTTAGCGTATCAGAAAAAAGAACTCTATCAGCTCCCAAGACTTCAGTTAAATTCGAGCCAGGACCAGGAACATATTCTGGCCGTGAAGAATGGCTAAAGCAAAACAACCAGCCAATTTGCAATTTTATTTCTAAAGCTCCACGAATTGGGCCTTTTGCCCCTGGGGTCACTGGATTTACGCTGCCTACAAGCATAAATAATCCAGGGCCTGGGACTTATGAGCTTGAAAGCAATCCAAAAGCACAAGGAGAAGACTTTCAGAGAAGGCGGCCACAGTCTTTGTTAATAGAGCCAAGTCCACCTTCAATCCCTTCAAAAAACATAAAAAAAGCGAATATTGGGCCTACAAGTTATAGCCCAGACCATAGCATTGTAAAGCCAAGCTCTAGAGGGGCAGGTTTTGGCTCTTATAGAGGAAGAAGATCAGTTTTCGAGCCTACAAGTGACGCAAGGCCTGGACCTGGCGAATACTCATTTGACGAGTCTATACAATCTGATAAAGAATCATGAAATTTCCAGTCAAAAACTGTCAGACCTGTTACTTCAAAATCAGCAAAAGATGATAAACCAGGACCAGGAAGCTACGAAGTAGCTTCCCTAGACAAGAAAAATAAAGTCCAAGTAGAAGGGTTTGGAATAACCGCAAAACGAGATATGCCATTAACAAGAGACCCACATCGGCCATTTGTTGTAGGAAACCATGACGTCCCACCTGTTGGGAATTACTATTCAAAAGAGCAGTTAAATAAAATCGAAGAGCTCAAGCAGAAATTTGTGTCCTTTGAAATGGCTACTGTAAAGCCAGGTTTCAATACAAGTGAAAAGCGAGAAATGCCTTGGGTTACCACTGCAGGGAACCCAGGGCCAGGAGAGTACGCCAGTGAAGAAACCATTATAGAAGAAGACCCAAATAATCCATTTGGGTCAAGAGCTGAAAGATTTAGAAAGCCGAAGCCAAATAACAACCCAGGCCCAGGAAGTTATGAGCCGAATTCTGCAAAGGAAAACGACACCTCGAATTCGTCTTTTAAAAGCAAGACTCCAAGATTTAAAGGAATTGCGTCAGATAATCTATGCGTTACTGTAGTAGGGAGTGTCCCTAAGCCAGTTCCATATATTTCTCACAAGCCATGGGCTGGAAAACAAAGCCGCGCTTATGATTATCAACTTTTAAACCCGAAAATCAGCTTTGACTCTTCTTCAAACAGGTTTTTCAGAACAGCCAAAGACCCTAACAACCCAGGTCCTGGGTCTTATGACTCTAGACCTAAAAGTGTCCCTACAAAACAATTCAGGCTCACAAGTGCCCGGTTTTCCAATTTTGGAAGCTACAGACCTGGGACTGGTACAAATGAAGAAGTCGGCCCTGGAAGCTACCCACTGAATAGCCAAATTAAGAAAAAATCTTTTAACATGGCTGCAGAGCTTGGAAGAGAAAAACCATGGATTATATAATTTTTAATTGATAATTATTTAGATATATTACTCAATATGACCAGGGGCGAGCAGCCTTAACGACAAGCTTTCATGTTTAGAAATCGTCATAATGATCCCTCCTTCATGTTGGATCCCAAGCATCACCTTCGGCCAGTTGACTGCTGATGATTTTTGGAATAATTCTAATAAATGCTTCACCTTTAGTGTCGCCCTTATATTTTTCAACGAGCATTGCCCAAATAATAAAGGCACCTGATAATATGTACTAATAACTTGTAATGGCGAAGAATTCACTGACATCACAGTCAAGTCTCCTTTTTCAGGGACTTCTACTTTATTTCTGGCATGATTGCAGGCGAAAAGGTAATCTAAATCTCTTTTATTTCGAGGTGCACAAGCTTGGCATTTTTCAAGGCTTAGTCCAAGGATAACGGCTGAGTCATCACCTTGGAGAGGTCTCATTATTTGTATGACGTGGTTTAAGCAGACCATTTCACACTCAATGGCATTGGGGATTTCAGGGATTATGTCTTCATTGGCTTTATTTATAACGATGTCTACTTGTTTTTCATAACTGAAGTTTTCGCCTTCTTCTGGGATGACACAATTTTTAAAAGATGGTGAGTGGTGTATAGGTTTCAGGGCGACTTTTGAGTTGATCCCCTATATATAAATTATCCCATACTTTTAGGAAGTCCAGGGGTGGGTTTTTCCTACACGAATGGCTTTTTTCCTTGACCCTCAGACGATATACCAAGAACATAATGTCGGCACGCAAGACCCGCCTAATTTAGCCTAATCTGGGACTACACAGCGGAATTCTAGATAGAGATGTGGACTGCCTGATCTATTTTCTTGGGCTAGGCGAATCGTTACTTGAGTTCCCGGCAAAGCTGAGCTTGCTTTTAGAGCTTCAAAGACTTGTGTTTTTACTGCTTCTAAGACAATTGTATTTTTGTGCTGCTTGGATTTGACAACTACTTTAGAAAACAACGCAGAATCACTTTTATCAGATAAATCGATCTCGACCCAGCAGATTGGCCGGTCTATTCCTATATGGACTTCTCTGAGAATAATTATGCTTATTTATATTAATATACCTTCAAACCCCTCTTTTTTCTATAAAAACTATCTTATTCCTCCCAGTATAAATCGTCTTGAAAAATCAAATAAACGCGCTCATCAGTTGGGCAGGCTGATTTAAGCGCTTTAAGCATTTCTTCCAAGACATCTCCTGTGCACTCAAGAACAAGCTTCATTTTATTATTTTCTGAACATTTCTTATAGTTAAATAAAAGTGTTAAATTATACACATGGGTTTAAAGCTTGTAGCTTTAATGCATGGTCTTGCAAAATATAATAAGATGCGGTGGAATGTGTGAGGTCGCCGTTTTTAAGGGAGTTAATTATATAACTCTTAGGGTAGCCAAACTTGGCGACTTGAGAAACTATAGAATCGTCAATTTTTTCTAAATCACGGTCTGTCTGCAGGTCAGAAAATCGAGGCCGAGGAGCTTCTGGCTCTGTATCTTCAGTGAAAAACCATCGGTGCTCTAATGCGTCTTTTAAAGAAATGCGGTATTGTGGGATTGGGTTTAAAAATAGTGAAATTAAATCTTTAGCTTCATCTGACATGTACTCTGGGATTGCATATTTTCCTAATAAAATCATTTTATGCAGATCATTCAGATTTTTAGCTTTAAAAGGGACAGTTCCACACAGCATTGCATAGAGAAGGACGCCTAAACTCCAGATATCGACTGAAGGGCCTTCATAGCCTCTTCCTATAATCATTTCAGGAGCTAAATATGCAGGGGTCCCACATTGTTCATATATCATGTCTCCTCGTTTAAATGACCTGCTTACCCCAAAGTCACAAATTTTGACTGAAGAATAATCAGAATCAATCAAAATGTTATCAAGCTTAAAATCTCTATGAATAATCCCATGTGAATGAATTGCGATAGCCCCTTCAAGAATTTGTCTGAAAATCCTTTTAGCTTCGCCTTCCAAGATTTTTCCTTTTCTTTTTACAAAATGAAGAAGATCGCCACCTCCTGCGTATTCCATAACTATATAAAAAAATTTTGAGGACTCAAAAACCTCAAGAATTCGGTTGACTCGGCTATGGCGGACTTTTTTCAGGATTAAAACTTCATGTAAAACTTTACGTCTGGAGTCTTCGTTTTTCATATGGATTTTTTCAATAGCTTTGAGGGCAACTTTGTGGCCTGTCAGTCTATGGACGCCTAACATAACTCTTCCAAATGAGCCTTTACCGATCATTTCGCCTACTTGATAAAACTCTAAAGAGGATGTAGGCTCTTCTAAATGCTTTTTGTAATAAGAGGAAATGTATTGGAGGAGTTTTTCTCTGTTTTCTTCTTCGTTTTGGAGTTCGGAGCTTGAGAGATTTATGGAATTGTGTTTTGAGGTGTTTAATGGCGATTTTTTTCTTGGGGTTAAATTTAAATCAAAATATGAGTTTTTTCTGACCTCGACTTTTGGTGGGATTTTTTGGGAGAAATCGAGGAAAAAACTTGGCTTTTCGGCTTCTTCTAGCTTAGTTGGAATGTTAGGACTGACTGGGAAGTGGTCAGAAAATACTCGACGATGTGCAGGTTTTGTGTGGAGTTTTGGGGTTGAGATGAAGCCTTTACGAGAGGTATTGGCTTCGTGGCAAGGACTGAACTCTTGGTTTTCTGTGTTTCGCTTTTTTAAATAGTTTTGTAAGACTTCGTAAGGTTTTGGTAACTGGTTTGTGGAGTTTGAGGTGACTGGACTTTGTCTTTCACTTTTTGAAACTTTTTTAGAAGAAATCCTTATTCGGTTTTGGCCTCTTAGTTAGCTAATCAAATATTTTGTATTTTTTTATAAATTGTATTTAAATATTTCTGATTTGACATTTATAATAATAAGGATTTAGAAAATTCCTTTTGGAGTTTTCGGAGTTTATCTTCGTTAATATTTAATGATGAAATGCTAGATTTTGGTCTGGTTCTAATCATATATACTATGGTAAATTGAATAATAAAATTTATATATATCTATTGCCAAAACTTGGCCTTAACGTATTATAATATACTCCATTAAATTAGGCTGATTGCTATTGATAATAATTTTTGCATAAATATTAATATTCTTTATTTTGTTGTTATTACTTATTTTATACTATCACAATATATATTATAAAAAATCAAAAAAATCAGTAATAATTGGCAGGATTTAGATTTTAATAGTTTTTTTTAATTAATAGATTTTTAAAATTTTAAGCAGGGTCTTAAATTCTTCTTTTAAAAGTTAATATTAATGTATTGTAAAAATAATGATTATTTTAGGAAGATCTGAAATTAATTATTTTTTAAAACGGTCCCAAATTAATTTTTGCGAGAATATAAAGATGAAGTTTAAAGCTTTAATAATTCGATATTAATTAATAATTATTCTTAAATAGCTTTAACTGAATTATCTATTTTATATTAAATAATTGAATAATTGCTATTAAGTGCAGAAATTAGGTAAAGCAGTAAAAGATCATAATATTAAGGAAACTTATATTTCTCAAAGTTGATAAAGCCATTTTATCACTAACTCTCTCAATTCTTGATCGAATCGATCAAAATCACTAATCAAAACATTTTTTAGAAAAAAATAATTCATATAAATATTTTCATATGTTATGCTTCCATGTAAAAATATTTCACGCACCAGTCCCATAAGAAATAAAGTTTTATAAGCGAGAAATCGTATAGAATTGCATAGATCGATTATAAGGTATTACATCTACGGTATATTATTGCCAAAGATAGATAGTTAGATTTTAAGAGAGATAGGAAAGATATTTAGCTTTATCATGTGGAGATTGCTCAATCAAGGAGGGGGGCTAATTTTCTTAATTTTTTATAAAATTTCCAATAGTGTCTGTAGTGAAGAGTAAGAAATTTTATATTTTCGAGTATATACAAAAATATGGATAATTTTAAATACAAAAATTTTTGATTGTTTTCTTTAATTATGGAATTTTATTATATTATGCTTTAAATTTAATTGAAATAGCCTAAAAAATTTATAGTTATTTCCTAAGCAGATAAATTTAGTCACATATAATTAAGACTCTTAAAAAATGAGAAAGCAAATGATATACATAGGCTATTAAAAATAGATAAATTTTCTAATGAAAAATAAAAAGATTAAGCTTTACTCGCTTCACGTTAATAATTCCAGTACCTAATCTATTAAATAACTCAAAAAACATTTTAATTTTTTTCATCATATTTCACTTTTACTTTAATTTAAACCCTATGCATCAAACATTAAGACTTAATTTGATTTATCATCACATATATCATTTCTTCGAACTTAGAAAAATTAAAATAGAATCTTTTTAAGTTTTCAGCCAAATAAATGCATTTTATATCTAATTTTTCAAATAAGCTATTCTTGATATTTATTAAAACATAAATAGCTATCAAGAAAATAGAAGCCTATAAAAATAATTTTTAAACATATATTTTTAACTGCAATTTCGAATTTATTGTAAGCCATTTTAAAATTAAGAATCCTTAAATTAAATTGTATTTAATGCTTGCTTTTCTTCTTATCCTTAGGTAAAATTTAGTTTAGATAGTTAAAGAATTTGATATTGAATTTATAGATACTCCATAGCATAAAGATATATCACAAATTATATATCACTTAAAAATGGTGACGTAGCTCATAATCATAGGCTACTAAATTATATATGCAAAAATTACAATTAAGGAGACTTGCTTATTTATACTCTTTAATATTGCCTCTTAATCTACTGACCCATTCAAAAAAATGTTAAGAGTTTTTTTATTAGCAAATTCGATTCTTCTTCCATTTAAAATTTACACATTAAATATCAAGATAAAGGCTTTAATGTCCTTTACTTTAATAGATATTATAAATTTATCAAAGTAGCCATCATTTTTATAAGTAAATCATGAAATGAAATTACTTTTAAACAAAAAATTTAATTCTCTAGATTATTTCTGCTTTCGCAATTCTAACTAGGCCGAATAAGAGCTATTGATCCAAAAAGTGTCTGAAGACTAATTTATAGAATTTTAGCCTTTAAGTTTTCTATTATGGCATTCTAGAATTGGAAAAATTTCAGAAATCGCATAATTAAAATGGCTATGAAGTCTTTGCTGCTTAATCAGACAAAACAATTATTCACCAAACCGATATGGTATCCAAGATCAAGAAGAGGCCATCATAAAAAACCTTAAATTTTTATTTTTATTCAATAATTTTTCCTACTATAAAATCTCAAAAAAATAATTACTTCTATTTTATAGTGTAAAAAATGCAATTTTTCCTCTAGTATATTTTTTAAGTTTCCCTCAAGACGAGATTTGGACTGTATTGACAAGTCTCATAGAAATATTATTGATGATCTTGGAAATTCCTACCCAGGCTCAAACGACATCGATTACATGAATTGGCTTTCATCAATGAGAAATTATGATACCCCGGCCGATTCAGACGTCCCTGATGCTTATTATCCTGAGCAAGCAAATAAGACTTGGAATATCCTTTATGGGAAGCTTAAAGAGCTTCATAGCCTTTACGCTTGTGACGAACACAACCAAAACCTCATTGAGTTGGAGAATAAAAACATTTACACTGAAAATGAAGTCCCTCAGTTTTCTAAAGTAAATAATTGGCTAAACTCAAAAACAGGATTCAAACTAGTTCCTGTTGGAGGAATGATTAATGCAAGATCATTTTTATATGGACTTGCTTATCGAGTATTTTTTGCATCAAGGTATATTAGGCATATTTCTTCCCCATTTTACGCAGTCGAACCAGATGTAGTTCACGACCTAATGGGGCATGTTCCACTTTTTGCGAATGAGGAGATGGCCGAATTTTCTCAAGAAATTGGTAAGAAATCACTTGGAGCTAGTGACGAAAAAATTGACCAATTAGCTATAAGCTATTAGCTGAAATTTACCAATATATTATTTAAAATAGATGAAGTATGGACAATTTAAAGCAAAAAACTATAAAATTTATTACTACTCACTCCTCCATTAAGCTAAGTTAAGTTAAACTAGCCAGGCCATACGTGGGCGAACCAACGGACCTCACACACCTCAGCTCGAAAGTGACTCCAGATCGGGTTCTGATGTGGCCATACTCCCAGACCCATCGCCATCTTGATTTCTGGTCTGAACTACCTGTCCAGAGTATCAACTCCTTTATATAGAGCCACTTCTTGGAGAGTGCCCCGATGCTCCCGATGCGGGGAGACCATGTAGTAGGAAAAACTGTCTAGCCCATCTGGCAGGGATAGGGAAAACCTTCGGGGGAGAAATAAAACTTCCTTTTCGGCATAGCTTCCCCACCTCTGAAGGCCTACCTGGGCAAGGAACGAGGCCCTGTGTCTCAGTTTCATCAGAAATGGGTCCTACCAGCTCCATAGGAGGTGCGCCTCGGAGTCCAACTTCCGTCAACGTCACCATTTTATTTCTTCCTCCTCCGTTAAGTAATTTTAAAATATAGTAAATTTTAATTTAACTTCATATTGCATCTCTATTTGTATAAAAATCTCTATAGGCTTAATGAAATTAATACAGATAGGAAAAAAAATATAAAAACTTTTTGTCATAAAGGTTAGTAGAATTTGGCGTTATTGGTGAAAAAATTCTCGGAGCAGGGATTTTATCCTCGAGTGGGGAAATAATTAATGTCGGTGAAAAAAAATGTAAAGTCGAGCCTTGAGAACTCAAAAAGGTTCTGAATGGGCGTACATAAAAAGCCCTATTTTTAATGCATTTTTACCATCAAAAACAATTGAAAATTTAATTCCATGCTTAATCCTGATGAAAGCCATATAGTGGTTCTAAAATTATGCAAAAAACCCCCTGCATATGGAGCAATTTCACCTTAAAAACAATCATATAAAAACCCATTGGTTTTTTTTCTTATCAACTCATTCTGAATATGGACTACGTTTTGCACGACTTCCAACCGCTTTTATTTAAAGCTAATAGCCTCACAGAAATGAAAAAGTTCGTCTTTGAAGCTGTAGAAAGCTAAGACTAACGAATATTTTAATAATCTAACTACTAATATTTTTCTGATCTCGTCCCTAATTTCTTTACCTTTTTTCATGCATAATCATTTTTATGATAAAACGAGATTACCTCATCGTGAATACCCAATACCCAAAATGTCACAATGCCAGAATAAATTCCCCATTTTTCATAATTAATGATGCAGATGAGGTTGTTGAATTTACGTAATCTCACTAGAAGGCCTTTTACTACCGCAAACGATATTTCAGATATTTCCAAGGCGAGAATAGACAAATTTAAAAATCAAACTCATGAACTGATAGAGCAGGTAGCTGAGTACCACAAAAATATTGCATCAATAAATGTAAAGCCAGACGCCAAAAGAAATTTTTTAAGGAAATTGGTGTCTTCAACTCCTCCTGCTGAGCCTGTGGGATGGGAAACTATTCAAGCTCAAATAAAAGACATCATTATACCCAATAACTCTCATTGGCAGCATCCAATGTATATGTCGTGGTTTCCTTCAATATCAACTTGGCCAGCTATCCAAGGAGAAATTTTATCTAGGTCTATTAACGCGATAGGCTTTTCATGGGATTCTTCTCCTCTGCAGACCGAATTGGAACTCTTATGTGCCGATTGGTATGCACAGATGATGGGATTCCCTGATTACTTTTTGCATGAAAAAAGCCCTGGAGGAGGGATGGCTATGACATCTGCTGGGGATTCAGTTCTTAATCTCTTGATTGTAGCGCGACATAGAAGAAATGCCAAAAAACCAGTTATTTATGTCTCTGATCAAACACACGTACACATAAGCAAGTGCGCAAAAGCTTTGGGATATGAAACCAGAGTAATCCCTAGCTATTTTGATGAAATTTCTCAAAATTATCCTATGAATGTAAGCTTGCTGCCTCTAGCAATCAAAAAAGATATAGAGGCAGGACTTGACCCAATTTTTGCTTGTGGGACTTTTGGAACGACAAACTCCACAGCAATTGACCCAATTCAGCAAATCGGACAAATTTGTAAAGAAAATAACATGTGGTTGCATATTGATGCAGCTTATGCTGGATCAGCACTAGTTTGTCCAGAATTCAGACATTTATTCAAAGGAGTTGAATATGCTGACTCTATAGTTGTTAACGCCTCGAAGTGGATGGGGTTAGGATTTTGTGCTTCTTATATGTTTATAAGAGACAAAAAGTGGCTTGGCGACTGTTTTACAATGGATCCTGACTATTTGAGGAAATCTGATGACATTGATTTAGGATCTCTTCAGTTAGCTTTTGGAAGAGATAATAGAGCCCTTAGAATGTTCTTTTATGTTTCACAGTACGGTGTCAGCGGCGTTCAATCTATGATTAGAAAACACGTAGAACTAGCCAAAATTTTAGAAAACCTCATAAAAAATGATGATAGGTTTGAATTTTGTACTAAGAGAGAGTTCGCACTGCTTGTGTTTAGAATGAAAGGAGATGACCAAAAAACAACTGAACTAATTGGCAAGCTGAAAGAAAGGAAAGATATTTTTGTTTTAGGGACTAAATTGGAAGGAAGACCAGTGATAAGACTGAGCATGAATAGTGAATATTTAGAAGAAGAACATATACACAGAGCTTGGGAAATAATAGCAAGCTTAGCTTAAATTAATTTCAAATAATTTTAATCTAATTGGCTTATTAAATTGAATTCAAAAGTTATCATATATTAATTGCTTAAATTTATTTCATCCTAATATCTGTATCAGAATCAGCATTATTTCCCCAGTCTATATAATCTTCTTTTTCTGCAGCTTTATATTCTTGAATTAGCTCTTTTACAATTTCTTCTGATCTATCAAACTCTTCGAAATTTTCTGAAAAAATTCTTTCCTTTTTATAATTATACCTGCTTGCCAAGAATAGCCGACTAAGGAGCATTTTTTTGGTTAGCCATTCTTAAATTTGGTTAGCCAGAAATATGGCATGCCAACGAATTTGGCATGCCAGATATTGTCCGGCCAACCAAAAAATGCTCTTTACGGGCTATTCATGGTAAATAAATATATCTAAAAAAGCATTCCTTGATCTCAATTTTGTATACTGACTAATAATCCTATCAAATAAATCCGCAATACTCGTATGGTTCGCAAGCATAAGTCCTGACACCTTATGTGAAGTTTCTACATACGGTGATTTTCTTGAAAGTGCAACTTGTATAGACGCAGGCCCCCAAGGGATGAAATTTGCAAGTTTTCTTTCCCTAATCCTCTGTAGTGACTTGTGAACTTGTGTAGGATCTACATCTCCTTGAATGATATTTAAAATACTCATATAAACCCCCTTTTTTGTATTAGTCGAAACCATAATATTTTTTGTCTGCAAAAGCCTTCTCATTACATCTAAAACTGTCGTTTTCCGAACTGAGCTGATTTGTCGGTCCACAGTTAAAGGAGTATAGCCAGTCATTAAAAAGTGGCATCTAGGAGTCGGGATAAGTGAAGCAACGAGGCCTACTAAATCATTATTCATATATCCAGGATATCTCAATGTCGTTGTAGAAGCTGCCATAACTGTAGATACTAAAGCATTAGTCTGTGCAAAGGTTGGGTTTGGAATTTTTAGTCTGTCTACTGCAATGTGATTTAGTGCCGCATTGTCTAGCACAACTACACAATCAGCGTTAAGTGTCAGTCTTTTTAAAGTCAATAATGAGTTATAAGGCTGCACAACTACGTCAGAAGTTCTAAGCTGGTTTGGGAAAACTGAATAAGTTTGGATCAATTTCTTAGGAAATCTGTCATTAAGTCTTTCTAATAAATAAGACCCCATTCCACTTCCAGTGCCTCCTGCAATAGAATGAAGCAGCACAAACCCTTCTAAAGAGTCGCTGCCATCAGCTTCTCTATCTATCATATCCATGATTTCATCATTGACTCTTTCAGCTTGGGAAAACCCACTTGCCCAGTTATTCCCTGCACCCCCACCTTCTCTGCTCATATAAATATTTTCAGGGTTATATAAGGCTGCATACATAGAAGTCTGTATTGTATGGATTACCCTCGGCTCTAAATCGATAAGCAATGCGCGGGGAATATAGTGTTCATCGTCCGCTTGATAAAAGAACACATCTTTACGGTCATCGCCTGCAGTTGCGTATTCTTCTAGTATGCCTTCATTATTAATCCCATGCTCCATACAAAGTTGCTTCCAAAATTCCATGCCTATTTGGTTTCCACATTGTCCTACTTGAAGTGTGATAATTTCTCTGGGCATTTTTATATGAAAATACAAGCTATTTATAACAAAAATCTATTATTGTTTTATACACTTCTTGAGCAACTTTTACTCAAAAATTCTTCTGCTTCAGTAAACTCCCTTGTAAAGCTTAAAGTTCTCAGCTCGTCAGCAGGTTCTGTATCTGATGAGTCTTCACGAACCATTTGTAGTATCGGTACCCATTTATTTCGGTCATTTGTGCTCCTATGTGTTCCATAAGGAGAGTCACTATATTTTTTTACTGGGTCATTTAAGTCTACATCTGTCAAAACCACAGGGTTACTCTTACAATGAGGGCAAGCTATTTCAAAATTGACCATTTTTGCTTGTAGGTGTTTGGCGCAGAAATGACAGATATAATTCTTGCAACACTTTGTAACAAGAATGTGGGAATAAAATTTGAAGCATATTGGACAGGTATAAGGGTAGGAGATATTCTGGGTGGCGGCTGGGGTAAAATCAGCTGATTTTATGTCGTCAGGGGAGACTTTTGTGTCTATTAGAACTTTTAGTATAGTTGGAGGGCGACTGCCTGGGTGAACAGGAGGTAGGTTATTTGTCCGTTGAGAACCATGGACTTGGGTGACTTGAGTTTGAGTTGTATTTGCATTTGTTTCTTGTCGTCTTGCTATAATTGGATTTGAAGCCAATTTTGTACTAGTGCAAAAGCAGCATCTTCCAGCTCCCATATCTAAAATACTAAAATTTTCTGGAAATTATTTGTCTTAATGAAAATTCAGGTTTTTATTTTGCTTATTTTATGCAAAAATCAAGGTAAAAAGGAAATTTTTAGGTATATGAGTTATTTATTCTATAATCTAAATCTAAATATATTATAACTCCTCCTTAAGAAAAAATCTGCTCCATTTAAATGGATTTGATTTTATATATAATTTCTTTAGGACATAATGGCAGTTTTCGTGTCAAAGAAGAAGGAATTATCCAGTGGGTATTTTTGATCGAGATCTCAAATTCATTGCAGAAGCTATGCGGCTTGGCTCTGGCATGAAAATGTTGTGCTAAATCTGTAGACTATAAAGACATAGCGAACTTATGGGGGATCATGAAGATGGTGCATGAAGAATTATTGTGAATAGAGTTGAAGTTTGGTGAAACTCAGGAAATAAAAGCAGTTGGCTATTGATGACTTATCTTGAAGGTGCAAATAGGTATAGAAGTTTCCTATGTTTGGCGCTGTAAGGCCGATAAATTCTGATCGGAATTTATCGGTAGGTTGCACCAAATCAATGCCTTGGTCGGACCAAAAAGCGATTTGGTCAGACGAACTTGGAAAGCTCCTGGGAAAATGTCTGCGCTTTTAGCGCTATATAGAGGAAACCTCTATACTACATTAGCGACTGTATTAATAGGTACTGCATTAGTGACTGTATTTAATGAACCTAGAAGTTGCTGGAGAAGTTGATGTCGAAGCTGAGTTATATGTTTGAAGTTGAAGTCAATGCTGAAATTTATGCTGTTGCCATTGGAGAAAAGCAAGAGAAATACAGAATTACCGCTTTAAAAGCAACTTAATTTTAATATAATATAATTTTTCATGTTAAAAGAATATATTAAAATTCAGCAATTTAATGCACTATTTTTAATTTATAAAAAATATAGGTAAATTTTAGATTTTTGAGAGGACTAACCCATTAATTTGGCATTATTTAACCTACATTAATAGGAGGGTAAGTATTCAAATAATATATTTAAAAATTTACTGCATATGCCACCAGTGTGTCAAAAAATTTAAATAATATAATTTTATATTGTAAACTAATGTTTTAAATACAGTTTATACTAACTCAATAATAAAATAAAGTTTGCTTAATCAAATGTATGAGCCAAAGCTTGTAAACCATTATCACGAGTTTAACCTTATTCTCCCTGCAAGCAAAGAGCAGAAAATCTTAAAACCCAATAATTTTCTGATATTTTAATATTTTATTTAAAATATAAATTGTATCGTTTTATAAATAAAATCTTTAAAAATCAATTCAGCCCAAGAGAAAGTTTAGACGATTTGCCTGAAACCACTTCAAAGCACTGGAATGTAAATATCTCAACCAAAGCATTAAACCAAAGAAAGCTGATATATTTCAATGGGAAAAGTATCTTGGAAAACTCCAATAAATTAACCACATCTAAAGATCCTCCAGCTCTTGCAAGCTGTAAGACAAGGATAGTTATAAATAATAAAAATACTGAACGACTGATAAAGAAATCACTAGCGAAAAAGAAATCCAGGTCCAACAACAATTCAATTACGGATTCTTCAAATTTAGTTTCCATCAAAGAGCCTCCTTCATTACAGCTAGAATCTAGCCTAGACAAAAAGCTCCACGAAGGCATCTTAAAAGGACGAACACTAGGTTTCCCTAACAAGCTAGATCTCCAGCTCGATTTTTCCTATGTGCCCAAAATGGTCCACAGCTATGCTATCCCTAATGGTCTCTCAGCATTAAAACTACAAGTAAAACCTGAGAAAACTGGCGTCGATTTATATGAGCCAAAAATTTCTCAATTTATGAACCGGTTTGAAAAGAAGCCAAATCAGATTGTATCAATGCCAATTATAAGAACTGGTATCAATGGCTGGAAGCTAAGTTCGACGACTCCTTTGAAAAAGAATAACTAAATATACAAAATGATAATTAATTAAAATGGGAATTTTCGAAGGATTGATAGTGCATCGGCCGCTTACAAATCAAAGGCGCTATGACTTTGTGATAAATGAAATATACCAGCATCTGCTTGTGCATCAAGATGAGATACAGATTAATATTGAAACAAATAAGTATGCCCTGCTGGGGTGTTAAAACCTATTTAAATAATATAAATAAAATATTTTTTTTTTTATTAAAAAGGTATATATTCATATTCAAGCTCTTTATGGGTCAGATATCACAACATTTCCACTTTCATGCTTTAATATGAGAACCAATTTTTTTAGAATTTATTCTGGTTTAACACCTCCAGAAGACGTCATGCACTACGGATCAATAGTCTGGGAATGCCTTAACATATTAAGAGAAAACTACCCTTCACATATAGAAATTTCTGAAGAAAACCTTGGGAGATGCGCGCCACACTTTACCGACATTTCAGATGCAGAAATCTTAAGAAGGCAAATTTCATGCATTTCTTCCCGCAAAGACGACCCAATAATGCTTCATTCTGAAGAAATGGAAGACTTGTGGTATGTTTTATACTCAGCCGTCAAAGCTTATGATATCAAAGGAATCATGATTTGTTTAGAAATTTTAAACTCAAACACAAACTGTCCACCTTTAGTATTTAAAGCAGCAAAAACAGAAGATTTAAGGTTGCTTGAAGGGATGCTTGACGAAAATGAGGTCAATATCAATGCATTGCAATTTCCTGGACTAATGGAAAGATGTAGGGAAATGTCGAGAAATATTTTGAAAAAAATAATACTTAAGCACCCTGAAAAAGCGCAGGATATTCCTAGCTTAAAAGAATTAGGACATTTAGAGTCGCCGAGGCCTGTTACAATTATTGATGGGAAGTATGAAATGCCATGCACTCTGAACGCTTTGGTGTTCCAATTGACTGAGACTGCTTGCATTGAAAGGGCTACTTTTTTGTTGGAAAGCCTAAATGGGACACAAAATTTAGAAGATTTAGTACAGCTGAGGTGGCCTGAAAGGCTAAAAGTGTTATTGGAAAAATACTGTGATGGGATTTTTGGAGAAGAAGAGCACGATGTGATTAAATATGGGCTTTTTCAAGATGCTTTGGCGACGGCTGTAATTAAATTAAGCAAAAACCCAGAATTTTTGCTTTTGTTGCTGAATACTGGGTTTTTTGAAAGATTTTTTGAGGTTTTAGAAGAAGCGTGTGTGCTGGCTTATAATGTGATAATTCATAAAGATGACCCAGAGGAGTGCAAACTGTATAAATTTATTGACAGATCGTTGAAGCTATCTGAACTTACGATAAGCCCAGGATTTTATAAGTTTTTAAGACCAATTCAAGAAACTCTAGTAAAGGTGAGCTCAAAGTTGATGAATTTAACGCATCATGGAATTGAAGATAAAGGCATGCCAGCTCCTGATGATCCTGAAGAGTTAAAATTGATAAGTTTGGAGTTATATGAGTTTAAGCAGAAGCTAAGTCTGATTATAACAAAAACAGATGCTTTACTAGAGTACCAAGAGCGGCATGAAGATAAATATGCAAGACTATTTCCAAATTTATAAATCAATTTATTTAACTATAATCAGCGTTTCGCAAACTATTTATCTCTAATTTATTGAGAGTAAAATTTATTTTGAAACAAATTATTTAGCTGCCATTAAAAAACCATATTTTTAATGCTGGTTTTTAAGAAAATGGAATAAATGAAAGATGAATAAATAAAAATGTATATGGGTGCACCACAATAAATGATTTTTCATAGATTAAATTATTTTAAAACATTTTTAGCTTATTTTAAGCTAGATTATTAAGAATTTGCAGTTGAGGAAGTTTTATCTTTGCTTTTTCTTGTGAAATCATGTGTGCAAGAGCAGTATGCATTGACCCTTTTCCCTTAGGGCAGATTAAATTATCTCTTTCTGAAGGAATAATTTTGGTAGATTCATAGAATTTACTAACTTTTATATCAGAGATAGAAATTTATTTATTATATAATATTTTTCTTTTAATAAATAAAGAAATAGTTTCTGATTTATGTTTAGATAGGGTAAGATACTTCTGAGGAAATCCGATTTCTCTTCAAAAATTATTTGCAAAACAATTTAATATTTCCTTTCTGTAAGCGATAAAATCAGGCTGCATTTGGGGTGGAATAGGTAACTTAATCATTTCTATGTGCTTTTTTTTCGGGATTGCGATTTTTATTACTGTGTCGCTCTTTTTCATGGGCTCCTTGCTATCTAGTAGCAAGCTCAGCCCTTGAACAGCAGAGTTTTCATCAATTTTCTTGTGTCTGAAGTGCTTTTTTGTCTTTTTATTTTTTGCATTGCTATTTTCTCAAGAAAATTGTCCCTCTAATGATTTCTCCTTGCTTTTAATTTTTAAATAAAGAAAAAAATTAATAAAATTTGTTTTATAAATTTCCTATCTCCCCCCTTCGTGAGGAAAAAATCCATTAGAAAATCGCTATTTTGGGTAAAAAACCATCCTCATTGAGCGAACAAAATTTGTTTTATAAAACAATATTTTGATATATAGTAGTAATTATTATAATGAAATCTCTAATTATTCTGTTTAATTTTAAATAGTTCGATTTTTAAAACATATATTTACAAATAAAATTAATATTGCTTTAAAATTATTTAGAATTGGGATTTTTTTTAAATTTTTGAAAAAAGGTAGCTCCTTCAGTGAAAGAACAAAATTTTTTTGTTTCGCTCACAGAGCAGTGGAGTAAGCAAAAAGCCTTAACCCTTTTATTTGGGATCTTTTTCCTCTCAAATTCATGAGAAGCAGTAGTAGTTTGCGAGCAGTCGTCCATACAATAAAGCAACTCAAGATCATGCTCGACTTCATTCTTAGTTGCTTGATACAAGCTAGTGTGTGGTTTTTTTCTTGCTGTTAATTTTAGATTAGGGTATGTGTTAACATTTCTGCTCATGATAGGCTATATATTAAAAAGAGTTCAGCCAAGAAAATACATTGAAATTTTTAACAAAGCCAAGAAAATTTGAGGAAAAATTATATAGCATAAGTATGCTATTGGCGTGTCCTCAACGCTGGCTATTTCTTGGCAACCTTGAGAGTTTAGTAAGTCACATAGAGGTGATGAATGAATTGGCAAGTCAAGAAATAAGGGTCTGGTTTCGTCAACTAATTTATCATCACTAGGTGAATGCCGTTAATGGCTACCAAGAAAAAGTTAACTTAAGGACACGCCAACAGTATGCCCACGCTATAGTGATGATTTAGATGATTATTTATCAGATTTAATTAATCATAAATTAAACAGAAAAATACAGGTTGTGCTTCAATGATAAAAATGGTATTATCCAAATCTCAATAAAGAAATATAGATCAGATTATAAGCAATAAATTGAATAGTAATTTCAGGTCTTGCTTATCATTTATGATGATTACTGCACTATTGCATGCTTGGATTAGCCATTCTTAATGTATAAAATAACAACAAATATTTGACCAAACGAAAATAAAACTACCCCTTAGCTTTCACAGTTAAGATACTTTTTTAATTTATCATCCATAAATTTTAATTAATAAATTTTCATTTAAGAAACAATTAAATTATCCTAATTCTAAAAGATTGTATAAGCTTTAGGATTGCTTCTAAACTGGCAAGAATAAAGATTACTCCAAGCTGGGTGGCAGCTTTCCCAAGATTCTGCTTGTTTAAAATAGCATTTCAAGAACAGTTCTCTCGGATATAAGCATTTTTGAGTCTCTTTCGTAAAAGTATTAGCACTCAAGTCTTGTTCAGTTGGCTCTCTCCACGAGTAGCAGTGATGTAGCTCTTCCACCTTATTTTTGCATTTTTTAAATAAATATTGGTCTCCTTTGACCACTCCGTCTTCTACACAGTCTTTAAGTTCTTTATGGAAATATCCACAGTAATTCCATGCATTCCCAAGATACCTGACTTCATCATCAGTAGGCAGCAATGTATCGGTAAAAGTCTCAGCAACATGAGGCTTTACAGGCTCTTTTTCAGGAGAAATTTGTTCTTGAGAGTATCGATTCATATTTATTTAGGCTAAAAAATGTTATTTAAAATTGGTGAGGTTGGTGCTTTATAAACAATTAGCCTTTAGAGGCAAATTGATCTAGCTGGAACCTGGAAAGCGCGGTCTCATAAGTCATCATTTTGACTTGTTCTTTTAAATTTGCTAATGCAGCTTTTATGCCTTCTAATGGATTTGTATTCTTTAAACTAGTGATTTGGCTTTCAATTGCTTTATTAATGGTATCTTCTTTTTCTTTTACAACTTCTCTTATTTACTTACTTACTTAATTAGGTGGTTAGGGTTCACTTTGTTAATTCGGTTACCGATGATCCCGCCAGGGGATTTATCCACTTCGCGGTAACGCCTACTTCTGATCGCCGGAAAGGCGGGTTGCCTGGCAGTCACCTTCTCCTTGCTACAACGCGAAAGCTCCAGTTTTGAGTGGGCAGACTATGGGTTCCCAGAGCCTTGTTCAGGCTGCACAAAAATTCATAAATAGATTTTCTGGGAAAAAGGAAAACTTGTAGCCCAGGTTGTTCACGGTGGAGAAGTGCCGATAGATCCTAAGGACCTTGTTGGGCCACCCCTTCCCAACTTCCAAGTCTCCTTTGTCTTCGATGCAAAACCAGAAAATGGGCAAGAGCGAGGCTTCTAACACAACAGGAATTGCTTACCTAGTATAGCTGCCTATTTTCAGCTTGGTAAACCTTGCCGATATAATTAAATATGTACTCGAAGGTTGCATGGTCGGAAGGCCATGCCTAAGCTGAGACGCCATATTTAATTATATTCTTTTACAACTTCAAATTCCTCGCATTGCTGCGATACTTTATTTCTCATTTGATTTAATTTTCCAACCATATCTCTTTTTTTCTGCATCAGCAATTTAAGTTCGTCTATATCGTTCCTGCAAAATTTCTGTAAATTAGCTTCGCCTATTTTTATTCGTCCGTTTTCATCAGCTAGTCTATCTGTCATTTTTTCTAGGAAATTTAGATTTCCTTGAGTTACAAACTTCTGGACATTTTTTAGTGACTCAATAAATTGCTGTATTCTGCTCTGCCAATCTTCATCATATAAAGCTATATCTTCTTCTGCTAAAACTAAGAATTTTTCAATTCTATTGACCTCTGCTATTCATTCTTCAGGAGAAACAGAAGACTCTACAATCCCCATCCCGATTTCATCCTCTTTAATGACATTATCAGAAATATTAGTGGATTCCGTCCTCTCCGGTTCCTCATCTTCAATTTCAGTATATTTCATAATATAGTCTTCAGTCAGCTCTGCATCAATTTCTTCAAAGTTTTCTTCTGAATTATAAGACTCAAGCATGTAGATTTCTGGTCGATACTTTTTGCATCAAAAAAGCCTTTTTCAGAAATTTTTCCTTTTCAAGGGGGAAAATTTATTTTTTAATATAAAAAAAACTTAAGTAAGATTTCTTGACCATTTATTGTAGGAGTTAAAAATTTGAAGTCTCTTCGAATTAGTTCTTTATTTAATAATTCATTGATTATATAGCATACATTTTCTCCATATCCTTGGGAGATTGATTGAAAAGTGATATTTTCTAGCACTTTAGCACCAAAAGATCTCACGTCTGAAAGAATTTGCTTTGCAACTTCATTTGAGTCAGCAAAAGAATCGAAGTCTAATACAGCGCCCAGAGGAGAATTTGGCTGTCCTTTGCGTTTTCCTTTGCTGAAGGACATTAATCAGTTAGCAAGATCATAGCAGTAAGATAGCTGAGTTTTTGAATCTATTGGATGACAAAAATAAACCCTTGACACTGGGTGCCTCTTATAGAGTTTACAAAAATTATTTTCATAGTCTAAGAGTTTTAATTTTTCATAAATATCGTCCATTACTAAAAATGGGTCAATTTTCGATCTCTTTGGAGCAGTTTTTGTGTGTATTTCACAGAGTTCTACTATTTGGTCAATAGAAAGCCTATTTTTTGGGTCAATTTGTATCATTGAATTAACGAGCTGACGAAGCTCTTCGCTATATCGATCTGGGAGAGGTGGGAACTCTCCTTTGTTTATGGTATTAAAAAGGTCGTATAAGCTCATTTTTTGGTCTTCTTGTTTAAAAGGTGATCGCAAGCAGGCTAGCTCATATACTACGCACCCTAAGCTTCATACATCAGATTTTCAATCATAGCCATTTCCCTTATCCTCCCTTGGCTAATATCAATCCCCTTTGTTAGCGAGTCAGATTTTTTATATAAACATTTTAAAAAAAAATAGTAATTTTTACTTGTAAATACCAGTAAACTTGTCTTGCTGTCAAAAACAGTTTGCTATCCAATGCTAAATAACAAACTGGTGGTGGCTAGTAGACGAGTTTACTGGTTTGAAATATTTACAAGGCATAATATATAATTAATGATAATTATAATGGAGATAGACAGTAAGGCATCTTAAAGCATAATCGTATAAAGTCTGAAATAATTTTTTATATAGAATTTTTATTAAAATCTTTCCATTAGCGAGTAGAAATATTTTGTTATGTAGCAAGGGGAGTTAAGAACTTCTGGGGACATATAAAGTGGCGTTCCAACCCTAGAAAAGGCTTCGATTGTTTGGCTTGATAAATATCTTCCTAGCCCTAAATCTCCCAACTTTAATGAATTATCAGCAGAAATGAAAATATTTGCCGGTTTGAGATCTCGATGCATGATCCTTTTGTCGTGCATATGCTTTAATGCAGATGCTATTTGGTATCTTGAACAATTTTTTATTATTAATTGCTTTATTATTTTCTTTAAAACAGTTTTTCTGTAAATATATTTAGATTCATTTGGTACATATACTCTCAAATTTTGCTTTCCTCAATAGAAGACTCTTCAATCTGTGCTCTTTTGATAATTCTTTTTAAATCTCCCTTTTCTGCTCATTCAATTGCAATGAGTAGTTCATTATCTGCAATAAAGGAGTCTAGGTATTTGATTGCATTTAATATATAAATAAAAATGGCGAGATAAATAGGCCAGACCTCTTAGCTTCTGCAGATGAGCCAGAGATCTCGAGAATGAGAGGAGGCGTATGAGTTGTGTATCAGGCTAGGCTTTAAAGGCATAGATGGAATGGCTAATTCATCAGTTAAAGTTAAATATAGGAAGGTTTTTCCTCTTGTGGGAAATGGGGGCACGAGCAGGAAGTATTCTACAGCAGAGATAGAAGATGCTTCTAACCAATCGGGATAGATATATAGCGCGATACCAAGCATTGCGTCCTGGGCTTCGAGTTTCCATTTTTGCTCAAGGCTAACCCGAAAATTCAGTCTTTTAAATTTCCTATAGAAGACAACCTGTAGGCTTACAGTATGACAACACACACTAACTTCTGGGTAGTCGATGAAACCTCACTCCACAAAGGCCACATGTGGGTTGTAGAGTCTTATGGGAAGGATAAAAGCCTTTAGTTACCTGACAGTAAGCTTCTCTTATAAGTATAATTAACTATTCACGATTATATTTGTATGGTCAAGTGATTCTAAAAGTCTCACTTCTTTAAGACATTTGTCACGCTGCGCAGGGTCCATCATATCAAAAATCTAATTTAAGATTACTTTGATCATTTTGAGAGCAACTGGAGTATTGTCAGAGATTCGTTCTGCTTTGTAAACTATGGAAAACTTCCCTTGGCCTATAGGTTTTATGACTCGAAAACCATTGATTTCTCTACCTGAAATATAGCTCTATTTAATTTATTTAAGGATAAAGCTCTTTCTATATATTTTCTGCTTATTTATTTTACATATTTGTCAAAAAAGTTTTATTTTCTATAATTTTTTTACCCAAAAATATCGACTTCTTCATTTTTCATTCTTTTAAGGTCTTAAAAAAGTTTGAAATTATAGTCACACTCAAAAATTATATGGAATATTTTTCTATGAAATTCAAAGCCAAATTATTTATTTAATTCCTCTTAAACATTTTCATATAATAAAGAACTACCAGTAAGCCCTTTTTTATTTTCCCACCCTGTGAGGCGTTTTATATAATCGCCATGCACTATCGTTGATTCTCCTGAAAAGCCCACAAATTTTACAATAAGCCAAAAAATCTACAATAATTTCCTTAGTTTCCCTTTTCATAATCCTCTCCTATATTTAAATGTCCTTAAATTTAAGTTTAGTCCATCAAATTATTAATCAGTCCTTTACCAGTCATAATCTGATCAACCTCCATTTAAACAAATTATAACAGCTAATATAACAAAAATTTAGAAATGTCTACCGAAGAAAAAGAAGTAAAGGAAGTTAAGGAAAGGCAAAAGTGCTGCAAAGTCTGCTTTGGGATAGGAAAAATTGCAGCAGCCCCATTTATTCTTACGAATAAAGTTTGCAGTGGACTTGAAAAAATCGGGGAGAAAGTCAATGAAACTCCTGACAGAGTGTTCAAGTCACCCCTGCAAGAAAAAACCAAAAGATATGAACCAGGGAACATCGCAACAGGGCTTGCAGTGGGGACGGGGAAAATGATTAAGCGTTTTGCAGGAGGCATTTTCGGGCTGGTTACTGAGCCTTATAAAGGTGCCAAGCGAAATGGAATCAAAGGAGCCACAGCTGGCATTGGCAAAGCTATTTTAGGACTTGTATGCAAGCCCATTGCAGGGACTATCGATTTTGTGACTTTTTCAGTCCGAGGCGTAAATAATATGCCTAGAAGCATGTACAGGGGTATGGCAAAAATATACTTAAAACGTAAAGAAAAAAAACTCGCCAGGCTTGAAGACGAAAAACTTGCAGCTTTAGAAGACTGCGCGCCTTCAGCTGATGCCCGAATTATGGCTCCTGTCAAATGACTGTGGAATTTTGATAGTTCGGCATCTCCTAAGGGAAAAATAGTTCAAATATGAGATAATTTGACCGAAAAAAATTTTAAATTTCAGCCAAACGGGTATATTTATTTAAAAATTTTTGACCAAAAGTGCTTTGGTGAAATGCACACTATCAAAAAGGAAGTATTATTGGGCCTGCAGCCCGAATTATATTGATAGGGGATGTCGAAAAGATTGACCCAGGAAGCGGCGAATCAGAAGAAGATGTAATTGTAGTAGACAAGAATGTGGAGTCCGACTATGAAATTGTGGCAGAAGAAAGCATTGAGCTTATATGCACAGAGCAGCTATTAGACGCACTTTTGTTAACTCGCACTCCTTTACCAAAAAAAATTTCTATGTTTTTTTTTTGAAAAAAATGGCCTGTTTTATGTGATTTATTTAAAAATAATTCTTTTATATTAATATTTTTTATAAAATAATATATATCAATGCTTACTCACAGCCAAAAAGCAAGATTTTTCGATGTTTTTCACTCAAGAAGAGGAGATTAAGAAACAATAAGCTCAGAGAATGGCTTTCAGAAGTATTAGAAAGGTTGGAAAAAGAAATAAGGTTAATTGTGGAGGATTTTGATCCTGAAGATCCTATTGAGATCAAGGTAGAATGCGCAAGAAAAGTTGGCAAAAGACTCAAAAGAAGGCTTTTGAAATATACAAAAAGACTTAATGAAAAGCAAAAGGGGGTTAATTATGTACAGAGGCATCAAGGGGATGATTAGATTAAGTTAAAGCATAGCGAGTCTCAGAGGAATTACTTTATGCCACTATTCGTCCTACCCTTGGACTTCATACTCAACTGTTCCTAGTCGCCTGGCATCACATCACCCCCTTTTCTTGTCGACGTCACCAAAAAATGTTGATGCCAGTAGTCTCCCGGAAACTCACCCAGCCATGTCTAAATCTAGCTCTGCAACAGAGGACTCTCTTAACCTATAGTGCTCAGAGCAAAGAGTCCAATGTCTACTTTAAGCTACCTTGCCCTATCAAGGCATATGATTGCTTCAGAGAACTTTTCGCCCATCCTGGATTCCCTCAAAGAATTGGATGTTGAGATCAACTCACTAGTCACCAGATCATATACTACTCGCCATCTTTAATTTAAAAAAGTCTCAAGAGGATGAAGATCCAGAAGAATTAAATACAAGCATTATACTTTTAGACTCATTAAAAGAAGCAGGAATTAACGTAGAAGACAGCAACTTGTTAGAAATAGCAAAACATATAGAAACTGAATTGCTAGGTGATGAAGACTTAAGCTGCGTTACCTCCCCTAATAAAAACCCTAGTGAGTACAGTTCAAATTCCCCTCAAAAAATCGCTGAAAATTTGACTCCTTTTGAAAGTGGTCCAGTCGAAGATTCCCCAATTCCTGAAAAGACAGTTGAGAAAAAACCGAAAAACCCTTTTATGAAAATTGTTAAAAACTGGAAACCATATGCCGCAAAAGACAATTATCGCCATGCAGATGCAGCTGATAAAGGAGGAATTGCTTTAACTGATAAAAAGCTATTATCCTATTATCAGTGCATATAAGTTTATTTTTTCTAATAATTTAATAATTATTATTCAATATTATATAATATAAATACTCTAAGGTCAGCTGGAAAAGAAATGATCAAAATTATGGGGAAAAAACTTCTCAAAGGAGACTTTAACCTCACAACTATTTCTTTCCCAATAAAGTGTATGCAGCCTAACTCTGCTTTGCAGATGATTATGAGGTCTATGGCACTTTCCCCTCTTTATTTAATAAAAGCAGCGATGGCAACAAACCCTGTTGAGCGTATGAAGCTAGTTGTGGCATCAAATATTGCGAATTTTATGTATACAATTACATTTCTGAAACCAGTAACATTTACTTATCCCAGATTTAACTAATGGTCGAACTCTGTTTAGATTTATAGTAAAAATGTCTATTTGGAATCAAATTGAACCAAGCATTAATTAAAATTTGCTTATAAGAGAAAATGCATAGGCTGCTTTTTTTATGAAAAATATTTTATATCAAAAGAGCTAGTTAAATCCTTTACTAGGTGAAACAATTCACGTTAAGTTAGAAGATGGAACCGACATGTACGGAGAACAAACAAGTCATCATCCTCCAGTTTCACACTTCCAAATCATCGGCCCTGACAAAATCTACATGATGTATGGGAATGCAATTTATTCAGCCCATGCTGGCTTTAACTCTGTAACCGTAATCTCTATTTAGGTAACCAACAGTGGCAAGAAAACTGTTTCTTTTAAAGATGGGACTGTTATTACAGTAAATTTTCCAAGTGATATATAATTTCTCCTATTTTTTTATTTATTTTAATTAATACCTAGCCTATTTTTCTTTAAATTAGCCATTTTTAAAATTTTTCAAAATATCAGCTATAGCCTATCAGAATATTTTTCAAAATACATTCATTATGACCATCCGCCACGAAATTATCGGAAAAATGGTATTTGTCGACAAGAAAAACAACTTGGAATGTATAGTTAAAATCGGGCTTGATGCCAACAATCCTACTGATTATTTCGATGGAATGATCGTAGAAGAAGGCAAAAGAATCGTAAGCAAGCTGAAAGGAACTTATATGGGGTATATGGATTTCGATGGAGTTAGATATTGGGATGCAAGATTTATTGATCCCTTACCTATAACCCAAGGAGTCCAATTGCCGTCTGACTCAGAGCTGAGAGAAGACTTGCTGCTTCTTAGAGCAGGGAAAGTTGATGAAGCTCAACAAGCTAAAGAAAGAATCGAAGATGACCAAAGAAAACTGAGAAAGCTGAGAGAGCAAGGATTAAATTTAAAATAGATTATAAGCTTTTTTCATCATTTTTATCCCAATTTTTTATGCTGTTTTTAATTCGATCAATTAAATTAAGCCATTAAATTAAACTGGCAATAAGGGTGCGACTTACTAGCCTTACCTCGTTTCGGCTCCAAAATAGCCTCCTCCCTCGCTCCACGAGACAAAAGAGACTGCCATCTTTAATTTCCGACCTGAACTACCTGTCCAGGGGATTAGCTCCCTAGGGCAGAGCCAATGTTTGTAGAGTATCCCAATGGTCCCAACAAGGGAGAACCATGTGGTAGGCAAAACCTGTCTAGCCAATCTGTCAGGGGTAGAAAAACCTTTAGAGAGAAGCAAGACTTCCCTCTTTGTCAAGGCATCCCAAAACTTGAAGGCCTGCTTCAAAAAGGATAGAGTCCTGTTTTCAGCTTTATCAGGGTTTACCTGCTCCATAGAGTGTCCTCCGAGTCCAATTTCCGTCAACATCACCATTTTATTTCTTTCGATCAATTAAGGAAGGCTTTAAATTTTGAAGCTCATAAGAAAAATAAAACAGCCACCCAAGAAAAAGTGACATAATTAACCCTCAGCTTCGGAAGCTGAAGGGAATGCTGATCGATGTATCTTTTTTATTCATAATGCTAAGCCAATAGCTCATATTTCCTGATCTACGGCACATAGATAAAGCATAAGTAATTTTATTTTTTTGATATTCTAATTTTAACAGAGGAATTGGCAATTCATATGCAGATAAGCCGATCCCGCCAAAAATTTCAAAACCTGGGACGAAAGGTTTTCCTGCATAAAATTCAGCCCGGAAAGGATGTGTAAAAAGTACATGAGAGAATTTTGTGCCGCGAATTTCTTTTAAACACTTAAAAGTGGCTGTTTTCTTTATAGGATCAAGTCTGACGTTTATATCAGAGTTGTAGATTTTTCCGTTGAGTTCAATACCAATTGTAGTTAGTTTTTTTGATTTGCAGAAGTCAATTAGGAGTTTTATGTTCTTATTTAGGGCGATTGCATGATGGGCAGATCATTTTTCTTGAGATTTTTCGTGAGCTCTTATTAAGCTTTGATCCGGCATTTATATTTAAAATGGCAATATAATATATCAATTAATTTATATCATATATATAACCAAAATTATACATTCCTTACTAATGTGTATTATAAATTTTATCTATATTATACTAACTTTAAAAGCCCTTTTGTTGATATAATATGGAGGCCAAAAAAGCTAACTGGGCTGATCAAAGTGATGAAGAACAGGGCTCAGACACCGAAGTTCCTGCAGCCCCTAAAGCTCATCCAGCCCCAAAAGAGCCTCGTCCACGACAAGATCTTTCTGCTTATATTCAAAGTAAAGAGCCTCCTTTCTATTTTAAGCTCATAAATATTCCTTTCTCATGTGACAAAGCCTCAGATATCCAAGGCTTTTTCGGACTAACTGACGAAGACTTGTCCTCAAAAAAAGCTAGCATTAAAATGATTCATTTTGAAGAAAAATTCAAAGGAGTTGCATATGTTAACGCATGGGATGCTGAAATTGCAAAAAAAATTGTAGAGAAAAACGAGACTGAGCTAAAAGGAAGAAAAATAGGAATTTTAGTAGAAACAAAAGGACCGTCAGAAGGCAGAGGGAATAGAGGAAAAGATAGAAAACCAAGAGAAGGGTTCAGAAGAGAAGAAGGAAAAGATGTAGATAAAGAGCAAAGAAGAGGAGGGTATAGAGGGAAAAAGCCTTATGCACCTAGAGGAAAAGGACAGTTTAGACAGCAAGAAGAGGAAAAGAAAGAAGAAAAAAAAGAGGAAAATATAGATGATGTGTGGGGAGAAAGCGCTGAAATTACAGAGCCTGCTGAGCTACTTCAAGGCAACTTGAGAAGTGCTGAAATCCTGGTTTCTCTTGGTAGAGGTTTTCCTAATCGATCTCCCCAAATGCGGACTTGCTGGGAGCCTCCATTTCCACCCCAAGAATCAGTATTTCAAGCCCTGCTTAGTTTAGACTAGATTGTCCATTATGCAGGACCCTTTCCAACTGGAAAGACAAGCCTTTGAGCTTTTCTAAGGAAGTTGAAATAAAGAAAGCAGAAGAACCAAAAGTTGTAAAAGAAAGAGTCGTAAAGCCTAGGGCTTGGGGTGACCCAACTGAAGCCGCTTCAATATTGGCGAAGCCTTCACAAGCTCAACCTCCTGAGGTGAAAAAGCATGCACCCTATGAGCATAGAGGAGACGAAAAACCAAGAGGTAGAGGAAAATTCAGAGGCAGAAGGCCTAATAAAGATTAATTATTTAGAATTTAATATCAGCAATTTCATAAATGAGAGCTCTCAAAGTTATCTATTTTAGACCAAAGGTAAAGGTCCAGTTATCTACATCCAAGCTCTTAATATATATCCAAAAAAGGTCTACTAAATCAAAAAGAAGTAAAACTCATAAATTATACTATATTATGGCTAAGTTATTGGCTTCTATTTCAATAGCTACTGCTTATTATATTTCTATTTCTGATTATTTCTCTCCTATCCTCTTAAGATCCTGATTATTTTTGTTGTGCTATCGCCCTATAGTTCTTTCATGCCTAATTTTTTTACATTTGCGATTTTTCATACAAAATCAAGTTTTTGAAAATTTCGCTGATTTAATCAAGCAAAAGCTACATGAAAATACCTTATATGGAGTTTCAAGGCAGCCATAAAGGAAGTAGAGGGAAATCAGAGTCAGACAGCCTAATATAGATTAATTATTTAAAATTTAATATTAGTAATTCAATAAATGAGAGCAATTAAAGCTATTTTCTTTGGGATTAAAAAACAAAAAGAATACTTTATTCACATTCAAGCTCTTAAAAGAGTCAAAATAAGTGCCATAAGCCAAAATGAAAAAGCAGAAGGTCTTGCTCTTAGATCATTCTGTAAAAAAGCTCAATATATTGGTGCTTTTAGCTCAGTTGCTGTTGCTTATTATATTCCTGTTCCTGATTTTTTTTATCCTATCTTTTGAAGATTCTGTGCATGTATATTATGCTATCGCTCTATAACTATCCCAATTTTTCTAAAACATATTGATTTTTCGCTTAATATTTCTAAAAAATACGATTTAATGAGCAAGCCTGAACTATTGAACCCCCTCATAATATTAACAAATTAGATTATATACTTGATAGTGGAAAGTACTGAAATAATGTGGCGTTTGAAGAGTATATAGAAACTGAAACGAGACTACGTGAAGCGTATTCACTTGATAAACATTGAAATAAGGAAAGCTTCGAGGAATATAGGGATCGGAAATTAAGTGAAGAGCGAATAAAAATAGAGAATAAGAATTAAGGTTAATGATATAAATAACAGGATTTAATATATTGTATTGATTTGAAGACTCAAAGCACGCAGAAGAATAATCATTAAAAAACTAATAAAGACAAGCTATTTAAAATTTAAAAATAGTTATTTCATAATGACTCTTGAGTTACCTTTTTTGAAAAAATTGGAAAGATTTAGTCTTGCACTCCCAGTGTTTGAAAGGGAAAAATAGATGATTTCATAACAAAAGACTAACTAAAATAAAGAAAATAGGAATTTTATAGAAACAAAAGGACCTTCAGAAGGTAAAAGGAATAGAGGTAAAGATAGAAAATAAAGGGTTTAGAAGGGAAGAAGGAAAAGATTTTTGACAAAGAACAAAAAAGATGAGAGTTTGGAGGAAAAACTATGCCGTTAAAGCAAGAAGATAAAAAGAAAGAAGAAAAAAAGAGGGAAATATAAATTATGTTAGGGTGAAAGCGTAGAAATTGCAAAACCTGCTAAAGAAAATGGGGGTAAAGAAAGCAGAAGAAACAAAGTTGTAAATGAAAGAGTAGTCAAACTTAGGGCTTGGGGTAACTCAAATGAAGTAGCTTCAATATTGGCAAAGCCTTTAAATCTCAAATGCCAAGGTGAAAAACATGCACCTTATGAGTATAAAGGAGAAGAGGCAGAAGGCCTAATAAAGATTAATTATTTAGAATTTAATATCAAAAATTTCATAAATGAGAGCTCTAAAAGCTATCTTTTTTGGGACCAAAAGGAAAGATAAATTCATCTACATCCGAGCTCTTCAAAGAGTTAAAAAAGATGTTTTAAGCCCAGAAGATCAAGACCATGTAAATGCTTATCAATTAGCTAGCGTTTGTATTAGATTTGTAGCTGCCCCTATCTCACTAGCTGCTGCTTATTATATCCCTATTCCTGATTTTTTATATCCTATCCCTACAAGAATCTGCACTTTTTTATTATGTTACCGTTCGATAAGTATCCCAGTTATTCTGCCAAGTCTGGATTGTTTAAAACAAATTGCTTTAAAATACGATTTAATAAATAGGCCTGATTTATTGACCCCTCCAGTGCATCAAATTTATGAAGTAGATCAGGAACTTGATAGAGGAAAGGAGAAAAATGATGAGACGTTTAAAGAGTATCAAAAAAGGATAAAAGAAACTGAAATAAGGCTGCGCGAAGCGTATGAGCTTGATAAACGCTATAAGAAAAGTGTAAGCAATGAAAGCTTTGAAGAATATAGGGATCAAAAGTTAAGCTAAATTAGATTAAATTAGAAATTCTTGGGGATTATTTCAGCTCTCTGTCCTAGGTCAACTTCAGGCTTAGATAGCCTTAGTGCACTTTTTTTGCCAGCACTACCCACAAAATGAGGACATCAGTAATCTGTGAATAGACTTACCTATTATGCTTAGGTCTACTCTACAACAAAGGGCTCTCTAAGTGTTCATGGCATGAGTGGATTGGCCGATGCCTCCTTTTGGAACTACCCCGCCTCCAAGAAAACATTCTTTCACCAGAAATTACAATCTGGCACTGCGCTTTTGGCTTATGGTCAGTTGAACAAGCAAAAAGCTCCAGACAAGACTTCCTATAGTATGGGTTCCAGCAACTTGAGGCCAGGCTCAGCTCACTGCCCACCACAAGACCTCATAGCAGTTTGCCTTTTTACAAAGCGAAGTTAAACGAATGATTAAAAACTGCGAATAAGAGTAAAGGTTCAGATATTTAAATAATATGGTTTAATATAGTATATTGGCTTGCAGATTCTTTAAATTCAGGGTAGTTTTTAAAAGCATCTGTGAATTAAGGCTTAGATATTTAAATAGAAAAGTTTAATATATGCATTGATTTACAACTCTCAAATAATTCTCAAATATTGCAAAGAAGTCGCTATAAAATTTGTATGATTAAGCAAACCTTCACTTATAAATCCTCAAAGTGTCCATTTTCAATACAGATTAAGTCAATAAGCAAGGAATTTAGAAATAATAAAAACTAAATTCGACTTTAACAAACTATACTTAACCGATTTCCATTATTTCATATATTCTATTTCCCAAGAAAAGGTAAGAATGCCTTGAAATATAAGAATTCTAGTTAAGCGAAAAGCAAATTAATACTTTGAAAATATTAAGCTTTTGATATTTAAATAATAGGATTAATACAATGTATCGGTTTACAGACTCCCAATATACAGGGTCAATAAGACCATCTCAATATCTTTCACAAGACCCTATTCCAGTTGCAGATACTTATCATCCTTCGAAACTTGCACAAGAGTATAACTATCATGACTCAATCGGATCATCAAATCAATTTTCACTATCACTATCACAAAGAGACGACCCCCGGCAAGTTGAAATGCTTAGAGAAGAAGTAAATGGGCTTCGAAAACAGCTGGAAAACCTCAGCATTCAAAATAGCCGTGAGCTGCTTGCCCTAAATGAAAAAGAAGATGAAAGACTCAATCAAATTTACCAAGAAAAAGACTCACAAATTCAAGCTGAATACAGGACGATCTCCAATATCCAGCGGACTCTTGGTGAAGAAGCTGACGAATGCTCAAAAATAAAACAAGAAATCCTCAAAGTTAAGCTCGACCATGGAGAAACGGTAGCGCAATTAAACGCGGAAATAAGAAATCTGATTGGAGAAATGGAATATCTCCAAAAAGAATGCATTGAGCCAGCCAGGGGGCAAATTGATATGATAAGAAATGAAATAGAAAATAGAAAAGATGAACAGAATAGAGAATCAAGAAATATCCAGCATAATAAAGGTGCAGAACTTCATGAGCTGCAGTATAGGATTGAAAAAGATAATGGGGTCCTTAATTCTTTAAGAATTGAGGTTGAAGAGATTCAAAAACAATTGTCGCTAAAATCAATACAATCTGAAGAAAATTTAGGAAAGCTAAATGATAGGCTTAAAAGGGAGCAAAATATCACGACTGATCAAGAAGGGGAGCTGAAACTACTTAGAGGAAAAAAAGAAAAACTCAGAAAAGAAGCCAGAGATAAAGCTAAAGAAGTCGGGCTCATAAAATATCGAGTCCAAAACATAGAAGTAGAAAATAAAGAGCTTAAAGAGCAGTTAGCAAGACTAGAAAGACTAATTTACGGACGAACAAAAGAAAATCTTCATTAATTATTTAAATCTTTATTTATTAGCTGGCTTTTTCCGTTTAGCATGCTCACAAGTGCTGCCTTTTGGGTGTCTCCCTTCAACTCCGCACAGTTCACAAACTTTTTTCTTGCCAGTTTTAGCTTGTTTATTTGTTTTATTTTTATCTTCTGTACAAGCATTTGCGAAATGTCCAGGCTTCCCACATTTAAAACAAGCATTTTGGCCTTGCTGTGGAGCAGCTTGGTTTTCATTAACCGCTCTAATAGACAAAGGTGGCCTAGTGCTTGTACAATTATTAGCATAATGTCCAGATTCTCCACATTTATAGCAAGTTATTTGATTATTTGACTGTAATGGAGCTGTTATCAAGTTTTTGACTGCATCAGATAGCATATTAAATCTATCAACGACAAATCTATATACGTCTTCCATTTCTCCTAGTGTTTCTCTTATAAGTTCCTGCCTACTTTTATTCCTCGCTGCTACCTCATTCATTCCTTTTTCAGTTTTAGCTCGCAGTTCAGGCTCATGAATTCTTGCCCCCATATTAGCGTATCCTTGAACTAGTGCCATTCCAAGCTGTGTAGGCTTAAATAGCTGGTTCGGTGTCTTTTCTGCATATTTTCGGTCTTGAATTGTTTTTATATGCTGATGAATCGTCGCATCAGTCCCAATCCCAGATTTATCCATAAGGGATATAAGGTCACTTTCACTCAACAAAGGCGGTGGCTGCGTTGTATGTTCATTCATCATAAGTTCATTAGGGACAAAAACTTCCCCATCATTAAAAATAGGCAGTTCATTTTCACTCCATTTCATATATGGATAAATTTCTAAAAAATTCAATTCTACGACTTGAAGGCCTTTAGCCTCAAAAGTTTCGCCCCCCATTTGTGCGATAACTACAGTTTCGAAGCCTTTAGCGTCTAGAGAGCAGCATGCTAAAAAATGCCTTGTCACGAGCTCATAGATTTGCCATTCCTTGCCATTTAGGTCTTGTCTGGTAGCTAGTTTTACAGGGTGTATAGGAGGGTGCGAGTTATCATCATGCTGCCCTGCTTTTGGCCATTTAAAGTCTCCATCAAGAAGCCTTCTGGAGTAGTCTCCTCAGTCTCCACTTTCAGCTTGACTTTCTATCAAATTTTTCAAATTAATAGTCGTTTTAAAAAAATCGGTCTCTGTGCGAGGGTAGCTTATAAGTCCGTTATTATAGAGTTTTTCTGCAATTTTCATGGACTCGTCTGAATCGATTTTTAGCTTGCTTGAGACGAGTTTTTGGAAGGAAATAGTTGATAATGGATAAGGCCTGCACTTATTTTTTTCGTTTTTTTCTATGCTGACGATTTCTGCTTGTCCAGCTTCTATGCATTTTTCGTAAAGGACTAAAGTGCTTGTAAAATCAAATAGCCTGGCTCTTGATCAGGAGAATTCAGCTGTTTTATTGGCGCCTCTGTTGACTTTCATGTCAAGAGTTCAATATTGTTCAGGCTTGAAATTTAAAATTTCTAGCTGCCGCTTGACAACGAAGCCAAGTGTGGGAAACTGGCATGGACCTCATGATATAAGTGGCTGATTTGCTAAGAACGGAGATGCATTTCGGAGCCTTAAAGTCTGTAATCGAGTAAAAATCGCGCCGAGTCTTAAATCAAGCTCCATTCTAGCGTCTACAGATTCAGATAACTCTTGCTTAGGGTATTCCAAGTTTTGAATAGCATTTTCTATATCAACCTTTGTGAGGGCAGAAAAAACAGCTCTTTTGATGTTATTAGGGCGCAATTGTGTAGCTTTTGTGACTATATCAACAACTTCAAATGCAATGTTTTCGCCTTCTCTATCACAATCTAGCCATAAGGCTAAAATGTCAATACCTCTTGAGCATTCTTGAAGATTTTTTATTCACTTTTATAAGATTTATCAGGAAAAATTAACTGATATTTTTTCATTTTTAAATAAAAAAATAGAAAAAATGAGAAAATTTGGGTATTAAGGCTATATTAGGTGTATACGATATCATTTTTATCTGAAGAAATCATCTTTTGTATAGGAGCTGTAAAGAGCTCTTCTATTGATACACTTTTTCAGTTATTATAAGGCTCCACAAATTCCATATTCATAACATGGCCTTGGACTGAGGTTACTCGCATTTTCACATGTTCTCCTTGCAAATTATAGTCGAATTCATAAACTGGGTTAAATTTTGATCTTCCACCCACATAAATAAAATGCATTCGGTTCGAGAGAAATTAGCTCTGCTAATTTTCTCTCCCTCATGGAATTTTATTTATGGGGTTAGGTTTTCTCTCGAGAACTTCTGGACAGCAATAGCGGTTTAACTCTGGGGATAACCAGAGGAACTGCTCCTCAGTCCTCTCAAGATTTCGGGCTTTTACCTCTCAGCACATCTCCACAGGAAGATGACCCTTAGGCGGAACACGCGCAGGAGCTGAGTCGAGACAAGGGCGACGGCATCGCGCCGGGTGAGACGTGCAGCAAGGCTGGTGAGGCAGGAGTTGATAGAATGGCTTGGCCAGGGCTGACCTGTTCCAAGATGGTTCACCTATGTCATTAGTTTTGCCATGGGCCCTTTTGGGCTGCGGCACTAGACACCTTAAACACCAGATAATTAAGTTAAGATCTTCCACCCACATTTTCCGCTCGTCCATTGCTTAAATACTTCATAATTGCTTTGGCAACGCTTGGCTTTTCAGCTACATTTAAGATGAATTTCATGTAAAAAATTTATTAAAGATATTGCCGCCATTTAATATTGATGAAAATTCAAAGAGATTGAAATTTAACTGAATACACGGATATCGATTTTTACAAAGTTATAAAAGACAATAGTCTAACTCCCCCTCCGTAAGCGAACAAAACCATTGAAAAAACTCCTAATTTTTGGATAAAAGTTATCCTCCAAGCAAAAAATTTTTTATGAAAAAATATTTTGATATATAAATAATTATTATAATGAAATCTCTTCTAATTCTGCTGTTTTTTAAAAAATTGCATTTTAAAATGTAATTTTGTAAATTAAATTAATATTTGTTTTAAAATGAAACTTAAAAAAAAATTACTATATAAATCCTTCCGAGAGTAAGGAAATTAAAAATTTTATATAATAAATTTATTGGAATAATAACTTATTATACAAGTAAAGCTATTTATTTGAGATATGATATATGATTTAAAAGTACCTTATTTCGCAAATAAATGAGAAAATATTATTTTTGTGTTTTGTATAATGGCTTCAATATAAAAATTATTCTTATTGAGTCGAATAAACTACAAATTCTAATCATATGGATCACATTAATTTTTCTCATATTTATTTTAATCAGAATATTAATAAATCTAATTTCTTAACAGACTTCCTCATTTCCAGAAAATTCTAGTTATAAATCCTAGCTGTTTTCCCGATCAATTTTTTCTCTTTAATCTTCTTTCCCTTTCCTCTACACTTATAAATTATTTTTCATCTCGTCCCCTCTCCAAATCTAAACATTCTATAATAAAAATAAAATGCTCGCAATTAAAGACTCACAAGGTAAAAGATCCACAAGCTTAGCCCATCCCCAACGGCGAGATTACCCTCCCCCTGCCCAAAGAGACCGTCACGATTTCTTTGAAGATCCATTTTCCAACTTTGGAGCCCCAGCCGTATTTTCAGAAAATCCATTTGCATCTATGTCTCGTATGATGGAAGACATGCATAACCAAGCCTTTTCGATGTTCAGAGAAATGGACCGGCACATGGGCTCCCTTATGAGGATGCCTGATACAGGGTCTTTATTTGAAGATATGGGAGGCATGATGAGAGGCTCTGGGAGTCCTCAATTTTACTCTCAAACCATCGTCCAAAGCACCAAATATGACAGCCAAGGCAGACCCATTGTAGAAAGATACCAAAATCAAGCTTATGGAGGGACAGATCAGCATGGGACAAAATATGGGGAAAGGAAACAAGCTTACAAAAATACAGGAACAGGGCTCGAAAAATATGGCCATGAGAGGAAAATTGGGGATAGATCGAGAAAGGTGATCCAGGAACGTGTAGGAAATGAAGAAAGAATAAGCGACTTGTATAGAAATATGAATGAGAATGACGCTTCTGATTTTGATAGAGATTGGGAAGCGAGGGCAAGGAACCTTGGACTTGGAAGTAATGCGCTACCAGCTCCATCTGGAAATATATATGGAAGAAGACAAATAAGAGATAACAGGAACAGGGATACCGTTGATGAAGAAAGAAGAGGAGATTATATCCCTGACGACTGGAGACGAGATAATCAGCCTGTACGATATAGAAATAGTGATATCCAGCCCACTATTCCTGTACAAAGAGCACTGCCTGCTCCACAACCTGCTCAACAACCAGCTCCACCTAGAAGAAATCAGCCTGTAAGAAGGCAAAACCAACAAGCCAGAAAAGCTCCTGCTCCTGGTGCTTAAATTTAAATTTATAACTTTTTAACTCAAAAAATTAATTTTTTCTTATAACGGCCTTTCAAAACCCTCATTTAGAGAAAGCATAAAAAAGAGGGCGATATCGGAATCGAACCAATTACCTATTGATCTGCAGTCAATTGCTCTACCAATGAGCTAATCACCCTTCATTAAAGACCAAATGTGAAACATGCATTTATACACTATTTTTTATTATTTTTCTCTCTTATCCTTATCCTTATGATTCATCAATTCTATAATTATTTATAATGAATGCAAGCATGTTTATAATCATTTTTTTTTATTTATATTTTTTGTAAATAGTATATTATCAAGACTCTCTATAGGATTAAATGAATTTTCCATAATTAAATTAAGTTAATCTATGGGAATGCTCTCTTGGTCATGATTGTATAGAAATCTTCCCTTGTGATTTCATGCCCATTAGATGCTGCTCTTTCAAGCATTTCATTAAGTTCGTCTACTGTCATGGTTTCTCCAAGCTCTTTGGCGACTCTTCTCAAGTTATTAAGATTAATCGAGCCTGACTTGTCGTCGTCAAACAAGTCAAAGATCTTATAAACTTTTTAGAAATGGATAGTTGATAATAGTTTTATAAGAAATTTATAGAAAATTCAGCTAGATAGGGAATAAATACCTCCTCTGGTTTCTTTGTCTCCTAACTTGTCTGTGATGGCATCTAAAAACATGTCAAAATCAATTGCGGTGCCAAGCTTGTCCAGATCGGCAATCATAGAGTAAATGGTTGGGTTTTTGGTCTCGAAACCAAGAGATTGCATGGCTGCTCGAAGCTCTTTAGGATCAATTGTCCCTGACCCATCAGTATCGAACAAATTGAAGGCTTCCTTTATCTCTTCGATCTCATCCTCTGTAAGACCTCTGCGTTCAGCCCCACGTCTCCCTCCTGGGGATTTGCTTCTTTGCGCGCCTGGACGAGAAGAAATTTCTTGGTTTTGACCACGTCTCATATTTAAATTTATTGGAAGAAAAAGTTTTGAAATTAAGAAAAATTAAAACGATTAACTTTTGCTTTAATTTTTTGCAATAAAATTTGTATCAATCTAACTCTTTGATATAAATTGTTTTATAATTTTTTTTTAACACCTTAACACCCTAACACCCTATAAAATTGGTAAGCAAAGGTAAGCATGTAAAACGCATTAATATTTTAATAGATATTATGCAAATATTAAGAGCTTTGATAAAATATGAGGTCTAATCCACGCCCAGTAGTAGAAACCTCACAAGTCACTATTTCAAAAGACCGCAAAGGACACAAGATAATTAACCAATATACAATTATTAAAAAAATTGGAGAAGGCGCATATGCGACTGTGAAATTGTGCAAGGCAAGAGATGATTTCTACGTAAATATAAAATAGGCAATGAAAGTCTTTAAAAAAGACATGCTAATGAGGAGAAGAGATTTCTCTAACTCAGCTGATGGAAGAATGGTTGTTACTAATGCACTTACTGATGTATATAAAGAGATCGATCTTATGAAAGAACTTAATCATCCCAATGTGATCAGAATGTATGAAATCATTGATGACGTTGAAGGTGAAAAAAAATTTATTAAAGTTTTATCTTATTTTATTAAAAAATAATGGGAGAAAAGCCCTTTATTTTATAAAAAAATAGGAATTATTAAAATTTATAATCATTAATTCAATTTTAAATGTTTTATATGAGTAAACAATATATAGTTCTTGACTACTGTGAAAGAGGATCGCTAATGGACTGAAATAGCAATGAGCATAGATTTATTACTCCATGAACCAACAAAGAAATATCAGAATCTCAGTTAAAATCTATATTCCGGCAGCTAGTTCTGGCTGTCCGATATCTCCATATAAATCATATCATTCATAGAGATATAAAGCCACAAAACGTTCTTTTGACCTCAAAAAACCATGTAAAGCTGGCTGACTTCGGCCAAGCTTCGAAATTTGAAGGCGAAAACGACAATATAAGGAAAACACAAGGGACATATCATTTCCTAGCACCAGAGTCCATCACTGATATAGAGCACTGCTCTGGAAGGGCCGCTGATATTTGGGCTGTAGGTGTTACTCTTTATATAGCAGTTTTCAATATTTTGCCTTTTTCTGGATCTAGTATTTCTGAGATTATGAATTCTATTGAAAACGATGAGTAAGATTTAGATAGTTTGATAATACCTAACATCCGACCAATATCTGCAGATCTTAGAAATCTGATCCTGCATGTACTTGACAAAAACCCTAGGACAAGAGTTACAATTGAAGGTCTGCTAGTTGATCCGTGGCTTAATTCAGAAGGCCAACCATTGATGAGTTTAATTTAGTAAGATAATATAGTTCTAAGGTTTCCGTAAAGAATTCTCCATGAAAAAATTATTTTATTTACTAAATATAAATAAAAATTCGGTGTTTTATGACAAAAATTATTCGATATCGTGAAGATTGTGCAAAATAAGTACTTAGATATAAATTTACATAAGACTAGTCATACTCAAAATAAATAATGGAAAGAATGGAGAGAAATCACAAGAAAATAATATTCAAAATATGAGAAACAGGATGAAATGAAGCAATTATCTATTTAACTAGGAAGTTTATATATATTAGAATTTTAATAGTTAAAATCTACTATAACTTTTTTTTTAAAAATATTTTAAACCTTTGATTAATATAGCAATAGTGAAATTATTTTCTCGAGATTATAAAATAATATATAAAAGTATATTGAATATAAGAGCAATGCCCATTAAATTACGCAGTGCTGTCTACGAACACATAAGCTCTGTCAAGTGCTGCCATATCTTTTTCCAGTTGTGCTAACTCTTTTTCACAGTTTTCTTTTTTTCTCTTCAATCCTTGCGTGTCTGGTTTTCTTATATGCGTTATCATTTGATATCCTCAAAATGCCCGATAGCTCCTATTAGTAATTTTTGCTTCTTTATTTTTTATAGAAATTAATACCCACCTCTTTATCCTAACAGCCTTTTCAGAAGTAATTCAATATTCTTTATTAACAGCTTCCCATTTCTTCTTTAGCCCATCTCTTAAACATTTAACATTAATTAAACTTATCAAAAAGCTTGCTGTAATTATACAAAGGACTAACGCTCCATTCGCCTGCTCATCAGTTGGTAAACGACCTTACAAATGTTTTCCTGGCTAAGATAGAAATCCGTAGCCTAGGTTTCAAGTCCTGGTTTCACGCTGTGGAATAGTCCCGATTACTCAGTACGAACGTCACTGACTCTGCTGGGAAACCCCTCATCTCACACTGAGTCAAAAATTTGGCATGGGAGTAAAGCATGCAGCCAGCCAACCGGGATTGTCCTTCACCAAACCAATAAAAACCAGCCTAATACACATTCCCGAACGCTATCACCCTTCTCAATGTCCTTTCGCGCCCTGTGGGATGCCAGCAACAGGAGTTAAAGGGGTGGGTTAGTTCGCCACACTATTTTAATGCAGAGATCACCCTTCTCAATGTCCTTTCGCGTCCTATGGGATGCCAGTAACAGAAGTTAAGAGGGTGGTTTAGTTCGCCACACTATTTTAATGTATATATCTCTTAATTCTTTTACTTCTTCTTGCGAAACCAAATACTTCTGTTTTTCCTGCTCCTCCTCTTGCTCTCTTTTCAGCTGTTTTAGCGTATTATACTCCTCTTCAATATCTCCTTTAATTTTGTTCAAATATTGAGGAACTTGTCCGAAATCCTTTTTTTGTAGCGGGTTTGGCTGCTCTGGGACTGTTTTTGGAGCTTTTAAGATCACTTCGACGGCGTTGGCGACTATGAAATTTTTATCTGTTTTTAATCCCATGATAGGCTTTTCGTCATTTTTAGGGATTGGAGGTCTTCTTTCTTGAGCTGTATATGAAAATTTATTGGTGGCTTCAGGAAGCTTCATAGTCCCAGTTCCTTTTTTGCGGTAACTCTGAGGGTCAGGCTTTACTGAGCCTTTTGCTTTACCAAAAGTAGCGCCTAAGCTTTTACTGCGGTGAGGCCCATCTTAAACTTAAACTTAAAGGTTGGCGTCTGCCATATTGGTTACGCAGTCACCAAGGACTCTCCCGTACGGGCAGTTCATCCGCTTTGCGCCGTCTTCAGCTTCGCCTTGCTCGAATTGGGGCAATGATTCGCTGGGCAAGTGTTCAGCTCTGACACTACCTTTCTTCTCCTTCAGCGCCTGATGCCAGGGCACTTCTGAAGTGAGACTCTGCTTGGACGTCTCCTCCTCCCTTTCGGTCCAGTGTTGAGTGGGCGGACTATGGACTTCTGCGGCTGCTGCATGTGTTACAAGGTTGGCCACACAAAAATCCAAAAAATGGAATTTCTGTTCGACCTTTCGGCAAAAAGGAAAAATTTGGATCCCGGGACGTAACGCCCGGTTTCACGCTAGGCAGTTGCCCGATTGATCTGGGTATTACCTGCAGACCTTGCTGGGCTTGCCCTTTCCAAATCCAAACCTCCTTTCCCTTATGGTAAAACCCAACCTCGAAACCAGACTAAGGGCTAGGCTCTGTACATTACCAGAATTGCTTACCTAGCATTGCCGTCCATTTCTTGATTGGTAAAACCTTGCCGGATATAAATAAAATATAAGTCGAGTATGCATGGCCTCCGGCCATGCCCAGACGAAGACGCCATATTTTATTTATGCGGTGAGGCCCATCAAAATGTTCATAATCTCCAGCGACATTTCCTAGCACCTTTGAAGTTGTTTTTAAGCTAAATAAAAATTACCCAAACGTGCTTGCGGTTGGCGGGGCTTCAGCTGGATATTTAGATTTATAGCGTTTAGGTTTTGGAGGCGGCACATATTCCTTTGGGATAAGGTTATAAATTGATTCCTCTTCCATTTTATTTTAATAACTGCCACATTGTGTTTAAGTTTCTTCATAGCTTAATACCTCTGCATTTTTATGGGATTTTTTGATGGTTTTTTTGGGTAATAAGATTTTTTAAAATATTTAAATAAATATTTTAGAATTATGTTGAATTTTAATAAATAAAGGGGATTAATAGCTGATAAATAAAATTTAAGAGCTGGTTAGTATATAGGATAATTTTTAATTACCAAATAAAAATGAATAAAATAAATGCTTCTAAATTTATTAAGACTTAAAAGCTTAAAGCAAGTTTATAGAAGCGCACTCAATTTTAAGAGCTTTCACAAAGTAGTTTATGGCCGATTTTATTCTGTTATATTAGAAACAGAAAATCAAGGCGATTTATCAAACAAAAAAGAAGCTTTAAATGAAAACAAAGAAGACCAAAATGCTGAGCCATGAATTGGAGGAAAAACACCTAAAGGCTTATTAGTTCCTCAAGGAAATTACATTAAAGTAATGCATGCCGGCAAACTAATCACAAAAATCAACACAACCCTTCACGAATCCAATAAAAAAGCTACAGAATACGCTCAAAAAATGCTATATGATTACCTCACTATGAAAAACTTAGTCCTAAACCAATACAGACACAAATCAGACAGCAGAGGTGACTACTTAGAAGTAAAAGCAGGCGAAATCAGCTTTATTTGTGACCCTGAAGACTTAAAATTAATCGAAAATTATACATGAATGCACAGCATAAAATCCAAGCTTATATTTTCTAACGAAAAAAAGATCAGCTTTATTGAGCACAAAATTGGGCTGGACCCTGAAAGATTTGATATTTCTTTTAATAACGGGGACCTTTATGATTACAGAAAAAGAAATCTCGCAGTAAAGCTTAAAGAGAAAATTAAAAAAGTTAAAAGGGTAGGGAAATTAAGGATTATTGACGCAGATGAAGAGAAATTTATGTTTGAGTTCCCAGAAAATAGAGAGCTTGAAGAGGAGCAGTTATAATACAGATTATGGCTTATATTTAAGAATTTTCTTATAAGTTTTGATTTAAATTATTATAATGTCAATTTTCAAAGACCATGGAAAAGAGCCTATAAATTCAGCAGTCGCTTATAAGACGTCCTTTGGTGGCGGCTATCAAGTCCCTAAACATCATGAAAGCTATATTGCGTCGTCAAGAGAAACTGCTGGATTTCAAACCAAATATGCAGATTTTAATCAAATAGATTCAAGCTATATGTATCATAACAACTTACTATCCACAATAGACCAAGAAATTGACAAGCTTAAAGGCACGTCTTTAAAATTAGCTGACGTAATTTCTATTTAGTACCGAATTTCTCAAGGGCCGATTCTTTATTCTAATAGAAACCTTGAAGTTTCACCTTTATATTATCCAAGCAGCATGCAGACAAATATAATTCAAAATAATGCTCCAAGCAATCTTGAAGAAATCGAAAGGCTTAGGGTTTTGCAAAATCAGAAATTGAGGGTGTTAGAAGAAGAATATATGAAAAAGAAAGAAGTCCAGCAGCAAAAACCAAAATTAGGCGACATTTTGCAAGAGTATCAAAATTATAAGAAAGCGAAAATCCCGAAAAAAAATTTATATGATAGAAAATTGGAATATCAGGGTGATATAAGTGAGGAGGAAAATGAAAATACCAAGCTTTTGAAATGGATTTTTATAGTAAAAAGAGATAAATTATGAAGTTTTATTAATAGATTTTGGATTAATATTATATACGAGATTTTAAGGATAAAAAAATTGATCACAATAAAAATGGGTTTATTGAAAAAACTGAATTAATTAAAGAAATTGCCAGCAACCAAGAACTTGCGGATTTGCTAGGAATTATGGGAAATATTCAAGACAAGGAATTTATGAGGCAAGTTGACAAAATTTTCCAAAATTCTGGGTCAAGTGATTCCATTATAGAGCGGGATTTTATTCAATTGTTTACAAAAACAAGAGCAGCTATTTTTTCAAAAGACCAGCAGCAGCAAATAAAGCCAACCTATGACCTAATCCAAAGAAAAACATCCTACCCTTGTATAGTTTTAACAGACGCTCAGCAGGATTTATTGGAATATATTTTTAAAAATACTGACACATTTGATGATGGGACTCTTCAGAAATTTGTATATATCCAAACCTTAAGAACTGATGAAAATCTCATAAAAATCCTTCAAGCAAATGCAATTCAATTATATCTATTTATAGAGGCTAAAAACATAAAAAAATTACCCTTGTCTATCCTTATAAAAATAATTTTTTAATTAAAAATGAATTATTCATAAGAAATGAGAATATCTGACGATAATTTTATGACACTTGAAGAGGTGCTTGACTATATAGAAGACGACGGAGACCCATACGAAAACATCACTTTTAACCAATTTATGGACTATTTTACTTCTATTTCTAAATCTCAGTCTCAAAAACTGGAATGAAAGCCTGAAGTCCCAGCAGAACCAGCAGAACCAGAAAAGCCTGAAATTTTACTTGACAATTTTTACCTCCAAATAATCCAAGATGTATTTGATACCTTACCGCGCCGGGGAACTGATAAAGTTTCAAGGGAAGAATTTGTAGTGTCCTTGCTTGAAGATCCACAAGTCCAAGAATTCTTGAAATTAAAAGCAAGAGAAGATAAAATTACAAAAAAAGCAGAATCAGTGGAAAATGTTATTAAAAGAATTGATAAAGAAGCAGGGACTTTGCTACTATGAAGCGACGTGCTAGGATTTTTCAGCTCTGCTGGAAAGCCAAAAATGAAATTAGACGAAGGGAAAACTGATAAGAAAAATTTATTTACTGCTGATTTTATAGACAAATATGAGGTAAAACCAACCCAAATAAGTAAAATTCGTAGCAAAACCCCTAAAAATGAAAACAGCCAGGATGATATCCATATAGAAAGATACTCAAGCCCTCAAAGGCATGAAAAACCTAAATCCAGCAAATCCCAGCACCAGTTTACAGTTCCAGAGCCTTTTGAATTTGATACCAGAGAAAAAATAAAACCAAAATCCATCAGGCAGCAAAAACTTGACGAAATGGTTTTAGAAAAAAAGCTAGAAGAAGAATTCCATTTAAAATACCGTCCTAAGGCAAATCCTATCCCTGCAGAAGTTCTAATACCTAAATACCAAACTTTACTAGCAGCACAAGAAGCTAGAAGGCTAGAAGTTAAAAGAAACTCAAAAGCAATTACAGAAAAACTGCAGAAACCGTTTAATTTTCATTCTAAAGAAAAATCGAAAAATGAGGAGCCAAAGGTGGAGCAATATAAATTTAAAGCAAAACCGCCTCCACCGACTATAGAAATTATAATAAGGAAAGGCTATACATTAATTAGCTTTATCTTATTTACTATAAGAAAATAAAATAAAAATGAATTATAGAAGTTTTTTATCAAGGTAAATAATATAATAATTTGCCACTATACAATCAGATGTCAAAGCAGCTTGAAGAAGAAAGAAGATCAAGAATTGAAGCTGCAGCCAAAAAGTCACTAGAGGAAGCAAAACTGCCACCTAGGATGGAGAGATATTCAAAAGGTGATAAAAACCTGGCTGAGCCTAGCAAACAGTCTTCTACAGCTTTTAAAGCTAAAAATCCCCCAAACTTTAAAAAGTTATGGGAAGACCTTGATAAAGAAATTCAAGGAAAAAAATCAAAATTCGAGCCAACAAAACCAAAAGAATTTATACCAATAACAATTGAATTATTTAATGAATCTCCCAAGCAATAAGCAAATTCTTGCTATTCGTGAAGCTTTTAGCATAAAATTTTTAACTAGTAAGTAAATTTTTATGAAAAGGCGAAATTTGTTATAATGCTCTATCTGAAAATCACCAAATAATAAGCAAATTTCAATCTATTCATATAAATTTACTATTTAAAATTTGTGCATTAAAACCGCCACGAATTTGCTTATTACTAGGGAGTAAGAAAAATCTCAATTTTACCTAAAATACTATTATCCGCCAAACCCTATTAATTAAATCTACATAATTTCAGTGAAATAAAAAAGAAAGTCAAAGTCATTGAAGACCTTGACGAGGTCCAAAAAGAATTAATGCTAAAAGGCTTTGGCTCTATGCTAAACAAAGTAGTTAGTCTAGACCCCCCTGCTGAGCCTCCTAAGTCCACTAAAAAGCAACAAATGGCTGAAGAGCATCGAAAAAAGCAGTTTGAAGAAGCCAAAAATGAAGAATTACGGCTTAAATCTGAAGAAGAAGAAAGAAAACGAAAATACGAAGAAGCCAAACAAAGGGTTAAACAGTCAGGGTCCATTCAAGCTAAGCTGAGATCAGAAGAAGACGACAAAGAAAAGCGTTTACAAGAAGCTAAACAGCGGCAAAAAGAAGAAAACGATCGAGCAAATGCAGAAAAACAGAAAATGATGGAAAGGGTCAATCAGCGGCCTATGGTAAGTGACGCAGTTTCTAGTTTTTGGAGCAAATCTATACAAATTTCTAATGAATTCTGCTTTTTTATCAGAAATCGCCAAAAATTCCTAATCATTATAAATCTTATAATAACTCCACAAATTTAATCACAACGCTTAAGCAGAAAATGCTAACTCGTGGAATTCAGCCTGAACAAATAGTCGGAGAAGTTGAGGGTTTTGAAAATATATATGCAGAAGATCTCGTATAAAATTAATCTAAAACTTGGTTTTGATATACCTGGAACTGATAATCTTCATCCTTTTCCACATTTTCTTTATCTTTTCTTATTAACTGTGAAACTTCCATAATTAAATGTTGGCTTTCCCATATCTCGTCAGGCTCATAGCATTGATCAAGCGGTTTTACAACGGCTCCAAGATTTTTTATCAGTATAAATTGCCTCTGCAGACACTTTTTGTGGTCTTTCCCATTAGAAATTTTGCTATTATTTTTCCAAAAAATAATTTTATGAGTCTTTATACAACAGATGTTAATATAGACAAGTCAATACCTGGCTCAGGCTTCGTAGGGAGCGCTAATTGTTGATTTAGGGCATCTAAATTTGCAACAGGCTGAGCTACATAAGCACTAGGAGGTGCCGCCACTTGTCCAGTTAAATCCACTTTGGAATCACTAATCAAGGTAGGGATTTCTGACATTTTGCTGTCTTCAGCCCAATAATTCCTTTTTGCCTGCTGCGACGGCGCTGGTGTGGTGTTTTGGGTCGAGCCGCTTGAAATAGTCTTCATAATAGACGGTCCATCGCCCCAGCCAAAATTTTGTTCTAGCTATAAATTACGAGCCATTTTAAGAATTTTTATCAATTATGAAGAAATGCCAGCTCTCCAGCTTGGGATCGCTCGGCCTGGCCTATGAATTAAAACCCCTCCAAAGGTGTCAGCGTGGACTTCTGCTCTTTGGGCTTCTTTTCTGGTAACTGTGGCGACTGTTTCTTGGTTAAGTCTAGAGTCCAAATGTGACCATTGGGCGTTGGTTTTCATTTTTATCATCATTTCTCGTCTTTCTTTTTCTTCTTTTTTCTTTTGTTCTTCTAATAGTTTTTCCTGCTTCTTTTTGGTCAATTTGTCTTCTCTTTCTTTAAGTCTGATTTTGTCTTCTTCAGACAGTTCTACTGTATTTCGCTTTTTCTGGTAATTTTGGATCATGTATTGCTGAGCTTTTTCTATTTCTTTTCGTTCTTTGTACTCATTTACCAGCTGCTTTTTTATTTCTGTTTCCATTTTTCGCTTTTCTTCCTCCTCTTTTTTCCGCTGAAACTGCGATTTTTCTTCTTTTTCTTTTTCTGTTCGAAGTAAATCTCGCTGGCGTCTTCATTCTTCGATTTTTTTTTGGGTTTCAAAAGCACTTTGAGGCCTTTTTACAGGTTTTGGCTTGGCTGGCTCGATATCTATAAGCTTGGTTTGGCTTTCTTTTCGCTTTTTCTTTTCTTCTCTCCATTTAGCGAGGATTTCTTTTTTCTTTTCGTTCAGCTTGATTCATGGTCAAACCTGCTGGGTCTATTTGACTCTGCCTGGCAGTTCGGCTATACCTGACAGTCCGGCTCTATTTGGCAGTCTGGTATCCGGCTCCACCTAGAAGTCTGGAAGTCTGGCTCTACCTGGTAGTCTGGCTCTATCTGGCTCTGCTGGCTCTATCAAAGAAAATTTTCTAGGGCCTTGAAAGCAACAGTTTAATTAATTGCGCTATGATATGTTAAATAAAAATGCAATAACCTGTGATAGCAATATTCGCAGAGAATGATACTTTAAAAAAAATCCTATATATATTGCATTTACTGTCAATATATATATAATTTGTCAAGTCTATAACGTAATTAGGTGATTTATTAAGTAACAAAATGTGATAAATTGTAAAAAGGATTTAATACTAAAAATAAATCATAATATTATCATAACGATGACCCCCCCCCTCAATCTTCATGTCTATATTGCAACAAAAATTTTTAGAAAAAATCTTCATGCATACTGCAACACAGCATTTTTTATAAAAAAAAAATTAATGCATTTTTCTCTAGGTGAGTTTCTCAAAAAAAAAATAAAACAGCGCTGCTGTAGGCGTGTCAATGACCTTCTCATCGAGATTTAGACGGCTATTGTCATCGCTCGCCATTTTATTAAACTTATCTAGCTAAAAAGTACGGAAAAATTTAAGATACACATCGAAAATTTGTTGCAAGAGGATCAGATTACGATTATTAAAGTCAGGCGCAGTCACCAAATACCTCCCTTACGGAAGGTTCTACCGCTTTTCGACTCCAGACGAGAGGGTCTTTCCTTCTTAGGAGTGCCCTTCCGGCATCTTCTGTCTCCTCCTTGCCTTGCGGGTTCAGTCTTGAGTGGGCGCCTTATGGATTTCTGCGGCCCTGCTGCGGGAGATTGGAGTAGATTGATTCCAAGGATCAGCTCCTTGGAATCTATCGGGTATCAAAGTGCCTTCCTTCGACAGCTTCAGGAAAGAGACTGTTCCCTGTGGCCTGGGCCGAAACCCCAAGTTTCTCATTAGAGGAATACCTATGGGTCCTTGTATCCAAAGGACGTTGTTGAGCACCTCCATTTCCAACCACAGGAAAGCAGCCAAAACCTACCCGGATACACACTTCTTGAGCCTGCGTCTGATTCTCGGCTAGGAGTCCGTCTCAGTTCGCCGTAGCCATAAGGTCTGGACTGCTGCGCCAAGAGGGCAGGTTGGCAAGTGTCGCCATTTTAATGTATATAGTTTGTTGCAAGAGACATGAAAATTATTATTTGTTTATATAAAATTTTATATTAAAAAATTGCATTTTTGTTGCAATAGACATGAAGATTGAGGGGGGGGTCATCGCTAATAGTAAACAAAATAATGATTCCATCAAAAAGCTATATGATTGCAATCATTCATAAAATAAAGTTATTTTATCATCAATTGCATTTTAAATTAAAATGATAAACCTTGTTAAATATTTTTAAATTATAAGAAAATAAAGATATAAAGGCTTAGAAAGAAATTATAGCCATATAAAAAAGGCATATTTCGTATTTTAATAAAAATTTGATTAATTCTTTAAATCTAGCAATAGATATAAGTTTTAAAGCAATATAAATATTCTTAAACTCTCTAAACAATTTTAATTCTATTAATTAAAAATGCACAAGCCAAGTAAATAAAGGATTTTAACTAAAGATATTTATTTTTGATTTAGTCTTAGATGATTATCGTCACTAAACACTACCAACACATGAAAATCCCTATATAGCTTGAAATCGAGCCAGACTGCCATAGCTCGTAGAGCTAGGTAGAGTCAGACTGCCATACTGCCACTAGAACCAGGTAGAGCCAGTCTGGCGGCCAGATTGCCAGATTGCCAGTAGAGCCAGATAGAACCGGACTGCCAAGTAGAGCCATAGAACCAGGCAGACCCAGCCATTTTAACCAGATCCACTCTTCGTACTTTTTACAATGGATTTTGATGCTTTCTTGATCCATTGTAGGCAACAAATTTTGGGCGGCTTGGAAAAACCCGATGGTTTGTTTTCCTTTGTGCTGTGTTCTAAGCTTCATGAATTCTTGATGGTCTGCTTCGTCCCAGCCTAAAGAGTTCCCTCCCATATCAATTATTTGTTTATCGATTGCCATAACTTCTTGCAGCATAGGAGGTGCGTCAATTCCTTCAATTAAAGTTTTGGTAGGTTTTGAAATATACCTAATAATAAAAATTTTCTATTAAAAGTTCAATTTTTTAAGAAAAATTACATTTAATTAGATAAGGATAATTGTTTGTGATGGCTCATTTTCCCACTGCTCAAACTTCTCTGCTAGCTGGTCTATTTCGGTTGATAAGGCTTTTTCTTCTTGTGCAAGGTTCTCAAAGTCAATGCGATTAGCTGCTTTGAATTCTTTTAGCTCAGCATCGACTGAGTCAGCCGCCTTTTGTAAGATCTGCACCATAGACTCATAGTCTATATAAGCTCCTTCTGCATTTGTTTTTTCTATAAACCCTTTGATTTTATAAGAAACTTCTTGGACAATTCTTTTAATTCGCTCAATTGATTGGAAAAAACTGTAGGAGTTGCTGCATCTTTGGCTTTTTAACGATTTTTCTAATGAATCTAGCTCAGCTATTTCTTCAGCTAGCATTTTTGAGCTATAGAAATTCCTTTGTTTTTCTTTTTCTAACAGATCTGCTTCTTTTTTGAATTTATTAAGAGTTCTCGCATATTCCTGGGTGGCCATTTTAAATTAGTAATTTAAATTTATTGAAAATCTTAGCATTTTATATAAATTTAGTCTTCTAGTCCAACAAAATCATCTTTTTCTTCAACTTTGCTTTCTTCTCGAGCTCTGACTTCTTCCATAATCTTCTTAATTCTGTAGCAGCCATAAGCGCATCCGATAATCCAAAAAAGCATCATAATAATGATAGCTGTGGTCAGCTTGATCCCATTGTCAGCTTCGTCTTCTTCGTATTCACAAAGTGTCCCTGTATATCCTTCTTCACAATAACAAGTTGCATCAGAACAAACTCCATGATAATTAATTTATTTAAAATAAATTTTGACTGTCAATACTAGAAAAGTACTATGATTTTGTGGAAAATAAGGAATAGCGATTATTATGCTTAAGGATATTTATTTTTAATATAATACACATCATTTGGCATTCTTCTATTTCATCTTGTCTGTCCTCTTGTTTGTCTTCTAACTCTTCTAAATAATCAGATTTTTCAACCTCAACTGGATCCCTTCGAAGATTTTGTGTATAATAGCTGTTAGGGTCATTTGGGTCAGTAAACCCAAACATCTGACTCCCCCCCCTTTAAATTGGAACAAAATATCGGTAAAATTTCCACTTTTTTGGTAAATTAACCCCCCTTTAAATTGGAACAAAATTTAATTTTATAAAAAAAAATTATATATAATTTTTATCTAAAAAGTTTTAATATAAATTAAATGTTTCTTATTAACTAAAATTAAAAATTTAGTTATATCTTGCTCTTTTTTAAAGATAAAAGTATAAAGAGCATCTTATTTAAATAAATTTATTATCCTTGATTGTAAATTTTAAAAAAAAATTAATTTTTTTTTTTTTTAAAAATTTTTCAAAAAAATTTTTGTTTTTTTTGATAAAAATGATATTTTTTATTTAAATAGTTTTGATATAAATTCAATAGGAATTCTTTATAAAATTTAAAAATTTACTTATTTCTTACTTTATTTTAAAGAATAGAGTATATAATACATCTTATTTAAACAAAATTAGCACTTTGATCGATAAATTTTCTAAAATTGTTTTTATCAATAAAAATAATAATTTTTGTGTAAATAATTTTGATACCAATTAATAGTGGCGTATTAACTAATAATGAAAAATTAGTTATATCTTGCTTTGCTTTAAAGTATAAAGAGTAAATAGCGTTTTATTAAACAAATTTATTAATCTAATTCGATAAGTTTTGGAGATTTTTTTTTTTTAAATTTTATATATTTTATAAAAAATTTTATATTGATATTTTTTTTTAAAAAAAAAATTAACCCCCCTTTAAATTGGAACAAAATTTTTAGTTCCAATTTGAAGGGGGGGGAGTGAGGGACTAATAAATGTGTAGAGTTGTCATATTGTGTCATGTTCGCTGAAGCATCTTGTGAATCTGTTATATTATCAAAGCTTTCTTCAGATACTTCAACATCTTCTGACTCAACCATATATTCTCTTCTATACTAACCATTATTTATATTTTTTAAAAAAATCTTATATAAATATCTGCTACATTTCAGCATAATAATCGTCACTTTCTCCAGTATCAGAAGACCTATAATCTGAAGTATCATCATCTGAGTAGCTTCCTGAGGACGAATAACTTGATGAGCTGCCATCATAAGATTCTTTAGATGCTCCATACTCAAGGTCATCTGACAAATTAATACTAATATCATAAGATGACGACTTGTGATACACAACTGGAGCTTCAGTGTCACAATTTTTCCCAACCCAGCCTGAGCTGCAGACACAGTCATTATTGCTGTCACAAGACCCATTTATGCAGGAATCCTGGCACATTTTTCAGTCTTCTTTTTCAGAACAGTCATCTCCTGTATATCCATCAGTACATAAACATTCGCCTGAAGACTGACAGGTGCCTTGTTCACTGCTTGTACAGTTGTTAGGACAATTTATAATGCCTTGACAATATGAGCCGTAATAGCCGCTATAACAGACACAAGTATAGTCGTCACAGACTCCATGGCTATTACAATTCATTCTACATGTGGTTTCGTAGGAGCAGTCAGAGCCTGTGTATCCTCCGTAGCAGTCACAGCCATAATCAGTGCATTCTCCATTCCTAGAGCAGCCATTAGGACAAGTTTCATTGGTTTCAAAAACTAAAAAATCGCCATATGAGCTTTCTGTTAAAAATCTGCCGCCAAATGCATATAAATTTCCACCGATAAACTCTATAGCGTGGCCTTCTCTAGGACTGAATGTAAACTATGCCTAATTAGAAAAAAAATATAATTATTATAATTTATCTTATTTTATATTAAAATGATGTTTTTGAACATATTCATTATTATTAGATATATATTATATTAAATTTGATTATATTTTTATATAAAAAATCTATATTAAATACTAACAAATATTATATACTTCCAGAATCAACTTTATCCCAAGTATTGTTTTCTGTATAAAACTTATAAAGATCAGAATAGCAGTATCGAGTATCCGAATTGCACCCAGCTGACACATAAAATGAATCCCCAGACACTGCAGTTGCGTGGCCTTGTCTTGCTAATGGTGAACCTGACGTATCTTGTTTATACCAATGCCTTTCATCTATATCATAATAATATAAATCTTTAACAGCTCCACTATCAGTTTCTCCTCCGAAAAGCCACACAAAGTCTCCAATTCTGCTTAAAGAATGATACTTCCTTGCACTTGGCACAGATCCTACAGATGCTGGATATCCTCAATGGTTGTTTACTGTGTCTAAGAGAATCACTTCATTGCTTAATCCTTCTGATGTATATCCTCCAAAAATAAAAATTAATCCTGAATCATGCAAAGCTGCTGCATGATATGCTCTCGGCTCAATTGATCCTCCAAGTTCAGCTTCTTTTCATTCTAGCTATATAGTTCTATATTAATTTATCATTTATTTTTCTATAGTAATTATATAGTAAAAATATAGAGAAAATTAATATTATTGAGTATATGTAAAAAATACAGTTGTTAAGTCTAATATATTTGTCTCATCCAAAAGATCTGTTAAAGTAGTCCCACCTGATATATACAGCTTGCTCCCTACTACGGCGGCAATATGCCCTTCTCTTGCAGTCGGAATATCTCCTGTTGGATTCAATAACTCTCACATATTTACAGTCATGTTGAACCTATACACATCACTATAACATGCTGTATCTAAATCGCAGCCTCCAAAAAGATAAAGCTCTCCATTGTAGTTGCTAATCGTATGTCCTGCTCTTTTTGAGGGCAAATCTGAGTCAACTACAACATTTGTTCATTCTGCTAACTCCCCACTCTAAATTGGAACAAATATAGGTAAATTTCCTATTTTCTGGGTGCTAAAATTAGAATAATTTTTTTTCAATAGGAACATTTATAAATAAAATACTAAATTTTATAAAATCAATTTTGGCCTAATTCTATGGAGAAAGTGCACACAAAATATTATTTAAGCAGGATTCACACTTAATCGATTAATTTTTGAATTAAAATTCAAAACTTTGATTTAATTATATTTTTTAATTTTTAGAATTTAAAAAAAAAACCTTCCAATTTAAATCAGGGGAGTAGTAAAGCGAAAAATGATAAAAGAATGCACAATCTAATCATAAAGAAATTTATTATGTCCGTTTTAAGATTAAAATTATTAAAATTCATAAGACAAATATAAAATTTAATTACTTTAATATAAGACTCCCCTTCAATTTGTCTTGCTTCCCTTCTGTGAGTAACACAAATTTTGCTCTTTAAGGAAAGTTAATTTTTTCGAAATTTAAAATATAATTTATGAAAAAAATTCATAAATATATGCTAGTGAATCTAAATTGTTTAAAATTTAATAAATTACCATTTAATATTGAATTAAAAAATTTTTTTTTAAGATTATTTTTTATGGAGGTGAGATAGTAATTTTAAATAGTTAATTTTAAAGCAATACAGAAAAATTATATATTTTACAAAACGGATAATGAGCCAGGATAAGGAGCCTTTAAATAAGGAAAAAAACCATCATTGATTAGTAGGCTACGCATTTACAGTAAACTCTGTAGTAGGCGCTGGTGTATTAGGAATCCCATGAGGCTACTACAAAACTGGCTGGACGCTTGGCTTATTTTCTCAAGTTTTCTCTACCTCAGTCAGCTTTATTTTGCTTTATTTGCTATTACAAGCTCTCAGTAGAATGGAAGTTTTATCAAATTTATGTGAAAAAGGCTACAAGATAAAGCCAATGTCAATCATAGATCTGCTTAAGCCAATTAAAAAAGAAAATTATATAATTAAGCCAATACAAGAAGAAGAAAATGAAAGCTTTATATCAGAAATTGACTGAACCCCAGAAATCGGTAATAGGAGATACGATATGTGTGAAATGGCTCAAGTGCTACTGGGAAAAGTGCATGGAAAAATATTAATGGGGATTTTTATTATTGGTAGCACAGCGTCATTAATTGCCTACTGCACAATTTTTTCGTCCTCTTTATCTTCAATAATTCCAATAACAGGAACTGATACGTGCAATATATATGATGATCCTGACTTTGGAGGGTCTTGCAGGTTCAGGTATTGGGCTTATTTATTTATTTATGCCTCAATTGTAATACCATTAGCTGTTGTTGGGCTCACTGAGCAGACTTTGTTCCAAATAGTGTCTTGCTGCATGAGGATTGGGGTTATTTTGACGATCATTGTTACGTCGCTGTATGCAATTGCATCGGATACAGAACTTGATGATGATGGGGCAAATCAGTCAGATCCAAGTACTTTTAAAATAATGAATTTAGGGCTATGTTTGCCAATTGTGTATATGGCAACATATTTTAAAAACACAGTATCAACAACTACACAATTCGTGACAGATAAATCAGAAAATATCAAAAAAATATGTATTTTTGCATTATTTTCGATGAGTGTATTTTTTCTATTATTAGGACTCATAGTACCGTTTGCAGCAGGCGACGTTGAAAAGATGGTCACACTAAACTGGCGTGACTATTCTGCAGGGGCTGACGAAGACGACAGATCGTGATGGACTTATATTATAGCGTATTTTATAGTCCTTCTTCCTGCTGTAGACGTCCTTTCTGTATTCCCTATCATTGTAATTAACCTAGCTGATAATGTTATGTCAATAACCTATGGTAATTTTGGAGAAAAAGATCTGCAGAGACGGACTATTACGTATTATAGGCTTGCCATTGCTTTCCCTCCTGTTTTAATCGCTGTGATTGTGTATGATTTAAGCTTCGTAGCTGATATAAGTGGGTCGCTACAACTTTTAGGAGGAGGATTATATATATTTCATGTTTTTGTTATTGTGGGTTGTTTTTCGTTTAATTTATCCCATTTGGGTAAAGAAGGCTCATTTTTCATTGATTTTTTGACGTTAATTTTAAGTTTTTTGGAAAAATTATATTGGAGAATTTTCCACTCCAAGATTGCAGAGAAAATGGCATGCACCGATTATATATTCCGTTGTTTGCATTAGCAGCTAAAAGGCTAGTCGAAAAGCCAAGCGTTTATGATAACCTTTTCTTTTCTGATAAATGGGCATGGGGAACATTAATTATAGCTACATCCGCATTTGTTGCAATTTGGGTATTAATTCTTATATATTTAACCTAATAATAAATTGGAATAATAATGGAACTTAAAAATATTTTATAGTATGGATAATATATACTGGGCATTTTATTAATTTTTGGATTTTTATTATCTTTTTAGCCCTGATTGAATTATTGAGAAAGGAAAAAATTAGCAATGATGAAAAAATGGATATATTATCAAAAGTCTTATGTGAAAAGCTGCTCATTAAGAAAAAAGTGAAAGATTTGCCTATGTGTATAATATTGCTCTATTGCAAATAAAGCACTAGTGAAAATAAAAATGGATATTTATGAAAAAAGATGGCAATAATAAAATATTATAGAGAAATCATGGAATAAGCTCAATAAATTTATACTCATAATAAGCTTGAATTTATTTTAATAATAAAAGGGTTGGATTATTATATAATTTCCTCATTGCGAAATTAAAAATATTAATAGCATCATTGACATAATTAAAAAATTTGATATTTACTAGCAATGAAACAAATTGCAATACAATAGCAATTTTAATTCACTAAATAAAATAATTAATTCAACTTAAAACCTTAAAATCGCTTAATAAGGAAATATCAATTTATATTTCTATTATAAATTCTCTATTTTAATTTAAAACTATGATTATACACTTAATTTAGACAAATTAAATAAATAATACGATTAAGTTAATTGACTATAAGTATTTATTAACTTGTTTATAAATTAATTGACTCAAAACAATTAAAAATGATTTAAAAATTAAAATTTTTGCATACCCGAATTAGATATTCCAATGAGTCTTATTGCTCGACTGAGGTAGAGACACTATTTATCAACTTCTCAGCCCTTTTTAAAAAAGAATTGCCAAGTGTTTTTTAGACTATATATTAGCTCAATATCTTCAGTTTTAAAAACCTCATTGAAATTAGCACAACATTAGTTGGGTTTATAAAAATGGATATTTTATTAAATATTGCTAAAAGATTATATCAGAATTCAGTTTATAGAACATTTATGTTTTGAGCTTTAAAGTAATAATCATGCATATTATTTATTGATTCGCATTATTTTATCATTTATTTAAGAATTAGAATTAGAAATATGTTATAGCGGGTCTTAAGGGATTATTTCAGCCCCTCGCCGTCCCACGGATAGCTTCGCAGCGACGCTAAGCGCTATCCTCACACCACCTTTTTCCCTTTCTGACGTCACCAAAAATGGTGACGTCGAAGGTCTTCGGGGAAGCCACCCCATCCGGTCAGGGTCTCCGAATCTCAGCAGAAAACTCCTTTAACCTCTGACAGGGCTCAGAGTATAGGGAATCGCCTTCTGCCTTCTCCATGACCTGTCAGAACCGTATCACAGGTTCGATAATGCTCTCATGGAGTGGTATCGGGACTTTGTGCCAGTAGGGTTAACTCGTAGGTAAGGAAAAAAGGACAAGGGTCAGCCCCAAGTCAAAAAACCCACCCCGGAGAACTATCGCCATGTGGCTCGCCTTTCCTGGGCCTGGATCAACTCACAGGTCACCAGGAGTCCACGTCAGATCACGCCATTTTAATAATTCTATTTATTTAAGAAGATGATAAAGATTTGCAAATATATTCAAAAATAAATGATTGTTTAAATATAATAATTTTAGCTATAAGTATTGATATGGCTTTTTATGAGATTTTTCGGTTAAATTAGACCAATTAAGATACATTATTTATTTTCTGGGGTTAATGCTTTTTATACTGATTAGGGAGATTAAATGCTATTAGATGTAAATAAATAATATATTGCTAATTGTTTGCACATAAGCATCAATATACGATTAATATATTATATTTCTAATATTATATATTGATTTGTAGTTTTTTAGACTAATCATATTTCAGTCTCTATTTATTTATACAAAAACCCAAAAACTGCACCATAATTATATTATATATTTTTCTATTTATTTCAATTTGCCACTTTCACCCGAAGAGTCGAAGTAATTTTCTCCGTTGCCGTGTTTTATATACCTCTTCATGATCAGATACCATATGTTGTGATCAAAAGTAGTATCCTAATTGTCTAGATGGTAATAATATATTTACAACTTGATATATATTAGTTAATGAATATCAAAGATTGATAAGATAATTCTCTCAAATAATTCTACAACAATTTGCTAGATCTAGTCATAAATAACTTTGAATTCTCAATATAGCCTTGTTTTTGCATTAAGCTAAATAATTTTATAACCACTCTAAGACTGATCTGATGAGCAATATTCTTTTCTTCTCTTTTTGGCATTAATGATACTCTTAAAGCAGTCTGCAAGCCCGTTTATTCGATAAATTTGCTTTTTAGTTAACATATTTTTATCCATTTTTATCTCTTTAAGATATAATAATTATACCTATAATCTTAGGTAGTCAACGCATGAAGAAGTAAAAATTCTTATCTGGTCAATAAATGAAAAACATTATATATACTTTTGAAAATAATATTAAAAAAATATCTTTGACCAAAACAATGTTGAGATTGTTATGAATCGCAAATAAATAAAGATATTTCATTTTTCTCATCAAATGCTTTGCTTATAACATGCAACTAAGCAAGTTTTAATTTTGTGGGAAATCGTTGGATAGGATCTACCATTTTTATTTTCTAGCATATATTAAATATTATATCCATTTCGAAAAAAGGGTGGGGCTATTATAGCAAATTATATTGACACTTATTTTTAATTAAATGCCAAAAAAATTCATAAGAATTGCTTCATAAGCATTTAGTTTATCTAGAAATTATTTTTTGGAATTAAGGATAATAGCTTGGCTTGATAATAATTTATTTTCATTTTATGATAAATAATATAAATGATAATGGGATTTCTATATGAAGAAAAAGATATTATCAAAGGGAAAATCTATATTATAATGATTTTATTAATATTTTGCTGAATCAACTTCCATATCCTCATCTATTTTTGCATTTTCTAACGATTCAGGGACATTTCGGCTTAAAAATCAAGCTAACCCAGCAAAAATTGCCATCAAGTTAAACGAAAATGCAAAATTGAAAGGATAGCTCCACCCATTCTCCAAAGTAAACGCAAATGTTGTCCCGAAAATAATAGGAGCAACTGCTCTTGCTATAGCTGTTCCCATTTGGTATAGCCCATTTAGCCTTCCTCTTTCTTTCGGAAGAACTGAGTTATTAGAAATTACCATAGACGTGGTAAAATTAATAAACGACAGCAAGTGTCATAGCACACAGACAACAATAACCACAATTCACCTTGTTGTCACCATTCTATTGAACAAACTTGCAATTGGGATAACTAAAAGTAGAGGAATTGCGGCCAGCATACTTTCTCTCATTAATCTCACAACTCCAATTATATTATTCTCTATACAAAAGAATATCCCAATCTTTCTCATCCCAAAAAATATTGTTTTATAAAAATTTTTTTTCCCTTTAAATTTGTCTATCTCAGCATAATTAATTTTCCATACAGCTGTTTTTGGAAAAATAGCAAAATAATTGAGCTTAGTGCAAGAATGATCCCAATATCATTCGGGTCCATCTCAAATCCTCCATCTTCCACATGTGCCCAAAACCAAAGTGTGCATAATTCATGAAAAGCTGTTGAATTAAGCGAAACAATAACACTTACAATTATTGGTGTAAACACCAAAGGGTCGGTAAAAATTTGTCATATAGATCGACATTTTATTGGAATTAAGTTTTGGGTTAACCTTGACTTTATAAGGGTTTCATGGAGGGTCGGGTACACCAATATCAAAGAAATCAAAGCAAAAACTGAAGCAATTGTATTAGGAAGCAAAAATGGGTAATCTGCAAAGATACCTGAGGTTATCATACCTTTTGACGCTGGATCTTCAAAAATCCCACCTACTATATTTCCACTGATATTTCCTAAACTCCCCCCCCCCCTCCGTGAGCGAACAAAACCATTAGAAAAATCGCCATTTTTTGACCAAAAACCCACCACCCTCCGTGAGTGAACAAAAATTTTTTTAATAGAAAAAATTTTAATGGAAAAAAATTTTGATATATAAGTGATAATTAGTATAATGAAATCTAGAGCTAATTCTGTTTAATTTTAAACAAATTGCGTTTTAAAACATAAATTTTGCAAATTAAATTAATATTTGCTTCCCAATTTTTGCAAATTAGGATTTTTTTAAATTTCGAAAAAAAATATTTTTTATAAAATTTATATATAAATTTTTTTTTAAAAAAAAAAATTAACCCCCCTCCGTGAGCGAACAAAATTTTTTTGTTCGCTCACGGAGGGGGGGGGGGAGTAAGGAATATACAATAGACTGTATTACCATTGCTGAGGATAGCTCAGGACCTGGGCAAATTTCAGAAAGGACTGTTCTGATAGAAATATCGAGAGGCGTAAATACACCTATTAAAAATCGGGAAATCAGGGCTCATGCCATATTCTGGGCAAAGCCAAATAAAAGAGAAAAAAGGATTATTGAAGCCATTCCTATGATAATTAAAGGTCTTCTGCCTCATCTATCACATAAATAGCCTCAGATTGGAGATGTGGTGGTTCGGCCAAACATCATTGAAAATGTCAAAATGCCGACCCAATAGCCTGTAGTGGATCTGTTGTCTGCTTTTCCAAATAATGTGACCATCTTGCTTGCAAACGGGAAAATAATAGTCACTACAAGTGAGTTCGCGAACATTGCTAGATATAAGCCAGCAAGGATAAGGCTTTTCTTTTCCATTTTTAGGAATTTCACATTAATTTAGCGCAGGGATTTTAAGGTTATTGGTAAAAATTAAGCCAAAAAATATTTTTATTTTGCATTAATTTAAAATTAAAAAAATTATTGATTATTCTGCATATAATAGCTAAAAATTCTAATCATAATAAAACATTTTTGCTAAAATAAATATTTCACAATTATTTCACTTAAAAAGCTTCTTTTTAATACAATGGACGAAACTTATAAAGTCATACAAAAGCCATCTAAAACTTCAAGAGATACTGAAGAAACAAGACTAGAAGAATCCTTAAAAAACCCTATGAAGCCTATTATTGAAGCCCACACTGAGCTCCAAATTGCTTACAAAGATCTAGACGTGATGATTGATGATGTGGTATCAAGAAATGAATGGATCCTAAACAGTAATTTCTAGCCAGATAAATACCTGGACCATCTACACCAACAAGAAGCAAAACTCCACAATCTTAAAGAAAAGCTGGTTCAAGCCAATTTTGAGATAGAAAATAACCCAGAGGTATATCATCTTAATGAACAAATGAAAAGTTATACAAATCAATTTGAAACACTATCAAGATTCAATACACAACTAAAAGCTCAGGAATCTCAATACAGAGCTCAGTATTCAGAAGAAGAAAAACAAGCTTTTATTCTAAAACAAACCTTAAAAGAACTCTCCAAAGAAAATCTGAAATTATCTTATCAGTTAGAAGAAAAAAAACCTAAACAAAAATTATTGGAAAGCTTAAAAAATAAACTTCCACAAATTTTATCAAAATATTCACAAAGCAATTTTTCACAAATTCCGACAATTCATTTTGAGGTTATGAATCAAGACCAGCAGCTGGAATGTTATCATTTAATTGAAGACGTAGAAAATCTTAAAAAAGAGCTCTACAAGCTTCGAGAAGAAAGCCAAAATCTCGGCAGCCTTCAAGGTGCTTTTTTAAACGAGCAACGAAAATTAGAAATTTTTTTCCAAGACTGCATAAATTCAGCCAAACAAGAACTTTTAAAAAACCAACAAATGCCTCAGATTTCTAAACGTGGCCTTGCTGGCTCTCTTTTCTTCGAGCTCGTCCATAGTGAACAAGCCAGCAACCGTACAGCCCCAACTGGCTATTTAAAAGAGCGAAACAAGCGAAGTGCTTTACAAGAAAGAGACTGCAAAAACGTCGTATATTACACAGTAAAAAGAATGATGAGAACAGCCAGAGATGAAACCAGAAACCAGCAGCTCTGTAAGCTAAAATTGCCTTGAAATGATTTTCACGATTTCAGCACATTGCAGTTAATGGGACTTTTGTGTATGAGGACTGACGTTTTGTCGATGCTTCACCAAATTGTATTTCCCGCCAATGTTTTGCATTTTACTATACAAGAGGATGTCAGCCCTTCACCTAAGCCGACACCAAATTCAAAACAAAGGAAAATGCCACCGAGAGAGCTATCACTAAAATCGTCAAAAATAGGAAAAGAGCTGATGTCGAAGCATAAAATGTTTTAATGAATAGCTTATTAATGATAATTTATCTAATAAAATTATTCAGTGTGGGCAATACAAAGACTTAAAATGGCTTCGTGCTTGGAAATATAATAAAAATCATCATCTGAATATATTTTTGGGTGTTCTGTCTTGCCTGCGTCCCCCTTTTTAGGCTTTCCTGTAATAATATCGCCTTCAGTTAATAATTCACACTCTATAAAATAGCTTTTGTCTTTGGATGGAGGCTGGCTGATTTTTTTTAAAAATTTATAAAATCCAGTTTCACCATCTGGGTTAAAATTCGAATAAGCAATTGTAAGAGCACTATTATGGTCCATAAATTCAGAAATTGCTCTATAGGAGGTCCGTTGAGCCAATATTTTTAATTCGAGAAATTCATGCTTCGCTTTTGGGTTTATAATTTCCTCAGTAGATTCTATTCTAATCCTGACATTATTTTTTATTGTATTTAATGTTTCAAAGCATCTCCTAAATGCTGTTGCACCGCTACTTTGATCACTCAGCTGCGAATTCACAGCTGGCTCTCCTATCATTATATCGTTTTGTATAGTTTGGAGCCCGATGATTGGTGTCGCCGCAAATGGTATAGGGTCTCGTCTTGGCATCTCAGAGTTCATGTATTCTTGTTGCTTTTGTCTATAAATATCTTGATAATACTGAATGTTAAAATTTCCTTGAATTATTTCTGGGCTTATTTGGACAAGATTTCCTTCTAGTTCACATTTAGAGCAGTAGAGGTGCTCAAGATGGAAGGGGTCTGCAATTAACTTGGATTCAATGTGGTAGAATAAGCAATTTGTACAGAATGCGTGAATATCACAGGGAGGTGCCTTGAATAGTTGAGATTCTAAAAAGACATTTCTACAATTGCCGTCACAAATTCGTTGTCGATCCTTAATAAACGTTTTAATATTAACTATCCAGCCAGTCCTAGAGATATCTGTTAGTTTTTGCACCAAGCGGTTGCGATTGATGGTTTCTGCCCTTAAAATATTTCTCAGATCATCTGTCTGCCTGTCCTTCAGACTCATTCTTTCAGTATTTAATTATTATTTTTATCGTAAAATCATCTAAAATTTATGTAATCAATGTTAATATTTGCCAAATTATTAAAAATTATATGAAAAATATTAAGAAATCGAAGCACTAAGTCTTCTATTTAGCTCACTGATTTTTTCCTTTATCCCCTTCATAGTTTCATCCTCATTTTTTTTATACATTTCTATCACTTTTCTCAATTTATTATTTTCTTCTTTTAACAACCCCACTTCTCCTACAAGCTCTTCATAGCTGGATTTTTTATTTTCTTTTTCCCAAATTTTCTATATATTTTTTACCTTTTCTTCTGCCTGTTTTTTCGCTTCTTCTTGTATCAATTTTTCGTATTTCTCTATATTTTCTTGAATGATTCTGACCCTTGCATTGTATTCTGCTTCAGATTTTAAGCTTTTTTCTTTTAACGCACACAATTTGTCATCAAGCGGCGAATAATCATCGTCAAAACTCATGTGGACTTGTTGCATGCTGTCTTGGGAAACTTTTTTAGAAGCGGCTGTGCTGACTGTCATATCTCGGCCGGAATATCGGGAAAATTGAGATGGGCTGGAACAAAATGGAGATTTCGCCTCTTTAAAAGGAGACTTTTTAGCGCTGCAGACTGATTCAGAAGTTTCTAAGGTTTTTAGGACTTCTTTGGCGATGTCTGTAGTGGACTTTCGGTCTGCTGAATTAAATTTTAACCGATTTGAAGCCTCTACTCGAAGTTCAAGAGATTTTCGTTGAGGAGAGTTTAGAATGTAGTAATCTGAATATTTAGGCTCTGGGGCTTTAAAACGCAGACCATTACTTCATGGTTTTTCTGAAGGTGGATATGTTTCTCTGACTGGCGACATTTGTCGAGAAAGTCGAAGGACTGAATTCATGACTGCGTCTCCCATTTTAAGTTAAATACAACTGAATTGTGATCCAATGAATTATTCAAATATTGCAAAGAATTTTGTGTATTTTATAATAAAAGCGAAGATTTTGGGATTTTTTAATAAGAATTTTGATAGAAAACAAAACAATAAAGCTGGAGAATCAATATAAATTATAAGTAAATTTAAAAAAATGAAATTTTAAATATAAAATATAGGGCATTAATAATGAGAAAATTAAGAGAAAAATAAATAGCTACCGGTTTTGTAGGATAAAGGAGGCTTGATTTAAGATAGTATAAATAAAATTTAAAGAAACCAAGGAAGAACTTTTAGATCTTGTAGATAATCATCATGAATGCTTTGTCCAACCATATATGCAAGCTTGTGGGCCATCATAGTGGGTGCAGGGATTTTAATCCCTCCAGTCCAGTTATAATACATATAGCATAACTTATATGCTAATCTTGCGAATACAATAGTATCTATATCTTCATCAGGCAATATTTTTTCAATGATCCTATACAGAGTTGGAGATGCCATACCTTGGGTAACTCCATGGGAAACCAAATAAAAGCTATCTACATCCGGTACGACCACATCTGTAATGACAGTCCCATGAAGAGGATTTATTATCCCTCTCGGCGAATTTACAAAAAATTTTGCATTGGTTTTTTTGTTCATAACAATATTCTTTGTTTATTTAATTTCGCTATATGAGAATTAGCCTTTTAAATTTAATTCCTAATTCACCTTTATGAAATATATATAATATATGCATTATAATAGATCGCTATACCTCAACAGAATACAGAACAGAAAAAATATGGTCCAGGGCACCTGCCTTATCTGATTAGTCATCATAAAACCATAAATAAAGATTTGGCATTTCATTTTTCTTCTCAAAAAAGCTGACAATTACAAATTAATTTGAAAATTACAATGGATGTACAATAATGATCTAAAATATTTCAGCGGCTATATACAAATCCTGGCCTATACCCTTCAAAAGACTTAATCACGCTTTTCATCCCATCCACTTCAAACTCTTTAACCGCCTTTATCTGTGAATCCGCAACGCCATCTCTAAACACCACAATTAAATCAGGCAAAAACCGCTTTTTGGTGGCCTCATAAAATGCTCCTAATGCTTCTTTTAAACATATAGAAACTGACCCCACGATTTCTTGCCCGACTCTTTCCTGTACTTTTGCTGTATTATAATACTTGGTAAAGGTCGGGTTTATAGACGACACAAATCCCATGACACTTTTGGCTTTACTTACAGTATCATGAAAAATGTCTATGCCAATAACCATTGTTTTTATAGGAATTCCTGAGCATGGACATAGCGCTCAGAGTTCTGAGCCTGTTTTTGCGGCTATTTGGACGACTAGTTTTGATATAATGGAGTCTACTCGTTTAGGATTTTTAAAGCTACTTGATAAAATCACCTGTGTAGGGACTGCTGAGGACAAGGCAGCTGATTCTTTTATATTGTGATAAATATCTTTTAAAGGAGCTGGGACCAAAATTACTGCAATTACAGGGGCTGGTCTGCCTCCAGGAGGGTTATTAAGGACACTTATAATATTTTGCAAATTCTGTGGAGTGTATTCAAGCTGATAAGGCGACCCCATTATGACTCCTATTTGCTGAGCTTTTGCTGTGATTGCTCTAACCAGCTTATCCCTTTCTTCTAGATCTTTATTCGTCGACAAAATTGCCCAATACGCTATTTCTTTCGGCTTATATATAGAATTTTTTATATTAAAGCCTGCCCTGTCATCAATTTCTACATCTTCTCTTTCAGTCTCTCCAAGCTTGATTATTTCTGGAGGAAACCTTATGGCGTCAAGGACAACTGGCTCAGGGTTAATAGACATACTGTACTGTTCACTTATATCTTCAGCTTCCCTTGCTAGCCTATGGGCCAGAGTAATCCCTACTTCAAGCCTGTCCTGAGGCTGCAGCCTTGTATGTACTGCAATATCGTTCATGGCTCTATAGTCCTTTCTCATGTCTTCAGAAATCCCTGTGAGGTCACATAGTTCAGGGATAAGTCTGATTACCTTTGCCCCTCTTTCTGTGGTAGAAATCAATAATGGCTGCCTGAAGTCTTGGATTTCTATGTTATATTGGGTTATATAGTAATCTCTATATGTAGTCAGACCTGTAGGGCCGTCAAAAGTATTTAAAGGAGACTCATTTAGGGCAAGACCGTCAATTCTGTGGCATTTATAGTTCCCGTATTTCGCCATAACTGTTTTTCCTATTAATTCAGACTCTAAGGCTTGTCTAAGCCTGTCTGGCTTGGTATTTGCCCGAATTTCAGTCATATATTGTAAAACAGATACATGTCTGATAATTTTACTTGAAAAATCGACATTTAGCAGCATTTCGGTCAGATGGTGGCTAAAAGAAGCTGTATATCCTCGCCATATTTCTAGGTTATGCTGAGTTACTTGTACAGTTTGCCGCTTATCATAATATTTAGGAAGTTTAGTCAGCTGGATTAAGCCTATTTTTTGGAGCATTTTTTTCAGCATAGAATTTGAGTACATACGATAGGTCTCTATATTACTGCTTCCTATAGTACCGACAAGCCTGATATTTAGTATATAAGATTCACCTGGATTGTAGCCTTGGGCTGTAACTGCAAAAGGCTCTTCCCTTATAATTTTTGCTGTAAGGTTCATCCCTGCCTTAGTAAATTTCCCTATAACTGTTGATATTCTACCTCCAGCGTTTTCTATTAAAATATCTCTTAAGCCTCTATTGCTTGGGTCTACCACAGGAATAAATTCTATAAAATAAAGTCCTACATGGTCAGCTGGGGATTCATTTAGCTGGAAAAAGTTAGTAATTACTGGGATACGACGTCCACCTTGTGAGATGATTTGGTTTATAGCTCCAGAATACATTTGAATTTAAAATATTAACTGAAAATTTAAATTGAATATATGAAGATACTTTTAGGATACGGATCCATAAAGTAGGCAAAAATGGCTATGAAGGAAATTTGAATTTTATTTTTAATTTTAATGAAAATATAAGTAATTCCCAGGATTTAAGGGTTTAGTATTGATTTTAAATCATTTTTACCTATATAGCCCTTTTAAGAGATAAATTAATTTAGTTCTAACCCAATCGATTTAGCGACCTCAATTTGTTCTTTTTTCATCTCGTCCAGCATATCTTTCATTGCCTTAGCTTCATCAATAAAAATCTTTTTCGCTCTGCCTACATGCTCTTTTAAATTTCTGTTCTCTTCAACATTGCTTGCGACTGATTTCAACTGGGCATCTTTAATATTCCTAATCAGCACTTTCAGCTCTCTTACAGAGCCAGTCCAGTTTTCTTCTCCTCCTACCGTTTCTTCAAAGCAAATTTGGAAATACTGGTTTTGCTTTACATTTCTGTTCCAGACCATCAGGGTTTCTATTTCCAAAATCATTTCGGCGAGTTCTTTATAATCAGTGATTTCTAGGTTTTCTTCGACTCTGTCAAAGGTGTCACCAAGGATTGAGACTAATAAGTTCATCATGACGATAATATTGATCAAGCTGACTATGAAAAACATAACTGATTTTAAGACACTAAGCCCTTCTGTGTCGAATTCTCCTAAGTTCAACAAATAGGACCCAGCAAAGTAGTTGACTAAAGAAGCCCTTGAATCTGGAGGATCTAGGAGCAGCTGGATAAAAGCAAATGAAAAAGTGGAGTAAAACAGCAGGATTAAGAAGGAAATCATGTCATGGACAACTTCAATGAGAAGGTTAATCATATAGCGGGTAGGAGGGTAGAGACGGAAATAAGTTATTCCTCTCATCCAAGACAGTAGCTGCACAATCATAAGAGAAGTCGCTATAGTTTGATCTCCTGCTTCAGTCCAAAATAAGATCCCATACACAATTACAGAAGTCGCTCTCATTAAATCTAAATAGTTCCAAGGATCTTCAAAATAGTACCCTGGCGCCGAAATTGCTTGGTAAATTTCATAAGTTGTCAAAACCCCACTAAGAGTAAATGGCACAAGCAAGACTATGGTAGAATCCTGCCAAAATACGACATATAAGCTGAGCGAAATCATATAAATAATGAATAAAATCCCTTGCATGTACATGTACCACTTGATAACATTCCATTTGTCTTTAAAAATGCTCTGAATGAATTTTGTCCTAAAAATGTCTTGATTCGGAGAGTTTAGGGTGCTGTTAATAAAATCTAAGCTTTCTTGGCTGCCAGGGGTAAAGTTAAAAGGTATAAGAGAATGCATAAAATAAATATTTTTTTCTTGGTCAGCCGCACCAAGAGTGACTCCTCCTTCTACAGCAGGAGGGAAGAAATTGCTAGCATATGGAATGATCTCATTACTATGATAAATCAATGGTGTCTGTACTGTATCTGAACAAGTGCTCGGCAGTCCATATCCTTGGCATCTTTGGAATATCAGGTCATAAAGTTTTACTAAAAACCTAAAGCCTTCATTATTCATGTCGACCAAAACCTCTTTATTAATGCTTGCTAACGCAAATGGGTTGCCTTTATAGTTCCTAACCACTGACTTAATGATGACATTTCTGCATTCTCTGTATTCTTTTTCAGTAGCTATTGATAAAATATTAGCGCCAAAGCTTGTTTCGGTTATTCTGAACTCAAATGCCAAAGACCTTTTCAAATGTTTTCTTAAGTCTTGCATTGCGTAGAAATGAGGGACAGTCAAAAAGTAAGGCAAAATGACCCAATCGTCAAATTCTAAGTCGTATTCAGGGATATTTGTATAGGTGATTAAGCATTTTAGATAGTGCAGATACCTATAAGAACTTTCTGAAGGCCCTGAGACTATGATATCTTTTGAAACTAGAGGGTTGTCACCTGCATAGCAAAACCCATTAGCAAGGTTGTAGCCTATATAAGAATCGTCAGGTGAGACGTATAATTTTACGATTTTGCCTGGAGCTTTATTGTAAAATATTCTTGAAAAAGTTTTCATGCTCCAATAAGTGATATTTCCGCTCGAACTGGCTGAAATTAAGTATTTTCCGTCTTGGGTAAGGTGAATTCCTGTGATATCTGAACTGTCATTTAGTGTTCCTATCAAGATCGCGAGGTCCCAGTTCCAGATTTTTATTGTTTTATCACTACTTGATGATATTAACAAGTTATGCTTAATTTAGCTGAATTTCTGCATTAAAAAAGAAGTTTCTATATAATTAATAATCCTTTAAATATGGTATAGCATCTTTTGCAGCTTGAAGAGAATGGACCTGGCTTGTATGGCCTTTTAATGTTTTAATAAGAGTTCCATTGAGATGGTCCCAAAGCTTAATTGAGTTATCATAGCTTGCTGACGCTAAAATGGTATCATCTTTAAGCAGGATTAAGCTTGTCACTACATCATCATGGCCTATTCACTCAGTTTTTAAGCCAATTGCTTCTAGATCCCACACCTTAATTTTCTTTTTGTAGCCGGAAAACAGTAAAGTTCCGCTAGCATTTGCAGTTAAACTGGTAGGCGCCTCCATGTCGGTGTCTACAATTGTATTGTTGGACTGGTTAAGCATGTTTATCACCATGATATTTGCGAGGTGGCATACTATGACTTTGTTGGGACCTGCGAAAAGAACGTTGTTAATACCTTCAGCTGTGCTGATATGGTCTTCTTGGTTGTTCTTAAGATTTATGCTTAATATAGAAGAATAAAACAGCTATTATTGAGGATTATTTTATTTTTATTTGTAAAATAAAGATAAATTTACTAAGTGATTCTTTTCTAACTCACCAATTAGCTACTTGCTGACCAAGTATGCTCATTTTTATAAAAAAATGGTTTCGGATTTTAAGTAAATATTAAGCAAAGATTTAATTTATAAAATTTATGAATTAAAAGATGCAAGCTGTTTTAAATTTATATAATTGGTGTACTCATTATTAAAATTATCAATTATATATTGAATTATTATTAATAAAATTTTTGGTAATTTGATTTTCTAAGAGGGCTCACTCGGGGAAGTAAGCAGAATAGCAATTTGACGCCATTTCTATACTTAAGAAACAGCTTCCCCTGTGGAGAAAAGCCAAGAATCTGCAAACATTTCAGCTTTCTATAGACATTCAGCTGAGGAAAAGGCACAGTGCTGATAGTTCTTGTATTATCAACTTCAATCGTATGTATATTTTTAAGGTGTTTATCAATAGCAATACACTTAATCGCTGAGTTATGAAGTTTCATATGAACTGGCTCACGGTCGTTTTTATGGTCATGCAAAGTAAGGTCTCTTCTTCCTCCAAGTACAATTAAACCTGCTTAATTAAATAAATATCAGATCAAAATTGCCTGTAAAATATAAAAAACCAATATAAAATAGCATATATCGTCTCTTTCACAAATGGTCATAGAAGTTATAGGCTCATCGAGAGGAATTATAAATAAATCTAATAAATCCTTTGAAGACTTTATCCTTACTGCATGATTTAAAGAAACTGCCACAAACTCTCCTGAAGGCGCAAACTGAAGATGCCCTATAAGTGACCCTAAATCACTTTCACACAAAATCTTGCTGACCCTGCCGATTTGATAAAGCACAATTGTTTTGGATCTTTGGACGAACATAGCTTGCTTACTATCATAAGAAATTGCTACCTTCGTGTACTTTTCCGTCGCAATTTCATTGCAATTATTAGGGTCCTCTAAATCCCAAAGTAAAATTTTACTGTTTTTCATGAGAGAAATCATAGTAGATCCATCATAACTTACTATGATGTTGGTAAATATGCTTTTGTCCTCACGCTTTATTCTTTTTGTAAGCTCCAGCTCTGGGATGCTATAGACCAAAAGTTCGCTTCCTTTGTTATTGCCGATTATGGCATACTTATCATCAAGAATTAATTCAAGGAATCGTGGCACCATTTCTGGCTCAACCGACTGTTTGGATTTATCGTCAGTATTTATGATGGTTAAAGTTTTCTCAGTTGCCATCACAAGGTATTTACTGTCTTTGGTAACCTTAAGTATGATGGCTCTATTTTATTTGATCAGAGCATTTTCCTCATGTGGCATTTATTTAGTTGATTTTTAGCCCTTATAAGACAAATTGATAGAATTTTAATTTTTTTTTTGATTAAATTGCCTTATGAGGACCAAAAATCCGAGAAAATATCGCACAAGGAAAAATTCCAATCATGACTAGAAAAAAGTGAAGTATGATTATCTCTTCAATTATTTTCATTGAAGTTGAGAGTCTGGAAGAAACCATATCATAGACCTTCTCTAAGGCCTCGTCAAAAGTAATAATTTTTTGCTCAACTGGCTCTTTTTTGGAAAAGTCAATAACTTCACTGAATTGATTTAGAAGAGGAATCTTAAAGTCTTTTAAACCACCGAAGTCCATTTATATAAGGCCTGGGCAGTTCGGAAAATGGAAGCATTGGTGCTTTGAAAAGATTTTATTAGGAATTATTGAGAATGCTTTTTAAAGTATTGGATAGTGTGTATAGGATGTCTAGTCCTAAAAACTTGACTTATTATTTATAAAATTAGGCCAATTTCGCTAGTTAAATAAAATCATTTTCATTAAGAAATTAATAATCCTCAATTGGAAGATAAGGAATATTTAGACAGAAAGTATTAATAATTATTGCAGATTTTCCTTAAAAATGCAAATACAATAGAAATTTTAAACAAAATCGTATTCTTTTATTTTCTTAAAACTGAAGTTTTAGATATCAATTATCAATTAATAAAAATTAGGGATGAAATGGTTCATAAAATTCGGTATTGGCTAGGATTAATTCTCTTGCATATTTTAATTAGGAGGTTTAGTTTCTCCTGCTGAAATCATCCCAGTAATGCCAGGGAAGCAAGAGCCGGGTGGACTCCAGACCTGAGGAAATGGAATTTCCAGAAGAGCGCCACCTACTCCAAGAGGTAAAGCCTAGACTTTTAGGGTGCCTGACGGACCTGAGTAGACAGCCTAGTTCAAAGAAGAGTCGTCGAATCCCAAACTTCAAGATCGTCGTCCTCATCGTAAAGCAAGGTTAAGGTAGCGAATTCCACAGAGCTTTATAGGGTAGTCGTTGAAACTGGAGACCTGACAGTAGACCTTAAGCGTAATATCTAACATTTGATTTTGGCTGGGATTAATTAATTTATTCATAATAAACCATGTCTGTATATATAGATTACAGTGATAGTAAAAATCTGTTACAAGCTCTTTCCAATAAGAGCTTACGAAGAGTCAAAAAAATTGGAGCATCTCCATTCCCAGAGCCTGAGCTCTCAAGTGAATTCTGACAGAAAACTCCTATGAGAATCTCAGCACTTACTAAAGTAAATAAAATCCCTTTCAAAAATGTCATGCACAAGCCTACTCTAAGTACCGCAAATCATCATAAAAGATTAATAATCAGCAACTCGCCTAAAAACCCGAACAATATTTCAATAGAATTAAAAAGAATTTTATGGTCCATTTTTTTGGATAAAATTAAATTATTTATATAGATTTTTTACAAATAACTGGCTAAAATACATTAGAAAATTGATTTAATATCATAATTAAAAATCCACACAAGAATTTCATAATCAAATGCGCCCTCTCTCACAAATGAGATCAAGAAGCACTAAAAGTCTACGGCACAACAAAAGCCTTAATTCTCAGCTTGACAAGCCGCTTACCTGCTCAAATTCTTTTATTTTGCACGAAATCCCTCAAAAAGTAAAAAAAATGCGTTTCCTTCAAGACCCAATCAACAAGCCGATTACAAGCTTCAAAATTTTAGGCCAAAACCTAAACTGCGACACTAGCAATAAGTTCAGTTATAACGATATTGTGAGCTTCGTAAAAAATATTGATATTAATTATACCAAATATTTTGAAGATTTAAGCTCGTCTCAGCAGAACGAAAACATCATAAATGAAGCTTCTCCACAAGATATATACCTAATATTATCTATTTTAATCAATTATTATAGTAAATAGAAATTCTGCAGATTAAATGAATAAGAATAGTTGACTACCTAAGATATACAATTCCTAATAGAGAATACTGAGACTATGAAAATGAAAGCTCTATCACCGATATAGAAGAAATTCTCCAGCTTGCCCAAAAAATACTGAAAACTTTTGATCTAAATTCAGACGGAAAAATTGATAAAAACGAATTTTTAGGTGTTTGCAGCGTTTATGATTTTTATATGTCGAATAAACCTTTTAATTTAAGAGATGAAGCACTTTTAAATGAAATTCAAGTGAAATTGCAGGAATTAAAAAAATTGTTTAGGGCGTATACTGATAAAGATGCAATTCCTTCTAATGCGATTTTAAATTTGTTTTTATCACTTAAAATATTCTGCTCTGACATACAGCTTATACATAAAATTAGGTCAACTAAAATCACTTTTGCGGTATTTTTGAGATGGATTGGGTTCTTTGTGAAAGTTCACAAATGTGTTATTAGGCTTATTCACTAGGATAATTAAATAAATAATAATCATCGTCATTAAAACTCTAACTGTTTTTGCTATTTATTATCTAGACCCACAAAACTGTATAGATTTATATACAATAAGTATTAAGTCAATAATTCATTTTATGTAAAAATATTTATATTATCTAGCAATCTTAAAACCGAAAATGTAAACTAAAATACCCAAAAGGCCATAAAATGGATGACAAATACATTAGTTTGGAAAATTTTAACCCCAAGAAAAAGTATCCGCCTTATCTTGATAGTCCAAGATCTCTCAAAGCATGTGCAAGGCAAGGAATCACTCCTGAAGAGCTCCTATATAAACCCAAAAAAATGTTTAAATACGAATTAGGTGAGCACATTCCTAAACAAATCATTCAGTTACATTATGAACACTATGAAGAGAAAAGAAAACAAAAGCTCGACCTACTAATTGATGAAAGAGAAAAAATAATCCATGAAGAAAGCCATTCAAGGCCATCATATACAGAAGGATCTGAATACCAAGCATCTAATAAAAATAATTTTATATATCCCATTATAATAATAAATTGGCTATTTTCTCATAACAAATAAATTTCTAAATTAATTTTATATAAGGATAATTGAGCATGAAAAGAAGAAGATGGCTATGATGGAAAAACGCCAGCAGCAAGAAATCCAACAGATGATTGACCATGAAAATCAGCTAGAAAAAATTAGGCAGAGGAATGAAGAAAAAGAAAGAATTGCAAGGGAAAGAGAATCGTTTAGACTAAGACAAATTGCATTGGAAAATAAAGAAAAAGAAGAAAAGAAAAAAAGAGATGATGAAATGAGAAAAGCAAAAGAGGAAGAGTTAGAAAGGGAAGCAAGGAGGATTCAGGAGGAGCATTATAGATGGGAACAAAAAAAATTGAAAGAAGATAGGAGGAAAGAAAAAATTAGGAAAAAAGAAGCAAAGATGAGAGAAATCGAAATGAGAAAAAAACAGGAAATGCTTACTATGTGTTTTAAAAAATGTTTTTGAGGAAATAAAAATCAAGAATTTCATACAATTTTTAATTAATCTAAAGAAAAATCATATTCATTAATTCAGGAAGTTAGAGAAAAAACTGAACAAATAATGAGTCAACAAAGAGAAGAAGTGGAAAGGAAAAGAATTGAAATGGAAGAGAGAGACAGAGAGCGATTGAGAGCTTTAGCATACATACATTAGAATTATTACGCTTAACGTCCACCACGGAGGTCAGCAAGCCCCAGACCTATCACCTTCTCTTCCACCTGCCGGACCCACAGGCCGCTGGGCCAGCCTGCTTTGCTTCACCAGGGCAAGCTTGGAGGGGTGTTACCGACTTCGACGACTCATGAGTGAGTTACTGGCCATGCCTCGACGCAGTTGCCATTCCGAAAACCCAAAAAATGGATTTTCTGTAGGCTGTCGGCAAAAAGGAAAACTTGTAGCCCAGGACGTAACCCTAGTTTCACGCTGGGAAATTGCCCGATGGGCCTTGAAGGCTTTGCTGAGCCTTTCCCTTTCCAACTACCTGTCTCCTTTACCTGCGGGGTAAAAATCCATCCCAGAAAATAAGCTAGGGCTAGGCTCTGCTCACTGCCAGAATTACTTACCTAGCATTGCTGCCCATTTCTAGAATGGCAAAGCCTTGCCGGATATAATTTAAATAGGGCTCGAACTGCTTGGCCGAGAGGCCAAGCCCAAGTTGAGACGCCATATTTAAATTATTGAGAGCTTTAGCAGAAAAGCAAGCCCAACTTCAAGCAGAAAGCGAAGCAGTTCGAAAAGCAAAAGAAGAAAAACTTGCAGCAGCCAGAGAAAATCTCGAAAAATTACTCTATAGGCGCAAACAAGAATACAATCAAAAACAGCATCAAACTGAAGAAAGAAGAAACGCCTTCGAAAAATTACGAGAATCTGCTAAAAGAAGAAACGTCCTCAAAGCAAAAGAAAAAGAAAAAAAAATCGCAGAAATCATCAAAAGTGCCCAAGAAATTGAAGAAAAAAGAAAGCACGAATATTTAAAAGCAATGAAAAAAGCTGAAAAAAGGAAAATGTGACTAGAAAAGTTAGCAGAAGAAGACCGATTCCGCAAGCTTCAAGAAGAAAGCTTAAGGGACCAAGAAAGAGCCGCAGTTAAAGAAAGGATGGACCAAATCCAAGAAAAAAGAAAAAAAGAAATATGGTCCCGAATAAAGCAGACAGACCGACAGGTAGAAGAAGTAAAAAAAAGGCAAGCATGAGAATTAAGAGTAAAACAAGAAATGTCCAATTTAAAAAGAAAAGACCGTGAAGAAGAAGTACAAAGGCAGCAAAGAATCCAAGAATATCAGCGGCAAATGACTTTACAAAGAATCAAAGAAGATGATGAAAAAACAAGAAAAGTTTTGGAAGAAAAAGAAAAACTTATAGAAACAAGGCATGAGATTAGGAGGCAAATGGAGAAAAAGAAAGAAAAACTCATGAGAGATTTTAATTCAATGAAAACTAAAAGTCATGGAGTTTCTGTTAATACTGATTTAGATTTCCAAAGCAATTCGGTATCTAGGAATATACAAAGTGAAGCTTTAACGCCAAGAATTTCTACAACACAGACTAAAAAACACAAAAAAAAGCATTCTAGAAGGGCAAAAACTTCTGACCGCTCAAATGGCCAATCCTCTTAATCTTAATTAGAGGTCGATCCAGCCTATTGGCTACACAGTCACCAAGGACCACTAGAGGATTCATCCCCTTTTCGACGCTGTCAGATAAGCTGGGCTGGATTGAGATGATCCCTAATAAGAAAAGGATCGACATCACCTTACTCCTCCTTCCGTCCTAACGCCATGGAACATCAAAAGTGTTCGCTCTTTCTCCTCCTTGCCTTGCAGCCCCATAGTTAAGCGGGGTGGACTATGGACTCTTGTGGCTGTTGCTTGAGTGCATTACACAGAAATCACAAAAATTGAATTTCTGGCCTTTTCGGCAAAAACTCCCTGCTTTTGCGCTATAAAAATTTTCCAATAGTTGTAGACATTTGCCTGTCGACTATATTGAACTTCACCTTTTCAACAATAAAAACTCTCTATTTCCTTCGAGGTAAAATCTAACTCTGAAAGCAGACTAGGACTAGGCTTCACTCACTGCTGGAATTGCTTACCATTGCTGTCAATTTCTGGGTTGGCATAACCATGCCGAATATAATTAAATATAACCAATCCTCATCAATAAATGACGACTCTTTTTCAAGCAGCCAAAGAAAAGGGTCAATTAAATATTCAAAAGAAACTGCAGTCCAAGAAATTGAAAATTTAAAGAAAAAGCATAATATAGAGCTTAGACAAAGACTAGAAATGGAGCAAGAAAAGGAAAAAGAAAGAGGGATGATTCTAGATTCTATAGCAGATGATAAAGAAAGAAAAAGGCTTGATAAAATATTTGGCGTTGAAAGAGCTAAAGCTTCTCAAGCATTAGTTGAAACTATATATACCAATTTATAGTGATTATTAATTATTATAATAAATTATTACTACAAAATTTTAATTTATTATAAATGGTATATAATTTTGGAATAAATTTGCATATTGATTATAAAAAATAATAATATTCATATTTAAAATAAAATCTATAAAAAGATTTGAACAAGAAATAGAACAAACTAAAAGAAAATATGAATTATCATAATTTAAGTAAAGTTTTAAAGTTTATTAATAATTACCCTAAATAGAATTGAGAGAATAAAGGGATTTTGATTTTTATATCTCATAAATCTATCATAATTGCCTTAATTTGATGTTTAAAAATACTTTTGATTTTATGGAAATTCGCAATATAGTTTTCATATTTAATGATTCTGAAATGGTCTATTACAAAAATATTTGAGGTTTTCTCAAGTTCTCTTTATTTTTATCAACATTAAGAAAATAAAGCTATTCTTATGAAGGAAAAGACTTACTTATCTTAAAGCTTAGCGGTTTGTCTGGCTACTTTCTCTCTTTTTTGCACTAAATCACTGTATCCCCCTATATGCTCTCCTTTAATAAATATATTTGGCACAGTCCTCTGATTTGTAATCTCATAAAGGCTGCTCTGAATATTTCCTCCCTCACTTATCACATCTAATTCTACTACTTGATAGTTTACCCCGAGCTCATTTAGTAATGCTTTAGCTCTATGGCAATAAGGGCAATAAGTTTTGCTATAAACAATAGCAGGAGTCTCACTAATTTGTTTCCTTATTCTTGACGTCAGACCTTGATCCATATTTGTAATTTTATCCAATAACTAAAATATAATTTTATGATAAAATCGCATAATTTTATGGAATTCTCATAAAATCGCATAATTTTTTTGATTTTTTTAAAATTTTTAATCCATGCTTCCTATACTTCTATCATTTATTTATTCTCTTTATTTGTGATTTAAACCGATTTATTTAATTAAATTTTAGGACAGATTAAGCTCTAGCCCATTTTAAATCTTGATTTCTCGAATATGGTAGACATTTTATTGAACGTTATGGCTCAAGTACTCAACCGAATCAAGCTAGAAGCTGCACAAAGGCGCATTCGCCCTAAAGAATTCTTTACAGATTTTGATCCACTTCGCAAAGGAGAAGTCAGTGAAGCTCAATTCCGTCGTGCTTTAAGTATGATGAACTTCCCACTAACATCAGCAGATATGAGCGCACTTGGTTCATTATTCAAGGTCGATGGCGGCCAAATCAACTATAGGCAATTCCTTTCAGAAATGGAATCAGCATATCTTGATGAATCTGAGCCATTTTTTTAATTTTTAACTCCCCCCCCCCTCCGTGAGCGAACAAAAAAATTTTGTTCGCTCACGGAGGGGGGTTAATTTTTTTTTTTAAAAAAAAAATTTATATATAAAAATTTTATAAAAAATATTTTTTTTCGAAATTTAAAAAAAATCCTAATTTGCAAAATTGGGAAAGCAAATATTAATTTAATTTGCAAAATTTATGTTTTAAAACGCAATTTGTTTAAAATTAAACAGAATTAGCTCTAGATTTCATTATACTAATTATCACTTATATATCAAAATTTTTTTCCATTATAATTTTTTCTATTAAAAAATTTTTTTGTTCACTCACGGAGGGTGGGTTTTTTGGTCAAAAAATGGCGATTTTTCTAATGGTTTTGTTCGCTCACGGAGGGGGGGGGGAGTAAGCATTTTTCTGCATTTTTATAAAATATTTTTTTAAAAATTATTCCTGAGCCATCTCCAGTCAAAGCAGTCCAAAAACAAGTCGGATCCCCCAAACTCAGCGTTGCAGAATTAGAAAGAGTTAAAAACGCCCTTCAACAATTCCAACAAATTATGAAGGTCCAAAGAATATTAGTCAAACCAGTCTTCCAAGATTTCGACAAAGCCAATACAGGCCATGTAACTGTTTCTCAATTTAAACGTGTTTTGACTACAACTGGGCTTCTGCCTGAGGAATCTGACATAATTCAGCTTATCATCAACCTTTACAAGGACTCTCACCTGGGCGTCAATTACCAAGCTTTCTGCCGAGCTGTAGACGACGTTGACACCATAGGTGGCATTATTTCAGGGCCTACAGAAACCACATATGACCCTATGCCAAAGCCTCAAACAGTCCAAGACCTCACCGCGACCAGATTTTTTGACTCCGAAGTCCCTAAACAAGCAGACCATCTAGAAGTCGAAGAAAGGCTCAGAGCTGAGGTCGCCATGAAAAGAATCAGAGCCAGCGAGTTCTTCAGAGACTACGACAGGCTTAGAAAAGGAACCGTCAAAGAAGGCCAATTTACCTCAGCTTTAGGAATGCTTGGCTTAAGGCTTACTGAAGCTGACATACAAGCAATGATAGACAAATATAGAGACGAAAGAGGAGATATCAGATATGCCGAGTTCTGCAGATATGTAGAAAGCGCTCCAGATCCGCTTGATAAACTGCCAGAAGTGAGGCCGCCTGCATTTATTTCCACTCAGCCTGCCAGGAGAAAATATTTAGATTTTACGGAAGGCGAAAGAGTTTTATTGGAAAATGCCTTGATGAATTTCCAGGTTATTATTAGAAATAGAAGGGTCCATTTGCGCCCGATGTTCCAAGATTTTGATATTACCAAGTCTGGGCATGTTTCGAGAACTCAGTTCTGCAGGGTTCTGAACCAGCTTGCATTAGCTCCCACTGAGGAGGATCTTCGGGTAATTCTTAAGAGATATCTTGACAAAGGCAACATGGAAGAGGTGAACTATATGGATTTCTGCAAAGATGTGGATAAGCCGGAAGAAATATTTACCCCTGATGAACAAGCTGGGCCAGATATTGAAAAAGTTTTAGAAATGAGAAGAACGCTTTTTAAGAATTTGCAATATACCACACGTCCTGTTATAGGGGATGACTAACCATTCTAAGATAACCTTACTCTCCCACTTTCTTGTGGAGGGTTATTTTGTTTAAAATTTTATATAAATTTTACAGTAAAATATTTTTACGTAATTTAAAAAATATCAATTTGCAAAACTGGAAAGTAAAATTAATTTATTCGTAAAGCTTATGTTTTGGAATGCATACTGTTTAAAATTCAGCAGAACTAGCTGGAGATTATATTATAGTAATCATTAATTATGCATAATATATATAAGAATATATGCTATACAAAATTTTTACTCGCCCACAGAGGGAGAGTTAATGATTTAAAAAATCAGTTAATTTTTAAAAGAGAAAAATAGTCTAAAATGGAATTTCATTAAATTCCCTACCTATTTAAATTGAAAAAAAAATCCTGAACCAATTTAGAGGGTTTGATTATTTTTTAAAAATATAATAGAACGGAATGTTTTTGAATTTTAAATTATTTTTATGAAAGAATTAATTCAAAAATTTAATTGATTCAGTGCGCGAAAACTCTTTAGATAATATTCTATTTGCACTTTTTCCATTAAATTAGTTTAAAACTAAATTTATAAAAATTAGTATATTTCACCAATAAAATTATCATATTGAAAAAATATTTGTTCCAATTAAAGCACCCAAAAATTGAAAATTTTACCAATATTTTGTTTCAATTTAAAGAGAGGAGGTGATTAAGTATTTTTCTATGCTGACCAAACTTATAAATAACAATAATGGCTTTATCTTATAACGAGTATTCAAGTAAATCTTCAGAAACCAAAATCCGACTGCTTACAAAAGAGAGCCTAGAATTCAGCGCAGACCTACAAAATTTCATCCAAGATCTCAACGCTTCTACTGGCCAAGAAAATGCTATCCAAATTTATGAAGTTTTTCAAGATCTGCAAAAATCATGGGAAGATTTCACCCAGGATTTAGCTAAATCAACAAAATTTCACAGCCAGCAGAAAAAACTAGCTTTAAAAAAAATTAAAGATAGCGCCATAGAAGAAAAAAGAATTTTGAAATTCAAGCAACAAATCGATACGAAGGAAAACGAATATACACAATTAAAAAAAATAATTTAATAATAATTGAAGATTAATTTATTTTTTATAAAAAATAAGCCTATATTAATAATAAAAAAATTAAATTACTATTTAAATGGTATATCTGAACAAAGAAAAAGAATTAAAAAATTTTTTAGCTCAGGTGAAAAATATATGGAATAATGATCTCAAAGAGCTTGAAAAGAATTTTAATTCACAAAAAACTAAAAAGAACGAAATCAAACAAGAATTTAATAAGAAGCTAAAAATTCTTGAAAAAGAATTTCTCAGCACAATAGTTCCTGAAGAAAAGCAAATCCCGAATTTAAATCTGAAAAATCTTAAGCCAGCCCGATCACCTGCAAAGCTTTCAATAAGATCAGCGTCGTCCAATAAATATGAAGAAGATTTGATTTCTAACCGTAGTGCTTTTTCTCATAGATCGTCCTCGTCTAAGCCTCGACCACAAATAAAACAGCTAAATCTCTTACCTCCAATTCCTCCATCTCAAAATGTATCAGAAGAAATGATTTCAAAAGGTTTATTCTCTATTTAATTATCTTGACCGTTATTATGGATTACTTATTTCTACAATTTTTCTAGAATAAAAGCAAATTTTTTAAAATATTGCTTTAAAATTAATCTAATTTATAATAGAAACTTTAATTGAAGAATATTCTCAGCAGCAAGAAGGGAATAGTCATGTAGGAATATCTATGGAAAAATCAATGGGAAGCTGAAAATCAGAATATGACAGCGAAGACAGCATTTGTGTCCAAATTTCTCCTGATGAAATAAAGCAAGCTATTTCAATATTAGATTAGATTAGATTAGATTATGCTGTGTATTTATAGTCCCTACTTCCATGCGTGGCATTCCTCCGCGCTCCTTGAGGAGCCGTGCTGGCACGAGCGAAAAGGATGGACTTCCATCACTGGTTCTCTGAGCCCGGGCCGAAACCCCCGGTTTCTCGGTAGTGGGTTGCCCTAATGAGTCGTCAGCCGACTGTTGCTGGGCACCACCATTTCCAACTCAGCCTTCCGCCCCGAGTTACGCCAGTCTTTGCCTCCGGTTGGCCAGATCGCCCTCATGAGAGGACCCTTTTAACTGGAGAGACTTGCGCCCTTGAGTTCTAGTCTAGCTTCGCCTCCCCTCTTTCCCGGATCATCTCCAAGAAAGAACTCAACCCCTTGCGGGATTCGGGGCTAAGCCACCAAGTAGCCTAGGCAGGTAACTCACCCTGCCTCTTTCGGACACCGAGTCTGGGCCTCGCGCTACTGGCAAAAAGAATGCGAAAAACTGCTGCCCGGGTCAAGTCCCAAAATCAGCGGAAATTGGGCTGGGCCTCTCGCCTCGAGGCTAACTCTTCCCTTGAGTAGCTCTCCGCATCCAAAAACCACGTCCGGTATACATAAGGACACCGCCACGAAGGGACGGGTCGCTCGTCTCCGGCCATTTTATGTATATATCCTATTTCAATATTAAAAAAAGCAAATTTATTCAATGCAAATTTGAATCCGATGCTGATGAAACTGGCTGAAATGATAAGGGATAATGATACAGAAAAAATTGAGCTTATGTATCAGTTAATATACTTTCTGCTATCAATTTTAAATTTTTTATAAAAAAAATCCTTATTATTCTATTTATTAAAAATAGCATATATATTGAAAGCAAAAAATATAAAGGAAGCAGCCAAAAAGCCAAAGAACCTAAAAGCTCAAGAGGAAAACCTCCAGCCCGTATCTCAAACTGAAGAAAAAGAATGCATATCCACAATGAAAGTGACACAAATGATGAAATGACAGGGACAGCTCCAAAAAATATTGCGGTCTTGCCAGCAGACCAAGAGCTGCTACACACAATTTTATCATCAGAAAATCCTTTAAGCGCAAGAGCTAGAGAAGAAATGCTAGCTGAAAGCATAGGAAAAGGACAAGAAGAATGGAAAAATTCAAGGCATGTGAAATTAGAAGATTTAATCAACGCAGGGAGTGCTACGCAAGAGGTGGAAATGATGTTTAAAGGGAACGAAACACCAAAAATTGATACAGACTCGAAAAAGCATCAGGTATTCTAATAAAAATGAATATTTTGTAGAAAATTATAATGAAAACTAAATAGATAATTCTTCTTTAATTAGTATAAATTTAAATTTTCCTAGTAAACTTGACTCCCAAGAGTATAAACAGAATACAGTTGATATAGAAAACCAAGGAGAGTTTATAACTGAGTTTTCTCCTAGCGGGATGGCATCTCCGGCGTCTGGGATGAAAATTCAGTCCACCTCTAAAAAACACACAAGCTCTGAATACCAATCGACTGGAATTGCAAGCACGAAAGACGCAAGTGGACTCAAATCAAAAATTATGCCAAATTTCATTGAATATCCTAATAAAGACTTTTCTAATTTTTATTAAAATATTAATAGCAAAATTAGCCTTCAGCCGCAGTTATGCATAAAAATATACATTAAAAACAGCAATAAGCGACTCCTCTCAACAGTTATTTGTAGCTGACTCCAAAGGTATTACAACTAACATTTAATGTATAAATAATGCTACTTACTCCCCTTCAGTGATCGAATAAAAAATTTGGTCTCTCTGAGGAGGTTAATTTTTTTAAAATTTATATATAAATTTTATAGTAAATTTCTGAAAATTTTAAGCCGCATAAAATTAAACAGAAGTATCTAGAGATTCTTTTATATTAATAATCACTATATATCTAAATATTTTTTCATAAAAAATATTTGTTCGTATCGGAGGGTGGGATTATTCCAAAGGTTTGTTCGCTCACGAAGGGGAGTTAGTTAAATTTTTCTCAGACTTAAAAATCCTTCACCTTTTTTCTCACATGTATAAGAAATGCGAATATTTGCGCGGGCTGGTAGAGCGATGAAGGAAATATTTGATAATCCTGATATATTACCATCAGAATGCCTTATCCAGCGTTTATTTGGGTTTGGTTTATCTTCTATAGCGATTTCGTCATTAATATACACAGTTATATTTGGTTTTTTACTGGAGTAAAATCCATATGAAATTTCATAGAGGCCAGGAGCTATTACAGAAATTTCGATTGTGTTGGGTTTTCATATAAAATTCGTAGGACAAGTATTAGAAATTTCAGTTTCCCATGGGATATAATTATTTGTTTCTTTTCCTGACTTTCAAAGCCATTTCCCAAGGCAGTTTTCTCCTAGTAAAATTTCATTAATTAACGACTGTTCAAGGATGTTTGTCTCATAGTCGTCTTTTGTAATAAATCCAGCTAAATCATGCTTGTATTCTTCTGCATTAATTTTTGCATCAAGGATTCCTTTTATTTCTTTATTACTTGCTTTTTTCCTTAATTCTCCTAGCACATACTCAAATGATTTTTCATTTTCCTTCCTGAGTTCTTCAAAAAGATGCTCTTTTTCGTTCTTAAATGAGCTGAATTTTGTATTTATATCCAATTTTAATTTTTTGAATTTATTATCAATTGCCTCTACCAAGGCTTTTATTTGATTTTCATCTTTTTTCTCAAAATTTAAATTTTCAATAGTTTTCATTATTTCTTCTTGATTATTAATAATTTCTGAAAGGGAAGAAGAGTCTAATTTTGTATTCAAAATTGAGTAGATTTCTCGAGTTGATGTCTCAAAAATATCGGATTTTACAAAGCTTTTAATCCTTGTTTTAATATGTTCTAGCTCTTTTGTAAATTTTTCTTGGAGAATTTTGACTTCACCTATTTGAAATTTAGATAAACTTGCTGAAATGTAGGCTGAAAAGCGGTTGAACCTCCCGTACGGAGGTCTTTGGCGACTGCGTCACCAATATGGCTAACGGCTGACTTTAATAACCTAAACTAGCTTGCTGAAATGTAGGCTTGGGTTTCTTTTAAAATTTTTTCTTGGCTTAGATCGGTATTTTTCCTTTTTGGTGGGATTTTTGCTTCAAGATCTTTAAGATTTTTCTTAACAGTTTCTTGAAACTCTATTAGTGATATTGTGTCTGCTTTATTTGATAATAATTCTTTAAGATCTTTATTTGAAACTTTTATATCAAGGTCATTTTTTTCTGCTTTTCCTTGTAAAATTTTATCAAGATTTTCGATATTTAATAGAATTTCATTTTGGGAAGAAGCGAGATATTCATAGAGTTTATAGTCAACTTTTTCGTTTAATAGGTTAAATAGCATTTCTTCAGATACTTTTTTATTAATTTCCTCAATGTCTGCCTTTTTTTCAAGAATTCCTTCAATTTTTTTAATATTTAAAGCGAATTCATCTTGTGTCATTTTTATATGCTTTTCAGATTAATCTAAAAACCAGCATAAAATTATTATTGTATTATTTTTAAAAGAAGCAAAATTATCCATTTTTTTATATTTTCTATTTCTGATAATTCATAATCCTCATCAATTATATTAATTTCTTCAATATCTTTGCTACTTTTTTCATGAGCCATTTTATGCTCAACTGTTTCTTTTAGAGAACTGTAGAGCTGGCTGATTTCTTCTTGTATTTTTATTAGCTCATTAATAGCAGCTTCATCTGCTTTTGACGACAAAGATGATAAAATTATTTTCATGTGCTCTGAATTTTGCAAAGCAGAATTAAAATCCTTTATGTCTATTTTTTTTGATAAAGATTCTTCTATTTCCACAATTTTTTGCAATAGGTCGTTATAAAGAGAATGCAGTTTTGAAATTTCTTTTTCATCAAATTTTGCTTGTGGAAGACTTTTAGAATTTTTACTGTTTAGTTCGTCAATGTGATTTTTTAGATCAGCTAATCTTAGCTCAAAATCATTAAAAATGGGATTAAATTCGCCTTTATTCAGTTCCATATCTTCTCTAGCCTGCTTTTTCAACTCTTCTAATTTTTCATTGAATTTATTTGAAGCTTCATTCAATTCATTCTTGCTTAATTTTATTTTTTCTTCTAAAAATGCTTCTTGTCTCTGCAAATCATTTTCTAATTTATTCGAAAATTTATCTAATTCGGTTCTATTCCTTTTTATTTCTTCTTCAAAATTTGTTTGAAAATCATTTACTATCTTTATAAGTTCTTCTTTAACTAATTTTAATTCTCCTTCGAAATTACTATTATCTGCTGCTTGAAATCCTGGATTATTCAAAATTTTTGTTAATTCTTCTTTATTAATTTTCAGCTGCTCATCAAACTGCCTTTTTTGTCATAATAAATTTGCATCTAATTTATTAAAAAGCTCAAAAAATTCATTTTTATTGGATTTTAGCTCATTTTCAAAATAACTTTTTTGTGATTGAAAATTTGAGTCTGTTTGCTTTACATGTGCAGATAGTTCATAGTTGTTTGCATGGAAAGCTTTTTCAAGCGATTCAACTGAATTTTTTAACAAATTTAAAGTTTGCATATTCGATTTGTTACAAAATTCACTGACTTCTAACTGATTTTTTCTTTCGCTTTCAGATTTTTGCAGCTCTTGGAAGACTTTTTTAAAATCAGATTTTAAAGAAATTAATGAGTCTTGACTTGCTTTTAACTTGAAAATTTCTTCTTCATATAATTTCAATTTATACTCTTCATTACTTCTTTGTTCATTATATTTCTCTTGTACAGAATCAAATTTTTCATTAATTTCTGTTATTTTATTTCTAATGTCACCTGTAATAAATATTTTTTTGAACTTAAATTTATTGCAGGGTGGCTTCCGCCTATTGGCTACACAGTCACAAGGACCCCTAGAGGGCTATCTGCTTTGTAATGCTATCAGTCAAGCTGGGCTAGATTGAAATGATTTACCAGCAAAGAAAAGGTTGGACACTATCTTGCTCCTCCTTCGGCCCCTGAAACTACATCAGAAACCTTTACCCTTCTTCCTATTCCTCCTCTTATTGCCTTGATGCCCCAGTGCAGGGTGGGCAGATTATGAACTTCTGTGGCTGCTGCTTGAGTTTGGGCAATGAAGGATACCATCATAGAAATCAAAAAATAGAATCGCTATCTTACTTTCGGCAATAGGGAAAAGTTTGTCTCGGATATAATTTAAATATATGCTCGAAGTTGAATGAGCGAGAGCTATGCCCGGGCTGAGACACCATTTAAATTATTTAATATATATTTTCATTTCTTTTATTTCATCCCTAAGCTGATTATTCATAGTCTCAATCATCGACCTATCAATGGCTTGGCTCACATTAATTTCTCTATTTTTCTCTAATTTTGACCTTATCATATTTTCTACAGTATTTTCAATATTTTTAATCGAATTTGCGTTTTGCTCATAAATACTGTCAACCATTTTATCAAATTTTTGAATTTCAATATCAAAATCAGTCCTAGACACAGGAGAAAAATCGTCTAAAAGCTGCTTCTTAAAGTCTTCAATTTCTTTATTTATCCTTTTTTCAAGGTCTTTTGTGGCATTTTCCATAGCAGAAATATCAATTTTTTCGTCGACTTTTGAAATCAGCTCTTGGACTATTTTGTTGTCAGCTTTTATTGCCATTAAATTTTCAAAATCTGAAGTGTTGGCTTTTTTGGCTAAAACATTATTATACTTATTTACCAAAAATAGCCCACTAAGGAGCATTTTTTGTAGCCGGACAATAGTTGGCTTGCCAAATTCTTAAGCATGTCATATTGTCTGGCTAACCAAATTAGAATGGCGAACCAAAAAATGCTCCTTAGTGGGCTATTCTTGGCAAATAGGTATAACTGCTTGTTTATTTGCTTTTTGCTGCAATGCTTCTCATATGTCTGGAATATTTGCTTTATTCTCAAGCAGATCGTAGATAACTCTGATTTCTGAATGATTGGCAGCTTCACTTATTTTTATCTTAATTTCACGGATTTCTTCTCTAATTTCATCTAATTCTCTTATAGATTTATTGCTCTCTATATCAAAATCTATATCATCTTGAGAGGGATCATGAAGTGGCGGGGATGTCCTATCTAAATTTGCCAATTTGTGCTTAATCAAATCGTTAACTTCATCAAGTGACGGCTTTTTATTTAATTCTTCATATATTTCAAATACCTGTGTGCCACTTCATTTCCGCTGTGTGGATAAATTAGAGTCTTCTGCTCTGTCTCTGGGAGCTGGCAGGTGGTCAAGTTCTCCAATTTTTGATCCATGAAGCTTGAGAATTTCATAAAATGCTTGCATTGTTAAAAATACGACGTCTTGTGTATTTTTTCAGGCTTCAGCGTCGTTTATTAGGCTGTCTACTACTGAAATTTGATATGAATGGGCTTCTTGGTATAAAACACTCATTTTTAATTATAGGTTATGGAAAATTAGATTTGCAGTGGGTAAAAAATTTTTTTAAATGCAAAATAATTAAATAATTTTAAAATTTTGTTTTTTATTTTTTGCAGTTAAATTATTATCACTAATTACCCCCTTGATTTTTTAACCCTTCTTACAAAAACATCTCTAGGAAACCGACTTGACTTTGGAGGCTCTGCAACTAATCCAAAATGTGAAGTCTCGCCCATATTGTGATCATAGTCCATAAAGGTAAACAAAGCTTCATCTTGCTTTGCTTTTTCACAGTTTTCTTCTTTATTAGGCCTTGGGTTATTTTCATCAATTGCAATTTGAAGATTTTCTCTTCTTATTCTGTGTGTATGAATAAGATTTTCTGATGGAATTTTTATATTTTCCAAAATCTCCAATTGTTTTTCACTTTTTAGTTGGTCAATTTCTGATTTTTGGTCATTAATTTGCTTTTTCAGCTCTTCCTGCTCTTCCATCAATTTTTTACAAATATTGTTTAACTGGACAATTTCGCTCAAAGACTGGCATTTAGGGACTTCATTGACTATATATTTTATTGATGATACTTGGTCTGATACCGGCCTTTTGCGATTTATTATCATTCCCATGTCAAATGGAATTGATGGTCTTCTTACGTTACTAACTCCTCTCCCCGTGATCGTACAAAAAATTTTTGATCGCTCATAAGGGTGTTAATTTTTTTTCAAATTTTAAAAAAATCAAATTTGTAAAAATTAATTTAATTTGCAAAATTTATGTTTTAAAATGTAAGCTGTTTAAAATTAAACAGAATTAGCTAGAGGTTTCATTACAATAATTATCACTTATATATCAATTTTTTTCATAAAAAATTTTTATTCGCTAACGAAGGGTGGGTTTTTGGGCAAAAAATAGGGATTTTTCTAATGGTTTTGTTTGGAGGGGGGAGTAAGAAAATGCTCATTATGTCGGAAACTTGGGAAAGCTGGGTCATTTTTTGAGATCGGAGAGACCTGTTCACTATATGTTTGATGGTCTTGAAAGTGAAAACGATTAGTTCTGACATGAAGAGATGGGAATACAGGGGGTAACTTAGATAAGTCTATTTTTGTTTCTGATTTTTGTTGGTCTCTTTCTATGCTGTTGCCTCTGTTTTGTTTATTTGTGTCATTAATTTCATCAGACTTGTTAGGGATTTCATGTAAAATAGCTCTTCTAGGCGAGAGTTGGTCAGAAATTGATCTTTTGTGAGTGCTATTCGCATGGAGTCTTGGAGGTTCAAGATAGGTGCATCTTTTTGGTGATATCTGATCAGATATATGTCTTTTCTTATCAATGCTATTTTGATTTTTTGGGAATTCATGCAGGATATTTATCATAGGTGACGTGTGATCAGATACCGATCTTTTATGTCTCGTTATCAAGCTGATATCAAGAGGAGCAGCAGGTCTTCTAGCATTGTTTGTTTCTTTATATATTTGACGACTGAATGTATGGTTATTTATTTTATTATTTTATTTGTTTTATATTTGTTAATAGTTTCTTTTTGTTCTTTCGACATAGCATTGACTTCTTCACTAGTCAGGTTTCGGCCGTATAGCCTTGTTTCAGGGTTCGCCATTTGTAGAAGGTAATCTTTTCAGGATGTCAAGAAAGTCAAGTAATGGGCTGCAGTGAATTTCTCAATTTTGGGATAGTGGTGCTTTTTAAATTCTTCGCGGACGTAAGCGTTGCCAAGTTTCATCATTTCTTCTGGAAGGAGCTTGTGGCATTTTAGGATTTTCCGGTAGACTTTTAAGCCTTCTGTCCTGCTTCGAATTAAAGACATTAAATATTTTTATTAGACAATAATTTATAAGAAGGCTCCTAAAATATCCGATTTTTATATATTTTATCTCAGATTATCTACTCCTTTCCTTTATTTTTAATTTTTTATATAAAAGCAGCTGCTATGCTTTCTAGAATTTTCCATTGCATTTTTTATTAAAACCTTTCTTTTTCCCTACAATTTTCCCATATCTTAAAGATATATAATCCCTGTCAATATCTCAATTAATGAAAAAAATATTTCTATCATTCCTCCTTCTCTAGCACAATAAATTTAAAATCGAATAACGCGGGTATTTATATAATGAAAATGTCGAACAAAGTTACCTCTGAGAAGCTCCCCATTACTCTTTTAGAACAAATTTCTTCTCAAATAGGCCTTGATAGCAAGCGAAAATCACTCGCTGAAAATTATCTTTCTGATTTCATAGACCACGATGAAACTTGGACTGATAACAAAAGTGAAAGTGCTGTAAAATGCGCCATCTTAGCAGCAAGCAAAAGCACTTATATCAATTCCTCGTCAGAAAGCTCCATTCAGCTTGCTCCCGTATCTTTAAATGCCTTGCTAAGCGGAAGCTTAGCCTCGGATATTCATTTTTCTTTAAATAATCTAAATTTTAAAAAAATAAATGGTAAAGGGTATTTTAAGGGAAAAAAATATATCCAGACTTTTGTAATCCGCCTTAAAGAGTTCATAAAAGCTGTAAATCTTGACGACCAGCCCAGAAGTGAAATTCATCGAATTATCAGTAATTTTGCATTTTCCTTAACTTTATTTAACAAGTTTAAAGAAATTTGGAACGCTCTTCAGATCTCTGGGCCTGATGATATAGTAGAACAAATTAAAGATATGACATGGATTATTTATATTTTTTTATATAATAATTTTCATTTATTATTTTATTAATAAATACTAAAATAAATAGGAATTTTTAGACAGAAAAGAATATATTTTATCAAAAATCAATTTATTGCAAAGAAGAACTGAAATTATAGAATGCGCCTGTATGATGCTGGGGACTTTACAGTTTATGCTTATGAACTTGTCCAGTGAAATTTCCACAAAAGCACCGATTAGTGACCAAGATGCGTGCTTAAAATACCTGTGTGGGCTGCTGAGAGCTCAGCCTGAACAAGTGAATGTGTCAGCTTCACATGTGATGCTGATGATAGAGAAGTTTAAAGAGCACCAAGTGATAAGAGGAAACCAGCAGAATTCAAGGAACATTGAAGGAATTTTTTCAAGCTCGCATATACAATTTAACTTGCAAAGTTTAAATTTATACCTTTTAAAGGTATTTTTAGCTTAATCGTTTTTTCAAGCAACTTAATCAATTTTTGTGTATTTTTTGGGAAAATAATTAATTAGGGTTTATATTATATTTTCCATAATATTAAATTAAGCCCATAAAAAAAAAAAAAAATCATATATTCTGAATAAAAAATTTATATTAATTTAGCTTAGACTGTTATATACAAAAATTACTCCCTGATGATTTTGACGAAAGGAGTTTTCTCAGCAAACCTGAAAGCCTCGCTGCCAAAGCACTATCAGATTACTCAATCATAAATAATGGCAACCAAAGATTTGTGAACCAAAGAGTAATCGAATTTGAAGACAACGATCAAATATCAATAAACTTAAAGCTGCAAGACATTTTAAGGCTAAACAACCCAGTAAACTCCCCAAGAGGATCCTTATTATACCCTTTATCCACCCCAATGACCTCCGCTATTGAGCTCGAAACTTGGCTAAATTCCCACACAGACGAACTTAACAGTGAGCTCCCTCACGAAATTAAAAGCAAGCTTGGGACTGAGACCTCAAATATGGTCAAAAATCTATTAGAAGAATTCAAAATAAACCTAGAAGATCTTTTAGAGCGGTACGGTCTTGGAAGATCAGACACCTCAGCATTTATTGCAAGGCATTTCAACGAAAGCACCAAAGCGGAAAGAAAACAGACAAATTTGCGGGTAGAAATGACCTTAAAATTGTTCTATAAAGCACTAGGGGAACTGATGAAAATTGAAGAAAGGCAGCTGGAATTGAGATCAGAATCAAGAGACAACTATACAAATGTACTGAGGAATGAAAGCTTTTATAGGGCTTTATTGTCGTGCTGTCTCCAAACAATTCTATTTGTGTATAATACACTTACGGTTGATTTTGAAGAAGTTTTGGCTCTATGCAAAATCACTGCTTTTGATTTTTGGAAATTAATGAAAAATTTTATTGATTTTGACCCAAAAATTCCGACATCAATTCGGCATTATTTCAAAGTCCTTGAAATGAAAATTATCTCTTTTCACGCCTGGCGTGAAAATTCTCCTATTCATGGATTAATAAAGCAGCACTTAGATAGCAAAGAGTCTACAAATCATCCAGCTGTGCTCATTTTTTATATAGCCCAGAAGTCTTTTGGCTTGGATTTCTGATATTTCCTGACGGAAAGAGGGAGTTAGTTTTTTTCCAGCTTCCCAAGCGGTAGAAACCTTGTTATATGTGGTTCTGTAATGTAGAAATTGGCCAAGCCAGCATTGATTGGTTTGACCAACCCCTTCTTTATATTCGCAAAGATCAGTATCCTGAGCCAAAAGTGTGCTAGGGCTATAGACGATTTTTGGTTTACTGTGTAAACAGAGTCGTGGATTTATCAAATTTATTTGGGCTGCAGGATCAGATAAAAGAAGAAATTTGGACAGTCTTGAAAAGCGTGATTATAGAAGCTATTGAGATGCTGGTAGATAGACAAATTGATCAGATTATTTCATGCACAATTTATGGGGTTTGTAAAGCAAAAAGCTTAAATATTATGCTGGATTGTAGTAATTTGGGAAGATTTATAGGTTTATTTGTATGAAAAATAATATAATAAAGGATTTAATAGAGAAAAGAATACTTTTAATACTTTGATTTCAAAGTATATGGAGTTTTATAATGACTCTGGGACCATTTTTAGACAGGTCAGGCTGTCTGGGACACACAACTTTGGGGATATTATAAAATTTTATAATGAAGTTTACCTACGACACATGAAAACTCATTTGCGTAGCATCAGTAGGCCACTAGCTACCATAAATATCCCTCAAAATCAGCCAATCTCTTTATTTTCTCAAAATATCCAAAATGTACCTTCATCTTTGACTTCCTATTACCATCAATATACATTAAAATGGCGACACGTGTCGACCTGCCCTATTGGCGCAGCAGTCCAGACCTTATGGCTACGGCGAACTGGGACGGACTCCGAGCCGAGAATCTAGTGCAGGCTCAGAGGTGTGTATCCGGGTAGGTTTTGGTTGCTTTCCTATGATTGGAAATGGAGGTGCTCAACAGTGTCCTTTGGATCCGAGGACCCATGGGCATTCCTCAACGAGAAACTGGGGGTTTCGGTCCAAGCCACAGGGGAACAGTCTTTTTCCTGTAGCTGTCGAAGAAAGGCACTTCGACACCCGATAGACTCCAAAGAGTTGGTCTTTGAAATCAAGCTACTCCAATCGCCCGTAGCAAGGCCGCAGATATCCATAAGCCGCCCACTCAGACTGAAGCCTCAAGGCAAGGAGGAGACAGAAGGTACCGGAAGGGCACTCGTAAAAGGGATAGACCCTTGGGCTGGAGTCGAAAAGCGTTAGAACCTCCCGTATGGGAGGTCTTTGGTGACTGCGTCACCAAAATGGCTAGCGCCTGACTTTAATAATCCTAATCCTATATTACCATCAATCTCCAAGCAGAAATTTATCAATAAACCAATCTCCATTGGTCTCTCCTTTTGCAACTCCAAGCTCCAGAAGACTTTACGCATTTGGGGAATCCCCAGCCTCAACTCTTAACAATATATTCTTCTTAATATGATTAATTATTTTATATTTTATTAAATATTTTATTATTTATTCAAAAAAATTATTATAAATTACATGATGAAAAAAACTGACAAGCAGCTGAATTTTGATGAGGACGAAATAATCCCTGACATCCCAACCAAGCGGCCAAGACACGTCAGTGAAATTTTTGAAGATCCTGAAGAAATTAGTATGAACTTGCCTGACGAATTCCCAGGATTTAAAGACAAGTAATTAATTTGAATAAATTCATATAATAAATTTTTAAATTTATTTTTTAGTCTTGCTTAAGACTTTTAAGCATTGGTTAAGCAGAACTGGGTCACAAGCCAAAGCGAAAGGATCATTAATAGCTTGTTCAAGCGTGGCTAGATCATTAGCTTGGAGGGCTGTTTGGAGCTTGGTCAAAATTTCTTTTCTTTTATCACATCTGTTTTGGTAGTTTCCTCTTGATTCTTTGTAGACCTGCAAGTTGCTGTCCATTTGTTCTTTTCTTTTCAGCATTTGGGCTTTGTAGAATTCTTTTTTGGCGTCGAATTCTTGCTTATACTGCTGACGTAGAGCTTTGCGCTGCTCTTGGATTTGGGCGAAGTTTTGGATGTCTTGCTTGAGAAGGACTTTTGATTCTTCTATAAATTCATAAGTAAATAACTGTCGGTCTAAATTCACTTGTTTAATAGTTTTTAGCCTATCAGAGTGTGCATGATTTAAAAATTTCTGGACTGAATGCATGACATGGTCCTCTGCCTTTGGGATTTCAAACTCAACGACCTGAGGCTTTTCTACCTCTTTTACATTTTTTGCGTCTTTTCCTTTCGGTTTCGGCTTTCCTGCTACTTCTTGTTCTTTTTTCTGTTTTCGTCTGTCAGCCCATGAGTCTTTTAACAGCTCATTTTCTTGGTCATTTATCCTTTTCCCCTATAAATTACCACATTTTTTTAAAAAAATCTTAATTCAGCTAAAAACTATATAATGCTTCTCCATTATTTTTTTTCATCTGTGCTAAATATCTTCCTCTGCTGGTTTTGGCTAATTCTTGTCTTCCAGGCTGAGAAGTTTCCCATGACTTTCTTATTGCTTCTTCTCTGTCTTCTTTTCTTGTATCTTTTGCAATAGCAATTGACTCGCTTGAAATAATTCTCATGATCCAGTTCATGTCTTGGGTTTCTTCACTAGGATTCATTATTTCAGGGATTTCTGTGATGTCAAATTTATGCTTTTTTGGCTTAGCCTAAAAATATTTTATAGAAAACAGGAAAAATTTTCTTATTGATAAAAAGTGCATACATACAAGTAAAAATTCTCTTCCATTATTTCGCAAATTTATATGGGTAAAATATGCTTGATTGTACCCTTCTGAGCTACAAATAATGGTGTCGCCTTCATAAAGGCTAAGCTTTATAAGTCTTGAGGCCAGCAATGGCTCTTCTGGGGCAAGCTCTTTTGTTTTGGACCCTGGGATTGGCAGCCCTCCTTTTCTTAAGCGAAGATGAAGCGAAAAATGGACTTCTTCGGGGATAAAAAAGTGCTCTTTGAAGATAATCCCATATTTATTAGGCAAGTAACGGTCAGAAAACTCTGCAGGATCCATCATATCTCCTGGGGTTGCTTTAATTTGTTCAGGAGTTTTCGTCAAAATGTTAAGGCTTACTTGGCCATCTAGGAGAGAAGTAGAAGAAATAATCAGCAGTAAAAGCCTATAGCCTTTTTCGTTGGGCGAAAAAGAAATTCTTTGAGATTCTAAGGTCGCTATGTCTAAATATGAGTATTTCTGCTCCAATGGATCTTTATCTCTATTTATTAATAGTAGCTGAGCTGATGATAAAAGATTTGGATCTGAAGACGACAATTTTATAAACACAGGCAAAGGGTCAGTTGAGGTAATTTCTACTTTCATTGGGATATAAAATGCTTTTTTCGCTATCGCTGAGTAGTCAAAGTTCAAAGAACTGATGCTCCACCCTTGTTTTTCGCTTAAATATTTCATACGAGACATAGTCTCGACAGGGACAGTTGAAGAAATCCACGTAATTGACCCGCATGGCGCACACATAATAGAAGGCTTTAGGACATATAATCCTTCACTGACATTATATTGATTTGCTAATATAGAAGTGCTCGTCAGCTTGGCCTCGTCATCTCATGGGATATTTACCTCATTCTCAAAATCATACCTTTGTATCATCAAACTGATCGAAGAAGGCTGAAATTTCAAGTCGTTAGGCAACAATGGAGAAAAAGCTACCAAAAAGGTCGCGTCAGATTTAGCGTCAATAATTCATACGTCAAAATCTTGGTTATGGGTAAAAGGGACGCTTTGGTCTTTCCACAAGTCATCAAGGATCATATTGTGAGGGTAAAAACTTATGTGGTGGTAGATAATAAACTCGGTAAAGGCAAAAGGAAAATCGTCTGAGGAAATTCAGACCCCGCCTTGGGCTCGTTGAGGGGGTTGGACTAATTGGTCGTAGTTTATGATGGATTCTTCTTGGTTGGATTCTTCAATGCCGGAGTCCTTAGGGTCGAAAAGTTCGCGGTCTTCTTCTTCCATTAGTCTTTCAAAGGCAGCCACTTCTTTGTCTTGGAAAAATTGCTGATTTAGGAGCCTTAGCTTTGCTTCGTCAATTTCTTGGGGAGAAAAGCCACAATCGACAGTTAAAACAGGGATGTTTGTGACTGCTGTTTTAATTCTTAAAAATTTATAGCATTTTTACTAGTTTATAAATATTAATATTATACTAATTGCCTATTTTAAGTCAAAATCTGCTAATAGCTCTTCAAAATAAGCTGAAAATCATTAAAAATTTGTATATAAACTTGGCATAATTTTACCTCCAACAGTTTTTGCCTTTTTTCTTCTTTTTCTTTTTCTCTTCTCGCTTTTCTTTTCTGGTACTCCCTAAGCCTTGCTGGACTTTGGTGTCTCTTTAATTTCCTCGCTGGGGACGTAGCTTTAGCCCTCAATAGCGCCGTTTTTGCTTCTTCCTGAATCCTGACTTTTTCTTTTCTCAGTACCTTTTTCATATCAAACTCTTCCGGATTCGAAAAAGCTTCATATAGCAAATACCCAAACCCATTTAATACATGTACAGGCCTATTCGGATTCTGGTTTAACGAATATTTCCTGCCTTCCGTCGTGGTCACTTGTAGCCCACCTAAATTTCTCTGTGTAGGAGTCCTTATTTGGCTTTCTTCAGCACTTACATTTTTTTCAGGAATATTTTCTATTTCAATTTCTGGGACAGGAACCATTTCTGTAAAAGTGTCTTTAGACCTATACTCGTCTTTATCTTCTTCGATATAGCTCATAGAAGGAATAGACGGGGTCTTTTCAGTACTGCAGTGGACTGAGACTAGAACTCTGCCTTGATCCCAAGCATCATCTCTCAGTCAGTTCTGTATTAGTCTCCATTCGTCTTGATTTATTTGGTTTATCGTCATTTTTTGAGGCAGCATCCCAGTTAATGAATAAATAAACGACCCATCAATTTCATCGTCAGGGACTGATACAAATTTACTGATATTTCTCCACCTAAAAGAATAAAGTTTGAAATACGCCTTCGTCAGAATAATCGGCCACAAGTCTCTAAAAGTACTGGATCTTGGCAATAAGCAAAGCCCTTCTAAATTTGTAGGGACCCTGCAGTCAATTTCTACAAGTCTAGGAACTCCAAGCAGCATTAATTTTACCCAATATCTTCCTGAGGGGTTGTAGATAGGGATTCCTTCTTTTTGAGGGTAAATTTTGTTCCATAAAGACTCGCTTGTATGTGGATCTTTCCAGCCTTTGTCTTTTAGTATCTGTAACTGGCTGCTTATCCATTTTGAGCAATGTGGCAGCTGTTTTCCCATTTCGATGTTCCCTAGTTTTACTTCTTTTACTTTCCCTATATGCAGTTCTTCTGTTTTTGGAGGCTTTTTTTTCATTAAAGCGATTTTTTCAGCTTCTTTTTGTTTTCTGGCTTCGAACTCTTCTGGGGTCTCATCTCTTTCGATGAATGATACAACAACCATAGCTTTTTCAGCTTCATCTGTAGCTATTTCAGAGATATTTTGTTGTCGGGAAATGCTCATGCTGAAAAATGATCCACCCATGCCTGAGGTTGCCTGCTTTTTTGGGTTAAATCTTTTGCTGAATCTTGAAGTATACTAAAATGGCAATTTTTTTTAAAAAGTTTATATAAATATATTTATTTTAAATTTTTTTTATTAAAAAATTCTTTTTAAGAATAATTTCATTCATCCCTACAATATCTTCAGGCCACTTCATGATCACATTTTCTCTTGGACAGAACTCATAAATTGAAGGAGGGAAAACATACTCGAAATCGTCTTCATATAAAGTTACAGAACTTAGCTCAAAATCGTGGTTCAAAGCAGCATCGTCACCTGGCCAGTTTGGGCATAAACTTGGGATTTGAAATTCATATTGATGAGTTGCAGGGCGGCTGTCTGGAATTGAGAGAGGAAGAGGCTCTCTAGGCTGTTTGGTAAATCCAGGTGGGAGGAGCTCTTTTAAAGGTTTCGCTTGTTTGGGTTTCTTTACCTCCTTTTTCCCTTTCATAACTGCTAATGATTATGGAATTAAATATTAGGGTATTATATTACAATTAAGTATTATAGCTGGAAATATTTTTAGATAAAAAATAAGCAATTATTATAATTAGAATAATACGTATTTTATTAAATTTAAACGTAAACCTAAGAAATTAAGCTATTTAATTATTAGAATAGAGCATTAGCATGGTATTAATGCTACAGAACTTAATCCAGAGCAGATTATTTACACTATTTATAATTAAATATCATTTACGCTTAAGTTCTTGCACTTTTGTAAATGAGGGTAAAACTTTTGAGTGATATATAAATTGCGACAATTTTCGCATTCAATTGCATATGCAGAATTAATAATTTTTTGGCATTTTTTCAGCATCATATACGCTTTAGCTTATTAAAAATGGTAATTCTTAATTATTAAATAATTATGCATATTCAGCTAGATAAATATACTGATCTTGATCAATTTACTTTTTATTTTTTCAATGGAAGCATTTCCAAAGGGACAAAAACCATCTAAGGCGGCTTCAATTTCTGATTGGAGATTCAGCATTGGTGCGGAAAAACCTAAGAAAATAGCTGACATAAACAAGTTTTATTATGATTCTAGTGAAGAGGAAGACGAAATGAGAGAACTTGATGCGATAGAGATGCTAATGATTGATGAAGGAATCTTGATGGAGCTAGGCTACGAGGAAGAAAAAGCAAAGATGGCGCTGAATGCATGCGGCGGTAACTTAGAAAAAGCCTTAGTGTTTCTGAGATTATTCGAAGATGATGAATTTTGTGATGAAGAAATTGATAAAAATTGGGAAGAAGATGGCAGTTGAAGAGAAGAACTGAGTGAAGAAAATGAAGAACTCGAGATGGCAGTAAAGTTGCTTGCAGGATTGCATTGAGAAGTCTTGGATTACGGAGAAACAATCCTGACCACTCACTCCGTCAGGGCAATTGAAATAGAAATAATGGCAGGAAAGACAGAAATACCAACAAAAACGTTAACAAAAAGACCGAAAGATATCCAGACAGAAACTTCAACAGAAATTTCAGCAAAAAGCTCAAAAGCAGCCTCAACAAAAATTCTAACAGGATTCTCAAAAATGCCTATAAAACTCAACAAAATCCCAACAGCATCCTCGACAGATATTCCAATTGAAATCCAACAGAGACACCAGCACAAGCCCCAAGAAAAGATCAAAAAGGGAACCTAAAAACACCTGCAGAAATCTCAAAGGGATCCTTTTAGAAGATCTCGGATCCTTTTAGAAGATCTCAACAGAAAACTCAAAAGAAATCGCAAAAGAAATTCAAACAAGAAGCTCAATAGAATTTCAAACAGAAACCAACAGAAATGCCAACCAAATTCTCAAACAAATTTCTCGGCACAATTTTGACAGAAGATGGAAGAAGTAAGATGATGTGGAAGGCAAGAAAGAAGAAAATAAAAAATGAGGCCATAATAGAGCGAAAGAAAAAACACTGGAGAAACAAAAGGCAGCATGAAGCAGCAGCAAGTGAAGGTGGATTGAAGCAGGCAAAATTGAAGGAGATTCTGAAGATGAACTGATGGAGGCACTGAAGAAGAAGAAGAAGAAGCTAATGGAGAAATTGAGAGAGGAGAGTGAAAGGAAAAAAGAAGGATGGAAAATGAGGAAGAAAAGGAAATTATTAACAAAAAAACCCATAAGGGTTTGCTGCAGGCTTACCTGCTGAATAATTGATGATGATGATGATCTTGATCAATTTTATATGGTGCCTCATCATGTGGATATCCTTTCATACCAAAAATAAATGATGGGGCTGTACTCTCAGACCCTATTTTAACAAAACTTTGGGACATAGGAGATGATGGGGCACTGATTTTGGTTTCTGCGATTTTCTTTCGTAATAATGATATCTCTGACTCTCTATCAGCTAGTTTCTCAGTTAAATCTTCTTTATTTTTTAAAAGATAATAGTAATTTAATGCTTTTTTAGCTTCAATAGATTTTGATCTGATTATATCGACTCCTGACTGTTTTTCAGGTAAATTTTTATTAAAAGTAAATTCTTTGGTTTCTCTTCGGTTTATTATGTTTTTAGGAGATTTTGAGCTCGGGGAAAGCATTTTTAGGGTTGTCTGGGTTTTATTGTGAGATATTGGCAGCTTTTTGGCAGATTTTTGGTTTATAGCGAATCTTGCTAACTCTTCTAATTCTTTTTTCCATATTTCTGCAGTTTCTTCAGCTTTTATTTTTTCTCCCTCAATTTTATCAATTTTAGCTTGATTTTCAAGCTCAATTTCTTGAATTCTGCTGTCAAGCTGTTCTGAGTTATCCCAAAAATTTTTTAATTCTTTTGGAAACTCATATGACTGTAGCCCTACAAGTTGCTTAAGCTTGGTATTTTCATGCCTTAATTGATTATTTTCATCTCTTTGAATTTTTATATTTTTGTTATAATTTTCATTCATCTCCTTCAGCTTATTTTCAAATTTCTTGCAAAAATAATTATAATTCGTAAAAATAATTGCAATTTAGCTGGAATTTTGCAATAATTTAATTTTTTAATAAATATATAAAACCCTAAATATTAGAGAAAAGATATAAAAGCATTATGCTTTATTTTTGATCCTTGATTTATTTTTTCTAATTCCTGCTTAAGCACCATATTTTCAGCATTTGCTGCATTTATTCGGTTTTGCATATCCTTTTCTTTTATATCTCTAAATTCCAACTCACGCTTATGTCGGGTCTTAATTGATTCAATTTCTTTTTCATGTTGCTCACGTACAAGTTTTAATTCATTTGTGATTTTGCCCTAAATTAATATTACGCTAAATGAATTTTCAGCTTTAGCTGTAAAGTTTTTCATTAGGGTATTATACATACACTTAACTCTCCCTTTAAATTGGAAGAAAAAATCTTTCAATTTAAGGGGGTTAATTTATCCCAAAAATAGAATTTTACCAATATTTTGCTCCAATATAAAGGTGATAGTAAGATGATTTTCATTGTTTTTTGAGTCTTCGAGCTCAATTTTAAGCAGCTCTATTTTTTGCTGCAAAATCTGAGGGTCGTTGCTTGTTCAAATATCATCTTTAAAAGAATTCATAATTAAAGAATTAATTACAATGGGATTAATATTGATTTCTGTATGACTTTATACTGTTATACTTTGCACTATTAATAAAAACTATTTTTAGCATAAAAATGTCAATATTTTTTGATAAATTTAGAAAATAAATAGTTTATAATTATTTGGGATATTTTTTTGAAGAAAATAACGACTGCTTGATAAATTTTTTCTTATTGTTGAATTCTGACTACCAAATGGAAAATCCTCTGAAGTTTTAGAAAAAACTACAGGAGAATTTGTTCGTGTTGCCCTCAATTCTTCTTTCAAGTCAAAATTTTCTTTTCTCAGCCTTGTCAGTTCTTGAAATAAAAGAGATTCTTCATACTGATTTTCGCTTGCTGATAATCATAAAATGCCGGCGTAAGGAAGTGATCTCAGAGAAACACTTTCTCCTCCGCTTATTTTATTGTTATTATTATGGGATTCGGTTATCTGATGCACCTTTATCTACAATGCAAAACAAGGCTTACCACATAGGGTAAGGTTAACTAAAATTATTATTGAGTAGCTTCCAGTCAGCTATGTCTGCTTTTCATGTTCCTTAGTTCCCTCCACCCTCTTGCTTGTCAGTCAGGCTCCATAGACTAAAGGCATGTGCTCCATCCGGACAAGGGCTTGCACTAGAAATCAGGGACATAAGGGCACTGGGTCAAAGTGCTATACGTCAACGGGGTTGCCCTTTCGAAAACTCAAAAGGAATTTTCTGGTCAGGCTATTGGTCAGACTGAAACTTGCCGCCCAAAGCACAACTCCTGGTATCCCTTGGGAAAAATTGCCCGATTGGACAAGCGAACGCCCTCTGGCCTTGCTGGGATTTTCCTTTCCCACTCTAGTGAGCCATCTCCTCATAAGGTAAACCATGCCCTCGATGTGAGCATGCGGTCGGTCAGCCCAACATTGCGCTTCACCTGACCAAGTAAAATCTTGCCAGGGAATCTCAAGACAGGCTGCTCTGCCTTCCACAAGGTCCCCGGACTCCTGTCTGGCTACAGGTGTTAAGAAGGCAGGTTGGCTCACTATGCCATTTTTATGCACATAGACCAAGACAGTTAGCGAAAAGATTCTAATATACATAGGAGTTCACCGCTTGAAGCACCGAGGAGGCTGACCCTTAGGCCGAGCACGTGGAGAGGCAAGTCTAGAGCTAGGCAACACGCCCCGCATGTAGTTTCTGTCCAGCTTAGGTAGATCGTAGAAATTTGGATATCCCTCCCATTTTGGTGGCATCGACACCATTTTATTCGTGGGATACTCCACAAGTCCTTAAGTGGGACTTAAAATGATCGGCCTATGCATATCTTATTTATCCTGCTTAAGAACCTGACATTTTAAAAGCTAAGTAATTAAGTAAGTACGATTTTCGCTTGCTCACGATTTCTTAGGTCGATGCTGCTGCCTTTCATTATTTTCAATAGTTTCGCTAATTTTTTCGATAGATCGCTTTAGAAAATCTATATTTTTTTGCATTTCTTTTTTAATTTTGATGTCTTTGCATCTCAGATTTTTCATACTTTGTTCAATTTCATAAAGTTCTTCTTCAATTTCTTCTTTCATTGAAATTAAATCTTGCTGACCAGTGATAGGTTTAGGGACTATATCGATTTTTGGACTTGGAAAAGCCAAAGGGTTTCATGGCATTTCAGTCATAGATGCTGATCTATGTGTTGGATAAGTCGAATACTCACTCCCCACCCCGCGAACGAATAAAACCATTATAAAAATCCCTAGTTTTAGATAAAAACCAATCTCCGTGAGCGAAAAAAAATTTATAAAATAATATTGTGATATTTAAATGATAAATTAATTTCATATTTCCAATTTTGCGATCAAATTTTGAAAAAATAAAATTTATATATAAATATTTTAAAAAAGATAATTAACCCCTCTTTGAGCGAACAAAATATTTTGTTCGCTTACAGAGGAGGAGTCAGTAACTTCTTCTATAGGGCTAAAGCAGTCATTTGAAGAATCTCTGCTGCTACTAACTGCTTTTAGCACAGTCCTTAAAGAATCTACTTCTTTTCTTAACAGTTTATTCTCTAGTTCGAGAGAACCGTATTCCATAAGTATTCAGTTATAATATATAAAAAAATACGATTTCTATTTTTATTCTAAAATCAGTGTTTAAATTATAAAAAAATCGCAAATATTAATTAAAATTATGATTTTAGTTTACATCAAAATATCAGAGTTTGTTAACTTAATAAATTAGTCTTTTCACATAATCAAAAATGTCTGAATCTCAACTTTTTCTTAATTCTATTCATAAAGGTGAAATAGTTGAGATCTATCGTCTTATTCGTAAGCTTGAAATTTACCCTCATAAGTGCTTGGATTCAAAATTATACACAGCTCTACACATTTCAAGCTTAAAAGGAAACTATGCAGTCTTAGAATTTTTGGTCACTCACGTATTATCAATATAGATTAATCAATCTTGTGGATTTGAGGCTCCAAAAATATTAAAAGAATGAGTCAATATGAAAACAGATGAAGGATTTACAGCGCTTCATTTTGGTGCATTTAAAGGAAGTCTTGTAAAACTTACATAGAAAATAGTCAAACTTTTAATAGAAATTGGTGCAGATATTAATGCAGTGAACTTACAAGGGCTTGGAGTGGTTCATATTGCTGCTCAAGGAGACCAGCCACTTGTACTGACTTATTTTAAAGAAATTGGAATGAGCATGGAGCCTTTGGACCAGAAAAATAGCACACCGCTGCATTGGTCGTGCTATATGGGCTGTGAAATTCCAGCGTCTATTTTAATCTCAATGGGATGCTCTTTAAATCAGCCTGATGCTGATGGTCATACACCTTTGCATTTAGCTGTTATTGCTAAAAATCAAAGGATTATAAAATGTTTACTAATCAAAGGAGCTGATCGGTTTGCAAAAGATTCATCAGGGAAAACACCAATTGATATCGCAAGAAATGATAAAGATTATGCAATTTCTGCTTTGCTGAAACCTCCAAGAATATGATCTGAATGTGCACTAAAGCCTCCTTTAAGGCCACCAAAATACACATATATGTCAGTCTCTGTATTTCTTACTTTATTCCTTTCTGGGACATTATCAATGATTCTCTTTAATCTCCAATACGCTGAAGAATTCATAGGCTACATCTATTTTGGTGTAATTATCCTTACATTCATTTTTTTCCTTTGTGTAAGTCTACGAAACCCAGGGTATATAGAGCACTCAAATGCAAGTCATTTCCAGCTATATGAAAAATACGAAAGCCACCTTATCTGTCCGGACTGTAAAATATATAGACCAGCCAGATCTAGACATTGCCAAATCTGTGATAAATGTGTAGAAAAATTTGACCATCATTGTCCTTGGGTCAATAACTGCATTGGAGCGAGAAATTTAGGATTTTTTTTTGCTTTTATCAATTCCTTATGGGTGACTTTTGCCTTAACAGTTGCTATTTGCGCACAAACCCTAGATAGTTCTTCACATATAAGTGGGTTTGTAGATATATCTTTAAGTGAAAGCCATTTATTGGCTTACATTTTTGGCGTTTTATCAGCGATTGCTTTAATTCCGCTCACAATTTTAGTAACAATTCATTATCAGAATTTCTTAACTCCCCCATTTAAATTGGAATAAAATATAGATAAAATTTCCATTTTTTTGGAGTTGACCCCCTTTTAAATTGGAACAAAATTCAATTTTATAAAATTTTATAGACAAAAATCATAACTATATAATTTTTTCTATATAAATTTTATATTGATTTTTTTTTATAAAAAAATTTTCTTAACCCCCCTTTAAATTGGAACAAAATTTTTTGTTCCAATTTAAAGGGGGAGTAAGTAATACAACTACAAATGAGCGTTTTTCTAGCTCAAAAAAGCATGCAGAAAACAATGAAGATTTTAAAATTTCTTTTTTCAAACCAGAGCAAAGCAAGATAAAAAACTTCTTAAACATGTGCTGCGATAAACAGCCGCATAAAAGAGTTTCTGTAGAAATCAGACCTTTTGAAGAAGAGTCTGTACTGTATCAAAATGTGGTGAAAGAGTATGACCAGATGTATGCAAGTGAACTGATTCCTTCATAGTATAACAATAGAAATTAAGAAATAAAATAATTTTTACAATAAAATCATAAGTCTATAAATCACTATTTAAATAATTTTCTTTATTCATAAATTTGTATTGATTAATAATATAGATTTAACGATAAAAACTATTTTATAGGGAGCGCTTTTCTATTTCTTGTAATAAATAATATATAACTGATAAATAATATAAAGATTTGAATAGATTTTGGATACAAATTTAATATGCTTTTAAAGCATAGAAGATTTTCTTGATAATTTACTTTTTTCAATTCTTATAGGGGACTCACAATCTTTATCAATTTCTAAATATACATAAAAAAATGGGGGCTGACGGAAATCAAACCTTCTGACCCTATTTCTTCAAAAACAACAACAACAACAGACTACAACCCAGTGTGAATAGAAAGGGCAGTAAGAGGCAGGATAATCTTTATATCTGTTGGGCTTAGTTTTCTTTGGTCAAAGGAACTAATCCGGGGACTTGAGTTTTTACCTTTGGAATCATCATTGGAAAGGACAAGACAGTAGAAGCTCCGAGAGAATGATGAGTCCTTCGAACAGGGCTCAAAAGTGATATTTGTCCAGCAAGAAATTGAAAGTTTCTCCCCATGTTTTGGTCTATAGGTTTCAGAATCATGGAGGCCAAGATCGGTCATACGAATCCCTTGCCTGCAGCTGCGAGGAGGGTTCGAATCCCTCAAGGACGATAAGCATATAGGGGTGTAAATTCCCGTCCTGTCGCGGACAAAGAGCTTATTTATCATCAGCATAAACATCAATTTCTAGCAAAGCTGATGAGGTCAGGGTTTTCCCACGACAAGTCCTTATAAAATGTTTTGATGCTTCTTTTTTAAGGTTTTTTATTTTCATCATATGGGTATGAATATTCACAATTTCTTTGACTTTATAAAGTTTTTCTGGCTTTTTTCTCGAGCTATTTATATAGTCTTCAATAGGACGTATAGTTGATTTTCTAGAAGAATTACTAAATATTGGCATCGATTCACTTTTTTGCAACTTTCGTGATGGGCTTGGATTTTTTGAGTCAGAAATTACACTGGGTGTAATTGGTGTGTTAAAAGAATTAAACAGAGGAGGAACCACAGGCTGAGAACTTTTTCTTAGCGAAAGAGAACCTTTTTCATCAGGAGATTTGCATCGGCTTTCAGCTACAGATAGGTCACGAATAGGACTTATATTAGAAAAGTCTCTTGAGGTCACTGGGTACTTTGAAGATTGTGGCTTACTTGCATTTATCGGCATAGGTGGTAATTGTTTTAATGGAGAAATTGGTGGAGGAGTCTCATTAACCCTTATAGGTATAATTCCTGAGTGCAATTTCTGCAAATAAAGATTTTGATCTATAGTTGTTTGTCTTGAGGCAAGCTTATTTTCAGTTCTTTTTCTTAAAAAATCAACAGCATCTTCACTTTTTAAAATATTTTTTTTGAAACTTTCTTTACTTATAACTAACACATGCCCTTCATCAGATACACAAAAGCAAGAGGTCGATCTATTATCAAGTCCTGATAAAATTTCTTCTTCTCCAAACATGCAGCCTTTACTTAGCGACACAATTTGGGCATTCTTAGAAATTTTTTTATTTTTTAAATTTGAAGTTTTTGGGAAAGCTTTTGAGGATTGTAAAGAAATTTTTAGTTTTTTTGATAAATTAAATTCCCCTTTTTGTATTATAAAGACCTCACTTGTAGGATCTCCTTCTTTGTAAACACACTGCTTCTTTTGGTATTTTCTAGGCTTAAATTGATAAGTTAGCCTTTGCAAATAATGCCTAGAACTGTTTTTAAATATTGGAAATTCTCTAAGCACAGGTTAGGTTATTAAAGTTACTAAAGATCTCCCGTATGGGAGGCTCAGCACTTTTCAACTCCAGGCCAGAGGGTCTTTCCCCCAAATGTGGATGCTACTTCCGGTAACTTCTGTCTCCTCCTTGAAACCAAGCTACTCAAATCACCCGTTGAGAGCCTCAGAAATCCATAAGCCACATACCCCCAAGACTAAAGCCACAAGGCAGGGATCCATGGAGTCTTCTCTTGAGTCTGCACTTGATTAGCAGCTCAGAGTCCGTCCCAGTTCTCCGTGACCATAAGGTCTTGACTATTATCCTAATAGGGCAGGTCGACATTAATATATACTCTCTAAGCATAGCTATTAATAAATTGTACTTTTCTTCCATAAATGAGTCAAGTACTTTCTTATAGTCACTAATCTCTAGTACACCTAGGCTGCAGTTTGTAATACATTTTATACTACAAGCCCTTGGAACTCCAAGCATTAATGCTCTCTCACCAAATGCTTCTCCTGTCCCAAGCTCAGCCATTTCAAAAGTATCTTCGCCTTCATCTTCTCTAATAACGCTTACTTTTCCATCTAAGATAATATAAAACTTTGTTCCCATATCACCTTGTTTTATTACAAGAGACCCTGCCTCATGAAACTCATATTGAAGATAATTGCAACAAGCTATATGAGTTTCTACTGAATTTGCTTCTGTTAATTTTTGGAAAAATTTAAGGTTTTTAGTTCATTGGTATACTTTTTCAATCATTTCAGGAGTCCGCTCTGAGGGTTTTAGCTCTAATACCATTCTAATTAGTATAAATAAATTGTTTCTACCAGCTTGACATATATATAAAATGGCACTGCGAACCAACCCACACTCTTAACATCTGCAGGGATAACCAGAGATCTTGTGGAAGAGAGGATGGAGTTCGGTGATGTGCATCAGGCCAGATTTTACTTGGTTTAGGTGGAGCACAATGTCGGATTAGGCTGACCGCAGCTCATTCCTGGATCAAGGTTTTACCTCTTGGTAGAGATGGACTCGGCGTTGGAAAAGGAAAGCCCAGCAAAGTCTATGTGACCGGTCTGGCGGCTTCCTAGCGCGATACCAGGCGTTGCATTCTGGGCGACGAGTTCTATCTTGGCGACAGCTTAACCAGAAAATTCAAAGAAAACGAATTTTCTAGAATGACAGCCCAAGTCTGATGTACGGCACGGCGACCCAGCCCACTCACTCGCGGTTCGATGCGAGCCTCATGCGAAGAAGTTTACCCTTAAGGCAGCGGCAGGCGGCCCAACAATGAACCAAGGTGGAGAATCACACCGATAGGTGCTACTGGGAGTTTTCAATAATAAGTTAACCTTAACCTAACCCTTCTACCAGCTTGACTTAATGAATCTTCTCCTTCTATGCCTTTTAGAAGGTCAATATAAGAGTTTCTCTTTTTGAATTTTAATAAGTTTTCATTTTCTACATGAGAGACTGAGTTTCGGCGGACGAAAGACTCAATCATTTTTATTAATTATTAAGGAACAAAATTGCTGTAATAGTTTTATGGTTAAAAAATAATAAAGTTTTATTATAAATTATGGAGTTTAAAGGGTCTAATAAGCTAAAATTATAATATGTAAATTATCAATGATAGAAAAATTCAATAATTAAAATGTAATATTTCATAATGATTAGAGTCACACAAAATAATTTAATATTATAATAAAAAAGGTCAGAACCTTTAATTAAGATAGTTTAATAAAATTCTGATAGTCTAGATATCAAAATTAAATAAGAAGTTTAATAATTATTTTAATGATGAAAATAAGCAGTAAAACTGGTATTTTATATGATAATTTTAATTATTGCTAAAATATTTGCATGAATTTTTTATCTAAAATAGATTCAAGAATTAAAGAATTCGCATTATAAAATAAATAAAAATCATATTCATGCACATATAATAAATTATAAATTGTCATATTCAGTTAATTACAAATTTTAAATAATTTTATTAAAGCACAGAAGATTTCCTTGATATTTTACTTCTTTCAATCTTCATAGGAGATTCACACTCTTTATCATCCAGCAAAACCGGCGAGGTCAGCATTTTTCCACGATCAGTCCTTATAAATCCTTTCAATGATTCTTTTTTAAGACTACTTACTTTCATCATATGGGTATGGATATTTACAATTTCTTTAATTTTAAACAGTCTTTCTTGCTTTTTTTTGGGACAATTTATATAGTCTTCAATTGGAGGTATAATTGATTTTCTAGGAGTATGACTAAATATCGGCATTGATTCACTTTTTTCTAGCTTTGGCGGAGAAAGGCTTGGATTCTTTGAGTCAGAAATTATGCTTGGCGTCATTGGCGTATTAGAAGAGGTAAAAAGAGGAGGAATTTCAAGCCGAAAACTTTTTGCCGGTGAAAGAGAGCCTTTTTCATCTGGATATTTGCATGGACTTTCGCTTCCAGATAGGTCGTTAATTGGAGTTAATAGAGAAGAACCTCTTGGAGTCATTGGAAGCTTTAACAGTTGTGGCTTATTTGTATTTATCGTTAATGGAGGCGGTAATTGTTTTATTGGAGGAAGCGGTGGAGGAGTTTCATCAGCTTTAATAGGGATAATCCCTGATTTTAATTTCTGCAAATACACGTTTTGGTCGATTGTAGCCTGCCTTGAAGCAAGCTTATTTTCAGTTCTTTTTTTCAAAAATTCAGCAGCTTCTTCACTTTTTAAAATATTTTTCTGAAAATTTTCTTTGCTGATGGCTAAAACAAATCCTTCGTCAGATGCGCAAAAACATGAGGTCGATCTATTATCGAGCTCTGACAAAATTTCTTCTTCTCCAAACATGCAGCCTTTTCCGAGCAATACAATTGGCGCGTCTCTAGAAATTTGTTTATTTTTTAAATTTGAAGTTTTTGGGAAAGCTTTTGAGGATTGTAAAGAAATTTTTAGTTTTTTTGATAAATTAAATTCCCCTTGCTGTATTAAAAATACTTCATTAGCAGGATCTCCTTCTTTATAAACGCACTGCTTCTTTTGGAATTTTCGAGGTTTAAAATGATAAGTCAGCCTTTGTAAATAATGGCTGGATCTGTTTTTAAACATTGGCAATTCTCTAACTCCCCTCTCCTCCGTGAGCGAACAAACCATTAGAAAAATCCCTATTTTTTGACCAAAAACTCACCCTCCGTGAACTAACAAAAATTTTTTATAGAAAAAATGTTGATATATAAGTGATAATTAGTATAATGAAATCTCGATATAATTCTGTTTAATTTTAAACAAATCGCACTTTAAAACATAAATTTTACAGATTAAATTAATATTTGCTTTTCCAATTTTTGCGAAGTGGGATTTTTTCGATAAAATTTATATATATTTTTTTAAAAAAAAAAATAACCCCCCTCCATGAGCGAACAAGACTCTTTTGTTCACTCATGTAGGGGGAGTAAGCATAGCTATTAATGAGCTATATTTTTCTTCCATAAATGATTCAAGTATTTTTTTATAGTCACTGATCTCTAATACACCTAGGCTGCAGTTTGTGATGCATTTTACACTACAAGCTCTAGGAACTCCAAGCATTAGTGCTCGTTCTCCAAATGCTTCTCCAGGTCCAAGTTCCGTCATTTCAGTGCATTTTTCGCCTTCATTTTCTCTAATTACACTAACTTTTCCATCTAAAATAATATAAAATTTCGTCCCTATATCGCCTTGCCTTATAACGAATGATTCTATATGATGAAACTCATATTGGAGATAATTGCAATTAAAAAAAATCATTTTTAAAAAAGCCCTTATTTTAGCTTTCAAACAATAATTAACGACATTTCCCAGAAAAAATTATTAAAATAATTTTTTATTTTTTTTACTAATTGCAACAAGCTATATGGGTTTCCTCTGAATTTTCTTCTCTTAATTTTTGGAAAAATTTTAGGCTTTTCGTCCAATGATAAACTTTTTCAATCATTTCAGGAGTCCGCTCTGAGGGCTTTAGCCCTAAAATCATTCTTATAAGTTTGAACGAATTTTTGCTACTCAATGAGTCTTCGCCTTCTGTGTCTTTGAGAAGACCAACGTAAGAATTTCTTCTTTTGAATTTTAAAAAGTTTTCATCATCTACATGAAGGGAGACTGAATTCCGGCGCCTCAATGCTTCAATCATTTTATTAATAACTAAGGTGTGAAAATGCAGCAATAAGCAATTTGATAAGAATAAGCAGATAGATCAAAAGAGATAAGAGGGATTTAATATAATATTTGTTATAGCTAACAGGGATATTTTATTTTTAAAAAGTATAATTTTATGGTGAGAATAATAAAGAGTTTTGGATTTAGAGAACTTCTAAGCTATCAATTTTTTACCAATAGGAATAAAGTATGTATAGCATTACAATTAAAGTCACATAATAAATAATGGCTTATGATTCAGTAAAATATATAATAGTCTTTTATTTAAATGAAAATGTCACAACCTGCAAAAATATTTTAGGGTGTAAACAATTATTTCAATTCGACAGTAAACTGCTGTTAAAAATAGTTTTATTATTTTGTAATACTATATATGGTAGACTATATTGAAATTTAAGACTAGCAAATAATAGCGATATAAAAGCATGTTTTATTTAAGTAAAGAGTGTAATGATACTATCTATAACATAAATTTAAAATATTAAATGATTGGGTCTTGATTTTCATATCTTCTTGACTGGCGGCTTGAACTTTTATGAGGCGAGCTTTCTTTTTCAAACTTGCTTAAAAACTCATCAACAGCTTGCCGTGTCGAACTTTTTGAGCTTGGCCTCGAATCCTGCAGTATATTATCAATTGAATTTTGGTATTTCTGTTTCCTCAGCTCATTTAGTGCCACTTTTGTAAATTTGCCTGTAAACGCTACCTCTTTGGCAGGCTTTTCCAACGAATCTTCATATTTTGGGGTAGATTTCGGCTTAAAAAGCCCTTCCATCAGCTTCGTATCAAGCTCTTCAAAAACGTCCTTTGTCTTCTGCTGTTTCGCATACATCCTCGCTTCATCTAGCCTGCTTATTGCAAGGCTTCTCTTTGGGGCTTCAGGCTTTCCAATAACCTGCCTCTGCTTTTGGTCCTGTAAAAAATTATTAATTATATCAGTAGACGTCTCTTCTGCTGGCTCTTTAAAATTAAATGCAATTTCTACCTTTGGGGTTATTTTTGCTTCTGAGAAATTGCTGCCAATAGAGGCAGATTGCATATTAATAGAGTCTTCAGACCCTCTTAAACTGTCAGGAGCCATCTTTAATTCAGCGCTTTCTTCATATTTTGGCTGAGACAGGACGATTTCTCTATTGCTGTCTGATGATGGATTTTCAATTAAATTTTCTTTTTCTTCATCTTCTTGTGTGGGGTAAATTTCATTGATTTCTTCTTCTATGTGCTCGTCGACCTCGTTAGCTTGGAATAGAGCTGGGTTTTCTTCAGGAATTGTTTTCAGCTGGAATTTTGGGGTATCTTGCGAATCAGTTTTGAGGGTGTCGTAGTTTTTTACTTCGACATCAAGGTTTTTCTTACTCCCCACTCCGTGAATGAACAAAACCATTAGAAAAATCGATTGTTTTTGCCCAAAAACCACCCTCCATGAGTGAACAAAAATGTTTTATGGAAAAAAAATTTTGATATATAAATGATAATTAGTATATAGAAATTTAGAGCTAATTCTGTTTAATTTTAAACGAATTGCTTTTAAAACATAAATTTTATATATTAAATCAATATTTGCGTTCCAATTTTTGCGAATTAGGATTTATCAAACTTCGAAAAAAATATTTTTTATAAAATTTTATATATAAATTTGTTTACAAAAAAAATTAAACCCCCCTCCGTGAGTGAACAAAATTTTTTGTTCACTCACGGAGGTACGGGAGTTAGGAGAGCCCCACTTTTTACGCTCAGGGGAAGAGTTTTCAATAGGAACTTGGGTGCTGTCTGCAATTTTGACGTCACCTCATTTCATTAAATGAGGATCTACCCATTTTTGGGAGCTCATTAGAGATTTTTCAAATAATTCTTCTGATTGAGGATTTGCCGATAAATCTTCTGATTAATATTTTAATTAATAATAATATTTATAAGCTTGTTTATTTAAAAATTATTAATTAATTATAGGGAGTAATAAATCAGCATAGCCAGGCTGTTTAAAGCTTGGCTCATTCTGCAAATCCACCAAATTTGAATTTTGAGGCTGTCCAAATAAGCTTTGTTTTGCATCTTTATTTATTTTTGGGGCAGAAAAGTCATAAGGCTGCGAATAATTTGCAGGTGGGGAGCCTAAGTCATAAGGTTTTTGGTTAAAGTTTGTATTTGACTGAGGATAGTTGGGTTGAGAAGCTAAATCATAAGGTTTTTGGTTAAAATTTGCATTTGGCTGAGGGATTTCATAAGGATTAGAAGTCTCTGTCATCAATGGATTAGTATATTGCCTATTGCCAGGAGGGTATTGAGGATTCGGCATATTATACTGAGGAAATTCATTAGGCTCCATCTGCATATTTGACCCATAACTTACTGGTCTTGTCTGCTGTGGTGGAAATCCATACATTGGAGGCTGGATTTTCAGCATAAGCAGCATACTTTCTAGTTGCTTTTCTCTTTCTTTTAGCATCATTTCTCTCATTTCTAACATTTGGTCTCTCGCTTTTTCTCTTTCCATACGAATTTCTTGCATTTCTTTTACGTGTCTTCACACGAGGTCTACTCCATAAAGACTATTTTTTTTGGCCTATTTTTTTTTGGCCTATTTTTTTTTGGCCTAATTTTTTTGCCTATTTTTTCTGTCGAGGATAATTCATGAAGCTGCTGAGAGAACTAAATAATTATTGGGTAACGGATATATTTCTTTACACGATTAATATTGAGTAAATTAAGTGGAAAAATCCTAATTAAATTTAAAATTCTCGAAATTTAAAAAGCAATGAATTAGGATTCATGGAGTAAGAGATCTGTTAAAGGTGTATTTTATGTTGATAAAATCGTTTTAAATACATTAAAAATTATATTAAAATCATTAGTATGGAATTAGGCCTAAATATTAGTAAAAATAGCTAAAAAATGGCCAAAAAAAGTCCAAAATATTTAGGCGAAAAAAAAAAATAGGCTAAGAAAAAATAGGCCAAAAAAATAGGCTAAAAAAAATAGGCCAAAAAAAATAGGCCAAAAAAAAATAGGCCAAAAAAAATTAGGCCAAAAAAAATAGGTTTATGGAGTAGACCTCGTGTGAAGGAACCTTTCTTTTAAATAAGCATTCCGAGGGTCATTTGCAGGATTTTTTTGAAAATTCCCAGGAGATTGTAATTGGGTATCTGGGAAGTTAAATTGTGGGTTTGGAAGGAAAGGAGGAGGAGGAGGAGGGAAATTTGTGGCAGAAGGGAAATTTAACTGTGGATTTGTGGGAGGGAAATTTGCAGCTCCTGTGCTGAACTCTTCTTGCTTTTGCTGAAATTTATAATTTGGCTTGGTAGGCGGAAAAGAACTATCAATCCCAGACGGCTCTGCTATCTTCTGAGGTCGATTAAAATCAGCCTTACTCTCCTCAGAAATAAGCTATTTCTTGCTTATTTGTGGGGGGTTTTTACACAAAATTTTTAATTGTAAATTTAATTTCCTTATCATTGGGAGTTTTCAGCTAAAATGCCATAAATCCAAATTCCGGGGTAATAATAAGCAAATTCAATTTTGTTTAAAATTTCGTGTCAAATCCACCAATACACAAGAAATTTCTGATTACTTGGGGGAGTTAGAATCTTCCTGCTGAAATTTATAATTCTGCTTGACCTCAGGAAACTCTTCTGGATTTTCCTTTTGGACTTTCGCTTTTTCCATCAATTCTTGATATCTTTGAGCCTGCGGATGGTCTTCACTTGGCCTATTTGGGTCGATTTTTTTCATAATTAATGGCTTATTTTCATTAGGGACTTCCATAAAAAAATTTTTTTCATGTCTTTCGTCATCTTCTTTTTGCTTTCTTTTTTCTTCTTCTTTTCGCTTTTTCGCTTCTTCTATTTGGATTTCTAGCTCTTGGCGGTACCTATTGATTTTTTCTCGATCTTGAGGTGGGCCATTTGGTTTTGTAATAGAATTTTCTCTAGTGAGAGGAATTTCTTGCTGACTCCACGAGCAAACACAAATTGTTTTTTGTCTCACAGAGGGTGCTAATTTAAATTTTATAGTAAATTTTTGTTTCAAAATTTGAAAAAAATCCGAATTCGAAATAATTTTATGCAAGTATTAATTATTTGTTTCAAATTGTAAGCTGTTAAAAATCAAACAGAATCAGCTAAAGATTTTATTATACAAATTACCATAAAAAAATTTCTGTTCCCTTATGGAGGGTGGTATTTGCCCAAAAAGCAGGGGATTCTTCCAATGATTTTGCTCACTCATGAAGGGGGAGTGAGGGTTATAATTTTGGGGAGGGCATATTTGTGGAGGATTATAGGGAGGATAGTCCTGCTGGGTTGGCAAGGACTGAAATCTTTCAGGCGGCTTGTCATAAGAAGGCTGGAAGGACTGGAATTGGTCTGGATTCATCATTTTTTCATACTCAGGGTTAAATGCCCTTTGGTCAAATGAAGAAAATTGTTCATCTCTTTGCTGATACATATTTTCTTGCCTTATGGGCTAATGTAAAACACACCCCACCTATCCTTGAAATCAAAAAATAATAAAAATATTGCAGTTCATAAGTAAAAATACTACTTAAACACGATTTTCAGATATTTTATCAACATATCTGATATCTTATCTCTTATCTTAATATATGAGGTGAGATTTATGGGGTGGATGAGATCGATTTTAAGTCTAACCAGCCTTGGCTGATATAAATTATCTTGTCTAGGCTGATATGGACTTTCTTGTCTAGCTTGATACAAATTTTCTTGCCGAGGCTGATAAACGTCTTGTTTTTGCTGATAATAAATCTCACTGCTAGGTCTTTCCAGTGATGCTGAGCGCTTATTTCTATCCCCTTGTAAGGCTTGTTTGGCCATTATTTGTGCTTGCAATTCCTGTGCATATAGTTTTTTCTTTAATGCAGCTTCGTCGTTTCCTTTAGGTGGCAATGCGTCATGGCTGTAATTTTCATACTTTTTCTCAGTGTTTTTATTCTGTTTGGCTTGAATTTGTGCCTGGAGCTCTTGAGCGTATTGTTTTTTCCTTTCTCTTTCTATGTCTTGTGGGGTTTGCTGAGGCATAAATTCTTGCTCTTGCGAATTTCTAGTAGAGGAGTCCTGGGTAGTTGATCGTCGATAACCTTTTTGGGCTTCTTTGGCCTGGATTTGGGCTTGGAGCTCTTGGGCATATCTTTTCTTTCGTTCCCGCTCTATATTGTTTTAAATAATATTTTTTTATTTTTTATAGAAAAATAGTGTATTTAATAGAAAAAAGCTTTTAATTGTGAGAATTAATAAAATAATTATTAAATTTAGGATGCATCCTGTTGAGAATTTCCTTGCAAATTCATATCATAATTATTTTCATCTGAGAAATTCCTTTTCTGGCTATTTTTCGCTTGTGCTTGTGCCTGTATCTGGGCCTGCAGCTCCTGGGCATATTTTCTCTTTTTTTCCCTTTCTGCATCCACTGGGTTTTGAAACTGCCCCACATCTTCCCTTATTTCTTGGCTCACCACAGCTTTATTTTTTTGGTCAATTTGTGCTTGTAGTTCTAATGCATATTGTCTCTTTTTCCTTGCTTCTTGTTCTTTCGCGTCATTATAATTATCTACCGTCGCGCCTGTTTCAACTCTTTGCTGAGACAAAGCTCTTCCTTTATTCTGGGTATTTGAGACTTGTTCATCTAAATATGCCTTATATTGCTGCTGTTTTTGATATTTTAGTGAGGCAGACTCGTCAGAGTTTGTATTGCTTGGGACAGACGCAGCCTTTGGTTTTATTTCAGGAGAAGGCTGGCTATAAATCTGGGGCTTTTCTTCTTGGTAGCCTCGATTTTCAGTATTTTGCACCTCATAAAGCATTTTCAAATCGGCTTGCCGGTTCTGAAAATCCCACATTTCAGCTGGCTTTTCAAGGGATTCTTGGATTTGTGGCTGCTCATAGACACTGGCAGCTTGGCCAGTATTTCTACGCTTGCGCTCTTCAGATCTTAATCGAAGCCTTCTATCTCTTTCTGTTTCTGTTGTAGGGTTTGCCAAATTATTTGCATTTATATTAGGATTCGCAAAGAGCTGCTCTTTTTTGCCTGATGGAAAAGCATTAAAGTCATTTGTGGGGCCTTTTTGGAAGTTCATTTGGGGATTGATCCCGGGATTTTCTATATTTGATTTGTAATTTTCGAATTGCTTGAAGAAATCTTCTTGGTTTTGGGGCTCTTGAGATTGCCTTGAGATACTTCGTTGGCGGTATGGGTCGTCTTGATAGCCTCGAAGTTGTTTATCTGTATCAAATTGCATATTTAAATTATGCTCAATTATTAAAAACTTCTTATTTACTTCTGCTGAACATATAAAATAATTTTTTTTTTAAAAAAAAATATATATTATTAAAAGAGCCTTGCAGCTTAATTTATACTTACTGCCCCTTCATGGCTGAATAAAAGCATTTTGTTCGCTTATGGAGGGGGTTAATTTATTTTTAAAAAAAATTATATATTAAAATTTTTTCTTTATTTTAAAAAATCTCAATTGGAAAAAGCAAATATTTATTTAATTTATAAAATTTATGATTCTAAAATGCAAGCTTTTTAAAATTAAACAGAATTAGCTAGAAATTTCCTTATAAAAATTATCATTTATGTATCAAAATTTTATATTAAAAAATTTTTTGTTCACTCATGTAGGGTGGGCTTTTGTCCAAAATTAGAGATTTTCCAATGGTTTGGTTTGCTCACCGAGTTGTAGGAGTTAGTGGTAAGGAAGTTAGACTATTTTTTTCCTTCATTTCAGTCTCTATACATTAAATTAAAAAATTTCTGAATAGTTCATAAGCAATCGCTGTTGGACTATATTTCAATTAAACTCAAAAATGTCGCTAAGAATGAGCTTGATAGCCATAAATTCAAAATTACTGCAAAGAAATTAATAAAAATTGTTAATAATTTATGGAAACCCAATTGAATATCCAAGGAAGAACCATTTCGCTTGTTAAACAAATTTCACCAGAAGAGTATAAAGCACAAGATAAGAATTCAGGCTTTTTTTATTTATTAAAACATATCAAAAACCCCACTCCTCAACGAATCAAACAAATTAAGAAAGAAATCCGCTTATTAACTCTCCCTATTAAATGAGCATTTTTGCTATTCTTTAATACATTTTTTTATAATTCTTGCCTTTTTTTATTTTTTCGCATGTCTTCTAATTGGAATATTTTTATATTTTTTTAAAAAATTATTTGGATGGGAAAGTAAGAGAGCTAAATCCTCACCCAAATATTATCACTTTGCATAGTGCAAGCAGCTCAGAAGGCTCTTATTTTCTTATGTATGAGTACTGTGCGAATGGGACTTTACAGACAAACCGAGTTCAGGATCCTTTAAAAGCACTGTATCAGATTGCTTTGGGTATTAAACATATGCATCAGCATGACCCTCCGATTGTTCACAGAAACCTGTCTCCTACTAGTATTCAATGCCAAGGCGACGTTTATAAAATATCCGGGCTTGAATATGCAACTGAGCAGTCACCGAAATTGATTCCACTTGATATGCCATTTTCCAACACTGATCTACTTCAAATTAGTACTGACAAATGGTTATTCCTTATTTATATATAGCTACAATAATAAATATCATAAGGCGTAATGAGATATTTAATTAAATTTGGAGTAGCTCCAGAATGCAATGGGGAGAATAATCATTCAGCTGATACCAAAACAGACATATGAGGATTAGGAATGATTTTTTATTTTATTTTATTCGAAAATACCCCATTTGACAACAACCAAGAAAAAAACACATTCCAGCTGAAATTGCCCAAAGAAGTGCCTCAGAAAGTAAAAGATTTGTTAAAAATGATGCTCCATCCTAATCCTATTGTGAGAGCAGATATATTATCTGTCCTTGAAAAGCTCGACGAGCAGCAAAATCTTATGGAAAACCAGTCCTGCTTTGTTTCTTGCTTTCCAAGAATTTCTCCTTTTTCTAGGCTAAAGTCAGGAAAATCCACCTATGGGCTCGTCCAAAAAGCATGCCCTAATAACTCTTTGCCACTGAAAGAAATATTCATTAAAAAACTTGTTGCTAAAGTGTGGGCAAAACCACAGAAAATCTCGAAATTTTATACTGAAATGCTAAGACTACAGAATCTGCATAACCCCCAAGTGAGGCTTAAAGCCTGTTTATTATTATTTTTGTACCTTATAGAAGGGCCATTATATGTATTCCAGGCAACTCCGGGTGTAGTTGAAGTGTTACATTATATTGAGTCCTTTTGCTCAGTGCGGCCAGGACATCCGCTTTTGTCTGAATTTTTCAGAAGAGTTACTAATGCTTTTTCAGCAGCTATAAAACAGAAATACTATTCCTATATAGAAAAGTTCGTATTAGCCCTATAATAATTAATTGATATAAAATAAATGATCAATGCAACACCCAAAGAATACTTAACTCGAGCCAATATTACAAATTTCAACGGAAGATTTGTGATCAATAAAGAAAATTTCCAATTTAACGACGCACTACTTGTAGAAGACCTTCTAAACTATTGGTCATCTCTTTTAAAAATCCACGAAATGATAACAGTAAAATCTCATCTCGAAGCTATCTGCAAGTCTATTAGACTTACATTAATAGATGAGCAAAAAAGATTATTAGAAATTATCAGCTGCTGTGCCGAAAAATTAAGGGAGCTTGATACAGTCTTGCCAGACTATTTACTCCTCCCTTTAATTTGGGACCAAACAAATGAGATTCAAAGAAAGCTTAAATTTTCTCTACATAATTAGAATTTTTAAAAATATAAATTGAGTAAAACACTTTGGATTTTATTTATTTTTTATGAAGGATTAATTATAAAAATTAACCGATTTAGTGTAAAAACTGTTTAAATGTATTCTATTTCTACTTTTTTTTTATTACATTAGGTAAAATTTTTCTAATTTTTTTCCAATTTGAGGTTAAAGTACCCAAAAAAGTAATTTTTACCGATGTTTTTTCCATTTAAGGGTGAGTTAAAAACCTACCACCAAGCAAAAACTTTATTTGAGGTCGACAACATATCCCTTTCCACACTAATTCTATAGAGATTCCCTATACAATAATAACTTTTTATATTAATTTATTCTTGCATAGAAATTCCTATCAATAAAATCGAAATCCCAATCCCAGAAATTTTAATTGAGGATTCTATACAAGACCCAAAAATCCATCAGATAAAGACTGTTTTAAGCCAGCCTGACTTGCAGATGTCAGAAAATGACTCAGATTCAAGCTCATCAAGTTCTTCAGAAGAAGATGAAATTGAAGACTGCCCAGGGCTAGGTTTTACAGCAGTAAATCTTCAAGAAATCCATACCCATTATTCAACTGCAAAGGATAACCATATGACGACCTCTAATGAGTGTGATTTAATTGATTTGTCCGACGCAAATGTAGAAAAGTTTACCCAAAGACTAAGCGAGCAGTTCAGTTCATGGCAAATTGATATAAAAGATGTAAGGCAGATGAGGCAAATTGGCAATGGCAGCAGCAGTGAGGTGTGGCTTGGGCTGTATCAAAAAACTTTTGTAGCAATAAAAAAGCTATTCCTTTTTAAATAGTCTATATCTATATTTAATAAGCAATTTATAACAAATAATCATTATAGATTTTCATAAAAAAAATAGAAAAGCAAAGCTTAAAAGAATTCGGCAGAGAAGTAAACCTCCTCATAAAACTCCGCCACCCCAATTTGGTATTATTTATGGGCGCCTATATAGGTGAACCTCTCAGCGTAATCACTGAATATTGCCAAGGCGGCGATTTATTCCACCTCCTACACAAGCGAAAAGATATTTTCATATCCTGGGAGCAAAAGCTTAAAATGCTAAAAGATGTCGCAGTCGGCATGAATTTTCTCCACGCAAATAATTTTATTCATAGAGACCTCAAATCTTTAAATTTATTTTTATCAGCCCAAGTGCATAGACCTACTGATTCTATATTGGTAAAAGTGGGAGATTTTGGACTGTCAAAAGAATGCAGAGCAGAAGGACTAATGACAGGGAAACTAGGGACGTGCCATTGGATGGCGCCAGAAGTATTAAGTCAGTCTGATTATTCGTATAAGGCTGACGTGTATTCTTATGCAATCGTCATGTATGAAGTCATTACTAGAGAAGTTCCTTATAGTGGGCTGACTCATAATGATATAAAGGAAAAGGTGCTAAATCAGCATGCAAGGCCTGATATGGAGCATATCCCGCCAAGCTGCCCAAAAGAGCTAAAAAGACTTATGAGTTTGTGCTGGAGGACAGATCCGAATAAAAGACCCAGTTTTGCAGGAATTGTTGATATGTTGGGTTATGTTGAAGTTCCTAACTCCCCCTCTCCATGATCGAACAAATCATTGGAAGAATTCCTAGTTTTTGACCAAAAACCCACCCTTAAAGTCAGCCAAAATTTTTTATTATAAAAATATTTTATGAAAAAAAAATTGATGTATAAGTGATAATTAGTATAATGAAATCTCTTAGGAATTCCGGTTAATTTTAAATAGATTGCATCTTAAACCATAAATTTTTACATTGCAAATTAATATTTGCTCCCTTAAATTTTATAAATTAGAATTTTTTTATTTTTTTAAAATAAAAATTAACCCCCTCTGTGAGCGAACAAAATTTTTTGTTCACTCACGGAGGGGGGTAGTAAGTCTTAAATAAATAGCAGTGTATTATGGAGTTTTTAAAATTATCCAAAAAGTCATAACAATAAGCATTTTTATTTCTCATGTGAGATTTAAGACTATTTTTTAATAAAATTAACTATTTGGCTTTTATTTGTTAATTATGAATAAGCATACCTATTTTACTATTTTTTATGCTTCAGCATATTAAAATATTCTAAAGCTTTATTTATATAACTTTTCCAGCAAATAACTTTCCAGCATGCAGAACATTGATATAATTAAGAAATAATTTATAATACTTATTAAGATTTTATCTGCCGCAGATCACTATTTTTCTTAATAAATGGCTTGCAGCTGGATTGAAAGCAAGTATGAAGTTCTTGGAAGCATAGTAGGTGTCCCTGCTGACCAAGCTAAACTCCTTACGACTTTCTTAATGTCTGTCCTCCTCGGTATAATTCAACACAAATACGTGCACGGAGCAAGAAAAAGGCATATAGCGCTTTCTCTTGAATAGCCCGATAACGGGATGAAGCCAGCCCGTTATCGGGCTATTCAAGGGAAAGAACTATATCTATTCCATTACATTTGGCCTCCTATTTGGGTTATTCCAATTCGGGTTAGACGGGCTAGTAAATTTCGCTTTTTCTTCCTCAGTTGTATACTTAATGCTTATGCTCATTCCAAGAGAAAAAGTAGCACTGCCAGTTTTTGTCTTCAGTCTTGGATTTTTATCTTATGTTCACATATATAGGATGGTAACAGATTGGATGGGCTGGAAAATGGACGCATCAGGCCTTCAAATGATGCTGACTTGCAAGCTTTCGTCTCTTGCTTTTTGCTACCAAGATGGTTATACAATGAAGAAAAACCCAGAAAAAGTCCCTCCTGAACAAAAAACATTAATTGTGGACGTATTGCCGAGCTTATTAGAATATTACAGCTACTTATGCTTTTATGCAGGCTTTATTATAGGTCCGCCTTTTGAATTTATGGAGTATTTAAGATACGTAAGAGAAGTTGGGGAGTATGAAAAATCGCCAAGTACCGTTAAGCCTGCATTAATTACCTTAGGAAAGTCGTTAGTATTTATGGTGCTTTTACTGCTAGGCGACCACTATTTCCCTTATCAACTTTGCGGAAGCCCAGAATTTTATGAATATTCATTTTTATACAGAGTTTTTTACTTCAACATGGCAATGGTTGTATGCAAAATCCGATACACAACTGGATGGAAATTTACTGAAGCAGGGATGACTGCCTCAGGACTTGGCTACGCTGGGAAAGATAAGGCTGGAAATGACTCTTGGAGCAGAAGTGTTTCAATAGTATATGAAAAAGCTGAGTTTGCATGGACAGCTAAAGAAATGATTGACAATTGGAATATCCCCGTTTCCATCTGGATTAGAAGATATATTTATAGCAGAATTATCTATGAATCTCCAAACCCTTCAGCCAAAAGAAGAAGCTTTGCCCAACACTCCAGCTTCGTAATTTCTGGGTTCTGGCACGGCTTCTACCCTTCATATTATATTATGTTCTTCTGGTTTTCTATTCACTCAGAAATTAGCAAAATGGTTTACTCGTCGAACTGGAGCTTTTTACCTTTTAAGGATGCCCTTAAGTGGATTGCCTGGGGAGTTCAATGGCAAATCGGAAACTGTTTGGGGATCATTTTTGTGCTGCTCGATTTCTTTTTAGTGTATTCTTTCTTGAAAGCTATTTATTTCTGGCCACTTTTAACACTTAGTATCGGATGGCTTTTCTTTAAAGTGACAGGATTGCATAGACAAGCTAGAAAAACTAAAATTCAATAAGATAAATATTTATCCGAATGGAATTTTTTTGATAAATTTAAGGAAAAAGATTATTTTTTGTAAATTGGTGTAAAAAGGGAAAATCAAAAAGTTTTAGTTCAAATTTAAATAAATGATTTTAGATTAGCACAAGAGCTAAGCCACTTTGTTTAAATAACTGTAGTTTGATATATTAATTTATCGAATTTCTATCCCGCCTCTCTACATTTTCCATATAAGCCCATTCTTACGTTACTATAATTGGTTATCAAATTTAATTATCTCTGCATTATATTCATTTCTTCCCCAGCTGCGAATTCTTGAGCCTGAGATAAATCAAGCCTTAATGCCAATTGCTCAATTTCTTTAACTTTTTCATGTATCGCTGAGTTAGGAAGACTGTCAATTATTCTAACGAAACTTAAAATATCTTCTTTTTTAATTGACTTCAAGAATTCCCAAGTCTTGTTAATTTCTTTTCTCGAGTACTTCGGAGGTGGCAAATCATTCAACGTATGCTTAACATCTTCTAAAATGTCATCAAGGGATTGATTTGTATGTGGGCTGGACTGGTAGCCATTTGTAAAAGGCTTTATCGAATGGTTCCCAGGGCTGTCTTCGTTTTTTATTTCTGGGTTCACTACAATCATACTGTCAACGTCTTCTTCAGATCCTGTGTCTTGGGAATATGATGCCTCTTTTTTCATATTTAATTTACTCTCAAAGATATTAATTTTCATTAATTTGTTTACTTTGCAAACGTCAAGCCTCTATTATACGAATTTTGCTCCACTTTCAGCAAATTCTCATACACAATCCTATCAATTGTCCCAAAATTCGCTGATAATTCAGCTTTAAACTGCTCAATATTATTTTCAGTAATTTTCACATTTAAATCTCCTAAAATGTTCATGATCTCGTCATAGCTTAAAACCCCACTTTTTTGGCTGTCTTTTCCTCTGCAATTTTCTAAAAATTCTTCTCTTTTATATTCAATTTGTGCTATAATTGGCTCTGTAAGCTCTCCCTGGAACTCCAAAGTGCCTTCTTTTTCTCCGAAAAGTTTTTCAATGATATTACTAATGATTTCTTTTTTTAAAGCAATTTCTTTTCCTCCTATTAAATAAGAGGCTAATTTTTTTCTAAGCTCGATGTCTTCTATGTGTATTTCTTCTGATAAAAAGAGCTTAATTATATGCTCAAATCTGACCTCTTCAGGAAATATTTTTTTGCAAATTTCTTTGAGGCTTTCTGGGTCAATATTGAAAATTGAGGGAAATTTTTCTAAAAATTCTTGTAATTTGGAGTCTGGGATAATAATTGGCATGCTAGCAAAAGAATGCTGACTGGAGGCCATTAGAGAAGGAGGGGACGATATATCAGAGCTGTACTCTGATTCTTTATCGATTGCAGATTGCAACTGGGAATGCAAAGACTTTATTGATATTTTCTCGCCAACTTTTAATAAATTAAAAACAGCTTGAAGTTCGTTTAAGGCTGATCTAAATCCAGACTTTTGTACAGCCGATTGAAATTCTTCATATGTTAACAAATTTTTTGACTCTGAGTCTAAGCTTGATATAAATTCAGATGCATTTCTCCTATGACTTTTTAAAAAAATCATTAATTTCCGGATAAATGCTGTGACTATCCCATACTTTTTCATGTCTTTTTTCATTATTTTACTCATAGGATCTTCGTTAACTTTTTCAAATCCCACGATTTTAGTTGTTTTTCTTTTAAATAAATCCATATGATTAGAAATTGCCAAGCTGCTAGTTACCTTAAGATCTTTGTAATTTTCAAAGTTTTTGATGTTTTCTCTAACTTTATTAAGTTCTTTTTGCAATTCTTTATTTTTGTCTTTTTCTCTATCCAACTCGTCACTTAATTTCGAAATATGGCTCTTCATATCTGCAAAATTCTGCTCCAAGGTTTGTTTTTCGTTTTTCTCAATCACTAATTGGTCTTCCAATTCTTTTATTTTGGCTTCTTGTCTTTTAGATTTGCTGACTAGTTCCTCGAAATCCTTGTGAGACTTGTCAGGACTTTCGCTTTCTTGTGTATCACGAATTCTGCCTATTTCTTGGTCTGTTAAAGAGTTACGCCGAGCTGCATCTTGGTGGCTTAAAGGCTCAAGTTTTCTTGGTGGCATAATTTTTAAAGGCTCTTTAGAAATAAAAGTAATTGCAGGAGTATAATGAACATCAGTTTTAAAGAATAGAGTCGCAGATTTGTCATTATCTGACAATTTGCTATGGATGCGTACATTATCCTCGAAAATGCCATTCTGAGTCTGTTTCATTTTGGCGTTTTCTTCTGAGGCTTTTTCCTTGTCTATGGTTGCACCTTTTTGATTTGAGGTGTGGAAATATCTTGGGTTTTTTGTAACTTTTTGCTTAAAAGGCTGGATAAGTGATGTCTTCATAAGATTTTCTTGGGAGTTTATTGCTTGTGGCGCGAGGAGTTGGTTAAGAGAAAGCAACTTTCTACGAGAGTCATTTGGGGAAAGTTTAATTGACATTTATTAGAATTAATTTGAAGATAATATAGACATTAATACCTATTCAAATACTAATATAAATTATATATCTAAATAATTAATAGTATTAAAAATCTGATCAAAAATAATAACTCGTATTATTAATTTTCTACTTATTTTAAGAAGGAGCCAACATCTCCAACGTTTCCGTCGCCATCTCTCTTATATCAGGCACGTTTGAATACTCAAAGAAAAGCAGCGGTTCCAGTCCTCCCATATTTGAAAGTTCTTGTAAAAATTCTTCTCTTTCATCATCACTTATCGCAGGGCTCAGCTTGCTCATCTTTAATTTTATTAATTCTTTAAGTGTCTTTAAAACAATCTGATGAGTGTCGACTTCAGTTTTGCTTAAATAGTCCCCTTTTCCATATAATTCACACAATTGGTTTGTAAAAGCTGTATATTCTTGGAATTTTGGACTGCTTGCAAAGCCATTTTTTTCATTTTCTGCTAAAATAGCGAAACAATGGGCAACGTTATTGTCGACTAGAAGCTGCTCATAGCTTGGCAAGTCTCCAGTATGCAAAAGTCCTCTTAAAGAGTTCAGAGGCGATCTGCCCGTTTTCAAGAATTTTTCATGAAGATTTTCGTTTTCTAATAAATTTCGAAGGACTTCTGTAAAGTATTGGTTTAGCTTAACTGCATGCTCCATTTCCATTGAAGATCCTTTGTCAAGCGCATTTAGCACAAAATCAAAAAGCTGATCTTTTTCAAGGACTTCTTGTATATCATTTCGATTTTTTATTAATTTGCCTAAAGCACTTCCAAATGCAGCCAGCATGCTAATATCTTCATCCTTAGGTTTATTTGTGGTACTTATTGCTCTAAAAGCAAGAGTTCCTTGAAACATTAATTGTGGCATCGCCGAAAGTTCAATAAATTCTTGCTTCATAGCTTCATTTTCAAATAAACTTGACAAACAAAGCATTGCATTTTCTTGCAGAGGCCTATGTGGCTCTACCAGCTTAGGGACTACATTTTTTACAGCTTTGGCTTTAAGGAAAGCGTCTTGGAAATCAAATGGGGGAGGAGAGTTGCTACATTTAAGGTAAAGCTGACGTAAAGACCAGACAGCTAAATTATGAAGCTCAGGAAGTGTAGCGTTTGTCATGGTAAATAAAACGTTGTTAATTCTCAAATTAAGCTTAGCTGGATCTGGGCCAATTGCAGCAATTAATGAGCTGTGGAGAAGCAAAGCTCCGACTCTTGCTTGCAAAAGGTCACTGATTTTGTCATGCTTGATTATTTGGGCCATTTTCAAGCTGTGGGATAAAAGGTTTTCGGCTAAATTGTCGTCTTTTAATAAGCCATAATGGAGCTGCAAGTATATACACATTTCACATAATAAAGATTCACACACAGGATCGATTGCTCGCCTTGTTTGTAAGCTTTTGCAAGCTTTTTTAAACCATTTCAGCCCAGCTGCCCCTACATTATATTTTTTCAGTTTCGAATGACAGTGTCCAAGCCTTATCAGCTGCGAAGCCACATTAAATGCATTTTTCTTCAAGCTCATCCACGACAATATTTGATAATTAACTGAAAATTTGTAGCTTTTGCTTGATAAATCTCCACATCTTTTTTCACATTCATGATTAATCCCTCTAATTAAAACACTCATCAAGTCTTTTACAAGGGTAACTTTAGCTTTTTTCTCCATGAAAAGTTTATCACAAAATTCTTTTTCGACTAGTAATTTTGTAATTAAGTCTAAAAATGCTTCAGTAAGAGAGTGGCAATCATTATCCTTCGTCAATTTTAATAAATCTTGAAAATGCCCGTCATTGAAAAAAATTTCACTTTCACTTTTTACAGCTTTTGACCTCGAATAAACAATTAAATTAGCAATACTCATAACTAAGGAATGGGCGTCTTGGGCTTCAGTATTTTTAATCATACTGCATAGCTTTGATAGCATTCCTGCTTCATAAGCTAAAACATTAAAATCAGGCGACCTTGTTAAAAATACTAATAATCGAGTCGCATTGAACCTTTCTTCATAACTTGTAGAGGTCAAATATGCTTGGATTGTACTAAGGGTCTGTTTTACACGCTTTAATAATAAATTTTGAATTTGTGGCAAATTGGCAGTTGAGGCAAGCTGCTTACTTAAAGCGAGCCTGGTGCCTGCGTCTCGCTTGTCAAAGGTATCAAGCGTTAAAATTACTTGCTGCATCACTTCTTCGGTGACTGCTAAAATAATGTTTTTTTCTCTTACAAAAATCAATAAACAGCATTCTACTAGCTTTTCATGGACTGATTTAGCTAATCCAGGCTCTTCAGTCCACATAAACTTCTTCAGCAGCCTCTTAAACAGCTCCCTGATGCTCGTTTCTTCTTGTTCCAGCGTCATTTCATTATAAAGTTCATAAAGCACAAACCTCAACAATTCCGCCGTTTTCAGTGCTTTTGTGATATTTTGTGAATCTAGCATCAGCCTTAAGCACCAGGGCACAAACTTATTATTCAGCAAAATTTGGTACAGTCTAAAAGACTTGTCCCTAGCAACTCTTTCAATAAATGGCACAACCCAGTCTTCTTTTATGGTCAATGAAGAGCTACACATTAGGGCTCTGATGGTTTGCAAGCAGCCGACTTCATTCATGTTTTCTTCTGAGGACAGCTGGTTTTGGGCGGCAATTGTGTCTAGGATAAGAGGGACTCTTTCACTTACCTGAGTTTGGTAGGAAAGGGTGGCTGATCTGCTGAGGTTGAGGAGGAGGTTTATGCCGGAATATTCAGCAACTGTGTCACTTTTATAGTTGCTGTCGACGAACATCTGTCGGAATTTTTTGAGATTTTTGGTAACTGTATTAAAATAATCAGGAATATTAGCCTGCTTAAGCAGAATTGGCGCTGCATAAGCTCCATGTAGCGCTAACGCTGCAAGACCATTATAAGCTAACCCTCTAATCACCTTAAACTGCACCCCAGTCAAATACATCAGAGCATCTAACAGCGGATCTTCTTTATTCTGATACGCCTTTTTCTCAATCGCCAAATAAGTCAGCACATTGACGCATTCCTGCTGAATAACCTCACTTTCGCATACAGACCCTGCTATAAACACTTCCAAAATGTCTACAGCATGTGACTCTACTAGCTGGTTTAGCTTTGAATTAATAATAATATGTTTCAAATACCAAATCCCATTCTGCTGAAAAGAATCGTCGTCACATATAGTAAATTGTATTAAAATTTTGATAAAAAGCTTCATTTTTTCTGTGTCCTGCTGCAGCAGCTCCATTAGTCCACACAATGCATTTTCTTCGACTGGCTTGTCGACATCTTCATCATTAGCTTTGTGGACGGCAGAAATGATATTAGGGTCATCATAAATTGATAAGAAAATAAAGGTCGCAAAAATTAAATGTTGGATTTTGCCTGTTTTGTTTAAAATCCCATTAAGATTATCAAGAAAATGGTCATAATCGTACATTTTTAAGATTTTTTCAGCGATATTTTCGCCTTCTTCTTGGGCTGGGAATTCATAAGGCTGCTCCAGATATAAGCTAATAAATAATACAAACATGTCTCTTATAATACCTATCTTAGTAAGCTCAAGTGGAGGGACTAAATGATGGACACACAATGCGCAGAAAATCCAAGCAGAATTGGCTCTGACCACTAGGTCAGGATCTTTTGACCATTTAGAAACATAGTCTAAAATTCCAAGCCTTTTTAGGTAAAAAATCACATGCTCGCCATTGAATTTTGACTCAGTGGTAGTTTGTAGCACAAACATAGCAATAGTGGTTGTTAAGCATTTTTTTACCTCAGAGTGATCAATTGTCATATAAGGGCTTTCTAAAAATTTTGTAATTAGACCTCTTTCCAGCATTTCATTATATATCACCTTTTTTATATTTCCTGTATTATTTAAAAACGAAGCTGAATAATTCGGAAGCATAAGTCTTGATAATCCTCTAGCAGCTTGGATAATAATAGCCTCAGGGTCAACTAAATCAAAGCTCTGAAATTCTTTCATTCTGTCTTTGCTTCTCTTAGCTTCCAGTTCATTAAAAGTTTTTCTAAGCTGCTGTAGCCTTTGTGTCTTAAACAAACTATCATTTTGCTCAAAATTTTTCAGCAAGCTTTTTTGTGACATCATTAAAGCTGACCTTGTATTTAGTCTTCTAACAGAACTCATACTTGCAATGCTATTTTTTCTACTCACTTTTCTTGACAAAGTATTTTTTTCTGAAGTCAAGCTGATGCTTTCATTTAATTCTTCTTTTTTTTCTTCTTCTTCATTATAGGAATACAGTTTTATTAAGTCAGGACATTTACGCTCAATTATTGCGAAGGAGGTTTGGAGGTTTTTGACTGGGGTTTCCATAAGTTCTAAATAGAGGTCGAGGAGATTGAGTTCTTGTCAGTTCATATCTTCATAGAGAGCAAGTTCTGCAAAAAGCTGGGCAAAAGGGAGAAGGTTTGAGTTGAAGATGAGGCCGTCTCGGTAGAGTTTTAATATGAATTCTAAGGCTGGAGATATTTGGCTTCTGTATCGCTGGATTCTGGCGAGGGACATTATGGCTTCTATTACTTTACATTGGATTAGTCCGAGATATTCGCCTCCAGCTTGTTCGGCTAGTTTGTTTAGTAATACCCCTGACAAGCTTTCTGGCAGCTGAGTTTTTACACCTAACAGTTCTTTATAAGCTAGCCTCTCAATATATTTAGCAACGAAAATCCTTGAATCTAGAAATGCTGAATCTAGCATAAAAACAGCTTCTTTTTCAAAATCAGTCCATTCTTTCACATGAATTATTCTATACAGATCATTAGGAAAATACATCTTTTTCATGGTCCTATACGCAATTACCAGCTGATTTATCCTTGTTTGGAACTTAGAAATCGCTTCAGTTTTCACAATCCCATCTTTTTGCTGCTGACCAAACGTGCTTTGAAATAGCTGAGAAGTGACCTTAGTAAGCTGCTTATGCCTCATTTCTTCGACCTGTATAATAGACATAGCGTCTAAGGAGTCAAAATATTTGGTTCGGTTATAAGGGATTATCAGCTCATTAAAAATCATGCCAGACTGCTCTATTTGTTGATGCTCCTTGATTTCTTTGATTTTCTGCGTCAAACGCTCAGCTTGAGGCTTTTCTTTGTCAGGAATGTGAGAAATTATGTCACGGACTAGTGCTGAAGTGGCGGAATGCGAGGAGGAGCTTGGACCTTTGTGCTTGTAGATGGACTTTCCAGAGCGGATTGAGGATGCGCCACTTCCTGGGCCGGCTTTCTTTTTGACTTGGATTAAGTCTGCGGAATTTTGGATGCTTTCCATATTAGATTATGAAACCTTTTAATTTAAAAAATTTTTCCCATCATTATTGAAGCCTTATTGAGTTTTGATTTTGGGATTTCCAATTACTTATTGAGATAATGCTAATTTTTTAACTTCATCGCTTACAAGCAAAGGTGTTAGCTCTTTGATACCGTACGATTCACAAATAGGACAATAAATTGGAGATTCCAAGCCATTTTGAAGGACACATTTCCGAACGTAAACTTGAGTGCATTGTGTGCAGGACATATGATTGTATTGGCATAACAAATTATTCGCATTTTCTCTTGAACTAAACAAACTCTGTTGGTCTGGTAAATTTAGATATTGATGATATGAGCATTTATAAGAAAATGAGATTTGGAGTTGAGTCCTGCTTTCTATAAGCTGTTGGATAATAGCACCAAGCTGAGAATTGTCTTTTGCATTAAGAGATAGCTGTAAGGCATTGGCAAGCTGTTGATGGTATTCTTCGCCTTCCATAAATTAAGAAAAATATAGAATCCATATAAGGGATGCAATAATATAAAAAGTTTAATAGTCAACTGCGTGCATGCTAATATAAGTCAAAGATCTTATTTTTTATTTTTAACCTTTAGGTGAAGATATAAGGCTGTTATAACTTCTTCACATAAAGTTCAAGCTCTAGGAAACTTTTTATTGATGAAGGAAGAAAATAGATTATAATAATAAGCATCATCAAATGAGCTAAAAGCATTTAGAATTTTAATAAATTTTCTAATAAAAGGTTAAAAAGATGCCGCTGTTTGCAATTTTTACGAATAAATTATATTAGGGCATAAGAAAATATTTTAAAAAAGGCTTTTATTAAAGTCTTATTTGCTTAATAAAGGCTTCGTAAATTCTGAATTTTGCTCAAGGTGCTTTCTTGCAAGAAAGAAATAAATTGAGCTTGCAAGACTAATCAAGAATGCCACAATCATAAGAATAAGCCCAGCCTCTGCATCAGCACTTTCACTAGATGCTGAAACATAGCCAGCAGGGAGATCAGTAGTAAATACTTCACTGACAACTATATATAGAATCAGCGCAAGAAGACTCAATTCTGGGTATATGGAATACTCCAGATCGTATTTCACGCGGAATGCAAAGTCTTTTTGGCCAAGCCTAAGTGCAAGCCTCACAATTCCATACACGCAAAATGCAATGGAAAATAGTGATATTACCAAATAGATGAGCCCAGCTGTTTGCCAGCTGGAAACTTGATCGCATAAGGCTTCATCGTCTGGGATCTCATTCTTTCCACTGCAATAAGCATCTTTAAAGTCACCAAATGATGTTGTATTTTTGCCATCAGCTTCATCTACGATCTCTGTGACACTAACGCCTACCACATCATTGTAGCTAAACATCGTCACGAAATAGGTAATCAAGACGATGATAACATAGAGTACGTCCAAACCAATTTTAGCCAGGATTTTAACCTTCTTGCCTACCATTATTTTATTTACCTAATATTATCTAATAAATATATGAGCTTTAATATATTTTGGAATTTTAAAGCGAAAAAGTGTTTTTTATGAATTTTTTACCACAAGTTTTGGTGACATAATCAAAAGTTATATTTGATTTTTCAAACGATTAGATAAAGTTTTTTTAGAGAAGTAATATACAGATAGCCTTGCTTTAATTAATTTGAAACTTATAGCAATACATAAGATTTTAATTTGGTTTTAGTCTAATTTCTTTGTATGGTCTTAAAAGCGATATATTATTTAAACTTTATTATCTAAAGCTACCATTTTAGTTTTTATTGCTTTAGTATAAAAAATCTATTTATGTTTAAGTCATTGTGACAAACTCTTCACTTGCAGTCGGATGAATTGCTACTGTATTATCCAAATCTTTCTTTCTTGCTCCCATCTTAACAGCTACTGAAAATCCTTGAATCATTTCGTCAACACCTCTTCCAAGCCCGTGCATTCCTACAATCCTTTCTTCATTCCCAACACAAACCACTTTCATTACAGTCGGCTCTTTATGTGGAGATAACGAGAAAAACATATTTGTGAATTTTTTATAATAAACTTTTACATCATCTCCATACTTCGCTCGAGCTTGCAGCTCAGTCAGCCCTACAGTTCCTAATGGAGGATGCGAAAACATAACAGTTGGCACATTGCTATAGTCCAATTTAGAGTCGGTTTTGCCTGCAAAAAGCCTATCAGAAAGCCTTCTCCCTGCAGCAATTGCAACTGGAGTCAATTGGATTTTTCCAGTGACATCTCCAAGTGCATAAATCCCTTTTGTTGAAGTTTCTTCCCATTCATTTGTAATGATAAACCCGTCATCTTTGGGGTTATCAGGACAAAAAGGTGGATATTTTCCATGCTGCTTATTTACCGTCAAAAATGGTGAAGGGTTTTTCCTACTTTTTCCAGAAAAAAACCAATGGTTTAATATTAAGATTGCAGCAAATCTTTATTTATAATATCTTTAAGGCTAAATCTCCAGCTATAATATTTAGATCCCGATAAATATTTATCAAAAAAGAGGGGTATATTCCTGTAAAATCGAAGAAAATAATCATTAAAATACCTGAAAAATAAGCGTCATTTTTGATGGTAAAAAGGCAGCAGAAAAGCTATCAGAATTTTTTTCAGCACAACCATCTTTTTGTTTTACTCCAGTGAGCTCTAAATTCATTCCCCCTATTTTAGCCTTTCTCCCAATAGCACAAAAAATTTTATCATATTGGTCTTTTTCGCCATTATTAAAAGTCGCTTCCAGCTTATCACCTATTTTTTTAGCCTCTGAAATTAAAGTCTGCATTTTGAATTTTACACCTTCTTGCTCCATATATTCTTTCAAAATTTTAGTCAAATCCGCGTCAAAAGCTCTTAAAAATTGGTTTACACGTATAGCTAATGTAGTGTCTACTCCAAAAGAATTTAGCATACAGGCAAGCTCGCATGCAATATACCCATTTCCTAGTATAAGCACCTTTTTAGGCTTTTCTTGTAAATAGAAAAAATCATCACTGCTGCTGAGAAGCTCTTTTCCAGGAATATCAGGATATAGAAGTTTCCTATGTTTGGCGCTGTAAGGCCGATAAATTCTGATCGGAATTTATCGGTAGGTTGCACCAAATCAATGCCTTGGTCGGACCAAAAAGCGATTTGGTCCGACGAACTTGGAAAGCTCCTGGGAAAATGTCTGCGCTTTTAGCGCTATATAGAGGAAACCTCTATATGTCGCTTCAGAGCCTGAGGCAATTAAGATATTTGATGAGGTATATTCTGAAGAATCATTGACGACTATAGAGGATTTTCCTGAGAACTTGGCGAATCCTTTGAGCACCTCGACTCCTTCTTTTTTTAGGTTTGTGATGTAGGTGTTGTTTATTCTCTCGATATATGCATCACGGTTGGCTTTTAAGGTTGCCCAGTCTGTGGAGAGGCCTGAGGAAAAACCATAAGAGTCATAGACTTTGCGATCTTCAATAAGATGTGCAGCATTCCACATGACTTTTTTAGGGACACAGCCGAGGTTGACACAAGTGCCGCCAAGTCTGCTGTTTTCGATAAGAGCGACTTTCATGCCGTATTTGGCAGCTCTTCTGGCTGAAGCCAAGCCTCCGCTACCACCACCAATAACTAAGTAGTTAAAAGCAGAATGCATATTTTATATATTATTCTGTGAAATGTTAATAAAAGAAATTTAAATTAATCTATCTTGAATATGATTCTACTATTATGCCCATAAGATATTTTGTATTTCAGCTTCTGCTTATATATTTACTCATTATTTTTAGTTACATCCACAGATCTCGCTTTTCTATGTGCCACCCTTCTTTTGACTTGATGCGCCACCTTTTCATCACTTTCTTCCGCCAGTGAATAAAGCTTAAACGTTTTCCTATTGACTTCTCTAATATCCGGAACAGTCTGCAATATTTTTAAATAGTCAATTAAATTAAAAAGCTCAGTGTCATTTTTGTCATCAAATCACGAAATAATACACCCATTAATAATAAATAAAAACGCTGTTTTGTCCTATTTCATATAGTAATTAAATAGGAATTACTCAGTCGCAATTTTTCTATTTATTGCAGATAGCATAGGAATTCCATTGTCAAGCTGATACGCAAAGCTATAAACCGCATTATCTACTATTATCAGATCATTTAGATCGCGATTTAAGAAAATCCTTAAATCTTTTATGTAGACTCCTTGTGTGACTATACAGCTCTCTCTATAAAGTCGGTGGTGAATTAGTTCATTATTAGGATCCAAATAATCGAGAACTCTGTCAGCGTAACACTGGTGGCTCGCAGTAAAAACAATGACTTCAAAATTTTGACTTGCATATTCTAAGCACTCTTTTGTGTATGGTCTGACGCTAATTCCAGCCTAATTAAAGATTTACATTGATGACTTCCCCAGTGACAAAATGAATAGGCAAAATTACATCAGGTTTATATTTTTTATTAACCTCATTACAATGTACCAAAGTTTCATCTAAATCAAAAACAAGAGTTTTCTTACCCTCAGTGCCTTCTTTTCTAGGCAAATTAATTTTCTTTTCATTCAGCTGAAGAAAACTTGCTGGCTGCAGCCTCTTAATAAATTTCAAAGCTTGGCAAGTCTGAAATAAATGTTCTCTATATATAGCATCTGCCTTCATTTTCATCAGTTTTGAGCTGCCTTTTTCTTTAGATTCTGATGGTTTCACTTGTGTGATTAATTCAGCTAGGTTTGGAGGACTGTTCGGATTTTCTTTGAAGCTTTCTTGAGGGACTTCTCTTGCACTGGATGATAAATTGATAGTGGAATGGCTCTTTTTTGAAGCATTTTTGGCATGTTTTTTGAGGTTGTAAGCTTTGAGGGACTCTTCTAAAGTGAATTTTGGGGATTTTATATGAGAGTTTTGAGGAGTCAGTAAGCTAGACTGATGAGGGGAAAATAGAGAAGAAGACCTAGGGGTTTTGGTGGAATTTTTTGCTGTTAGAATTGTCCGAGGGCTGAATTTGTGGAGTTTTGCATGAGATATGCTAGTGGAATTATTTGGGGTAGAAGAATTCGATTGGTTTGCTGGAGATTGGGCTGCACGGGGAGATCGCCTTGAGTGAATTCGTGCTGAAGCTTCAAGATTTGCATTTTCATTATCAGCTGCCAAGCTTAGATTTCGTCTTGTAGGGAAAATTTGTTTTAAAATCTTTTTTGGGGTGAGGGTTACATTGGAAAGGCTTCTCGGAGTTTTTGTGGTTTTTTTATAAATTAGCTGGGAACTTGATAAGCTTGAGGAAAGTTTTGAGTTCATTTAATATAAGATAAAAACTGAATTTATTTTAAGCCAATATAGATAGTTTTTAAAATACTTATTTAATTATAAAGAAATAATTTTAGATAATAACCTGATAAAACACAGTCAAAATGTTTATTAGTATAGCTATTCTAATACGTGTAACTATTATATAAATATATCAAATTTCTTTGGAAATTCACTAAACAGTTATAGGTTTTAGTGTGAAAATGATTTATTTACTAATAAAAACTTCGTTCTCAATGAAGCATAGAAATGATAATTTCAGCTGATTTATGAGCCTAATGATATAATGGGAAACGAATAATTAATATGAAAAATAATCTTGAACTTCAATTAGCAAAATTTCAGAAATTGCCTTTAGAAAGCATAACAGAAAGAGAAGTAAATCATTCCCCTAAGGACCGAAAATGAACTTATAAAGAAGTTTTAGAAAAAGTAAACTGAATAGGACAAACGCGCCAAAGCTCAATTGGCAATAAGTCATCTCTGCCAAAACCAATTTTAGAGAAGAAAAATCAAGAGCCCAAATCCTATAGCAATTTTGAGCCAGTGCCTATAAAAACTAATCAGACCTCAAAAAATATCCCACCGACTTATGAAATGCAGCAAAAATCGTACATCCAGCCACCTCCCAGATTTATTGAGCCAAAAAAGAGTATCGAATTAAAATACAAAGACCCAGCTGACTCTTTCAGCAATTTTCAGCCCACAAATATTTCACAACCTTACACCCAACCAAAGCCCATAAAACAATCCTCAAATTACTCCAATAATTTTCCAGACTATTCTGACACAAAACCCAATAAAGGATATACCAAAGAGCCAACTTCAAGCTTCTCAAACCCTTCTTACAATCAAGATATCCCAGAAATCAGAGAACGAAGCTTCACATCTCCTATAAAATCCTCATTAACAACTGCCACAAGTGAATGGAAACGTGACTTTCCATGAAGTCGAAGCATTAAAAGTTTAAATCAAGTCACATTTAAAAACCCATCATTCAGGCCAAACCAAGAAGAAGTCATTAATGCAGTTTTAAGCAAAAGAGATGTCTTTGTGTGTATGCCAACTGGAGGAGGGAAAAGCTTGACTTTTCAACTACCAGCTGTCGTCAGCAGAGGGCTCACATTGGTGGTCATGCCTTTAATTTCTTTGATTTTTGACCAAATGAATCAACTAAAGTCAAAAGGGATTGAATGCAGAATGTTTAGCTCAAGCCAAGGTTTTGAAGAACAAAACCAAATTTATCAAGATCTTCTTAATGATACGAGAATTATTAAAATGGCGTGATCTGACGTGGACTCCTGGTGACCTGTGAGTTGATCCAGGCCCAGGAAAGGCGAGCCACATGGCGATAGTTCTCCGGGGTGGGTTTTTTGACTTGGGGCTGACCCTTGTCCTTTTTTCCTTACCTACGAGTTAACCCTACTGGCACAAAGTCCCGATACCACTCCATGAGAGCATTATCGAACCTGTGATACGGTTCTGACAGGTCATGGAGAAGGCAGAAGGCGATTCCCCTATACTCTGAGCCCTGTCAGAGGTTAAAGGAGTTTTCTGCTGAGATTCGGAGACCCTGACCGGATGGGGTGGCTTCCCCGAAGACCTTCGACGTCACCATTTTTTGGTGACGTCAGAAAGGGAAAAAGGTGGTGTGAGGATAGCGCTTAGCGTCGCTGCGAAGCTATCCGTGGGACGGCGAGGGGCTGAAATAATCCCTTAAGACCCGCTATAACACATATTCTAATCTAATCTAATCTTAATGATACTTCAGTCAAAATTGTTTTTGTGACTCCTGAAAAATTGTCAAAAAGCGAAAAAATGAATAATATATTAGGACAGCTGTATAGGGATGGGAAAATTGAGAGGATTGCGATAGATGAAGCCCACTGTGTAAGTCAATGGGGAAGGGATTTTAGAAGTGATTATTTAAAGCTTGGACTATTTAGAGATCATTTCCCAGAAATCCCGATTATAGCACTAACAGCTACAGCTACAGAAAAAGTCCGCGAAGATATAGTTAGAGTGCTTGGAATGAGGAATCCTATCATTTTTCTTACAAGTTTTAACAGGCCAAATCTTTATTATGAAGTCCGTCCTAAGTTCAAAAAAATCAATGAGGAAATTGGAAAAATAATAAAAAACCAATATCCAAACCAAACTGGGATTATTTACTGTATTTCGAAAAAAGACTGCGAAATGGTTTCAAGAAATTTAAAAAAAGAGCATAAAATAAAGGCTGGGTATTATCATGCAAAATTAACGCCAGATAAAAGAAGCAAGGTGCAGACTAAATGAATGAATGGTGAAATTAAAGTTTTGGTGGCAACTGTAGCTTTTGGTATGGGAATTGATAAAAAAGACGTCAGATTTGTCATTCATTACTCACTTCCAAAATCAATGGAAAATTATTATCAAGAATCTGGGAGGGCTGGCCGAGACGGAAATCCTGCTGATTGTATTCTATTTTACAATTTTGGTGACAAAATGAAGCAGGAGTATTTAATTCACAAATCTTTTAAAGCAGGAAATAGGCAAGAGTTCAATTTTCATGAGCTGCAAGTCGTAATAGGATACTGTGAAGATATTTTTACTTGTAGAAGAAAGCTCCAGCTTGGGTTTTTTGGGGAGGATTTTGATGAGAAATTATGCAATAGGACTTGTGATAACTGTAAATCTGGGAGAAAAGGCATTGAAAAAGACATGACACAAATCTGCCAAAAAGTCGCTGATATTTTTGAAGGGCCAAGAGGAGGGGTTAATACTCTGTTGCAGGTAGCCTCATTATTAAAAGGAGCTAATACACGAAAAAATGAAAATTTAAAACACCATGAATTTTTTGGACTTTTATCTGAGATGAGCAAAGAGGACATAGAAAGAATACTAACTGCCCCTCCGTGGAGCATATAAAAAAAATTTTGTTCGCTCATGGAAGGGTATTAATTTTTTTTTAAAAATTAAAGAAAATTCCCAATTTGTAAAGTAAAATTAATTTAATTTGCAAAATTTATGTTTTAAATTGCAAGTTGTTTAAAATTAAACAGAATTAGCTAGAGATTTCATTATAATAATTATCATCACTTATATAACAAAATCTTTTTTTTCATAAAAATTTTTCTGTCAAAAATTTTTGTTCGCTCACCGAGGGGGAATAAGGAGAATGGTATCTGAGGATATTTTAACTCCCCCCCCCTCCGTGAGTGAACAAAAAAAATTTTGTTCACTCACGGAGGGGGGTTAATTTTTTTTTTTTTAAAAAAATTTATATATAAATTTTATAAAACATATTTTTCGAAGTTTAAAAAAATCCTAATTCGCAAAAATTGGAAGCAAATATTAATTTAATTTATAAAATTTATGTTTTAAAACGCAATTTGTTTAAAATTAAACAGAATTAGCTCTATATTTCATTATACTAATTATCATTTATATATCAAATTTTTTTTCCATAAAAAATTTTTCTATTAAAAAAATGTTTGTTCATTCACGGAGGGTGGGTTTTTGGGCAAAAAATAGGGATTTTTCTAATGGTTTTGTTCACTCACGGAGGGCGGGGAGTAAGAGAAAAATCAGTTAAAAATTTCAAAAACATGTATAATACTGTAATTGAAATCGGACCAAATATGTATAAACTTCGAAGAGGGGAATTAAAAATCAAACTTATGTTTGAAATCAAAGGGAGCATTATAAATGTTCCAACTAGCGAAAGTGAAAACAATTCAACAAGAGAATGCGCAAAAAAAGCAAGTGATCTTACTATGGATATAGAAAACTCATATCAAAATATTCCAAAAATTTCTATTCCTTTAGTTAATTCTGCACCTAGACCTTCAAATGGTCCAGCTTTAAGCGAAGAACTTAAAGAAGAATTGTTTGAAAGACTAGAACTTGTTCGAAACCGGCTTGCTAGAAAACAAAACCTTAATAAAGAGCAAATATTATCAACTGACTCTCTAAATAAGTTAATCAGTGATTTACCTGATTCAAGTTCACAAATCGCACAAGAATTCATACAAGAAATCAAGCATTTCAAAGAATCCAATAACATAGAAAAAAAAGAAGCGAAATTTGAGTTCGACCTTGACTTGTCCTCAATTGATTTTGACACAGTCGAATTGAAAAGAAAATCCCCAGTTGAAGACAAGCGCTCATTTAAAGTTTTAAAAAGTTCCTAAATCTTTTTACTTTTTTTTTAAAAATTGTATGGATTTTCAATTTAATTGCATTAAGGAGGCGACCTAGCTTTATCATACAAAGAAACTTAAGGAGGAGTAATAAATTTGTAATGGCACAATTTAAAATGACAGTTAGGGCAGGACAATGAACTCAGTGAGAGAAATTTGTAGCTTTTTGAGGGTTTTGGCATCAAGAGAAGTTAATCTACACTGAGGCTGCTGTATATAGAGAGGCGCTAACTCCCCCCTCTTGTGAGCGAGCAAAACCGTTAGAAAAATTCCGATTTTTTGCCCAAAAACCCACCTTCGTGAGCGAACAAAAAATTTTTATGGAAAAAATTTTGATATATAAGTGATAGTTAGTATAATGAAATCTCGCATTAATTCTGTTTAATTTTAAACAAATCGCGTTTTTAAAAACTAAAATTTTACAAATTAAATTAATATTTGCTTTCCATATACATAAAAATGGCGACGACGTGCCACCCGACCTCTCGACCCAATTTCCTCAACAGCAGCAGGCAATGGCCCAGTGTTGGCGAATTAGGTGGAAAGGGGCCGGAAACACTTTTTGTATGTCGGACTAGGTTTTACTCGGGCCCTATGGAGCTAATCCGTGGGACTTGGGCTTTTACTCCCAGAGCAACCATTGGAAAGGACAAAATCGGCGACAGTCCCAAGTGGAGGCTAACTCCCTCGAGCAGGACTCAAGAGATGGCATTTATCCAACGAGAAACTGGGAGTTTCGACCCAGGTGGTTTGCCCTTAGACTCCAGAAGCCATGGAAGTCAAGACTGGTTGTGCGAATCCCTTGTTTGCGGCAACAAGGAGGGTGCCCGCCGGGGCTCCTCGGGAGCGATGAGCGTGCAGGGGTGGAAATCCCCGGCCCTGCAATGTGCGAACGGCGAATCTTAATCTTAACTTAAATATTTGCTTTCCAATTTTTGCGAAGTGGGGATTTTTTTAAATTTGTAATGGCATTTTTATGAAATAGATATTAAATAAACGACATATTGATTATAAATATAATATGACAAGAGGCAACCAAAGAGAAGAAAATAGAAAGCGTGGAGCCAAAAGAGAAGAAAATAAATCTAAAGAGAAGAAGCCAGACTTTAACAAACGAAAAGAAAAAGATGCAGAAGTGATGAGGAAAAAGCAAGAAGAGGCTCTGAAACGAAAAGAGGAAGAAGAACGGAAGGAGCCAGCTCGGAAGGCCTAGCCTCTATTGATAAGAAGGAAGCAATCTAAGTTTAATATGAAAATTTAAGAAAAATATTGTGCTTAAAAATCGTTCTAGTCAAATAATTCTATACACAATTGGTAAGTCATGGATCATTCTAGAAAAGGTCATGCCTAGATTATTATCTTTTTCTTATTATGTAGCTTATAGTTTCAAGAAATTTTTTTATACTTTCAAAATTTATATTGTTTGGATTGAATATTTCTCTTTAAATTAAAACTATTGGCGCTCTAATAATTTTACCAATCTAATGCAGTATTTTATAATTAATTTCTTTAAAATACAGTGCATTTCGCACAAGCTGCTCGTCTTGTCTCAACAAGTCCATTTGATTTTTCTTTTTCTGATAACTGCTTTTCTTTGCTTTTTGCATTCGCCACAGCTTGATCTAATCTTGAGGGCGGGAGCTGAGCTTTAATTAATTCTTCCTGGTCAATTTCTATTAATTCTTCTTCCGAACTTGATGCTTCAGATTCTATACAAGATTCTTTAGGATTTATTATATTTTCTTTCAATATTTCGAGATTTCTATATATTAAGCTTCTTGGAGAAATTATAGGAATTTCGATTTTTGCTTCGTTTTCTTTATCCTCTTCTTCTTTTTCATCAACTTCTATAATTAACTCTTCTTCTGGCTTATTTTTTTCATCAAGTAAAATATTTTCTTCATTTTCAGTTTTAATTGTTAATTCTTCAGGATTTAAAATTTCATTTGCTGAAGCTTCAGCTGGTGATGAATCATTAGGAATTATAGGTTGCTCAGCTTGAGGAGATGATATAAACTCATCAAAATCAAAAATGGGCTCAGCCTTATAAGTGAATTTCTTCTGACTCACAGACTAATCTAAAATTAACCTAAAAGGTGTAATAAGCTTTAAAAAAAACTTAATAAATAATTTATCTTGAAAGATATCAATTATATTAAAAATCTAACGTAATTCTCAATTATATTATAATAAATTTTAAGTTTTAAAAATAGATTTTTACATAAACAATTTAAAAAAATTTGCTTTGCTCGCAGAGGAGAGGACTGTGGAGATCTTTGATCTTCAGGCTCATAATACTGATCAGATAAATTTCTAACAATTTCTTCACTTTCTTGTGTGTTAACAGAATTTGTTCTGAATAAGCTTTCATTAACTTCTGTCCTTTTTTCTGTGTCAATTTCTTCCTCATCATGCCTTTCAATTCCTGCAAAACTTGACGAAAGCCTGTTCTTCTGGTCTAAGTACTCACTATTAGCCACAAAAGTAGCGTTTCTATTGTAATTTCTTATAGGCGAATCCGGGTTAAAAATCCTAGTCGAAGTTTGGATTCTCCCTCTATATCTATTTCCCGGTTTTTCATTACTATAAACAGACTGATTTCTATCATTTATAGTTTCAGCTGCGCTAATACTAACACAAATCACAGCTTTTTTATCAGTGCATCCCTTCAATGGAAACTCTTTTCTTATTATTGATGAATTTGCTATCGCCAAATCTTGGACTTCTATTATAGCTTTTCCATTCTTTTCTCCTTTTTTATTGGCTGATAAATCCACCATCCTGAAGCTGAGATCTTTTTTGCCAAATTTATTCCCTTTTCTATACATTGTGACTAAAAAAGAAACTGGATACTCAAAAATGACCTTGGATTGGGCTGCATCATAGTGCATTGGCTGGGTTTCTTCTTTTTTGTCAGCGCCTCGCTTCACTACAACTTTAAAAATGCCTCCAGTGTTTAATTTTGCTGTAATATGGTGTATTGTAACATTTAAATCGTACTTAACTTCATCAGCTCCAATTTTAGAGCCAATTGAACTGATTTTGTGCAGAAAACTCATAAAAAAGATTGATTTTTATTTATAACAACAGCATAAAAATGACGAAAATGGATATCAATAGAGGCAGATTTATTATTGAAATATTTTTTATACAAAACAATGCTTAAAAAATATGTTTAAGGTAAATTAATTGTAAAAAAGTCTTATAATGTGTTAACTTTCTTTATTGATGATAATTTCCAATAGTCTTTTGATAATTCATCTAGTATATAGCTTTCAAAATATCCTTTAGCCCACATATAAAGAAGTATCTGCATTGTCGCTATCTTTATCGTTAGCTACTAAGTGTTTAAGATGTCTCGCGCCCGCTCCCTAATAAATAGGGACTAGGCCAACTAGTGACGTCACCGGTCACCCAACCAAAATGGAGATCGGCCCAACCATCCTGGCGAGAGCCAGCGAAACTTCAGAACCGTGCATCTCATCGGCGCGTTGCCTTCGCTCTGTCAGACTTGGCTCCAGCACATGCTCTATCTAAGGGCCATCCTCCCGTGGGGATGTGCCAAATGTAAAAACTCTAAGCTTTTGATCGCACTGAGGAGCAGTTCCTCTGGTTATTCCCAGAGTTAAAACCGCTGTTTCTATGCAGAAGTTTTCAAGGTAAAACCAAATCCCATAAATAAAATTCCATGAGGGAGAGAAAATTAGCGAAGCTAATTTCTCTCGTATGAATGCCATTTTATTTATGTATTGTCGCTATCACAAAAGTAATTATGTTTGGGATAATAATATGAAAATTACTAGTCAAAATTCCATATCACAACCATATGTTTACACATAAAAATCCTGGGATAATGCAAACAATATCAAAATATCTGTGGCTTTTTTCCTTTAAAGCTAAACCTATTTGTTCCAATGGTGGAAAACACCCGATCAAGCTCACCATTGTTGCCACTTGTCCAATCACGTTAAACGAGCACAATCCTATAAAACTTCCCACAAAAATCAGCGCTGTCACCAAAAATTTGCTTACAAACTCCAAAATATCTCCCTTTATTTTATGATATCATAATAAATACACAAAATTTAAACCTCCACAGACAATCGTATTAATCAGTATCGTCATTTCATTTCCTAAATACGCATGCATTAGCATTAGTATTATTACTGAGAGGCTCGCAATATTGCTCAGACGGCCTACCTCCACCCTATCGCTTCACCCGTTTGCTCACCATCGATCGATCATGACCTTCAAGGCTCAGCTCCTACTGGACGAGGATGCGCACTCGCTACCCGTAGTTGGATGAGTTGCGCCACCATGCTGTACGTCAACAGAGGTTCCTATTTTGAAAATTTGAAAAACTAATTTTCTGATAGGACTGTTGGCCAAAATGGAAATTCAAAGCCTGGGATGTTACACCCAGCTTCACACTAGGGGTTGCTCGATGGATTAAGTGGGATATTTGGCTCTACTGGCTTCCCCTTTCCAACCTTGAAATACCATTTCCCTGACTCCCCCCCCCTTTAAATTGGAACAAAATATCGGTAAAATTTCCACTTTTTTAAATAAATTAACCCCCCTTTAAAATTGGAACAAAATTTAATTTTATAATAAAAAATTATAATAATTTTTATCTAAAAAGTTTTGATATAAGTTAAATGTTTTCTTCTTAACTAAAATTAAAAATTTAGTTATATCTTGCTCTTTTTTAAAGAAAAAAGTATAAATCGCATCTTATTTAAATAAATTTATTATCCTTAATTGCTAAATTTAAAAAAAAACAAAATTTTATTTTTTTAAATATTTTCAAAAAAATTTTTGTTTTTTTTGATAAAATTGATATTTTTTATTTGGATAGTTTTGATATAAATTCAATAGGAGTTTTTTATAAAATTTCAAAATTTAGTTATTTATTGCTTTATTTTAAAGAATAGAGTATAAATAACATCTTATTTAAAACAAAATTAGCACTTTGATCGATAAATTTTCTAAATTTTTTTTTTTTTTAATTTTTTTTATCAATAAAAATAATAATTTTTGTGTAAATAATTTTGATACCAATTAATAGTGGCGTATTAACTAATAATGAAAATTTAGTTATATCTTGCTTTGTTTTAAAAGCATAAAGAGTAAATAGCATTTTAATAAACAAATTTATTAATCTAATTGATAAGTTTTTGAATTTTTTTTTTTTTAATTTTTTATATATTTAATAAAAAATTTTATATTGATATTTTTTTTTAAAAAAAAAAAATTAACCCCCTTTAAATTGGAACAAAATTTTTAGTTCCAATTTAAAGGGGGGAGTGAGGTAAAAACCTTGGTACCAGAATGAGCTGCGGTCGACCAAATTCGACGTTGCGCTCCACTACACCAAGGAAAATCTAGCCGGATATACACCCCGAGCGCCAATTTCCCTTCCACAAGGTCCCCGGCACATAGCATGCCTCCGGCTACAAGCGTTGAGAAAAAAGGACTGGTTCCCATCGCCATTTTAATGTATATCTTAAATACGCATACACGACCCACACAATCGTATTTACATTACATACCATCATCCCTAAATGTGAAAACTTCTCAAGGTTTTTCGTTTTTTCCGCCTCATAAAATGTATAAATTGGCATCAGTGTGCACCCAAACCCTAAAATTGTCCCAATAGTCCCTAGAAAAGCTTCCATTTTAGTCAATTTTTTCTGATAAGTACATTTAAATGAAAGAGTTATTATTATCTTTTTTCATCATGCCTCATCACTTCAAGAATCTTCTCAAGTGGCTTGATCCTTTCTGCGTACCTAGACTTCACAGCTTCAATTTCTGCAAGCATGTCCACATTTAGCCTTTTTAAGGATTTTTCAATGTATTCGATTGACATTCCTTTGAATTCTGGAGGGATTTGGGGTTTTTGGGAGTTATTAGCGCTAGGAGGGTTGTGAACAGATGGAGGCTGGGGGGATTGGGGAGCTTTCTTAGCTTGTGGTTTTGGTTCTGGGATGCCTTCAGCCTGTCTCACAAGTTTCATGAAATCAGGTTCCACGTTTTCTTCTTCTTCATCTGAGTAATCAATTCGTACAGTCCCCTGCTGCTCTGTTTCTTTATTTTTCTCTTTTCCGTCTTTTATAATGATCGTTGACATTTTGTTTTCTTCAGGGATTTCGACCATGGTGTCGTATTGGATTACGGTTCCTGAGTCAAATTCTTCGGTGCCTTTATAGACCATGCTGCCATTGTCACATTCTGCTTCTTCTTCTGATTCGGAGCCTTCGCTTATGTTTTCTGTAGTCCGAGACCTCTCAATGCTGTCCATAGCGTTTGCGACTAGTTCGCTGAGTAGTCCAGGACCTCTGGCTCTTCTTATAAAGGGGTGGATTAAAAGCTCTTTGGCGGTTGGCCTTTGCTTAGGATCAATTGTCAAGCATTTTGCTACAAAATCGTTGAATTCAGGAGACCATTTTCGAGGCTCAGTTAGGGACTGGGCTGGATATCGCTGGATTGTAAACATAGCCCTCACTGGAGGAATATTGGAATAAGGAGGCTCAGCTTCAGCCATTTCAATTGCGGTGATTCCTAAGCTTCATATATCAGTTTTTTTATTATATTGTAGATATAAAAGACTATAATATAAATATTTATCAAAAAGTCCTAATTTTCTATATAAAAGTATCATGCCAGAATGCTTTAATTATTTATTTTTATTCAGGTAGAATAACAAGACCTTGATATTACCTCAGGCGACATCCAATAAGGCGTCCCAATCACAGTATCTTTCTTCGACAGTGTATGCAAGAGCTGTGCAGAAACCCCAAAATCAGCCAATTTCGCTATACCTTTATGATCCAGAAGAATATTCCCCGCCTTAATGTCTCTATGAATATTCTTATTATCATGCAAATACTCAAGCCCTCTCAAAGCAGCCTGGCACACACTTGCAATTTGAACCTCATCGAGGGTTTTTTTAGTAATTCTAATTAAATCAGCCACAGAGCCGGCGCTGCAGTATTCTATAATAAGCCAAAGGTCGTCTCCCTTTATATATGATCCAATATAGCCTACTATGTTAGGGTGCCTACAGGCTTTTAAAATCGAGATTTCTTTCTTGATGGAGGCAATTTCGTTATTATTGATTTGGAGGATTTTAATAGCTACGATAGTCCCTGTGGACTTGTGGAGGCCTTTATGAACGGATCCGAATGAGCCTTCTCCAAGCTTTTCAAGTAATTGAAACATGACTTCTGGGTCTTCGTGATTTGAGACTACGTCTTGGATGTTCAAATTGGCCATTTTATATGAGATTTTTGGGATTTTTTATAGATAAAGACTCTTATTGGAATTATACTACAGTTGTATGGCATGGTATATGTATTTAATAGATAATATTAGGTATAATAATAGTTTTAGCTTCTATTTAATAAATTTCTCCATATAGCAAATCCTTCCTCATCAAAAAATTCTTATCTTAGTTATAATGAATTATATAATATTAACCAAAACTGATATATTTTTTATATATCAAGATGCTTTAGCAATCTTTTAACGAGTCTACTTTTTTACTTCTTCTCCTCAATTGATTATTGAGAAATGACCCATGAAGCGGCTGCTGTCTTTTTAAAAAGCAAGGCGATTTAGGGCTTTTTACTGTATGCTTCATTAATTTCATTACCACAGTTTCTTCACTTTCCTGCTTCTCAGGTTCATTGCAATCTTCTTCTTCCTTCCTATTTTCATCACTCCCAATTAATTTTTCATTTGTATTTATAAGCAATTCCTTTAAAACTTTAGGCCCTTTGGCACCTCTAATAAAAGGATGGATTAATAAATCCTTACTCCCCCCTCCGTGAGTGAACAAAAAAAATTTTGTTCGCTTAGGAGGGGTTAATTTTTTTTTTAAAAAAATTTATATATAACTTTTATAGAAAATTTTTTTTTTCGATATTTAAAAAATCCCACTTCGCAAATATTGATTTAATTTGTAAAAATTTATGTTTTAAAACGCAATTTGTTTAAAATTAAACTTCATTATACTAATTATCACTTATATATCAAAATTTTTTTTCCATAAAAAATTTCTGTTCGCTCATGGAGGTGAGTTTTTGGGCAAAAAATAGGGATTTTTCTAATGGTTTTGCTCACTCACGGAGGGGGAGTTAGCCCTTGATCGCTGATTTGGGTCAATTATTAAACATTTTGATATAAAATCATTGAATTCTTCTGACCATTTGTGAGTATCAGCTAATGATTGAGCTGGATTTCTTTTAATATTAATCATTGCTCGCTCTGGAAGGATGTTTATATAGGGCGCAGACCCTTCAGCCATTTCAATTGCAGTGATTCCTAAGCTTCAAATATCATCTGATCTATAAAAGTTAGGCTGTGGCAAAGACTCAGGTGACATATAATAAGAATTTCTTATAAATGCTTCAACTTTTGCTTTATTTTTAAATAAAATTGCTGATAACCCATAATCAGAAAGCTTAATAAGGCCTCCTTCTTCTATTAAAATATTTCTTCCTTTTAAGTTTCCATGCGAAATTTTATTGTGATGTAAATAATCGATTGCTCTTAAGGCTGCTTGGCAAATTGCTGAAATCTGGATTTCATCGAAGCATTTTTTATTATTACGGATTAGGTCTGTGATGCAGCACGCTTTAAAATACTCCATTATAATTCATAATTCATTGCCTTTTATATAAGATTCTAAAAATTCTACAATGTTTGAGCTCCTGAAATTCTTTAAAACTGCTAAATCTTTTTGAATTAGATTGATATCGGCATTATTAAGGCGTATTATTTTAATTGCTACTATTGATTTGGTGGATTTATGTAAAGCTTTATAAACTGAGCCATATGGCCCATCACCTATTTTTTCAGTCAATTGGTAAGCCTATTTATATCAAAGTATTTACCCAACTTTTATAAGAAATTTATAGTAAATTAAATAGAAAAAGGTATAAATGGTTTCTGGATTTTCTAAATATATATATGCTAGTTTCCTTCAATATTCTAATATTTATCTTATTTTGTTATATTACGCATACTTTATGAATAGAATAGTTTTCGTTAGATAAAGGTGGGATATCTTCAATGGTAAGCATGGTACTCACTGACTCAGCAGACTCACTCCCTGACGACCCAAAGCAAGGAGTGCCTAACCTTTTCATATTCTTTGTAGTCCTTGATACAATAAGCTCTGATTTTCTAGTTGAAAATGTTAGTGAATCTCTGCGTGGATTAAGAGGAGGGAGAATTTGGCTTGAGGGGTTTTGAAAAATATCTTGGGGGTGAACAATTGATGGCCTTTTTGCTGTGCCAGGAATTCTTAAGCCTGATGGACATACCGGCAACAGCTTTCCTGATTCGTTTCGTGTCAAGCTTAAAAAAGGGTCATGCCGAGGAGATGAGGGTGTTTTATTGGATGGTAGGGAATTTCTATAAAGGTCTGGTTGTGATCGTGAAGTCTTCAAAGTTGGAAGTTGTTTGCTTTTCATTTATATTATTAACTTTATATAATGGCTTTTAAAGTTGTTTTGGCCTTGAAAAGATGTCTAATTATGATTCATATGATTATTAAAAATTTGCAGCGAATTGGGATGGATATGATAAAATGTTAGTGGTGGAATATGCTAAAATATAAATGTCTATTAAAATAAATGTCTTACTCCCCTCCCTCCGTGAGCGAATAAAAAAATATTTTTCGCATGTAGAAGGGATTAGAATTGCATAGAGATTTTATTATAATAATTATCACTTATGTATCAAATTATTTTTTTCATAAAATAATTTTTGTTTACTCATGGAGGGAGGAGTTAGTATATCTTATTGCCAAAGGAAAAAATTTTTACTCCTCCCCTCCTATAAGCTCATTGAGGGAGCTAGTTTTGTTTTTTAATTTTTTTATTAATGCTTTTCTAGAATTTCGAAATTTAAAAAAATCTAATTCGTAAAAATTGATTTAATTTATAATATTTATTTTAGATTGTTCAACAATTTTACATTTGTCAATCATTTTGACTAGTAATCCCAAATTTTGGGCTAAATCATTTTACTGCAAGTTCCCACTTTTAGGTAGTGTAAAAGAGCAGTTTAATTTTAAAATATTCCTTGGATTTATTTTGAAGAGCATCATGCAAGTTATCAGATTAAGCTAGCTTGAAATTAAACCCTGAATATTTCTTGAAATAGTGAGAGGTTTGGTCTAAGATGTGCAAGATATGAAGTCCATTAGAATGGTTATATTTTCAATAATGGTAATCTATATCGGTGCATAAGCTATATTATAGCTGAGATTGACCTCCTCCCATTGCATTAGAGGTTTTTGTTTAGATGAACCAGTCAAAATCGATTTTCATGTCAAATATATAAGATGGACTTTTCCTGCTTCATTTAAAATAAAATTGCTAGGTATTGGGCAAAGGGAGTTTATCCTATCTTCTCTCAAAATATATACACAATAATATAGTTGGAAAACACTCCTTTTTAAAGAAATAAATTTTTAGTTCAAGGATTTTTCAAAAGTTTGTGGGAGGTTATTGAATAGAGAAATTATTTAATTTTAATGAAATTAATTGCAATTAACATTATATAAATATCATTTGACTCATAAAGGTGATTCTAAATAATTTTGTACAAATAATAATCAAAAATAAGTTCCATTTTTAACTCTTTCCCTTCTATGAATGAGCATTGGAAATTCTCTCCGTGAGCAACCAAAATTTTTTAACATAAAAATTTTTTATAAAAAATATTTTGATATATAGTGATAATTAGTATCACGAAATCTGCTAATTCAGTTAAATTTTAAATAGCTTGCATTTTAAAATATAAATTTGGCAAATTAAATTCTCGATTACCATTTCATGCGAATTATTTTTTTTAAATTTAGAGAAAATAAAATTTTACTACAGAGCTGGAACACAAACTTCCTTTGTATTTTATTTAGACGTGAATAAGTACATTAAAGGGATGAAGCAGAGTTTCAACAAAATTATGAAAAATCGATAAAAAGGATAAAATGATAGTTTTGAAGCTTAAGGATGAGAAATTTCATGACCCTATAAAATGTAGTGATGATTTTGATTATATTATGAAAATTATCAAATTAATGTTTGCAAGTCCAAGAGTAGCTGCACTAGCCACCAAGCTTTAATGACTGGTTAGTCACTATGGAAATTTAATGACTGGCTAGTCACTATGGAAAAAGACTGATGAATAAGAGAAACATTTATTCACCAAAATGGGTAAAATCAAACAATATAATTAAAAAACGCAATAAATGGAGTCATGATTTTTGACTGCTCCCTCGTAAGGTTGACAAGGCAGAAAGACAAAAGAGCTTGCAAAAATGCAAAGACAACGAACTCTAGCAAAATCAACACAACAAAATAGCAGCGTTAATAGGACTGAAGCTCCTACATTAAGTAGAAAATAAAGAATCCCTTTATTGCTTTCTCTCTCATGTATCGGGAAAATTACATCTCATTTAAAGAAACTTAGCCACGCAGATTTAGAATCAGCAGCACACCTTGTCAAAGCCCTAGGCGAGCCTTCCTTTTAGCCTGTTTCATATTTTAAATAATTCCTCTACTTCTTATAAAATGGACTTAATGTTCCCTAAAGAGTTCTTAAAGAATGCAATAGAGACTCTCGTCTCTCAAAAGAACGTAAAATGTGCGAATTTCTCCAAAAACCCAAACTTGCCTTACTGTTTTATTGAAAACTCAGCAAAAGAAGACTTAGTACTTGAGCATGTTAAAGACTACGAGCGGCAGTTTAGACTTGTGTATAGGGAGCATTCCAAGCGAACTTTACTTCTTTACCCTAAAAACGAATGCGGGGTTGAAAAATTTATATGCACCACAGTGAGGCCAACCCAGCTGCCATTTCTAGAGCTCTATGAGTGGACCCAATCTGCAGAATTCGTTGCGAATTTCTTACAATATGAAGAACTAGCGTGGTTTTATTATTTAAATATTTTTAGATTACAGGCATTTTCTCGGAATATTTGGTCGAATTTTTGCTTACTCCCTCCCCCTCCGTGAGTGAACAAAAAAAATTTTGTTCACTCACGGAGGAGGGTTAATTTTTTTTTTTTAAAAAAAAATATATATATAAATTTATATAAAAAATATTTTTTTTCGAAATTTAAAAAAATCCTAATTCGCAAAAATTGGAAAGCAAATATTAATTCAATTTGCAAAATTTATGTTTTAAAAAGCAATTCGTTTAAAATTAAACAGAATTAGCTCTAGATTTCATTTATAATAATTATCATTTATATATCAATTTTTTTTCCATAAAAAATTTTTCTATTAAAAAATTTTTGTTCACTCATGGAGGGTGGGTTTTTGGGCAAAAAATAGGGATTTTTCTAATGGTTTTGTTCACTCACGGAGGGGGGGGGAGTTAGAAAATGCAATGGTTTTCCAGATCAATGCTTGACGAGAAAAATTAACGCTGAGGAAATTCCTACCAGGGAAAATATCTAGAGCAAAAACATGGAGCAAGAACTCAACCCACCAGATCGTTACCCAAACCACATCCCTTCTCCTACAAATATTTTGGCCTGGCAGTATGGAGATTGCTTTGACTTTGCAATGGTTTTGTGCTCAATTCTGATAGGAGCCGGATATGATGCTTATTGTGTGCATGGCCATGCTCCTAAAGAAATTACCACAAGAGACCAGACACGCACAAGATGCCCACTAGAAATTTTAGAGTCAGAAATGCCAGACACAGCAGAGCTCGCTGAACAAAATGAAGAAGAAGAATTCGAAATCCCAGTGAAACCTCCACCAATTTCAGAATTTTTAAGCAAAAAAAAGCAAAAAGAAGAAGAAGCTGAAAAGTTGCGTCTTCAAATAGAAAATACTATAGATGACGATGCCCCTGAAATTTTGCCTCCTGACGTGTGGAAAGGCAAGAGGCTGCATTGCTGGATCCTTATTAAAGAAGGCAAAAGAGGAGTCGAGGAAAGCTTTTTTGTAGAGCCAACGACTGGGAGATCGTTTAGTTTGACTGAGAGCAAGTATGAGAACGTAGAGTTTGTGTGGAATGACCAGAATTTCTGGATTAATATGTTCCCTAATAGAGGGGTCGAAGAGGTAAGCTTTGACCTTTATAATGGCGTGGACTGGGAATATGTAATGTTAGAGACCAGCAACGTCAAAGAGAAGGGCAAAAAAGAAGAACATTTTGATGAAGAAGGAGAAGAAGGCGCTGTAGATGACGCAAATATGAACCCAGACGAAATAGGAACTGATGGGTATGTAAAGCAGATTGAGCATGTCCTAGATTTGCCTCCACCATGGTCTCCTAAGATGAGAATTGACAGAGAAGTTTATGCAAGAAAATGGACAATGGGCGAAAAAACACTTTTTTATGAAAAATGCAAAGTTGATTATTATGCTGATTATAGCCAATTTGATGGGCTGGTAAGGAGGCTTACGTATTATCATGACTATAAACGCCACATTGTCAAAGAAATCAGATGAATTTATGCAAGAAGAATTGACAAGCTGGCTATACGCAGACGTTTTCCATTAGAATACAAAACAGTTGAAGAATATTACCCAGGCTGCCCATATCATTGGAAACAAATAGTAGAAATTGACGGGAAAAGCAAATTAACTATTTATTACCCTACAAGAAATACTGATGGTCTTATACGTCGTGAAGAGGTCTATGACGAAAAAACACGTGAATATTTCCAAGACCGTGACGATTTTATGATATATCGCTCCTGGAAAATCGAAAAAAGGGAGTCTACAGCTAGAGATTATACCCTAGGTGACAAAGTAGTTATTACTAGTATGACTCAAAAATTCGATAAAAACCCAAACTTGCCAAAAGGGACAAGAATTGAAAAAATTATTTATGATATGAAGAAAAAATTCGTGACTGTGTTTTACCATTACGAGCCTGGAAGCATTTAAGTTTAAGTTTAATAGAATTACTCTAGCATTTTCAATGCCTGAAAGTCTCCTTCACTTGAGGTTCAGCTAAATTAACAGCTCTGAATAACGTAGGTGAACCGGCCTAACCGTCGGACCGTTAAAGTTAATAAGCCCATTAAGACTTTTCTAATCAGTGCCAGCCTCAGCACCGACCTTTCTCTTCAAGCCGAGACTCTCAAGAAGTTTGACTTCTCTCACTAAGCTCGGTTTATAGGTCCATCCTGTTTGTGGCAGGAGCTAGGACCTATCCCTAACTGACATTTTTTAATATTGTGCTGGAAGTATTAAAAGAAATGTGATAAAATACCCAAGAGACGATTTTACTGCACTAGCAAAGGTGCAGGATGGACAGGAGCATGAAGAAGTGGACGAAGTCTACCAGGATAAGCTGCATCAGCTGCAAGATATGGAAAAAGCTTGCTATGCTGGCATAAAAAGCCAAGAAAATGCGCTGAAGCAGGAAATGGAGAAATATAAGGAACAAGAAGATGAGTGGTCTAAGCTGAGGAGAAAGAATGACGTGAATATTGCACTGGTTAAAGGATTTATTAGTAAAACTATATATGATAAAGCGAGAGAAAAAAGCAAAGAACAAGAGCGCGAAAGGGAAGAAGAAAAAGTTACTGAGGTAACTGCAATTGACTATTTAACTCCAGTTCTCAAAGAAATGGGCTTAGAGAACCGCCAACTTAATGCTCAAGAAGCGCAAGAAGTAGAAAACAGAGTAATGAGCTTGCTTAAAGAAAGACTTCTACACAGAGCTGATATCATTAAAAAGAGTTTAGAAAGAGAAAGAAAAGCACTGAATGATGATGCTGTAAATTTTATATAGGCTAAATTCGCTAAAAAAGGCGACCACGTAACTGCTGAGGAGCAAAAGAAATATGATGAATCAACAAGAGACATGGATTTCAAGATCAACATTTTGGAGCAAAGGGTTGCACGCCATGAAGAACAAGCCTTGCAAAAATATGCAGAAATGAGCTTGAAGCTTAAAAATGAGCCAATCCTGGCAGCGCTGCACCAATATCATAAAAGAGATTAATAAAAAATTATTAGAATTAATAACATATGTCAAAATATCGATATGCATATGCCTTTTTAAGCTGAAGATCTATTAGATTCACATTATAGCTCTATCAAGAAAGGTTTCGGGCGTTATATTTTGAAACCTTCGAATGGTGAATAATTAATAAACCAGTCTTAAAAAATGAACTAGTTATTCTTAAGTCCCAAAAAATTAAAAAGATCAAAAAGGCCTAAAAATATTAATCACTAGGTATGCAGTAAGAGTTAAAAGTAAACTGTAAATATAGATGATGCGAATTATAGCATTTCAAAATTAAAATCTCTTTCAATAAAAGATGAGGACTTTAAGTTTAAATCTTTAAAACCAAATTTAGCAAAGAAATCCTTGTAAGCTCATCCTATTCAGCAATAAATATAATAAATTATAAATGCCTCATCACGCATATAAAAGAAATGTTTTTCTATAAAATGACTCCATTGAGCATCAAGAAAAAATGATTCATCCACTATATCATGATTATTTTTTCACCAATTTAGATATTGAACATTTTCAAACACACCTTTCTCCTTATAAATGCAACATTTTACTCTATCACACATCCACATGAATTTATTCCACAAACATTTCCATATTTAATTATTGTATGAACACGTTGGTTCTTCTTTTCTTCACCTGTCTAATTAGCTGCTCTTATGCCTTTTTCGATATAAAGAGCTTATACGAGAAATACAAATTCTACGATGAAAATTCTAATTTCATGCAAAAGACCTACGTCTGGCTCCAACCAATTGCAAGACTTGCTTAAGTTTAAGTTTAAGGAATTACTCTAGCATATCGTCATCAGTCTTCTTTTACTTGAGGCCCAAGCTACATTAACCGCTCTGAATAACGGTAGGTGGACAGGCCTAACCGTCAAACCGTTAAAGTTAATAAGCCCGTTAAGACTTCTCTAGTCATTGGCAGCCTCAGCCCGACTTCGTCTCTTCAAGCCGAGACTCTCAAGAAGCTTGACTTCTCTCACTAAGTTCGGATGATAGGACCCCGGACCTATTCCTAACTGGCATTTTTAATATTGTGCAAGACTTGTAGCAGTAGCGACAGAAGAAATTAAAAAAGGAGACCTTGTACTCTCAGTCCCAGCATCCAAGGTGGTCACAACATTTGATGATTTTGAATGGAGCGAGCATTTTAAAAATAAATCGCCTGAGTTCATTGGATGCGCCATTCTTATTCATTACAAAACTTCATTGAATGCTTCAGAACCTAAAGATTACATAAATCAATTTCCATCTGACATTGATGCACCTGGAACTTGGTATGATGCTGAAGGAAAAGAGTGGCTTATGAAATACTCAGAATATCCACACAAGCTGAGAACCAATTACACAGGCTTTGATGAGTTCAGCAATATTGTTGTAGCTATACCTGGAGTAAGAGAACTAGCATGGGAAGAGAGAAGCTATAGTTGGGCATTAACTGTGCTGAGTTCTTATGGCATGCCAATAACTAAAAAAGAATGGAAAACCTTGAAAGGGCTTACTCCTTCTGCTGGAGACGAGAAGATCCAGGGAATTGCATTGATTCCTTTCCTAGAGATCTACAATAACTATGTGAAACCTGACAATTTCCACCCAGAGAAGTATCCTTTGGAATTCACGAATGGCGCAGTTAAGCTCTATTCTCAAAGAGATTATAAGACAGGGGAAGAAGTTTATATCCCATATGATAAAAAAGGAAGCCATGATCTCTTGTGCGACAGAGGTTTTACAATTGAAATGAATAGTCATGATCTGTTTGAGGTGAAAGAAAGGCCTTCATCACTGTGCACAATGACAGAGCGTGGATGCATTTTCTATTTGCCAACAACTGAGGTTAACCAAAAATACTTAGAATTTAACAAAGATAAGGCAAATCCTGAACTAGCTTACCGTCAAGGCGTAAGACGTGAAATAAAGAACTTAAAGCACTCTATCAGATCTCAACGACGCAGACTGAGGATCTTAGAAGACAGATTTTTAAAGCTAACCTTCCAACTTGGAATCACAGAAAAATGGGCAGCTTACAAAGCTCTGGCTCTCGCTGATAGACAGCTTCTCCTGAAAGAACTTAAATCTCTAACATTAATAAATTAGGCTCCTTATCTTACTAAATTTTCGATAACAGCCGCAGCGCCCATACCACTTCCGATGCACATGCTAATGACTCCGTATCTTCCTCTAGTTCTTCTAAGCTCAGGTAAAAGTGTTGCAACCTGTCTGGATCCAGTGCAGCCCAAAGGATGTCCGAATGCAATGGCTCCTCCTTTTGGATTTATCCTTTTTTTTATATAAATATTCCTATTAAACCTATATTAATAATTAATTTACTATTCTTTATATTTTTGGATACTTTATTCTTGTCAATTCCTAAGTGTTCAATGCTGAAGGTGGCTTGGCTGGCAAAAGCTTCATTGATTTCAAAAATGTCAATATCATTAATGGTAAGTCCAGCCAATTGAAGAGCTCTTGGGATGGCGAAAGCTGGGCCAACTCCCATAATCTCAGGTGGCACTCCAACAGCTGCGAAGCTCACAAATCTAGCGAGGATTGGAAGATTGTTTTCAATAGCAGCCTGTCTACTTGCCAAAAGAACAACAGCAGCTCCATCAGTGACTTGTGAGCTGTTTCCTGCTGTGGTGCCTCCATTAGGGTTAAAAGCTGGTCTAAGTTTGCCGAGGATCTGTAAAGTTGTGCCTTTACGGATTCCGTCATCTTTGGTCACAGTGATAGTTTTTTGTTCACCGTTTTCTCCTTTGACGACTGTCTTGATAGGGACGATTTCTTCATCAAAAAGTCCAGTTTCTTGGGCTTTGGCGGCCTTTGCGTGGGAGTCTACAGCCATTTGGTCCATCTTTTGTCTGGTGATTCCGAATCTGCTGACGACGTTGTCAGAGGTGATTCCCATAGGAAGAACGGTGTTTGCAGCTGCTGGGATTTCGAAAGCTCTTTCAGGAAGTGGTGGGTGAACAGCGCTGTTCATTTCAAAGAGAGACATTGATTCGGCACCGCCTGCAATTCCGATTTTTATTTGACCAGCCTTAATAGCATTAGCAATATCAGCCACAGATTGGAGTCCTGATGCGCACATACGATTGAGTGAGTAGCAAGGGACTGTATCTGGGAAGCCTGACATGAACTGAGCAAGTCTCAGACCCATACCATTTGATCCAACCTTTAGGACGTTGCCAATGACGACTTCTTCAATCTTTGCCTTGTCAAGTCTTGTGGTTTTGATGACATGGTCATAGAGTTGAGCAAGCATCTCTTCAACAGGGGTGTCTTTGAGACCTCCTTTTTTAGCACGTGTAAGAGGAGTTCTAAAGGCTGCACAAATCACAACTTCAATTGGTTCTCCTGTTAGGTGTTGGTTGATTATATTGAGTCTGCGAGCTCCTCCTTCCATTTATTATATGTCACTAATGTGCAAATAATGTGGACCAAAGCAGTTTTAAAGTTTGGGGAAGAAGATTTTATTGCTTTATTTTACGGATTTTAGCTCATAAAGAATACAGATACGCATGCTTGCTAGAAAACTCACAGAAATTTATTGTTACAATTAATGTTAGATTGCCCTCCTAGGTGAATAATTATTTTATTTATATAAAAAGTGAATTTAACATTATGACATCACTAACTCAATTTATTAAAAATTATCAAAATTACTATAGACAGATTTAAAATATTATGCCAAAGAGTGCGCCATTAGTTAATCCTTATCCCATTTTTATATAGGAATTAGAATATGGCTAATTTCTCTCTATTACAAATAGGCATATTTTCTTATTTTTACCCTCTCCACACACTATAGATTTCTTCGCAAAATAAGAAATTTTTGATTTCTAATAAAATTAAATAGCAGTTATGAGCTATCGTTCTTATACAAATAAAACTCTCAACAATAACTGGTTTGAAGATCGCTTTGCCCCAATTCAAGACTGCCAAAAATACCCCGATGAAAGAATCGTCAGAGAACGAGAAGATGCTATTTCCTGCCTGGGAGCAGCAGGAATCCCTAAAGCATTAAATGCATGGGGCCGTCAAAAGAAGTGGAATACAACTGGTGTAATCCCAGACGATGGCTTCCGTGAAATGTACCCAATAAGTAAAACAGAAATGCCTGATCCTGCCAAAGTTAAAGAAAAATTTCAAAAGCCACCTTCAATTTACGACCCTTCAACTGGGGCGACTAGGCCATTGATAAATAAGAACACGATATCATCACTAACCCACAATGAGTAAATTCTATTTAGACGAGAGTTACCAGGTCCTTCTGAAGGTTTTGGAGCTGTTTTGCCGAAACATCCTCCAGAATGGGAAAAAAGGTATTTTGAAACTACTTATAGAGCTGTCCACGGGCACTCTGCAGAGCCAAAAGCGAGAGAAAAGGTTAGCAATGAAGACCATTTCACCACGACGAACCAGATTTACTATAAACCTGGCTTAAATGATGCGAATAAAGTGGCTGGGAGTTCTCAAAGGGCTGGATTTATGGAGCTTACCGCTAAACAAAAAAGAGAAATTCTGTCTGCTGAAATTCTAAGGACAAGCTCTGATCCACAGCACAATACCAAGCTGCAAAGGACCTGGCTTCCTTGTGAAGACCCAGGGGTTAAGGCAAGAGAAGTTTTTGGAGTTCTTGGGTCAGTTCCCGACAAGGACAATGAAAATTCATTACCACTTGGAAAAGGTGACTATTTCAAAAATGACGTGAAATTTGAATCTGGTGCTTATAGAAAGCTGAGAACTGAAATTACCACAGCCCCTTCAGAGCACGTGCGAATGGGATTCAGATAGCTAACCCCTTATTATCTAATTTTCTTCATATACATAAAATGGCGTATGGCGACCGACCCACCCTCTCAGTGGTGGTTACCCATGTATATCCGGGCATGGTTTTTGGAGCCAGGAATTAGCCCAACAACATCTGGGACCTCGAAGCGAGAGAGGCCTAAGCGCGAGAGCCGCTGTTTTTGCGACCAGATCCATGGGCAGTTATTCGTGACTTCTTTTTGCCAGCAGCGCTCAGCCCAGTGAGTGCCCGAAATGAGGCAGGGTGAATTACCTGCCTAAGCTGCTTTAGTGGCTCGCCCCGAATGGCGAAAGCTGTTGAGTTCTTTTCTCGGGATGACCGGAAAAGAGGGGAGGCGAGTTAGACACCAAAACGGGGTCTCTCCAGTTGAAAAGGTGCCCTTCAATGGGCAGATCTGGCGGACGACGAAGCGGAGTTGGCGTAAACTTAGGCGACGATCCAAGTTGGAAATGGAGGTGGTCAGCAAAGCCGGTATGAGACGGCCCTTGACAATGCCTCTACCGAGAAACCGGGGGTTTCGGCCCGGGCTTGGTGAACGCTCTGCCACCACACGGGAAACCGTGGCATGCGACCTCGGACGTAGTAGGGACCTTAAATACCCAGCGTAATCTTAATCTTAATCTTAATCTTAATCTAATTTTTCTTCATAGATTTTTAAAAAAGTTTCCCATTTAATCAGAAAGACTTTTTTGATATTATTAAATGTCACTTGAAGACTTTGAAACAATTACAAAGCTCGGAGAAGGCGCCTTTTCAAATGTCTACAAAGTAAGGAGAAAATCTGACAACAAAGTTTACGCATTAAAAAAAGTGAAGCTGATTTCTTTGAATAAAAAAGAAAAAGATAACGCAGTAAATGAAATCAGAATTATGGCTTCCTTTGCCCATCCCAACATCGTAGCTTACAAAGAAGCATTTATTGACGAGCCCAGCAATACTTTGTGCATTGTCATGGAATTAGCTGAAGACGGTGACCTCTTGAAAAAAATCAATGAAAAAAAGAAAGCGAGGAGCCATTTCTCAGAAGCAGAGCTGTGAGATGCGCTAATTCAAATTACAAGAGGTTTAAAAGCCTTGCATGATTCAAAGATTTTACATAGAGATTTGAAGGTATTTTTTAATTAGTGTGCAAATGTGTTTTTAAACAAAGAAGGAGTACTCAAGCTAGGAGATTTAAATGTTTCAAAAGTAAGCAAGATGGGGATCGCCCACACGCAAACTGGCACACCTTATTATGCGTCCCCAGAAATTTGGAAAAACCAGCCTTATAACTCTTCGTCTGATATATGGTCATTAGGATGCGTTATGTATGAGATGGCTGCACTGTCTCCACCTTTTACTGCTAATGATATGCAAGGGCTGTATAAAAAGGTGATTAAAGGGATTTATCCAAATATTCCGCAGAGCTATTCGGTAGATTTATCAAATATTATTAAAGCCATGCTTCATGTGAGCCCAGAAAGCAGGCCAAACTGTGACCAAATTTTAGATAATCCAGCGGTAGTAAGGCGCACTCGTCAAAAAGAGATAGAAGATGGATCAGGAGATTTATTAGGGACAATAGCTTTTGTGCCAAATTTTAAATATTTGAAAGCAAAGCTACCGAAGTCTAAATATGAAAATAGGGAAAGAGGCTTGAGTGCGAATTCTTCAAGAAATTCTGAGCAGTCTCCACATAGTTTTGATGTAGAAAATCAGCCGAGAAATATATCAAGTGCCAGAAATGAGATTCCAAGGGTTAAAAAAGATGATCTAGTCCTTCCTAAACTATGCTATATTAAATTATATTTAATTATGAATTATTCTTCAATTTTATACTATTTCGTTATATTGAAATTATCTTATTGCTGTATACCCCCAATAAGCGAACATAAAGATTATCCTCCTTCATCCAGGAGAAATTTGCTTCCGCCTAACTTCACTCACGGAGGGGAGTTAATTTTTTTTTCAAAATTTAAAAAAAATCCTAATTTAATTTATAAAATTTATGTTTTAAAACGCAATTGTTTAAAATTAAACAGAATTAGCTCGAGATTTCATTATAATAATTATCAGTTATATATCAATTTTTTTTTTCATAAAACACTTTTTCTATAAAAAATTTTTGCTCACTCAGAGAAGATAAGTTTTTGGGGCAAAAAATAGCAATATTTCTAATGGTTTGTTCACTCATGGAGTGGGGGGAGTAAGCAATCTTCTCCAAAACATAGCCCAGAGCACCAAGGAATCGTCATCAATAGAAACTCTCCTATGCAAAGGATTTCTTCAAAACCTGAAATAATCCACAGAATCCAGTCACGACAAAACATCGAAAATAGCTTAGCCGAAGTGAATGTGTCAAGACCGGAAAACAAACCAAGCATTGTAAATAGAAAAAATGAAAATTTAATGCCTTCTCCTCCCGCTTGTCCAAGGCCCCCAAGACCTAGAAACCTAAACAGGATTGCTTCCCTCATTTTGGGCTCTCCCAAATCTGAGATCCCTAAGTCAGAAGCCCCAGCGTTTCCAAGCCCAATGGCGAATCGTATAGAATATCTCAAACAAAACGACAATCCTATATTTTCCCCACCCCCACAGCCAGTTAATTCAAGAATTAATAGGCCAGCAAAGCCACACTGGTGGGGTTAATTTTGTTTAATTTATTTTAATTTTAAATGTTTCCACATCCATTGTTTGAATTTTATAAATTTCCAAAGGAAGCTTTTGACAGAAGCAGAAACGCAAATTATGAGAAATTTCCGTTATTTGTGCAGGAAAGGGGAGGAAGAAATTATTATACGCCTTGCGGCTGGGTAAGGTATGGACTGAATGTGGAAAATAAATATCAAGATGCGAATTGGCTGACGAGTGATAGCTGGGCGATAGGATATTATGCTGCGGATATTGAGACTATTAGAGAAATTGTGAGGACAAATGATTTTTCAGTTGATGCGAAGGTCCAGGAAATGGGAAATCTGTATATGTTTTTGACGCCGTTTATTGATCATTTGGATCATTCTGGCCCGCTTACAATGCTGCCGAGAGAAGTGCCATGAGGATTTGATGGGAACTCTAAATATAAGGTAGTTTTGCAGTGCAAAGTGCAGTCAAGTGTTATTTTAGAGCTTCAAGATCCCTCACCTTTTTTTAACACAAGAACGAGGGAATTGATTTTGTGGAGGGCACCGATAGATTGTGTTCGACCATATACAATTTTGATAAAACAGATAGAATAATAATTCATTTTTAAAAATATTTATTTAAGCTACTCCAAAGCTTAAAATCTCAAAAAAGCTCAAGGCTAGATTTTCGCTAATTGATTATTCTTTGCATTTAAAAAATTTAAAATCAGTAATGCTATATATTATTTCAGACTTTTATTTAATATATTGTATTATTATCATCAGCTCATAATAAGCAAAACTGAATTTAACGACTTTTCAGCTTCTTTCATAAGTTCCTAAAATAATTTTATTTTCCTTTAATAATTTAATATCTATTTATTATTGCCATTTTCTGGTATGACACATGACTAAGTTTTGTGGAGTGGATTAATAACTTTTTTTACCATATACAAAATTTAATAATGTTCTTATAATGGCTTTATTTGAGTGCTCTTAAAGAGGTTTGTAAATAAAAAGATCCTTCAATAATCTTGATTGTGTTTATCAGGATACTTTCCTCATATAATTTATAAATGGGCTGCAATGCAAGTCAGGCTGACAAAGTTGTGCCAAAAACTCAGCCAGGAGATACAACAATATTCACAATCCCTCGCCCTTTAGCCACATATGATAATCCCCTGCAAAATCCATCGCTTGCAGAACTATTAATTAACAATAGTTTATCAACGATACAGTCTGTTGATGAATCAAGATTTAATTTAAACAACAAAAATATCAATTTTGCAATTGTATCTGAAAAATCAAGCATTATTGGCATAGCTCCAATTAGAAAAATACTTAATTTAATCACAATAGACACGCAGACAGCGCACTACCCAAGAAATATTGCAATTAATTTATATCATAATTTTAATATCCAGCCTACAAAAAGACAAGCTACATTAGCAAATGAGGAAACTCAAACTTTCCTTACTGCTGGAACACAAGATGCTGAGATGCAAACAATGGACTGTAAAGACTGTTGCTTAATAATACAAACAAGCGGAAGTTTCACTATAAATGGAGATACTTTTAAAAACAAAAGATCAAAAAGCAAGAAAAAAAACAGAAAAATTGAGGAAATATATGAAGAACAAACAATAGAAACTTTGGGGAAAAAAAGAAAAGATTTGCAGGAGATGAGAGATAAATCAGAAGACGAGGAAATTAATGGAGAAATCGATATAAATTTGCAAGAGGCTTCTGAAAGCGAAGACCACCTATTTAAACAAGGGATTCAGAATTCAAATAAATATGGACTGGAAAGTTATAAAGAATTAGATAGTTTTCAGTCAAAAAATGAGCCGACGTGCCAAGAGGAAAAAATTGAAATGCAAAAAAAGATCAGTGAACTTGAAGCAAAAATAAGAGAGCTAGAGCAAAAAAATAAGGATCTTGAAATCCATAACAGCCAGGAAGAAACAGTCCCTATAATTCAAGCACGGCCAAAAAAGACTGAGACCAGTAAATTCGTGAAGACCCTTAAAAAAGCTCACAGACATACAAAAAGTGATATCGGAACTCTCATAATGAATAGAGCTAAAAAAGAAACACCCAACTTTAAATATCCAGAAATCCTTGTATCTAATGACAATTCTATAATAGAAATAAAGCCAGACTTTGAGTTCAATCGGAATTTAGACTTTGATAGCCTTATTGATGCTAATAATAAAGACTTATTAAGCCCAGAATCAGCATTCGAAACTCCTTCAAAGCTATCTCACAGCAAAAGACATTCAATAAGTGATGCTTTTACAGCAGACGATTTTAAAAGCACTGATTTCTATGATGAATTTATCAATAATAACCCCAAATATAAAAGAGATCTCCATATATTGACCCCACAACCGACTTCAAGAAGCAGAATTAATTCTTCTATACAGACCCCTGTTGGAAGCTCAGATGGAACTTTAATAAAAACTTCGAAGTCGAATGGCCATCACTTTGTGTTTAGTGGCAAAGCAAGCCCAAGCAACATTTCTTATTCAAGCAAAAAGCGCTTTGATTTTAAATTTTTCACCCCAAAAGCGGTTGACCAACCACAAAATTCTAAATTAAAATACGATCTTCTAGACTCTGAAAGAAAAAGGCACATAATGGCTTTAAAAATTTATCAAAAAAACCAAACTGCTCCTAAAGACAACTTGAGTAAACTTATTGATGAAATTATCGACGAGCATATTAGCTCTTAAAGTATGAATTTATAAATATAATTAGTATACCAATTATTTTGGATTTTTTCTGAACATGCTTACAATTTCGTCAATTTTTTTGTTTTTTGGATTAGTTTTTAGCTCTTCTTTTACTGTTTCTAACTGTTTTCGCTTCGGCTTGTATTCGTCTAGTATCAGATGCTCAGGCTTTTGGATGATCGCTTCTTTTGATTTGTACCCGAATTTTGCTCTATATCAATTTAGCTGGATTTCAAGCGACCTGACTCTTTCTTCAAGGGCATCTTTTTCGAGTCTGATAGGTGTAAATTCATATTCCCTTTCTGATAGAGCACTATATCCTTTTGACTCTCTTGTGGCTTCACTTAGGTCAGTATAATTTGAGTGGAATGAAAAAGTGAAATTATCTTTGGATGAGGAAAAAGATGAATTTAAATTTTGGCTGGTTAGTTGCTGTTTCTTTAATTCTTCATTTTCAATTTTCAGCACTTTTATTGTCTCTTCAAGCTCTTTTATCTTTATTTTGGCACCTTCTTCAACTGTTTTTAGCTTTTCTTTATGCTCTTCTTCTATTAATAACATATTGCGATTTAGAGAATCGATTTCAGTTCTGTGGGTTTCTGATAATTTCGAAAAATCTGAGGTCAGTTCTTTTATTTTTGCTTCATATTCTTTCAGCTTTGCTTGATTCTCTTCTTCACATGCTTTCAGCTTAATTTTATATTCATCATCCAAAAGTGGTATTTTGCTGTTTAATGAATCTATTTCGCTTCTATGTGTGTAAGATAACTTTGATATTTCATTTTCAAAATCTTGAATAATTTGCTCTTTTTCTGATAGTGTGATGCCATTTTCAGTGTTCTCAAACTGCAATTTTTCATTCTCAGCTGTCAGTTTTTGAATTTTCATTCTTAATCTGATATTTTTAGAAATCTTTTTATGAACAGTATTAGATAAAAATGGCCATTTAGCCAAAAAAGTATAAATCTTGAATTTTATTTTTTTGTTCTTGGCACTCTTTACATAAATTTTCTATCATAATTTTATTAGATTTTGCATCATTTTCATATTCACTCTTACTTTCTTCATAAAGTGATTGCAACTTGGAATATTCTGACCTTAACTCTCCCCTCCATGAGCAAGCAAAGCCATTGGAAAATCCCTCCAATAATGACAAATACTTTTTATTAGCGATAATTATTATAATGAAATCTCTAGCTAAATCTGCTAAATTTCAAACAGTTTGCATTTTAAAACATAAATTAAATCAAATATCTGCTTTAGATTATTTCTAATTGGGTTTTTTTAAATTTTTAAAACCAAAAATAAGTAAAATTTGTATATAAGTTTTTATTCGCTCAGAGAGGAGGATTAAGGATAAAATTGTTTGAGCACTTTCATTTAATTTGTCGTTCAAGTTTTCAATTTCATTTTCCCATATATTTTCTTGTTCAGCGCTGAAATTAAATGAAGGAGCAATTACTATGTTTTTGTCTCTTGGAGATAGTAATGAAGAAACTCTTTGGTTGAAGTAACTGATGTGGGTGTCCTCTGGTAAATCTTCTAATGGAAATGGAAACTTATTAGGAAAGGTTTCTTCTTTGATAAAAGAAGTTGTGTCTGGATTTGATATGGGGATTTCTAGGTTACTCGAGTTTTGTGGATCTTTTGGAGTATTTATAGGACCTGTTGAGATATCGATATTCATTATAATCAAAATTAGTGGAATATGAATATTATAGATTTTTTATGAGAATCTAGAAGTTTAATTATTATTAGGCTTTTATGGATTAAAATTTAACTATAAATATTTTGAGTGTTATGTTAACATTAACAATTTTTGATTTAAGATATTCGTAATAAGGATACGAAAGTAGCATCCCTGAAGTTATAGAAATATAGAATTATTATTAAAAGTTATTTCCTAAGTTTTTATAAGTTTTAGTCTTGCTTACTCCCATATTTACAAAATGCAAGATAGCATACTCTTCATTAAAAATGGCGTCATGAGTAGCCTGCCCTCTTAAAATCTGCAGCTGTTCTCAGTTCTGAAGGTCGGAGACCTTGTGGAAAGGAGATAGCGTTCGGAAATGTGCGTCCGGTCAGTTTTTACTTGGTTTGGCGAATCGCAATGTCGGATTTAGCCGACCGCATGCTCTCATCCAGGCCAAGGTTTTACATCGTGTGGAGATAGCTCACTGGAGTTGGAAAGGAGAAGCCCGTCAAAGTTAGAGAGATCAATTGTCCAATCGGATAAATCCCTAGTGTGTTACGTCCTTTGCTCAATTCCATATTGGCTGATAGCTCGACCAGAAAATTCGATTTTTCGGAAAGAGTGAATCCCGTTGGCACACAGCATTGTGGCCCAGCGTTTCTGAATCTCGGACAGTACACAGTGAAGGCCATGTCTGAAACTGCATGCAAGCGGTGAATTATTATACAGAGGTGAATAGTAGCCTATGGGCCTGCAGGAGCTTTTCTATAGTAATTTAAGTTTAAAGTTAAGCAAGATACCACACTAGCAAATCTTTTTAATCGAGTAGGATCTCTTCTCCTTAGACTCAGCCAAGAGTCAAAAAACAACAAAATTTCAACTGAAGACGCTCTTCCTCTCTGCATAAACTACACCTTTGAAGGCGAACAGTCATATATACTTTATAATTGTGGCGAACCAACCCACCCTCGTAGCATCTGATCTGGGGAGACCCAATGATTTTGTGGGAGGGAGGATAACGTTTTTAATTAGTATCTGAATAGGTTATATACTTGGTTTGGTGGAGCGCAGTTTCCGATTAGGCCGACTGCAGCTCATTCCATATCAAGGTTTTACCTCTAGGGAAGATTTATAATCAGTGCTAGAAAGGGAAAGCCCAGCAAAGACCTAGCAATCAGGCAATTTCCTAGAGCAATAACTGGAGTTGCATCCTGAGCTGCAAGCTCTATTTTTGTTGAAGCCTCGGCTAGAATATTCCTTTTTTCAAATTCTCTGAAAGGGCAGCTCAGGTGTCCGGCATATTCCCACTACACCCAGCAAGCCCTATTTCTTGATGAATATAGCTGATAGGTAGATGCCAGGGAGTTATCTTGCAATTTGAGATATTAAAGCGAACTTTTCTATAATTTTAACTAAGAACCTTGAAGGCGAAACAGTCTGAAAACTCGTTTTCTCAGCTGGGTCCATTAATTACATTAAAGAAGAGCTCGAACAGAAAGACGGGTATTGCTACACTTTCAACGATACTTTAGAGTACAGCGAAACAGTTGAGTCTTTTCCTACAGAAATAGAGTCCGCGTTCCTCGAGTCCAAAATCACGCTAACGACTGAAGAAGACCAAGCTTTAAACGATCTTGAAAACAGGGTATCAAAAGGGTATTATGAGTCAAATTTCACAGAGGAAAGTGACAGCTTTGAGGACGAGTGATCTGCGCTCTCCACAAAGGAAAGCGTGGAAGCCTGGAAAAATGGCACTTTGTCTGTGCATGATACAGAATGTTAATAAATTAGGTCCTGCATTTAATAATTCTATTACTTAAAAGCTGAAGTTTCTCTCGTCTATTTTGTAGTGATCAAGGATTTTCATCCTATAGTATAGGTAGATTGCCCCAGTGACCACCATAACTGCACAGATAAAGGTCAAGGTGCACTGAAATTCGAAAAATATGATACTAAAAACTGCAGTTATTACCATAGAAACTGTGAGTGAAATCACATAAACAATGTTCCCTAGATTCAATTAAAAATATCTAAAAAAAATTATAATCAAAAAAATAATAAGAAGAACTTATATTTTAATTACACAAAAGTTCCCTAAATATTTAAACACAAAAGATAAAATCACCCCCATCAAGGATTGGGCTACTAGCACGTGTATGGCAGACCAGTCCCACCCATAAAAGAAGCCATTGGCGTTAAGTGACTCATGCTCTGTAAATAATAAATAAAATCCGTTCACAAAAATCCCATACATATATAAAACTAAGTTTTGGTACCAAATGCTGATATCTTGGCCTTTTTTGAAAAATAATTCTGTGTAAATACTTGAAGATGTGCTGATCAAGCACATTGTTGTGATAAAAAAGAGACCAAGTAAAGCTTTGGAAGATTCCCCTAGCAGATCAGACTTCGACGCATCAGGGGACGCTAAAATTGCTCCTATTGTCAAAAACATTAAAGCTAGCCACTGCAAATCAGTCTGTTTTTGCTTCATAATAATCCTATACAAGATCCCTGCAGTTATGATCCTAATATTTCCGAGCACATGGAATAGCGCTGGGTTTATATAGCTCAGCCCAAAATATACAAGTGTGTTTGAAGCTCCATAGAGAATTGCAGGGATCATATACCTCACTCCCCCCCCCTCCGTGAGTGAACAAAACCATTAGAAAAATCGCCATTTTTTGCCCAAAAACCCACCCTCCGTGAGTGAACAAAAATTTTTTTAATACAAAAATTTTTTATGGAAAAAAATTTTGATATATAAATGATAATTAATATAATGAAATCTAGAGCTAATTCTGTTTAATTTTAAATGAATTGCATTTTAAAACATAAATTTAATAAATTAAATTAATATTTGCTTTTCAAATTTTTGCAAATTAGGATTTTTTTTTAAATTTCAAAAAAAAAAATTTTTTAGAAAATTTATATATAATTTTTTTTAAAAAAAAAAAATTAACCCCCCTCCGTGAGTGAACAAAATTTTTTTGTTCACTCACGGAGGGGGGGGGGGAGTCAGTGAATCTTGAAATGATAAATTCATCATCGCAAATCTTTTGGAAGGGTCCGTAGTAGTGGCTGCATGCCATCACTCTGATCTTTTCAAATCGCATAGATTTTTTGTGGAAATTTACCAAAATTTTTGATAGCTATAATTTTTGCTAGAAAAAAACTGTTAAATATCTGTTGTAAAATTCCTGGGCAGCTTGGGGCAATAAAAAAATCAGAGCAAAATATGCCCCAGTAGTGTAATAAGAATAGAGAAATATAGGGATACATATAAGAAGCTTTGTGATTTCACACATCAGAACCATCGTGCCTTTGCTGAAGTTGTAGGACCCATCCTCTTGTTTGGCGGAAGCTATGGCTAGAGGCTGCCAGCTCTTGATTCCAATAGCCATGGAAGCAATTACAAGATAACTTACTCAGCTTAATGGAGATGGTTTTTTAGTTACGGAAATATCATTTTCTTCTAACTTTTTTATTTGAACTGGCATGGCTTCACCTCTGTGCCTCAGAACTGCTGCCATTTATACTTACTCAATTATTTATTTTTTCTGCTGATAAGTGTGCATAACTTATAAATTTTTGTGTTTATTACAAATTATTTTCGAAAAACTCCATTATAACTAAAAATTTTTAAAAAATTAAAAAAGTAAAAATGAAAATTGCAAATCACGTTCATAATTTAAGATGCCTAATTAGCTTAGATTTTATAAGGCATATGTCCTGGATCATATTTTTCTAATCGGTACTCTGCTCAAATATAGCGATCTATTAGGGTGCGTAAATTATTTCTAAAGCGATAATATGATCAAAGTGTGATAATCTATTAAAAGCTCCTAATGTTGTTTTATGTATTGGTTCATATTGAATAGAACTTAATTATTTTTATACATAATAAAATTAGCATATCCAGCAAAACAATTTTATCCGTATTGTGTCCTTGCTGAATAGGAAAGGAGTTAGATTTTTGATATTAAATCTAATAAATAATGCAGAAGTGTCAATGTGTGAATTGTAGAAGCGAAGCCTACTACGTCTGCAGGGAGTGCAATCAAGGTGTGTGCAAATCATGTGTTTCTGGGCATGATTGAACTCATTCAAAACTCTATAATGTTGCTCCAAAAGTTTCCCAAAACTGGAGTATTCTTAGATTGAACTTGGTTTGCACTTTATGCTATAATGGCGATGGGACTTTTATTCTCTTCAGGAAAAAAACAATCCATAAAATATGCAGAGCCTGCAAAGAAGTCTTAGTCTCCCAAGGCGAACAAGTTTTTGATCCTGAATGAGAATCACTATTGATAAAAGATAAAAGTCCGACAAGGTCAACAGAAAGGTCTCAAAGGCTTAGAGAGCTAACTGAAGCTTTTAAAGCGAAAGAAAGAAATTTCAATGATGAAGGAGAAGTTTTGGAAAGATTCGTAAATAATGGGCTACTCGAAAACAATAAAAAACTGTATGAAAAACAAAAAAATCTAATTATGCAGAAAAAAGAAGAGACCCGCGAATTTTTCAAAAGAATACTGCTAGATGCAAAAGAACAGCTGGGGAATGCAGAAATTAGCGAGCATACGATTGGAGGAAGGCTGCTCAAAATTTGTGCAGAAAATAAGGAAATAAAAGAGCTGAATGATATTAATATGATATCAACTCTCAATGAAAACAAAGAGCAGTTTTTACAGAACTTAAGAGCTTTTCCTGTCTTTAAATATATTCCTGCAAAGGAATTTGTAATACCTAAAGTTCTTTATTATTTTCTCGGCGCTTCCAATAGAGTATTCAAGATAACTCTTCCAAATAGGACTTGTGAATCTAAGAGCGCTTCAGTTAATTGAAAATTGTATGCTAACTGATGTGTCCTAAATAACAACGAAATTATTTATTCAGGTGGAGAAGACTATGGCTGTAGTGGAAAAACCTTTAAAATTTCTTATAATAACCTTGAAAATCCTCAGCAATTGACCTCATGTGTTGCAGTTTCACATCATTCAAATATTTACTATAAAGGCTACGTCTATTCTCTTGGAGGGAGCTATCCTTATGCACAAAGGCTTAATTTGACTACCAATCAATGGGAGAATATTAGTATCCGCATTGGGGAGCTTGGGCTGACAACTACGTGCACTATTAATCAAGGAATTTTAATTGGAGGGCAGTTGTCAAAAAACATTTTGCTTTATAACGTTGGAGAAAACAAATTATATTCTTTATATATGAATAAAAGCTTCAAAAAATAATCCTAATGGAACAATTATAATAATATATAGAATGATATTCAATATAAAGAGTTTAGAGAAACTTAGCTCTGAATTTAGCAGTGTGCATTGCAAGCTGCTACTTAAAGGAGAAAGATACGTTTACTGCCTTTGCAATAATTATTTATTTAAAAACAATCTTTCAAGCTTGGCGACTTGGGAAAAAATAGGTGAAATCCAATCAAAGAAATGATTTTCATACAGCCAAGGGGTTTGCATAGAAAATGAGATATATTTTATTAATGATGAAGACAGGGAGCTGTGGAAGCTTGATTGCAATACCGATCAACTTGAAAGAGTTTCTACTAATATATCTTTATAAAAAATATATTTTTTCAGAGATTAAATCCTTACCATAATAGCTTATCTTAAGCAAAGCGTGACTAGTTTTAAATATTCGATTTTTTGCAATTGAAATTATAAAATAGCTAAATTTAGGTCGAATCAAAGCATTTAGATTTCTATATTTTAATTTAAAATTAATTTTATAAATCAGCTATCCTATAGAATCCTATTAATTCATTTCAGAACCATTTAGATTAGTAATTAATAGGGATTGATATCAATCTGTTAATAATTAATGGCATTCATTCCAACTATTTTAGCTGTGCTGGCCATCGCAAGTGCTCAATATACTAAAACAACTACAGGCAACGAGTTCTACAAATGCATCCAAAAATGCAAAGAGCTCTGCTGGAATTCGGACAATCCTGGAACTGTATGTGACGACCAATGCTCTGTCAAATTCTGCTATGGAGACCCTCAAGAAACAATATCCAAGCTGCAAATTTTCTTACAGCAAGAAGGCATCATAGAGTCTCAGCCTGAAGAACAAGGTGAAGCCTTAGAAGAAGGAGTCCCTACAACTTTGCCTGCCCAAGAGGAAACTCAAAGTGAAGAAGAAACCCAAAGCATTGAAGAAGCTACTGAAGAAGAGAGTGCTGCAACAGAGGAAGAAAGTGCTACAACAGAGGAAGAAAGCACTACAACTGAAGAAGAAAGCACTCATGATGAAGAGCCTTTACCTGCAGTCGACCCTATAGTGATTGAAGAAGAAGTCCCTGAAGAAGCTTCAGAAGAATCAGAGTCTAAAGAAGACTACGGTAAGTATGCGACTGAGCACCCAAGCCATCCTTATCACGAGTTTTGCAAAAGCAACAAAGACACTCCTAAGCCTAACACCCAAGTCAAAAAGACCCAATCTGGCTGGGGCTTAGCCATTATACAGTACTCTCTAATTGCTGCAGTACTCCTTATCATTGGAAAACTATACTACAGCTATAGGAGACAAACCAAGAAAGTTACCTATTCGTTCGAAGAAGGGGAATCCCAGGTGCCTTACTCAAAAATTGCAACCCAAAAAGTTTAAATAAAGAATTTAACATTTAAATTTGCATGGATACTTTTACTTCTCTGTGTCTTTAATTAAATAGGATCAGATCCAGCTGGATTATTGACTTTATGGAACAGTTTAATGGCATCATGCGTTGTGTTATCGCCTTCCTCTATACCTTTTAGTAGAAGTTTACGCTTTCATCGGCTTAGTTTCAAAGTTGGTGACTGCGATCCTGCCCTTTCCTTTTTTTCTAAAATTTCTGACACTTTTAAGATCAGTCCTTTCAAAAGTGTCTTAACAAAGATTTTAAGGAATGAAGAGTGGTTGTATTTCTCCACATTTTCAATGCCCTCTACAAACCTTTTAGCATCGCTCATATTGGATACAATCCCAATTTCGATAACAATACCTAGCACTCTCTTTTTATCTAAAAACCCTTGAGCTTTATCAGACTTATTTCACAAGTGGTTTATAATCTCCAGCTGCTCATCAAAGCTTCTTGACTGCTCTAGATTTGTCTGTTTTCTCATCAGCGAAATATCTTGCTTTTTAATAGCTCTTTTGTCCTCATTTGTGTCAAAAATAGAGATTCCTGTTTGAAAAATCACTTTTTGCTCACTTTTAACTGTTTCGTCAAACGCCAAACAGTTCAGCTTGTTCAAAAACACATCGGACGAGCTACAGAGCGCAATAATTTCATTTTCATTTGTCAGACAATTCATTGGGTCACTCGTGTTGAAGCATAAACTCAAAATTTCCAGCAGACTTTTCGGTTTCTCACTCAAGCCTAACGAAACCAGCAATTCCCCTAATTTCCAAACAGAGATTCCTTGGCTTCTTTCAGAAAACTCACACAATGCCTTTACTGCATTTTTCACTCGAAAATCCCCTATACTTTCGATTTTTTTAAGCTTTACAATTTGATTTGCTTTCTGGTAAGCTTCTTTGCTTTTGAAAATTTTATTAAATGTCCTTTTTATCATGAATGGGTTGACTTCTTTAACTTTTAAAGGGGTTCTGGTGCGGCGGGAACTCAGTTCTTTAAATTTATTGATGACTCGAGGCATAATAACGTCTCATATCACAGGCGGCGAGGTTTTTTCGAAATCAGCTCTCTTTTCTTTAAACATAGTTTTCATTATGTGATGGTCATTTTTTAAGAGGAGCTCGTAGCGTGCTGCAAGGTTTCGAGTGGCTTGATAATCGTTGACAGATTGAGGAAGCGGCTGGCTGTGCCTAATTCGGTTAGGCTTCGTGGTTTTGGGAGTTGCATATATTTTAACTGAAGTGTTCGGAGAAGAGATTGCTGTGGTCGGGAGAGGAGTCAATGAGGTCCGGGAATGCTGATATACATAATTAGAGGATCGATCATTACTGTCGAGTTTTTTATAGTCATACACATCGGCTAATGATATGCTGCTTATATTGAATAGATATTTTGTTGATTTTCTTATATAGTCTAGAGAGAGCTATAGGAAATTTCTCTATTTATTATAAAAAAGATATGCCCACTTATAATGAATATAAACATTTCTTTTGGCAGCTATTATATATTAAATAGAAAATTGTTAGCTAGTAGGAATGATTTTATTTATTATAAAATAGCATAGTATTTTTTTGTGGGGAGTGAGATTAGTGGGAATTAGTGTACCATTCATTTAATAATGAATCTTACTCTTCTAAAACAATCTTATTCACTCAAGGAGGGTTTAATGTTTTTTTAATGTATAATTTTTTATAGTAAAGTTTTTTTAAAGAAATTCCAATTCGCAAAAAATTTAGAGGAACATTATTTTTAATTTTTAAAATTTATGTTTTAGAGCGCAGCTTGTTTAGAATTAGCTCGAGAATTCAATATATAGTCAGTTAGACTGACTATAAAAATTATTATAAAATTTTTTGCTCGTATCTTTCCAATTAAAAAATGATGGTTTTGTTCGCCAAGAAGGGAGCTAGAGAAAATTTAGAATTAAAAACGCTATTTGCAGAAACTAAATCTAAATTTATATTGAAAGGGGTTTATTAGTCATTATTCAAAAGGAATGTATTTTTCTGGATCCTCAATCATATCTTTCATTCTATTTTCCAGCTTCGCCCCTCTTGTCCCATCCGCAAACCTATGATCAGCAGTGATCATAAAATTCATGGTTTTTTCCACCTCAACTCTTCCATTGTTTATCACTATGTCATCCTTTATTTTCGACAGCGCAATAAGCACGTTGCATCTTAAAAACGTAGGCATAGGCGCATATCCTAAATCCACTCCCACTTCTCCTACATTAGATATTAATATCCCTCCAGCTGGGTGCTTTTTTAAGTTCAGGCTTGGAACTGAGATTCCCAGCAATACTGTTACAAAGGCTACTATTTCAAGTAAAATTCCTCCAAGGCAGCTTGGGACGAATTTATAAATCCCGCTGGCTTTCTTGTGTTTTTCTTTTTCATCCCCTGTTTTTAATGATTTTACCCTAGTTTCAGCTTCTTCTACGATATTCATCAATGTTTTTTTGTCGCATTCTGAATAAGTGATCATCCCAAGGTCTCTGCCTTCGTCTATTGCAACGAGACAACTGACATCACAAGTCTTGTGAGGCTTGTAAAGCCCAAACGCTAATTTTCCGTTCATGTCTGGGAAATCAGGCATAATAGCGCCTGATGCTTTTGAGACAAGATGGGTGATGGTCACTTTTTTGCCTGTTTTTTCTCGAATTTTGTTGATATATTCAAGGGCTTTGTTAACTCGGACTTTGAACGAGCCGATGATTTCTGGGCCGTCTGGGTCTGAAAAGCGAGAGATCAGGTATTTTGAGTGAGCTGAGTTTCATTTGGAAGCTGAAGGTGGAGTGAGAAGGTGGGATAGTAGAAAATAGGCTGAAAGAAAGAGAAGGTAGAGAGTAAGGTAAGTCCAGTTGTAGAGGAAAACATATATGATAGAACTGATGATTGCACAGACAGCTAGGCCATTCATATTTTTAATTATTGCAGAGATAGCAATTTTATAACTAAAAATACACAATTAATGGAAATAGAAGAGGCCAAAACAGAAAGCAAAGGAATGAAATACTGTGAGTCTTTGCATTTCTTCAGAGTCCTTAATGGCTCTATTGCATGCTCACCTCGCCCTACTCTTAAAGCTATTCAATTATTCCGAAAACTGTCCTTGTGCACCACAGTGGTCACTTTACTATCTCCTTCAGAAACCCCAAACCAAATTAAAAGAGCATGCAAAGCCCAAAAGCTGAAATGGACCTGAATTCCTATTAAAGCTGTAAGCAGAAAATTGCTTCACGAAAAAGCGATCCATAATGATATAAAAAAAGGCTTATTAGAAGTAAGAAACCATCTGATGAATGGAGAAAAAATTTTGATTCACTGTGCTGCAGGAATACACAGGACAGGAGCTTTTACTTATACGCTGCTAAGAATTAGTGGGCTTTCTCAAGATGAAGCTTTTAGTGCAATTAGAGAAATTAGAGAAGAGACCCGAATGAGATGTGGAATCCATAGGTTTGCGATAGGCGAAGTTTTAGCTAAAATGATTACAGAAGATTTGCCAGTTCAGATAGTAGAAGAAGTTAGCTTGGGAATCCCAGAAACTGACTATTTGAGTAATAAGGAAAATCCGCTATTTTGGATAAGAGTCGAGAAAAATGAGTGCTTGGTTAAGGTGAGCTGCTGCATGACAAATTTTGATGTGAAAAAAATCATTCCTGGCTTTGAAGTTTTCGCACAGGTGGAGGACACTGAAAAAATGTTTTCTTATCGATTTTTGAGAAATTTTGAAAGAAGAGATGGAATAGAAATAAAGCCATTAACTCTCCCCTCCTCCGTGAGTGAACAAAAAAATTTTGTTCGCTCACGGAAGGGGGTTAATTTTTTTTTAAAAACAATTTATATATAAATTTTCTAAAAAATATTTTTTTCGAATTTAAAAAAATCCTAATTCGCAAAATTGGAAAGCAAAATATTAATTTAATTTGCAAAATTTATGTTTTAAAAAGCAATTCGTTTAAAATTAAACAGAATTAGCTCTAGATTTCATAATACTAATTATCATTTATATATCAAAATTTTTTTTCCATAAAAAATTTTTCTATTAAAAAATTTTTGTTCACTCACGGAGGGTGGGTTTTTGGGCAAAAAATAGCGATTTTTCTAATGGTTTGTTCACTCACGGAGGGGGGGAGTAAGCGAAGTGAATAACCTCATAAACGAATTCGTAAGGAGCTCAACTCCAGCTAAACACTGCATCATGTCCGGGATATTATGCCATATCGACAGAGAGTTTGTTTATAAATTTATGCCTGATGTCCTAAGTCATTTGCATTATAGAATTATAGATATTGGAACATTTTATGAAGAAATGAACAAAGATATACCAACAACACAAAATTTAGTTGAAGACTTGCAGCTGTTCTTGAGCTTAAAACAGAATTACTTTAAATAAATTAATGTTTAAATATAAATATACATAAAATGGGCTAGTGGCGAGTGACTTGCCCTCCCCCGTGATGTATATTATTACATGGCTATTGTGCAAGGACCTGCACAAGGGTTGCTCTAGCATCGAGAAAAGAGATCCAGCACTACTTCGGTTAATTAGTGGTCTAGCTCGAGGGGCAGGCTTTTTCATTTTTTTTTACAGGCAGCATCCAGGCCCAAGTTGGTGTCTGATAGAGGCATGGTTACTTACCTATCTTTGCTGTTTGGTGGCTCTGCCCTGAATGGCTTAAGCTGCTAAATTTTTTTTGTTGGGCTGATCCAGTAAAAAAGGTGAAGGCAGTGCTCGACAAGATCTTGCAAGGGCACAAGTCTTCCAAAAAAGGGTCCCACATTGGATGATCTGGCCTATGCTTAAGCAGGGTTTGAGTAAAATTCGTATTACTCGGCCCATGGAGGTAAAATGCCTCTACTGAGAAATCATGGGTTTTGACCCTACTTAAGTTAACTGTGAAACGCATTGTGCTTAGAAATTGAGGACTATAAATAGAAACCTTTAATCTAATCAATCTATTTAATGTTCAATATAAAGCCAATATATCTATATATTTACTTAAATGACTAAGGAAATTAGTAAATTCATGAGTGAATATTTTCTTTGCATTATTTTTGGAAATAAGCTTTTATTCATTTCCTAACTCACCCTCTTTAAATTGAACAAAATTTTTTTAAAATTTTATAGGTGAAAATACTAATCTCTATACAAATAGCTTTGAACTATTAATTGAATAAGTGCAAGTAGAATATTATTTAAAACAATAAGCGCAATCAATAAATTAATTTTGTAATTAATCCTTATATAAAAAATTAAAATTCAAGAAAAATATATTCAATTATTTTATATTAATTTTTCTTCAAAAATTGGTCCCTTTAAATTGGATCCAATTTTATTATTTCAATTTAAAATGTGTATGGCAAGATTTTTGATTAATATCCTTATGAAATTATTAATATTTTTTTTGTTTATAACCTCACTCATAGAACTATCACAAATTATTATATTTTTTTAAAAATCCAAGCGAAGATATTTCTTTCGCCTATTTAAAATTTATTTTCTTATATAATAATCTCGCCAAGTAAATGGTGCAGTCCCACAAGATTTTAGTCTATATCTTCATGATATTAATGCTAATTTCAGGCACAGCCAATACATTAACAGCCAAAGCAATGGACATAGTCCATTCGGAAGGCTCAAAATTTGAGCATCCTTATTTCCAAACTGCAACTATGTTCATGGGCGAAGTATGATGCCTAGTAATCTACTATATAATGCAATGAATTAACCGAAAAAAAACAAAAGAAAGCGAAAACATCCCAATTTTATGAACCAAAGACCCACCTCAGAAAGCAGGTCTCTATAAGAAAATGGGTCCGTTTATTTTTATCATCCCAGCATTTTTCGACTTATTAGGCTCTACTTTTATCTTTATCGGACTAGTGCTTTCAGCAGCGTCAGTATACCAGATGATTAGAGGGTTCATAATTGTGATTGTAGCGATTTATTCCATGATTTTTCTGAAAAGACGATTATTTAGGCATGAAACCACAGGAGTTATCATGATAACCCTTGGTATCGCTATAACAGGCCTAGCAAGTGTCCTTTATAAAGCAAGCACAGCCCAAGACCCAGTACTTGGAATCATTATTTTAATTGTAGGAGAAGCTCTATCAGGCGGAATGTATGTCAGCGAAGAATTATTTTTAAAAAATGTAAAAGTCGACCCTTTACATGCTGTAGGGATTGAAGGACTTTTTGGCTTTAGCCTTTACTTGATTATTTTGCCAATTTTATATGCAATTCCGTGCGATGATAGCAAAATGTGCCATGATGGGAAAGTTGAGGATTTTGTAAAAGCATTTGAACAAATTGGGGCCAGCTGAGAATTAATGCTGCTTTGGTGGGGGACGATGATAAGTATTGCCTCGTTTAATTTCACAGGAATCTCAACAACAAAGCATGCGAGCTCTTTGGCGAGGTCAACCATAAGTGCTGCTAGGACATTTTTGGTATGGATTTTCAGTATCATTGTGGAGTGGGAAGAATTTTTGTGGCTTCAACTGATTGGGTTTATTTTGCTTGTTTTTGGGACGCTGTTGTATAATGAGGTCATAATTTTCCCTTGGTTTGGATTTAAGGAGTCAGTTCAAAAGCATAAGCTGCAGCTGGAAGAAAGCAATAATAAAGTGGATACGATAACGACAGAAGATATTGAAAATTTTAGGGACATTAAATATGATTCAGATTAATTGTAATTATAAAAAAGAATCCGACCTTTAAATGATCTTTTAATCTTTAATAGAAATTTATTATCGCATTAGCTAAACATTTAATAAAGCTGAAGAATTAGTTTTAAAGAGATTGGCAATTAGGATTAAAAGATAAATTCCATTGGTTATATTTGATTTAAGTAGCTATTAAATCAAGTCTCTAATATATAGAGCATTATAATTTGCATATAAAATCATTATTTTAATAATTATTTGGTTTTGAAGATCACGAAATTCCATCTTGTTTTCTAAATATGCTTACTCCCCCCCCCCCCGTGAGCGAAACAAAACCATTAGAAAAATCGCCATTTTTTGACCAAAAACCCACCCTCCGTGAGTGAACAAAAATTTTTTTAATAGAAAAAATTTTAATGGAAAAAAATTTTGATATATAAGTGATAATTAGTATAATGAAATCTAGAGCTAATTCTGTTTAATTTAAACAAATTTGCGTTTTAAAACATAAATTTTGCAAATTAAATTAATATTTGCTTCCCAATTTTTGCAAATTAGGATTTTTTTAAATTTCGAAAAAAATATTTTTTATAAAATTTATATATAAATTTTTTTAAAAAAAAAAATTAACCCCCCCCTCCGTGAGCGAACAAAATTTTTTTGTTCGCTCACGGAGGGGGGGGGGGGGGAGTTTATAATAATTTCTTGTTGATGCCAAACGCATACTTAATTTAGATCTCAGTTACTTCGTTTGCTAACTAATCGAGATATGAAATTAAGTCTTGTTGGAGAAATATATTCCCTAAAGCACTAAATGATTATAGGTTAGATTTGTTTTCTAAGCATCAATGAAGCAGCCATACACCAACTCACAGTCTTTTAAAAATCTTGACTTAATCTAAATAAATTCAAAAAAATTAATTTAACGTAATTGTGTTGAAAAATTAAATTCTCTATTAGTAATGTCAAACCCAAGCAATATCCTGATTTACATCTTTATGATCTTGATGCTAATTTCAGGAACAGCAAACACTCTTACTGCTAAAGCAATGGACATAGTTCACTCTGAAGGCGCCAAATTTGAGCATCCTTATTTCCAAACTGCATCAATGTTCTTCGGAGAAGTTTTATGTCTATTAATTTACTACACAATGCAAAGGATCAACAAAAGAAAAATTAGCATCGACTCTAAGCCAATCTTAGGGTCACCTCCTCCAGCCCCAAGGACTGGCCTGTATAAGAAATTAGGTCCTTTTATATTTGTAATCCCAGCATTTTTCGACTTATTGGGTTCAACATTTATTTTTATCGGACTTATTCTTTCGGCCGCATCTGTATACCAAATGATAAGAGGATTTATAATTGTAATTGTGTGCATTTATTCAATAATCTTTTTAAAGAGAAGACTATTCAGGCACGAAACTACAGGGGTGATTATGATTACCTTGGGAATAGCCATAACAGGCATTGCTAGCATCGTTAATAAAGCAAACACAGCTGAAGATCCTGTGCTAGGAGTTATAGTTTTATTTATTGGGGAATTGCTATTGGGAGGAATGTATGTAAGCGAAGAATTGCTGCTGAAAAATGTTAATGTTGATCCTTTGCAAGCAGTAGGAATTGAAGGGCTTTGTGGCTCATGTATGTATTTGCTTATTTTACCAATTTTATATGCAATCCCTTGCAATGAGCCTAAAATGTGTGACGATGGCCGTGTTGAAGACTCAATACAAGCACTAAAGCAGATAGGGGCGAGCTGACAATTAATGTTCCTATGGTGGGGCACTATGACCAGCATTGCTTCTTTTAATTTTTCAGGAATTTCGACAACGAAGCATGTAAGTTCTTTGGCAAGGTCCACAATTGGCGCTTCAAGGACGTTTTTTGTATGGATTTTTAGTATGATTTTGGAATGGGAGAATTTCTTATGGCTTCAATTGATAGGGTTTGTTTTATTAGTTTTTGGGACTTTGCTATATAATGAAGTTCTTGTGCTGCCGTGGTTTGGATTCAAGGAAGCTGTAGGAAAGCATAGGACTGCTTTGCTCGAAAAAAGAACAAAAGATGGCACGGATGAGGACGCCATCGAAATTGTGGGAGATTTTAAACTTGGGATGCAGTTTAGTGCATGCACACTATAAGATATTATGATCGTAAATAACCCGATTATAACTGAGCGATAAATCCCTTCTAAGTTCTGGTGCGCCAATTACAAAAATGAAGTCTTATAGTCTTATACTAGTGAAGCATATGCCCGTTGCTCTAAAAAATAATAAGTGCTGTAATTGTGATCTCGTCTTATAAATGCATGCCAGCAAAAGCGAATTTCTGAAAAAGTATCAGACTGTAAATTTAGACATAATGATTTAAACCGCGAAAGAAGTAAGAGTAACCATTTTTCGAAATGTGAGCATCAGAAAGCCTAGCATAATTCTGTTGTAACTGCAGCATAAGGCTATTTTAACTGAATTATAATCTGGGCATCTGCTACACTCATTAAGAAAACCAAATTTTGGGCTGCTGCCAACATAAGCCATCATTTCTTTATTATCCTCAAAATAATTTGTTAAAATATTAACACAATATCATAAATCGGAGCTCTTATTAACATAAAGCAGATTTGCCTGATTATTTATTAGCGTTCTTAGCCTTGCTGCTGGCCTTCCCCACTCTCTTGTATTTTCAGCAGTGCTTCCAATTCTTTGATTTTCTGAGCTTGGCTCTCCATTTCGGCTGCCATTTTTTCTATCACCAATTGCTCTTGGCTAACTTCCTCTCTTAATTGTATTATTAAGCTCTCTAGCTCGTTTTCAGTCTTTTTCCTTTCTTCTTTTATAGCTTCTGCTTGGCTTTCTATAATTTTATCCTTTTCTTCAATAGTTTCTAAAGCTCTTTTTAGTTCGTCCTCAATGCTTCTTATGTCTTCTTCGCTTTCATAGGATTCCTTGTGGAATGCTTCATTCGAGACTTTTTTGAGTTCCCGCAAAACGTTGTCCCAGGAATTCAAGCTATCAGTAGGCCAGAAGTTGTCGACTGAAGGGATTCGGTCACTGGCTGCGTAGACTTCGCTTAGGATTGAAGATAGTGTGGTCTTTGAGACAACCGTTGGCATTTCATTGAATTCTTCAATGTACTTTTGAGACTCAAGATAAGTTGCTGGCAAACTTTCAGTGCTTACTCCCCCCCCCTTTAAAATTGGAACAAAAAATTCCATTCCAATTTAAAGGAAGTTTAAGAAAATTTTTTAAAAAAAATATCAATATAAAAATTTTTTATAAAAAAAATATCAATATAAAATTTTTTTATAAAAAAAAAATTTCAAAAACTTATCGAATTAGATCAATAAATTTGTTTAAAAAAATGATATTTACTCTTTATCCTTTAAAACAAGCAAGATATAACTAAATTATCATTATTAGTTAATATGCCACTATTAATTGGTATCAAAATTATTTACACAAAAATTATTATTTTTATTGATAAAAAAAAAATTTTAGAAAATTTATCAATTTAAAGTGCTAATTTTGTTTTATAAGATGTTATTTATACTCTGTTCTTTAAAATAAAGCAAGAAATAACTAAATTTTTATATTTTTTTAAGAATTCGCATTGAATTTATATCAAAACTATTTAAATAAAAAATATCATTTTTTATGAAAAAAAAATTAATTTTTTTTTAAAATTTAGCAATTAAGGATAATAAATGTATTTAAATAAGATACTCTCTTCTTTAAAAAAGAGCAAGATATAACTAAATTTTGAATTTTAGTTAAGAAGAAACATTTAACTTATATCAAAACTTTTTAGATAAACATTATATATAATTTTTGATTATAAAATTAAATTTTTGTTCCAATTTAAAGGGGGGGTAATTTACCAAAAAAAATGGAAATTTTACCTATATTTTGTTCCAATTTTAAAGGGGGGGGGAGTTAGCAATATTTGAAGCGAAGCATTGCAGGATTTTATTAACTCTTTACATTTTGTGAAATCTGAATCGCTCTCACTTGTTGCTGTAGGAACTTTTGAAACCACTGATAAGCTATTAGCAAGAACAGTTAGTGAATTTAGTAGTTCGTTAGCCTGATCTTTAGTAAATATATTTTGGGACGGCTCCTTTTGACTTAGCTCTTTTGATTTCTGAGTGCCAGCAATATCTAGTAGCTTAACAATTGCGTCTAAAAATATTGGGTGAATTTCTTTCCAATGAGCAGTCACTTTAATAAGCTTCAGAATAGGCATTTCTTCTTTTTCCTGGGATACTTCTCTAAGAACTTTAATCAGCTTCATAGTAGTTTCCTTAAGATCTGAGTCCTCTATTTTTTCAATTTTCGCTTCAAAAGCCTTGGCCATATCATCTGTCATATTGTCCACCGAATGGGTTTGCTCTTCTGGGAACACTTGGTTTTCCAGCACTTTTTCTTTACTTCTTTCCAAATCATCAAGAATTTCCTGATTTGTTTTAATGTCATCCACCAATCTTGTAATCGCATAAAGATGATCAGACGGTGTTGTTGGTTCTGCATAAATCACATTCAAAAAAGTCCTTTTCTTTTTATTCCCTCTCCTCATCGGTTCTTTTGCTGAACAAATCAATTCGAGCTTGTTAACGTTTTCCTCAGACTTCTTCTGATTCGCCAGTTGCATGTCCTTGACGACTAGCAAGGACTGAAAAACATCGTCCAAGTTGTAGCTTTCTTGGAGTATTCTATCAAGAATATTGTTCAAGTCGAGCCCATACTCTGTTAGCAGGACTGGCGAAGGCGAGCTGATCATAAGGTTTTTTCCTTCATTGATCAAAGCTTCGAAATCTTGTTTGATGACTGGATTGTTCCTGACAAGCTTGTTAAAAGCAGAAATCACATTAGCTTCAAGTTGAGTCAGCAGCTGAGACAGCTTTTGATTGGATCTGTCAGAAATCCCAGTCAAGTTTCGAGCTTGTCTTCGGATCACAGGCGGCGCTGAAATTGTCTTTTCAAGGGCTGGCTGCTCTTCAAAAGTAGGGACTGAAAGAGAAGCTTCGGGAGAAAGAGCGCTGGTTGACTCCAGGTCCATTGTAGGAGGGATAATTGGGATTGATAAAGATGCAACGATTGGAGATGAGTTATTATTCGGCTCTTCCATTTAATTATCAGATATAAATTGTATGTAAAATTCAGTGAAATAAAGAGATTGCTTATTAAAATTGGAGATTATTATAGCTCGGTTAAATCTGCGACAGAATCCGCTGTATTCTGTGAGCAGTCTAATTTTCAGATTGTTATTATTTCGTTTTCAATATCATTTGTGACAAAGTAAATGTTTTCTTTGTAGTATAATGCTTGAGAAGGACTCCATCATTTTCTTTCTTTTATATTTCTGACAAATGTTCAGCTCTTGCTGGAGAGGGGACTTTGATATAAACTATTATTGCATAAGCAGTAAATACACTGGGTATGTCCCACTTCCAATAGCACTATTTCCCAAAGATAACGCCACATGCTACCCAGAGACATGGAGATGGCTTCCACCTTGGCATAAGCCTTCTCGGTAGAGGATTTTCTATTGATCCAACAATGCAAATTTATTGGAACTTCCATTCCATAAGCCTTGGCCCATGTTGTGCCAGCCCTTGCCAGATCACCATTTTTATCGGCCATTTAAACTGGAGTAATATTTGTTGGCTTCAGAATTTAAAACTCAATAGCTTTTAATTTTTGGATAGCCACCAACCAATATGGGCAGGCAAGTCTGCGTTCCTATCAGTATCCAATCAAGACTTGAGTTCTTTGGGAAATTGTTATTTGAATCAGGACAATAATGAGCTGAAATTAAGCTTAGCCTCTCCCATCGATGTTAATTCGACACTTGGGCAGCTTCCAAAATGAAAAGCACGCCCGGGTATAAGTACCTATCACAGGAGAGCTAGTCTGGCAGCAGCTATTTATAAATTTGTTTATTGGTCTTTAAACGAAAATTTATAGGTTGAACAAGTGACCCCATAATTTTCTCCACCAGAAAAAACCACTTCGTCATATCCTGTAACACATCAGCTACCGAAATGATTTCACTTCACTTCAGAGTTTTGCTTTTCAAGACTACCAAATTGGGTATTATACTGGAAAACTGTGTTCGAATTAGGCTGCAAATAATAAATGCATGGAGAAATAGCTGTGTCGATTTTAAATTCCTCCAAACCAGTAAAGATATTTCTTTCATCATGATTTTCTTCATTAAAATCTTCCCTACTTCTAGGATAATGTGCATTAAGCGTTTTCATAATATCAAAAATATCTGGTCTTTGCTTATAGTCTTTATTTAAACAACTTATAATAATATCTCTTAGATCATCCGAGTAATCTCTTAAGAATGGCCTCATGTTTTTTTTCTTTAGTTTTGAAAAATATTTCTTCTCATCGATTAAGCCGATAGCACCAAATGGGTGGGAAAATTCGCACATTTCATATAAAATAACTCCAAGAGCCCATATATCGCGTTTGCTATTATATCAGCCTTTTTCTATTTCTGGAGAATAATAGTTTGTTGTGCCAGAACTACCATTTATATGTGCGTCAAGTGTAGGCACAATCCTTGATAAGCCAAAATCGCCTATTTTTAATTCTTTTTCTGTGCAGAAAATATTTTCAGGTTTTAAGTCACAATGAATGATAAGGTTACTGTGTAAATACTTGATACCTGAACAAAGCTGCTGCATATAACTTCATATTAATCTTCGCTTAGTGGCGTATCCCCTTGTAGTTTTTTCCTTAGATTACCTTTACTGCAGTTCTCCATTACAATGCAAATATAGTTGCTGCTTTCAAAAAATCTATGGGACTTAACAATATTATTGTGATTGAGATTAAATAGAATATTTGCTTCAAATTTCGCCAATTTTCGATTTTCATCATTGTCCACATGTATGCTTTTTAATATGTATCAATTCTTCTCGGCTAAATCAATATTACTGTCATCAAAAGTCTTATAGATTTTTGAATTTATGCTTATATCAATCTCTGTCTTGTTAGCTAATTTGAAGGAATTGCGGTTGATGAGTTCCGTTTCTTCTTCATCTGGCCTTTGTGGGCGTGAAGATAAGGAATCTCTGGGAGTTGGAGGGATTTTATTACCCATTTTTATGCCAAAGAGTTAATTATATTTTTATATTTATATCCCTTTATTAGAAAATCTAGCTGAGCAGAAAGCTTCATTATTTAATTCTTTGTATAGCACTCAGCTCGATATTTCATAATTTATATTATCATATAAGAGAAAGCACTCCTTTGTCCTTAAATCTTCCAAAAAAATATTTATTAAGAATTTCATTTAAATCTCAAGTAAAGAACAATCAGTGATTGCTAAATAATAAGAAAATGGAAGAGAACGATAAAGAATTCAGGCAGTCGTTTTGCTTACCGATGTTTTTCCACACATATAAAGAAGGCAAATCAATCTACTCTGTAAACATCCCGAAAATCATGTTTTTATTTGCATTAATCATGCTTGTTGCTCTTTATGTAAGCTTACTTTTGGGATGTTTAAGCAATTTTTACTGCAAATCGTTCCTCCCATCGCCAAGCTATTTAGGATGCTTTAGAGGGCATGATAGGGTCATGATTGCAGCTTATACTTATTATGCCCTAGTCCTACCCCTAATGTACATTGGTGCTTATTGCCATTATTTACCAATTTTATCAAACACAAAGAGAGCTCTTTTAAAATACACTGGGATTGCTTCATGCCTATTTTTACCATTAATTGCCTACACAAATGATATCAATGGGACTCACGTGCTTCCTTTTGAGCCAATTCACAACTTTGCTTGCATTGTCTTTTTATTTGCAAATATTCTATGGAGCTGCATGGTATTTTTGAATATTAAAAATACTGAAACTGTGCTGAATTCGAAAGAAAAGAGCTGGTATTTTTTTCTTAATGCTATTTTGTGGAGCTGGGTTGCGATAGGGGTTTTGGCCTTACTGGAGTGGGAATTTGCTTATTCTTTATATGCGAATTCATTGTTTAATGAATACGTAAAGTCACTGTGTGAGTGGGTTTTGGTCACTTTGGCGATTGTGATGCCTCCTGTATTTTGCCAATTTTTTAGAGGCTTGGTGCTTACTTTTACAATTGATTTTGATTTGAAAGAAACTGGAAAAGATGAAAGTGTGGAAATGGCGGATTTAAAAAATTAATTTAAATTAGATTAGTGATAGACTAGCGAATTCTTTTAGTAATTAATTTTCTAAACCTCTTTGTTGATCAATTATGCTTTAAATAATTTTATTAAATAGTTGATAGATTTATCTTTGCGATCAGACCAAAAATAAAATATTTAATTTAAAAAAATATATTAAGAGCTTGGCTTGATATCATAAGCTTTGTCATAAGATAAAGTAGCTTGATCATAACTCACAGGATTCCATCCTGGAGGTGGCTGAACAATATTTTGTGGAGGAGTATAAATTGAATACAATGCCATTGGCATTTCAATTGAAGGCTTTTCTCCTCCACAAAAGCAGCAGCCATCTAATTCTGCATGGCAATCCAATGCATAGCAGCACTCAATAAGATATCCTCTTGTTGAATATATCATATCGAGTTTATTTTTAACTGAAGGTAAATTCAAGTTGCAGACAATAGAATTAGATTCCTCCATAGATTCTCCACTCAACAGTCCTCTTGAATTATCTTCTATAATTTTCTCTCGATAAAAGGTTGAAATTCCTGCATTCGTTTTCAGTCTGACAGACCTTCACAACGTAAAAGCAATATTTTTTATATCAGCCTGCCCATTTTTATTATCTACTTGGATTATTGCGCCAGCAACTTGGTCTGGTGTAAAAGCGTCTTGGCTAAATTTTGATTTAATTGTGCAGCTTCCTTTATCGCAGCAGTAAAAACATACAATTTTGCTAGTTTTTTCTAAATTAATATTCATTTGGAATGAAATCAATCTGTTATATATATGAACTTCAGTCTTATCCTTGAATTTTTTCTTATCAGGCAATATAAATTTCGCCTTTACGTAATATTCAATGCTTGCTTTAGCTTCTAGGTTTTTATATTTAAAAGATCCTGGAAGTTGATCAGGAAGCTTCATATTAAAAGGAAATGAAAAACATCCAGGACTGAGAATTGAATTTCATTGATATAGAGGAAACTGGAAGTTAATTATAGGCTGTTTCCCTTTATAAACGTCAGTAGTAGTGCTTGAATTTCCATCTGAGTCTGTTGATGATCGCTGAACTGTTCAATAGGTTTCTTCTTTTCCTTTAAATTGAAGAATAAGAGTGCATGGAGGAAGAGCTTCATTTAACATCACATTAATGATGCCTATAATCATATCGCCTGGCTGGCAAGATCTTTGCTCGATCGCGATATTCATACCTCCATCGATACCTTTTGAGTTCTTTCCTCCCATAATTTATAAAATATATGGCAGACCTTTTGTAACTTCCAGCAAAAAATGCCATATTTGGAAATAAAGGAAATTAGAGTCCCAAAAAGATCTTGGTTTCTGTAGTAATTCATCTCTTCATATAATACATTGTGCATACAAGAAATAGATAAAGTTAATATTTTCAAGGATGCTTAATATGATTTGCTATATAAATTTATCCAACCTAAAGAAGTAGTAAAATCATATTTTGTGAAGAATTTATTTTTAAATACTATTGCTGAAACCTTTGCTAAAATATAAAATCTTTTGAAGTTTTATAAATGATTTATACAAAAGGTACTCAACGAGAAAGAGTTTTGGGCATTTTCCCTTTGAGCACAAAATATTAAATCTTAATAAATTTTTTAAAGTGGCATTTTTTCTTTTATTTTTTCTGATGCTTTTTTATTAAGTTATCAAGAATAAAGCGCTAATTCTTCCAAAGAGTTAGTAAGAAATAGTGGAAATTCGAGTTTTGATAGAAAATTAGTACTTTTATTTGATGTTTGCTCACCCAAATTTAAATCCTATTTATAATTAGTATCACTGAATTTGGCAATTTAAATTAATCAATTTCATTCTTTTAGGTCATTGAAGGTAGCCAGATTTGCTAATAGGGTAATAAGTAAAATGCAGAAAGCATATGATGACTCATCATGTTAAAAAATTGCAATGAAAAACGGATATTAAAATGTTTATAATATATATTATGGAAGACCCTATTTTATGCGAAAATCACCTATACAACATTGATAGAGCTAGCAAAAGAGTCAGAATATGAACCTATGATCTTGACTCAGCTGCAAAATCGCATTTTTATATAAGCAAAAATGAAACATTAAATTTTGGAACGTCTATTGCCCTTTTGCCACAGTCAGAATTATTCTGCTATGGAAACCATGAACCTATCTCTGGGATTTCCTGCATCATTGATCTCAAATCTTGGAAAATAAAGAAAACTCTACCGTCCTGGACTCCTTGCTACTTTGCAGGGTCAATTTATTATAAAAATTCAATTTATATGTTTGGAGGCTATAATGGTGTTTCACTTTTATGCCTTGCATCTAAATTTGATATAAACGAAAATAAATGATTCCAAATAACACCGCTCCCAATGGCATCTTCCCTTTGTGCTTGCACTGTTTTCAAAAATTCTATAATTATATGTGGATATGAGCACTCAAAAGTATATAAATATGATGTCCAAATTGAGAGCTATTCAGAATTGCCTGTTATAGATTTACGTCAAAATTTTCAAAAAATTTTATTTGAAATAAATTCAAGAATTTATATTCTGATAAAAAATGGGAAAATTTTGGAAAGTGAAGTTGACAATGAATACGCATGGAGTATTGTTGGAAACTCCCAGTTTGTGTACTATAACAATTGTTTCTGAGTAAACCATAAAGGATCGATATATATTAGCTTGCATTATTATCGAGAAATGCACTGCTACAAGTTTTGTTTGAAGAAAAAAATCTTGGAAAATTTGAGCAGCAGCTAATTATTGATTTAATTAATCGTCGTATTAATTGCTTTTAAAATTGGTTAATGGAATAATTCCAAACTAATTGCTGAATGAATTTAAGTTAGTTCAAAAAAGTATGTTGAGAAATAGGAAAAGGATTAAATATCCAATTATGAATGAAAAACGTTTTTACTATAACATTTTATTTGTTCTTTATTAATTAAAGACAAAACTAATCTAAATCCAAAAAATTTTAAAATTGAAAACGAATAATGGTTTTTCGCTTTATTATTACATTGAAGAAATTCAATCCTCAATAATGTTTATCTCTCGAGGATTTTATCGACTTATGCAAGAAAATAATATAATCTGATGAATTTAAAAAATATTTATAAACCTACCCCAAGCCATTTTCGAATTGATTATAATATTATTTTATTTAATTTAAGCCTATAGAAAATTATATTTCAATTAAAATTTATCTAAGAATGAGATGAATAAGATGGCAATAGATTAAGTCACTATTTGGAAATAATTTATATCACTTCTTTGATATTAGAATTTGAGTTGCATAATACAGCAAAATCCATTAATAAATATCTAATATTCGAGAGCTCATCATGCATATATGGTGAGAAGCTTATTACTATTTAGGAATTATTAAGATTAAATTAAATTTTAAATAATCTATTTCATTCTATTTTTATTATTAATCGCACTAATATTAAATTAATTTTGATTATTTAACCATTTTTTATACGTCAATTGCTAAATAGAAAATAAATACTCAACCCTATATACAGTTTTAAATAGAATTCTAGGGTGTTAGGGTGTTAGGGTGTTAGGGTGTTAGGGTGTTAGGGTGTTAGGGTGTTAGGGTGTTAGGGTGTTAGGGTGTTAGGGTGTTAGGGTGTTAGGGTGTTAGGGTGTTAGGGTGTTAGGGTGTTAGGGTGTTAGGGTGTTAGGGTGTTAGGGTGTTAGGGTGTTAGGGTGTTAGGGTGTTAGGGTGTTAGGGTGTTAGGGTGTTAGGGTGTTAGGGTGTTAGGGTGTTAGGGTGTTAGGGTGTTAGGGTGTTAGGGTGTTAGGGTGTTAGGGTGTTAGGGTGTTAGGGTGTTAGGGTGTTAGGGTGTTAGGGTGTTAGGGTGTTAGGGTGTTAGGGTGTTAGGGTGTTAGGGTGTTAGGGTGTTAGGGTGTTAGGGTGTTAGGGTGTTAGGGTGTTAGGGTGTTAGGGTGTTAGGGTGTTAGGGTGTTAGGGTGTTAGGGTGTTAGGGTTAGGGTGTTAGGGTGTTAGGGTGTTAGGGTGTTAGGGTGTTAGGGTGTTAGGGTGTTAGGGTGTTAGGGTGTTAGGGTGTTAGGGTGTTAGGGTGTTAGGGTGTTAGGGTGTTAGGGTGTTAGGGTGTTA